AAACACCCTACTGATTCCTTTACAGAGCTTCAATTACAGCCTATAGGCCTTGTTCCCTGCCCTACCTGTGCTACAGCGTGTAAAGGAGCCCACGGGATTAAGACTCATAGCGCTAAAATCCACGGAATCACCGGTAGCTCTAGGGTATCAACGCAGCACCGAATCCATACTACCCCCTCTGCCTCAGCACCCTTAGACGCTGAAATCGACGATTCTATAGGCACCCCCTACCCTGTAATCGATTTCCCTCAGCTACTAGCACCCTTTCGAGCCGCTACCCCTAAGGCCAGAGCCTCTCTAGGCCTTTCAGGCTCTGAATACCCTACAGCTCCAGGGGCTACAGGCCTGTATAAGTCGCCTCCAGCACCTACAAGCCGAAATCTCAGTACCCCTCCACCCCTACCAAGCCCCCCATTCGATATCTACCCAGGCTTTACAGGCTCTCCGTCCCCTGTAACTTCAGCACCAAATAGCCCTAAATCGCCTACCTACGCCCAAGTTACCGCCACCCCTCTAGGCTCTAAGCCTTCAGCACCTACAGGCTCCAAGCACCCTACGGCTTCAGGCTCTAAGACCCCTGTACCTTCAGTACCTACAGGCTCTAAGCACCCTACGGCTCCAGGCTCCAAGTACCCCGCACCTTCAGCACCTGCAGGCTCCAAGACCCCTGCACCTTCAGCACCTACAGGCTCTAAGCACCCTACGGCTCCAGGCTCCAAGTACCCCGCACCTTCAGCACCTGCAGGCTCCAAGCACCCTACGGCTCCAGGCTCCAAGTACCCCGCACCTTCAACACCTACAGGCTCTAAGCACCCTACGCCTTCAGGCTCCAAGTACCCCGCACCTTCAGCACCTACAGGCTCTAAGACCCCTGTACCGTCAGTACCTACAGGCTCCAAGTACCCTACGGCTCTAGGCCCCGACCTCCCTACAGGCACCCGAAGGATTCAGACCCCACGGGGTATTTGGTACTCGATTCCAGGGGAAGTAGACGCTATACTCCCAGCGTACGACGGCCCTACAGGCCCTGAACCAGACTCCCTCCCAGGCTCTCGACCCCCCACGCCTACAGGCTCTACGTCACCTACATACGCCCAAATCGTCGCTACAGGCTATATACCCCCGAAGCCGTCCACTAAACGCCCTGCAAGAACACCCTCCCCAGGGGCTCAACGCCCTACGACACGCCAAAAGATAGGCCCTACGCAGCCTATAGAGCCTATAATCAAAGACAGCTCGTCCGACGAAGATCTTTATAGTGCCTCTACAGCGCCATCGTCCCCTACCCCTAGCTTTGAAGACGCTATCTCAACGCCTATACCAACTACACCTACCGATAAGACGCCTACCACACCTAGCCTACCCTCTGATAGCCCCTACTTCCCTCGACTATCACGAGTAGGCTCCCCTATAAGCAACCGAAGCTACTCACCCCTAGAACCACCCCCTAAAGCTCCCCAAGCTTCAGCACCCTCTCACGCTAAAGAGCCTATAATAATAAGCTCTTCTCCCCCAACAACCCCTACAACACACCTACCCTCCAAAACTACCACAACTCACCTACCCTCTAAAAACACCACAACTCACCTACCCTGCGAAACCTCCACACCTAGCCTACCCGTTAACCCAACACTCCAGGGCCGTACTATAGGGCCTACAGCGTCTAAACGCCCTATATCAACACAAGGCACAGCATCTTCAGCGCCTAAACGCCCTAGAACGTCAACACTAAAACGCCCTACCGACCCCCTCACATCTGAGCTACCCTTTGGATTACAACAATCGATCCACTGCCCCCAGCCTCAGGCTACCTCAGCACCTACACCCCTACACCCACAGGCTTCCTCAGCGCCTACACCCCTAGACGAGAGCGCTAAAGACCACTTGAACGCTATAAGCTCAGCGCTAAGAAACCCCTATATGCAATCCCTCATGAGATATAGCACTATTAAGGTCCCTGAAACACGTCTCCACGCCAGGCAAGCAGCGCTATTTACAGAGGCCGCTAATCGAGCGGCTTTAGCGTTCTTACGGCAGCCTAGAGAGAAGCAATTACTGGACTTTTTACTGCTTCCCAGGGTTCTCGGCCTAGGATTACAGAAGGAAGAGCTCGCTAAAACGCTGAAAGCCTACCCTACGACTATACCGGATATCCCTGAAACTCAGGGACCTCCCCCTGAACTCCCTACCCCCTCAAACGACTCCCCCGCCAAAAGAGCGACTAAGCTTCTGGAAAAAGGCTATATAGGGCGTGCCTCTAGAGCCCTAATCGACCCTACGCCTCTAGCTCCTAGCACTCCAGAGACGCTAAATACGCTATACTCGAAGCACCCTATAGGGCATAATAACCCCTTCAGTAACGCTAACCCCTCCCCGGGGCAAAATATCACCCCTGAAACGATACGACAGGCTATTCGATCGATTAATAGAGAGAAAGCCCCTGGCCTCAGCGGCTGGACCCGCCCGCTACTTGATATAGCGCTAAATTCGGAAAACTCCCCTGTAACTATAGCGCTTACACACCTAGCGAATATGATTCGACAGGGTACAGCTCCAGGGGTCGACCTCCTATGTGCTTCCCGACTTATAGGCCTTCAGAAGCCTGACGGAGGTGTGCGACCGATCGCTATAGGGGACCTTATTTATAAGGTAGCCCTAAAAGCGATCCTTATCAGCTCCTTCAAGCCGTCTATGCTTCTACCCTGCCAATTAGGCGTTAGCACCCCAGGGGGTGTAGAGCCTATAATCTTCCTCCTTGACGACGCTATTACCGGCCCAAATACCCTAAAAACTCAGCAAATCGCCTCCTTAGACCTTATCAACGCTTATAACCGAATCGGACGAACCTCAATAGCGGCCGTAGTCGCTAAATACGCCCCTACCCTCTATCGGACCGCTAAATGGGCCTATAACCAGCCTTCAGTGCTAGTAACAAACGAAGGCCACACGCTAGCAAGCGCTGAAGGAGTACGCCAAGGAGACCCTATTGCCCCCCTCTTATTCTCTCTAGCGATCCGCCCCCTGCTAGAGCACCTCCAAAAGACCCTACCGAAGGCTACAATTATAGCTTATTTGGACGATATCTATATCCTTAGCCCTGAAACTACAGCACTACTCCCTGTAGTTATAGAAGCCTTCAGGGACTCTCCAGTAGCTCTTAACCGCCAAAAGAGCACCGAAAGCCCTATTTCCCAGTTACAAACCACTGGACTTAAGGCCTTAGGGACCTTTATAGGCCCTGTAGCACACCGCCGAACGTTTCTCCAGGGGAAAATCGACACTCTCGCTACAGCGCTATATACCCTACGAGACCTCCCTAAACAACACGCTACCCTACTCCTACGGGGTAGTATACACCTACTCCTACGACACTTACAGCGCCAATTGTACTCGGAAGACCTACTAGACCTCTGGAGGTTAGCAGACCTACGAATCAAGTACGCTGTACAAGCCCTAATCGCTAGGGAGCCAGGGGAGAAGACTACCCTAATTCGCCAGGCTTTACTCTCTCTTCCAGTGAGAGAGGGAGGCCTAGGGCTCCCTATACACGCCTTATTAGCCCCAGGGCTCTATAGGGCAGCTAAGGAAGCCTCTCGATCGATTCTAGTGGCTATATGCCCTAATCTCTACCCGGAACCCCCTGGACGCCCTGTACCGACAGCCCAAGAGGTCTTCTCTAGTGTTAACCAAGACCTAGAAGAGAAGATTCTACCTACCCTATCAAAACAAGCGCTAAAATCGAAGCTTGAGAACGCTAGCTACCTCGGACGATACTGGCTTAGAACCCTGCCCACGCAAAAACACCACCTTTTAGCGGATTCTACAGTTACCGAAGCACTACGGACTAGGCTCTTACTCCCTGTAAAGCCCCCTATTTCGCCCTGTACCGCCTGTGGAGCCTACCCTCAAATAGGCCACGAAGACACCTGTAGAGGTGCTGAACGACGCTGGATTATACGCCATAACCAGGTTACCCGTGCATTTATTACTACCCTTTCTAGCCGGGAAGACCTTAAAGTGGAATCGGAGCCTACGCCAGCTAGAACGCCTATAGCCCTAGAAAACAGCCAACGACCGGATTTTTCAGTGCTTATAGGTACTTCTAGGCACTATTACGACGTTCAAATAGTAGCAATCAACAAGGATTCAGCACGCGAAGAAGCCTATGCTACGCTATCAGAGGCAGCAAACGCTAAACGGCTTAAATACAGCGACTTAGGCCCTGTATTTCACCCCCTGATCTTCTCGGCAGGAGGCCTAATGGAAGCCGAAACAGCGAAGACCTATAAGGCCCTACAGGGCCTATTAGGGCACTCTAGGGCTAAGTGGTTAGACGGGTATATCGCTAGCACCCTAACTCAGGCTCGAGGAATCGCTGCAACCTCGATCCTAGCACGTAGGTAGCTTATAACACACGCTATACCTACCCTACAGCACACACTACACCTACCCTATAACACACACTACACCTACCCTACGGCACACACGACACCTACCCTACGGCACACACTTCACCTACCCTAAGTAACTCACACTTCACCTACCCTGTGATACACACTCTATCTACCCTATAGTACACACTCTACCGACCCTGCGACTCACACTCTACCTACCCTTTGGTACACACTCTACCTACCCTATGGTACGCACTCTACCTACCCTGCGACTCACACTACACCTACCCTGTGGTACACACTCTACCTACCCTGTGGTACATACTCTGCCTACCCTATGGTACACACTCTACCTACCCTGCGACTCACACTACACCTACCCTTTGGTACACACTCTACCTACCCTGTGGTACATACTCTGCCTACCCTATGGTACAGACTCTACCTACCCTGCGACTCACACTACACCTACCCTTTGGTACACACTCTACCTACCCTTTGGTACACACTACGCCTACCCTCTGATACACACTTTACTTACCCTTTGGTACACACTCCACTTACCCTGTATTATCTCCTTCTGTCTTAGTACTCTACCTTCTGTACCCCTGACACCTTCAGGCTCTTACCCTCTGTATTATTAGTATAGTCCTTCTGTATTTCAAGACTATTAGAGAGAGATAAAAACACTCGTCGCAAGCTAGCGTAGTTAGAAACAAATATAACCCAAACCTCAAACCCTAAGACGCCAGAAGTCCATGGATCGGTGCCTTGGACTGCTTGGGGTGTATGCAGTAGTTGTTGGTCGGCATGGTCGAATGCGTTGCCAATGCCGGCGCAAGTATCGTTGGATTCGCCATGGAAGCTGGCGCAACCAGCGAATGTGTTATGCAAGCCAGCGAAGTCGACAGATGTTTGGTTGGAGTAGATTGCGCAATCTTCGAACTCATTTGCTCTGGGGCGCAACCTAATACCAAGGTTAGTTGAAAAAAAAAAAAACTCACCCGTTCCCAGCGCAATCAAATTCCGCGCAATCAAACCTGAGAGGTTCAAAATGCAGAATTGGATTGGGCTGGGAGGGAGCATCATTGGCCAAGCCCTGAATGTGGCTGTCGTCCTGCATGATGGAGAGCGGTCGAGGACGGTCGAGGGCGTAGCGTCAGAAAAGTGAGGCTGTTAAGCGAGGCAGAATAACAAGGCGGTGTATGCCCGAAGGATGGAAGAACTCAAGAATGTGTAAAGATGAACGCGAAACGGGTGAAATTGAGGGAGGGGGAGACGCCATCTATATATGCTCATATCCAAGGCCATGCCTGAAGGCTGACCGCGCCCCTGTCCCAATCTGTCATATCTGAAGCCGGAGGACCAGCGGAGCGTCACTACACCATACCTACTCATAACATACTGACTGACTGACTGGTGTGGTGACGCTCCGCAAATCCAAACCTCACTCCTCCACGTCCCAGCTTTCCTCACCCACGGAAATACCGGGTCTCCAGTCGCTAAATCTACTGATCCAACCCATTCAACTCCACCAAATATAAGACCGCCTCTTCGACCTTATTCCATGCTAGATCCATCTCTAGCTCATTAATCTTCCTTGCAAGAATATTATCTAGTATACCTCCAAGTGTGCTGCTCACCATGCGTGGAAGCTGAATGTCCAAGATATTTATATCTTGACTGAACGAATTCAGTACTTTATCCACATCTGTGGTACTCAGGACGCGGAGAGTATTATGCATGATTGTGTCAACGGCAGCATGATGTAAAGCGGGTTCCTGTCAGGTGCACGCCTGTGTAGAGCATGGCAAGTGCGGCTGGAAACACGTATAGGAACGAAGCGGCTCCAAGAATTGCACATAGCTCAATCCAGTAGGCAAATGGATGATCCGGAGATGTTGACAGTGAGTCCGAAAACTTTAGCTTAAGCTATGTCGTTAGGAAATTGAAGATGAAACCATCACTAATGATGAGAACTAGGAATATCAAGGGATGCCAAATTCCAAGCGTTGGTAGCCAGTGACGGTACACTTTCATGTCTTTGATTGGCACAGGCACAGGTAGATCGATGGTGGGTGTTTGACTACGAGCGACGAGCGTCGAGGGACGGCTCTGGAGACCTGGGGTCAATTTTTCGATTCTTCGATGGCCACGCAATCGTTTTTAGGAACTTCATCACGAATATGAGCATCATGCTCCGTAGCTTCTGCGAAACTACGTAGGTTCTTAGGCGCACGTGCTGTTTCAAGATCTCCGAAATTGCTCCGAAACTTACATATGCCGCAGCCAAATAAGCGGGCTCGAGACATTCAGCGTCTATGACCACGTGGAGCTGGCTAGAGATCACAAGATAAGGTAGCGGGCATACCCGAGACACATGTCTGAGAAAACATGATAGGATATTATAACTTAAGATATAATTAAAGTCAACAGAAAAAGAGACAAGCCACTTATTTCTAACACAGGGTGCCATGACTGTAATTTAATTTATGTTCTTGATCAGCTTTCTTCTGAGGGGCACAAGGTGGGCTAGTGTAAGATCTCATAATCAAATACCGGGCTACGTTTCGACTTTCCGTTTTCAACACCTCGTTTCGACCTTCCTCCCGTACTAGATCCAATCACGACCTTCGAATCCCTGAGATCCCGAACCCGAAGGAAGCCACAACAAGGTCAACATAATCAGTGACCATTACTGTGGTGTCTGTTGTCTGGCCTTATGACATTATCTAGATGCTTTGAAATCAATTAGAACACAATGTTTGTCGGTGTTTGTTCTTTGAAGGGGTTTCGTGCCACCTGGTCGGCTTGACTTCTATAAAGGTCTCCTTCGGTGCTCTAGAAATGTGAACATCTCATCAACAATAACCTTGACACTTCTCACATCTTCGATATACGAAAATTATCGACCGCCTGAACTTCGTGTTCAACACTCTACAAGACTCATATCAACATGCCATCATACGCTATTGTAGGAGCCTCCAGAGGACTTGGTGTATGTTTTCCCGCTCTTAACAATTGAGAAATGCTGATCGTCTCCAATAGCTTGCGTGGCTCGACTTCCTCAGCAAAGACTCCAACAACACTGTTATAGGTCTGGTTCGAGACGTAGAAAAAACCAAACAAAGCCTCGTCGAAGAGAAAATCAGCAATGTCCACATTTTCCGCGGCGATTTGGCCGACCGAACGACCCTCAAGACAGCCGCCGCCTCTGCATCAGAGGTCCTCCCCAATGGCCTCGACGTGATCATCATCAACGGAGTCTATGTCACCCCTGAGACCAATAGAATGACTATTTCTGATCTGGCCGCTCAACCCGACTTGCTGTACAAAGACATGCACACAAGTTTGGATGTCAACGTCCTTGGCTCCATCTACGCCGTCAACGCCTTCCTCCCACTCATCCTTAAGGGCACTCAAAAGAAAATTATTTTCATCTCTTCTGGCCATGCGGATATCGAGCTCCCTGTCGCTGCCGAAAATGACGACATGATCACGTATGCTACCATCAAAGGTGCAGTCAATATGATAGCAGCCAAGTATGCAGCAGAACTCAAACCAAAGGACGTGAAGGTAATTTCTTTGAGTCCTGGACTCGTAGCCACCTCACAAAACCAAGATCGTGAGTTATTCCTACATTATGTATATGCAAAGTATTTACTGACTTGTGAGCCAGCAACTGAGGAGGAGGATATTAAATACTTTACCAAGATTCTCGGGGGCTTCAAGAAAGTCTCCCCGTACTGGAACGGGATTCCGCTTACTCCTGCTGAGAGCGTGGGGCATCAGTTCAACGTCATTGAGAATCTTACCATGGCCGACACGGGTAAGTTTCTGAGTCACTGGGGAAATAAGACTTGGTTGTGATGAAGATGACGGAGGAACAATCAGGGGCTAGTGGTAGGGTTCTGTCAAATGTCAACATAGAGGTCAAACTTACAGTAGCTCGGGGGTAAAGGGAAGTGGATTGGAAAGTTTTCTTGCCCCTAGACGCATCGTTCACTTTACTTCATATGATGCTTCTTTAACTTCTGCACTCACGCAATCAGCTACCATATCGATTTTCTTGCATCCGACCGCCTTCCATCTTGTTGAAACTGGTGTATGAACCCCCTTATTCCATCTTCTCGTTCGTGTCGCAAAACTTTGATACTTCTATTTTGTTCCTTACTTAAATTACCTGCTCTTATATGCTCGCATGGTCAGCTGAGAAAAATGGCCGACCGTTTTCCTGTCTCACATAAGGTTAAGCGGCGTGACGACAGGCCGAAAGTATGTGCCGCGAACCGCTTCAAAGGGGAATAGCGCTCTCCAGATGGAGCCTGACGAGAGTTTGTCATTGCAATCTCTGGACGGATGGAGGCTGGCTTGAGGTAAAATTGATTATAATTTTTGGGGAGCCCTGACTTGAAACAGCATCCTGTGTGCAGCGTGCTACATACAGTAGAATAATAGGGGGCCGGGAGTTGAGGTGGGTTGAGCTAGGACTCCCGAAGATGGATACCGTCCTGGGGTAAACTCCAGTGGGGGAGAGCTATGACCCTTTGAAGACGGAATTCGTCCTGGGATGATTTTCAAGCAGTGGTGTTTACAAATCATTTTTCGTGTACACCTAAGGCAGAGCTTCAATCCTCACAAACTGGAGGCTAACCTAGGATAATCCTCCGAAAGGATTGAAACGATTTCCCGTGAACAATTTCTCTCAAAGATAGAGGCTGAATTGGGGTAATTCTCCGAGGATTTTGTTTCGAACCCGCCTCCCATTGATGTGGTTGGGGGGGCAGAGCTCAGACTCCCGAATTTCTTAGCCGAAGCTAGGTTTTGAGGCCATGTCATATTTTCGGCTTCATGGTTCTCCTTCTTTCTCGTCCAGTCGCTCATATTGCTTGCAGTCTACAGTAGACCGTCTCGACTACAACGAAACTTTGGTCTCCTCGTTGCACAACACAATTGAAAGGCCTGATTCGTCCCCACGTCGTTGTGTGCGTGACGCACGTTTTAGGAAACACCACCGATACCAGTCGGAAGACACGGGTTGTCTACCAAGAGTGTGTCCAACGTGCATGAAACTTACATTACTCTACCATACTGTACTTTATTGCACGGTTCTCTCCTCTAATTTTCCTGCAGTACTGGCAACATACCAACTGCGTCTGAACTAGAACAGATAGGCTCAAGTGAGGTGGTTGAACACGCAGGAGCCAACGGACGCTACCCATTAAGGATATGACATCGGCCGAGTGTTCCGATTGTACACGCACCCAGAAAGTCTGAATGTTCTGCTTCCTATCAGATTGCGGAGAAATGAGCACGGTTGTCTCATCTTTGGCACTGGGCTTCTAAAACGAGAATTAGAGTTAGCGCAGAGAAAAACCTTATGGGGAGAAAGTTGCACCCGCGTTTCAGAAATAAGAACTACACGAATTACATGAAAGTCTACTTAGAGTTTGGATGGTCTCTCTTGCGAGCAGACGAACGATTGTGTATATCTTCACTCATGATCCCATATTTCTCCCCTATTTTATTTTTCTTTTCGGCAGAGCGCGGAGTGTGGAGGGGATCATCGATTGGCTGAAACCCTCAAAGACAACAACATGTCGAAGCCGGACTACGGCAAACAGGGCAGCGTCTTCCTCATCACTTCAAATGGGGAGACCATTCGACTGCCGATTCCATCTCGTTCCCCAAACGACCCGTTGACATGGAGTTCTCTCAAAACATTTTTCTTCCATCTTTCCATGGCAGTCTTTACAATTGTTGGATTGATCCTAGTGCAAGGCACCAGTCTTCTTTTGCACAGCTTGGAGTCCGAGTATTCCCCAGAGGTATTTTATCTGCTTGTCATGTATGAAGACCCCATCTGACCAAGGAAGGAAATCGCCCCACTACGGCTCGACGTACTTTCCTCTGTACCCTGTCTCTTCTGGGGAGTAGGCGCATTGATATGGGTACCACTTTCCATGGCGATAGGTCGACGACCGGTCTTCATTTTCTGCTCGATACTGCTCACACTATCGACCTTGATGGCAGCATTCTCCAACAACTTCTATACTCACCTTGCTGCACGATGTCTTCAAGGTATTGCCGGGTCTATCTCCCCAAGCACAGTAAGTCGAGTCGCACCTCATGATGATTCCACCACTGACCTCCTCCAAAGATGATCCTCATGATCCTTGATGTTACGTTCATCCACGAGAGACCGAGGAACATCGCCCTCTTCTGGTGCCTCTGCAACGGGTTGTCCAATGTTGGCCTGGCATTCACGCCACATATCGTTGCAGCGGGTACCTCCTGGCGCGCTTTCTACTGGACGTGGCTAGGTCCATGTATCCTAACTATTTTCCTCGCTGTTATCTGGGCTCCCGAGACATATTTCAAACGACCTCCTATGGCTTTCGATGGCCATATAGTTGCACAGAGCGAGAGCGGTAAGGTCACGGTCTACAACTCTTGGGAGGAGGTACCCGGAGGAAAACCAATGCCAGATGAGCCGCAAGAGTGGACATCATCAGCTTTCCTCAAGAATGTTCTTTTCTGGAACCGAACAACGACAGGAGGATGGCCCGCGATGAAAGCGTTCCCTCGACAGATTCTGATCTGTACAATCAATCCGCTCATACTCTGGGTCTTGATCCTCAACGCCTTCGTCTTCGGTGGCATGGTGGTCACATGTGCGAATTACGTCCCTCTACTAATGGAGCCACCTTACAACTTCACATTCAAGCAAATCGGCCTCGTCAAACTCGCTTCATTTACTGGGGCTCTATTAGCCTTCCCTGCATCCGGTATTCTCACAAGTTGGGTCACCAAGCTCCTCGCCACGAAAAACCGCGGCGTGCACGAACCGGAGCACTATCTCCCGTCTTTCATCCTGCCCGTTGTGACAGCCGCTATCAGTTTAGCGCTCTTTGGAATCGCAGCAGAGAGGGAGTGGAATTGGAGATGGATCTTGTTCTTCGTGGGGCTGGATTACTTCAGTTCTGTCGCGATGTTCACTGCGAATACGCTCTGGATCACAGAAGCTTTTCCACGGTGGGCGGGAGCGGCTGTCACGATTGTTGGTGCAGGTGGATATGCGATGAGCTTTGTGCTGGGATCGACGATCGTACCGTGGATCAAGTCCCAGGGGGTCGGGAATACGTATGTGGAGTTGGGGATCCTTACTTGGCTTGTTGGACTGATTGGGTTCCCGGTCAACTTCTGGGGCAAGCGGTTCCGAGAGTACATTTACTCGAAGTGGGAGTGATGGTTGGGTGGCATTGGCACTGATTGGTCAAGGGCCTGGTGCCTTGGAGGAGGCTGTAATTGTATAATAGAATGATCCTGATCAAAACCCAGACCTGAAAGAGCAATAATTACAAACAATTGTGCTGGCACATGATGACGGTCTTTCTAAGAATTCCGAGCGACAGATTGATGCAGAGTTGACGTGGACGAGTCGTTGCATGAGTCGAGGTGGCCTCTGCTTTGGCATGGATTACCTGACCTGAACAGCCTTTCCACATTCAAACTCAATGCACGGATCAAAGCTTTCGTTTGAATTAAGGTCCGGTACTTTGGATGTACCAGTAAGCCAGGACAATCGCTGATGACGTAAAGTGGGTTGATCAAAAGGTATCTTTGTCACGACTTGCTGGCTGGTGAGCCGGAGGACGACAAGTCTTGATCACGAATCTCGCTACTGCAAGCATTTTTCCATGTTCTTAATCGCAACTTAAATATAAGACTTTTGCTGAAATCAAAAATGTTTCTCCGGTGTGCTTCGACGTATGAAGCTCCTCGATCAGTGTCAACTCCAATATCTCACTTCTTAGTACTTGCTAAGCGAGTCAGTCCCAAACAACAGTCTTGGCTGTTTGTTCACCAATGTCAGCCCAGATGTCCACGTTAAACATACATGACACGTTGATGGTATGAGCGAAAAAAGAATAGTATCAGGTTTGGACTTCTGCGGAATCCATCAGTCATTCTCATGGATGCATGGTATTTTATATGTTATGGACAAACGAAGTTTCTGTCAACGACGGAAATCGTGCGAGGTACACAAGGAAGACTTCACAGCTCCGATTGTTTCATCCAGCTCCAGTAACATCAGAGCCATAGATACAGCTCGATCCATCAGCACCGGGACCAATCTCTTTCGGCTCGCTGCCAGAGGAGACACCGGTAAATTTCATGCAGACATTCGTCACGCTAGCGAGCTTGGTGTTTGTCACTCTACACGTATCTCCGGACTAAGGATAAGATCAGATATCCCGCTCACACGGAACGGTGAAACCACCCACATTGGTGTTAATGCCGCAAAGAGTCCTGCCATTCGAAGTTGTAAACCCATCGATGATAATGTGTCGCTCTGCACTCTCCTTACAATTTCCACAATTCCTTACAAATGATCCGAAACTCTCAGCCGTGAAGCCGCTGATTGACAATGTGCCGGCTCCATTGAACTGAAAGACCTTGTCAACGGCACCCTTAGAACTTCCTCCTGTGATGGTGGTTGTTTCTCCGGCGGCTTGCTTCTTGATTGTGAAGGCATCTTCGCCTGCGGAGTATCAGTGACACGACCCCCCGACTCCACCCAGAGTAGAGAAGAATACTCAATACAAAAAGGTGAAAATAAAGGAAGACTTACAGACTGCAGTCTACTCAACATTGCTCAACTTGCAGCCTCCAGTGCAGTGGACAACTTCGATCTGGTAGCGGCCGATGACAGCATTGGACAGGAGAACCGCCGGATTCAATGACCAAGATAGCGTCTGCACCACCACCCTCGACTTGACCTGTGCAAGAGACACTACGATCGAAGGTTGCTCCACCGCCATCAGACGATCCTCCTGCGGCGATTGTCTGTCGGTATGTCAGTGTTTGTGCTTCCCCAAGGCAGTGACATTTCAGCAGGGGTTGTGTTAACCTGAGCAGCAGCAAGCACCGTATTACCTCTACCTCCTCCCGAGCCCCCGCCTCCAATAGATGACATTGTTGGAGTAGCTCCTCCCGTAGGAGCCACACCACCCCAACCTGAGCCCGCGTCACCTCCAGTTGGAAATGGAGTTGGAGCTGATCCCCTACTTCCCAAACCATCATCGTTTCCTGATCCTGAATCATCTTCAGTGACAGCAGGTGCATCAATCCTTTTATTTTTGAAGCTGTTTTCTTTCATATTGTCCTTGCCTTTGTTGATTTAGCTACCGTCGATTTGGCACCGTCAGTTGCTTTCGTATTCGTTTCTTTGGCTGCTACTGCTCTGAAGCCACCACCAGTGATAGGCGTTGCTCTACCGGACTGTTGGAAAGTTTCTCGAGTCCATTATCATCGTCGCGAGCTTTGATGTTGGAAGGAGCAGCGCTGGCGGTAAACACGAAAGCCAGAATGGCAACTTGGATCTTTGAGAACTTCATAATGACGTGTGAAATTACCGAAATTGAGGGATTCTCGGCAAGAATAAGGAAAAAACAAAATTCTAGCTGTTGAAGTGAAAGCAATTTGGAATAAAAGAATGGGAGGAGGATGGAAGGAAGGATCACAGTGAAGTAGATGCAGAGAGAACTTGAAGAAGGCACGTAATGGACATATAAGTGCTCGAGCTCACCACGAGTAAATGTGCTGAGAGACTTCATGCTACTACTTTCTGTCCATCATTGGTTCAATGGTAACGAACATAAGATAAAAGAAACATGCTAACCAGATGCCAAATTGATATTGAGACGAAGTGCCAAGGAGAACTACGCCAATAGATCCGTACCAAAATATAGAGCCGTATATGGGACGTGTCTTTCAAATGACAGCTGGATACAAATTTAGACAATAATGATAAGGCTTTCGATAGTACCCAAGCCCTTAGATTGATCTCAGCATTAAGCACCCAGAGAACTGAAACCCAATACACCTGTGGAGCCACACATCACGTGCCAAAACAATCTCTTCGAGACAGATGTGGGTTTCCTGCGCAAGCCAAGCGCGAAAGAGTCTCCACGACCATATCTGTAATACTGTCGTCTCATCTATGAGCAGATATATAAAAGATCGCAAGGACATCATTGCAGGCCAATGGTTCTTGTGATATTAAATTCAGACTCATCATCTGATTGTCCGGATGGGAGTCTCGGCTGCCTCGAGAAACTCTAAGCAATTCTTTCGACAAACCATTTAGCGTAATGAATGAGGGAGTAGAGGGGAACAAGAGAAACACTAAGGGTGTTTTCGAGTAGTTACATTCCAATTGCAGCCATGCTGCTCGTACAATATGAAAACTAGAGCGCATGCATGGCGCTGGATGGTGAAACTCGAAGCCTGCCCCGGTAGTGAGAAGCTAGCAATGGCGTGCGTGACTGGATTTGGCGCAGTATTCTCTGGTGGTCTGAATCTTTGAAGGATGGGATACAGTTAAATATGCATCTGAATTTCTTCCGCAGCAAATGTGTGGTGGACGGAAAAAATCTCTTGGGGTAACAGAAGTAATCAGGGGAGCATTCGAGGGATGGATACTCGGGACCTGTTAGTGATTGACAGTGACACTGCAGTGCATACCGGCCCGCCCCAAGCGTGAGGCGTGCTGGATAGTACACTAGAGATGCTTAAATCGATGTCAAGATAACAAATATCTCGGCAGCGGACAAACCCCATATCTGTACAACCGCACCTCAACATCTCGAGCCATGCAACTTATTTCCTCGTGGACTTCCCTTTGCTCGGGAAAACTTGATATGATATCTGAACATACTTCCGGAAAATAGCTGACTCTGCCGGTATATCTGCATTGTCAGTAGCCGAGGGCCCGCGCAACCACAACGTCACTACGGGACAACCACTTCCAAATATGTTATGCAGCCTTCCACTCTGGGCTTAGAACGACGAGAATCGAGCACACGATGCCCCTGTCCTGACACTTGAACCCCCATTCGACTCCAATCCGACGCTGCCATCTTATCTTGGCCTGCAGCCCTGCTCGGGAACCATGTCGATGAGAATGAGGTAATCAGGCGGTCTGTTGTCGTCGGTCAACGGCGATAAATCTTTCGCCATGTCGCTGTCTCTGTCGCAATTCTTCTTCCCCCCCTTCTTCCTCCCTCTCTCTCTATCGCCATCATGTTGGAGCTGAGGGATCGGATCGCGCTTATGGAGTCTGCTCTGCAGAACTCCCAGGAGATAGAAATACCCGGACCCGTCCGACAGAGTATGGATCATCGATTCGACAAGACTGACCCCGCGGTCGAGGCGGCGCCAGCGCCCACTCCGGCGCAAGAGAAAACCAACCCGTTCGATAGGATCGATACGACGGACCAGAAAACTCCTTTCTACGATAGTATCGCGGCGAAGTTTGGGCTGGGGATCTTGGACGAGGAGAAATTCAATGACTACATTGTGTACAATGCCTTTGTTACGAACCTGCGAATCTGCCCGGTACATCTGGGGAGTGGGAAGGAGTACTACGTCGAGCATCGATCGTTCTTGCCGAATACACCGGGTGCGATTTTGCGGGAGGGAGTTGATAAATCTGGGAAGAGTCTCGGGGCTGCACATCTGCCTTTGACGGGTCGGAATAGTATTGGAGTTGGGGACTTTGATTCGAGACCGCAAGACGTCATTTGGGAGAGGATGGGTAATGCCGGATTTTGGACACACATGAAATACGAGTTTGAACATGAGGTGAATGGGGTTAGAAAGACGTTTCATTGGATTAGGACGAGGAATAATGTGCTGGACGATCAGGGGGATTTGGTGTTGGTGGAAGATGGCAGAGAGGATTTGATACTGTGGGTAGAATGCTCCTTTTCTGTTTCGGTGCTGACTTATGCAGGGCGGAATATGTTGGAAAGGGATTGATGAAATGGAAGAAGAGGGGCAGACTAAGGATCAGGGTAATGGACTTTGGTGACAGCTGGGAGCTGATTGTACTGTTGAGTTGGGCATCTGTGATTGAGGTTGGTGAATTGGCTCTTGCGGGAAAAACAGTTCTAATGTGAGGCAGCTTTCTAGACGGCGCGCGAGACTTCGGAGATTTTCACCAACGCATTTGATTGGCATTTGAGACGGCAAAGGTGGTTAACGGACGAACATAAAGCATTTAGCGGCATATCGGGTAATGTTTATTTTGACTTCGGGGAGGAGAAGCATACGGAGATCATTTGTTTCCTGGCAGCATACAGTGTGAATGGCGATAAGACAAGATTTAGACTCGAGAAATGCATTCTTTCATACTTTTGGATGCTGCTTATGCGTCCCGGTGCCTGCTTCTTGATTCAGCACTCTACTCTTTACTCGAATCCTCTCTAACATATACCACAGACGCGCCTCCTACGAATCATGAACTTGACTTTCCTCTTGGGCAGTACAGAGCCAATAAAAAAGACAGCTAAGGAGGCTTCCGCTACCTAGGCTCAATTTTCATACCACGGGCCTTCGTTGTCTTATATTATCGGATACACTTTAGCTGTCATAGATGACTACCTAGGTACTCGCAAATGAGCATTAGAAGGATGGTCTTTGGACCTCTTAGTCTCGCTTAAGCACTAGTGCGATGATCACCAAACAAAGCCTCCGCCTTTGAAAGTCAGCCCAGAACCGAGAAACACCTTATATATCGTTTGATGGATAAAATACAGGTCATAAGATCTCTTATCCGAGATCCTGATTCAAATTGGTAGAGATTAATTCCCTGAATAGGGCCGTAATATGCGTCATTTTGAACAACCCGATGCACTCCGGCAGTTCACAACGACGCCAAACAACAAATTACGATGCACTACACAGTCATATCTGGAATCATACACGTTAATCCCTCCAGCCTCTCCAATCCAATACCACCTCCCATCACAAAACCTGCGCATAAACCCTCACCCCAAAACACCCCTCCTCCTCTCCCTGCCCACTGGACTCCCTCCCAAAAACCCTAACAACCTCCCCAAACACCCACTTCTTACCCCCATCCCTCATCAGCGCACAGAACCTCGCCTCTTTATCCCCCGTCTCAAACTCCTCATTCACAAATCCCAACTTCGGATTCGTGACTCCAAAGCCAGCTGGTAAGCCGGTGCCGAGTCCGGCGCCGGAAACACCAAGACTGAACGTGGTCTCAACAGTCTGGGGAGTAGAGCTGGAATTGGGATCGGTTTGGAGATCGGGATCGGGAATGGGAGTGAGGGTAGGGTTGGTGATGGTGTCGAGAGGATTCGCGAATGTGAGAGGTGCGTAGGTGTATGGGAGGGAGGAGAGGGGCGCGGAGAAATAGGTTGGTACTGGGGGCGAGAGGGACAGGGAGAGGAGGAGGCCTTGTGGTTGGAGGATGGTGAATGTTCCGGCTGTGGAGGCGGTGGGGACTCCTTGAGGAGTAAGTATGAGGAATCGAGAGCAAATGTACGGGAGGTAACACGAACCGAGGCCGCCGTCAGGGCCTAGGAAAGCAGGGACATCGTAGGCTCCGAAGAAGGAGTTTTTGAATGTGTATTCAAACGGCGTGAATTGGCTAGGAATGACATAGAGTTTAAATGGCGGCGAAAGCGTTGAATTTTCGGGAATTAAATCTGGATATCGTCACTTTCAATCTCTTCCACACAGTGGCATTTTTCCAAGTCTTAGAGTACGGATTCACGGCGGTGTGCTTAGAACGTACCTTCTGGGACGCCCATCACAACGTTTGATCCTGGTATCGCACTTCCAGGCGGTAGATCAGGACGGTTGAGAACTGGTGGAGGGGTATTGGGGTCAGGAAGGTCGGGCCGTGTGGCTGGATCGGGAGGTATGATATTTGATGCTGGGATAGGTGCTGGTGCTGGTGCTGGAGCAGGAGCAGGTGAAGGAGCAGGCACAGTACCACCAAGCGCACCACCCAGTCCTGCTATTCCATCAAGACCCGGTATACTAGACGCGTGAGTTGAGCAATTGACGTTGTCTAGATTGGGATTACGTACATGGCAGCAGCGACAAGGGAGAGGAAAGTTGAAAGAGAACATATTATGCCCCTCATTTTGAACAGAATACAGAACAGACAAAAGAGAAACGGAGCTACTGAGTCGGGAGATTGGGAAAAGAGCCTGGGATATATGGTCGTCAACTGACCAGAGATTCGGGATTCACGTGCTACACTGAACCACTGTATCGGGGAAAATGAGAGTATTACACTGCGGAGACAGAATTGCACAAGCTGTTCATTACGACACTGTTCATTTGAGAAGACATGGAGGACTCGCGCATCCAGCATGTGCCTTTGCTAATTTGGAGGCTGATCTCGGTATCCTGTAATACCAGTGTAACCTGTGTTCACATACCGGACTCGGGGATCATCTGCACTCAAGACTTTGTACAGACCCACGATCGAATTCTAAATATACGACAAAACTTCTTTTGGTATTTACATGGCGCAGTGGCACTTGACCGATTTCGAACGATTCGACCTCTATATAGGACGTCTAGATAGTCGAAAGAGAAGGCAGGATGAAGGAAATGTAAAATACGTTCGCAGTATGCTTATAAAGGTTGATGCAAAACATGTTACTAGTGCCGGAAGTAGTCAATGGAAGAATTGTAAAAGGGGAAATCCAATACTGGATTGTTGGAGACGAATATTGCATATAACTGCAAATGACTCCAGATACATGAGTGTAATGATGCTGAGGTTAGGCTCACCCCAACTCCACTAACTGGATCAAAATATCACAATAATCAGCGCAGCCGAATATGCCTAACTCGTACTATACCAACCATTGTCACGTGCCCTTACAATGAGTTATCTGGGCAAGTATTAAATGATGAGTAAATAAGAATAATCGTTGAAGAGTAGGAATAATAAGGAGAATATAAAATATTCAATCCATGAACGGAACTCAAAGACAAGATATTCATGGAAGGACAGACTCAAAAAGCAATACGTCGATCGCAAACTTTTGCTACAACCTGTTGCCTTGCCAATAGACTTCTTCTGATTCGGGTGGTAGAGGCCCACGAGTTCTGTTGATGAAGGATCATCACCAGCTGGGATCTTCGAGCTCAGTCAAACCGCCGAGCCTGCACGACACATTCGATCCACAGTAAATCCCGATCACGCACTCGAGCGTCCGTGGCACCGACAGGTATGATAAACGTGGTACAAAGCGTTGGCCATGGGAATGAAGGACCGCTCAAAGCGATCAGAGGGTATGGTATCTCAAGAAACTCAAGTTGCAAGTTGGCTTGGGACGGTCATGTTTCATGTAAGAAAGGTCTGTTGGACTCGAGAAGTTGGTGGCCACCAGGGGATAGTGGCGAAAAGAACTGGCTGTATTTTATTTGACGAGCTGGTTGGTGGGTGGTTGTGCCAGCGTAAAATGTGGGGAATCAGTCTTGTTGCAATGGTTGTTCTGTCCACGGGGTGTTAATGACGGATGTATTCATCAGGGCTCGAGCGAGACAGGCGCGATCTGACGAGAACCAGATCGTCTGTGTCTCCAGCCTGATTGCACGCGATATCGTTACTTGTTCGTTGACTGCGTAGATCTTGGTTATTGTGCAACAGAGAAGACAGGGGCCGACAAGGAATGATGCCGTTGGTGCTGTTGGAATTGACTGACTACTTCGTAGAGTTCCGAGATTTCCCAACAATACATATTGCGAGGCCTTTGTGGCCGGGGCCGCGAGGAGACGAATGAGAGGAAGATTCGAACAGTGCGACCAATGCTGGATGGCAAGAACGGAAGGATCACGGAGAATTCCAAACAAAAGAACTCGGTGCTCGTCATAATGTCGTAGGCTTCGGATACCATCAGGTCCATCTTGTTCTGGCCTCTGGCATCGATTTCCAGCTCACGAGCGGGATATCCAAGTCCAAATTGGAAAACTCGTTCGGGGGGTGGTCGTTCACGCTAAGAGAAGTCTGCCCATCCGCTGCGCCGCTGAAGAAATCAATCAAACATACAGATGTTGGAATTTGCGTCACTGCCCGCACGAAGGCCAAAGGGTCGGTGACCCATGACCCATGACCAGTGAGCAAGCTGAGCATAGATGCCAGTTTGCACAAGCGGAATGCAGGGTATCAGAAAACCAAGGTACATGTTCAACAGCGCTTCAAATCCCCAACGCCAAAGAGAAAACATGGTTTCTTCTGGCAGAACGCTGTGCCGGACGATCTTTCGAAGAATAGTAGCTTGGTATTAGGAGAAGCGAGGCTCGTAAAGGTTGAATAAATTGACTCTGAAATAGTAACAATGCGGCTGACGACAGCCTGGGAGATATAAAGTGAAATGAACTGGGTCTGGGATTGCAAAATAGAATAAATATCCGACGAGAGAGAGAATGGCAGCGTGAAAGGGGTAGATAATGTCATGAACTTGGGGGTAAATCCTGCACGAACTTCGCGGAGAGCATTGGCAGGATCGGACTGCGAATCAATTGAGACAGACTCCACTGTGAAGATACAAAAATACAATAGTATATTGGTACGTTCTGGATGAGGTTTTCCAACACTTTGGAGGCGAGACGGGATCGTACCCCTCGATCCCTGGCAGTCATAGGACGCACGAAGGAAGATACCTGCTCAAAGATGCGGTATTGACTATCCGCTGCAGAGTATGCAAGCAGAACCTGGGAGTAGCCGCTTTCTGGAAGCTGGGGACGGCTTTACCCGGGCAGAAACAGGATCGTCAACCACGACCCCAAGGCTAACCAGGCCGCGGATTGGCCATATTTTTCCACAGACAGGCTTTGTGTGGCTCGACAAGTATGACTGCAGCGGCTTGATATAGATCCTTGGATGTGAGGTGTCACTGTGTTTGGAGTGCCGGGCCCAAAAATGATGGGCGAACAGGTAGGGTGCACCAATGGGATATAAATAAAACTGGATATAGCCGCAGTATGCATGTCGCTTGCTGAATATGCCATGGTGGGGTGATCGCTGGCTATTGGTGCGGGATATCGGCAATCATCTTCCATGGCTGACACTGACTGGAGATCGAGACGAAGGGGGTGTGGAGGCTGCAGCGGCGGCAGAGAGGGGGGCCATAGGTATGTTCGCTTTCAACATCGTTACCTGAGATGGCCCGCACAGGGAGATCGTCCACCAGGCGTGAAGCTACCTCCAGAACCTGAGCGAAGCGCTTCCCTTCAGAACTATGTCTTATGGGTACAAAGGTGTGAAAGCAGCAGCTAGCCAACTTTCGAGAGTTCACTGCACTTAATTGCTCGTCTATTCGTGGGTTGAAGATAAGAGTTCCGGGATGAGAGGAAGAGGCGCAGTAAGCGAACTCTGTATGCGCGCTTACGGCAACTAAAACTGGCCGGAGCTAGCTGTATTCATGCTAGTGCGCCAGGGTGGGGTTCTATTTTGCGACCCCAACCCAAGCGAGAGCAACACAACCAAAGGCAAACAGACACAAACTTCGACCTGAACTCCAAGCGTGTCAATTGCCACACACCTTGAAGCATCCACATCTTCCACCATACCACACTACGCAACCGATTCTGTTTTGCTCCATTATAAAGTCCTGACCTGCTTCCTGAGTGGCTGATGACCGGATGAAGAGGGAACCCCAGACTTGGTCCCAAAGATAAGTCCCGTTGTGCATCATACTTGCGTCTTACCTGCATGCATATACATGTGCCCGGATGCATGTGTATGTATGTGCGTTATCTGCAGCAGGCTAGCAGCCGTTTCTTTCGTTAGCCTACCTACTTCCTTACCTCCCCGAAAGCTTTCACCCAATCTGATCTGATTCACCCACCTATTTACTTCCTCCCGTCTTATTTGAACCGGATCTTTATGTACCCCTTCATCCTCCCAACGTCGTCTCAATCTCACTCCTACGTTTCTCAAGTCTGATGAACTGGATCATGCTCTTCTCTACGTCCTATGCCACTTGATCTCAATTCTCTTTCAAGATGCATCTCAACCGCGTTGAGAGAGCACTGCCAGATGGCACCTGCGACGCGGGAAAAGTTTTTTACAATTGTCAGGTCAACAGCTTCAGAGGGTGCTGTTCCGTGGATCCTTGTGCATTACCGGCTTGCCCAGATGCGAGTTCTTCGACGACAGCGGCAATCTCAAAGACCACGAGTCAACCGACTACGAGACAGACCCTGATATCAATACCGAATTCACTTCTGACTTCGGCACCTGCGACAACTACAAATCGACCAACGTCAATCATCGTTGATATTGCAGTCACGTCTTCTACTCCAACATATACGGAAACAGAAGCACAAACACAAACAGCGAGTTCAACTTCGCCTTCAACGCCCAGCTCATCTCGCTCTGGTGTACCAAACACGCCGATAATCGCCGGAACAATCAGTGGTGTTGTTTTCCTTTCAATTTTGTCTGTGCTCATTTGGTTCTGCTTGCGCCGAAGGAAACAAAAACAAGAAACCCGAAATTCCATCGCCAAATATGGTCTACCAACCAAAGAATTCGTTCTCGATCGACCAACACCTTCAGAAAGCTCACGAGTCGGCGGTGATGTATTCTTACCATTTGGAGGTAAATCCCCGAACGATCTCCTCTGCATGAAATATCTGACACAAGTACTGTGTTAGGTCGCTACGACCAACCCCGCCTCACATCAGCCACTCAGACCCCTCCACCAAGAAGTACTCAATCCACCCCCATTCAAGCCCCCACGTCTTCACGAGAAATCTACCCCGCCGCAGCAGCTGGCTATGGATCTGGAAATCCGGACCCAACAACCCCAGTTACCGACAGAGCTCTTCCAGATCCAGAGAAGTCTACTCTTACGCCCCCACCAGTTCACGAACACCCGTTCTTTCACCCTCTCCCGGGTCAATCGGCTGAAATACCAACTTACCACCCTGGTACGCCGGTACACACAAATCTCACACCAATTGCGCCTCAAAAGTCAACAATGAGATCGCACCCAACATATCACATTTCACAATTAAGTACGCACCCCGCCTTCCGAGCATCGAAACCACCATCTCCACCACGAGAGAGTGGGTTCCCACGACGGACATCAGAGGTCAGACAATACCGCTCCTTGAGCCCCATACAAAGCAATCCACGGCAACAGCCTCCTCAGAATCACAACCCAACTCAAGTCTACAAACCGACACATGAGAACCAAAATCAGAACCATAATCAGCAATCCTGGCAACACAGCGAACTGAGTGCAGCAACAGCCACATCTCCCATCATCGGCCGCTCAGAGCTGGAAGCCGATGTTCCATCCACATACCTCACACCCGCAACCACATACAATTCGCCTTCTGACTTCGACTACACAAACAAATGGACGGATCGTCGGTCTCAAATTACGCCTATCTCGAGGGGGAACACGGATTCGAGTAAATACTCCATTCCAATAGGCTTGGGAGTTGATGCGATGTCACAATCTTATCACTCGCAAGGGAATGGGAATGAAATTCAAAGTTCACATCCAAATCCCAACTCTCGTCCTCAGCACCACCACGAACTCGAAACTCCCTCTCCTGCTCCAGCTACCAATCAAACCCGCATCCCATCCCTCTCCATCACTACCTCGACCTCTAACTCAGTACAAATGCTCGGTCCCCTCGGTCCAAACCTCAATTCACCCCGCGACGGAGGCCACATCATGAGCTGGGCCGATAGCTACAGCAACTCCCGCTCATCCAACCCAAACCTCAATCTCAACCCATCCTCCACCCACACAACCTCCCGCTCTCAATCCCACCCACAACTCCGCACCGGAGGCGGAAACGCAGGCTCCACCAGCTTCGAGAAAGAAGTCGCAGTCGTAAGTCCCATGACGCCCGAGCGCTGGAGTGGCGCCACAGCCATCGGAATGCAATCACCTGTTGATGGTGGGAGTAATAATGGGACGGGTAGAGCTTTTCGTGGGGGAGAGACGCCACTTAGTGCTGAGTCTGGGAGTGCGTGTTGTAGTGCTGGGCTTAGTCCTGAGGCTGGGACGGGCACGTGGGGAAGTTGGAGTGGGCGGTGAGGAGGGAGGAGTGATGGATGCGTCAAGCCGCCCTTGAACTTGTACGCTTTTTGCTTTTACACTTGTTGCCTGGGTGGAGTGTCTGGGTGACTTGTTTGCATTGGATGCTGTGGCAAGAGAGCAAGCAGGCGGCGAAAAGAAAAGAAAAGAAAAGAATGTTTAAGTTGTAATGATAAGCCGTGTTTATTGTACAGTACTTACATTAGCGAGGCGTTCTGGGGTTCTAGCAATGGAAAGGTATTTCCATAACGTTGCATTGCGGGCATGGTCTGGCATTATTGTTTGACTTCCAAGACGGCGTCGGTTGGCTCTGGTAGTTAATTGAACGATACAGTGTCTATAGAAATTCGCGCGAACGAACAAAAAAAAAGACTTGCAGCCTCACATACGGTTTTTGATTAAGTCGTTCCTTGTTCATTAAGTTCTACGGCTGAGAGGTGAAGTGGATCTGGCATGCATCCCCATTTCAGATAATCTTCCTACCTGTCTATCTACTGTCAATCTGTTCCTGTCCCTGTAACTCACCGAATCAAGAACGCAGTCAGCCATCCTCCGCTCGAAATTTCCTCGATTTTGCTATATATTCGCTCGGATTTCCTGCCCATTTCATCCACCAATCTACCAGAAAAGAAAGACACATGGGGCAATCTCGAGAAAAATGAATCCCAGTGCGCCAGTTGTGTAGAAGAATCCATTCCCTTTCATACACGCCTCGCAATGCCTGCCAGAATCAAATGATTCCTACCACAAGATGCCCATTCTACCTCAACGCCAATATTTTTTCTTGTTTTGGTGTTCTTCGACTTGCTGTGCGTGAACAAATAGATCGATTTGGGTGCTGGTCGATGCAGTGCTCAACAAAAGGACCCGTAGAAGCGTATTGCCAAAAAAAAAAGCATCACGCCCACACTAATCGAATCTTCTTATTCGAGGGGTACCTCACATCGATCCTAGCCCGATCTTAGTTTCCGTAGCCCATCAATTTCGTAATCTCATCTAGTAGCTCCTGCAGGTCATCATCACTGATCTTATCCTGGAGACTCGGGATCAGAGTCTTTGCTTCTTCAGCTGTATCGCAGCAGAGAGAACCTGTAAAGAATCAGCCTCATGTATTTCCAAGCTCCACATAACCACCATCCTCCCGTCCTCCTTCGCTTTTGGAACTTCTTAAAAGTATGGATTGTTTGAGACACTGTGTTGGCAGAGCATAGAAAAACGTACCGAGTTGTGCTCGCTCAAACTTCGCCAGCTCCTTGTGAGCAGAGAGGAGACGCTCGACGGCTTCGACGTTCTCTTTCCGCTTGAAGCGCGCAAAGTGGTCAAGGTACTCGGTGGTTTTGGTCAGGATGCTGGGAGGTATTGTTAGCTGCGTTCTATATATGAGACAATCATAGGTCTATGTGTTGAGATCCGGCAGCACCTCTCCCTTAGATGTGTATCTTTCTGCCTTCGACATTGAAACGGTGCCTCCCCCAAGTATGACAACACCCTCGAGTCCAACGCTCCCTCCCACAGCTCATCCCAGCACATGGAAGCTCAAGATCACCCTGTACCTAGTGAAGACCACCGTCTCCTTCTAAGTCCACTCCTCACAATCAATCCCAAGCCTCAGTCCCCCCAAGCAACCTTTCCCTTCCTCTCTTTTCCCCAAACCAACAGCCAGCCTACCAAAATAAAATGGTAAAGAAAAGGATCACCTACGCAGTCTCATTAATGTTCTTCTTGTCCATCCTCCTCTTCGCCACCAGCGCATTAATAACCAGTGCAGCTTCACTATTCGTCAGGGCATCCACATCCTGGAACTCTCCCAGTCTGAGCTCGGCAGCTGCTTCTTCGTCGCCTTGGGGTGGTTCGCGCGAGCGCGAGGTTGCTGGTGGGGCAGCCATTTTTGTGTATCTTGCGTAACGTTGGGTGGGTAAGGGGAGAAGGAGTGTCCTTTGAGCTTGGAGGTCGAGGCTGGGAGTGGAGGGGTCCGAAGGGTTGACGTATGGAGGGAGGGGTGTGCTCAGGTAGTAGACGATAGCTTGTCTCGAGGAACACCGCAGCTAGGTGTATTGAGCGCAGTCAAACCCTTATCACAGTCGTGTCGTGGTGGTGTTGCGTACAAGTAGTGGGGTTGGATGTCGCGTGAAAGAAGGTCGAGGTTCAAGAACCCTCCAGAAAATGAAGCGCAAGGCGGCGAGACCAGAGCAAATCCGGGGAAGTTTGCCGAGCCTCGAGCCTCGTCAACCGCATTCAAGGTCACATTTGACGACTTCACTATTTACGCCAACTCCACTTACAAGTCAACACTCTACAGGGAGGTGATAGACTCTTACTTACATTGTTCTTGCAGGACAGGTACAGCTTCTGCGGTTGTCAATTTAGTGCGCAAATCAGTGGGTTGGGAACGAAGGAGTTCTTGTTGAAGGTGCTATCAGCAGATAGAACAATGTACGTATCTCTACTCCATCTTCCGCAATTTGTCTCTACGGCGAAAATATCAAGCTGTATACTGATTCAAGTCACTACATAGGGTCGTATACGCCTTAATCATAATCAACAAAGCCGGCGGGCTGATCTACCAGCGAGACTTTGCCCAAGGTCTCAACAAGCTCAATATCAACGATTACCTCGTGCTGGCCGGTACATTTCATGGGTACGTCGTCCCCTTTCTTCTTTCTCTGTCCTTTCAAACACATGTTCTTCCCTTTCCACTCCAGGAACTAATCACTTCCCTCCACAGAGTCCACGCAATAACCACCCGTCTCTACCCCCTCTCGCACACCTCTCAATCCACAAACCCCTCCTCCCAAACCACTAGTATCCCCACAACCCGCCCCGACGCCCCCTCCGGCATCGAAGTGCTTGAAACGGAAAACTTTCGGCTACAATGCTTCTCAACGCTGACCGGCACAAAATTCCTGCTGTTTACGGAGCCACAGCAGCCGAACGTGGATAAGATTGTGGGGAAGATATATGAGCTGTATGCGGACTATGTGATGAAGAATCCGTTTTATCAGTTGGAGATGCCGGTTAGGTGTGAGGCGTGGGAGAGGAGGTTGGTGGGGTATGTGCGGCCGTTGAATTCTAGGTGAGGTGGGGGAAATGAGTATCAGTCTTGTTGAGTGGCTGTTTGCGGAAAGGATAAAGAAGGAAAGAGTAGCTTTATCTTATCGGGTCCAGAGATCATACAGACGTGGAGGAAGGCCAAGTTGGGTGTGGATGCTTACTAGGACCACGGACAGAAGTGACATGGTGGCTAGGGAAGCTGGAGGCATTGGGGTGATTGCGGAATATCATGCCCCAAATTAAACTTGCAGGCACGACTTCGATCAGAGAAGAACATGGCACTGCGGATACCCTGATTAGACACTTAGAGGCGGTAAGAGATTCAAGGCGTAGAAATCTTCACCCATGGGTGATATCTAGTGTACAATCATACAATCCCAACGCCGTCAGCAATGCATATTCCCATGCAAATCCTACGCCGTATCCATTTTATCCCCATCATCTTTCTTATCATCCTTCCCGCTTCCCTCTCCCAACAACGGCGCCTTCTCCCCCGCCTCATCTTCCTCCTTGATCCCCTCCAGCTTCGCCTTATCCTTAGCCTCCTGCTCCGCAAGCTCCCGGTTTTGCTTATCCTGTCTCGCTTTCTCCTCTTCCATGCTCATTCTCAAAGCCAGTGCCAACTCAGGGTCCATACTTGGATCAACACCAAACTCAAAGTTGTCCGCTGCTCCAGCTCCCTCTCCTCCACCGCCACCAGATGCGCCGTCACCATTCAAGATTGGGCTTGTGACAAGCTGGTCGCTCAACAGGCCGGGCCCGGGGTGAATGATGGCGATGTGAGATCCCTCGCTGCCCTTGACGTTGTCATTGAAGGCAGTGAGTTTCTTGGTGGTCTCGTCGTCCAGCTCGCCGAAAGCTATGAAGTCTATTGAGACGCCGTTTTTCTTCATCTTCTTGGCCAGCTTGGTGAGGGATTTCTCGTCGTCGGGGATGGAAGAGCAGGTGAAAACTATGATGCGTTGACGTTGGGATTTGTTTTGACGGTGCTTGAGTGCGAGCTATGTTTGTCAGCTTGGGTTCTGGCAGGTAATAAAAGCACAGGAAACGCAGCATGCGCAGAGCAGAGAAAGAGCAGGTTTACATACACCGGCGATCTGAATGCCCGTTGCCAAATGGCTTCCTCCTCGAATCTTGCTCTTCGTGCGATGTAAGCCCTCCAAGATCTTGCCATGATCCGTTGTTAATGTGACGAGAACCTCTGGTCCTTTGCCTCCCATACTCATCAAACCGACAGATGACTCGGGGTTGGCTTGTGTGATGGCGGAGAAGATGAGGGAGACGGCGTCGGCTTGTGCTTCGTATCTTGTTGGAGTGTAATCGCCATTTCGACTGCTTTCGCTGTTGTCCACCACTACCATTACTGCTTCGAGGACCATCTTGCTATTGTGCCTCTGTCGAGGACTTCGAACTGGAGATGAATATGTTGAATGCGGGAGGAGTTTTGTGTGTTTGTTGCAGAGTTTGTGGTTGTGAGAATCAGATTGAAGGTCTGGTGTCGATACAATCGATGGATGCTGCTCAAGGTAGCTGCGGCTGCGCGTACCTTGGCGATCCCACCCTTGCAATTTTAGCGTTAATCCAGCCCTAGGGCCGAACTGAAGCGATGCGGCTCGCGGTGGGTTTGTTTACCTTCAACATCAAACCAAAGAACATCCAAATTCACGATCAGGATTAGTTCATTGTCACAACACGCTCAACACATCTTGCAATTGCATTAGACTTGCTTTGCCGAATTCAGGCATACAAACATCTAAATTCAAATCCACAACCTTCAAAAATGGCTCCGACGCGCTCCAAGAAACGCAAGTCCACTGAATCAACAAGCTCTGTAGATGTCCAGAGCTTCCCAGCTCCACCACAAATGATACCCACGAAGACGCACAGTCCAACCAGAACGCCCACAAACAGAAGTCCGATCAAGAAGCAGAAGATGGGGATCACACTGGCGCAAAAGCAAGCTCTGATCGACAATCTGCAGCTCGAGAGTAAGACCACAAACACCCTACTGTTTACACGTCTGCTAACTAAGTTCCAACAGTCACGGAACGCGCCAGAAAACTACGAGCACAATACAATCTACAAGCACAAGGATTAAGAACGCGTATTGAGATTAGAGTCAACCGTATCCCAATGGCATTACGAAGAGCGAAGATGGGGGATTTACATGCGAAATACAGCGAGCCATCCAGACCAGCAGCTACAGCTTCACGCACAGAAATGATTAATTCGCCACGAAAGAACCTGCTACAGGCAGAACAGAGCAACTCACGCGGCAGTCCATCCCCACAACGCGCTCCAAAACGAATGAGGTATGCCACAAAACCCACATCAGCCAGAGAAATAGACATGCTAACCATCCCCAGCGACGACATTTCCGTCGACAAAGAAAACGAAGATATCGAGAACCCCAAGAAACGAATCCGCGGTGCGCCCATTCCCCCAGCGCGCACCACATCCCGCCCAGGCGCCAGAATTCAACCCTCTCAAGTTCTCTCGCCCCGCTCAGCCAACTCCCGCACCCTCCCACGTTCTCCCATCCGCCCCGCCTCACCCACCAAATTCCTCCTCGCCCGCCCCATCTCACCACTCAAGCCGACAGCTCCAGTGCCCTCTGGCGGCGCAGCAGGAATCCTCACAAACATGGTCGAGAAAGCGAAATCGTCGCGCGCAGCAGCAGGGGCAGCGAGGAAAGTTACTGCTGAGAAAGCCGCGCCAGCAACTGTTGGAGCAGGACGAGGAAGACGAGCAGCTCCTTCTGCGGCGGCGCCGACTACTGGGAGAGGGAGGGCGAGTACGATTAGTGAGAGTAGTGAGTCGAGTAGTGCGACGACGATTGTGAGGAAGCCGGTTGCTGCAGCGAAGAAGGTGCCTGTTAAGAAGACGGTTATGAGTACGATTAAGGGGATGGGGAGTCAGAAGAAGATGCCGGCTGCTAGTAAGGCATCTGCGGCGCCGACTACTGCTGGTGGGAGGGTACTGAGGAAGAGGAATTAAGTGAAGGGATTATGAGTATTTGTTGATACAGGGGAGAGGGAGTCTTTGGAGAAGAGGAAGGAGTCCTTATTTTGGTCTTGTGGTTTTTTCTGATGTACTGTTTGGGTTTTGTAACTTAGCGTTTGGCGTCACGGTTATCATCATTTATGTTCTGGAAAAGAGGATTCAATGCAGCAAGATGAGATACAATGCCAGAGAATTCTCAATCCATGAATATCATTTCAGTTCATTTCTCATGTCTCTCATCCGCACCGTCAGGTGCCTCGAAATTCATATGCCTCCCCGCCCCTCCCATCTTCCCCCAGCGAATCTAAATACAAAACCAACCCCTTTCTATCCAGCCGGCGCCCCTGCTCCAGCTTTCTTCTTCTTATCTTCCACCAATTCGATATTGTCCTCTGGTATAACAGGGTACTTCTCTAGCAGGAACTCCTCAATCTCCTCGCTGACATCTCCTTGTACCACGATCTCCTCTCCTCCACTTGGTACTTTCGTCACAGATGATCCTGTAGCAAATTTTTTGCCGAGATCTTTGGCAACTTTCTTGTTTTCGAGACTGAAAGCTTCGAGTCCGGTTACGGTGGTGACGAATTTACGCTGGTAGGGTTAGTGAAGAGGTCCGAGGAGAGTGGGAATAGGTGGGCGAATTGTAGTCCTGCGTCGAATCTGCTACCATAACTCCTGGAATGTGACAAGGAGCTAAGAAGCGATATCACAGCCACTACAGAGGAAACCTCCATGGCATTTGAGGGTTTTGATAGCAACGATGAAATAATGAACCCACCTTATTCCTCTCCACACGCTTGATGATAACTTTCGAGCTCTTGATCGTAGCGGCTTGTTTCGCCTCTGCTGCTTCGGCCTTCAATGCTTTCTTATGTGCGTCTTTCTCTGCTCGCTTTTGTGCGTCGACTGAGAGCGAGGATGTCGCTGCTGCTAGGGCGTCTGTGGAGTGGTTTGTTAGCTACTGCTTCCATTTGATTGAAAGGACTCTGTGACAGAGCAGATTGGAATTGAGGTCAGGAGACGAAGAATAAGAAAGAAGGGGATATACCTTCAGACCATAGTCGCTCGTACAGATTTTCATTATTCTTTTGTAGCCACTCCTGGCATTTCTTCACTGTGCCGCCAAATTCGCAGTACTACTTCCTCGTCTCGTGAGCTTGAATTTCTTTTTCCGCGACATATCAATCGCTCCATAACCTGCCCGCAGATCGTATTCGTAGATTTGAAAAGGGGACGTACCTCTGGTGGTAACGAGCAGACTGTTGCCACACCAGCAGATTAGCTATTGTTTCTCGGAGGGGCAAATGGAGGGGTAATTCTCTCAGGAAAGAATTGGACATACCCCCGCAGTAAATTACCGAGCGAGACTGTGGCACGAAATCTTGATCTGCGTCTGCCATTGTGTATGTGATTGTTACTCGTATTGGGTGGGAGTAAGGTTGTTGATGCGGTATGGTATGAAGAAGACGAGCTTGTCCACGAGGATCAGAGGAGGGGAAAAGATGGCGGGGCAATTTGGTGGGATGATGGCGCTAGCGGCCGCGTGTCGAGTCTCCCGAGGACCCTTCCGGGTCGAGTTTAACAACTTAACACTCCTTCTCTCGAAAAGTCAATAGCTTCATTATCCTGCCGCATACCTCTGTTACATGTCTTGTCATATCCTCGGCACAAGGAAGCGTCACTTGAAGGCTGGATAACTCTTTGAACTAGGCGAGTACGAAGCTCATAAACGTCTTGACGAACTGGCTGGCTCGGTCAAGCATTGAAGAATATGTCAAACGCCAATAACATTATCTCCTATCTTTTTCTTCTTTTGGTGGATTAAGCCTAGGTTTGAATCTAATATTTCTTGGTCAATTGGTGGTGACTGGAAAATAGCATTGTCAACAGTGAGAGTAAGTGAGTGAAGTTGAAAGCTGGTCTAGTATCCACAATGAATATTCTACAAATTCTCTCCATGTTCTTTATCCGTCCCTCTTACAACTGTCTCTCTAATCTCGTTTGGCTTTTATTTCAAAAAGCTTTGTTGGTGCTGGAAGGTAATGCTCGTCAAATCCTCCTAGCTTTTATATTACTGAAGTTTTCGTAGCTTCATGGCAATGGTTGACTCAATGCTCACATATAATACTGCTTGCTCTTATCTCTTTTAAATGGCGGCATGGCCGGACTGCAGTATACTGTAATATACCTAAGTCAAATCATACGGAATAAGCTCCACGTATTCACTCAAAGTCTCCTCCCCAAGCCCTGCCTCACCCACAAATGCTCTTTGCATTCGCTTAAACCGTGCATGTAACTTCATTCCGTTTGCGTTGCCCGAATTTTCTCCTCTCTCACCATCTATCTCTTCCTCCACCCCATATTCCTTTCGCAACCTGTTCAATGCCTCTGCTCTGGTTGCTGTAATCTCACTGATCATCTTTCCTGGAACAGGGAGCGACATCAGCCTCTGGGTCTCCTTTGGATCAATTACCCATTGCAACTTTCTCCTCCTCAGCACCTTCAGCTCATCTTCAATTATCCTCCCATGCCCAATATGATTAACCTGACCCTTGGGCAAATACTTCACTGGTCCCGAAGCAGCACTCCTCGCCTGCACAAGTCTCAGCACCGTCTTCCCAGTCGGTATCTCCGGCTCTAGGATATCTTTGTCATCAATCCAATGAAACAGCAAACTCCCCGTCCCCAAATGAGCTCCCCAAGGATTCATCTCAATAAGCTTGACTTGAAATCCCGGCTTCCCAACATCAGCATACAGGTCCAAAATCGTACTTTCAAATTCAAAATCCCCTCCAATCTCCTCCCACAACCTCCTCGCCTGAATGACTAACTCTCTCAACGCACTATCCTTCACGCCCGCATGATGATTCTGATAGAATCTCGTCTGACTAATCGCCACAATCTCGCCTTTGTAGACAAAGCACCGCCACTCGCTCAATTTATCCAACCCGGCAAAGTACGGAAAGAAAAATATCTTGTGATCCACCACATCACTCTCAGCTTGCAAATCCAGCAAACTGTGCACCGCCCGCTTTGAAGAAAGGATCTTGACCAACGCATCATAAATCGTATAAAGCGGTTTCTGATTTCCATCGTCCGCATCCTTCAACGAACAATTACTAATTCTCACAAAGAACCCCTCTTTTGGAACGTCTCCCAACTCTCCTCCAAGCTCTCCAGCCACCCTCTCCATCTGCTCCTTAACCAGCTCAATCCTGTCTTTAGCACCATACCTCGATATTGCAGCAGCCCAAAGCAATGTTTTTAACTGCGCAGCCGAGAAATTCAAGACGATGAGTGGACGTCGAAGCATGTGATTCATTACAGCAGGTGGCGAGATCCAGCGCGCCATATTGAATGGTCGGATTTCCGAGGCGCGTCGATGGAAGTATAGAGGTGTGAGGAAACCCGTTTCTGCCAGCCATGGAGCGAGAGAGTGGTGGTTGTAGGCGTTTATTCGGTCATTTGGGTGAGTACGGAGGGGTCTGCGACCGATTAGGATGGTGTCTGATATCATTTTGTGGGAGAGGAAGTCTGCATAGGGTATTTGGTGGATGGTGTGGTCGGTTTGGAAGCTCGGCAAAGATATATATTGAGAGGAAGGGAAAATCAAGGTCGGGAACACGTTGTCGAGTAGGTGAGGTGAGATGAGAAGCTAGGTCGTTATATCTCCCCCAGTGACTCATCCGGAGAACACAAGCTGCCAACTTCCCAACTCGAGTTTGGCAAGCTCAGCCCTGGCCGGGAGATGGAGATTCCAATGACCGAATAATTCATCAATTACTATCCAACACAAGTTTAAATTGTTTCACTTTCATATCAAAACCACCTATGGCAGGAAAGGTTTTTGTTTTCTTTCATAGCCTAAGCGAGGCGCTAAAAAGCCGTCCGCATTCTCGTGTATCAACCGACGGGAAGTGCAGCTCAGGTGCTGGCGAAAAACCAACAGACTTTGACGATATGAAGAGTAGATCAGATTATCTGTTCACTGCCGTTGATGCCATGCATATGAACCCTCGGGTTCTCCTTGCAGGTATTTGTTCTCTCCACGACTTGGTCACAACTCCATTCCACCACATCAGATCAAAGGCGTGCATCTCATGTCAGTACAACCTCGCAACATTTCTGTCTTTCTCGACCACTTGAGAATGAGACTGTGAATGTGAATATCACAGGGCCAAGTTCATATGCCCATATGACGGCCTGATTCTCACAACAGCTACGTGCCATATCGGTATGTTGAGGAAATGGCACCACTACATTTGGTCTGGTGAGAAAGTGCGTCACTTGATATGTGTAAAGAAACAGCAGAGTCTTGTTCCGCTAAGTTACGTTGTTATAACAATCTGTGATTAAACATAATATGCTGGAAACCGACCCTCTGGCGAGGTTGTCATTGCCTAAGAAGATAATAGAAACGGTCAAGCAAAATTGTTAGGTCACAGAAGTTTTATCACGCATTTTATTTACGCTGGAAGGTGTGTTCACATAACGATTTGAGTCAAAAAGACTTGATTGTTGATTACCCCTCGGCTGAGGATGACAGGTAGGGTGACAGACTAGAGTTCCAAGTGGTGACTTTGAAAACGCAATGAATTTCTGCAACCGCCTCATAGTTCTTCATTACTCCGAGTTTTAGACTTCCCTAGTATGGAAAACATCAAATTTCAGATAGAATTATCTTCAGAGAAGAAAACTCTCAACGGAATCAATTAGAAACGATGACTAGGATCTGATCCCTATCACTCCCCTATCACGTCCACCCTTTCCTAAATCTCTTCCTCAGCATCTCTTTCCACTCATCCTCATCCTCAGCACAAATCTCCGCCGGCTTATTCATCTGCACCAACAACCTCTCATTCCCCACAGCCTCATACTCATCATCCTCCACCACCTTCCTCGCCTTGAGAATCTGCTCTCTCTGCTCCATGAGCCACGGATGCACCGCCGTGACATAATCGTGCACCGTCACATACCGCCCATTGGAAGCAGTCACAACCAGCGGGAGGTCAAACTCAGGCGGCTCCCCCTCCGGTTCGTCATCATCCTCATCGTAACCCTCCTGGTTGCCGGTCCACCAGTTATCGCGCCAGTCCCTCAGGTTGGTTTCCTTGACTTGTAAAGAGGAGACGGGGGGCTCGGTGAGGGGAGATTCGGAAATGGGGTGCCAGGTGGTGCCGGCGAGGGTTTGGCGGAAGTAGGCTTCGCGTGGGGCGTCAGGGTTGAGGTCTAGAGGCATGACGGTGATGGATGTGGAGAGGGGACCTTGGAGAGTCCAGTAGAGGCGTTTGGCGGGCTGGGATAGCCATATTATTGGCGCAAGAGGTAATTCTGGGATTGGTTCAGGAGGTGTGTTGTGGGGATTGAATAGAGACATTGTGACGAGGCAATGGTATTTTGGTGGACGGTGGAGGGTCAGAGGACAAAGAGAAGAGAAGTGCATCATGGGGGATATGGAGAGGTTAAATGTCTTTGTTGCTGACGCCCGGGTAATTGAGTCCATGAAATGTTCCTATCGCTTCCCATTTGATTGGCGCAGGCAAATTGTTGGAAATTCATCTACCTATCACATCTCATGGCACATATAATAGAGCCTGGAATATTATGTCCAGAACCGGGGTGAATGATGACAGGAACAGTTGCCTTTTTTCGTTTGAGGTAAAGCGTCTCCTTCTCCTGAAGTGTGCACTATTCTGCTTTGGACAATAATTGGTCGACTTCTATCTAACTGATGCCAGTGCCTGACGTAGAATTATAACTCCACCTCCCACCAACGAAGCACACCCTCGTCAACGCGTATTTCTCCAAGACGCAATTGCAGAAGCCCATCATCTACAAGGAAGCCGGATCTCGCACCAATTTGACAATTATATTTGTCGGCTTCATCCCACTCGCAAGATATTCCGGTGTCTTATACCCCGGATCGGTCAAATCAACTGTAACTCCCATTCTGAGAAGATCTTTAGTATGTATAATTGTCACGATCGTGCGATAATTTCTCATATACAGTACGGAAAATCAACTTACTGTCCTCCCTTTTTTCCACATGAGCCCAACAAACTCGCAGCCAGCTGTGCAGGCGTCGCTTCCGCACCACCATCAATCGTACGCGCCAGATCCGTGTATGTCACACCGGAATTTGTGCGGGGGTTGATATGTTTCGCCAGGGCCAAAACGGTGCCTGCTCCCGCCAGGGGCAGTGTCCACTCGCTGCAGTCGAACTCGGATGGCATGTGCCAGATTGGGTTGTCGTTGTTGTCTGCCTGGTAGCGGAGGAAGGCGGCTGCGTAGGCGATGTCCTCTGGGTCGATCTCCTGGGCGTAGCAGACCTGAACAGCGGTCTCGCCGCAAGCGCGCTTGGCTAGTAGGGAGAGGGGCACTGCTTGGTCGCGGTGGAAGGGGGATGTTCTGGGAAGACGGGCAGCTGTGGCGAGGTTGAGGAGGACAAGGGGAAGAATGTTGGAGAGATACATGGTGAGTGTAGATTGTGCTGGGATTTAGCGTGTTAATTAAATCCAAGGTATAGCAACAAGACGGGAAGAAGCTTTTGTTGTTAGGCAATTCTGTAGAGCATGGCGGAGCTTGCTTTAAGTAATTTCCAGACATTTGAAGGAATTCCCCCATGCTGTCACGATGTACTTTCTGTTTACCCTATAACCGACTCGAGCTTCAACGCCGAAAGTACTCTGACCTGCAGTGAAATCTCTCCACGCGAGCCATCGAATGAGAAAAAGAAAGCAATTTACACACTCCGACTTGGCCTCGGCATGACTGCAGAAAGCTTTTATTTACCTTGGCGAGCAGCTGCCTCGTCAATAACATAAGCACTAAGGTGTCAACAATATCAGAATTCTCATTCCAAGTCCTGCACAGATTTGCCGGCATGGACAGCAAGACCCTGCCTCACAATGCACTGCAGCTGTTGAACTCAGCTCTAGCACGCACTTTGTTGGTGATAAGGTTGCATTAGGCGTATCCGGTGGGCTGATGTCTGTCTCTGTTCATGTCAAGGTTGTCAGGATTACTGTGGGTCCCACTTGCGGATCAACAGTTGTTCCCGAATAATACCAACCGCTTAAGCCCCAGCACATTATTGGCATTTAGATATACCTCTTTTTTCCAGCTAAAATAGTCATTTTCATCATCAAGACAGTGGTAGAAAGCACATAAGCAGATCCTACAGATCTGGGAGTTCTTGAAGGAGTCCATAGATGTCAACAAATATGAGCATTTTCCCCGTCAAATGCGGCTCTCGCCATAGCGAGAATTAGCCGACGCACGATCCAGGGGTAATTTTGACGACAGTCCGGCTAAAACCTCGGTCCGCCATCCCTTTGGTCGCGTCGCCTCGGGTTGGTGAGAGAGGGCCACTCCCGCTAGTAGCATCTGGAGAGCACTCGGATGCACGACAAATCAGACTTGCAACGACGTCTCTATTTAACCATGACTGTGAGTAACCTCGCATATTGTAGCAGTCGCCTGTACACCAATATCGATCCAGGAATTGTGTGACGGTGTTACCAAGGTACCTAAGACAAGGATCAATTCATCCGGTAACAAATTGCGGAAATGATCGCAACCACATTCAACCACAGCTTGCGTGCATACGCGACATCTACGTTCAACACAAGTCACAGGATACACGGTCTCTTGAGTTACAGCCAATTCTTTGCACTATGAACTTGGCGTTCGCATTCGCTCTCCGACATTTGTAATCGCAGTGCTTCTGATCCCTCACCCTGCCGAAAAAAACCAAGTCTCCACCGCACCTAACTGTCATTCAATTTGGGTTTACCATTATTCCTTCCCCTTACTTGTCGATGTCTGCGTACAATTCCCAGATTGGCAATTCGCCGAGCCGCAGAACTTCTCACCGGTGCCACATTTACCCACATCCAGGCTACAGCAGTCTCCCCACTTGCCCGCACACAGCAAGTTGCCGTGCTGGTAGCCACAGTTGCCATCAGTCGTGTAGATGGTGTGTCCGGCGCACTGGCCCTCCCAACAGATGCCATTGGAGCAGTCATTACTGTGTCGGTGTCAGTCTGTAGGATATGAGAAGCTGGGGGAGAAAAGGGACATACTCGGTCTTCCCGCACTTCCAAGTCCCGGCATTGCAGCACTGGCCAAAATTCGATCCGATACAAGTTGCGTTCTTATGGCTGGGGCCGCAAAATCCATCTGTGGAGCGGAGAGGCTCTATGACTGTATTATCAAACGGAAACATCAGCATGGCCGCTTCACTTTCCAACACTAGTCTCGCCAAAGAAACAATGGTATCAACTCACACCCATCAACACAATACTCTGTATTAGGCTTGATTGCCTTGCAGTCAGGAGCCAGCGTTGGATTCATCATCCAGAACTTTTCCAGTGTAATGCCGTGGTCGTCCGCCAGCTGGCTGCAAGTCCAGTAGCCGACGTTGTCGTATGTTTGCGTCCAGCTGCGGCAGTTGACATCGCCAGGCTCAGTGTTTGCTGCGCGCTGGTAGGCATTCACGGCTGCGCGAAGAGGGGGCGTTGCGGCCATGGCAGCGGCGCCACCCACCCTCGCGGAGTTCCATGACCAAGTCCACGCAACGCAATCGTCTGCGGAGACGGTGTGAAGGAGAGCTATGAGGAAGACTCCCGTGAGAGCAAGAGGGGAGGAAGAATGAAGAAATGTCATGATCGCTGTTGAAAGATATGGAGCTTGGTGGAGAGTTGAGGGACGATGCTTGGTGTTGAATGGAGTTCAATCCAGTCTGAACTTGGACTCGAGTATCATGGAAGGAGTGTTGAAAATGGAAACAGGTGGTGCTTCAGGAGATTCAAGAACGTCATGAAAGTCGAATGAGCTTATTGCGAACCTGTGGGGGATGCATCATGGTTGGAAAATAGCAGTGCCCATCCGAGTCCCCTGGCATGATCTCAACATCGGACGAACTTTCTCAATTTTTCAACATCTTGGCAAGAGTCAAGAAGCCGCTGATTGAAAATTGTGGTAAAGACTGGAGGGGTGCCCTTGTCAAGTAAGCAATATTCCGTGCTGACCTCCAGTGACTCTCCATTTCTGAACCGCATGTCCTTCTTGAACACGAAGGGATGTTTTCAACTGGCGAGAGTATAAGGAAGCTTGTTGAAAATATATTAGGGTTATTCTCACAACAGGCATCGTCGAAGGTATACCACAACAGACAACCTTGGCGTAAGCGGCCCTCAACTCGTTTAACCTCAACCTTCTTGAATCGGATATCCGACAACATTAACCGGATATTGCAATAGAAAGGCTTGACATCCGCGCCGTGCGCGGGTAAGGCTGAGTACAGGAACCGGCAAGGTTGATATGCAGGAGATTCTCTTCACGACAAGCATCTTCGAGGCAAACCAAGCCAGATGACCTAGGCGAAAGCGGATCTCAACTCGATCAAGACCACTCTGCTTACACTTGATATTCGACAGCATCAGCCTGTCGTTGCAATAGAACGGAATGTCATCCGCCGTACGCGGTGTGAATACCGACGGCATGAGATACCCATGAGTCTTTTCGAAGGAATGCAGGACATAGCGCGACCCTTGCAGATCATGGTAATATCTTCAATATTTGCGATTGGGGGTCGAACGTCTTCCCGTTTTTGAGCTTACAGCTTCTCGGCTGAATTCGATTTAATCAGCTGTTGACACCTCAAGCGAGAGTGCAGCACAAAAAGTCATAATCAGCAACTTCCGGTTCACAAGCTTGGTGGTCAGATCTTGAAGTCAAGGCTTGGCTACGCGGGCTGTTCAGAACACCGAGGGTTTGTAATATATTCTTCACTTGTACAAAGGTACAGCTGATGTGTTTTACCCCTGTTTTTCGCAGGGTTGTGCTCTTTCCCGACCCAATTCTGCTACCATAGCGAAAAAAGTTGGGGATAGCTACCCCAGGGTGTTTGTACTTGTTTATTGAATGTAGTACTGCAATTTTTGTGTATTCCTGATATCTGAGGAGCGAGCTATACCATATTGAAGTTTCGAGTTTTGGAGGACCCAGATCGACATGGGGCAAAACATACTAGCTATACCTCCGTACATTCTCTCGTATCTCATATTCTTGGACCTAGTTCTGTAATATATACGCGTTATATATTCATTCACATTTCCCAATTTCCATTTCTAAAAGTGCATTTTTTGGTAACACTTTCTTGGTCCAAATCCAATTGGCCTTTTCAGTTAGCTACTGTGTTTTTACTTTTGTTGAAGCTTTTCTTGCCTCGATAATCGAGGTCTGAAGATTAGTTTCTTCTTTCCCTCGGTCAGTTACGCCGCAGTTACGTGCAGTATTCCAACCTTCCAAACTACCCGGGTTCTGCAGTTCTATTGTGGCAAGCTACAACATAACATGTGAAAAAGACATTGCCAGATACATTACAAAGGCAAGACATCAAGATTTTCAGTATCTGCCATGCGGGATATCGAGATTCATACTAGAAGCAATCTAGATGTATGTCCTCTGATATCCCATCTATCCAGCTTTGTGTTGAATTTAGTACGTTACTTTCAATGCATGGGCTAATCTTTGGGAAGAGCTATGAATTCTCTCAGTCTCTGGCTGTTGCCTCTCCTCGGCCTCATCTCCCTCCTACCACAACAGAAGCAGCCGGCCTTTGCTCACGCACAATACATCCAAGCCGTGACATCGGGATGGGTCCCGGCGCCCACGGGCGGAAGCATCATTCAAGCGAAGCAATGGCGTCCGACAACGAATGACCCGCTTCAGCGCGTTATTGACCTCACGCCAGAGCTGGTGGTGCTCGAGTACAATTGTTTCTACATGAGAGATATTTGCAAGAACGCCGCAAATTGGTACGCAACGCCACGGGGTCAGGCCCGGCCTGTGCCAAATCGGTTTACATATGACTTCATGACGGGAAAAAAATCGACTGCCCGTAATCAGGTAAGCAAATTTTCACAAACAAGAGTCATTTTCTATCTGGCAGCTGTAAGAAATGGGACCCCAGAAGCCAAAAGTTAGCCGAAATGTCCAATCATATCAGCTATGAAGAAGCTCCTTGCTCTTGAAGCTCGCACTTTGAAAGTTTTTCTTGCTAATTCGATTGCCACAGCGGCGGCGGTCAGCTTCGTGCGGCACCTGGAATTCGAATACAAACTGCCCACACTCGGACCAGAACATCATCATGCGGCATGACGGCCCATGGCAGTATAAGGATCTGGAACCAGGGACAACCATTGCCGAGATCAAGGCGAAAAGAGATAATCAGGGTAATAAGATACCTAGCTGGGTGCGGTACACATGCGACGAGTTCCCGCCAGCAACCTGGATCGAGGGCGGTAACGGGTTCAACTCTCCAGAGGCATTGGCGGACCCGTCACAGTCGCGGTGTGCCGCTTTTCGATGTAACGGGCGCTTCTCGCTTTTTGGATTGCGCATCAAAGTCAAGGCGGAGCAGAACTGGCAAGCCACAGCTCACAACGTGCTACAACAAACGATGAAAAGTATGATCAAAGCCCGTCCCACCGCGTTCCCGTGGTATCAAGATAAAGGAAGCGTCGCATTCTTCGAGTTCCGCAGAACCCTCGCCACTACCAATCCTTACCCTGGGGTTGCGGCGACGGTGACGGCGTTTAGTCCCGGATTGGCGAATGTGATCAAGCCGGTCCAGCAGGCCAAGCGAGAAATCCTGGCGGAGAGGAATGCGACATTGAAAGAGGAGCATTTGAGTTCCGAGGAGCTCTTTGATCTGAATCACGAAGCCTTCTGGCGATGGGCCGACAGGGTAACCGTCGAGGAGCTAAAAGCCATGGGACCAGGACTTGTGAGCCAGCAGCATATTCTTGCCAATCATACCGAGGCGGCAGAAATGATGATGCCACAAGTATCTGGCATGAATAACATGCCGTGGATGGACTTTGCTACAGCTGTAAGTTGTTTTCTGATATCGGTTTGTCGTTAAGCCAGAATGTTGTTGGAAAATATACTCGTCGGGGATTTCTTGAGACCAGAGACAGAGACCAACCATGTTCCTGAGTAGACATCAATTACATATACTAAACCGCGCACAGGGTGAAGATGCGGACTGGAATGCCGACGACTACCATGCTCTACCCGACGTCGTTCCTGATGTGCCACGTGCCGATCCAAACAAGCTCAAGCGCGCCTTAGGGAACTCATCACTTCCAAGCAACACAACCTCCACTCCACGATTCAGCAATGCCACCTCAAGTGACCTCGACAAGGCGCGCAAGCTTGTGGAAGAGGCAATCGCCAAAGCAACACGACTCAACGCCGCACGGTATGCCAACCCAGCACGTAATCAGTACAAGCTCATGCCAGGAACGCTGCTTGATCGGCGTGATACGTCGGATTTTGCCGCGCCATCGCCGTTGCTTGATATCACTGACGAGTTGGCTGATGCAGCAGCCTTGGTATCCGAAGCAGAGGTAGTGGGTGGACTGAAAAGTAATGCGAGTGTTGTGAGGAGGCAGGCTGCATCGTCAGGCACGTTCTGGATGGAACATATTGCGCGTAAGTAAAAACAAGTATATTCGCTAATCATACTTTGACTGATTTTCTCTGTGCTCTAGGTATGGGTACGGTATCATTTGGGGATAGTTCTAATTACACTGTATTTCGGAACGTGTTAGACTATGGTGCCAAGGGTGATAACACACAGGTCAGCGCCTCTTCTCTATGCATCAACTCACGGACTTTCTGACTAACCTTTTATACTTAAATAGGACGATACCAAGTATATCAAGCTGGCTATGACAGACGGCAAACGATGCGGCGTGAAGTGTAATGGCTCGACTCTCAAGAACGCCATTGTTTACTTCCCTCCCGGCACCTACCGAATCTCCTCCACCATCCCCATGCCATTCGGCACGCAAGTAATTGGTGATGTACGTTCCTTTTCTCTACAATTTACCTTAGCATTGTGTTGTTATGCTGAGAGACTCAATGCGATAGGCTAATAACCCACCTACCCTCGCCGCTACAAGCACATTCCTCGGGCTCGGTGTCCTCTCATCTGATGAGTACACTGGAGGAGGGGTCGGCACCGACGGTCAGGACCAGAGTTACTATGTCAATACGGCCAATTTCTACCGACAATTACGCAATATCAAAATCGACATCACAAAGACGAGGGCATCGCAGGGTGTTGCGGGTTTGCATTGGCAGGTGGCGCAGGTTAGTAAATTTCCGACCAGTAATCTCATGACTGAACTGCCTCTTTCAACCTCTCACTTAATCGTTTCCCCAATATTTCAGTAGCTCTGCTGATCGAATTAACCATTTTCGTAGGCCACCAGTTTACAAAATGTCGAGATTATCGCAACATCCGGGACAAAAATGCGTGGCATCTTTGCTGAGAATGGCAGCGGTGGTTCAATTACTGACGTTACGTTCCGTGGAGGTGGATTCGGGATGTATGCCGGCAGCCAGCAATTCACAGCGCAGCGCCTGACTTTTATTGGATGTGATACGGGTGTACAGGTGATTTGGGATTGGGGTTGGGTAAGTTTTCTTGACTTTCCTTTCTTGCTTTCGTGGTGTCGGTGCAGCGGCTGATGGAAAATTTCCATGATGTAGATTTGGAAGTCCGTTACTATGACAAACGTTGGAGTGGGTTTCCGCCTGCTGCAGGAAACCACTGCGGCTACAGCTAAGCGGCAGACATCTGGTGGTAACGGTAATATTGCCTCAGTCTCAGTTGTCGACTCAACTTTCAACAGTAAGTTTATTCTCCATGAAAAAAAATCGTTTCATAGATTGATCCTCGAACATGATTCAAATTTCGCAGAAAGTTGAATACACATGCTAAAAGCGCTCCACAGATGTTAACACCGCCGTGCTCATCGCTCCACGACAAGACAAAGTCGGCTCGGGAAGCACAGGGGTTATCATGGACAACGTAGCTGTCTCAGGTGTTTCCAAGGTCGTAGCAGATACAAGCGGTGCTGTCCTCCTCGCAACCCCGGCTTCGGGTACAGTCAAACATTGGGCAGTCGGTCCCGCTTACCACAAAGCAGGCCCCGACTTTAGCCTTGGGAGGAAGGCGGACAACAGCTTCCGCCGTGTACCGGAATTGCTCGATTCTAAAGGGGCGTATTTCGAGCGAGCTAGACCACAGTACCAGGACCGACCTGTGGGGGACTTTGTTCATGCCAAGAACTTCGGCGCGAAAGGGGATGGGTAAGCTACACTGCTCCTTGGGCAATATGTCAAGTCGATTTTCACGTTAGCTCTCTATATTTTGTATGTTCAGTACTGACTAAAAGGTGTCCAGGAAAACGGACGATACAGCGGCCTTGCAGCGGGCGCTTTATGAATCCCAGGGCAAGATCCTGGTTCTTGACGCCGGCTCGTATATCTTAACAGGGACAGTGGTTGTGCCTCTTGGGTGCAAGATAGTTGGCGAGACATGGTCCCGTAAGCAAGCTTTACTTCCTTCACTTCCATCTTCTAAACTCCCTCATATCCTAAGTAAAACGAAAGAGGTCACGATGCTAACTAGCTGAGTAGAGCTTATGGCGTCGGGATCCTATTTCCAAGACGCCATGAATCCCAAAGTCATGCTACAGGTCGGACAGAACGGCGACGTGGGAGACATCGAAATGCAAGACCTGCTGTTCACCAGCCGTGGCTCTACCCCAGGTCTAATCCTCGTGCAGTGGAATGTGCGAGGAGCGAGGGCTGGCTCCGCCAGCATGTGGGACTGTCATGCCCGGCTCGGGGGAGCAACCGGCACCCAGCTCACTCCACAAGAATGCCCGGCACTGACCACGGGTACTGGGTCGGTCGGATGCCATGCAGCCAGCCTGATGATGCATATTACGCCTTTGGCATCGGGATATTTCGAGAACGTGTGGTTATGGGGTTCCGATCACATGATTGACGATCCAGATCTGGTCGATGCCAATAACACCATGGTACAGAACTCCATTTATGTGGCGCGAGGATTCCTGATTGAGAGTGTTCGCCCAACATGGCTGTACGGAACAGCGTCAGAACACGCTGTGTTCTACCAGTACAACTTCAACAAAGCCCAGAATGTCTTTGCGGGCATGATCCAGACCGAATCTCCATACTTCCAGCCGACACCAAAGCCGCCGGCACCATTTACAGAAACGGTGGGTGTGTTTCCCAGCGATCCCTCTTATGCCAATTGCACCGCTGGCAAGCAGGATGAGTTGGGAGGGTGTGATGAGTCGTGGGCCGTCATTATGCGCGGCTGCGCCAATGTTATGATTGCCGGCGCTGGGCTGTACAGCTGGTTCTCGACATACGCACAAGACTGCATCGACGTGCACGCGTGCCAAAAGGTGCTGATGCTCCTGGACGACAACCATTCCGGGGTGCGTATCCAGCAGCTGATTACCATTGGTGCGAAGTATATGGCCGTGATGAATGGCAAGGCAATTTCGGCGCTGGATTATCTCAACGTCAAGACGCATCCGAGTTGGTCGCAGATGTCGTTGATGGATATTGACTCCGATGGAGCGCTAGCCGAGATGTTTTATTTGCACCCCAAAATTTGGGAAATGGACAATGTAAGCAATTTCCAAGGACCACGACAAAGGTTTCAGAGCTTAGAGGAGTTGCAATCTGCGGAGTGCCTAAGAGTATATATGTATCTTGGGAATTTGGTTTTTTTTGTCAGAGGTTCTCGGGAGACAGTCTCGAAACACGTTTTCCTTTCCTCTTTCTCCAATATCAGTCACTAATTCCCTTAATAGCCAGGATTTACTTGCGCTCCACCTTGTCGAGTCGTCATCCCGCCCTGGACAGGTGCAACTCGGACTGTCAACTACCCTCTCGTCAGCGTCACTGACGGCACCTGGTCCACCACCATTACTCAAAGACCTCTCACCATGACCAATATGTTCTTCGAACCCGTCACCTACACCATTCCCTCCGATGGGAACCTAAAGAAGCGCGCCGGCGAAACCTCCGCTTTCTGGCCCAAACCCGTCAAGCTTGATCACTGGCCCGGCGTCACCTACACCAATAAAGACGGCAACGTCCTTACCGCCACTCCCACTGCCCCCTTCCCTGATCCTCCTATCACAATCGGCCCCAATGCAGCCGCCCCAACTGCAGGAGGCAGCTGGCCAAAGCGTGAAATCACCCTGACTGTTGGTATTCTAGACGACCCGGAGATCCAGGATGCTATATGGAAGGAATGTGCTACGAAACAAAACGGGAGTCTCGACTGCCCACCATGGCTGAATGATCTCATATACGGGCATGGTAGCTCAGGGGGAGGAGGAGCGGGTGGTGCGAACGATCCTCCCGTGCCGGACAATGATGACGATACAGATGAGGACTATGGGGACCTCGACACCTTCTGTCCATTTGAGTGTGACGGTAGCCATCGCCCATATATTAACCCTCAAGCGATATGTCCGCGCGATGAACCGTCAACCACCTCCACCTCCACTTCCACCACCACCACGAAACCTGCCCCAACGCCAACGCTAGCTGTTGGAGATCCCATGACCAATACGCGCGAATGCTACAACAGCGGCCAAAAAGCAGTCAATGCGCAAATGGCTAACACGGCGCGCAGTGCGTGTAGAGAGATGGGCAAGGAGGGGACTGAGCTGAAGGCTGAAAAGGGCAGTGGGGGGTTGGTGGCGTTATCGCGAAACTACGAACTGCCTGGGAATGGCGGGTGGGCGATCCATATCCAGGCCGAATTCAACATCAAGGAGGGGTGCAAGTTCGTTATCAACGAGGCGCAGTGCCTGCGATATTTCAAGACCGTGATTGATAGTTGTAACTGCGAAGGAGCGGATGGCAAGCAGGGTGGGCGGATGAGCAATAACTGTTATGCTCTGAGATTGGACCCTAACACGTTTGGATAAATCAGGGCAGAGAATGATGAAGAAGAGGAGGGGGTTAAACCAAAACCCTAGATTGAGGTTAGTAGTTCAATAGCAGGCGTTTAAGAAATATAAGACTTGGTCAGTTTCATATGAACATGGTGCTACGAAGAATATTTACACCATAACAGATGCACGGAACTTAATCTAGCCACGCACTTACTATATCGATTGACAGAATTGTCGTCCTTATACGATACAAAATATTTCTTGCCCAATTGTTTCGATTATGGCACATCAAGCCTGATCCCATCCAATGTTGAGTCGAGGCGGCCATAGGCTAAATACACCTCAAGTCCAAGATTGCATTTTCTTCTTCTCGTCTCAACAAACATTTGTGCAATCCATCGCATTTGATCTCATCACCGCTGCTGTCTTTGGATCGCCGCTGTAGACTCGCAAAGAAGGCCTTTCGACAGCCAGGTACCAGCAAAAAATTCCAGGACATTTCCACAACAGTATGTGTATTGTGCTTGAATCTCCTAATCGATCAAGCTGCTTACATCCTTCTCACACCAGTAGCGGGTAACAGCTTTAATGGATGAAGAGCCTTTGCTATCAACGTCAGACACTCTGTGGAAGCTAACAACCAGCCAGAATCCAGAATATTACAGCGTGTAAACAAACTCCGGATTCTCCCGATCAGTCAAGTCCAGAAACTCCTGCTTATCTAACTTCCGATACCCCGGTCTCGCCCTCACCCCCTCATTCCTCTTACTTCTCTTCACATAATACCAATGTATCAACACCAAATCAACCGTACACAACGCATAACAAACCACAATCGTGATCTCCGCAGGCACATATCTCGGCTTATCTTCTGGTCTAAAAGTCTGCGGCCCAATGATATTGCCTGTACAGTACGCAATCAGGTATAACGCCCCAACAGTCGTTTTCTTGGTGTAGCCTGCGACGTTGCTGGATATCAGCGAGAGCAGCGCGACGAAACCAGTTGGTGAGGCTTGTGTGAGATAGTAACCTGCTAGTCGGCCGGAGGAGTTGGAGAGTGGGAGGCAGACTATCAGGAGCATGCCGATGATTGCGATGAGCATGCCGGAGGTGCCTACTAGGACTCGGCGGCCGAGCTTGTCGCCCAGGTATCCGCATGCGATGAGGAATACCACTTCGACAGCCCCGCCGGGAGTTCCGTACAGAAGAGATTCGTCAGGTGTGTACCCGAATGAAACAATGAGCTGTGAGAAAAAGTTGGATATTCCACCTAGAGATGTTTAGCTGGAGATCGAGAAGTGACGCGGGGTCAACAAACTTACCATTGGGTATATCTGCTACCAAGGCAAAGAAGACAAAAGCCCAAGTCATCGGATCCGTCAACGCCTCCTTAAACTGATACATCTTAAAATGCTTGTTTCCCACTCCCTGCTGATTCTTCCTAATCCTCTCAATCGCCATAACTCTCTCCTTCTGCGTAAGGAATTTCGCATTGAGCTGATTATCCGGCATGAAATACAAGAACACACACCCCACCATCACTGTAATCAGTCCAATGGCTAGAAACACAATCTGCCACGAATCGATCACCGCACCATGTTTTTTCACACCAGTCGATATCCCATATGCTACCAACCCACCAAAGATCTGTGCAAACCCATTGAAACTAAACCAGATCCCCGTACGCGTCCCTTGTTCTTGTCTTGTATACCATTGAGAAGTAAAAAGAGCGAAACCAGGTGTGACTGCTGCTTCGAAGACACCAAGGAAGAATCGCACTGCTACTGCACCAGCAAAGTTCTTGACTGCCGCCATGCAGCACAGTGTTCCTCCCCACATTATGATGTTGAAAGCTGACCATTTGGCGAGCGGGAGGCGCTGTAGGAGTCGGTTGGTGGGGTATTCCCAGGCGAGGTAGCCGATGTAGAACATGCTGCCGAGCCATTGGTAGTTGGTTCCGTGTAAGTGGATTGCGCTTTGCATTCCCATGATGCTGGCGTAGGAGAGGGTGGTTTTGTCGAGGTAATTGAGGCCGTAGACCACGCATAACATCTTTCTATTTTAGCAAGAAGTCAGATATTGAGAATATATTTGGAGATTACCGGCATTAGGTTCCAATCGATCTTTCGTAGGAGACTCCTCTCCATTTCCTCAGTCATGACGATTGCTTCCTGCCCTTCGAAGGCTTTAAGAGCTTCATCTCCGTCGTTTGGATCTGCGTGGATGAAAGTAACTCCTTTACTGTCCCCCTCATCAAATGATGCGGCTTTGGGAGAGATATCAGCCCTCTTCTCAGGGTCGTCGAATGATGCATCGTGAACTTTCTCCATCGTGGCGATTCCTCAATTCCTTACTCTCTACTGTGCTACGACAAGGCTCATGCGGGGTAGATATATCTCCAAATATGCGACTTTCGTGTATCACAAAGAGTAAAAGTAGAAGAGAGAGGCCAAGCGACAAAATGAATTTAAAGGAAAGGAAATCCTATTATGTGAAAATAAAGTAGCAGGAAACAAAAGAACTCTTGAACAATAGAAACCATACTCCCCGCATTTCCCTATCTCAACAGTCCCGGAAATACGTACCCAGCAAGCCTCAATGCCGATCTCTAGATAGCCGTCCACGACAGGAACGGGAAGCCAGCAATAATGTGGTCATCGAGGTTGTCTCCGCCACCAATCAGCACGACGTCCCTCGGAACATATTAGCGCAAGCCCCCCATTCTTGGTGCGTTCTAGCACGCGGCAAGGAGGGGGAACAAGCACAAATGATGTCGACGCGCATTTGACGAAGTCAGGTATGCCTCGATCAGGAAGGCCGGCAGATTATCTCGAGATAAGTGAGGAGGTGCAAGTCGATTTGTGCACGGTGAAATGGAGGTAAGCGGAACATTGTGATTGCAATAGAATGTGGATTGGCTCGGATTGGATGGGTGGATTTGTTGCGGAGAAGTCTCTTGCCCGTCGAAGCTTTGCTGTCCAGTTTTTAAGCTTCGAGACAAGCATTGCCTGGGGTTTGTGGCTAGGCTTGGCGGCTTTTCCGAACGTTGAAGCGGGGTCGCGTGTCGCTTCTGCGGTGGGGAAAAGTAAACAAGATAGGCAAGCAAAGCACATTTCCGACATCATGAGGGTCCCAGCAATTATCTTATGAGAGGAAATCTCGATATGAGGCTCCCGTGCTATCTACTTAAATTTTTGTAACTGCTAGCTGACTCCAACCCTCTATCAACCTAAGTCCAAATCGAAAAGAATGTCTCGTCTCGTCAGAAGTATGAAGAGTTGAATTGAATCATTCTCACTGCACACCATCCCAATCAACCTCACGTATTAGCCCAGTTACCCTCAAGTCTGATTAAAGGACTCAGCCAATGCTCCCAGCCATCCTCATGCCACTCCGCAATACCCGGTTTCAACATCGAGATCAGAATCCGATAATCTCCCGGCGGCAAATACTCTCCCCAATGCTCCCCATCATATTCATGGTAATATACCGCACCTATCAAACACAAAGTCAGCATTTCCCAAAGAGACATATAGCTCACACTCATTAACAGTAAAATATGAGAAGAAAAGGACATACCCCACAAAAGCGTAACACTCGTCGTGAACGGCAAGAAATTATACTTCGTCTCCGACGGCCCAGCATTGTTGAACTGCGACCTATCAGGCACCCACCCATAACTCGGCACGCCCCTGAACGTATCACGCGGCACAATCCCCGGATCCATATACGTATAATTCTTCCCGTTCTCAGCTTTCGGATCGAACCCATAATGCGTCGGCACAAAAGTCGTATTCCCCTGCAAAACATGGACCTCGAAATCCGCACCACCAGTCAGAAGATTAACATAGATATTGGGAAACTCCCATTTAGACAAGTTGAACGTCTCAAATTGCGTGTTGATCTTGACTTTCCATGTGGCATCGTCGTCGTAGAGGCCCGGGTAGTTGAACACGCAAGGCTGTGCGCACTGGTAGGTTTCCGAGCCGGCGGAGATGGTGATGTTGCGGAGGTCGATGGCGGGCGTGGTGCGTTTGTCGTAGGGGAGGCCGAGGTAGGGGATGGAGAAGTCTTCGCCGCTGGTGGAGATTTGGATGAAGCCGGAGAAGACGGGGACTTGTTGGATTTGGGCGGGTGTGAGTTTTGGTGGGGCGAACGTCACGGCGAGGTTGTAGGATCCGCCTGCGGGGATGGTGATGCTGGTCACGTCGAATGAAGCGGAGCCGTAGATGGGATATTGAGGTTGGCCGTAGGCGTTTCCTGAAGCTGATTCGAGAAGGTCTGGATAGGGATAGAACTCGGCATATCCAGCTCCTTGGTGTTTGATGGTATACGTCTTTGCTTTTGGCGATGCATTGTCAATCCGGATGGTCTGTGGAGCGTTCTCGTAGATATAAAGGTCCTTTAGCTCAAGCTGTGATGGCGAGATGGTTGTTTTGTACATGATAGCTTTGTACGGATTGACCATCCCAGCTCCTTGATCAGCGACCGTGGACGGGAACGAATGATCGTAGACATAAGGCATCGGTTCAGAAGTCGCCTGCATACGATTGATGACTTGCTCGACTGAAAGACCAAGATTTTGAGATCGTACAAGCGCGTAGCAAGCCGCGACGAAAGGAGTCGCCATGGATGTTCCCGAGATAATTGCATAGCCACCGTACGGACCTAATGGCCAAGTCGACAGGATCTTCCCACCGGGAGCACCTAGACCATGTCAGCATCACCAAACACACTCGAAGATACAGCAAGTACTCAGTTGTGGTTTCAAAGCAACCGTATCCCAACTTGGACCAAATGAAGAGAAGTTACTCATCATGCCACCCGTTGTCAACCTCTCGCTTTTGACTTTCGGGTCGGTAAAGCTCATCTTATAAGTACTTCCAGGCTTGACCTTCCGAAGGATACTCGCACCAGTTCTAGGATCCACAACCAAAGTTGTTACCTCGAAAGGAATTTGAAGCTCAGCGTCTTGGCTGACTGGATCTTGATCGATGTTGTAAGCGAGGAGATATTTGATGCCGAAGTATGCTGCTCCACTCATCTGAGACGACAGAGGACAGCTTCGAGTGACACCTGCGATGACAATGATGTTGTCTGGATCTTTGTTGTACGCTGCGGCTGTGTTGGCCCATGCCGATTGAGTGCATAGAACACCATGAGAGTAGACAGTCAGAGCCGATGGAAGGATCAGGGGCCAGACAGAAAAATACTCGTAAGCACTGCCATCTGAGCCTGCTGCTGTATAGGCGGAAGGAAATTTCTCGTTCGTGACTGAGCCCACGGCAAGTGCAGTTCCTACACTGGCTGGAGTAGACAGTCCATAAGTGCCAATGCGCCCATCATTTCCATTGGCAGCTACAACAGCGATGCCTCGACTCGTGATGGAGTTTACGAGACTCGTGTAGGGAGTTGCTCCTTGGAATGGATTGAGAGAGCCTAAAGACATGCTGATCACATCGACGCCATCGTTTGCAGCTTGGATCATGGCGGCCATGATAATGTCATCGGCAGTGTAGTCGTAGACACAGCTGAAGACTCTGTACATATAGAGAGAGGCTTCTGGTGCGACCCCGACCATCCCAAACCCAATATTAGGAGGATCGACCATTCCGGCAATTCCTTGGATCCATTAGCGGCAATTTGCTAGCTATCAGCAGACTTACCAGCAACGTGAGTACCATGCCCTCCTGAATAACAAGTGGTAAGGGGCGTTGGACTCGAGATCGGCTCGCTTCGTCCGTCCCAATCATCCTGAACAAATCCAAATCCACCAGCAACCTTTTTCCCGGGACCAAAGCCTCGTCCAAGTGACGGATGAGTGTAGTCAATACCTGTATCCACAAACGCAATCTTCATTCCCTTGCCTTTGATCCCAAGAGCATGAAGTTTATCAACATCAGCCATTTTCAAAGCACTGGTAGTATCCATTGTGCCCGTTATGTGAGGAAGCTCCGGATTTGCATCGATTGGAATCCATGTCTGGTTGAGAGCGCCATCGACCTTGAACTCCGTCCAGGTGAGATTTCCCTGAGTTTGGACGGGAGTTGGTTTAGCAACCCGACGGTTCGGGTAGACAGCTACGACTTCAGGGATGGAGCTCAAGGTGCTGTTGACTTCATCGAGTGTGCTGTTCCCAGTCAATTTGATGGAGAGTCCGTAGAATAATCCGGCATCGGTGAATTCTCGCTGGACAGAATAGTCGATGTTCAAGTCCGTGGCGCGCTTGTGGAACTCATCATGTGAGCGCTTGCGAAGAGAACTGTCTTTCTTGAGTTCAATGATAAATGAAGACTGGCCAGGTTGTTTGTTGAAAGGATATGCTCCTGGAGTAGCGGTTGGAATGGGAATCTCTGAGACGGTGGCTGCCGAGACAATTGAAGTTAGAGCCACGAGGCTGAGAACGGAGAAAGCCATTGCTGTCTTGACGCCTTGCCTAACAAGACTTCCAGAACTTCATTGTGGTTTTACCCTCGATTTATAGATGCTCTCAGATTACGGCAAACTTGATAGGACATGAGAGCTAAGTTGATAGTGGAAGGCTGTTCGAGGCTGTCCTGGCTCGCAAACCAGAAGAAGACATTGTACAACCGCAATCAAACGCATGGTTCGTATCTCGTGAGCCAGATCAGGACATGACTCCCTACCCATGAGTGAAAGGAGTCGCTCATAGCAAATCGAGAATAGGGGAACTCAACAGTGGTAATGCCCACAATACGATTGAATTTTGAAGTTGCGATTACAAGAGCCCTGACCTGCGATCAAGGTCGGTCTGCAAGACGAACCAAATACGGGAAGCTTCGAGACCTCTCCTCATCTGTGCAGCCAGTTTCGTCCCACCTTCCAATTCCTGTCCTTGGAATTCATGGCAATATCAGACCCCTGCGCTGAGAAATGTTGAGATGTTGAATTGATGATCGAAAAGTTGTAGGATCGATAAAAGATAAGCAGAAAGCTTGTCAGCATACCATCAGACTCATCCAAACTTGGAAGGTAGAACGGTTTCTCGGTCAATCATCTCTTCTCTAAAACCCGCTGCAGCCTTGGCTGGAATAAGTTTTCAATAGCTGGCGAAAAAGGGAAAAAAACGACTTTATAGCAAGACTGTTACGCAGAAGGCTGTGATCGAAAAGTTAAAAGATAAATGACCTGCCCTGCAGCTTGGAAACAGGCATAAAAGGAACTATGAAGATAATGCAATCGAAGAAGATAGAAAGATTCCCAGGACCCCTGAATCACTCAGTAATCTTCACCTCTTGGCAATTCTTCGTATCACATCCTGCTGACATGCACTACCGAACTTCGAATATCGACTTTCGGCAGGCTGCATCTCCCGAGATGAATCAGCGAATCACGCAGATATCCAAAGAGGCCAAAGCTCTCAGGAGAACCGGGATTAACATGACGACGCTGCATTGCACGTTGACGAGCCGTCTTTGATTCTGTTCTGTTTGGTAAATTGTGGTGGCACAGCGTCGGGGTTCTGCCGGTTGGATATGAACTTCGGATGAAGAATGAGGAAGGAGGTACAGTGCAGCGAGCTAGACATCATGCATGTCAAGACAATCTTCTGCAAGGGGCGTTTGGCGTTGAGTACTAAACTGCGTACTGATTGACATCATATTTCTTTCGCAGGATTCCGCGTACCTGGATCTAACCCAACAGATACTTATTGAGGAGAAGGTATATGACTGCAAATATCAAAGAACAACGTACACCTTCGTTCGGTAAAGCTTCCCGAGGACCCGAAATCGTTATCTTCCAATGTGGCGCGGACAGTATTTGTTTATTCAGCAATCTGCTTGGCATCAAACACGTGCTGAGAACAGATCGTTTGGAAGGATTGAGTAATTGCTGAACAAGAGAATTGCGACAAGGTAGCAAAAATCGATAGCAAGTTATCGAAAACTCAAGCATTCAAATCCAGATAGCACTCAACATTTACCGTGTATCCAGGTACTTTTCTCCAATTTGCAGTCACAAATACATAAGATCCAAGACAAGGCCTAATCTGAAAGACACTCAAATTCGCGTAGAGCAAATACGTGTTGATATCGAGGACAGGGCCCCAACAGGCAGGATTGACTGGTATGTTGCAAGGGCTGCAACGATAAGCCCAAGAGAAGACAAAGGAGAAAGACCATGGAACTCATGACGAAAGCACGAGATGTACAAGAACATGGTGTTGTCGCCCTGATTTCATCAAAATAAGGTTAGCGGGATGTGTCAAGTCGCTCGTGGTGCACACAAGCTATGTTGACTCATGATTGGACAGCGAGCGAGACATCAGAAACACTCGCCACAAACCATTCACGATATCCTCCTCCCCACAACGGGATCTGGCAACGGGAAGTCAGAAACCCAAATCAAACTTCCCTTGAGCAACTCTCCTTAGTCCATTATTAGACCGAATTATATTTCTAGACCAGGCTTCCTCAATGTGCTCACAAAGACATCCATAAGCGATACCGCGGCCCTGGTGGTGAACAACATCATTTGCCTGGAGGTTGTTGACAGCTTCAGTCCTTGCGCTTTACTCAGATGACAGAACTCGTCGCTGTCTCGTTCAGCATATTCAACAGGTATCCAAACTTCGCGGGATTCAACTGTACGACTTTCTCATTTCAAGCAAGCGGAAGGAGCCGCTGTTGCGTGCTGATGGGGGAAACTCTTTTATCAAATTGTGAAGCGACATGGAAGGTACGAAGGGTCCCTCTCTTGGCAAAAACGTATTCCCTATGGGTTAAATCATTGTCCTTATCTTGCAAATTTGAGTTGGATACGGATTTCCTTCGGTGATGCTTAGAATCAAGCTTAAGGCTCCGTGCTCAATTAACCTTAAGCGAGGTTCTGAATCCTTATCCTCCCCCACAATTTCCCCTCCACGATTCTCTGATGGACAACCTTCCAAAATCAGAAGCAGATTCGGGACGAGAGAACCCAAAAATAGCAAGCAGACCCTAATCACGGAAATGCATAACATGCGCTGGTAAGGCGATCCCCCATCGAGCTTAGGCTCCTGCCTGGCCAATTGCCACCAGTTGTCGGCTGGCGAGTTTCAAACTTGAGGCTTGCGAGGTTTGAGATCACCACTATCATCCGCCCTTTATTTGGATCGGGCCACGACCGGATCTTCATCTTCATATCTGTAGATCATATCATTTAAGTTTGCTTGTTGTTCGCATCGTCACACTCGAACTTAATTCCACACGACATGGAAAGATGACAGCGGACGCTGGTAATAATGGAAGACCAGAGCCGCAACTGCAGGTTCCTTCCAGACTCATTTGGTGGAAGTTATCTGGAACGTTCAGTTGGATAAGTCACTCATGTCATGTGTCACTAAATCTCATTCCAAAACCTCACAGCCACAAGCCAGATGCCATCCGAAGATAATCAGAGTTCCTCTCAAACCCGCCGGCAATTCCCCACTTTCCATCTAAAACCCCCCAATCGCAGCCGCAACACTATGCCATCTGAACGTCCCCCAAACAAAAACTGGGTGTATCCCGGGCAATCCATCGTCTCAAGTGAAGGGTAGCATCATTGGTGGGGGATTCTGGTGCTTGCTTTCAGGCCAGACGGGTTTCATGCCATCTCAAAATTTCCACACAAGAGAACTCCTCGGCGAGTTTCCCGCAGATCGAGGTTTGTACATCTACTTGTGATCGCCCTCTCCGCGTTGATCGTTCACTTTGATCCGATACCTTCCATATTCTGTATATTTTACTTTTCGTTGAGCTAGACTCGCCTTACACTCCTTCGCCATAATTTCTTGTGGTAATAAACACGCGCTCAGCTCTGAATCTCATCAACACTTCTCAATACTTCTCTCTTCTTTTTGACAGACATCTTCGACAGTCACCAACAACTTCGCCAACATGCAGATCTCATTTATCACCGTCGTGGCAGCGCTCGTGTCTTTGGCACAAGGAACCATTATGAAGCCTGCAGCAGGTGATCAATGGGTTGTAGGAGAGCAGAGTACCATCGAATGGGACACGAAAAGCTTCAGTAACAAAGTCGATATCGCATTAGTCCCAGCAGGAGCAACGGATACATCAGTGATCATCGCTCAGATCGCAACCCAGACTGCCAATACAGGTTCTTATACGTGGGCACCTCCGTCAACAATGAAAGGAGGCGATGTGTCTGTCATCATTGTCAACTCAGGGCAAGGATCTGCTGCAGCAGCAGTCTCCGTCTCGTCGAAAAGTTCGAGTGTTTCTGAAATCTTTGTGATCATTATCTCATCCGGGGTATGTATCTTTTATCCTCCAGCTAGAAGGAAAATAAATCTAACTTACGAAACGCAGTCAAAGAACAACTCCCACCACGGCGGCAAAAAGAACAGCACCGAAACCGCCGCCGGGAACATCACCACCATCCACTCCACCGCAACCGTACGCTATGCACCCTACACCCCACCCCAAACCTTCAATTTTCAAACCCCCATTTCATCTATCAACATAATACTAACATCACATCTAGTTAACCACCCACGTCACCGTCCCTCCAAACATAACCACCCCACAAACCTCGCAGCCCGAAGCGCAAACAACGCCACCTCCATACGCTTACGGCAACACGACGACGGCCGGAATAGCAGCTGGGATCACGGCGTCGTCTACAACGCTTGCTAGTGTTACTGGGACGGGAGGGGGAGTACCTGTTCAGACGTTCACGGGTGCGGCGTCTGTGCTGGATGTGAGGAGAGGGAAGAAGATGGTGGGGTCGGGTGGGTTTGCTGCGTTTATTGCGCTTCTGTTCTTGTGAGGGGGAGAAGCTGGAAGATTTAGCACGCGGTGCTTTGGTCGGTGGTAGATAGCTTGGTTAGTTGAATTGGGGATTGTAGATGGGGAGAGGCGGATCAGTTGTTTTGGCGTGGGATAGGATATTTGTGGGATGGAGTCGGTAAGGGAAGGATGGCCTGGGATGGGAGAAGGGGTGTTTTGGTTCGGTTGGGTTTGGATTTTGGGCTGGCGGTCGATCCGTCGCTTTATGAGCTGTATGTATGAATTTTAATGCACGATAGCTAGCCATAAGGCTGACAATGAGAAACCATGCATTCTACTGGTGCGAATGTGGATATACAAGTCCATCTTAGATTTATGAGCTGCATGGAAGTGATACCTAGTGATGCTCGAAAGGCACCAAGTAACGAGAAGCGAGCACAGTAAGCGATGGCTGCAGAGTGGCTGACATGAGACGGAGGAGTTCCAACCGTCTTTGTGGTCTGATTGTGGGTCAGAACTCTGAAATGTTATTTCTTAATGGATGTAAGCTTACCTCCACGCGGTCTGGCACGAGACAACTCAGACGAGGAGGCGGTTGCTTCCACTGTGCCGTCATGGGAAACTTCGATCATGAGGCTGCACGTGACGCCTTCTGCAATATCTCCCTGGCTGGCTTCCATGGCCGAAGCGAGATCCCCTGGCTCTGTTTCAAACTCATGAAGCCGTTCTCTGCTACCAGCTTCTCGTATATTACAACCACTCCATGGTTGCTCTTTGTATTCAATACTCAACGGTTGTATGTTTCCAGCATCGGCCCCTCATTCCAGATCTCGACAGCAGGGCCGAGTAGACACTACCTAAATGCTTACATATCTACTTCAGCGTCAGCAACACCAAGATGTCAGAGCAGTACATCTACTGGAACAACATATACGAAAGTACGTAAATGGGATGAGAGAAAGTTACTTTGCCGGTTTCCGAAGAAATCTCAGCAGGGAAGCCAGAGATGCCATGCAGTTCCACACTGGCCAGAAAATTCCCATATCATTCGAGGCTGACTGAATTGGAAGACGCCATATCGTCGCGATCTGGTCGCCATATCAGCTGGTAGTAATGAAGATAGCCCAGTGAGTCAAGTCTCGGGCGTGTATTCCTCCTCGAACCACAAAGTCCGCGTAGTCCGCGGCTGTTCGGGGATGATTACAGCACCACGACCAAAAGCTCGGGACAACTCGACCTCGCTACAGTACTGTAACGGCAAAAACCCAACCACTACATCCAAGCCTCAACCTCACCTAGCGTAGCCTCGCTCAGCGGCACAAAAATCACACCGGCTGGATACCAACGAAACTGTTCGCTGATAAATCACTATCGATTTTTCAGCATGCCACGGGTAAGGGCAAGGGATTCCCGTCTCAGGTGCGCCACATCGCCAATCGGCAGAGGCTCAAGAGCGTCCCTAAGCATCCCTGCATCATCCCGTCAGCGCTACCGCCAAATTTCATATTGGGGACCAAACAGACTCAGACGGTGCAAATGATGCGCTGTGATTCTGATAGGTCACTTCGCGACATCTCCATGGATTCAACAGAAGCATTTTTGTCCGAAGCAAAGAGTCCGACCCCTGCCAGCCTTGTAGATTGGCGCCAGAAACGTTGGCGTGCCATTGACCCACGCTGACAGGAAAGCCCACTGCTCTTGGACATTGCGGATTTAATGGTGCTTCGGGCTCGTAGCTGGATTGATTGAGAGCGAATCATTTAAGACTTTCTTTGTAAGTTTCGAATTTCATACAACTCCACTTTGGCGGATGGCTGCCTGAAGTGGTAAGTGCAGTTCTTCGTGGAGATCAAGAAAGATGGTGCTTTTGATCGGCGTGAGAATGACCCTTCAGCATGTTCAGAGGGTCAAGCTCAGGCCTTACATGCCCTTGATAGGTAAGTATCCATATTTCTCCGTTGGGGGCTTTAGTCGAGTATATATCAAAGCCCGTTCCTCTCTCAGTTGCTCTGACTGCAAGCGGAGATTCGATATCAATCCTAGAGTCCGTTTGTACCTGGCGTTTGCTCTCATCAAACTCATCACTGGTCATTTACACTCGGGCTGATTGTGCACTCATCGATTGTCTTCAATCGAGAACCACCATCTCAACTTCCATCAACACTTCATTTTTGTTGTTGAGAGAGAAAAAAGAGGAAGCCATCACAATGGCGTCCAATACCGAACACAATGTTTTGGCAGCAGACAAGGAGCAAGGCGTCACTTCCAACCAGTCGAACAATTTCCTCTCACCAGATAAGCAGGAAGGTCAACGAGACGTCTCAGAAAACACATCCGTCGCCGGCCTCGACGAGATCGATCAAGAAAAACAACAAGCCGCAACCCCAACAGAAGAAGCACCACCCCGTGATATCACAGGCTGGAAATGGATTGTCGTCGTCCTCTCCATCCTAAGTTCCACCTTCCTGTTCGCCCTCGACAACACCATCGTCGCAGACGTTCAACCCGTCATCGTCCGAGAATTCAACTCCGTATCCAAACTCAGCTGGCTCAGTGTATCTTTCCTCATCGGTGCAGCAGCCACCAATTTGGTCTGGGGAAAGATCTTTGGTCAGTTCAATGCCAAATGGACATATATTCTCTGCGTCACGTTGTTTGAGGTCGGCTCCGCGATATGTGGTGCCGCCCCAACCATGGATGCTCTGATCGTTGGACGGGCTATCTGTGGTGTGGGAGGATCTGGGATGTATGTCGGCGTTATGACGCTTCTTGCTGCGACTACTACGATCCATGAGCGTCCTATGTATGTTGGGGGAACTGGTCTCACCTGGTATGTCATCAAAATTCTATTCAAGATAACCTTCTGACAGCCATCAGGGGTCTCGGCACGGTGCTAGGGCCGATCATTGGAGGAGCATTCACGGATTCGTCTGCTGGATGGCGATGTAAGTACCATGAAACTGTTTTTCTTTCAATTCTTGAGTTCTGTTCTGTACGCGGACGCTGACATTTGTGAAAGGGGCATTTTACATCAATCTCTGCATCGGCGCCGTATGCGCACCAGTCTACCTCTTCATGCTCCCCAACCACGATCCCCGCCCAGGAGTAACTCTGAAAGACCGCGCCCGTGAGATGGACTACCTCGGAACGCTCCTCACCCTCGGCGCCTTCATCTCCGGCGTCATGGCCATCTCATTCGGCGGCATCCAATACGCCTGGAACAGCGGCACCATCATCGGACTCTTCATCTGCTCTGGTGTCCTCTTCATCCTTCTCGGCCTGCAACAAGTCTACACGATCTTCACCAACACCTCCCGGCGTATCTTCCCCATTGAGTTCTTCAAGTCACGCACCATTCTCATTCTGTTCGCTATGACTGCTGCGGGAGGAACAGCGGTCTTCATCCCTATCTACATGATGCCCATCTATTTCCAATACACTCGTGGTGACTCCGCCCTCGAAGCAGGCGTGCGTCTCCTCCCCTTCATCTTCCTCATGATCTTCGCCGTCATCGGAAACGGAGCCATCCTCTCCGCATACGGGTACTACATGCCATGGTACACCCTCGGCGGGATCTTCGTCATCATCGGCGGCGCCCTCATGTACACAGTCGGGACACACACCGCGACGGCCACCGTCTACGGGTACAGCATCCTCATCGGATTCGGCACGGGTCTGTTCGCACAGGCTTCATTCTCCGTAGCTCAGGCGATTGTCGAGCCGGAGAATATCGCTTCGGCGGTGGGGTTTATAACCTGTGCGCAGGTCACGGGTGTTACGATCGCGCTGGCGATTGCGAATTCGGTTTTTCTGAATGGGTCGCAGGATAAGATTGCGGCTTTGATGCCGATGGTGCCGAGGAGTGATATCCAGGCTGCGATTGCGGGCGCGGGGAGTGATTTTGTGGCGGGTCTGAGTCCGGAGTTGCAGGCTGGGGTGCTGCATGCTATTGTGGAGAGTATGAGTAAGACGTATATCCTGGTTGTTACTGCTGGTGCGGTGGTGCTGGTGTTGAGTGCGGGGATGAAGAGGGAGAAGTTGTTTATGGCTGTTGGTGGGGCTGCGTGATGAAGGTGAGATTGAGAAATTATACATTTGGAGCTTGAAGGTATTAAGCTTGCTGCAGCGGCGTCTGGTTTAGATGGGTGGAGTTGAGAAGTATTAAATGATGCGGTTAGCTTTCATAGCAATAGGCTGCGGTCAGTGACATCTCCACAACATAGAATATCATAATATTACCAGAACTCTTGGATCTTCTCTACTTATTAAGAAAAGTCTCAAAAGCCAGCTACATATTAGGGATTGATATGCCTACCAAAGGTATAAACCTATATCCCAACATCATCTACTCCGCACAGCCCTCTTCCCCCTCCCCTCAATCCCTCCTCATCCACAACTTTCTCACCTCACGTCATCCACTGAACCACCAAACCCACTCTTCCCTTCTATCCCAGATCTCACTTCCCTCTCCATAACCCCCCAAAGCGACGCTCACCAATCAGAAAAAACCATTCCCCTACATACATACACATGCACGATGTACTGTGAACCCCAAAAACTGACAATTGACAGCGAGAATGGTATAATGTGCGGGGTATTAGCGACGCTATGAAGCTTGTTTGGCTAACTGAGATGACTGTCCCAGATCAGTTCCGGCGGCGAAGAGATGAATTATCACCATTTCGGTGGCCTTGTAGAGGAGCTTGTTGAGGAGGTGCTTGTTGAGGGGGTGTTTGCTGAGGGGGTGGTTGTTGATAATAACCTTGTGGTGGATGACCTTGCTGCTGAGAACCTTGGGGAGGATACCCTTCCTGTCGTCTCTCCTGCTGTTGTTGTGGTTGTTGTCCTTGTTCCGGCTCTGGCTCTGGCTCTTTCCCTTGCTGCGGAGGAGGTTTACGCTTCTGATGGCGCTGATCCCTCCCCATAGACTTATCGCTATCTCCATCCCCATCCGATTCGCTCTCCGAGTCGGAGTGAAAGTCAGACTTAGAATCAGAACCAGAATTTGAATCGGATTCCGACTCCGTCTCCGAATCAGACGCTACGAATCCTCCTCCGCTACTCTCATTTCTCATCTCCCGCCTCTTGCTGAGCATCCGGCCCATGGCGAGTCCCGCGAGAGCAGCACCTATCCAGTTACTGTTTCTAGCCAACGAACTGTTTTCCTCCTCGGGGATTCTCTCACGAGTTGAACGTTTCCTTTGAGTTCGGGGGTTTTTTCTGCTGTTTTGAGCTTCTAGATCTATCTCGGGACTCTTTTGTTTCCTCCGGGTCCTCTTTCGTCGGGTCGGGTATTCTTGATCACGCTCAGCTCTTCGTAGTTCCCTTTGCGTCTTCGTTCGGCTGGCTTTGGCTTCTTGATCTCGCTCAGACCTTAAACTGTTGTTTCGCTCAAGCGGCTTTCTGTTGGTGGGAGCTCCTTGACTCTTCTCACTGCCTCCAGATCCGCCAAGAGCGTCATTATACTCAGCAGCATCAGAATCGAATTCGTCAGCAAAACGCCGTGTTTCCTCAGCTACAAACGCTTTTCTGGCCCTCTCTCTTTCATTCTCGAACTTTGCAGACTCTTTCCTCTCCTTCTTCTTTACCTCCTCATTTTGATCTCCATCCGTCCTCACTGCATCAACCCCCGCTGCTCCCATCGCAGCAGTAAAGATTCTTCTCGCTTTATCTCCAGCCCAATCCCCCTCCTCGTTTCTCACACGGAACGCCTCCACTGCACCGGCTATCAAGGCTGCCGTAGCTACCTCCGGGGCCACTTCCTCACCGTTCAAAAAAGCTTGGGGACTGCGAGAACGTTGTCTGCCCTGGTAGTGAAAGTTCTGGCCAGTGTCGGGTTTGGATCCTGCTGTACTGGTACCAGCTGAGAAGATGCGTGGCTGGCTATTTCTGGGACTGGATTTCGGACTTGAGCGCTTATGTCCTGAATCAGCCTTGTCTCTGGATTTCTTGCCTGAGTCTCCGAAAAATTGCTTGTTTGTATCTCCAAAGAATTCCTCATGTAAGTCTTCTGCTGGCCTGGAAACGAACGGCTTTGGACTGTCGAAGTTGACCTTCTTTCGCGCATTTGCGGCAGATGATGGACGATTGAGAGCGTTTCCTCCACCTGCACCAGAAGGTAGCTCTTCCATACTCTTGGCTAATGGCTTATGTCGTGTTGGTGAACTGCTTGCTCGTGTCCTTCTTTGTTCACTTGGTGGTTTGAGCCAGTCGTCCACTTTCTCCGTACTCCCAATCGGGCTGATCTCGGTTTCTTTTGATCTCTTCCTTGATCTTGATGGACCGACCGTATCATCTGAATCAGAAACGTCGCTCATCTCGCTGAGTGGTTGTTGGTACTTCTTGGCCGCCCTGCGAGCGGTAGGCTCTGACCAGCGACCCCAGCTAGTTGCACGATTGGTGTTACGAGGTTTTGATTCTTTTGATAGTGAGCTTGGTTTCGTGGACTGAGAGGCAGCTCTTAGGAGGGTTGATGGACTTGTTGCAGCTTCGGAGACTGAATAGTATGATTCGGCGTAGGAGTGAGGTTTTCGGGACTTCGAGACATCAATTCCAGAATCTACCTCTACCGCTGGCTCAGGCTCAGGCTCATGCTCAATATCGTTGATGCTTGAAAGCTGATTGATATGCTTCTCAACCGGCAGGGTAACTGGCGATGGTGTCTTGAGTGCCTGCGAAACTTCAAAATCTTTCACAGTGCCTGACTGTTCGACCTTGATGCGAGGTACCCTGCGTCTTGCCCTCGTAGCTGTTTCGGTCGGTGAAGGCGAGGACAAAGCCACTCCATCGATATGTCGATCATCGACGATAGGAGACTGTAAATCTATCGTTGATTGTGAGGCGGCATAAAGACTCATTGGCCTCTCGTGGAAGTCACTTTCGTCTTGTGCCTCCGAAGCTAGTTCTCCCATCTCAGTCCCAAGTAACGACAGATTCGTCGTCCGAAATGAAGCATTCCCACACCAAGACTGCGTCGTAACATCGCTCTGCTTAACCGCCTCCTCCAACACACCGGTCTGATCCAACTTCATCATATAAGCCTTTAGAACTTCCATATGACGATCAAGCGAATCGCTTTTGAAGCCCAGAGAGACAAGTTGCGAATGGAACTGCCTCCAAACCTCCTTGTCATCATCTGCATAAGTCGACAGCGACAACACCGACTCCATCGCCAGGTATCGCTGCGATGCACGAGCTCTCGTCGCAATAAATAGCACAGCTTTCCTCATATCCTCGAATTTCTCCAAGCGATCTGAGATATCAGCAAAGCCAGTCTCCACCCGACCCTCAATCCGTCCAGCAACATCGCCAACCCGCTCCGTGGCTTTCAAATTAATAGAATCAACCAGCACCGCAAGAGTCGACGTATACGTAATAATCTTCCACCTCAACTTCCCCAAATCCTCAATCTCCGTCCCAAATCTCATCCTATCCCAGAACTTAGCCACCTTTCCAACCTCCACGCTCTCAGGCGCCAAGCCTTTGTACTTGGTAAGCATGGCATCGATGCTTTCCAACACCCCTTTACAGCCATCTGCTATCTCAGTGAGTTCTCTCGTCTGCTCCGGCCCGGCTTTGAATATCAGGGAATCTTCTCGCAAGGCTTCATCGCGGACAGTTCGCAAGACGCTGTGTAGACTGCGTACTTCGCGGGCGATCTCGATATACTCCCCGCCGGCTTCCTTGCAGTTGCGATAATTCTTGTGCGCGAGCTGGATTAGTAGGATGATATCGCCAACGGAGGTTCCAAAGGACATTTTGACCTGGGCTGCGCAAGCGGTTAGTCAACTGAATAAGATTGCTCCATCGGCGCAAACATGAGGTCTCATGAGTTTTATGAGAATGAGGGTTGCAGGTTGCAAGGCTGATGGCGCAGCGTGCTGAAGGCTGGCTGGCCCCCAACCAGTCACCGAAACACAGCCCCGGCTTGGGGTAAGATGTGCACCGATCACCTGCAGCAGAGCCTCCATCAGGCTTTTCTGACAAATTATTGCATACAGGATTCGGTAATCGGAATGGTACTCGGTAACGATAGGAGAAATCACTGCATCTTTGGTATCGCCATAAGCATCTTGCCCTGCCATAAAATTCTAGGTTTATACCGATTTCTAACACCTGACACAAGCCACATTGAACCAAAACAAGGAATGTCTACTGGAGGAATCTAGGGGATATACATTGCATGCTGAACATAAGTCGTATCTGGCTTGATAGCTAGAAAGTTGACATTCCATGATCTTTAGAGTGTACGCCGGCTGAGCTGAGAACCTGGCTGTGTCTGTACAAACACAAAAGACTCAACCGATCGGATTTCAGACATGCTCCCACAACAGGTCGCACAGAAGTCGAGGTACAGTGTGAGCCAGCTCAGGGGGAACGTGCTAAACGCCAGTACGATGCAAGATGAATTGGGTATATAGCGATCTATAAACAATCACTGAGTCTTAGCTTTCCTCTTCTCTGTCCTGGAGGACGCAAAATCCAATAGTCCACTTTCTGCAACCAATGTGACAAAACACCACAGATAGCAGATCCCAAATCCCACAGCTCCAATCCCAACATTGACAACGACCCACAAATCAGGCTTTCCAGTAGGAGGTAGCAGGAAAGCTTCTGCAACGTGCCAGACTGCCATGGCCGCGTAGAATATCGTGTGCAATGAGGTTGTGACGAACCCTGCAAATGTGGCGTTCCCATCTTGCTTGTAGACAGCAAAAGATGTTGGTGGAAGGCCGAGGAGATATGCCCATAGGAGGGATAGAACAAAGTATGGGATCCTCAGATCGACTCGTTGAAGGAGTGGGAACATCGTCCAAACCCCAAGTAGGTTTGCAAACCCGACCCAGGCACGAACATTCTTACTGAGACCATGCTTCCCTGCCATGAGTACAGTCATTGGCATTAATGGGAGTAGAACACTCTTCTCGTGAACCTGGAAGCTGAAAAGGAAGAATGCCCATGCAGTTGTGGCAAGTGCAAGGGGAAGCAATTCCTTCTTTGGCTTGGCAAATATCACAAAGCAAGGTGGTGTAATTGCTGCGAGTGTGAGCAAGAGAGAGGCTCGTTGAAGCATCTCGGATGGGTATTGCTTCAACTTGATGATGACGTTTAGAGCACACCAGAAATTCGCAACTTTGTCCTCGAAAAGTCCGCGAGCAAAAGGGAACACACGATGGACCATTTGCGCCAGTTGTAGAATGACTGGATAATACCATGCTTTGTAGTTGACCAGATACGAGTATTCGCTGAATATTGGCAGAGGAGCAAAGTGGCCATGAAGATCAGGACGAGCGACAATTCCACGGCGCGCATCATACAGCGCGCCTAGCACCAGAGGTAGGAGAAGTAGAGCGAACGAAACCAGTGTGACAACAGCTATTCCTAGAAATCGAGGTATATTGATCCTTGGGAAGAGACAGACTCCGAGAAGGTATGCGAACATTGCGGGGGCGTAATATAAAGCCATCTGCTTGAATCCCAGAGCCAATACGAAAAACACGCAGCTCCACATGAATCGTCCCGCAAGTACGCTCGACATACTTGCCAGCACCAATCCGAGCATTACCGTGTTGTATTGGAAGTGTACATGATCGATCAGAATCATCCCAGGCTGCATCAAAATTGCAGTCAATGCAATTGAAGCGTTCCATGAGTTGATTCCTTGGAGTTTCGTCAGTCTCCTGACAAAGATGACAGCAGCCGGTATGTAGATCAGGTATTCAGATACAATGACCGTAGCTCGCATGAATATCTTCAAGCTAGGATCTTCGAGTCCGCGAGATGTGTGCAGGGCGAACCAAGATGGGTTGATAAATCCTCCAATCTTCCCAAGAAGCCAGCTATGGTATGCGGTCAAGGGCGGATAGTCCAACCCCCACCATTCGAGGTCGTGAAAGTACCATTGCGAGATGGGCAATTGAGTCGTAATCTCCATCCAATGTCTCTGTGCTTCGTAGTCGCCATGTAGAGGAGGATTCTGGAAGCCTGTGTTTTTGTTAGACCAACGTGTGTCACTCTTTGAAATGGACACGTACCTGAATATCCCCAAAGACCGGCTGCCCACCTGAAAAGCCCTACAGCCATCAATATCAACGGCAGAATCTCCCATTGCGATACGGAGCTTCGCGCAGGCCAGAGGAAAGCTGCGAGGGGGTATGCTGGGCGACTTGTGCTCGTTCGTCCCGCGGAGGAGGATGTCGCCGAGGAGGGTTCACTGCCATTGCTTGTCTTTTTGACCTTCCGCCGTGGCTTGTGAGGCGAAGGTCCAACCATTGTCACCTTGAATTTCGGATCGGAGAATGCTGAGGATCGCGGCGCATTGCTTGCTGGTGGCACTGGAGAAGACCAGAAACTGACAATTGAGCTGGAGATGACGCGTGGAGCTAAATTATTTAGGCGGCTTCACCCTGTAACTAAGCGCGCTCGTGTTCTGCTCAGGGCATTATTCCAATTCCAGGTCTATCCGCAATTGATCAATTCAACATACCTAAATAGCCATATGATATCGCTTGACTATTCACAGAATTAAATGACCCTCGGAAACTTGTTTCTGGGCGTTTAATGCTGAGCTTGGGACATTCGATTCACGTGATTTGGGCGTTGTAGAGCTGAAGCACACAACCTGCCTTCATCTAAGCCGGTAAACAGGCCAAAGAATATAGAACTCTTAAATCCCAGCCGATAAGCCGATATAGCAGAACAAAACACTTCGACTACGATTAGTATGTTTACATCTACGAGAATATTTGGAAGTGATTGGAGCAGCCAACCAGAATAAGCGAATCCAGGCAAGCGAATGTCAACACTGCCTACATTAGTAAAGCAAAAGCTCTTCAAGATCACATTCCAATGCACACCTCCACAATCCTTCTGATCTCATATTCTGTCAGCCTTTAAGTAGATCTTATAAGGCATATGCGGAGAACCTTTGTAGCAGGAAGTGGTTTTGATTCTGTGGCTCGTATGATCCGTGAACAAGCCATTCACCATGTATTCTTGGTGTCTTAAAGGCGTCACTTCGGGACCATCAGTCTCATCGATAGATGGATGACAGGGTATCTAAATCTTAAATTATTAGTCCTGAATTTCGAACGTAGAGTGTATTGAAAATTCGGTTTGGAGGGACATTCTTCGATTGTGTTTTCGAAGTTCATATGCTGTTAGTTGTGCCGCCCTCGGATTATCGAGAGACTGCTATGGATTGTTGGAGTCAACTGACAGAGTGCTGTACAAAATTTGGAGATTACGCCCTGAAATATGTGCACTCTAATTTGTACAGAAAGTTGCTGTTACGAATTATGGTCCACGCAACCATTGGTTTACAAAGACATTACAGATCGGCAATATACGTGGCATCCACCAGCGCTCTCTCAACAATTGACCACTCAATCAGACTTCACAGCCACCTTCTCTCCATCCGCTGCGATAGTCTCTCCCTGAACCACAGTCGTCGTTCTCTGCGCCGCACGCATACTACTTCCACCACTCCCATTCTGTCCACTCAGAAGACCATTGAGACCAGCCATCTCGCTATCATAATCCACATCCGAGAAGTACTTGGCATCCAGACCCATGATTTCATCCTCCTCAGCCTCTCGGATATGGCAGTATGGGATTCTGTTGATGATGAAAAGCAGGATGCAAGTAATGGTGAAGGACCAAGCAGCGCACACCGTAGCGGCGGCAAGTTGATACCCCATCTGCTTCCATTGTTGATTCCACCATCCTCCTGCATATGTGGTGCCGGACTTGCCGTCGAGAGCGGGCACGAATGATGCGGCGAAAAAACCGGTGAGGACATCACCAACGTATCCTCCGACGCCATGAAGAGCAAAGATATCGAGACCTTCGTCGATGGAGATGAGGTGCTTGTAGCGGGTGGTGAAGAAGCAGCATGTCGAGGTGAGAGCGCCGACGAGAGCGGAGACGTAGACAGGGACTGTTTGATGTTAGGAGATACATGAAGAGTTACGAATGGAAACGAACCAAATCCAGCTGCTGGTGTGATTCCAACAAGACCAGCGATAATGCCAGAGCAAAAGCCTAGAATGCTGAATTTGCGATCGAAAGCGTAGTCGAGAGCGGTCCAAGCCAGGCCACCTCCGCAAGCAGCGAAATTTGTATTGACAACGACGTAGATGCTTCGAAGACTGAGATTTGCAGTGGAAGCACCTTGGAGAAATCAGTAACTAATCAATAAATCTTAATGCTTCGAAGGGAACGGCTCATCACATACCATTGAAGGCAAACCATCCAAACCAGATGAGAATCGTACCCAGTCCAACCAAGAAAGGATTATGAGGTCTGAAGTGAGGGAGTTTGGCGTGCAGAGACTCTCCGTTCGGATCCTTGCGAGGTCCCAGCATCAGCGACCAAGCCAGGGCTGCAAAACCACTGGCAATGTGTACCGGTCCTGAACCTGCGAAATCGTAGACGCCGAGCTTATAAAGCCATCCTGACGGGTTCCACTCCCAGTACTATTTCGGAGTTAGTAAGACATGACTTGTTTGTTATGTCTGATACTCTTACAGCGAGTACATAGTAAACAAATGTTGTCCAGCAAAGCAAGAACAGCATACTGGGCCCGAGACGTCCTCTCTCCAACATAGCACCAGCCAAAATCATCGCCGTAGCTGTAACGAATGTGAATCCAAAAGCAGCATAGAGGATATCTGGAACATCGGAATTGGCCAAACTGGGTTGTGCGAGCACATTGTGCAGGCCTGCCAGAGAAAGATCGCCAATGAAAGGTCCCGTTGTGTGGGATTGGTAGAGAGAGTACCCGTACACCCAGAATTGAATACCACACGCGCAGGCGCAGAAGAGAGATTGGAATATCATGGTAAAAGCAGATTTGCGACGATGCATGCCGGAGTAGAGGAATCCAATTGCGGGGGTGATTTGCCTGCTTCTGTCAGTCGCAATGACCCGGCCGAGGGGAGAAGATGTTTACCAGCATAGAATGGTGCAGACAAGTAGCCAGCACAAGTCTCCCTGACTATTGTCAGTCATAGTACATTGCCCAATCTTCAACCGTTCCAACCTTGTCATATGGTGCATTCAGATCCTGAGTAAAAGGATCTCCTCCTTGAGGATTGGTGGCATAATCCGGCCATTCTGTTATTGGAGTTATTTCAGCCATCTCGTCTCTTGTCCAGGATGTGATCAGCAAGTACAGATGTTGGACGACTCCACGTGGCAATCGATCGTCTACCGGGTCTCTGAGGAAAGGGAACTAGAGGCTTGAAAGAAGTGGGAATATGTGGTTCTTAAGGACATCAAGCCTACACCTTCTCGACCCAGCTCATATCTGAGGACGCGCAAGGCTGATACTGATAACTGATAGTGACAAAACTTACCTCGCTGTAGTCCTGCCGCTAATACCGAGGACTACCTGTTCCATGGGCTTGGTTCATTGCATTTCAAGGTATCCTCCCCATCCGAACAACTCTTCATCCAATCAAGATTTTCAAATCAAAGATTCCAAGATCCAGAATTACACATTGTGTATGTGGCGGACCTCGGACAGATAATTGTAGTGATAAGAAAAGTGTTTGGGGAGGCGTATCACAGGATTCTTTTGCTGAACTGGGGAAGGAGGGGGGAGGGAGAGATTCGGGACAGGGCTTGGGAGTCCGCTTGGCTACCTCATTTGATGCGTGCCGATGAAGCTGATGTTTAATTCATTGGGAAAGAGGACGTCGAAATCAATGATAAGGACAGTTGCTTATCTGTGGAGACTGCCAATGGACTTGGCGACTTGGTTCTCTCTTGGCCTGTCATAAGATCGCGAGGCACGTGACTAATATGCCCTGTGGAGATGGCTGCTGAACTTCGAGTATCTCGCGATTGAGTGGATTAGAAAAAGAAGCGTGGGATGAATCGCAGGGAAGTCATCAACCGGCAATTCTAGACAAGAAGTTGCAGACTGGGAAAAGTTCAAACTTACATAAAGTCCGCTCCAGTGAACCTTAAGCAAATCGGACGGTCGTACCACACGAAAGCTTGTCTGCTTTATGGTATCGTAGATAAACACGTAGTGCGAGTCGTGAGGTAATACTCGTTGACATGTTCTATACCACTAATACTCCGTAGTCATCGTTCTGGTACGTGCTGATTTCACGTCTCCTTCGCCTTGTGGAAGTCGGAATGAAGGGAATGCCTATATCGTCAGACGAGGAGAACCCTTGCGCCTCATGCAGCCTGCCTGATATGTGTGATTGGCGCACTTCACCGCCAGATTTCGATTTCAACTTCATATACTTTACCCCTAGAGACCTTACAGTAGTCACTGGGGTTCATCCATCTCTGATCAGGGATTGCCAACATGAGCCACACTGCGCAGCGGGACTCTAGACGTCGGTAATGCTCATGGGAGGGCTCTGTTGATTTTCCTTCATCCCGAGCACCAATTTCTGCCTCCACTCGTGCTTGTACCTCACAGAATGTGCTTGATGCAGCCTGTCCGGTCCATCCCGCTTGTATTACATCTTTCAAGATCTCACCCCCGGCTGCAATAGGACCATGGCCTTCTAGCAGTCGATTTTCGATATGCCGGACTTTTTGAGCAGAGGTTATGTCGGCGAAAGGTTCAACTCCGGTGAGGATATAGTGGATACAAGTAGCCAGACCGAAATGATCTCTTTTGAGGTCCGCTGCGTAATCATAATGGTCCTTTGTGGTAGCGGAGCCGAAGTCAAACAATTTGAGACGGTTAGTTGAGTCCACAGCAAGATTTCGGACAGCCATATCGCCGTGGTTGAAACCAAGCTCCTCTAAGAAACTTCTGGCTTTGAGAAGCTCTCTGAGCCAGCTATAACGCATACTTTTATCGGCATTCATCCAAACTTGCTCCGAGGGTCTTAAGCGTTCCAAAAATAGGCAGTCTGGCGAGTTCGCCTTCAACCTCCGGACGATATTCGGGTGTCGTCGACTAGCCACAGCATCGTACACTGCCATTCCCTCTCCATCGCAACAAAGCTGCGAACTCCATGATTCAAATAGAACGTTGCATCTTCACTCAACTCATCTGGAATAATGTATTGAAAGGGCAGCTTGATGACAATCTCGCTGTCGATGGCGTAGACAAGCCCTTGAGAGGGAGCCTCGCCGATACTGAGGCAATCAATCCCGTGGACGAACGGCGTAATGAAGGTGAGTCGAGCCATGGTGCTGACGCGCAAAACTCAACTGGCAATACAATAAATCGAGACGTTCATAGTGGAGGAATTATGATGATGTATGCAAGAAGTGAAGATGGGCGTTCGCTGAACGTAATTACCCACGTGGCTTGCACGTGATTTGTAAGTAATTGTTACCACAAACTGTGCCCATCCGCGCCCATCTGTATGTAGCTGTTCCAACTAAGATTCTGCGATGAAGAGAGGTAAATGTCAACATATGAGGAGAAACGTGAATTTGACTCTCATTCAAGTGATGCTTCTTTTTGTAAAGCGCTCGCTCTTGAACTCTGAGGCAGGCAGGCCATTTCCAGCCCTTTTTGACTTTCGACACTCTCGCTTAGCCTTTCGAGGCTCCAGTAAGCAGCAAAACAAAGCCTTTCGCTTGGAAGAATTCTCGGTCACATTTCTTTTAAGCGGCTGACAAAATGTAGATTGTGATGTGTATATTATATCATTTCATTCCAGCCCGTTTGATCATACGAGAAGCCAGTCCTGCCAACCCATGCTATGCAAAATATACACAAGAGTAGGTGTGTACCGACAAAGGCAGCAAAGTGTGCCTCATCAGCGAAAAGTAGATACAGAAAGTCCAACCCCGATATCCTTCATCTCTGATCCGAGACTCAAGAACCACAACATCCACCACGTCCTACCACTAGCCGAGACCAAGCCCGGAAAGAGATACCGACAGAGAGAGACCGCGAGGCCTGAGAGGGAAGAGAATGCATTTAGCACTTTGGGAGAGTCTTGAGTTGACCCTGAGCACCCTGGCAGTTCTTCTTGGAGGTGAGCTTTGGGGACTCGCCACCCTGGGACTTGAGGATACCCTTGAACTCCTGGCAGACGTTCTTGACGCCAGTTCCGCATGAGCCAGAGATGGTGAGGACGTCACCGTAGTTGGAGTTGATGCCGGCGATATCAGCCTTGACACCGTTGGCCTTGAGGTTGGAGATGGTGACGCTGCGAGGTCCGTATTGCTTGGAGCAGTTACCGCATGAGCGGAAGAGCTTGCCAACGCTGACGACGGTGTAATCCTTGATGGTGACCGTTCCCTTTCCGTTGTGTTGGACGACCTTGTCCTTGGCGTTTTGAGCTCCGCCACCTTGGATCAGGACGTTACCGGTGCCGAGGACGGAGATGGCGTCTGTGGGAGAAGAATTTAGCTATGTAAAGGTACTTAGGATGGGAGATCACTTACCCTCGCAGACATCACGGAACCAGACGTTCTTAAGAGTGCATGCACCCTTGCAGTGAACACCCTCCAATTGATTGGCACCGATGATGACATTGGAGATGGAAGCACCGTTCTCGAGGATGAAGACAGCAGACGCAGATCCAGTGTCCTTGTCAGAGTTGCAAGGACGTCCACGGTCGTACTCCTTGTTACCGAAATCCTTAGAGCCCTTGATGGTCTCAGGCTTGGAGAGAGAGACGATCTTGCCAGAACGGGCTGGGATCTTGAGGGATTGGGCAGAGGCAAGGGCAGCCAGGACGGCAGTGAGGAGGGTAGTGGTGAACTGCATTTTGAAATGTGGTTGGTTTGTTGTGTTGATTGATTTTAGTATCAGAAAAACAAAGGTTGGAGCAAAGAATGTAATCGATGCAAAGATCTGGCAAAAGAGTGTAAATGTACTTGAACGAAAGTGTAGAGCTGGAATGAATGAAGCTGGTGAGGAGAGAAAGCTGGAATAGCAGCAGTGCCGTCCATACTTATACCAGATTCTCAGTTAATGGCTTCACCCACGTTTCTCGGGTCGATGCCGACTGGTTTCCAGGCCACACCGATTTCATTGGGTCCATCGTACCAGAAAATATCTCAGGGTTTCAAGCACTTTACCTGACAACTGGGACAAGATTGACCAAGTGCACCAGCAACAGCAAAAGTGCAGACGATGATGAGCCTCAGCAACCCTGATCATTGCCTAAAACCTGGAAGAACCATATCAAAATCCAGTTAAGGTGTGAAAGTCAAATGCCTGTGCCTGTCTGCCAAGGAGAGCCAGGACCCAACTTTATCTTGGCCCTTTGAACACAGCAGTCAGATATCAGAATGTGGAGTTTGTCCGTGTACCTGACTGGCGGGATCCTACTTGACAGCTCCTCTTAAAGCAAGTTTAACGAGAAGATGATTTCCGTTCTGCTTGGCAGGCACGCCTTGGCATCAACGCCCCGTTTCCAGAACAGCCAACTTTCCGCCAGGACAGCCTCGGCGGGACCCACAAACACTTTATATGAAATTCCCATGGAATCGTCCCATTCTTCTGAATGGATGTCTCAAAGAGCGTGGATTTGGTGACAAGGTTGACACGCTGTTGATCAGATGGATGGCAGGCTAGATCGGTTGTCTGTTGGGGTCTTCAAATCGGTTGCGTCGGTAAATTTGCAATATAAAGGGGGAGACCTGGAGTGCATGGCAATCTTGACTTAAATCCACAGTTGGCTTGTGGAGACTCTTTGGGCTCCGGAAATCACCCGCATTGGGATGGACTTTTGTAAGTCATCCATCACAAAGCAGGATGTGGATTTGTGTAGGCTTGATGAATCCGGCAGGTGGTACAGACGTAGTACGGAGTACACAATGCATGATATGAAGTCTTTCGCTTAATGCTTAAAAATTGCATGCAAACTACTCGATGCTCAGTAAACTTTGCACGTAATAGAACAGAGTTACCGAAACGGAAAGGCAAAATGTCTGACATTGCGCGATAGTCACAGAGTAAAAACCCCCATGTTGTGGTTTGCAGCGACAAGCATTTTGCATACGGAATACGGAGGAAAATCGCGTTCGTCTCATCTCACCGAATCCGAGGCGGCTCCATTAAAATGTTGGGGCTTTGATCTTCTCCCCCACTCCTGAGGTTGCAACCCGCCGCAATTTGTTCATAAAAGGGGGAGGGGCAAGAATTTTCCGAAATGCCCATGAAAAATTTCTGAGGTGTTTTCCTGGTGAGTGCTGGTCTCCAACATTTTATTCTATAGAGATTTCAATCAGCATGAGAGCCTAGATGGTTTATGGATTAGTCAATCAGTCGGCCATGGACAATCCGAATGAGATTTGAAAATAAAGTAAAGAATCCAAGTGTTATGGGATATGTGTTGGTCCAGTTGAAGTACCTCTGATATGCAAGGTGAATTTCTCTTTTCACAAACAAGAGCAACCGAGTTGAAACATCAACAAAGACATCCTAACTTCCACCAACCACACCTCAAGCAAGCAGGATCCTAACACCGCCACCTGGCAGCCACATAACATCATTTGTACATTAATATATTGCTAGTTTACTCCATTATTCTAGTGGTCTGAAAATGAATCCTCTCTACCACATACTCCCTTTATTCTTGGGTCTGACAATGGGTCCGCCAAGAAGCAGGGTAAAATCTCTGTGCGGCCTGGAGTTGAGTCTGACTTGACAATTAAAAGCGTGCAAACAGAGCAAACAGGCTTAGGAGTGACGATTTTTTAATTTAAAGCATTGTCATACTCGATATATACCTACAATTCAAGAGCTCACGGACGTTGTGAGACCCTCGTGTAGCCTGAATATCTAAGTAAAAAAAGTGTCTCACAAGGCTTAACGAGCACAAATCCAATATCAGTAGGTTCGGACTTCAGAAATCGAAAAGCCGAGCTGGAAATCCTGTCTATTCTACTGGTCAGAACCCCCCAGCGAAGATCTGTCTTGGAGACTCCATTGTCAGTCCAAGAATAAAGGGAGTATCTGCTCTCCCTGCTGAAAAGCAAGACTTCCGTTCACACGGTGACCTCACTCACTGACTCGGCCCCCAGCAACGGAAAACCTCCACCTCTACCCTTAAGCTCAACTCCGCCCCTCCCATCGAAGCCCAAACTTCGGCAGAAGAGACCTCCACATATGACTAGCCTCCATGCCATCAAAACCCTCCACTGCGTTGACTGAAAAGGCGAGATTAATATCGCGCTCTGTTGGATTTAGATTTGGAATTGAGATTGTGATTTAACATAAGGCTGGGCAATGAGGATACATGCTCGTTCTCTCGGTTTTTGCTTTGCTTTCTGGCAGTGTCAAATACGAATGTAGGAATGTGTAACGTAGATGTGGATGATGAGATGAAAATCCAAGATGTAGCTGGACTTCTTTTGCCTTTGGAGCGTACAGGACATGTATGAGTTGAGATTGGAACCAACCTTGGTGGGAGTTGAGGATGGCAATGGAGTTGGACTTGACGTCCGATTTCAGGGCAGTCGAACTTGACACACATTGAAGAATGCGATACTCATGACAAATGAGCAGGCGCGTTGCTATCTTCTTCTACATCAACGTTATTCGTAAGAGGCAGCCTAAATTTACAATAAATGGAGAGAAACGAGAATTGGAAATTTAGTCCGGGACCTAGGGCTTCGCTTTCACAATTCTCTACGTATCTTGCAGCGACTAGACCTCTAGAAACAACGTCACTGTTCAATAAATAATAAGAGACTGTTAATTCCATCGGTATTGAAATTTCCTGCAAAACGATCAGTAGTCGTTCTGAAGTAGGAAGTTGAATCTCAATGACTTCCCATCTGGGAACCATTGCTGGGCACAAAGGAGATCCGCATTCGGTAGGCAAGATGCGGGAGATCCAGAATTTATTCTCATCCGGTCTAGATAGATAATTACAGTACTTGATTCGTATTGTGGAATTCCAATCCTGTTTTTCGAAAAGAGCAACCAAGAATGAGAAATACCTCCCAAACTCGAAACCCCATGTCTAACCGTGAAAAGGCACATAAATGCCCCCTCTCCCCTTGCCCCTTCCCCTCTCCAACAAACACATCATCACATTCTACCACAGGCCCGACAACCAATCCCTATCCCAAGTCTTCCACATCCGACAAAGTTCAAAATACACGAGATAACTCTCCCCCCACCAGAGCGTGTATTTATACACCTCCTCCATCGTTCCTACCACTGAATGATTTACTAGGTAGTAGCTACCTAGCTTCACAGCTAAACAGAAATCGTCCTGTGCAGAGCTAGTGTGATTTAGTTGGTATTTCCATCTCCCATCTCACCCTTTCAATTTCAATTTCATTATATATCTAAATATGCAGGCGGATATATGAAGCGGAAGGGGATGCAGTAGAGGTACATTCATAAGGTAGTGCAGGTTTATATGTATTTGCATTTGTGTTTGCAGTTTCCGACTCGATTCGCTTCGCTTCGTCTGTTTACTTCACCAGAACCGGAACCAGCCTACGGTAGGAGGAACAATGTAACGCTGCAGCACCAAATAACGCACAAGACCTGAAATTCAACTCAAATCATCCCAATCCACCTCAATTCAACTCAATCCAGGTTCCAACTCAGCCAAGTGGAAGTATCAAATCACGCGATCCTCATCATCGCATCAGCACCCCCCTCCCTCCCTCACTCTCACTCACTCACCGACCGCTGTGCCACTCCCACGCACCCACCACCCACCATACCACAGCAACTCCCCCTCTCCCTCCACTCCAGCTACATTCTCAACTTCCAACTCCTAACTCCTATCTCCGGCAATCACATCACTGCCTTAGTAAGGTAGGTACCTAGCCTAGTATCGACAGAACTTCGCACTTTTTCTTATCTTATCATATTATATTATATCCAATAACATGACTTAGTCTTCCTCCAAAATATCCCTGAGAGGCATGGCATAAACACAATTACATTAAGTCGAGATGAGACGAGGTCAGATGCGACGAGATAAGATGCGATGTGACAGGAGGTCGGTAATATATTAATTATGCTGCCTGGTTCATCACTGCCGATGGGTAGGCAGGTACGGAAGTGTGTGAATAGGTATCTATCTATTGCAAAGCTAGTAGAGCAGAGCAGAGCAGAGCAGAGTAGAGTAGAAAAATCAGTCAGTACCTACCTACTCACCTACACAGCCAGACAGCGTAGAGAAGCGTGATTCAATTAATAACATGACACCGACATAACAGGGCAATAAGAAAAGCTGTACTTAATGACAAGAGGGCAAAAACCTTCGAAGAGAAAAGAAAGGAACACTAACTTAATCGAGCCGAGAAATCGAGATGAAGGCCTGTAATTTTGTTTATGAGTGGGGAGAGGGGTTTCCTTATAATTTCTAACAGAGGAAAGGAAAGAAAAAAGAAATCTAGTTCCATAGTCCTCGTTGTATGTGTATACATCTATCTACCAATCAATAGTGAATAGAATCGAAAACAAAACAAGAAACTACCGAGGTATATACATAAGAAAAGAACAAACTCAACTTAACTCAAGACATTTCTCGAGTCATACAGTCCTACCGTGCGTGCATCTACATTCTACATCTACCCCTCTTTATTTCGCATTATAATTTTTCTTTTTCGCTTAGAAGAATTTTAAATTTCAAATTTTATATTCATACTTTAATATATCTCATCCTATCCCTATCCCATCCCATCTCCAATCCCGAGTTCCATTCCCTTCATGCTACTCTGATCCGAAAATTCGATGATCTGCCTGTCTGCCCCCGCTGTCCCCGCTGTCCCCGCTGTACCGCTGTAGCAGTGTTCATAGTAAGAAAAAAAAAAGAAAAAAACGCCAGAAATCCAGAAGCCAGAAGCCAGATCCAATAATTACTAAATCCCATGCCGAAAAGTCGAGTCGAAACGCCACGGCCCAGGTGATATGATATGATATGATATAGTCTGATTTGATTTGAAGCTTTGTATTGTATTGTATTGTATTGTTTGCTTGCTTGCTTGCTTGCTTGCATGTGAGTATAATGTAGTAAGCTGTGATGGGCGACCTCCCGCCCGAACGCCAGAAATAGGTATGATTGCCAAATCAATGCTGCCACCGTCCCCCTTCTTGATTCGTAATGCGTGATATCATTTTTCATGATATCGTGTCGATCTCCGAGGAGTGTCTGATCCGCTGTGATTCAGCGTGAAGAGGACTTTGTATCTGTCTTCTGCATGGTTACCCTGAAGATTGTAGAGCTGGGTGTGTCTCGCCTTGAGCGTAAACACACATATCCAAAATATGCCTTTCTTCGGACCACCGCTTTCAAGCCACAACACCCCTCGCAGCGCCTCCAATACCCCACTTGAACCTCCGCAAACTACCTGTACTTCCCCTCGCAACTTCCCTCCCACATCCCCCTCCTCCACTGGCCATACTCGACCCATTCAATCCAGTCATGGCTTCTCCTCTCCCAACCTCCCGTCCAATCACATACCCCGCTCCAAAGCCCACTACACTGACCAGCACTACCACGCCCGCAGACATAACCCAGGTCAACAAAGTCGGCGAGATCATACTCTCCTCCTCTAGAACCTGCACCCTCTTCTTCTTCAACGCTCTGCTCTTCTCGCCTGCTGGTTTGGTAGCGGCTGCTTTCCGTTTTCCTTTCTCGACTGCCTCTTGGCTCGAGATAGACGGACTGCTTCGTGCGCGGGTTGAAGGGGAAAGTGGACGAGATGTGTTTGCTGCCGCGGTAGGTGGGGCCATTAATTCCGATTCCGGGACGAAGCGTAGACCCATCGGTTCATTGCACGTCATGGTGTTACCACTCTGGTTACGCTTGGGGAGGCCTCGAGCAGCTGCTGCGCCGATGGAAAGTAGGGTATTAAGTGAGGCTCGAAGGGCGGCATCGTGGTCAACGGTATTGTTGTAGACTGAGTGTTGGCGTGTTGTTCGAGGTGGGTATGATTGTCGGGTGTTGGAATGAGGTGGGAAGTAGGAGCCTGGTACACCGGGTCTTTGAGATGGTGGATGGGAGAATGCGTTTGGTTGTGGTGTGAATGCCTGTCCTGCGTCTGTTCTCCGTCCTAACGCCGTGGCATTCTCATCGTCGTCATCTGACTCTGATCCAGACCCAGCATCAAATTCGCGGTGTGATGTTGTAGGTAGAATTTGTTCATTTGAGCTGGTCATTACTCGGTCGGACTCGCTATCACTCTCCTCGTATTCTTCTTGACTGCTTGTACTGGTTTGTCTAGTTTCTAGGCTGATGTATGATGGTTGTCCTGGTGCTCTCCGCCGTCTGCGAGAGTTGGGATCATGTTGTACGCGTAAACCAGTTGTTACTATCTCGTCGCCGATTGATGAGAGGGATGAGGACGATGGTTGAGATGCTATCTCGACCCAGGACTCTGTGGAAAATGCGTTAATTTCGGGACAGTTTGATAAGAGGTTGGTCATACCATCGTTCCGCACCCGCGCAACGCCTGATGGATGTGCCATATCTGTGATTCTCGCAGACCTACTACCAGAAATCTGGTCGCTAGTTTGTTGCGAGAGTATGGTGTTGTTTTGGTGGAAAGGAGCCATGATGGCCTGAGAGGACGGAGGAATCAAGGTGGGGTTGTTGAGCGGTGAGATTGATAGAACCGCGGACTTGGAGCGACGTCCGACTCGAGCGGACCAAGTGAATGAGGCTCTTGTCGGCAGGCGCCCTCGATTATTGTATTATATAGCTCTGACTATCTGCCAAGTCAACAGACCGCTTCTTTGTGGAGGCTGGAGATGCTCTGCTCACTCTGCTTTGTTGTCGACTTGTCGAGGGACGATGCGCAACCAAGGAAGCTGCGGTTGAACTCCGGTCGGAGGGATAAGGTTAACGCCGCGGGGTGGTGGAGAGAGGAGAAGCAGATCAGATTAGATTAGAAGCGAGAGGCGGGGGTGTGAAGCTGTTGATCCAAGGAAATACACATGAAACTGTGAGGAGAATGACAGAGTGAAGATGGGGATATGAAGTGAAGCAAAGAGAGGTGAGGATGTTGACGTGAGCAGCTCTGAGCCAGAATGCGAATGGACAATATTAATGTGAGGAGTGAGTGAGTGAGCCTGGCTGAGGACTCGATAGGTACGGCAATGGGACTCAGCCCAGGCCAACCCCCCGTGCCCAATGAAGCCCCGTACTACTACTGGCCTGTGCTGCCCTGCCCTGCGCTGGCTGTAACTCGTGCTTCTTCTGCCCCTTCTGCCCCTTCTGCCCCCTCGTCGGTGAGTGGTGACACGCTGCCAGCGAATAAATAGCGAATAATGGGCGCCAGTGTTTCGGCTGCCTGATACCGCGATAAGCCTGGATGAGAAGAGATCCCAGCTTGGCACTGAGACGAGGGAGGAGGTGGGAGGATGAGCCTCAAGCCTAGACCAGATTGAGGCCAGAAGTTTACCTCCGTATGATGTGGATGTGGGAGATCTTTCTTATTATGAGATCATGGACTTATACTTTCGTGTCACTCCAATACAGTATCGCGGGAAAACATGCTGCATTCCTTCCGGCACCTCCTTGCTGAAGATGGCATGATATCTCTCTCATTGATACTTATATAAAACTAGGGAGGGATATGTTGTTCACCTGCTCTTCTCGAGTCCTCGTCTGTCTCGAAGAATGACAACTATCCGAACACGGCTAACATTACTTCCAGGTGCAGGAAGCAGCCGCCCAGGGGTCTCATTAGTCTCGTGCCCCATGATACACTGTCATGCATCTCCAGAAGAAGACAAAAAGGTGTCGAATCATTAAGATGATCGACCTCTGTTCCCGTGATTGGATGGCCCACTCCTTGTGTGACCCTCCTCCATGAGTTGATCTTGGAAACCAGAGTCATGTGTATTGATATCACGTGGCACAACAGTCTAGGCCAGGTGCCCACGACTCGTTTCCTTAGGACGAACTAACAGATACACTCAAGGATTCGTTGCATGAAGTTCCATCATAGAAAGCTGAGTTTCCTGTGAGTTTCTACTACCAACAAGCATCAATGCCCAATTGAGCTTCTGACAGCCACAAATCATGGATCAAAGAAAGCTTCAATAGCGGCTTTTGAACAAGACCGATCTCCGCACTCCGAAAATAATATTTATGAGATTCGTCGGATCTGGAAACTAATGATGTATTCAATGTCTCTGCTAAACTGTTCTAGAAAACAAATATTACTGCAGGAAACCCAGCTAGAATTCAGTAGCTGGCCTCGACACCTATCCAAAACAAGGGTCATCCCACTAAGCGAATCCGCACCAGCTCCCCACCCAAACAAAGCTATACCCAAGCATCAACACAGGCCATCAAAGCGCATCCAAGTGTTGAAACAAAAACAAGTCAAATGGGCATGTTTTCTGGAAAAGTGACTTTCCGGTCATGAACTACCTGCCAGTCGCATTACGCATCTCCATGCCTATCTGTCTCCAGGGGCTATGCCCAGGAAGTTAAGGTCAATATCTATGTCCGGTTACGATTCATGTTTACTGATATCTTGAAGCCTGATCTCGTGCTTTTCAATTTTTCTTTCTATAATTTATCTCAAGTTTTCATTTTCCGTCTCATTCTTTCCTGTCTCGTTGCTGTCATTGCAAATTTTCGACTTTTCGATTATTGTTTATTCCACTGTCCTAAGCGAATTCGTCTACTCGTTGACCATTGATACCAACCATCAATATATTCAACATGCAGCTTGTCGATGTCAGCAGCCATGCATTTGCATCCCTCAAATCCAAAGCCGCCAAGGTCCCCAAACTCCGACGGGACAAGAAGACGAAGCAAGAGCCCGAGCTTGAGATCCACGAACCGGTTCTTTCAGAGACTGTGGAGCCAGTAACCGAATCAACACCTACGATTCAACCATTCGATATTCCAAGACCAGTTCATGCAAAGAAGACACAGGCAGATACACCACCAGTGAACGTACCAATACCTGTCCTTCAGCCAATTGATATCCCTAAGCCGGTCCACGCCAAACCAGTAAAGGCAGAGGCAGCTGCGCAGCCAGCTACTGCACCGGCTCCAGCCTCCGCTCCTGCTCCAGCAACAACTGCAACACCTACACTCCAACCATTTGACATTCCCAAGCCGGTTCACGCCAAAAAGGCATCATGGAGAAGCCCCCCCAAGAAAGACAAATCCAAACCCACACCTACAACCACGCAACCAGCCCCTCAGCCCAACGAGCCCAACGAACCCACCCACATCGTCTCGCAACTCCAAACCCTCGCCGCCACAACCCCATCCCCCTACCCACCCCCCTCAACCCACCCCCTCTTCCCCGCACCCCCAACCTACATGCCGCCCACCCTCCCATCCCGCATCAAAACGCACCTCCTCCACCAACTCCCCTCCCACATCCTCTCCAGCATCGGCATCCTCTTCCTCCTACTCACCTACCTCCTCCACACCCTCCGCCGGCTCTTCACCATCCGGTCCTTCTCGGGCCCACAACACCGCCCCTTCGCAGCCGAAGAGTCGCGCCGCGCCGAACTCCGCAAGATCGACGCCATCGCCTGGAAGAAGCACGATCTACAGCGGAAAAGCACGTTTGCTGACATCGCCGCCGCTGCAGACGTAGAAGCCAATGCGGGAGCGGGAGCGGTAGGGGCGCTGGCGAAGGATGGGTATGTGCCTTCTGAAGGAGGGGAGGACAAGTTTCTCGTTGATGTGGGGTATTATGCCCGGCGAGTAGGGCTGGATAGTGAAGAGGTGAAGGTGCAGACTGAGGATGGGTTTGTGCTTGATTTGTGGCATGTGTTTGATCCGAGGGAGTATACGCCGTTGAGTAGGGCGCAGAGGATGGTGAGGGGCCCGGAGTGTATTGATGAGATTAGGGGGCCGAGTCGGGAGGTTGCGGCGGTGAGTGATGAGAAGGAGAAGGGGAAGGAGGGGGAGGGGGAGGCGAATAAGAGGAGGCAGAAGTATCCGGTTTTGATGATGCCGGGGTTGATGCAGAGCTCGGGGGTATATTGTACGGATGATGATCATTCGCTTGCGTTTTGGTTGTGTAAGCAGGGGTATGATGTTTGGTTGGGGAATAATAGGTGTGGATTTGAGCCGGAGCATGTTGAGTTCAAGAAGGGGGATCCGAGGATGTGGAATTGGAATAGTAAGTTTTTACCTGAGCCCGGATCGTTTTCTCGCTTAACCGAGTAAACACACCTCCAACTCCTCAAGTCAAAATCTGAATCTGAATGTTTGAAGATTAAGCGGCTAATTAATTTGTCACAGTCACACATATGGCCACTCTCGACCTCCCAGCCCTAACCGCCCGTGTTCTTTCAGAAACCTCCTGCTCAACGCTCGGTCTAATCGCCCACTCGCAAGGCACAACTCAAACCCTCATTGCTCTCTCCAAACATCAACGACCATCGATCTCTGCCAAGATCTCCGTTTTCTGTGCCCTAGCTCCAGCTGCCGTACGTACTTTCTGTTCTCGTCTACCTTTCCCTGCTATACATTATCTCAAAATCCGAGAGAAATCCCACCACTTATCTGTCCTAAACACCAAGATCCAAATCCAACCCAAATCTCAATCCTGCGATATCAACTTCCATTTTTGCTCCAGCTAACCAATTCCCAGTACACCGGTCCCCTCCTCGACCACCACCCCTTCAAACTCCTCCGCCAGCTCCCCACTCCCCTCTTCCGGCTCATCCTAGGCCGCAAATCCTTCCTCCCCATCCTCACCATCTTCTCCCTCCTGCGGGGGCGACTCCTCCCACACCGCCTCCTCGGAACCCTCTCCTACCAAATCTACGCCTACCTCTTCTCCTGGACAGACACAAACTGGGACTCCGCCCTCCGACACCGACACTTCCTCTTCGCGCCGACACGGATCTCCTCGCTAGCCATGCAATGGTGGCTGTCCAAGCAGGGGTTCGCACACCATGGGTCGATATTGTCGAGCCATGAGCAGGTGCAGAGAGAGGTGGAGGAGGATCTGCTGCAGGATTATTTTAGGAATGTGGAGGGGAGGATTGAGGAGGATTTTGCGACGAGTTTGTTGGAGAAGCATGTTAGGGAGCCGAGGGCGCCGGAGAGCTGGTTTGCGGATGGGGTGGGTGATGGGGCGGGGGGGAGGACGCCGCCGATGGCGTTTTGGATTGGTGGGGAGGATACGTTGTGTGATGGGAGGGAGTTGTTGAATAGGTTTGAGAGGGGGAGGGAGCCTGGCGTGAGGATTCTGGAGGGTGGGAGGAATGTGATTCAGGGGTATAGTCATTTAGATGTGGTGTGGGCTTGTGATGTTATTGAGAGGGTGGGTTTGGGGGTTAGGGATGCGGTTTGGAGGAGTGTAGGGAAGGAGGGGAGGGAGAGGTTTAGATTGCCGAAAGGGTGTGAGGCGGTGGAAGAGTGGGTTGATGATAGGGCTTTTGGGAGTGGTGGGGTGGAAAAGAGAGAAGGGAGTACGGACTTGGAGGATAGTGAGAGTGAGAAGGAGGAGGGGAAGGAAGGGGTTGAGAAGACGGTGAGTGATAAGGAGATGGTTGATTGATTCCAAATATCAAAAATGAAAGGAGTGGACAGTGGAGGTAATAGACTGCCATCAAAAGTAATTTTGTAATGTTGTATTTCGTAGTATCAAAATCATTTCAACTTTTCGAGCTTTATGTGATTATGAGTCGTAACTTTGTTGTCTGCCAGGTTCACAGCCTAATACCTAGGTATATTGCCTCGCTAGAAATACAAATCAGTCTATTGCAGACACCAGTTCAAACGACCGCACTGTAATAAACAAGATCTACTCTAAGAGTTCTCGTAATCAAAGTTCTCAACAGCCAACTAATATAAACGCTAAACATCAAATCCTCCAGAATGCTCCTGTTCACAGCATCAGCTTCACGATCTGCTCGCTGACATGTTCCCGCATCATATCTCTTCAGCGAGGTCATTCCTTAGGATTGTTCTATCTCGACACACCTTCCTCGGATGACAATCTAGGGGATTAATTCTCTCCAATGTACCCATAATTCGCAGTCAATCAAAAGTTCGGCTAGTGTCCGTCCTAGCTGCCCACCTCAGAAAAATCTGTGACCTGCCAGGAGAGAAATTCTAAATCTTTTCCTTGGAGATTGTCCAATGTTGCCATGTTCAACTTTATGCTTGTTAAAGGCGACAGGCGTTGGCATGGATAGCAATGGGGGAGCGAAACATGATCTGGATTAGGACATGCTCTCGTGATGCTTGCGCTAAGTTCCTGTATGCACTTGAGAAACCAAATGGATTGCGTACAATGTAAATCGTATACCTTGGTGAGGACTAGGAGGATGGATATATCTCAACCTTTGAGCCAAGCCATGCTGTGCTCATGTTCGTCATACCACAGAACCTGTGAGTGCGGTCCAAAAAGAATGGGATCATTTCTTCGTGTCTTCATGCGAGACTTTCATGAATTTTGAGGGAAAGGATGTAGCATGCTGAGATTTAAGTAAGAGAAGAGTATACCGTGACGTGATTGAGGCCTGCCATTCATTCGTCATATCAAGGGTAAGCTAACAGCTTTGTCTGTCAATTCTATCTACGCTGCGTTGATGCAGGACTATGTATGCAACGCCATCAAACTTATTATATAAATGGCACGTGAAGACACAATAGTGGAGCAGTCAAGAATATTTTAAAGAAGATTTTATTGTTTGCAGTGAAGAAGCAACTAGTCCAGAGAGCAAGCAGGGTATTACTCACCAATATGGTACAAGGATGCGTAAACAAACGCACCACAAACTATCCATGAGCTACACCTATCCACCATCCCAGCCAAAGAAACCTCGAACTTTTCCCAACCCCAAGTAGACAGAAGACGTTGTAATCCCTCAGTAGCCAAGCCCACATGAAGATCGATCCACTTCTTTATACCAATCTCCATAAGAAGAAGGCAAGTGAAGCTTCATCTCGACTTCGGTATAGCCAAAGAGCCCACAGATCGGAACAGGTCAATATGAATCCCAAACGCCCCACAAATGCAAAGATCGTGTCAAAAAGTATCGGACGGGACAGCCACAAGCCAACAGCCCACTGGTGAAAGTATCTCAAGCCCACAAGTTTGATCTCAAAGCCCACAGCTCCTATGAAGGAGTATAGTCAAAAGAGCCCACAACCCACAAAGCCAACGAAACCCACAGAGTCAACACGCGTTCTCCACAAGGAGATTGTGTGCGGCAGTGCTGACAGGCATGCAGTCCTCATACATGCCAGACTTAGAAAGTCTGCTTCTTGCCCTTGAAGTCACCGAAGCCACCTCTGTTGGTGCTTCCACCACGTCCACCGCCACGGCCACCTCCTCGTCCTCCACGATCACCAAAGCCTCCACGGCCACGTCCGCCACCGCGTCCTCCACGGTCGCCGAATCCACCTCGTCCGCCACGTCCACCTCCACGGCCACCACCCTCACCACGGTCTGGCTTAGGTGTAGCATAGTCAAGTCTGACGGGACGGCCAGCAATATCAGCACCGGTCATAGCCTCGAAAGCAGTCTTGGCATCGTCGATGGAAGAGAAGGTGACATATCCGAAGCCTTTGGGGTTACCAGTCTCCCTGTGAAGATGTTAGATATGTCAAACCGGGGTAGAACGAGAGTACTTACATATCAGTTGGAAGTCTGACATTGATGACAGTTCCGTGCTCGCCGAAAGCCTCACCGACAGTGTTCTCATCAGCATCAAAGGACAAGTTGCCCAAGAAGAGAGTGTCGGAAGGAGGGTTCTGGGAGTCACCATATGCTTGAGCACGGCTTTGAGCGCGGTCTCTGGGTGGTGCATCGGAACGGGGGGTGGAGAAGTCAACATTGGCCTCACGACCGTCAATCATGCTACCCTTCTTGGCCTTGAGAGCGGCAGCGGCAGAAGCAGAGCTGGTGAATTCAACGTAACCGAAACCCTTGGAGCGACCAGTGGCCTTGTCACTGATGACACGGGCGCCAGAGATCTCACCAAACTCCTCGAACTCTCGGAGAAGCCAGTCATCATCAACGTTCCAGCTCAAGTTACCAACGAACAAGTTCTTGGATCCGGTATCTTCAGCAGTCTCCTCAGTCTTGGTCTTCTTTGTAGCAGCCTCGGGCTCGTCTTCGGCCTTGCGCTTCTTGCTTGGTGCAGCCTCTTTCTCGCTCTCTGAATCGCTGGAATCGGAATCAGATCCGGAAGCAGAGTCCTCGGCATCATCCTCGCTGGAGTCGGAAGATTCGGAGTCGGCAGAGTCAGAATCGGATTCCTTCTGGCGCAATTAGCATATGGTTTCATTGGCATGCGACGATGTGATTAACTTACAGTAGCCTTTGCGACGGCCTTGGCAGCGCCGTTCACAGCAGCCTTTCCAGTGGCAGCAGCCTTCTTTGCGACGTCCTTAACGACTGCGGCTGGCTTGCTCTCTTCTTCGGAGTCAGATTCAGAGGCAGAGTCGCTATCATCGCTATCGGAAGCGGCAGCTGACTTGGAGGAGTCAGAATCGGCTTCAGAATCATCATCATCCTCTGAGGAATCAGAGGAATCGGAATCGGCATCAGAGGAGGAGGAATCAGAGGAGGAATCTACCTCTTTCTTGGCAGCTCCATTGGTCTTCCCGTTGGCCTTTCCGTTGGCAACTGGCTTCTTGACCTCAGCCTCGGACTCAGAGTCGCTGGCAGAGTCAGAGTCGGAAGACTCGCTGTCGGATGGGGTGGCCGCCTTGACAACGGCCTTTGGTGCCTTCTTGCCATTGATCTTGGAGGCAGTCTCCTTTGCGATCGCCTTGGATTGGGCTTTGGGGGTCTGGGAAGGCTTAGTGACAGACGCATTTTTGACAACTTTGGTGGGTTTGACTTCAGCCTTGGACTTGCTAGAAGTCTTGGAATCCTTGGTCTTTGCCATTGTGAAGGTGGCGTGGGGGAGAGTAGAAGGATGTAAGTAGAGATATTCGAAGAATGTTTCGAAGATCTGTGGTTTGGAAAGTGAGGAGAGTTTGGAAGAGTCAAAAAGGATGCAGAAAAACAGAAAGCTGGCGGTGGGAGGAAAGCTCTTATCTGGATTTTTTCTTTCCTCGCGTATCGTAGCGCGACGCTAATCTGCCTAGCGCATAAAATGGTGCAGGCGGTGGCGGGCAAGCGCTGTGAGGAAATCAGGCAGGAACGAGGCAGAAACCTCGAATCGTGACAAGCCGAATCGCTGAGCTTCAATTGACAATTCCGAATGCCCTCATTGCGCCTGGAGGTCCACAACTAGACAATCCCACCTCGACACGACTCAATCGCTCTCCTCAGCCCTCTAAACCTCACGGCCAATTACCACAATGGCACCAACTCCCGAATCCGCCGCGTTCCTAGCAAAGAAGCCCACCGTTCCCCCGACCTTTGATGGTGTTGACTACGATGATACGCCACGGTTGAAGCAAGCACAGGATGCTATTATCAGGGAACAATGGGTCAGGAGTATGATGGCGAGATTGGTCAGAGAGGAGATGGGAAAGTGCTATTACAGGGAGGGAGTCAATCATTTGGAAAAGTGTGGTGCATTGAGAGGTAAGCTCTGAGGAACTGGGGAGCGCAGAATTGCAGAATTACACAAACAAAGCTCCGCGAACGAGTTCAAAAAGACATATAAGGCTGATTCATGTGGCAGAACGATACCTTGAGCTGTTGAAGGAATCGAAGATCAAGGGTTACCTATTCCAACAACAAAACTACATCCCAAAGAGCGAATAAGCTGGGCAGGGGAGGATCAAGGGAGTTCGGATGCCGCAAATATGTTGCAAGTGCCATTGAGAGGACACTGAAGCTTTACGTTAGAAGCTGTCTATTCTAGAAGGGGAAGGTCAAGCTATGAATGCTGGGATGCAAGCTTTGAAGACAAACAGATCTTCAATTCGTGCAATTGTAAATACCAAAATCTGTACAACCAAGCGTGAAGACTTCAGAACATTTTGTGTGATATTTGTTTCTAGTCAGATTTCTTGTTTATGGCAGGTCATGCACATAGAGCTTTATTGGGGAGCTATCACCACCACAGGACATGAAGGCTCGGAATTACACCACCACCCATTGAACATGAATACCACCCATTGTTCAATCTTCAACTGTCAAGATGTAGTTTTCCACTTAACAACTATTCGCATATTTAATTTCCACGCTAGACCATTACATGTCCAGTCCATGCGAATCCAAGCTAACAAACATATCTGATATCCACAGCACAACCTACGCGGCCCGGCCACCGTACAAAAAATATCTCGAGCTTCAAGCACCACCCAAACCACAACATCCTCCCTCCCGAATCCCAATTCCCAACCACAACTGCAACAATGATCTGCACACGCTGTCTCCGGCTCTCCTCTTCCTCTATACGGACCCAATCCCTCTCCAAATCCTCATCCACCTCCCTCCTCCGACAATTCAGCACCTCCAGCGCCCGCTTCACCACTCCAAGTCCCTCCTCTCCATCCCCAGCAGCAAGCACACTCCCCAACCTCAGCACACCACTCTCAACAAGCGGGGCAGCGACATCAACAGGAACAGCACCAAAGAAAGGCCCAACAATCATATCGAGCTGTCCGGCTGGCACCCCGCTAAAGGGAATAAATTATCTGAAAGGAAGAGACGACCCTGTTGCGCTGGCTGAGGAGGAGTATCCGGAGTGGTTATGGACGTGTCTTGATAAGAAGGTCATTGAGGGGGACGAAGGGGGGGCTGTTGGTGATGAGTTTTGTGAGTTTTCTTTCTTTACATGGTAACATTTTGTTATCGGTGTTTGGAGAAGAGATGAGATTGAGGTTGGATTTCGAATTGGAATCTGAGCTGGGAGGAGAGGATGATTGCAACTGAGACTGTGGAGAAGTCATTCGACTGGATTGGTCTGAATCGAAAGCTTCTTCCTTCAGCTGGCTGGTCTTGGGCTATTGAATTGGAGACGGAGGAGATCATGGGATCCAGAAGGCATGAGCAGAAGTGCTGCTGTGGCATTGTCACATCCTTCCGTGCTCTTCAATAACTGAAATCCCCAATAACCCCTCCCACTATCACTTCTCTCTGCCCTGGCGCATCCTATTCAAACCTTTATTTTCTTCCCAAAAAACTCAGCAGCTAACACCTCCTCCTTAGCCAAATCCGCCAAACTCCGTCGCAAAGCCGCCAAACGGGCCCGCAAACTCGAAGCCATGCGCCTCGCAGCCGGCGAAGCCGCACCCGAAGCTCGCATTCCTCTAACACAGCAATCGATTGACTTGCCTTCTAATAGTGAGGGAACAACGAAGGGTGCTCTAGATGCGGAGGACAAGAGAGAGGAGTTGAGGGGGGCGATGAGGAGGGAGAGAAGAAAGGGGATTAAGGAGGCGAATTATTTGAGGGGGATGTAGTAGGGTTGTTGCTGAGGGCTTGTGCTTCAGGGCAGGGAGAGAACTGTATGGTTTCATGCGTGGATGTTTGGAGGTGTGGATGGGTGTAGAGGCGTTCTTGTATGATGAACTTAAGCTCTAGCTTGGGAGGGCTTTAAAGGCTCACTCGAGCGCAGTCGAGCTGGTGGAGAAGTGCATGAGGAGAGAATTTGTACATGTATAGATGGTGTAGGAATACTACCTATGAAAGGAAGAAGTAAGAGGGCGGAATGTTGTACAATACCTACATATAGCATGATGTCAACTCAAGTCGAGTCAAAATCAGAAGAGTGTAAATTTGAAATAGCTGACATTTACTATACCAAATGACGCTTTTTATCTCCAAAATGGGTCACCCAAGACCATTGTATTTACGTGCAGTCCTCACAACTCTCGGTTCCTGTGCAGGATCGAATCCCAAGTAAGCAACACTAGACCGATGCTCCGCTAACATAGGTATCTGAAATTTCCAAGAAATATGCCCATAATGAACTCACTCTGCACTATTCTTGCCTCTCAGCAGTTAAGTGATTCCCACCCACCTCACAAACAAATCTTTGGGCGAAGCTCGAACCCTTTCATCCTAACTCCACGTTCCACCTTCCAAGCCGAATCACCTCCCATAGTACAGAAAATAATCAACCGCAACTCTCAGATCATCAGCCCTCACATCATCATAGAACAACGGATCAATCCCCAACCCCGGCTGACGCAGAACCACTATCGGTCCCCTCCAATCGTGAGTCATCTCTCCTTTCGTAGTCTGTCTCACACAAACATTCGGCGTCGATCCATCAATCAGAAAGGCATCTCGACAAATCACCTGAACAGTATAGCTAAGATCGAATCCACGCAGTGCATTCCGCTGTATTGGCTTGAACTCCTTGCCACTTTTGTATTTAGGATCAGTGTCCTCGACGCTGAGAACTGCTTCGGTATTCGGCACCTCGTATGCCATCCCATCGTCCTCGTCGACTCGTCGTTCGCACTCGATCCAGATCAGAGTTGGATCTTTGGAGTCAACTGGGAAGAGAATGGCGAGTTTGTGCGAGGGTGAGGGTCGTGCTGGGAGGGAGGTGAAGGCCTTGCAGATTGTCTTGTGGAGAGGCCAGTCGAGTTTCTGACAGGCTGGAGAGCAGTATGCACTTGAACGGCATGTTGAGCAGAACTTGGTGTTGGACGAGTTACAGACTGAACACGTGGGAGTTGCCATCTGGTGCTAGCTCGTTGGTGTGAATAGAGGGGACAGAGAGGTGGTAGTATATTTCAAGATGTCAAAGGCGAGGAGCTCAGCTGGAAATGGTGCGGGGTCGTGGTTACACGAACCTGTTGTCGTGACTCAAGACTTTTGGAAGAAATTTGGGGTCTGGTTATGCGCTCATTCACAGGTTGAGATGAATCGTAGTGACAATTGTACAGGCCTCGGTAGTTCAATCTAATTGAGGGTTTGCCGGAAGAGGCTTTGCGCAACGGAGCTCGCTTGCGACTTTGAGAATGTAAACACATCAAGTGTAGAGGTTGAAAAAAGTAAGGAATAGACGCACAATACTTGAGGTATGACTGGTTCTATTAACGTATGTGTGAAGATTGCTTGTGTACTTTCAAGGGATCCCTTTGTTCTCAGCTCACAAAGACGGACGCTCATCTCTATCATTTGCATTTGAATGCTACCTTCTGGCTAGCCTTCCTTCTTGTGCTCTAAGCTGGTAATGTAGAGTATAGCTTCTTGTAGAAACCGATCTCTTTACCATATTTTGACTTTGCAAGTCATGGCCCCCTATACCTAACACCATGCGATTCATTGAACGCCCAATAAAGCCTTTAGTCTGACATAGCACGCCTCTCTAATATCTATCATACACTTTCCCTCTCATCCTCAAGCCTCAACCTCCAATCCATTACTCCCCCTCACCCTCTCCAATCGATGACTTCTTAAGCTGAATCTCGTTCTTAAGATTCCGAATCGTGCTATCCAAGCGAGCCTTAATAATGTGATTACTAGCCACCGCGCGCTTCGCCAAGTTCTCCGCAAGCGTCCTCTCCATCTCCGCAATGTCCTCCCTAACACCCGCCATATTCGCCATCCTCTCCTTCTCCTCATCGTCCATCTCACTGCCTTCATCGTCGTCATCGTCGTCGTCCTCGAAGGATTCGCCGCCGCTGTCTTCTTGGTTTTCGGTGTCGGCTCCGGGGAGAATGTCGCCGGTTGCGGGAGTGGCTGCGACAGTTGACATGGGCGTGGCGGCTTCGAGTTCTTCTTCGTTCATGTTCATTTCTAGTGCGGCCTCGAGGTCAGCTTCGAAGTCGATGCCGAACTGGGCGTCTATATCGCCATCCGCGTCTGCATCACCGCCGAGTTGAGAATTGAAGTTGGCTTCGGCGTGAGTAGCACCAGATTGACCGTGGTTCTGTGTAAAGTACCCATCGTCTTCCTCTCCCTCAGCATCCTCGTTGTCATCCTCTTCCTCATCTTCTTCGTCCTCGGAGTACTGCTGTGCTTGGCCATATCTAGCTGGTGTACTTCCATCCCGGCTATACGATTGACTTTGCTGTCTCGCATTTGGATCGAAGACATGATACTTTGAGACTGTGCACTTTCTGTCTGCTTCGAGTAGTCTCTGAACCTCTCTCTCGGTCTTCTCAATCTCATCTCTGTGTATACGCTTTCTGAATCGACGCTTGCGGCAGTTGTGCATGGGAGCGGTAAGACCGTGGGGGTATTGGTAGTTTGAAGGGTCGATGATGGATGGTAGAGGAATGGTTTTGGCTTCTTGTTCGTCTCTGACTCTTGCGAAGACCCACAACATCTGACAGATGTCGGCACTCTTCCACCAACCCCTCTTGTCCCAACTCTTCATTCCTTCGGTAATCGTTGGAAGGTCAACGAGGGTTGATGCATACCAATTTCCGCGAACTTGGAGAGCTCCCCGTCGTCCACTGTCCTCATAGAACTTCATTATAATCTCCGCACCACCGCTACTCTTTGAGATGCCAATCAACTTCTTCTCGATACAGTATTTGACATACTCGGCATCGTCACCAGGAACCATTCGTAGAATGAACTGTTCCTCAATATGTGGATCATCTTCGCGGTCACTAGCTTCCGAATCGTAGCCATCTCCGGGAGGTCGGGGGGGCTTCTTGCCCTTAGGTTTTATTCTAACGCTGCCAGTGGAGAACGGAGTGGCGGGAGTCTTTGCAACCGGAGTCTTAGAGGTTAAGGAGAGCTTCACACCCTTAGGTTTCTCAAATCCGCCCGTGTTCAGCTTCAATTTCTTGGAAGGCTGTACGACTTGGATAGTAGAGCCATCTGCGTCGCTTCCATGATCATCCTCCTTTGCGCGCTTTTTGCTCTCGAGTAGCTTCGCGCTGGGTTTGGGTGGTCGACCAGCCTTGCTCTTTTTCGGTTTGGCTGGCTCGACAGCTGCGGTTGGAGTAGGTGGTACTGATCCGCTCTTTGTATTGAACTTGATTTTGAGAGCGCTCTTCGTAGGAACAGGGGCTGGACGAGCTGGAGCTGGGACATCTGAGGGTGGTGTACTTTGTGATGGGTGGCTTTGTGTGCTCTGCGATGGGCCATTGAAGCTCTGAGAGGATGAGTCAAGGCCTGGAGTCGGCTCCTTCTTCGTACTTTTCGTAACAAACTTCAATTTTGTAAACGGATTGCCGCTCATTTTGGGTGTATTGTCACCGCGCAAATGCGACGGTGCTGTAACGTGGGTTGCGCTCTTTGTGGATGTAGGAGGAGGAAGAGTAGGGCGTAATATCGCAAGCTAATCGGTGGCGGGAGTCGATTCGTTGGAGCACATCGATCGAGTAGGTAAGACCGCTGTGTTTTGAATATCTGGGAGGTCGCTGGGGAGTTGTTGGGAGGAGAGATCGAGGTTGGGTTTCTGCGTATGGTGTGGAGTTGTAAAGTATGGAGTTGAAAGAGCGCGGGGAGACGCGGCTGGAATATTTCGATACGGCGGCCTTCAGAGACCCAAAACGCCACTGAGTTTAAAAGTGAAGTCCAGAATGCTACATCAAATATACGGACGATTCACGCCCAGCTTTCAGATCGTCCACCTCTACGGCTCCGTATATCAGGCTCGGTCATGAAGTGTTCTACATTCTCAATTCCTCGTCCCTGACCAGCGCACCCAAGTCAAATCCTCCTCCGACAAGACAATGGCAACTCCTCACGCGCTTCACCACTCTCTCCTCCGACCCTGCGTTCTCCATATCCTCCGAGCAGCAGGTTACCATTCTACGCGCCCGTCAGTCCTAGATACTCTCACCGATCTAGCGGCGCGATACATGTTCCTCCTGGCCCAGACTACGGCGAATCATGCCTCCCTGAATCACAATGCGCCGGAACTGTCACTCGAGATCGCAGTTCAAGATGTTAGGATGGCAATGCAGGATTGTGGAGCTCTAGGACCCGAGAAGACATTCGAGGAGCAGGAATGGGAAGGTATTGAGGATACAAGAGGTATTGATGCGTTCCTGGCGTGGGCAAGAGGACCAGCGAATCGTGAGATCAGGAGAGTTGCGCTTGAGGGTGCCGAGGGAGCGAAAGATGATTATTTGGCAGGTTCGTTGAAGCTTCTTTCAAGCATTCTAGAAGTTGTTACTGACAATAGACAGTACTCAAACAGAAACATGCCGCTGCGGACGAAGATACAAGATATACTGGTACTCTCCTGGGTAAACCAGCAGAGCTACGGGCAGTCAAAGTCGAGGGCGGGGAGATCTCAAGCGTCAAGGAATGGGCTGAACGACTCCAGAAACCGGCTGCGAGCACGTCGATACAGTCTTCTCGGCGGCAATCGTCTGCTCTCAGTTCATTAGACGACACGATGGAAGATATGGATTTCTCGACATGACGGTTAATTGCATCACGATGCATTGCGCGGCGTTGGGCGGCTGGGCTAGGTTGGGACAGGATGGTATGTGTACAATATCTGGAAATACCCTCTATAAAACGAGATACACGGGTTACTTTTTTAATCCTTCCCAATCATACTTTACTACAACAATTTATCCTTCAGTCCCTGGTATGTGTTCCAATTTCTCCACGCCTTATACACTGTTCAAGCTTTCGTTAGCAACTCTTCCCCCCGCTCCCCCATCCACACTCTCCCCCTCCCTCCTCGCAGCCTTGATCTCCTCCCTAGCACCCTTCTGCTCCTCCTTCTGCCTATCCAAATCACTCGTCAAACTCCCCTCCTCTCCCCACCCCGCAATCTTCTTATTGAACTGCGCATTCATGACTTCTCCTTCTCCAGGGGCGCGCATCTGCTCGCCGTCGAGATCTTCTTGCTGTGGCCCGATCTTGGAGCTGGATAGGGTGGCATTGCTGTCGTCGGCGTTGTCTTGAGGATGGTCGCCGTGTCCGGCTGCGGTGGCGGATCCAACTGAGGTTGCGGGCGTGGCTGTTGAGGAGGACTTGCTGTCTGAGGGACCGAAGGTTGTGCCTGCTCCCCGGGCGGAATTGAGGCTAGATTGGTCTTGGGAGGCGGACATGGTATGATTTGAAGTTCGTATGAGTGAGGTAGCTGGAGAGAAGTATGCTCCTTGGTTCAATGGAGTTGGGGTAAAAGAAGCTCGAGTTGAGGCTTCGAGGTTTTGAGGGCTGGGATTTGCAACACAGGTATTTTCAGTTTTCGTTTATATCAATTCAAATCAAATCAAGTTTAAGTTAGGAAGAGCTCTAGGACAAACTGTCAAAAGTAGCAAGGCTTCGGTTTGCACTGCGTTCATTGCGAGCTAGATGGATGATCCCCCATCAAAAGTAGGTGACGTCGACGGCTCGAGGCTGGCTCATCAACTCGATGATGCGGGTGCCCCGCCCCACCTGGTCTACAGTACAGTACTTGTCAGCCTTGTTGATCCACTCCAATCAAGGGCTCTCGGCTATTATTCCTCGAAAGTAAACAATTCTCTTGTTCTTGTTACATTATCTCCGAGTTCAATTTATAGCTTTAGAATTCTTTGCCTAAATATCGTCGTTTTCGATACATCCTCTGACCTGAATTGCGCCTCAGTCTCCATCTTCGTTCATCTCCTCATCCTCTGGAGATAGCGTATCCCCAGCTGCCACAAGCAGCTCAGCAATATTATCATAACCACAAAGCTTCGCAAGATCAGCCGCAGTACAGTTTCCTCCACCCTGGCCACCAGTAGTCCTCTTATTCAAGGATGCAGGTTTCCTACCGTCCGGATTCAAAAGCACCTCAACAACTTGAAGATGCCCATAATTTGCCGCAAAATGTAGAGGTGTCCATGAACTATCATCGACAGCTTCGATATCCGCACCAGCTTTCAGAAGCTCCCTAGCACATTCATCCTTTCCTTTGAAAGAAGCCATATGTAAAGGCCGTCTCCCATCGAAGTTTCGGGCTTCGATTTCCGCCCCAGCTGAGATGAGAATATTGACCGTCTCAGCATTTCCATATCCAGCTGCGTTATGCAGTGGAGTGTACTCATCGCCATAAGAGGTCCTGATATTGACATCACATCCCCTTTCGATCAAGAACTCGCACATCTCCGCCTGTCCTCGAGTCGCTGCTACCATGAGCGGTGCTTCATTAGCCAGCAAAGCAGATCCAAGATCCGCCAGCCCCATGTCCAGAATGACTTTTGCGGCTGGGACATTCCCTGAGCTCAGGGCTACAAGAAACGGAGTTCCCTTCTTTCCAAGCTGTCGATTTGGATCCGCGCCAGCTTCGAGTAGAATCCGGACATTCTCCTCGATGTTGTCCATAAAGTACTTCTCTTCGCAAGCAGCTGACAGAGCCGTTCGTGCATGAGACCAGCAGTCCGGCTGATCGATTTGGGCATCGACATCTGCACCCTTCTCAATCAGCAGTCTGAGAACATCTGGATTTCCAGTCCCCGCGTAATGAATCGGTAGATGGCCTTGTTTCTGCTTGACATTCAGGGAAGCAAGTCCCTCCGGCCACTCCAGCAAGGTCCGACAAACCTCCAAATTCTTCCCCAGCACACCACAAGTCAGCGGCGTGCCATCATCGATATCGAATGAATCAACCTTCGCTCCTTTCTCAAGAAGCAGCTTCACCACATCAGCACGCCCAGCAGTGGCAGCTACATGCAGCGGTGTGCTGAACTCTCTAAACGTCCCGCTCTTGAACTTCCCGCCTGTCAGACCAGACAACAGTGCCGCCAACCCATGCTGATTCCCACACCCACACCCCTCATCATGACTCTCCGGCTCTTTATTATCAACGTCAATTACCGCACCAAGATCAATCAGCCTTTCCACAGCATCTGGAAATCCTGCTCTAGCAGCATAGTGCAGAGGCGTGTTGCCGACGCAATCATGAGGATTTAGATTTGCGCCGTGAGAGACGAGCAGTTTGATGATTTCTATCTTGGAGCCGGTGGAGTCGTCGTCCCAGCTTTGAACGGCCTTGTGGAGTGGTGTCTCGTTGGTTTCTCTTGTGGTGGCGTTGATGGAGTAGGATGAGGTGGAGAGTATGGCTCGGATTTTGGAGAGATTGAGGGTGTCGGCGCCGGCGTGGAGGGGTGTCCAGTTGTCTGAGATTTGCCAGTCTTCTGTTACTGCGAAGGAGGAGGCTATTTCTGTGTCATCTGGTTGAGATGAGATATTTGGAGGCACCCCGTTCGCTTGTTCGGGTTGGTCTGACATGATGATAGTCTGGTTATGAATTTTGCAGCAAAACACTTCCTGAGACTTGGTTGTCTCTAAGCTGGATGTAAATACAGGGAAACACAATCAATTATATTTTTGAAGTCTCAATTTGAAGTTCTAAAAGTAATGGGTTCTAAACTCGCTAGTGCAGCTCGACACGAGGAATCCTTTTTTGTGGCTGTGGCTGAGGCTTCCGCTCTCGCTACACCACTCCGGAGGCTTGCATAGCCAGGCACCAGAGGTACTAACAGCCAATCAGAGAAAATGAGAACTCTTCTGTGTGACTTCACGCGTCTATTTCTATCTCATGGCTTTTGAACCCTTTCTATCGCTTCTCATGTTCCACAAGTGGTAGGTTATTTCTTGGTACCGACTCAGAGGGTAATCTTACCCAAGCCAAGCGAGGCCAGTCAATGGACGAACGGTAATTTCAGTGCACTTATTATGCCACTTGCTTTGCTCTTTTTTCGCTATTCGTTTGAAGCTGCTCTATTTCCTCTAATCTTCTCCATACAAGTCCTCAACAGAAGGCTTTTTCGTCTTTAGCTCTCCACTTTTTGACTTCTCTTCCGACTTTTCCACCACATCTACCTTCTTCTCATCCAAAGCCTCCTCTGACTCTTGGGTCGTTGTCGTTATATCTTCCTTCTCTTGAGCATCCTCTCCTTCTACCAGCTCAAACTCTTCCCCTTTCGCCAGAGCGTCTATTTTCTTTTCTCCTCCTTTGAGCTGAATTGGCAAGGCTGGAGATCCGAGAGTGATTGGTGAGGCTAGCCTTAAAATCTTGATTGGCTCCGGGGAATGTGAAGCTTTCGAATTTGGTGAGGTTTTGTCTGGACTTGACGCCGTTTCGGTATCGTCCTGAATAAGCTCTTTTGGTGATGTTTCCGGCGGACTAGTGCTGGACGTCTTTTTCTCGTTTTCTGTGTCTTCCTTCTTCGACTCTGCACTCACATCCTCATTCTGCTCTGAAATTTCAGCGACTGGCGTCACATTCTCAGCCTCAGTTTCAGTCTGAGTCTCATTCTCACTCTTTTTCCTCGACAGCCTTGGAATCGCCTTCTCCGGCAATACGCTCCTCGGCATCTCTCCTAACTCGCTCCAGACACCATATTCTTTGACCGCCTTCCCCAACCAGACATACGCACTATCCGGATCCTTCAAATACTCAATCGAGCACACGTCGATGAAACCTTGTCTGGAAATCATCGGCATATTGGCATTAAAGCGCATCGAGTTCCGGATCTTGCCTTCGACAGCGGACTGTGGTCTTTCGGTAGGGGGCTCGGCGGTCTCGTGGATGCGGACACTGAGGTAGTGCGAGATGACGAGGTCGCTGAAGTAGAGGCTTAGTTCGAGGTCGGCAACTTCCTTGCTGTGCTCGCCTTCTTCGCGGTCGAGGGCGATTTTCCCTGAGAGGTATCGTGTCAGCTTTTCTCCATCTCACAACGGCACCAGTCAAATGTCTGCTACAAAGGTTCACTTACAGATATTTGACTCCACACAGCCTTGAGCTTCCAGGAATTTGGAATATGTCTCTGGGCTTAAGAATCCTGTATGTTCTGGATCCAAACGGGAGAATATCGTGCTCATCAACGCAATAAATATCGGCGCCGGCGTAGCGTCTTCCTCAAACATCGCTTCCCATTTCTCTGGCTGTGGGTAGGACGGAGTTGTCGCCGCCTGACTATCCACCCTCTCAACACCCCTCCGAATGGATTTCGGTGGCGAAGGCGGGAGAACAGCCTCTCCCGACGGCGAAGATCCCTCAGTCTTGCTCTCATTTTCTGTAACTGCAGATTTCGAAATCCCAGTTACATCTACAGGTTCGAACGCCCCAGCTTTCGCCTTGTCATTGTCATTCTCACTTCCCTTCCTTGATAGCATGCCCTTTTTCTCTAGCGGCGCTTTCATGATATTCCACAACGCACCCCAATTAGCTGCACCAAGCGGCTCCTCTCCTTTGCCTTTTCCCTTTCCCTCCTGGCCCGACTCATCATTGACAGTTGATCTCGGTCTCGGCGGCAACGCAGGTGGTGGTCTTGGCGCAAAGCCAGGAGGGAGAGGGACTACCACGCCGGACTGCTTAAATACCATTGTCGAGTGGGAGTCGCCATGGGGTCTGTTGAAAGACTTGATGACGTGGCAGTTGGCGCAGAGGTGGTGGTTGGGACAGCTGTGGCAAGTTACGCGGGCGAGATGAGGGGGAATAGGATAAGTGCAGCTGTTACAGTTGTAGAGCTCTTTGGGTTGGGGACTTTCTGCCATTTTTGGGAGATATTGGTGCTGTAGAATATCTGAACAGATATTTTATAGCTTTCTCGTGCAAGATAATAACAATGATTAGAAAAATAAATGAGCTCAGAGGTCAGAGCAATGAATTCTAAAGATACCTTCTGCCGCGTTTCCCTCACGTTACAGATTAGCCTTGCCGAGCTTGTAAATGGAAGCTTCATCCCTGTCCACCCACTACTCAGAAGAGAGCTGTTGGTTGTCCAAGCGGGGGTATCAGATTTGTTATGTACAGTAGCAAAGACATGCAGGGCAGTTTGGGTGGATTTTTAAGCATTTTTGACGTGGTGTGTGAAACAGAGATCGTGCTCGAGATCTGAGCGGGCGGATGTTGCTGAGTCCGCTCTGATTGAGGGTTCGTTTCGGAATTTGGAATTAAGCGAGTCAATAAAGCTAACTTTGTGTGGGGGGTTGAATAGACATTATGACGGGCACGACCGAACAATCTCCCTGGTCTGTACAAAGATAGGCAAGAAGATGAGGGGACTCAGCAAAAATACCCTGAAACATTAACCTTTTGCGTTTAACCTTACTTCCTTCGTATGCCAAATGAATGGCCATTTCCACCTTTTAATAACATCTGCATAAACGAAAGAGCAAGAAATTGATAGACAATTACATTACTATGCGGTGTATCTGGACATCATGTGCACCTGATGCTTTGTCGCAAGTAGGAACGCACATTTCATCACTATAGATTGGAGAAAATGAGATTTACATGATCGTAAACATTATCGATTGCTCTTCTATTCTTCTATTTTGCTACACGACGAAAACCCGAACCTCAAACAAATGTAGATACAGTTGACAAGTTACTCCTCGAGTAAGCGTGCTCTTTAGCCCATGGCTTAGGACTCCTGCCCCTACTAACACTCCTTGGGCGGTTTGCCCACAAAGGCAGATTTTCATTAGAGCCGTTTGGACTCAAGCCACCTGGATTTCCGAACCCCTGAGGCGATGTCGGACTCTTCGGTGGATTCCCAGCTGGTGAATTACCCCATAAGGATTCTCTGATGGAGTTGTTATCGTCGTCGTTGGCACTGGAGAAGGACGTTCTACCAGACGATGGCCGGGTACGAGACCACATGGCCGTTGGAGCGATGAGGGTCGTGGCGGGGGAGAAGACCTCGTGGTGTCCTGAGCTGAACTCTTCCATGTCTTCGCCCTTCTTCTGGATGGATGTACATTTTCCAATCCACAACATCTGTTCATGCTCACGGAGATAGCGCTCACCACTAAACGCCTTTTGCACAATATTGCGTGCCATGAGACCGAGCTTTCGTCTTTGCGTTTTCTTCTCGTACATACGTGCTGTGATGATAGCCACGTCTTCTGGACCTGGCTTGAATGGTAATACGGGAGCTTTCTCGCCGGGCTTGTCGTCTGCGTACTTAGCCCACTCGCCTATCATTGCTAAAATGTTGATTTGGGCTCGTGCAAGTGATTGCGCGTCGTTAGGAGCAACAACTTCACTGAATCGTGAGCCGTCGTCTTTGTCTGTGAGGACTCGCAAAGAGGCTCCCACGTCAGTACACACGACTGGAACTCCAGTAAGTGCTGCCTCTCCTAAAGCGAGTGGAAGTCCTTCGGAGACGGAAGAATTGAGGAAAAGCCACTTGAGACAAATTAGCAGGGCTTCAATGTAAGCGAGGAAGGTTCGACGTACCGATGTGGCGAGAACAGTCTTGGGGTCTGATGTTCCCATGAGTGTCAGATTTTCACCAAGGGACTTCGACGCCAGGATCTCCTGACATTCTGCTGAATACACTGGATCCTTGTCCAAAGCACCATAAATATGCAGCTGATAATCCTTGAAACCCCATTCATTGACAATGACATTGGCTGCCAAGATAGCTGTCTTGATATCCTTTGCGAACCAGACGTGGGAAAGCATAGTGACCGTAGGCTTCTCCGTTGAGATATCCGCTACAGGCGAGAATTTCTAAACTCGATTAGCATGTTATGGAATCATCTGCAAAGAAGACTAACCTTCATATCTGGAATACCGTTGACGACGGGATCGATTTTACGAGCGAATTTCCTGCGATGCTCTAAATTGCCGTAGTGCGATCCCACTTCGATCTCCCACCCAATGTTGAAGAAATCAGCGCAGGGAAGAACTTGATCAGCATGGTGCAGTGCCAGGACAGCAGTGACCCTCATTAATCCTAACAAGGAATTTCGCACGAAAGGCTGGAGGACACATAATGCAGATGACAGGTAGAGATTCGTCTCACGCCAACTGATTGCGTGATCCCAGATTTGAAGTGTGCAGTTGCGCTTCATCTTGCAAACAACACCGTAAGATGCCGAGACACTGTGATGTGAGGCCTGGAAAACTGCCGGGATTTCTTCTGGCACGGGAATGGAGAAGATGAAGAGATCTGTGAAGGTTAGCAGTGGCATCTTCGTTCATCGGGTCGACTTACATCTGAACCACAAATCCATAGCTGCGTCGAGATGACCTAAAGTAGGCAATTCGGTTTCGAACCATTCGGAAGGAGGTTTGGTGTTCGGCAGTGTCTCAGACAGCCACAGATTTCTCCATGCATTCTTGACAGCGTCACTTGTCCACACTGAAGCCCAATGGCGAGGTCCTTCAAAGTAGGTATTGAGATCCACGAGCGCTCGTGTCGCTTGATGGATATCACTTGCAGAGAGTGTCTTCGCGCGCGCAGCTTTGACGAGTGCAGTCAGAGCTGGAATGAAGGTTTTCTGGATGTCTTCGAACTTGGCGTTTCTGGCGACTGGATTGACTTCGCTGTCTAGCTTGTTATGGAACACACTGCATTGTCAGTACTTGTAGAGATGGATGGGGAAGGGTCGACAAACCCGTGAACTGGATGCAAGAAATCCAAACCCCAGAGTGGGACAACCTTCAACGACTGCACGTTCTCCTCGATTTGATGTTTGGGCTATATCTGGTTAGCACGACTGGTATATTGCGAAGGATTTCGATACTTACCAAGCCGAAATCGTTGGCACTCTCCACAACCATATGCCACTTGATAGACTTGAGGTTGTTGACCATATCACGACGACAAGCAGAGACTCCGCCACCTTCGTTAGGCCAAGTCCCAGTATCGACAGCCATGACGTGCAGATTTTCACTCGTATCCTGCTGCAAGGTTTGACTTCTGGTGAACATCAAAGCATCTCCTCCTTGACCGAAGCCATGAAGATCTCCAAGTTTGATAGCTAATGGAGTCCAAGAACTGATATCGTTTGAAAGCTCGGAGCTGGCCATGATGGCGTCCGTGTGCATGATCAAGTATCCTTCGGCACCAGTCAATGCACCGCGATCTCTCTTGAGCCAGTAGGGCTTGAGTAAAGGCTCTTCGCGTAGGAGTCGTTCGTCGAGGAATCGGGTGAGGACACCGTCGAAGTACTTGTCGTTCTTCCAAGCCCTCCAAAGTTGGGATCTCGCGCGAGATGTTGAGATGGGTGAGCGCTTCACGTTTAACCGGAGTTGTCGCGAGAAGAAATTTGTCTTCAGAGAGGGGAAGTCAAGGAGTGGGTTGTCCATCCTGAAGTTGCAATTGGTAGGCTTCTTCAATACTCCGAGCCAATCTTCCATAATCAAGTCTGGAGTATCACATCTTTGACCATTCAACATAGTTGTAATCGTTGGGTGATGCTGATGATCGTAGAACCAAGTACTCTCGTAGACATCCTCGCCACGAACAAAGGTGGCTTCCGTAACGCGAGAATTGGGGATCCATCTCTCCATCTTGCCTGGGTGACGAGCTGGAGGAGCACACCAATTGATGTTGCAAGTGACGTGAGGGAAGACGAACTCGGCTCGGAGCAGCTCATCGTCGAACTGAGCGTTCTTCCTGTAGTGGTATTTGAATCGCACCAAACTTTCCGTGTCTTTGAACACATAGCTACCAGATTCGATGAAGCCCTTTTTGTTGAAGTGCACTGTCTGGAACTCGTCTTCTCCTGTAATACATGTGCGAGAAAGTGGAATGCGTGGATTACGATTCTTTCTCAGAACACCTCCTGTGATCTTGTTCGCGTACTCATACTGGTATTCGTTCTTCAGTCCATCTTTGCCATACACTTCTCGAGACAGCAGAAGCATGTTTGCCGAGAAATGGCTCACACCCTGAAGGTCAACGGATCCTTCAGGCTCTTTGTCGAGAAGCTTTGCGTACTTGCAAAGCTTGAAGTCTTTCTGTGGTCGGATGTGAAAGAATGAAGTCGATGTATCATCAAGACTCTGGATGATAAGACGGTTCTTCTTCAATGAGTAAACGGTACCTTTAGTGCCATCCCAGGTCTTTTGGGCCTTTTCTCGATTGTGGAACTAGACATGTCAATCAGCGCGCGGTTAAGGAGAAACGGGGACAATGGGCATACTAAAAACCATGGCAGAAGTATATTCTGCGCATTCTTTGCAATGATCCATGTTGTTGAGAGAAGAAAAGTTGCCACATTGGAGAAGATCTGCGATCTCACTGCAAGCGTAAACCTCAATTCTCTGTGGAATTCTGGATCTGCCACCAGGGAAACGATGAAGAACTTGAGCCAGACGCCTATCCCATGATAAATGCCGAGCAAGGGACTTGTGATGTACTTCTTGTATGAAGTAGGTTCGGCATCGAATTGGAAATCGTCACTGTTCGGAGATTGGATATTCCTCCGCAGCAGTCCGGCCAGCTTTTCGAGCGAATCCTCTGATTTTAGGGACTTGAAGAATCTAAGCTTGTTCATCGCTAACAGGACGCCAAAATCGCATTGAGCAATGAATGTTTGGAGATCGACTCTGGATTCTTTCAACAAGGCACGTTTCAGCCATTGAGAATTCGCCGAGGTCAGATCGTATCTCTCGCCTAAGCACCGGCGGAACAGAATGCTTCTGATTTCACCTGGGAGTTTGTCCCACATCAGGTCGCAGTCTAGTCCGAAGCAAGATTGCTGAATCAACTCTTTCTTGGCATTCGAAATCGCTAGCGAGCGATTCTCTGGTGATTCGTCTGCTGCAATATCTCTTCTGACGCTTTCCGAGACCTTGTACTTTTCGTGCCCGCTGACTTGTCGACAAGCTGGAAGCGATTCCGCGAGCACGCTACTATCATGTGTCATGCCCATGAGGAACTCAGCACCTGCGTGAAGCATGATTTCAGCAATAAATTGATAATTGTTGTTTGCGAAAGGCCGGCGTGCCGAGCTTCCTTCTTCAGGAAGGTTGACCAGGATATGAAGATTTCCATCGCTGCTAAAGCAGCTGATTGCTCTGATATTTGCTTTGGAAGGGAGATGCCGCTGCATTGACACCAATTGGAGCTTGATGGTGCCATCATTCCACTTCTTGCTGATTTCTCCCACGAGACTGTACGAGTCTGGGAATGCCTTGGCTGCTGGCTGCCAGAGGTGCTGCTGACTACAAGACATCAATATGGCTCGAACTTCAATTCCAAGAAGACTGTTCGCCTCGGTGCTGGTCGTGAGTCCCAGAGTAGTCGCTGATACGTTGTTGAAAAAGTTTGCAAGCTCACTCTGGCTCCAGTGTTGGTCATCTCCAAGCCCGGAGTAGGCATGGAACAAGCCTTGATTTCCTGGGTCGTTATTGGCTGGCTTTCGAGGCATTCCAATTTTGGCGGTCCGTATGGAGAGTAGGGCGGCTATCCATGTTGCAGTGGCAAGTGGAATGATGGTGTTGTAAATCATCTGAGGTTGCAGTAGTTTGATGACAATCCCGAGGGGTAGACCAACTCCGAGGGCTATGAGTAGGGGCTTTATCGTCCTCGGTCCAGAGAAGACTTTATTGTACTACATTTTGTTAGCGCCCAATACATTCCCGATAGATGAAATTCTTACCTGGTAAAGCAACAAGCCAGAGTATGCGAAAACCAATGATAAGAAGACAAGTAGTCCGTCTTTGGTGCCATCCAGGACAAATAAAAGGGTTGTAGTGAGAGCCAATGACCAGACATGAACGGAAAGGAATTGGCTAAAAGTTGAGAAGTATAACTTCTGTCTAGCCTTCGCAGTTTTGACCATCGCTTCGCGGATATGTGCAGCGGAGCGAATAGGTTCAGGGTTCTGGGCTTCGATTAGTCCGTTCAAGGTGTACGATTTGTAGTCCAAGATGACAGAGCCGATCAGATAGTAAGCTAGTCCAAGAGCTGTTGCTTTGCGGACCGTATCAGATTTGTCATTCAAGAGACTTAGAAGATTGCCGCCGGTGAGCAGTTCTACCCAACGATCCAAGAGTGCGATCAGGAAATAGAGAACGCCACAAACAACCTCATCTCCAGCTTGGCGCCACAGAACGAAGCCATTGTGTAGACGAATGCCTCTTTGGGCCTCGATCAGACTGGCAAGACCAACTTTGACTTGAACGTTCCAAGTGGAGCTGTATGGAATCGGCTGTTTTGAACCTTGAAGGCGACAGTACCATTCTAGAAGAAAGATAGTGGCATCCCATCCCTTAGCAAGTTGAAGGACCAACTGATCTGATGTAACGGGCATCCAAAACTTTCGCGATCTTTCTTTCTTGACATCTTGTAGGAGAGCGGCTCTTGCTAGAACCAGTGCAGCTGGATCGGTCATTCCACTGAAGACATTCTTGTCGCCTTGCCCTTTGACTTTGATATACCACTCTTTGAGCTTCTTGTCGTCGATGGCGTTGATTTTGTGATACCAGGTCACCCACTGTGCACCAACTCTTCTTGCACCCATTACCATGACTCCGATGAATATGAACAGCGCGACAAGATAGATGATGGTGTCGTAGCCGGTAACGAATATGGTAACAATCGGTGCAACGCCTAGAATAGGGACCGAAGACAAGATGATGGTTCGACCATTTTGGAAAGCGGACCCTAGATATTGGTAACTCGACAGAACAGCCAGCAGCGACAGATAAGATGTCAGAGCAATGAAATAAAGGATGAAGACAATTCCATCCTGAAAGCTGGCGTAAGCGGCAGAAACTATAACGAAGCCAATGAGACCACCAGTGAATGTAATCACCAGGCCTCCTACAAGGCGAGTGATGACATACATGTTCGCTGCTGGAAATGCGACGGAGTTGAGATAGTAGCTACCTCCGATGGAAATCCAGGTTCCAATCGCGCTGGAAAGGGGGAGAGATATCATCAGAGCGATGGTTGAGCTTTTCTTCTCCGAATCGGACATGAACGAGCTGAGGTAGAGACCATGCCCAGTGGTAGTCAATAGCAAGACATCAATGAAAGCTTTCAATCGTATTAGTAGAGTTTACGTACCTGTGAGAATTGCTTGACTTACCCGGAATGGCAAAAACACTCAGGAAGCTGAGGCGCTGATATCCTGGCATCACGGCTGGCTTGACACTATCATCGATATCAATTTGAGCGACCGCGTACGACGAGGCGTATCCAGTGGCGTAATCGATCTGGAGAGGTGGCTGGTTATGCGGCTTGCTGTAGTGTTCTCGGTGACGGTCTGAAAGAATCTTTCCGAATGCGCTGGGAGTAAGGTCAAAGTAGTCCTCGCATCTCGAACCCAAAGCAAACAGCTCCGAGAAAGCTCCAGCCTGGTCCGAATACTCGTTGAAAAGCGGGTTCCGGTCTGATACCTCGAGGTAGATTTCGTTGTAGGCAGCTTTCCTTGCAGCACAGAATATGGCAAGAGCAACAATATCTGAGTATGCATCAAAGCCATCAGCCGTAATCACAGATTCGAGAACATCTGTGATTTTCTCCAGGTCGTCGTGCCTCCTCGAGCATAAAATCTCCACGAAATTGGACGCCACATCTCGGAATACTTTCAGAGCAACATCAATATCAAAATGCTGGTACCCATGCTTCTCGTACCAAAGCCCTCGTGACTCAATAATCATCTGTTCTGGAATTTTGCCACTCAGATATCCAGCAGTATCCAACTCTCTTAACTGCCCAAACGATGGCCCATCGAGAATCTGCTCTTCAAGCAGAGCTCGCACTTGGCTGACTAGCATGTCTCCATTCTCTGGATCTGACACCTTCAAGTGCTGGAAAAAGTAGATGATATCAGATGGAGTGAGGAGCTTGATATCTTGGAGAAATCGCTTCGGTAAAGTTTTCTGGGGTTGTCCAGCAGTGAATTCAGCTGCGGAGATCTCGGTCGCAAAGCATGCATGGCGGGAACAGCCCTTGTTAGATAGATACGCGTGGAGAATCGTATTCTCGAGATCAGATGCATATCTCGATACATAGATTGTGAGAGTGCCAGTCTCAACGTCAACATCAGATACAGCCCAAAATTGGACGCCTGCTGGTGTACGGAATCCAGAATCTAAGCCAATGAAGACTTCAATCGGATCCAAGATTTCTTCCGAATCAGAAGCGGCCCAAAGACCCTGAGCGAGCTCGTTTATCGATTGAAGGGCAGTATTATCGATGTGATTCGAGTTAGGGGTAAATCCGTCGTGGTGCAGTTTACGAAAAAAGGTTCCCATGGTGCGGAGCTTCGATGGTGGTATTTGGTCTAACTTCCCCATGCGAAGTAGATGACGCTGTGTTTGCACAACTGAGTTGTAGTCGTCTTGGGTTGCATGGAGGCCAATCGGAAAACATCCGAGCAAGTTGTAGGATTCCCCTGTTGGAGAAAATGACAGCGGGCTGCCCCGAATCTTGGGCATTTTCTGGAACCAGCTCCCATTCTTCTCGTCTCGGGCATAAAGATCGATAATGCTTAGATCTAGACTGGCATCGGCTTTATGAAAGTTCTGAGACTTGTCTGAAAGATCTAAAACTGGTGCCAGGTACTTCAAGCTCGGGACAATTTTCTCGAGCTGTGCGATTGATGCACCAGCTGTTAGATTCGACACAAGCTGATGAGTCGACCGCCACTGATTGTGTAACTTCATCACTCTTTGATCCTTCAGCCACTGAAAAGCTGCAAGTGGTTCCGGGACTCCTTTGCTCGCCGCATCGAATAAAGCTCCCTTCGAATTGATGAATACCATAGCACTGTAGTACCTGCACCAAATATAACATCTTTTGATCACTGAATGAGACAAAGATTTCTCGTCATCCACTGTCTCCCATACCATCACCCTGAAGTCCCGCAGACATGTCTGGGTCACAAAGGCCTTGACCGTGGACTTCATCACAGCCATCTGGAAATAGTCTCTCACATGGCCACTTGTCAGAATCGTGCCATTTCTGACAACCACTCCAGCGAAATTGGCCATATTGGGACTCTCCTTCCCTAGGAAATTGGGCGGTGCAATTTCGAGATAGATATCCAGCCCATGACTGCGCACATATTGTACTAGAGCATCGAATACCGGCATTGGAAGCCAATCCTCCCATCCTGCTAACAAAACTCCAGAAAACGCCGAAGACTGGGTGTTGGAGTTCCTGAACCGTTTCTCTATCACGTCACGAACTTTCTCAACAGCCACAATGATGTCTTGATCATCTTGCTTCTGTTTTAGAGCATGGAGCTCTCGAAGATTGAGTCGTCCAACTCGTGTGTGTTGGCTAGATGGGCGAACATTTGCGATCGCTTCGTGAACTCCTACCTGCAAAGGATCCAAGATCAAGATATCCCATCTTGTCAAAAGCTCGGCTTCGGCTTGTGTGGGATAGCTATCGAATCCTCCAAGGTATACTCCGAAGGACGAAGCCGGGAGTCGAGGCTTCTCGCTGATGATTTGAGGGGAACCACTCTCGTGGAATTCCAAAAATGCTTTTAAGCGCGGGGGTATGGACTTCGATTTTCGTTCTCTCTGCAACAAATATTAGGAAACTGAGAGCAAAAGAGGATAGGAATGGTAATGAACTACCTTTGACCAGTCTTTGATAATGTTAACCAGTACCAAGATAAATGATATTGACCCCGCTAAGGCTGAACATGCCGCAATACCAATGAACGCCCATTGCCACCAATGCTCCAAAGGCTTGCCAATGCCCAGCTCTCCGATTGGCAAGAGATTAACCATGGCTCAAAACGTCAGATGCAAGAAAAGAAAAGGATAAACACAAACGTAATCACCGCTCAGAAGAAACAAATACAAGAACGAATGACTGGAAACAGCTGAACATCCATAAATTGACTCCTTGTACAATACTGAGAAATGGTGTTGTGCAATGAAAGAAAGAAAGTTGACTGACATCAACCACTCGGCCCAGGATCCTCCGCCAGTGGTGGGGCAGGATCCCAACTTCGAAAATGCCATGGCTTTGTTCTCCCGCCTCATGACCCATTGTTCCTCAAACTGCTAGGGCCCTGCGGTCCCATCCCCGAAGAAGTGTTGTCTTCGTTGATCCACACACAGTCCACTCGGTCAGGGTGGCTCCCTGGTGTGCCACGGACCACGCACATGGGATGCGGAGCATACGCTCATCGTATTTAGGCGCAACTAATGGGGGCGGTAAGGTATTTTAGGATGCTAGACGCTTAGATCTTGGACTTGATCTAAATGTCAAACGGACTCGCCCCCCAGAGTTGAGGCTGAGTCGCGAGGGGAGGTAGATAAATCGACCTTGTCCATCCACCTCGATACTCTATGTGAAGCTGGGTACTATGCGCCCGCCCAGAAGAACGACCGCATGAAGGCGCCAGCTGTCAGTCTCTGGGGCTTTTGAAGCCACTCCAGCACAACACTCGGGTCATCGTGCATGAGGCCATCGTCGACGCCATTGGTGAAAAGGAGACGGTGCATGGTCGTCGTGACTCGTAAAGAAAAAGGTTGTGCGTGCAGTAGACTCCGGCTCGGCAGCTGCAGAGAATAAAAGTGCTCGCTTAGGTGCGAACACGCTAAGCCTCTTTTGAGCACAACAGCCCCTTTTCAGATCGTTTCCGTGTTCGGTTAACATGCCACACAGTTCGAAGTGTTAGAGGGCTGATCTCTTTGCATACATTCAACCCACCAGATGCTGAAACTATTACTTGATATCAGCCTTCTTCTCATCGTATTCCACCGAGGCATTGCTGTAATGTTTTACTTGATCCACAAGCAAAACGTCTAGAAGCTAGCTGCATGATCTTCTATTTTTAAGCGAGGCCTACTTGAGCAGATGCAGCTGCAGGGAGACAATACTCCTTGCTAGGCGATCAAATAATGGACGACCAATGAACGAGCGCTCGTATTATTGGCCCACTCCAAGCTTTGGTTGCTGTTTCTAACGTCCAATGCAGTTGTTTCAAGGATAAGGTGTGCCATTCAAGTACCCATGCCAGCAGACAGACTTTCCTCCGGCACCGAGAAGACAGGGTATGCTGACAAAGTGCTGTCAAAAAAAGTCTCAGGATGGTTAAGGATGGGACGAAAACTGACGGGAGGGACATATTCCCTGCGACTCATCCCAGTCAAACACGCATCTCCACCACGAAATCAGCTTCTACGCCATGCGCCATGATGATAGATCGATCCGCCAACCCACTGTATGGGTGGGCACGCGAAACTATTGCATTTCAGGCCTTCATCTCGAAATCTCTCTTGATGATATAGACAGCTTCAGGCGTCCTTCCATTCGTTCTACAACTTCCTTCTCAGGAGTCAACAGTCATTCGTTATGCTGTTCCACGTTCTTTCCGCTTCGGCGCTATTATTATCTAATACTGTTTTTGCTTTCAGCGTTCAGAGCACCGTTTTGGTCATCGCCAAAGATGCGACCACTTCCTACTCCGCAACCTCTGGTTTGACCGCCTACGGAATCCCATACCAACTCCTGACCGTGCCATCGACTGGAGCTGCCCTCCCCGAACTCAGCACTGCGAGCGGCGATGGAAACTTTGGAGGAATCGTTGTTTTGAGTGAGGTTTCCTATGAATATGAGGGAGGACTATTTCACAGTGCTCTCACCACCGCGCAATGGACTTCGCTTTTCAACTATCAAACTTCTTTCGGAGTCCGTATGACCCGTATCGATGTCTACCCAGAGGCGCAATTCGGTAGGTTTATTCGAAGGAAACGGGATTTGACATTTGGCTGATTTTGTAGGAACCACTCCCGCTTCCACTACCAGTCCAGGCTGCTGCGAAGCTGGTGTTGAGCAACTCATCTCCATCAGCAACTCTACCAGCTTTTCTCAATCCGGCATGAAAATGTAAGTTTTTAAGCATATCTAAGTTGACAATAGTCACAGCTAATCTTGAACCTAGCGGAGCCACGATGTCAACCCAAGGTTTATACCATTACCCCGCCACAATCACCAACAGCACCATCGCCACTACAATTGCACAATTTGGCCCATCGGGAATCTTCACCACAGACACTACCGCTGCAGTCATCAACAACATTGATGGACGCGAGCAGATGGTTTGGTTCATCAGTTGGGCTTCGGATTGGTCCCCAACTTCGACCTATCTCGATCATGCTTGGATCACCTGGATGACCAGAGGTCTTTGTAAGTGATTCCGAGTGACTTTCGCGATCCTTTTGCTAACAAATCTTACAGACGCTGGTTTCCGCAGAGTTTACTTCAGCACCCAAGGTAAGGAACCAATCCCCCTCATGTGGCGAACTATAAATCGTTACGTCGACCGCTACATCCCTGCATAATCTGCCCTTGATAACCATTATGAGATGGCCCATTGCTTTTCCGGTAGAAACATGCTCTCGTGTTTAAAATGCCATAAGCAAACTTCCCTTCACACACACTAATTGACACGATTACTATGCATCACGAAAAGCATGTGAAGAATCATGGACTAATTTCTCCATTTCTTAGTTGACGACATGTTCCTGGCCACATCCCTCTACAGCCCCGCAGACGTCAATTTCCGCATCACGCCGGCCGATCTCGACGGCCACGTTGCCTGGTCCGCGGCTCTGAACGCCAAATTACCGGCAGGAAGTGTATACTTCACCGAAGTCGGGCACAACGGCAACGGCAACATCGAGGTGGGTCAAACCATAAAACCCAATCCCAATCCCGATCCCAACCCTTATCGTATTTCTATTTTTGAGTTTCTCGGCTAACACAGGAGAAAAACAGGCTGCTATTACCAACGATACCGCTGGCATCTGCCAGCCAGACTCGGCTATTGAGTATGATGAGCAGATTGACACTGCGTTGGAGTTCCAGAAGCCTTTGGGGAGTGGGACTGATATCTGGCCTGCTACACCGGCTACTTATGTGTGGAGCGAGGAGTGCACGAAGCTTGATGCGTTGAATCTTTGGTGGACTAAGCCTGAGAACCGTGATGCTTTTGCTCATGTTACACATACCTTTTCGCACGAGGGCCTCAACAATGCTACCTACGCAGATACCAGCAGAGAAGTAGGAGCCTCGATTCAAATTGGGTTTTCAAGATACTTACTGCTATTACAGATCTCTTTCAACAAAGCATGGCTCGCCCAAACCGGACTCGACCAAGCTAAGCATTTCTCCGGAACTGGTCTCATCCCACCGTGAGTACTACACATCACGTATTCTGGATTATAGAACCTGACATTTTTCATAGTGCGATCACTGGTATGCACAACGGAGATGCTCTCCGAGCATTCGTCGACAATGGCATTGTCAACGGCGTCGGTGACAACACTCGTCCAGTGCTCATGAACTCCGAGCACGAACATTGGCCACTGACCACCACGGTCGAGGGCAACGGATATGCTGGTTTCCAAATCACTCCCCGTTGGGCCACTACCATTTACTACAACTGCGATCTGCCAGCTTGCACTGTTGCCGAGTGGATCGCTACCTCTGCCGGTGCTGGAGATATCCAAGATCTTTTGGTCAATGCCCGTGAGGTCAACACCAAGCATCTCCTGTCCCTTCACCACGACCCGTAAGTTTTCTTCTACTCTACTGATGGGATTGGCACTGATTTTAATTGCAAGATACATGTTCCACCAAGCCAACATGAGATGGGCTGATGTCGCCCAAGTCGCCGTCAACGGCGTCGTAGGCAAATACTCCCTCCTCATGATGTGGGTCGAGGTCGTCACCCAAGAAATGATGCGTCTGGTGGAATGGCCCATGATCTCCCAAAAGCACGACGACATCGCCGCCTCCTTCGCCGCGCGTCAAACCCGCGACAACTGCTCCCCCAAAGTCGCACTGGTATACGGCGGCTCATCCAACACCACCAAGACCATCACAGGCGTCACCGTCACGACCACCAACAACGTTTGCGGTGTTGAGATCCCGGTCACGCTCCCTGGCCCCGTCATCGCTACTCAGGCCAAGGTCGGAAGATCCGAGCAGGTTGGCTCTGACCCCTTGACGGTTTGGTTGACCATGTCTGGGTCCCCGGTTAGTCTCCGCCTCGCTAAGCCGATTGCTCTTTGAGTGTCGTTCGTCCGAGGGGTCTAGCGCTAGAATTAGAAAAGAAAAGAAAAGAAAAGAAAACAAATATTTAGATTTCATATAGTAAACAAACATAATACACCATATATGCTTTTCTTTGTACATGCACGACATTTCATTGTGAAGTCAACAACTCGCTTCGAGTCGTTCACATCGTGCAGTCCAACTAGTCCCTAGTGTTGTTTGTGAAAAAAAGGGGTAAATTTTCTCGGTAACTGGTTACCGAAGTTTTGCAACTAGCGAGTATCAGTGGCTTTTTGCAACTTCACAATCCTGACTCGCTATCACGCCACGACACCAGCCTATCGAGTATGTACGCAGCTTAGACAACTACTTCGAAGTAGTCGTAGGCCAAAGCTCTGCCAGTACGACAGTAGCATTTCGCTTTGACGAGTTCGCCTTCCCCCAGAGCACCAGAGCGCCAGAGCGTCAGTCACCTGTCGTCGCCTCAGTCCAGCTAGGCTCCACGCCATTCAGATTCAGTAGTCCATGCTGAATTTTGGTCGCCGCCCCGCCTTAACGAAGTAACCTGCAATGCATCCATGCATGCATCCATGCATGTACGGAGGAGTATCTGCAGGGCAGGGCATCAAAATCAGAGTTTTCCAACAGCATCGAGGGCATTTATTCCAGGAGCAGGGGAAAGGGAAGGGGAAGGGGAAGGGGAAGGGGAAGGGAACAGGGCTTGAGCGGCATAAGTCTCCGAGGCCGTTGTATTGTGAGGTTGTTGTTTTCTGTTGGTTATCCATCCCCATCCCCCTTTGCTTTTGTCCCGAAGCGGCCCCGAAAACCGAATGGCAGGGCACGGGGACGCCCCTTGCACATGCAGATGCACCCCACAAGATCCTGTTTTTAGAAGTTTTAGGAAGAGCCCCTGCCCCCAACTCCCAAGTCGATATCTTATGGCCAGGTTTTAAGATCCAGATTCGGGAGAGAGCAATCTGTTAGAAATCTGCGGGATGGCCGGATCGGGTATCTGTTGTGCGGCGGCGCAGTTGGTTGTGGGGGGGAGAGAGATTGTTTCGAGTCCTCTTCCCGACGGGTTTTCTTTGCTGGGAGTCTGGGACGGGACGGGTGCCAGCACTCGAAACGGGTACGCTATGCATTTTCTCCGACTACGACTACTGCACTGGATTTGGAGTTCCCAATTATTCGTGGGTTGGTTTACAAATGCCAAGAGGCTGGCACCCCTGGAGCTGACTGGCGTTGTGGGTTGCACTTTGACCCTCCGAGCCTCCTTGTGAGCCGCTAGCGATGTTGGGCCAACATCACGACAGATGGGAGATGGGGGACTTTTTTGAAAAGAGTCTGGACGCTGCTCCCATCTCCCAAGCAGGAATAACGGAAGTCTGCTCCCGTCTGTTGGCTTGTGTTTTATGCGACATGTCCGAGGAGAGTCACAATGGTGCAGGTTGACCCGTTATTCTGCATGGGCTCGGGGGTTGGCGTGGCATGGCAAGGTTCACAGAGTTTACAGTATCACGACAAAACCTTCCTCAGCTTGGATCTGAGGATATCTCCGGCCAGGATGAAGCAAGTGCACTGCGAGGTTCAAAATCGTCCCAAGATCTCACAGCCGCGTCGATAAGGAAAAACACATCATCATTTGGCTGCCTCTATCCTTGTCCAGCACGCCATATTGCTGCGAAGCTTAAGAATCAATCACTCTAAAGTGGAATCAGCAGAATCCACCTCGCGATTTTCACCGCATTGTGGTACTTTGGCCGGTGATGAAAGCGCGCTTTCCGTACCAAAGATCCAAGACCAACTCGCAAGGCCATGGATAATTGATCCACTACTTGCTGGATCCGCCTCTCCCGGAAGGCCCTTCAAAGGTACCTCGATCCCTGAGGTGGGCTCTCTTCCTTGAGCCAGATCCAGTTCATCAGCAAGATGGGTCTGTATGCCAATTGCATTACCAAGTAGGGAAATCAGCTCTTGACAAGCTTTGAATTTCTAATATGAATGATGAGGCGAGCTCCGAGAACAGTATAAGGTGTGCTTGGAACCTTCAAGACCAGGATTTCCTGCACTTGAAACGACGTTGTTGGACTTTGTTACACTCGCTCAACGTTGGAAGCTTTTACCAAGGCTCTTGAATACGAGAAACAAAGCTTTACCAAACATTAACATCTAGCCTAAGCCTTTTGTTTCATACATTCGAACAATCGATTGTACTCGGAGGTATAAACGACAGTTCGGCTCTTTTCACAATGCCATCTTCCACATCCGATCTTGCGCTTGAGACGCTATCACTATCTCAGAGAGAAAACCACACAAGAAATATTCTCACAATGTCACGCCCACATCTTGAGGCTTCCACGCCATCTACTCCCGCCTCTCCTCGGTCACCGCTGTCTTATGCTAGCTCGGCTGACACAGCTTTCACCAACGATACTGTCGATGAAAGTACTGTTTCACTTAATGCACTAGACACAGAATCATATGTTCTGGTAGTTGGAGGTCTTGGCTACATCGGAAGCCATACTGTCCTCGAACTCCTGAAGGCTGATTACAACGTGATCATTCTGGACGACTTGAGCAACGCATATCTCACCGTGTTGCACCGCATCGAGAAACTGGCAAATGAGTACTTCGCTACGCAGAAAAGGTCGATGCCGTCTCTTAAATTCCACGAGACAGATTACCGAAGTCCAGTCGTCAAATCGATTCTGTCTCAATATGCTCTTCCATCGTCCTGGAGCTTAGATCAAGAGACGCCAAAATCGAGAATCGCTGGAGTCATTCATTTTGCAGCATTCAAATCAGTCGAGGAGTCCATCCGGCAACCACTCAGATACTACTCCAACAACATCAGCGGCCTCATCGAATTCACATCCACACTCGAAGACTTCGGCATCAAAACCTTCGTCTTCTCCTCCTCCGCCACCGTCTACGGCTCCGCAGCCAACAATGGCATCCCCCTCCAAGAAGACCACTGCACCCACCACCCCCTCACAACAACCGATTCCAAAACAGGAAAAACAACAACCACCCCGCCTTCAGTCTCAGGCCTCACCTCCCCCTACGGCCGCACAAAATGGATGGCCGAAGCCATCCTCTCTGACATCGCCACCGCTGACCCTACGTGGTCTATAGCAGCACTCCGATACTTCAACCCAGTAGGCTGCCACTCCAGCGGCCTGTTGGGGGACGACCCCCGCCAAAAACCCACCAACCTCATCCCCGTGATCGCGAACGTCATGCGCGGCAAATCCCCCTCTCTCAAGATCTTCGGCACAGACTGGGACACCACGGACGGGACAGCAGTGCGCGATTTCATCCACGTGGTTGATCTCGCGCGGGGCCACATCTCTGCTCTTGCTGCGGCGATAGGGGGGAGGATCCAGGGGTCGTTCCGGACATTTAATCTGGGGAGTGGGAGGGGACATTCGGTTGTGGAGGTGTTGGGGAGTCTGGAGAGGGTGGCGGAGATGAGGATTCCGGCTGAGAGGGTGGGGAGACGAGAGGGGGATGTGGGGTTTTGTGTGGCGGGGGTGAGGAGGGCGAGGGAGGAGTTGGGGTGGTGGACGGTGAAGAGCTTGGATGATTCGGCGAGGGATGTGTGGAATTTTATGAAGGTTGAGAAGAGTCAGGCGGAGGAATCGACGAGGGTGGAGGAGTTGAAAGTAGATGTGTAGGATGGGGATGATGGAATATATTTGTATATAGGTCTAATGATAATAGTAATCATGTGTTCAAAGTTATGCTGGGAGCCGCACGGTGATGTTGTTGACCTCGCCTGGATGTTGGTTCGGCAGGCAACACAACTGCCCTCATCACTTCAACAGCTTACAGGATCAAGTGTCTATCAACATTCAATTCTCTCTCAAGTATGAAAAGAAGACTATGAACTTCAGTTGTCACAGAAAATAACTGAATTTTGGTAAGCAAATTCTTAGATTTTCGTATTTTGAAGACATCTAAAGTAACATGTCCACCAGATCTGAATATTTTCAATGACAATCCACAACAACTTCCTCGCGTTCTTCTCTTCCTTATCCTTTCTGATCATAATATTTCCATTTGCATCTTTAACTCGTGACTATACAATATCTGTCCCTCCCTCACTCTCACTACTACTCACACTACTATCACTCTCCTCCACCTTCCCCTTCCCCTTACCTTTTCCCTTCCTCGCCTTCTCCTCCTCCTTCCTCTCCCTCTTCCTATCCCTCTTCTCCGCCTTCTAAACAGCCTTATCCCCTCTCCTCCTCCTCTATCTCCTCCTGCTCACCACCTTCCTATGATTCTTACTCTCCTTCGTCCCTCACCACGCACCTGGCTCTTACACAGATGAGCTTACATCAGGAGTTTTCCCCTCCAGGCGCAGAGTTGGGCTCAAGCAATGTGCTCTTTATTCTTCAAAATATGTATTTTCTTGCATGAAAAAAGAACTCTCCTCCTCATTAATGCTAGAGGTTGTTAATCTCATTAAAAAAAATAAAAAAAAAATCTTTTTTGAAAAACTGCTTTTACAGCAAGATTCTGTAAGTTACTCACTCATTGTCCTCTCAACATTCTCATTCTCAGCGAAAAAAGGAGGCCATACCTCGCCCATTCGATACGTGTTAGCGTAGCATCCATGTTATAGGAAGATTCCGCCTATGTTGTACTTCGGTGTTTTAGAAGCAGAAGCATATTCTGCAGCAGTTTAAATACTTCATTATTTCCTGCTGCCTCCACTTATTTGGCTTGTGGGACTTGACTTGACCCCCGTATGAGCTTTGAGTCATTTGACCATGACCAGCCACAATCAATCTCTTACTCGACTGACCACAGCACAGGTTCAAACCAAGTAGTTTTGGAATAAGCAGCTCGGTCTACCGCCCTACTTTCACGAAGACGAGACGTTGGGGCAAGATATATAGACCCTCCCCGCTGCCATGGACCTTCCCGATGACAAGTCCGTTCTCTATTATAGGTAGCCCAGGGTAGAACTTGATTTGGCTATTGTTCCTCCTACCATAAACTCAAAGTTCTTTGATCGAACTGCCGAATCCCTTTCGAGCTTTCCCTGTCAGCAGCTTCTTAAGGTTCTTGAAAACTGTGCTATAGCCTATAACAGTGTAACAAGACACAAACTTGTTCCTGGCAAATGCGACCTGCCCGTCTAACATGTCACATGTATCAAGCAAGCAAGCTAATGCAGTTGTTCTCCCTCTTTCTTCTTCCCAATCATCCATCCCACTTTCATCGGCGCAATTTATGACGTTCCTCATTCTATTGACGACGAACTCCATTTTTTTTTTGGGACAAGGGCGTGGTTTTTCAAGGGCTATGGCAATGGTTAAGGTACCATCTTCCCACACACTCTCGTCTGGTCCAAAGTCTGAAGGGATATTCTTTGTGTACAACAAGACCTGAACCAGAACTTGAGCCGAAAATATCTATTCACCATCCAAAGGACGTTGTAAGTGGCCTCAGTCTTTGGAGAGATATGGAGGCCCCCAATGTGCATGCATGCGATCTATGGAGGGTAAAAGGGGGGATATGTGTATCGGAAGCGCCAAAAGAAAGAAACGTTGATTTAGTGAAAGGATTTAGAGCTGCTAAATGATGTCTCCGTATGTATGGTTTTTTTTTTTAAGATATTTGTGTTGTGAATGAGCACGGTGAGAGAGATGGACAGTGGACTGAGGGTTGACGATGGGGGTCAGTGGTGTAATGTCATTTTGGTGCAACCGCGAGTTGGGCTTATAAACGTGGTGTTGGAAAGGTTTGGTGAATGTTGATGATCACCAGCCTTCTAGCATACATGCTCACCTACCCCCTCCCCCTTTGCACCTACCCGGCTCTACACTCCCTGCTTTAAATCCTTTAAGTAAACAAACACCCCGTCTGATTAGTCAAAATCACATCCCCCAGATCACTCCCCAGCTTCTCCGCTCGGTCGAGCCACGTCTATCCCCAATCAGTCAGTTACTCAACCACACCTCACATATCAAACCTGGATATATATGCACCTACCGTAATACTCTCCTCCCCCGGATTCTGACTCCTACTCAACAGAAACAGCGTCGAGAAATTCGACGCTTGGACAATTGCGAAATTCTCAGAACGTTCTGTTTATTTTGAATCTCGTGATCAGTTTCTGGCTAAGTATCTTGTTTGTACAGGGAGGTAGAAAGGGGGATAATAAGCGGGGAGGGGAGAATTTACGCTGCACGATGTAATCCGGACCAGGGCATTCTGGGCCAGGCTGTCCCGGGAACTGGACTCTGAAGACGCCGTCGGAGCCGTAGATTGGGTCTGCGGCTGAGGCGGTGCCTTGGATTGTTATGCTCCGGTTTCCGAGCTGGCAGCCGTTGGAGACGGAGACTGTGTTGTTGGGCTGTGGTGGGTGGGTGTCAGTAAAGTTGTTGTTTGAGTTCTGAGATGGGAGGAGACGTCTTCACGTGGAAACGAGGGGACGCGAGGGGACGCGAGGATCCAGCACTGGGAGTGAGAACTATTGGGGAGGGGAGATGAGAAGAGGGGAAAAGTAAATACGCACATTTAGCCCGTACTCAGCGTAGATACACGAACATCCAGCTGTGAATGGCGCCCGTGTGCCGGCTACTTGGTACCATCTACCAAGATAGTTTTCGAGCTCGAAGTTCTTGTCCGGTTTGGGATATGTGCATTGTCTATCGGTCGGAGTCAGAATCAATCAGAATTGGAGCTAGACTATGGACAGGAATAGGAGGCTGGAGAGAAGCAAAGGGCGCTGGCAACGTACCCATCCCAAAGTGCGTCTGTCACTGTGACATTCAGATCTGTTGACGTGCAATACTTGGCGCACGAAACGAGTGCTGGAAGGAATCCGGCAACGAGGAGAGGGAGGGAAAGCATCTTTGTGCTGTTAAGTTGGCGATTTCGCTGGACTATTGAGTGATGAAGCTGAATTATCGCCATTCAATAGACCCCAGAATTGAGAGGAACGTGATATATGTACAATCCTGAAGGTTCCGACCAAAACCTAAAGTTCCAAAGCAGGTGACGTGAGCCAAGTACTCCGCTCTTCTACTCGACAGGCACAAGTACGCGCGTGAGGCTTTCCAGAGGCGGCTCTTAATTTATCCTGGTACAGCAATAACAGCTTGGAGAGTTGAGATCTGGAAAGTACAAGCGGCTGGTTTTGCGGAGAAGTCGAGAGTGTGGAGAAAGTCAATGACGATTGGCTTACTTGGCGCGCTGCAAGTTCCCGAGAAAGCCAGATTCGGTACATACTTGGCGTCAACGCCACGAAGTGGACGACCCGAATGAATGGTTCTGGAACGGAGGCGGAGGATTTTGTTACGTTTGTCAAATATGCAAGCATTTTCCTTTCGCAGAGGTGTGAGTCGAAGCGGGCTCTCGGAGGTTGGCCCGACGTGGTGAGGTGGCTTCGGCTCGGCCCCTCCTAATCATCACAGGGATCACAGCTCTGTCGATGAGGAGATGGCGTCTGCTTCTTTGGGGCTCTAGTCGATAGCCAAGAATAGTTGCTAGATCGATCCAGTATCTAGACTTTTGGCAGACCGGAAGGTTGACTTCAATCCTCCTCGATTCGAGCAAGTAGTCTCAATCTCGAGCGTCTTCTCTTTTTCGGCCCTGCGCGTGGATTAAGAGCCGCAACAATAGCCTGGAGGGTATTGCGAGTCAGTAGACTATTATGAGATTAAAGCAGTGCAGCTCGCTGAAGCTCCCTCAAGAGATCTGTGGACAGAAGAAGATGGAAGTAAAAGAACCAACCTCATCGAAAACATCTTTGACCCCTTTCTGAGTCTTCAACTCACACTCCACGTATTGCGCTGCCCCAATCTCTCTCGCTAGCTTCTTTCCCTCATCAACTCGTGCCTTCTTCCTGGACGCAGTATCAAGGGCATCATTTGGAGGATCTTGAATTCCAACGAGCAGGAATGGTACGCCGGGACAATGGAGCTTGAGTTCTGGTGCCCAGGTATCGCGTGCGGATTTGTAGTGAGATCGGTTAGAAGTGGAGATTACGATCATGAATACGTCTGTTTGCGGGTAGGACAGTGGACGGAGGCGTTCGTATGATTCTTGGCCGGTTGTCTGAGGGGTGCGTTAGTAGGGCAAATCCAGCGATGATGGAAAGCATCATAAGGGGCTTTACTTACATCGAATATGCCGAGCGTGTAAGGTTCATCGCCAATCCTGATCGACGTGTTGTCAGCAGAGAACGGTGGTAGTCAACAGCTGGTTGACGGAAGTACTAACATTACTTTGACAGCATAATTATCGAATACTGGTAATACATATTCGGTGGGATACTTGTTCGTCACGTATGTAACCAAGAGATATTGCTTGAGCTTCCCTGGGTCTCCAACCACAACAAGCCTAGTGAGCGTTAGAGTGAAGTTGCTGCTGGTCAACAGCGAGGAATATATACTTGATTGTAGGATTCTTCTTGTCTCTCCCATGCCCTGAAGGCAGAGATGTTCCAACAGAAGCTTCGGCTCTTGATTTGGCGGCTGCTCGAGCCTTTTCATCTTCAGCCATCATAATCTTTCTCCATTCCGGTGGCAGGCCTATGAACTCCCCAGTATCAGGATCAAGCCCAACATGTGTGACATGTACCGGATGAACCGGATGTCCGATACGCTGCCTCGACGTCAGTGTCCCTGTAACAGTCACCTGACTCTCCACAGTCCTCAAACTCGATCCACTGGATCCAGTTCCGTCTGACAAAATCGTACTCCCAGAAATACTCGGATCCCATTCAAGCTCTACACTCTGCTCGTAGTAATGTTCTTCACCTTCCAAGGGTTCTACAGCTCTGAGCAGATTGGCTTCACCCGCTGAGTTTAGCGGCCGGAGATGATGTTGCGAACTTTATTGCTGAATACGTGGCGGTAGCTGGCTGATGAAAGGGCTTCGGTGTCGAAATCGAAGTGAGTTGCTGAGAGGATGCTGGAGAGACTGTCGGCGCTGAACCGACTGGGGTTTACGGCGAAGTCATGGGTGGCGGTACTGTCGATGCTGAAGCGGCTGTAGTTGGGCGGGGTCTCCTGAGGAGGGTCGGCAGCAGGTTCTGAAATGATGGGCACTTCTGGACTTTGACTTTCTTGCGCTGGAAGAGTTCAGATTTGAGATTCTGTGGAGCTGAATATTTTGATCAGTTCAGTCAACAATAGAGGGAATTGAAAGCATGACTGACGCTTGGGAATCTTTCAAAAGAGACGTAAACTTATGGCGATGCTGTTCTGATCCCTGGAGGATCTTCCAAACCTCATCCTCTTTCCATTGAAATTCTTCGCTCTCCGACACAACTTGAATATCTCCATTAGAATTCTTCTCCGCAACCTCTTCAAGTGCCTCAACATGCTGCTCAATAGACGTCAGCACCTCCGAGAAGCACTTCCGTACATTTCCAACAGCATGACTGAATTCCTTGGCTTTCTCAGCTCCTTGCTTCGACAGCTCTTGTTGGCCCACAACCTGAAAGCTCTCTAGTAGTTGATGAATCTCAGTGCATTCAAGAGCAGTTGCGTTCGGCGTTCCTAGCGGTAACGAGAGTTTCGCTTGGATATCACGACATTGCTTCGCGAGTGTCGCTGCCTTGAGGACGACTGGTCCGATCGTCAGTGTAAGGGAGACGGAATCCATTCTTAAATGGATGGATGACTGTCATAGTGATCGTTGAATCCTTCTAAACACTTGATGCTGGACACTGATAGCTGATCCATAGCAGTTATCTTCGCGAAGTTTCGTGTTTCAGTAAGGTAACGTCAAGCTGAACATAGCTTAGTAAGCTTACAGGCCTTCCCCGCCAAGAGGTGTCACGAACTGAACTTGGCATTTCTTAGGATGAAATGCGATATGCAACAAAATTGAAAAGGGACCGCGGGAAGGAGGAAGAAAGGATAAAGTTTGTATCATGTTAGACAACATATAAAACGATCCGGGCGGGAAGGACGGGAAGATATGGTCACGTGAATACGTATTCGCCTACGTCTACATGCAGGAGATAGTTTGTGCTCGCTGTGAAGTTGTCCCCAACAAAAGGTTTGATTTAGGGGAGAGAACAATTCCATACCGACCGCATCTTCTTCCGGTGAACTGTAGAGGGAACCGGTTAATTGCGAAGTCTTGATGCCTCCCCATGCCCTTGACACGGTACGAACCATTTGGAAGTTGCCATGAGAAAGAAGATACGCTATCGGGTGGGATAGAATAAGGCAATGAGAACTTACAAGACAAATCCATAGCGGAACCAATCCATAGTAAGATGGATCTGCAAACATACCTTTAGATCATACGGAGGTAGCAGTCCTGCCCAGAAGTTCAAATATGTATTCCAATTGAGGCTGTCTCCTGTTCCCCTTTTCACATGCATCGTCGAACCCAATCATGATCGCTTCTGTCCATAACTCTTTCCAGGCATACGAGCAGACAAGCATCTTACCCAGAATTTATCCCTACAAATCAAGTTGACCAAGTTGATCCGTTCCACAGATCTCGATCGCTTGCAGGTCCACCACCCTCCGCACAGCTCATCCCTCGCTCGAGTCGTGAATCAGGAGCTTCAAGATCAGCGATTTCTAGACCTGATATTCGTGGCCGTGGGTCATCAAGACAAGGAAGATACTTGATATGTTTTTGGGTTCCAGCTTTGGTGATGTGATTGGATGAGAGTGATGGAAGGGAAAGATGACAATTGGCGGTTCCTTATCGGATGGCGTAGAGCAGGGTTCAGAATGCGACATTCAGGGGCGCGACAGGGCAGAGGCAACTGATAAGAGAGATGGATGCTTATTTTAGAAGTGTGAAACCCACGCCAAGACTTTATTTCGACCTCACAATTTCACCGTGAACTTTCACATGAACTCAAATGTCTGAGAGAGTTCGCGAGCTCAAGACTCTTGGCATGACTGAGCCTTGTATTTTGTGCTCGCTTCCAGCCCGTCTATGCATAAAAAGCTTTGTGCACGCGTCTCGACTCAGGTCGAATGCAACATTATTATTATTCGCACCGATTTTGTGCAGAGTTTTAGAGATGACGTCGCTGCTGCCGTGGAGGTGAAAATGGAAAGAGGCGGGCTTGGCAGGGCCCACCAAACTTTTCATGCCCCACCTGGCGGGACAGAACGGGCATCTGGGGCCAATAACTGAGCTTGAAATCGATGCCCGGAGCTCAATCTGGCGTAGCGTCTCTGTATTCTCGGACCCTTGTCGATCGACGTTGGGAAAGAGCAGGGGAACGACAAGGCTCTAGATTAGCTGGCGGCTGCTCCAGAGCCTTCCTCCGTTTCTACGCTGAAACTCTACTTAGGTATCCCACTCCACTTGGAGCTTCTTGGATCAGTGGCATCGTCGTCGTCTTTATATTTTCTTTGACACCTTCGTCAGCTTTGTCTTTATAGACACGACACTCGCTTGACATATCAAACAAAGAAACAAAACGACAATTGATAGCAGGAACCGCTCATCCCTATTGATATATTCAACGAGCGAGCATTCCCCCGATACTTTCCATACCCCAGCTACACCTGCGTAAATTTACGACTCTTCAACTCTACCAGTTTGCATATCATTTCACATCTACACGACAATTCCTCCAAAAAGCACTCGAATATTGCCAGCATCTGAAGCTTGGATCTACTCGTTAACATCATCCTACTAAGCAGACCGTTTGTCCGAGTATCGAGATTGGACCCTCGTTCAATAATTTCGTCCAAAACAACGACCGGGTCCCTTTGACCACCTTCAAACTCTAATATGTCGACACCTATCCAAGAAAAAGAACACCTCTCGTTCCCAGCGTTTGCCCCCAATGCACCGAATAACAACCAGAATATCCAAAACGACAGAAGGTCTTCAGATGAAGATGGAACTCTGCAGGGCCACGAGTACGACGAATTGGACCGCAACCATTTGCGAGTAACCACAAGCTATGTAGACGGACAGGATTATATCGAGAGGGATACTAGGTCACCAATGTCCTTATCACAGCAGAGAGAGCAATCACGTCGGCTCGACGACGACCTGGAGATGCTACGAGCAGAACGAGTTGTTTCGAATGCCGAGAAAGAAAGTGAAGATGGTCTTGGAAGGTCAAAGTCGATGGCTAGGTCGAGGTCTCGAACTGCTGCAGAGCCAGTGGACGATTTCGATGTTGGTACTACCCCACTACACGAGAAGACCAAGATATATAAGCCTCCTGCGCATCCTACCACGAAAATTGCCAAGGTGTTCAAGAAGATCCATAACTCGGTCTTTTTGGTCAGATGGTTCTTCTACATTACACCAATTACTCTACTTTTGTTGATACCAACGCTGTTCGGCAAATTTCTGTTTCCAGACACTACAGTTGGAGGCGTAGAGCTGTTCTGGTTTGGAATCTGGCTTGAGATCGTTTGGTTGACTCTTTGGCTTGGACGGGTAAGTGACTCCCAATTCGGAATCTGCTGTCATAATTGCTGATACTAAGTGCTCTAGATTATTGCAAAATGTTTACCATATCCTATGGGTCTGATATCCAGTCTCTTCACTAATAATAGCAAGAAATGGAGGGATTTGGGAAAGGCGCTTGAGGTTCCCGCAACACTCTTTTTCTGGGGCCTGGCAATTGAGATCTCCTTCCTGCCAACAATGAAGAATCACCACGCAGACGGAAATCATGGGACCCGTCCTTGGGAAACCACTGTCAACAAGATCATTATCTCTATATTCGTTGGACTGACCCTGAACTTCGTGGAGAAGATCATCATCCAACTCATCGCAATCAGCTTTCATCTCCGGACATATGCTGATCGGATCGAGGTCAACAAGTTTCAAATCTCGAGCTTGGTCAAGCTGTATGTCTACTCGAAGGAGAAGATTGCTATGGAGGATTCAGAGTTCGAAATTAACCAGACAGGTCCTTCTTCTGGCGCAAGAACTCCAATGCAATATGTCAACAAAGCCCAGAAGAATGCTCGCCAAGCATTCAACAAAGTTGGTGATGTTGCAGGGAAGGTAGCTGGAGATTTCACTGGGCAGGCTGTCAAGACTAGCACCCATCCTCATCAAGTGTAAGTTGCTTTTTAAGTCTCCCCACGACATTTACTAACGTACCCAGTGTCCTTCAACTTCTGAACAGCACCAATGGCTCTCAGGTCTTGGCTCGCCGACTGTATCGCACCTTTGCTCAGGAAGATTCCGAGACAGCACTTGCTGACGATCTTCGCCCTGCTTTTGATAACGATGACGAGGCTACTGCTGCATTTTCTATGTTTGACAAGGACCTGAATGGAGATATCTCAATGGAAGAACTAGAAGCTGTCTGTGTTGAGATTGGTCGAGAACGAAAGGCCATCACAGCATCCCTCAAGGATCTCGACTCGGTGGTTTCCAAGCTCGACGATGTTTTCATGTTTATCGTGGCCGTCATCACTATCCTCGTGTTCATTTCTTTGATTTCGACCTCTGCATCAGGAGTCTTGACATCGGCTGGTTCAACTCTTCTTGCACTATCTTGGTTGTTCTCCGCTACCGCGCAAGAATTCCTTCAATCAGTTATCTTCGTCTTCGTCAAGCATCCTTTTGATGTCGGAGACCGAGTCACCATTTATGGTAACACTGGATCTGAAATGAAAGGAGATGATTACTTTGTCAAGGAAATTGCACTTCTCTATACCGAGTTCAAGAAGATGGAAGGCCATGTCGTTCAGGCACCAAACAGTTACCTCAATACTCTTTTCATCCTCAACCAGCGTCGCTCCGGAGGTCTCGCAGAAGCCGTCCCTGTTACTGTCAAGTTTGGCACCACTCTCGACCAAATCGACGCCCTCCGCGAACGTCTGCTCGAATTCGTCACCTCTGAGAACCGAGAATACCAGAAGAATATCCTCACCGAACTCCGCACAGTCTACGAATGCCACTCCATTACTCTCAACGTCGTCTTCTTCTACAAGTCAAATTGGCAAAACGAGCTTCTCCGTCTTCAGCGCCGCAATAAGTTTATCTGCGCAATGATGGTCACAATGGGCGAACTCGGTATCGAAGGACCCAGAATGCGTCTTGCAGGAGCAACCCAGAACTTCCCTATGCATCTCCACGACGCTTATCCTCGCGCTGCCCAACCAGCAGACTCTCAATCTCCAACCGACGGCAGTGTTGGCCCTGGTCCACGGTCCGGCTCTCTGGCCCGTGATACACCCATCGACATCACAGCACCCCAACAATCCGCTCGATCCCACCCCTCCATTCTCCGCAACAGAGGAGAGTCCATTTCTCGGCAGCGTGGGGAATCAATTGGCCAGATGGGCAAACGCGTGGATTTTTCGCTCGGCATGTCAGCTATCTCTTCTGGTGCGGATTTCGGCGATGTTTACGAGGATCGCAAACCGTTCGTTCCGCCTCCACGTATAACCACCACATCTGCCTCGCCTAACCATGGCAGTGGCCGCTCAGGAAGTCGAGACCACAACCGCGAGAGCGAGGATAGTATGGTCCGTACCAGCACCCGCGATTCTCAGCTCAGTAACCCTACAAGCAACAAGACTCACCGTAATCGTTTCTTCACCCGGAACAGGAGTAAGCTAGGTACTGCGGAGGAGGGAACAAGACTTGAGGATCTGGAGGCTGGGACACGAGAGTTTGGAAAGGAGGATTTACCAGATATTCCCGAGACGAGTGCAAGGAACTCGGCGAGTTGGGCGGAGGAGATGAGGAGGGAGATGGAGAGGGAGGGGTTAAGGGATGGTGAGAGAGGTGAAGGAGGGAGGATTGATCCTAGGACGGGGATTGTGTCTCCACAGGCGGTGCAGCGGGATAGTGCGCTTGAGAGGGGGGAGTTGCCGATGGTGATAGCAGGAGCGGGACAGGCACAGCCGAGGAGGGCGATGACGGAGCAGTTGAAGAAGAGATGAGGTGAGTGTGTTTGAGGGTGAAGAGTGATGGGGGAAGAGTTGAGGGTTGAGGGATTGAAATGTTAGCGGGAGTTATACAAGGCGAATTTGGATAGGTATGCATTGGAAGCGGGAAGGCTGATTGATGTATGAGTTGAAGATTAGAACGGAACAGAACAGAACAACACAGCATGACGCGAACAAGTACAAGTTAGAAGATAGATTAGAGTGTATTAGAATGTATAATATAGACGATCATATTTTGCCATTTTCCAATACTGTGCAATAGAAGTTATCTCATTTGATCATTGCTCCACACCTACAGCAGACTTTTAACTCCTTCACCACTGTCAACATCCAGATGTACTGCATCACATCACTTACATCTTCAGCAACAAAACACCTCTCGCTAAATTCTCTGTACTTGAATACTTTCCCATTCATTCGATCATACTTCTCTCGTCTCGTCTCCTCCTGTTTTCATTTATCTTCACAACCCTGCAGTCCCTATCGAAAATCAACCCCCATCTCCCTTCTAACCCATTCCTCCCACCCGCCTCTCTCCCAAGTCTCCTTTTCGCCTTCCCTCTCCACTCCCCATTCTCTCTCTTTCCCCCCAACTATCCCACCCCCTCCATCAACCCTTGAACCCCCTCCTCCACTCCCCATCCTCCTCCTCAGCATACCCATCTCCCCCCCTACCCTCCGCACCAAACTCTCTCCCTTCCCAGTAATAAAAAACAACCCCCCAGTATCCCCCGTTCGCTTCAATAACACGCAATAAACGGCTACTAGCACTAGTGCTTCGGGGGCGCGGGATTCTAGCATGCTGCAGAAGTGGGCGGGGAGCATGGTTGGCCAGGAGAGGGTGGCGATTGTGGGGGAGATGGAGAATTTCGGTACTTGTTTGGCGATGGGTGAGGGTGAGGGTGAGGGGGATGAGGGGGGTGGGGAGTTTGTGGGTGGGTATGAGCAGGAGGATGAAGGGGAGGGTGCTGGCGATACGATGGAGAAGGCGTAGCGGAGGGTGGCGAGCGTTTCGTTCAGGGCGGTGATATCTGTTTGTGATAGTGTGGGATGTGGAGTGTTTGGTATTGGAAGTGCCCAGCATTCAGCCAAACGAGTGAGGCGCTCTGAGTCTGATATCGGTGTCTGTCTATCATCTTCTATTTCTTCTTCCAGGAAATCAACACCAAAACCAAATCCAGAATCAATCTCTCCGTCACGAATTTGGTTCCCGCCCTGGTCGTGAGAGATTGGATGTGATGCGTGGTGCGGTATCGATTTCGATATCGATGAAGCGGCATTCGGAGCAGGCCCCAGATGAATCTTCATTACTCTCGTCACTGGATCCATACTCGTCTGTGTCGGTTTCCACGGCGAGATGATATCCACGAGTTCGCTGTTGGAGCCGCGTGCTATCCAGTTGTATGTCAGCGCCACTATTTGATGTCCCCCGCGGTGGAGTTTATACCACGGGACGATGGTGCGGTTTTCGTTTTCGGCGTTTGGTGAGAATGAGTTGGGCATGGGTGAAAAATCCGATGTGTTTGAGGAGGTATTTGGTGGACTAGAAGGTGGTAATGCCGTAGGGAAGAAGATGTTTTCTCCTTTTGCCCCGGGCATTATCCATGGGATGATACTTAGAAATGACGAGCAGGCTGCACAAGCAGCTGCGTTCTCCTCATTCAGATTCTGTAGTTCTTTTCTGAACATAGCGAGGGATTTCGTGTGGTGGTATGTAGCTATTTGTTGGAATCTCTGACTGAGGAGGTGTTGATCTGGAGATGAGGTGTGCAGGTGTGCGAGGTGGAGGGCGGAGACGGAGAACATAGCATGAATGAGGAACGGCTGGGTGAATGACAGGGTTATGATCGATGTGGTCCAGATCGAAGAGCCGGTCATGTCTGGTGCGAGGATTGATTGGCTGGTTTGGTTGGTGTAGGTGTGGAGGAGATGGAGCTCTGGGGTGGTGAAGCTGATGGGGAGGCTGTTGAGCGTTGGTCTTGGTGTTGGTCGTAATGCTGGTATGGGGACTCGTAAGTTGTGGTTTCCGGTCCTAAGGGACTTGGAATGAGCATTGAGGTTCCTCGATTGTTGGTCTTGGTCTTGCGTTTGAGATGTGAGGGATGAGCGATGATGAAGTGGTTCTCTCGACGCGAGCCGTCCATGTTGAAGGCCTCGACCCAATGGAACATATTGAAGAAATGAGCAGGTACTTCTATGGCGATTACAGTTCCGGCAAGATGGTTTTCCTTCGTCACACTGAGATGTAAGAGGACGTCAGTCTTGTTGGTACAGGAAGTATGTCTTGCAAAGCAAGCGAGTTCTCTTATACTGGGTGAAAGCTATAGTGGGTGCCGAGGGAGCTTCGAGATGGAAGGACATGGAGGAGGGCAAAGCGACAGGAAATACAGGTAGATGTATGTTTCAAGGTGAAGCAGAAGATGAAGGGAGTCCATGACTCTTAAGTAGATTTGACCTTGTTCTGGATCTCGAGCTCCGCACTTGAGATCGGAGTCTTCGCTGGCTGACATGCTGTCTTCTCAACAAGAGTGACTGAAAACGGCACAATTAACAGCCATTTGATCCTCTAAACCGCAGCAATTATGCAGATAAATGCGGATCATAAACTTCAAGAGAAACAAATTCCTTACCTTTATCTTCCTCTGCTTACACTGGACACACCCTGTCCGTGTCTTCGCATGGGGTCTAGCCATTCCTCTGCCGTAGGACTAGCCGTTTAGGTTGTAGAAGCCGATTTTTGAGGGGCAGGTACTCGTACAGACGTCCAATGGGAAGTTCACCGGTGCGAAGCGTGCATGAATGGGGCTGCGGCATTTGAATATGAGTTTGGGGGGATGAGGTCGACTTTGTTTGTTGTGCTGGAAAATTTGGCGTGTTGTCTCGTTTCGTGGGGAAAGGGGTGGGTTTACATGGTTCTGACCAATGGTTGTTGAGAGAAGCCGAGTTTTCATTATATTCGCTTATGTTAATAACAAGGCTTAGGTAATATTCAGGGGTTCTTGATCACCAAGCCGGACGCGTCCCCCATCACGTGTTCTTTCTTTGCTCCCTAGTGGTATTCATATCGCAACGGGCAATTTCGCTTCATTCAACCTTCTTCTTTCTATTGTTCTTATACATACAAGGCCGGTTTATCCAAAGTACTTTTCTGTAACCCAGAAACGGCAAGCTTCGGCGTCATGAAGATCATACCATGGGGCTTGATTTGGCTTTCAGAACTTGCCTACACCGAGGGAAGGCGGAAATAGGACAGCTCTACAATTGTAGGCCATTTCATCCACCATCAAAACTGGCACAAGGAGGAAACAATCGGTATTCGCGCTTGCAGGTCCATTCGGTCGATGTCACGATTCTGTCACCTGACTGCTGTGCCTGACCATGAAGGGGTGTTTGCGGAGAGTTTCTGACCGATATTGGTTTCACCTTGTTTCTGTTGGGAGGCATGCTCTTTTGTATCATCTTGTGCCTTTGGCGTCGTTATCAATGCAACTCCCTATCGCCCTCTACTCGGCGTGAGTGTTGCTTACCATCTACCAATCTGAGGACAGGAAACAAGCATGGCTGCATATAAGCTGCAGCCACCACTGCAATGTTTACGATACTTCCAATCCACGACGTCCGATTGTGATGTTGGGGGCCATATTTCTCCAGCCGGACAGCGTATAGTGTGAAATGCGAACCTATCCTTGGGGTACACAGCTAGGCTTCCGTCCGCCTCACGAACTGCCCCGCGCAAGGCTGGTACGGTGGGGATATAATTCTCTTCCATCTCTCTGTTATTTTGTTTTCCGTTATGTAACTCAACGTATTCCTGTCATTCAACATAGCCTTACTCTACAAGATCAATCCTGAAAATATCAATGGCCAAAGCAACCGTTGCTGAGACTCAAGCCGCAAAGGATAGCGCCGCAAAAACAATCGGTCTGAACGATTCGGACGTTTCCAAAGACACGGCTGAATCCTCTGTACCAGTATCAGTCATGTCTCCTCCCCATGAAGCTGGCGTCATCTGCGAGGTTAAGGACCTCTACCAAGGTACAGCAAATTGTGTTTGTTGTATGACTTGGGCAGCATCACCGCAAAAGAAAATCACTACTGCAGTAGCCACTGACACGAGCGGCTATGCCGTCCTCGCCCGCAAGTCTGAAGGCCATGGTGACTACGGCCGCGACCTGAAGCTTCACTCCATCGTCATTCAAAGTGCTTTGATTAGGAAAGTCGTGGATGTCGCATTGAAAGGATATCCCGGTATTGCAACTGGTTTGGAGAGTTTTACTGTCGAAGCACCATTTCCATGTTTCTATCACCGCTGGACAGCCCTCGTTGATGCCTACTCTACTTCTATAGGCGAGACCGCACAGCATCTCGGACTCCTCATCAATCTCCTCGATTCTGAATTCCACGGAACACAGAAGGCAGTCGCAGATCTTCTCAAGAACAATGTTATCGAGCACCAATACCTCTGGACTATCTTCCAACCAGGCCACTACATCCTCACCAAGACTCATGGGCAGGACTCCGTCCTTCTACTCGACGCGGTGACCAAGTACGATGAGACGATAACTGGAGGCCAAAGAGGCTACTTGTTAACGGCCAGTTACATTGATTACGATGGATCGATGACTGGTCTTGGGACGACACACATCAAGATCTCGGAGTTTAGAGGCACAACGTCCTTGTCTGAACTGCCAGCTATTCCATTCCTAATGCATCCCGACAGAGAGACTATCGAGAAGACGCGTGTTGCCGAGGGCAAACGATTCGCTGCTTTCAGAACCGGCAAGTTCCAGGAGTATGCGGGCAGAGCATTTTCGGATAACAGAGACAGTGATAACATCACTGAGACCCAGGTATGCTTCCCTTCCTATATGCAGATCATCTGAATCAACATTGATATAGGTCAATGGCAGAGTAATGGTCGATCCATTCGCTTACTTCAAATTCAAAAACCACGATGGACTTGCCCTCCGTCCCCTCGGTCTTCCAGCTCCGATCATTCCTCAACCAGTCTTCCGTCCACATCACGGCCCTCCAGGTGGTCCCCCACCCCCACCCCCACCACATCCTCGCCTTCAACGGATGCCGCCACCTCCACGTCCGGTATACGTGAATTTCAAACAAGACCGAAACAAGAATACGCGTCCCACAGAATCCGACCAGCATGAACTCACGGACAACGAGTATCTCATCTGTGTCCCGTTTGTTAGAGGCTACTCGTTCAAAAACAAGCAGTGGGTTTTGCTCACTATTGAGAACTTGAGACCGGTGCAGTGGACCGAAGATCTGTTTCAAAACCTAGTCCTGCCAGCCGAAGAGAAAGAGCTGTTGCTCGCACTTGCAAAAAGCCATTGTGATGCCAAAGCAAACACGTTCGATGACTTTGTCATTGGAAAAGGTACGTCTTTTCTTAGTGCTTCTGCTCTCGCTGATCTCCTTCTCTCTGTTTGCACCACTAATATTTAATACAGGCAGGGGCATGGTCATCCTCCTTGACGGCCCACCAGGGGTAGGCAAAACACTCACCGCAGAATCCGTCGCCGAAAATATGAAAGCCCCCCTCTACACCATGAGCGCCGGTGAACTCGGCACACAAGCCGAGGACGTCGAAAAGTGCCTCTCGGATATCTTAGCAATGGCCAGCATGTGGAATGCGATCCTGTTGATTGACGAAGCGGACATCTTCATGGAGCAGCGTACACCATCCGAACTGGAAAGAAATGAGCTGGTAGCTAGTATGTACCATCTCCCATCCGTGTTCGAACTTTGCTAATCAAAACAGTCTTCCTCCGCCACATAGAATACTTCCACGGAGTTATGATCCTCACGACCAACCGCGTGGACACCATGGACGTCGCTTTCGACTCTCGCGTCGACATTCGCCTGCACTACCCGCCCCTTTCCGCGTCCTCACGCCGTCAGATCTGGGCGAATTTTCTCGCTCGGCTGCCAGAGAAATCGACATTCTCGGAGGATGAGTTGGATCAGCTTGCGGAGCTAGATATCAATGGGCGGCAGATAAAGAGTCCTGTTAAGACGGCGCGGTTGTTGAGTAGTGGGAAGGGAGAGGCTGTGAGAATGGAACATGTTAGTACGGTGCTGAGGATCACGAGAGGTGTGAAGCTGTAGAGTGGGAGAGTGCGATCTTAGGAAAGGATGGCGTAGAGAAGTTTGTAGCATCGTGAGAAAGTGTGATCCGTTTAGCTAGCTGATTGCTGACATTGATCATACCCCTCACCAGACTGATTAATTCCTCCCTTCAGTTGCACTGACTCAGGCTCCTTTGGACAGGTATGGAAGCGGAAAGACTGAGAAAGAGAGAGCACTACAATCACAGAAACATAAAGTTGTCTCCGAACCATGTTCAATTAAAGCCAGAACATCTTCTCTTACCATCATTCAATTACACCTCGAATTCTACGGAGCCAAGCTCGGTGAGTCCAAGCAGCACAGCTAAACAGGCGTGGCGAATAAATAAGCGATTATCAACACCCATACTTTTGCTGAGTAAACGCCCACAGAAGCAATTATTCAGCAACAACCACGCCTAATCCCGCCTCCACAAGCATCATGTAGGGAGGGACAATTAAGCGAGACTACCCGACTGCCATCCTATTATGGACAGTGTCGCACAGCCACTTTGGGTTATGACGTGCAGTATCATAGGCAGTTAGCCTTTAGTCTATGGTGTTCGAGATGTGCAACCAATCGAGAGGTCCATTTTGCGAGAAAGAAAGCTTGTCCTGGTGGTTGTTGGCTTGGCTGATATGGCGGTCACTGGCCTGATTCGCTGGATAGATGCATACATTGGCGACTTAATTTTTGCTGCTTTGGGGAAGACTGACTTCGGCTTTGAAACAGACACAATGCGGGTTAGAAATGCTCATGGGATTGTCAGACTCGCATTCAGTTACCGAACATTGGTTCGCAAGCCTGGATTCTGGCAGGTTTCTACCAAGCATCCCCTGATTCATTGTATAGCGTTGCCCTAGAGCATAGATTCGGACATAATAAGCCTCGGTGCACAATGGCAGCAAGAGTAGCAAGAGCTTAATTCTTATAAACCACTGGTGAAGCTTTAAATCTCTTGATAATGCTATATTGCTTTCCCATAAAGACTTCAACATTCCCAAAATCTCTGACCCCGCGACGTCTTTCACAAGTCCCATCTCGCCACGTAACGATGATACCCACCTCCACAAGTCAAGCTGGAGAAAGCTTTGCGAAAGATCTCCGAGAAATTTATGCACGCTGAGAATTACCCACATTCAGCTCTCTGATTTACTTCCACGAGAATGACATTGGCTAATGGACTCGAGCATGCACGTGCGAGACAGTGACTGTCGGTAGTTTACAGGTCGAAGATCGCCGAAGACTTTCTGGTCGCGACTAGCTTCTTGTGGTGTTTGAATACTATATTCTCACTTACTCGGCGAAGAGATGTAGAGGTTTCCTGTTGTGATACTGAAAGTACGTACGCTCTCACTGCATCATTTTACCTTGGCCAGAAATTTTCATCCTCAAAAATTGATTGTTTTCGATGCATGGTCTTCTATGATCTTCGTTCTAATCTGTCTCCTATTCGACGTAACACCAACGGTTGATTTTCGTTGGACCTTGGAGCAAGGTAGTCCGAATGGACAAGCAGGGAATTTCTCCCGTGTGTATATCGTTTTTCTTATGCGAAGCCAGAGATAAGGTTAACTTGACCAGCTGCTAATAGTCCAATTATTTCCTTATCTTTAGTTCTTCTCTCACATTTGCCTTGCTCTCCAATATTTCTGAGAACTGTAAGTCAGAAGTCTGTGTGACAAGAAATGAGATGACAGTCAAGATGACATGTATTCGACCAGGTTCGAAACAACCTAGAGTCGAAGAACAGAGAAGAATCGGGGCCTGTATGTAAGACTTGCCGTATCTGGTATCCATGAAACGTTATGCAACTTGTTCTTGTGTGCGTCTCGCAGCGACTACCCGCACCGCCACACCCTTGCCAAGGCTGATGTATTGTTTTGTCAGCTGCCATGCAACCGAGGAGGGATATCCTCAACGATGTTAAAACAGACAATTTTCATGTTTAGCAATATGTTGAGGTAATATCAAGGAAAGTCTACCTCAAAACTCAGCAACATTTTAACTTCACATCTCAAATTCGACGCCGCCAACAATGGAATCGGCAAAACCTAATGAACGCAAATCAAAAGATCTCGAGAAGGGCAAACAACCGGTCCAAACGTTCGAATTCATCACCTTGACCGACAACCAGAAGATCGACGGACATGATCGCTATACAGTCCGCAAACAAGCGATGAAGAATAACACGAATCGGAGGATCAAAGGTGCTAAATACCCCTCTTCAGAACTTGAAGATGTTGAAAGCGAAAAACCGCTTACTGGTCCGCCAGTTATACAACAAGCATTACAATCAAAGAGATTCCGACTGCTGCCAAGAGGACTACAGGACTTGGAGGACAAGCCCAAGATCAAGCCAGCTTGTACGAAGGCTAGTTCTTCCAAATCCTCGGGGATGATGATGCAGACGTTCGAATTATCGCCGGTGTACTTCAACGACGATTATTCTATGATAGACTCGACGATGCAGTTGCCAACACAGTCTGGGTGGATAAACCCATATCTTGAAGGAGGAAGTGTCTTTGATCCCCAAAGTGCGAGCCGCAACAGCTCTATCTCTTACTCCGACTCTCTTGACGATCTACTTCACAGCTTTTCAGCACTACAATACCAAACATCGCACGAAGACACTGTTCCCCCAAGCATCGATCCTCTATCATCGATCCCAGAAAATATACCCTACCGTGCCCGACTTCTCATCCAACATGACTGTATGCACCTCTCCAATTTTGCTCATCCCCAAGTCCTTCTCCACTTACATCGCCTCAGTCACAGAACGTAGCCGAGCCACTTCTCTGATGATGTCTGTTCGCAAGTCGTGGCTTGCACTATCACTCACCGATGCTGCGTTATTCAATGTGGTACTCGCACATTATGCTGCGAGTTATTGTCTGTTGACTGGTCATGGGGATCCGATGGAGGCGATCTCGTTCACGGCTGCTTCGATCAATATCATCAATGAGAGGATGAATTGGCCGGACCAGAGAACAAGTGATGGAACAATTGCTGCTGTTGCGGGGATGGTGTTACAAGAGGTGGGTTCCTCTCTTTTCTCCATGCCTGAGGTTTTAGATACAATATGCCTTCTGCGAGCGCCAACAGGACTGCACAGCTGATGATCGTGATTGATATAGGTCAAGAACGGAGACGAAGTGGCTGTAAAAGCCCATCTCAGCGGCCTAGAACGAATGATCACTTTGCGTGGCGGGCTTCACAAAGCTAGGTTTCCCGCATCGCTTCAACGAATGATAGCGTGTACGCAAATCTTACCCCTTACCCCTCTTTGATATACTTTCACAGCTTACAAGTCACTAGGGGCTGAACTCCACGCCTCGAGTGTTTTCTCCACCACACCGAATATCCTCCCATACGACGCACCGGCTCTAGACATTCCACCCTACACTATCACAGCCACCAGCAGCGGCTGTTTCCTTCTCTCGAGCTCAGAACTTCCTTTCAACCGCAGCATTACATGGGATCCAATCGAGACAAATATCGAACAAGTCTTCGCAGATCTCCGATACCTATCCTCTGTCCTTGAATCTGAGGATACAAAATCTGCCGAGGAAGTCGACAACATGTGGTACAGCGACAAAACATACCTCGTAAAACGCAGTCTCGTGTACCTATACCAACATCCTCAACTTTCACATTCTCGACTAGACACGCTGAAATGTCTCGCTGCCTCCATTTTTGTAGATTCTTGCTTTCGAGATCAGAGATTCAGCGCTTGTTCAATTGGAATTCTCGTGACAAAATTGAGATCGGAGCTAGAGTCATTCTTGATGTCGTATGATCTCGAATTGGTCGAGCATAGCGAGGAGGATGAGAAAGCTTTGATGTGGGTTTGTGCATTTGGGGGCATTGCAGCTTATGGCTGGGCGGAGAGGAGTTGGTTTGTCGAACAGTTTGCCAGGGTTTGTGGGAGGTTGGAGATTAGGGAGTGGGAGCGAGCGAGAAAGATCGTGAGCGAGACGCTGTGGAATGAGAGATGGGAGGAGCCGAAAGGGGCTTTATGGCGGGAGACTGTTGAGACGAAGACAAGTATGATTGATGATGCTTCTTTTGACACGATAGATTACAGGGTAGATGCAGGTAATATATCGCAATACATGCCCTGATGAAAGATACTTTCCACATTTCGGCGCTCATTAGCCGAATGTCAACAAAATCCCTTCGTGCTGCTTCCCATCTGCTTCAGGACGGCAAGAATACTGTGGTACTTAAATATGCTAACTGATCTCTTCGGACCCTTCAAGAGGTAGTTTTCTCTGTTGGGCTTTCTATTGCATCTTGTCAGATGTTTTCCAAGCGCGTTGTCATGGTGCCCCTGGGCGAATCCGGATTACCCCGCACTCAACTGAAACTCAGAGGAGGGACTGCAGATTTAGCGATTCATAACTGTAAATACAGGCCTCCCTACTGAAACGACAGATGGAACCTTGTGACATTTGGCGCTAATTTTAACCGAGAGCTTCATCTTTTCCTTTTCAGCTCCACTCATGCCCCAAAACACTCTCTCACATCCACGCAACTCCTAAGCACTACAACTCGAGGATCGACATGATGGACGACTCTGATGGTGAGCCTCTGTTCGCTTTCCAAGACTTAGACTACATACCATTTGGATACAGTGGCCTTGTGGCTCCTTACATCGAGTCGGGACCTGGGACCATGCGGGCGGCTGCGACACTGATGGCGCTTGATCTTGCGCTGAAAGACGGCAAAGCAGCAACGACTGTTGTTTGCGATTTTGGTTGCGGCGATGGTGAATTCCGTAAGATGGCGAGATAAAATATCCTACCTGCATTCTACCCATGACAGAAAGTCCTCTCTTCTCGCCTCAACAGAAGCCAGGTATCACCCCCACTAACCACTTTAGAAAACTTATAAAATCGCATACTGATTGTGTTGTGTCAAGTCCTCGGCCTGCTTGGCCATATAAATAGTCCCAAAAGCAACCTCTCAACAGCCCAAGGCGTCGGCATCGACTACAATGCCGAATTGATCAAAACTGCAGGTATCAACTCCAACACCCAAGGCGCCAAGGCCGAGTGGCTCATCTACAACTTCAACGACGATCAAGATGATGTCGCAAGCACATTGATCGATACACATCAGATTACCCACATGTTCATCTATCTCGTCCCCAAGCAATTAGCCATGCCGACTGTGAGAGGGGCAGGCAAGACTCCCGGGCTACGGTGTTGTTGCTTGACTGATTGTGGGAACTAGATCCTTACGCGGCTCTATGAGAATGGTGTTGTACTTTGCTGTCACAAGTTCTATCCTGAGTATTTGACTCCTACGAGAGTGGATACTGTGATGCACTTGGCGGTCTATCATTGTCCCAGATGAGGACGTATGACTTTGTCCATCTCCGTCGTTACAATCAGGACAGCTGGTTATCAGAAGCTATGTTTACGGCCGGCTCATGGATTCCGGCCTTTGCCATGGATTAAACAGGAGCCCCTGCTGCAACCTGCTTTCATCACAAAGAAGGGCCGGTTCCTGCGTAGCAGTGACTCAACAGACCATAGGAGCATAGAAACGCTGTCATGAAATCAACACCTACCAAAGCTTAGCTCCTGTCTCCTCACTATGATTTTCCGGGGGGCCGATAAAAAATGGGCGTGGTCTCTTGAAGTGGCGCCAAGTATTTAGTGAACTCGAATCCATGCATGTCATATTCAGCGTGCGAGCGATGCTTTCATGTTGGGGACTCCCCGAGTTTTCGTTCTGACATGGTTTTGAAGGATTATTGAAATGAAAAACATGAGAATTTCAACGCATAATCTACTAGCAGTAGCATGTATGCCCAGCACACCACATTTCTACAGCCTCACATTTGTGGCCAGGACTCGTGTGCCCTTCCGTGCCCTTCCGGATTGGGAAGTATACGGATGTCCTCTCCATCCCCCATTCTACGCATCGAACGCAACCCACCGAGTAGTTTCGGATATAGCCACAGCAAAACAGCCTCTAGATTTATTTTGAAACAGTGAAAATGGTGTTTTGTCTCAAAAGCGAAAAGTATAAAGTAGAGTGTAGCCTCAAGGACTGTGACTTAAGAAGTGGGAAGCTCGGCAAAGGATTTAGCTTTGTCCAATAGATACCTCTCTTTACGTACAACCTTTAGGCCATGGGCGAGAAGCGGTGAAATCAAGTCCTAGCTATCGATGCCGAGAGAGGTCAGCTGGAGCAGAGTAGTTTTATGGGATCTTCGTATTGTTGTTGAGTCCTACAATCCTTCTGGGCTCGCTGGCACATTTCCGCAGTGTTTTGCAGCAGACGTTTGACGTATGCGGCTCATTTGAGAAGAGTCAAAGGAATAGCCTGCCAAATGTTGTACCTATCATAAATGAATGAGCCACAGGGTTAGATCTCGAAACTTCAGTAGCGATGTGGCCAAGTTGTCAAGAGGGGAGTCTAAGTATGGACGCTTTGAATCTTGGATCTTTTCCGCCTGTCCAGAAATGTTAATTGATTGTTCTGAAAGAATTTACAAATCTATTAATAGTTGAATTCACATCCAACTTTAAAGTAGCTTTTATCGTCAAGTTGGACGATGTCTTTGTCCTAAATTGATCGCATTTAGCGTGCCCTCCCCTGCCTCCGCCGGACGCTCGGGGCCAGTTCAATCTCTTCACAGCGTCACCACCAGAATATCGCGCATCAACCACCAGCACCCCTATACTCACCGAAACAATCTTGAATCATTTATATATCGTGGCAAAGTCGTATCCACACTAAATATGAAGCTTTGCACTTCTCTGAACCCTTGCTATCAAATGTCAGCTGTCGGCGAAGTTGTCCTGTGATGAGACGCACAGGACTCTCAAACGCACGCCTTCAAACACGGGAACATACGCACCTAATGCTTCGATGGATGTTCTACTATTATTCTACGGCTACGACAAAGCGGCAGTGCAGCGTCTCATGATTTGAAGCTTTCAATCCTGCCAGGCAGCTTTGTCGCCAGATTTTGACGTTCGCGATGCCTTGCCGGTGCTCAGCCCCCATCCAGGCAGACCGAGGCTGAGAACCACCACCCATAATCATCCTGCTGAAATTTAGGGTTGCGGCCATATGCTGTGCTCTCGGTAAGGACTGCAGGTGTGCTGTTCTAGTGCATCCTTATCCGCTGGCTGGCTGCTTATTGCCATGAGGCTGCCGTTTGTTGTCGGCTTGTATTGAGGATGCGTTGAGTTTAGTACTACTTGACCTCAGTGGCTATGGGGCTAGGGCGTCTCTGAAAGACTGATTTACGGCTTTTACCATTGAGGATGTAGGATCAAAGCTTTGGATTGGCTGGCAGTGCCCGCTTGCTCTTTTATATCAATGAGCTTCCTCGAAAGTCACTCTGTTTGTTACTGAATCTCATCTGTGTTTCGACATTCGACGGCATTTTGAGTCATACTACTAGTAGCCGATTATCCAAGATGATGACTGCGACAAGAATGCCAGGGAACTGGCCGATTGAAAATCGACAGGAGGTTTCAGTGCGCGGCGGTCTTCGACTGAATACCGATTTCTCACAGGGGTTACTCCAAGTCCCGACTATGGCATCTGCTTCTCCCTCATCAAGCAATAGTCGCGATGAGCTATTCTTCGAGTGTCGACCCATCGCAGCGAGTACCGACTCGAGCGAGGAGGCATTGGCTTCATATCTTGCGTTTGAGCCTGTGGTTGAGAGCGTTGCGAACGATGAGCACATAGACTGGCGAAGATACGAGCCACCGAGAGAGTTGCTGGAGTCTCAAGAAGGAACATCTCCAACCCTTCGGGATTTACTTCCAGTATCGATTGAGAGATTACGAGCAAGACATGAGGAAGAGGAGGAGAGACGGGCAGCATCAGCACGACGAGAACGACCTATTGCAAGAGTGGGAAGAGCTTCAGTGAAGCCACGGCGAGATCGAGAGGTCAGTAATGGTAGCTGTCCGTCCGATGATTTGCTAACATCAGACAGAGTCTAAACAGTAGTCAGTCCCTTGATCCAGGATTCCTGAGCGCTGAACCATCTCGACTAAGTGGCGCCAGCGCGACGTCTATCTCGTCGACCGACTCAGGTTATACGTCTATGGTGATCGAGCCTGATCCTCGTCCAGAGCCTATTGCTCGTCTAAAAAGAGCTTCCAAGAAGCCATTCGGGCTGGCTTCTTTGTTTCGCCGGACATTCGACTTTGATGGTCTCAGTGAAAGCAGTGCTCCATCTCCACCAGACACTACACAAATACCAGAGCCGACCAGGCCGGCCCCCACTGTGCAGCCACCACCACTGTGCGTGCTTTTCTCATTCACATTTATTTCGTCGGCTAATATGAGTAGCGAATGTGTTTCATGCTTGGATGACTTTGATGCGTCCCATATGATTACGTTGAGCTGTCACAGTTACTGCACTGAATGTTTTCAACGACTCGTTAGGTAGGTTCCACAAACCATCTCTCAAGGCTGCATCTGACCCAAAATAGCACCGCCTTGGAGTCAGAGACACACTGGCCTGCCAAATGCTGCCTGAACCCCATACCTTCCGAAAACATCTTCCCCCATCTCGACAGCGCCACCAAAACAAAATATCAACAGCGTGACGCAGAATGGTCAATACCTACCAGCGACCGAGTCTACTGTACTCACACCAATTGTGGGACTTGGATCCCACCAAAACAAGTCAACGCCGGCGCCGCCCGCAACTTCGCCAAATGTCCCAAATGCTCAAAGAGAACCTGCACACTCTGCAGAGGTCCCTACCATAATGGAAACGACTGTCCACAAGATCCCGCACTCCAAGCCACTGCCAACCTAGCTGAGATGGAAGGCTGGAAACGATGCTACAGCTGTCACGCCTACGTCGAGCACAACAAAGGCTGCAGACACATGACTTGTCGCTGCAAAGCTCAATTCTGCTATATCTGCGGCGAAAGGTGGAAGACCTGCTCTTGCACTGACGAGCAGCTCCATACTATCCAAGCTCAAGTGGCTAGTAGACGCGAGGAAGCAGCTGCACAGACTCAACGCTCGGCTGCAGAGAACGCGAGACGTGCTGCGGAGGAGGAGGAACTCCGCCAGATCTTACAAGAAATTGATGATTTTGAGCGAGCGGAAGAGGAGCGTCTGGCTGCTGAGTTGGAAGCTGCTAGAATTAGAGAGGAGGCGGAAGAGCGGCTAAGAGCTGAAGAGAGGAGGAGAGCGGAAGATGAGAGGCTCGCGGTTGTGAATCGCAGATTTCGACAGTTGGGCGTTGAGCTTGAGATCTTGACTGATGTTCAGCGCGTTCTCATGGCCGAACGCTATGAGTTCGAAGTCGAAGTCTTGAAGAAAGAAAAGCAAGACGCGCTTGATACACTGTCAATCAGACACCCCGCCGAGATGAACACCCTCGCCATGGAATCACAGCGCAGAATCGCCGAATCTGAATCCAAATTCGAGCAAGAATATCAGCTCCGACTTGATGAGGAACGCCGCATCGAAGACGACTACGTCACTCAACTCCGAGCCTTCTACAGCGGGAAACCAGAAGCCGAGTACCGCGTTCGGGAAGCTAGAGATGAATTAAGGGAGAATCAGGCAAAGGAGTATAGGTTCTGGGATGCGTATAGGAGGAAGCAGTTGGTGGCTGTGAGGGAGGGGGAGAGTAGAAAGGTGGAGGCGTTGAGGGTCAAGCAGGAGAGTGAGAGGAGGGCTGTTGAGGGGAGAGCGAGTATTGATAGGGTGGAGTGGCAGAGGAGGGTTTGGGCTGAGGGCCAGTGGGTCGATGCTGTTACTGCTGAGAGGGGTGCTATGTTGATGGCGATGGAGCAGGAGGATTATGCGGGTGGTTCATGAGTGAGCTGTGTTCGCCATTCGATTCTTATGCTCCAGATTCCGAGTTGAGTAGTTTACGTGGATGATTTCGAGAATAGACTGTACGATAATGGTTCGGCCTTGCTTCCTTCCTTACCAACAAGCACGATTGCTAATATTCAACCTCTCCTCTCTTCCCACCACACCACACCATATCCATACGACACGGCATCAGTCTACCGAATTTCAACCTCATTAACACAGGGCTGGTATACCTCACCTACTCACGACCTCAAAATCCTCTTCTCTCAGCCGAGCAATTGACTCGAAAGAACAGCTCACCTCACACACACGCTCACTCACAACATCAATCAAGCACCTCACCTCATCATGCACCCACCCACCATTCGCTCCCGAATGCAACCACGGACCCAAACCCAACGGACGTATACTCCCCATCTAGACATCCGCAGAACCTGACCTACAACCCAACCCTCCCTCCTCGAATGGCAAGAAAAGGTCGTGGTAGTAGCGGCGTGCGTACAATACAGGCTAAATCGCCAAAAAAAAATCCACGTGTGCATCCATCTCGGCAATCAGTGCTAGGTAGGTTCCGGAGGGCTGAGTTGCATATTCGTAAACCTTTGGAGAAAGATTGATAGGGGTAATTTGGGTAATCTGGTTTTTGTGTAACTGCGGTGTAAGGTGAGGTATGAGTGTTTGTGGGGCATTAGCCGGGACTTGGGAACAGGGAGATAAGAGTTGAGTGTCAGGTCAGAGGGGAGAAGTGGAGCGAAAATTGTGACAGTTTGGTAGGAAATAAGCTTAGACTTGGATTTTGAATTTTGGATTAGCTGTTTTGGTGATGTGGATGCTCATGGCTTTTGGGGGATTGGTTATCAACGAGGTGCAAAATGATGAAACGCGAGGGAGCAAGTTATTCGGTCAGCCAGCGAACTATCCTATCCTCGGAAATGGAGCCCAACGACCCGGGGGCTTGCAGTTCTGGCTGCCAGGTTTACTGATTTGATTTTCTTTCTGGAGCGTTACATGATAGGATCTGTGCTGGCTCATTGTGGTAATGGCTAGTTATGGGTGTATGGTGTGATGGCTTGAATAAGGGTGAGATAGGATAAAGACCACAGAAATCCTTTTTCAAATCATGACATTATCTCCTTTCTCTTCTTTTTGGGGTCATATAATATACAGCACTGACTGTACTCTAATTGGGTGTCGACATTCATGAAGAAATATATATCCTGATTCCTGACAGAGACTCATGTTCCCTGCACACGAATATATTTTCGTCATGTCACAGTCACTCACCCATACCCTCGCTACTGTCTTGCTCTTTGTTGCGAGCTTGACTTGCGCAACCGATGCATACTTTCCGAAGAACCAGAGAGAAAGGAGACAGATTCTTGGGGACGTACCATCGTGGACAACTCCTAGCTGTAAGTACACCTTCCTTCTTTGTCTTAATCTAAAAAAACTCAACAACACAACCAAACCTGACAATCTCTAGTCTGCACAGAAACCGGCCGAGTCAAAGATATAGCGAGCTTAATGCTCCATCCGTACGTACCTCAAATCCACCTCACCTCATCTCTCAAAAAACCGACACATTTCCACAAAGGACGAACCTCCCCCTCCCCAATTCAGAAGATACCTAAGTAACACTGACCTATTCAGCCCACCCTCACCCCCATCCAAAACGCCCAACTCCCCTTCCCCCTCCCCCTCCCCCTCCCCCTTCCCCTCCCTCTGCTCCGAAATCCTCCGCCCAACACACACAATAACCTACACCTCAACCCTCATCGGCAGCACACCCATCACCCTAACATCCACCACAACACTTACCATCTCAACAACCACCTCAGAATACAGCCACAGCACAACCACAGCGCTCTGCCCCCTTCCTTACCCTTCCCCCTCATCCCCTCCCAACCCCTCCCCCGCCACCAACCTCAAATGCTCCCTCCCCGCCCTCGGCCTCCCCCAAAACCTACTGTATTTCAAAAACGATCTATCAGGTATACAATGCCATGAATTATGTCTAGCCGATACGAGGTGTTTGAGTTTTCAGGTGGTGGTGCAGACGGATAGATTGGGGCTGGAGTTGGAGTTGGGTTCTGATGGTGGTGGGAAGGAGGAGGCGGGGTTGAGGTATTTGAGGTGTAATGTTTATAAGACACGGGTGGAGGGGAATGTGGTTTTGGTTGATAATGATGGGGATGGAGGGGGAGAGGGGGATGGGGATGAGTTTGAAGAGGGAGCTGGGGCGAGATTTTGGGATAGAGGGTGTGCGGGGTTGGTTGCTGTGAGTTTTGAAGTGTTTCTTCCAGTTTTTGTGATGATGATGGGAGGGGGGAAAGAAATGATGATGAGGATGAGGATAGGCTGATTTGTTGATATCTTAGCCTGGCTGTGGCCAAAAGTCCCTGACGCCTACACAGACGCAGAAAGTGAAAGAGAAAGAGAGGCAAAAGCGGACTCCTGATGCGAGTTGTTGTAGGCTTGAAAGACTGCCGAATAAGATGACTGGACTCATCACAGATCAACAGGGTTCCTCAGCTCTTGATTCTCAGGATGAGGCATCACTGTCGGATTTGGGTGATGAAAACGAGATTAGAATTGAGAGGGATGAAAATCAGAATGGATTAGCGGAAGGTGTATTTCCGATTGATGACATTGTTGATGATGTTGAGGAGAGTATACGTGTTGAGAGGGCTGATGGTCCGGAAATTGGTGTGGAGGAGGAGGCATCTTTCGAAGAAGGTGAAGAGATTCGAATTGAGAGACGACGGCGAACTGATAAGTTCCCCTCTCCTGGAGGAGTCGCAGAACCCAAACCAGGATCCGAATCCGAGACTCTTGCAGAAGTAGAAGAAAATGGGGATGAGGATGATTCTATAGCGACCCAAACGATTCGTGTTGAGGTTGAGAAACGAGATCTATCGAAAGAGCAACAAGCTGATCCTCTCATCACGCCTGGGCCTAGTTTTCAACTTTCCTCACCAGGACGACAACAAACCGACTATAAATCTCTGGATGGTGGAATGGACGCTGGGGCTAATGACCACAACGCAATCCGCGTCCAAAAGAGAGAAACATGGACAACACCTGACTACTTAACATCGATCTTCCCGCTTTTTATCACCCTTGCTTGTTCGTGTCTGGTTTCTAGTGCGGCGCCGGGGGTGACGAGTAGTGTTACGGAGGTTAGGGAGATGTGGAGTTTTGAGAGTGTGAGTTTTTCTTTCTTTTCCCCCTGTACCTAACGTTTCGTGGATTTGAGGTGGTTTGAGTTTTGAGTTGAGGAGGAGGAGGAGGAGGGGGAGGAGGAAGGGGCTGGGGATGATGGGGGCTACTGAGGTGGGGAAAGGGAAGTTGAGGGGAGGGAAATGAGGATGGGATTTGAGAACTTGACCTGCATGAGATAATAAAGCTAATGAGTAATCTCTATCTAGACTACGTCGACGAAGAGTGAGGTGTATAGGTTTACGGAACATCCGAGTTGGTCGACTGTGTATCGGACTGTGGCGTAGAGGAGTGCGAGTTGAGGTTGAGGTTGTGCTTGTGCTTGTGTTTGTGCATATGTCGGTTGACTTGGCGGGAATACATGCTTAGTGAAGTTGGCAAGCTATACTACTTCGACTACTTGTTTGTGATATCTCATGGGGTTTGAATGATCACAAGCAAGTAATTGGCTTCTTTCCAAAGTATGGTAGTGATACGTCTGTAGCACGGGAATGCCTTATACCCTATCTTTCCGAATACCACCAATCATGTCCTGATGATCTAATCTTCCTCCTAATTGGACTGCTCCTGACAATCATCGGTAAGACTTGTATTATCTCTACTGTACTACTGCATATTCACGGAACAGACTAGTAGTAGGCGTTGATAATGCCAAGCGAGTAATGTCTGGTCAGAAAAGAAGGTTATTCTTGACATGCTCTAGAATTGTCATAGTATCTACCGGGGTTACTAGGATACTTGGAGGAGTTTATGCTTATCTTATCTATTGGGTTGCTGGGCCAAGTTAGATCCCATGATAGGAAGCATGGCTCAACAATGAATGAAGTTATGTTGGTTGGAGTTTGCCAGCCTGTAAGCTCGGGAAATAGGTACTCTCAAGAGCTGTTGATGGTGTTCGCATAAAAAAGTAAATCGAATCCATCTGGCTTTAGATGGTTGAGGTTGTATAGCATTCACATGTAAATGCACCTGTTTTGGTGTTGAAAGGACGGTGGAGGTGGAGGTGGAAAGAAGGTTGTAGGCTGGAGAGGAGGACAGGCGTCTCGCTTGCACACTGGCGCTGCCCCACATTCGGCCTCCCAGGTCATCGGTCAGCCTCCAATATTAATCCACTTCCTACTGTAAGTTATCCGGTCTTCCATCTCCAACCCTCCCGACTTCAACCTTTATCCACTCTAAGTCTCCTCCCCTCCCTCCCCTCAACTCAACTCAACTCAACTCAACTCAACCTTTACTCTACAAAGGTATGCATGCATGCATGCATGCATCCACGGCTTCCTCCGCTCGTATCAATACGCCGTACAGTATCCTTAACTTATCCGATGCCTCACCTCACCTCACCTCACCTCACCTCACCTCACCTCACCTCACCTCACCTCACCTCACCTCATCTCAACAGCCAACCCAGGCCAACCCCAGCCAAGAATTGCCCTTTAATCCCCAGGCTCAGGCTCAGGCTCAGGCTCAGGCTCAGGCTCAGGCTCAGGCTCAGGCTCAGGCTCACGGCGACGGCGACAGCGACGGCGATAATCCGATGCAACGCGAGTAGCACAGCCAATTGCACTATCGCCAAGATCCAGTCGGCACACTACTGTACCACCCGAACAGGACCACCAGGACCCCGACAAACCGTGGCCGAGCATTGGCACGATGCCGTGATTGATGCTCACGAGCGCTTGGCGGAGAAGTTATCTGGAGAACAAAGGCTTGGGGGTTGCACTGGGGCTGTTGGGGAGTTGGCTCAGCCTTCTTTTCTGCCTTTCTTCGCCTTCTTGTCGTCTGCTTGTCGCCGCCAGTGCCAACATGACGTCTCCCTGCACCTTCTGTGTCGAGTGCGCTAAGCGAGCGACGATGTCAGTGGGAATGGACCGTTCAGCGTAGTGTGCTTGGCCGGCCCTTGGTACTTGTACGCTCCCTCCAGTGCCCTTAAAGCATCCACCCCAAGCACTGCACGAAAACATCTCGTTGGTCCATCGTCCCGCCAAGTTTCTAGAACTCCATATTTTACTTCTGGAGGGTCGCTGATATCACTTGGCCCATGGTTGAGTTTGCGGCCATCACCCCGCCCCATCTCATCTATCTCCTGTCCATCTCCCTGTGAAACTGCCTCTATCGCCCACCCCTCACCACCCACCGCCCAGTAGCGGGGTCATTGGGTGCTTCTTCTCATTCGACAATGGCTTAAGTCTCCCAAGCTGCCTCTATCTCCAAGAATTGGCTTCTTGGTACGTGACCACTTACCTTCCTAAGGTTTTTGGTGGAAATATTGGCGCCATGAGGAATGACGTTGTCTCACAAGAGAGGGTACTTACAAGATAAAGTATAATAATCTTTAGTTCCCCTCTCTCTTCTTCATTGCTTGTTTTTCACTTGTCATTCTTTTCGACAATTCCTCTCTATACCAATCTTGGTAGAACTCTGCAACAATGGCAGACTTAGAGAAGAACGTCTCGCCGGCAAAGCCTCAAGGGATCAGGTTTGAAGATGCTAAACCTGAAGAGACCAAGTCGGAACAGTCTCAACAATCCCAAGAGAGCACGCCCCAAGCGGTTGACGGTCATGTTTCGGGACAATCCAATAAGCCAATGTCACTTCCGGCTCATTCATTGACTGGCGAGGCATTGGTTGAAGAACTCAAGGTTGATACAGAGAATGGACTCACATCGGCGGAAGCGAAGACCAGACTGGAAGAGTATGGTCTGAACAAGCTCGACGAAGGTCCAGGCGTTCAACCTGTGAAGATTCTCATTCGACAAATTGCAAATGCAATGATTTTGGTAGGAGAATCCCCCTGAATTTTATCCCCATTGTGCTAATCGGGCTACAGATTCTTATCATTGCCATGGCTGTCAGTTTCGGTATTCAATCTTATATTGAGGGTGGGGTCGTCTTGGCGGTCATCTTCCTCAACATTGTTGTTGGTTTCTTCCAAGAATACAATGCTGAGAAAACACTCGACTCTCTACGATCATTGAGCTCCCCAACCTCAAGCGCCATTCGAGATGGAAAGAACGAGACAGTCGCAACGGTACACCTGGTTCCCGGAGACTTGGTAGAATTAGAAACTGGTGATTTGATCCCGGCAGATATTCGGTAAGTCTTCTCTATCCTCTGTGATACCATGGTCTAATACATATAGATTGCTTGAGGTCATGAACTTCGAGACCGACGAATCGGCCCTTACCGGAGAATCGCTTCCAGTTGTGAAAGACTGCCACGCTACCTTCCCAGCGGAACTTGGCCCTGGAGACCGCATCAACGTTGCCTTCAGCTCCACCACAGTAACAAAAGGTCGAGCCACAGGAGCAGTATTTGCTACTGGCATGCACACCGAAATCGGCTCCATTGCTGCCGCTATACAAAAGAAGGATGGAAAGAAGAGGAAGGTCAAGAGGAAGGCTGATGGCACCGCAAAGCCTCATCGCTATCTGCAGGCTTGGGGCTTGACGGCGGGAGACTTCATTGGTCACTTCCTCGGTGTCAATGTTGGAACACCACTTCAACGCAAACTTTCCAAATTTGCGATTCTTTTGTTTGGTATCGCCGTTGTCTGTGCTATCATCGTCATGGGGGCCAATGAATTTGCGAACAACAAGGAGGTCATTATTTACGCCGTCGCAACAGGATTGTCTATGATTCCTGCATCCCTCATCGTCGTTCTCACTATCACCATGGCAGCCGGTACCAAACGTATGGTTGAACGTCAAGTCGTGGTTCGCAAGCTCGACTCTCTGGAAGCCCTTGGAGGTGTCACAGATATTTGTTCCGATAAAACAGGTACCCTCACTCAGGGAAAGATGGTTGTCAAGAAGGCATGGCTTCCATCCGCTGGAACGTTCTCGGTTGGCACATCGAACGATCCCGTTGACCCAACTCAAGGAGACCTTTCCCACAGCTCCATTCATCCCTTTCAATTGACTGGTAAGAAGGATCAGCAGCCAGCAGAAAACGACCAAGTAAAACCATTCCAGGAACTTCTCGACGATCATCCACATTTGGCAAGCTATCTCGACATCGCTTCGCTTGCAAATCTAGCCAAGATCCACAAAGCCGACGATGGCTGGAAAGCTACTGGCGACCCAACAGAAATTGCCATTCAAGTCTTCGCCAGTCGATTCAAATGGCAAAGAGAGAGATGGACCACTGGCGACTCGCCAAAGTGGGAACAAGTCGCCGAATACCCATTCGACTCAGATGTGAAGAAGATGACTGTCATTTTCAAGTCTGCGGAGAAGCATATGGTTTACAGCAAGGGTGCCGTTGAACGTGTCATCCAGTCATGCACTCACATTCAAAAAGATGCTAATGCCGAACCCGTCGAACTTACGGAAGACATTGCATCCAATATCCTGGCAAACATGGAAGCTCTCGCTGCCCAAGGACTTCGTGTTCTGGCTTTGGCAAGCAAAGAATGGCACGATACGACTTCTCCCAAGGAGAAGAACGAACAAGCTCCTCGAGACGATGTTGAGAAGGATCTCATTTTCCAAGGTTTGGTGGGTCTATACGACCCTCCACGTCCTGAATCGAAGGGTGCCGTTCAAGAATGCCACGAAGCTGGTATTGTTGTCCACATGTTGACTGGTGATCATCCCGGAACAGCCAGAGCCATTGCAGCACAGGTTGGGATTCTTCCAGCTGACATGCAATCACTGGCCAAACGCGTTACAGATTCTATGGTTATGACAGCTAGTCAATTTGACAAACTCACAGATGACGATATTGACAACCTTCCCGTCCTTCCGTTGGTTATCGCCAGATGTTCTCCAAACACCAAGGTTCGCATGATCGATGCCCTTCACCGCAGAGGTTGCTTCGCAGCCATGACCGGAGATGGAGTAAACGACTCGCCATCACTCAAGCGTGCCGACGTAGGTATCGCTATGGGACAAGCCGGTTCGGACGTCGCAAAGGACGCATCCGACATCGTCTTAACCGACGACAACTTCGCCTCGATCCTCAACGCCATCGAAGAAGGCCGCCGCATGTTCGACAACATCCAGAAATTCGTGCTCCACCTCCTCGGCCAAAACATCGCCCAAGCATGCACCCTCCTCATCGGTCTCGCCTTCAAGGACAACGAGCGCCTCTCCGTCTTCCCCCTCTCGCCCGTCGAGATCCTCTGGGTCATCATGATCACCTCGTCCCTCCCCGACATGGGCCTCGGCTTCGAGGTCGCCGCCCCGGACATCATGCAGCGGCCGCCGCAGTCCCTCAAGACCGGCGTCTTCACCTGGGAAGTCATGATCGACATGATGGTCTACGGGCTCTGGATGGCCGCCCTCTGCTTATCGGCATTCAGCATCGTGCTCTTCGGCTTCGGCGACGGCGAGCTGGGAATCGGCTGTAATAATAGCATTGATCAGGGGTGCGGGACTGTCTTCCGCGCACGAGCTACGACCTTCGTGTGCATGACTTGGTTCTCGCTCTTCCTAGCCTGGGAAATGGTCAACATGCGCCGCTCCTTCTTCCGCATGCAGCCGAAATCTACAAAGTACTTCACCCAATGGGCCATCGACATCTGGCGCAACAAGTTCCTCTTCTGGTCCATCGTGGCGGGCTTCGTCACCGTGTTCCCCACCCTGTACATCCCCGTGCTGAACGACCGCGTCTTCAGACACATCGGCATCACGTGGGAGTGGGTGGTGGTCATTATTGAGACGATCTTGTTCTTTGCGGGCGTCGAGACCTGGAAGTGGTGTAAGAGGATCTATTTTAGGAGGGTGGCGAGGAAGTTGAATCTTAATCATAAGGATTTGAGTCAGAGTGTTTTTGCGAGGTATAATACTGAGGAGGTTAAGGAGCAGGTGTAGGCTGGGCTGGCTGGCTGCGAGCGAGCGAAGCGAGCTAGTGAGCAATCGAGAGGCGGCTTGCTTTGTTTTTTCTTTGATGTTTTTGGATCGGTTAGGTGTTGGTGGCGTCGTTTGCTTTTTTTCCCTCTTCGCACTTGTATCTTTTGGGTGTGTTCGTTAAATGAGGGGTTTGGGTTGGGTTGGGTAGGGGAAAGGGGAGGGGTTGGGGAGGAAGGGGAAGAGGCAGAGGCAGATTTGTATGTGTATATTAACGTCTGCTTGCTTGCTTCAATGCACAGTAGCTGCAATATATACAAAAAAAAAAATACCCCATTATATCTATCTGTCTTCCTTTTTTTTTTTCTTAACCGAACAGAGGAATGCAACAAAGGCGTCCGTTTCCGGTCGCTCGCTGATTTGATTAGAGTTGTACTTCAATATTCGATAGTTCTGAGGGAGGAGGGGTCGCGGCTCGAGGCGAGGCGAGCTGAGTTGAGTCGCCGCCGAAAAGGTCCGTGAATGTGAAGTGTGGAGGGTTGGTGGAGGGGGGGGGGGGAGGTCAAGTGTGGTAACTTAAGCTAAAGACGATTGATTTCCCTCCAAAAAAACATCGAGAAAAATAAAGCGTAGTAAGGATCAACAGAAAAGGCAAAAAGGTGTAGGACAGAAATATATATCCACTCACCCTAGCTGAATTTAAGGATTCTAGCATAACCTACTACAACTGTCAATGCAAAAAGTGGCGGCCGATCCGATCTCAATCATGGGCTGGAGAAGGAGAGAAGGAACGAATTGGGATGAATGGAGCGACTGAAGCTTGTTTTTGATCTATCTACTGCCTTGGCTGGTTTGGAGGTGAAAAGCTCGGTAGTTTGGGCTGGGTTGGGCTGGAATGGATGGTTGGATTGGGATTGGGATTGGGATTGTGGCTGTAGGGTTTGGGAGATAGGGATGGAGATAGAGATGAAGATGAAGATGAAGATGAAGATGAAGATGAAGATGAAGATGAAGATGAAGATGAAGATGAAGATGAAGATGAAGATGAAGATGAAGATAGAGATAGAGATGGGTGTAGTTCTTGGTCTTGTTTTTGTGCATATGTATGTGCATATATATATATAAGGCTATGCGATGGACCTTGGACTATGTGTAAGAAGAAGAAGAACAAAACGCGTTTTGTAGTAGTTCTGCGCGATCGCTAACCTCCCCTTTCCCAAACTACAACTCAGCTAGCTGTTCAACAATCATTTCTCGCTTCTCTTTCACGCCACTAGACGTCGTGACTGCATATTTCAAAATCTACCTAGGTAAATAATACCGAGCAGCTGACAGGACATCTGAAAGGGTTGGTTGAGATGTATCAACAGCAGCAAGTTTCTCCAAATCAAGCTGGTACTAGCTTCGCGTCCGCTCGTGTACACCTTGGCAATCTTCCATGAAGTACAGGAGTCGAAAAGTTCTCTAGCTGCATCTGTATTCAGGCGATGTGCAGGCTCAGTAAAAACTTCGCCCTCGTCCGAAATTATTGGTGGGTAATTGATTTCGATGTAAATCTCAATCAGATTTGACAGCCGTGACACAATAGCAACGAAACGATCCTATTAAATTCAAGTGAGCATCAAGCATCAAGGACGGCAGGAAATGTAATGAACTACTTACCCAGTTCGCCCAGTAAACATGCGTGCGCAATTACTCAAGATTCAGGCAGTCCGTGAGAAAGTCGAGCACAGGTGTCACCATCTGGTCAACAACTGGGATGTCTAAACTTCCTTCCATCCAGTCTATAGTGAGCCTTTTCCACATTAAAGCGCGTTGGCACCTGCACCTCTAGCTTTCCTCATTGTATCCACAAAGCATTGGGCGGATCCTGTTCTGTGTACAGCAAATTCTGATAGGGCTGTGAAATCCCTCAGGAGGTCTGTCCCCGACCCTGCAGTAGCGTATTCGAACGAACCCTCCACAGATATCGAACTCAATCTAGGAGCCTTGCCGGCCAGTGTCCAGAAAGCACCCGGTGTTCCATCATACGGTCCCCTATCGTCAATTCTCCACTTGCGGGTTGATATTTGCAGGCATTTCAATGTTTTTGTGTCCATCAACTGCTGCGTCTCGGGACAAAGTAAGTGTACTGCCATTGACTGCCAATCTCTCAAGACACAACAATGGGACGATAGACAGGCGACGATATATTGCCCAATCATCACAAAGGCGTGCAGTCTCTGATGCTTGTATAGAGATTTCTCGAATCTTGGCATAATGGACGCAAACATTTGAAAAGAAGCTTTTGATGGCATCACGATGCTCATCGCGCTGCCCAAAGTTGGCGGCATAAGGACTAAGCGCGAGGTCGCGCAGTTTTGGAGAATTGGCCAGGATTTGCGCCAAAAGTTGTGTCTCTTTCTGACCCTGCCAAATTGGAATTGAACATATAAGTTGCGTGAGATTTCCAAGATCCATCAGATAACGGAAAATTTCCTCGGAAACTGATCTGGGAAAAGAACTTCTATCAGGGAACCACAGTTTGAGAGAAGACAATGATGAAATCGATGCTAAGCGAGCAACTATGCCCGGATCCATGCTTCTCCAGAACGGCAGATAACAATTGTAGGATGTACTAGAGTGTTTCAGTATTGAATACTAATCGGGAAGCGTTGTCGGAAGGAATCGTATTTTAGTTTTTCAACATTGGTCATGCGCTCAAAACACAGCTTTAGTGTCTGACCAAACTCGGTCCGCTCAGCACTTGACATGAAATCTGTATTCATACACACCATGTCAAATTGCTTGACGTGATGGAGATGAGTAGTAGGGAGTGAAGTGCCGCCTGGGGACCACGTGATGACGCCATCTTCTTGTTCCACGATGAGATGCTCCCAGATGTAAGGGATTGCGATATCTCGAAGCTCCCTACATGTTAGAGATAGATTGAGCAGCTCCGGGGTCACCGCCTATTTGAAATTATCAGTGTCTAAAGAGGTATGTTTACGTGTCACATCTTACTCACATAGCTCGCGATCAGGACTAGAATCTCCAGAGGAAGGAGTCTAGCCATTTCATTGAAGTTCGCCGTAGTTTAAGTTCAATTCTCAATTGGTGAGTGAAAACACAGGAGAAGTTGACGATGCGGCCCCTCTGCTGAAGGAGACACCATTTTAGCGGGCACGTGCACACCTGGTGCCGTGTTCATTTCGCGACGTATCGCGCTCGGCGATTGAACCACATGGGCAGCACCAGGCGTTCGTCCTGCAGAACTACCTACCTTAGGTATGTATAATTACAAGAATACGTGTAACATGTTCGATCTTGAGATCTGCACAGGCAGAATCCCTCTCTTCGTAAGGTATTGTAATGCTTTCTTATATCACATGACAGTACAAAAATCCCATGTAGGTATACATCTCATTTGCCCTTTAATGGAAGCTGGAAGTCACCTTTGTCTTATTCATAAGTATTCTCATCATAAGTAAGATTCATCTAAAGCGTTGCGTTCGACGTAACCACTTGTGTGGACTGCAAGGCATTGCGTGCTACTCCACAATTGTTGCATGCTTCGCCAAAACTCGGGAACCCCATCATTAACAACAAGTCTTGGAAAATTACATAGAAAATCACTAAAACCTCAGTGGCACTAAGTCAATTCTATTGCCCACTTGTCGAACGAGTCAAGGAACCTGGCCTCAAGAGTGGGATTGTTTTTACACGAAATCAAGGGTCTTAATAGCCAGAGTAATCACGCAACTCCCTAATTCTCCTCGTCTTCCGGCAGCAAGTAATTTATCCTTCTTTGTCATTTTCTTATTCAAAGAGTGAACTTTGATGATCAGAGAGTCTGAGTGTCAGGTCCCGATATAAGATGGTGTCGACACAAGATCCTGAGAAGCTTCACATCGCTATCGCTGGCGCGGGGATCGCTGGTCTTACGGCCGCGATCGCACTCCTCAAGCACCCACTTATCGAGATTTCAATCTATGAAAAGGCTACAGAACTGAAAGAAATCGGTGCGAGTATAGCACTCGGTCCAAATGGACTACGAACACTAGAAAGATTGGGCTTGCACGATGCGATCTCGGACGAGGTGGCTTTCAGAGGTCCGTCGAATCTGCCGATGATCTACAGGCATGTGAGTTGAGTCGAATTCAACCGGATTTGAACTTTTGCTAATAATAGGTAGTGGAAAACGAATGAGATTATCGGGAATGATTCACACGAGACTGTGACAGAGTATCTGCATCAGACGGCACGCTATCATCGAGGTCACCTGCATGCAGCGCTTGCGAATCATGTTCCGAGCAAAATTCTCCATTTGAGAAAACAAATCATCGGCGTCGAAGTAGATCCAACTGAAGGCGTAACTTTGAAGTTCAAGGACGGGACTACTGCTACAGCTGATTTACTTTTTGGTGCTGATGGCTTGCATTCGGTATGTCTCTTTGTCATGTAGTCCATCTCAGATACTGATGTGTGTACAGGGAGTGAGACAATCATTTGTACCCAATTTTGTGCTCAAGTGGAGTGGATGGACTGCTTTCCGTGCTGCATTTGATGCTTCTCACGTAGACTCCATTCGGGATTTACCTGAAGATTCAACTCATTGGTGGGGTCCAACCACATCGTTTTTTTCATCTCGACTGGGCAAGAATAGCTTTACGACAGTAGGGAGTGTGTTTGGAGATCCAGATGATCCCAATGCACTTTATAACGACGTATCTTGGGACGAGGATGCCAGTTTGCAGGCCTTCCGGGAAGTCTTCAAGGTGAGTTGAATAAGCCTTGGCGAAAGTGACACCTGCTAACTTCCAGACAGGACTGGAATCCAGTAGTGAAAAAGCTAACTGAGCTCACTCCAAATGTTCGATTCTATCCGAACTATTCAACCTCTACGTATCTAGATACTTGGGTCTTCGGAGATCGAGTAACGCTCATCGGAGACGCAGCCCATGCCCACGGCGGGGCTCACGCGACTGGCGGCTCACTTGCAATCGATGATGCATATACACTATCACTTGCTCTCAATTCGGTCTTCCCAACGACAGCAACGCGGAAACCATCTCTAGAAGAGATCTCAACAGCATTAAAGTTGTATGAGACGATTCGAAAGCCTCATGCTGAGAGATTGCTGCAGCATGTACATACGGGGAACAATGCGAGGATACAGAAATTGAGAAGTGGGAAGATAGAGCCGGATGAGGAATTGAGAGCTAGAGCTGCGAAGGGATCGAGTACGAATTGGTTACATGAGCATGATGTCGTCAAGGCTTTTGAGGAGGCGCTGGAGAAGAGTAGGGAGGATGTGAGTGGATTTGAAGTAGTTTCGGCAAGACTATGACGAGAGAAGATGAACGGACTGTGTAAGAAATATCTATATTAGACAATCTGGGCCTCTAGAGAGAAAATTACATGAATATGAACCGAGAGAAATCTACGTAGGTATTGCTGACAGGATCACTGTGAGCGTGATCAACAAGACGTTAACACTTACCAGCTAAATCTGATAATCTGATAAACTAATGAAAGAGAAATTTTTTTTACGCATGATGAAAAGCTCTTTTAAAGTCAGTATACAGGGTGATACTACCTTTAATTATTTTAAGCTGTGTGACTGTTCCCTCAAGACGTTGACTTTGGAGTTCCGCACGTGCCACAATTGGCCCTTTGTGTCGACATTGAGAGGCCCCATCGCTACATTAAGCAACACCCACGTCTTCCAGCTCAGGGGCAAGCGATACAGCATGCAATATTCATCTCGATAATCTTTTCAACGGTGATCGATGCCACTATCAGATGCTTGTTGTGGATGGATACTGCCATGTCAAGCACACTACCACTCCTGAGAGGCAGGATCGCTCTCGACCGCGCCTTGGAGGATGACGACAACATACTGAAACAACTCGAGTATCCCAGACAGAGAGATGAGTACTTCAACTATTTGTTCGCCCGCAAGACCGAGATCGAAGCTATCGTGTCGTTCCACCTCCGTGTAGAGAAGTGCCGAGTTAGTGATGTCCAGACCTGGCTATCTGGCAGCTACAATGTTTGCATACCTGTCTACATAAGTCCTCCCTCCAATGTGCGTTCAGTGCTTGTTCGCATTCCACTGCCTTACAAAGTTGGGGAAGCAATGTCGCCAGGAAATGCGGACGAGAAACTTCGCTGTGAGGTTGCTTCGTATCTATGGATTCAGGAGAATTGTCCCGACGTGTCGATACCATATCTATTTGGGTTTGGGTTTCCGAATGGCCAGACTGTACGTTCAATCGACCCTATGTCCATTCTTACATGATTAATTTGTAACATTCTATCATTTTAGCATACGGCTCCCGAACAAACATCTTTATTCGTTCGGTCGATGTCACGTATGAAAAGGACTCTACTTTCATGGCTTCGATTTCCGACTCCGTCCCGATACATCAATCGAGGCTGCCAAGATGCCTTAAGTACTGGCTATATCATCATCAGTAGGGTTTCGCAAGGAACCATGCTTTCCAACTCCTGGGATACGCTCCGCCATGACAGGACTCGCCGCTCGAATCTTTTCCATAGCTTGGCTCGGATCATCCTATCGCTCAACAAATCTCCGTTAGCAGCTATCGGCTCCTTGACCTTCAATGATCGAGGCTTTATAACCTTAACCAACCGCCCTCTGACCCTTCAGCTTCAGTCCTTGGAGAATGAAGATATCCCGACTACTATCAGCAGGGGTTCTACTTACTCAGCTGTGGAACCTTACCTCTCTGACCTTCTGAGCTGCCACGACAACCGTATCTCCTTTCAGCCAAATTCAATCCATGACGAGGATGACGGCCAGCAGCAAATGGCCGCTCTGACTATGATGCGTGCAGTCCTTCATCACTTCTGTCCACGCGATGCTCGTTACGGACCTTTTGTATTCACCCTTACTGATCTTCATCAGAGCAATATTTTTGTTGACGAGGACTGGAATATTACTTCTCTAATCGACTTGGAATGGGCCTGTTCCTTGCCCATCCACCTCCAGTGCCCTCCATACTGGCTTTCAGGGCGGGCTATAGATCAGATGGAACCAGGTGAACATCTTGACACATATCATCAACTCGTTATGGAGTACCTCGAAGTTTTCGAACAAGAAGAGAGAGGTATGGCTAGAGGGGGGATTTACCAAGCACCAATACTCAGGAATTGTTGGGAGACTGGAAGCTTTTGGTACTTCCATGCCATAAATAGTCCCAGGGGGTTGTTTCGAATCTTTAACGAGCACATCCAGCGACGTTTCTGTCCACAGCACTGCGAAATGCGGATATTTGATCAAGTTGTGTCCCCGTATTGGCGTGCTGGTGCAGCAAAGGAGATCGAGAGGAAGATTGAAGAAGAAGAAAGATACAAGGAACAGTTACGAGCAGTTTTCAGTGCTGAGGGTATCAAAGATGCTTCTCTTCGAGGCATAACCTGAATTCGCGCATTACACGGAGCAGATACAATCATGAGCGATTTTCCGTGTCTGACTTAGTTCGATGGTGACTCATCTAAGGAGCATTTGACCTTTGCACTCAGCCTCACCTCCAACCTCCGCCACCAGGAGATTCTAGGTCCAAGAAAACGATGTGATCCTTCAAATCTTCATATCACTGCTTCGAAAGCAGGAGCAGACCAAAACTCCTTCCAAATTGGCGCGCCTCTGACGATCAGCTGCCGTCGGCCGCTGCGATTCTGTTTCTACAAGGACCAGTCTGATCTGCAGGACGAATCAAAAGCAGGTCTTGGGTATATGGCTCAGCGATCATCGCACCATTGCAGCGCAATACTGTTGTCGATGCCAGTGGTCAAGGCTTCTCGTCGATCCTAGTGGAGGATGCGAACAGCAACTACTTTAACATTTGATGCTGATGCTGAACAACTCGCCCTGCAGCACGGTACTATCCCGCCAACTACTGGAATAGCTGTTACCTCTCGTCCTCGACTCCGCCGCTCAATGTTTCTATGCATTGTCATAACGTATTTGCCAGAAGAGCTGATCGCCGTCGCTACGCGCTTTCGCTCGACCGGATTACCCGCACTTGCTTTTACGGCTTGGCCGGATGCAATCGTGCTAGTGCTAAGGGTCCTGGAGAGCCGACAAATACAAGGAGCGCAGGACTGATCTGGGTCACTGATTACAGAACTTTGTGACTCTGATAGAGGAAACTGTCGGCGTCTACGGCTGGCTCGTCGACGTTATTTAGTTGCTCCAACTTTATCTCAAAGTTAGTTTGGCTGCTCTGTAGTTGATGAATTCTATCATTGCTTTACCTTTGTCTCTACCACTTGTTTCCGTCCTGCTCCTTGTTTAATGCTTGGCTTATTAAGGTAGTTGATTGAATTGTTTACTTCACGCTTGTGCTTTTGTTGCATGAAATTTGCACTTGTCACTGACGCTACTGAAGCTTACACTCTGAGCAATACCTAGACTAGGTTACTGACTTTCGATTTTTGGAGAGCCCCTACAGATCTGATTTAAGAAGCTGGCGCATGCTGACCGTAGCTCAGTTCTGGTACGCTATCTTCAGCATCCATAGCCTCAGCTACGTAGTGTGAGTGAGGAAATTTACCCCGCACTTACCACCTTTTTGCGTCTTTCAATTTGCGACTAGATGTTCAGCTATACAATATAAGTTGTTCATGTCGTTCATGATACTATCATTTACCTAGTCAGGGATTTTCCTCCTAATTTCAATTGTTACATTATTATCCTAGCTAGCAACACCCTCTATCCAAACCCTCGCAATCTTTCTCGTATTAGCGATATCAACAGTTGGATCCGCAGTCAACAGGACCAGATCCGCTCTCAGTCCAGGTTTGATAGAGCCTCGATCATAAATTTTGAACATATTGGCGGGAACTGAAGTAGCAGCCTGGATTGCTTGGCTGGGCGTGAATCCAGCGCCCACCATCAGGGCGAGTTCCTCGTGGAGCGACTCGCCGAAAGGAGGATTGGCGGGGACGTACGCGTTGTCGTTACTGTCTGTCCCTGCGGCTATTTGAATGCCGTTGTCGAGAAGGGCTTTGGTACTCCCGGCAACGTTTGAGGTGTACAGAAAGAATGGTGCGCCTGTGTTGTTGATGGTTGACTGCCAATTCTGTTAGAGACATACTGAAAGAATTGAGTTGATACACAAACCTGCATCATAAGTAAGGTCGGTACGATTTTCGTTTTGTTAGTGATGATGTTGTTGAGAACGGCAGTGTCCAAAGCCTGATCGACTGGGGCGTGGGTAATAATATCAATACCAGTCCGCGCTGCTTGTGCGTACAATGCTTTGGTCGTAGCATGACCAATGACTTGCAAACCTTCTCTGTGAGCAGCGTTTACAACCTGTATCCACTCGTTAGCTCAAATGAATTTTTATGACTTGATTTGGGCTTCACAAACCGCCTTGATAGTCGCATCATCAGGTCCCAGTGGGTCCAAGAACAACTTGATATAGTCGACCTCAACAGCCTTTCGGGCCGCAACGAACTTTCTTCCCGCTTCAGGCGTTGGAATAAAAGAATCAGTTGGGAAACCTGGGATGAGACCAATTCTGGTCCCGTTTACTGTTCCAGCTGCCCCCGAGCCGCGAACATCGGTCAACCCGTGATCATGACAATTCATCATGGGATCGTAAGGATACGTCCCCATATCCAGCGCTGTCGTGACTCCATAAGTTTGCAGCGTCGACAAATAGGAACAATCCGTTAGATGAACATGCGAATCAATAAGCCCTGGAATCAAAAATCCTCCTTTGCCATTGACCTTTACCGCTCCGATCGAATTGGCATTCGAGATGATGCCTCCGACAATGACGACTGTACTGGCTGCCCTGGGAAATTTGTTCCCATCCCAGACCCGCACATTGGTGATGGCCAATTTTTGAAGTGCTGCGGATCTGTCATAAATTTCTGGGACTCCACAAGCTGAAATCGTTTGGAGGACTGAGAACCCAGCAATTACGGTCTGGAGCAACATGATCGCATCGAAGGCTGGTTGATGTAAAAATATCAGGGGGCATTTTGTGGCGAGGTCGCAGCCTCTTATGCCCAGAGCCTTCACCCCAGTACAGGGGCTCCCGTACTGGACGGGGCTTTCCAATTTCCGGTCTCATCACTCCACAAAAGTTGCTTAAAAATGACAGGGACTGGCTTCCTCAAGTCGATTTCCTCAGTGGAATTGAACCCATTGACAGTGGGTTTGCATGAAAAATTAGGTGCTACAGCACTGCATTCTAAGCCCCCCGCAGGCTCAGCGAGGATACCTAGCAACGGCCACCAAGAAGACTTGAGAAGACATCCATTGATTTGGTTCAACGTTCCTGAATCATGATTTTGAGAATTCACTGCTTCGTTTTTAGAACAAGAATTCTGCAATGTTGAGCAGATTACCAGTGGATGTTTTTCTGCCTACATACATAAAATACGAGTCATTTCTTACTGTTCGCTTGCCGACTTTAGCTCTGTTTACGGCAAGCTATCATTGTGGGAATCAAAACAATGATTTATCGTCCGAACTTTCACAAATCGAAGAACTTGAAATCCTCCCTGTCCCAGAAACCACATTATCAGTTCGAACGATGGCGCTACTACTACTCCCATTATTTGCCACGAAATTTGTATCCCTCCAGATGTCCATTTTGTTCCTGTCTCCCACCCCAACGATCCCACCTTCACAACTGTTCAACTCAATATCCCATCCATTCCTTCGCCGTGAAAATTTTCCACTCAAAGTATGTGCACGCTTGCTACTCGAATGAGGTTGAGGAGTAGCTTTATTTGAAGCTGGTTCGACTTCAGAGAAGTGTCCGGGGAATAGCTTTCGAAGGACAGGCTTGGTCGCTGGTGCTGATGCGCAGAACAAACCTGTTTGAACTTCGACAGCGGACCAGGTGGTAAGGTTCAAGAATTCCCCTGTGGACCAAGACATTAGACCAAATCTTTCTGATGAATGGAGTGGAATGCTGCAACGATAACTAGTACACTTAGTCCAGGGACTCCGAGAAGGGCTAGCTTCAGTATCTTCTTGATCTTGAGAGCCCCTGTTACTCAATTAGAGACAAACCTTTCCCCCGGTAGAAGAAATACTTGCATATCTTGGGTGCAATAAATGCCAGCAACAACACATCCGCAAGAATATTACATGCCGCCGATGCGAAGAGATCGGGCGTATTCTTCGTGCACTTTCCAAAAGGCTTCTTCGGATCCGGAAAGCAGAACACGATCGTGAAGATCACGAAGAAGAGCGTGTAGAGACCAGTGAACCCCGAGAGCGCAAACGACAAGTACCTGCTCATCCGATCGCAAAGATCCGGGGGTAGAACGCACAAATTCCAATTTTAGTCGTTCCGAGGACGAAGTTGTAGAAGATGCGTGTGATGAATGCGATTTTGATAGTGAGGATACCGTCAGCTTTCGACTGAAGCAGTGAGTGGTGTCCGGACCCATGGTTGACCAGTACGCAGTTGATGACAGTGAGGACTAGCGATGCTAACTTTTATCTTGTCAGCCCTTCTGGAATATCACAAGCAGTAGGAGGTCTACCCATGATATACCAATCCAGTAGTCATCGGCTCCGAAACTCTTGATGATTACCAGCCGAGCGTACAAGCGAGCGAGCACGAAGATGGAGGCAATGACGGCCGGTAGGATTGAGCCCACTAAAATCTGCGAGACCCGACTCTCTTTCATGTACTGTTTAGAGTCAGATGGATGACTAGAAATTGATTTTTAATTTTTGGAGCGTACTTCTGGAGAACCTCGTGTCGGCGAAGGCATCTTGGCTCTCAATTCGCATATACCAAGACAGTTGTTCGAGAACCAGAGACACCCGCATTTTCAACTTCGGGAAAGGGGGTGAATAACCAATACCCGGGCATGCGATCCTTCTTGTTGGTTCATGGTCTTGAGAACGGACCGTCGCAACTATTTCCCAACTCAGAGTGTGATGAGATTTGCAACAAATTCAAGCTGGCAATATCCCGCTTCCACCGCAGAACCAACAAGATCGGTCCCAGTCGCTCAATGACAATAAGCTGGGAGTGGACAAATAATGATGACTGCATGCTTGACTGCAACATTCGATAAAAGAATTAGCCAGGACAACTCGGTATGAATGCCTGTAGAAGATAACTGGTAAAAAATAACAATTTTAATTGTTCCAATTTACGCTTGACCTGGTAGTCTTACAGGATGACTACTTGGAGTAGCGATCAAGATTTCCTGTTGGAGCTGCGTCCTCAACGATAGGGATTGTCAGACAGTGACCATCGAATTTCGTCACATGCAAGCCTGGATGGAGCTGAAGGGAGCGAGAAGCTAGAGGTAAATGCACTCTCGGGGGACATCATAGCGTGGCATTGTGCCTTCTCCTTCAGCCTTTATGCAATTGCGCTGAAGAAATGTACCGACCTCGAGATCTGGGACGACACGACTCGACTTTTCGGCATGGTCAGGATGAGGAGGTAGCTGATTGAGCACTAGATGGGATGCCGGCAGAAAGCAACACATCGTATTAGTGAGGGGATTCAAGTTAAATACGCTTAGAAGAAAGAGATTTTCACGATGGTCTGCTGCTATTAATACTGCGGCTAGTCGGAAGGAGGTAGCTCATGACGGTTCTCCAAGTTGTGTTTCGTTGTCTGTTCAGTTGTATTCCATTACTAAACTCAACATAAGAGGCACAGCCCATGATTCCCCCTAGAATTCCAGATCCACGCCTTTTCTAGTCATGTATCTCCCATTAGACTTATCATCTAGTCCTGCCACTGTCTCCACAATATCCTCAGCTACCTCTTCTATGTTGTCCGGACCAGTGAAGTGTGAGACGGCAGTTGGTGTCCATCCGGGGTGGATCGCATTCACCGTCACTGAGTTACCATCTTTCTCGCATTCTTTGGCAATTGTTACCGTCAACTGATTCAATGAGGACTTTGCCAATCGGTATGCAAGGTTTGTCCCGGATTTATTTTTTATCAAATTTGTAAGGTGAGATTATCAACTCTGTTGACGTTAGAATTACCCACGTGAAATTGAACCCATGTCGGAAGATATGTTGATGATTTTCCCTTTGCTCTTCTCAAGAGCTGGAAAGAAGTGCTTGCTTGCTAGGAACGGCCCCTGGCGGTGTCAGCAGAGGTATCTGGACACGCAGCTCCAGAACTCACAACAGCCATGATCTGGAACTTTTCAAGCAATATCTCGGCGCTATGATTCTGCCACTTCACGGGCTGTGGCTCAACACCTGCCCAGTATTAGTGAAGATGAGACAAGTGAAGGGCGAAAATGTACCGGCGCAGTTGATAAGCACATCCAGTGGTCGAGTCCCGTAATACTTGGCAGCTTGTATGATGCTATGCTCGTCGGTGTAGTCAAGGACAAAGATGTCTTTGGTTATTTCCTTCAACTGTATACCGATCAATCACAATTCCTCTGAAAACGTGCCCTTGTTAGAGATGTGCCTACCTCTTCCACTGAAGCCCCCCCTTCTGTTTGCTGACGGATAGTGCCAGCCACTTTCCAGCCGTGCTTCGCGAATTGTTTGCAGAGATTGAGACCGATACCCCGATTAGCTCCTAAAGACACACGTGAGAAGGAAAGCTCAAGAAGTGTCAGATGTGGGCAAGACTGACCGAGAACGAGCACCGATCGTGACATCTTGACAGATATCTGTGAAAGTATTCAGCCGGTAGAACTTCCCGGTGATCTTGTGATCGATGTGGTAGCTGCGAAAGTGGGATAAAGACAAAGGCAGAAGCTCCGGAGTGAGGGTAATCCCAAGTATTGGTGTGCGCGTTTTCTTTGTGCAGCGGCTCGGTGCCTAGTCTGGTATGAGTATATCAGCAGATCAAGGAAACAGCAAGTAAGCGATGCACCAGCACAGATACAGCATAAGACCGTGCCACGACCGGTGTATGACGAGAAGCTGCCGGTGCCGGCAGGGTTCTCTAGATAACCACAATGAATCTGTATAGCAGTGCTTCTCTAGACGTCGCAGTAACGACATGTGGCCCGTGTTTTGTAGCTCTGTCGCTTACGTGCCTGATCGGTGTCCTTCAAAGCAGGATGCGGTGAGGAGGATGGACGGATTGTTTTGGTTATTCTGTAAACTGGTTCCCAAGTGTGCTTTTAACTTAGGAGAACCAACTTAGATGAGAGCAGCTGACAATGGTTTCGCCCAAAGGAAACGTGATTTGCGGTCTAGGATAAATACCCAGGGTAGGATTAGTGCAGCCCCGGACACAACAAACCAGTACTTCGCTGACGTCCTGTTGAGTCTTATTTTCTGCAGTGGTGTGCACACAATCAAACCGGCTTCTTCTTGAGAAACAGGTCAGTTTCATCACCAGCTGGGCGTAGGAATCACAGTCCAGCAAGCTCAAACTGCCGCCGTGCTGCTGTAGGTATGCCCCTTCTCCTACCACGCATCTGCTCATTTCTTCATCTCAATGATCATTCACGGACCCATCATTCACAAAACCATCATTCACAAAACCATCATTCACAAAACCATCATTCACTGAGCCATCATTCGCAGAGCTATGGTCCTCACCTACCATGACGAAACATGCAGCCGAGAAACTGGCAACTCTTGCTCCTTTATTCGGTGACACACTGCGCTCTGGCAATGACGTTTGAGCCAGCATCGTTGTTCTACATCACGGAGAGATCATCCAAACCTTTCATTACGGCCAACGATCTCTCACTTCCCCGGATCCTCCGAATGATGACACCATGTAGTATATCGCTTCGCTCACAAAAACAATCACTACCGCCTCGACTGCCATACTTGTGGAGAAGAGGCTCCTGGATTGGAACACCCCGTTGTCCCAGTATATTCCAGAGTTCATGCAGAGAGACGACAAAGTTGGTCAAGAAGCCACGCTGATTGATGTCTTGAGTCACCGAATTGGCCTCACGGGTGCAAATGCTCTTTGGATTCAACGGAACCAGAACTTCATGATGCCTAAGAACGAAACAGTGAGAACAGCAGCCTATATTGACGCGATTGTGCCGTTCCGATCAGAATTCAGTTACAATAACTGGGCCTATGGCCTGGTTACAGCTTTGATCGAGCAGGTCACCGGACTGACGTACGGAACGTTTGTTCGGGAGAACATCTTCAAGCCACTGGGACTCAAGCGTACAACTCTGGATGTTCCAAATGATGACAATGTTGCTTCCGCGAACATGGTCCATCGAGATGGGTCATCCTGCCAAATCCAGCCCGCACCAAGTTCTGCCCTTACAGGATTGGCAGGTGCCGGTGGTGGGAAGTCGTCTCTGTCTGACCTTTTGTATCTATACAAATCGCTCTTATCGCAATACACCCAAGAGGTTTCTCATGAAAATATGACGATTCCCCAGTCATCCTCGCCATTCCGGCAGGTCACCAACATGTTCGAGGTGAGGATACCTATATAGACAATCCAAGTCTCGAGAAAAAGGCGTACGCACTCGGTTGGGTCAAGACCGTGCTTCCAGAACGGCTCGGAACCATCGGGATGAACATTGGATTCATTGCGCCTGATAATATGCCTATCATTGGTAACAGCTCAACTGATTGAATGTGATGCACCATCATGGTAATCTCGTTGGCGCGATTTCATCTGTACACCTCATTCCCGAGACTGAAACTGCGATCGTCGTACTGTCAAATACAATGGGTTTTTCCGACACAACGGACTGGATTGGTCAACTTATCCTGCAAGCTATTCTCGGTGAAAAGCCGCACGACTACCTGCAGCTACCGAAGCAATCCAAGAATGGTTTCCTTCGAAGCTACTCCAATTTAAAGGAAAAACTTGAGCAAGGAAAAACAAATAAGCCCCCATCCCATCCGATGAAAGCATACTGTGGTTGCTACGACAACTCTATCGGCAACTTCGTGCATGAAATCGCTGTGTCAGTTTCAGGAGCAGGCCTTACTATGATGGCTCAGGAACAAGACAGTGTCATCTATGACCTTTTACATTACAACAAGAACAAATTCTACTGGTCATGTGACCAAGAAGAGGAAATGTGCAACTAGATGATGTTTCCGTGGACTTGGGATGAGGTGCACATCATCGACTTTGAAGTAACGGAACTGGATGTGGTTAGCCTTTCATGGAAGCACGATAACCTGGCCGGCCCCGAAGTCTTTCGTCGACGAGCAAGCAGCCATTTAAGCCATCAGCAACATGCACAGGAGGTTCTTGGGCGCAAGTCCGGTCAGTACCCACCTTCCAAATTCTAAACTCCATTTAATGGCTGGTAGAGCTGTAACTGACAATTTAATGCTCATGGGAGGCAAGATGACAAACGTTGGGATTGGCATTTGAGGACGCTGTTTGAATAACTGTTCTTCAAAGAGATGAATATCTTGGGATTCGCGACATGAATCTCAGCTTGCTCGTTCAATCGACATGGGCGCGAGACTTCAAAGAAATTTTTTTAGACCTATTCCTCTTAAGACCTATTCCTCTTATTATTTCTTCACACGCACTGGAAAGCTTCGTTTAATTGGCCGTCTTTCGTGGACGGTTCACTCAATGATCGCATGTTATGATACTTGGCCCAACAGCTATCTAAACGTGAATGACCGGCGTGTAAAGTAGAGATATTTGGAGTGTATGATGATTCCATTACTTCGGGGGGATTTCTAGCTCTATATATCTACGCTCTATTTCCTAATTCGGTATAGTATTAAGCTAGCTCTTATTACTTCTAAAACCGGAAGGTTTCAAAGGCTCTAGCTTATGAAGGTAGGTTCCCGAAACAGGAAGGAAACCTTCTAGTTTCTAAAACACCGGAATTTACCTTATAAGGTTTCCTAGCTTCTAAAACACCGGAATTTACCTTATAAGGTTCCCTAGCTTCTAAAACACCGGAATTTACCTTATAGCTTCTAAAACACTAGAGATACTTGGTACAGGCCCGAAATAATGTACAGCCGCTATCTGAGCGCGATTCTAGAGGTTTCCGTTGACAGGGCTCTCGTGCAGGGGTAACTACCAATGATATAACGATGATAATTCGCCGCTTTTTGCACTGAAAATCAGCACTTTCGTCATGGAGCCTTCATTTAGTGTACCTACGCCTAAAACTCCAACTAAACAGACTTCTCGGGACGAGCGATTACGATGCCAGACTTTGTATTTCGAGGCCGGCTGGACTCAAGATCAAATTGCCCTTCAGTTAAACCTCACTCGACGTCAGGTACAATATGCCTTATAGACTCGATTGACCCCTCAACACCACCTACGAGGCTGTAAAGCTCACTTGAATACCCCTCAACGAAAACGCCTTGTTCAATAGGTAACAGCGTCGAGAGCGAATCGTCGTACTCCTTGGGCCGAGATTCCTTCGATTTTTCAATGGGATATCGGTCTTCACGCAATTCGCACGGCATTTAAAAAGGAAGGCTTTGCTCGACGAATTGCACGTCGAAAACTAGTCTTAACTTACGCAAATCAGATCTCTCGACTTCAATGGGCTATCGAGCACGAGAATGGGACTGAAGAGCAATGGTTTTCGATCTTATAGAGCGACGAGACGTGGGTTAAACTAGGAAAACATACGAAGGAATAGGTCACACGAAAGATAGGGCCGCAAGAAGAGTATCACCCTGATTGTGTCGAGGATCGATATCAAAAGAAGATCGGGTGGATGTTTTAGGGTATAATATCAGGTAAATACGGCCGGCATAAGGGGTTATTTTGGGAGAAGGACTGGGAAACGATTAATGAAGGATCATACTCCGGAATTATTATCCCGAAGGTTCAAGAGATCTTATTACAATATCCTGAGCTTCAATTTCAACAGGATAATGCGAAAGGACACGCTTCTAAATATACACAATCAGTCTTTGAAGCAATTGGAATTAAACCGATCTTTTGGCTAGCGAATTCCCCTGATTTGAACCTAATCGAGACTATATGGGATGAAATAAAGGATTATATCGAGAGCAACTACCCGAAGGTTCATTCCTCATATAAAAGACTACGTGAGGCTGTAATTGAAGCGTGGGAATCGATAGGTATTGAAAAAATCAGAGAATTGATTCGGGAAATGCCAGAGAGATGTCAAGCAGTGATTGCGGTAGGAGGAGGCCATACAAAATATTAGGAAAAGTAATAAAAGCAGCATTGCCAAGTATCTAGTGTGCACAGACTAGAATTGCACATTATTTACCCATGATACGAAGTATATTCCGAAACAAAGCGTCTAACTCTAATACGGCGGACGTTGAAGATCTATGCCACAGACACATATTAACGTTACTTGGATCAGCGTAAGATGCTATTTGCGGGGGCATGGTCAGGTGGAAAGGGACGACAGGAAAACTCTAGTTTAGAGCTACATTTAATCAAAAGCCGCTCCACGGTGAGCTTCTTGATCACTGGTTTTTCCGGAACTACTAGAGACAAAGCACTCAGTTCAACATCCTCTACCGCTTCGATCACTACCAACTCGGTACGTCAAAACTGTAAGAAATAGGACTAGCCTAGACTAGGTAATCCAGCCCCTATTTCTAGTATATCTCTACAATCTCTGTACCTATTTTAATATCATACTTTAACCTCTTTCCCCTCCCCTCTGATTTTCTAACAAAAACAATACCATATCTGACCATCATAGGAATGAAAATCATGGACTAGAAAGCCACGCACGGATTTGTCAATGCGAAGCTCAGCTTTCTGCGATGGAAAGAACCCTACGGAAAGGAAGCCTCCTAAGAGATCTACGTAGACCTTCCAGAGGGAGCTCCAATGGTGGCTCAGAATAAGCTCATTCTCGGACAGGTCGTTACAACGGTCAAAGACGTTCGAGAATCCGAGGTGGACTTAAACGAACCAATGCTCCCCTCATCGCTTGTCGTCAATCAGCTTAGATTTTCCACGCAAAGGCCGAGGCTTGATATTCGCAAACTACTGATGAGGCTTGGTCTATGGAGAATTAACTCGTGTTAGGAGCTCAAGTGTAGTCGTCTCAGAATAATGAGTGCGGGGTTCATATGAACGAAGCCCTTCAAACACCGATGGTAGTTTGAGCATATCGGTAGCTCTCCGATATTGACTCGGAGTTGTGCCGAGCTTGGGGGAAGATTTTCGAGCTTCAATAGCCGGAGTCTGGGGTTAAAGAGTTTGTGGCTGGCTGGGTGTAAATGCGGGGAGGTTTAAGTCAAGCTTTCTTGACTAGGTTCGTCTATTTGAGTACGAATTGGCATAGAGAACATCTGGGCTAGTCTAGCCATGCACAGAGATACTGGACATGAATACTATTGCACTTTAACTCATTTCAGCGATGTAATTTTGTATTAGAATGAGCTGTGGTGAATCGCCTTTCATGATTGATTTCTATCTTAGTCATCTAAATCTTCAGAAGCGCGCCTTTAACATGGCTACCCAGCTGGGCTCGCCATAACCTAGTCTCATTCAAGATGAAAAGTTCTCCTTTCCTCCCAAAACAGAAGTTTGCAGCACCTCCTTGTACCTCTACAGTTCCCAGATGAACTCCGCCAGGCGACCAAATATTAACGCCATCTCCACAGCCAGAATACACATTTCCATCCATGTCACATTTGATGCCATCTGGAACGCGTGAAGAAGCATATGCGAAGAGCCTCCGATTGATTAAGAACGGCTGTCCAGAGTATGTAACAATGTCGAAGGCATATCTGTCAATTGATTGTGAGGATGCAGCAATCATTCAGACAGGGATGAACTTACATCGTCGAGGCTCGAGAATCTTCTGTGGAACCATCACCATGTATCCAATCCGTATCAGTGACAAACAAAATCGTCTCATCAGGGCTAAAGCAAAGGCCATTTGGCCTGCCAAAGCCATCTGCCACGGCTCTTACTGCTTTGGAAGCAGGATCGTATCGGTAAACTTGATTCGGGAGAACGGGTCGTGGTCGAACGCCCTGCTCATATCCGTAATTGGGATCTGTGAACCAGATGGAACCATCGCTGTGAATGACTACATCATTGACAGAATTGAAGCTGCGACCGTAGAAGTTCGAGAGGAAGATTGAGGATTTGTAAGGAGGGCTTGTTGACATGAATGCTAAACCACCAGGCGACGACATGTTGCCTTGAGCACAAAAAAGGACGCCGCCTTGATAGTTCACGCCGCCGTTGGCCATGGTGACATTTTCCGTTTCGATTTTCTCGCATGTTGCTGATCCATTGCTGAGAGTGATTTTTGATATCTGAATTGATTTCTCTCCTGTGGTGGGATGTGGGAACTGGTTACTTGTGATGAATAAGGTATTGTCTTCGGGGATAAATACGCCTGCTTCGTGTGCAAATGGAATAGTTTGATCCTCTAGGAGACATTCGAGCTTCGGGCTGGAACCTAGGATTTGCTTGAAGTCCTCATGGTATATTTTGAATGGCACTGCAGTGGACATTTTGACTTCACTTGAGAAACGCAATGTCTGGCCAAGACTTTACTTCTTGCAACTGAGAACGAATATTGACATCATTGATATAGCTTAAACATTTACTTTCAAACCATTTACTCAATTGCCGTGTGGAGACGATTCGCGTCTCCTCGTCCATGTCTTGTTATCGAGGAGTGTCGTCTGATAAGTCATAAGCCGTCAAAGCCCGACGACCACCCCTCTTTGAATCACATGAGACAAGCCACTGTCAGCCACTGCCTCCCTAGCAAAGCTCAAATGATGTCTCTGGTCTTTGCAGGCAAGTCTATATTTTCGAATTCCTTATGATAAAACAATTCCGCAGTGGTTTATTTGGATGAATGTATTCATTGAAGATTCATCCCATTCTATCTCGGGAGGCCCCTCTGACATGATCTCGCGGGAAAGAATCAAGCTTCGCTTGCCGCCAACTAAAGTAGCTCCCCCCATCTCTCCTGCACTAGCATGTGAGGGAGATAGGAGCATTTGCCGACCCGTGAAGCTTCATCATGCATGGTCTGATAGCTCTCCCCGCATCTACATGCTCCACATTCCCAAACCTCAGAGCTTGATTTGCTTGGAGTGTGGGGACAAGGCTTGTGCTGAAATTCACTGCAATCTAGAGCATTTGCCGCTCCCGTATCATGAATCCCTGCCTACAATCCGAACGGTGAGAGACGTCTCGTATAAGAAGTAACAGTCTTCCCCGTGTCTACCTGCTCCAACTTCTCGATCGTCGTCTGAAGTACTTCAATCTCGATTCATATCAACAAGGTTATTTTGTAATAAAGCTGCCCAAAATCAGTCAACATGTTCGAACTTCGAGGCCGTGGCCTCTTGGGCGCTGTCACTGTCCTCACGTCCCTTGGATTTCTCTTGATTGGGTTTGATAATGGACTTATGGGAGGCTTTGGTACGTTCTCATATCCGAGCTCGACGATTCATGCTAACTAGCACTACAGTAAATGGCAAGGCCTTTACCGATACGTTTGACAGCCCGGATGCTACTATGATCGGTCTGATTGTAGCGATCTACGAGGTTGGATGCTTCTTTGGAGCTGTGATCACGGCTGCGGTCGGTGAGCAGCTTGGAAGACGCAAAAGCATTGGCGCAGGCGTGATTGTTATGATCATTGGCGCAGTTTTACAAGCGACTTCATACAGTCGTGCCCAGGTCAGCAGTCCTTCGTTTGGTCTTCGACGGAGATGATGCTGACTGCTTACAGATGATCGTTGCCCGGGTTGTTTCTGGGGTTGGAATGGGTGCCATCAACTCCACAGTACCTGTTCTCCAGGCTGAGTTCTCACCTAAAGCAACGAGAGGAATTTGTAAGTCATGTGCATTTAAAGCTCAAGGAGCGGAGAACTGACATAACTTCTCTAGTTGTATGTGCACAGCTTTCGACCCTCAACTTCGGTATCTTCTTCGTCTACTGGATCGACTATGCCTTCTCAACTCACACGGCGAGCTTCGCATGGCGCATACCCACCATACTACAGTGCATGTTCTTGGTTCCCATGCTGTTCATCCTCTGGATCATTCCAGAGTCTCCAAGATGGCTTGCAGCACATGATAGACCAGATGAGTGTCTCGCAGTTCTGCAAAGACTGCGTGGAGCTCAGGATGAGGTGGCTGTGCAGAGATTGCATGGCGAGATCTTACAGACTGTTGCATACGAGGCCTCCATCGGCGCTGGGTCTTGGAAAGACTTGCTCAAGAATGATCATATCAAGAGTCAGAGACGTCTACTAATTGCTTGTGGTATTCAAGCATTCCAACAACTGGGAGGCATTAACGCCATTATTTACTACTCTGGAACGTAAGTCTCAATTCCTATTCCAGTCTCTCAAGAACGGTAGTTGACAAACAATAGGCTGTTCGAAAAGTCCATCGGTTTCGACTCCCATATGTCCTCCTTGATGAGCGGGTTTCTTCAAACCTGGTTCTTCGTCGCATCATTTATTCCATGGTTTCTGATCGATCGCATTGGTCGACGACCTCTGGTAAGAACACATATTCTTTTCGGCGAGCGGCAACCGTAGTCACTAACACATAATAGCTTCTCTCCATGATAAGCCTAATGGCCGCTGTTATGGCAGTCCAGGCAGCTTTGATTTTCCAGGTGCAAAACAAAACTGCAATTGCACACGGTGCCGGAATCGGCGCGGCGGCTATGCTGTTCGTCTTCCAGGGCGCTTTCACTATTGGCTTCCAAGCCACTGTCTGGGTATATCCGTGAGTGTGCCTACCCAAACAATAGCTTCTAGCATCGACTAATTCGATTCAGATCCGAAATTCTTCCTCTGCGCCTCCGACAGCGAGGTTCATCTATATCCACAGCAGCGAACTGGATCTTCAACTACGTGAGTGCAGTAACATAGCAGCTCCATACAATACACTAACTTTCTTACTTAGATGATCGTTCAAATTACGCCAATCGCAATCCAAAATATCGGGTGGAGAACATACATCATCTTTGCCGTACTAAACGCTCTTTGGGTACCCATTATCTATCTATTCTTTCCTGAGACTAAAGGATTGGAGCTCGAGGCTGTTGATCGCTTGTTCTCTGGAGACGCTGAGTTGGAGCCATTGGAGATTTCGAAGCATGATGCAATGCACATTGAAGTGGGAGAGGATGAAAAACGTATGTGAGGTTTGAAGGTAGGACCGGGTGTCACTCGGCTTCATGTATACATGGTCTTGTTGAAGCAGTTGAGCTGCGCCTTAAGCATAATATATTTGTTCCTGTTTCTTTACTCAAAATCTATTGAATCGGAAAGATGAACCAAACATATCATGTATTCCTCACGTCAAGATCACAAGCTCAAGTATCATGCATTAGACCAACCCAGGCAACACAATCCACCCAGATGAAGAATGCTTCAATGCCCTTCCTGCTCTCTATCCTGTTGTGAGTTGGAGAGGGACGACCGTGATTATGTGATATCCAAGACATCAATCATAGTAAACAAATGGCTCGGTTAGTTTTCCAGAAAAAGGGGGGAGATGATCTGCGTCCGACCACAACCGAGCCCCTTTCAGATCAATCTCGCACGGGCTTTCCACTTCCGACGCGACACCTTGGGGAAGCCGAAATTCTGGTCGAGCCAGATACCCAACTCACCACATCACCGCTTCGTCTTCCTGGCAAACATCGTCGCTCTCCTCCAGCCGCCAATGCTCTCGATAAAAGTCTTTAATAAAGTCTCAGCATCCTAATTGCGAATCGTCGCCAGCACACAGCCCACGCGACACAATGGATCAAGCAGACATCCCCGCCCTCCTCTCGCGCCTCTCCAGCGACGAGGATGCCATGCGCAAGATGGCAGTCTTCAAATTACAGTCTTCAATCAACGATCCCGCATTCGCAGATGTATTCATATCCTCGGGCGGCCTCAACATCCTGCGCCGGCTCATCATGTCCACTGGCGGAAACACCCTCGCATACTCCCTACAGTCGCTGAGCCGACTCCTCGAAGTAGATATGGGCTGGGAGATATTCGAGTCTACTGGGGCAGGAGAGTTGGTGGAGAGGGTGGTAGAGCTTATCGTGGTGCATCCTCTGGTCAATATCCTGCGCGGTGCAATGTCGATCCTGGTGGCTATTGTGTCCCATCCGCAGTCGGCGAGGGGTGCTATAAGGATACCTGGGGCGTTTGGATTCCGAGCTTTGAAGCCAGCTGTGGCTGTATACCCTCAGTTCTTCGAGATGGTGGTATCGCAGCTGAATTCGGCGGATCATGCGCTATGCGCCAACGCGTTGATGTTGCTCAATGCTTTGATGCGGGATGCGATTACGAATGACAGCGGGAACCCAAAGGATGGAATGGGAAAGAGTAGCGGGACGGGAGAGGAGTGGCCGAAATTTATAAAGAGGCTGCAAGATCTCGGGGTGATCAAGGCGGTCTATGTTTTGATGCAGAGCTCTGCGTTGCAGGACTTGGCACATCCACTGTTAGAATTTCAGGCATTGACAAAAGTTCTGCTGAGGAAATGGAGGGATGTGAGAGTAGATCTCGAAAGGCCGGAGCATCGACGAGCTTTGAAAGGGCTACATTTGGCCAGTGCGCCTGAGCGAAAGGATATGAATGGTAATGGAGGAACACCAAGAATAGAGGAGATGGCAGCAGACTCGTCCAAGAAAGGAAGTAGGCGGCACAATCCAGAGAAATGGCGACGATTAGGCTTCGAAACAGAAAGCCCTGCTTGGGAGTTCGATGCTGCTGGGTTTCTTGGAATGATGGACTTGACCGACTATGTGCGGAAACAGGAGGATGGATTTCAAAAGCTGCTTCTGGAACAATCCTCTCGGGCCATGAATGAACGATGTCCGATTGCACGGTCTAGTCTTGCTGTCACGACGATCCTATACGAACATTTCGAGGTTGACAAGTCGGATGTTGAGGATGCAAAGAGCTATCTGATTTTGGACGGAATGAAGAATTACGACAAGATATTCAGGCCACTCCTACTACAGTGGTCGCGACTCCATACTGCGTGTTTACAAGCATTCTTCAGATTGTGGAAAGCAACTGGCGCGGAACAGGACGATTTTGACAAAGTGGCAGAACTGGTTAGGATATTGGTTGAACAGGTTGTTGGGCAAGCCTCCAGAACAAAGGATGTTCAGGAAGTGGAAGAAGAACTCGGAGAGTTTGACTACACACGCTTACGCGAGCTGCAAATGGAACTCCTAGAGCTGACCTTCGAGGATGAATGGGGTCAGCATTTGCATCAAGTTCGAGATGAGCTCAAGCACGAAGCTCTGCAGTTTGTGAAGGAGCAGAGGATACGATGTCTTTTATCAGGAGCTTGGTTCCCAAGATCTCTTCTGAACAAGAATGATACAATTCGCAATGGCACCCAGAGGACATCTTCAACCACATACAGATATGTGGGTCTGTCACACAATCGACGATATCTCCATTACGCAGACTTTGATGCACAGACAACAAAAGAGCCTCCTTTGGACGAACTGAGCGAGAAGATAGATCTGAGCACGATCAGCTCCGTCGTATCGAATGTTTCAGCTGCAACAGATGACAGCTCAAGCATTTCATCGACATCAACTCTCAAATCGCTTTCTCACACGCCGAAGCAGAGCTCAACGACCAAGATTACTATCAACAGTTTCGTTGGTGGTTCAGACAACAAATCCCAATCATCGCACCAAGAAGCTACTGAGCGGGCAATCCTGACATTGATGCCACCAACCCACAGTCTTGCATCGGAATGGCTCGACGGCCTTCTAATGCTGTTGAATCAAGCACCAATCACTGCTGAAACGAACAAGTTAGTCAATCTGGTTAGCGAATATGGCTTGAAGATCCGACTTTTGAATGTCCGCCTGGATGATGGATATGCCGGACCTCCTGAGGGCGCTGGAGTCGTCCCTAGCAGGGAGGGCTTGGACGAGGACTACTATTACGAGGTGTAGAATCGTTTTTCTTTCTGTTCTGGCTGAGGCGCGTATGTTGATACCCCTGTTTTATTGGCGGGTCGATTATGGTTTGTACTGTATTGTTGTATGATAGATAGTTAGCATTGCTTAGATGCTGTCGAGAGTATTGGAGAATCGGTACAAATGTTCCTTTTAGTCTTTATCATTACAGCTTGCTTGTGAAACAAAAGGCCGAGGCTGTCTCTCCAAGTGGAATACTCAAGGCTCTAATGCGAGGCTACTGAAGTCAATCTCATCGATGCCGAGGCTAATGCAGGGACAGTTGGACTTTCACGTCATGATCTTCAAATTCGTTGTGTCTTGGCCCCTCGCAACATTCATATTCCTTTTTCTGCCTCTGAACCCTGCCTTTCCCTTACAACTTCTCGAAAAAGAACCACTTTCCCCGTTACCCCTTCGAATTTTCACCGCAAATCTCTACATCCACATCAATACTAAAATCAAGATGTATTGTCCACTCTCTCTTTGATTCTCTATATGTTTCCCATTTTAACATTCCCACAGGACCCTCCTCACAAACCTCGGACTCTCCCCGCTCCCCCTCTCTCACACGTCCCCCATCCCCTCTTACGCCTCCCACTTCTTGATCTTCAACTTTGTCTTCGCCTACGGTCTGCTCTCCACGCGGTTCGTGAGACGCTTCTATGATTTTGATCACAACGCGTGTCCGAGACAGGATGTAGAGCGGTATGGTGAAAAGATGGTGAGGGATGGGAAAATGAGTAGGGGTACGTTGGAGAGAATTAGGAGGATGGAGAATGCGCATGCGAATTCGGTGGAGGGTTATGCTGTTTTTGTGGCGGGTGTGGTGAGTTGTTTTCTTGATTTACTTATTTCTGCTCCTCCTCATATTGCCTCCTATTCATGTCTTACGACATCTTCATCTGGGGTACTTTGTGATGAAAGAAAGGTTGATGTTTGTTCTCAATAACAGCTTCTTGCCCTCCACGCAGGTGTACGCATTGAGAAACTCAATGGCTTGATGGCTGTGTATTCATTATCGAGGATTGGGTACGGACTTGCTTACATATTAATTGAAAATGAGCACCTGGCGTTGATTAGGACCGTGTTTTGGTATGTCGGGAAGACCAGTTGTATTGCTATGATGGTTATGGCTGGTAAGAAGGATGCGATAGCTTTTTATGTGAATGTTGAGAGCTTGGGTCGGTTGAATGAGCTGAGGGAGTTCTGGTTTTGATGAGAAGCGGTTGAGGGATGACATGGTTATGTTGACTCGCTTGTTTTGCGTCATATGTTACGACTGAGCTTGGATGTTTGAACCCTTGGGCGCCAGCCTCATTCAATTCGTAAGGTCTTCTGTACCGAACAGCTGACTTGTACTTGTATGTATTTCCTGAATGCTACCTTAAGGTACTGCTGCGTATGCCACCAGGTGGCTTGCATATAGAGCGAGTCATGTGAATACTGACGCGTCAACGCGTCTCCCGCTCGGATTCGGTTTCTGAAGATCTGCAACCATCAACGTCATTACTAAACAAACTTTGCGCGCAGCTTAAATAACAGTTTAGCCTCTCCTCGTTCACTTCCAAAGCGATCGCATCATTTATATTTGCATAGCTGCGCCCCAATACCGTTCAAAATGGTTTCACTTCGTAGTGGCAATGAGCCTGTGCTGGCAGAGAGCAACACGAACGCAACGTCTACACTCGAGTTTAAGAAGTCGGAAGCCGTGGGGACGAAGAGGAAGACCGAGGATGAAATTCCTGATGAAGAGGATAAGGAGAATGTATCACAGTCAGATCCTAAATCGAGGAAACTCGATGCAATTGGCGAGAAGAGCAAGTCAGATGGACGTTCCGTTGACAATGATAAAGATGCCCAAGAAGTGAGGGCAACCACCGAAGAAGCCACTAAAGTGGGCCGAGAGCACACTCCCGGACGTGACGGACCCATTAAAGAGGAACAACGCTCAGCTTCGCCAGATATCAAGTCATTTAAAGGACCGCCTGGGAAGAAGGTTCGTAAGACAGCTTATGAGAAGAATGAGGAGTACAAGCAGTTCATCCGGGAGACGCCAGGGCACACATTTTACGAGTATTATTCCCAGTTCTCCCAATTGATACCAAAAATTCCGCTACTGACCTCTTACCTCTACAGACTATACGTATGTTTCGATAAAGGACCCAACGGCTCCCCCACCTACGACAAATCAGGCTTCCAGCTCGACTACAACAAAGTAGCCGACTGGATGAAACCCACCCCCTACAACAAAAGCCGAATGGTTAACGGCATGGAGAAAGCGATCGCAAAAAGCAAGACGGAGAGCGAGCAGATGGCTGAGATATTCTTCGAGAAAGGAGAGGCTCCCACGGATAGTTGGAAGGTTTCTACGGCAAAGGATTACTGGAAGGATCGTGTGTCAAAGGACTTAACGTGCCATGGCATAAGATTACGGCCGACCATTTTAGGAAGTGGGAGAAGAAGGGGTTCAGGAAGGCGAGGAGAGGGGAGTATGAGAATCCGACAGAGGGGGAGAAGAAGAGGATGATGAGGTTGATGAGTGGTGATTCGTTGAGGAAGTAGATTTATACTGTTTAGTGACTTATGGATCCGGTTGTGTCACAAATCGATCGTAAGACATCTCGTTGGTTTATAAAATAGTACTTTGGTTGAATGACATTTCATGTTGATGATAAATCGGAGACACATTGGCTAAGCTTTTCCCAGCTGTTCGTTATCCTTGACCGTCTTCTCAACGCAAGGCCTTCGCACATACCATGAAACAGACCATTAAACCGTTTCAAACGCTCATTGCCCTCCAGACAGCCCAACTCCCAAGCACCGCAATTGCTCCCCAGTGCTCAAAGGCCTTTCCCTTCCATCCCCCCACAAACCTCCAAACCAGAATCCCATCCACAAAGCCCGCAATACATACAATGCCAGTGAAAGTAGTGATTGCTGATTCTTGGCCTTGGAGCTGAAAGATGAAGTATGTGAAGCCGTAGGTCAGATCCCGGATGCCTTTTGCGTAGACGTACGGTGAGATCTGAGGACTTGGTGGGGACGCTGAAGATGATGAGTCCGGTTTGGAATTGTTTGAGGATGTGAGAGGCAAGCCGAATGTTCTGTACTCTGTTGCTGGGGAGATGAAGGAAATAATTCCGGAGAGGGTAAATAGGGTGCCGAGGATATATGAGGGTATTGGTGAGAAAAATGTCATTGTAGACAGGGGGAGATGTAGAACTCAGAATAAGATAGTCTTGCTCTCGGAAGTAATTCGGATGACTTTGGTTCAATGGTAGAGCTCAGTCAAGACATGTAAACTATAGCAAGTTGAAAGATACAGATGAGGTTCAATCTGAGTACTGCCTGCCAGAAATGATTTCCTAGCTAAGCACAGGCCTGGGAAAGATGTGAGTTTTTTTTTTGGCTATTTGATAGAACTCAGGGATAGTTATATATGTCTGGCTAAGCTATTATCAAGGTCCTGAACGATCAATATGAAAGAGGCGAACCACGGGGTTGACATAAGTTTCGCTCTTTTCGGAATCCCGAGAACCGAGTAACAGGCTCGGCCATTATGCATTCAGCGAATTCAAGAACACCAACAAAGGCTGCCATTGAATATTTGAAGTAGTGTTCTTCTTTACGTTTCGATCATTTTAGCAAATGTTGGAGGCTACTTGGACATTGAAGGCTAACTAGAGGCTTTGTTGTCATACCGCACCCTGGGCTCGCTTAGAATAGCCGTCCAGTCCACTGTATCTCCAGCGATTGTCCCCTGTAATTTAGGCGTCTTGCCACCGCCACCCAACTAAATCTGGGGTTATTCGACGACCAACATAGACGGGCAAGAATCGGCGAGCAAAAGTCAAATACGAAAAAATATTGAGCCTATATGATTTTAGTAAAAGACGGGTTTATCAGCTAGTATATAGTTACAAGGGGCTAGAATGACAAAAACAAAATCAAAAAGAAGAAGCCAGTACAAGCTGATTGTATTTAGCAATTCCTGGTTTCGATCCAGGGACCTCAGGGTTATGAGCCCCGCGCGCTTCCTCTGCGCCAAATTGCTTGTTGTATCATGTTATACTGACTTATCAGAGCCATTTCTGTCTGCTGATATGATTGTTTCCTCTTATTTGGTTAGATATACCACAAAGGAATTTTTAGTGAACGAGGCTCGCTTAAAAAAAATTCTTTCGTGTTGGTGGGCCGATTTGTGGGTCGTCTTTGTTGACTTGGTAAGGAGGCAAATTTGCGAGGTGATACGAGGAGATACGAGGAGACGGAAATCAATTGTTGGTAAAGAGTTATTGCTTAATGCATCATATCAAAGGGTCGCTTCAGAAATCGAAGGGAAATGTCTGGACGTGGAAGGATGGGGTCCTTTGCCACGATTTACTTGCTCTACCCGTACCATTTATACGGCAAAGGGGGGGTGATCTCAAATCTTCCGGAGAACATCAATGGAAATAATTGCGGTCTGAGTTAGGTGCTGTGACTTAGATCTTTGATTTCCAATGAAAAGGAGGGTATGCCTCAGCACTTCTTTTCCACCCACAGTTATAATTATTTGAGATCTAAAGAAAAGAATTCATCTGACAAAGTAAGAGACGTTCCAACTCCTTGATCGAAGTTCCAATTTGATGTGAAGGATCTGTCGCTGTTGAAATACGACCCACATTAGGTGAATCTGAACCAGCAACACAATACGATTTCTCTGGTCATGTGCAATTTTGAAGTTCACCACTGTCCGATTGATCGCCTTATGTAACGCCCCGTGTAGCAATAGCATAAATTGGTCGATCATTGGTTTCCAGATGTGAATGGATGGCTCTGCCGGAGGCGTCAAACATGACTGGTGTCGGAGTGACTTCTTTCAGTTCTGCATCTTCAAGAGGGGGGAGTTTCTCGAAGTAACATAACCAATGAAGCAACAAGCTGGATCATTCGGGAGTAGGTTCCAGATAGCCACTGGCAAAGATACCAAGACCAAAGTCGAGTAGCTCTTGAAACACCCCTCAATCTTTACATATTTGGCCAGTGCTGGAATTCTCGAAAGCCAGCGCTGGAACTGCTCCGGATGTAGATCATCTTGGTCTTGCTCGAGAGCCACGCAGAGAAGAACATGGGGGTGCTTCAGGTCTCCATTTGAATGAGTATCCGTCAGCTCAGTCCCTTATTCCTCTTGTTGGGTTTCAAGTGAGGAATCGCCACTTGAGGATTGATCTGGTGGAGCTGTTGGTTGCATTGGGGCCTCTTGGCTTAGTCGGATCAGCTCTATGCTCTGGGGCCTTGGATCTGGGCTGGCGATGTAATACACTGGAGTCGTACACCATTCCAGATAAGTGCCTTCCCGGCCTTTCTCAGGCCGCTTTCCCTTGAGCCGACGAAACACTTCCGAATGGAGAAGACTCACGGGAAACAAAGGCTTCGATTTCCACTCTCCAAGGACTTCAACCAGTGTAGTTGTGAAGGAGTAGTTCCTGGGAGGAGGAGCTATGCCGCTGAAAACCACAAGCTCCAATTGTCTCTACGGTTCCACAACCAGAGATCTTGGCAGAACTGAGTGCAGCACAGCAATCGAAAAGAAACAGATTGTCAGATGATGAGCGCTCAAAGACCCTTCGGACTGATGACTAGTCGATTGATTCACTTGTCGGGTCTCGATCTTGATTCCACAAAGACCATCCGTTCTCGTTCATCGTTGCGTGGCCGGCATAGTAGACAATGAACAGATTGTTTTTCGCGTCGAACTCCTTAATGAGGTCTAGAGCCATTCTCATCAGCTTCCAATGAGGTTGGATGATTGGAATCTTCCATGTCTCGATGTTGAATCCATAGCCGTGCTTGAAAATATCGTAGAGGCTGCTCATTTCTTTCTCATGCCCGGGATCTTTAGCTCCGCCTCCGACTTCCCATCTGATCAAACGAACATGTACGGTTCCATATTTAGAACGGTGTCGGTTTGGAAAAGCGCCTTTGACTGCCTATACAAACCACTGGTATCAGCTGATTGTGAGAGTCATTGAAATAAATTTCGTCTTACCTCCTCTAACGTTGTGGCAAAGGTTGCAATATCTTTGACATGGAAGCCACAGCGGCTGTCATCGTGGGCTGCTTCAGAGGAAAAACGTGACGGTCTTATTACGGAAGTGTTGGTGGTCTGCCACGACGTTAGCATCACAAACAACCATTTTGCGATTATTAGGAAATTGGACGAGGCGCATTTACAAAGCTGACGTCCGCCATGGTTATGCTTTCCAATGTTGCCAAATGGTTCTCTGATTTAGGGTATGGTCAAGTAGAAAACAAAAAAGTGTCACAATGCGGCATTAACCATATGAGATAAATTCCGGCCTCAAGCAGTTGTCGTAGAAGGATATTATATACTCAAAACTGGAACAAAGAAGGTGAGGATTGGGCGTGATTTGGTAAAGCTGCTCAACAAACTGGAGATGTACAGTTCTGACGACTCCCAGAATAGGTCAAACAAAGTCTCATAAATCAAGATGATATTTATGGGACAAAGAATCATTCTATTTAGAACAGCTCGATACTTTCCCGAAGTTTCACGAGTCTTTGGCTCGCACTCAGGTTGGGTAGATGTGCCGTATGTAGAAATAAATACACTTGGTCACAGCGACTAAGAGAGACAATAAGTTACTAGTTTTGGAAATTTCTATTCACAAAGTAATGCTGAAGTAGTTTATGGAAAACCAGAGATTGGTCGGAAGGCTAGCAGAAGAAACAAAGAACGTTGGCAAGTTAAGCTCAGTCGACCATAAATATCACCCCATTAAGCAATGGCCCACGAAAGCAAAAACGTGCCAAATATCAAGTCGCCACAATCTTAGAAGAAATTTATCATATGGTACTGGCAAGCAACAAATGATGCGAGGGAAATATTTCATAAACTTGGTCAAAACAAATCCGAAGATATCTTAGACAACTTCAAACTCTAAGAACGTGAAAAATCCAAAGGACCATGACCTCTGGCCAAGTCCGAAAGTCAACTCCGACTTTCTGCTTGAACGAAAGCGAAAGCCGAAAACAGCCACAGAGCACATCCTCGGCTTCTCCCTCCTATGCTTCATGTGGGGTTGTTTTCTTCTAAACGGAACCCTGCAACGGAGGCACATCCCCCAGATATCAATCTCGGCAGACGCACCCGCAGGCTAATATGCCCCCAACCTGCAAGGGACCGGGCGATAGCAACCGAGACCAATCAACACCACAAAACTTCCCAGGCGAGCCAGGTATATATTGCACCTGACTGGCAAGTCCCCGGGAAATGGCCACGAGGTAAATTGAAGGGTCTGTCTGCCGGGCCTGGGATCCTGCGGTGCGACCTGCGGGTGGGGATGAGAGTTTGGAGTCTGAATAGAGGGATGTGTGGTGGAAAATCCAGAGTTTGGGCATATTGAGTAGGAATGTGACGAACTAAAATCGGATCGCGGGTCGGGAATGGCGAGATTAAAGGCTTGAAAGGGGTTCTAACGGGGTTGTATAATGCCTTAATCTCGTTTTCTCTTTGTTCGCAGTCAATAAAACCGCTGAGATCGCCCTGAATACATCATCACTTCCACATGTGTACTTCCCGGATGTTCTAGCTCTTTGACATTTTTCAAAATGATTCTCCCTACCAAGATCATCCTTGCTCTCCTCCCATTCTTTCTGGAAGTCAACTCTCAGGCTTCCGGAAACGGACAGACAACTCGCTGTCAGTATTCCTCATCTGCTCTCGAACGACTGCCAACTGCAAGTAGCGCGAATAACTGCTGACGCGCCAGTTGTTCAGACTGGGATTGCTGCAAGGCCTCTTGCTCATGGTCTAAGAAATTGACTCTAGCATCTGGCTCCAGTCCAGTGACGTCGTGCGACAAAAATGATAATCCACTCTCGAGCTCAGAGGTAAAATCAGGATGCGAGTCTGGTGGTTCGGCCTTTATGTGCTCGAACCAGTCGCCTTGGTGTGTACTACAAGCTCATTTCCTCTTTGCCGTTGTCTTGGAAGTCGGGACGTTCCTGAGACATGCGTTTTTTTTGAAAAATTTCTGAAGAGTAACTACTAACACACTATTGCGTACAGGGCTGTATCTGAGACTTTGGCGTACGGTTTCGCAGCGACGTCCATCTCGGGTGGCAGCGAGGCAAGCTGGTGCTGTGCGTGCTACGAGTTGACATTCACGAGTGGACCTGTCGCAGGAAAGAAAATGATAGTGCAATCAACAAACACTGGGGGTGATCTAGGGGCAAACCACTTTGACATTGCTGTAAGCAATCTCTCGGCTTCAAAGAGAAGTTAGATCGCTGACAATGGGATACAGATGCCAGGTGGAGGATTTGGCATCTTCAACGGCTGCACCTCAGAGTGGGGAACGCCATCTACTGGATGGGGTGCACAATACGGTGGTATTTCATCTCGGTCTCAGTGTGATGCCTTCCCAGACAGGCTCAAGGCTGCATGCTATTGGAGATTTGATTGGTTTGCAAATGCCGACAACCCAAGCGTTTCCTTCAAGCAAATTGCTTGTCCGGCCGCTTTGACGGCGAAATCTGGCTGCGTGAGAGCGAATGATGTGATCGATGAGACTCCTACTGGTCCTGTCAATGTATCGACATGGACGAGCGGGTCAGGCAGCGTACCCACGACATCCAAGACCACGACGACTTCGACAGCTGCTGCTGCAACAACGACTGCTGCCTCTGGAGGAGGGACTGTCCCCATGTGGGGACAGTGTGGTGGAATTGGATATAAAGGACCAACGCAGTGTGTGGCAGGAGCTACTTGCAAGTACAGCAGCGATTATTACTCACAGTGCTTGTAAACACAAATTCTGTTGAGCTATGACTGGGACTCGCTTGCACGAAACTGGCAGGGGAATTTAGTGGAGATTGTGGATGACACTGCCCCTCTTTTGCACAACACCATTATTTGAAAAAAAGAAAAAGAAACTGCGATACCCTATCATTGGAATACCATTATAGGACAAGACAAAATGCGTGTAAATATATAGAAGAAAATTGCAAAAATGTATTTGTCCGAGTATTACTCGGGGACATGAACTCTAGAGAAGCTCTCTGACGGGGAGTCGAACCCCGATCTCCCGCGACTTGTCGACTTGTCGACTTGACAAGCGGAAATCATGACCGTTAGACCATCAAAGACTCGCTGCTATTGCGTTTTTGATTGGTTTCTAATTGGAAAGTGTCGTCTATATTTGATTCGAAGGCTGTACACATTGACCCAAGCTACTTCGCGGAGTAGAAACAAAGTATTTTTATGCCAGGAGAAATCAAATTTCCCAGTCACACAAGGAGTGCCAATGACAACATGAAATTAGGCTAATACAAAGCTGACATGGAATTCCTGTGCTATAGAAGTATCGCGCAGTTTATGCCCGACTTTGGAAAGCTATTGAAAATGACCACAAAATCGTGCACAGCTGCACTAGCAGTGGGAGCAACCTCAGATGCTGCCTCGGTTGTCCAAAGCCGTTCAGCTTCGCGATACGTGATATGCTGTACTGTATTTGTCGCTGCTTCCCGTGGTGCCGTGTCATAGTGAGATGTCACGGACGACCAGTGCAAGCGATCCTGTCAAGCACAACTTCAGCTCCGTTGATTCCAAGCTCAAAACCTCGGCAATATTGTTCTCATGATCGTGCTGCATTTTCGAGTAATACGCACCCCTGATTTCAAGTTCTGGTAAGTGCCTTGCCTGTTAGATACCAAGGCCTCGAGGAGGTATGGAGTAGAGACTTTGTACTCGTCTCAGATTCGTCAAATGGTGCGATACTTCCGGCTCCGAAGTGTTCTGATCCGTCGCAGTTGAATACCCTGGTACGCAGCTGAACTCAGATAGCAATTTCACTTTGCATCTCCGTCTGCATGTCTGAAGCTCTCGGGAATTGACGAATTTGATCCGCAGCACATGGGCAGCTGACTGTGAACAGTGAAAGAGCCGACCCACAATTGTTCATCCACCCCTGCCTCTTCCTCGTCCTCGTCTTCTCTCTACACTTTCAGTCATGTCACTCTTGAAATGCCGAATTACCGTCCTGTCCAACTCACGCTGCGCCTCAAGGGCCGAGATTTTCTGTTGGAGCTCTGCGATTTTCGTCTCCTTGGCTTTCAAGGCCACACGAGTGATGTCTCGTCCCTTGGCAATGCCGGATATCTTCATTGCATGTTTACTGAGTAGCTGCTTTAAACTAGTCGTAGTCTCGTCGTCGATGTGCTGGTCCTTCAGTAGCTCTAGTACTTCGTCTGTGATATCGTAGCCATTCTGCGACGGCTGGCTGTGAACGTCACTCGCAACTGTAGACTCTCTGTACCGAGCTGGAGTAGGTGTTCCAGATGGGCTTCGCAATCCAAAAGCCTGACGTCCATCCCACGTTCCTTTAGAAATTGTAGCTGGTGTCGTGAACACATCTTCGTCCCTACGGCCGCTATCGAATCCCGTCAAAGTTCTTCCGCCAGTCGAAGGCGTCGGCAGCACACTTTCGTCGAACTTCCTCTTGCTATTTGGTGTAGAAAACTGGGTTGTCTTGGTGGCTTTCCGTGGCGTCTCTGGAGACGGTGATCCTGATTCCGCACGGGTGATAGACTGTTCAAGCTTCCTCTCTTCTTCCGGCGACAGAGACCAGTCACCAAACTCGTCATTGTCATCCTCAGTCGATTTATCTCCAGCACCGGGACGTGGCCCGGTGGTCTTGCTTGCCCCAGCCGCACCTGGCTCCGACCTCGAATTCGCTATCACAGCAGTCATTTCCCTTCCAACCGCATCATCTTTCCAGAGAAAGAACCCGCATCCACTTTCTTTCGGTTGTTGACAAGTATAGAACCATCGTCCTGTGTTTGGCCCCTCCTTTTTGACTTGAAAGTTCGCTGCAGGGAGTCGTGGATTACAGTTACCTATGCGAGTGAGTTAGCTGTGTATGCTGGGATCTAGATGTACAACTTACAATGCCAAATTCCATCTGCGAAATATCCTTTTAATGGCACAGTCTTGGTTGAGCTTCCCTTCATCCATTGCTTCTTGGGTGTGTTCAATATTGACATCTTCGCGGACGTAGGACGAAGCTATTCGGTGAGTCCTTCTGCTAGGAATAAAGTGAGGGATACCGAGGACCTTTTCCCTTGACCTGGCGCATTCTAGGAACTTTGCTGCAATTGTTCATGATGTTGTCCTTGTTCACTGGAGCCTAGGGTAGCTTGATCTCTCCAGCCCAACCTCCCACTATCTTATCCACTAGTGCCAACCTTAACTGAGCTTAGTCATCACTATTTACTTTCCGCTTCATCGAGCAGTTCGTTTTCTAAACACACATCATAAAACAATTTTGCTTGAAGAAGGTACTTTTTGTCAGGTGTGAGCGCATAGTTCCATTTAGGTGGTCAAACATTGCTTATTTGTTTCGGAACGTCGATGCTGACTTGAATTTATCCTGACCAAAAATTCTGAATCCGATTTCCATACTCCCTCACACACGACTCGATTCTGCCACTACCTCCGTATTACGCTGATCAAACAAAAAGAAAGTGCCTCAAATAACCACAACCGTTCACAACTTGGTGTTCTGGGACCCTTGTCTATAACCTTATGAATGACTTTCGCTGCCCGAATATGGGCCCCTTCAACCCAGCTTTGGCCTGCCAGTCCCAATTATGTCGTTCTAGGAGCGAGAATGAGAGATTGAGTTGATGGCAAGTCTCATCAAATTTGGGAACAGTGGAGTTAAGCCAGAGTGTTGAGAAAGGTGAGGTGTGCGGAGAGCAAGAGATACAGGAGAAGTATGCGTTCGAGGTGGGGATCTGATGCCTTCCGACTTGGACTCTTTGAGATTGTTGACGAAGAGTTGTCGAAATAAAGAGGTCGCAGCGTGACAAATGTCAGAGTTCGAGCAGTCGGATTGAGAGATGTGATGTTAAATTTTTGCCTTGCCGCCGTGGGATCGAGACCTAGAACATCGCCATTTTCGAGCGTTGACTTTGTCCTGAGGAAACAGTTTTCAAACTTCGGGAGCCTCATCCCAGATAAATCGCATCCGCAGAGATTTAAACTTGATAGAAGCCGCCTACAGAGACCCTGACGTCTTCTGTTGTGCAATCTTCTGTCTGTGTAGCATCTGTGCCATTCCTGCAACTCCAACCATGAATACGAGAATGAGGATGACGAGGAGGATGATGACTTTGTACTCCATTGCAAGAAGTATGAAGAGGGTTGTTGTTTAATGCTGGATAGGTCCTTAAAGAGGTCGAGATAGTGTGGAAGTGACCGACCAGAGAGACGAGAGGGTGCAGTAATAGGAGAAGATGCAAATCAATTAGAGGGAAAGAGGATATATATATGCGAGATGAAACAACTCAACAAACCCACCAGAATAGTAATTACCCTGAGACAGGCCTCTCGTACAGCCCTCTCCCATCTTCGTTTGGAGATAAATGAACCGTCCCTTCATCATTTGATCCATCCATCTGTCCAGTAACGCGACATCGTACCCGACACCCCAAAGCCCTTCTCAAAATCCGTCTATCGGAAAGCGTTTACAGCAATCAACAATTGGGCGTTCGTCCATCTGAACCGAGTATAAACGAGGCTCGTTTAACAGGCACCGCGAGTTGTTGTTTATTTTTCATTGCTACCAGATTTGGGTGGATGGCGTCGCTTAACGAGCGAGCCAATCGCTGGCACTGGAGAGCGAGTAGGTGTGTGGTGGCAGGGGATGGGATGCGCAGCCTAGAACATGAATGGAGGGGAAAATCAATATGCTCTGTAAGTCGCAAAAATATTTGATCAACAGGAATGGGTGTTATATAGATAGCTAGAAGATATAGTATTATTCTCCACATTGTTTCTGAGATCCGTCTTCCTTAGACAAAACTTAGTAAGTACAACAATAAACAAAACGGAACATACAACATCCCGATCGCATGCATGTCCGATCTGAATTATAACCCACTCAAAATCGACAGGCGTGTGCCTTTCGTAGCAAAAAGACAAGAAAAGTAAGCCAACAATACACGCCCGTGTTTTCTTATCAGAACCTGAAATATCGCGAACGTGTGGCACAGCAAAGCACAGCGCAACAACCAACACCTTCCTTCTCAATCAAACTGGACTAGACCCATGAACACCCGGTCAGGCTAAGCTTTTCCAAGATTCGACCGCAGCGCAGCGTAGCATTACCCTCAGCTTCAGATTCGTAGATCTCGTCTTGCCTTCCGTTACAATTCATAAACAGGACATATATCTCTTGTCTCTTATTGTACTCTAACTCCCTTGACTTTCAAATTTTCAAAAACACTCATCTGAAAACCCAATACACAATGCCATCCTCCTCCCCCAGCCCCCACGCTACACCCCTCACCTTAACACCCCAAACCCTGTCCCTTATCCTCTCAATCCTCTCCATCCTCCCCATCATTCCCTTCATCACAATAACAATACTCTACTTCACTGGCTGTTTCATTACCGAGACATCCATAATCACCACCTCCTCCATTTGCCACACCACGGCCTCATCAGCTACAGTCGACAAAAATAGCAAAAGAAAAGACAGAGATGGCGAGGGGAACGTGCTAGATGGAGAAATGAGAGAAATGGAGGAGGGCGAGGAGAAAGCCCTGTCAGAATTAAAGAAGGAGAGGAACGAGGAGGACGTGGAGGAAGTGATCGAAACGCATTGGCGAACGACGAAAGTGAGGGTTTGGGGGTGGGAGGTTGTCTTGTGGAGTGTTGGGAGGAGGAGGCCTAGAGTTGATTGGGGGACGGCGAGGGAGGGTAATGTTCAAAAAGATGAGGTCGTGGGGGAAAGCTGTAGAGGAGTTGAGGGGTGAAAATTCCGGGAAATGGGAAGCACGGCGAGGTAGTTAAGGGAAATGCACCCAAGTTTTAAAGATGAACCACAGAGTTGCACTTTTTATGTTCAACAACAAAGAAAAAATGCATTAACCCCACCACGCTCCCACCAAGCGCAGCTATACTATGCTACAGGGCTGAAACCCCACCAGTTCTCCAGCCCAACAATACATACGTACATCAATCGACCCATCGACCGACCGTCCAAACCAAATCCCGCGAAATAATCTAGTACACACGCTTGAAGGGAGGGACAGCCTTGCACTCGGCCTCGTCCAGGGTGTGAGCGACGACACCTCTGTAGGTGAGATCTGTCTTTCCGTGTGGCTTCTTTTGGAAACTCAGCGTGTGCTTCATCCAGTTCTTGTCGTCGCGATCGGGGTAGTCCTCTCTGGCGTGTGCACCACGGGATTCCTTTCTTGCGGCTGCTGATTCGGCGGTTTGGACGCTGTGATGATTAGTGGTTTACTGTTTCACAGGGATTGGAGTACTTACGCGCAGGTCAACAGGTTTCTTAATTCCAGAGTCTCGACCAAGTCCGAGTTCCAGATCATGCTTCGGTCCTTGGTTCCAACATCCTTGTACAATTGGTCGACCTCGTTGATCTTCTTGACACCCTCGTCTAATGACTCTTGGGTTCGGAAAACGCTGACATCTGTTTGCATGACCTTTTGCATCTTGAGGCGGATCTCGTGTGTGCTGAGTGGTCCATCGGCAGTTCTGATCTTGTCGAGCATGGCGATTGAGTCGGCTCCAGCGTCGGCACTGATCTCCTTGTGTGGCATGCCTGGCTCGAAGTTGTCACGGACAGTGTGGGATACAGCACGGCCGAAGACGATCAAATCGAGGAGAGAGTTGGCTCCAAGACGATTGGCTCCGTGGACGGAAACGCAAGCAGCTTCACCGCATGCAAAGAGACCTGGAACAACCTTGTCCTTGCCCTCAGAATCGATAGTAAGAACCTCACCAGTGTATTTTGTTGGAATACCACCCATATTGTAGTGGACTGTTGGAAGAACTGGAATGGGTTGCTTGCGAACATCGACACCAGAGAAAATAGATGCAGTCTCAGAGATACCTGGAAGACGTTCGTGGAGGACCTCGGCGGGCAAATGGCTGAGTTGGAGGTAGATGTGATCCTTATCTGGGCCAACACCACGACCCTCTCTGATCTCCATGGTCATTGATCGTGAAACAACATCACGACTGGCCAGATCCTTGGCAGTTGGGGCATATCTCTCCATAAATCTCTCACCCTCAGAGTTGAGGAGATATCCTCCCTCACCACGAGCACCCTCGGTGATCAAGCAGCCAGCACCATAGATACCAGTTGGGTGGAATTGCACGAATTCGAGATCCTGGTTAGGAAGACCAGCACGAGCAACCATAGCCATTCCGTCACCTGTGCAAGTATGCGCAGATGTACAACTGAAGTATGCACGTCCGTAACCACCAGTAGCCAAAACAGTGTTGTGTGCCCTGAATCTGTGCAGGGTACCGTCCTCCTGGTTGTAGGCAAGAACACCCTTGCACTCGCCATCCTCCATGATCAAATCGAGAGCGAAGTATTCGATAAAGTAGTTGGTGTTGTGTCGTAGGGATTGGCCGTAAAGAGTATGTAGGAGGGCGTGTCCGGTTCTGTCTGCTGCAGCACAGCATCTGTAGGCCTGTCCACCCTTGCCATAATCCTGCGATTGTCCTCCAAAAGCTCGTTGGTAACTATAAATGTCAGCATATGTATGGCATCCCTCCCAGTGCAAACATACATCTTTCCGTCGTCTGTTCTTGAGAAAGGGCAACCATAGTTCTCCAATTCGATAACAGATTGTGGTGCCTCTCTGGTCATGTAATGGATAGCATCTTGATCTCCAAGCCAATCCGATCCCTTTACTGTGTCGTACATGTGCCATCTCCAGTCGTCCTTGTGCATGTTACCCAGCGCAGCGTTAATTCCTCCTTGTGCGGCCACCGTATGACTCCGGGTTGGGAAAAGCTTTGATATACACGCAGTGTTGAAACCAGCCTCGGCAAGACCAAAAGCTGCTCGCAGACCAGCTCCACCAGCACCAACAACGATCGCATCGTACTCATGGTCCTATTTTTCATCAGACATGTGCTAGTTGACAGCTTGCAGATGTACGTACAATCACTGGGTATTTGTTGGTAAGTAATGGGGAAGCTTCCTTTGCACGGAGTGGCGCGTGTGTAATGATTCGAGCTGCAATTCAATTAGACGGGTCGGTCCTCAACAGCGTCTGTCCATATCCTACCAGCTGGTCTCGTCGCAGAAAAAGCTCTTGTCTGATTCCTCAATGCCTTCGAAAGCTAGAAGTCTGGATTAGCAACAATTGCTTGATCGTTTCGGATCTCTTGGATGGCCCTACCGAAGGGGAGGAGGGGAATCTCCGCATGGCTATTGAAGACATGTTGAAGGTAATGAACCCAGACAGAAGAAAGAGAGGAGAGAAGAGACAAGGCTCTGGTAGTGGCGGTCTCCAAAGGTGGTTTGAGGCAATGCGGAACTTTGTTTGTCGTGATGTCGACGACTCCACGATGAAATGCGTTAGGAATTGAGCCAATCATGCTCTCCGGAGGTCTTGCTGACCAGCTGCTTCTTGCTCTCTGGACCGAGCACATGCCGATGGCCACGTGACCATTCCGGTATCAACCGAGGCGAAAGGGAAGAGCGTTGACCCGTCGTTGATCCACCACTAGGGATGGGTTAATTAATTAATGGCGATATTTTCGTTAATAATAGGATTTAATGGAAATGCCCTGTTATTAATTAATTCATTAACACGTGATCGCTAACCAATCAGAAGCTGTAAGCACAGTATTTGTTAGCACCTTTTCCAGGTAAATTCAGTGCCTTTTCTACGATTAATATCTTTTATATAAAGCTTTAGAATAGACTCAAAATCAAGGAGGTTGATATAATAGCGTTTATATATATAAATTCTAGAGCTTTACAGAAGGCGAAAGGTCTGAACGATTAGTAGGTATGGAGACGAATTCAAGGCTACGTTGAACAATAAGGTATTCTTAAATATCGACGATATAAGACTTATAGAGCAAGATATAATCGACGATAATTAATTAACAAATTGAAAGCCTTTTCCTACTTAAAATCTTACTTTTTTATAGTTCCGTATTATATCAAGGTATATAGAGAGTCATGTGAGTTATTAATGGAAATTGCTGTTATTAATTAATGAAACAGAGGCCATTAATAACGGAATTAATCGTTAACATTCCCCCTTCCCTATCCACCACCTACTTCGCGACGCTGAACTCAACACCGACGACTGTTGGATTCCACCTCATAATCAACCTACCGTCCTTCCCAGTATTATCATGCAGATTTGTTGTATATCACACAGTCATTTATTGACTTTTCAATGCCTCATTGGCAAGCAAGGAGATCAATGTTCAAGCACTCACTGTTCAGGGGCTGGCAAGTCTCTAGCGATGCTCCTTCAACCTTCGCCTCATATAAACCTTGGTTATTATGTCTCTGTTTGATCCTTCACTCCATATCACAATTCGGGTATCCTCTGTATCCCTTCATTTTGGCTTCTTTCTCTATTGGCTACGGCAGATCTTTTGTTGGCGTGATACTATGTTCATGCTCCGTCCATTATAGCGATCCTTCGGCGGGAGTGGCTCCTATCCATATTCCCGCTTGATTGTATGACTGCAGAGGTAGGTGTCCATCAACTATCATCAGATCATCGGGGAATATACGTCTGAAGTCTCAGTGTATCACATGAGGCTTTCCCTCGCGTCTAGTGAGCTGCACTCAGGGACAACGTGCCTTTTTGAGGCTGTTCCGATGCAAATCCTCTGCATTTCTGCACCACTTACGGCCATCTTCATGCTATAGGAAGCACCCGAGTGGTTCAAGTCGTCCTTCCGGCTGAGCTGTGTCAGTTGAGCACAAATACTACTCTATCTCGTGCCTGGTGCCTGCAATGACCCGACGTGACCAGGATGCTCCGGCAAAACGATTGCGCGAGGATGCGCCCCTGCCGCAGAGCCTGAATTGATTTTATATTAATTTCTCCCAAACATTGGCACCCAAGCATAACGGTCACCGGCAGGGTAAACCGATAGTTGTCCATCGTCAATCATCTGGATCTTTCAAGACCAAACGGGTAATTTCTCTTCATCCACTTGTTTGATTAACCCCAGTTTCTGACCCTGAACGGCACTTTGTGCTGTTCCCCGCATTGGAGGCTTATGGTTATCCCTACAGTTGTACTGTTTACTTCCTCCAGTGAGATGCCTAGACATGTCACCCTTTAGTACCTTGTAGACTAGGGCTGGTTTTTATAAAGACGAGATGGTTTCCGCCCTCGGCGATTTTCCTTCTGTGGTTTTCTGTTCAATCATCCTTTGTTCTTTGAGTGTAGTCCACTGTTATGATGAAGATGACAAGATTTTTGGGTGGTTTTCTGGGCGCTGCCCTTTTTGGTAAGACTCTCGGTGGCGAGAGACGCTCCGTGTCTAATTCGGTATAGGTTTCAATGCTGTGCTGGCTCAAGATCTGGTATCGTCTCATGGTGTCTACACAGAGCCAAACACTGGCATCACTTTCTACACCAGTGTCCAAGCCAATGGCGAAGTCGTCGGTGGAGGATGGGGATCCTTGGTCTCTGCTGGAGGCTTCATCTTTGGCATGGCACTTCCAGAGAATGCTTTGACGGTAGATGCGAACGAATACCTCGGCATGATTGTATGCTCACCCTCATGGACCGTATTTCGTTGCTAATGATCGCAGGTTGGATCAACTCCCAATGGTCCAGTTTCAGGATGGTCTTCCGTCCTTCATGGGACGAATGGTTATGGAGCTGCTCCCATGCCCAATCATCTCATGATTGTAGCCTGGCCGACTGGAGATGGTGATACAATTGCCACGTCTTTCCGTTACTCTCCGTGAGTGTTTTCCAGTTTGTTCATTTTACTTACAGCCATCTAATAATCACCTAGTTCCTATCAACTTCCAGTGATGTACAAGGGAAGCGCAAAACTCACGCAGATCTATTCCAAAGTGAATGCCACCAACTGGACTCTCGTATATCGATGCCAAAACTGTTTCGTTTACGACGACCCGTCTCAAACCCCTGCCAACACGTCTACCAGCTCTGGACTGTTTTCACAAGGATGGGCGCAAGCCATGAAGCCTCCGACGAACCCCAAGGATCCCGCATCGGATTTTGCTCAACATGACAACGGAATGGGAATGTATGTCATTGATGTCAAGTCTGCTACTCAAGCATCATACTCGAAGTGGGCCACACAAACGAAAACTGCCACAGCAACAGCTTCAAGCTCAAGCGCGACAACTACTTCTCCGGCCACTTCGATCTCGTCCATCCCTGTGCCTACTTCTGCCACGTATGACTATGTCATTATCGGAGGTGGAGCCGGTGGTATCCCAATGGCTGACAAGCTTTCCGCTGCGGGAAAGTCGGTACTTCTCATTGAAAAGGGAGTTGCATCGTCTGGTAGATGGGGTGGAAGTAAGTTGTTCCATTTGCACTCGCTTACATTTCTAACACTTTTCAAGCTCTCCGACCTGAGGGTCCAACAAACAAGGGAGGCTGGTTGGATGGAACCAATCTTACATGGTTTGATGTCCCAGGAGAGTGCAACAGAATCTGGAATGGTGGATCTCCCGGTGTGGCTTGCACAGATACCGACCAAATGGCAGGATGCATTCTCGGAGGCGGTACTGCAGTCAATGCAGGTCTTTGGTGGAAGCCTAATCCTGCTGATTGGGATGTCAACTTCCCGACTGGATGGCAGTCGCAAGATATTGCAGCAGCAACCCAGCGAGTCTTCGCTCGAATCCCAGGATCAGATCATCCTAGTGTCGATGGCAAGCTCTACCTCCAACAAGGCTTTAACGTCATCACTAGCGGTTTACAGAAATCTGGGTGGGCAAGCGTCACCGCGAATAACGACCCCGGGAAAAAGAATAGGACATATGCTCACCCTCCTTACCAGATCATTCGTGGTGAAAGAGGTGGACCAATGGCCACTTATCTCGTTACTGCAGCAGCTCGACCAAACTTCAAGCTTTGGCTGAATACCAGCGTCGAGAGAATCGTTCGCGAAGGAGGCCATGCAACAGGGCTGAATGTTGTCGCAGCAAACAACGGTGGCTACACCGGTACAGTCAAACTCACACCAATCACCGGTCGTGTTATTGTATCATCAGGTGCCTTTGGATCACCAAAACTTCTGTTCAGAAGTGGAATTGGACCAACCGATCAACTGCAGGTTGTCAAAGCAAGTACTGATGGCCCGACCATGATCAACGAAACTTCTTGGATCAATCTTCCTATCGGATACAACTTGGACGATCACTTCAATACCGATACTGTGATATCTCACCCTAATGTCACATACTACGATTGGCCAGCTGCATGGAACACTCCGATCGAGGAAGACAAAATTGCATATCTGACCAAGCGATCCGGGCCACTTGCTCAGTCCGCGCCTAATCTCGGCCCAGCAATGTGGGAAGAGATCAAGGGTCCTGATGGCATCAACAGACACATGCAATGGACAAGTCGTGTTGAAGGCTCGCGAGGCGTCCCCAACGGCGATACCATGACTTTATCTCTTTATCTTGGACGTGGCAAGGTTGCTAGAGGTCGCACCACCATCGGCAGAAATCTGAACATGGTCGTATCCGAGATCCCATACCAGAATGATGCCGATATCGCCACTGTCGCTATTGCAATTGACAACATGGTGAAGAATCTCAAGGGCGTCCAAAACCTCACCTGGATCTACCCACCACTTAACCAGACTGGCGCAGATTACTTGAAGACTGTATGTTCTCACTATCACATACCATATCAGATTTACTAACAAGTTCAGATCCCACTCAACCTTGGTAATGTCGGCGCCCGCCGCGCAAACCACTGGATGGGAACCTGCAAGATGGGCACAGACAGTGGATTGAAAGGCGGAAGTGCGGTAGTTGACACCAACACGAAGGTTTACGGAACGGACAACATCTTCGTCGTTGACGCAAGTATCTTCCCCGGTATGGTGACCACCAACCCATCTGCTCTCATCGTCACGGCAAGCGAGCACGCGAGTACTAAGATCCTTGCACTTCCGGTGCCCAAGGCGCAGTCCAAGTGGGCGCAGTGCGGTGGTGTTAATTGGGAAGGTAGTCAGGTCTGCGAGATGGGGACGAAGTGCACGTACAGCAATGCGTATTATTCTCAGGTATGTTGATTCTCTATTCTTCTACAACCTTGTCAGAACGCATAGTGAATACAGACTAACACAAAAAACAGTGCCTCTAAGTATCCTGGCCCTTCTTTACAACTCAGTATATATCTTCTTTAATTACATATGGGACGGCTGGAAACGAACGAGATGGCATGAAATGAACTGGGTCTGGAACGCGTGCTGTGATGATGGTTCAATGATATTCTTTGTACATATTTCCAATTCCAACATACTTCATCATCTACAAGAAAGTCACATATTCCCGATCTCCTCTCTATTCATTCCCCACTGCCTTCCACATTACTGCTTGCCTATTCTTCACGCTCATCCACGACCAGATCACCCTTTCCTTCGTATATGCGGAATTCCTCCCTACTGTACGACTCCACTTTCTTTCCTCCATCTCAAATTCCCATCCAGCATACAGCCAGATCTCGTTCTCGTTCCTGACCACAGATTATCCAAAATCCAAACTAAAAATTGAAATACCACCCCAGCAACCAACAAACAACATCCACCCTAGCTCATCCCACTTAGTCATTCCAATCCCAGCTCACCATGCACCCCGCTCTTTCGTGCATGTGGCTAAAATATAGACAACAGTCCCGACGTTGGTACTCCAGCCCCAGATATGAGGCTGAATCACTTCATCTGGTGCTTATTGCTTGTTTATTTTGCTCAGGCTCTTGGCTGACCCAGTTCGTCTCTTCGGTAGTTACGTTTCACCGTTTTTGCTTGATCTTCTCGATTTTCAACTTTTGACAATATGGAGAGGGCCGGCATTATGGATTAATATTGTAGGCGGGATCCATTTTTGTGGGCGAGGTTGGCATGCTATCTCGTATAGTACAGCGATTAAGACAGTGAGTTGGGTATTGCTTGTTCATTTTGCAGAGGCTAATTGTTGGTTTTCAGATCTTCAGTAGTTATGTTTCGCCATTGTTGCTTGACACTTGGCGTCGCTCAAGCATTGAATATGGAGAAATGCCAGTATTTGGCAATGTGGCTTTATATCGTTGGCGAGAGCCATCTTTGTGAACGAGGTTGACATACTGTCTCGTTTAGAGCAGCGAGTAAGAATGTGAACTGGGTATTCTTGTAATGCAGGTACTAAGGATATCTTTACGAATGTAACAGACCTATATTCTATCCAGACTCACCCATATCCTCCACATTCTCTAGGCTCATCTCATCCCAGAACTCTCATCCCCTCTCCACGCCTGGCACCGAATGCATGCATGCAGATTAGACTGCATACTCGACGCACCCCAGATTTCGGCTGCAGTGGAGATTTCTAAACCCCCCTTCCTGCATCGCTTCCCCACAGCCGCCACTTCAGAATATCCGCGGCAGGTCTGTCTGGATGCAAAGCCCACCATACAGACGCACAGTCGATCCCACATAGCTAATTGCCGCCTCATTTCCCTGATCGAGGAAATGATTCACCCCTCTAGCAGTACAGCCCCACACGCCACAATATGATAGTATCATCGCTCTGGAAATTCTCGCAGCCCCTTTCCGGGGCCTCGCTTATGGCAGATCTGCGAGGCTAAATATGTAAACAACCCACCCAAGCCTAGCCGAGCCGAGTGGAGGAGGGACTTCCTTTACCGTACATATCCTAACCATCAACGGAGATCATAGTTTGAAGTGTTATCGCTAGAATTTTCGCCATTCGCATTCGCATCAAATCTTGCGGAGTTATGCAGTTAGCAAAGCCTCTCACGATTGGCTCGTATTGAAAGGCAGACTGAAGATTTGAACGTGATTGCTCAGTAGCGACAAAAAGCAAAAATGACGACTCTTTGTACTGGCATGTAGCAGCCTGACCCCGAAGATCCAGATACAGAATATGCCACCTATTCTGCTTTCTCTAGATCGCCGAGAAAGTAATACGGAACTGTCATCCTGTAGAATCTTTCCAGTTTCGTCACTGCGTTATGACCTAGAAGCTCCGCTCTCACATGCAAAATCCCCAAACTTTGCTCAAGTGCAAGGTTGTAATTTCTCAATGAGCATGCTGCAACTAGTGCAAACTCAGCACACAGCCAGATTTGCGAGCATTATGACAGCATAACTTCGGAAAGAACAGCACAAAAAGTGCAGCAAACTTCAGCAGCTCATCAGCAGAACGTGAAGTACAGCACTGCAACACCCACTCCGTCATAGGCTCGTATTTGGTTTTCGGCTATTCACTCACCACTCACTCTCTCTCTCTCTCTCTCTCTCACACACACACACACACACACACACTCACTCACTCACTCACTCAAATCCAGAACCCAAGAATCTTCATTCCTTTCTCTATCATCTTTGATTCCCCCTTCCCCATGTTTTCACCTTGCTCTCACCAACCGCCCTCGACGAATACAGTGCGTTCTTTATACTATGCCCTTGAATGCGTCTCTCCATGAATTGACCCCTACCATACGCCAGCTCTGTTCCATCCGTGATGTCACAGGAGTATCCATCAGAGTGCTACACCAACGCAAAATCATTTACGAGGAAGACTTCGGCTTCCGAGATGTTGAGGAGCGGCTCTAGCCAGATTCTGACACCACCTACTACTACTTAGGTATCATGAGCAGGGGATTTGTCGCCGCCACAATGGGCATGTTGGTAGAGTGTGGGAAACTCAAGTGTGATAAACCTGCGAAGGAGCTTTGGGATGACTTTCATGTCAAAGATCCCACTATCACAAAGCACACCACCATGATCGATCTGCTGGGCCATCGGTCAGGTTTGGAACGTGTTGGTGGTCTTTGGTTCCAGTCCGACCAACTTCCACTGCTGACCAGAAAGGATTCACTCTTGACAATTAATGGGCCAGCTCCGCGCAGCCGTCCTTTCCGAGGAGGGTTTCGGCTACAACGATTGGGGCTACGAGATTGCAGACCGGATCCTGGAGACTTTGGAAGGAGCTTGCTTCCTCCAGCAACTTCGAATTTCTCAAGAGCCGCTCGCTTGAGCCATTGGGCATGTCGCGCACATTTGACGACGACGCGTACTGCCACGGCGTTGACAATATCTCCAAGTAATATATATACACGCTGTTCTCGATGTACGGGACACCTTATGAAGTACCTCGACCTAAGATCATGGATGGATGACACAACAGAACAACGAACACAGCGGGCGGGATTCAAAGCAATGTCAAAGACCTATTGGGGTGCTCATGAGCTCTGCAGATCATCAGATTACTCCTCGCAGTACCCAAACCCGGGGGACTCTCCCTGGCTTTGAAGCAACTACCCACGATTCTCAGCGGCTATACATGCACAGCAAAGAATAAGTGCAAGAGAGCAGTCATACGTCCTTGGCTAGGTAAGGGTACATACAAAGATACATACACCCATCCCTTAAAACCCCACCATTTATAGCCAATTTACAAATAACACTCTCAGAATCCGGACGAAAAAACAAAAGAAATTATAATCCAGGTCAAATCTTTTTCTTTTGTTTAAATCATTCAATCATTTCAATCATTGCTCGATATCTCAATAGTCTGGTCTATATCTCATTTCATTTCTCATTTCCTCTTCATTTATTTTGTTTTCTCTTCATCTCTCTCTATCTTCTCATGTTCTCGCAGTCAAGCTCTCCCTCGCCAATGAACTGTCTCATGTGCAAGATCTCGATTCGCAACGCAGCGCTCGCTGAAGAAACGACCATGTCTTCATAACCTCCACCTCAAAGTGATTCTACCAGAAGCAGAACCGAACCCAACCCGGTCCATATACGGATCCAATACAAATCTCATATACAAGTCCTCTCCACTCCCATCCCATCCTATCAATCCCCCTCCCCTACCCCTCCCCCTCCCCCTCCCCCTCCCCCTCACCACCTACTCAGCAAGCACCATTCTCAACATACTCAAAAAGCTCTCCTTCAAATTATCCACCTCCACGACCTCCGGCTTAACCGGCTCCCCCGCCGTCCTCCTCAAATGATCCTGCTTCCTCGCTCTCCTCTTCCTCTCCGCCGCAATCGGATCCAGCTCATCGTCGTCCTCCTCCTCATCACTACTATCCTCCTCATCCTCCGCGTACGTCATCTCCTGGAGATCCATCTGATCGAGCCCGAAATCCGCACTATTGAACGCGATGCCACCAGGGACGGTCTCGACGCCAGTGGGGGCCCCGCCCTCAGCAGCCATCTTCTGGCGCGTCTTGTCAGAGTGCCACTTCTTGCGGGCTTCCTGCCAGGCGATGAGGGAGTCGATCTCGGCGATGGCTTTGGCTTTGTCGAGTTGGCCGACGGAGACGGCGCCTGCGAAGAGGGCGTTGATGTCGAGCTTGCCGGCTTTCGGGCCCTGGCGGAGGAATTCGAGGATGCCTTCTATCCAGCCCATGAGTTGGGTGAAGAGACCGTTATCGTGGGTGTGGACTTCGTGGACGAATTTGTAGAAGTTGTGTTCGTGGCGTTGGCAGAGGTCGATGAAGGCTTGGACGGTTTGGTTGGGGTCAGCGGAGACGTCTTGTTCGCGGCACCTGTCGACGACCTGTTTCCACGTACGTTAGCTAAATACACTCAAAGAGGAAGGAATACCCACGGTAATCATATCGTCAATAAAGACTGCAAAGTCCGTGACACTGTTGTACACGTTCGCGGACTTGTAAACACGGACGAGAGGCTCATAGAAGATAGTGAAGAGATCTCTAAGAAGCTGTAACGTGACGGGCTCTTCAATCATGCTCAACATCATAGCCTTATCACGCTGTCTCGTGTACAGCTTCAACAGCTGCTTCATGTACGAGAAAAGCTGGGCTCCTTGCTTCATTTCCTCGTCGACATTTTCAACAGCACTATTCCATGCCACGTATGCGTTGAAAACCTTGCCAATTTGCTTCGAGTTCAACGGTGGTTCGATGTCCTCTGAGCGAAGGATAGCTACGATGAGATCCACCGAATCAAGCTCTGACTCGGTTCTGATCACGTTCTTGACATTCTCTGGTGCATCCGAGAACTTCTTCAACTTGTCGCACAGGACATCGTCATCAATTTTGCTGATAAGAGAGTCGATAGATTTTTGGAAACTCTTGATTCCATCGTTGAGAGTGAAAGCAAAGATTCGCTGCATCAATGATCTAGCTCCGAAAGGTTGAGCAAGGAAGATATCGAGAATACTGGACATGACGGCCGCGGGGTTAGCTATCCGAATAGCGTTCTTGATCATGGTATACGGAATCATGGAATGAATCTTCTTCATCTGGGCAAACAATTCTGGCGAATTGTCCTCAGCAAGGAAGAGATGGTAAATCGTAGCTGCAACTTCGATCCGCAACCACTCAGCAAACTTCTGGTATTGAATGCTCAAATCCTGGATCGTTGTTTTCTCCTTGATTTCCTTGAAGAGTTTGGTAAGACCATTGCTTTCAACGATATCCCGACGGAACCTGCACTGTTAGCCAATTTTCTCAAACCTGCTTACCAAACTTACTGTTCCATATAAACATCCAAATCAGCCGCTCTCTTCCTAGCAATCTCATAAAACTGCTTCTGCTCCTCAACTCTCTTCTCATCCATAGCCTTCCGTCTTGCAATATCCTCAACATCTGCATCGGTTGGAGTCATTGGTTCGAAGGTCAGGAAATCCTGGATAGCTCTGGTAGAGGCGATTTGTGGGTTGGAAAGTAGAGTGCGGAGAAAAGCTCTCAGAGAGATACGCTGGTTCTCGCGCCATAACACGACAGACTGTGGATTTGTAAGCTTTTTAGATCTTGATTTAAATGGTTTTATATGGCTGCGTACATCATCTGGTGCTGGAGTTAGAGGTCTGCTGTCCATAGAGGTACGGGGTGAGCTTCTCCCGAACGAGGCAGAAGAAGGACTTCGGCGGTGGTCTATGAAATTAGCCCATTCTTGAGGATGAGGAATTGGACATACCTTTTACTGAAAGTGTGTTCATGGAGGAAGCGACTTGTGGTACAGTTCCCATAGTTGAGACTGACGATATTGACGAAGCATCATCATCATCTCCTCTTCCCGTAATCCCACTCAACAGATTCGAAGCGGTCGAACTCTGCTTATTCTTCTTCGGCATAGGAGGAAGGATCTTGCCTGGCAATTCGGTGCGTAACCTCTTGTGTAGCCTAGAAAAATCGCCATATCGCCGTCCAATGAAGAATTCCAGCTCATTCTTCCTCTTGACTCTCAAGATGAATTCCTATCACATATCAGCATTTTTCCTACGTGGTTTCTGCGCAAAACATACCGCATGCTTATGGTAACGGATATTCCGTTTCACAGAGGTCGTTCGCACACCAGCAACATTCACATCCCAGCCATTGGTATAATGTCCCTCTGGCAAACTTTGTAGAACACCATGATCTATAGCCCCAGCATCCACAACCTCAAGTTCTGAGAAGCGAATCCGTTCTTCATATCCAGAGGCTGTGGGAATGCCAGAGACCATCATCAGCTCAACCAGTTTCTGGCATTTGATAGATAACTTCCTGCGCTTTGTCTCCTCCAGTCGATCTTCCGAAGACGAAATATGCTTATTGGCGAATGATTGAAGGAACTGTTAGAGATCCGTCAGCAATAACTCCACACAATCCAAGTCTCAATCCCATCTCCTCTTCTCCAACCCTTCCCAATCCCACACTCCTCCAGGTACAACAGGAAAGACTCACCACCTGCAATTTATCCTGCCAAAACTCCTTCTCCTTCGCCTTATCCAGGAACGGAAACTCGCGAACATGATGCACAAAGATATATCTCAGAATCGGCAGCTCTGAGTCCAGCGGGGATACTTCCCCGAAATCTGATTTGAAAGGTGCGCCGAAACGTTGGAGGGCAGTCGGGGAATTGAGTTCGGTGATTTCGTATTTGACTTGTTGGGAGATGAGCTCGCGTTTGAGGTCTGTGGAGGATGTTAGTTGGTGGGTATTGAGGTGACGATGGTCTGTAGAAGATTGCTTGCTTGTTGAGGAGGCAGAAGGAGGAGGTCTTACAATGCTCTTGTTTTCCTGTCAGTGCCTGTCCATTTGTAGGTTTGGCTGCTGTCGATGCTCCTGCTCCTCCTGTTGGAGGTATAGCACTGCCATTCTGCGCCATATTGTCTGCTTCGTCTCTGCTGCGACCTCACTATCTGCTGTCTTCCGTGTCTATGGTCGACCTCAACCTTCTCTAGCTTGCCTCGATGTCTGGGGAAATTTGAACAGAGGTGCAGAAGCCAAATGTCGTCTCGAGAGGATGCTGATGCTCGCAGTGATGGGAAACAGTGGCTTGCAGCTTTTGCTTGGAGGCTGACCAACCGTTCACGAGTCGTATCACGCTGTTGTAGCGGGGTATTTCGTCGAGGGGTCGAAATGCAGCAGCGCAGTCCCTACTCTGTGTCCATGCAAGGATGACGGGCCAGCTTCCGCGATTAGCTGCTTGCTCCTCTAGGTAGGAATTGCGCAGTGATTTTGTTGATGCGTAGTATGGGCGAGCGACAGGATGATAGGACAGAGTAGAAGAGAGAATGTAGTAAATTTTGTTTAATTGAGGGAAAGGCAAGAGATAATGTACTGAAGGCGAGGCAAGAAAGACTGACTGCCCATGCCCATGCCCAGCTGCCCCAGGCCAGGCCCTGACACTGAGACGTAATTGTGCTGCTGCTGCTGATGATGGGAGGCAGGGATGCGCAGTCTAGTGCTGGGGGGCTTGGCCACTCGACTGTCCGTCGTCATCGAGAGCGCTGGAGGGGTGAAGGGGTGTGTTGACTGAGTGATGCCGAGACTTTCCCTTTGCTTGGAAAGTTGAATAAGACTTGGGTTTCAAAAATAGAGACCGCTATAATATTTCCAAAGCCTTGGATTATTTTCTTTTCTTCATCAATATATTATTATATTCATTATTTTCTGTTACTTATGCATAATAATCGTTGAGCCACACCAGTCATGCGAGACTCTCTCAAGCGAGTTGCGAACTTTTGAGACATACGCGACAGTAACCAACCGCAGCTGATCTATCTCCACTATCTATGAACCTGATCTCCCTGATCTAAGCTCAGCAGATCTACTTTACCAGGAACCTTATGTCCGTCTCCGTTTCGGTCTCTGCCAGTACAATTAACAACGAATAAAATTGAGATCCTGTAAAACATTCATGTGTAGTAACTCGTCCGGAGGGGGCAAACATTGAGCCATCCACGAATTGTCACCTCATGCTCAATACTTCCCCAGTTAATAGATCCAAGACACAGCCATTCATCTACAATACCTTAACCACACCGAAACCCAGCCACACTCTTCATACCCCAGAAACCACAAGTCAACACACAAGACAAAACCCAAGACCCATCCATCCATCCAGACCTCCCTCGCAAATCCGGCATCTACACGGCACCACGGCAAAGCGGCCTGCCAAGTCATCACGCACTACGACTAAGAGTCTACACCCAAGACACCCACGCCTTCCGCATCTTTTCCCAGCCCAAGCCAATGCCCAGTCTCTTAACTCCTACTCCTACTTACTACTTACAAGGTCTACAGGGAGAGGCCAGCTGAGTTAATCAATATTTTTAATGGAAGGCGAAAAGTCCACGTTGCTGGTCTGCTCTGCATACCTACTAAGTAGCAGCAGCCAGGGAAGGATGTCCTGTGAGGGTGCCGAGTCCCGGGTGTTTTTGTTCCTATGGTAGGTATTTAGTGGAGTCACTGGAGTGGAAGAGATCCACTTGGTTCAGCCTTGCTGGGCGAGGCATGGCATGGCGAGGCATGGCATGGCATGGATGGGAGGATATTTGGGGCAATGGAAGCGAAACTTAGTAGAATGGGAATGACAATGAGAATGGGGATACTTCGGTAGGTTTGGAAGTAGTCTACCTCCGTACTGTATTCTACTGCGGTTCATATGTCCCAAGTCTTGATACGGTATTTCTAAGTACAGCCACATCCACATCACCCTTTAGCAAGTTCTATTCCTCTATGGAAATAGACAATTCCCAAGGCAACATATTCATATCCTACAAAACCCCTTACAACTCATCAAAAACCCTCAACCTAGGATCCTCCTCTCCCAATCTTTCCCCCTCCCCCTCCCTCAACTTCTCCCAAATCCTCTCCCCCATCCCCTTCCTCGCCAAACTCCAATCCTCACTCCCCTCCCTCACCCCCTCCATATCAGGAATAACACCCAACAAACCCGTAGCATTCAACCCCTTCACACCCTCCCCCTTCCCATCCTCCAAACCCACATTCCCCATCCCCCTCATCTCCCTAGCAGGCGTATACTGCACCGCCATAACAACCACCACAATCCCCACCACAACACTCATCCCCACCCACAGGACCCTCAACCTCCTCCTCGTCTTCTCCTGCCACTCCCCCTCCGCAACCTCCCACCCCTCAACCCTCTCCCTCACAACCTCGACCCTCGCACCCAACTCCTTGATCCTGGACCTCCCACTCGCGACTCGGTCCTGCAGGGCTTTGATCCTGTCTTCCTGGTCTGTGAAGCCGTCGAAGCCGTCGAGCTGGCCGGTCACGTCGTCGACTACGTCTTGGGATTCCGAGGAGAATTGCTCGGTGAGGCCGCGGGTGAGGTGCGCGAGTTCTTTGAGGGAGGTGATGGTGTTTTGGAGGGTGGAGAGCTTTTCGAGGACCGAGTAGTAGGTTGTGTCGAGGCGGCGGGTGGTGGTGTTGGAGTGGGTGTTGAGGGTGTTGAGGGCGTTTCGGAGTTCTCTGTAGCTACCTGTTAGCATATATACCAAATATAGCTATATCATAGCATCTCTGTCGAACCTCCCAAGCTATTCTATACTTGACAGAGATCTCAATGAATGGGCAGAAAGAAAAGAATAACGAACGTAGCTCTCAGAACCCCCCTCTCCCTCTCCTCCTTCACTTCCCCTTCCCTAACAACTCTCTCTCTCCTCCCAATCCCACCGCCCCCTCCTATCCCACTTCCTCCAGCCGCCCCATCCCCATCCCATAGACTTTCCCTCCTACTCGCAACCCGGCTCTCACTCGGCGTATGTCCTTCACTCCTACTCCCACCAATTCCAAGTCCAAACCCCCCAACGCCATCTCCCTCGCCACTCCGCTCCCGCTCCCTTTCCCTTTTCTCCTCTCTATGTCGATGCGTATGTATATGCGGATGATGATGTTTGTTATGTCCGTGACCTGATGAATGAGGTATCCGCGGCAGGGAAGGAGGTGCGTTGATCTCTGTTATGGAGCGGGTGGTTAGGTGTTTGGGGCGGGTTGGGGAGGTGGGTGGGAGGGGCATGGAGTTTGTTTTTATGGGTTCGAGGGGGGCGGACATAGTGGTGGATTTGGAGAAGGGAGGGAGATGGTAGTGATTTGTTTGTTGGGTTGTGAGGTTGTATTGTACAAGGTGTGGGTTTGGAGTTGGGGAAGGCTGAGAGCTTGGAATGAATGGATGACGGGCCGAGGTTCATGCGAGATAGATAAAGATACCATAGATTGCACAGGTGTGAAAGATTAGGAAACTGTAGTATGATTAAGATATAACAAAAGATCCTTTTCATAGAGATTTGGAAGGGTTTTAGCTTTAGTGCATTTCTTTATGGATTTGAAGCCTTGTCCGTGAGCTTCGGCCTGCGATGCAAGGCTGGAATCTCGACTTCATGGAGTCCGACTCCAACCATGCTATATTCTTGTAGCTATAGCTCTTCCGCCATGATCTGGACAGCACGAATCCGAGGATACGCATGCAGCATAGTAGTTTAAAGCCCAAATAAGCTTGATTTGTAAAATCTCTCATTCCTCCTCCAACTCCAAACACCTTATGAATCTTTGCCAACCAAAAACGCCGTCCATGCCGCGCAACAGCAAGTCAAATATGCCTCATAATACCCCTCCACCCCTCAAGATTTCAACATCTTATTCCTCTTCTCCTTTCTCTTCAGTCTCTCTACTCTCTTTCGGTGCATAGTCTCAGCCAACTTCTCGAATCTGGCTTTCTCCTCTTTCTTCGCCCGCTTGTCCTTGATAGCTTGGATCTTGACCTGCAGGGCACATGAATCAGCTCCAATCTCCTCCCAATCTCCTCTCCATTCAATAACCCGAGAAGGGGATCGAAGGGAGGGTAAGTCTGAACGCACCTGTCTAGCAGCCTCCTTCTCATCCTTCATCTCCTTCTCCTTCGCCTTCACCGCTGCCATAGCCACACGCTCTGCCTGTCTCTTCTCGTATGTGCCATTTCCTGCTTTGGGACGGAATGCGGTTTTCGGTACGTGCCATTGCTTGCCTACACACCAAGAGTATCAGCATATCATCCTTCTGATCTCTCTCCCTCTACCCTCTACCAACAACTGCCAACCAGCCCTTCCACCTCGACTCATAAAGAACAGCTCCAACATACCATTCTTTCGCATACCCTGCGGCGCAGCAGCACCAACAGACTCAACAGGAACTTCAATCTCAGTAGACATATCTGCGGATTTGAGCGTGACCGGAGCTGTCAATGCAAATGCAGATATCGGAATCGAAAATTCAGGTGATTTGGGATTGGTCGCAAAAAAATCAAGTGGAGATATGATGGCGGGACACAAATACCAAGACTTCTTATCTGATCGACCGGAAGAGAAAAAGTAAAATTTTCTGTGGGCCGTGAAGAAAAATGGGAAGATCTGATAACGTTATTCCCTGTACGCACGCTACGGCGACGGATGGCTAAAAATACCCCTCTCTCGAGGTCGACTGAGGACTTTGGGAGGTTATGAATTACTTTACAAGTTGGGCTCCAAGCAGAAGAGAGTGACTGCATGGGCACGCCGCATTTATTTTCCGAAATTTATAAGATATTGATGTTGTTATTTGCATCTGAAAGTGTTGTATTTTCAAAGGTCTAGCCTCGCTTGTGGCAACCCAGCCCGACCCGCAAGCCCCGCGCTGATGCAAGCGTTCAGTCCACGGTGAGTGGTTTTTTGCAAGAAAAGAGACATTTACTACGAACCAACCCAGCTCAACTCCCGGATCCTCAAGCCCCCATCAACTTGCGACAGATCCTCCTCCGTCTCCATTCCACTGCGCGTATCTGCGGGGTCGTTCGTACATAAGAGAACACCCTCCCAACTCTTGACCGCCCCTCGAAATGCTCCCCCGATAACAGCAGCTTCGCCCTATCGATAAGTGACGACAACGCATTCGCTCATTCCGACTCGAAGCTTTTCCCCCTACACTGCACAAGAACCTAACTGCAGATTGTCATTCTCTTCTCCTTCCGATGGGAGCATAGCAACAGCAAGAAGAGCTCGCATTGCCTTCTTGCTCGTTCTTTCACATATCCAACGTCGCAGGGGGTCCATTCCCATTTGAAGCTCACACCAACCAACATTGTAACACACGGCCAAAGCACACGACGGCATTGCCCATATCTACCAACACATATACACTGTTGGAGTGGCAAAGGATACGGCGGGAGTGAATAAATAAGGAAACTTTAATTGTGCTCTTGGAAAAGGCGTTACAAAAAGTAACGGTCCTCCTCATTGACCCCGCCACCGATCACGGAAGCTCCACCACGAAACGGGAATACAGCCTAAGAATAAGATGGCAGCCACAGCTACACCAGAGTTCAGCTCCTCCGAGTCCTCCCCAGCATTCTCCGTCAAGGGGAAAGAAGCTCTCATGGACGCCGTAGAGGACATTGTATTTGGTTCTGTTTGTCTCCCATCCCATTCCCTCACATCAACACACTTACTAACCACCCCCACCAGATCGCCGGCGTAGCAGGGAAATACATCGAATACCCCTTCGACACAGTCAAAGTGCGGCTCCAATCCCAGCCCGACCACCTCCCCCTCCGCTACACCGGCCCCCTCGACTGCTTCAAGCAATCCCTCCGCGCCGACGGCTTCCTGGGCCTCTACCGCGGCATATCCGCGCCGCTCGTCGGCGCCGCCCTCGAAACCTCCTCCCTCTTCTTCTGGGAGCGCGTCGCCCGCGAAGCATTCTTTAAGACCGGCCTCTACCAGCGCGAGACACCCCTCCCCCTCTCAGCACTCTGGCTCACGGGCGCCATCTCAGGCGCTTTCACAAGTCTCGTGCTCACTCCCGTCGAGCTCGTGAAATGCAAGATTCAGGTCCCGGCGAAAGCAAGCACAGATGGGATGGTACATCGTGCTCCTACGCCATTGGCAGTCATCCGCGAAGTGTTCAGACATCAAGGTCTCCGTGGCTTCTGGAACGGTCAGCTAGGAACGCTGATCCGCGAGACTGGTGGCTGCGCAGCTTGGTTCGGGAGTAAAGAGACCGTCACTCTCCTCTTCCGCCATCTCAATTCCAAAAACACACTGCTGTCCTCTCCCCCATTAACACCCAAACGCCAAAACCTCTCCACCACCTCCTCCGAAGGTCTCGCTCCCCTCCCCCTTTGGCAACAAGCGCTCGCCGGGGCATCAGCAGGAATGTCCTACAACTTCCTCTTCTTCCCAGCCGACACGATCAAGTCACGGATGCAGACTGTCTCGGTATCGAGCACGGCGCCGGCAGTCAAGTTCTGGGATGAGGGCCTGGCGATTTGGAGACAGTATGGGTTGAAGGGGTTGTACAGAGGGTGTGGGATTACGGTTGCGAGGAGCGCGCCGAGTAGTGCGTTTATCTTTATTATTTTCGATGCGTTGAAAGGGAGGTTTCACATGTCGTGACCTCACATCAAGCTTGGATATGGAGGATGGATTATGAATCATGGACATTGGACGTTGCATTTTGGATATATGGCGGGCATTTTATGTTTTGAGACTTTGCATTTAGCGAGCGAGTGAGACATAGACGGGTTGTTTCGTAGGCTTGTGATCTGATGGATTTTGCCTATGACCTTGACATAGAGCAAGGGTATTTGAAAAGTAGATACAAGGCGATGGTTGGCGTTCATAGAGGATATTCAAATGCACATATATTTCCTTCCATTCTGAAATTTATCCAGGAGGAGATACAACAAGAAAGGAGCTGGAACCAGCGAATGAGCAGAGATCAAAAATAAAAGCAAGAGAATCAGCGAGTTAAGATAAGTATATAGATGAACTAGAGACACATAGGCGCAATCTCAATGATTTTTAGATATTCAAACATAAGCCATCACATACATTGAGAATGTGTTTCAGTACCTCCTTACTATTTACATCACATTCCACTTTTCTTTCTTTCTCTTCTAGCTACTCATCCCCCCCCCCCCCCCCCCTCACCTCCAACTCCTCCTCCAAAAACTTCATCCTACCGCAACACCTCCTCCACTCCCCTATGTGTGCGTCGTACCTCATATCAGATCGAACATCCCCTCCAAGCAAAATACTCACTCTCTCACATATATTCATTTCTCCCGTGCTGCCGCGCTGTTATATACCTATACCTATGCCTATACCTTAAGTTCCTGCAAGTTACCATAGCTCCGTAGCGTGTTCCATACAGCTCTCCAACCTGATCGATTTCACTTCTTTGCGTAATGTGATTACAGCTCTCTTTACTTTACATCTCCTACCTACCTCCTAATAAAGTAAAGTGTAATCTAACTTTATGAAACATACCGGAATCTAGAATCTAAAGAAGTGCCAACGCCTAACGACATCATATTTCTCTTACGGAAGGAAGTCTTCGGTGGGATTTATGGTTCACCTTCTGTTTACCTACCCTTTCCTGCTTCTTATTCTTTATATTGTTATTCATACTCCATGCCCTCTCCCTGTCCCCTCTCCCCTTATACTCCCTACTCCCCTCTCCCATCTCCCCTCCCCCAAAAAGCCCCCAAATCCTCCAACTCATCAATCATCTCGTAGCATACCACACCACACCATAACACACTATACACAATTCAAATATAACCTCCAGACCTCCAGCAACACACCAACCAATCCCATAGCTCCCTATCAACCACCTTGTTGGTTTATCTATCCCAGGGCTGTGAAGGAGTAAGTTAGTTTGTTTATTTACATCTACCAGGGATTAAGCGAGTCAAGACATCCCCACCCCACTCCACCTCCCACCGCTCGCCTTCACAACAAGCAGTCAGAAAAAGTAGACGGATAGACGCAACACAGTTCGCAAATCAAGTTATCACAATAAACGGGTCTGATACCAGTGGGCCAAGTCAAGTCAAGTCAAGTCATCAGCAATCTCATCCATATTGCAATGCTATGTATGGTACAAGTTTCAAGGAAAAGATAGCCAGTCATCAGCGACCGACAGACAGACAAACCCAAATGATCTTCTCAATGCTAGAGAGCGTTCCATTGCAATGTGCACCAACGCCATATGACTTTTCGGAAATCTCATTCCGCATCCCACATCATCGCGCACCAGATCCATCCATAGCACCATGTCCCATTCTCAGTAATTCAACTCCCCAGATCCACCACCAGCAACGGCATCAAGATCCTCATATGACTTGAGACTTCTGCCTTGAACTGCCTCCCGAGGTCCAACGGCGGCACCTCCAGCGGCTCCATCTCCCCATCTTCCTCCACCAGTCATACCGCCACGACGAGCGCCAGGGGGCGGACTGAGTCTACCGTTGTTATCGCGCGGATCTCTAGGACGACGATCATAAGGTCCAGTGCGAGCATTGGCCTGGTATGGACGACCGCCGCGTCGAATAGGTCCACCTCCGCGATTATCTCCAGCGCCATTCCAGTTTCCGGCTGGCAGATTTGTAGGGAAGAAGGGTGAGAAGCCTGGCTGGCCAAATCCTGGCATTGGTGGCATGCCACCAGCGATTCCGAAGTTCTGGAGATTGAAACCCCGAGGGGTACCTGCTGGCATGTGGCCATTGGCAGGAGGGAAATGACCGTTACTGTTGGCATCTGATCTTGAAGGCGCAATGTGAGCTGGATCGCTCACATACGTGTTGACGAGATCAAACTAGACATGATTAGTTGTGCTCCATTTCCATATCAGTCTGAACTTACGTCTTTTCTCAATCCCTCGAGCCATTCCGGATGACGTTTATCAACGTGCTTCTTCCAGAAGTGTTCTTCCTTGAACAGCTTGGTGCATTCCGGAACTCGACATCTGAACTTATGCTCGTCCTCCTGCTTCACAAACTTCGTGACTTCATCCTTCAAAGCTTCATCGGTTGGCTTTCCGCCCAACTTGCGTACGTCAATCGACTCAGGTTCCAGAATCTGCATAAGCTTCTCTTCGAAAGTCTTAACCCAGTTGAAAGCACGCTGCAACTGTTGTTCTGCCTTGGAAGCAGCATTGTTTCGGTTGAACTTTCGATCCTCGGTGGGAGAGTTCGGATTGTCTAGATCCTCATTCATGTCCGTGCCAGTCCGCTTCTTCAATTGAAATGGTTCACCCAATGCACTAGCTCTGGCAGCAGCCTTTCCAGCAGTGCTCAGCGTGTTGCGCGGTCGTCTAAGATGGCCGCCTGGGCATTTCCGAGTCAATTCGTGAATTGAGTCGCTCTCGAATACGCAGAAGAAGCAGAAGTTGAAAACACGGCGAAGATACTCAACCATGAGGTCGAGTTGCTTCTTCTTGACCAACAGATCCTCGTCATCAACCTCATCGTCAAATTCACCTTCTTCATCCTCTTCCTCTTCTTCCTCGCCCTCCTCACCTTCATCCATAGCTTCATCGAGACCAATATTGTCTCGAGATTTCTTGGACTTCTTGACTATTGGAGCAGTTACTGGTGGCAAGAGGCGTCCTTGGTTCTTCAGATCTTCAACACGTTCCTCAATCTTCAGAACTGCATTGAAATCAGATCCGAAGTCTTCCTCGTACTTTTGAACCAATCTCTGAGCGAGCTCGAGGTCCTTTTCGATGCGTTCAGGAGCTGAGAAAAGATCCCAGAGTGCCTTCTTTCGTGGCATGCTGGGCGGAACGTGTACACCGACATGACACGTGAAGTCACCTCGGACCTCGTCCTTGACAGTCTTGCCATTGATAGCCTCAAGAGCCTTCTCAGCAGTTGATTGCGGAACTACAGGGATCTGAATATCTCCATCTGCATCTTCGTCCTTGGGATCAGGTCGATCGACAATTGGTGCTGTTTCAGGTGCTGGGTGAAGCATGACCCAACCAATTCGGTGATACCGCTTGCTTGGATTAGGATCACTCAAACTCAACCACTTGAAGCCTCCTTCATCTTCTCCTAGATGCTCCTTGCAGAAGTTTTCCAAATGTTGACGGCTGACATTGGGAGCGAGTGTCTTGATCAGAAGAGTTGGCTGGAAAGCGTTCTCGTCTCTGATATCACTTCCACGAGAGGGGACAAGATCACCAACACCAAGAACCTCGTTGGCTGCTGTTGTCTCTCCCTCCTCCTTCTCAACTACTCCTCCAGCACCGTTGCTCTCGCTCTTAGGAATTCCTTCCAATGAGTACTCGTCGAAGGTACCTGATTCGAGGTCCTGCTCCCACTGACTGTAGTTGCCACGTCGAAACTCATTGAGCTGTGTTCGTAGACCGTCCCGAACCTCGGGATAATATCGCTCCTGGAACCATTGCTCGTTCTTGTGTTCTGCAACGAATTGTCTTGCCATCTTCGCCTGAAGCTCTTCCTTGTATGCATCATATGCAACTTGAATTCGAGCTTTCTCCTTCTCACGATCTTCCTGACTATCGCGTGGGCGTAACGGATCCGCACGTTTGCCAGTTCTTGCACGTTCCTTCTCCTCCTTGATCTTTTCATTCGTACGCCACCATTCTCCAAAGTATGAAAACCCAACTTGAAATGCGAGCGACGCAGGATCAGCTAACGGATTGATGGTGATCGGTGGAGGTCCCGAATCTTGACCAGGAATATAGCGATCGATGTTCACAGGAGCTGGAGAAATCCGACGGCCATCACGATCTCGATCACGTCTACCATAATCCTCTCGACCTCTGTTTGAGGGCTCATATCGATCAACTGCAACTGGCGAACGACTTCGGTCTCGCGGTCGGCGGCCTCGATCAACACCTGAAAAACAAACATTGTAAGTATATGCTTCATTTGAGCCATTTTTGGCAAAGTCTCCGAGTTAATGAATGGAGGATTCGACAGCGCAATGCGAATAACCGTTGCGTGCGCTCCAGCAGCATGTAACGAATTACAATGATCAATGTATGACAGGAGTACAAATCTCGAGAATTGACATACCAGGAGATCTGCCACGATAGAAAGTATCCGTACGAGAAGTATCCGTCCGATCACTCGCTCTGTAATTATCATCACGACCACCAGCCCAAGGCGTACGCTCTGTAGGAGATCGTGCCGACTGCGGCTCTCTGTAACTCTGATATGAATCCATCGTCTCGTTTGTTCGATTCTGAGGGAGGAAGTTGGCTTGGTATCGAGTTGGTGGGACAGCAGGGGTTCTTCTAGGCGGCTCGTAAAGGCGTCGCGTTTGCTGATTGTCAAGTGACACCTGGAGCTTGTCGGGAGGAGGAGGGTGCGACCACGAAGCTGAAGCTGCTGCTGTTTGATGCCATGATTGCTGTCAGAGGAGTGTTCAAAAAAGTATAAGAGGCTTGGGGTGGGGGCGTGCGTGCGTGAGTTTCTGAGGGGGTAATAGTAGAATAGAATGAAGTAGGACAACGGAGACAAGAATGAGGTAGAAAGGAGGGATTCGGCGCCTATTGATGGCGGACGGACGACGACACTGTCTGATCGAAACGAGCTGATCTCTTGTAATAGTATAGATGAAGTATAGAGTAGAAGTGCAAGGTGGGTAAATAACGACGGGCTTTGTGCAGTTGAAGGTACGAGGATGCGCAGCGGATGGGGTATTGTATTGTAAAAAGAAGGATGGACGAACAGGATTGAGTAAGTGCTCGCTCTTGGTGAGAAGAGCGATCCGCACCCAAAGCAGAGCTGAAGTTGGGTTTGGAGGAGTGTTGTTGAGGAGGAGGACGAGGAGGAAGTTGAGAGCGTGAGGTCGGAGCTGAAGCGATCCGCGACATCGAGTCCAAGCTCACTTTCGGATTGGGGGCTGGGCTGGGCTGGGGGCCAGGGACAACCGGGGCGTAGAGCTTGACCAGGAAGGGAATTGGAAGAGGTGCAGGTGCCCGTGGCCTCTTCCATGAAAGTGGGGGCAAATCCAAAATCAATGATTTGATTGGCAGCTCGTTTCCATTCCGAAAGAGGCCAGAGCGATGCCCGATTCATGCTAGTTTTTAAACCAAGCGAGGCTGGCGAGGCGAGCGAGGCCAGGAGGAACATGAGAGATGGATGGCATGATCCACCATAGCTTCCTGATCTGCTTCTTGACTCCAGCTCCTCCCCATGCTACACACAATTGAATAACATCACCTATATTCACTCTCAATTTTACTCCCAAAAGTAAGTCCTTCTTATTTCCGAACTGTCTGTACCATTCTACGATTTCTGGATCTTTTATGAGCTCCAAGAATGCAAAACGACGTCATCGAGCGAGGAGGGGAAGCTTCACTCTCAACCACATGCAATGCAAGCCGACCTGAGATCATGCTTAAAACAACCTCACACCTCAGCTCACCTTCTCGTCCTTCTCTCTTCTTCAACTTCTTCCCAGCTCCAAGTTGATTCATTGACTAAATATCAAAACCACAGGATCGTAACAATGACGACCTTCATACCGTCCCTCACGCTGCCAGCAGCACTGTTTGCCAACCCCGCTGCTTCCATCATCTTCCCAATTGCTTTGGGGACAGCTGTGGGCTATTCTGTTAGACGTATGCTTGCCCTGCCCCTTCATTTCCCATTTACTAGCATATACTAATATTCAAACAGCAAAGGAAACACAGAAGACCTACCTGGCACTTAAGCAACCACCGTATCGTCCTCCCCCTTATGTCTTCGGCCCAGCATGGAGTAAGTACCAATCAATTCCGCCACGACTAATCAGCTCTCCCCTTCAATCATCTATCCCAACATAGAACTCCAACTAACTCTCCTCCCAGCCATCCTCTACGGCCTGATGGGCTTCTCCGCCCACCGCGCCTTCACAACCGGCATGTCCGCCACCGCCTCCACAACCGCCCACAACCTCACAAAGCACGGCGCCACCCTCTACAGCATCCAGCTCGGACTCAACCTAATCTGGATGCCCCTCTTCTTCGTTGCCAAACGGCCCATCGAATCCCTCGTCGACATCGTCGCCCTGACAGGCACAGTTGGCTACCTAACATACGTATGGGGCCAGGTTGATGCTGTAGCTGGTTGGGCTCTGGCGCCGTATCTGGGATGGTTGGGGTTCGCGACGTATTTGACGGTTGGGGTGGGCTATTTGAATGATTGGAATTTGAGCGATAAGGAGGTGCCGGCTAGTCCGGAGGGGAAGGGGACGAAGTATGTGGATGAGAAGAAGTAAGAATCGAGACGGTTTTGTGATGGTCTTGGGGCTTACGATTGCTAGGGATCTATAAGAACATTTCAGGGACAGCGATTAGGAACGAGTGGCACCTGATTTTGAGGTTTTCTCTCAAGTCGTGGGAATGAATTGAAACTTAATATCTTATTATGGCTAGGCTAATGGCATCCCTTTCCCATTGGTTGAATATGACACCTCTATCTGCTCTTCATCGAATTTCGTTCCTGTTGCCAAATATCGATATCATCATGTGCCTCTTTCAAATGGAGGAGCATTCGACAAATCACTCCCTTCCAAGTACTTCCCCGTGAAAAATTAAAGATCAAAACAATCGTTCATTCATCGCCAAACTATCTCGTCATTGATTCATTCATTCATCCATCAGCCAATCAATCAAAGAGGTCATCATATGCTCCGCTCTACACTACTCGACTCATTCAATCCAACGCTTCACAAAGCCAAATCGCAAGTCCACAATCATCTCCGCCCAGAAACTATTCACCAAGACCTCCCTCTTCCCCAATCACCAATCACCAATCACCATTCCCCTAGTACTCCTCCCCCTCCTCCCCAGGCTCAAAGCTATCCGCCGCCACCTCCTCATAATCCTTCTCCAATGCCGCCAAATCCTCCCTCGCCTCACTAAACTCGCCCTCCTCCATGCCCTCGCCCACATACCAATGCACAAACGCCCTCTTACTATACATCAAATCAAACTTATGATCCAGACGGGACCACGCCTCGGCAATAGCCGTCGTATTGCTCAACATACTGACACTCCTATCAACTGAGGCGAGGGCCCCGTCGTTGGGGCAAGTGGAGGGCACGGAGACGGGCTTCTGGTAGTTGATGCCGAGCTTGAAGCCGGTGGGACACCACTCGACGAGGTTGAAGGAGGTTTTGGCTTTGAGGGAGGCGATGGCGGCGTTGCAGTCGCGGGGGACGACGTCGCCGCGGTAGAGGAGGGCGACGGCCATGTATTTTCCGTTGCGGGGGTCGCAGACTACCATTTGGTTGTTGGGTTCGAAACATCTGTGGGGTGGATTTGTGTTAGTTATTGTTTGCCGTACATTATTTTGTTGTTGAGTCTCGCTATTTTAAGCGAGTGGATAGGGAGAAGATGTGAGATATGAGACCCAGATTTTGAGATATGAAGGGAAAAGAATAATGAGAGAAGAGAAGGAAACATACTGCAGCGTCAACTCCTGCGTCTTGAAACTCTCATGACTACTCCTCTCCGCACTAATAACCGGCGCATAACTGATCAACGGATAGTGGATCCTAGGATACGGCACCAGATTCGTCTGGAACTCATTCAAATCGACATTCAACGCTCCATCAAACCTCAACGAACTCGTAATACTGCTCACCACCTGCGCGATCAGCCGGTTCAGGTGCTCGAAGGAGGGGCGCTCGATGTTCAGGTTGCGGCGGCAGATGTCGTAGACGGCTTCGTTGTCGACGAGGAAGGTGCAGTCGCTGTTCTCGATGGTGGAGTGCGTGGAGAGGACGGCGTTGTAGGGTTCTACGACCGCGGTTGAGACGCGCGGGGCAGGGTAGACGGCGAATTCGAGTTTGCATTTCTTGCCGTAGTCGGTGGAGAGACGTTCGAGGAGGAGGGAGCCGAGGCCTGAGCCGGTTCCGCCCCCGAAGGAGTGGAAGATTAGGAAGCCTTGAAGGGAGGAGCAATTGTCCTGTTATAGACGTTAGCTTGCCTCTCTCTCGCCTCATATTCCAAGTAAACAGTAATTTCCCCTCCTTCTCAACAGATTGGTTCCAATCTAGACCTTCCCTTCCACAACGCGGAAAAAGAACCAGTAAGAAATTCTTAACCCACCAAAACCCTCCGAATCTTATCCAAAGTCCCCTCGAGCAATTCCTTCCCAATCGTGTAATGCCCTCTCGCATAATTATTCGCCGCGTCCTCCTTTCCACTAATCAACAACTCGGGATGAAACAGCTGTCTGTAGTCGCCCGTGCGGATCTCATCGATAGGGCTGGGATCCAAGTCGACAAAGATGGAGCGGGGGACGTATTTGCCATTTCCTGTTTCGGTGAAGACGGTATCGAGTTCGCCGGATTCGTGGATGGCTTTTGCGGCGGGGTCGGGCCGCCCGTCTTTGCTGAGGCCGTGCTCGAGGAGGTAGCTGCAAGGGGAGTGTTAGCTGGCTGAAAGTATCCAATTTATTTTGCTCTGTCTATTGGGACTATGTTTCGCTCCTCTCGCAGTTGTTTTTGTTGTGGTGATCGAGTTATGGTAAAAGGGGGACGTACAGCTCCCAGGCACTGTTTCCAAGCTGTGTACCAGCTTGCCCGATGTGCAAGTGTAGAATCTATGGCGGATTGATCAGTTATGTTTTTTTTTTGAAATTCTAAATCGCATGTGCATCCTCGTCCAATATTACACAGCACAGCACAGCATAGCTTCGCAAGATATCGTACTCCCATCCCATCATATTATCCCATCTTATTAGGTAGCTAGGCGCGCGACCGCCGTTCCACAACACAACATCGCAGAATACACAGCAACGCGAAATACCCCACTAACACACCCAATCAAGCAAGTAAACAATATCACATACCTCGCCTCTCGTCATCTTGACTTTCCGTTCAATTGTATTTCTCTTTTCGCGTGCTCAAGTATGCAGTATATCAGCCGTTTTGTCTGTATGTCAACAGATTCGCACTTCAGATGAAAGGAGGGAGTGGTTTTGAAGGTGCTTCAGGTGTTCTGAGATGGTTGGTGGGGGAGATTCACGGTTAATGCAGGGTGGAGGGGCGGAGGACATGAGCTGAAGCACATGATTCGTGGGGAGAAGGCGGTGTGCGGTGCTGTGCATGAAACGCTGCTCGACCCCTGAGCCCTAAAAAGGGGATGCGCTTCCGCCTGTATGAGAGGTTTGTTGACATCACGTGCGGATTGGGGGGATTTGCGATCTGGGGGGAGTGACTTTGGCTGGGCTCGGTTAGAAAATGCGTGTTGTTCTTATTGCTTGCGACCAGATTGTGGTAGGTTGGAGGTTGTTTACTGCAAGGGTACAAGATCTCCTTTTGACCCGGCACTCCTGCGTGTTTGTATCGTGAATCGCTTCCATTGCTTTGGTGGCCAAATTCAACTGCCGGAGACTTTGATGACCCTCTCATATTGCTACATTAAGTATTCTACAATCATCATGAGCCATTCAGATCCTTCCTCTTTACCTCGACAAGGCAATATCGTCAATTCTGTTGCAGCCGTTAGTCTTTATGCGTCACATCCAGAACAGAGAACATACCTTAGAATCATCTTCACCGTCTCCGCAGCCAATTCTACTGCACTTGTGCTCACCAAGAGCGGCTGCAAGACATTCTCGTCCGCAATATCAATCTTGACACCTCCGCTCTTGATACTGACACCGGCATTCTTCTCGCCATTCTCATGCTTGTATCTCAGCTCTGTGACAACCTTGATGCTGTTCAAACCAGCATTCTCGGCCAGAGTCGTTGGGATAACTTCCATAGCATCAGCAAATGCCTTCCAGCAGATAGCCTCGGTTCCCTTGAGAGCGCGTGATTGCTTGGCGAGTTGCGAAGCGATTTCAATCTCAGGAGCTCCACCACCAGCGATTAAAGCCTTCTTCTTGACCAAGCAGCGGATAACACAGAGAGCATCGTGCAAACTGCGCTCTGCCTCATCCAGGATCAGGGAGTTGGCACCTCTGCATACAATACTGACGGTCTTCCCTGCACTCCTGGTTCCTGTGACCTTGACAATTCTGGATCCGCTGCTTTGGACTTCCTCAATCAGATCAGCACTGCCGAGCTTGTCTTCGGTGAAAGAGTCGATATCGGCAATTGGCTTACAGCCAGTGGATTTGCAGATAAACTCAACCTCGTCACGCTCGATGTCTTTGATGCAGAGAATGTTGAGTTTAGCGAGGAAGTGGAGGGAGAGGTCGTTGACAGCATCGCGGAGAATGGATTTTTGGATGAAGAGAACGTTACACTTTGCCTTCTTGATCTTCTTGACCATGTTCAGCAGGTATGTTCGCTCTTCTTTCAAGATCTTGTCCATCTGTCGGTAGTCGTTTACGACAATTTGGTTTTCCATCTATATCTGTTAGCAATCTTTCTGGAAACGTCTGACATCAAGCCTACATCTGGCTTGGGAGGCGAAAGCTGGAACTGGATGAGTCCGATTCTGGCCTTCTCCATTCTGACTGGTCCACCACCGCTCTTGAGAACTGGCTGATCAAGCACTAATCCCTCTACCATCTCAGTATCTTCGATCGTACCTCCAACCTTCTTCAATATTCGGATATTTCTCAAATCAACATTATCGGCGGTTTTGATGTCGATAGTCTTTGTAACAGCGTTGACAGCCATAGGAGCGAGAATATTCGAGTGTTGTGAAACAATTTTGGAGGAAAGGGAAGTGGTAGCGGCTTGTAGGAGGGTCGTGGTATCTGTGAGAGCAACTGGATGTGACATATCGTGGAGAACCTGAACTGCGGCGGCTGCTGCTCTTTGGAAGGACTCTGCAATAACAGATGGATGTATACCCTTTCCAAGTAATCTGTCTGCAGCTCCTAATAAACTTCCACAAATCACCACGACTGATGTAGTTCCGTCTCCGGCTTCGACATCTTGTGCTGCTGAGAGATCTACCAACATCTTCGCGGAGGGGTGCATAACAGCCATGCTCTTCAACATTGTATTTCCGTCATTTGTGATTATCGTCTGCCCTCGACCGTCTTGAATCATTTTGTCCAATTTTCGGCTGTCAGTAAATATATTCGAGGCTGAAGGTTATTGACTTACTTCCTCGGGGACCGAGGGACGTCCGTACAGCATCACTCAAAGCTAAGCACCAAATCAGTTACTGGACTTTTGAGCGCAAAAAGACATTTGAAGCTCATGGCGGAAATAACGTACCTCTGGCAGCCAGGATATTTGCTGCTCGAACAGCCATAGGCTTCTCCTTGTCCTGAGTGGCATTAGCTATGCCAAAAATTCTTTTGGAGCTCCAAACAGCCATACCTTGAAGGACGCATTTGTGGAATTTCCCGCAGCTTGTGAGAGCGCCATATTTTGCTTATCTGAAAGGGTTTAGGGAATTAGAAAGGCGTCCCTGGGTTGGATATATGGAGTTGAGTGGTTCGGCGCGGTCCAACGCGTTGTTCAGCAAAACCTCAAGGCGACTTCTTTTTGGTAGGCGCTAAGCCTAAACTCGGCTAGTTTATATATCCGGGGTATTCGTCAAGAGCTTCCGCCTTGTCGTCGCCTTCTCAGGAACATCAACAATCGAATCTTCGCATCATATCCCCCACCACACATCTCTTGAAATTCTTTCAGAACATTCAAGATGCCTTCGTAAGCGATTCTCTTCTCCCCAAGCATCTGCGACCATCTATTCTTGTCCGAAACGCGATTGCGCGTGCTTGGAAGTCGCCCAATGTTCCAAACCATTCTGAGCACTTTGGCAACTCAAAGCATGGCTGTTTACTGACTTTCATGGTACTGCAGAGCGACAGGATCACAGTGGGAGAAATATACGAAGAAGGTGAGCTATTGGGATCATTTGGAATTGGGAATTGATTGCTGACTGATTCAGTTCGCCGACGACGAGATAGAAGAGAAGAAGATCACACCTCTCACCGATGAGTAGGTCGCCTTTCTATTCGACACCGAATTTCGTATTCTGACTATTTTCAGGGATATTCAAGTATTAAAGACCTACGGTGCGGCACCATACGGAGCTGCTCTCAAGAAGCTCGAACAACAGATCAAGGAGCGCCAAACCAGCGTCAACGAGAAGATCGGAGTGAAGGTAGGAGTGGCAGGCTATTTGGCAGACAAATGCTGACGAGGCGCAGGAATCTGACACTGGATTGGCACCACCTCATCTATGGGATGTCGCCGCAGACAGGCAGCGGATGTCCGAGGAGCAGCCCCTGCAAGTCGCAAGATGTACGAAGATCATCCAGGACGATAAGGATGCCGAGAAGAGCAAATATGTCATCAACGTTAAGCAAATAGCCAAATTCGTCGTGAACCTTGGAGACAGAGTCAGTCCTACAGATATCGAGGAGGGCATGAGAGTTGGGTAAGCAGTTCGGATCAGAGAAGTGGATTAGAAGCTTATGCATCACAGTGTCGACCGAAACAAGTACCAAATTCTGTTACCTCTCCCTCCGAAGATCGATGCCAGCGTTACAATGATGACTGTCGAGGATAAGCCGGATGTCACATACGGCGATGTCGGAGGCTGCAAAGAGCAAGTTGAGAAGCTTCGTGAAGTCGTTGAGATGCCCTTGCTTTCACCAGAACGATTCGTCAACCTTGGTATCGACCCACCGAAAGGCGCCCTGCTCTATGGACCTCCAGGAACCGGAAAGACTCTTTGCGCCAGAGCTGTGGCCAACAGAACCGACGCCACATTTATCAGAGTTATTGGAAGTGAGCTGGTTCAGAAGTACGTTGGAGAGGGAGCAAGAATGGTCAGAGAGCTGTTCGAGATGGCTAGGACGAAAAAGGCATGCATCATTTTCTTCGACGAAATCGATGCCATCGGAGGTGCTCGTGTGGACGATGGTGCAGGAGGTGATAATGAAGTCCAGCGAACTATGTTGGAGCTCATTACTCAGCTGGACGGTTTTGATGCCCGAGGAAATATCAAGGTTATGTTCGCTACCAACAGACCATCGACGCTGGATCCTGCACTTATGAGACCTGGACGTATCGACCGAAAGATCGAGTTCTCCCTCCCAGATCTCGACGGCCGTGCAAACATTCTTCGAATCCACGCCAAGAGTATGTCTGTGGAGCGTGACATTAGATGGGAGTTGATTTCACGTCTCTGCCCCAATTCAACAGGTGCCGAGCTTAGAAGTGTGTGTACAGAGGCAGGCATGTTTGCCATTCGTGCCAGACGCAAGGTTGCCACAGAGAAGGACTTCCTGAGCGCGGTTGACAAGGTTATCAAGGGCAACTTGAAGTTCAACTCTACTGCTACTTATATGCAATACAACTAGACGGCTGGGAAGTTGGGGCAGGATGTATACTAGCTGGCGTAGGTGTTTCGGTAGCATATGGATCAGGCAAATGACATCGCCTGGACCTTGGTTCGGTTCATTCACAAACATCCCATTCCTCGCTTCTGCATGGAGGACAATCTTGGTGACAAGGGTGTGAGAAGTCCAAGAAGTCACGAAAGGTCTCAAGCGAGGCAGATTGCCATATTTGTGGTTAACCTAGGCTCTTCAATTCATTGCGTTCCATTTCTGAAGCAGGCAATGCACGTGGAGTACTGGACGCGTGGAATCAAACTGCTAAGGAAACCCCCAATTATCCCCACTCAGAACAGCATCTTCATTTGCGTGAATTCGCCCCATTCTTTTTCCTTACTGTCCTCGAGCTCAATCACACCTGCCATCTTCTAATTTATTGATGCTAATATCTCATCGTCCCCGCTGCAATGCCACTTTAAGCTTAATGAAAGCCCCCCCGCATGAGCCTGCCAGCCTACTACCCCAGATTCTTCCATTTATGGCTATAATTCTTAGGGACCTCTCCTTGGCTTCATCGTATGTGGATAATATGCGATCCAATCTGCCTTTCTCGTAAATATTTCTTCATCGTCGAAAAGTGTGTCCTTGTGCAATATGGATGAATTGAACTTTCTTGCCTTGGCGATTAGCCTGTATCTTCCATCGCCGCCTCTTAGTAGATTCCTAGACGACAGGAACACAATTCGAGGCTCGGCAGGTGCCCAAATACAATGCAAAGTTGCCTCACGTCAGTAGTGCTCTAAAAATGTTTGCCCCGAGGGCAATTGATTCTTCCATAGTGCCACTTGTCGTCACCTTTTATACATGTATATCAGGGCCTCTCGTTGCCTGGCCTTCGTTATGTGTTTCGGTTCCATCCCTTTTTTTTTTTTCGAAACTTGAGTCGTGTCGCTCTTCACATTCCCGGTCACAATGAAGTCCACTATTGTAGCTGCTGGTGTACTACTACAAGCGGGGATGTCAATCGCGAAGCCATACCTTTATGAAACGAATGGCATTGTATATAATGTTGAGTCTCGAGATAGAGTATTTAAGGAGAACGCGGCAGCCATTGAAGTTCGAGGGATGAGCCTGGAGCAGGCCAATGTAGCTGATAGTAAGCAAATCCCTCAGCATCTCTCGTGCTAAACTAACAGGAACTCAAGGTTGCATGGACTCCTACAATCTGGACGAAAATGGACCAGGCCCTCACCCAACAGGCAGGCCGTAAGAAACAAATCATGGTAGTATTAAGCGTATGAACTGATAGTTAACCAGTCGACACAGGGATCCTGATTTCGATTTCTTCGATTTTTGTTCTTCCTTCATTCGCCCAACTAAGACGTACACTGTGACAATACGAACCAGCACTCCAACCCCGCCAGTTGTAACAATCACTGTGACTGCTACTAAGACGTCTACTTCGACCAAGCCCACTACGACAAGTTCGCCGCCTCCGCCCCCACCTTCACCTCCAACTACAAAGAGCACCTCGACTCAAGATGTTGTGACTGTTACTGTAACTGTGACCTGGACAAGCACAAGCACATCTTCGAAGCCAACAACTCCTCCAGCACCGCCAACAACAAGTACTACGAGCAAGGCACCTACTGCGACGCCTACATCTACATCTGTATCGACCTCATCGTCAACATCCCGAGCCCCAGTTTCGCCGACAACAAGCACAACGAGCAAGACTCCAACACTCACTAGAACATCTACATCTATATCCAGCTCTTCATCATCATCCCAGACTCCACTACCGCCATCCACCACGACCGTACCACAGTAATCACTGCTATCATCCAGCTCGTATTTACCAACTAACCCTCTTTACAGTCCCCCAGCAGCAACCGGCTCCCTCTGTCCAACCCCCATCGCCGGTCAAATCTGCGGCGTCACAGGATGGGGCTACGCCGAGAACAACCTCTACTACGGCTCCTCCATAGACGCAGCAACCTGCCACCAACTCTGCCTCGCCAACCCTGACTGTAAAAGCTTCCAAACGCAGGATAGCAGCTACGATGCGCCGCAGTGTAATCTGTACAAGGTAGATTCGTCAGGAAATAATACCATTCCTGGCGCGGCGCCGTATGTGTTTTATGATCGGGGGTGTCCAGATTATTCTCCTGTAGGTTTTATTTTCTTGTCACCCTTTCATTTGCCCTGTCTCGGAAGATTCGTTGGAGTAGTTGGTTTCATATGCATCGAGAAGACATGCTAATGGCAGTGTCTTTTCCAGGCTGCATGCACAAAAGTCGCACCACCAGCCACAACCCCACGACCTACCCTGACCCTTGGGTCCGGCCTCGTTGAACGACAGAGGGGTGGTGGTGGGAGACCTTCATCTGCGAGTCTGCCTTGGTTCTTAGAGCCGTTTGGGCCAGAGACCATCAGTGAGGTATGTAGTTGTATCATCACGCGGCCTCCACCCGCTATTGGGTATACGACGACAGTGCGCTGGTAGATGGGGGATTTATGGGAATGAGTTACGATTGAATGTGTTGGCTTTGATATATGGGCGAAGTCCGTTCTTGAGGGCATTGTGGCCAGATGGATTGGCAATGTGTCTTAAAACTTCTTCTGATCTTGGGGATCGAATGTCAGCAATTGGAACTAAGCAAAAGCGAATGTACTTGCTGGAGGGTTTGGATGGTTGCGATTACTGCTGCTCCATAGTTTTGTGAACCAATCCACCATGATTCAGTATTTTTGAGTAATGTGATCAAAATTATGATATAAGCACCTGTCAGAAGAAGCACCAGCTGTGTCAACTCTGCCACGCATGTGATCAGATACGTCCACGATACCCCAACCAAAGTAACAACATCGTTAAATGGTAAGTACATCTAACCAAATAAGCAAATCCCAACCACAGCCGAGACTGCCGAAGAAGTGAGGCCCTGTCTCGGTTGTACCAGTCGCCAAATCAATCGTATACGAACACCAATTACCGATTCGTAGATTCGTAGATTCGCAAAACATATTAAATTACGTTTAGTAAATGGAACCTGACACCCATTAGAGTGTTGAGCTTCCGATCGGGTTTTGCTGTTTTGGGTTTTGGATCGCTTTTGAGTTGAATTCTTTTGATTTTTCATTTTTATAGCTTTGAAAGCTGTGTGATTGATGTCCATCAGGCAGAAATCTTTAAGCTTTTTGTTGATGTAGGTGTTGATATTTTGTTTGGGTGGGGCAATTAAGCGAGCTAGCCGTTCCCTTCCATTTTCCGAAGCCGGCGATCAGATCGCCAGAAGAGTGGGCGTTGATAATGGAAGCTTCCTTCTTTAAAAGGTACAGGTAGAGGAAATCTGTACTCAAACTATCTGTGTGGTGCTAAACGAAGATAGAAATAACTCTTGTCATAATGCTCGGCTGTTTCTGGCCAGTTCAAAATATGTGCTATGAGACTCAGGAAGGGGACTGTTCTATGACGCTGAAGCAAAATATGGATGTAAAGATAAGCTCTTGGACTCTGTACCAGAATAATCAACGTGTAAAAACTCCATTACGAGTGATCACTTTTGCCTATAGTGGCATGCCAAACACTCTAAGTACCCAAGGGTAACACATTCAAAGCCCTTGTTCTCGCTGATTGTATTTCAAGTGAAGAAGCAATTTAGCCATAATGCAGAAGTCCTAGACAAACGCCATTTTATTCCCCGACACATATCCCGTAAACTCCTTCCCGTGTATGCAAATTGGTATCTCAGCTTTCCCTCTCCACCTCCAATTCATGGCGAACACCAATTATCCCTGCCACTTGAAACGACTCTCACGAAACATGCTGACCATCCCGGTAGGAAGCAAGCCCTTGTCAACGATATTCAAGCCACCAAATCGTGCAATCATGTTCGAAGCATACAATTGGATGACCCATTGCTGATAAGGGCTCAAGGTGCGCCACCTCCCACTAATAACCGCAGTCACCTCGGCCGTGACCTTAACCTTCTCAACAGCAGGCTCCATGGTCAATAATTCGTAGGCTCTCGCCAGGTTCCTGGAAGTAAGCTCTTGGTAGCGAGTGAACTCCTCCATTGTGAAGAAGCCCTCCTTGCCATACTTCATCTTGAGGGAGTAGTCCGGACCAGAATGGCGGTACAGGCCGTTCTCGAATGCCTCCTTTGCACGGCGGTAGTCGTTGTCCTCTTGGGTGAAGAAATTATCCATGAACACGTCGGGTCTGTTACAAACGCTGCCGCGGATCAGGTAGAGGTCGATGAATGGAGACTTGAGGTCGAGACCACCCATCGACATTGGGAAGTACAGGTAGCCTTCCGGGATGTCAGTCACACCGAAGCGATCAGTGAGCATCTGCTTCAGTGTGGAAGTCACACTGCCACCACTCCTGGCGAATAGCTTGGCCTGGATCCGAGCAAAGGTCTGAAGCAGCATATCGACGTGAGCAAGGCCGAACGAGTTGGAGGATTTGCCGAAATTGTTGCTGAAGAAGCGTGCACCGTAGATGTTCCAGACGTGGATCCAGTCGAAGATAGACTTACAAGCATCGAGTTGGAGTCGCAGCTCTTCGATGTGGCGATCTACAGACTCTTGGTCGATAAGAAAACGACCGGATTGGGAGTCGAGCTTCAAGAAACCCCAGCGAACATCGCCCTGAGGAAGAGAGGGGTGCACTTCAGCGAGAGCGCTCGAGCTATTTCGGGGGCAAGCAATACGAACGCTTCCAGTCTTCTCTTCGTTGAAGTCGAGGCCGGCGAGGGTGGCAAACTGTGGATACAGAGTCAGCAATACTATCTTCACAAATCTTGTGCCAACGAAGACATTCGCTAAATGAGAAGACGTAAAAAGCATACCTTGGTCATAACATCCCATCCCTGGACACATTGATCATCGGATCCCCAGAACCAGATGTCATCATGCAATCGGTACAGGCGGAGGCCATTACTTTCTTGATTGAAAGCAAAGTCAAGACAGAACAGGACAGTCTCGGCCAAGAAATCGCTAAGGGGCCCGCTGATGGGAGTTCCACGCTGACGAATCTGAACGGGTGCGTCTGGGCCATCCTATAGGGCCAATCAGCAAATTTCCAAGGCACATTTTCAACAACACCATGTCATGAGGGGAAGATAGCTCAGAGGGAGAGAATGAAGAGCTTACCTGAACAAACTTCATAGGAGCCTCAAGCGACCGGCGGAAGAAATTGACCCAGCGTTCGGAAACCTTGAAGAACTTGAGTACAGCGAACATGGTTGAGTGAGGCAGTGAAGGCCCAAACCAAGCAAAATCAGTCCGGACTACAGTCACGTCCTGGTTCAGGCGAGTCTTCAGGATGATCTCGGTAGCAAGGGTGTGCAACAGAGTCTGAGTAATCTGCTGCCCAGACTTACGGGTGTCCTGTTCATCCTCATTATCATCGTCGTAGCCCCCACGTTGCTCCCGAATATCTCCCTGAAGCTGTTCCATGAAGATCTCGTCCTTGAACTGAGCTGACCGACGAGCCTCCACACCATTCTTGGCAACACGACCTGGAAAATCAGAACCAAGGAAGTATTCACGACGTTCACGGTCAGTAGGTGTCATCCGTGCAACCGTTGACTTCCAGACCGATTCCGTTTGCTGGAACTTCTCGAATACATTCTTGAAGAAGACAGACCATTTGACACCGATGTAGCGGAGAAGGATGGTTTGAAGGAGGTCCTCATCATGGTAAAAGCGGTATCGACCGTTGAGTTGGCGTCTCTGCTCGACAGGAGTTCCGGCCGCATCCCACTTCCACTTGTCCAAAGCTGACATTCGCATGTTGAGGACATCGGCAATTTCATCGAGGACTACCTTGTTGTTGAGAAAATCTTTGAGAACTTTTCGCTTCTCGTCAGTCACAAGATCGCTCCGAAGAAGACCTTTGATAACCCATGTCAAGGAACCTTGGTCGAAGTGCACGTCTGAGGCCATCTTCTTTTCAAAAGATTCGGTTTCCAGGCGGAGTGTGTAATAGGCAGATGTGATGTCCTTCGTGGAAGAGAACAGCTTCGTGAGGTACGAATCGATGGCAGAAGTGTCTGTCTCTCGGGCTGTGAACACCATATCCTCCCATTTCTGACGTTGGTCGTGCATCTCCTTGCGTCCAATACTCTCGAAGCCACTTCCCATATCGGCGTCTGATTCTGCTGTCTTGTCGACATTGGCAGAGAGCCACTCGTTAACCAACTTGCCGTAAAGTGCAGCATACTCGTACTTCAGAGAGTGGATATCAAGTTGCTTCTCCAGCTTCGCTTGCCACTCCTGCTGGATCGTAGTGGATACCGAAGGATCAAACTTGGCTTGCTCCAAGAATCTGACCATGTTGTCGAAGTCGGTGGATGCATTGGTATCAACCGCGCCCAGGCCTAAGTTGAGAAATCGTAAGGTCAGATATATACTCTTTCAAAGGTGAAGTAATTACCAAACTCAGCGACAGCTGACTTTTGAGATATCAAGAGCAGAAATTTGACTTGGCATCCGAAAGGGACGACCATTAGGAAGGGGAACTTACCTGGCAAGGTTCCATCATTGATCTTGAGTAGTGCCTTGACCTTGCTGGCTTGGTCCGTGTTATTTCGAGCAGTATCGAGGAGTTCGGCCTTGGCAGTCTCGAAGCTGTTTCGTTGATACGAGATCTCATCAAGCTTGATAGAGGTAATCGAGCTAAGGGTCTGGGAGAGGATATCCGAGGAAGCCATGTTGGCGGAGATCGATCGAACGATGTTGAGAGACATTGGAAGAAGCGATTCAGTCTGTGCAACGAAAGTGTATGTATTCGAATGAGTGTTTGTCTGCGGCGGTCGCGTTCGGAACTGCACAAGCAAATTTAAGTTGAGAGTATGAGGTTGTGGAATTGCAAATTTGGCGGGACAACTGTCAATTTTATAGCAGAGTCGAGCCTCGTGCCTGAAACACAAACTTCAACCTCTTTCAGTCGTTAACGAGAAGAATCAATACGAAGGTCCTCCAGGCCACAATCGACAGAGTCACGTGTGAGTCATCGGTCAGTGAGGCATTCAACGGCAGTGCTGATTGCGGCTCGCCGGCAAGGGGCCTCACTAGCCGTCCGCATCAACAATGGCAGATGGAATAGGCTGCATAATAATGTAAATCAGGCTGCAAGTAAAAAGTTCCTTTCTACTTTAGTTGTGGTTGCAACAGATGCATATTCTCAAGAGAATAATCAGTGCGAAAGCGATATCAATACAACAAAGGCATTTTACTGATTTTCGAATTCTGCACTCACGGCTTCAGACGATGCGAGGTACACTCGAATGTATAGTACAAGACAACTTCTCTCATCTGCACCTACTTGCTCTCCAGGTCGAGTACCCAAAAAAGAGATCTTGACATAAGCTGACTCCAGCGTAGTAACGATAACAAAGCAAGCCAACAGGGTTCAATGGCACATAGATAGAAATAGCATTGAGGAATGTATCTTATCTTGACGCTTTAAGCAATGCACAAAGACGTGTGGAGTTCAACAACAAACTCTTTTTGGGAAATGCCAAAAAACCAATGATGACACCGTAGCCCACTTGCTTCATCGAAACTATCTAAAGAAGATTTGAATAGCCACCGCAGAACCAACAAGAAGAGCAACTAAAATGAAGTATAAATTCAAATATAAGACAGATGTCTGACAAAGGAGCCAATTTTGCACAGCATGTGGCTTCCAGGAATTTGGTCTCAACTTCCTGGCGTCCTTTGAAGCCCTAGCCGGAGACCAGTTGTCTCGGTACCAGCTTAACCAGACGACGCATGTTTCCCTCTGGCACATCTTTAGCTCAATGAAGTGTGCGCTGAAAGAGCCTTGTCATATATCAAACAATCGGGACGGAAGATACCTTGCTGGAGCAAGCTCGAAGTTGATACGCGAATGGCTACCGTCGCATCCAGGTGTACCCAGGCAGCCAAGCCTCACCTAATCTTACCCTCCCAGCTCCCCACTTAAGGAACTGACAGTCGTGCAATCTCCTCAAGATTCTTTGTTCTCTCCGTCATACTGCTCGGCTCGAACGATGGAGTCGAGGAGGGAAGAAGCCGACGATCCAGCAACACGCTGCAGGCAAGATCATGGCGGAAATGGGCTGTATAGGCATTCTACTCCACTGGGATAATCAGAACACTTGCACAAGGAGCGGTGTAGAGAAAACCAGAAGAAGTCGGATCGATTGAAGGTGAGATAGAACTCGTGGAAGTTGGGAGCGTCAGAAGCCAAGTTGCCTCCTGATTAGTCATCGGAATTTTTCCTTCAACTTACTTTTGCTTCTGACAACTTCTGTCGCCAGCTACAAGCAATACTCCAATCGACATAATTGATTTCGTTTCTGATGGTTACTGGCTACCAAAAGGAAGGTCAAAATACATGTCTGTGTCACAATATACTTAATCTTGCGTCCTCGTTGTCCCTTCGCGTTGATCACGCTATTGACAACAGCTATATATTTCCGGTCTGCAATTAATGCTCCAGACCCTTCTTCTTCAACATCAAGCCGCCAACACGTCGTTCATAACATCGTCGTCCTGAAGCTAGCTTCGGTCTTCTCGGCTTCAGGTTCTCACGAACCACTCCATTCAAGATACGATGATCGTAATTGCGGGGTCCCCAACAACATACCCCGCCCCGTGGGAAATCAGTTCAAGATTTGCTCCATCTCAGACCTTCACACGGCCATCATTATAGGCGGAATATTTCCTACGCATTTAGCCTCAATGTTTTATCCAAGAAGCTGCATGTCAAATATGCAGGTACCAACGCGGAGAGGGATTACCTTTCTCCATCAATTGTCCTGTTCTTTTGCTACCCCTCTTGTCTGAGCCGCAAGCTCACAGTTGTTCGGAGCGATCTCCAAGGTTAAGATCCTGTAGAAATGAATTAGTCGCCATACCGGTTCACTAAATGGACCTTGCCGACGTTCTTCCGCGATGTCAATAGTTAAGTTTACTGGAATCCCGGCGCGCCAGCCGAAGGATTTCTGTGGGCTACCAAGTCGTCATGCAAGATCCTAATATCAAATGGACTATATGAAGGCTATATAGAGTATACAAAGTTTTGATTCATCTGGTAATGGGATTGTCGAAGTCATCAATTACAATGATTACTTTCCGTTTACTTGCGTTTGCCAGTGCGGTGTTGACCTTCGCCCATGGCGTTAGCGCGGCCCCATCAGATTCTTCGGTAGGAACCAAGAGCTTTCAATACAAATATAATGCAGTAGCCATCACTGGAGGCGGCTTTATCACTGGTATCATCGCTCATCCCAAGGAGAAAGACTTGCTCTATACCCGGACAGACATTGGAAGTTCTTACAGATGGGACGCGCCAAACGACAGATGGCTCCCCCTAACTGACTTCATCAGCGAAGCAGATGTCAACTACCTCGGGACCGAAAGTTTTGCCTTGGACCCCACGGATCCAGATCGGATCTACCTTGCTCAAGGACAATACATCACGCAGAACAACTCTGCGTTCTTTGCTTCGGAAGACCGAGGAGCGACATGGAAGATCTATCCAGCCCCGTTTCCTATGGGATCGAATGATCTTGGTCGAAACAATGGCGAAAGACTTGCTGTCAATCCCTTTAAGCCCAATGAGCTGTACATGGGAACTCGAACGCAAGGATTGTGGAAATCGACCGATCGGGCCAAGACCTGGACCAATATCACAAACTATCCCGACGCTTCTGCAAATGGAATCGGGATCGTGTTTGTCATTTTTGACCCAAAGAACGAAGGTACGATTTATGTTGGAGCAAATGTACCAAATGGTCTTTACTCTACCACAAACGGCGGCAAGACATGGAAACAGCTGCCAGGTCAGCCCAAAGACTGGAGCGCTGTCACAACTGATCCAGACCATCCTCCTCAAAGCACTGGCCCACAACCAATGAAAGCAGCTCTCGCCTCGAATGGAGTCTTGTATGTAACATATGCAGACTTTCCTGGCCCATACGCTGTTCAATACGGGGCTGTGTACAGCTTCAACACCAAGTCATCGAAATGGACCGACATCACACCCGGAGCAAGCAATTCCTTCCCCAAGCCATTTACTCCACAATCCTTCCCACCTGGAGGCTACTGTGGATTAAGTGTTGATGGGAAAGATCCAAATACCTTAGTTGTGGTTTCGTTGGACCGTGATCCAGGACCAGCATTGGACAGCATGTACTTATCCCACGATAGCGGCAAGTCATGGAAAGATGTCACGCAACTATCGGCACCATCAGGTACTAAAGGATTCTGGGGACATCCAATCGAACAAGCTGCTTTGAAAGACGGTACTCCTGTTCCCTGGCTCAGCTTCAACTGGAACGCTCAGTGGGGAGGGTATGGAGCACCTTCACCTATTCTTGGCGTCGCAAAATTCGGTTGGTGGATGGCGGCTGTACTCATTGATCCTTTCAACAGTGATCACGTCATGTACGGCACAGGAGCCACTATTTGGTCGACAGACAATCTCAGCAGAGTTGAGTCAAACTGGGCACCAAATTGGTACATCCAGGCTCAGGGTATTGAGGAGAATGCAGTCCTGTCGATGATCAGCCCGACAGAAGGAGCGAATCTGTACAGTGGACTGGGAGACATCAACGGAATGAGACACGACGATCTCACAGTTCCGCAGCCCATGTTTGGAACTCCTGGATTTTCCAACCTCGATGGCTTGGACTGGGCTGGCCAAGCTCCTAATGTGATCACACGCTCGGGAGGCAGTGGCACAGAGTATGCAGACGGCTGTGGCAATGGAGCATACTCAACAGATGGTGGATACGGCTGGATCAAGTTCCTCACCTGCGCACCTGGTGTCAGCAACACGACCTGGGTCAATGGCTTCATTGCAGTAGACGCTTCAGCAAAGTCATTCGTGTGGGCCTCTCACTCCTCCGTTGCGCCAGCAAACACAAGTGGGCCGTATGCCACTCAGGACTTCGGCAAGACGTGGACCTCACCACGCGGACTATCGGTCCAGACGGGTAACTTCAGCGCTGATAAAGTCCAACCGAAGACCTTCTACGCGTTCGACACCGGTGTGTGGTATATCAGTACCGATGGCGGAGTATCCTACACCTCAAAGACATCCAAACAAACTGGTCTCCCAGCAGGTGCAGGTGCTGCCCCAGTAGTCAACTTCCTCAAAGCAGGGGAGATCTGGCTTCCCCTCGGACCAAACGGATTATGGCATAGCACCAACTTCGGCAGCAGCTGGAGCAAGATCGGTGGCTCTGGTATCACAGCATCTCAATTCTCTGTTGGGGCTCCCGCTCCTGGCCGCAAGAACCCAGCGCTCTACTTGTGGGGCAAAGTGAGTAAAAACGGCGTGCAGGGTGTGTATCGCTCTGATGATGCGGGTGCGAGCTGGGTCCGGATCAATGATGAGGCGCATCAGTATGGAGGGCCGAAGCTGATTGTGGCTGATACGCGGGTTTATGGAAGGGTGTATCTAGGGACGTTTGGACGTGGAATTGTCTATGCGGATATTGCTGGAGAGGGGAGCGGTGTTCTTCCAGGGACTTTTGGGATATAGATGCGACAGAAACTTTGCTTCTAAGTCTGGGAATAAAATTCTCGCGAAACAATGACAGCCATGGGAGATCGGCTTGGCAAACCCTTCGCTTAGCGTCAGGAAATCAAAACAATCACGTAACATATCTTGCGCAACAAGCAGGTGATCTTAAAGTGTTGGCCATACGCCTATCCAGGGCTGCGTCGGCACGTGTTCCTTTTGCATAACAGTAACCGTGCACGACCGAATGAACAGAATCGTTGGAAGGAAAAGGTAGCCAAAGAGATCCTCCCTCAGATAGCATGAATAGTCAGTTGGGTACGTATTTTTGATGCTGAAAGTATGAAATCCCGAAACAATTACTACTCAAGTATCCCCGTAGCTCCATAGCTGGGTCATCGGTATATGGTTGTTCCGCACGCCACTATCCCCAGCTAATTGTGTGGCGTGGCCAAGCGAGGGTCATAACAAAATAGGTCAGGGGAAATAAGAATGGCTTTGGCTGTATAATTCCTACGAACGAAAATAGAGAGGACATAGTGGCCGAAATTCAATCGAGTTAATGACATAAAAGTTTCTTTGAAGTTGAATCACCTCACACGCATCAGTGCAGATTGATTGTTCGTCTCTCCGGCCCCCGCCCTGCGTGTTCATCATAGATCTCTCCATCCATAATCCCATCAGCATAACAGCACCCCACAAATTCAAAATCATCCTCACTTCCATCATTTTTTCTTCTTATGGTAAACGGCATATTCCCTCCATTAAATACCCAGACCTCATCCCCACACTCCGTCTCCCAATCCCCCAAGCCCATCATTCCATTCTTCGTGATGAAGAAAGTCTGATTCTCAACGTATCTGTGCCAAAAATCAATATCGTTAATCGTTCCTAAACCAGTCTGTAAGAACTCTGAGATATCCGCAAAGTCCTGCTCGTTGGGGCGTCGTTCCACCCACTGCTCTTCGTTGCGAATCAGGTTGCTCACTACAACCCTGTAGAATGCTTTGTTGAAGCTTTCTTCTCCAAGACCGCCCGCAATTGCTGTATGGTACTCGAGTCCTAATTCCATCCAAGATCGCAATATCTCCGCAATGATTGCAGGTTCTTTAGCAGCGATATTGGTAAGTCTTTTGCCAATGATGACAATGGTGTCCACAGCAACACCTGTCAAACCTAAAGTTCTAATTTCACTCGAGGGCTCTGATAGGGAGTTTACGTCTAATTTTAGACCCGCACATGCGTCATAAGCTTCGTATCCCCATCGGAGATACCATCTGTCAACGTGATGAGGTATCTGAGGCAACTCACAATCACCCATATCACAGACCCAGGTTGGCAATCCATGTGTTCCAAAACCCGGAGATGGCCGTTGCTGCAGGACAAGAGGGAGAAGATTTCCATGATTCAGTATTATGTCCAATGTAAACGCACTGTAGATTTGAGCAACCGATGTTCCGTAATCGCACTTGTCCAAGAAACGGCGTTCCATCAGGGGCGGCAATAAGCCTAATAGACCAAACACTTTGTCTTTGGGATCGGTGGCTTTGCGTCCGCACCACTTTATGATGGTCCGAACGGGCTCTTCGAATTGAGAATGAGCACTGTTGATCCAAATTACGTTGCAGAATAGCCATCCCAGGGTACGATCCATTATTGCTGACAGGTCGGGCGAGGTTGGATTCCACATGAAGTCAGAGAGCTCGGTCGGTAAACCAGTGCCAGTCCATACATGGGAGCATTCAGTAAGTGTATCCCATGACAGTCGAAAGGGACCCCAGAGAAACACTTTCTTGGTTGGCAGAATTGCTTCCTGTACTGTCCAAACACGATTCCACCACGGATGATTAGCGACTCCAATACTGGCCAACGCATAGATAGGGCCTTCAAATGCAGAAGCAGAAGCAGTGCATGGCGGGACTGGAAGGCTACGATTTGATATCCAGTTGAGGCTATCAATGATAGCTTCTGCATCTGCCTGATGAACACTTTCGTTGATCTCATCCATCCAAATGAGACACTGATGGCAATTCGAATAGACCTGCCCCATCAAGCGCACTTGTACGGCTTTTTCCTCCTGGTTCTGCTGATTGATACACAACTGGTCTATCCACATTGTTTTCTTCTCATCTTTCCGCCGCAAACGAAGGAGTGCGGCGTGAAGGTTGTCGGTAACGAACGTCTCTTGATTGTCCACGAGTATACGCCGTTGGCTTTCTGGATCACCCCATCGATATGACAGCGCATCGTAGACGGGCTTATCTGACAGGCTGACGACTCGGACCTCACATTTCACGAGGGCTTGAGGGCCATCGCTTCCATAAGGAAGGATATCCAAGATGCGGATCTCGTTCTCAAGCATAGCGACTTCGAATGGGAAAGTGACTGCTGGAGATCTGCTGTGTGAGGTTTGAACGCGTAATTTTTCGAGGTAGTAATTTGAGGTTGTACACTGGTGGGGTCGAATCATCCCATGCGGATCCGCTGACGTGCATCAAATATCATGTACCTTCGAGGCACAATCTTAGTAAGAAAAGGGGTCTGCTGATGACTTCCACGAGTGACCAATCTCTGTAGAAAATTAGGTATGCGAGTCTCGCGACAGAGTATACAATTAGGAGCCCTCAGAGAAAGAACAAAAAGCTGAAGCTGTGGACGTAGTTGAACCTGACAGGCTTTGGGGGTTAAGTATGGGACATTGTGTGGAAATTGACGTTGGGTAGGTACATTGAAAGCTGGTGGCTCGTTGAGTTTATTGAAAAAGCTGAATGTACTTTGTACCATGCTAGAACTATACCTAGGTGCAGTAGTAAAGTGACGCGCTGTGAAGGTCTTAGCAAATCCTGGAGCTAATAGCCTCCAGACGCACTGTGATTGTAACCGGTAGAACATATTCCAATTGCTGGATTCAGAGGTCAATAAGTTTGAATCTACGTAGACACTTCGTCACTGAGAAGTTAGGTAAATAGCCCAACCTTAAAATACTCTTCGTCCTAGCTTCACACTCTCGTCGTGGACAAGGCTGGGACGGTGATACAAGACGAGTAGCTCAGATTGTGTACGTACCTGTGCCGAAATTCTGAATTGATTCGAAATTTCGATCTGGAATCTGAGGAAGATGGACAATTTGTAAGCCTGAGAACTATTAAAGTAATATAGAACAGAAGTCAGGCTCTCGGATTGACAAGTTTTCACCTCCGGGATGAAAGAACAGCAATGGAAAGGAGAACCTAGAGATTTATTACCTGTCTTGAGAGAGATGGGGAAGAGATACGTATGAAAAAATGATCTGGGATATGTGACCGGAGCTGGACTTTGCTTGAAGAGCCGCACACTGGCCACATGAAATCCAGAGAGACTTCTCAGAAAGATTCGCGGATTGCTGACTGGATATCACAATTAGGCACTAAGACTTCAATAGGGGGTATGTTTTTGAGGTTCTACCTCGTTTCATTTCATTTCATTGGTATCTGCTTGTCGATGTCAAGCATGCCAATACCTGACCTTACCTACCTACTTTCTAGCATGCTCATCTGATATCGTGATATTCGCGAGTGCTATAACACGGATAAGAATACAAGTACAAAGTTGTACTTGAAAACTGGGACAGGTTCTCGAACCGTCAATCCTTCACTTCACCCCGAAGAAAGCCACACCATCCCTCGCAACTTTGATAGCCTTCTTCAAAGCCTGCTCCTCGGTATCAGTCCACTTGACAGAAAGTTCATCCCACTTCTTGAACTTGTACTCTTTCTTGTACTGCGATTGCATGGCTTGCATCCTGCTCATCTCTCGTGGATCTCCAGAGCCGCTGTAGATCATGAAGGCCGTGCAGGGAGGAAGCGCCTCGTAGACCTTGGAAATACGGCGGGTGAGCTCTGAAGTAGCGGTAGCAAGGCTTGCTTCGTCCGAGCCGATCGCTGGCAGTAGTGGGTCGACTGAGACTGCTGTTTTCGCTTTCTCAGGAGCCACAGCAGTAGAGTCATCGGTATTCTTTCCTGCCATTTCGGCATCAATGGCGGCAGCAACTTCAGCAGCTACAACTTTATTATTGTTCCACCATCCCTTGAGAGCTTCGAGTTCTCTGAAACGAGCCCACACGAAGTCGACTCCGCCACCAGGGATCTCCTTTCCATCATGATCACCCTTGACGGCGCGGATAACTCCCTCCATAACGTCTTCATCGCTCTTGCATCCGATGGGGAAGGTTGCTGCTGCACCAGGACCTTTTCTCGGCTCACCCCAATCAATAGCTGCACTAGACTTGCCGTTCACTGCGCTTGGTATGGCTGAACCACCCTGGCTTTTGTACCGAACACCAGCACGAGCGACTCTCTTGAATATGTTCTCTCCTTGTGCATCATTTGTGCCCCACTCCTTTCCTTTCTCACACTTCTGCTTGAGAAGATCAAGACAGCATCTTGCATCTTCTACAGAATCGTGACCAGCTCCTGGTCCGGTTGTTCCATGTCCTTTTTGGATCTCTCGGTTCAAGTACTTCTGTGCCAACCACTTCAGAGACGATTTGAGAGGTGGACCTCTGGGGTGAGGGTAGATGAGAGCAGTGTCAATGATAAAGGGATGTGTAATCTTTAGGGCATTCAAATCGGAATTAAGCGAGTGACCGACGAGAATAGCTCGAGGATGAAGAATGGACACCAGCTTCTTCTGGATGTCAGCAAGGGTCGTTGTAACTGGCGCAAGCATCGCTTCTGTGATGCCAGAATATCTGCGCGATGTTAGCTAGGGATTGAATTCCACATGAAAGCCTTACTGTGTAACGTAGTTTATGATCGGCTTGTCTGGCTTCACAAGCTCGTCAAGAACCACTGAACCATCCCATCCCACAATACTGATACGTGTGAGAGACAGCTCATCTTGACCAGATGCCTGTTTTCCTGTCACGCACATCTCACAGTCCATCGCCAGGACCTCGCGACCTGCTGTAATGGAACCAGACTCAACCTCCTTGTCTGGCGCAGTACCATCTTTGAAATATTCGACGAGCGTATCAACCCATCCATCATCAGTCGAGACCTTGTTCGTGCGACGAAATTTCAAGAGATTTGCTTTTCCTTCTTCGTCGTTGTATGATGCTGGGTGGAGTGTATAGTCGTTCTCTAGCAGCTCTTCCGGGGAATGAACGAATTCTGGGATTGGTACACGGACATTCTTCCAACCTTGTGGTTCTCTCGCAGGAGTAGCACCCTTCCTAGTTTTTTGCCATTGTTTTTCCTCTTTGTTTTTCGGTGCAGGCGCTGTAAGCATTGCATGGAGGGGCGAGTGCATCTTTCCATATTTATCATCACCTGGTGTCTTGACGGGCCAAATGTGCTCGAACATATCTGCGAATGGTAGAAGTGCTTCTGGCAGTTTCTCTGCCTTTAGTCTATTCGGAAAGTAATCGTCTGGGGAGCCGTAGGTTCGATCCCTTTGATCTCTATCCCTCCGATCCCTTCGGTCTCCGTCTCTATCTCTATGATCTCTGTCTCTTCCATCTCTATCCCTATGATCGCGAGAGTCTCGACGGTCCTCATCTCTCTTTTCTCTTCCCGACTCAGGTCTCGAACCCTCCTCAGTGGCTTGTGAGCGGAACATTGACATTTCCAAACCCGGAACCATGAGCACTACAACTTTTCGAATCTCTGGTCGATGTCGCACTGCAACGAATGCAGGAGCTGTACCGTCTGCAAGAATATACAAAACCAATTGCTGAAGATCGCTGATCTTGATTTGCGATTGCAGGCGGCTTTCCTTCGAGAATTGGATCGCGGGGTAGTTCTTGGAATCTTGCTTGGGAATCTTCTTCTTCTTCCGTGGGCGTCCTTCCACTGTCTGCCATCCTTCTGAGTCACCGCGCTCTCCTCTCTTGTCTTCGGTCTTTGGTAATCCCGTGTCTTGATTTGTTCTGCTCGTTAGACTGAATTCTGGAAGCTCAGGCTGGCGAGGCAGTGCCTGCGCAATGTCCGCATTTTCTTTGGAAGCGTCGTCGTCGTCCTCGTGTTTACGCTTTCTGCTCCCGTTCCCATTACTTGAGGAGTATGACGAAGATTGTCCATCCTCAGGAGTCGCCATGTTGTCTTAATTGTGTAGAGCTTGTCGGTAAGAGGCTGGGTCGAAGCAGCAGGGCAAAATCCAGTCTAGAATTTTGATACTGGCAAGGCTGGATCTAGCCGCATCAGGCGTAAGGCAAGGCTGAGAGATGGCAAGCAGCTTCCGGGTTAACATACCTAAGGTTGGTGAGCAATACCTACCCGCCTCGTCAATGATCCATTCTAAGCTCATAGCCATGAATATGGAATAACTAAAACCATCTCCGTCCAGAAACCCAATTGGTCATTCTTCGTATTTTATGCTGAGAGAATTCCTCGTTTTAACTTCGGTTGTCGATGGTTGTGCAAGCACTCAAATTGGAAGCACGAAAAGTCGCGTCAACGCGTAACGATTGAGATTGATCCAACAAGGTTACCAACATCAAGAGTGCCAACTCCATGCAAGCCTTTTCTTCAAAAGTACCCCAAGTTGAGCTTCTACCTCGTTAAATATCGCGGAAGAAGCTCACCATCATTTAAAGGAGATACCGAGATCAACGACATGGAAACTCTCCTTACTATCTGCATCCAGTGTAACGCTGAGCTGGGTCGTTTTAGAAACTCCTGGAACGGCATTGGAAATAGCTATCACAGCCCTGTATACCCTCCTGTCTCAGTAGATGGTCTGGAAGCAACAGGGCCAATCTACAATGGCGCCAAAAACTCTTACATAGAGCATAGGTAAGCTCCCTAACAACAAACACATGATCATGAGCTCAATTGAAGACGACAGTCATTTACAAGACATTGCTTGTATAGAATGTCAAGCTGTGGTCGGACTGCGATGTGAAAGTGCTCCTGAGGGACACATGCTGAAAGAGTGAGTTCATAAAATCGTCCACCGTCTCACAGCAGGATGTCCCAAAAGTCAATCAAAGTTTAAAGTGTCAATTTCGTATATTGCCTACTGACTCCTTTGTAGGAATCAGCTCATTGTCAGACTCACCACTATGTACGTCATTAGTGAGCATGATGGTGAGAAGGCGAAGATATCAATCCTTAGATCCTTCCCTCTTAGCATCACTTCTGGCAAGAGACCGACTGGGCCTCGCAGAGCAGCTACAGCTCAGCCTTCGGCCCGATCTGTACGTTCAGTACATGGAGCCTCAACTCCGCTACATACAGCCGTGGTCTCTAGAAAACCGAATTCCGATAGCTGTACATCAATCTCATCAACCAACGTTACCATGCTACAAGTGACCAGATTCAAAGACTGGGCCGAGGGTGCCATCAGTAATCAGCAAAAGCATATCGATCGGATCTCTGGCACTGTCGATCGTATCGAACGTGATATGAGACTCTTTAGAGAATTCATGCATGAGGCACGGTCGGACCTTTCTTCGAGCCTACAGGTTCCAGATTCGGCTGGAGAGGAAGACCTATCCGCTCTTCGAGAAGATCTTGATGAATTGCGTAAGAGAGTGGAGAGCAATGGGCAAGATATTTCGAGGGCCAGCGATGACCTCCCCGGAAAAAGTCTCGAGGCCATTGCAAATGATGTTGAGCAAGTCAGTCAAAAGGTCATTGAAGTCGATGAGTTGAAATCAGCGTTGGCGAGAATGAGGGCTCGAGTCGAACTCCTGGAAAGGGATTCTGAGCTCTTCACCACAACAAACCGCCAACAGCACTCTGGTTTCGGTTCAAAGAAACGTAGGAACAGCCAGCTGGATGATCTTCGCAGTGCCTCAGATGATTTGCGAACGGATTCTTTGCAGAAAAAGAGAAACGTCCCCCTCAGGTCAACACATGGACAAGAATCTTCGAATGATGTCGAAACTCAAGACCAGCAGACTGGACGAGTTCGTGAAGTAATCGAGATTCTGTCATCCGAGCATGACCCAACTTCCCCATCTCGAGGCCAAGGGAACAAGCAAGACCGACCTAAGAACTACAACAACACAGAGAACAGCCAGTATTCTATCCCAAACTCTACTTCCTCCACGTATGTCCTGGAAGAGTCAAGCGGGAACCGCCAAGTCCCCACCTCACTACAAACGCACATCGCAGACAAAGGCCCTTCAGCAATTTCTCGAACAAGTACATCTCGCATCGAAGTCAGCGTACCTTCCTCTACCGCTCGCGCCATGTCACTTCAGCAACAGGCCGTCCCATATCGAGATGATAATGGGGTACTCTTTCTACCAAATGGGAGGGTCGACGGACGCTCTCTTCGTTTTAAGAAGCAAAGGACAGGTAAGGAGAACATAGCACCAGATAGCCGCGAAGAGCTAGACTCCATGGAGCGAGATCGCGAGTGGACCCCATTTGCCAGGTCTAAAGTGAATGGCAAGGCTACTTCGGCTTCAGCGTCGGCTAGACAAGATTCTGTGTCACCTGGCGAGGGTGCGTGTGAAGGCGATGATGGTGTGAAGAATTTATACAAGTGCGGCGGCTGCGGCAAAGAGTATCGCCACCCCGGTAGTCTTAACTATGTATGTCTTCTGATGTCCAATACTACAAGGATGATAGCTAACTTCTTGCAGCATCACAGTCACTCTGGTGGCGCCTGTAGCCGAGCTGATGACGATATTGTCCCTCGAAATTTCCAATGCGAGAAGTGTAAGAAGGTTTACAGCGTATATCAGAGCCTCGAATACGTAAGTTATCCTCTACAATGCACTATGACAACTCGATAAGTGCTAAAAAATGTCACTCATAGCACCGCAAGCATTCCAACTGCAATCCGACAGCTGAACCCCATGCATCCTCCACGAACTCCACCACGTGCAACATATGCAACCGGACTTTCAAGAACATGTCTGGTTTCTCCGTCGTAAGCATCCAGTCCCTATCCCTGACTATATGCCCAATCTCACGGACGTGAATTAATATTCCCCAACAGCATAAATGTGTGAAGGCCATAACGCCAGCCCTCAACATTGCTACGAGAGAAACGGTCCTTGCAGAGCGAGAGCGATTAGTTCGCGCCACGCTGGAGAGAGAACTCGGTCGATGAGGTGACATCAGTTTGTGGATTCCATAGGACCAGAATGGATTCAAGGTGTACCATGGGGCATTCTAAGCTGTGGGAAACGGAAACGGGAGAAGCATTTCAGGGCATTGCATTGCAGGGTTGTCGTAGTGGTCTTCGGGGGACTGGTAAGCTACTTCAATGTGGTAAGAGAATGAAATGAGCAGAATTTGGCTTGCCCTGCGAGTTCTATTCACTGTCCTTCGGTGATGCATCTACGAGCCTGTACACAACAGCGCAGAGTACGTAATTCATTCACTCCGTCCAATAAACTCAATCTCACAGCATATCAGATTCACATATAGAGTATGCCCGCTGGTTTATCTACCCCAACTTGAGTCACAACCGTGGAAAAGCAATCAAGCAAATATCAATCATCAACATCCTCACCCTACTTGAGCTCGTTCCCAGATCCCTCCCATCTACGTCAAACATAAACCCGTTCTTCCAACCACTCATCTCTTCGTGCTCACTATCTCGAATCAACATTATGGTGAACGATCGTATCTTTGCGGCAGTACTACCTCCGGTGGTGATCCTGTCTGCAGTACTCAGCGCAATCACCACATGGCTGGTCTTCATATGGAAAGAAAAACGCCAAGTCATCGCACCGCAAGACGTCAATCTCGCTGAAAGGGCCGGTGTTCCTGACGTTCCAGGAGCGTTACAACAGCCATATTTGAATGCTACGGCTGTCAGCAACAACAACTCAGTTTCTGTCTCTGCCACTGCTCACGAATCGTCCGCGATCCGAAACCGCTCGGTTGCTTTCCCACCGACGTACGCTGATAACTGGACGCCCCAACCAAAAGAGTACTCCCGCAGAGAGTTCAACCTGATTCAAGACTTCAAATCATCTTACATCCTGACCCGATTCAATGACTTACGTATTTCACTCCAAAATTTCGCAAGCAACATTTCCTGGAAATCTCTGCCCCCTTCAACCCCCTTGGATTTCCAAGCCCTCCTCGACACCCACTCATACCCATACACCGCCGACGAACTCACTCAACTCCAACACCTCGAATCCCGACTTCAAGACCCCCACTCAAGAAAATCGTGATTACGCATTGAGAGCTCTCCTCTCCTGGATCATATGCACAAAAATCTCCCTCCACGCCTCGCCATCATGGAGTCTTCTCTCCCCCGCACTGGTCAGAACAGCACATGCAGTCGACGGTAATGAATTCGACGAGTTCCGGTGCTGGGCGTGGGAGAAGACGAGAGTGTATTTAAGCTTCCTGTCGTGCAAAGAGCCTGTGCGTGTGCACGAATCTTTGATTGATGATCTAGGAGAACCGGCGATTAATCCTGGTGCTGGGGAGAGACTTGTTTCCCTGGTGAGAGATCTCCTACAACCATTTGTTGAGATGGATGATGGTGAGTTGGAGCGATGCGTGGGTATTGCTGCCGTGCTTGGGTTTGGCATGCAGCGAGATCTTCGGCCGTGGAAAGTCGGTTTCTCGCAGAGATATAGCGGGGGAAAGGCTCGATTGGATGATGAGGGTGTGGTGAGAGAGCGTACGCTTGCGCCGTTCTCGGTTCTGGTGGATGATGATGAAGCTGAAGATTTCGTTGCTGACGGACAAGTGTGAATACAGAAATCTTTTATCCACGTTGTCATATTGTGCACACGAGACTAATTGGATTGTCGTGCATGTAGTACACTTTTTCCTGCTCTTGTTGCACTTGGTGATGAGTCGGGGCTGAGGCATGAGAATCCGGTTGTGATTGAAGGTGTTAGGGTTGGGGAGTGGAAGAATGCCGTTGAAGTCAAAAAGCGGAGACGATGGCTGTGAAGTTATGCTCACCTATGATGGTTGCTAGGAAGTGCTGGGTGGCGGGAGAAGCATCATAAAGACACAGACATCGGATTCAGGTGGGTGAAATTAACCTACTCAGCATCCGATACTCCTGGGGAACTACAAATCCAGCGTTTTCAAGTTGGTGTGCAGAAATAACGTGTTATATTGCTGCCATGTGCAATTCGGAAGAGGTAAAATATACATGTGTCCTGTGATTCAAGCTTAACCTACACGTCGCCGAGAGAATGTACGAGTCAGCCATGATCCAGCCATTCGACGTGGCTTTGCTTGCACTTTGGGTGCTGGCATCATAGTTAACAAAGAGTCGCATGCGCTTGGGAAGTCTCTTGAGAACGCATTCATGACAATGGTGCGAGGGCTGTGCGCGTGACCATCCAAAATCAAACTTGTTCGTGGGTCAGCATGGTGCTTTAGAAATGACTCGACAATAGAAATCCACGCAGCTCCTTCGTCTCGGATTGGAGATTGCTCAAGTAGTGCTTGTAGGGCTTGGTGCCATCCCGATCTCTCGTCGCCACACGGCATATTGGGATCACATCCCTTCCGAAGCATTATCGACAATAGTTTCCTGTTCTTGGAGAGGTATGAATACGACGCCTCTGGTAGTGGGAAGTGCGCGGGTTTTGACCAGTCAAGGTAGCTCAAGTAAGGCGCTTTTGGATTTATTGAAATTTCCACGGGCTTGTCCGCGCTTTCAAGGAGTTTTGCGCAAATGAAATGCTTTAAATTGTACTTCTCAGTAAGCGAAACGAAGTCATACATTTTCTCCTCGCGATACTGCTGTTGCACCCAATGACAGTCCACAGATCCCGAGCCTAAAAGCAATTGCTGAACCGTTCTGTCGAATTCTTCAAGGACTTGTAGTTGTGGTTGAGAGGTTTCAATCTCTGTTTGATAAGCCGTTGCCATCGATCGAGCAACGAGACCTGCCATTGGGTGGACGCCAGAAATCACGGGTATATTCCCATACCAGCGCTTCAGGTGCAGTATGCTTGCATATAATAAGGCTTGACATGGACTGAAACGCTTCTTTGTCTCATCAAGCGTGTTCTCCTGTAGCATTTGTCTGCCACCATCGGTTTCCAGAAAGTCTTTCACTGTCCGATGAAGCCACTGAATACGTGCGCCACCAATCTTTGTAGAGAATATCCTGCCCGTGTGTGGACAGGAGTCACGTTGCCAATAGCTAGGTATCTCCAGAAGACCTGCGCAGCGCACTTTGAGACGACAGTCAACGTCGTCAACTCGATCGGCAACCTCAGTATCTGGCATCAACTGAACTTGACTTTGAATGACCTCGTGTTCATTTGAATTAAAGGTTAAGGAGAGTTCGATGGCGGAAAGTCCGTCTCCCTGAGGGTGATCCTCATGAAGAAGGGTTGATATATGTTGGTACATGAGCATGATTTGCAAAATCTGAGAGCCTTCCTGTAAGTAGATTGGCTCAACCAATTTGAGCATGTACGTGAAAAGAGCTTCCAACTCATCTGGCAAAAGATCCAGTCTCCGTTGAAGGTCCCTGATTTTGTCGCGATTCATCAATCCTCGAAGAAGAGATGTGACAACCAGTCTGACCCACAGGAACACGCCAGATGCTTTGGCAATTATCTCTTGAACTAGTCGGGGCGCTTCAAGGGCTTCTGAGATGTAGAGCTCCTTCATTTTCTTGTTTCTGCACAATGTATCGTTGATGTAGGTCTCGATGTCCCCTCTGGTCAAATCCTGGAGCTTCAATTGAGGACAATAGGAGAATGCTTCTTCAAACACCACCCATGGGCGACTGGATATGCAGATCTTAATTTTTCGAGATATAGTGGACTTGAACCACGTTATTGTATCTATTGGATCTCCGGAGTACTCGTCGAGTCCGTCTATGAACAAACAAAGATACCCAAAATCTTCTCGCAAGAGGCGCTGGAAAGCCTGCTTCAATTCAAGAATTGTCCAACGGTGGTGTCTCTCGGATGTGAGTATATGTTGAAACTCGTAATCTTCGATTAAAGAGTCCGGGAAGTTTTGATATCGAGTGGGGAAGAGGACAGGAACCAGCTTCTCATTTTTCGAGAGAATTTTATATACGACAGCTCTCAGCAAGCCTAGCTGAGAGGATTGATCCGATCCCCCGCCGTTCCAAAAGAAGAAATCTGCTACTGTCACATCGTTCTCGTCATTGCTCCATTTCTGTAGCATGGATCTTGTTCTTGGATCCCTAGATATATGGCGCATGAGTGTCGACTTCCCAGAACCCGCTTTGCCATTAATCCAATAGATACCAGAGCCTTTTGTTAGCCATTGTCGGAAACTACTCCACGGAGTTTCATCTGCAAATGCTTCGCCAAAAATCCAGTCAAAAGTCTGTGTGTGAGCATCAGGAATTGCCAATGATCGGTTGTCCGTTGTGGGATATGTCAGACTAGCCAGAATCGACCGCCTGAACTCGACTTCGCATTTAATCCGCATCTTTTCCAAACCAATTCTCACCGCTTCTGCCTTCTCTTCCAGCAGTTTTTGCTTTCGCTCCTGTCTTTCTTTGAAAGTTGAGTGAAAGTCGTCCTCTTCGGGCTGGTCATAGACATGATCGTTCTTTTCAAGAATCTCTTCCCCCAACATATCGAAGTTATTCAGCTTCTCAACTGGCTTTGCCCGCTTCGACTCATCCTGCAAGTAGTGTCTCACAGCGTCGATGATAATTTGCCGAGTCTTCGCATGCTGTTCTTCCGCAGCCTGTTTATCGAGCTTATCATCGAGCACCAACCGATTTTGCGACAATTCCTTGACCATGTATTTTGTGTTGTAATCAAGCCATTCGAACCTTCGTGAATTCCGGATAGCTTCGAGATCAAACTGTTCCCTAAATAAATTGTTAATACAGCCTGGATGGGCCGAATAGGGTATGCTGACTTGAAAGCGACCAAAATATGTAGGCTCATCTCGGCATTGAGATGATTTAACCTAGATGCAAGACCTTCCAAGTCTTTCTTACTCCACACCGTCTCTAGAGATTCTCTGAAGCTCCTCCACTTTCTCTGTCCAGGTGTGCCTCCTTCAACCTTGTGCTTATCCAGGTATTGTAGGATCTCATTCGACACGCTGATACATGCCTCGGATAAGGCTCTAAGTGATTGATTCTGCTCTTGTTCCATCTTAGACGCCCCACATTTTTCTGCGAGACGCTTGCTGAGGCGTTGTATGTCTTCTGTAACAAGCTCGAGATCACGATGTTCAGGGAGCGCCCCGTCCGCAGATTTGTATATGCCCCGACAGTTCGAGACAACGCGGCTCGTGAAGTCGATCAGCTGGATTATATTGCTAGCAAGCGATAAAGCAGTGAGAGGATCCATTGGATCAGCCCGGCGGGGGCATGAGCCCGCTGTCGCAATGCTGCAATATTCTGAAGGCTTGGGACGGCGCGGCTCAAGTCAAAAAATGCCAACTTCTGTCTTCATGGGCGATTGCGCATCAAGTATCATGCATGTTGGCTGGCATCTTGGAATGTGGTTATCTTCTAAGCTCGTTGCAATTATCTACTCGGAAAGCTGCCTTCTCCTTACGAGCCTTGCTGCGTGTTGCGCTGGCTGTGCGGCTGGACATGATCTGTGTCGTACAAGGTGAGGCTTATGGATCTGTTGATTGGTACGATAATCGCTCTATTGCCTCATCTTCGAAGCTGCAGGGAAGATCTAATTGGCCAAACGCGAACCTTGGAAACACACCTCCCAGCTCCGAGCTTTAAAGCTTCTTGTCATCTGTGTGCGAGGGACGCCAGCATGAAGCAGATGCAGTTAGAAGTGAATGTAAAGTAGATATGGCATACCTATGAACCTGTCTGGATGCCTGGAACAAGTCCAAGCAACTATACCATGCACTCCGACCATTCCACTCCTAAATGCCATGAGTTTGCGTGTATGGTACAGCACACCTCATTATACTCTCCATGAACTCGCACAAAACGATCCGTAAAAGATATTTCCATCTCATCAACCCCCACCCCCCAAAATCCCACCCATCAACCCCCCTAACCCTCTAATCTCCCTCCCCACCCTCTCCGCCTCCTTCCTCCCCCGCTCACCCACACCCACACCCACATCCCCTCCATCCCTACCCGCTACCATCCACCTCCTCAACACCTCCCCCATACCCCCCCTCACCCTCTGCACCTCCTCCACATCCCTAATCTCCGCCTCAACCTCCCTCACAAACACACTTTCCTCCCCATGGCTCTGGCGTGCTTCACTCCATACCACGATGATCAGGACGTGAAAAGCGTTGATGAGGTCGATTCCTTGAAATGCTTTTGCGATGTTGTCTTTGAGTTGGAGATCTGAGGCTTGTGATGGGGATGTTCGTGAAGATGAAGGTGCTGCTGTTGTGGTTCGCATATTCGAGATATCCTGGAGGAGTTCCGTTGGTGTGAGAGATGCTATGTGTTTCAGTAGTTTGGCGATGGTGTAGAGCCGTACGACGCGGACGGGGTGGTGGGGCTGTGGATATATGAAGATGTCGCAGTTGAGGAAGAGGAAGAGGAGGGTGAGGAGGGCGGCGGTGAAGGATTGGGATTGGGTTTGAGTGGAGATGTAGGATAGATAGAGGTCGTGGAGGAGTTCGGGGAAGGGTAGGAGAGCGAAGACCCCGTGGGTGGTGAGCGCGGAGAGGGATTTGAGTGCCGTGAGGAGGGATGAAGTGTGGTTCTGTTGGAGGAGAGTGAGTGGTTTTGAGGATGTGGCGAGAGATGTGAGGGTGGATGTGAGGGTGGGATTCTGCTTGAGTGTTGATAGACAGTGCTCGGCTGTTTTCAAGGCTTCTTGGTGCGAATAAAGAACATCCGTCCTCGTTGTCTTCTCGACCTCATTCCCAATCGCATCATCCTTCTGGCAGCGGAGAAAGTGCTTATAGGCATTCACATGGTCTTCACATCTTGCACACTTGCAAGTGAAGAAGTAACGTTGCTTCAGTGTCGATTGGCGCTTCGCGAGAGATTCCGTCGGGTCGATATACGAGATGAAGATTTCCTCATCTTTCTTGATTGGTCGTAGAGCTCGGAGTGAGACATTGCGGGAGTCGAAGACTATAAACGCGTTTGGTGTACAAGAGTGGTTTGCACGTGCGAGGGTGGGTGAGAAGCACAATCCTACCGGCGTGTTGTCTGGGAGGGTAATGCGGAAGGCATTTGTTGATAGCTATATGTGAGAGGTCAGCTTCGAAACAAGGACAACAGAAAGCACGTGTAAAATAATGGATAAGTTAGTAGACTTACAACACAAAGCCACCTCATAGCATCCTCCATCCTCCCCGCCCCAGCCTTCGTAAACTCCACCCCCGCCCTCGCCTGCAGTACAATCTCCTCCCACCTCTTCATATCGCCCTTCAACTCCCCCACATGACTCTCCAGACCCTTCCAATCCCTCTCCTCCCCCTCACCAGCATCCACCTCCCCACCCTTCCTCAACAACATCACAATCAACGCCCTCACAGCCGTAGGCGGTAACCCCTGCAAACCCTTCAACACCTTACATTCCCGACTGTGACTCTCTCTCCAATGGGAGTTCTGACATGCTGTGGAACAGTAATATGGGATTTTACATCCGCCGCAGCGTTTTAGGGATGGTTGTTCAGAGATGCAGAAGGAGCAGGTGGTTTGGAGACTGTCGTTTTCGATGAGGAGGAGATTGGGGTTGGGGAGTTTGGTGATGAGGGAGCCGGGGGGGAAGGGTGAGGATGCGGCAAGGCCGGTGCCGTATGGGGTGGTGATTTGGTGGGTGTTGTTTACTTTGAGGGTTGATATGTGGTGCACATTTTTGGAGTCGCTGATGGATTTCTGATTTGACATTTCGAGGGGGTTGCTCCAAGGGTGGATATAAAATGTTGAGTGGCTAAATGACGTGTAGAGCCTTGGAATCTTATATGATTGTTGGCCTGGGGAGGTTACATTATCCTAAAAGGTTCATGAGGATGCAACAAGAATGAGGATGAAATCGCGAAAATGTTTAGCGAAGGCTTTGTTGTCATGTGATCATGCATTGTTGACTGATTTTATTTTAGAAGACCGGAGCGTAGGCCGTAATAACTTACAGGATTGACCAACTAATATCATAACTATGATAATAAAGCTGCTTCGTTCAAGTATGGGGATAGAATGAAGACCGTCATAGGACGAGCATCATGTGATTGGCGGTAGTAAGGCGATGTTTACTTCTGGATGAATTGGGTGACAGAGAATTCTATGGGTATCTGCTCTTCCTTAATGTTACAAAATATCTCATAACCAGCCCAAGGCCTCTGGCCCATGGCTCTGCAATCCCAATATGGAACTTAATCCCTTTTGTACGCCACGCCATGCAGTTTCCCAGGCCAAAACATAGCCAACTAAAATCAAAAAGACCAAATCTAGACATGCTTCCACCCATTCTGATAAAGCACCTGCATCTCATTAACCAAGCACTCCATCCCAGGCTCAAATCGTGTCTCGGGCGGATCCAGCTTCCTCCCCTTCTCAACCCACGTCTGAACCCTTCCCAGCACCATCTTATTCTCACTCCAAATCTTCACCTGCGTCACCCACCTCGCCCATCTATTCGCCCAAGCACCCCTAACGACCTCGAACCCGCCCGGCCAGAAACTCCCATCGCCACCGGGAATCCCGGTATTCTCGTTGGCGATCGAACTCTTGATCTCCATACCGCCATTCACCCTAGAATACGGCCCTGCTCTATATGCAACTCGCACGTTAGGGTTCATCCAGACGCCTTTCTCTTGGCGGAGTGGATTGTCGGCGTGGATGAGACAGCATTCTGAGCCCTCGAGGTGTTCTTTGGCAAGGGAGTCGGAGATGCCGCGGAACTTAAGGGGTGGTGAGGCGTAGAATGGGGCGGCGTCGAGGGAGATGAGGCCATTCCAGCAGGAGGAGACGGGAACGGGGAGATTCTGATACAGACTTTGGCGAGAGAGTGGGGAGAAAAAGTAGGGGTAGCGCTGGGAGGCGGTTTTGAAGCCGCTGCTGTCGCGGAGGGCAAATGTGTCGTAGTAGATTTGTGGGTCGCTGGAGATGTCTAAGGCACATGCTGCGGCGTAAGCTCCGTCTCTGGTAGAAAGGAGTGTGGTGACATCTTCTGTCTGTGAGACCAGGCCAGTTAGCAAGACACAGAATCGAAGATCACGTGATGTCAGATTTCATGAACTCACTGAGAAGACCACGTCGTTGATCCAGAGAATTCTGTCGAACTTCCTGCTATCTCTCATCTCTGCCAGTGGCTCCATAGCTTGATTTCTCAACGCTGCCAAATAAGGGATGCGTCGTACTTCCCACCCCGGCTCTCCTCTGCCCGTGAAGATCCACCCAGTCCTATCTTCTCCCTCCTTAGGAACCTTCTTTATCGATTCCATCTGCTCAGTGACATTCATTCCCAGAGAAATTTTATGCGTCACCCCCAGAGCATCTAATTTCCCCTTGAGCTCTTTCAGCGCTCCTTTCGTATCCTCCTGCGACCCAGACTCGATGATCGACACAAACACATTTTGCGGTCCCAAATGCTGTATCAGATCTATAAGGCGATCATTATAGTACAAACGAAGCATGTACTCAGAGTTCCGGAACATGGACGCAATGAATATCTTCTGATCTTTCAGGTGAGCTGGAAGAGAGGATCGCCTGATCGGAACCGGCCGCGACGAGATGAGTGAGAATGCATCGAGGAGGAAGAGGAATGCAAGAGTCAACAACAGAGGTTTGGGTCGAAAGTATTTCCGCCGTAAAGATCGAGATGTGAGGATCATTTTTTGGAAGGACGGGATGCGATGAGGTGGCGTTGTGGGGAAGAGAGGCTAGTTCATGTGTTCAGGGGAAGCCTCGTCGCTCATCCAATCCATCTCAAGCCTAAACCTCGTGCAGACAAGGGTGAAGAACTCAAAAGCCACGCTGAGCTGCGTGGAGTTGATAAACAAACTTCGGAACTTGTCCCAGACGGCTCGCGCGGTGTGAGAATTAGGAGAGGAAGAATGCAGAGAGTGTGGAGAAAATAAGGGGAAGGAAGGGAGTGACCAAGTGGTACGGCTAAGGTGCTGGCTGTACTACAAAGGTCTAACAAGAGTCCAGGGCGACACCAAATTTTGTTTCAGGTACGATTTTGGGCGTGAATACGGGGAAAAGTGACCGGGCCAAGCGAGCCAAGAGGAGTGCGCCTTGTTAGCACTGCCGAGAACGGTAATTTACGGGGGGCAAAATGATTGGCAGATATCTCCGGGCGAATAGGATACGAGAGATCTCCAGTAGGGTTGCAACTGGTGACTGTCGCTTGTTATTGACAACACTGTTCCGTTTTGTAGCTGGAGGACATCAATTATCAGTGAAAGCAGCTCGCGGTTATATCATACTTAACTCTTAAGTATTTTTGAGGCCTCCAAGACTACAAATAGTTACTGGTTTCTGATACTTCACAAATGACTACTTCTTACCTATGTCTCCTTTTGACTTCCCCAGTGTCCACGAGATTATGATCAAGTTCATTCCAGGCCATTACAGTATCTCGGCGGACGATATAAACATTAGACCAGCAGACATCCTTTTGTGCTTGATACTTCATGAGATATATTTCGATTCCATGAAGACTTAGTCACAGACCAGAAACTCCAACTGCTGGTTCCCAATGTCGAAGGGACCGAGCGAGAGATTGGGATTCTTCACGGTCTAATTGTTAGACAGATAATGGAAATTTTTGGCAACAGCGATTCACTCACTTATTAATCACAGCATTTCCATCAAATACCTACCAAGTCACCAATCTATCACACTCCCACCATGACTCTCCTTCATCGGAGAATCCGCAACATCCCATCACAAGACTCTTTCATATCAATAATCATCTCCTCCAATCTCACTCAGCAGGCGTCAAACGGACTATCACTGCTGCTAAGTAAGTGGGAGATGGAACTTTTGACATGGAGAAGGGACTCTTTTATGTTCTTACCTGGGTTCTTTTCAGATGCTCGAAGCACCGGGAAACCTGAACCTTGCTCTCATTCCTGTCACAACTATACAGACATGGGAATATAACCAAAGTACAACGCTGCTCAGAGCTCTCTTGGTGAGGCCCAAGGATTCCTGTTGTAGAGCGGGTCTCGATAAGTGGGATCAGCTTAGGTGTCCAACACTTGACAGATTGAACATAGTGAGCGAAACCAGGTTGGAAGCGGTGGAATAAAGAGGCACAGCGTACGCAATGAATCTCAAGGACATGAATGAATACGAGGACCTTACAGCGAAACCTTGTTGAGGGGAACAGAAATATCGATATCCTTCTGCTTATTTTCACCATCTTTACCTTACCCGCTAGAGCCGATAAAAAAGACTGTACAGAATCCACCCTGGCTCAAAGATTGACGCGGAAGTAGAATGTCGTCCGAATAAGATTCCCGGACCAAGATTTAACTTTCTGACGCGTGGAAGCAAAGAGAGGAGGCGAGGGAGGATACCTTGATTGGTCCTTTTCACCACAGCCGAGGCAACTTGCTACTGTAGGTCAGGGGTCGCTGATGAAAGCTTGCCGAGTTTTCTGCGTGCCTCCCACGTCATCATCACCACAAATATCTCCAGCGATTTGCAGTTTCTCGATGATTTCTCATCATCGCAGAATCTACTTCTGCCCTGATCTGAATTTTGCCGAAAGAGAAAACCGTGTTTTATTCGTGGATTTGTTGCGTTTTCCAATTACTAAGCATCTCCGAAGGGACTTTGGTGGCTTGGGGTTTCTCCGACGTCAAGCCTTATAATTCTGGCTGCTGAACAATCAACCAGCGACTCAGTCGTAGGAGCCGCTGCATTGACGATGGGCACGCCATCCATCCTGGACGCCAGGAGATGGCGCCAGAAGCATAGTGGGTAGGTACATATAGCTTCATCCCTCCACAGGTAGGTTAGCTTTTCTTCATACCATTTTCTCAATTGCAATTGTCCTCTCATTCATCTTACCAACTACCCCTCTACACCCCTACCCCTCCGCATATCTACCCACAGCACCATGTCGTCCTCCAACCTCTTCAAGCCTCTCAAACTAGGCAAGGTGGAGCTACAGAACCGCATTGTTCTCGCACCACTCACTCGATTCCGTGCAGACGCCGCCCATGTTCCCCTACCTTTCGTCCCCGAATACTACGCACAAAGAGGTTCCGTACCAGGCACACTCCTGATCACCGAAGCTACATTCATCGCTCCCAAAGCAGGCGGGTACGGAAACGCACCTGGCATCTATTCAGAAGAGCAGATCGCTTCATGGAAGAAAGTGACCGATGCCGTCCACGCAAGGGGCTCGTTCATCTACCTGCAACTCTGGGCCTTGGGTCGTGCAGCCGATCCCGGACAGCTGAAGAAGGAGTTGGGACAAGATGCCGAAGTCAAGAGCTCTGATAATGTTCCTTTTGAGGGCGGCGCTACACCCACGCCGTTGACGGAGGAGGAGATCAAGGAGTATATTGGGCTGTATGCTCAGGCGGCGAAGAACTCGATAGAGGCTGGCTTTGATGGCGTGGAGATTCATGGTGCAAATGGGTATCTGGTTGATCAGTTCACGCAAGATAATTCCAATAACAGGACGGATGCTTGGGGTGGAAGTGTGGAGAAGAGAGCCAGGTTTGGCATTGAGGTTGCGAAGGCTGTTGTTGAAGCTGTTGGTGCCGACAGGACTGGTATTCGTCTCAGTCCCTTCTCGACGTTCCAGGGCATGAAGATGAAGGATCCCAAGCCGCAATTCTCGTATCTAGCGCAGGAGCTGAAGAAGCTGAAGTTGGCGTATATCCACGTCGTTGAGTCGAGGATATCTGGAAACGCTGATGTGGAGACCACGGAGAAGATCGACTTCTTGCTTGATCTCTGGGACAATCAGAGCCCAGTCTTGATCGCTGGTGGTTTCAAGCAGGACTCTGCCAGAAGGGCTGCTGATGAGGAGTACAAAGACAAGAACGTGCTTGTCGTTTTCGGAAGATATTTCATTTCGAACCCGGATTTGGTGTTTAGAGTTGAGAAGGGGATTGATTTCACGCCGTATGATAGAGAGAAGTTCTACAACAAGGGTCAGAAAGAGGGGTATATTACTTGGCCGTTTAGCAAGGAATTTGAGGCGCAGGCGCCGAAGTTGTAGATGATGGAGAGAGAGAGAGAGACCTTTTAGAATAGACCGATAGACCGAATACCATAGAGAAATTCACTTGAGCTCATTGTTTGTAGCATTGCCCACGTTTCACTTTAGCTGCGTGTCTAAACTGCATTTCTAAGTAGTCGCTGCTTCATTATGCGACGTTGCAGTGTGGTTAAAATCTCGCGAGGCGTACTCGGCAACTTCGTCTCAAAACAACAACACCGCAACTGCGAATACTACAACCACAATGAACGGCGCAGAGGGGGGCATGAATCCTATGCCGTGGTCAGCAGGTACTCCTTTTGATAGCAGTGGTTCAGCTGCGGATAAAAGACGCGTTACTGAAATCATCGATCTCACTTTGAGCGACGAGGAGAATCCAATACACGACGACAGCTCCGAGGAAGACTCTGTTGATGACTGCGATGAGGTTATGCCTGACAGTCCTTCAATTGTAGCTCCAGTCTACAATGCTCCACCTATTGTTGATTTCCCACTCGACCCTATCCTTCCACGAAATCTCAAGTGGCCATTTATGTTGCAGATGATCAAATCCACAAGGAGACACCTCATTCCAAGACAATTTATCACGCCAGCTCAATTTGGTCGCCGTCTCGAAGTATTGAACCCTCAACACCGCTTTACCACTCCCCAATACAAAGCTGCGTGGGTCTACGCAGTCAATCATTGCAAAGATAAAGTGGACTTGTCTGCTACTTTTGCGGCCAACCAGGGGTTGGATCAGCACAGCTTCTTGCAATTGATCGACGATATTTTCAAGAGTATCGCCGCTAATGTAGGTACCAGCGAGAGTAGACATTTGAGCATTACTGATCATATCAGGATTACGGGGTCGATTTTGCTACCCGCGCTGAGGAGCTCGAAACTATCCGCTCTGAAATCCCCCACGCTACCGGTAAAGCACCGAAGAAGTTGCTTCGCGAAGAGAGAAAACTGACCAGTGTAAGTACTCTCGTCATAGAAAATTCATACATGTGGCGCAGACGTTGATATCCTTCAGTCCGCGATCAAAACACGACTGACCCCGAACGAGAGAAGATGTCTCAAGGTAGCTGCCGAGAGTCAGTTCAGAATCCTTGGTCGTAGGACTCAAAGTCAACATATATGCAGTATCGGGCGCGAAGCTGCAGAGAATAAGCACAATCATGGGGAAAGGGTCATGCAAACAGATGGTACTTGGGGTACAGCATTTAACACACAACTCTCCTTTCGGTACCGGAACATCGAGCCACACACACCAAACTGTTTTGTTCCGACACCAGAAATTTATATCCCAAATCAGGCCCTGGCGAATCAAGCTCCAGCTCCAGCACCTGCTCTCATCCCTGCCTCGTCGTGGTATTCTCCGTCCGAGCCTCAAGTACCTCCTCCTAACGGCAATACTGGACTCGAAAAGTCTGCTGCCTTCAAGCCCTTTAGGCCTTATACACCAACTCGCTTCTCTCGCGAAGACATACTACTCAGCAACCCAATATCAGAATCAACTCCAGGAAATCATGATTCCCACAGCTCTCGATCCGATCCCTACCGTCCACCACACGACGTTCCATACGCAAAATCCCGCTACGAGTCCTACCGTCCAGATCGGCAATACTCCTCCTCCAATATCTCTAACTGGAACTCTCTTCCTCGCTCTCCACGCTCACGTTCTCCTCCAAGTCTACCACACAGAGCAGACTCAGACCCGAGACAGAGACAGAGACAGGATCCTAGCAGGAAACAACGATACACCCAACCCAGCGCCTACGAATATTCCTCCCCTTCCTCACTTACACTCACATCTACACCAGCTTCATTACCTCCTCGACCTCATTATACCCAGACTCTACCACCAACTCTAGGTGCGAGGTATCAATCCAGCTCCTACTCGTCTCCTGATTCGGGGTTCTATGGCTAGAGAACTATGATAGGAAAGCTAGATGAAGGAGGTGTGAGATTGGGAAGTGGTGTTAGGAGTCGGTGGGAGGAGGGGAGGGATGGGGATGGGGGTGAGGGTGAGGATGGGGAGATGGAGATGGAGATTGGTGGGGATATTGACGGGAGTGGATATGGATATGGGAACGAGAGTGGGAATAGGGGAGCTTACAGTGGATACAGTGGATATGAGATGTTACCAGAGAGTAGGGATGAGCATGAGAAGTACTATTCTTGAGGTTGGGCGGTGCTGTGGCGTGTGTTAGGTAGATGGAGGTGGAAGTGGAGCTGCCCATGTTGTTGATTTTCGCGTTGATTTTCTTGCTTCTTGCTCTTGTGGAGCCTTGTAGGTCGAAATGGGAAGTAATGATGCGTTGCATTGCGTAGATGGCAGAATGGCTGCGTTGTACTTGGCTTAGGATGCATTGTTGTTTTTGCGATTAAGCGAGCGAGCGGGCTTCATACTTGGCTAGAGATACCCAGATTGAGCATTGCATAGAATGGATGAGCTATGAACCAGACGACCTATTCAACTCACAACGATGAGTAACGAAGAGATGAGAGATACGTTCGTTCTTCAATGAGTCTTCAATTTTACTTATATGATTTCTTCCTTCGTCATGCAACAATGTGCGTGTGATGTGATGGGTGAGAAAACTAGGGTATATGCAACACAACACAAGAATACAACGCCGCTATATCAACTACAGCCAGCCAGCCACTCACTCAAATCATATCACCTTCCATCTCATCGTATCTCAACTATGCCGGTCGCTCCCCTCCGCTCGGACTAAACACCATTCACACCATTGACTGCCCCAGGCCCCGTCCCAGCACCCGTACTCTCCAATCTCGCCACCAACTTTTTAACATTCGTCCACTCCTCATTCCTTGCGCTCTCCTTCCCCCCAAGATCAGGCCCAACCTCAAACACCGTAAGCGTCCCGTCAATACCGCCCGTAGCCAGACGTTTGCCTTCGACTTCTTCCCAGGAGACTTTATTCAGGCTTTTGGCCATCATGCTGCGTCCGGCTTTCCGGCTACTAGGCGATACTTTCGCGAGAGGGACTTCAGTATCGACGGTTATATCCCAGACTTCAAGATTTCCCGCTCCGTCGACGAGGGAAAAGACACCAGGTTTGACGGGCGACCAAGCAGCGTCGTAGACGACGTCTTCGCGTGTGAAATCCAGGATGGGCACGACGGATTGGCTTTCTCCTGTGATGCCAGTGGTGGATGTAGCAGCTGGGGCGCGGACTTTCCACAACTTGACGCTCCAGTCTAGAGAGGAGGAGAGGACCAGATCGCCGAGATCGACGGGTCCGCGAGCAGGGTGGAAGTCCAGGGACATGACGGGGCCGGCATGGCCTCTGTAGCTGACGCGCTGGTCGACGCCTGCTTTGGCGCCGGCGCGGTCGTACCGGTGGCAGGGGAAGATGGTGCCTTCTTCGGAGCCGACGAGGAAGTAGGTTGGGTCGGTCTGTGGGAAGGCCATGCAGGTTGGGGAGAGGTCTTCGGTTTTCATGGGGGGTGGAGTGGTGAGTGTGAGGAGTTCTTGGGGCTGCGCGAGCATGTCGACTGTCCAGCCACAGACGACGCCGTCGGTGGAGCAGGAGATGATGTTGTTTGCGTTTTGGGTGCCGACGATGTCGACGGAGTAGACGGGGTGGGTGTGGCCGGTGCCTGTGAGTGGTGTTTTTTGGACTGGGGCGGATTTCATTCGGGTGTCCCAGAGTAGGACTTGGCCGCTATAACAGCCTCCTATGATTAGATTTGGGTGGAAGGGAGAGAATTTGGCTGCTAGTACATCTGACTGCGCGTGGAAGACAAACTCTGGTCTGTCGTGGAGATGCATATTCCAGACTTGAACGAGTCCATCTGGGTCGTGAGGTGCCGAAGGGTTCTTCGTATATGCTGCCAGAACTAATTCGGGGAATTTGGGAGAGAAATTGATGTCGCTGATCATCCTCTTCTTGGACCATCGTTCATCGTAAAATTGTGCAACCTCTTTGACACGCCGCCGGCCTTTTCCTCTTGTGTTTCCATACTCATCGTCATCGTCTTCAACTCCATTCTGGCCACTCAGTGCATAATCTGCCAAGATATCATATTCCTGATCCAATGCCCTCTCAATAACCTTGCTGGATCTTTCCAAAAAGTCCATAAAATCCTCGGACGAGGTGACAGCATTAAGCTCTTCATTTGTGAGAGCTCTGGCGGGAAAGTTTGCTGTGCCATTTGTTGAGGTCTTGAGGGATCCATCCACAACCAAATCTCTGGTTGCCTTGAGCTCCTCTTCAATCTCCCTCCTCAAGTTCTCCCGAAGTTCATCTTCTCGATCTCGCTCTCTCCTACTCAGCCGCTTGCTAGGTGTAGATGTCGCTGCGGTGTCTCCTTCATCATTGTCCGAGTCTTCAAAGGCCTTTGGTTTAGACGTCTGGGTGCCCCATTCTTCCGAAGTTTGTACCCCCTTGCTATAGGAAAACACTTCCTTAACTGGTGATGGTGGGAACTCGTAGACTGTAGCCAGAGGAACGGTAGAAAGAGTTTGTGTAGAAATGGAGAGGGTTTGTGGTTGATTCTGTAGCTGACTGATAGATGGTTCTGAATTCTCGTTGCTGAGTTCCCCTGCGCTCAATACACTGTTTGGTCTACTGCCCTTTCCAGCCGGAGAGCCAGCACCGCCAGGTCCTGTTGATCCAGGCCGACTTTTATCCACTAATATTGAGGATATGTACTTTTCCAACTCTTCGCGATCCCCTGCCCGGTTTGGTATTGGTGCTGCTAACTAGAGATGGTCAGTAAGTCAACGAGGTAAACCAGAAGAGTTATGTACATCACTGGAACTGCCTATGCTTTGTCGACTCGACGATATCTCCCTTGTACGAAGTTCCCTCTGCCTCTTCAACTCTGCAAGCTTGGCCTTCTTTGCCAGAATCTCATCTCTGCGTTGTTGCATCATGTCCGGGGCAGATGCCCATCTCGGGGTAAGGCACTGTTTGGGCTCTTGTGCAGTCCGTAGATTGATTTCGTCTTAGATTGTTGAGGTATAGAAGACTTGGAGAATGAGAGAAGTCGAAATCGCAATATTCGGATCTGCAGAATGGTAGCAGAAATATTTGTCAAGTTCCCCTTTCTGCTTGCATTGTCGCGTCGTTAAGACCCCTTCAAGTGGTTTCGCGTGCCTTGCCATGCAATAATTTTGGGTCGCCGTAGTTCGCAATGGGTGCTGTGGTGTTCGCAAGATCCCGGGATGAGCTTGAGTCTTTCTCCGACCAGCCCAGTCCTAGTCCAACGACAAAAACATCTCAGCTTCGCCCTGTCCACAACAACACTCGGCGACTCTCCCAGCTGCGACAGCCTGTCAATTGATTCACCAGTGTCAGCTCCTTGCCCTCCTTCCGCTCGTTCGTCCTGTCATAGACCAGCTTCTCCGATGGCTTCCACCGGGGTAAACGTACGTTCAGAAATTTTGCGCCTGCCATCAACAATCCCAATGGCATCGAAATCTTCCGCGCTCTCTTTAAAATTTCCAGAGGAATTGGGCTGACCATTCTGCTGCTCCAGGTTCTCCGGTATTCGGCGTTAGGTGCTGGTATCTTCTATGGAATTTACCACCAGTCCAAGCTCTCTGCTGCATCGAAATTGGCAGCTATCAACAGAGAATATGAGCACAAGCAGAATTTGATCAACCAGGCGAAGGCAGAGTTCTCGAAGAAGAACGCACCTGCGACCGCGAAGACAGAGAGTGGAGGCAGTACGTTCTACCCCAGAAACCACCTTCTCGTCTCAGCATGCCCGAACGGGAAAGGGATAGCAATTGGTCTCCTCCTAGACAACGTGCTTGGAAGTCAACTTGCTATTCATGTATGCTGACGGTTTGAAACAGTTATCAGCGATCCCAACGACTCACGATTTGATCTGGAGGCATACTTGATACATCTTGATGCGAAGTCCTCGTAAGGAGACTGGGGATGGGTTATGGATGTAATGATGGGCTAGATAGAGAGATAGACGGACGGTATCAGCTGGTGGACCTCAACATGGACATCGGTTGAGGGCTTAGGAGGTGCAAAGTGATTCAAACAAAAGCTTAGAGGTCACTTGGCATACTTCTTGTACATTGTACTCATAGTGAAAGGAACAGTGGAGAATACTCGAACGAGCACATGATATTGATGATTGGAAGTGATGTTCAAGGTTGCCCTTCATGTTGGAGCTCGAAAAGTGCAGTTCATTTGGTGGATACGTATTTAATATAGCCCAGAAGCAACCTATCCCAAAAGCAACCCCATGGTGAATTGTTCTGTGTCGAGCCCGAACATTGACTTGTTACAACATGCTTGTCGTTATTCGAGCATATCAGTTGTATTTATTGGAGCTTTCAGCATTCATTTGAGTATTACCCGTCATCATTAAGAGAATGGGTAACTAAAGCATGCCTTGGCCATTTCAGGTTGTTAGCTACATTGAACTTACATTTCAAGTGCCAATCCATCAACACCGCACAGAAATTGACCTTCATTATTCCTCCGACATAAAACTCCAGCAGAACCCAATATCTTCAACCAACCACACTTCTTGCTTCATTTCCCCTCCAACAATAAAATAACCCATCTCGTGTCACGTGATACAACAGGAGCTTAGCTTCCAAGTTGATCCCTGCTCAGCCGCGTAGCTTCAGAGGAGCCAGATATGCGACAAGTCCAACATCATCGACAACATTTCTGTTCAACCACCAACCATGGCGGAAACAATTTCAGAGCCCTTCTTTAAGGGAAGCACAGGAAGGAGTTCAAGAGGACTTCTTCGATTGATAATTTTGTGCTTAATTGCAGCTGCGTACGTATCCCTAAACTGTCCAGGAAGTTAAACATCAACTGCTCCTCCGCTTCCGTCTAATTGATGGGATGATACCTGGCAGAAAGAAGTTATACTAATTGGCATACAGAGCTGTAGCGTCTAGATTGTTCTCCGTGATCCGCTTTGAGAGTATCATTCACGAATGTCAGTTGCGAATCTTCGAATGCCACATCTCCATGGGCACAGCACAGCAGCTCCAGGACTTATGCTAATTGACTTGCAGTCGATCCCTGGTTCAATTTCAGAGCGACCAAATACTTGGTACAACATGGCTTCTACGACTTTTGGGATTGGTTTGACGACCGGACGTGGCATCCATTGGGACGAGTTACTGGAGGAACACTATACCCGGGATTGATGGTGACCAGTGGTGCCATTTACCACGCGCTCCGAGCTCTCACGATTCCAGTCGATATCCGAAATATTTGTGTGCTGCTTGCACCTGGATTCTCCGGACTTACTGCTTTCGCAACATACCTCTTCACGAACGAGATGTCAACTTCTCCTTCCGCTGGCCTTCTCGCCGCTATCTTCATGGGAATTGCCCCAGGTTACATCTCGAGATCAGTTGCTGGCAGCTACGATAACGAGGCAATTGCTATTTTCCTTCTCGTATTCACGTTCTACCTCTGGATTAAGGCATTGAAGGTTGGCTCTGCATACTGGGGTGCCCTCTGTGCACTTTTCTACGGATACATGGTGTCAGCTTGGGGAGGATACGTCTTCATTACCAATTTGATTCCATTACACGTATTCGTGCTTGTATGCATGGGCCGATTCAGTCCAAGGTTGTACGTGAGCTACTGCTCCTGGTACGCTCTTGGCACGTTGGCAAGCATGCAAATTCCTTTTGTAGGCTTCTTGCCAATTCGCAGTAGTGAACATATGTCCGCTTTAGGTAAGGATAATCTGGCGAATTACTGAACTTTTGCTAACTATATCAGGTGTTTTCGGCCTTCTCCAATTAGTTGGATTTGTTGAGTTTGTCCGCTCTGGAGTGCCAAGCAAGCAGTTCGCAACCCTACTTAGAGGCTTCGTACTTGCAGTATTTGTTATTGCTTTCGGAGGTCTGGTTCTCTTGACAGTTGGTGGCGTTATTGCTCCATGGACTGGTCGTTTCTACTCTCTCTGGGATACCGGATACGCCAAGATTCACATTCCTATTATCGCCTCCGTGTCTGAGCATCAGCCAACCGCATGGCCTGCATTTTTCTTCGACTTGAATCTGCTCATCTGGCTCTTCCCAGCGGGTGTCTACCTCTGCTTTCAGAAGCTCGCCGATGAGCAGGTTTTCATTGTTGTATACTCCATCCTCGCCAGTTACTTCTCCGGTGTCATGGTTCGACTTATGCTCACACTCACACCAATCGTTTGTGTATCTGCTGCTCTTGCATTGTCCAGCCTCTTGGATACTTACTTGACAATTCGATCCCCAGAGGCACCTGTCGAAGGCGCTCCAGATGCAACCGCCAATGGAAAGTCTGCCAAGGGTGGCCTTCGCTCCATGCGTCAGCCACTTGTCGGCATCTACACCACGTTCTCCAAGGGAACTGTTGTTGGAGCTTTGACTTCATACCTCTTGATCTTCGTTATGCACTGCACCTGGGTCACTTCTAACGCATACTCTTCTCCATCAGTCGTGTTGGCAAGCAGAATGCCCGACGGAAGCCAACACATCATTGATGATTATAGAGAGGCATACCAATGGCTCCGCCAAAACACCGCCGAGGACGCCAAGATCATGTCATGGTGGGATTATGGTTACCAAATTGGTGGTATGGCTGATCGTCCAACTCTTGTTGACAACAACACCTGGAACAACACGCACATTGCGACCGTTGGAAAGGCCATGAGCTCTCGCGAAGAAGTCAGCTACCCTATCATGCGCCAACACGAGGTTGACTACGTTCTTGTCATCTTCGGAGGTCTTCTTGGCTACTCTGGAGATGATATCAACAAGTTCTTGTGGATGGTGAGAATTGCCGAGGGAATCTGGCCCGATGAGGTCAAGGAGCGTGACTTCTTCACCGATAGAGGAGAATACAGAGTCGATGATGGTGCTACTGAGACCATGAAGAACAGCTTGATGTAAGCGTTTTTCTCCTAACACCATGAATTTCAGCTAACAATTCGTACAGGTACAAGATGTCATACTACAATTACAATACCCTTTTCCCACCCGGACAAGCACAAGACCGTGTCCGTGGTGTTAAGCTCCCAGATGTTGGACCAACGTTGAACACTGTAGAGGAGGCATTCACCAGCGAGAACTGGATCGTCCGTATTTACAAGGTCAAAGACCTTGACAACGTCGGCAGAGATCATGCCTCAGTTGCGTCATTCGAGAGGGGGAATAAGAAGAAGAAGACGATCAAGAAGAGAGGTCCGAAAGTCTTGAGGGTTGAGTAAATTGGCATTGGAATGGGAAAAAAAATAAAGATATTTGCATGTATATGTACCATAAAACACTTTTCATTACTGGGCAGACATGCAGTCAGGGAACAAAAGTGTAGCGAGTCCTTGTAGAAATGTACTCGTAAATCTGGCCTGGCTTGCAAGTGAGTCAGTGACCCTGCGCTGTGATTCTTCTCACTTTCGATGTTTTGCTCAGAACCCGTCGATTTGTCTCCGTTGTTTGCTTTTCTGCGGTGCCTTTGATGATACCTTTTCACTAGTCTTAATCTTGTGCCTCTTGCTTGGACGTTGTTATATTGTAGCCAAATTGATTACGACGAAGCATGAAGTCTTCAGGCTCATTCTGATTTTACTCTTTTGCTTTAGAAGCGGATTCACATTGAGCAATATTTTCACTTTAGCCGATTGAGCGCTTCAGATGCGGATGGCTTTGCTTTTCATTATTTGTCACCAAAAGTGAGTGAGTCTATTCAACCCTTTGACTATTTGAGCGGATAATCACTCAACGGCAAGCCTTGCAATCTAGGTAGGGTTGAATTTTACTTTTCTATTATTGTATGCAGTCTTAGTGACTTTCCGAATGAAAGAATTCACTGGCTAGGCCCTTTGAAGCGACCATTTCTCCACCATAAGTTGGCTTCTCGATTGTGAGGGCTGACAAAAACCGCACATCCACCTCGGGACATTGTTGAAATGATACTTTTTACCTCAAACTGTCGAGCTGTTTCAACTCCAAAGCATGGAGAGAAGCCCTATTGGACTTTGCACGATGTTGACATTGTCTCAAAAATACGACCGTCGCCCTCCCTCTTGCGACTTCGGAGCAAGCCTGTGCTGGAGTATGGCATGGCAAGCATGTTTATGTTTCCTTGTTATGGGCACGAAGCACTTGGGATATTCTCCAGTCGAGTCATCATGGCAAGCTGAACTCTTTCTCCCTGCAATTCACGCGTCAGTAGCAGAAGTTCAGCTTCAACGGAATATATTGTTGGTGAAGTTTGTTTTGTTTGTGCCAAAAGCGGCAACGGCGAACTACTCAAAACTGTTCCGCCCACGTCATTTTCTTCCTGCAAAATCACCAAGCGTCGCTGCAAGATAATTATTATTCTCGACAAAAACAACTCGTTATATTCTTGTAGCGATAAATACTGGCCTAATTACAAGGAATTGTCGCCAATTGACCCGCTAATGCTCGGGGCGGCAAGATGCTCTCAATGTGAGTCTCGATCTAGTGTATCTGATTGGAACAACATGTGCAGCTTTGCTGATCTTTGAAACCAGCTTCAAGTCCAATCGACCTGCGAGCGACAGTGACAGCTCTAGTTCCTCCTCTTCCGAAGAGCGCATTATACCTCCCGGCACTCCTTACCTCACCAAGATCAACGGCAAGCTCGTTTGGGCGCGCAAGAAGACACCCAAGGTTGTGAATCCTATGAAAGATCTACTGGGAGAGGCATTTGGCAGTAGAACTGTCATCGTCCGCAAACGCTCCAGGTCTCTCGAGCGACCTGTCACGAAGGTGCTCATTGGCAACGTCCCGGTTGTGCAACAGCATCAGGTCTCCTACTCGGCTCCTCTTCCACAACAACCATTTCCGACTATGTCGCCACCAATGGCCTACTATCCTAAACAGCCTCCTCCTTTTATATGGCAGCCGACGCCACAGCCTGTACCGCAGCCTCCGCAGCTCCCACAGCTCTATATTCCCCATCAACCGCCTATGCCAGCCCCGCTGTTCGTCCAGCAAAGCCCGACGGAGAAAGAGAAGGAACAGCTCAAGATCTTTGATGCGCATTTCAATAACATGGTCAAGCCAAAGACGGCAAGGGTTACATCAGCTTCGAGCGAAGAGTCCCAAGATAAGTCGCAGAGTAAGCCACAGGAGCAGCCCCAGACAAATGCTGAGGAATCGACAACGAAGGTCAAGATCGCGATAACAAAGCATGTATGTGGCGATTGTGGACGATTGAGATCTCGAAAGTATCACCATGATCATCCTCTCAAGCCAGGAGAGGTACCCGAGGTGGCATTCTGCAGAAAGTGCCAAAAGGATGCTAGTTCTACGAGCGAATCTAGTGAAGCAGAAGATACACACAAGAGTAAGAAGAAAGAGAAGTCCAAGAAGAAGGTAAAGAAGAACAAAGCTCCACCCAAGGTAATAACACTGTTTTCGTTGCGGTAGCGCAGTTGCTGACGAGATGCAAAAGCCGGTCGAAAGCTCGGATGAGGACGACGAAGACGAGTCTTCCGATTCTCCAGCACCTAAACCACCCAAAACTCCCAAGCCTAATCAGCCCAAACCTGGTCATCCCAAGAATGTCAGTCGCTGTTTCTTATGCCCAAGTGACGAACTAGTATGCTGACATACGTAGCAGCCAGCAGGGAAGAAGTCAGTATCAGAAGACTACATTGTCGTGGAAGAGGAATTTTCGGACCACGAGAGACAGCCCAGAGGTAGATCTCACAGTCGAGCTTCCAGAGAGAATGATGCCTCTAGACGCCCTCTTTCTCCCATAAACAGCCAGCTTTCCGCGCCTCGATCAAGATCGCGATCGTATGTTAGACCCTCACCGCAGGATTATTCGAAGAATAGACCAAATCCAATCGAGATACATGAGGCATTCAGAGAAAAAGTCCGTCCACGGTCCCCGCATATCCAGTACAGATACGTTGAGGTTGTCCCGAGCCAAGTTAGCTTCGAAAGGAACGAGCCGTCATATCCGAGAAAGGCTCCTATCCATTTAGTGGACGATGTTGTCTACGAAAAGCCGGTGTCACCCAAAAAAGCCCAGTATGTGTACAGAAGTCGTGAAGGCGCTCCTTCGAGCAAGGCATATAGCGTGGAGGAGCCAGAGAGTGTCGCCAGAAGCTATCATGCAAGAGTCGACGACCTTGAGGGCGAAGGTTCGGTTCGGGGTCCACCTTCTTCACTCCATGACACTTTCGAGGTTCGTGAAGTATCGAGTCGAGGGCCACCAAGTAGAGAAAACAGCTTTGAGGTTCCTGATGCAGCGAGTTCCATGCGTTCAAGCGATGCACGACGACGTCGGAAACGAGAACGAGCTACCCCTGGGGCACCAGACTTTGGCCCAAGGGAGCAACCACACGTCATTCATCCTGAAAGCGATGATGAGCTTGTTGTTGTCAAGGAGACTTTCGAATATAGGAAAAAGAAGCAGGCTAGTGAGGACGAGCGCCGAAGACAAGAATACATCGATCGAGCAACATTGAGTCCCCGCAAGAGCTACCAATTCTCTGCTGACGAGGCAGCTAGATACTATTACGATGATTGGTCGCGAGCTAAGCCAGGCTTTTCCCTGCCGTCACTTGTAGGAAAGCCATATCAACCATACCAGCCCGCCAAGGCAAAGAAAGGATATCGTAGAGACAGACACCCAGAGTCAGAGGTGACTGAATCGGAAGCCAGTTATGACTATGGCATGTCAGGTATGCATCCAAGCTCTGTTATGTTTCGGCAACATGCTAACATACCACAGATCAGCATTATCCTCCACGAGTCCCAAGTCCTCCTTCTCCCATCTACCAATCCAAGGTCAACGACTGGTCAGGCTTGAAGCATACTGACTGGGGAGATGAGCCTCTATATCCCGTGAGTTCTGGATCTGAGCATGCTGGTCGAAGGGGCAAGGTAGTTCACATGCCTCCCATTGAAGCTCCTCGCTGTCGTCAAAACAATTCCAGTGCTCGACCCACATCTGCACGAGGTGCACCAGATGGCGGATCAGAGAGAGCTTTGATAGTATCGCCAAGACATTCGGGGGAAAGAAGTCGTGATTCTATTTATGAATACACAGGATCGGATCTTACTGAGAGACAGCATAGGGATAGGTGGGACGAATTTTCCGCTTCGAACATAACAGAGTTGGAAAGACTGGCTGAGGTAGAGGCTAGGCATGTCACTTTCAAAGACACTCCTTCTTTGCGATCCTTGCATGACAATTGGGGCACGTCGGAAGGGAATAGTCAGCGGTCGAGAAGCGAATATGATACACGAAGCGGAGGAGGCGGATGGGAAAATGGTGGTGAGAATCGGGGAGGGCCCGGAGGGCTTGGTGATGTAACAGATGGATGAGAGAAAGGAGGGCAGGGTAGATAAGGTATGATCTGAGCATAAGTAGTACTTTTGCAGTGGCAGAATAATGCTGGGACGTAAATTGAGTTTGCTTGTCAGATTACAGCGTATACTCATTGACAGGTAGTTTATGGTAATGAAACACCATCTCCTCACAAGCCCCAGCTCGAACGGCAATTTCTGAGATCAGTAAATCTCGTGACCCCATAGGTTGGTGTATCCTCATGTTCTCTCTCATTGGCTGACATTGCAGAGGCTGACCGCAAGCATGCTGCTCGGTGTTACTGCCCTGGCTTTCAACCTCATCAACCACTTCTACCCGGAGGCGACCACCTATCAACAACGCAACACCTGCAGGGCTCTCAGCCAACACTGTAACATGTCAATTCCCGCCCAAGGATCAGTCTATTCTCCTCTCGACCACTCAACATCACAAATCCGCCTCATCATTTTACAGCCTTGCCTCGACCCACATGACGACGAGATTCGCTGTTCTCTCAGCCTCGCAGATCTTGAAGATGAAAATTGTGTTTATGAAGCGCTGTCTTATGAGTGGGGTCCCCGAACGGATACTCCTTTACACATCTGGCTTGATGACCGCAGATTTGCTGTGAGGCCAAACCTGTGGTCTGCGCTGTGGCACTTGAGGGAAGGCGAAAAGAATGGGGTGAATGGGCGAGCTAGGGTTCTTTGGATTGATGCGCTGTGTATTGATCAGGAAAATGAGAGGGAGCGTAATCATCAGGTACTTGGCTCTGCTCATACTCCGAATGTATCATGTGACTCTTGGTAATTAACTTGTCATAGGTTCGCCAGATGGGAACAATCTACGAGCACGCCACTCGAGTTGTTGCATGGACAGGACCTGCAACACAAGGTCAAAAGTATCTCATTGCAACAAGCTTACATCTCAAATTTGACGTACAGAAGGCATTTGAATTTGTTGAACAACTTTATGGTACAGTGGCGACAAGAAATTGGTATGACGATGAACAAGCTACCTGGGGCATTAATCGTCTGTCTTATCGCGACATCGAGCCACAAGATACCAGGCATGCTATTTCCAACAATGATCATCGTTGGGGGCTGCTGTTTCAAGTCCTTCAGATGCCTTACTGGAGGCGGCTGTGGATCACACAAGAACTCGTTCTTGCAAAAGATGTCATTATACAGTTTGGGACCTCCTCACTATCATTCGTTGCCTTAGAGCACGTACTTGGACAGAGTCTCCGATGGGACATGAGCCTCAGATGGGGTGCCAGGAGAGCCGCCTATATCAGCAGTGAAGTCAGAGCCTTTCTCAACAACTCGCCCGCCGCGATTTCACTCGGCAGTACTACCGCCTTCAAAATCGCTCAGCAACGATTCGAAAGAAGGGACAGTATCCTCCAGGCGAATACGATCTTGAATCTATGCTTTATATACCGTCAAGCTCTGTGCATAGATCTGAAGGACAAGATATTTGCACTTCTGGGAATGAGCCAACCATGCTGCCAGAAAGCAGTTCCTGTCGACTACGGCGCGTTGCCAATGCAGATATGTTACTCTGTCATGACACACCAGCTTCGAGATCATCACAGTCATTTTCTGAAATTCACGGACAGTAGTCCTGATGGGAAGGCGGAACTCTTCAACATCGTGAAAGCGGTCTTCGATCTTTTCGAGGATTCTTCTGCAACACCGCGCTTCCTTCTTGATAATGCATTTACGGATTCATGTGCTAAGGGGACAGTGGCGAGGTTGGTTGGTAGGAAAGTCGGCAGGATATCTCTTCCACTCGACGGAAAGATAAAAGTCGAGAAGGTGTTCAGTATCATTCAAAGTACGAATAGCGGGACATGTCCCGAAGAATGCTCAGAGCTTCAGAAGGGAGACTCCGTTTTCGCTCTCAACTCTCACGATATCCTAATACTACGCTCATCGGATCGGTCGAAGGAACTCCAGTTGATCGGATCCGGCACATTAAGGAAATCGTTACCATTGTACGACGCCAGCGGGAGGATGCCTGATCTTGATTTCTTGTTTATGGATGTTGAGTCGCTGCGGATGTTGTGTCGGGTTTCTCCTACGGGTGCGAAATACTTACTGGTTGGAGAGACCTGCTACGGGTGTTTGGACTGTTCGAAGAGTCGGTTCAGATTTGACCTGTGAGAGGAACACTATCGAAGATATGATAATCTAGAGAACCTAACCCATGAGTGTGTTTCGAGAGTTATCTCAAATCATCAATTATTCCGATTAAACTAATTTTGTTCGCTTGCTAACTCTTCAGGACATCTGGAACCTATCAGATATTGAAGTTTGCGCCGTCAGTAGAGATTAGGAGAGCACAAAAAGTAAACGGAAGTCTCCAGAGTCTTCGTCAGACAGGAGTACTTTGATTTATACAAGTCTATACCTACATGCCTGATACTGATAAAGGACCCTCGGGTGGTGATTCCTATGCCGATTGAGTTACACGTTCATCAAAGCTCAAAATCTATTTCAGTACGAAGCTGGACCGCTGTTTTTGACCGAAAGTTGGGACTATTTGTTTCCTGACCACCCCTGAGTTGGTGTGGTGGTCATTGTGAATGTTGAAGGCAGCGCATCTGTAAGCGAAGACCAACTAAAAGTGCCCTGAAATTGTGTGCTGTAAACATCGGAAGTCGCCTACAAAAAGCAGTGGTTAGCGCGCGCCAGGCAGGTGAGCTAGCGCGCGGCAGCATGTGCGATTCCTCTTCCTCACAACGCTCCTCAAGCCCAACCAATCATAATGCAAAGCCTATTATAGAACTGGTGTTTTCAGTCTATCAATAGTCGCGTTTGCGATTTTGCTACTCTCTACGGATTGTTGTGATTTCAGTTTCTTTGCATGGTTTCACGTTTGTAGTTTGCATACCACCATCTTTCCAATTACTTGTCAATCTTTGCTACTTATATCTTGTGATCAGAAGAAGGACTGAGTTAGACTCTTGATTCTAACGTTATTTTGTTTGGAATTCTCTTCCTGTCGCTCAATCTCGAGATCAAAATGTCGGCTCGGCAGGACTCTGACAACCTGGCCTGGGATCGGAGTGATGAGCTCTGGGAAGAGGCAACGAAACAAGTTCGACTGTCGTCTGCATGCCAGAAAATCGAACATTTTGCTGCGAAGTTGTTCGGAAAGACCGCGATTTTCATTTCTCCAATGCTTATTGGTGGATTCAACGTGCTTTATCCCATTCAAATAGAAGGCCTCACTGAAAAGGTCCTCGTACGAATACCCTGCCCTAGCCAGGTGCTATTTCCGGAAGAGAAATCAATTGCAGAAGCCGCCACAGCAGCATACATCAGTCAACATACTCGTATTCCTGCTCCAAAGCTCTTCTACAGCGGAGTTGATTCGGACATCGGGCCATATATGATCATCCAAGATCTGGGCACCCGCCGTTGTATGGGACAGCCTTTGGAAACACCCCGAACTGATCCCAATGATACACCTGTCCTGAACCCACACCTATCAGACGTCAAGCTTCAAAGCCTGTATGTCAAAATGGCACGATGCGTATTGCAACTTGCCCAGCCGACATTTTCCCGCATTGGAGCGCTCAGCGAGACAAGCCCCGGTTCGTTCGATGCCACTGGAAGACCTATCACCATAAATATGAGCAATATGGCACAATTGTCTAATGTTCCAACATCAATCTTCCCTCCCGAAGGAACCACGTATCAGACTGCTGACTCGTGGTACGCGGCATTGGCCGAAATGCAAATAGTCACGCTCATCTTCCAACATAACGATATGGTCTCTTCGGAAGATGACTGTAGGAACAAATACGTCGCCCGCCAGCTTTTCCGGAAATTGGCGAGGAAAGGTCAGCTAGCGAATTTCGCCTTTGTTGAAGATGACTGGTCAGCACAGGCAAAATCCCAAATGATGCCCACGACATTGAAAGCTCCAGATGGCTCAGGTTCGTTTCGTCTGTGGTCCGATGATTTCAGGCCTGCCAATGTAATGGTTGATGAAAATGACGAGATCCTTGGGGCTATCGACTGGGAGTTTGCTTACGTTGGGCCGACACAATTCGTTCTGGATCCACCATGGTGGCTGCTGCTTGATGTACCCGAAATGTGGGAGAAAGGAATCGAAGATTGGACGAGCCAATATGACAAACGGTTGAAAACGTGGCTTTTGGCAATGCAAAAAGTAGAGGAAGAATTGGAGAAAGAAGTGACCAAAAACAATGTACGGCTCTCTGAATATATGCGCTCCAGCTGGGAGACGGGTCGCTTTTGGCTCAATTATGCTGCTAAGAGGAGCTGGGCATTTGATACCATATATTGGAAGTACTTGGACGAAAGATTCTTCGGAGTGAGGGACGACGATATCTCAACGGAACAGCTATGGAAATCAAGAGTGCATCTTCTCAGTGAAGAGGAACATGATGCGATGGAACCGTTTGTACAGGTGAAGATGAAAGAGTCAGAGGAGCGGATTCTGGTGGAATGGGATGCTGAAGAAGCGAGGAAGCGTTTGTCAGATTTATTATTTGATTGATTGCTGGTTAGTGGACATAGAGCTCAATATTAGCAGTATCGTGCCAAATTCCTGGCCTGGAATTGCTGCAAGCGGCGTCTGCTGATGCAAGACCACCAATTCTCCTCGCGTCCAGAGCAATTAAGTCTGATAGCGCTCTTCTTAACAGGGCATCCACAACCAAGGGGTTCCAACCACTGCGTTACCACCACTTTGTATGATAGCCACACATGTAGATTAGAAGAACCAGGACTTTGACACTCCGTTCTCTCATCTTGCCTCGGAACACTCTTTTCCATCGCCCATTTCGACTTCTGTCTTCTCGTCAAACAATGGCTCGAAAACCTCTGCCCCGCCATTTTCTCTCAGGTCACTACCTTGATTCCTATCTTCAATTCCTTTGCGCCAGCACATCTTGATCCTTTCCCACAATTTGTACTGCTCGGCAAGTGAAGCCATAGAAAGGAACATCATGAGTTCAGCCCAGAGTCCAAGTTGTATCCATGCAGTTGAAGCCCAGTCTGCCTGACCGCGCTTATAGTGATTGATAATACACTGGATAAAATAGGGTCCGATGGTGGTTTTCGGACTCAGGACAGTATAATGGACTAGTATTTGTGCCAATGAGCGCTTTCGAGGTGTTTCGGACATTGGTTCGTTGTTTTCTGGGTCGAAGTTCATTGCGAATGAAGTGAACGCCGATATTGCCGGCTGTTGTGTGTGTTCGTATTTGGAGGACTGGCCTGATATTTAGAGAAGTATTTCTTTGTCAGTGTGCATTTATGAAACTAGCAGAGTGAAAGTTTTGTAGTAATATATATGAATGTGCGGACGCTAGTTTTAGCTCTCCAAGTTTGAAGATCAAATTCAGAACATGACAAACATGGTGAGCACTACCATCAATATCTACGACAGAATTATCATCCATTTTCTCGTGGAGCTACTTCTTTTTGTCCAATTCTTGGGGTTCAGAGACGCGCTGAAGTGCGAGGACAGGGTTCCAACTTTGGGTGCGTCACAATAGGTAGGCTGTAAAAGCCGCCATCATTCTGATGGTGCCTGCTTTCTCAGGGGCTTAGAAAATTACGACTAGCTCGGAGTGCTAGGTAAGCACATTTCCACCGCACAAAAAAAAGACTGATTTTATGGTCCGACATGCCGCTTTGAAGCCAAATGGCAAGCTATTTTGCACGACTATATGGACCCAACCTGCAACTTTTGTGTAGATTATTGAAATCTCTCAAGGACTTTTAGCACTTTACCCCGTTTATCTGCCACTTTCATCTATCTCGATAATCACGCCGCATTGGACAAGATGCGCTCTATGTGCCCATATCTGATACTTGCGACAATAGTCTTCTTGATATGTCTCATACCTGTCATGTTCGTCTATACATTGAATCCCGGCGGACTACATGGCCTGATAAGAAATTATGTCATCGCCGTTGCTGTCTTTGGAACGATATTCATGTTATTTTAAACCTGTTTCGCACGAGACACCCACGAGAAAAATACACGAAATTATGCCAAATCCAGCAAAAGAATCGAGACAAGGCTCGAAACTGCTCAAACATTACTACATGAACATCACACTTTACAAGGCATGGCAAGGGACAAGACTATATGTAAATTCCTGAGAGCATACGACAAAGAAATGAATCTGGTACAAGAAGTACTCGATTTGGAGCGTAGCGACTATGAGAAATCCCAACTTGGCGACTCCAAGGCGGACGGACTTGGAAAAGGAAACGACAGCCGTGGAACATATTTCGTAGTCCTTATCAGAATGTTACTTCTCACTAGAATCAAATTATTGACCCAACGAGGCGCATATTTGCGGGTCTGGAAAGGACAAGGTTTACGACATTGAAAAATTATGCGCGGAATTCCTAGAACTCGAGATTGACGTCGAGGACTTTTGGGCACGAGGATGTGGAGCTCTGGTTGGAAGCGATGGTAGTTTTGTTCAGGATATAGATGCACTACAATCGTGCTTCAAGAGGCTCCCTGGCGCATTATCTCACTTGGCTTGTGCGAAAGACGATTGGCGTCGATGGGGTCTTTCGAGCCTTGGAAATCGCGCTTTTGGGTATGAGATCCAATATGCGAAAATCAAGAAGGCATGATTGCAACGTCATGACTATGAGCTGCTATATCAATTGGTAAACGCCTTTTGTCTTTCATTTTCACACTGGCGAATGTGCCCGAGGATGAGAATAGCAGACTTTCATACTTAAGGGAGCATGCATTTCTGAGTGATGTCTGTCAGGTAGCGATTAAAGAGCTTGGGAGGAGATCATGTGAAGTCGTATTTCACGTGATTGGTCAAAGTAAACAAAGATTAGCGAGAAGTCCATAAATTCAGACGCAGAACAATAGCAGGTTTTCTGTGCCGGCCGGCATTATTCACCATAGCCATAAATTACATATTTTCAATGATGGAATCGCTAGCGTTCAGCTGGAAACCTCATGAAGCACTCATGATAATGATCTTCTCATGGCTACCACGGCTGCTAGATAGAGGCTGATTCCTACCGGCCAGTAGGGTTACAAGTCTCTTTCTCTCCGTCCATTTTCATTTTATTTCAGAGCTATCGCATTACGACATAGCGACCTCATCCAGTCAATCAGGTATGCGTTTGGATATTCTGAAATCTCAAAGTGAGGCCTAGACAAATTTCTGTTCGAGCTAGCACACACTAGTATAGCTACCCACACAATGCCTACAGATATTTAGATTTTACAAAAACACTTCCACAACATATCGATCAACCACAAAATTACCGGACAAAAAGATGACTTCTAATGTGCTCCCCCGCTTCGAATCGACAACTAGCATGATAGCTACTTACTACATTATGTTCCTCCTTGGTTTATTGACATCTGCCGCAGGCGACAAGTACACCGCCCTCGCCAACCTTCTTCTGGTCCATTCAGTTATTTGGTTTCTTTTCGTTGCTATTTGTAAAGTGAAGGGAATTAAAGATCGTAGATAGGAGGATTTAAGGGACTCTGGAGAGCGGGAGAGGCTGTTGGATAAGAAATGGGACTCGGAGTTGGACATCGAATCAATTTGATGGCTGTATGAATGATCAAATTTTGGGGGTAATCGATTGCTGCGGAGCTGCGAGCATGAACCCATCAGTCAAGACACGAAAAATCCCACTTTCATCACCTCCATAATCTCCCCTTCACATACCACCTCACACACTCTCTCCTCACCTCACACCAGCCTCAATCCCATATATGAGTCCCAACCACCCACACACACCCACCTCATCAAGCACCACCATATCCCAATCCCAATCTTAACCCATGTCTCCTGTCCGCCGGGCCCCTAGCCTCCCGAACCGGTGCCGTTCCCATTCCTATTTAGTAGTTACATCGTACGCAACGCAAGACCTGCGTGATCGTGTACCTCCCTTTGAGAGATCGAGAAGAGAAGGTGTTCATTCTATGTTGCTTGCTGTTGGGATGGAACGTGAGGGGTGGGGTGTCTCGGGAGTTGAGTCTTAGGTATTGGGTTCGGGAAGTGAGATGAGATGAGATGAGATGAGGTGGGAAGTGGAGACATGGAAGGGGGAAAGGCGGGTAGCTGCATGGTGTGGGATGGAGGCTGCTTATGGGATGGGGGTGGGGATGGGGATGAGAAGTGTATGTGTGTCTGCTGTGTGGATGGAAGGGATCTGAGGGGAGAGAATGGAGAGGGGGAGGAGAGGGCAGGATAGATGGTTGGATCTTGGTCTTGGAGGTGTAGAAGGAAGATCCTGGAAAGTTTGGTTGGGAAGTATTGTGTAGAACAATCATGAAGAGAGAACCGACTCTCGATCGAGTTAAACCGGATTGGATGTTGAGGTCTGAAGCTCGTGGAGTAGATGATGCTGTAGGCAAATGATCTGAGACTTCCTGGAACCACAGTAACGATGTGAGATTGGATACATCGTTGCCTATCGTGCAGTTACTGCATGCCACGAGTATCTAATCGATCGATGTTGTAGCTCATGTAGTGATACATTGCCTTATCTCAGTGTAAGTACTTTCTCGATAAAGTACATAAGCTTGACAGACAGACATCAAGATCATCATCCCCTTCTCGCCGACATCGCCGACTATAATCTGGCTGTAATTCCAGATCTCCCTGAAAACTTCCCAGAGTGAGATCAGAGAGACAAGACATGACCGCGGAAGTACGTCCCTTGTCATCCGTCCGCATGCCATCTCATACCACGTTACTAGCCCTTCACCCGCATGATCTTGTTTCGTCACTGCGCTACACGATCTAGAGCACAACATGCGTCTTTCCGTTTCTAACGCGCGTTTGGAACACCCGTCACCTGGCTGTCCTGCTTGTAACGGGGTCGGGCTTTGAAGCTGCTGCGGAGTTTAGATAGAGTCTCAGATATTGAGATAACGGTAATAAAATTTGTTGTTTTGTTTCGCTAGCTGTGTAGGAGGGAAGTTGTGAAACGCAGCTTGAGCAGGCAATGGCCGGATTGAAGTGTGATGATGCGGGTCCAGATATGTATCGGATGAAAAGCCGGCTGGTATAATGCAAAGACCTACGTACTTCGATGCTGTGAGATGGAAGAAGGTGATGAGACCATGCTGTACTCTATATTGGCCATGTTTTCAGAATAGATCCGTATGCGGAGTCTTGAACCAAGGTCGGGCGGTGAAGGCTGCTGTGACACTGGAAGCTTGACTCAGGAAGATAGCGAGAGGGATGAATATACAGACCCCGGTATTTCCCATACCTCTTCGAAAGACCCTTGGTGTGATTGGAGCGGACGATGATCACTGTTATTTCCCGCGGCAAACCTCCTCATCATGTATGGGTTCGCACAGAGTTCAGCGTCCTCGTGTCACGAATGGCCGTCATGGACTGTAGTTCTCGGCTTCTACATTTTCCAGAAGCCTCTTACCGTCAGATAACCCAACCGTACGACCCTTCAGTAAAGTAGTTTGCATCTGTAATATAACTTAACGGGAGATATCGGAGATGACCACTGAAAATACCGAGATATTTAGCCTGTTGGTGTCGATTGCTAGGGCATGCGAGGATATTTCGCCGAGGTTGGGGGCCGTATATGCAGTATGTATGCAAGATAAATGACGTGCATATAAGAGGCATGTGGGTGCTGGGTACAAAGCTTTTCGTGCTGCTGGAGGCGTTGATTGTGTTCGTGCCTTGAGTTCGTAACTTCCCGAGACATTCAGCACTGAATGATATGAGAAGTGTGCGGGAAATTCTAGAAGTGAAGATCGGGACTCTGGACGATATTGGGGAGCAGAATTGGCGAGTTTTGAGAGTGCTATCATACAGTTAGTTTTCGCCAAGTCCGCTCTTATTCTTGGACCCGAGTGGAAGTGCATACTGAAGCAGTCATGACATGTCTGCAAATGCATACAGCATACCTCAGAAGCAGAGGCAGTCACAATACATCAAAGCTGTCGTTTGTGGTACCTTCTACCTCACCTACCCACAGGACGGACCGATTCCCTGGAACCCGAGACAAGAAACCGTCGTCATGCAACGAGCGGTTCACGCTGATGCCCTTGCTTTGTACTCGTTACTTCTGTCGTACATCCGGAGCTTCCACCGTATACACGAGATACTTGTGCATTCGGGGAGTGCTTCCGATGCACTGTACTGACGCGTGCTAAATGCCGAAGGTGCAGCTGGCACAGCATTTGCAGTTACTGCAGTGCTGTGTGAACGAGGCAGTGTAGCAGACCTGGCATGCGAGAAGCAGGGAACATCGGAGAAGCGGGGAGGAGAGCTTGTATAACCACACTTTTCCTCCGCGACTTTTCATGCGGATAAACTTGCATGAGAATGATGGATTGCATGAGGCAGTTCCGGATACTGGATCGGGAGTCCCATTGTTGACTTTCTTGGAATCGGATCAAGCGAGGGAGCAGACAAACCACGTCGTCGGCGCAATGCCTCGATTAGGACTCGATGTCCGGTTGACTTCCCAAAGATGTGGTTTGGGTACTTCATTGGGGAGTGAATGCGGCTCCTAGTAGATCTCGATCAGATCTTGGTGCGAATCTTGATATCATAGATCGTGATTAGTTAGCACCTTTGAGCTCGTGGACTTGAGTCGTATGTCATGAGGTCGACACGAAACCTGCTTCCCCTCAATCCGAAGAATACCATTTTGTAACAAATATCCCGATCAGGTAAATCTTTCAAAAGTGCAAAGTCGATCCCCGATATCCCCGATTTCACTATCCCATGAGTCCATGATAGAAAGTCGCTATGACCCCTCCCCCACCTCGTGCTCCCTCCCCCATGGATTTTGCCTGTCATCCTGTCATCCAACAACAGCATCTTCAATCAATAACAATTAGCCAGTTGGGCCAGTGAGCTAGTGAAGCCAAGCCCAACGTCGGCGATACACTCACAAAAGCAAAAAAGTAACGTCCAAGAATAATACCCCTTTAGTACATGCAAGTAAGGTTATCAAAGGTTCTTGAACTGAAGTTTAGCGCTGGCTTTCAGATCGATACCTGAATCGCATCGATCCCTCCCGTGCTGGCGCGCGATCCAGATTACGCCAAACCCCGCCACGGGGCGCGTCAAGTCAGTAAAGTGTCGAATAGGTGGTGCTGAAGGGAACGCCACCAGATTCCACAAGTGTCTTGTTTTCTTTGTATCCGTACGGTTTCCGCGCCGTGGCTGTTGTGCGGGACGGGAGGGGATGTTTGAGGGGTGGGTGCGATAGTGAGCAACGGAGCGGAGCGTAATTGAACGACTTGGATGGTTTCCTGATGGGAAACAATACATTCTTCTCTCTTGAATCCGGGCTCGGGCGATAGGTAAGAGCTGTCACTTCCAGCCCCTTTGCTCTCCTCCCGGCATAGCAGTCTAGAACCCCTCCAATTCTACTTCTCATATCGGGTATCAGGTCTGCCTCATCCATGCCATGTATTGATATCGATTTCATATCGGTACGATACGACACTTGTGTTGCTCTGTTCCAAACATTAAGGCTGGTATCAAAGCAAGGGGAATCTCTATTTCGACCTCGAGTACCACAAGATGCTTGATCATCAACGTGCACCAACCTCAACGGCTCCGAATTCAACTAGAATAGAGACAGCCGGTACTTGAAACAGATCACCATTCCATCCGACGTCAACGGCGAAGAGAACCAGTCCCAAAATACGGAGTACGAAGGTTCGAAATAACCCTCACACGAATCCACGATATCGTCCGTCTTAAGTGTACAGCCGCGCTGTCCGATATCTGGGGAAGTAAGTGCAAGTGCAAGTGCGGGTGCGGGAAGCCGCAGCAGTACTACCGGTAGTGGTGAGACTGAAACCGAGACTATCAGAAAAAGCCAATCTCTCGAACCTGCACGATCGGACAAGGCATGGCATGGCATGCTTTCCTTTCCTTTCGGGTCGTTCGTTTTGAACGGTCCGGCCGTCTGATCCGATTGATTGATTGATTTTGACTATTGGATTATTTGATTTAGTTCTTCCAAACATCAGACAGATGGCGCAATCGCTGCCTGTCTCGCCTCTTATGCTTTGTACCTGACAGCTGGAGATCGACATTCTAGTATCCCGAATTCAGCTCGTCTAATCTTTACTGCCCAAAACGGTGATATTCGATGCCCTCTTTATCACCCAAGGTATACTACTCTACACTATTTGCTCAATTCAGTCATCTATTATGTGTCAGGCTCCTCCATCCCATCCAATCAGAAGCCTACCTACTTCACGTGCCATACATAATTCAAACATCACACAGCACTGTTTATTCCCAGCGTGAAGCTCACCTCACCTCCCTCATCAGACCTAGCCTCCATACTCGAGTCCCTCCTACCTACTTCCCCGGCGCTGTCCTCCGCTCCGTACGAAGTACGAAGGATCTCATTCATCCCACCCTTGTCCTTGAGCCCCCCCTGCCTCAACCCTCCACCCTCCCTCAACCCTCAACCCTGAGCCCTGCCCTGCAAGCGCGTGCTCGCCGTGCGCGTGGCACTCACAGGTCTTGGAGCTTGAAGGGGGAGGGGCGCCCAAAAGCGATGAGTTCCGAAGTATTGGGATGTTCCCTGAAATTCGGGTTGAAAGGGTTGAAAAAGCAAGAAGCAGAAGCAGAAGCAACACATCCCGTTGTTTCGTGCATGGCATGGCAGGGTGTGGCATCGATCGCATGCTGCAAGATAGATAGAAAGGAAGAAAGCAAGCAACATTGCTGTATCAGCAAGCAATGAACCAGCAAGCATCTGTGAGTGAGAAGGTAAAAGGTCCGCCCGGGGCAGAAAATGAGGGGGTTTGTTCAAGATCGAATGGAAAAGACCGCTTTGTTCATTTATTCAATTCATTGATACTTTAAAATCATGAAACAGAAATAACTTTCTCTTCCCTCCCCTCCCTCCTGCCCTCCTCCGCTCCACTCCCTCCCCAGAAAATCAATCATTTTGTTTCAAGCTCAGCACAAAGGAAAAGCTATCTGAGCCAGCCAGCGAGGCCAGCCCAGCCTTCGCTCGGCGTCATTCCGTGACTGCAAATCACCGAGAGATGGGGATACAGGGCACAGGGCACTGGCACTGACTGCCAACTGGTGTGTGCATGCGTGCGAGCTTTGTTCCCCTTACCTTGTCTTGTCTTGTCTTAAGCTTCCCGAGACATCATCACGGGTAACCAGGTTTTCGTACCGTATCGTACGGACAGGCCGATAAACCGGTGGCAGAGCAAATCAATTTGGCAGGATAGGACGTGGAGTGGAGAGGAGAGTGGAGAGTTGAAGTACTGTGCGTGCACGTTCTTGAATCGATTCATGATATACTCCGTAAATTTACTTCCGGACAGGAGAGATGGGGCTGTGCTTTATCGGGGAGGCCGCCTTCCTTGCGGAGAGGTAATTTATATTTTGACGGGACGGGATGCCATGGGTTGGGATGGGATGGGATGGGATGGGGATGGGGTAAGATATGTACCTATGCATGGGTTTCTTCAGTAGTCCGCTTTATTCTTGATGCCAATAATAGTATGGAGTTCACCCGAGGAGAAGAAGCAGGCTCGGTAGGATGCCATTTATTCATTCATTTCATGCTCTCCCCAAATGTCGGGATCTCAATCCCTCTCTCTTTACTTCGTAAATTACCTAGTCTTGTCAAGCCTCGCCTTATTATTGCCTCGAATCTCGAATCTCGGCAAGAGGGAGAGATAGAAAGACAGATGGATAGATGGATATCTTCACATGGGTTCCTTTATCTTCTAACCGAACTTTCCTTTTCACCTTTTCACCTTCTCCTTTGAGGTTCGTTGCTCGTTCGGCTGTACTTGTACTGTAATCTACAGCAAAAAGTTAAAAAGGTCAAAAAGTCAAAACATACTATCAAAGTTCCGGGGTACGGTACACGGAAAGTTAAAATCCCCATCCCCATCCCCATCCCATGTCGTGGGCTCCACATGCTACCCGGGCGAGATATCCTTGGCCCTTGACCTCGGCCTTGGTTTGGGGGGATTATTGGTCTTAAGGGGATTATTGCTGAAGTTATCGATCAGAGAAAGCCACGGGGTATGAACGTGGGACAACGGGGTGGTTTCTTTGTTTCGTTATTGATGATCTCTTCTTTTCTTGTCTCCTGGGAAGGATATTCCTCAATGCCTACTACCATCATCATCGTTGCACTCTCAGCGATAATAACCCTATCCTATCCCAGCACCAGCACCAGCACCAATACCAGTATCATATCGTTGAAGAAGAAGAAGAAGAAGAAGAAGAAGGATAGAAAAACGATAGAAAAGATGGGTTCGGAGTTTAGTTCCGTACTTGCGAGGTTGCGAGGTGAGACTTCTTGTAACTTGGATGGGGCCGGCGCTTGGGGAGTGAGTGGATATTTAAGTTTTTTGTTTTTGGATTTTAAGGGTTCTTACTTTGAAAAGAGGGATTTGATTGACTTTTTTTTACGAATGACGGACTGACTGACTCGATTTTGATTTTGCTTTGGATGACGATGTCGGTGCTGTGCATGTGCAGTGCAGTGAACTCTCTTTGTTGTGAAGGTTTGGGTTCCTGCTTTTGAATGACTGGGTGGTTGGTGGAGTGGGGAAGGTGATGGGTGGATGGATACGTTGAGCAAAGTGACGACGACGTACTATTGCTTTGGAGAATTGAGATGGGAGGTATTGAGATTTGTTGGATGGGATGAGAAACTGCTCTCTGGTGTGCATGTGGTTTTCACACTTTTTGGCTCACATGATCCTTCTATCAACACTAAACTAAACCAACCCTTCATGAAATCTACAACAACCATATATTCGCCAGTGCCAGTGTCAAATCCCTAAACCTGCCACCACCTGCCACCACCTACCTACCCGCAAAGCAAACCCATGGAACAAATCGCCCCCAAAACCTCAACTCCAATAATACTTATTAATCTACCCTACAGTACCTACCTAAATTTTTTTCTTCAGATCCGCCAAATCCAATTGGATACCAGACGGCTGGAACTCACACATCCATTAAGTTACTGTATGGATGAACGTCGCATCGCATGTATAGTGAGTGGTTCAAGGATGGAATCCTGCGAATGTCATGGATGTATAGTACTGTATTATACTCTGTGTTTTCTGTTCGCTGACTAGCTGGCTGGCTGGATGCATGGAGAGTGGGTGATGAAGAAGATCCCGTGGAGATTTCACGACCTGCTTGAGGAGTTACTGTGTGACTTACCTTGGTCCTTGGATGGAAGGTGGTGGGGATTTAGTTATGGGGTGGTTTTATATTAGATTATATTATAGGCAGGACTTGAGGGAGTGAAGGATACAGTACAGAAACCTGACTGACCGACAGACTGCAGACCTCCAATTCCCCGGACATAAAGATAAGGTAGGGAATGGGGAAGAGGTGGGTAAGGTACTGTAGAATCCATTCCCCACTAGAGATGGAAAAGGAAGGAACGGTAACTGCGGTACGGTACGTTCGGGCACGATACATACCTTACACCACCCACCCTGCACTCCTGCACGTTCAAGTACAGGTTTCTTTCTTTCTTTCTTACGCAGTAGCGTGACTCGAGATGTGCAGCGGAAGGTGAGCCGGGCAGAGATTTGACTAGGTAGGTAGGTAGGTAGGAAGGAGACTCAAGACTCGAGATACGGGTGTCATATCATATCATACCTACACACCTCGTGATCTCTGCAGAATTAAATCAGATACGTAAATACCTACCGTACCTAGGTATGGCCGCCCCCATGGAATAATCTACCTACCTACCTACGTACAGGTAGGTAGGCGTGCTCGGATGAGGTTAAGTTAAATGTTGAGGTAAATAGATGGGATGGATGATTAGTAAAAGTATTTCAACAACATGCACTTTTGGGGACCCACAAGCTAAGGTAGCTAGCTAAAGAAAGAAATACAAATACAAATACAAATACCTTAGAGAATGCCTAATCGATCTCTGATTCCTGCGCATAAGGTGGTATTGAATTATTCCTGGAGATCACCCTTCTTTGTCTCTCGAGAGCGAGAGAGCGAGAGAGGCTTTCCTTTTTCCGGATAAGTGCAAGGGGGACGGACGGCTGGGCTGGCCTGAATGAGGTAACCACTAACGTAGCAGCGGGACGGCGGCAGGCAGGCAACGGGGAGGGGGACTTTGGAGATTTTCGGGCTGGCGATGCTACTGTGCTGCTGTACAAGTATCGCGGATTATTCGCGGGGCAGAGAGGAGGGAGATGTTTGGCTGGATGGGGAGGTGGTCGCCGATAGGGGAGGGGGAGGGGACGGACATGGCTACGGTATGAGGATGGTCTGCCACGCGCGAGAGAGCGATCTGAGCAGATCTGGCTAGAGGGCGGCGGCCGTTGTCACTACTGTACAGTACACCTCTTCAGATTAGGTAAATTATTAGTATTGTCTCTCCAGTTGTAGTGCCTCCCTCCACAGCGTGGACGACAAAGACATGGGCTTGGTTTGGTTTGGTTTGGTTTGGTTTGGTTTGGTTTGGTTTGGTTTGGTTTGGTTTGGTTTGGTTTGGTGGTGGCAGGTGTACGCAGCGTATGGTGGTGGTGGTGGTGGTGGTGGTGCTGAGAAGATAATGAATGCAAAGGTTCGAATAAGTTAAGGCTCAAAGCTCAAGCCTCGGTTTCAGTCTCCGGTAGGTATCGAATGGTTCGCAGCCCCCATCTGACAATGGTTCGTCGCGGCGTGAAGCTGGCTGACTACTTGACTTGAGTTGACAGATTTCACTTGACTTGACTTGACTTGACTTGACAGAGTTCCTCACTTGACTCAAATGCCATGCCTCCCTCACTACTGTACCTACTACTGTAAGTACTTGCCCTGCTGCTAGTCATCCATGCCGTTCCATGCCTATCCCATGTTTGAGTAAGTCTTTGAGTAAGTCTTTGAGTCTGGCCATGCCTCTGGCCATGCCTCTGGCCATGCCCCTGGCCATGCCCCATGCTCTACTTATGCCCTGGAGTGAGATCCCACCAACCAGCCATCTACAGTAACAACAGCCCACCAGTTCCAGGCCAAATCCCTTCTTCCGTCTAATTCCCCCTTCCCTACCCCCCTACCCCCCCTCTCCCGCACCCACGCAGCTTAGCCTTGCGCCCCTAATCCCAGACATCTCGTGCGCCAATCCACTCAAGACCACCCGCGCATCCACACCTGTACAGTACTGTACAGGCATCTGTGCAGGTCTTCAGGCCTGTCTCGCTGCTGCTTGGTTGGCTTTCACTGTGTGCTCCGTCCTGTACTCTCCACCCCGGCAGGCCAGGCCACCACGCTGCCCCCTTGACTGCGCTATGCTGCTTTCATCATCCCCGTACCTACGGTACCCAGTACAGGGCAGGGCAGGCAGACTGCAATGTGCAAGACAGCCACCGCAGCCAGACGGGAGGGAATCCTTCTACGGAGAGAACTGCACTGCACTGAACGGCCAGCATACCTACAGTAACAGCCTTTCTCTCCACGGACTGACTGTGGTCTGGCCAGCCTGGAAGTGACGGTCTAGTCAAGTCAAAAAGTCAACCTCCTGAACTAAGCTTAAGGCAATACTGGAGTTCTCCTACTGTATTTATATACTCAAGCCAAACCCCTCCATGCCAAAATTCGATCTAGACGCACTCACCCACGCTCGCTTTTCTTTTAGTCCGAGGAAACAGATTGGAACGTTTGAGAGGAAGAGAGAGAAGACACCGGGAGTCGGGACCCAGCCTGACATGAGCTATCGGCCTCAGCGACCAATCACCCTGCGCTGGAACGACCTTTAGTGTTGCTCCACTCGGCAGCCGTCAACCCACCCACCTGGCAGCGTCCACGCTGAGCCTGAGCCTGAGCCTGAGCCCGGCCGCTGTTCTCTAATCGGCGCACTAGGTAAAATTCACTGGAGACTTGTTCCTTGAAGCGGCAGTGTGGTGCAGCGCAAAGCGACGCAGCAGACGAGGGAGCGAGCACGTTCACACTCTGTTCGGGTCTACTACTGTACTCAACTCAACCGTCACCTCGAGCGAACTTTACTTTACTTTACTTTACTTTGCTTCACCTCACCTCTCCTCCACTCGAGAAGATCACCACAACCATTCGAGGGATATCTTCTTCAACTTCTCACTCACGTCACTCGACGTGTCTGTTGCTTTGACATCCCTCCCTCCACGATCAATCCCTTCCCTTCAATCCAGTCCACTACTTGGCAATCCAGCCCCCAATTGGCCTCGGCCGATTCCATTTCTCACCACCAACACTCCTCCTTCCCAACGTCTCTGCCTCTCGCAATTGCAGTCGCAATGGCCTCCCCACACGTCTCCCAGAAACTCCCTGCCGGCCTGGCTGGCGTTCTCAACAAACCTGACGAGCATCGCGATTCCGCCTACTACTCTTCAAAGGATGCCTCGAGTAAGCGTGAGCAAGGAATCGTCTTCTACATTTCGAACGTCACTGACAGCAGCAGATAATTCCACGCAATCCAGCAATGGTGCCCCAAACCTTGACCCTCGTCTCTCGCGAGCTGATTCCTCGTCCGCGACCGACATGACCCCTTCTCCCATATCGAATGGCCCCAACACACAGCCATTGAATTCTCCTGCTTCCGGCGCCATGAGCGTCGCCTCGATTGTTTCTCCTACAACATACAATGGCTTCAACCACCAATTCTACGATCAGAGTCAGGGTCAGGGTCAGTGTCAACAGAATGGTCATATGGGTGATTCGCGCAGAGAGTCGGTAGACAGCAGACTGGGTGCCAACTTTGGCGACATGAGACTTGCGAGTTCACCTTATGCGAGCGCCAACCCCTCCACAACCTCATTGCAGAGCACATTGGCCCAACAACGAAACCCAGGATCCGCTCACCCCGATCGAAACTCTGGCCCTTTCCGCCTGTCGAGTGGTTACCAGCCCAACTACGCACGCCTGCCAGATTCCTCTCACAATTCGCGCAACGCTCCGCAGATTACGGGTCCGGCTTTGGGTGCTATCGCACGCGCTCCTGAACCTACGAGAGGTCAGGCTTGGGCTTTCCCTGAGGAGGAGGTTCAGAGAATTCCGTCGGCTGCGAGACCTAGTGATGATATTGGCAGTAGACAGGGAACTTCGTTCTACGATGACTCGAGACGTAACTCCTATGCAGACTCGATCGCTAGCAGCCAGTACACCACCGAGTCGCGTCTTCCAGCTGGTCAGCGACGTCTGGATGATGGTGGCCCCATCGGAGAGTATGGTAGGGAGTCTTCTGAATTTCAGATGAACACTCATCACCACAGCCTTCAACATAGACAGGTTTCCGAGCTGGCAAATGGTGAGGGTGGTTCTCCGAATAGTTCGCAACCTTACTCTCGGACCCCAGAATTGCGTGTTTCTCACAAGCTGGCGGAGCGAAAGCGGAGATTGGAGATGAAGGATCTGTTTGATACTCTCAGAACTCTCCAGAGCGTTGAGAGAGGAGCAAAGGCTTCAAAGTGGGAGATTTTATCAAAGGGTATGCATTCTCTCAGGTGATTTTTGTCCATGTCTAACGATTAATAGCTATTTCTGAGCATGAGCGCCAAACCAAAGTTATTGCAGAGCAAAAAAATCAACTCTCTCGTGTTGAATCTCGCCTTCAGAGACTAGAGCATGAACTCGATGCCGCACGTCGAGAAGCCAATGATCTTAGACTTGAGAATTCCCAGATGAGATCAGAGATTGCTGTTCTTCAGGGACATTCGGCACCTTCGTACCACCAACCACCACCTCCCGTTTCCCAGCAATACAGTCACAGTGTGCAAGGCGGTGAGCAACAGCAGCAACTGCCACCTCTCCGAAGTATCCCAGGTCCTGAGGTCATGAACGGCGTCCAATACCAACATGACCAACGTCCCAACGGTTATCGTCCCGCCGATCGATTCTAGTCTGATCAACGGACGAAAAAGATTTTCTGCTTACGATCTTTGCCTTGCCATTTAAGGTTTGATCGCTGTCACGTTGTCCAATCACCACAAATATTAGAGACGGTCGGGTCGATCACACGTGGCCCATCTACGGTTGCGATCTCATTCCACGTGGCCCGTGCATATCGTGCGTTGCAGCATTTCGTTATCTGCATCCTGTTCCGATGTCACCACATCCCCTCCTAGGATTCTTGAGCTCGTCTCTGAAGATGTACGATTTGCGTATACTTGTGTTACTACTTCTTTCTCTGACTTTCTTCATTCTTCCGCCGGTATCTACGGTGGCTTATGACGGTGTCAACTCTTCGGGATTTGACTCGTCCTTTTTTTTCTTTTCATTTGTTTGTTACCAAAAAACGGCCTTCGATCAACGGCGTAATATGCATGAATGGCATGGGTAATGGCGCTATGTGTGTGTGTGTGTGTGTGTGTGTGTGTGTGTGTATGTTTGGATTATATTTTCCATTCTGGGGAAACGGCATGAGATGGCTCTTCTATTCTGTTCTTCTCTCTCCGATTCAGTCCACTTTCTTTGGATCTAAGCTATGATGCGGTGTGGAAAACGGAAAAAGGAGGAGTTGCTTGATGGATTGATTGATTGATTGATTGATTGATTGAGCGGGTAGGGTGGTGTAGTGTGTTGGGGATTGGGGATTGTGATTGGGATTGAAACTCGGAATTGTCATTGTCATTGTCATTGTCACTGGGTTTGGGATGGATTTGACTGGCTGGATTAGCTAGCTAGGCTGGATTTGACTGGCTGGATGGATTGGGGTTTGGGAGTGGGTTGACTTGGGTTGATTTGGGTTGGGCTGGGACTTAACTGGACAGAACTGGGCCGGACTGGACTGGGTTGGGTTGGGTTGGGTTACCTACCTATGGCGTTTTGATATACCCCCGTGTGTGAAAAGAATCTTGTTTCTCTCTACTCGAACTGAAACTCGAACTGGAAATTCTTGCTCTTGATCTTGAATTCTTACTTGTGCGCTTGAACTCTTGACTCTTGCGTGCTCCTGTTCTGTCTTTGTCTTTGTCGGGACCGTTGAAAATCATTGAAAATCATTGAAAATCATTGAAAATCATTGAAAATCATTGAGAGCGTTGAGATTTTTGAGATTTTTGAGGGTTTTGAGGTTATTAAGTGTTTGTTCATACGCAGTCTCTCTCTCTCTCTCTCTCTCTCTCTCTCTCTCTCTCTCTCTCTCTCTCTCTCTCTCTCTCTCTCTCTCTCTCTCTCTCTCTCTCTCTCTCTCTCTCTGCTGATGCTGATGCTGCTGCTGATGATGCTGATGCTGCTGCTGCGGCTGCTTTACTGTTTAATCTCATCTCATCTCATCTGATCTGATCTGGTGTTTTGTTCTTAGAAAGGGTACTTACTACGCTGTTTTGAGATTTGAGATTTATATATTTTACGGCGTAATGGTTTGGTTTGGTTGGTTGGTTGGTTGGTTGGTTGGTTGGTTTACTAGTAATTGGGTGGCTGGGTAGCTGGGTAGATGGGTAGATGGGTAGATGGGTAGATGGGTAGATAGGTAGCTGGGGAACTGGCTGGAGAGGTGAGGAGGAGTAGGAGGAGGAGTAGGAGAGGAGGAGGGAGTGTGTATTTGGGGAGTCGGGGAGTCGGGGAGATGGTGAGGAGTAGGGGATGGGATGAGTAGGGGATGGGATGATAAAATAATCGAAATACATAAAGAGTTGCAAGACCTCAACCAACGTACTTTGGAAATGGGAGTTGTCCCTCCCTACCTGGGATTTTTGCGTGATTTTTTTTTGGGGGGGGGGGGGGGGGGGTCTTGTTCCTGTGTGTGTCTTTGGTGGTGTGGTGGTCGTGGGTAGTGGGGAAGGGAGGGGAGAGAGGGTTGAGAAGGAAGGGTTGTTGACAAGATAACAAGACGGGCTGGTGGGGAGGATTGGTGTATGTATGTATGTATGTATGTATGTATGCAGAGGAGGGTGCTGAATACTGAATGCTGAATAAGTACCTATGTATCTATATATCTATATAACTTGTAGTGAAGAGGTTTCAGTTTGAATGTTAGTTTGCCGTAGTGGCAGGATACGTAAAGTATGGGAGGGAAGGGGAGAGGAGGGGAGAGGAGGGTTAGTGTGACCTATGTATTTATGTATCTTATAAAGAGGACTGTATTGTGTTATCTTGCGTTATACTTTATACTTCCCGTCATGCTGTACTGTGCTCTGTACTCTGTGCTCTGACGGCAGAGTGGATGGATCAGAGTTCCGTCTTCGCGGTAGGTATGGACCAGAACCAGAACCAGTTCTTAGGATTAGGATTGTGTTACTGGGTGATTGGCACCGTCTGTTTTATTTGGATTCTGGAATTGGAATTGGCTTTGAGAGGTGTTGAAGTAAGTTTCGGATAGGAATCAAGTAAGGTCTGAACATACGGGATAGGAGGAGATAGGTGAAGGTGAAGATATCACAATCAGTGTTCTTGGTGCTTCTAGGCAGATACGCGAGGAGACTTTTGTGAGAGTAGGGATGGATGAGAAAGATGGATTGTGAGATTGGACCCGTTGCAATTTTGTTAGGACAGTGTGGTGTTTTGTGGTACGGGTTAAGAGGGCCAGGGAGAGGGGGGTTTATTGATAGATAGGTAGGTGATAAGAAATGTGTAGGTATTTGGCTTCGGCTTTGAGGGTTACTCGGGTTGTTGAACCTAAGTAAAGTCTAGAAAGGGCAGTTAGGGCAGTTAAGGTTGTTTAGTAGTGCTGTGAAGATAAGCGACGATATGTTTATTGAGATGTTGAAAGGAAATATCGAGTATTAGTACCGTTCTTTACAGTAAAGATTAACGGTAGGGAGGTTATTGACAGGGGGGTGACTGGAATTGTTTAGGTGTCTCGGGTGTTTGGCGTTAGCTTTGAGGAGTGTTGAAGTAAGCCTTAGATATCTAAGTAACGTCTGGAAAGGGCATTTAAAAATGACGATCGCTGTGAGTGTATTAGTGGTGCTGTGTGACGATAATTGAAATAATTACTGGAATATACATGAGGGATATCGATCATTAGTGCAGTCTTTTGTGTTAAGGATTAGGGGTTTGTTGATACTGTAAGTGACTGGAAATATCTGTGTGTTTGGGTATGGAGGTGGCCGCTGAAGTTGCAGATGAGCTTTAAGAAATGGAATTTGGAGCTGTCACAGTCTTTTGGTAGTGCCGTAAAGACGATGAATGGGATGTATATTAGAACATTGATAAAGAAACATCGACTACCAGGGCAGTCTTTTGTCGTAAGGATGAGGGGTTTGCTGATACTGTGGTGACTAGAAGCCATTCGTCATTTAGCTGTGAGAGGTGTTGAAGTGAGCTTTACATACCTAAGTAGTAAAGTCTGGAAAGGGCAGTTGAAGATGGACATGTAGTAATATATTAGTGCCGCTGTGAAGATGAGCGACGAGATTTGTTGGAATAGTGAAACGAAAACATCGACTCGTTGGAAATTCTCATCCTTCTATCCACAGAACTTCCTGCTTGGAAAAAAAATTATTCTCGAAAACTCGATCGAAAGAACAGAACATGCTATAATTATGGCATAGTAAGTGGACTGTGTTGTGTATCAGTCTTGGGATTGTAATAATCGGCGATTGAGCCTGCTTGTCCATTTGGCTCTAAAAGCAATGGAGCTACAGATGAGCTCTAAAAATGACAGTTAGAGAAAGCTCTCGCAGTCTCTTACTGATGCTATAAAGATAACTGACGAGATCTCTAATAGAATAATAAAAACAAGCATTAGTACTTGCAAATTTCATCCTTTGCTCTATTCAAATTGCCTTCTCGAAATTCCTTCGCGAAAATTCATTCCAAAAGAAAGGAGGTGTCCTCGCGCAAGGTCCATCAACACCACTCCTGAAAGGGATTAGCCCGCCAAAATAAAGTGGAGCCGACCCTGTCGCGGAAAGGGAAAAGTCGAAGAAAAATAATCTCGATGCTATCATCATCTTTCTCTCACACTTACCTCCCCTTCAAACATACCTCTTCTTCACATCAACCACAACAACTTCTCGTCTTCTGTACCGGCATTTCTCGAGATATTACTTGAGTCCGCTCCTTAAAGCTCTTCATCATGTAAGTTATACTTTCTGTGGATTGGAATGGATGGTGTTGTGTGTTGATTCCATTTCATTGATGGATCGATTCGATCAAGCTGCAAGCTAGCTACCATTGTTTGATGCATTGAAATAGAAGACGTGAAGTCAGAGCAACTGAATCAAAGCTAACCTCCCCGTCCCAGGCATTTGATCCGCCGCTCCGTCTTCCGCGCCGCCTTGTCGTCAACGACAAGCAGCATCCGCACCCTCAACACCTCCACCCCCTTCGCCATCCGCTCCAAGACCCAACAATCATCCATCATCGTACCCTCTGCATTCAGACGCTACAGTGATGATGCCGCCGAGAAGAACAACAGCTCTTCAGAATCTGTCCCTACTTCGGATGGTGAGAGCAGTGCTGTGAATAACGCTATTGACTCGGCTTCTGACTCGGCTCCCTCATCGTTTGGTGGTGAGTCCGAATATGCTCCTCGTGAGCCGAGACAGTACAACAATGATCGCAGAGGTGGCGATCGTCCTTCGTATGGTGGTGACAGAAATGGAGGTGGCCGAGGAGGATTCGGAGGCCGTGGTGGACGAGGAGGCTATGGTGGAGACCGTGGAGGAGATAGATATGGCGGTGGTGGATATGGAGGAAATCGTGGTGGAGATAGCTATGGCGGTGGACGAGGAGGTGGCATGCAGCGTGATGGTGGACGATCGTTTGGTGGCCCCCGTGCTGCCCCAGCACCTTCGAATGGTGTTTATGTTGGGAACTTGTTGTTTGATATCACTGCTGCGGATCTGGAGAAGACCTTTGGGGAGTTCGGTGCGATCAAGAAGGCCACTGTCGCTACTGATGCTAGAGGTTTGAGCAAGGGGTATGTGCACATTTTTTCTTGTCCCTTTCAAATCCTTAACTTGTGCAGAATTTGCATGGGACATACTTTGGATGTCTGGCTAACAGGACCACAGATTCGGCTATGTTGAGTTCGAATCAGTCGAGCAAGCTTCCAAAGCCATCGAAGCCAAGAACGAGTCCACCCTCGAAGGTCGCCGCCTCGTCGTCAACTACATGAACATGACTCGCCGCGACACATCAGTTACCAACCCACCATCCAAGACCCTCTTCATCGGCAACCTCGCATTCGAGATGTCCGATGCTGACCTCAACAAGCTCTTCCGCGACATCAGAAACGTCATCGATGTCCGTGTCGCCATCGACAGACGTACCGGCCAACCTAGAGGATTCGCCCATGCTGATTTCGTCGATGTGGACAGTGCTGTCAAGGGTAAGGAGGCGTTGGTTGGAAAGGAGGTCTATGGCCGCCAGTTGAGAATCGATTTCAGTGCTGGAAGCAGAGAGAGCCGTGGTGATGGTGGCGTCCCAAGAGAGAATCGTCACCAAGCATTCTAAGCTGCTTGTCTCGCAGTTGATAGGAGAGTGTGAACGATGTTGTCCGGGTGTATGAGGTTGACAGACAGAGTGTATGATGGGTACAACAGCGTGATAAGAGTTGAGAGTGAACTATGGCGGGTGTATTAAAAGTTGCGGGATTGGTTGGGAACCATGGCAAGGAGTGGCATTTTCTGGATCTTGTGTTTTTCGTCTTTCTTGCCTGGTCTGGTCTGGCTCCCCCTTCCTTCTACAACACCTTGTCTTAAAACTCTTTCTACGATATTTGTAAAATAGGGGAATTCTTTTTGGACCTATCATTGTCTGCATGCGTGCATGGCGTGTTGGGCTCGGCTTTTTCTGATCCAGATCAGGCAGGGAAGAAGAGAAAGACGGGAAGCAAAGAAAGGGTAAGGAAGAAGGAGACTTCATAGATATAACTCCGCTCATGGCTTGTACGATGGATGGATGGATGGTTGGGCTTTCATTTGTTTGTTCGGTGGCTGCATATATCTATGCAATGATGATACCGTAGTAAGAATTATTGAGATACCGTTTCCGCATTTTCATTTGACTCCTCCATGGCTGACTTGAGAGATCAATTATGAATCTGGGACCTGATTTATTCTCCCTACAAATATCGTCTGCTGGTATCCTTAGTAGGGAAATAATAACTCCATGTAAAAGATAAATCCATCTCTCTTCCTCACCTTGACAGATGTAAACTTTCTTTTCATGTGATCCCGGATATGTTATTCACAGACCCTCAACCTTACCTGACTCCACCGCGCCAAGACCATTCGCCGAATGCCGACATCCCTCCAGACTCACAAGGGCAAATAACCAGAACGCACCTCGGCTCCTCTCCGCCACGCCCGCACCGCAACGCAACGTACGTAGCCGCAAGCCCAGCCAGAATTTCTTCCCTGTGCAAGCAAGCAAGCAAGCTTCCCCACACTCTTCTTACCTTAATTTGTGCCCCATTCTCACGTTCGCCGTGTCTGACAAATATACATATCACGTCGGGTTGGTCTTTGTTGTACGATACATTACGGTGCAGTACTTGCTTGCTTGACTAGAGAACGCGATAGACAACCAGACAGCAAACAGCCAGACTGAGAGAAAGCACCTGGCGTGGCGAAGTGAACGGCCAAGGCGGGGTTTTGCTTTTGAGGAAGGAGAGAATTAATAAATCGGACTTGGATTTCGTTAAAGGGATTCTGCGACAGAGTGCCGGGGGGTTTGGTATTTACGATACGATACGATACGATACGACTTCTGCGAGAAAGCAAGTCATACGAATCAACTTAGATCCTGGAATTCTGACACGGACGAGACAGTTCCTTGCGTTCTATTGAACTCCACACGATCGATACAACTAGAAGCAACGAAACGGGACGAGGGTGACTACATACACGAACGAAAAGCCACAATGTCATTCATGGGAGGAGCAGAGTGCTCTACGGCAGGGAATCCGCTGAGCCAATTCACGAAACACGTTCAGGATGATAAGAGTCTGCAGAGGGACCGGTTAGTGGGTAGGCCGGGGGGGAGTATGCAGGGGATGAGGAGTACGGGAGGCGTGGGGATGAGTGGGAGTCAGGATAATGTAGGTTGGGTTTTTCTTTTGGGGGGTTATGGGGGATTTGGAAGAGGAGAGGGGGAAGGGGGAAGGGGGAAGAGCAGAGGAGGGGGAGAGGGCAGACGAATGAGTTGGAGTACACTGAGAGAATAATGGCTAATGTTCAAACAGATGATGAACGATTTCATGCAACAGAATGGACAACTCCCAGAAGCTTTCGCCATGCAGCACGACCTCCACCAGAACCCACATATGCGAGCCGGCTCTACATCACCAGGTATAAATGGTTGGGCACAAGAATTTAACCCGGGCGTGGATCAGGCGAGGATGGAAGCTGCATTCCAGGCTCCTAAAGGCACAGCATTCAGTCCCCAGGACTTTGCTCGTTTCCAGCAGATGAACCAAGGTGCTAGGACAGGTAGTCCTATGGCCCAGCAGATGGGAAATGGATATCAAGGCTACCAATCACCTATGGGAATGAACATGGGCATGAATATGGGAATGGGTATGGGAATGGGTATGGGAATGATGAACCATTCACAGTTCCAGCAACCGCAGAACTTCCAACAACAGGATAAAGGAAAAGGGAAGATGATAGAGCTTGATGATGAGCACTGGGAGGAGCAATTCAAGCAGATTGATATTCAGGGCAGAGAACAAGATGAGAGTCTAGCAGCAGAAGCAGAGTTGGAACAAATGGACAGGTCAGTCCTTGAATCCGAAACCAATGAATTTGGTGATTTCGAGTCTATTTGGAGAGGCATACAAGCTGAGACTGCTGCTGCTAGGGAACTGGCTGGTGAAGAGAATATAGGACAGCATAGGGGTGATTTCGAACATATGGGTGATTTCGATCAGTGGGATGGCTTTGACGGCCTTGGCACTCATCAACCATTCAGGGATCCGCAGCTAGGTGACTATATGTTTGAAGAGGATAATATCTTCAAAGAGGTCGGAAATCCTTTCGAGGAAGGTGTCAGGATCATGCATGAGGGAGGAAATCTCTCCTTAGCAGCTCTGGCTTTCGAGGCAGCAGTTCAGAAAGATCCACAGCATATCGATGCATGGGTCCTTCTAGGGTCAGCGCAAGCTCAAAACGAGAAGGAAACTCCTGCTATCCGTGCTCTCGAACAAGCCGTCAAGATCGATCCCAGCAATCTCCCAGCCCTCATGGGTCTAGCAGTAAGCTACACCAACGAAGGCTACGACAGCACCGCCTACCGGACCCTCGAGCGCTGGCTCTCCGTCAAATATCCCTCCATCATCTCTCCATCATCGCTCTCTTCAGACGCCGAAATTGGCTTCACAGACCGCCACCTCCTCCACGAAAAAGTCACCGAGCTCTTCATTTCTGCTGCCCAGCTCTCCCCAGACGGCGAACACATGGACCCAGATGTGCAAGTCGGTCTCGGCGTCCTCTTCTATGGTGCAGAGGAGTACGACAAGGCTGTCGACTGCTTCTCTGCTGCTCTCGCGTCGAGTGAATCAGGTGCATCGACCCAGAGAGATCAAGTTCATTTACTTTGGAATAGGCTGGGAGCTACACTTGCAAATTCTGGACGGTCCGAGGAAGCTATTGCAGCGTACGAGAAGGCCCTCACGCTGCGGACGAACTTCGTGCGCGCGCGGTACAATCTGGGTGTGTCCTGCATCAATATCGGATGTTACGACGAGGCTGCATCGCATCTCCTCGGTGCGCTGGCCATGCACAAAGTCGTTGAGAATGAAGGGCGCGAGAAGGCGCGTGATATTCTCAGCAGTGCGGGTGGACTCGGCGTCGACGCGAATGGCAATGTGAGTGAGGCGGAGCTGGAGAGGATGATTAGCCAGAATCAGAGTACGAATCTTTACGATACGCTGAGGAGGGTGTTTAGTCAGATGGGGAGGAGGGACTTAGCGGAAAGGGTGGTGGTGGGGATGGATGTTGAGGCTTTTAGAGGGGAGTTTGAGTTTTAGATTGGGAGTGGGTGGGGATATGAGGTGATGTTGATGTGATGTGTTTTGGTAAGGGTATGGCATAAAAGATAAAATGTCGATAACATGAGTAAATGACAAGGATGTACATGAACGAAAACGAACTCACTCATCACTTAGATCCTGTGCTTGAATGCGTGGTTATGTCAATCCATTCCATCGAGACAGAATTTCCCCCTCTCAACTACGGAAATCGGTCCCATTCTATAATTCTCAACTTCAACTCTCTATTCTTATGTTTGACCTCCAGGCTGCTGTTTACTTATCACTAAAACACTCGAGTCCATCCTCATTTCTCCCTACATCAAGAAGAAGTCATGGAGTGGCGTGTAAAGTATCATTTGAGTTGAGGCGTACTTAATTCACTGCGTGCGTGGCTGGTCCAGTGCTGGGCTGGAGGGGACAAGTAAAGTCCAGAGAAGGGGGGTGAAGGTCTACAACTAAGAGCAATTCGGCTGTGTTCCGGTCGTTATGAGTCTTGATCTAGCTAACCTTTGTCACCCTTGGCCTTGACAGTAAAAATGATCCTGTATCATGAGAGGGGAGGCACTCACTGGCGTATGCATAATTATGCAAATCCAAACTTTGATTAGATATTGATACAGAAATGTTCTTTATAGATTCTCATGTTGGAATGTAGGACAACACTATATTTTTACAATAAGAAGTGATTGCAACGTTTTGGTGTTGTGGAGAATACGCCCTTTGAAAGGAGACAAGCGAGGATTTGTTTGCTTTATTTCATCTCTCGATTTCGCAAGCTTGGTTGCATCGAGCACGATATTTCGGTTGCTCTGGAGAGGGGACTACGATGTGCAACAAAGATTGGAATTTAGAGGATTATGGTTTGGTAAGGGGGTTGAGAGGTATGGTGAATGAAGCAGGTGTGTGAAGGTGAGGAGATGCAGTTTTGGTCGGGGCCAACTCGGATATGCTCTTACCCAGGGTCGGTATCTCGAAATAGCTTCTGACATGTCGTTAGAGTCGTCATAGGCCTGAGTTATTGTAGATCTTGAAGGTATTTGGCACCAGACTTACTGCACAAGTATTATGGCTAAGCGAGGTATTGTTTACATTGGCTCATCTTGGTATCACTAGACTTCTGGTAGAGGTACGCTTAACATCAAGATATCTAGGTCTGTAGACGGGGGGCCCAACTACACTATGAAGTCAGAACTGTGACAAAGAATTACTCGCCGATTTAGGAGCTGACTAGTCCAGAAAAATTGGTGTGCTGAAAGCTGACGCTTGGCATTCTGCGTCGCATTCGTTCGCATTGTACCACAACCACCTGCTTATTCGGTGTGCCAAGACCCTTCATACCTAGGGCATAACGCAGTAAGATCGTATCTCGATAGTTTTATGGCTAGTTGAGAAGCATAAGTTCCTTGGCCAAGATTCAACCCGAGGAGTGTTGTGTGATTTGATGCCTACGCGAAGAAGTTGTTGATGTTCCCTTGTACGACAGCCACGTGAAGCATGCACTGAATCTCAAAAAGAGTTCCGTCCGTGGAGTTGGTGGAATTCCACCACCTGCCTGTCCATTGTATGGTATAGCTACTCAATTCAGTCTTCCACCTTCCTAAACAATATACGTGATCCGGCTGCGCCTCTGTTTTCCCGTGTCGTTGACGCATCAAGATATTCAGGAAACGAACGTAGTATTGAGCAAGGGAGAATATTCGCACGTTCCAAGACTAGACCAAGTGTCTTCCAAGTATATAAAGCACTGGACTTCTCCCCTAGATGGCAGAACAAGCAGCCTTCATCTGCCATCCTCTCTCCTCGACTTTCCAGATCTCTGAGTCAATCACCAGCTGCTCATTCTCTCCCATCTAGTCCACGGATACCTCTTTCTTTCAAGATGCAATTCTTCACCACCACTGGTTTGCTAGCCATGTTAACATTGGGTTCCGTTGTCACGGCTCTCCCCCCAGCCACCACGAGCATTGGTCTTGACATGAATGTTACTTTCGATGTATGTTTTATCAATCTGATTCTACATGGAACGAGCTGACGCACAACCCAAGGAATACATCAAGCAGTTCAAGCAACCAGAGCCAGCAGAGAGCTTAGAAAAACGCTGGGGGTCCACCACTTGCGGTGGCCTTGGCCTTCCCCTCCTCCAAATCGCCTTCCAGGCGGTTGAACTCTGCAACTCCGCCATTATCTCCCTCGAGTTCCAGGATGACACAAACCGCCGACGATTCGACCGTTATTTCGGCCCCTGGAATAATAACCCCAATGGACGCGCCATTATCCGAGATCGCTACAGGATGATCGTGGACACGCTCTGGAATACCAACTTCAACCTCATCTGTCTTCCCAACCAGACGAATGGTAATGTCGTAGCCGACGTGTCCTTTACGTCACAGGGAAACCCGGCGAACGTGCGACTGTTCCAAGCTTGGTTCAGACTCTCTGATGATAATCAGTGTGGAGAGCAGCTTACCAAGGCGAATGTCCTTGTGCATGAGGCTTCTCATGTGTTTGGCGCTGCTGACCATGGAAATGATCAGGGTAATGATGCTTATCTGATTGGGTGGTACGCTTCTTGTAAGTTTGTCTCATGGAATCCAAGCAAGGCCCATTAGGATTGAGCTGATACAATCGAATAGCTGTGTACTCAAACTGCCCGTTCTAGAGTATCTGGGACTGTGGAGGCAATATCTTTATCGATACACCTCTAGACTTCTTCTGGGCTTGTTTCATTTCTAGTGCAAGATGATTCATACGAGGAGTTTTTATTTCAGTCAATGATCATTGAATTGCCTTCTTTCGTGATGAGATTGGGTCGAGAAATGAAAGTTGGTGTTTAAGTCTGGTAGCAAGAGGATTACCATCATTCGCCTATTGACCATACGTGAGTTTGTCTAGACAGCTCTCCTTCCGCTCCTTTTAGGTAGAATATAAACTTCGAATTTCGGGACCCTCATTTTAGTGTCACTTGTTGTTCCGCTGTAGACCACCAGGCATACCAAGGTAAGTGTAATGTATTTCAGATGACTGAGTAGTCGTCGAAACGGTTTTATGATAATTTCGAGAGCAATATATGAACATAAGAGTCTATCAAATCGCTTTTTCCATGTTTAGTAACTATTCAAGGCCAACCAGCGTTGAGCAAGTTTCAGGGGCGCATGATCGATGGATCTCCCTGTGACCAAACAATATTCATCGTCCACTTCTTGATCTTCCAATCCCCCTTCACATTAATGAAATAGATCCAGTATCTTGTACCAGCTAAGAACTTTGAACCATCTGTTTCATCTCCTCTTCCCGAAGGAGCATGCTGATTCATAGCATTTGCTGTCAAGGTCGCTGTGTCAGAACCATCTTCAAGATCAACACGGATGCTTGAAATCATATGTGTAGTGTCCTGAGTCCTTATCAGCATCAGGTACGGAGACATGATTTATAGATCTGTGTTCAAATAAATGGACAGTTTGAACTAGTGTGCAGTTTACGTACCATGGGTCCCATGTGAGCAAGAAGCGTCGACCGGATTGTCTCAAGGCCTTGGGTGGTATTCCCATTCATGACAAAAGATACGTCCTCGCTTGCAAAGGCGGAATCGAAGAGTGGGATATCGTTTTCATCGAAGGCAAGGAGGACACGGTAAAGTGTATCGGTGATGGCTTCGCGCGGGCTGAGAGATTTGAGCTGGTGTGGGTGGGACATTGTGGATTGTGGATTGTTGAATAATGTCGAGGAATGGAAGATATCGCCCAGTGGAATTCCTTGCAAGGCGTATTGGATTTCTAAAGCAAGAATGGTATTCTTGTGAGTTTTACTTATACGTGTTTGGATTTTATGTCAACTGATGTCATGCGGCGGACTTAATTATCAAAACAATCAACTCGCTTCGCTCTTTCGCTAAAGTCCGCGGTACTATGATAAGCCGACAAAATGCATGACGTAAAAACTGCAACAATCCTGGATAGCAGTCTCAAATTGCATCGAACATACGTTGAAAGAGTACTCGCTTACAAAGAATCTGAAATCTGTCGGATAGCACTTTAGGGGTGTTTCGCTTTTGCAAAATCTGACTTTGCTGACATTTGCTCGACTGTGGGGAATACGTCTTACGACAGGCTCTTGTGATCCAGTGTTCGCTTCACGTACCATGGTCCTTCTGAGCGAGATGGCAGCTATGTAGGTAGGTAAGATAACGACAGATCACGTCGCTTATGGTCACGTGATGGTATTCGCTTTTGGGCTTTAGGAACTCAGGCTCCTAAGCCGTAAGGCCACGGGTTCCTTAAAGATCTATGTTAAGCGAAGTTCTATAAAAGAGAGTAGTCTCTTAGATAGCAGAAGCTTGGTACTAAAATGTATATTGCACCATTGCTTGTAACGTCTCAATTCCTATTGAGAACCGAATGTCTTTGTTACTTTATTTGATAGGTGACACTAAGCGACGGGCTTGGACGCACAGTCCTGCCGAACTAACAAAATTATAAGTGGGTAATACGAACAAGATTGGGCTTTTCAACTAGCTAAAGGACGACTGTTAAATGTAGCCTTTGTTATTTTAGTTTTAAAAATCTCGTTCTCGCTGGTTGTGATGTTTTTCTCTGTCGTGATAAGAAGGGGATGATGAGGTAAGGGGAATCACGAGTATTTGTCTAAATGGGGACTAGGCCTGCCGCCCAGGAACACGAAACCTCAGCCTCGAGAAGTTTCCACCTTCTTTCATTTTCCTACGTTAACAAGGTCTGATTTGGTCTTAATGGATGAGCTCGTGGTAAAAGATATTGAAAGCGGTCGAAAAGGCGACAGAACAGCTAAGACGTAAGCTCCCTTTAGCAATGTATATAGTCGCTGACCCCTGGTAGCATCCTCGGAGCTGGGACCTCAAGCGTTGTTTACCTGGTTGATAAAAACAAGGCAGAAAAGAGTTTTAAATCCCCTAAAAATCTTCTCAACGAGCAAACAATTTATCAAATCCTTGGAAGTCATCCGCGACTTCTGTCAATACACCATTTCGGAGCTGAAGGTATAATCATGGATTGGATGGAGAAGGGAGATCTGGCTCGCTATATCAAGTCTCACCCTGAAGTTGCTCAACGTCGCAAGCATCAATGGATCGCTCAGATCGCTGAGTCTTTCAGTCTACTCCACAAACACCATATATCTCATTGCGATAGCAAGCTAGAAAATTTTCTGCTAGATGACGACTACAACATCAAAATCTGTGATTTTGCGAGCTCTCATAATTACAGATCTCCTTCACATGATCCGGCCATCCAGCCACCAAGATACCGACGCGCTGTTGATGATTTTGACGAAACGGTTTTTAACCCTGCCGATGATATCTTCGCTTTCGGCTCAATATGCTATGAGATCGTCACTGGAGGACCTCTGTACCCGCAGTTGGACGATGAGAGTGTGAGGCTTCGATTCATTAGAGGGAGTTTTACTGCGACTGAAGGGCTATGCTTTGGGCCGATTATCAGGGACTGCTGGAATGGTACATATATTTCATTTGAAGCAATTTTAAGATCCATTGAGAGAGAAGGTCCCTCGAGGACAGAATCAAACTTTGTAAATTGATAGTAAGAACAATGATTCTGGCCCAGTGCTATCATTGAGAATAATGACAGGAATCCCAGTTGGGGCTGCGACAATAGTAATAACCCCACAGAAGTTCCGACCTCTATAAGTCTTCAACCCTTATTATTCAATGCCACTCTTCTATATATGTCAGAATTAGCTGGCGTTTTGATAATTTGACTTACCAGCTGTGATTGGGGCAATTGCCACGCTTCGTGGTAGCTCCCGCTCCAGAGTTCTCGGTTCCTTTACATTCACATCCCTCCTTGACATCTTGACATGTCTCCGTAGTTGTCTCAACAACTGTGCAATCTGAAGTACAAGGAGCTTTAGCGTGCATGGTGGTAGTGGTGTAAGTGAAGCACATCGCGAAGCAGGATGGAACTTTGATGCGAAGCTGAGATTTTGCCTGTTCGAGAATGGTTACTGATACGGAGCTTCAACAATTCGAATGGCACTTCTTATACAGCGAGTCTTGGTCTTATACCTTATTTTAATCGGGTAAGTGAACCAAAATGTGTCTGTCGTCCTCTCAACCGGGCCCCTCGGTTACTGACTGTTGGTTTTCATCGTTAAATAGACAGTAGGTATGGATGTTCTAGTGTAATCCGTGAAGTTGGTCTCCTTGCCATATCAACGACAAGCAAATAATCGATGAAGTCTAGTAGCTGCGTCGATACAGACGGACCTGACAGAGATTGTAGTTCCTGGCGCAAGGTGCCTACTTTGATTAGCTTGCCAAGTTTCGGGCCCATTTCCATAGCCACGAGTTGTTCGGCAAGCTCAAATTCGTCCTTGTAGGGCTGATAATCAATACTGGGCCCGAGTGGCCCAACGAGAGTCCGGAGTTTTGCAATGCACCACGCTTCGGTATGATCCTCGATGATCTTGTCACTTGCACCAAAAACAGGTCGCCCATAGAGCCAGTGTGCCAACTTCTCTATTAGTCTACATCATAAGAAGGAGTGAATGCGACTTACCGTAACACCGACAGACCACACATCTGAAGAATGAAAACAGCCTACGCCTTGCCACACTTCCGGAGCCCGACATGGAAGGCTTTGAAGCCGCTGTTTGTTATAACCCTCCTTAATCACTAAACATGTGAGTGTTGGGCAAGGGCATGGAGCAAGAGGCAGAGGAGTACGTACTCGTTCCTAAATCTCCCAACTTAACTACTGGAGAAGGCCCATCGATATTCGAGAGGAAAACATTGTTGGGATTGACGTCTAAATGTTTTAGACCTTATCGATGACACTGTTGGAAGTAGGATACTTGCCTGTATGAGTAGCATTGAGTCTCTTCAAGACGTCTAGGGCGGACAGGACCGATTTAGAAATGATTTTAGGCAATGGTGAATCGAGTCGATACTGGTGGGATGGTAACGATTGTAGATCAGTTTCCACAACAAGAATCCTCCGCAGCAGCACCATCCTGGCGTCCGTAGTTTTCAAAGGAGCCAACAGCATCGTAGAGGGTTCGGATATAGGGGCTCGAGGCCACGTCGGGGATCTTATAATTGCTGTATTCACGCTTTAAGGCGACAGTTTCGAGCTCAGCTACAGCTGTTTTCACCACAGCCCTGGAGTCAGAGTAAGTGACTGGCCATTCAAGTGCTTGAAGTACCGTGACAAGGACATACCATTTGCTGCTAACACGAGGACCCGACAGCACTTGGGCTTTGTAGACACTGGGAGCCTTCAACGCGTGCAGCAACGCATAAGTTCCTGTTGCTCCCCTAATGATTTTTCCGCCGCGCAAGGCCATACACTTCTTGTTTACGTCGACTGAGTTACTGAGGCTATGTAGAGGATGGGAAAGGGACGAAAGTAACTTCAGAGTATTGTATATCATATGGCAACAGAAAGATAACCAAAAATACCTCCCAAGAACTAGTTGCAAGCGCATAGAATAGTAAGCGTTGGCGTAGATAGCCTCAAGCTGAGTCCGAGGTCGATCGTCGTGGACGCCTGTGGAATAGTCAGTGTTGGCATTGGTTTTTCGGCAGGTACTGTAACGACAGACCTGGCCCTGGCTGCCCCGTGCCGTACTTCGCCGCCAAGCTCGCTGTCCGAGCCGCTTCGAGCTTTCCAACCCGACTCGCCCGAATCTCCTTAAGTATCCATGCCTTTGATAGATTTCCACTAAGCTTCCATCCTCATCGATTGCACGTAAACTTGCTATAACAAAATGTCTATCCGATAACTCATCAATGCATGCGTCCGTCGTACCCTGCAATATTTAGCAGTCGTGTTAATCTCAGTGACGCCGGACTATTATTGCTCAGCCGAAACTCCATATATATCAGCGAAAAGGACTGCAATGGCTAAACATCTCTAGACATCGCATCTAGCAACACTACACCAGAGTCGAAATGCACTGATTCTTGTCCTTGAAGTCCTCTACCCGGCAGAAGATAGATTTGTAATCATGTCCCGACCACGACTGTGACGCAGGTTATCGAACTCTTCAAGATGGACACGGCTCGCAAGATATCAACGCGTTTAGAGAGATGACTTTGGAGCAGACGCATGACGCAGCGATGAGAGACTGGCGAATGCATTTTCTTCTGAATAGCTAGACCTTGCACATATCATTGAACTGCTCCAGTCAAGGTTGCTACGATATCCACAAATGCTGGGCGCTACAAATGCATTGAGCATGCGTGTTCGAAGGGAGTGTTCATGCTCAGCTACCAAGGTAGAGTTCCCCAGCTCTCATCCCACATGACCACCAATTAATGTTCCTACTCGCTTCTGATTGTACCAAAGCATCTTCAATTCACCACTCTCACATACCCATTACCTTTAGAAACGACTCCGGACTCTCTCCAAACATACCCTCCGCCATCACCGTGCCTTCACCAATGGTCGCCCTCCCTCTAGAAAACATCTCCATTTCATATTCCCGTACGGCCCTCGCAAAATGACCTTCAGCGCCTTCGTACTCAACGATTTTCGAAGCTAACTCCAACGCATCCGTCATAGCGAGATTCACTCCCTCTCCATTCGGAATCGTAAGATGCGCCGCATCGCCCACGAGCGTTACGCCCGGAACAGATTCCCAGTCCATGTCTTCAGCAGCAAGAGTATGCAGCGGCCAGACACGAAAGTCAGTCGCATGTTGGATCAACTCTCTGTATTCGTCCGCCCAGTCGGCGTAGAAATCCCGGAGCAGCATGGCACGTGTGGCTTCGAGATTTTGAAGATCGAGTTCAGTGCTGTTGCGGAAGAAATCTACTGGAACTTGAAGCCCGAAATAGTTTCTATAAGAGCCGTTGCCTTGCCGTTGCGTTACGATGGGCTGTCCCGAACCGATTGAGAGAAACATGCCTGGGCCAACTCTACTGGCTAATGTTGGGTAGAGTGGGTTGGAGGTGCTGATGCGGGATTCAAGGAAGGTCTTCCCTGAATACTTGGGTGTTGCTTGTGTAATCTGAAAGAATGTCAGTGTTTTCATACATACACAAGGAGCTTTTGGAGAGCAGTTCGTTGAATACACATACCAGACGTCTCACTTTACTCCACGCACCATCAGCTCCAACAACAAGTTTGAACCCATCCAACACAGCGCCATTCGCAAATTTCAGAATCGGACTGCCATTTTCACCAATCTCCGCAGCCTTCAAAGCGCGACCCCACTTGATCTTCTCCTTCGGGATCGACTCTAACAGAATCCTTCGCAAATCTTTCCGATCAATCTCAGGCGCATCACGCTCCTGTCCCATCTCTAGGATTCTCTTCCCTCGCTTGTCAGCGATCGCAACAGCCGTGTCATCATACCTCGCGAATTTTTTGAACTCCTCGAACAGTCCGGCTTCTCTAAGAGCTCGCTGACCAGTCTCAGCGTGAATGTCGAGACTTCCTCCTGCTGCTTCATTCGAGGTCGCGCTGGAGTCGCGCTCGAATACGGTGTAGGCGATTCCTTTGCATTCGAGAAGGCGGGCGAGCGTTAGGCCACATGGCCCACCGCCGATGATGGCGATTGTTGGTCGGGGGAGCATTGTGATCTTCTATGCTGAAAGTCAAGAGATGAATTTTGAGTGGGGACTTGGCGTGGTTGGGATGCAGTTGGGTTTATATATGCTCTCCTTCCTAGGCTAGGTAGATATCTTGACGGCAAGGCAGATCCATTATCATTAGATAGCTCGCAAATGCCTGGAGTCGGAGGCTCAGAATTATCCGCATTTGGTACAGCAGATGTTTTCAAAGGCTGATATATGTCGTTGATGCTGCTGTGTACCCCTCGGACAAAACAACCCGCCTCGGGTTGATCTGCTTGCCGAGGCGCAACAGCCAATCAGCGCTGCTCTGACGACCTCAGCTTGATGGTCTAGCTGAAATGGAAACTCTTCGTACATCAAATGTACGGCGACGACACAGATAACGTAGAGCTACTAGTATTCTCGAATGGCTGTACATCTAATTTTGAAGAAATGTAGAAGATGGGTGTTTAGTGTTCTCTGTTTTGCGAAGCGTGAAGTCAAAGTTACCCATCATCCTTTCTTGCACAAAGGGATGAACAGTATTTGTCCAGCCAATTGAACCCTGTTCGGACAGTCAACTCGCCTTGAAAGAATTCAAAGCTCTGTGAGAAGCTCATCATTCAAGTGAGTGGGGTTGAAGGTAGATGTAACCATGTCAGGTAGAAAGCGACTGGTCAGAATCCCGCTTAGCTGTACCATCAACGTCCTTAAACTCAACTCTCCAACTACACCAACAGCGGATGTAAACTTTGAGCTCTTTGGACGAGCTGCTTTCATGCCTGACGGGGCAAGTGTGTCACCATAGTCCACCTTACGGAGGTTAATGATTGGACAAAAAAAATACACGGACTGCTCACCTTGAGGTTGGCAATCTTCAAGTGGTTCAAGGCAAAAACGACAGCAAGTCTGTTGAGAAAAGGGACAACACACAGCATCTCCATTCAAGATTCAAACCTCACCTCCCTCTGCACTAGCCCCTCCTTCCAACTCAACCCCATCAACCCCATCAACCACCGCACCCCCCCCCCCCCCCCCCCGTCCCCACAACCCCCCTCCCACCTCTCCCTCGCCCTTCCAATCTCTGATCATCCAACCCCAATCCCATCCCCAACCCCAACCCCAGTCTCAACTTACACCTAGGAGCATGCCACGCCATCAACGCCGACCACGCAAACGCCCCAACAGCAAGCACATACGCCGCAACCGTAAACGAATCCCCCACCGAATGCAGCGCCACAGCAGCAAGAAAAACTCCCAGCACAGCACTCACCGAGACAGAGAATAGGAATATGGAGAGAATGAAGATACAGATCGCGCAATTGGCGGTTTGCAGGTCTCTTGCGCCGCGATAGGTGGTGAGCTGCCAGCTTGGAAGTGAAGTGAACCTATCGAGGCAGACACCTTCGTGTACTTTGAGTGGTTGGATGTGGCTGTGTTGCTGCGTGTTAGGAGATGTGTGAATTGCAAGAGAAATGAGGCTCAGAAGGAGGAACGTACGATTCGTCTAAGGAATAGAGATATGCGAACGAGAAGTTGGAGTTGGATTTGAGGAGCGGTGGCCAGATATTTCTTTCTTTGAGGTAGTCGAGGGGTTGTATTGATAGAACGAATTCATCTCTTTTCGTCCGTGGTATAGACGCTGTTGCCGGGTTTAGCAACGCCCCGGTGTGAGCATCTGTCTTCTCGGCTGAAAACTCGCTGGTGCTATCGAGTTCCAAGTACCTTGTGTCTTCTGATACAATAGTAGAGACAAACCGCCTTTCTACTACGCCATCATAGCCATTTGATATCCCAGCCTCGCCGGACTTAAAGTTAAAGCCAAAGCCTTGGACGAAACAGGAAATCGATACAAGGAACCACAAAGCCGGAAGCGCAAAGAGAATACGAGTTGATGGTTTGCGTGCCATATTTTGTGATACAGGAGCACTGAACTGTGAGGCGGAAAAGAGAAAAGGAGAAATGAAGAGAAGATGATTTCAGATCCAATGCAATGTGAAGTTGAGGCTGCGGCTGAAGTGAGGCTGTGTTTTGCTTCACATCAGGTCACGGCTTGGTCACGTGCATTCGCCAATAGTCTTCAGAGGCAGTGCAATGCATGTTAGACATCGTGTCAAATAACCGCGTTGCAATAGCAGTGAAATAGCAGACTTACTGCACTCTGCTAGAATCCAATCGAGTCCCCCGTAAACGTCAATCTCTCGAGCTCAATCAGTGTCGCCTGCTCCAATGTCTTGCTGGCTCGTCAAATGTCTCTCTACCTATGCTTTCTCCTAAGCAGTTTCGTCACCTAATTGTGCCAGATAAGAGGAAACCATGGATTTGCAGGAGGTGAGATCAAAAGATTGGACAGTGGGAGAAAGAAAATTCTTCAAATGCAAAAGAATTCAGTCCAATATTAACCAACAACGCAAAAACATCGGTATTATTGATGCTTAGAATGAAAAATGTAGTAAATGATTCTCAACTGGGAAGGAGATAGTAGAGTTTGAAAGTAGTCTCCAGATCAGAAACCGACCAAATGTAGACCTGCACCCCGAAAACGCACCCGTGGAGAACAAATGTATTTACAATCTACCAACCACAATTCCCACGCTTAAACATTATTCTTCCTTCCCATCTTTCTTTCCTCCTCTTCCTTCCCAGCTATATCCAATCCTATCCAATCCAATCCATCATATATACAATCTCTTTCTCTTCTTGCTTCTCTCTCAACCCCTCCAAGGACATCTCCACACATCTACAAAAGCGCCATCACAGCCCCGACAACAACCAACAACCCCCCACCAACCTTCACACTCCCCGCCGCATTCAGATTCCCCGTCGGCGACGAAGTAGCCGCGCTCTGCGTCCCGCTCGCACTGGTACTCGAAGACGTTCTGGTCGCTGATCCACTGCTCGAGCCGCTCGTCGTGGCGCCAGTTGTAGATGCAGCGGCGCTGGAACCGGATGTGATTGATGCTCTGGAGGAAGCGGATGGGGATGCGGATGCGGATGAGGCGGTGGAGGAGCGCACGGGGGTGACGGTGTTGGTGGAGGAGATGGAGAATTGGTTGGAGTAGTTTACGATGGCGGTGTTGCCGTCGTCGATGATTTGGAAGGCGTAGCCGGCGCCGTTGACGAGGGTTGTGGAGGGGGTCCAGAGGTAGGAGCCGGTGTTTTGGATTTTGGCTGTGAGGGGGGAGGAAATGTCAATTCTACGTCTCATTCAAAATGTTTATTGTGTTTCAATTGACGGTCCTGTGCTCTTCGCTGCCAACAAGATCTTGAATGCATCTGATCTCAGGCTTTCCGGTGGAGGAGCCAAAGGTTGGCACATCCACGAAGAGGCACAGCTCGAGAGGAAAAGAAAAGGGGAGAAATAACTCACAAGCAATCGTCTCAACCGTATCCAAATCCGTACTCTCACCCTGTCTCAACACCAACGAAATCGTATCGGTCGTCCCAGTTGAAGGAGCCCAAGTGATATTGAACGGCTCACCAGCCTTGATGCTCGTCAAGCTCGTGAATGTGAACGGGTTCTGCGCGCTGGCGAGAGCGGCGATGCCGGCGAAGATGAGGGTGGTTGAGAATTGCATTTTGGTTGATTTCTCTCTTTTTCTTTGCGATTGATTGCTTGATTAATAGATGGATGGATTGATTGATGATTGAGATTGAGAGAGATGTGAAATCGAGCTCCAGAATAATTAATACAGCAAAGGATTAAATATTCTAATTCAACGAGTGTAAAGAGAGTCAGTCTCAAAACAGCAGCAACAGCAAGAATAATCAGCGGGAAGGAGAAAGGAGGAGAAAAAGAGGAGAAAGCGATGAGCAGCAGCTCATCTTATTTAAACATCAAAGCTCTAGAGCCCCATCCTAAGCTATCCCATCTCCGCAAAATAAGGTAACCACCGCAATATTGACTCGTCAACGGAGCGGAGCAAGCCTTTGCCTTTTCGCCTCGCTTACAGCCAGCTTTCCCCTGTCTAGACTGTCGCCACACTGTACAGTAGCGGTCTAGTGGGAGATCCGGTCGGGGGACTAGATGGGTGGCGTTTTTTGCCTTGGTTGAGCCCCTGACTTGTGTTGGAGAGGGAGAGGGAACCCGCGATTCGATAGTGCTTTGGAAAGAGTTTGGAATTGAAAATACATTTGCATTTCATTCTGACCTGGTGTGTGTGTGTGTGTTGGTGATGTATTTATAAACAACAGTAAGGTAGTGAAGAATGTGTTTACCTGCCCATGCATACCCACATCCTGTCATTCGTAGGTAAATTTACTGTAGGTACCTTGCATGATCTCCACCTCGGGCAGTCAACAGCCAACAGCCAACAGCCAACAAGATCTTGGAAAATAATACAGCAGAAACATGCCTCGCATGCATGCATGCACACACATGCAGCTGCAGCTGCAGCCTTTCCGCTACAGTTCAGTACCTACAGTAGGTAGCTGCAAGCAAGCAACCGGCCGGACATAAAGGTTAAGCAAAAAAAAAAAAAAAACTATTATCCCTCCGATTTAATGCATGCATATTCGTACTCGCATGTATCGCCACGCAAGCTTCTGGAGAACTCCGCTGCGGAATAATTGGAACATATTATTCTGGAATTCGCCACAGCTCTTTGACTTTTCAAACCAAACCAAACCAAACCAAATCAAATCGAATCAGACAGAACTTCACAGTGGGCAGCCGAAGTCACCCGAGAAAGCCGCTTGCTTTTCTCCGCGCCAGCGCATCGTCGCTCATGAGAGTCCGGTCCTCCGGTCCAGAACTCCAGAACTCCAGAACTCTAGACTTTAGAATACCGAGCTTTTGAGCTTCGAGCTTCAAGCTCCACCTTGGGTAAGTACGCAGCGTAGAGAAGTGAAGTTTGGGTCCGAGGTAATGTACCTACAGAAATTTATTGAGTGATATTCTAGAATTCGTACGTGAAATTTTACAAAGCCGTTGGAAAAAAAGATTGTGAGAAGAGATTTTGGTAGCTGCTTGGCCTGGAATTGAACTTGGAGTTGAATTGAACTTGGAGTTGGATTCGGATTCAGAATCGATGCACTTCTTGCGTCATAACTGTAACTGTCCTGTCCCTGCCTTCTTTGTCTTTCCTTGCTGCCTGTGTCACACTCGAAGCTTCCTTCGCTCGGGAACTGCGTCATCGAAAGTCAAATGTCAATACCTCACCTATGCGACGAATGTGATGCCCGATGCGCTGGAATGGAATAGGATGGGTAGTTTTTGGGACGATGATGGCATCATACAGTAGCAGTGCAGTCTGAACTCTGAAACGATTTAGAACAGGTGGGAAGGGTGGGATTAATTGCCATTCTGGGACATATGGCTACACTGAAGCTGGTTATGAAACGTGGAGCTTCGAGCTTGGAGCTTGAGAAGGATGTGATGGAAGCTTCGAGCAATGAAGTCAAGGGACCGAAAGTTCCGCGTGGGTAAGTTACCAAAGTTAGTTTTAAGAGTGAGACCAGTGACGGGTTGCGTGGAGATGGAAGAGGGTGGAAGAAATAGAATAGAAGAGGGATTAGCAATTATTCTGAACGCTGGTTTGATTGATTAATCCAGTCCCAACTATCTACGTTTCCACTCGTCCGAACACAGTGCCAGTTGGCGATTTTATACTTAATTGGCGTGATTGATGTGATGTATCTCTTACAATTGCGCCGTCCAGATGATCCCGCAGCTGAAAGAAAGAGGAGCAAACCGCTACCTGACCATGGATTTCCATCCCCCCCTTTTGTACTCAACAGATCGAAATCATGCCATCTTTACAGACCACAATCAAAGATCCGAGTAAATCAATACATGTATGCGCTATGCCGTGATTATGACCTTGAAAGAACTAACATATCTCCCCCTGAAGCTTTTTTCGTAAATTAGACATTGGTGAATCGTGTAGGTAGTGGGATATGAAAGGGGCGTTTAGTTGAGGGTCATCAGGGCAGCGAAGGCCAAGAGGACGAATGCCAATGGGGAGGCGAAGCTGGCGCCGGCGTTGGTGTTGGGTGGTGCGCTGGCGGTGCTGGATCCAGAGGCGCTGGTGGTAGTGGCGGTTCTTGAGGCAGATCCTGTTTCTATGTTAGCATTCGTGATTTGTGTGGTTTGTGAGGATGCTTACCACTGGTGGTGCTTCCAGTACGGGTGGATGAACCGCTCGAGGAAGTAATTGTGGAGTTTGAGCCGGTGGTGGCAGAGGCGGAAGCAGAAGCAGACGAGGAAGATCCAGTAGATGTGGAAGATCCGGAAGCAGAGCTGGAAGAAGCTGGGCCTCCAGTAATCTCGAAGCGGACACTGTAGTTGGGGACATTGGTAGAATCCTCAATCTCGAGAGCGTAGGTGCCGACGGGGAGAGTAGCTGGGATGAGCCATGCGTAGGATGTGCCAGTGAGACCGGCTGAAGACTGTCAGTCATGATTGAGTCGAGGCACAGCAGGTTACTCACAAGCAATAGGGCTGACAGTGGTCAAGGCATTGGCCTCTCCAGTCTTCAAGGTGAGATCAACTGGTCCCTCTGCTCCAGACCAGGAGATGTTGAAAGCCTTGCCGGCTGTAACACCGACGAACGATGCCGGACCATTTGTGATGATGACAGCATTGGCGACAGCGCAAGCTGCGGCGGCAATAAGAGCGTATGAGAATTGCATTTTGACGGTTGTGAAGGTATTAGAATCGAGTAGGTATTGAAGTCGAAGATCGAACGATTGTTCTGTAGAGTGGAAACCTCGAATTAGTCGCCGGGACGTACGGAATGCTCGCAATTTGCGCTTCAAGGGAGAAGAGTGAATCAGGGGGACGCGACTCAACGCGCCAGCACATTCCAGAGGGTAAATACTTACAATTGGAGGTGTTTGAAAGAGAGACTTGACTCAGAGAGACTGTTGTAGAATGTGGGATGGTTCTTCAAAGTGCTGACGATATGTGCAAAGAGAGTTGTTGTGAGAGGAGAAGAAAAGGTTTAAGGTGGGAAGAGGCCTGGTTGATGTAGAAATTAGGAGCCCGCGCCGGGCTGTGTTTTGGCAGGGGGTAGGCAGGGGGTAGGCAGGGGTCGTCCGTGCAACAGTCGACCCGAAGCGACTGCTTTGATGGGTCCCATCGAGTATTGTCAGCTGATGATTGGATGGAATTCCATATCGATACCACATTAAGGTTAGACTTCGATTAATCTCAGGGTCAAGGTATCCATTGAAAATCTTCTAATTCGGGGTACATTCAGGGGTGCAGCATGCATGAAAATCGGCCAGCAGCTTCCCCAATCGTGATTGCAACCCCCTGGATCGCGATGTCATCATGGTCGCAGGAGAATGGACAATCTGCATCATTTCTATACTCGGTGACACCCTCCTTCGCCTCGATAGTGTTATCGTCACGCATACCACTCTGCACGAAGGCGACTTCAGCTCTCGAGTACGAGGCGTGGTGTTACCTTACGCGTCTCTTCACAGCCTCGAGTCTGGAGTGCAGTCTGGAGCAAGCCAGAGAGAAGCGCTTCTATTTCGGGCAGTCTACCAAGGCGGGGGCTAGCAAGAAAGTTCTTGTTGAGCTTCAGTTGGGCAAGAAGGGAAGGGAAAGCCTTGTGGTTTTCCAAGGAGTTTCATTCGCACATTTTCATTCTGGAGGAATTTTGGGTGGTCAGCTTCGAAGTCTCAGTGGTGAGCTGGATAGTCACGTGTTAGTATTACTCCATTACTCGAGTTCTGTTATTCGCAGCTGCTTCGTGTCATGTCGGCACTTTATTCTCACTATTCCAACCTGGACTTGTTTTGCGTCACGGCTAAAGTCCTTTCGTGCTGCTACCTGGTGTAGAAGCTTCTTCCACTCAAGAGGAAATGTCAGTCACATGTACGATCACGTGCCTTTCACCAATAAGCAGCCTTCTAGTTTGCTCTTCAAGTTTTGTTGCACGTCGCAAGCAGTGCTCATTCGACTCTCCTGCGCAGTCAATCAATACATGTTATCTAATCGTTTGAGAATCGATTAAGCTCTATATCGTTAGCCTGTATCAGTCCTCGCCTTGTCAAGGTTCTAAACACACCAAGATGAAGACTTAACAACTGGAATTCAGCCTCAGAATGTTCATTTACTACCTTAGAAGTTGAGGGCAGATTGGTAACTTGCCTTCTCGATCATTCAGTATATTTCATCTTCCTCTCATTCCGTAGCCGCCCCTGGTCTCCTCTTGTTGACCTCAACCAGCGAGAATTGCCTGGGTCTGAAGCAGGAACTTGCATTCTCCGTATCATATTAGGAACTGCAGTGCCTAAATACCATGTTGCTTCTTACACTTCTTGCAGCAAATCTAGTTTCTAGCCAACCCAAATCTCTGGGGTGAAGTACTATAGAGGGGAGCGCGGGACTGAGTACGCTATTATTATACTACAGTTGTTGCGCAGTCGATAATCAAGTTACTGTCTGGGGACTGTGAATATTTTTCTAGGTAATTGTTGGCTATTAATTTTGATTTGACTGTTTAGGACAAAGTACCCAGGGCAGCACTTTCCTTTTAAGGTACCTTAATGACCAAACCATGCACATCACATGATGCAAGTAATTGGACAGCCTCGTTCTTTCGCTCGTGTTTTACTGCATGTCGCAACCAGAGCTCGTACGGATCAGGCGAGTCGAGAGTAGCCTTTCATACCTATACCTTGTGCATTGGGATAGTTTGCGAATTGGCTGCTAAGCGGTATCTTGCCTCCCTGCCTGAGTTACCTTGAAGGAAAAAGCAAGTTCCGCCCCAGCGTGCGAGGTGCACTTGCCTAGAATAATAATCATATCACTGCTACAGAAAAACTGTAACTGTCGATTGACAGTCAATTGATAGTGATAAGAATTTCTTAACAGTTGAGAGGTCGTTATTTCAGGAAAATGCACCTCCGGTAGGGCGGAACCTGCTTTCTTCTGTAAGGTATGGAACGCCCATGAGGCTTGCTTTAATGATAGTGAAAGATGACAGTAGTACCAGTTCTTCTACCTATTGAGCGGCAGCCAAAAAGTGACAAAGATGCTCAGCCCAGTTGATACAGAGATTCTTCAAACAGCCAATAGGTGGTATTTTTTGCTTTTTCTGTGTGACATGGCGAAGCGCTGTACGCCCTTAGCCCTCAACATCGCCACTGATGCATCTTCAACTCTTGGCCGCCCTCTTTTCATCCTTCACATTTATTATATCCACCTAGAGTCGCAGTCTACCTCCTCCAACCACATCGCACAAAGATTTATCATAAGGTCTTGCAATAATCAAGCCATGGCAGGCCTCACATTCCTCGCAGCTGTGATCTCTGTCCCCAGCCTCGTCTCGGCCACCGCAACCTTCTCCCCAAACTGCAGCCTGCCTCTCGAATCGACGGCATTCGTGGTTTCTCCCAATACACGGGGGACACTGGATATCCTCTGGAGTGGACTGTTTACTATTTTCATATGCATTTGGACGGTGCAACACCTTAACGTTCCTGAGCAGCGCGATGGGAGAGGTCACTATACCATTTCATTCTTTCAATGTCCCGTTCCAATGCTGGGACTCCGTATGTGATAGAGGCTGACAATGCGAATAGATCGGGGCTGGCAGGGCGACGCGAAATGGGCTTTGAGACCTTTCTGCACGAAGGTCAAATGGATGCTCCTTACGCTCATACTGCCCGAGATATTGCTGGGAAAGGCTCTGTCGGATCTCAGAACTGCAAAAGATGCGGTCAATAAAGCTAAAAGACTGAAAGTTACATCGGGGACTGGACTGTCTCGTGAGGAAAAGGGCAACTGGACTTTAACACATGCATATTACGCCGATATGGGAGGTTTCGCATTCAGAACGTCATCCCATCGGAGTGATGAAACTCATTACAAACTACAATACATCTTAGCAGATGATGTGCTGAAACTCCGGGCACTGGGACACATTGCTAAGCTTCCTTCAATCACTGAAGACGAAATCAAAGACAAAAGCCAAGGGGACTCTTTCGTCAAAGCAACTGCCGTTCTACAGGTCTCCTGGCTGGTAATCCAAGTAATACTACGAGTGGCCCATAGTCTACCAGTCTCGCAACTGGAGATAACAGCGTGTGCCTTCGCGGCCTGTACGTTTCTAACATATAGCGTCTGGTGGTCTAAACCTCAGGGTGTATCTTCATGTACGATAATCACTCTTGCGGGTGAAGCCACGGATGCTGAAGCAGTGCTCGACGAGACTTGGGGAGACGCCGTCTCCACTCTTTTATTTTTCTGGCCTTTTGATCACGATACTTCTCGTAAAGCTGACGTCCCAATTCGGAATAACTTATGTTCGCTTAACATCGACCTCATCCTTGGTCTGACTCTTGGTTGCTTCATCCTCGGCGCTGTACACTGCGGAGCATGGTTTGTATCATTCCGTCCTTTTTCATTCTTCTTAGTCTTGGATCTCGTGATCGTGTCCTTCGTTCGTGTCCATCATTCCGATCCGATCCTTGATAACCTGAAAGTTCTGGTATGTAATACACTAATTGTATGATCAGGAACCTAAACTTCCCAACTAGAACAGAAATGCTATTATGGCGGTATATAAGCATTTCTTCTGGCGCCATACTGCCTGTTGCAATCGGATTATGGATTTTCTTGGCTTTTTTGGAGGAGATAGAGTTGGTTTATGCTTCCTCGCTGTATGGCATTATGCATTTTGGGATGATTATCCTCTATGTTGGATGTCGTCTATATCTTCTTTTCGAATCTATATACTCACTCTTCCATTTGCCACCAGGAGCATACATAACAACCTGTAAGAACAACCCTCCACCGTCCTTTTGGCAATTCATGAGCATTCGTGAAACATTCATTTTCCACTTTCTCGGCTACGTCTGCATTCTCTAGATCTCACTGACTCAATTTAGGGGCATCAAATATTCCTCATTTTGGATAGAACCTTGGCGCCACCTGGACGAACGTGAATGCATCTGCCTTAATCCTCTTCTTCATTGATCACGACATGTTTCTTCTTTGTTCGTGCCAAGAGGTCACCATCCCGTCATTCGTTTATTGTCAGCTAGTGGTTGTGATACCATCAGAATATCGATCCTAACAAAACCCGGGGCTGAGTTTATACCATTGACAAAACATACAAGTTACATGAGTCCGTCGCGAACAACTATGACGATACGATACAAGGCTTGAGAGAGTTATGCTAAAGCAATTCTCTCCCCCTCCGGTGGCTTGCGCTATTCTTCATATTGATAGCTCAATTCTATTTCTAATTACCGAACACACTTCAGGAGTTTAGTGATTTTTGGGAGGTGGGGAGGGAGATTACCAGCACCACCTCGCTTACTGTAAAGTTTATCTCCACCCTGAGTCCCCCTCGCTTAGCTGTATTTTGATTGATGTTCACAGAACCATACCGCCCGCTAACAGGGACTTGGGGATATCACCAACTTTATCGTCCGGTAAAGATGAATATTGCTCTCTGCTTACCATGATATCTGTACTAAACTCCCTAAGAGCTCGAATGCTGAGGAAAGTACCCCCGCTTAAGCTCAATCGAACCCTCGTCTTGCTCCATCTCCTCGCTTGACTCAATTTTTAGCTCAACCGCTTCCTCCGTCGCAACTGGATTTAGCACAAACCAAACTCCCCCCCTCTTAAGCGAAGGAACACTCTCCCCAGATTAAGATGGCACACTAGGTCACTCTTTAAAAACAATTCCTATTCTCATTCGGCACTCACTCATATCAAATTAGGCTGCGGTCGCGTCCGCCGCCCCCTCTAAGCTATCGACTTTTGCCCATCACAGACTTCTCAAAGCTCAAGTGATTCAAATGATGAAATTGAAAGCTATAATCCTCGCTTAAACTTCAGTTTCTCTGAACCTGTCATGCTACAAGGCCCAACAATTGTCAACAAGAAGTGCTTCTGAAGCTCACTCCCTACTGCACTCGGGTTTCATCCGCCAAACCTCGACACGGGCTGCCCCAGAGAGCGTGATCCCCGTTGCTAAGAACTGGTTCTATCTCCTTCTCGACTGCCTCATATGTTTCCTTTAGGAGCCTCACCAGATCCTCAAGCACTTTGTCAGACGCATTATACGCCGGCGCAATAATGATGTGATCCCCTCTGATACCATCAATAGTCCCCGCACCCGGATACACCGACAAACCGCGCCGTAATGCCCCGTCGACCATCCTTTGTGTAAAGCGTAATTCTGGTCGAAATGGAGTTTTGGTGAACTTGCAAGTCACAAATTCCAACGCCCAGAACAAACCCTTGCCCCGAATATCGCCAACAAATCTTGACTTGCTGAATGAAGACTTCAGCGCAGTCTCGAGCCATCGGCCCTTTGTCGCAACCCGCGCAACGAGATCATCTCGGCGAATTATCGTTTGTACAGCAAGCGCCGCAGCACAGCTCAGCCCATGAGCTTGATATGTATGCGAATGAATGAATACACCACTGCCACGTTGTAGCACATCAATGACTTTTTCATGGGCCAGGACACTCGCTATAGGGGCGTACCCTCCTCCTAATCCTTTACCAAGTGTCAGCAAGTCCGGGTACACCCCTTCGCCCTCTTGCTCGAAAGCAAAAAATGTGCCTGTCCGGCCGGTGCCGCACATGACCTCGTCAAGGATCAATAGGATGCCGTACTCATCACAAAGCCGGCGTACGCCCTGGTAGTAGCCCTTGGGTGCAGTAAGACACCCTGCTGTCGCACCACCGACAGGCTCCGAGATAAAGGCCATAATTCTTTCCGGACCAACCGACCGGAACTCGTTATCGAGCTCTTCCACTAGGCGTGCGGAATATTCCTCTTCCGTTTCTTCCGAAGACTGATCACGATAGGCGTAAGTGGGACTCACGTAACTCACGTTGCCTAAAAGCAAAGCATCCTCATATGGCGCCCTTCGCGCCACATGACTCCCTACACTCAGAGCTCCAATTGTGTTTCCATGAAATGCACGCCTTCTCGCCACGACATGCTTCCTTTCTGGCTGGTTGTTTTCGACGTGATATTGTCGAGCAAGCTTCAGAGCTGAATCCGTTGCCTCGCTTCCGGAGCTCACGAAGAACGCCCTACACAGACCGTATGGATTTCCTTCTAGCAGCATATCCGCCAGGGACTCTGCAACGTCGGTGGTGAATGCTACTGTGTGTACATATGACAGTTTGGACATCTGCTCTAGCATAGCAGCGTGTACTTCAGAGTGCCCGTGGCCAATGGAGGCCACGGCGGCGCCGGTACAGCCATCGAGAACACGTTGGCCCGTGGATAGAGTTAAAAAGGAACCTAAGGCAGAGGTGATAGTCGGAGGTTGAGAGAGGAGGGTGTTGTGCAGGACGTGGGATTTGTTACAGTCGGCGTGAAAACTTTCCCGGTTGGTCTTGACTTGTGTCGCATCGGCCAATTCGGCTAGTGAAGATGATACGCCTAGATCTCCCATGATAGATGTAGTTATAACAGGAATCAGGAGTATGGTCCTTGATCGTAGGTGTTCACGACTGACAGGCTGTGCATAAAATGGATAAAAGCACTCCCTGGAAAATATGGACTCATAACGATTGGGATCATCGAGATTTAGCCACAGTCCAACTCTAATATGTCTCTGCTCAAGCCGAAGCTTAATGATGTCAGGCTCTAATCTTCCAACGGCAGCAATTGCACAACAGAGTGTATGACAGATGTCAAATTACATAATCAGAATATTGGGTAAAAGTCGTAGCACAAGAACGTTTGATTTGCCGGATGCTTAAGCGGTAGTACGATTTTCGGCGTTCAATCTCGTGCTACTATGACTCCACCCGACTTTACGCCACGCAGGGCCCGGAATGTGAGTTCCATGTCATCTACTCATCCATGTCGGGGCTGCTGTAACTCCGGCCCTAGCTTAACATTAGAAGATACGGACTGCCCTCAAATCCTCAAGCCTCAAGCCTACTAATACAGTTGGACTTGAAAATCTTCGGTTGAGCTTTTCGACAGTATGACGGACTGAAGCGAAACGACTTTGGCGAGAGGGTGGTATGTGATATGGAGCATCTGTACGCCGCCCTCTGACGGTCTGACCACCGACAAGCACATCTCACTCACGCAAATGTTATCCAGATTCCGTGCCCTACATACCATGAAACCTGAGTCTGACATAGCCATGTAGATAAATCATTCTTTGAAACAGCTTGAAAAGCTTTCAGAAGGTTCTTAATTGGATTAAGTAACTACTGAGCTAACCGAAGAACAGGGCCAGAGAACAAGAAGACTACATTCCTCGCTTACTGCCTAATCAGGAACTGTCAGACGTTGGCCATTCTGAATGGGAAGTTAAAACAGTCCTTGAGACACTATGAACTCAATAGATACAATGAAATATATCTTATAGTCTTGCCCCACCCTAATAACATGCGGTCTGCGGACTGTCTGCTGCGAAACAGTCTTGGGAAACATCAAACCCTTCATCGTTCTTCTCACCAACTATTGAAGGAGTCAGCGCTATAACAGGTGATTATAACCGTTCAATGTATTCATTTGCTGATGAGAATTGAAGTCTTACTATCCAATGCAACAATGAATCGACTGACACAATTGTAACAACTGATCGTCGCAATAATTTCGACAAGTTCCCTTTCCCCGAAGTGCTTCTGCAATTCGGAAAATGTCTCTCGGCGAACCTTTACGTTTTGTGTCATCTCATCTGCTAAGAGCAATGCTGCCCAGTCTTTGTCTGCCAGACCAGCACGCACTCGCTGAGCCCTGTCCACATTCTCAAGATCTCTCCTCTTCAGCAGGTCCATTGCTTCAATCGATAAGCCAGCCTGTATGGCCAGGGGAGCATGGTCATCCCATTCATACCGTGCACCATTAATTACCGCGACGCGGCAGATAAGTATCTCGCGGATAGCTGCGGGCAGAGTTGTCTCGTTGCGGATGGAGCCAAGGAATGAGTTCCACCCATTGGCAACCGTTGGAGAATGTAGCAGGGTCAGATCCAGAGCTTGCAAAGGTGATGGAGCGCGGCGGGCGCGAATACGATTCGCCACCGCCAGGTCAGCCTGACTTAGACCCTCAAGACTTGCCTCAACGTAAGCAATGCGCATCTTCAAGATGACCTGAGAAGAAGAAGAAGAAGAAGAAGAAGAAGAAGAAGTATAATACGAGTTCCACGAGGTCAGTCTGGAAGCAATAACGAGGTTATTTGAAAGGGACGGCTTGTATAAACAAAAACGCAAGCATTGCTGAGTGTTTTCACTGAATTGTTAAGTTCTAAACTATGACCCGGTTTTCCTCAATAAAGACAAGTTAGTGAGATGCCCAAAAAATTGATCTTGATTTGACTTGACATCTTTTCCTAACTCCCTTCATGAGTGACAACGTTATTTCACTACATACCATACGAGACTATGTCATTAGACGGGAACAGACCTTTGGATAGGACTCATTGGTCTCGTGGATGCATGCACCGGACGACAAATCCGTTACCTAATTAAGCTGACTCCGATAGACTAGAGAGGACAGAGACAGAACCCAGCCTACCAAGCTCAATTTCTTCGGGAACGAAATTTATTCTATGTCACAATGTCTAATGACGCGGGACTAATAAAGCTTTCGAACTGCAGAGATGCTCTGCTGATAGTGATATTTGATAACATAACGTAAGAAACAGGTTGCATTAGTATATTATGGACTAGCCAGATTAGGGTCGTATACAACAGCACTCGGAAAGTATAATGAGGCGCCGCAATGTCAAATCACTTGAAGATACACATGTTGCTGGCACGCGATCATTAACGCACTGGTAAAACTTTCCACCGTTGACTATGTCAAAACCCCTTGAACCCGCTGGCCTGTGGAACAATCACAAACAATCGGAGATCACCCCGCTTATTGGCATCATTTTCGAGGATGTGAACCTTGCGGATGTGCTACGATCTCCCGACAGTGACGACAAAATCCGCGACCTCGCAATTCTCATTTCACGGCGTGGGCTCTGTGTATTTCGCGGCCAGGGAAACTGCACTGTTGCTGACCAGAAACTCCTTTGTCGGAAGCTAGGACAGCTGACGACCCGTCCTGCTACTTCTGATCTGTGGATACACCCTGTGAACCAAACACAACTGCCTGATGGTACATTAGATGGAGAGGTCATGTCTCCGTCTCGTGACGCTGGAAAAAAGTTATATACTAGAGTAAGCGCACTCCGCATATAGTCGATGGTCGAATACGGTACCCATTGAACTTTTGCCTTGACTATCTTTGTTGGTGGCAAATACCAAAGCAGTTCTCAGAGTTTTCCAAATATTTTCACCTGGACACATGCAGTGGCTGACTTGATTTTCTGAACTCAGGAAGGTGGGTATGCCACTGGCACCGAGAAAACCCAGAGCCGGGCGGATGGATGGCATACGGATGGATCTTTTGAACATGTTCCTGCCGACTATACTTTACTACACATGAAGTTCTGTCCAAGCACCGGCGGCGATACCCTATTTGCATCGGCGTTTGAAGCCTACGATCTTCTCTCTGGCCCAATGCAGCGCATGCTCGAAGGTTTGAACGCTACGTTTACACCCCCATATCACAAACCCGAGAACATAGCTGGCCGCCTATGGCCGGGGATCAGAGGTGCACCAGAGAATCATGGTCCTGAGCTCCGCGCCAGTCATCCGTGTGTTAGGACCAATCCTGTGACTGGGTGGAAGAGTTTATACGCGGTTGGGCACCATCTCGAGAGCATTGAAGGTCTTGGAGACGTCGAGAACAGGATGATGCTTGAGTTTTTGCAAAGATTGATCACGGAAAATCACCAATTGCAGGCACGTGTGAAATGGAACCCCGACGACATGATCATCTGGGACAATAGATCTGTTTATCACGTAAGTGACCTTCATCGACACATCATTTGAAAGTTTTCTAGTTAACCAATCACACCTCATCTAGTGTGCTACCTACGACTATGGTACTACGGGTTTGCGACGTGCTGATCGAGTTTGTGGGTGTGGCGAGGTACCTTTTTTGGACCCTCACTCTTCTGGACGTCGGCAGGTATTGGGTATTTAAACTCTCCTCTATAATGACACTAGTTCTTGTTGGCTTCATTTCTGATGAACTGTATTCTTTCTTTTCGTGTACAAGATAGCTGGGAGTTGTTCTCTTTGCTTTGGAGTCCCTCATCGCTGAGTGAATTTACGGACGCGCATGAACAGAAGAGTTAGCGATCATTGTAAAGCATATCATCCAGAACACGTGGAAAGTGAAGAACTACAATGTCAAAACTCAGGTCTCATACATTCCTATTACAAAGTAAAGCTTAATCGTGTATATAGTCCAATAATCCACCTGCATACCGGGCCTTGCATGTTTCTATCTCGCTTTTAATGTTGTGGCGTATGGCAAGTAACTATGATTGTTCTCAAAGATGGACATAAACACAAACATCCATTGTAGCTGCATAATATCATGCGAAGACGTATGTCAAATGAAATCAACTGAGGCCAGAACGGCAATAATTTTGTAGTATTGCTATCCCCTCAACTGCCGAAAACACACTTTTCCAGGGCACGACGCTGAAGCGAGGCGCTAAGGCTGCCTGGACGACAACAAAGCATTCAATTTCAGCGTTCTTCGCTTAATTACAGGGTCACGCTACAGGTGTGTTTGATACGACAGTTGAGGGGATACTGGATTGCAATCGAACTTATAGACATGTCTATTATATCAGATGGTAATAAAACGAGCCGGTATCTATAAACCATCGCCGGAAATCTAGAGATTCTCAAGAGCATCTACGGTTGTAAGACCTCATTTCCAACCTCTTCCAAGCCCGTCACTAAGCCTTCGACTGTTGTATGTAAGGTTTGACAGTTAACAACAACTCTGAAGAAGCACCCTCGGTCACCGAGTGCGTAATCGATCATAAAACCTCGATTTATCATCAAACTGACCATTTCCTTCGTGCACCGCGTGTTCGCAGCCATGACATCTGATAAGGTCTTGTTTGGGGCATAGTAGAAGCAAACCTGAAGACACGGCGGCGGGTTGGGCGACAATAACACAAAGTCTGGATGCTCTTCCAGGAGAGTAGCCAAGTGCCTTGCCACATCGAAACCATGATTGATCTGCTTCTCTAAACCGGTGGCACCGTGATATACCCAGCTAAGGGCCAACTTGAGGGCGTCACCCTTACGTCCACACTGGAGAGTCAGATCCGCTAGGTCCCAAAAGTCTTCGCCATCTACCTCTTCGTGAAACAGATAGCCTGCCGGCAGCGTATTTGCGCGATGAAAGGTGGCCAGGTCATTGGTGAGCAAGAAGGAGCATGTGACTGGGACGTTCAACATCTTGTGGGGGTTGATCGTTATGCTATTGGCGAGCTCAACGCCAGCGAGCTTGTGCCTCTGCAAGGAAGAGAACGCCACGGCGCCGCCCCATGAGCCATCGACGTGGAGCCAGAGGTGAAATTCCTTGCATATAGCACTGATCTCATGAAATGGGTCGTACGCGCCTAGGACGGTCGTCCCAGCCGTGGCGTTGACGTAGAATGGAGTCTTGCCCTCACTTAATGCCTGAACGACCAGAGCACGCAGGGCAGATGGGATCATGCAGCCGGTAGTCTTATCAGCCGGCACTGAGATCACACCACTAGTACCCAAACCCATCGTAATTGCCGCCTTCTCGAAGCTATAGTGGGCATTCGTGCTGGTGAACAAGACCAAGTTGTGTTTTCCATTACCCTCAGTTTTGGTGCTGGGATACATGGAGTTTCGAGCAATCACCAGCGAGGTCATGTTGGAGGCGGAGCCGCCCGGACACGTCACTCCACCAGCATTGGGACCGGTGAGTCCAAGGAGGGAGGCTAGGGCTCTAGCTGTGACCTTTTCTACGAGCGTCAAGGAGGGTGACACATGATAGACGTGAAGCTGAGAAGCGAACTTATCAGATTAAGTGATAGAAGGTATAAGGAACGGAAGTGAACTTGCGTTGATATTCAATGTTCCAAGAATAAGCTCCGATATTACCCCAATCTGTACACCGTATTAATATAGCTAACATAAAGCTTCAATCCATTAACGAGTGAGTGTGCACGTACCGGGTCTGTACTTGACGTAAGTTTATCCAGGAATCCCTGATCCCATGTGTTGACGCTGTATTGCAAAACACCTTGAATCATCTCGAGAAGCCCAGCTCGGCCTCGGCCTTCATCCGATGGCAGTGACCATTGCCACCGATTGGCCAACTCGCCTGGCTCACATCTTTCTACAAGCACATTCTCACTAGATGAAGCGTATTCCCGGCCGTCGGCTCTCATCAAAGCTGCCTCATCCGCCCTGCTGATATAGTTCACAATGAGCGGCTTAACTGCATCCAACAGCTAGGACGTCTTAGTCATAGTCAAACTCGGCAATGAGGGGCAAGCATATACCTCTTCGACTTCTTCTGCGCGCTGCAAAGGAGTTTGTGCCGTGCGTGATATATTCAATTCCTTCAACTTGTTGTGGATATCATGGGCGTTTCCATTGGGTAATCGATGGTTGTAGCCCATCGTACGTCCTACAAACTTCTATAAAGGGAGTAGAGTGCCAAAAATGAGGGTGATCCGGATCCAGGCTGCGGTTCCAAGCACACTTATGGCACAAAAGGAAAACTCGGATCCGGATGACCTAAGAATCTTAGCGTAGCAGCCGTACGATTCTGCATAATCCGATATGGTCATAGGTGTATCACATAAAAAATGATGATAAATAATCACCCCTTGACATTTTCAGAGTGAAAAAAGACTGTATTAGGAGTCATTCTTAATGCACTTCTGCACTAACCATATCGGCTATGTACTTTTCCATGACGGGGTCTGACTTCTGAAAACAGGTGCCATGAACTGCTGTGCATGCCACCAATGCTGGAGTCCTTTCAGCTAGTGTGCTGCTTTACCGAGCGCCACTCCATAAACACAGATCCAAAAATAGTTGCCACTGTTAGTGCCAGAGGCAGGTATAATGTCTGCACAACGGCCTTATCGTAACCCATCAGAACTTCATGTAGGCGCTCACCGCCAACAAGAGAGAGGATGTCGGAGAGACCAGCTTTATCCAGCGTTGTTGTGTTCACAGATGGGCTATACTTGGCTAATTCAACCGTTAAACGAGTTTGGAATAGCGTAGCTGATACCACGATCCAAATGGCGCTGCCCATGGTCTGACCAAACCCGCTTACAGCTAGGCCAATAGGCAGGTCCTTTTTCTTCATAACGGTTTGCAAAGATATAATCGGGGCCGAAATACCAATACCACAAGCAAAACCCAAAAGGGCGAGCAGGCACAGAACTTTTGCCAGACTTTGATCTAGTTCGATGGTTGTGAGTAGACCAGAAGCCACTGGGGCTAGGATAGTAGTAGCAAACATGAAGGCTTGTTCAAGTTGTATCAGTATCAATGGGCACGAAATTGAGAGAAAAGAAGACTTCTATCCAGAGAACATGATACTTACGGGTGTAGTATCCCAGCCAGATGATACCCGCTCCTCCGCAGAGGTTTCCGATTGTAATACCCACGAGCATGGGGGTGAGCATGATCCCGGCTCGGCTGGCTGTATAACCCTTGATGATTTGAAAGTAGATGGACATATAGTACTCTGTTACCGCTAAGGCTGAGTTAACACACGAGCCGAACCATGCCGCAGCCAGAACAGTCTTCATTTTTAGGATTCGTGGCGGCAGAGTTGCGTTTTCTTGCAATTGATGCTGGCGCCATCCGAAGATGGTCAAAAGTGCAACAAACAAGACGAGCAGAACGATGATACGTGCGTCCGACCAACCGTACTTAATACCGCCCCATTGCAGGGCTAGCAATAGGCAAGTAACAGAGGGAGCCATGAATATGGTGCCGATCCAATCGAACTGTTTCACTTTGGCTTTCCACGAGAGCTGCTCGTCATCCTGGAGAAGCTCCATATCCTGCAACCCAAAAGTCAACAACCCCACCGCCGCGACTCCAAGGGGGAGGTTGATCCCAAAGCACGCTCGCCAGCCTATCCAGTCGATCAGTCCGCCACCGACGAGCGGCGCGGACACAATTCCCGCCATCTGCACTGAGCTTATCACTGTGGTCCAGAATGGTCGCCGATGGGTGGGAAGGCACCGCGTCAAGATCACGATGGTACCAGAAATAATGCCCGCTGCCCCGACTCCGGCCACGGCTCGGCCTAGAATAAACACCGGCGAGGTCGTGGCGACCGTAGACAGCAGCGATCCCAGCTCGAAAATACAGATGCTAGTAATATAAAGGCGCTTCGGCGGCGCCAGGCTGTAGAGCTTGCCGAAAAAAAAGGTGAAGCTCGCCGTCATGACTGAGTAAGCCGACGAATACCAGCCAATATCCTGCACGGTTTTGAAGTAGTTGGTCAAGCTTGGCACTACTGCTGCCACAATAGTCAAATCAAGACCGAACAGGAAAGAAACGGTGCTGAGCGAGAATATGGTTATCCACAGCTTGAAACCGGACAGATAGTCTGATTCACCATCAGGTAAAGACGCCTCTTGGACCTCGAGCTGCTCCAAGGGAGGCGGCCGTATCTCAGGTGTGGTAGGATTATCTGCAGCAGTTTGCTGTTCTGGCTCGGGCCCAGCTGCACTGGTCATCGCGGGGTTTCCCGACATTGGAATATAGGTTGATCTTTCTTGGGCGTCGCCGCTCGAAATGACTGCTTGGAATAACTGGCGGAATGGGTGAAATGGGGTGCGAGGGTGGGGGCGGGAGAGGTTGTACCTACCTCTAGGTATTGATGTTGTCATGGATGGGAACTTGGCGGCTACATGTTTTCTGTTAGTCATCCGTTTGTTGGTCAAAATAGCCGCTGCCTAGAATCACGCAAGTTACGTCATTCTAGCGTACGAACGACAAATCGTGAGTACAATCGAGACACCGTGGAGCTTGGAGGAATGGATTTGTTGTGGCGGCCCAAATCCCGAACACGCACACAATAAGAGAGGTAGCAATTAAGGCACGAATAGAACTTTGATACAAAGAAGCGGATTGGGCAAATCTCAAGATATTACATATCTGAAGCGCGAAAATTGTTGCATAAGAGGCGGAGAAGAGAATGAATTAGATAGAATCTCTATAAAAAGCGCAATTATTGTGATTATCTCAAGTGTTCTTGTTGATGTTGTGTGTTTAAATGAATGACAGTTTCAAATCTCCGAGTCCCACCGCTCGGCCGCATCAAGTGGCGTGACCTGCCTCCGTCACACCAAGCACGAAGCCATCGCCCTGCCACGATGCAACGTTGGTGCAGGGAGGAATGGGATACGATACAAGTACGTATCAATAAGGTTCGGCTCACGCGGTCCGCTCCTAGCTGCAAGATGGGGGGCGTAGCCTCTAGGCACCACCCTTTGAACAGATGGTGATACTGTAGTTGGTGCTAATCGTATTACTGTATACTTGAGCGGGGTAAGTACAGTCGAGTGGGGTATGCACCAAGACCGAGTCTCTCCTTGCGCGCATGCATACTTTTCGGCAGCACCGCAGCAAAGGGGATCGCCGCGGAAATAATGTACTGTAGTGGCACAGACGCTGCCACCAGCTGCCACATGCCAACGAACCTGCTTCTTACCTAGGTAGGCGAAGCAGAAACCACGGTCATCCGCCGACACCTATGACTGGTTACCCCATACAAGAGATGTGAGGGATACAACACTGCGATAATTGAGAATCCAGCACTTGCCAATTTAGGGGCTTTGGTGCGCTGTCTAGCTATTTCAACGTCCAGTGGTAGTTGGGCAAGGATTCTCCGGAATTTACAGATGCAGTTCTGGCTAGTGAGGCACCATACCGAGCGTACCAATCAGGTCTGCTGGTATCCGACATCTTGACAGGGTGTTTGTGTCATACGGTACGGGCCGCAGGGCTGCAAGCATGGTGTTAATCTATCTTGGACCCCTACCGCTCAGACTGGGTATTCGATATGCCCCCACATAATGACTACCAAGGCAGTACGAGAATCACATATCACACACATCATGCTGCGCTGCTAGCTACTATTGGAGGGAAAAATGATCGATTGAATATTACCGAAGAAACAAAACACCTTATCTCGAATGATCTGGCGGCTGATGAGGAAAATTCCAAGTAGCTTGACCGAGACAAATGCATTGCAAGCTCCTTAATTTACACCTTTCCATTAGAATCGCGTGCTGGGACACCACGCCTCTAATAAGACAATTTCATCCCCTCCCCCGTTGTAATTACACACCCAATCATATACTTCCCATTGGGCTACTTTCGAGGTCGTCGACAGAGCCATCCCTCGACGCATTAGGAGGTTTAGCTCGGACATACACCCAGTTTGCGGCCTCATGGAGTGGTCTACTTCCTGGCGCTGTCATAATGCGTATCGTGGCAAGAAGTAGTGTTACTCTGGTGGGTACATCCTGAGGTGATAATTTGGCCGTGAGCGTATACAAGTTAGGTAGCTATATCATAGATCCGATCTGTCAGTGAAAATTATCACCGAACAGCTCGATCCTCTCAAACTTGAACAGCCTGAAGGTTGAGGCTTACCTCATAGCGCAGCGTCTTCTGTAGCTCCGCTGCCATTGAGCGTAACTGGTGCAGCGCAGCAACACTACCACTGCTGCTACTACTAGAGTCACCACCATCCACTGCAGCCGCTGTGTCTATTGTGGTTGTTTGGGCAATATTCTGCCACAGTTCTAACTCGCAGCTGTACTTTCTCCTTGCGAGCCGATCAAACTCGGCTGTGATTAAGTCCGCGGCGGATCGAACGATGGTGTCCTGGTACCCGCTCGCCTCCCATGAGGACCACGAGTTGACCTGAGTATGTAATTCCTCGAGAAATGCGGGCAAACCTTTAGTGCGGCTTGCGGTCTGGGCTAGCTTTGCCGAGGAATTATTCTTGAACAAGCCCGTGTAGTAGCATGACACAAACGAGTCCAAGTCGTCAAAGCCGGCGGTCTTCGAACAGCGTAAGACATACTCGACGCGGGCTTCCAGGCTCGTCGGCTCTGGTGCGGTACGCGGCTGTTGTGGTGGTGTTGATAGAAACCTTGAAGACTTAAGTTCATTGGAGGGGTTAAATTCATTGGTCGTAGGGAGTTGAAAGGAGGAGCTGGAACAGTCCAAGAGTCCATGACTGAATAGCGTTACAGGAGGTCAGTTAAAGACTTTGGTGGAAGCGAGAAGGGTTCTATTCGTTGCTTCTCTTACCTGTTGCTTGTTAACCCCACGGGATCTGTGGTCTCAGTGGTATCTGCATGTAACTCTGGGCTCCTGTCCAGGCTTTCGATATCTTGGAGCGACAGATTTTTATGGCTGGCCCAGGGAGTGTCATCGAAAATGGAGAAATCTATCAAATGCAGTTGACAGTCAGCGAATGATCTCCCAGCAGTGAGCAAAGATCGATAATGGAAGTTTACATGACTTGCTTCATCATCGTAAGATTTTCTTCTACAAATGGAGAGTAGCGAGCAGCTCTTGAGACCGTGTGCGGAATCTGAAGGAGAAATGGGATGGGCTCGACGAAAAACGCATCGTGATTATTGAGGAAATAGAGTCACCTTTCAGAAAATCCGTCTCATCAGACAAATTTGAGGTCGTATATGATGGTATTAGCACTATGTCACTTTAAAAGCGACGTAACATACTGACCTGGTGATGTTGAGCGGGTTTCCTCTGGTGTGAAAGAAATGAGGCAGCTGGGCCAGAGGACGACGATGGTGCTTGTATATCCATTCCCACGGACTCGCACGCTTGCGAAGGGCTAATTGATATGTTGTCCGATGTAGATAATGTTGCAAACCCGCTTCGTTCGCCTAGCTGCGTGGAAAAGGTAGGGAACGAAGACATGTCGCCAGCAACTATTGTACGAGCTTGAGTATTACTGCCTTTTGCCGTTCGGTCCGCCTCCGCTGCCCGCTTTTCCAAGTCTTCTATGTGCGATTTGAGTTTCTTCCCTGGAGGACGGAATATTTCAGTGTGCAATTCTCAATGAGCACGTCCTGGCAGAGGTTGCAGCCTGACTTACTGTACTTCTGTTGTGCTAGCCGGTTGCGACGTCTCTTCTGCATCAGCTCGCTAGCTTCATCATCCGGAGACGTTGTTCTGTTCATCACGAGGGAATGTCTTTGTACAGATTATGTGTAGTTATTAAAAGGATTGGTTGAGAAAATCAGCAGGAATTGGACTTTCGGTCAGAACACTGGATTATATAAACCAGACAAGCACAGCAAGCCATATACTTAAGCATGAATACAATAAGACGCCATAGAAAATCCCACAGATGAAGTCCCCACTCTTACCCCCACCTTTTCTTAACAATTTATAGAGATACTAATGCCTGGAAATCGCTGCTTCTGGTTTAAAAGGTGGCCCAAAAGAAAAGGTGGAGACTTAATTTCTATCAGCACTTCTTTTCATAATGGGAAGGTGGCCGAGCCTAATGGTTGTCGAGAATCAAGATTATGGAAAACCGCCAGAACAAATCAATATCTGCACGTTTTTCTCCAATAGGAAGGCAGTTGAATCTGTGACAAGCTGCATTGCGGCTACTTGGAATTAAGGGCTGACTCAGAACAGACTGGCGAGCCCGTAACCCGAGTGAAAGGATATCATTCGCCGCTGAACGACGATGCGCCGATTGTCAACAATAGCAGCCCTGAACAGCTGGAGGAAACACTTGATAAGATGAAGAAAGGGCCTACATGGCCGCTTGGCGACACGGTGTGTGCTGGGGTTTAGTGTAAGCAGGATCATCGTTCACCATCGAAGTCTCATAGTGAGTCGATCGGAATGGAAGCGATAGGTCAAGCTGGTCCTGGTTCGAAGCGAGCACTATGCGGGGTTAGGTAAACACACTCGGGTTCGGGTCTCTGCCCTCCGAAAACGAAAACGTAGTTTGATCGACAGCCATGCACCCTCCCACACCAAAACGAAATATTTGCACACGTAAATATCACATGGAAATGCGGAGGTGCATTAAGCTGCAGTGCTTAAGTCGCGAGGAAATGGTACCTTCTTGTCGAACAACACGCTATAATTCGTAATGCATATTGTTGCTTAGCGCAACAGATTATCCACCAGTTGTAATCAAAAGAGCTGATGCTAGGTTGTTGGAACTTAGTGTTTCTGTTGACAACACAAGCGAGAAAAAGCTTCGATTATCCGCAATTTAAAGAGGTTGACTAACTTCGACTTGATAATGACACTCCCAGTTCTCTCAATATATATTTTTACGTTGACCAGCAGTACCTTTCTTGACCCGAAGGCCCACATTTAGTCTTCAATTTATTATCAAGCAATGAAGGAATCAGTTCATGTTGTCACGATAACAGAATGAGTAGTCATACTATGCAAATGCTACAGCTAGTGGACCTCTGACTAAAGATGCTGGTTTGGGTGTATAGGAACGCGGCCGTCTTGAGAACACGCTCAATGTCGTGAACATGATGGCCATGGAAAGGTTCTCTTTCATAGTAATTCTCATCATAGACACCGGCATTGCACCGTAACTCCCCATACCTATGTCTCTAGACAGATCTATGTTCCCGTCTCTTCCAGCTTGCTGCCTGTCCAAAATTATTCTGCAAGATGGCTTCACCCGCTACCAATGTTGCTCAGTCCGTAGAGCTTGGCGAGTTAGACGACGGCACTTTCGAGCACCTACCTTCTACAACAATTGCTGAAACAATCTGGGCCATATCCTATTTCATCTACACTGGCGACAACGAGGTGCGATTTACTCGGACTACTGCCAAGCGCTTGAACAATTCTCGCAGTGATGTTGCCAGTAGAAAGTGGCTGTCATGTATCAGAAGCTACCAGGTGGACCTAAACGCAACACCGGCCGAGATCGCGAAATCGGGCCGTGAAATGGCGCCAGAAATTAGAGAAGATGCCCAAGAACATCAGACTGGTCCCTCGTCGCTTGCTTTGACACAGATCGTAAGACAGACTGAGCTCCTCTTTGCTCAAGGAGATGAAGTCTCAGAGTGGAGGGACTATGCTAAAAGAAATAACCCGGTGAGTTTTGTCTACCACTCAATAGAGGCAGCTTTGGGTAAGGAGTAACAATACATGCTGAACTTTCTTTCTTTTCAGCATTCGATGATATTTTGTGTCTCTATGGTGGAGAGCCTCGCCAAAGGCATCCTTTTCGCAAACAGCCACGAACTTCAGGAAAAACTCGCAGATATCGCAGACACTTTGCAACAAGTTAGCGAGCTGGTCCAGAAGAACTGGTCGTCTCCCCTAAGCCAGTTGAGTTTCATGGGTCCAGCTAACTGGAATCGCATAACCCGATTAGCCCCAACGCCAGTTGCGGTCGGTGAATCTGTGATGTGTGACATATTGGACTACCAACGCCAGGTCCGACCGGAATGCATTGCTGTAGATGCATGGGATGGTAGCTTTACTTATGCTGAACTTCATTCATATTCGCTTCGAATGGCTACGTTGCTACTGCAGAGAGGAGTTACGCCAGAAGAGAGGATTGGTATATGTATAAAGAAGAGCAAATGGGCCGCCATCGCCATCTGGGGCACTCTTCTAGCCGGTTGTACTTGTGTAACTATCGAAATACGAAATACTCGGAAGCGCATGGAGACCATTCTCAAACAAGTTGGCGCTCGATTCGTCGTGGCAGACGAATTCACAGCGCCAGTCATGGATACCTTGGGGTTGCGTACACTTCGCTGCCAGTCTGATGCCCTTGAGGCCATCGACGCTTCAAACTCCGCCCTCGCATGGCCAGAGATTCTACCATCCACTATGGCGTATATTATCTTCACCTCGGGAAGTACGGGAATCCCGAAGGGCGTGATGGTGGATCATGGTCCTTTATACCAATCAACAGTTGAACTCGCCGAAGCTTTTCACGTCGAGGAAACGTCCAAGTTCTTCCAATATTCTGGCTTTAGCTTTGACGTCGCTATGTCCGATATGTTTACAACCATGCTGAAAGGAGGATGTCTCTATATTCCTTCTGAAGAGGACCGACTTGACAATCTTTCCCTCGTCTTGGGGGAGAGCAAGGCCACCCACGCTACCCTCACAAGCACTGTCATGATGCAGATCCGGCCGGAAGACACGCCTCATCTTCGATACGTCATTGCAGTGGGGGAAAGCCTCTCTCGAGAGAACTTTCGCCGTTTAAGTCCTCATATGCGGGTTATGTCGTCGTGGGGAACCACTGAAACGGTCTTGTTCGATACCGTTGCGGAACCAGAACATCTGGCTTCTGACTATTACAACGGCGGATTGCCAAAAGGACCCTGTGTTTGGGTGGTGGAGCCATCCGACCCAAGCAAGCCGAAGCCTATTGGCGCCATTGGAGAACTCATGGTTGAAGGGCCCTTGGTCACCAGAGGATATGTGGGAGATTCAGAACGCACGGCACAGAAGCTCATCCAAGCTCCATCGTGGCTGAAGAGCTTTCGAGGCAAGCAGGAGGAGCATCTCTGCTTTCTGACTGGGGATCATGGGGTCCTCAACGGTGATGGTACGGTGTCCTACGCTGGCCGTGGAGATAGGCAGGTAAAAGTTCGTGGGCAACGAGTGGAACTTGGGGAAATCGAACATGCTATCCGTGTTGTTGAGCCCGTTCTTGACCAGGTCGCCGTTGAAGCCGTCAAACTTCAAACAAGAAATAACTCCCAGGCACTGGTGGCCTTTGTAAGTCAACGGGATAGGTGCCATCAGGAGTCGTTATCGGAGCTCCTGCCTATGGATGAAGAATCTAAACGGATTTTCCGAGTTGTCCAGTCCAGGCTGCTGGAGTATCTGCCTCGCTACATGGTGCCATCGACTTTCATTCCTGTGCCGGCATTGCCCAAAACTATGACCGGAAAGAGTAATAGGAAAGCCCTCCAGCAGTGGGGAGCATCATTGTCCGAAAAACAACTTTCGAGCTACCAGTTGCGTGATACACTAATATCTCGATCACCTGCAACACCTGACGAAGAGCTGCTTTTGCGGATATGGGCGGGCTTGCTGCAGATCCCTGAGACTTCCCTAGGTGCCGAGGATAACTTTTTCCAGATTGGCGGCGATTCGGTCAAGGCAATCGAGTTGGTCGCAGCACTTCGAGATTGTGGCCGAGCATTGACCGTTGCCCAGGTCTTCCAGAACCCCCAGATGAGCAATCTAGCAAATTTCTTAGAATATGTCAACGAGGCGTCAGCAGATCACAAGTCACCCGAACCTTTCGAATTACTTCCCGGCTTTGTTAACGAGCAGGGTGCTGTGCAAGAGGCTGCTCGGGTTTGCCAGGTCGGGGAGGACATGATTGAAGACATCTATCCCACCACGCCTATGCAGGAAGCATTGATGGCCATCTCTGCACATCGCTCTCGCACATACACCCATCGAGCAATATTCAGAATACCAGGATCTCTGGATATGGCTCGCTTTAAACAGTCTTGGGAAATTTTGGTGTCCGAGCAACCAATTCTTCGAACGCGGATCATCGCCTTGCCTAGTGCAGGAACAATGCAGGTAGTTCTGCGGGAGGGCGTAGAGTGGCATACCAATTTGACCTTGGATGCGTTTGTTGAACATGATGACGAGACAACATTCAGGTATGGGTCGGCTCTTAGTCGTTATGCGATCGTCCGTAATGACACGGACAATCTCTTCTTCGTTTGGAGTAGTCACCATGCCATTTCCGATGGATGGTCCAGACCCGCTATGTTCAATGAGCTCAAATATATCTATCACCACGGCATCGCTCACCTGCAAAAGCCCTATTCTTTATTCATTAGCTACCTCAACCGGCTCAATCTGCCAGAGTCTAGCGAATTCTGGAAGGACCAATTTCCAGATATAGTTGAAGGATTCCCTCGGTTGCCCAGTCCCGACTATGTCCCCCAAGCACAGCAAAAACGGTCTTTGAGGATCGACCTGCACCGGGAAACCGCTTCCCAGATCACTACGACCTCCTTGGTTCAGGCGGCATGGGCTTTTGTCACTGCTACTTACGCAGATGCGGATGAAGCTGTATTTGGCCTGACTCTATCTGGACGAGATGCTCCGGTTCAAGGAATTACCCGAATGATGGGTATCACGATTACAACAGTCCCCGTCAGGGTAATCTTGGATAACACCATGACTATCTTGGAATATCTGGAAGAAGTACAGCAATACATATTGCAGGTAAAGCAGCACCAGCACGTCGGCCTTCAACAAATCTATCGTTTGAGTTCGGAGGCGCGATCTGCCGCCAACTTCCAGAACCTGCTCGTCGTCCAACCTACAAGTGAGGAGGAGGACTACAGAGGACTTCTTGATATGGGGTTAGAGCTTTCCCAACGGGAGGAAAGGGATACTGGCAACCACGCATTACTAGTTCAGTGTGTCATAAACGAAGAAAGCCGCTTGTTGCAGGTGGACGCATACTTTGATGACAAGTGCATTTCTGTCCAGCAAGTGGAATGCATGTTGTACCTTTTCGAGCACATCCTTGGGCAACTGGCCTCCGAATCCACTGGCCGTTCCCTGTACGATTTGGATAGAATGTCACCTCACGACCTGGGTCTCTTGGGCGAAATTAATGGTCAGATGCCTCTGGCCGTAGAACGCACATTACACGGGTTATTCCAAGAGCGAGTACGGGAGTCACCTGACGCCGTTGCACTTGATGGATTCGATGGCCAGCTCACGTACGCTGAGTTAGATCGCATATCCGATCAACTAGCGCACCATATTCATCTCAATGCTGGTGTCGGGGTCGAATCACGCGTGGTCCTGTGCTTTGCAAAGTCTACGATTCCCGTTGTTGCCATTCTGGGTACCTTGAAAGCTGGGGGTGTTTGCATCTCAATCAACCCTGAACACCCTACTGTCCGCTTGATAGAACTCTGCGAAGAGGTTGAAGCTGATATCGTACTTTGTGACGAGGCAAATGTGGATCGATTTCAAAGCCACGTAGCTCACGTACTGGGCATCACAAACTCTCTGCTGCAGGAGTTCAAATCGGCTACTGTATCCCGTCCAGACCTCGCTACAGTATTACCGAGCAATGCTTCATTTGTCATTTTCACGTCGGGCAGTACTGGTAAGCCAAAAGCATCAGTTTTAGAGCACCGTTCTTTGGCCACAGACTTGATTGGGCTAGGCGAGCGGGTATGCTGGAGTCCGCAGTCCCGAACGCTGCAATTCTCGGCATATACATTCGACGCACATATAGTGGAGATAATCGGAACGTTGATACATGGTGGCTGCGTGTGCATCATCTCCGACCACGAGCGTATGAACTTTCTTTCTGATGCGATTAACGAACGACGTGCCAACTGGGCGCTACTCACAAAGACTGTCTCCCGTCTGTTGGAGCCAGAAGAGGTTCCTACACTAAAACACCTCATTCTAAGCGGCGAGCCCAACGGACGTCAAGATTACTGGCGATGGGCAACTCATCTACGACTGCTCAACGGCATGGGCCCATCTGAGTGTACACCTTTGGTCTGCGTGACCCGGCCCGTGACACCAACCGATGATCCAGCCAACATTGGGTCTGCTGTTGGTTGTCACCTCTGGGTTACAGATCGCCGCCGACAGGATCGTCTTGTGCCGATCGGCTGTGTCGGTGAGCTTTTGGTTGAGGGCCCCATAGTGGGTCGAGGATACGTGAACAGGCCGAAGGAGAATACAGCTGCCTTCATCCACAACCCGGCATGGTCCCAGGATGGATCTGGACGATCTAGGAGATTCTACCGCTCAGGCGACCTGGCCAAGATGAATGTGGATGGAAGCATTGTCTTCATTGGTCGTGCCGATGGTCAAGTGAAGATACATGGCCAGCGCGTCGAGTTGGGAGAGATCGAAGATCACATTCGTCGTTGCAACCCTTCCTTTCCAACTAGTGCTGTTGACGTCCTCAAGTTTTCTCGTCGGGGAGGCACAAGTGCATTAGCTGTCTTCTGGATCCATGACAGAAATGGACAAGCCGAAAGTTCAAATGGTGCTGATGTCGACAGAGCTACACTTTGCATGGATGATAACACAGTCTCCGAGTCCCAAAAAGTGCAAGCTAGGCTTGCAGACCTTCTTCCGCAATATATGGTACCTAGTATATTCATTCCGGTTAGGTATTTGCCATTCAACGCGTCGGGAAAGCTGGAGCGACGAAAACTCCGCGAATGGGTGGCAGCACTGGACACCCACGAACTCGGAGACTATTTCCTGTCGAGCCGCACAAAATCGCGTCCGCCAGAAACTAATATGGAGAAGCGACTACAAGCGCTATGGGCCAAGGTTCTTGACGTACCCATGAACACCATTAGTGCTCGCGAGAACTTCTTTCGCGCAGGAGGGGATTCTGTACTGTCTATAAAGCTCATTGCCGACGCACGAGCTGAGGGCATTGCCATGACTGTGGCTGACGTCTTCCGGATGCCTCTCCTCGAGGATATGGCCCTTACCATGTTGGATTTGAGCAAGGTCAAGGCCAAGATGGCCATTACAGACACGGACGTGGAGCCATTCTGGTTGATCAAGGACCAGATATCGCCGCCCACGGCCATTAAAGAGGCAGCTGAGGACTGCAACACTACTCCTGAACTTATCGAGGATATTTACCCCTGTACACCGATACAAGAGGCGCTAATGGCAGCTTCATCTCACCAGGCGGAGGCGTACACTTACGACGTCATCCTGAGACTACCAAGATCTATGGATCTCGGGCGATTTAAGTCTTCTTGGGAGAAGCTTGTGACCGCACATGCCATTTTCCGCACCCGCATCGTCTTTAAACGGGGAATCGGTTCCTTGCAAGTGGTCTTACGCTCTACGATCACCTGGCATAGCATCAAGGGAATACCGGTAGATCGCTACCTTGCGCAGGATCCGCCTCTACTCGTTGAATATGGAAGCGAGTTATGTCGATTCAGCCTCATTGAAAGCGACGGCGAGACTGTGTTTGTCGGAAAGTTTCACCACGCTCTCTATGACGGTTGGTCGCTTATGCGTACATACGAAGCATTTGGTTGTATTTTTCTCCATGGCGCCTTACCACAACCCGCAATCCCCTACAACAGATTCCTGTCATACCTCTCCGCCACAGAAGCCGATAAATCAGATGCTTTCTGGAGGTCCCAATTTACCACCATTGTCGAGACCTATCCCCGGTCGCCATATGGCCATACCCCTCGCCCAGGACAGAGTAGATCCGCAACAATCCCTTTCAAACGCAGGTTAACATCTGACGTGACCGCGGCGACAGTGATACAGACCGCTTGGGCACTGCTTATGGCTCTGTACACTGGCAATGAAGCCGACGTGATCTTTGGTCAAACATTCTCCGGACGAGACGCGCCGGTTGATGGGATCACACATATCATTGGCCCGACTTTGACATCGGTTCCCGTCCGAGTGCCATTGGAATGGGATTCGACTGTCGCAGATCTGCTATGTAGTGTGCAGAAAATCACTGCTGATATTCGGAAGCATCAGCATGTTGGTCTGCAGCACATCCGTCGTCTCAGCCCCGAGGCCAAAGCCGCTACAGAGTTCCAGAACCTCTTGATAGTCCATACTATGGGAGACGCGGAAATCACTTCTCCTATGAGCTCGCTCGGTATCGAGATCGTCAAGAGCAAAGCTGAGGAGTCTTCGGATCTGGCTCTGACGGCTGAATGTACTATCATGCAGCCAGATATACTACATACGCTCATAACTTACGACGCTGTGCTTGTGCCGGACCAACAAGTGGAATTGATGCTGCGTCAGCTTGAGCATACAGTATCCGTGCTCCTTGAAGAATCCAGTTCGACGAAACTTCGAAACCTCGACTTGGTCTCTCCGTGCGACCTCGATCATCTGATTGGGTGGAACAGGGTGACAAAGTATGCAAATGAGACATTGCACGAGCTGGTGGAAGCTCAGGCACGAGCCACCCCTGATGCCGTTGCAACTTCTGGCTTTGATGGAGAATACACCTACCAGAAACTTGATGCCACTGCTGATAGATTGGCAGCCTATTTGGGCTCGAAAGGGGTAGGTCCCGAGAAGCGTGTTGTGCTCAGCTTCAGAAAGTCGACATGGCCCATTATTGCCATGCTGGCGGTGCTGAAGTGCGGCGGCGTCTGTGTGTCCGTCAACTTCGAACATCCTTTGAGCAGGCGATTGGATATCGTTCAGGACTTGGAGCCGGTGGTAATATTATGTGATTCTGATCAGGAGACGGAGTACTTGCAACATCACCAGCAGATCGTGACCGTGAACGATGCTCTATTTGACGATAAAATATCCGAGGGGCCTTCGGATTGGATGCGACCAAAGGTTCGGCCGGAAAACGCGGCTTTCATCGTCTATACCTCTGGCAGCACAGGAAAGCCAAAAGGCTGCATACTTGAGCACCATGCAGTCTGTCTATCTCAGAAAATAAATGCACGTACGATGAGAATCACACGACAGACAAGGGCTCTTCAATTTGCCACATACACATGGGATCCCAGCATCCTCGAAATCTTTGGAACCTTGATACAGGGTGGATGTGTGGTTGTCATCTCAGACGACGAGCGTATGAACAACTTGACAGAGGTCATTAATGCTCGAAGAGTGACATGGACCTTCCAGACCCCCACAGTTGCTCAGGTGATTAGCCCAAAGGCAGTACCGACCTTGGAGACGGTTGTATTTTGTGGCGAGCCCCTTACGCAGAAAGTAGTACGGCGCTGGTCTGCGGACACCAATGCGCAGCTGATCAACTTCTATTCTGCGGCCGAAACTGCCAACATTGGGACCATAAACTTCAACCCCGACGCGCAGGATGGACTCATAAGCATTGGAAAAGCTAATGGGTGTGGCCTGTGGATTGTGGATCGTAACAACTCGGATCAGCTCGTCCCTGTCGGTTGCGTCGGTGAGCTTCTGATCGAGGGTCACGCAGTTGTTAGAGGTTATTGGAGACGACCGGAAGCCAATAACGCTGCTTTCATCGAAAACCCTCTCTGGTCGAAATCGCAAGCAGAGGCGCCCCAGAGTCGACGCTTCTACAAGACGGGAGATATCGCCTATTTCAATCCAGATGGCAGTGTTCAGCTGCTAGGAAGGGCCGATAAGCAAGTCAAGATCCGTGGCCAGCGCGTTGAGCTTTCGGAGATTGAGTATCAGATTCACCAGCAGCTGCCCCAGGGTAGCGAAGTCACTGTAGATATTGTGGACTGGGGTACTTCGACGTTGACTTCATTTATCAGACTGCCGACATTCGCTTTCCACCATCAAGAGGATGGCCTCTTAGTAGTTAGGAAGGAAGAACTCGAGCATTTCCAGGAAGTTGTGAAGAACCTCCTGCAGTTGCTGCCTGAAAAGCTTCCTCAATACATGGTTCCGTTGGTTTTCGTACCGGTTTCGATGACACCGAAGTTGGCGTCGACCAAGACAGACAGAAAGCGTCTTAAGGAATTCGCACAGAGCCTACCAAAGGATGAATTTGTCAGTGGCGGCTTGAGTGTTGCAAAAGAACCACCCCGCGACAACGTTGAAGCCATCCTGCAGCTTGTTTGGTCGCAGATATTGAAGCAAGATCTGGATGATATTGGCATCCATGATAGCTTCATATCGCTAGGCGGTGACTCGATCATCGCAATGCAGTCCGTGTCAGAATGTCGCCGACTGGGTTTGAAGCTTCTTGTGTCAACCATTCTGAAAGAAAGGACGATCGCCGCGATCGCTCCTCTCTGCACGCCTCTCCACTTCTCTATTGAGCCTGGTTCGAAGTCAACCACGCTCAAAGAGGAGCTAGCCCACCCAAAGAGGTTTCCATACTTGGACGTAGCAGATAAAGAGCTGGAAAGTTTGCTTTCTGAGCTCAACATTATACTCGAGCTCGGCGGTTGCGAAGATGAAGTTGATATTATCGAAGACATATACCCATGCACGATCATGCAGGAGGGGATCCTCTTCAGCCAACAAAAAGACAGCGAGGCATACCAGATCGAATGTGTCTGGGAGTTCACAGATCATGCGTCTCTCAAGGATAACCTCCCGCAACGGATGACACAAGCATGGAATACCATAATCCAGAGGCATACCAGTCTGAGGACATGTATCATCGAGCATGCTACTGAACAGAAGCAGTTTGTCCAAGTTGTGCTCAAAAACCACCCGCACTCGAGATTTACTATAGCAGAGGAACTGATCGATACCACCTCGGAGACCCCGGCTTTTCATGAGTGTGGGCAGAATGACTTGTGGCCATATTTGCCTCGGCTCGCATTATTCTGTACTGCAAATGGACGGGTTGCATGCCGCCTTAATATCAGCCACGTTCTTGTCGATGGTATTTCAGTCGACCTCTTCATAAACGAGCTCTTACAATTGCTGGTAGGAAGTGATCTGGGATCGTCGGCAATGGACTTTGCGGCGTATATCAACTACGAACAGAATTTGGAACAAGATCAGAGTATCAAGTACTGGGCCGATTTCCTCAAGGAGGTCCAGCCTTGCCATCTTCCTACACTTGAGCGCGGTATGAAGAGACACTCAGAGTCGCGGGAATACGACTACATAACACTCTCGGAGGATGCAGCTAATAGCCTCGCACCATTTTGCCAGCGGCTGGGCATAACCCAAGCTGTCTTGATACAGACGGCTTGGGCTATTGTGCTCGGAGTTTTCACTGATCGACAAGATGTCTGCTTTGGATATATTGCCTCAACACGTGACTCTCCTCTCGATCGCATCCAAGAGACAATCGGCTTGTTCATAAGCATGCAGGTATGTCGTGTGCAGATAGACGGCATCGCCAAAGATCTATTGCGAAAAGTGCAGAGTGATGTGATTGGCGGCTTAGACAGCCGCCACTGTTCACTTGCTCTGATCCAGAACATGCTAGGCCTGAAAGGAGTGCCGCTCTTCAACACCTGTGTGACAATTAGAGGAGCAATTGATGCAACTACCTCGACACAGAGAGCTGGTCTGATCAAAACAATAACTGGAGTGGCGAAAACAGAGGTACGTTCGAAAGACTTCCCCTCCATTGCTTCTGAAATCCATTTCTGACCTCGAATAATACAGTTCGCCATCAACCTGGATGCAACTATCACCCCTTCGGGAGCTGAAATCAGTATGACATACCAGAAAAGTATGGTGTCACTGGAATATGTCAACAGTATTGCCGGGTCACTGGAAATCGTTCTGCAAGGCCTTTTGAAAGCAGAAAATCAACCGGTCTGCTGCCTAGAAGTTGTAGGACGGCACGACCGCACAACACTTGAGCAGTGGAACTCATCACCGCTGGAGAGCGTCGATGCCACTCTCCATGGCCTTTTTGAGCAACAGGCACGAGCAACGCCTGACGCTCTTGCCATTCACAGTCTCGATGGGCAATACACATATGCCCAACTCAACACTATGGCCGAGAAGCTTGCTGGGCTCTTGATGGCGCGCGGAGTGAAACCTGAAGATCGGGTTGTGCTCTATTTCGCAAACTCATCCTGGCTCCTTATCTCCATGCTAGCCACACTGAAAATTGGTGGTATCTGTGTTCTAACCCCGCCAGAAGTGGCCAGCGGTCACTTGTTGGAAATTTGCAAGGACACGAAACCGCATCTTGTACTCTCCGATGATCAAAATGCACCTCGGTTCCATGGCCATGCGTCTCATGTCATATCAATCAACGAGAGTCTGTTTGAACAGCTCAAGGTGCAACATAAATGGACATCACCAACTGTGCAGCCGACCAACGCAGCTTTTGCGGTGTATGCATCTAGACACAACGGGGAGCTTCAGGGGTGTATATTTGAGCACCACTCGGTCTGCAAGAGCCAGCTCGAAAATATCAGGGCTTTCAACATTACAAAGTCCACTCGAGCTATTCAGATTTCCCTCAATTCACAGTGTAGCAGCATAGGCGAAATGTTTGCTCCACTGCTTGCCGGGGCCTGTGTCTATGTTACTTCAGACGACGAGTGCAAAGGTGACTTAGCGAGGCTCATCAATGAGAAGAAGGCAGAATGGATAATGCTTCCATCTGCGATGGCACGGTGTCTACTACCGTCAGATGTGCCGACTATAAAGACGCTCATACTCAGCGGCAAATCTCTTAGCCAACAAGCTGTTGAGACTTGGCATGGAAATGGCGTACATCTTGCCAGCTACTGGACGCCATCTGAAGGCTTTGGCTCTGTCTGCATTAACACGGAGGTCGCCGTTCACACTGACCCCATGCAAATTGGTCGGGCGAGTGGTTGCAGAATTTGGATCACTAGACGAGACAGGCCGCAGAACCTTCTGCCTATTGGTTGCGTAGGAGAGATACTCGTCGAAGGACCGATGATAGGTCGTGGCTATGTCGACAAGCCGGCGATCACAGAGGCGGATTTCGTGACTGACCTGAACTGGTCCAACGACGGACTTGGTCATTCTCGAAGGTTCTATCGAACTGGTGAATTGGGCCAGTTTGAGCCCAATGGTAGTGTCATTCTGGTTGGACAGCCTGGCGATTTGGTGGATATCCAAGGGCGGCGAGTAGGCCTCAACCGGATAAGACACGAAATCACCGAGAGTTTAGCCCCGGGAAGCGAAGCAGCCGTTCTAGTGGTGGCCGAAAGACTGGTTGCGTTTGTGAAACTTGATGTCTTCTCCTCAGTAGAGATGCAGGCTACCACAAGCATCGAGGTGGAAGATTTGGAAAGCAAGCAAGTGTTTCAGGGGGAGATGGATCTGCTACGACTGTCACTCGCCGGTACCCTACCTCCACATATGGTACCTTCGATCTACGTCCCAGTCTCCAGCATTCCCACCACGCCTTTAGTAGCTGAAGCCAGACGACAATTGGAGAACCTTGCCCGGTCTTTAATCGGGAAATCGGAACTGCTGCAAGAGGAAGTATCAAACAAGAAGCAACCCAGAAACGACATGGAGCGTGATCTTCAGAGAGTCTGGGCTGAAGTGCTCCACCAACCGACATCCAGAATCGGAATGGATGACACTTTCATGTCCCTTGGTGGGGACTCGCTGGCAGCCATGCGGACTGTTGGACAATGCCGCAAGATTGGCATCAAGGTCACAGTGCTCATGCTCTTCAGAGACAATAATATTGCTGCTATCGCGGAGAAATGTAGCATGGCTTCTACCGCCGCAGTTCATTCTCGTCAGCTCATCGAAACTGTGGATGGACAGCACTTTAGGTTGTCTCCGATTCAGAAGCGGTATATGGAGCTAGAACCCGGTAACAGCGGGGTCCTGAACAATCAGAGCATTTTCTGTCGCGTCAGAAAAAGTGTCACCGCTGCTCAGGTGCGGGCTGCATTCGAAATCATTGTAGATCACCATGCCATGTTGCGCGCACGATTCTCCCAGAGCTCAAATGGGGAGTGGCAGCAGGCCACAATGGCGCCTGGGAGTGGTTCATACAGGTTCAGGGCACATTCCCTGCAAAGCATGGACGAAGAAAGCATCACGCAGTATGCTAATGAGGCTGGGTCGTCCCTCAACATCATCACGGGTCCTATATTTTCGGTGGATTTCTTCCAAATTTCCAGCCAGGATGGGACGGTGTTCTTGACCGCCCATCACCTGGTCATAGACATCGTATCTTGGCAACTGATACTGCGCGATTTTGAGGACTACATGGAGAGCGGTAAGCTGATGAGTTCATCAGATATCACATGGCAGCAATGGTGCAGTATGCAAGAGGCTGAAGCTAGGAGCCAAACTTCAGCAGGCCATGTGTTCCCTCTCGTGGTACCTCCAAACATGTTCCAGTATTGGGAGGTTCCTGCCAATGAGAACATTTTTGCCGATGAGGTAGTACAGTGCTTCGAACTCCCCGCTGTTACTACCGACCTTGTCCTTGGCAAGAGCAATTTGGCAATGGGGTTCACCTCACTGGATATTCTCCTTGGATCCCTTCTGTCTGCTTTCCACCAGGTATTTCCCGACAGGGACGTTCCGTCTGTCAATATTGAGCATCACGGCCGCGAATCCTGCGAGGGTGCTGATGTTGACTTGTCGCAAGTGGTAGGATGGTTCACCACTATGTATCCAGTTCATGTTGCCTTCGAAGCGAGTACTACCTCTATAGACGCCACACAGCTAGTCATGGAACAGCGTCGGAGGATTCCCCGCAACGGCCGGCCATATTTTGCCTACCGCCACTTAAATGCTGATGGAGCTGCTACCTTTACGGACCATGAGCCGTTGGAGCTACTCGTCAATTATACTGGCGTCTTCCAGCAAAACGGATCTAGCGACAGTGCGATCCAGCTGGACTCTCGTATCAAAAATACGGTCATTGATATAGATAAGCAACATCACCGATGGGCTATGATCGACGTGGAAATCGGCGTTTATGTGGGGATTATGTCTGTGAGCTTTCATCTCAACAGGAAAATGCGACATTTCGACCGGATCCAACAGTGGATTGAGAGGTATAGACTAATCGTCATGGAGACCGCCCACGCCTTGTCGAAGAAGTCCTCACAGCGCTCGCTCGGGGATTTCCCGTTGCTTGATATCGGCTCCGACCAGCTGAATACACTGCTCTCCAAGGACCTCCCCCAGCTCGGCATTGACTCCCTGGATAACGTCGAGGATATTTTGCCACTGTCACCTTTCCAGAAGTATTCGATCGAATCCAACTTGGCTGCACCGGCGAGGCACTGGATCACATACTATGTTGATTTACCCCTCGATGTGGATGTTGCCAGGCTGAGGCATGCGTGTATCGATATAGTTCGTCACTACTCTATCCTTCGCACCATTTTTGTCAGGCACGGCAGAGGGTTCCTCCAAGTAGTTCTCAAGCATGTGGAGCCTCCGGTGGAATTCTACCAGTCGAGGGACGACGAGATTGCTGAGTTTATGGCGCGCGTGTTCCAAACGGACCTGGACGGACTTTCACCACTGGGTCATCCAATTGTACACTTCATGGTCCTCCGCACACCCAAACATGCTCGCCTGCTTTTGCGCTGCTCCCATGCTCAACTCGACGCGCTCAGTCGCACGGGCTTCATCAGGACTTTCGTGCCACTGTACGAAGGCCGATCGACTCCTCTTTTGCCGTCTGTCGGCTACTCCGAATTCATGCGCCATGCTCGCCAGCATCGTCAGGAAGGCATTAGCTACTGGCGCATGCTGCTATCAGGGGCAAAGCCTACCACGATTGTGAACGCGGCTGATCCGCCCGCTTTCGAGGACACTGGTCTGATCCGAGTAGAGAGAATGATGCCACAGCTCCGCTCGCTAGACAATGTCACATCCGCGTCTGTATTCAATGCCGCCTGCGCGTTGTTGTTACGCTCGATGACAAAATCCCCAGATGTGACGTTTGGGCGTATAACCTCGGGCCGCACCGCGCTTGATCCCGAGCTTCATGACATGGTCGGACCATGCACGGACATCATCCCGGTTCGTGTGCAGTTTCGCGACGGAGGCTCCCGCCCCTTGGACATCGTGCGTGAGGTGCACCAGCAATTTGTCAACTCCATCCCCTACGAAACTGTCGGCTTGGACGACATTATCCGTGATTGCACGAACTGGTCCACTTCAATGGCCAAATTCCCCGTTATCACCCAGCATATCAATCACGAGGAGGAATCAGCAGCCGAACTATCCACAGGCGGCGAGTTTCAGCTGAATGTGTGGGATCCTGTGGACGCGGATCCATTCCCTTGGAGTTTCTGCCTGGCTGCGTTTCCAAGCCGGGCCGGTGTGCGCATATCTCTAGCTGCGAACACTCGGTACATTGAGCCCGCGGTTATTGAACAGGCTCTGAAGGGTTTGTGTGCTATCCTTGAGAGCCTCGCACAACATCGGGATGTTTAGGGAAATTTGACGGGTGCAGTGATGTATTTTGAGCGTAACAAAGGATTGCAAAAGTTGGTCATAATTCATTTTCATTTCTCGTACTATTGTATAGAACATTTTCTGTTCCTCTATCTAAAACATATTCTCAGGTTTCAAGAACAATTTGTAGCTTGGAGTACTGAGGTTTCAAATACGCACAATTTAGCAGAGCTGTCTGGCCCCAAGCCTTCAACCAGATACATCACTAGACTCAAGAAAGATGTGGAGACAGAGTAGACGAAATAAATGGCTTTCATATCTTGTATCAAGACGAACAATCAGATAGAATTCTGCGCGTGATCTCTGCAGAATGATCCATCCCATGCAGGCATGTGAAATTCGGCGAGCAAGAGAAGCGGACAGGGTTTCGTGGAGGATCACCTCACCTGGTCAATGTGAGAGGCGAATACTATTCAGTTTATTCGAAGCATGCAGCCATCAATAACAATATACTGACGGCACCTTCTGTGACAACTATCGTTTACCAAACCAAGTGGTTGACGGAATTTTTTACATGATATGACTAAATTAATAGTGACGTTAGCGCAGTCACGTCATATAATTTGATGTGCAGCAGGTCATCGGTGAGGTCAGATTTTTGACAAGCAATTATGACATAATACTGGAGTAAAGTTTTGACAAAAGGATATTTGTACCAATTTTATGCAATACAAATGTTTTGAGGGTCGCCAGTTACGTGGACTCGTTGCTGTCATGTTGGAGCTGACAAAAAAGACCACTGCCAATTTGAAGCAATTTACGAGCCTGTGTGAAGAGACTGCCTAGGTTCACTAATGTAAGCTGACGATGTTAGTAAAATACCAATTCTAATTCAAACCCCATAAGTGACATAGTGACTTTCATCCCGTCAACTGTCGAAAACACACTTTTCCACGGGATAGCGCTCGTGCGGGTCACTGAAGCTGCTCATCACGTGCGTATGTCAACAGTTCCTCGCTTAATTACAGGGCATTCCTTTAGGCTACCCTCCCCTCCCCTTGTAAAATGTGTATTTCGATTCGCATTTGAGAGGATAATTACCCCTCGAGTCTCCTACTGAGCCTGTCCCTGAAAATAAATCTGTGTGTCCTTCTATCCCGGTTGAAATCTTGAAGGGTAGATTTGTGAATCGGGAGCCGACAGTCTACAGATCTGAGGGGCTAACGTCAGATAAGTCCATATGAGCCAAACATAGATTCTCATCCTACAGCGTAGCAATGAAATAATTTTGGGAGTTCAATATATGATATTTTGAGGAACAAGATCATATAGAGATAAGCAGGACGAGATTTTTCAAGCATTTCATGCTGTACAAACCCCAATAGCACCATTAACTACTACCCTACTACTGACTTGAACGATGATATTGAAGATTAGTGACAGTCTGAAAGTGGGAATAAACAGTTTGAAATTTGAAGAAAGTCTACTTCTCGATACCGAATACAGTGAATGACCTCAACTAAGATGAAAATGTCGGAATGAACTATCGAAGTGTCCAAAGCCACTAGTATTGTCGCTGGCTTCCGATAATCTCGACTTCAAAACCCATGTTTTCAAGCACAGCCCTATCCAGGCACGCTCCACTGCCATACACGAATCGAGGAAGTTTCATGACTTTCGCCAGGTGATTCCAATCTAGAAACGCATTTTCGACACCTGCGCTACGATTGCAGTTCCCAGCAGTCCCAAAAGTAATGGAAGACGAAACGTGGGTTTTAAACCCATTCTCCAGCAAGCCGCAACGGTCCTGCTCGAAGACGTCCGAAACTCTGTTCGGGACATTTGTTGACTTAGTGCTTGAAGACGAGGGGGTTGCTACCCCGCTACTGCCAGCAGTTGCGGCAACACTATCAGCACCTGGGCCACCGTCGGCTCCATTGACGCATGAACTCATTGCAGGAGTTTGAGGTATGACGCGAAACTGGTCCCAGTTCGTTGCGACCAAAACAGCATGGGCACCGCCGCAGGCTTCTTCGCCCGAACCGCAAACTTTCAAAAGGCTATCATCTTTATTGATCCCTAGATCGCCGTATATCTGCTGTTCCCTGACCCAAGGATCATAGATGTTGACCCTTGCCCCTTCACGGAGGAGTCCGTTGACCAGATCGATGGCACAAGTCTCCCTCGTGTCTGCGGTGTTCTCTTTGAAGGAAAATCCGAGAACCGCTATTATCTTTCCCTCCATGTTGTTGTTGAACCTTGACACAATCCGTGCAACTGACCGCAGCTTTTGATTTGTATTGATGGTCAAGACGCTTTCCCAGTACGCAGCAATATCGTCCAGGTGGATGCTTTTACAGAGGTACACAAGGCTTTTGATGTCCTTTTTGAAGCAAGATCCACCAAATCCGAACGATGATCGTAACATGTGAGGGCCGATCCGTTTATCGCTACCCACTGCTTGGGCGACCTCCTGGACATTTGCCCCCGTTGCCTCACATATCACACTCAGAGCATTCATGCTGCTAATCCTTTGCGCTAGCAGTGCGTTGGCGGCGAATTTGGACAGCTCTGCCGAGAACAAATTGATTGTGATAATGTGCGCGCGCGGTACCCAAGTTGCATAAACATCGGACAAAGCTTCGGCTGCGAGAAGGCCGCTCTGGGTCTTTAGTGATCCGATAAGGATGCGATCGGGGAAGCGCAAGTTTTGGACAGCAGTCCCTTCTGCCAAGAATTCAGGATTAGATAATACTTCGAACTTGACGCCTTTACATGCGTTGGCCTCGAGAACCTTTCTTATGATCTGACCTGTCCCGACGGGGACTGTACTTTTTTCAACCACGATTTTGTCGGTCTCAGCGAAATTCGCAATAGATATGGCAACCTCCTCGAATCGAGCAGTATCCAACGCGTAGCCAGATCCGCCACCCCGCGCCTTGGTTGGCGTATCAACACTGATCACGATGGCATCGGCTATTTTGATACTCTCCTCTAGCTGCGTTGTAAAATGTAGGTTTTTCTGCCAGTCGCGAGCAAATTTAACCACATCGAGGAGATCAGGCTCGCAAACAGGCAGTTCATCCGACTGCCAGGCCTTGATACGTTCTACATTACGGTCGACGACGGTGACCTGGACATCAGGGCACCGGCTCGCTATAACTGCCGCGGTTGGTCCGCCCTACAAAAGTTGTTAGCACTATTACATCCACGGTCAATAGGGCTTTTAGGGATCGTACAACGTAGCCCGCACCGATAAAACAGATGTGAGAAATATGCCCAGTCCATTCGCCATTTCGCGTATGGGGATCGCTCTGCTGGCGGTAACCCATGATTCTATGACTTAGTTAACACAATGATCTTGTTCCAAAGACCGATTCATTACCTTCCTAGCTGGCCTGGATTTCTGTACATGATACGCGATTGGAATGTCTACAAATCTGCCGGTATGGGTTGGATCTTGGCCTTGGCATCAATAAGTAACAGCAGCCTTAGACATAAAACTCTGGTCATATTGCACTACCACGACAGTGCTACCGTTGTCATTTTACGTGGCATTGGATGATACAAAATTATATTATCCAACATATGACATTGTGATACATATGCTCTAAAGCGAGCAAGATTTATTATGTGAGCCCACGTCACCCCTACCAACTACGAACTGAGAATGATCAGTGGCGGGTATCACACAAGGAGCGGTCGTACAGACAGCTCCGCCATCTGTCCATAACAGCAGAGTATGCCTCTGACCCGGCTCACTGATGCTGCCTACTCTTCGAGAAGCCGTGCTACTCGTTTTAGCACTCTTCGATAGCCGTATTCCCCTTTCGACATGTCTGTTATTGTGACCGGCGTAAGTACAGATCTAGACAAGCACCCCACATCAGCACTTGCTAGTTGTTGACAGTGAAAAGGGAGCTGGCTTTATCGGGTCCCACCTGGTGGAATACCTATTGGAAGAAAACAAGAAGGTAGTGGTCATTGATTCACTATGGACGGGCTCGTTAGAGAACATTGACATGTTCTTTAAAAACTCAAACTTTCGCTTTATCAAGTGAGTGCTCCCAACTTGGGGTCAACAACAGGTGAAAGCGAACGCTGATCCAGAAGATGAAGAGCCGATGTAAGAGAGATGAGACATTCGATTCCGGAAGTCGGAACGATCTTGGAAATTTATCACCTCGCTTGTCCTGCTAGCCCTGACTATTTCGGTTCAAATCCAGTGGACATTCTGGAGACCTGCTTCACTGGAACCAAGAACATGCTTGACATGGCGGTGACCAACAACGCGAAGATCCTGATTGCCAGCACCTCCGGTAAGTGCGAGCCTGAATTCAAGTCCCATCTCTTGTTCACGGTGTGTATAAACCATCTTGTTGTGTGCTAAATAAGTCATTCGTGGTGAACAGAAATCTACGGAGACCCCAAGGTGATTCCACAAGGCGAAACATACTGGGGCAACACCAATTCATTTGGACCCCGATCGTGTTATGACGAAGGAAAGCGCATCACCGAAGCTTTGGCATACGGTTATCAGCGGAAGTATGGCCTTCAGGTTAGAATTGCCCGCATATTCAATGCGTACGGACCATCTATGAAGATGACAGACGGGCGTGCCGTGCCAAACTTCATTGCAGCGGCCATGCAGGCTGAGCCAATCCACATATATGGTGATGGAAGTGCGACCCGATGCTTCCAGTTTGTCTCAGATTGCGTACGAGGACTTGTAGCTCTCATGAAGAGCGACTATTCGAACCCAGTCAATATTGGCAGCGACGTCGAGACCAGCATCAACGACATAGCGAAGTTGGTTACAGAGTTGGTGGCGCAGAAGTTGAAAAGTCCTACCAGACTCCCCATAAAGTATCTGCCCAAGAGGGAGGATGACCCTTACAGGAGGAAGCCTGATATAAGTCTGGCTAAGAAAGAACTTGATTGGAAGCCAATGGTGGAACTACACGCTGGTCTTGATATCACAGTCGAATGGTTTTTGCTGGACAAGGTGGCACATCATTAGCTAACAAAAGTCGAAACGTTTCCTTATTGTTGGGCAAAACTTCTTTTTCATCAAATCTAGGCAACATTTGGCGATACAAGTGGAGTAACAAAGTGTGGGTAAGATGTCCAAGGACGACGTCAGTAAAATCCTATGGCTAGGTTATATACAAACAAAAATGCAAAATTGGAGAATTCTATGAACCATCAGTCACTGGCACCTTTCGAAAAACGTTACCGACCATCATAGCGGAGGAGCATATATATTTGATTTGGGGACTGAAGACGCTATGACCAATGTGACATGACTATTTACTCAACAGATCCTTCGTGATTTGATTCATCTCGGCTATCAAAAGTCTCTAACAATCCTGCTACCAACACCTTCTCTCTGACTGGCGGGAACTTGATTGCGTCTATCTTTCGATCTTGCGTGAAGTGCGTGCTAATATATCGTAGATAACGACCAAAAGTGTTTGGCTTAGAATCCGCATCGTGATTCTCCGGCTGGCCCCATAGGTCTGCCAGGGTTGGGACATCATGATCTCTCCAACGATATAGCTTCAACATCGCAGCCTTGGAGAGCAGAGACTGGAAAAACTCGTTTGCCTCTTGGAAGCCTTCCGAGTCTTGATCCCGGTCAAACCGCGTTTTGAAAAAGTCGAATTGCTTGGGGCCACTATCATTTGTTAGCATCGCTGCCGATGCAAACTCTTGATAAGCTATGAGCAGCACTCGGTTCTTGCAGTACGTCGGGCCGCTGAACCCATCGTATGGGTCCTCCAGCAGCCTCAATCGCTCGTATGCCAGGTAAGCTTGAAAATAGTCCAACTTATCGCCAGAGGCCCCTTGGAAAACGTGACTGATTTGTCCATCCCGGACAATGTGATCGAATAGAGGGTGGGCATGTATTCCCTTATTGTTGGTTCTGTCAGTCCATGCCTCCAGAAGCACAAGCATCCAACGTTTGATGAAGCCATTTCCCATGCGGCCAGCAATGAAGAAGTTTTCGGCGATGCCGGACTTCAAGGTCGGATCGCAGGAAGCCACGGCTACTTGGAATTTTGATTTCGGATCCTTCAGGGCAGACCAGCAGACTTGATCGAGGTGCATCAACAAGATGATACCAACGTCCATCCAGACACCGCCATGCTGAAAGATACATGGTAAGCGAATGGTATCAGATGTGTTCGCGCCAGCGTACCGCCCAGTGGTTCTTCCGTCGTGCAGATGCTTGGGCAGGGTTCTTTCATCCAGGAAGTTGAAGATGTTCGCTGGGGATCCATGACCAAGGTCAAGGACGCGGATGGTCCATTTCGGGCCCATCATTCTCGCCCACCCGAGAACGTTTCGTTTCTGCCATTCTGGCATATTCTCGAAGCCTGAATGCCAAAACGCCCATATGTTCTCCTCAGAAGTGACTGGGGGAGGATTGGTGATTTTGTGTATGATGTCCTCATCCGACCGATCATCGAGGGGTAGTGGTTTGAGATTGAGTCGTTCGGTCATAGACTCGAGTGCTTTGAAGTCGCTCATTTTCATCTTCTTCCAGGAAATTACTGTCACTAGAAACAGTACCGGATTGCCAGTTCGAGAGACGTCTATAACAATAGTTACGGGTTTGTGATAGATAAAAGGCTCCAGAATTGACGTAAGTCACGAATAGAATTATAACCAATTCCCTTCAAATTCCAAACCATATCTTATTTTTCTATTATGCAACTCGGGATGCACCCAGTTATCATGAAAATAAACAGCTAATTCCCTTAGTTCAAAAAGGGGTACTTAAGGCCGAGAATGGAAATCAGAACTGCTTAGGTAAATGAATGATTATGCAATATTAGTACCAATCACCCAGATGACGTTCTGCTGAGACCAATCAGATGCTTGCCCGAAACGTGTGGCCGCATGAGGAGCGAGGACAGGTTGGGTTTCGCTAAACGTTCGAAAGGTACTCGAACCACGTAACTTTGTCAGCTGCTTCCTGAACAGCCATAATTGAGCAGAAGGTGTGATGGCTCAGGTCCATGACATTTCTGGAACCCCGTTGCTCGCTGTCATTCTGTCAAGAAAAGTGATTGAATGCCGAGGTCAATAACACTACTTGCGAGGTGTGGATGGGGTCTGTACACAGAACTTGTACGGGAGGGGGCGGACAGTGGGTGTCTCCCATCCAAGCATATTGCCTGATTTTGTTAGGAAGTTTATGGAGAATGTTCTAGATTTTTATACTGTTGATTGGGAGCCTGAGCATATGGTAGGTATATGCTGAAGCTTCGTGTGAGACGTGCGACACATCTGAAGATCTTGGCACTTGCTGAGAGCAGAATTCAGGCTCACAAGATCAAGAAGAGGAAATAATTCCTATACCGCTGGAAGCATCCTTTACCAATCGCACGAGCCGAATTAATCTCCCTGAACCAACTCTATTTAATGATATATCATTCGTCTTATTTGACAATCTTAGCAAGCGCTATAATCTGCTCGCGCTCCCATCCATTTATGGTAAACTCCAGATGCCAGCAATCGGCTTTTTGCATCACATCTTACCTTTCCCACCAGTTTAGCGTTTGTAAGCCAAGTCGAAGCAAGCTCAGCAACCAACTGATTTGTGTATCCAGCAAAACCAAAGAAGAGCGTACAAACATTCGCACTCCCGCCTGCTCGCTCCTCATGCATGTAGTGGTGACATCGATGAAAAGGAAAAATATTCGTACAGAATGTTGAGAGGTTCGAGTATCTTTTTAACAGGTCTTCAGTTGTTTAAAGTTCCGCTCTCGAATCTGATGGCTTTGTTCTTCAGATGAGCCAACTTCTCCTGTTTTTCACGCTCTGATGTCTTCTTTTCTTCGTTCTCGCGACGGCGAATCTCAGCGAGAATAGCCTTCTCTTCGACCAGACAAGCCTCATCCAATTCATCGAGGTATTTACCTTCTGGAACTAATTGCAAAGGCTCGTCCGGCTGTCTGCATTCTTTGGACTTTCCCCAAAAGCATTCGAACTTCAAAGAAGTCTGTTCGGCTACTTTCCAAACTGTAATTACATCGCCGTATTTTAACTCGCCCCAGAACTTTGACTTGGTGCTTGGATTTTGGCGGTCATGACAAGGAATATTGACATCATTAACCCATATTCCTTGTGAGGCCTTAGTGGAGATGAAGAATTTCATGTCTTGATCCTTGTCATTCCAGATATGACTGGCATTGACAGTGGGTTGTCTATTGGCGTAAAATCCGGGCTTGAAGAGAAAGATTTTGAAGGCATACTTGGGAATGCGGATCTCTTTCCCATTGGCATATCGAACCGTTGCCTCGTATCCTCGTCCCCAGCTCGTAACGGAATCAGTGATGTTGAGGGAGATTGTAGGCAGGCAGCTATCGGGCGTTGAGACAAGTTTGGCAAGGATGCGCTTCGGCGGTTGGAAATCATTGCCAACAACAGGTTGAGGGTAGTTTGGAGGAGGAGTGGGTTTAAACTCGACCATAGTCGGAGCCTTTGATGGGTAAGCAGTCGAAGGAAGAGACTGATCTCGCATGTTTTCCTCGGCATGGCCATTTGATGGAATCCTTTCCCGACTTTCGCCATCACTGGCAAGCTGTCTATCATCACGCTTCATAAGCATTCGGCGTCCTTCCTCCTTGGCAGGCTCTGAATGTGCTCTCTCGGGCTCCAATGAAGGGCTTCTAGAACTTCGAAAGCTGTCCATGGTGACCTCGAAAGTCTTCTGACCATGAATGAATTTCTCGCCTTTGCTCTCCGCATAATCCTGGTAGGCCCTGAAATCTGACGTCAACATGCGGGGATAGTTGTTGTGATGAGTAGCCTTATTCTTTGGGTCCCAGAATGTGCTAGGGGGAACGGGAATATCGATTTCGCGCTCGGACTTGCGACGTCGCTTCGAAGGTAGGTCTACAGGTCTCCAAACTCCATCCTCGTCATAGTCTTCCTCACGGGGTCTCCTAAGGCTGACTGTCACATCATGGATATCTTCCGTGGTTGGAGCTGGGCTATCTGCTCCAGGAGATGCAGCGGAACCAGGGGAGTGCATGTTGAGGTGGCCAACCATCGACTCAGCACCCATCAAGCTCGATGATCTGACGGATCTACCATCATGTTCTGGATGCTTGGTAGCATTGCTTGCTGGGCCAGGAGGGTGCATGATGGTCGGAATACTTGTCACAGGCCGAGGATTGTCTTGCGTTGGTGCATTGTTTGGATTGGGGCTTTGTGTATAACGGGACTCGCGAGAAGAATCGGACAACATGGTTTGTTGATTGTTGACCAGAAGCGGAAGGTGCAAGTGGTTCAAAGGTATCGCACCGGAGCTTCCTACCGCAGATATGTTCACCTCTCCGAACAGACGACCATTTGTAGGATTGTGATTTCCCTCCAAAAATCCATAGCTCTCGTTTTCATTCGAATTACCCTCGCTGGTAGCAAAGCTACTAGGGATTTCGCGTTGCTGGATTTCAGTCATATCACTCAAATTCTCATCGACCATATTCTCGTCATCTCGGACATCATCGTAGGCATTATCCTTAATGCACAACTGGGATGCTTCTTCCGCAAGCTCAGGGTCAACAATTCCATCGCCGATCAAATCGACTTCGTCTTCCTCCATTGATATTTCGAAACTATCCATCTTGCCAGTGAACCAAGAGCTGTTCTCCAGATCCTCGATAGTAGCACGATACTGTGGTTGGACGTGAAGCATCCTAATGATAAATCGGACTCCTTCGTCAGATGTACCGACTTTTTGAATAGGTCGAACGTCAAGAGCGACTGTCATAATGTGGTTGAGCAACTCTTGATAACTAGTGCCGTTCTTGACAGGATATGGCGGGAGGCCACAAAGAGAGTAGAAGAGTACTCCAGCAGAAGACCATATATCAACAGCATGACCGTAGCGTTGTGGCGGTAGTGATCTCTTGTCCTTGCCGCGGAAATTCCGCCTACCATCATCATCGTATTCTCGATACTCCGAGTAAACTTCCGGGGCACAGTATAGCAGTGTTCCGCAGAATGTTCTCAGAAAGGTCTCTTCACTGTCGATCATCTTTGAAAGACCGAAGTCGGTGAGCTTGACGTGGATCGGATCTCGACTTTGAATAAGAATATTGTCGGGCTTGACATCACGATGAGTAATGCCACCTTCATGCAAATACTTCAGAGCACTCAGCAGCTGCCTAGCCATGGACTTGACATCCGCTTCTGGCAACGGGCCATGTTTGTTGACTAGGCTGCCGAGATCGCCGCATGGAACAAATTCCATGATGATATAGAGATAGTCTTCCCAGTCAACATGCTCAATGTACTTGACGATATTTGGCTGATGATGGTCAGTGAAAGGTGAATGTGCTGATCGAAAGATGACTCACGTGTTGGATCGCCTGCATGATTTTCATCTCGTTCTCAACTTTCGTATCTAAGATGCCATTCTTCATGAATCGTCTCTTTTCAAGTTCCTTAGCAGCGTATGGTACACCGTCGTACTTGGCTGTGAGCTTGTAGACAATCGCAAAAGCGCCTTTTCCAATTGTACCGATCCTGTTGTATGTTGATCCACCTCGCCATTCTCTCACGGTTCTGCCATCAGATGTGATAGAGTGCACTGGTGGAGTCTCTGTGCCTTGAGTAGGGAAAAGATTGAGCTTCTGGCAGTTAGTATGGACAAGTTAGACACAAACGGAATGGTTTTAAACGTACGGGATCTCTCCTAGCACCTCCACCTGCAGCTATGCGAGCAGCATGTCTTGCACGTAGGTTGTTCATCTTTAGGAAGAACACCGTCAGATTTTGCTGGTATTTATCCTCAATGTCGCCCTCGCGGTACGGAATGCGAACGACGAATCTATAATCTTCCTCCGGTGGTGTCATGGTGAGAGTGATGACTGCGCCTTGCGACAGCGTATGTCGGAATTTATGGCCGTTCTCCTTCTCCTTTCCACGCAACAAAGTACCGTCGATGGCAGTGCCATTGGTAGACTGGTCCTCCAACATGATGATCCCATATTCATTGATGTAGATTCTGAAGTGTATATTGCTTATTCGTCTGGAGACCTCGTTCTTACCAATGACAAAATCGCAGCGAGTGGCATTGCGTCCGAATTGAAAGCCGCCCATGGGGTCTTTGAGGTTGGCAGACAACCGTAAAATAATGTCACACGATTCGAGCCCATCTTCGGCCAACTGACTAGAATTGATCACATCCTCGCTCGAGCTCTTTTCGCGAATCTTCACATGGTGATCGGTAGCAATAGTGTTCTCTGGGGCCTCTTCGTGAATGAGTGCAGCTGCACGGCAGGCAGGAAGGGTCGCAGGATGAAGGATACAGAAGATATCAGAGAGTTGATCGTTACTGAGACCTGACCCTGGCTGCCCGAGTCTTCGAGGATCGGTCACCAATTGTGTGGCTACCCAGTAAGGGTCGTAAGCATTTGGGTTTTGGGTGGAGGGGAGAGAAATAGGTTGGAAAAGCAAAGAAGGGTGAAAAGTAAAGGGGCGAGAAGATGAAGCAGTACCTGGCTGGGTGGGCTGCGTGAACGGCTCAGTAGCCTCCGCATCCATCTTGCAGTTATGGTATGGAAAGTGTGTTGTTGAGGAGGGAAGGGAAGAGAGCTGTAGATCTGTATAGCTTCAACCGACTTCACTATTTTTTCCTTACCCCACGATGACATCGTCAGCCGAATGTCCCTAGGCAGCAGTGAACAATTCGAAGGGTGAACTGAAAGACGAACTCACCTCTATGCAGGATGCAACATGGGAAAGTTCTGTGACATGAATTGAATTGACGGGCTGAGGTAGGGAAGCTGCCTAACAGATGGAGCTTAATTGTCGAACAGTTCACGACAAAAGATGTGAGATTGAATATGTTTGGTATCTGGCAGAAATCTTTCAAAGAGCGTAAGAAGACAGGAAGTCTTCGCAGATGTTCGTGACGTCGTGATACATAGGAGTGAGGTTGACCGTCGTCGCTGTGAATCTGGACATCAGTAAATGGTCTCCCAGCAACCAGAACAGCGCGAGGAAAGTTTACATTGCCTCATGCGGCGCACAACTTTGCCCGGTACGGGCCCACCACGACTGGTGATTCTGGCACGGTGTATAGAGTGTGGTCGTGACTGACCAGGTCACTTGTAAGAATAAGAAATAATGTAGAGATCACAAGTCAAATGGAGATGTCTTGAATGGCTCGAGTCCGAGGGTTCTTCCGCTCCGGGCAGGCTAGGGAGTATCCCCGCGCCATGGTTGACAGGGGCAAAGCAGGGGTTCCTGCATCCATATTAACTTCCCCATCTTGCGATACAGATCACATTACTTTGAACAGCCCCTCAGTACCTAGGTACTGGCTTGGTGGCCGCTCTCATCAATAGGGCAGCGTCTAAACAGATTTCTTCGCTCGTTGACACTTCCCCCACCACTTGTACCACTTGCCTGGCGCTTGTGTCACTACCCCTCCATTGTACTGATAGCTGTGTCTCAAGCTTGTACTTGAGATGGGACTTCAGCTTGACCCAATGGAGATTCTGTACTGAGTCAAGCCAGCATGATTCATAACTTTGAGAGATATAAGTGCTTATTTACAGCCTGATCAAGTAACCACCTTCTACATATGCTGGTCAGAGGAGCTTACTTCCTCCTGAATTCCCTACATGAAACCGGACTCCAGTATCTATTCTAACACCTAAAAATGCCCATGCTAGCTGTGATATCATAACCCTACCGGTACGCCCCTTCTAAAATCAGACCTGACCCCCGTGTAGGCAACCGTCGTAACATCATCTCTTGCCGCCTTTCCTCGTGCCCATCTTCTCGTTCTTATCCCTCGCTGGGGTAGCTGGTAAGGAGCCTAGGGCCGAAGGAAGGAGTTGACCTCCTGGACCAAGCCGCTGTGGCGATCCCTCAGGTGGATTTCGAAGCTGCTCCGAATGAAGCTTGTCGAGTGATTCACCAACCACAGCATACTGGTCCCAGTTGATGTGTGGCATACGCACAACATCCTGTGGCTGCGGCAGCTTCTCCCATGCTTTTCCATCGTCCGCTTTCGTCAGTTCTTCCTCGTCCTCATCCTCTTCATCATCATCTTGCGCCAGACCCATAAAGGTCTCTCCTTTCTGCTTGATTTCCCCTGCCTGCAAAGCCCTCATAAATTCGTCAGGATCTTGTAGTCCACGTTCTTTGGTCCGCTGCAACGACTTGATATCCTCCGCCGCAATGCGCGCCTGCATCATGAGGATTGAAATCGCAGATTTGGTCGCTAGGACATCTGGATTCTCGTCGAACTTGATGGGCTCTGGCGCAGGTGCTGAGACAGCTATCTGTGGTGGTTGAGAGTGGGTGTACGTTTGCCTGCCATTTTGGACCGGTCGCGCCGCTCTCAACGTTGGGGTGATGGGAGAAACAGGTGGTCGCACAGGAGATGCGGATCGGGATTTCGAAGTCGACGTCGGGGAATGTCCATCAGGACGTATGGGGTTGGTAGGCGACGTGTTTACAGTGAGTGAGGGCATGGTTTGCAGAGAAAGAATGGGACGCCACGCGCCTCTGACTGGGGATGATCTGGAGAGCTTCGGAAAAGAGATTTTCCGGCCGACCATGGGGTTGAGGATGAAGGAGGTTATTCCGGGCAGGACGTTCTCACCAGACACGTCGACAATTTATTTGTAGTCTCAACTGTCTCGAGTGTCACGTAACTGGCGATGGTGTTGACAAGTTCAGGTGGCTTGAAGTTGAAAACCGGCTCATCCCATTCATAAAGGGCTCTTTCTTAGATCCTGTCACCTACACTACGCTCCACCGAATTCCAGCCACAACGAGAGTCGCCTGGCACAGCAAACAGATCCCTTGTTCTCCATCTCCGTTATTTACATCTCATTCTGCATCCTCAGTACTGTGCGTTTGAATTTTTTTCTTGTCTCCTCCGGAAGCGCAGGAAGTCAACAGGTCTCAAAGGAGGCAGTCTTCCATGTTTTTGCGCTTCGGTTCGCCTCCACTCACACACCACCATGCCACCTTTCTCTTCTCCCAAGGGAAAGCTTGATTCCCACGTCTCTTGAACCTTGCACACGTGGCAGTGCAGTCTGGTCCGTGGATCAAGCGTTTTAGTCTTGCGAGCAAACATTGTTTCGGCGATCTCAGGATTGTTTGACGCTAAGTGTGTCTCCCAGTGGGGATCTGTTTGAACCACGAAGCAAATCCCCCGGATCTGCAAACAGTTGGAAAGGATATTGCTGCGTTCCAAGTACACCTCCTCGCCATTGAAGTTCCCCTCGTTTAACCTGAGTTGCTGTTTAGTATCGTCAAGTTCAGATCTTAGGAACTTTGAGAATTAATTAAGTTGGTTCTGCACTAAAACCTCTATTTACTTCCACAGACTCGCTCAGCCTCTGGCTGCTGAATGATATATATACAGAGTAGATGGCGCTTATTCATGGTTACTTTCGTTGTTTCTTTCCTATGCTTGCAGCATCTCAAATTGGTACTCCACCGCTGGCTGCCTGCATCATTGTTATGGCCAATCCTGCACTGCCCATTCTCTGTTGCTCCATGAGTGATGTCAACTCAGCCATGGTGAATGTTATTCCTCCTTGACCAGATGCGGCACTCGAGAGACCTGATGTACTCGATGCGCTTTGAGGCTCACCGGTAGCGCCGCCGGCTCCTGCTGTCCCATTGCCTCCTTGAGGAGCCAGGCCTGCGCTGGCTGACTTCTGCATGGTGATGATGAATTCTCCATCAATCTGATTGACTGCAACCATCACGCGGCCTGTCGCGGGATCGAATGCTGTCGGGCCATTTACCGCTTGGAAAGTTGGGTTAAGAAGCAGCTGAGTGGCTGCGGGGTTGTTAGGATCCTGAGGTGGGGTATTTGTTGTAGAACCGCCATCTACAGATGGAGTCGAGGCGGCTGGATCAGGAGGAGTCGCGGTGTCAGCGGGTGTTTCTGTATTATATTAGCCTTGCTCTATGTGGTTTCCGATTCGTTTTTCTTGTATAGACGTTGCTTACCAGTGGGAGCGTTAGGGTCAGTTGCGGTGCCATTAGATGGCGATGTTGGATCAGCTGCCGGGTCGCTAGTGGGTACTGCTGCTGCAGGATCAGTTGCAGGATCAGTGACTCCAGTCTCTTCTGAAGCTGGCGCCCGAGTAGATGTCCGAGCTGGTCTCGAGGCTCTCATGGACGCTGCTTGTCGACGGACTCGACGATTAGGCGAGAGATTCCCAGTGGCACCTCCAGGGTTCTGTTGCACAGTTCGCTGCGAAATGCCAATGACAATAGCCTCATTTGCACTGACGCCCATCTGTGCTGCCATACTCATCACACGTTGCATGTTGACTGGAGAATGTCAGTAAATGCTTTACTCATAATCAGGATTCGAAACTCACGCGGCAGTTGGACAACGGATGTCATTTGGTTAAGGTTGGGAGCAACAGCTGCCAGGTTTGTGGTGACCAAATATCGGTAGTTGTCTAGGGCTTGTTAGTACTCTCCAAATCCCAAATCGGAAGTGGCTGGAACTACATACTAACTGACGCCGTGTTTTGGTCTGTGATCATCGATGTGCTGATACCATTTACCACATTGGTAGTAATGGTCATTGGCTGGGTAGCCTTCATGGACATTCGGAAACCATCTGCGTACTCGACTTCTTGAATTCCAGAGCCGGAGATGTTGACAGAGTTTCCGCCGAACGGTGTAAGAACGTTGGCGGTCTCAGTAGTCTGTCTGCCAATGGCCATGTACTCTCCGTCAATATTGGTCATTCTCACAATACGAACGGTGTTATCGGTACTTCAATTCTCGTCAGTAACATTACTGGTTGTTGTCCACTTTCAAGGTTTTGAGCTGAACTCACGTGTTAACACTCTTCATACCCTCCACTACAATCCAAGCCTGTCGCCCAGGAGATAGCATGGCTACGAATGCGTTATCGGGACTGATGTTGTTCTGTTGGAGGATCGTTGGATCTATTGGAAGTTCAATTTGGCCGCCCACGAGATTCGTTGCATTGTTCGTCGCTATGGTCATCGAGTTCTGCGACAATTGCACGAAAGGTTGCCCCGTTGACCCCACCACATGGTTGGCGGTCAGTGGACTTGGATTTTGATTTACAATAAGTTGTTGTTGTGATTGCGAGAAAGTCTCGATTCTCGAATTGTCAGGAAATGTTATCCTGTTGAGGGCCATCTGAGACGTATGTCAGCAATCAATAGATAGCAGCGAACCGAGCAGGCGATATGCAGTTTGGATTATCTTACATTACCATTCAAGTTGATGACTTGATTCCATTGTGCTGTTATATCTTGGCCAACGACCAGATGGCCGAGATGACAGCACACAACAAGGAATGAGAAAGAAAATTGGGTGAAAGTCATTATGAAGAAAGAGCCGCCAGGGCTGTTGCACGTCGGGGAAAGAAAAGAGAGAAGAGCGACGGCAAACGCTAAAAGAGGCACAGATGAGGAATTTTGAAGATTTATGGTTTCTGAGAAAGGGAAGTGGGCAGTGTATAAGGTATATGTACATGCACGTGCGTTTTGGACTTGGCCAACGGTCTGATAAACAGACAGACAGGGAGAACGCATGAACTCAGCACGTATCTGACGTTTCCATGGCACGGTATCTCTCCACGATGGTCTCTCCACTTCAAGATGGATTAACTGGAGCAGACAATCGGGTCAGCCTTGATCCGATCTGCTGAAAACACCCGCTGAGGGGACTACCTCGCCTGTAGCGGCCAAACACTAGTGCTGGCTAATGGCACAATCCGGCTGCATCTCGCATCGAATTAGCCTCCGCCAAGTTTCTTAAGCACGACGGGAAGTAAATAACCTTATTCTTCGCGGGCGATCTCGATGTGGGAGCTCAGCCTCCTTGCCTCTGCTGTACAGACTGGACAGGGGTCTCTGGTCGTCTCAGAAGTCGATCTAGAAACATCCTCGTTCAAAAGCTATCGTTGCAGCCTCCGGCTCTCCTAATTTCCCTCTTGGCAGACTTTCACTGGCGTATCAGAAGTGCTTCAAACGATTCGCAAGATGTTCTGTTTTTCCGCAAGTTGTGGCGGTCTACATTCGCAACTAGGACTTGATGCGAAACTACCTGTTCTCATCTCTACTTTCGGTGCCATGACAATCGCGATATACTCCAAATTGATGAATGAAGGTGTTGTTCTTGCGAGGAGATCTGGGCTGCACTCTGGAGTTATAAAGTTTAACAATTCCCCAAAGATCTCTAATGGCTGAGCGTTGTCACTTTTACTTTCTCGAGGTCGAGCGACTCTGCAGCTGAGCGCTATTTTCGTCATTCTCTACCAACATACAAAACATGCCCTGCAGCTATTGGAAGTAAGACCCAGCGTGGCGTCCGTCTTCCTCATGCTACAATACATAGGGTTTCCATGGACACGTCCCAACAAGGTATCGGCCTCCGCTGACTTCCTGCTGTCCTGCGTCGGACTGTTCAAACGGCGAGCAACAAAACAAAAGTAGACGGCTGGGTTGCTCTATTCTTCTCCAGGATAATGCAATAACAAGCACTGCTCTTGGCGTAGTCATCTAAAATGTCTATGCTACGTAGCCGTGACTTAAAAAAGACTCGTGTCGGTGGTCTCATCACCAAAGGTGTAGTAATCTTTCAATTTGAGTTTCGACGATACGAGTACGATTTCTTACGAGATTCTGACAGTGAAAGTTGGTCTTCACCATCGTAGGTCTAATGCCCGAAGCCAATTCGACTAATACAGTGCTTCAGCACTTGATCTCCTGCGTGGCGCCGATTGCATGATCGAATGTGAAAGTGCAGCGATTGAAGAATTAAGGCAATCAAGACTAGGAAAGTAGTACCTCAGATGCGTTTATTGACTAGCTACGTTATCTTCTAGGTTTTGTCTGTAGACCGGATGGCGCCGAGAGGATCAATAAGCAGTCACGAACCTGTCCTTTTTCCAACAGTCAAAACTGGAGAACGCAAGCGGATCGGGGCATAGGGAAGATCTCGGAGTTTTGTATCAAGATCTGGAAACTTTGGGCACTCTGCTTCAAATCGCTTATTGCAGATCTCGCAAGCTTTGAGGAGTTCTCACACTGCTTTGAAGTCCTAGCCGAACTCGGCCCCTGGCTCACATGGTTGTTCCCTCGCTTAGTGTTGCACAGACAAACATTCAACGGTTAGTAAAACACTTGACATAGATACGATTGGCCGAACGCAGAATCTGTAAAACTATCGGTCGTCGACATGGTATGTGCAGCCTGATCTACGAAACAAGAGTGTTGCAAAGACGGGCTAGAGTTAAGCTCAAATGCCAAGAGGTTTGGGCGGGTATCAGTTGCCCCCCTCATCGCCCAACACCATGTGTACATCCTCGCGCATGACCAATTCCAAGGTCGAATCGTTGCCCTGCAACTATGCGGCGGTCAGTCGAAACGGTGAGAAGGGCTGCAATATCTTGGTATAGTTTTACGAATGTCGTAGAGGTCGTGCAAATGATGTTTCTGCCAATCAGGTAAAAGACAAGATCTTGGCCATTGTGCTTGACTCAAATTCAACATCGAAACAGTTTAGGAGTGCATAGTACTCGCTCGCAAGTTCCAAATTAGGATGGATGACAGCCAACAGACAGGCGCTTACCGTCTGATTTTTTTAGTATAGAAGGGCCAGCGTCTGCCTTTACAGTTTTCGCTCGATTGTGCACAGTTTGATTAATACAACCGAAGGTCCCAATTCGAACTCTGCATCTCTTCTTCGCATCGCTCCTTAGATATCTTTCCCCGAACGCCCGCGGTCTTTCTCTTCCATTTACACTTTTTTAATACCGAAATCCGAGCAGCCGGCCTTGCTCTTGAATTATTACCTTTCACATCATGAAGTTCCTTGCTTTGTTGACTCTATCCTTGATCGGCACATCCGTCGCCGCTCCTCTTGACAGGAGAGCAGCAACACCCACTTCAAAGGGTGTCGCCAAAGCAACTCCAAGCACAGCTGGGTATGTATATACTGGAACCCCTCTTCTCTATCTCATGCTCCTCAAGTCGGTGTACTCGCCTGGAACACTTTCCTCAGCACATTCTTGGTCATGAGACAAATACTAACATTCATATAGTGGTGGAGCAGCAAAACCACCAGCGGCCAAGGCAACGCCCAGTACAGCAGGAGGTGGTGCAGCAAAGGCACCTCCCAAAGCCTCACCTACTCCAGCAGGAGCAGATCCCGCTACTCCAGAACCTGCCACTCCAAATTCAAGCACGCCAGGAGCGCAGCCCTCAGCTGGAGCTGGAACCGGGGGTAACACCACTGGGTCGACCGGAACAGCTCCGATCGCTCCTAACATTCAGACTGGCGGAACTCCAGGAGCACCAGCAGTTCAATATGCAGCTGGCGCTTTCGCAAACGATGCCACCACCGTCTCTGCCTCGTTGAATGCTTTGGGTACCGAGCAGAATCCAGAGATGATCAGAGCCCTCGCGTCGGTTGCTTTCACCGCTGAGTCGGACGAAGATCAACGACGAAACGTCCTCAACACCGCTGGAGGAAGTGCCGCTAAGAATGCCAATTCTTTGATCGTCAAGAACACTCCCGCTGTCCTCGATGGTCTTCAAGCGATTATGAATGACCCGACACCAGCAAATGCCAAGTCTAACCTCCAGACCATTGAGGCTGCCAGGTATGTCGTCTAGAGTACTTCAATTGAGTAAATTCTGACATTTTTCTACGGAAACCCCAATATTCTTCCATCTATTACCGAGCTATCAAACGCCGCTATGATGATGACAGGATTACAACCGCTTGCCGTTGAGTTCCCACCAACGACTGGCTCCGCGGCACAGTAAATACTGCTCCGTAGCTGAGGCTTGCTAGTAAGATATGGATGGTCATTGGAACGAGGTTCGGTTTCTGTATGTCTTAGATATTATTGAAGAACGTTTGGTGTAATTGAGCGACTTTCGGGAGTATTATTGTGCATTTCCTGTCCTGTGTTTCGAATTCCTTACAAATGTAAATACTCTCTTCCTGGCTTGGTCCACTCAAAAGTCAATCAAAAATGGAAAAAAAAGAATGGAAACAAAATGGAAAAGAAACTGAGTAAGGTGGGCAGCAAGATGCATCTGGAAATTTTGTTTGCTTCTACCATCATTACAGACCTGAATATGTCACATCTCCAGATTTCTGCTCACCGTCGCTCGCTGAGAGGATCCGAGAGCGCCTGTTGTCTCAGGAAAGGGGTCTAAGCGAATACCACGTGACTACATGTGTCAAAGTCATTTCCCACCAACTACCTCTCAGCAGCACAATGACATCAACCAGTCTGGTTTGGGATCCGCCCCAGCTCAGATGTTGAAGACCAGAGATTTCCATGGCCGCACGGTTTTGTTGCCGGTCGGCCGTTCTCTGGGAGCCCGGAGGCCCGGAATATCCTATTCAGGCTGAATATACGCCGGATAAACCATCTGCTCCACAAAGGTCACTACACCAAGACTCGACCTCCAACATCTAACAGAGGAGGCAGAATGGTAGAACCATTCAAGCTAGCCGTGGGGAAGGTTAAAGAGGATAAATACCATTGCCCTGAGTCTACATAAACCTCAAGCATCTCTGATTCATGAACTGGATATTTCCTGCCAAAAGTCTACAATAGCAGTTTACCACTACCATCATGACGGACCAACCATTGGTAACCCATATCTTCACAGCCGATCCATCAGCCCACAGCTTTAACGGCAAGCTCTACGTCTACCCCTCCCACGACATCAAGACCGACATCCAAGACAACGACAATGGCGACCAATACGCCATGACAGACTATCACGTGCTGTCCATGGACGACGTCGGAAGCCCAGTCACAGATCACGGAGTCGCCTTGGCGCTAGAAGACATCCCGTGGGCGGGAAAGCAACTCTGGGCTCCAGATGCGGCGACGAAGAACGGGAAATATTATCTGTATTTCCCGGCACGAGATAAGGAGGGGGTCTTCCGGATTGGTGTAGCCGTCAGTGATGTTCCAGAGGGGCCGTTCAAGCCGGAACCGAAGCCAATTGAGGGGAGCTATAGTATTGATCCTGCGAGTTTCGTCGATGATGATGGAGAGGCGTATCTTTATTTCGGTGGGATTTGGGGCGGACAGCGTAAGTGATTCTTATATACAGTGGAGCAGAACTGTTTACTAACAGAAGAGCAGTTCAATGTTGGACAAAAGGAGAATTCGACAAGGACGCATACACCAACATGGAAGCGACAAGCGGCCACGCGTATCACCCGCGAGTTGCTCGTCTAAGCAAAGACATGCTTCAATTCGACGGCGGCGTCAAAGAGCTCGTCATCCTCAGCGAGGACGGAATTCCAATTCCACACCACGATCACGATCGCCGCTTCTTCGAGGCAGCGTGGATGCACAAGTACCAGGGTAAATATTACTTCTCGTATTCGACCGGAGATACCCATTATCTGTGCTATGCAACGGGTGATAATCCTTTCGGGCCATTCACCTATGCGGGGAGGATTTTGGAGCCTGTGTTGGGGTGGACGACGCATCATTCTATTGTGGAGCATAAGGGGAGGTGGTATTTGTTCCATCATGATGCGTCGCTTTCGGAGGGGAAGAATCATTTGAGATGTGTGAAGGTCAAGGAGATTTTCTACAGCAAGGAGGGAAAGATTCAGCTCACTCCGTCGTAGAATGGAATTTTATTTTAAGTGAATCCGGTTCCACCCATCTAACGTTCAGAGAGACAATCTAATACCGGAGTAATTGATTGCATCGTCCTGTCATATTCAAGATAACACCGTCTCTCGTCGTATCTCCTGCATATTGATTGGCAAGCTGAGTCGTGATGGTCCTCTGAGCTATAATTATTTTACTAGATAGGTCGTATGTACATTTGGTTGATCTCAGCAATGGCTATTGAAAGCGGGCACATATCATACGTAGGGTGACTTGGATGCATTGATTCAACAATTAATGCCTAAAACCATGATGTACATTCCAAAATGGATCAGCCATCCATGCGATAAAAACAAGACCGAAAATCAACGCCATCAATTTCTCTTATTCCCAGCCTCATCAACACTCTCGAACCCAAATTAAATATTCTTCCTCTGCTTAATCCCCACCATACACTCCACCGGCTTCCTCAAGAACCCCTCCCTCGTCTCCAGCGTCTTCTGATACAACTCAAACTCATACCTCCTAAACGTCGTCGCCACAATAAGCGCCAACTCCATCTCAGCAACATTCCTTCCTACACAACTCCTCGGCCCATAACTAAAAGGAATAAACCCATTCTTCTGCCTCTCCGTCAAATCATTCCAGCGATCGGGCACAAACTCATCAGCATTTGATCCCCAGATTTCCTTGGAGTGGTGGATCGTATATGCTGGGACGGAGAGAACAGTATAGGGCGGGAAATGCTGTCCGAGGATCTCGACACCTGCTCCTGGGGGCACGACGCGGGGAAGGCCAAGAGAGGAGGTAGAGTGGATACGGAGCGTTTCATTGATGACGTTCTGCATGTATTTGAGATCCTTGACCAGTTCAAAAGTCGGGACATCCATAGTCTCTGGGATCGCCTCATCGAGCTCCTTGCGGAGCTTCTCGAGCACGCCAGGCGTGGATAATACCCAGTAGAGGATGGCGCAGGAGGTGTTAGACGTGGTGTCTGAGCCGGCGATGAGCTGGGTGAGTGCCTCAGCAGTGAGTTCTGCGCGGCCGAGTTTCTCGCCGTTCTCGTCCTTGCCTTCCATGAGGCGGGCGAGGAGGTCAACCCGGTCGGCGTCTTGCTTGCCTTCCAGGCGCTGGCTGACCCGAGCAACGGCTATGCCGGCGAGGTTCTCTACGGCTGCGAGACCTTGGCTGAAGAATGGGTCGGGCAGGTATTTTGCGTAGGGCTTCAGTTGTGGAAGACATCCTAGGGTTCCAGAGACTTCACCGCGGCGGTTGAGGACTTCGACTGCGGGGGCATAGGAAACAGGCGCATCGGGCGACTTCCGGATTTCTGTGATGTCCTTTCCCTTTTCTAGCATTCCAAATGGCTGACCGAATGCCAAATCCCCAATCATGTCAAAGGCGAGGTAATTATACCAGTGTAGAGCATCGATCTTGGCAAAGCCGCCGTGAGCGTTGGTTGCTAGCTTATCCCATTGCTGGACGAAGAGCTCGAGGTTCTGGTGCATGTACTTCTCGAATTGGCCGATGCTCTTAGTGGAGAAGGTATGCGAGATAGTCTTCCGCTTGCGGGTATGTTCAGCTCGGTCTCTGGTGTTGAAGAGTCCTCTTTGGATGGACACGAAGGCATCGTAGAATTCTCTTTTTCAGATTATCAGCTTCGATCCTTCCACACCACCACAACTGCTGCAGCAATTGCCAACTTACGACTTCAAGAACCCATTCCCATGCCCATAGATATCCTGAATCGCAGACTCATCCGCGACACTGACATGATCCGGCTGGATCCTGACCAGCTTTCCATACTTCGCATGTGCGTCATTGACGCTCAGATATCGCTTTCCCTGCCGAGCTTGCAGCAACAACCATAGATTCGAGAACTTTGCTGCGAAGGGACCTGGTACATCTCGGAGTGATGTGTTGGATGTGAGGTATGGGACGAGCCAGAAGAGCACCAGGGCAACTGGAATAGCGTAGGGAGTGAGAACAAGGTCGGCGATAGACATTATGGAGAAGCCGAAGGTTTAACCTTAACTTGCAGATCTGGATCGCTGCAGGGATAAACTTTCAGTGTTGGTTGTCGTAGAGGAAGAGGAATGAGATCGTGTAAGTGAATAATCATACAGCCATGAGATCTGAAATCACAGCGACACGACGATACGAAACCTTGAAGGCACGAGGTTCAATTATAGTTAAATCTAGGATTGCCGCACCCATGGGCCGGATGGGAATTTTAGAGCTCTTCGCTCACCCCGCAGCATGACGGCCAACCGAGAAAGCCACCCAAGCAGCTCCCCAGATCCGAAGGCCCACTGAAGGGTTTGGGGCTATGCAAACGACCAATAGAAGGTCAAGAATTACTCTGATTCAAGTAAAGGGTCTTGATGGTCGGTCCCACGACGTCAGTTTGGATCCTAGTCAAGTCCCTTCTTCAGAAGCCGTACTCAAGATGCGGGGTGGCCAACGTGGGGTAGCACGAGATATTAAGGTCGGTGTAAGTCGGCGTAGTGCGGCGTAAATATGTATCTCGAATTCTCAAGAACGAGAACCCTCATTGGCTTGAATAGGCTATCGGGTACAGAATCGGTATCTCTTCTCGGAATTATTCCATCAATTCTTGCTTCGGCATGATAAATCGGCAGGGTGCTCATAAAGCTGCCCCTGCCGGTCTCACGCTATCTAACTGTAACGCAACTCTCATAGCTCGTAATTCATGCTTCATAGCTTTACATAGCCTTGTCTCACAGAGACTCCTTAGTTCTTCTCTTGTCAACCGCCTCCCTCAACTTCGCAATAACCTCAGCCGGGTCCTTTGCTCCAAACACAGCACTCCCCGCAACAATAACATTCGCACCAGCATCGGCAGCCTGATCTATCGTGCCAGGACCCAAGCCACCATCAACCTCGATATTCAATTCTGGGTATCTCTTTCGCAGCTCCGCAACTTTCGGTAACTCGGACGCCATAAACTTTTGTCCTCCAAAGCCTGGATGCACTGTCATGACAAGAACCATCTTCAACGCATCAGTCAGTGTTAACGTACGGAATCCATTGTAACACAACTTACATCAGGTACTTCCTTCAAGTCCTTTGATTCTAGAATGTCCCAAAGCACATCAACAGGAGTGTCTGGCTTGATCGCAATGCCGGCCAACATTCCCAAATCGTGTATGTATCTGATCAACTCCTTCGGACTCGTCTTGAGGTCGCTCGTTGATTCTGGGCTTTCGGCCGCTGTGCTATTGATCGCGGCTTCGTAGTGGAAACAGTAGAGATCGCATCCAGCATTCTGGAATTCCTTGACCCATTTCTTTGGCTACAACCCCCGGGTCAGCCTGCGAGGTTCGAAGAAGCTTTCTATAGTGTATATACCTCCGCAATCATCATATGACAGTCAAAGGTTCCCTTTCCGTGCTTTGCTGTAGGTCGATCGACATGGCTTCGAATCTTTGTAACGACAGGCGCTCCGAATGTGATGTTTGGGACGAAATGACCATCCATGATATCTGCAAAATTATCAGGCACTGATCGAGGGGCGGATTAGTTTCATGTTCTCGACCGGTACGTACCTACGTGCAGCCAGTCGGCTCCTCTAGCAATCGTACTCGAGCATTCTTTACCCAAATCCGCGAAATCCGCAGACAGGATAGACGGCGCAATGATAGCTGCTGGAGACATCTTTACAGCTTCGCAGATCTCCTTGATATGTCCGATAATCGTAGCAAGAGTTTTGAAAAGTTCTGTAGACGGTGTGAGGTTCAATGGACGGAATTGCTGAGTTGATTGCAGCAGATGAGCTGTCTTGGTGGGATGTTTTTGGAGATGCTCAACATGCCCACTTTATGCGGGGCAATTTGGATGGCACGTGCACTCGCTCGCTTGTATTGCGGAAATGTCAATAAACACTTGCTTGTCGTAAGTCGTCGAGTGCAGTTTCTGTAGCTTGATAACCTTGAATCTGTATCAAAATCACAATGAGAATTATCGGCTTACTTTGAAACCCGTTCCAGCCTTTTCCCACTGGATTTGCATTTCTTGCATCCCGTTCTGATCGGTCATCACCTTTTAAACAGGGTTGAGTTCAAAAGCCAAAAAATATTCATCGAGTTTTATTGCTTGCAAAAATGACATCACTGCCTCAAGCCCAATGCCAGCAGAAACCAAAGTTTCTATCAGAAGTGCATAATTCTGCGAGAAGATCCTGCCATCAATACCCACTCCGACCTCTCACAACACTCAGCTAATCTGCCCCCGACAGCCAGCCAAAGCTTGAAATGGTAGAGCAGAACCAACAAACACCTAGCAGCTCTCAGCTCTAATGAAAACGTTCCAGTTAATTCTATCCCATGCCTGACCACCAACACGTTTCCTAAGGCTTCCCTTGCCAGCAACATCGACAACCGTGCATTTGTCAACAAGTGCTTGCGCATAGTCGGCGAGCATGAAGTAATACTTGCGGAGCTCGAAGTTATTCTATCAATCACTTAGTACTTGCTCCATTCACGAAGTCAAAATCATCTCCCCTCCCAAAATCTGGAAAGAGAGAGTGTGTGTGTACGTGTGTGTGCTTACGTTGTTGCACCAGTAAATCGCAGCATCATTGTTGCAGCTAATACGCGTACAAGAAGTTTTTGCAACAGTACAGATTCCGAAACCTCCTTCGATATTTCGAAGATATTTGATTCCTGACAGGATAGGGCCGAGAGGGGCAAGCTTCCAAGTTCTTTGTCCGGTTTGGGCGAGGCAGTTGACGTCAGTTATGTCACGCTTTCTCCAAGTTAGCATGTTGAGATGGCGATTTGCTCGGGTTCATTCTCACCTTGTTGAAGACAGTTGAAAGTGGATTGGGAGTAGTGGTGATATCATCCTGTTGGTTGAGAGAAACTCCTGAAGAGGGAAGTGCGAGGACGGAATCGCAGTTGAGGAGAACTGTGATGGCGAGCAGAAGCATGTTGCTGATGAAGTGGAGGAGGTTCATGTTGTATTTTTAATAGTATCTTTGGGAGAGATGTTGAAGTGGACGATTTTGAAATCGGACCGAGTTTGAGAGTTGAAAAAGGGATTGAAAGAACAAATCTCTGCCATTTATCTTTCAAAGAGGAAAGATAGACACCCGAGGCTCAGAAATGTGAATACACCACGTGAATTTATTCGAGGTTAATAGTCACCAATTGAGTCATTCTGAATGGAATCTAAACCTTGCATTCCTGACTCTTCTGAGTACCCTCTGGTCTTAAACTCATGCTTCGTCTTGGCGCGGAGGTCAACAAGCATTTCCTCTTGGAAATCTAAAAATGAAATGAAAGAAGAAATTTTATTTGAAAGGTTAAAGAAAGTGCACAAGCGCGGATACGTTCTTGGTTGGAATGAAGTGTGCCGCACATGCCATGCAGAAGCACGAAAGCCCCAGATCTTTATGACAGCTGAAAGATGACAGACTAACGTCCGGTGACAAGGAGTGGACTGGAATATATATCCTTTATTAGAGCATTGGACTTTGCCGCTAGTAAATATAAGGTTGGTGAGCAATTTTGAGTCAATTGGAGTTCAGTGTCAGTGTCGTTTTTAACCACAGCGGCCTTTCTGCAACCGAAAGACGCAATGCAAATAGGTCAACAAAGCATATCGTCTACGGCGCTAAGCAGATAGAAATGATGGGTATTGCTTGATGTGTGTCACTAATTATCAACTTCGTGCTTGAGATATTATGCTTAGGGGCTGACTTTGGAATTCAGGATGATTTCATTTTGACGAACCGATGAACGCTACCTCTGTATCTCAAGATATGAAGCTTGCTACGATTCAAGGCCCTGCAGCACTTTCCATTTCTCTGACGGTCGATCTACCCACCAACGATGACCCTTCCACCAGAAGACTCCTCACTATCGCCTTGAAAGCTTTGCAATTTCGTGCCCCCCCCCAATCCATACTACGCATCTGAATGAAAAAGACTTGGGATCACTGCTCACAATCCTCCCCCCGGATGAAGACATTCCAGTTATCATTATCCCAAGCCTGTCCTCCAACAACCCTACCTCCATGGCCTCGACTCGCAGTAGGGCACTGATCAATCAGCGCCTGCGCGTACGCAGAGATCTTAAAACACGACCAGTGGAGCTCATGTTTGTTCTAGCGAAGTAGCCAATCTGTCAGCACAGTACTTTCGCGAATTTGGCTCGGCTAGGCTAAACTTACATTATTGCAAAGATAGACAGCAGCATAATCAACACAGCTGACCCGCACACAGCTTGTGGGTTGCACTGCGCATAGTCCAGTCGTTCCTCTAAGGAAATCGGTTGCAGCTTGTGCTTGGTCGACTGGTGCGGGGGACCAATTCTGCCCGGTGGCTCTCATGCAGTTGACATCGGTTATAGATCGCTGCAAAGATGTCAATATTATTCATATGAAATAGCCATTTCCGAAGACTATATAGAACTCCAACAAGCCTTGGAGCTTACCTTGTCAAACACGTTCGATGAGAAATTATCAGAACTCGACTCGTTTTCTAAGACATCGAGAGCATGCGTTTTGCTCACCGTAAGGTGAGTACCGGGAGATGGGAGTGCAAGTACCATCTCGGAGCCCAAAATTGCAGCAGCAACTAGCACCAGGAGTCTGGACAAGTGAAGAGACTTCATGTTGTAAATTCAAGGAACGAGATATCTGCTCGGGAAAGCTGTAAGTGACAAATATCGATCGAGGGGAGAGCTGATGAAGAAGCGGCACTCTGAGTGTCGAAGACTAACGTACCTATTCTTAGATGTGAGTCCCCATTTCCGGTGAAAGTCAGTGATTGGTTGCGTTGAAAGAAACCAGGTTTTTGGCAGCAATTGACTTAGCACAAACCACACGCTGATTCACAAAGAGCGAAGCTAGTCTGAACTCCAACGAGTGTTCTTTTGAAGTTCTCTGGTATGCGAATCGATGTTGGAATCTAACATTTGTATTGATTAAAGAAAGTGGCATTCAATCAATCCGTTATAGAAGCGGCTGTTACAGACGGATACATGTCATCGAGATCAATTGTACACACACCGAAAATGTCTCCTCTGACATGACTTCATTCAATCTCTTAAAGACTGATCAACTGATGTTTTAGCCTAAATTTCATGAGTTGCTAAGCGAAAGTATGTTTTGTTTTGTTCCTTTTGTTTTGCCTCGCTTGGACGTGACGGAAGCTTAACTATGCCTCACACGACCATCTTCCACTGTCTTAAGAGCAGGGTGCAAGGTCGCTCTGAATTCGAAATACTGTAAGATGAGCAGTTCTTTAAGGCTCTCTAGATTACAGGCATTGCCTGCATTAAACCAAGCAACTTCCCCTTTTGGTGATGATGCCCGCTGATTGGGTACCGATCAGAGATATCGAGCCCCCCCCCCCCAATGGTCTACTGAAAAACAGTTCCATTGTTCTCTTCTCTCTTTTTCAACAGAGACAGCATAAAATACGAGAAAGTACGAATTAAATACGATAGGGAGATAGGCATGGGTGACGGTGGATGCATGTATACCTATCGAGGTCGTGGGATTTCGTGGGGGTGGGTGAGACGTAGCAAAGAGTGGAAACGAGAGCGAAGCTGACAGAGACACAAATCTTCATCCTCAGATCCAAAAAACACCATTTTGACACATTGATCGACACTAAACTATCTTGCAATACAAATTGAAATGGAATGGACCAACTCCTCCGCGTCATCCTCTACAGACTCACTTTTCGCATTCTCACACCCCCCATCTCGCCGCTACTCTTCAGGCTGCTCTTCTATCTCCGACCATCCCATCCATCGAGTTTACATCCCTACCATTTACCCAACACACCCACCTCAACCGCCAAATCGGCTGAAAGAAATTTCCAACGCAATACGAGCATTCCTGACACTCCCGCCTTGACTATGCTTGAACGCATGATGAGTTCTTTCACGGCTGTGCTGGAAATGTCTTTCTTGATACCGATAGTGGTATGTTTGTTGGTTTATTGGAAGGTCTTGGCGTTGGTTGCGAAGGGACGGAAATGGATTTTGGGAGGTGGAAGGTGGGAGGGGAGGGAAGAGGGTCTTGACTGGTTGGATCGAGTCTCCGGTTTGGAATCTATGAATATTTGTTGCTTGTTCGTGGGATGTCTTCGTCGAAATTCTGAGGCAGGAGTTGGAGTACGAGAATTTTGAAGGGCTAGATACCTTGAAGGCGTGTTTACTTTTTAAAGTTTCGGGTTAGTTTGGTCGCTTGGAATTTGGTGTGGAGTTTGTTTTGATGGGGAAGGCGGGGCTCACTTGAAGTGTATGCTGGGCCATTTTCTAGATGCACTCAATATTATTCAGCCATGTTTTGCTTTCGGTGAGTTTGCATCTCCTGTATACACTTCATTTGTGAGATAAAGAACTTTCCCTTTCATCATTTCTAGGCTCGAAATTGGAGTATATCTTGGATCTTGCTCACTCTACAACCCGAGGGCACAACACAAAAGGATCCAGTTTGGGGTTCAGTCTTCGGCATGTCTGAGCCAAAAAGGTTTGATCAAAAACATGGCCTACATCAGCTCTATCGATTTCAACACCGCACTCAAAGAACGCATCGGTCATTCGATGCAATATCGGCTGGTGACATGTTTAAGAATTCCAACGTCCGCCTAGATGCTCTCGATAAGCAGGGCTAAGGGGCCTGGGGGCCTGTATGCTACAAGATCAAATCTATCAGACCCATGTGAATGCTTTCTTTCTTTACTGGAAAAAGCATCAAGAAGTTACAACAAATATGTTCTTGCAGGTCCGAACAAATCGAGATTTCGTACACTGTTTTGGTGTGAGAGCCACATCTGATCGGACACACAGCGTCTGACGTTCGCTTATGCATCAAATAATGAATTAAGTTTCGGTAGATTTGCTATATAAAATTTTCGGGGCAGATACAGATGTATATTTGGGATAGCAAAACGCTGAGAGGGGTTTATTTGGTTGAGGATAATCATACGTCGAGCTGGCAAACATAAATGCCTACTGCTCACTTCATTCAGGCTTGAGATCAAGGGAAAAATTGGTATGAGTCTGAAATCCGCCCGAAACTCCAGTACCCCAAGTAATCACAATCTCTTCATTACCTGGCCTATATCCTTCAAGCATTATCGAAAGCCATAAAGTCAACTAACAATACATCTCGCCACCCTCCTGGAATGCTGACTAATCCCCCTCAAATGGTCAAGGCAGTGCCGAGTGACAACGCGGGGTAAGATCCACTTCCCCATTATCTCAACAATCATCCTACGGGGTTTTTCATACAGACAACGTCTGTAAATTATCTGCATTTTATCTGTATTCCTAGTAGTAGTAAAACGTAGTAAAATACAGACAAAATTCAGACAATATCTGCTACAATTTCATTAAAAAAATGCAGACAAATTAGCGTGTGTCAAGGTACGAGAGTTTAGGTACCTCGGACTTTTCATGTTTCAATACAAAGTTAAACACAGACCTTTTACTACCTACCTCCGGAACACTCGGAAGGGAGACCTACCTTAGGAGGGGAGGGAGGGAGACCTACCTTGGGAGGGGAGGGAGGGAGACCTACCTTGGGAGGGGAGGGAGGGAGACCTACCTTGGGAGGGGAGGGAGGGAGACCTACCTTGGGAGGGGAGGGAGGGAGACCTACCTTGGGAGGGGAGGGAGGGAGACCTACCTTGGGAGGGGAGGGAGGGAGACCTACCTTGGGAGGGAGGGAGACCTACCTTGGGAGAGGGAGGCCTACCTTAAGAGGGGAGGGAGGGAGACCTACCTTAGAGGGAGACCTACCTTTAAAGGAGAGAGTAGGAAAAGGGAAGGGAAGGAAAGGGGGGGGGGGAATAAGAGAGGGGATATTTAACTTTATTAGTCAGAAAACTCTTAAAATACAGACAATAGCTGTATTTCCCTTAAATTACAGATAATATCTGTATTTTCACTCTAAATTTTCAAAAATCGATTAAAATTAGAGTTTCTAGCTAAGAAAAATACAGACAATTAACTAAAATACAGACAGAAAATCCGTCTAAAATGCCTGTTTACAGACAATGTCTGTAGGAAGTGCAGACAGTGTCTGTAAAAAAACCCCCGTAGGGTCAATCCCGTCCCAAAACAGTTCTTGCTGACAACCAAGCCTCTTCCAAGCCTTCTTCGAGTCTTCTTCGAGTCTTCCTCAAAACTCTAACCCCTTGGACATCGGGTGATCACTTCTCAATACGGCGCCTTGTGGTCCTCAGCCTTGTTAACCTGCTGCCTGGGACGGAGCTGATCAGCACGTTACATCATTTGACGTACTCTCAAGTACCACAACGGGATCGAGGCTGTGCCAGGCATCATCAACAAAACCATACCAGTCCACAAAGCGACACCGAATTAAAGCTTTACTAGCCCGCCGACATTTCATCTAGAGGTCTCCTTGGCAAGCTGTACAGTGACGACTATCCCTCGCTTCATCTCTAAGCTTCCCTCCCAATCCCAAGCCTCGCGATCTTCAATAGTCCGAAATACCGCACTACCACCATCTCCTCCATATAAAGAAAGCACCTACTTTTCACCATGCCCTTCACAATCAAAACCCTCACCTCCAGCAACCCCTCTCAAAAACCCCGCCGCAACTCCACAAAGATGTCCTCCTCGCAAAACAAGAACAACCAACCAGCCATGCTCGCCTACCGCGACGAAAACAACACCTCCATCAAATACGCGCCCGCAACAACAGACCCCCAAATCCAACACTCAAACGATGATTCTGATGCCGAAGCTCTGATCCCCCCAGCCGCACCACCCTCTGAGCTCTCAGAGCACGACAAGCAACACTTCACCGCCACCGGCCGTCCCCAACCCGCATTCAAAGCCAGCGGCCTCGCAAACCTAGGCGGCCACATGTACACGATGCCTCAACTCCTCCCCAAGCGCTACACAGACGACAGTATCATCCCCGCAATCATCACAGACGTAATCCCCACTCCCAAAGCTCCCGAAACAGAAACCGGAGGGAAGAAGAGCAGCTTGCTGAGTAAATTGAAGGGCGGGAGCAAGAAGGACGAGCAGAAGGATAAGGTGATGAAGGTGGTGTATATGCCGCGGCGGGACTACCAGAAGTGGTTTGCGAGGGATGAGAAGGGGAATTATGTGGGGAGTGAGGAGCATAGGAGGTGGACGGAGGAGGAGCTGGAGGAGGCGTTTAAGCAGTATAAGCCGGATACGAAGGAGAAGAAGACGGGGTTGTTGAGTGGGACTGGAGGTGGGTTGATTCTCTGACGTTTTTTTTTTGCATTGGGTGTTTGGCTAACGGTGTCTGGCGTAGGTGTGAAGACTTCAGGTGCGCTGAATGCTGTGGCGCAAGGATTGCAGTGATATTTTATCTGCAGTTGTGATCTTGGAGTAATGCGCATTACCGCCGCTTTGCTTGTTGGAATGTTTGACTATTTTCATGGAGAAGCTTTGGTCTGCGTCTCTTTACCCTTTGGCTGGTGGGAGGATTGGGAGGTGGATGGATTGGAAATACCCTTGCTTTTAGGCGCTGCAACTTCTGGTTTGAATTGAGACTTCTTTTATTATGCTACGATAACTCGCTTATACACCAGTATTGAGTGAAGTGGAGATATGCCTCCTTTGCCCGTGCTCTTGATCCCCCAACGCCCAAACTGCGCACGTCAACCTACTCATGAACTTGCCCTATGCATCCTGACTTTCACTCCATCACCAGGCTGTAGTGTGATAGTAATACCTTTCTTCAGCGGACCTTTCATATCAAGAGCTTCGATTTTGTCGAATCTTTGTAGGACCCTGACGATCACGAAACTCGCTTCATTGAGGGCGTATTGTTCTGTATGTGTTCATTAGCACAACTTTGATTACAAGTCTTCCTCCGACAAGCCGAAAAGTTAAGGAGGAAACTTGGAGATAAGATGTGACCAGGAAGGTAGGAAAATAGTAAAGAGGAAGAGAGAAACTCACGCCCCAAACAAATCCTCGGCCCCCCAGAAAAAGCAATCATCTCCCACCCCAACTTCCTCCCCTCCCACCTGCTCGGCCGGAAAACATCCGCATCCTCCCCCCAGATATCCTTCCTCCTATGCATAACATAACTCTGATACCCGACCTGCTCCCCCTTCATCACCGCAATCGGCTGCTTGCCGTCCTTCCCTCCACCAGTAGGCAGGACCGTGTTCCTGACGGCACCACGACCGTTTAGTGGAACGAGGGGATACAAGCGTAGGACTTCGTATAGTACGTGCGTGAGTTCTTTGCAAGCTTTTAAAGAGGTAAAAGATGGTTCGGTGAGAGGGTGGGTTTCTGATCCGAAAGTGCAGAGAACGGTTTGGCGGAGAGAGGCGTAGATGGATGGGTGGCGAGCGAGAAGGAGGATTGTCCATCCTAGCAGCGCGGACGTGGTGTCTCTCCCAGCAAGCAGGACATGAAGAGCTTGATCGCGGAGTTCGATCGGATCACGAGTCTCTGCTACCAGTGCATCCAACAACACGAACTTCTTCTTCTCGCCGTTCTCGGCTTGTTGTAACTTTCGTTTGTGATCTTGATCTGGGTCTAGCGCGAGCTTGACGAATCGATCGGCCATTGCTTTGACGGTGTTGCATGCTTCCTTGTGGACTTTTGGGAGGGGCCACCATGCTGGACGACGGAAGCGGAGGCGAGAGACGATATACTCTTGGGCGGTGTTCATGGCTTCTGCGAAGGCGATGTTGTCTTCTTGTTCTTTGGAGTAGCCGGAATCTTCAGCGTGGAGGGCAGTGGTTTGGCTGTCAACTGATTGGCCGAAAAGGAACTCGGTGCTTGCGTCGAGAGTGAAGCGGTAGAGGAGAGGCAGCCAATCTGCGCTCTCGACCCAGCCGTCTGCGTTTTCCTGAGGGAGAGCTTTGAAAAGGACGTTTAGGTGGCGACCTGCGGCGTCGAGATCGCTGACTTGATCGCGTGTGAATTGCGGTTTGAGCTGATGTCTGTAATGAGCCCATGCTTCTCGCTCAGCAGTGAAGATGCCATTTCCAAGGAGGGAGTGAAAGGCATCGTTTCGAGCAGGCCCAAGTTCGTAGTCGTGGAACTTGGTTGCTAGTACTGCCTGGACATTCTCTGGCTCAGTCGTGAAGATAGCGCTGTTGAAAAATATGCCATGCATGCGGTAGGTATTGCATCCCATGTCAATGTTTCGCTTTAGGACAAAATCATCGAGGAAGTCCAAGTCTGGTATGATTCAGCAAGTTGATTGACGACATGGGAAGATAAGATGCCACACGGTCCAATGGCAACACGCTACAGCGTGAGAGACATACCTTTCAGTTTCGTCAAGAGGAAATACAATCTCTCCAATCCCCACGGCCATTCATTAGGCACTGTCGGCGCATCTGCACATCCATGCTGTTCACCCCATTTCCTCAATTTCCTGAAACTCCACCAGCTTTGGAAATTGGCGTATGCGAGCCACGACACCAGAAACAGAGCTACAGCTTTGAGATAGAAGAAAGCCATATTGAGACTGAGTTCCAAAAAAGAGAGCCAGCACAGTCAGAACTCAATCGAAAACTTAGGACAAGCAGGATGACAGACGCCACGCTCGCTCAAGGAAGAATACACAAGATAGAGCGTGATATATACTGAAGATAAACAATATCTCAAAAGCCTGAAATAACAACGCGGAATCCGAAACCCTAAACTCGATACCTACCAGCAGCCTTGCATCTCGCAATGAAAGGAAGCAAGCCAAAAATGAACAGATATCAGTTCACTCTATGACCTTGGATGTCAAAAAGCGGGGTTATGATTGGTCTGCTCGTTCTTGGAACCATCGCACTCGCCTCACTGGCCTCGCTTCACCGACTTCTGCGGCGGGTTTTTACCCCGTCTCGCTTCCAATTATTTCGCGATGCAATGCAGTTTGCATGTGCTTCTGCTTCTGCTTCTGCTTCTGATGCGATGGCTGGGATGGTCTGATCTCTTGGTCTTGGAAGGATCGGCAGGGGGCTGTAATTTAGGGAAAGAGTTGGGATTCCGAAATTCCGATGTTCTTGGTTTGGACTCTGGAGACTGGGTGGGGAAGATTCATGGATGGGATGGCAGACTGTGCCGTTTGTTGGAATATGTATATCACGTGAGTCGGTGGAGGTCGAAAGAATTTGGCGAAGTAAGATTCTACCTTAAGAAATGACTATGTCGCTCGTCAATCATAAGCTTAAACTTAACTTTAATCCACCATACAGTACTGTACCAGCAAATCGCTCTCAGAGTCAACTTCCCTTACCTCCCCAAATATCACGCCTCCCCCTCCCACGTGAGCCCCACAGAGAATTGAGGGCATGTGGGACACTCCATCCATGTGACGATCTCACACATCCACCCTCTCTGCCACTCTCTGCCTGAAAGGCGAGCATCCAGGCATCCCTCGTACTGTATCGTGGGGCCTCCCGCTCCCTTGGCAGCCAGCCAGCTCGCAAGCCACCAAAAACTCCACTACGGAACAACACCACAACGGGTTTCAGCCTCTTACCTGTCAAACGGTCGGATCGTCTCTTTGACAGGTAGATCTCGACGTGCAACAAAAGAGCTGAGAGACGGGCCAAACCGCCTTGGCTGGTCCGTTCACGATCGAATTAATGCGTGTGCGCTTTTTTCTGACTCGGGGAGGGAGGGAAGGAGGGAAAGAGGGAGGGAGGGCAGTGTGTTGATGCCGTCCGTGTTGGAGGGCTTAACTACGGGCCGGGGTGGGGGGTTCGGGTCGGTTGGGTGGAGGGTGGAAGGTGGAAGGTTGACTGTTTTTCAGCTTGTTGGAATTATTTGGTTATGTTTGAGATTAATAGGAATTGGAAGTGTGCTCCTATGCGTTTATATCCAGTGCTATGGCCTTGGCTCTATGATATGGTCTGTACATGTATATCAGTAGACCAAACAGAATGTCCAACATCATATGATATCTTTCTCCTCAACACTCGAACAAAATACCACCCCCTCAATCCGAATCACTATCATCCGAATCCGGAAATCCATTAAATACCTCCTCCTCATCGCTCTCCTCCAAGGGAATCATCTCCTCCTCTCCCTCAATCTCCTCAATCTTCACTCCAAACGAAGCATTGACATCCCATCTGTCTCCCTTCGCATTCTTACTGACGTATTTGACAAACTTCAATACACCGCTGTCGCGCAGGACAATACTCAGCTTGTTCCATGATGCTGGCATCGTGAAAAGAACATTGTCGTCTTCGGACTCGTCGGACGTTTTGTATACAGCGGCATCTTCGTCATCGTCATCGTCGCCAGCCATGTAGACTTCGTGGCCGCCGACATCGTCTTCTTCTTGCTCTGCCTCCTCGACCTCCTCAGCATCTGATTTTTTGGGTTTGCCGTTGGGTTTTGATTCCCCATTCTGCTTTGGCTTTGATCCGTTGGTCTTGGCTTTAGATTTCTCGTCCTCTTCCTCCGACTCCTCGTCACCTCCATCCTCCCTATCTCCTTCTACCTCATCCGCACCCCAGCCAGGAGTAGGAGTCAGCCCTAAACTGAGTTCCAACCGTGGCTCGCCATCATGACTTGTAGCAAGAGCATAATCAAGGCCGCGTCGGAATCTCCGTGCCAAGATATCGTAGTTCTCGATGCTGCACTTGGTAGCAAGCTCCAACCACAATCTGAACTGACGACTAGGCAGAAAGACCTCCGTCATTTCTTTGATTGGGTCCTCCAAAGAAGCTTTATCAACATTCGAGCTGGTGAAAGGCTGTTGGTACAAGAAGCGATGCTTGTGTGGTGGCCGAGCGACTTTCCATGGCCCCTTTTCTTCGATTTCATTACTGCTTTTTGGTAGAGCAGATGCCTCCTGAGCTTCAACATACTCTCGAACTCTAGCAGAGAATTTGTTTGATAGAAGACCATCGAGTGTGACTGTCGATGCATCCATGAAGCTTTCCGCAATATCGTCTAGGGTGTCGGGTGTGAGATAGGTCGGAGCCATGTACTTCAGCAAGAAATCAAGATCAGCTTCGTCCAGTTCCTTCTCTGCATCTGGCTCCGCGGCGGGTTCGACGGCGATCGGCTGCGACTTCGGGAAATCGTAGCGATCTGGATTACCTTGTAATTGCTTCAAGCTGCTATTCTTGCCCCATTTCTCCTCTTCTCCTTCAATGTATCCCTCCTCCCCAATCTGTGGAATATGGAACCATCCGCTGATAGCCATGCGAATCCTTCCGCCATCCTTCTTCAACTGTTCTTCACTTTCGGCATGGTAGACTTCTTCGACGTCGTGGAAGCTAAGACCTGGTTGGACCGCGAAGAAACTCAGCTGGTTCCAGGCGGGAGGTATGATCTTTGTGGTGTCGGGGGTTGGCGTGATCGTCTTGACTCCGTCTTCTTCGTGTGTGGTCGTAGGAAACAGTCTCAATGCTCCGCCCCATTCCTCTTTCCATGGTATGTCTGGATCTGTCAGGTATAGGATATAACTGATTCTCCGGCTCCCGATCACATCGTCGTGACACAGCAGATGGCATCCAGGTGTGTAGACGTTGATAGCCATATCCGTCTTCCTGCCACTCAATTCTCCTGATCCTGTAATCGTAGAAACGTATTTCCTGAATTTGGAAGAGTACATTGCATCTCTCAGTCTGAGCAGAGAAGGCAGCTTCTCCAAGGCACCATCGTCCAGTCCATCAAGGTTTGCCAAATCTCCGGATTGGTGGATCTTGTAGATATCGGTCTCCTTGGGTGTGAAGTGTACATTCTCCTTGATTTCGTTGCGGACAGAACGCAGTAGCTCGTCGTTGATCAGGGAGCTGATAACACTGTGTTTGTATGGTTCGGACTTGGCATAGCCTTTGGTATATTTTCCTAGGACATCATGGGCGAAGAGACCTTTTCGGAAACACTTGTGAACATCCTCTTCTGCCAGAACTGTTCGAAGGTGTCAGCATGCGCGGGGTATTGTTGGTCTCAGCGGGAGTTGTACTTGTCTTTGCACGCTTCTTAAGAATACTTTTGCCATTCTGGCCATTCGATTGAGTATCTGCCTTGCGCTTCATGATGTTTGTAGGAGAATTGATGCGTTGTTGGAAAAGAATCGCCGAAGATGGGCATATCAGTCCATTTCAACAAATTTTGGCGGAGCGGCATTTATCTGCCCATTCTCACCGACATTTTTAGCGGGCTCTGACCTCACTGGTGGTTGCATGATCGCTGAAGCGCTGGCCGACTCAGCTGAATAGGGGGTATGCAGAGAAACTGCTTCTGATTGAACCTCGAAATGCATCCTTTATGATTCCTTTCGCGCGATATGCGTGTAAGCGCTCGATGCTGCAGAATGATTGTCTATGGACGCCCATGGAGATCTGGGAGGCTTCATGCAGGTCATTTTAAAGCAATTGGATCCAACGCGGTGTTTGTCGCGAAAGAGCCATCTTCACGCGCGCGGAGGAAACGCGGTATCAAACGCGTGAGGAACACCTCTGGCTTCTCGTTTATGCAGTTGTAGGTCTTCTATGCACAACCCATACCTCCTATTTTTAGAATTGGTAGGAGCTTGAGGCAGTATATGATGTTTTATGCATTTTTATCTTGTTGGTTGACGTCCAATTGTTTTCGTCTTCTCCATTGGCCTCGGCTGTTTTATAGCCAGATGAGGAAGGTCAAAGTTGGCTAGGATGTCATCAATTGATCCACCGAAGAATGGGGGGGGGGGGGGGGGGGGGGCTGTCCTTGGATGCATCAGCGTACACGTTGTAGATATCTTCCTCTTGACTTGATAAGTTATAATCATCATTTCAAACCGAGTTAACCATCATGAGTTCTTTCAACATTGCAACTGCTAGGGACAAATTTCCAGCATTGAATCAACCGCAAGTCTTCTTTGATAATGCCGGAGGCAGTCAAATTCTGGGCACAGTGATAGACTCGTAAGTATCTCTCCGTTCAATCTCAAGTGGCTGTCTGAATTCTTCCAAGGATCTCAAATTATCTCTCCAAGACGAACGTTCAATTGGGAGCTTCTTACGCCATTGGCAAGAAGTCCACTGCGCATTACGAAAGTGGGTATGCAGCAGCCGCAAAATACATCAATGCATCAACAGACAACATTGGTAGCTCAACCTCTTCAGCGCCCAGCATGTAAGATATTAACAACAAGCAGTTCTAGGATCATCAACTACATCCCTCTTCCGGACCTTATCTTTCGCGCTCTCGTTCCCAGCCGGCTCAGAAGTGATCATCTCCAAAGTCGACCACGAAGCCAACATCGCCTCCTGGGTGGACATAGCTGCCCGTCAGAATCTAACCATCAAATGGTGGTCTCCAAAAGCAGGCACGAACCCCAAGCTCGAGGCATCTGATCTCAAGAAGCTCCTCTCTGAGAAGACCGTCCTGGTCACGTGTACACATGCTTCCAACATCCTGGGCACGATCCACGATATCACAGCCATTGCGGAAGCCGTTCATACAGTTCCTGGTGCGATGCTATGCGTTGATGCTGTGGCTTATGCTCCGCATAGACAGGTTGATGTGAAAGCATTAGGTGTTGACTTCTACTGCTTCAGCTGGTACAAAGTCCGCTGCATCTTCTCACTTCTACCAGCACATATCGCTAACAAATGCAGGTGTATGGCCCTCACATGTCCATGCTCTACGCATCACCCACTGTCTTGAAATCCGTCAAGTCTCTAGGCCACCACTTCAACCCCTCTTCCACCCTAGAAAACAAACTCGGCCTCGCAGGATCCTGCTACGAACTCACCGCATCCATCCCAGCAGTCCTAGCTTACTTCGGAGACAACCCCGCAGAATCCTGGGCAGCGATTGAGAAGCACGAGGAGAAGCTTCAGAGTACGCTTTTGGGGTATCTGAATGCGAGATCAGATGTCACGATCTATGGTGAGACGAGTTCGGATACCAAGAAGAGGGTTAGCACGGTTGGCTTTGTTGTTAAAGGGAGGAAGAGTAAGGATGTGGTGGAGGCTGTGGATGAGCTTTCAAATGGGGAGATGGGTATTAGATGGGGGACTTTCTATAGTGTGAGATTGGCGGACGAGATTCTTGGACTGGAGTATGATGGAGTTGTGAGGGTGTCGATGGTACATTATAATACTTGTAAGTCCTTATTCGTTGTGAGTAGATTTGATGCTAATAGATTATAGTGGATGAGGTGAAGCAGCTAATCGACATGTTTGACCAGGTTTTGGGGAAAGCCTAGGTAATTTTATGTAGTATAGTCGGCGTGAATCTACCTCCTGTTACACATTCTCATCAAATGAAACAATGTTCGAAGATCGCATTTCACTTTGGTTCATCCCTGCAGCTTCGCGAAAGTCTTTTGCAATGCTCCATACTGGCTTACTTCTCTTTTCGTCTGGTATTGTACACTCAGCGACGAAGAGTGCTGCTTAAAAAGATTGGCCTTGAGACAAGACTGCATGTACTAGGATCTTTATGGAAGCACATGATTAGGAAAGGATGCCGATGGTGCTTTGGATAGTAGTGGTTCCTCCGATATGGTAAGAAGATACATTTTGAACGTGCTTTAGTAATATGTACCAATTCTCGCTATGTGTATCCTCTCCTTCCCGAAAAATGAGAACTTGAAGTGATGTGCCAATGAGGTCAAAGTATACTCAACATCTTGGGACTGCGGTAGGACAAAATTGGACATCCCTTCCATCGTTGGGTCGCTGTCGGCAGCTCGGTTGTTTGTTTAGACCGTTTGTTACGCGAGGCATGGTGGAGCATTCTCAATAGGCATTGTGGGCATAGGCTATTCTTTTCCTACATCTTCAAAAGAAAAGAAAAAAAAAAAAAAAGCTCCGCAATTCACACCCCCAATTTCTGACATCTCTTACGGTACTCCATTGGGTGTTGTATTAACGGCATGCGTAATGAAGCTATACCCGACCCTCTTTTCTCCACGATAGCCTTTCGCTAAATAAATGATAAGCCCAAAAAGTAGCAGTACATGTGATATTTTAGCTGAAATGGGTATTTGCGAGACTGGCTTTCCGAAATTATTTTGGTGCATTATTTCGTCTGGCTAGTTGTATGCTCAACTACCATTGCGAATCCCAAATCGAAAAATCTGCTGTTCGTCATCTTGATTCAGGCTTCCAAGTCTCTTCCCCGCACCAATAACCGGGTTACGGGTTCCATTTGCCTATCAGCAATTTCAACCTCCATGACTCCTCACCGAAGCATGCGGCGTATCTCACGTACGGACCATCTCTATAGCGGGGTATCTTCTTCTCGGGCTTATAAATCTGACAAATTTCTATTTATCCAGTACGCGAGTGAGGGGAGCCACAAAAACAAAAGGGGGACGTAAACACCCCGCAAAGAAGATATAAAGTGTACGATGCCCCGCCAAATAATACTTGAAAGGCAAAGGACACCTTAAATCTTTGCCTTGTAGTTTGTTTTCGGAGCTTTAGTAGCGTTCCTCATTCCATAATGGCATCTCAAGTAACTCACGGCACAGTCACCACCGAAGACTGCACCCTCAAATACTGGTCCCAAGGCTCCGGCCCCCTCATAACCTTCATCCCCGGCGGCAACGGCCACGGCCGACAATTCGACCCAATAATGACCCTCCTCTCCCCAAACTACACCTGCGTGACCTTCGACCGCCGTCAAATGTCCTCCAGCCAAGTCCCCATCAACAAAATCTTCAACCCCTACCAACAAGCGCGCGACGTCCTCGCCGTAATCAAAGCCATGGGATTCGAGAAATCTATTGTGTTTGGAAGTAGTTCAGGTGGTGTGATCGGGTTCCAGCTCGCAGCTGATTATCCTGAGGTTGTGGATCATTTGATCTGTCATGAGGCACCGACTGTGCATTTGTTGCCGGATAAGAAAGAGTTGACGGAGGAGCTTTTCGAGACGTATAATATCTTCAAAATCCAAGGACAGGATGCGGTGAATGCACACTGGGGGAAACACTTCACTGTTATGGCTGATCCGTCACTGCCGCAGTTCCCGCCGCCGGAGCCTACAAACCCAGTGAATTTCTTTGAGAATGAATTCTTGGTTTGTACGTTTTGGACTACAGATTTTGAGAAGATCAAGAAGGATGGGACGAGTGTGGGTCTTATGACGGGAAGCAGGAGTGGTGATCAGTTCTTCGCGAGGACAACATACGAGCAGGAGAGGGTTTTGGGGTGCTTGAGATGGACAGTGCCGGGACATCATCAGGGGTTTCAGGCAGAGAGTGAGATCTTTGCACCGAAATTGGTAGGGATGTTAGAGGAGCTGGAGAATAAGAGGAAGGAGAGACAGGCTAGTTGATATTGGAGAATTAATTGGCGGCTAGATGATTCGTAATGTGCAGTAGACAATTATGATTCACATTATTGCTTTCCAGCCTTGTCCGAGTATTCAAACCAGGAAACCAATTCAGAATCTTGTTGCCTCGTCTTAGATATCCACCTCTTTTCCTGATCCCAACCTAATGTTGACATTCGCTTAAACCTTTGTTCCACATTCCCCACCACATCACAAAATCCTCACCCTAACACCTCCCTCCACCTTCGGCCTACTCAAAAAATACTCTTTATCCGGAACCACATTCTCTCTCCCCGTCTCCCACAACTCCATATCGCATTTCCTAATAACATTCGCAAGCGTGATGTACATCTCCGCCCACGCTAGATTCATTCCAGGACAACTCCTGCTGCCTTTGCCGAAAGTTGCCAGATAGTTCGATAACTTCTCAGAGCCTTTCATTCCTCCTTTGGTCGAGGAAGTTGAGGGCATTGGTAGACTAGGTGCGCGTGGTGCCTCGCCAGTTACAGGATCTGGGAGCCAGCGGGATGGGAGAAAAGCTTGTGGATTGGGGAACAGCACGGGGTTTTGGTTCATGGTGTAGGTTGATGTTGACATTACTGTGCCTGGTGGGAGGGGGTAAGTGGTGTTTGTGTGGGGGTTAGTATAGGTGAGTGTTTGGTTTGGGGCGATGCGTGGGAGACGGGCGATAGGGCCGTATGAGAGGCGGAGGGCTGGATGAGTATTGTTTAGCTTAGAATCTCGAAGTATTATTTGATGTGGGGGTGTGAGTTTGTCGAAGGGAAATGGTGAAGAGAGGAAAAGAAGAAGGGGTAGGATTAGTCAAGCGAGAGCCACCCCGCCACAAGTAAACAAAGGCGGCAGAGGCCATTTCTCGGACAAGAAAAATATTCGCACCAACTTACCTTCAAATATAACAGCAGTCAAGTACGCACACCCCTCCAACCTCAACAAATTCGGCGTCTCACCCTCCGCAAGCTCACTCCAAACACCATCCATCTCCTCCTTCAAACGCCGCAACACCTCACCATCCTCCAAGATATAAAACATCGTAACTGCCAATGCATTTCCCGTAGTCTCGAGACCTGCGCTAACGACGACTTGCGACTCGTCAAAAAGTCGTTCTTTGGATTTCTCTTTGGGTGGAACCTTCTTGGTGGATAAGATATCGGCGAAGATGGTGCTGTGCGAGACGTCTTGGTGGGATTGCGACGTCCCGGAAATGGTTCCGATGATTTGGGAGAGTATATTCTGGGTGTTGACTGGTCAGCAAAAATTGCATAGATCGAAATATCCCCATGAACAGACCACAGAACTCTGCCGAGAAAAGGTACGGGAACTGGTTGGCAGAAGATAGGAAAGTAGAGATAAGGGCAAACATACATCCATGTAAGAGAAAATAACATCATTAATCGGATCCAACAACAACACAAACCACCTCGGCAGAATGGCCATCTGCAAGTGCAGCAAAAAGGGGAAATTGATCACGACGTGGATCTGGCCGAAGAACACAACCAAGATCTTAATCAGATCGCTCTTAAAGTCCTTCTTGGCGCATAGATCGTAGTGTTCTGCGAAGGAATACTCCATGATGGTATCAGCCGTAAGACAGGAAAATGCGTCCGTTAGGTTGACGATCTTATCAGGATTTCTGTCTCCTTCGCTGCTCGCAGTGGAGGCAGGTTCAGACTCGATTCGAAACTCGGAGTTGAACCTTTCACATAGCAGATCAACCCTCTCCTGGATCCAAGGCGCGAAAGTGCGTATCTTCGCCATGGAGAAGAACTGGTTGACCATGCCACGCCGGAGACGATGAAGATCATGATCAAGTGTGGAGAACGAGGATGTGCGTCCCCAGAAGGCATTGCGGTAGAGCCTTGCTGCTTTGTTCCTTTTATCTGTAAGGGAGTAGATGGTGCTGTAGAAGGTGGGATCAGAGATGTGGACTTCGTTTGGTCCGAGGCGGACTATTGGCCCTGGAGAGTGAATGTCAGATGAATCATTATGAGTAAGGAGGCGGGTGTGGTCTTACCATATTCCTCGTGCAACTCTTGAATTTTCAAGAAGAATTTGCCGCCCTTCACAACGTTGTAGTAGAACTCATACAATGAAGTAGCGGCTGCGAGTTTCGGTCCTGGAACACTCGAGAGAGGGGAGAAGTAAAGACGGTTGATGACTAGGACGATGGTATAGACCAGGGTGAGAATGGCAAGGATTTGAAGAGCCACCAGAGGAGGTGGAAATCGTTCGTAGATCTCTGGGAGCATTCTGAGGGTGAGGAAGGGATCTAGTCGAGCAGGAGGGTCGAGATAGAAATGATCAGAAAGTGCCTGTGATTGTCACTCGAGAGTAGCGGAAGTTGAACTCGACTCGAATTTCTTTAGACAAACAGAGTATCAAAAGCAACACAGGAAGAGAAGTCATCAAAGCCAAAAGCCAAATCCTTTATATACGTCCAGAAATCCTCCAAAACGTAAGAACTAAAGTAAGAAAGCAAGTTACAGGACCACTCTCCGCCCCCAAATGTACAGACAGACCCATTGCCTAGCTAACTGCATGGCATTCTCGACGTCTACACATAGCTGAACCAATGAAACACTTCAGCGTATTCAATCGTATCTTCAAAATCTAGATACATGTCATATATGCTTATGCCAAGCATACTATTAAACTTACGCCGAGCCCCCTCAATTCACTTAGTCGCAGATCTGTCAGAGTGGTGTTGAAGAATTTGATTGGCTGTCATCACGACGGAGATACATCGGTTAAGTGGTTGTTTACCCCCCTGGAATTCCAGCAACTTGGAATTCAAGTTCAGTCCTTGAAAGGGTTATTTTTGCACAGCCTTTCTCCTCCCATTTTTGCTTTTCTTGCAAGTGTAATCGTTTGACAATCAAAGTAGGTAACGAGGGACAAAATTATACTGTTGCTACATCCGTGACAACACGAAGTTTTTACAGATGCCTCTGCGCTCTAGCTACACAATCTCCCACACTCTCACACCCACACCAACACTAAACCCCAAACCATCCCACCCACAAAAATATGACAGACAGACATTTAACCTACCACAAAATAACCCTAAAGCAGCTGAGTTCACCAGCTAAACTACATTATTTCAATTGCGATCTATTCAAATCCAAAATACTGTACTAAAAGAAATAAACAAGAGCCAAGAACATGCGTACAGTAAGATAAATAATTAAAAAAAAAAAGTCTTGGTTCTATGGATATCTTATGTTACATGCATATGTACAGTAGTACCTCGCTCGCAGAAGGTGATTCTCCAGTCATTATGTTTTCTGGGATGCTAAGGGGGTGATGGGGTGGATATCGTAATTTAGGTAAGTAAGGAATATCTTCTAGCAATTGAGTGATGGTGAGAAATCTTCACCAAGGCAAGCAAGCAGGCAGGCACGCTGTCAATAGGGATGAAGTTACAATATATATGTATATATCCGAACTCCTAGTATGAGTACGCATAAGTTACGGAACAAATCACATCACATCACATCACATCACGACAATAGACAAGTATAGGACAAGCACGAAGTCTTTCATTCAAGTGAGTTGTGATGTGCTTTGCCATTCATTTGCATTCCAATCATAACCCAACCCAAGCCAAGCCAACCATCTGAGAATACGGCGAATACACACCCATGGGGCAGAAATCAAAGGCCAATCAAAAAAAAAAAAAAAATGCGAGAGTGCGAGATCTATCTCCCCTCCATTCATTCCTATCAACCATATCAATCCATTGATTGCGTTTGATTTCCTTCCCTTCCTTTCCATCCTTTCATATGCCACTCAAATGAAGACGAGACGAGACGAGACGAGACGAATGATTCCCAAATCCCAATTCCCCCCCCAAAAAACCCCAAGCGTACATAAAAGGACCTCTCGTCCCATCCCCGGAATCAAAGAAAGCCAGGCTGCTGATGTTGATGATGACGACAACAACAAGCACTGGCCATCACCCGTCGAGATTCACCTCATCCAATCAATCAATCAATCAATCAATCCACTCTCTATCATAAATTCGTGTTCTGTGCTCCTCTCGCTCTCAATCAAAAGCCGCCCAATTATGCATCATCTGCTTCCGCTCAAGAAGAAATGGAAAGAAAAGCAGAGGAGTGAAATGAGTAAAAACGCCGTGCTAATCTCACAAATTCTGTAATTTCGTTCTTCCCGCTCATTTGTCGGTTTTTGTATATGTGTATGAGGTTAAATCGTGCCTGATGGCTGACAGCTTTTACCAGTCCAGCTAGCACCCGATTCTGTGCCACCAGCTTTCATTCCCCTCGTCGTCTGGTGTTGGGCCGATTACTGTGATCGGTATCCGTTGGTGAATTGGTCGTCCATTGACCAGTCCATTCCTTGGTGCACCTGACCAGTGACAGCGGCTGTGCTTGCTGCGTAGAAATCCAGTAATTGCTGAGCTGATGCACCAGCGAAATTATTCATGGGGCTGGGGATCTCGCCGAAGAGTGCGCTGGGTGCAGAGCTGGCGATCGTGCCACCGGTTGAACTGGGGAAAAGCTGGAAGTCATTGCCGAGGTTACAGTTGCTGGGAACAAAATCCTCAAAGCCTTCATCAACTTCACGTAAAGAAGTGGGTGTGTAGAGCATCGTATTTCCGTGGCCAACGGGAGAGATGTGCGGCATAGGGTTGTTGTAGGTCATTCCCGAAGTCTCATATTGACCCATGGAGAAGATATCATGAGAGGGAGTGGGAGGAAGTTGGACGCGGGCAGAGTACAAGTCTTCGTTCTCGAAGAGACTGAAGTCTGCGTTTCCGGTGTTTTGGAAGGCATCAAAGTTGGTGCTGAACTGGTCATCGAGACCGTTGGATCCCATGAAAGGAGATTGGCCATTGGATGAGTTTGAATTCATGGGCTCAGAAATGGGAGAATAGTCCAAAGTCAGCTGATGACCTGGAGCAAACATCTCCTCGTCAGATGGGTAGACTGGGAAATCAAGCCCCGTCTGAGGTTCCCAAACCGATCCATCATAACCAGTCATGATATCATCTTCCTCGGGAGTGGCTACGGTGTTTCCATCACTGCTTGGGGTATGCATATTGGTGATGGTGGGCGTTGGCAAGCCGGTGTTTGGGTTGGTGGTGGTAGTGGCGGTTGCCTTGTCACGGTTCTTACCGTTGTTCTTGGATCGAACATATGTCCAGCCGTGAGCCTTCTCCATGTGCTGTTTGCAATTGGATTCACGCTTGGATCGGTATGGGCAGGGCTTGAAGTGACACTCGTAAAGAGGGGGAGCGGAAGAGTGCTTGTCGTTATGATGTCTGTCCATCTCCTTCTCGGTGGGCCAGCCATACTCGTGATACTTGCACGACTCCTCTGGGCACTTCCATGGGCGAGAGTGGGTCTTCTCGTGCTTGGTCAGATCACAAGGTCGCTTGAACTCCTTGTCACATCCAGGCTCACGGCAGCGTTTTGGTGCGAGCTCTGCCGCCGAGGCAGATCTCTTGCGGCGGGCCATGGAGCGCAAGATCGACTCATCTTCTTCGGCCTCCTCGCTCAGAGACCGCTTGAATCGCATGGCGTCTTTGCTATCCTCTTCGATATCCACTGGAAGTCCAGTTGCGACAGAGATGGCTTTGCCGTTCTTCTTAACTCGTACGAGTTCTGCGGGACGTCCGTTCTTGGTAAGACCACCGTGAAGTCTGACTTCATCGGTTCTGTGTCGTGAAAAGTTAGCAAAGGTCGTTCTGAATTTGTAGCGAGGTTGAAGGGTTGGTGAGTCACTCTCGCCAGATTCACTGCGGAATGGAGGCAAGGCTGGGAGGTGATGGTTGCCGGATTCACCATAGAAATGGTATAAGGCTGGGAGAAAAAGGTGAACATACGATTCTGGATCCATCTCGCCGATCTTCTCTCCTTTCTCTTCCTTCTCTTTGGCGGCCTGGACCTGCTGGGCGTACTGCTTGATCTGATCGACGAGATCGACGAAGTATCCGTTAGTATATGGGCGGTCGTGTGGACGAATTTGTTCGCGGTCGCTGAGAAATTCGACAGTCGCTTGGATGCACCGGATTGACGTGAGGCAGAAATCGAGATACAAGGCGGCAGTCTTGGCTCTCTCCTTCAAACGCGAAAACCAGTGAGCAACTCCCCCTTCAACATCATCTTGGGTTTCACTTACGGGTGCCATAAATATCAGAGTCTTCTCGAGATCACGAAGACATACTATCTCCTTACCGTGGATCCTTCTGGGACAGTCCTTGACAATTGGGTGGAAGTCTTTCAAGGACGATTTGGCGAGCAGCGGCTTCAGAATATGCTCGTGGATTCGATTGCTTGCACGAGCGCTGAGTCTGGGAAGACTCTCAATTGTTGAAGAATGAGCAGCAGCCGACCTAGTTATAGCTGAAGCTGTGACGATTGACTTAGCGCAATGGTCATCAGAGACGCTGGTTGGCTGAGTGTCTGCAGCTTTCTTTCCAGACGTGGAACCGATTGAGGATCCGAGCCCGCTATCGGAATATCTGGAAGGGCGGCGGTTCTGGCGGGGTCGCAGGGAGCGTCTGCTTGCAGCAGGCTCCTGGTCCATAACACCTGCCATTGTTGGACCGTATGATTTGGCCGTCGGTGAGCCGACGGTGTGATCGAGGAACCCTTGGGGGACGGGGTTGGCGTCGTCCGGGAAGGATTGTCTTGTCGTAGAGGAGCAATCGTCGATTGCTGAAAGACTGCGATCAATGTCTCCAAGAGTTATGGCGACACGACGTTTGTGGGCGTCGACAACATCCTCCAGTGTTGTTTGAGAGCGACGAGGTAGTGAGGGGACCTTGAAGTGATGAGGGATCTCACGCTCAGGGCTGTTGGGTGAATGAAAGGTAGCTCCTTTGCGAAGGGACATGTTGGTATTAACGGTGGGACGGCCTGACACATTCGACGAAGAAGGAGTCAGAGCAGACGATGTGGTCTTTGTAGTTCGGCGGGGATGGTTGAACGACATGATGAGTGGCCAGGGGGCAGCGAAAGGCAAGAAACAGATTAAGTCTGGTCTGTTGGTTTCCTGCGCGGGATGGACTGGACTGGGATCTGATTAGCCTTGGTTGTGATCCTGAATTCATGCAGCCATCGATCGAGTGCAAGCCTTGTGAGTCACAGCCCAATTGAGTCAAGAACCGGAAAGTCCAATTCGTCCCAATGCGGACTGGCCGACTAAGAAGACTGCAATTGCCGATGAAGCTATTCAAATCGACGTGTATATATCGGACTGATTTGCCAATGGGCCTCCCCGTTCTCGCGTTGATTGACCGACAAGTGACGACTGTGGGGAGAGGAGACACACGAAGAAAAGGGGGGCATACAGTTCAGGACTGGAACCACGACCTCACTCAGTCACGGCGAGTCTCGAAGCACTCGTCCAGCTCCGAGGGGCGAATGTTTGCTGGAGATGTGGAAACACACTTTCACTTTGCAGTGGGTTTGCAGTCGTCGTCGAGTACGGTCAGGATGGAGGCTGAGAAGAAGACGAGGACGACAGAGCAGGACGGCGGGGGAATAGCGGAAGGTAAGGCTTGCTGCTGCCTGGAGGGCGAGACGAGGCCAGGAGTATATAGAACACGAGAGATTCCGGCGGTCTCTGAAGCTGGCGGCGGGAGTCCTGGACAGCGAGAAGGCCGGGCAGATAGACTACGCGTGAGGATGCGTGGCCACAGAACGGGTGCTGTTGGTGATGGAAGGTCGAGGAAGTCGAGGTTTGGGAGGGAGAAGTCAAGAAAGGCGGACGGGCTGGAGTGAGGTGAGGTTGTCCTGAGGTTCTCTGGCGTGGAGTGCCAGAGTGCCTAAGCAGAACGCCTTGCGAGTCTGTGCATGACTGCTGCCTGGAGTTCATGACAGGGGAGTCAGCAATAAGTGGGGACTCGGGGAAGAAGCGCCAAAACTTTGACGAGAGTGGCCCTCGCCGCCCTGAGCATCGAGTGATTATGGATCCTCGTTTGGCGCAGAGGCGAATGGCATTGCAAGAATCGGCCGGGGATAACAGCACGGCTAAACCTTGAAGAGCTAAGCGAGAGACAAGCCCTCTAGGAGGGGGGGCGAAGCACAGCGTTGGATGGATATTTGTTTGCTCTCTCTCGTCTTCGTATCGTGATGTGATGTGATGCGATGCGATGTGATATGAACCTTCGATGTGAATTGGATGATCTTTGGAAAGCAAGCTGCATGGAGACATCGATTGAAGTTCAGACCCCTTCAATCAATGAGAACATTGAAAAACATCAACGTACTCTCCACTCAATTGACTCTATCTCGAGATTGCACGGCTCCTCCCTCGCGCCAATTCCCTCAGGTTAGGTTCACGTGGCTTACCAATCTGCTCAGCGCTCAGACCGAAATAGTTTGGGAGCCGTACGTCAAAATTCCGCACCACACCCGATGTGGAGAGGCCCCTTGTCAACTGAGGCAGATCATTCGATAAGCAACCGAGCACCGATATCAAGGTAAGACGGTCTGCGGTTGTGCCGACTCCATCCTGAACACCGAGCAGGAGAGACGTCTTCAAGCGGCGAGAGATTTTGGGAATGGAAGGGAAAGGAACGGAAACATCATGAGCCTCATCTGTGGCAGCGAGAGATGGTGCATTTGCGGTCGCTCAGCCACCGCCGCGCCCTGTTCTGTTGCTCTCATTGCGTGAAATAGCTCAGTCAATCAACCGCACCTCAAAATTACTCGTAGATTGGCCTATCAATCCCTCTCATCATACATTTCGAGTATCGGTGAAGACTTCACCGTGTACAGGACGTATCCTAGTTCGGTGGGTGCGTGAACCGCAAACTTTCTGTCTGCTTGCTTGCTTGCACTCTTGCGCTCGAAACCCACAAATTGCCATTCCTCGGACAGCAAACCGGTTGCTTGCATTCCTTTGCTGGTCGTCTGGTAGGTACGGTTACCGGATGTACATCCAACGATTCCTGTCCTCTTCTTCCCGACCAACCAGATCACAAGTCACTTCTCAGGCCGACCTCCCTCCACACCGAGTATCCAAATAGGAAACGGGAGGCCCTCCCTCGTAAGCACAACCAACTCTTTTGCTTGGCGACTGACGAGTCCTGCAACATTTCTCGTCACGCTTCCCGCTCTCCACCTATCAGGATGAATGTAGTCGCATCTCTTCCAAATGCGGAACCGATATCTTCCTTTACCTGTGTGTCCTGATCTTTGCAACTTGCAAAGTTGTCTGCAATGCTGGCTATCTCGCTTACATAAGTAAGCGAGTGGATATTGAGACCTCGAATTGCAAAGTCTTGGCGGTCAGTTAAGCTTGAAGCTTCTTTGGCACAGGAGTCGTCAGCTATCCTGGGCACCAACCATCGTCAATCGTCAACCCTCACCATTGCGTCAACTTTTTCCGTATCCAGCCCAGCCCTACGATTGCAAATGCAAGATTTCCATACTTTGACTTTGCAATCGATAAACTCGCGGCCTCGTCTTCCTCTCGTGACTCCTCCGCTGTCCTCTTTCCTCCAATCGGCATCCACGCAGTCACCTTCTCCAAGCAGATGACTCGACGCTTGCACTCACTGCTGTCTCAAAGCGGAAATGTAAACTTCCAAGCTCTACTCGTATCCAGTCGAACGGGTTGTTTGCCGGGGAAAATAGACTTTCAACCCACGCCGCAGGGCTGCAGGAGTACTATTTTTCAAGTCGTCATAGTCGTTGATCGTATCACATCAAACATGCCCTTTGCCTTTTTCCTTTCGCCTTTTGCCCTTCGCCAACAGAGATCTGTCCTGTAATCCTTTCCCTCCATGCAAGCAAGCGAGTACACCAGTACAGTGCAACCTCCTGCATGGCGCAGACTTTGCATTCAGACCAACGCAGACCGTCAGGGCTCCGGATTGAGAAATCCCTCATTACTTGCCAGCCCTACGACATTTCTTTCCAACGAGTGGTCCAGCTCTCTCCTAACCCCCTACATCGTTGGACATGATTTCGCCTCTCGGTTCCCTCGACCTGCAGGTGCTAGTATCTCCACAATGCAACTTCCGTACTAAGGACAGGACTATTTCCCACGCCAAGCAAGGCCATGCTGGCTCTTTGCAACATACTAGGTCCTCTCCACGGTCGATTCGATTATCTATGTGATCTCATTCAATCTCGGTGGATCTGAAAAGGCAGTGGGTCTCCTACCGGTAGTCCTCCAGGAATTGTGGAGTTGCTTCGTGCAAGGCTGTGCAGCTGTGCAGTGCACTCTTGCAGCTTCGTATTTCCAGCCAATCGAGTTGGACCAATCACCAGAAGGCGTTTAAACACTGGGCATTGATGCTTTTGAGATGGGTCGGTCTCTGACCGATTACCGCAGATGTATGAAATGGCTGTTTGAGATAAGGTAAGGTACCTACAGTAGGTAGGTAAGGTATGTGAGGAAAACTCGGTCGTGGTTACCGACTTCCTCTTTGGGATATTCAACGAGAGGTGTTCATGGAAGGTGCAATTGTACTCTTAGCACACTTCTCATCAATATTTCAAGTTCTTGTTCATTGTTCAATTGACATTTCTGAGAACCAGATTCACATTTTCGAAGAGCCGTGAAAGAGCCTTGTGAAAATGAGCCTTCACGACGAGAGGCGTCGAAGGTCACGTTTTATATCAAGTCACATGATACTGTACCTCTTCTCTCCCTCATCCAGCCTTGCCCACAATTCGCTACTTTTTGTGCTTCAATGAGATACAAACGGTCTTATGTATGTTATGGTCTGTATGCATTGTTTGCAAAGATCAAGTAGGAGGTCTTGCTCCAGAAACATTCAAGTGATTCGCGTATCTATGAAGCTATCAACGTCGATGGTTCAAGCCACCTACTCTTCTCATTCGCTCTTTCCCTCATAGTTCTATCGACAGACGTAAGGCAGAATCACGGGCTGATCGGAACATGCCATGAATCTCAAGCCCTTTCCATCCTCTCCTTTATTTTGTCTCTCTTTTAAAACTTTTACTCCAGCGACTCCTGCGATCAACGGGGATTTTTACAAACACCATTGTCGCGCCAAAATCCTTGAGATTTGGAAGCCTTGTAAGACTTCTATATCAGCGAGATGTCCGCAGCTCTTAACAACGGCGCCTCAGTCGTGGCCTTCATCGGGCTGTCGATAAACACCCTCCGCGGCCTGCATTACCTCTACGAAATGATTGAGAGTGTCAAAGGCGCAGCTCAAGATCTCCAATGTATCTACTTCCAGCTTAGATTTTTCCAACTGTCATTTTCAACCTTCAAGCAGTCTCTGGAGGATGCGGTGAAGCTAGGTGTTGTGACACCGCTTGACACACAGACGAGGCTGGCGATTGACGACGCCGAAAATACCATAGTTTCATTCCAGGAGCTTGTTCGACAATATGGCGAGGGTAGAGCAACTACTTTAAGTACGCGTTTGAGAGTTGCTATGAAGAAGAGTCGACTCAGCAGTCTTTCTCGTCGCTTGGAGAAGATCTCGGAGCAGATCCATGCGACGCATTGCGGTATCACGATGTAAGTACTTCAAGCAATCAGGCAGCTTCTGATCATTTGACTTAATCCACCAGGCTTGCGCAGAATAATCACCACCAAATATGTGCAGCTAATTCCTCGATATCGACAAGCAGTTGTTGCTGCTGGTCGATAATGGCGCAAATCATACACCGCAAGCTACGTTGCAAAGACTAGAAGTGATCAACCGAGCTGTGACAGACTCTGCAGAATCGATCATTAAGTTGATTGGCGAAATGGTTCAATTGAATGGGAGACAATGCACGGCAAATCGGCCATGTCGGACATCCAAGACGATACCCAACAATCCCCCTGGTGTCGCCAGCAGCCTGAAGAGAAGCAGACAGCAAACCATGGAGGACGATTTGGTTGCCCAGCTAAGTGCTTATCTGACTCTGGCTATACGAGACGAAGCCAGAGATATTTTGCTACGCGAGCCTCGTCTGGCAGGTCGAAACTTGGGCTCGCCTGAGCTTGATGATATTTTGCGGCAAATTCTTGACAAACGTTACCGAGAATCGCCATCGGATGGCTCGAGTCAGGCCCAGAACTGGAGAAAGTTGGTCCGACTTTTCGAACTTGTATCGATCATGGCACCGCGAGACCAAAGAATCCAAACTTCAACGATAACAAAAATTCTTGCTTCAATATCCAAACCAGAAATTTCCCGTGGTGGACAGCTTCTTCTCCAGCTCATTCCACATCCATATTTGTGCTTGCTGAAACCCTGTCTTTTAGCGATCGTCAAGTTTATATGCTTCTTGGAACCATTCATTCATATGTTTGATCAATATTCTACAACAGGACGATTACTTTTGGTACCTCCGGCCTATGATCCAATATCTTACCTCTTTCCAAACCAGCCTAAAGAACTTTTCTGGTCTGAAGACGTCCCTTATCTGATTCAAGAAGGAGGGATCACTAAAATCGACATCGGTGTCGAAGGTCATGAAGTCTTCCAGACTACTGATTTGGAAAGATTTGACTGGACTGATGTCGACCCCTTCAGCCTCTCTCTGGATACCGATGAGTGCACCAACGTAACAATCATGTCGTTCTCGCGATACGAAATCGCTTCGGCCCATCTAGTGGAAGCACCCTTACCCAAAGGCGATTGTGTCTTCATTCCCAGTCTCTCTTTCGCCGAAATATCCATTGCCAGGATGATTTTCTCTGGAGATATTGATAATCATGACGCCATCGAGCTCATAGATGACTGGATGCCCACTAACGAGAATTTGGTGTCACTATTCTTATCATCCATGTCTCTGCTTACCATCGCAATGTCTTGGATCTCTTCATACCACATCCGGAAGTTCTTGGCACCACTTGGTAATCTTGTTACTGCTGCTAACTTTGTACGGATCACATCACAATTCGACTCGCTAACAATGTGGTGTTTGCGGCATCCATCATTGTTGCTCAACTTGAATCAACTGATTGAACTTCGACGTCGCACGTTTTATATGAATGCTCTATTCTCATTGAAGGCTGATCAGGCTGCGTCTTACGAATCATTTCTTGAATACTTTGATCTCAATTTTCCAACATATACGGGTACCATGGATGCTGCAGTTAACATTTGAGATACTGTGGTACGAGTAATATCGGTTACCAAGTTCTGGAACAGAAGATTATTGTACTTCGATCTCAGCTAATCATCATCGTTTCACTCCCTGCTCAAGTCATTTTGTATTTAGAGAGTGGAAATGTCATATCTCTTCAAATCGTTCTCGACAGGTTGTTTTTGAGTTTCCCTCATGAGAAAGGCTGCAAGGACAGGACGTGTACGGCTGTTCATAGCTGTTCGAGATAAAACTTCATTCAAGCGGATACTTGTAGCCTGACAAATGAGTCGAAACACACACACACACACACATCAATCAAGTAACTCAATCGCATTCATCTAAGATACGAAGGTGGTGAATAGTGCACAAGGGGCAAGTGACAAAGGTAACCATCTCCTTCCGCCGCATTCCACTCCTCTATCACCAGGATTCCTTACCCGAGGTTTTGGTGGATTCAATGCACAAGCCCCAACTTATCATTGGCAATCACACGTGTTCCTATCCCTCCACTGTTCTTTCAATTACTAAGAATTTCAGTACTGCACACGACCGTCCATGTTGACATCTCGCCTCGCTTAATTTGGACCCGAAAATACCCCGTACCTAGGTATACTTACTAGTTGAAGCCTTTCTTGAACAGTCCCACGTGCTTTTGTGATACTTCGTTCTACTTATAATGCCATGGTAGTGCACGTATAATCATCCTGGCTGTATTAAAATCCTGATCAATTCATACCCCCCCCTCCCCTCTCCTCTCCTCTCCTCTCCTCTCCTCTCCTACTCTCCTCTCCTCTTCTCTTCTCTCCTCTCCTCTCCTCTTCTCAACCTGCCACGCCTTCTTCACCACCACCCACCAATCCTACACCCTCCCCAGTACGCAATCCCAATCCCAATCCCAATCCCATCTTTCCCTGCCACAGCCCACAGCATATACCAATACTAAAACTCGTATTCAAACCCTTCTGACCCCCGTGGACGTACTGGGAATTTCCCAAAATCTACATCAATAGCTTTCTCTGCCATTCACCGCATTCACCGCGGAGTCTTGGACATGGCTACGAGCTTGCTGGCCGTGGGTACTCACATCTCCTTCTTGGCTGAGAGCTTGCTGCTTGTATTGTATTGCACAATTTGTGTCAGTATTTCCGCTCACAATCCTTTCGCACTTCTCAGGAGCACCGTTTTTGACACGTACTGTTGGCTCTGAGGATTATCGATGGGTGGATCGAGTTGACAGATCGCTTGCTGCTGTGGCAGATAATGAAACATATAGTATTGTGGTGTGGTGTGGTGGTGGGAGGTTTTTGGTGCTGTTGGAGAGTGGGGGATGGTGTGTGGATCTGGGAGTTGATATGAGTTCGTGGTATGTAGTATGTACACAACTCGGTTTCGGGGGTGTCGGGGGAGATTTTGAAATGCGGTGGGATCTTGGTGCAAATTTCGCATTTGGGAGTGGAATCTTTAGACATGTGAAGTAATATGGGAGAGAATATCCATTCGGGTCAAAGATGAGGTCACAGATGTGAGGGTCTAAGGTACCTGTTGTTATGGAAGCAACAACAAGGGATTTGATGAGGCTCCTGCCTTCTCAAGGTGCTTGTCAACGTTGCAGTCTGGGTGCCACTTGTCGATGTACAAATTAGTATCTATCGATCGAAATGGGTACCATTTTTGTATCAGATTCAACCCGTTAGATTTTACAATTGAAGAAGTCTTGTCTCCTTAGGCTACACGTGGCTAAAGTAATATATTTCCACGCCCAAGAGAAGAGAACAGGAAGTCTAACTCCTCAAAACGCCACGACATCAGCTAAAACCGCAGTCTCTCAGTACATAAACGGCCTCCTCTTAAACTCCTCATCCTCCTCCGGCTTCCCAGGCGTTGGCACACTCATAAACCTCGGCTCAAGATACCACGCCGGATCCCCACCACCAGGCATATGCGTAACGCTCCATCCATTGCCCAGCCACCGCAACTTATTCTCATCCCGACTCTCAAACTCAAAGTCCTCCCACCTCGGACTCCTCAGCGTCTCCAAGCAATGCAACGTACTGCCCGGCCACAATCCCGTGATCCTGTTCCCCTTCCCGCCTTCGCTTCGGTACCAAGAGTTGCACTCATCCATGTAGACCGTACCCTTGAAATATTCTTGCGTGTACTCGCTGAAATCAGCAACGCGCTCCCGTTTGGGACTCATAGAGATATAATCCTCTCTCTGCAACTTCCTCACGCATTTAATAATGTAATCGCCTTCCGTCTCGATCATCATGGTCAAACTACCCGTTCCAATAGCCGAGTTGGGTCCGAGCATCATGAAGAAGTTCGGAAAACCATCAGTCGACATAGTGAGGTACGTCTCCGGCCAAGGCGTGAATTTCTTCTGGAGACTGACTCCATGCTTGCCTTCTACGTAGAAAGGAGGAGGAGAAGAAGTGTTGAAGCCTGTTGCGCAGACGAGGACGTCGAGGGGGACTTCGCGGCCCGTTTCAAGTACGACGGTGGATGATGTGATGGATGAGATTTTGTCAGATACGAACTCGACGTTGTCTTCAACGAGTGCTTCGAGGTATCCTGGGCCGGGTGTGAGTCTTCGACAGCCAACTGAGAAGGATGGGATGAGGGCGTCTAGGATCTCGGGTTTTTTGGCGAGACGTTCAGCCATCATGCCGCGGAAGGCTTCAACGGCTCCATTTTGCATTTCGGAACCACGGAAGGAGACGGCGTGGATGGTGTTGCCGTCTGTTTCGATTACCTTACGGAAAGCGAGGAGTTTTTCTGGATCGCTGGCGAACTCCTTTCTACGTTCTTCGGAGACTGAACTTTGTTAGACTGCTCTCGGATGATATGAGATAGTGGCTTACAGTTGAGGTCCAGAGGGTCAAGTCCTAGTTTCATCATCGCATCTATAATTCGGTTAGGTCATATTGAGTTTACAGATTGAGAAGCGAGACGTACGATCACCGAACGGGTTTGAAATCCACGTTCGACTCCGCACAAAGCAGGTCATCTTCACGCCTTCAACCTTCTGCAGACTGGGCACGATCTGAATCGAACTTGATCCGCCTCCAATCACACCGACTCTCTTATTCTTGAAATCATATCTGACATATCCAGTGAGCAATCTTCAGATAGATAACGGCTATGAAAACTTACTCTTGATTCCAAGCTGCTGAATGCATGACCTCGCCTTTAAACGAGTTGAAGCCAGGAATCTTCGGCCACGCAATATCATTCAGCTGTCCTCTAGCCGAGATGACAATATCTGCATCGTCATTGAACGTCTCCCCTGTAGTGACATTCTCTACTACGAGATTCCTATTCAGACATTAGGCCTCCTATTTCCCTACATTAAATGAAGAGCCATGGAATTTCTACTAACCACTTCTTTGCCTTGTCATCCCAGATACAACTTGATACTCTATGGGAGAGCTTCACATATCTATTCACCCCATATTTCTCCGCAATCCCATTGAGATAAGTCCAGATCTCCTTGGCTGGTGCATAGAAAGCTGACCAATTGGGATTTGGGTCAAATGAATATTGGTAGCTATGTGAGGGAATGTCACATGCACAGCCTTGATGTCAACAGAGTCAGTCAAAAAACATGTCCTGATATTTCCAATTCAAAGCAAACATGTCGAGACCAGAAGTAAGAGAGTGGCGAAGGAATTAGCAGCAACTTAGATCACGAACCTGGATATCTATTCTCCCACCACGTGCCCCCAACACCCTCATTCTTCTCATAGATCTGCAAATCGATATTTCTCAATCGCTGAGGGATGCGGATCCCGAGGTAGATGCCCGAGTATCCAGCACCGATGACTCTGACTTTCAATCGGCGCATATTCTCGACTGGCTCGTCCTTGATGGAGAACATGTTGATAGATCCCATACTTGCCCAGTCTTGCTACGCTCTGTCCGTTGGTCCGTCCGCCCGTCTATACGTCTGTCTCTCGTCTACCGGTTTGACAGCTGTATCCCTAGAGGTGAAATACTGGAGGTCCAGAGAGAACAGAAACTTGAGGGGAGCGGAGTCCCTTTGTAGTCAATCAAGACGCGCCGAGGAGTGGTGCTGCTAGTGAGTTAGATAGATGTAGGCGCATCCACATTATTCCTTTCTGCCACAAACTGGGACCGGACGGTTGAACCAAAAGAGCCATCTGGCCTGCCGCCCTCTATTCCCGTTTCTCTGTTAGTCGCACGATTGATGCATGTGCAGTGGGTTGCCGGGCTGCCCCTCTCCTCCCCGAGTACCCTCCCCTTGACTACTTCTACACTCCCCGTCTATTATGAAGTGTGGGGTAAGTACATGTAGTAGGTACCTACAGTAGTCCGGATGTACCACCCAAGACTAGAGGGATGATACAGAGACGACCCCCCCGCATAACTAACCTATCAAAGTCAGCAGTGAGAGGTACTCTTGTTGCTCTCTCGCTAGCTTAAGGAGGTGCCTAAGTACTCGTGAACAATTAGGATTAGGTGCGACCTACGAACTTGTAAGTAGTGGCAGTAGTTAGGGTTAGAATAGGATTAGGGCTAGGATTAGGGTTAGTTAAGATTAGAGTAGTTTTTTTTTTTTGGTTGCTTTTAGATAGTAGTGTTAATAATACTTTTGTTTTTCTTCCAAAGTCATAAGGTAGAGAGCGTTACTTAGTTAAGGGTGGTATTGTGGGGGGTAGGGGGGGGGGCGGGGCGTCTCCATATCGCCCCACGGGTCGTCTCTGTATCATCCCTCCAAGACTACCTACCTACCTGAGTGGGTGGCTCGGGTGGCTACAGTGCAGGTGGCTCAAGTACTCAAGCTCAAGGCGGGGTCGGAAACCCCCCCAGACGCGAAACTTAAATTCAGCTTTACCACGATATTAGTAGTGAAGTAAGAAATTCGTGACAAGGAGAATATGGGTCTAGATTCGGATTTCCTCCTCTCCACAACTGTTACCAGCAGCTTTTGATATCGGCCTTTCCTGCCTTGAGGCTGAAGTTTAGTGAATAGTAATGGGGAGGAATGAAGCCGCGAATGTCAAAAGGGGGATTCCCGGGTCCACAGTTGCGGAATTAAGAGGGTGATATGGTATGGCGATAGTATGATATTCTTCTTACGGTAATTGTGCTATTGCCATTTTGGAAGGTAAGATTATATAGTGTTTGGTATCGTAGAACTTTGAGTGGATTAAGAACTGTTCCTGTTGTGGGGGAAGGGGGATTTCCAAGTCGGTGATCCTCCTCGGCCGACAGAACGAGACATAAACAGAGATCGAAACTTATTTATTATGTGTCTGATAGTAATCCAACCACTTGGCTGGGCCTGAATTCATATAATTATACTCAACAATGTCATAATATATCCAAATCTCGGTATAGAAACAAATGGGTACCTTCGATATCAAGCCCCACTCATGTATTCATTAAAAGAAAAATACAAAAGCCGTCCAAAAAGCTAGGCTTCAATAATGTAAAAATGGTATATCCTGCCCGCAAGCCCAGAGCTCCTTCAAAAACGCCTGTACGCTAAACGCAGATTGTAGAAACACAGCTTCTTCTTTCCTCTCCCTCCCCCTATCTTCACATTCAAACCGGATCCAAAGCCAATCCGAATCCAAACACCCAGCCACGTCCATGAAATCGACACACTTCTTCTTGTACAAGTATCCAAACACAAGAAATCACTATAATGGCTTCCCTTCCGCCATGTTTTTCCGCAACCTGTCGAAATAGGCTTTTGGCCAAAGAGTCAGGAGTTCCGTCTCGGTTGGAGTTTGATTTTTGCATTTCGCCGCAACATTGAGGAGGATACGTCCAAGGAGCTCCTCGCTGATGGGTAGAGCTTCATCATAATCAATCGGGTTGAGGAATGTATCCTTTTCGTCGAGAAGTTCGGTTGCAGAAGGACGTTCAAATTGATTTCTGTTCAGGCAGCGCTTCAATGTTTTGATGAGTGCCGAAGGTACAGGCACAGATCCGACCCCGAGAGTAGGGTATTCGATCTCGTAGTTGAAGTTGATAATAGCTTGGCAACGATGCATTGGGTTCAGGATGTGGCCGAAGGGAGCGCGACCATAGGTCATTTGGTAGAGAATGCATCCTAAAGACCAAATGTCGCTAGGCTTCCCAAGCTTCATGAGTTTTGGCTCATTTGGAATTCGACCTCTGGCATCCGGCTTTGCATTGGAATCCATAAGAGACTCGGGGGACATATAGTTTGGTGTCCCGATTTGGTTCTCTCTGTGGACATTGACAGTTTCGTCTGTTTGGATTGCATTTGCAATGCCGAAATCGATCAACTTCAGTCGTCCCTGAACGAGAACAAAGTTATGAGGCTTGAGATCCGAATGAACGATATCGTGCTCGTGAATCGCTTGCAAACACTCCAACATCTCCTTCCAATAATGTCGGACAAAGCTGGTGTCTAATTTGGCGTTTTCTGACTTCAAGCGTAGCTCCAACATCTTGTTCATGTCAAGCTCTCCCATTTCCATCAACTAGATCATATCAGCATTTAAGCCGGATTCTCGGGAAGAGCCAACTTACCACAGTCAATGTTGACTTTTCCTCATTCAGTTCGTAATCATAGAGACGAATCACTCTTTCCACGCCTTCTAGCTTCTTGAGCAAGTCAATCTCGCCCTTGAAGCCTATGACAGCCGCCTCGTCCGCATCTTCAAGTGACACCCGCTTTAATGCAAAGAATTTCGAGTTTTCTGCCATCACTCTGTAGACTCTAGAACTTCCACCACGTCCAATGCAGTCAAGCCTGGTGAACGGCTTTCCATTGACCTTAAGTCGGTTCCTCTTCCCACTAGCGTGAGAAGCTGTAGCCGCACCAGCGGTACTTGTTGCAGCGTCGAGAATTGACATCTTGGGAGGTGGAGGTGCAGGTCTTCGGGGAGTGTTCTGACTCCTGAGGGCCAACGGTCGTCTTTCTGAGGGTGTGGCAGCGCGCAAGATGTCAAGATCCATGCTCTCTGGGCGGACAGGAACCTTCTCCATTTTGTCCAAGTGTATTAACGGTTGTTTATTCCGCTTGAAGGTTGGAGGAGCTTCGTTCTCCTGATCATGCGTTGATGGTAAATCTGGACGAGGAGCTGGCATCTTGAAGATCGGCTGAGCAGGCTGTGAGACTGCATTCGACTGCACTGAGTTGGGTCTTTGCGAACTGGCCAAGGTAGGAGGTGGAGGTGAATTTGACCTCAAAATCGAATTCAACGCTTCTCTCGTGCTTATAGGAGATCCGGAAGCATAATCTCTGTAACCTGGAGCATTATGTGATCCCATAATCGGTTCCTGTTCCTGGCTTGATAATGCATCTTGATCTTGCGATTCCGGTGCGTGTGAATCTTGGCTTTGAGGCTCTTGACTCGATGGCGCGGAATCCAATGCATTGTCACGCTCATCAACTGGGCTCTGGTCCTCGTCGTCCATGCGCCTTCTCCCTCTTCGAGCCGGTCCGCTCAAGAATGTCCCAGCCACCTTCCCAACCCTCTTCACTCGCATGGAGCTTTCCTCTCCATACTTCGTCCTCCCAATCGTCGAAGGCTGATATCTCGAAACACTCCCCTGGCTTGTCGCAAGATGTGATCGCGCCACAGTCGTAGGATATTCATGAGACTCGGGTGCTGCATCATTCCTAGATCCCGAGTCTGTTCTATGTGATTGTCTTCCTGATGAGCCAAATGACAGTCCATGATTGCCAGAAGATGAGATAGGCAGGCGGACCGTTCGAGGGGCTTGTGCTGGTGTACTCAGGTCGAGCGGACTCTCCGGCTTTTCAACAGGCTGATCTCCGCGTTTCTGTACCGCAGATAAAGATGATGTCCTTCTCAACGTCGAAGGTGTGCCACTCAATCGTACAATTCTCCTTGGATATGGGCTGTGAATCCTGCTTCCGGGCGGCGACAACTTCTTGTCCGCAACAACTCCTGAGCCTCCAGCCTTGAACTGAAACCCCTCACTGTCCGGCTCTGGGGTTGTTCGCGCCGTCTGCGGAAGGGATGTGTCGACTGATGGCGCAGGATCATTGAGCAAGGCGTTTGTCAGTGCTGAGAACTTCATCATCGGCAGTGGGATCTCATCGTCAGAGCTATCGTTCAGTGAATAGGTTCGCGCATGCGTCTTTCGCTCTGCAGATAAAGGATCGCCACGAGTCAGTTGTGGCCTCGAGATTGGCTGCTTGAAGTTTTGTCTCGAGGCTGGCCGTCGGAGCGATGCGAAATGGGAGGATCCCATGGGCGTTGGTGAAGCCATTGCCATAATATTATCGTGTCGTGTCGGGGATTGCTGGTTGTTGTTGATTGTTGATTAAAATTAGTTGGCGATGATGGCGAATGTTGCTGTTTACCGCGTCAATTCCAGTAATTCCATGCTTGAGCAAGTGGACCGAGAAGCAATTGGTTATTTTGCACGTCGTGGGTTGTAGATATCGCGTGGGTGAGATGTGCTTTTCCCGGAGTGGAGGCTATTTTGACCCGTTGCCATCATAGCAACGGCAGCAAGACCCCTGTCGATTCTTCCACTATACCCGAACGAGGCTGATACATGTCTCATGAGGAACACCGACGTCCATGGAAATGTAGCCTTGGACGATTGAGCTAACATGAGATTCAGCAGCTTATAACGGTCTTCATCAGACTATATTTATTCATTATTTGTCTAAGTTCAGTTTGTATTCTGACATTTGAGAGGCCAGCAAGTTCATTACCAGCACAGCCGCTATCACTCCAACATGCTTCTCACGAACTCCCTCCGAGTCCTATGCTTCGGAGACAGCCTAACAGCTGGGAGTACACAAGGCGGTGCATTATTGCATCCTTATGGAATCTCATTGCAAGCTTCTCTGGAGAAGTCATTGCCATCATGGGATATAGCGGTAGATATTCAGGGCCTAGGTGGTGATCAAGCTGTCAGCCCACCAGGTCTCTTCTTCCCAAGGATGGATAAGTTGTGTGAGTTCTGACTGGATTCATATATATCGTTACTCCTCAATCAATTGAAATGTATTTTATGAATAATGTCAACTTCATACAATACTTCCCCTCCGGCATCTCTAACTCATCCAACCCACTAACAGGGCCTTTCAGACACAGAAGTCCACCCAAAGACCCCATACGACTGGGCCATCGTCCTTGGCGGCACAAATGACCTCAACCAGAACCGTCTTCCATCAGACATCTTTCCCGCGCTGGAAAGGGTGTGGGATATCCCTCTCTCAAACAACACCAAGTTGCTCGCCTTGACAGTCACAGACTGTGGAGCGTGTGCTCCTGTCGTACCCGAGAGGAGGGCTGATTTGAATAAGAGGATTTTGGACCACAAAGCTGACAACTAGTAAGTGGTAATCTTGTTATATTTCGTTCTTTCATGCATGGAAAATTCCAAATATGAAATTTGAGGCTTGAACTTTGAAGTCTGAATGGGGACACACTTGTGTTAATTTTATGAAGCTATGTATTCGATCTCTATAAAGCCATCCCATACTGGGGTATGTCTGAGAAACGCAGGAAGGAGATCTGGGATGATACTTTACATTTTACAGTCAAAGGGTATGATCTTATTGGTAAGCTGCTAGCGGATCGGATTGTGGAATTGGAGAAGCAGGCACAGAGTGAGAACGAGAGTCCGAGGACTGACGAGCTGGTGAGGGAAGAATTGAGGAGCTTGAGAGATAGTACGAAGGCTGGAGGGGAAGAGAACCAAGGACAGTTGGAATTATGATTGGGTGATATTCTTAGGTTTGATACAACTTCATACATTATTTTGCTCTTGCAACTACAAAGATCTGGATATCAATGGCCTTCGTCGTGAATGGTAGGGCTCTACTTCCTTGAACTGAGATCTGAGGTCCCGAGGAATAAGTTTACGTGAACTTTGTATTCTATCCGGTCTCATTGTCCTGGTCTCGTTTTATTCGTAAACGCCATGAATTATGCGAGTGAACGCTCCCCAGTGCCATGCATATCCTCTAAACGCCAGTCATATCCCATGTTCCCAAAGTCTCTCAAACTTTCAGATTCTTTGCGACGAAGTCCTGCATGATGTTAGCTTTGTTCAGACTCGGAGATGCTGGAATACTGACAGGATATACCAATTGAAGCTCAGAGGTGACCTTCTCAACCTCTTCGGCAAGTCCCTGAACATTTGAATCCCATCGCTTCAGCTCCCTTCCAACGACGCCTTCTGATCGACCGCTACCCTTCTCACCAGTGGCCTCTCCACCCTCAAACCAGATAAAGCGTTCGATCTGGTCAATACGACCGACCAGGCGGCCTTGCTCAATCATCCTAGCAGTTGTCTCTTCTGCCTTGTCTCCGTCTAAACCAAGCAGTAAACCCAATGCATCAAAGCCAATATTGCTGTACAGCCTCGACGCACCTCTCAGATTATGTTCAACAACAGCCTTTGCAAGAACCGTGCTTCCATCAGAAGTCTTAGCCAGTTGATGTGGTGCCAGACCTTCCGCAAATTTGGCTACCTCAGTCGGTGACAAAAGGCGATCTAGAAACATCTTCTCCAGAATGCTGTACTCCTCCAATGTGCTTGCTCTCTCATCCTTGTACAGTCTTCCCAGCGCACGGCTTCTAGCTGGCCCAGCAGGCGCAAGAACAGCACACTTGATGGCCATGCTTAACGTATGTAATCTCTCCTCCTCAGCAATAACCGTCATGAAACTGATATCCTGGTAACCTTGGGCAGCAGCCAAAAAGTTGCGTCTCGCATCCTGGATTCGTGCCTGGCAGAGGCTGAAATGCAGGTTCATGTCCCGATCGGAGACCGTATAGATCAGGTTCTTTGCCTTATTCAAGTATTGCTCCGCCAATGTAGTGTCGTCGACCTCCAAGTAGTTTCTCGTAATGCGAATCCAGAATCCAACCTTGTCTTCATTTGTAACCTTCCGCTGAGAACTCTCGAGTGGTATACCAGCGAGGATCTTAGCAGCGGCGAGGAAATCTTCGTCTGCCTCGTAGGCGCTTGCCATTGTCTCTCGAACCTGAGCATTCTGTTCTTCGAAGGAGGATGCCTGGGACTGGAAGACTGATAGGGCATGCTCGCCGACTTCGATTTTGGTTTCGTTGCTTTTAACTTCTTTGAGGGTGTTGACAAAGTAGAGGGTGAGCGATCTTGTGGCTACTATTCCGAGAGAGCTTTCGAAGATGGCGTCGAGAATTGCTATGAGGTCCTTTGGAAGCTCTGTAGGTGAGGATGTAAATTGGACATCTTTCAGGAGAGCTTCGTAGCCTTGTTGTTGATCTTCTGTGCCGGAGATGGTGCTAAGAGCACTGGTAACTTTCGCAGATACCATAGTGTGGTCGTATCCAGTTCGGTTTAGAATTGTAGAATTTCAAGGTCATGGAAAGGTTATTACTGGACTTCCGAGGTGTTGATGAGGCTGACGATTTCCTGGATGGCGGGGAGAGCTTGAGCTCCGACTAGGCTGAAGCGCTAAGTGCTCGCCAAATTGCAGGGGTGTCTTGCAGCTTTCTGTAGTTTATTTACTCCTTTACGATTTCCATTATCATGTACTTGTGTTGGCAATTAGAGTGCTAAAGTGTCGCTAGAAGGAATCTCATCTCTAAGTTGTTAAGGGGTAAAACTACCATTGTAGTACCAAGACTCACCCTCGAATACGAGTTGATGATATCTATCAGGTGGTGTTGAGATAGGTTAAGGCTCTTTGTTTTGATTTGGTTCAAGGACTATATATCCGTTTTGTTGCAGAGCCAGTAAGTGGGCATTTAATCCAAATTCCCTTCTAAAGGGCCAGTGCATCTCCTCTAGATGCAGCAAACACCGCCAAATGCATTAGAAAACCAAGCCCATCCATGATACCATCCCAAACGCCCTCCATGCAGTTCCGTTTCCTGGTATCATACATCCTCAAACTTAACATCTTCATCCTCTTCACCATCCTCTTCGTCTGCCATATCACTCTCGTCGCCTCCCATGCCTTCAGCCGTCGGCGCAATTCCATCCCCGAGTGTTTCATAATTCGCGATCTGGTTCTCTGGCTTCAATGACCACTGAGTTGCAAAACGTCCACTTTTGGCTAGTACAGCAATCTTTTCCAAAGTTTCTCTTAGATAAGCTTCGGGTTGTTGTAATTCAGCACGGAGAGCCTTCATAGACCAATAGTTGTACTTTTTGAAGCAATCGAATATACGATCCAGAAGCTCGTTCTGTGGCATACGAGCAGTCTTCGTAAGCTGCGGCCGATCTTTCGAAGCTGCATTCTTGGTTTTCTGTAATACGTTAGCATGGAATATAATGTAATGCAATATTACTTACGATGAAGTCGTTGAACGAATTCTGGGCGTGGATTGTACCAGGCTGGATGAAACCTGGTCCAAGAGTAGCCAAGTCGTCGCTCACGAACTTGGTGTGATGTTTAGGTCGCATGGCTTCAAGGGTCCGGACAGCCAAAAGGTGCTTCGACTCATCATTGTCGACTGCAATGCAATTCATCTCATGTATCACCCTGCCAGCAAGCGTTGTCCGCTCTACATAGTGTCAGCGCCCCAATTCCTTAATGCCACTCATGGTACTAACTTGGAATTGCCTTCCTGAAGTATGGTTGAAATCGCTTGTTGGGATCGTAAGGCTGCTTGGAGAATGGCTTATCGTTCTTTGGTCGGGTGAGTCTGGAGGGCATGTTGGCGCTGGCAAGGTCGAACTTGGCTCTAGATCTTGATTTGAAACCTGGCAGGTCCTTTTCAGTGAAGACAAAGGTATTCTTAACACTCTCGTCGGTGATATCTAGGTCGTACTCTTTAGGAACGTCTTGGTGCTGAGCAAGATCTCTAGTGAGTAGCATCTGGAGGCGCATCTGCGTCGCGTTAGCATTGAGTTCATCCACGACAATGAGACGCCTGCCTTTCCATCTGCATCCACCGATTGTCTGATAGTCCCAAGAGTTATCTCCGCATCATCGTCGAGTTTCGACCATGCTTCCCAGATATATTTTGGTACGCGCGCCAGATATAGTTTTTGGAAGTCGTTGTTTGGGTTGAACTCAAGGTCTCCGGCGTCTTCGTAGATATCGTCCTCGCTGAAGCCTGATGGTGAGCCAACGTTCTCCGGGTCCGGCTTGATCTTTACGTCCTCCATTCTTGCGAAGTGGTTGTCTTATCGAATATCCTCCATACAGAAGCTGCGAGCCGGCCGTTTGTTGTAAGGGGACGGTTCTTTGTTCTTTGTCGCCTGAAGCAATTGGGGGGGGCAAGGCAAGCTTAGGTGAAGGCATGGTTAGCCTCATGGGACAAGGATGTCATTGCGGGCATCCACTAGCACAAAGTAAGTTAGCCCTGGAAAGCGCATCGCATGCCACTATTTGTAGATTCGCAGGCGCAACCAATTGTTCTCTCTTTGCCATCTGCCCTTACAAGTACTCTCAACTCAAATTTGACCTCGTAACATCGCCGAGCATTACTAGTCTAATAAAAAGGGCAGCTAGACAGTCTAACTAACAAGTAGTAAGATTATAATGTCTTCAGAGGACCAAGAAGCCCTCCTCAATCAGATCAGCCAGCTTGCAGGTGAGTTGCTACGCGCCGAACATTTGCTATACATCTGACTGACTTTTCTTAGGCCAGATCAACAGGCATAAGAACGGTCAGGTATCAGGACAGCAGGATCAGCTTCAGCACGGTTATGGAGGTACACAGCTGCCCAGGATATTCACCAACCATAATACTGACGGACATGAAGGATATCCCCAAGCAAGCACAGGATGGGGAGGTGGTCGCGGTAGCTACAGAGGATCGCGAGGATCCAGAGGTTATTACAGAGGCGGCAGACACAATCACCTACATCGACACAAAAGCCTTGTGTTGAACGCAAGCAGCGCTCCTTCTACATCAACCAACGAGAACAATAATCTTCCTGCGGCTGTTGACAATAACGCCTGGATCTCCAAGACTGATCGTGGTCATCGCCAGATCGTCAGTGCCACCGTGTTTGAGAAAGAGACTCGTCATAGAGTCAAGTCGATGGAGGAGTTGAGATTACAGAAACTGAAGAGGAGGGACCAACTAGAACGGGCCAAGCTTGAGAAAAACATCAAAGCAGAGAAAACTCGCGAGGTAAATGTAGGGGGAGGCGTGTTCCGCGTGAGCGAGACTGGTGGAAAGCTGGAGAAGATATCTGGTGAGACAGTGTTCGCTCAACAGTGGATATTGGGCATCCTGCAATCAATGAGTCGATCGTGCTTACATCCTTATAGGTACTGGACCCAAGATGGCGATAGTTTCAGGGATCAAATTCTACCGGAGCAAAAACGGAAACATGTACCGCGATACTTCCATCAAAATCCAGGGGTATGGTTGCCATCAGTCTAGGACCTTTAACCCCACTCCATATAACAGCACTGACATTAACAACGCTAGGAAATCGAAGAAAACCACCAAGCTATGCAAAGCATTCAATCTTACGGGTATTCCCTTATTCTTTCGACTCTGCCATTACGCTCCCATTGCGGAGGAGCGTCCCGGGTTTCAGCTGACACTTCTTCTTTTAGGTTCATGCTCTTTAGCAGATTGCCCATTCGTTCATGATCCTTCAAAGGTCGCAGTTTGCAGAGACTTTCTTCAAAAGGGGTCCTGTCCAAGTGGAGATTTCTGTGACCTTTCACATGAACTAACCCCCGAGAGAACTCCAATTTGCCTGCACTTCGCCAGAGGAAACTGCTCTAATGACAACTGTCGTTACACCCATGTTAGAGTCTCGCCATCTGCGCTCGTCTGTCGATCATTCGGCATCTATGGCTACTGCGAGAACGGCGCAAGCTGCACAGACAGACATGTCAACGAGTGCCCTGACTTTAGCAATACAGGTACATGCACCACCGAGGGATGTAAATTGCTCCACCGACAAAAGGCTAGTGTGATGCGTAGCAACACCGATCCAAACAAACAGTCAGACAGCATGATTCATGATGTTTCCAGTGACGAAGAAGGAGTTGGAAGCGATGTTGATTCTGATGGACTCGAGGAATTCCTCGGCGACGAGGAGGGAGAGATCGATGAAGACATTCCCAAACAACAGGATTTCGTTCCCATCATATGATGGGCTACAAACAAGGAACCTGACCTCTAGCCCATGCTAGAAAGTACTTCCTCTACTTCATTTCCTTGGATTTCTAGCCCTCTTTGTAGAGGTGCTTACGATGGATAGAATACTTTGGTTTTGGTGTGGAGGATGCGATATACCCGGACAAGAGTCCATTGCTAGGAGCGAAAGCTCTGATTGCTATCATTGATGTATAGAATAGAAAGAAAAAAGCGAGCATACAAGCATTACATAAGAAGAAGAAAAAATAATTACTGAATCTCCAAGGTCTTTCTCTCGACTGTTCATGGTCAGTGTTCCACATGTTAGTTCTCCCTCAGCCGGATGGTCGCGACATTGGCTGCGGGTAAACATGCTGACCGAGAGATATTGTTTTGACTCTGCTCACTGCGATCTCTTCTACATTAAGTACCTTATCTTATTCAAAGCACCCCAAATCTAGCCAATTTCCACAAACCACTGCTACCCAGCCTTGCGAGGATGTATTCTGCTCGATTAAAGATTATCTGCGGTCTGGTATCCTGAGCAAACACACTTTGATAGTACGTCTCGCGAAGTATTCTAAGGTTAAGAAGCCACCTCTAGCTAACAGCAAAATTGGAAGAGAACTACTGTCTGCAGCACACACATATTTTATGACTGATACATGGTACTAGTCAGTTCTACAAATGCCTTTTGTCAAGGCAGTGCCGGTTATGAATGCCAAAGTCAACATGTTAGAACGTGTCAGTGACAGTTCACAGACTGGGGTACTTTGGTTGCCTTTGAGATCATCCGCTAAGTATTTACAATTCGCGCACGTCATTTGCGTCGTCCAAGCGAAATTTGTAGTCTCCTTTTGCTGACGGGATTTGGCTCGTTGATCTGTATGGAACTACGAACGGCTCTCGGCTCCCACTTCCTTACAGAGTTCTGTGTGTATACAGAGAAATTACAGGAGATAGTACACGTATTATATTCTCACAAGGATGATCAGATGATCATGTCATGTCAAATCGGTTGCTCAAGTCAATGATATCCTTCATCTCATCCTGCTGAACCATGTTCTCAAACCTCGTGCTTGACTCTAATTTTTCATTAGATCCACTTTAACTTCAGATCAGCAGTACAATATGAACATCGCCATGTTATCGCTTTTGCCATAAGGTGTCTTCATCATTAGTAAACAACCATGTCAATGCCTTCGTACATCCCACCGTGCCTCCGGAATTCGCTTGCTGGATGTCTCTTGTAGACTACAGTTTGCTGCGTGGTTTTCAATCATGGTGATTTGCAGGAAATCTCTATTCACAAGAAGCATATCGATTTGAATGACTTTCAGTCTTAATCCTTCGGAGTAGACATTGCTTTTAGAGAGTTTGTAGATAGACTCGAAACGAGAGTTCAACACGCTAGCAGGACGACACACGTGATCTTCCCTTTATTTGCACTTCTGGAACATTTCTTCTTTTCTCGCGATCGACGTCCAGCCTCCAGACTCCATGAGGAGCGCCGCGCGACCAGTCCTCTATCGCAACTCTCAAAGTTTCTAAGTACAGTACATTATCCGGCTTTCGTATCGCTCCCCCTCCCCCTTGCGTTCCACCCCCACCATCTCGTTCTCATTTATCGTAAATTCAGTTCTTCTTTGCCTTCATTCCTTGGGATTATCTCCCTACAAGTGTAGCAAGATATGTTTCAAGTGTACCTCGCTCCTCGCTACTCGTTCTTACAGATTCTGTTCTTTTTCTATTTCTGTCACGACGTGCAGCAGACCTGCATGTATGTGCATGCTGCTTACCTAGACATTTTCATGCGGGTTTTGTGGTCTGGTCTCAGGTCAGCTCTGGTTCTTTTACGAGATTGTTGTGGATTGGGGAAGCGAGGAGACATATATGAGACGTTATATGCTCCGTTCGTGTAGGAATTCGGATTTATGGATTTGTGATGGGGAGTGACGTGAGGTATTTCGCAGAGGACTTTTGCAAAATTGCTACAAAGTGCGCTGAAAAGGTGATGACGTCGGAGCTGAAGTCTTCAGTCATTGCACTTTCTATCTGTTCTCTTGGTGTTGCAAGATTCGAGTCGGAGAGGACCAAGCTGTGCATTCCCATTACTCACAAAATGTCTCTTGAAACCAGTTTAGAGGCTGGGGGAGAGTCAACGCCTGGCCTTACTGAACAGACTTGCGATTGGCAAGTGACGTGACCGCGGTTTGGGTATCATCGAATGGAAGCTTGGATTCGTATTCTTAGCTATATTCCCAATTTGCTATACCCTTGATGTTCGTGTTCTCTTCTCAAACCGAAAGCCCGTTCTTTTTTCGTACGAGGAATTCAAGCTAAACGTCAAGTTTTTCAGATCTGCAATCAATGTCCCGATCAAGATCATAGTTACGTTTCCTCCTCAGTAGTATTGAAGATCTAGAAGTCTAGAACGAGCAGAGTAGTGCACGATCCCCAAAGGTAGAGCGATCGATTTGGTATTTGCAGTATTTTTGGGGAGAAGTTCGCTCAGCAATTGTAGATCGCGGGCAAAAAGGGAAGAGAGGAGACGTAATGCTTCTTCCGTCATAGGCAGGCAGCAGCATTGACTTCACGCGAAAATACAATGCTAGGAACTGGAACGGGGAGAAACTGGGAAGTGAACAGCCCCGATGAAAGTCAAAACAGATTGTGGGATGTCGGAGCGCGCCAAAAAGGAAGTTCGGCTGTGAAGAGATGTAAACAAAAAGGGATACCCCAGACCACGTGAGTCTGGGGTCCCCTATGTTCAAGCAGAAGAAATGTTCGGATGACAGGAAGGATGAATGGTTGGGAGTGAGTATGGCGTGCAGAGAAAGGACTCAGATGGAGGGATGTCCCAAGTCCATGGAACTGGGTCTTCCCTCCGAGGGATCAGGTGGGGAGGTTGCAATGGTGGGGGTGAGAACGAGCGTTTGAACGTTGGAACGTTGGAAGAACTGCACTATGAAACTTCATGCCGTCCTAGCATGAACTTCGGAGCTTTAGGGGAGAATTATTTTAGGGGAGCTGAGAAGAGAAATTCCGAGCCGTTGAGCGGTTCTACTGTAAGGGCTTGTGCAGGGAGATTATGTCTCATGTAATCGCTCATGGAGACTGCACCCCAAACTTCTAAACCTGCATGGAAGAAAGACTCGGCAGTTATGGAAGCAGGAAAGAAGGACAGACGTGAGATGGAATCTCGGAATCCGGGTGCGGTATTAACTTTTGAAGCCCAAGCTTGCTCTCTTTGCTCGGAGGCAGCACAGGCCACTTAAAACGTTCGATCGTCCATGTTAAGGTCGATTATCGGAGGATAAGAACCTCAAATCAGTGGATTCGTGATCTCCTCGGATCAATATGAGAGAAGAGCTTATTTCCTTGCTTTTTAGGGCTTATGTCCTTGTCAACCAACCAGTTCCCAATGTCATCGCTCGCTCGCTTCGCGAAACACACACAACAGAACGCGCAAACCACACGAGAAAAAACAGAATCAAGAGCAACAAAAGAAAAAGTGGCTGGAAGAAACTTTCATGGTCGCAAACGGAGAACCAATAAATAATAGGTAAACAACCGATGTCGTCACCGCCACAATCCTGAAAAAAACGCCAAACATCTAATATCAAGTGTCACATAAGGGAAGGCTGAAAGGGGGTGTTCCTTGTTCTTGCTCACCGCTCCGAGCGGCGAAGCGAAACGGAAAGTTTATACGAGAACAGAAACGCAAGTACGGCGTTATCTCTGGTAACGATTTTGCATTCTACACGCACGACAGATGATTTCCCGTGGTGAAAGCATGGCTGGTTGTACATATGGTACTCAACTGGAGGAATAGCCGTGTATTGTGGGAGGTAGAGTGTGACTGCTGCACCCTGCACCTTTCCGGACGGGTATGCTGCAACTTGCAGTAGGCTCGCGTGTGCACCGCGGCGCGCCTGCAGTTGCATTGAAGATGTGCGGGATGACAGGAGATAGAAAATATGATAGTGTGGAGGAGAGGGTCGCGGAATGGCCGGGAAAACAATCTTGGTGGATTGTTGTGATGGATTTCTCTTGATGGTCGCGATACGGGCCTGCTTTGTGTCATACAAGGAAAACTCAAGCGAGCCAGAGACTTTCGTGTCTCACCCAGACCGACAATTCGATTGTTCCTCAGCTTGTTTGTTCGCGGAACTGGACATGTCGAATATGGCTTTCGCGCCGAGAATAGCACTGGCGGTGTACTTCCTCCTGTCGCTCGCCAGATCCTCCGGAAGGCAGCCGATTGATTCCCCCCCTGTGGCTCCAGAGAAGGGGATTTCCTCAGCCCACTACGCGCGTTTGAGAATGATGGTGATGCAGACAAAATACAATTTGTTGTTCAAACCAGAGGTTCTTGTTGATGTCACCAGCCACTCAAGACGTGTGTCGCGGAAAAATTGCTGTTGCGTACCAACTGTGAGTCGAAGGCAAGGTTCACCGCTCTCCTTTGTTTACTCGCGCGATGTTCTAGAAGGAGAAGACCTCGGCAGGCCGTCCCGCTTCTTCAAGCCCCTGTCTGGATTCCCGGAATCCCTGGATAATCGCAGTTGTTGTTGATCCGACTTCAGATCGATGGGCTCTCGGCAAATGGCTATGGAAGTCAATCATAGTAACTATGCCGTCATACGCGCAATCGCGATCTGCGATGCCTCATGCGCACACAACTTCGGAAATGATACAAAGGGGAGTTTAGGAGAAAAAAGAGTTGCGGACAATTAAGATGCCTGGTATGATCTCGGGCAGTGAGGATCTCCCGGTCGCATCTATCGTTATCTCGTCCGAATAAGGTCATCAGCATGGGTTGCCCTGGTCTGGAGACGGCTGGGATGGGCATGGTTGTCATTCTCCCGCCGACAGCCCGGCATCCAGGACTTGGGAGACGAGACCAAAAGGGAAGAGAAGAAAGGAGGGTATCGCTATCAGAAGGCGCGATACCGCGATAGGCTGATACTGAGGTGATAAGGGCTTCAGAGGGGAAGCAAGCTGGAACTGATCCGTATCGACTGAAGCTGGCTCGTCGTGATCGAATCGTTGTGTTGCCCTGAGGATTGGGCACAACTGTTTATTGTTTGGGTAGCCATATTCTTCATATGCCCCGTCCTGCCCCAAGGCCGCTCACCTATCATATGAGGCTTCCGGCGCGACCGTTTCTGCGGCCACGAGGTTGCAGCACAATGCAAATGCAGTGCAGTGAGAGGTTAAGCACTGGCGAATATTTCAAAGACATTATTGGGGGGCTGGTCAAAGCCCAGCGGCAGTGTGATATGACGGCATTTGCTAAGATGAGGATTGATGAGAATACCCCGTGCCTGATCGTAAGATTTCTTCCTGCCCAAGTGCGGCGGATGTGGTAAAAAATCATAATCTCAGACATGAACCCAGTCTTCTCAACGCTGATTCCTTTCCCACTCAGTCGTTGTAAAACATCAGACCTGACGCGTGATGGAGACCACTCGTGCGGCCTCTTGTCTCTGGCCTGCCTCCCATGTCAAGATCCCATGTGCAGCCGAAAGAATAGGCACAAAGGCAAGGAGGCCTGAAGAATCCCGATTTTACTCCACAAGGCGAACCAAACAAACGTTTCACTTCATTGGCGTTCGCTTCCAGTTTCGAGCTCCAGCTCCTGGCGGCCAATCAGCAGCTCCGAGTAACAGGTCTTCTGGCGGGAGTATGAATGGAAATCGGAGTAAGAGAGCACGAGAGTCGCGACATCGCCAATGAGAGCGCGCGCGTGGCCAGCGGGGGACGTTTATTGTTGCGGAACACAAACTTTTGGCTTGGCTATTTTGGCCCATGTTATGCAGCAGGATAGCCGTGACCTATCGGTGGAGAGGGCTGCGACTGGCATGAGAGAGGGGATCCAGATGGGCGAGGTCAGCGACTGAGAGAGCGAGGACAGACTCCATCGCTGCCCAACCTGATAATGGGCACGGGGGTGGGTGGACTGAGGAGAGGCGCTCGCGCTCAGGATGAGAGCAGCAAGCCCACACAGCACGCAGGAAGAGAGGCAGTTTTGTAGAGCGCCTGGCAGTGAGTGGACGGCTGCGACGGGGAGCGATTGCCTCACTGATCAATAAGTAATTGAAGCCACTGAAGAGGCCTGCCTGTGTTCACTCACTCCACGGACGCTGGGACGCTCCCTACTGGAAGTGAGACTATTCCCAGTCGCTTAAAGCGCCGGAGTGGAGGGCAATGTCCCAATCGTAATCAATGTCCGATAAGTAGAGTCATATTCTAATTCTGGGCCTTTACCTGGTAAGAAATCGAACTCGATTCCTACCTTGTTCCTCGGATTCTATTCCAGGAATTGGTGGGCGATGGCCGGGTAGGATGTTCTGTACTCTTTCTATCACTCAGTATGATTTATCGCCTAGCCCTATCCTCGAAGATATATGGGGCATACTCGGTGGTCATTTACCATCAGTAGTGAAGGATAACCATTATTGTCGTACCGGCTTGGGGCACAGTACATGCCTACATCGGATGAATGAGATCGCAGGACTTTTGATCTGTCCAGTCAGGCTTCTGCGTTTTCACATAGAACTTGGATGGAAGTGTAACATCATCGACCTCCTCCTGACCTTGTCTTGGGCTAAACTTTCACTTCCCATCAAGAGTCACAGAACTCACTCCTGACTTGGACTACTGTATTCTCTAGGAGTTACCCTCTTGGGCTCCTCTCTAAACATACCCTTCCTCTCTTGGGCTCCTTCTCTAAGGTCACCCTTCGCCCAACCCACATTCGTCCTATCCTCTCTCTAACTCTAACTCTCACTCTCACTCTTGCCCCCACCTACGGCGTCGCTTGCACCCGCACCCGTCGCCTTGCTTTTTTGCCGTTCCTCCCTGGCCTGTCCTGTCTCTGAATGCTCCCTGTTCTGGATGGTCGATGCATGGCGCATGGGAGGCCCAGCCAGACGGGGGGAGGGGGGAGGGGGGAGGGGGGCATGGGACGAGCAGACATGGGGCCCGCTGCCTCCCTTTAGCTCCACTCACTTGACTTTGTTCGGGTGGGACGTGGGAGAAGCAGCAGCAGAGCAACCCGCTGCCACAGCGGAAGCCAGCCATAGACCAGCCCAGCACCACAGGCTCGCATCGCATCACATCACAGATGGGATAAGAAGGACGCGGGCCCGTTCGCTATCGTAGCTTTCGATTACTGCTCTACCTGCCAACGGCACTTCTTACAGCTCACCCAGTTTGTCTTCAGTTTCTGCTTTATCCGCAGACTGAAGCTCTTTGCCATTACACGAACGAACGAAACGGACGAACGACTCGAATCTCTTGATTGCCATCAGCGATTCTTCATCGACTATTATTACTCACTCGCTGTTCATCTGCACTTCCAGTCGTTGTGATCATCCGCGATCGCCCAGCTATCTTCAACGCTTCACCGCCACGCCAAAATCTCCAACCATCCGAACCTCGCTTCCCCACCACACCACAACACAACACAACACAACACAACATTCGCAATGGCCGCTTTCCAGATGCACAATTTCTACAGACCCTCATCACTGACGGTCGATACGCGCACACAGAATTACTTCGAGGACGAGGAGGGAAGCATCTTGGACGAGAACATCCTCGACCAGAACGCATTAGACTCAGGTCTCGAGATGTCCCCACCCATGAACGGCAGCCGGCGGGATTCGTTCGCTGTCTCCTCAGCATTGTTCTCGCCGAAGACCGATGAATGGCAGCATGTCGACATGCAGCAGCAGCAGCAGCAGCAGCCGATGGGTTCGAACAATCCTTTTGTTGAGCAGAACAACAACCCTTTCATGCGCGGCGTTGAATCGCAATCGTCGTATGGTCAGCAAAGTCACGGATGGTCGATGGGCAATGGATCGGGCATGAGCACTCCCATGCAAGGGCACGATGGACTCCCTTCGGAGTTTGAAGTTCCAGTATTTCAAAGACCCATGCAAACTCCCTTCACCAACCCCGGAAATCAGCAACTGCCAGTCTTCTCGTCAGGAAACACCAGCAATGGATCAATCCCAACTTCACCGCAAAAAGAATGGTCCGTATCAGAAGCTATGGAGCACCGCTCTATGCCCAAGAGGATGAGACCTCACAGTCCTACTCTTCGATCGCATCCTGATATGTCAAGGAGGGGTGATGGCATCCGAAAGAAGAACGCCCGATTTGATATCCCGGCCGAGCGAAACCTCAACAACATCGACCAGCTTATTGCGCAATCAAATGACGAGCAAGAAATCAAGGAGCTGAAGCAACAAAAGCGGTTACTGAGGAACCGTCAAGCAGCGTAAGTGTACACCCTATCGTATCAAGTCCACCTACTAATTTATTCTAGTCTTGACTCTCGGCAACGCAAGAAGCAACATACCGAAAGGCTTGAAGATGAGAAGAAGCATTTTACTGCTGTCATCAACGACCTTGAGGAAGATTTGGCGGAAGCTAAGCTAGCTTTGGATGACTGGGCCCGCAAGGAGCAACAATACCAGCAGTACATCGAGAGCATGCAACTTGAGAAAGAAGAGATCGTGCGAAATCACACTATTGAGACCGGTGACCTTCGCAAGAAAGTCAGTGTTCTTACCGAACACATCCAGCGATTAGAGAGTGCTCCTATGGCACCTATGCCAACCGCCAACGGGTTCTCCAATGACTATGCCGACATCGATAGTCTCACTATGGATGGAGCTTGGGATAATATCTCCTTCCTCAACGACTTCGCTCCTGAGCCAGAAGTCAAGGTTGAGAGCTCCTTGGTCCCTGTCAAGAAGTCCGAGAACTCTCTTCTCAGCGAGCCAGAGAAGCCTGCCGCCCAAGGTCTCTTGCTAATGCTGCTTCTTGTCGGTGCTTTCGTCGCCTCCAAAGGTTCCTCACCGACTATCCCAAAGATGTCGGACGACGTTCAAGCTGCTTCTGCTACTCTTCTCGAAGATATTTTCAAGGATGCAGGTGTGTCCAACGCTGCTTCCTCCATCTCCGAGGTCATGGCTCCTCTCCCATCTGGCAACTCCTGGTCTTCATCTATCCCAACCATGGGCAACAATGACATGGTCGGCGTCACCCAGTCTACACTCGGAGACCTCGTTGATAGTCTCGCTCAGCCCACTGAACAGCAAAACAACGAACAACTCTTTGGCCTCTCGGCAGCTCAATACGAGGGTCTCACCAACCATGACTTCCTTCAAAATGCCCCCCAACACTCCACATCTCAAGGCCGTCGCAACCTCGGTGAGACACTCGCAGCAATGCGTTTGAACAGCAAGAAATCCGCTGCTGAGGTCTACACGAGGTCACTTCTCTGGGATCAAGTACCTAGTGAAGTTGTTCGTAACTTTGCGAAGATGGTCTCGGATTGCAACTCACAGAGGAGTCCGGAAGAGTGTGCCACTGCAGTTGGCTGAATCACTCTTATGACTTCATGATACACATACATAACATATCGGGAGCACATCCCACGGCACGATCAACGGTCACGACTCACGGCATATCACGCAAAAACAGCAGCACAGACACTGTTTGCTCACGCATCATTTTATTTGACTTTTCCAATTTCATTTGTCCAGCGAGCCCAGCGAAGCGTTTAGCGTTGATTATTTTTTGGCTTTCATCATTTCTTTTTCATGTTTGCTCTCATATTTGCATCATCATGGCACAGCGACGGGAAGGATAGGATTCTGGAATTATGGATATGGATGGGATCGGAGGAATAGGGAAACCGGATCGGGATCGGAATTTGGATAGGCATATCCTCAAACGAAAGCTCATTTGCTTGATTGCTCACGCGATCGCAAATCAGCAGAAATGGATCGAGCCCACTTTACACACATACACATCAGCGGCTCGCAGCAAACCCAATGGACCGAACGACGGAATGATTGGACTTATGTAAATTGGATATCTTGTTGTTTTCCTTTTCATACTTCACTTCAAACTAGTTTAGGCATTTTGGGTATTCTTGTTCGAACGGAAAGAGGAGGATACTTTTAGTTTAGGAACTTAGTCTTTAGGTTTTCTTTTTACCCTTCTCCATTCCCTTGAGTCTGGATATCGGAGCTGGCGGACGAGAGAGAGCAATGGCATCATTTTTTGGAACCTTCCGCGGAACCGATGATCGATGGAATGAAGGCCTGCCTGACCAAACACCTTACCCTCACCGTCCTGTCTCCTCCATACACAAACACTCAACTCCGTTTACTCTTCTACGCGCACAATATTACGAACATCACGACTTTCATGAATCAAACTATAAGATACCTCTCAGCGCACACACGCTCAACAGTTTTCCTTGCATCCATTCCGTACCAGTACTACTACAAATATCAAAACACGATTCTCACGAACCAAAACCGAGCCCACACACCGCCGCGCTGCAACCGGTATATTTCCTTCATCCTCTTATTGCTCACTACCAAATCGAGCGAAGCGAATGGCAATTACGACTGGAGGGGTGTTTACGTTGTAATGATCACGAACGAACGAATGATTGCATAATGTTTCTTCTGTCCATTCCATCCGGCGAGGATCGCCGTTGATGACGAAGGATTCTCGCTTTTCTCTCACAGGCAGGTGGTGGCAGCTGTGTATTTACGCTGGAATTGAAACGGTGATTTGACTGGAAATTGTATTTAGTGGACTCTTACTGGTGGAATGGTATTGGTGATTGGGTCGAGATCGAAGTAGATACCGCACAGCACAGCACAGCGTTGCTCAGCAAGGGCAAGAAAATACTACTCTTATTTTCTGTCGTCATATAGATGACGGAAACCTCACCACAGACATGTTTTTGATCCACTATGATGCTTCAATCTGTGAAAACTGGAGACGGTGTAGAGATCCTGACTTGCTACACCGTTCTGAAAAGTTCTCATCGATTATCATATGAACTTTTGATTGCACTGACAGTATGATTAGACCCACAATGGCAATTGACGGTGAACTCATGAAGTCTTCCTCTCCACTTTCACGTAGACTTGTCAAGTAGCCAGTCGCTCCATCAGTCCTTCATATCTCGATTATCAAGTTTCACATTCTTTCTCCAACAAACGGTGAGGCCTAAGCAAGTCCAACCCTGATATTATGATTCATATCTCGCTGTCTAGTTTACGATATCCATCTTCGCACTTGCCAAGTACATTACAACACCTACGTAGGTATGATGAAAATGCTAAAAACAGCTTTCGTGTCTACCAAGCACCTACGTATTCACGTACCTATGTACCTGCTTGGCCCACACACACAGCAGACACACGCAGGGCACTCACACGCCCACCTCCCAGCAAACCTAGTCAACTCCAGAGTCAAAAACTGAATCAAGAACCAACAGGAGAATCTTATCCAGAGTCTAGACCACGACCCTGTGTAGCACAAACCAGTTTCTGCCCCCTCCCAACCCAAGACACCAGATTCAAGCCCAAGCCCAAGCTCCTCATCCATCCCCATCCCCATCTTCTCCACTCCACTACCCTCCCCTCCTACCAACGACAAACAGCCAGACAGCAAAACAGCGAACAAATCGGCAAGCCGGAAAAATGTGGGCTGACCACCTCCACGCCAGGAACAGAACCCAAAAACAGAAGAAGGAGGAGGAACCGAACTTGCCAACACATCACTCACGTGACGCACTTCCTCATCCCCCATCCCTCATCCCTTCCTATACCTATAATTCCACCTACCTAATGCTAGGTAATTGTCCCTCGGGACTTTCAGGCTTTTCACCCCAGTGCTCTTTTTTTCAGCTAGGCAGGTGGGCTACCTAGTAGGTCAGTCAGACCAGTGATGGACCCTTGAAGGGAGGAATGGTATATCACACACTCCTGCGTCTGACAGGCTGAGATGCGATTCTGCCTAGATTAGATCGAAGAGATAGATCGGCACCGGCGCTGCTGTTTGTGACCGACCCGTGGATGCGATGCGATGGGATGGGATGGGATGGGATGGAGAAGTAAGTAAAGTTTGACTGCTGACGGAAAGTCTATCTAGCGGGCCGTAAACTGACAGCTATTTCGATCTCGATCGGGTCTGAAGACCAGATCACTTCATGGCCATGGCATGGCATGGCATGGCAAAGTCAAGACCACGACGTCAAGTCATGTCAGGTCCACTACCGAGACATGTGAGCGTGCGTGTGAATTGAATGAATACGAATGTGTCTCAGCCATGTTGGATATATCATTCTCTCGTTATACATCATAGGCAAGGGATATGGTCGGAGCTGTTCTGTACTATGCTGAGCTGGGCTGAGATAGGGAATTGGAACGGCAGCGCGGCTGAATAAAGCCTGACCAAAGTCCAAGCCTTCGCATCCTCCTCCGCTTCGCCTTGCCTTGTGCTCCCATCAAAGCATCGGTCATTCAATCGTAAATCCTGTATCCAGTCATCTATCGGTCCAGCCCATTTCAGTTCAGGCCAGCCGAACAACTCTGTCAACGAGCAAATTAAAATCACGATGCAAAATCTTGACCCCACGAATTCATCACGCCCGCTTGTAGAGCCATACTCGCTAGGAAACAAAGTCTCACTTCTCACTTCTTCCCCGTATAGTCTGGGTTGTATTTCTCCTTCCAGATCCTGTTTGTTGCCCGGTTAGCGAGCTGAGATGTGATTCAGATGGTGGGGAATTTGGGTTTGGGAGAGTTTAGGTTCCAAGAAGTGTTGGGTCAACGAGGAGGCCGTGGCCGCTGAGCCTATCGGCGTCGGTTCGCAACAGTCATCTGGAACGAAGAGCTGCACGGGATGGCCACCGGGCCGCGGCGCTGCAGCTACTATATGCATGTAACGCACATGCAGACCCAGCATGACAGTGTCGCTCTCCCATACAGAGAACTCTCTTTCTCCAAGCCTTCCACTCAGGGTCCAAGAACGTGAAGAGGAGTGATGGCTTGATTCTTGGGCGTGGGAGACAAATGAGATGATTTGACGTACCAGGTATTGCCTAACGTCTTGCTGCCTCCGGCTTCCGCGAGCCTGTAGTACTTTGCTGCTGCGAACTGTTGTGAAAATAGCCAATTAGCCTTGCATGTCTAGGAATGGTGGATAGCATGCGTGGGGAAGAGACATATGAGGAAAGCCTCATTGCTGCCCAAATGCAGTCAGCATAGGGGCAAGCCCTCATGCGATGCACACGCAAGCCACAGTGAAGCACTGCGAGGCTGACGCTCCCAATGGCTATGAACCCATGAACCTATTCGGAAGGCTCGGTAGTGGGAAGTAAATAAGGAGAATATTTAAATTTAAGCGTACCTTGTCTTTCTTGCAGCCGAAGCCTTCGACGTAACACCATGCGACTTCATTCATTGCATCTGTTCCGTAACATTAGGTTTCCTTCACAAGAATCAGGCCTGAATGCACTTACCAGTGTCTCCCAAGTTTGCAGCTGTTTCGTAATACTGTTCCCCAGTATGTTAGTTTGAAACTTTGACCATGATTCTCCCAGGTCCACTGCTTGAATGGCCTCACCTGTTTAGCTGCGAATTTGTCAACCTGCACTCCCCATCCGTGACGGAAGCAATTCGCCAGCTCGAAAATGGCAAGCACGAGCTCCCCTTTGGCCGCGCCGCCCTTTTTCATGCCGGCTTGTAGCGCTTGGTCCTCAATGGATGCTGCATTCGATGCAGCTGCCGAGAGATATTTGACAGCCTCTGCTGGGTCTGGAGTGCAACCCCAACCGTGCCTAAAGATTGAGACATCAGATTTGTTCAATAATCGGGCTTGTAGAGATGTCTTGGAAACAAAATAAACAACCAAGGGCCCGTTGCATGCAAAATAGCCAACTGAACATACCGCAAAGCAAGCCCGTACATGACCTGACTCAAAGCATTGTTCTCCCCATTCGGATCTGCTAGCCGCCCAAACATCTTCGTAGAAGTCTCCAACTCGCTGGCTTCATGAAGCCTTATGGCCTCCTGTATATTATCATCTGCTTGTTTCGTTGACACCACAGCCTTTTCCCTAGACCCTCCACTTATATTCAAGTCTTGGAATGAGCCTAGATCTGTCGTAGAACCTCCCACTGGCGTTGTAGGTCTACTCCTTGACTGTTCATTCTTCCTAGCCAACATCGTTGCCCGCTTCTCCCACAACGACTCGCGCGCTTCGCCATCTTCTCCTTCTGGCAAATGAATCTCAGGCAGATCACTCGGCACACTCTCGGAACTTGGTTCGCTCTTTCTCAGATGCAGTCTTTGTGACAGGCGCTTGGGGTTCGCATTCTTCGATTTCGAGGACGAGGCTGAAGCCTGCGAGTTCACGGAAGCGCTTCGCGAGCGGCCCTTGAAGAGTCTGCTAGTCCTGGATTCCGCTGGTCCATCAATGAAAGATGGTGGAGAGGAGGAGTCTTGCGACGAGAAGGTCGGTGGGCTGATTATTTCTTGCGTATGCGTATCCGAGCGCATAAAAGTGAAGGTCGGAGGTTCGAGATCTGGAGCTGGAGCAGGTGGCGGCGCATGGCGCTGCTGCTCGACCTTATCCTTCTTCTTAAGAATATCCCTGAGAGGCATTTTGGCGCGTGGCAGATATCTGGATCGCGTACAAATGTGAGCTGGTGGAGTTGGAGGGGTTGTGGAGTGGAGTGTCCGTCAGGGAGCCTTGTGAGGATGCAATGAGATAGTCAAAGAACTGTGAAAGCTATGAATCTTTCTTTTGCAAATTCGTTGCGATTTTAAGATATCCGTAAAGTTGCCTTACAACGGCGCAAGCTTGTATATAGCAGTCGCATCTGGATTGAGGCGTCCTTACGTTGAGTTGGTAGCGGTTGCTGATCTTGGCTCTTGAGCCGTGGGAGAGGCTTAGATCTAGGTAGAAGGCGGCGCAGTGTCGTGCTTTCCCCTGAATAGTACTTCGACGCGCCCGTGTGAGATTTAAATAGAGCTTTCAGGGCGCGAGTGGGTTGCGTTTCATGGGAAGTGGTACTGCATTAGGGGACATGTACGACTGGGGGGCTTCAGTTCATCCTTCGTTCAAGATGCTTGTGAGGTTACGAAGTTACAACGTTGTGACCCCGCCCCCTTTTCCTGCCGAGAGACATTCGCTACGAGGGGAGTAAACATTGGCAACTTGTGACAAGGAGAAATCATTTTGCATGACGATGGAGGCCATCGCGGCATGTGAATTACCAGCTAACTGAAATTTGGTGTATCTAGCTGAAGTCCCACAAGCTTACTAAAAGGCGGTCGTGCACTTCAGATGAAGCGTCCTGTTTCATGAAAATCTTCTTGGGTATCTCAAACTCAATAACAGGCATCTTTTTGACATCCTTGACATATTCTGCCTCCAGCATCTGTGTTGTATTAGCATTGAGTACTACTAATGGAAAGACGATCTTGTGACTTACACTGCCATACGAATGGTCCAAGAAGTCCTCCATGTTGTAAGACTGCTTGGTGAACTGCTCGGATATGATCTTTGCCAAAGTAGCAACATTGGGGTGGTAGTGCGACTGAAGAGTCACAATCTCCCACAAGCTACTTTCAATAGCTTTCGTCTCCATTGGATCTTCTTCATCCATCAAAAATGGATCATCCATGCCTTCCTTTTCTAAGAGCTCCTTTGCCTTGGCACCTCTCGTCTCCCGGTGTATCATGAAGGTGCACATGGGATGCTTCTTTAAAATATTGTAGATCCATGGAACAACCGTTACTACGGCAGCTGGCGGTGCGTTGAGCGTCAAACGTGAAAGTCTCTTGATGAAGCTGGCGACAAGGACTGCCGGAAGATGTGTAGACCCTAAGAATGTCTCGAGAAGCCGGAAGAACCTTGATCGATGTTTTGAATGAAGAATCTCGGAGTCTAAGAGAGAATATAGCTTTCGATAAAACGAGGGGTAATCGAGGTTCTTTTCTTGAAGCAGGTAGAATACTCCCGACAATGCAAGGAGCGAGGTTGATCCCCCAGCATTGTAAGAATCTGTCAGGAAATCCATCAAAAGTTCTGGCTTCATGAACCAAGGCGCAATTGATTTAACCATGAGGCCCAATACAGATTTCCTCTGCTCCTTGTCCATCTCCAAGTTCATCAAAGCTAACCAAGCATTCTGCGCCCGCTTCTTGTGCTGTGTGAGTGAGTACAAGGCATGGGTTGTTTTCGTTGGCGCTGGGACCCAGAAATCTTCTAGTTCGTCTTTTGATTCTGGGACGGATTCAATGGCTGTAAGTATCTGAAGGGCATTGTTGAAAATGGCTTGCGTCTCGGCTTCAACTAGAAGCTTCCTATGCTATTGTTAGAATTATCATTTGCAATGTGGATAAATACTAACTCAAGTGCCTCCAGTGTATAGAACCGAACGTCGTCGTATTCTTCAACATACGCCTCACTGAACTCCTCTCTGACATTGCCATCGCTTTCAGGGTCAAGGAAAACCCTTACCATGTCCGTAAGAAATGTTGTTGGGAAGCTATATTCCAGACCTCTGAGGTGCTGCCCTTCAGTCTTGAGCAGCCGCATGCAGAGATCCAATACTGTTGAAGAGACTCCTTCCTCGCCGAGCAGCAACAGTAGGCCAGCCTTGTACTCGGAATACCTTTCCTTCAACCATTTCATCACCACGGCATCCTTCTCATTTGTTGCTTGTTTCCTAACCATATCTCCAGAAACCATCAATGATGTGAAAACTCGACATAGCGAAATCGCTGCAACAACCGAATCATCTGCCTCATCGCCATCGGCACCCAGTATCTGGATCAATTTTGTTACGTTGTTGTAGTTTTTCTTCGACTTGAGAATTTCATCGGCGAGCAGTATAATTTGCGCCTGGCTGTCTTCCTCACCACTGCTCTCAGAACTCTCGGATCGCGCTCGTTTCGATGGACCCCTTTCCGAAGAGGTTCTTTTCCTCTTGCCGGACTGGCTTGGCCCACTGGTAGGTCCTGGCATATTGGCAGATTCGTGATAGCAAGAGTCCGTGAATCTCTCAAATTCGGAACAAAATAAGCTGCTTCCGCCAGGCTGAGGGTACTTTTTAAAGTGGGGCGAATATCACGTGGACCAAAGCTCAACCGACAAGCCGCTCCAATTCTTCACTCCGTACAAGCACATCGCGAAGCTCGACAGCATCTCCCCTCATCTCACAATGGCATCACGTTTGGCAAGAAGCGCTGCAGGTATGTATCTGAACGTCTAGACGATGATTCTGGAGCAATTGGAGCTTGAATGGCTGACTGACGACTCCTCAAGGCGCCGCCCGTCTTCGACCAGCTTTCTCTCCCCGTACCCTCCCGGCCCTCACCACATCCCTCACAAGCTACCGATCGTCTTCGACCGTTCCAGCAGAGGACCCAAAGAAGAAGGCACAATCGATTCTCGACTCTTTGCCAGGCAACTCTTTGATCTCCAAGACCGCGATCCTTTCGTCCTCGGCCGGTGCCGCCATCTACGCAATCAGCAACGAATACTATGTTGTGAACGAGGAGACAGTTGTTGCGCTCTGCTTGTTGAGCATCTGGGGTGCCGTCTTCAAATATGGTGGACCAATGTACAAGGAGTGGGCGGATGGACAGGTCAACAAGATTAAGGGCATCTTGAACGCTGCTCGTGCCGATCACACCGAAGCCGTCAAGACCAGAATTGAGAGCGTGCAACAATTGGGAAGCGTTGTGGATGTTACCAAGACTCTCTTCGAGGTCTCAAAGGTTGGTGAATGATGGAATCATAACGCGGGGATGGCAACTTACAATTGGCAGGAAACCGCACAACTTGAGGCTAAGGCATACGAGCTCGAGCAAACCACTGCTCTTGCTGCTGAGGCGAAGGCTGTTCTCGATTCGTGGGTTAGATATGAGGGACAGGTCAAGATCCGTCAACAGAAGGAGCTTTCGGAATCTGTCATTGCCAAGATCCAGAAGGAGCTCGAGAACCCCAAGGTCCTTCAACAGATCTTGCAACAAAGCGTAGCAGATGTTGAGAGTAAGTCTTGGTCCACAGATTGGAAGCTGAACATTACTAATGTAAAATTGCAGAGATCATCTCGTCCAAGGCGCAATAGATTAGTGATGGGATCGAGCAGAAACAGATTTCCTTTTGTCACCCATGTTGTTTATAAACCTCCTGTGCCATAGTAACCCCTCAAGTATCAATTCCTAAAACATACTTTCTCAAACTCTTCGTAAATTATCTCTCTTATCTAGCTGCGCCGATCCCGTGAACAGCATTCTAGGTGACTTCATTGCTTCTCGGTTAGTCATATTTACTCTGATCTGGCATCCTATGCTTGTTTGACCTTCCGGTGCTCCGCGACGCTCTCCTGCTCGAGCATTCTTGGGCAAATAGCGTTTGACACCACGCTTCAGACGTAGAGACCCTTCGATACTAAGTTGCTGGAACCCGCTATGAATCTTCCTTGAACACCTCCTTATAGGTGTTGCACTCCTGGATTTCCAGAGCTCTTTACTTTAAAATGTACGCTGCTGCTCAGCCGGCAGCAATCGCAGATCGTCGATGTGGCCACGTCGTGGTTCCTTTGGGAAATATCTTCATGTCAGGTCGATGGCTTTGGTACTGTATGCAGCAACGATCCAGATATTCGAGAAGAGCTTACATATCTCCAAGAAGAACGCCACTGGCAAGAGGCGTAACGAACTGTACTATGTTGAAGGAGCCATACCTAAGCGTACGCGATGAACTTTTTGTTTCTGTCTCCCTTGCAATGGCAAAAGTATGCATTAATTATGATTTGTGGTTAGCGCTTTTGTAGATAATATGACCGAGATAGGGCCCTTGTAAGCGGCCCCAGCCGTCAAATGTTGCGTTCATGAGTGACAGACAGGTCAGGCGTTTGTTGTTCATACGCTCTAGATCCAGCTAAGACTCTCTATTGTGAGAAGGATATATCTTTTTCAGGTGAAAGCTTCCGACTGAATATTTTGAGTTGATGGCAGACACACAAAGCTATAGACTTGACTCGGAACATTCATGCTGGTGGAAAGTATGAGTGAGTGGATTTACTAGACTCGACTCCATGCTCACGGGAAATCAAAACGCACTCAATCAACTCCCTTATAATAACATGACCTTCTGTCACTTGACAGACCATGCAATAAAATGCTCTTTGTCTCTCACCCTCAAGGAGCACTCTGGACATGACTTCTTCCGTGCTCCTACCTATACTCTCACATTCCTCGTCAGTGGACACCACAGTTTAGCTTTTCCCAGAATCGTGTGACACGGGTTGTCTGGTTCGGAGAGTATTTTCCGTTCTATGCAAACAGTGGCATGTTGATCGATGAGGTGTTTGTTGTTTGGTGAGACCGTTGCCAGAGCCATCTGCTAAATGTCGTTTGGGACTTTTTCTATGCCAAAAAGATTACCAGAGCAGCGATCTAGATTTGATTCTCTAATTCACTATCCGGGACAGCATAGTTCCGTCGCTTTCCAACCGTGAGTGAATCAAGAGGCATGATTTACGATTAAACTTGTGTAGTCTTTTATATGGAGCATGTATCTTGCGATAGTAAGTTGCAGCCTTGTCATCAGATGCATAAGCGAGTAGACGTGGCTGACTTCTTATAATAACTTTTTATACTATCTCTAAGTCTTTATAAACAGATACTTCTGGCAAGGACAGAGTCTGCGGGCACTTTTACGTGCAGAGAATAGTAGGATTGAAAGTCTCAAGCTGCTTGTTTACGGAGCTCCTACATAGTAGCAGAATGGCCAATACGTTAGGTGTGGCAGATTTCGAAAGATTGCAATACACAAACAAAGTACAAGCTGCTCCAAACCGAGATGTGTTTCGGGAGAGTCATCTGATTGGTCGGCTTGAGATTGGTGGAAAACATGCTCGGACAGCAAGCGAGGTCGCTAAATTTGAATCAGCTCCAGCCAAATTTACACTTCTTCTCTCTCTCACTCTACAAATCGGACAACTTCCTGCCTTACGTCTTCAAAGAAACACAGCTTTATTCTTTAGTGTTCAGCTCCTCCCAGCTTCACTTCCACCACACCACATCGACCCACCCTGACACCCGTTTGATCGTTTCTGGAATTTGTTTCTACCGCAGACATGGCTTCTATTTCGAAGAGCTATTTGGACCTCGTAAATGACTGCGACAGGTACTCAATTCTCTTTCTTGAAAAGCAGATCAGAAGACTAATCAAATTCTAGCTTTCCCTACGATGAACCATTTAATGCACCTCACGATCATTGGTCCACTCTCTATCGATTCTTCCTTCCCGAAGACACTCGCCCGCATGGACTCATGCTCCCTGAGATAGTCAAGAAGATGCCCTGGACCTCCGATTTCCACGTCGATCACGCAGCCCGAGCCGTCTACCTCAAGCCAGAAGATACTTCCAGCGATCTCTCAACCTCCTGCACCAACGCCTTCTCTAAGCTCATCCAAAGAAGTATCGATCAAGACAACTTTACTGTCATCCACAAGAGACATAGCGAGCACTATCCTATCGTCGGATACAAGCATCTTGTCAAGTTCGAACGCTATGCTGGGAATCTGTTCGGCTTCGTGTCACGTGGTGCACATTTAACGGTCTACTCCAACACCAAGGATGGTATGAAGATCTGGGTGCCAAGACGCTCGGCTCACCTGTTCACATATCCCAACTGTCTGGATACAACTGTCGCTGGTGGAGTGGCTGCAGGTGAAGGACCATTCGAGTGTATCGTTCGTGAAGCAGACGAGGAGGCTTCGCTAGCTGAGGATTTGGTACGGAAAGAGACAAAGGCATGTGGTTGCATCACTTACGTTGGTCTGACGGATCCAAGAGGGAATGGTGAACAGGGATTGCTCTCTAACGATCTGATCTACGTCTACGACTTAGAGTTGCCTGAAGGTATCGTCTGCCGCCAGAATGATGATGAGGTCAAGGAGTTCAATCTGATGAGCATCGAGGAAGTGAAGCAGGGCCTTAGAGAAGGGGAGTTCAAGACGAACAGTGCCTTGGTCATGATTGATTTCTTCATCCGACATGGCATTATTAACTGTGAGAAAGAGAAGGACTATGCAGAGATCATGGCTCGACTTCATCGCAAGCTGCCGCTTCCTACCGCGGCAGAGTAGTCAAGTGACCTTGTTAGGGGGTTAGCTTATTAGACTATCTGAACCCAAAATCAAACCCAGAATCGGAACTAGCCCTGGAGTCTCTGGATTTTATCTTTCGAGGTATCCGAGACTTTGATTTTGAAGGCACAATCTGCTTCTTGCCGTCTTCAACGTCGTCTCTGGCCAGCGGAACAAAGTGCTTGCTCCATATCCAGCCTACTTGATTCGAAGGATCGTCTTGACTTTTTGCTAGCCAAAGTTCACCCTTCTCAGCAACAACGTCAAAGATCTGTACTCTTGTAAGCAAGGAACTAAGAACAAGTGCTAAAAAGTATTTCTACTTACCTCACCAGCTTGATACGAAAGATATGGCCACCCGGCTTCCATGTGGTTGCGTATATTGAACTGGAAGAGACTTGCAGCTATATAGAGAACGTTGTATTCAGGGATACCAGTGTCAATATCACCATCTACTTCGTCATCCATGGGCATCGCAGACGAAGATGGGTTTGGATAGAATGGGTCGAGTGGTGGCTGCCAACGGGTCTTGTGATGGTTTCGACGGTCCTCGAATGTCCGAGATTTCAAGTCGTCCATCTGGAACTCCAACATGTCTAAGTTTGGTGGTGTCCACTTTTCTCCAATGTCGACTTCGAGCTTGGGCGCATCTTTTGCTACATTGGATCCCGTCTCGACGTACGAGTCATTATCTGTGTCAGTCGTATCTGCTGGAGTAACTGAACCTGCATCGCTTGCAATGTGGATCTGCGGTACTTGTTCGTTGTTTCCCTCTAATGTTACATCGGCCGCGGGTGCTGTGACAACTAGCTCTAGCGGCTGAGCCTTCGAACTAGTTTGTGTAAGGACTCCTTCATAAGCGGACGAAGAAAGCAAGATCGGCTCCGAGATATCTGCCTTCCTCAGAGGTTTCCTACTACTGACAGTCGGACTTCTACCCAGCAATCGAAGTCCTCTGGGGAGGGTAATTGTCTCCACATTGCTGCCCGCTTGAGTAGTAAGCGTCAATTTGGGCCCGGATTGTGTCAGTCTGGACCGGATCTGAGATCTCCATCCCTCGGAGGTACTTCTTTTGTGCTTCTGCATATTCGAGGGAGAACTTGCGAGCAAGCCATCCATTTCGGCATCTCCGAATGAATATAGGTTGCTGTTGTGAAGATCCGATTCGAAGATAGGGAGTGCTTGAACAGCAATGTTTGAAATTTGCGATAGGCTTAGTGCAGAAAGAATCGACCAGGACTGCGTCAGTTGAGTTGATGAAGCTATCGAGAAGGGCCGTGTTGCATGGGCTTTAGCCCTCTTATAGACCCATGAGGTCTGAAGGTCGTCATCGAACGAGAAGCCTAGAGCCGGATGTATAGTAGGATTGGTAGACGCCACGACTGTGGCATCGCTAACGATGTCCTTGCTGAATATAGAACCCGAGTCGTTGCCGCCAACCAGAACAGATCGCGCCATCATTTTCTCCATCCTCGCCATTCTTTCTGACATCTCCTGATTACTCTGTACCCACATGGTTCTCAGCTCCCCGACAGCGGTTTCAGCAGCAAATGTAGATTTGCTACCATATCATGTTAGTCATGTTGAATGGGCGATGGGTGCACAACCCCAAGAACTTGGTACTGACGTCGTTACAATGCTTATCATCAATATCAACGATGATTTGCCCTTCTCAAGCCTTTGCAAGTATCCTTTCAGCTCATCTGCTTTGGATAACCACCTTACACTATCCAGCCAGCCAAGCTTTTGATCTGCATCCAATCCCTCGATACATTTTTTCAGATCCGAGAATACTCTCACCAATTCTGTTAAAGTCAACGCAATTTCTTCGAACAAGATCATGGCGGCTCGTTCTGGATGGATTTTCGCCTGATTGAGGAGCAGTAACTGTACTTGCTGCACAACGGGTCGAAGGGTATCGACTGTTGTCTTGATATCGTTTATCTCACTAGACCCGCTCTTCTTGGTCGAGACTAACTTCGATATCGCAGCTGAAGTCATCTGAGCTGCCGTCAATAGCCCTGCCACCGAGGCCGCTACAGAGAGTGGATCCGACATGTCTCTTTAATGGCGCGTAAAAAATATTGCCTCGAATGAGAGTAAATGTCTTGTCAAAATTCCATCAAGATAAAAGTTTCATGACTCCCGGAGGTGTAAAATAGAGATCAGGATGCTGAAAGATGATCAAGCTGAACAAGTCGGGCGGCTCAGCCCCAAGTCACGAGTGTGGCATTCAAGCCACCAAACCAGGGTTTCGAGACATTGAAGTGTCAGTGCAGGGCCCCAAGAGAATTGCGACGTAGTCGCTTTGATATTCAAAGTATATTTGCAAGTTCAAAATCTTGACATACTATATGAACGTGTGTCAAGCGACCAACATAGTAGGGTTTTATTGCTCGTTGACAGTGCAACAGTGCTGATGTCAAGATTTTGCAGCAGGATGTCTCCACTAGGAGAAACTATATTGACTATGGCTAGCACGACACAGGATCTTGTCAGGCACCTCTTGCTTGATTAACTCACAGTTAGATAATCGAAAGAGAATCGTAACAGCATACTATTGGCTCCAGTGGCATGAAATAAATAAGAGAGAAAAACCGAGTGGCAACTTCAAGGTAATAGGAAGCATATCGATAGAGGTGGGATTCGACGAATATCACTTGATATCCCGCCCAATTTCTGCCCTGGCTGCGGTCTCTTGATAGTTGCAAGCTTTGCCACACCATTGGCGATGGACTGATCAAGTGCTTATCGCACCAAGCACGCATAGGTTAAGTTGCATGGCGCATAAAAGAAGATGAGCCAGGTGTTTGCAGGACAAGTTATCCATTGGGTATTGTTCTTCATAGCATTTTGCACTCCGAACCCTGCTATCGCCCACCCTGAACTCCACTCCCCGCCATACAATGTATGCATGCGATATGGAGTGGGCGCTTCGCAGCTATGCACCGTCCAATTGACGGTTTCCCATTCCCGAAGAAGTCGAAGAAGTATCGGGCTGGAAGTGGCCCGTTGGCAATAAGATTGCATGCGCTCGTGGTCTCGTAATTCGTCTCGAGAATATCCCTCTCCCCTTCCTCAGTCCCAATCCACATCACCAGATTTGCTATCATTTCCCTTTGGTCGCCTGCTGCGCAGCCTCTCTTCGGGTTGCTAGAAGATATCAGCCCCGTTCCAGTACACATAAACGCGGGGTACAAACCATCCTCCAACAGTGCCGTATCTACCGCGCCACCTGGCAGGTGTACATATCTGACCACACTGCCTCGAATAAAGACATTCTTAACGGAAGACTAGAGCAACCAATCAGTGATTATCCTTGCTAATTCATGCTATGTCTTCAAGCTCTTCGTGTCTGCTAGATGGGATAACGGACCAGATGTGGGTACTTCAGCTCTTCTACCACCGATATGTCATCGAGCTTGATATTCAGGTATTGATCGACCGATTTCAGGGTTCCACGGATTTGAATGTCGTTCTTGAGCTCGACGGTGACCTCATGGTCCACCAAAGTCTTGAAGAAGCTATTCGCAACAAATAAGATTAGGATTCGCGGAAGAATGAAGGCTTCGGAATTATGCACAGCTTACGTACCTGAAAAATAGCATCTTGGCTATTGAGACGCGTCCTAAGCTCAGAAACCGGGGTTGTTGTTGTGAGATGTCAAATTAGAGAACGAGGTTGAGGTTAATCGTAAGGCAGAAATTGAGGCAGAGATCCGGATAGTTGGGATTTGGGAATTTGGTCCAACCTCACCTTGCACCGATGACAACAACGGAGGAAGTACACAGGTCTTTGGATGCAGCGATCCCTGTATTACGAGACTTTGGAGAATAAACGATTCACTTCGAATATTATCGATTTCCAACGGCTATTCAGTGAGACGTTGACAATGTGTACGAACTCTTGTCAAGCTTCATCCAACTGCGGCGGCCGCAACTGTATCCAGCTGTCGGCAATGCATTCACACTTCTGATCGATGGATCGATGATCCCCTTCTCTGAGTCTAAGGAGGCGATATTGAAGATAGCATTGGCTGGCCTTTCTCTGCTGGCGCTTTTGGAGGCTGAGGCCTCTGAATACTCCTGCACTGGAGCCAGATTCGATCGACCTGGCACGAGGTCAAAATTGCACATGCTACGGGGGAAACTACTTCTTTTGTTCTGTTAACGTCGATGCATCCTTTTCATTATGTGACCATGTTGCGGACGTCCTCGGATGGACCGATCGGTCGATATGTTTCTCCTTTCTCAATTCGCTATCCAGATGGAGATTCCCTTACTCTGAGAGCATCCTGTCGCAGATATTCGCTGGCTTGTTCATGGCGAGACAAGGTTCCAGCTGACCCCTACGGATGGCTGCAAAGCCGTTACATGAGTTGCTATTTACACGGATGTTTCGTTTCCGAGCCTCTTCTGACATTCCGACTTTTGATTCACAACTCGTCAAACTTACACGTCGGAGCCTCCAAATTGACCCTGTTCTGGTCATCACTATCCTGCATTATCGTTTCTCTCGTGTACGCAAGTGATCTTGCCACTCACCTTATGGCCAGTACTCACCTGTCGAAGAAATTGGCTACCACCGAAGAGGTGCATTGAGGTATTACGAGGGGCTTCGTGATTCTGGTTCAAACGCCGCCAGATTTTGTTTCAACGGCTCTTCGAATGCAGCTGAGTACACCCTCGAAGAAGGCGAGCAGTCTCGGCCTTGCCAATTGTCCGTGCAGGGGTTTGTGTGGCATCTTTCTCTGCTCACTGCAACTAAAGCTTTCTGCAGTTGTTACGAAGTGGCAATTAAGTCTTAGTTTCTATTATTTCGCTGTGGTCAATTTGTGCTGTAAGATATCACATGCTGTTCAAGTCATCTTAAACAGGCCCGGCCACTTGTACGATTCCATGGCTCATGTATCACGATTCTGACTGCTGATCAATTGCAGCCTTTGTTGCCGCAGACAGATCATGCCCTAACAGCCATTATTCGACTTTCAACGCCACATGTCAATCTTCTGTTTTCTGTCTTAACTTTTCTCTCACAAGGATGACCCTGCGTCAGCCTTAACCACAAATAAGGCTTTGACATAAAATCTAGACCTATATTCAGATTATTTTGGAGGGTTTTCAGTGGTTAGGCTAAATCCTTCAAGCCTCAAAGTATGGCCTGCATATCTGGGATCTCTGGGGAAAAGCGACCAGCCGCTGCGGGCCGGCACAAGGATTCCAGCCTATCACAAGACAAACATTGGTAAATATCAACGCCTCGGTCTGAGTGAAAAGAATCCAGAGCCAAGATGCATGGTTATCTGCGGACAAATGCCAATCGTGCTGACTGCTGCTTGCAGATGCTCGGGGTCTTGATCTCTTGCTCGTCCCTGTGTTACCTTGCCCATCCTTGAATGCATATGCACTGACTTCTATTTCTGGTAAGAGAGAGTGTCAACGAAAGGCTAGAATCTGCCCGAGATTTGCTATATCTTATCGTCCTGCCTTTCAAGCTGATCTTCGGGTTACACCATTACTCTCGACTACGAACCTGCTTGATAAGAGGCACATAAAGTGTCGACTTGGCTCCCTTCCTGCTCCTAGAACGATTACATTACAGTTCGCTACAGCCTAGTTGAATATGGCAGCTGCTGAAGTTGAAGTTCCTCCCACGGAGACGGCTGGCTTGCCAGACTATCTCCTTGATCCCAATGCCACTTTGAAAGACGATTCTGCGAAATGGAGATATGGCCAAGCTCCAGACTATACCAATACTCGTAAAATCTATGAACAAAGTAAGCATAAATCTCAATTGATGTCTATCCAAAGCACGATAAGAAGTATGTTTTGACAGATGGCCACAGCGAAAACCCAAAACCATACGGCAGCTTCTCTCCCCAACCTTGTCGAGAACCTTGTCAAGAACTGGGAAGTAGAGGCCAGTTTCAAACCCGATATCTCCGACTGGCGTACCATCGACCATGCTAACTACACATTTTCAATCAACGGCGGCCTTCCCCAGAGCGCAGAACACATGCTGAAGGTCGGGACGTACAACGCCATTATCACCTCCAATGAGTTCTACGATCCTGAGAAGTCAGACTTCGCAAGTAGTCACAAGACCTTCAAGAGGATGATGCCGACATTTGCGTGGGAGGTGTTGGAGGTTTACAGTGGGCCGCCTGTTGTGGCCTTCAAGTGGAGGCATTGGGGTACAATGAAGAATGATTATGTCGGGGTCAACGAGTAAGTCTTCTTATCAAGCACTGCCAAAAGTCTGTCCATATTTTATACTGTACTTACAACACACCAGCAAAGACGAGAAAGTCACAGTGAAAGCCCATGGCGGAGCAATTGACATCCAAGGCATCACGGTCGCCAAAGTCGACGACAAGGTGCGCTTGCAGAGCGTAGAAACATGGTTCGATCCTATGGAGATGTTTCGACAGATTGCACCTAATGGAGAGGTGACGAAGACTCCGGTTGTAACAAAGCCAGGTGAAGATATAACGACGCTGTTACATGGCGAGGAGACTGTGCCCGTTGAGGAGGTGCTGAACTCAGCAGGCTCGACGGCCACTGCGATGGCTCATGAGGAGATGGCTGGAGCTACGACTGCGGCTTGTCCTTTTATTGCGAAACATGAGTGAGCTTTGACGAGAAGAACATATGGTTGACTTCATACTGTTGTTTTTCAGCCGAACCTTTCACAATGGATCATACTAATTCTTGTGTTGTACTCTCTATTCCTACGTATATATATGCTGGAGGTGATCCGTTCTTAGACCGAACAAGAATTTCCCTGGTAGACCCTTCTTCGAATACCAAAATCTTCAAACTATACACATGAACTTTCATGCTCGCGCCTTATCCCAGCCAGCCCTGACATTATCAAGCAATTCCCTCATGGGAGAAAAGCAAGGATCGATAACAGTGTCGTGGCCTGCGCCGGAAATCTCGCTGACCTTAACCTTGATCCCTTCTCCACAATTATCTTGCTTGAAACACTCCTTGAAATACTTCATACCAGTCGTGCCTATCATGGAATCACTTCCCTCTCCAAACACAACATCAAGCTTCAATTTCTGCCCATTTTCTTTCGCCCTCTCCTCCCAGTCAAACTTGAGCTTCAGGACGAATGTCGGATAGACCTCACATTTGTCCCAACCAGTGCCTGGTAAGCTCTTCAGACAGAATCTCGCCTCGTCATTACCACCTGATGTGTTTTCTGCAAAAAGAAACTTGCCCAAATTTTTCGCGACTTCAGCTTGAACGGCGGAGCTGACTCCGTAACATTCTCTGGTCAGCTTCTCTTCACTCTCTCGTGATCTCATCTCTTGTCGGCTACCTTTGAAGAGATTCGTGATGTTGTCGAAGACAGTAGAGCTTGCTTGGAACGATGGGATACCCATGGTGACTATGCCGCTAATGATGCTATTCCAGTTGTTGATGAGAGGGTCGGGTAATGCAGCAGCCAATTTAAGCGAAGTGCTGCCAGATATTGATTGATGTACCCATGGTGAGAAGAGTGTGAGGATCGGGTTTGCTGGATAGAGCAAGTCGTGGTGGTGGGCGATGAGGTTCAAGGCATAGATGGTTCCGGCGCTCTGTGACGCCAGTGCGATGTGTTGGATTTTCAAATGAGCTAGCAAAGCAATGACTGTCTCGAGAAAGATCGAGAGTCTTTGCGAAATTGGGACAGGCGTAGAGCCTCCGAAGCCTGGTCTATAAGACATTAGAATGCTAGCTAGCAACAAACAGCAGCAAGACAGTTGGACGGTTCGAATGTCACATGTTCCCGAGCAGAAAACCAGGATGGTTTGGATTATGATATCTGCTTACCTGTCAATCATCAATATCCTTACCCCCTTCTGAGTTGCAATCCAATCCTGTGTGACGCCAAGATATCGTGTTGCAAACATCCCTCCACAATACAAGATCGTGGGTGCATCCGCTTCAATTTCCGGCCCGGCAAACCCATACGAGACCTTCAAAGCTTCATGATTATTCGTTGCTGGGAGAGTGAATAAGCGATGGAATTTTCTCTGAGAGATGAGAGTATTGGCTTGCTCTTCAGCACTTAGAGTTGGGTCATCTGGTGAGAATGGATGAGGAACAGCTGTTGGTAGTTTGGCATCCATGTTTGTGTCTTCAAATGTGGAAATTAGATATTATGAATTGCTCTCAAAGAACAGATAAGAATCTTAGAGACCAATTGCAACTGTGCAAGGATTTCAATATGCTGCCTATTTAGATGAAAGGTGTAGTCTAGGAGTTACGCGGCGACAGCTGAAGAACGTTGGAACACAAGCTTCAAAAGGAGCGAGCCAATTAGAGAGAAGGTACGAAAGGACCAATAGCGACTGTCTCGGCAACTTACATAAGTCGCCTCTGCCAAACTTCGATAAACCTCTAGTCCGTCAAGATTGGAAAATTAGTCTCTTAAAATGAGGAATCCTCTATAGACGAACAAATCGACTATCTATCCTCTTTCCCGGATTCAAGTTTTAGTGATCCCCTTTGTTTTTCCATGCCTCCATACGCCTCAACTCCTTGCCATGCAAATTTCCAATAATGAGTTGTAATCAGACAAGGAGGACACTGGATTTTGTTAGCTATGTGGCCAAGTGTTATCATCAGAATTGGACTTACGCATTGACGCATCCATCGTTCTCGCAATTGTTTCTGTGAACTTGGGTCAGTTTCATTTCTCCATAGGTGTCGACTTTTAGACAATGTCTTCAGTCTTCAGAGCAAGAGACTTGCATGGCCTAGCGACTTGAAATTGTTCGAGGGAAAGAATACTGTGGGAGTAAGATTTACGGGCATTTTGCAATGACTTACGTGATTTGTGCCCATTTACCCCAAACCACCTTTCCTCCAGCTGTTACCATACCCAACTCGCTGACGTTGACTTCGATGATCGTTCCCTTGGTCAAGACACCGAGTTGAGTATACATTGGGTTTTGCGGGTTCTTCTTGACCTAGGGGAGGGATTAGCATGACCTCAGCCTGTACAGTGGGCGGATTGGACTAACAGAGATGATAGGCAATTGGACAGTGACGCCCAATTCTGGATGTGTCACATTGCACTTCTTATAACGTAGACCCATGGGCCTGATGAATCGCTCGTACTTGACGGGACGTCTTGTGAAGTCTGGCAGATGGTCAGTGCTCTGTTATTCAGTGATCCCAATAGCAGTACGTACCAGGTCCGACGAAAGTAGGCTTGGTGATCATTCTCTTCCATCCCTTCTTTGCGGTCTTCTTTCCGGTCTAAAAGTTTCATATTAGCTGAGGTTCTGAAGTGATTCCACGGAAAAATCAGGAAGCTCGATATGTGCAGTCTCGAGGTTTCTCGACGTAAAACCGGTAACCGGCCAAATAAGATTCCCTCGATATTCCACGCTTCCCCGCCGTTTTAAAGTATGGTAGCTCCGGATTTGTATGATCCCACAGGGAGTGAAGGAAGTACCGTTACATACCTTTACGACCTTGAACATCTCCTGCTCTGAAATTCCCTTGACTTTAGGTAAAGGCACACTGAAACGTGCCGCCTTCTCTGATCGCTTGTTCTTGATAGCGCTCGATAACGCCTTCGCAGAAGTGGGATTCGAACGGTCGAGGAGGTACTGAGGAAGTGGCGTGCTGCTTGGCTCGTTTGGTGCAGAAGACTTGACGTTTCGCTCTTCGTGCGCCTTGATTTGCTTCTTCATCTGGATCTTCTCATGGTGTCTCTTCTTCTGGTATAGCTTGGCTCTCAATCCAGTCAATTTCTGAGCATCCTCGGATGCTTTGTGGCCCTCTCGTGCTGCCTTCTTGCGAGTTCTCTCCTCATGATCGAGTCTTCTACCGTGGAGCTTGCGCCACCGGTCCATGTACCTGCAAAGATTGGATTAGCACAGATAATCTTACAAGAAATTTGTAGCACGTACTCATTCTGAGGCATGATGGGCTATTTCGGGGGAGAAAGTTTGATGTGGGGGAGTCTGCCAAAACTTGAGGCTGCTTGCGATATCCGATAAGATTTTTTGGATGTGAGCTAGGCACGCTTCGGGACTAGACGAGCTTCTGACTAAGCACAAAATTGTCCAAGATGGTAGCTTTGGATATTGGGAGTCTATTCAGACATTGGGAGGGCAGACATTATACCCATCCTCAAGATGCTCAGCAGAACAGTCAGAAAGTCCTTACTGGACACCAGAATACCTTTCTCCGCGCTGCCTCCAACTTTCCTCCTCCCAAATCGCGCTCGATACTTCCAATCTACCACACAACATATCGAATCCCCTGCGTCGTCGTTCGATTCCTCACAATTACCTACGACGGCATCCTCGACCCCTACTTCAGCTCCTCCGCGCATTCTAACGAAGAGGACTGTTCCCCCGCCTCCAGCGCCAATTGAGACTCCCCTTGCGCTCTCTGAATCAGTTAAGGAGCTTCTCCCGCTTCTAGCAACACAACCATCTCACTATGTGAGCGCACACATTCACGGCAAGCCATACCTCGTCACAGTTGGAGATATGGTCCGACTACCATTTCAGATGCCCGGTGTCGTGGCGGGGGATGTTCTAAGACTGAATAGAGCATCGATTATTGGATCTCGAGATTATACCTTGAAGGGAACACCATATGTGGATGAGAGGTTGTTTGAATGCAGGGCAAGGGTTATGGGAGTGGAGGCAGAGCCGATGAGAATCAAGGAGAAGACGAAACGGAGGAACAGGAAGATCAAGACCGTGAAGAGCAAACTGAAGTTCACAATCCTACGAATATCAGATTTGAAGATCAAGACCCTTGAGGAGGTTGAGCAATGATTGGGCGAGTTGGGTCATCAATCCGTGGACGATGAAGTGGAGGAGTGATCTCCCAGAGTCGAACTATTGGGATTTTTGCTTGGCAACAAGCAATGTATATTATGTATCATGGGGCACTGCTGAATGTCACGTATCGGCAATTTTCAGCCACAATTCCCAAAATCCTGGGTTCAACCCGTGCAAAATATCGAATCTTGTGGCTGGAGCTAACTTCAACCGCAAGGCATTCTATTTGAGTTTTCGTGTCTTATGAGTCTGGTCTCTTTCTGGCATTTGCGCGTCTTGATTTGCTGTTCTGGCTGCCAAGTGTTCAGCCTCAAGCCTCGCGAACCATCACGGCCGAAAAGCTGCATAGTGGGCGTTTTTTCGACCGAAATCTTCGGTACTTTGATTTGATTAAGCACAGTTTTGATTTTGTAATCTCCATATCTGGCGTTAGGCTAAGCCTCAAAGGAAGCACAGCACTGTCTCGAAAATGGATTGGTGCTGAGATGGGCATTTACTATGAATTCCTGGTCTGCCCCATCATTACAAGTCCATATCTGATTTCTGTTGCGATCTCTTAAATGCCTTTTCAGCATGCAAAATCATCCTTATGATACTGGTATGTTCAGCTATCGGTTCTAGCCTCTTCAATTATTAACTCTTCCAGGTCGGAAGTTCTACAATCCATTCTCAACCCGGGCTCCAGTCCTGATATTATTGTTACTATGCACTCTTGGCCTTATTGCTCTATCGGAAGTTGCTGTTCGGCGATTACCTGCTCATGATGGAGTTGGGCGACTGGGAAAGGTTGCCGACCAGCTTAACCAGACACTCAACATAAACATTGGAAGAAATCTCAAGCGACAGGAGTGGAGTGAGTCCTCCTGAAAGTCCCTCTTGAAGAGACATTCTGCGGCCAGCTTAATAGAGAATACATGTTCTGACGCTCAATAGCGACACTCGAATCTACCGACATCATTCTCGATGCGATTCCGTCAGCCACAGTAACACCAGTAGAAAATGGCATCGACTCATCACATACAGGTACCTCCTCGTCTCAAGAGCCTCCCCGACCTACAGTCACTGATGGGCAACTTGGACTGGGGGATGGTTCTCTACCTACTCCACCACCAGACCCTGTTCCGGAGCTAGAACCGACCCCGAATCCGGAACCATTCGTTGGCGGTGGAAACACCAACCCTAGCCCAAGCGGACCCGGAGTTGCTCCCACAGGGCAATTAGATACCGGTGGCCCATCTATACTTCCTCCTGATGCAGGGAATGGAAATTCTCCTCCGGCGCCTACTCCACCGCCGATTTTGGTCATTGCAGATGGCCAAACCTCAACAATAACTCCCGCACCTACACCAGGAGCTTCTGATGTTGCTCCTACTTCTGAGCCAGGTATCGCGGTTGTGGATGGGATTTCATCGAGTCTGTCAGCAGGCCAGATTGTTACAGATTCAAACGGAGCATCGATAGGCGTTCTTACTGAAGTCAATGGACAGACCTTTACTGTTGTTGGTGTTATATCGCCAACAATGTCTGGTATGGTGAGGACAAGGTGCGTGGGAATCTGATATTCTCGGTTACCAGGGTGTACTTTACTGACTACATGCTACTTGTAGTGCTACAGCCTCGACGACCAAAGCTGCAGTCGTACCAGTGTCAACCTTCGTCAACGGAACTGGCACTTATCTCAAATGGTCAAATGGAGGAGTGACATTTGCTCCCAGGATAACGCTCGTCCAATACATATGTGTCGCCATAGTGCCTCTCCTCTTGGCTGTCATCTTCACGATCCCCTGGCGTATCCTGGACAGTACCATCCGCGAGCTCGAACCATTCTATCAGTTGGCCGGACCAGGTGGTGCATTCGCTGAAGACTCACTATGCTTAAACTATGGCGCTTCTTTCCTCATTACCATGCCCTTCAAATCTATCACCAAGGGCCACTTCATAGTCTGCTGGAGCTCGTTGATATCCATCGCCGCTTTGTTTCTCGCTCCTCTTGCGTCAGAGGCATTCTTCGTCAGCTTGACCGGTACTTGTGGTGCAAACATTCCTAGCCAGTTGTGTCACGGTGCTTGGGGCGTTTATCCGAGTCTCGTGCGAGCTATTCAGGGAATCCTGGCCTTCATCGCGGTTCTCCTGGTGTTACTAATTGCTTTCAACTTCAAACGCAGTTCAGGCGTTTACTCCGAGCCGCTCAGTATAATAGGTCTCGCTTCTCTTCTATACAAATCGCATGTCTTGCAAGATTTCCGGGAAATCGACTCGCTGGTTAAAAATAGGGAGCTGAAGAGTATCCTATCTGGCAGGCGATACGCACTTTCTGATTTTACAAGCAATGATCACAAACGTTGCTATGGTCTGGTCAACGTCAATACAGATGTCGAGACAGGATTTACCGCTAAAGCCACGAGGTCCGTAAATAGAGGTCGATACAAATTGGTCATAGGGTCGAAAAGCAACGTGGAGGTCGCTGCAGAGGAAGCTAATAACCACTCTGCACGTTCAAAAGGCGCAAAGTTCTGGTGGGTAGTCACGGAGAAGCTGTATTATATTGCAGCATTCATGTTGCTCGGCGGGCTTCTGGCGCTGATATCTTATTACCATTGGACGAGTGCCGATACGGCATTTGAACGATTCATGAATTCTCAAGACTTTGGCGTTAGGTTTATGATGACCGCACTAGGTGTAGCTGTCAAGCTATTCTGGAGCGGTATTGATCAAGGTGTGTCCTTCTGGAGCTGAAAGGAAAGTCCTTCTGCTAACATTCTTCAGATCTCCGCAAATTAGCTCCTTTCCAACGCCTACTCCACGGCTCGTCACACCCCAACGACTCGGTCCTTGTACCAATCTGGACATCCCCATTCGCAGCCATCATCCCCTCCCTCCGACGCGGCCACTTCTTCGTTGCACTAATCTGCTTCGTGTCCGTCCTCTCTGAATTCCTCCCAATCTGCCTAGCCAACATCTCTTTCTCTCCAGCAATCACCAAGAAGACATACGAAGTCTGCAACTTCATCAGCATGGGTGTACTGATCCTCATGGTAGGCTGCATTTTGTTCTTGATTGGAAGGCCAATGAGAGGAAGACCGTTGCCGAGGAGTCCGGCGACGGTGGCGAGCGTTGGGGTGTATCTGGCGGGCAAGGAAAGTGAGTGGGTGGGCGATGGGCATGGTGGGTTGATGGATGGGTTGGAGGGGGCTTCACTTATGAAGAGGTGGGAGAGGGATGAGTTTATTAGGGAGAAAGGCGTGCTGTATGCTATGGGTGTGGTTCATGGTGATGGATTGAGGATTGATGATGATCGCAGGATACAGCGCTTATGGGCTGATTAGGTGACAAGTTATGAAGAGTTGGTATGAGAGAGCAGGCTGTCATGCTGAATCCGTAGCTGCTGTCAACGATCTGGCTTCTACATTTGATTAGGCTTTCTAGAGGATGCAAGTTCTATTTCACTAGATGTGACTTGCAGTACATTCTATTTAATTTGTCTATAAATCATGAACATCGTGATAGAAACATACATCCTAGTACAGACACTTTGACTCCTCGCTCCAAAAATGCACAAACACGATCAAGTTACCACCGTCCCAAATACACGATCCACGTCCCAAAATACAAAACCAAAGCAACCATTAAAAGAAATTTCCCAGCGTAACCCTATAATACTTCTGGTACTTCGTCTCTATCACACCACCCTTCCTCCTCATCTCCTCCGCCAAAAATTCCGCCTCATCATCATCGATCTTTGCCTTCCCACCAAATAGATCCGCATCCGAAGCCTTCACCCTCTCCGTTTTCATAATAATCTTGTATCCAAAGATCATTCCAAGATATATTGGTATCGGAATATAGCTGACGATGAAGTTCCGCCAGTCGAACTTCTCGCCCGTGACAGGGTTATGCACGAATGTTGGCCAGCCATTGAAAAATGTAATAATGCAGGCAAATATCAGAGCTGCATATGAGCCCTTGACGCCGAATGGCGAAACGTAGGCGAGGGCTGTATCTTCGATGTTCTGCGCTTTGCGGGCGCGTACGAAGCCGATGTGCGAGACGAGGATGGAGATCCACGTCAGTATTCCGAAGATCGTGACGAGAGTCACAAAGTAGGAAAATGTCTTGAAAGTTCCCACATCGGTGCTCATGAAAGCTATCGTGCAGCAAGCGCTTGATAAAGCGAGCGCGTAGATTGGTATGCCTTTGTCATTGGTACGACCGAAGATTTTTGGGGCGTTGCCTTCGATGGCAAGGGAGTAGAGAGATCGAGTTGCGATATACAGATCGGAGTTGGCCGCTGAGAAAGTGAAGATGAGGAGGCACACGTTGATAACGTCTGGTAGACCATCCACGCCTGCAATCAAAGCCGCCACGACGAATGGACTTGCTTCTGCTGAGACAGTCTCGTCACTTGCTGTGTTGGCTGACAGGAGCTGTGGGCTGTTGTATGGAACTGTCATGCCGAGGAGAAGGATGAGAACTATGTAGAAGAAGACGATTCGGAAGAACGTCAACTTCACAGCTCTTGGAATGGCTCGACGTGGATTTTGGGCCTCTCCCACAGTAACGCCGACGAGTTCTGCGCCGAGATAACTGAAGACAGCACTTGTCATCACATTCCAGAATCCTAGGAATCTTCCGCCACCACCAGCTACAAAATATCAATAATTGTATCATGGCAACAGTGGACTGAGGACAACTTACAGGCTTTGTAAGCAGCAAAAGCTCCAGGATCATTCCAGTAATGGAAACCTGTTGGACGAGAATTACTCCCAGCTGCTCCCGTCGCGAGGACGATCGTAAAAATGATGAGTCCCAGCATGACAAGCACTTTGGCACTGCTCAGCCAGAATTCAAACTCCCCAAAAAGCCCAACTCCAAAATAATTGATGGCGATAATTGCAGCAAGGATTATAGCGACGTAAATGGCCCCGTTTGCTCCCGGACCGTCGTAGCCTGCTTTATTGAACCAGTACCTAATGACGAGGACTGATGCGATTATATTGTTCGGAGTTGTGATAATGTACTTGAACCAATAGTTCCAGCCTAACGAAATATGTTAGCTACGGACGCAACGTGCAAAATGGTAGACTTACCGAGAGCGAATCCTAAAGCTGGATCAACGAATCTGTGGGCGAAACCTGTGAACCCTGAGGGCAAGGGAAGCCAAGCGGCCATTTCGCCCTACTTTGAGGTCAATTAACAGATGCAAAGAGTCTGGAGTGTAATTACCATTGCGCTCATGACTGTGAAGCACAACACTCCTACCAGAGCATATCCGAGCAACATACTACCTGGACCTGAATTTGCAAGAGAGGGACCGCTGGTAATTGTCAGTAAGTACTAGACCAGAAACATCGAATGGATTCTCACGTATTAATGAGGAGTCCTGTTCCCAACGCGCCTCCAAGTGCTATCATCGCAATTTGTCTCGTCTTCAAATCTCTGCGAAGTCGCGATCGAGGATCCTCGTCGTAGACATTCGTGGCATGATGGAAAGCCACTTTTTCAGACCCATCGTCGGACGCAATGCCTCCATATGCGTTGATCTCCATCCCATTATATGGATTTGTCTCTATTCCTTGGTACTGTGTCATCTCCATCCCATCGTCGTATCCGTTGTTTGGTCGTACCATCATACGCTATACTGTTCAATTCGATAACGTAGATAATTCGATCGCATGCGCAATAAGAACAAGAGTTGTAAACTGGAAAGCGAAAAGGGCCAGAAGAAAAGCGAAAGGCTTCAGCCTCACGAGGACACCTCGAAATTTGTACAGCCCTCCGAGTTGAACGAAAGCGAACCATTCGCGGCTGTACAGATTGCATTCCGCTCCTCGGCTACCGCAGATTTAAATTTAAGCCTGCATTCGGCTCAAGCAAATCACACGAATGTGAGGCTGACAATCACGCTTGTGATTGCTCGGTGAGAGTTGAGACATCGATGCCAATGCTCTTCACAGCCCACTCTCCCCGGTGGTGTGCATGAACTAAGCTGGATGTAGCTTCGCAAAGACGCCACCCAAGAACCCTTAGCCACCTCAACCAAGCCAAAACAGACGTGTGACATGTTCAAGCTCTCAATTGTGGTCCGCTCGCGTCTTGAAGGATTGGGGCTGGTCAGGCCGGCCGAAGAAGGAACAGCAGTGGAAGAGATGAGCTCCAAGACCACGCGTTTGGAATCAGGCAGATAGCGAGGCATTCTTGATGCCCTAGAGTTCTCGGCTCCACAGGAATGTCAAAAGTCGAATGCTAATACGTCCGAAATACAAGTTTCATAGCTACGAAGATGTGGAGGAGAAGTTGTCATGCACTTTTGAGATGTGGTAGGCTGCACTTTATGTACCTTCTTGGCAACGATCTGGGATTGCTTAGGTAGGGTTAGCGTTCCTGTCACTGTGATTAGCGAGGCTCTCGCCTAAACTTTCAAAAGGGGCTCAGCTCAAACTGAATATCACGAGACGTCCAGGTGACTTATTGAAGATCGTGCTGATCCGTAGTGGAGATGTTGCATACAAGGGAAGCAGCACGCTCGTCATTATCGGCAAGAAAGTTTAGTGAACCTTCGGAGTCGTAGCCAATCAGAATGTTGCTTTGTTCGAGGTCGACTCCAATCTCCACTGGTGAATATTTGAACGGAGTAAACAATGCTGGTAAATTTCATGCTTACGGCACTCTTGAAATTCTTTTCTTGAAATCTGCGGCACATATTTTCTCTACCATTCGTCTTACTACATAGAGTACTTTCAAGTTCACTCTTTGTTCTGTTCACAACAATGATCTTCCCAGACCTCAGGGTTATCATATAGTTATCTGACTTGTTTGCTTCACTACAATCAAGTACTCTACTGGACTAGCTCTTTCAAAGAAGTTTGCGCATTATATATGGCTGTACTTCAGACTAAAAATCGTGGTGCTAGTGAGTCATGCCGTGCTACCTATTGCAATGGTTTGCAATGGTGAGCCGAGTTACAGCATGATTAGAACACAGTATTGACGTCAAAAGTTAGGTATTATATTTCAAAAGCTTTCGAGCTTGTCATTGCGACGAAATATGAGAACCCATGATTTTCTGAAAACAAGCCTCTTTGTTTACATTGGTCCTTGCAGACACTTGAAGATACCCCACCATTTTCGCTTAAGTGAGAAGGATTAACCAGGTTAACCATGTCGCAGCAAGCTTCGCTGGCAGGTAATCTCTGGATACCAGGTTAAGTCCCTCTTTTAAGATTGATGCTTTGTGAGAAGGCAATCTAAACTGAGAGAAAATCAAAGTTGGGGTCTTCAGTCGGCAGAAATTCTGAAGCAATTCAAACAAAGACACAAACTCTTGCAAGCTTAGAACAAAGGACTTCGAACACAATGGAACAATGGCAACAATGATAGAAGCTAGGAAAAGAGAAGAACAGCAGCAACATATCCTATAAATACCAACTGTCTCGACCTTACTTTCATCATTCCCATCCTCGCTCATCTCCCCCAACACAAGCTACCTCACTTCCCAAACAACGATCTTGACCAAATACGGTCAACATGTGTTACCACAGACGTACAGTATACTCTTGCCGACACAACGGCTGGGGGAGACCTGTTCGCACCTGCAATCTTCAGAAGGCCTACCTCGATGGAAGTTTTTTCAAGGAATGCGAGATCATGAGCGCACATCCGCTCCATTCAGTGAAAGTGGATACAGTCTGCCAGGCATGCGCCAAAAAGCAAAGGAAGACAGCAGCAACATTGTCTAAGATCAGGGCACAATTGATGGCGCTGAACGAGAAGGTGGGCAAAGTTCAGAAAGTCAGAGGTTCAAGCGAGGAAGGGTCACAAGCTAGCGATCATGCATTGTGTGTTGGCATCGATGATGGTAAGTACAAGCCCATCTCACTGGATGCTACCCTGATGAAGTATGCATGATGAATAGAATGTTGGACTTGGCAGTGTCGAGGTCATTTCAATGCAGATTTCCATATTATTTAGTGACAAGTCATGTCGAATTTGTGCCTGTTTTTTCATTGATTTCTTGCTATTCCTTACAATATCTGGGGCGTCTTTCGTGCTGTACGGCTAATTGTTGCAGTTTTGAATTATTATTTGCCGACATCTGCATAGGCTTTCCCGCCAGCAGCCTTGTCGATTTCAATACACTCCTGTAGGCCGCACATATTGAAAAGTCCCTTCACGCCCGGCCCAGAATGCTCTGGGGAGACGAAACCCTGCGTCTTCAGATGCTGCAACTCTGCCTGAACACTTGACGTAACTGGAGTTAAACTCAACGCGGGAAAGATGATTATTCTGAAACCCAGCTCTCTCGCCTCATTGACTGTAATATCAGGCGTCGTTCCGCCTGGAACCATGTTGAGTAGGACTGGAACGTCTCCCATCATCTCGCAGATTCTCCTCGCTTCGTCCTTCGATTGCAACGCTTCCAGAAAAACGGCGTCGACTCCAATCTTGACAGCTTCTTTCAAACGTTCGGCGGCTTTGTCAAAGCCCATACCCTGTCTCGCGTCTGTTCGAGCTGTTGAGTTTACAGGCGAAGGTGTCAAACACCTTTCCACGGATGCTCGATTCGCCATTTGTAACATGTGCACGGAATTTGGTGCGATCACTGGAGTATTCCAGCCCGACAGTATTACTCAAGAATATATTTCTCGACGTCGAAGAAAAGTAAACAAGGTGAACTCGATCTACTTTCAGCTGGACGAAGACGCAGAAGCAGACTATGCAGGCAGATTTACCATCGATCTTTCAAAAGTTGAGCCATCGATTGCTGTTCATCCCAAGCCAGATAATGTGGTTCCTGTATCCGAGAAAGCAGGGATGCATCTTGATGGGGTTTTCATTGGTGCTTGCACAACAACCGAAGAAGGGCTTGTTCTTGCTGGTCTAGTTTTGAAAGCTGGGCTGGAACAGAAGCTTCCTCTGGCCAAAGGGGGGAGACATTGCGTCCCAGGATCTTTACCAATTGTCGAGAAATTGAAAGAACTCGGCTTGTTGGAGATTTACGAAGCTGCAGGGTTCATGAGGGGACCTCCTGGTTGCTCATTCTGTGTGGGGTTGTCTGCCGAGAAGGCTGCAGCAGGTGAGACTTGGTTGAGCTCTCAGAACAGGAATTTCAAGAATCGCATGGGACCAGGTAAGTATCACAAAATTGTTAGAACATATGAAAATCAGATAACTGACTGTATAAGGTTCATTCGGAAGGGTGTCCACGGCTGTTGTGTGTGCTGCCTCAAGTTTCAATATGAAGGTCACTGATCCCGCTCCATTTTTATTAGACCTTGATGTCGCTTTTCTTGAAGCATATAAAAGACAGCCAAAGATCAGTGGCTCAGTACTAACATATGTCGAACCCAATCTGATGTCCTCAAATAACATCGAGTGATCTGAGAGCAGTTTAGGTCCACCAAAAGCAGGGCACGGAGAAAGCAAGGAGCAGCCAACAGAACTTGGAGTTATTGAAAGTAAAGTTGTTACACTAGGCGATTTCATTGATACAGATGCAGCAAGTTTGACAGACTCGCTTCTTGCTGTCAGTGTAATCATACACTGACTTCGTCTAGCTTGCACCAGGTCCTACTCTAACCACATGTGTCACTGATGAGGATTTTGGAAAGCATGTCCTCGAGCATACCTATCCGGAGTTCAGGACAGCAGTGCGCAATGGGAGTCAAGTCGTGGTAGCTGGAAATGCCTTTGGCGTCGGATCATCACGGGAAGTAGCGGTTTTTGCCCTCAAGGGTATGTTTACATCAAGTCCTGCCGAACCTCAAACTTATCAAAGACAGGAGCCGGAGTCAAAGCTGTCATAGCACGTTCGTTCGCATTCATCTACGGCCGCAACCAACCCAGCCTGGGCATGCTTGGTATCACAATTGCGGACGAGGAATTCTTTGCCTTGGCAAAAGACGGCGTCGAGATTATTATTGATGTCCCTCAACGCCAAATTCGTATCCAGGAGCGAAAGTTCGCTTTCAAGTTGTCGGAGATCGAGTACAATCTGACCAAAAACAATGGAATCTCTGAGACGTATAGATTGTATGGTAAATCCATATGGGAGTAGATGACTAAGGGTAGCGAGAAGGTGCCTCAGGGGGTAGGAGAGGGAGAAAATGACCCTGTTATCCTCGACGATAGGCTCGAGTGATGAGAGAGCCCAAACAACATTGGAAAGGAATTCAAACACTGCAAATCAACAGAATTAGATCTGCCATGACTTCCGATTTAGACATTACATCCGAACTCTACCCTGCAAGCTTTAAGAGCGGATGTTCTCAAGAGTCCATTGAAACAGTTGCTCTGACCTCCATGCTCTCCTTAGGATCGGGGATTTTTAGAGCGCTCTTCTACTTGTAAGACGTGTGTGGACACCCCTTTGGCAGACTAATGTGAGTCTACGGCCTCTAGTGAGGAACTTACGTTGTGTATCCGGTATCAAGGACGAAGGACGAAGGTAACCCAGGTTCTCATCATGATAGTCTCGCTTATTTACTGATTATATAAGCCGAAAGAAAACAAACCAGAAATGCAAGGAGAGTGAACAACCACAAGACAGAGAAGCTGACACTTCCAATGAGTGGCCAACATCTTATTTGAAGACCTGAGTCTATACCCCTGTCGGGAGGTTAGTGTTTCGCGTCCCAGAGAAGAATATGGCTTGTTTCTGGATTCTTTTGAAAAACAAAAAACAAAGGCTGTACTTTCCACAGTGCAGAAATAAAGCATTGTGATTTCTTTGACGAAATTATTTATTTTATCATTATCCAGAGTTTTTTCATCTTGCTCAGTGAACATTTTCGCTGACTAACCATCTTGTGCTTCCCAACGCTGTTTCGTGTTCCCTGGCAACTTCGAGCTTCTCAGTTTGATGAGAAGATACTCTTTGTCCACTTGAAGTGTCTTACTCCAATCTTGTGGAGGTAAAATAAGCTTCAATTCAAGTTACTGTGGCACATACTCATATTTAGCTCGCTGGCTTTACTTCTGCCTGTTTGGCACCCTGGGTTCGTCGTATCAACTTAACCTCCCTCCCCGCTTCAGGCGATCACATCAAAATACACGGAAATGTATTGTTTCATGGGTCGACTTCATATTGAGTACTGTTCCAATTTTGGGTAATTATGGACTGTTTTGACTATGAGATGTTTCGCTGACAAAATTGGCCAGATGGACGTGTTGACTAGCATAGAACATTCGATGGACTGACAATAATCATCTCTATATTATTCCATACCGCACTACACCGTGTTGGTGCTTGCTTTGAAGTAGTGTTTGTGTTAAAATAGCATGCGGCTACGCAGGTTCAGGGTTTGACATTACATATATCAAAACTAAGACTGTACAAGATTTCACTCTGCCTCATCGATGAAACATAAAAGGAAGAAACACATCAGAACATTCCCAATACCATAAGACACGTCAAGCCAAAGTCGCCGCAACAGCCTTTTTCATCTCCACAATATTCGCCGCGGATCTCCATCCACTCCAATTATGATTGTACAAGCCCCAAGTCTCTTCATAATCCTGCGTCCCAGACCGAATATAGTAACTCCCCGCCACCACCCAATAAAACCACCCTATCTTCTGCGCCGGCAGATAACTCCTCAAACAACTCGCATACACCCCAGTGTACGAGTTATCCGCCTGGCTATGTCCCCACTCAGTAAGCATCATAGGAAGGGTATTCACCTTCGTGCCAGACACCGTGCTGAACCCATTATTGACGAGATTACTTTGCAGCGAGCTGCAGGACGTAATGGAATTCTCGTAATCATGGAGCTCGAGGATGATTTTATCTTTGAACGCGAAATCTGACTTGAGGAACTTAACGCCGTTACCGAGATCGGTGCCTTCAACGACGGGCTTGAGCTGCGTGTCGAAGTTGAGGCCCGAGAAGGTGATGAGGATGTTGGGGTTGGCGGCGTTGATGACTTTGGAGGCGGCGACCATGTTGGTGTACCAGGTGCCCCAGTTGTAGGTTGCGGCGACGCCGGCGTTGTTGCTTGGGTTGCGGAGCTCGTTGCGCATGCCGATGCTGGTTAGGGCGGGCCAGTTCTTGCCCTGGAGGGTATGTGTCAGAGAGGGTGATGGGTACGGATGAGTCTTGCTAAGCTAACTTACGTGTTTGACCATGTATTCGAGTCCTCGCTTCCACTTGGCGGTGTTGAAATAGGTGTCGCCGAACCATGAGTTGCCATCGTCGCCTGAGCAGCACCATTTTCCGTTGGACATGTGGTTGTCAAGGTGAACGTAGATTTGTTGCTTCGCGCACTCAGCGGCAACAGCATCAAATACCTATGATTTTGTTAGAGTTCGGTCTTCTATGAAGAGAGTAGGAGCATTGAGTAACTTACCTGCAATCTTGTCGTACTAGCAGAAAAACTCGGGTTATTCTTCAAGACCTTCTGGTACACAATCGGTCCATTCGTAGTTCCCAAAGCCTTGTTGAAAGCAGCAGAGAGCTTAACATCGCCTCCATTGTCCAAGATGTCGTCGATCATCTGAATGGCGAATGTCAGCCGAATGGCATTCATTCCCAAACTCTTGATATCCGAGACGATCTTGGCGATAGAAGTATACTGGAGACCTTCGGGGATCATGACATCAGCAGCTCCGGGCCAATTGACACCCGCGTAGGTGACATTGTTCCCCTTGGAGTTGTGGATCCAGCGTCCTGATCCGAAGAATGGTGCGTCTGGCCAGCATTGTCCACCGACAACACTTAGTGCCAGGACAGCGAGATGGGAGAACTTGAAATGCATGGTAGAAAGACTTGAGAAAGGTAGAATGCGGAGATCCTAGGGTAATCTGAACTTTCAGCATAATTCACAGCTTAAGCCGTGGTCTTTATATATTTGGGTTCTGGAAAAACTATGCTACCAAGTGAACCCATATGGCCCACTTCCTTTACCCGCGCCATTGAACATTTGTGAACTATGCTCCCCGAACATCCCCAAAATCAAAATGGAGCAACGACCTGAACTAAGAGATTGAACTACTGAAATGGCACTAGTGTAGAAATTTAGGCCTTTGAGCAATGTTGCAAATTTGTGAGGAAGGGTAATATGATGGCATCGGAAAGTTCCATGCTTCGGTTGAAGTGAGTGCCATTGGGACATTGAAATGCCGAAATCAAGGTTTGTGATAAGCGTTCGGCGTAAAAAGGAAGTATAGAGCGAGATGCCAGTGAAGGAATACGTAAGTCATGTTGCTGCTACAGCGGGAGATACCAGGTGATGCATACGATTCATGGAACTGAGGATCTTCCACGAAGGAGATCATGCAGCAGCGACATCTCGGGCCGGACCTACCCCGCAAAATGTCAACCAACACCCTTGTGCCACTAAAAGTAATAATGTGCCTGATGGAAACATGAGAACTGCCGAGAAGAACCCTTATTGTGGGGTAACCGGCATGTTGAATAAACATCTTTGAATGAGCTTGTGTTCATCCGGCAGGTGAGAACCTTGATATCCCCGACATCCCCGCGAGGATCACGAGGACTGCTGCCAAGACTTTCTTTGGGCCAATGGGCTTTATTGAATTCGGCAGTGCATTCGTCCAGGCTACCATTGGGTGGAGATTTAGGCGTGAACCGACGCAGACAAAATAATTGATTGGGTTTGTGACAGTAAACAAACCGGTAAATTTAACACCGTCTAAGGAGCTAGCTCTAAATGGCCACTAGGTCAACGGTGAAATCAAGCGTCTGGCACGCAAGCTGGTGAGCTTCAGGAGCTCCAGGGCCGCAAGATGCAGCCCCAAGTCCGTGATGCCCGCCATCGATGCGGAATAGAACTTTATCACTCTTCCCCAATTCGTGCGGATGTTTGGCCTTCTGCAACTCATGTGCCGAGAACCTCTGAACATTAAAATCGAATCCCTTCTCTCGTACTGGCTTTTCGCAAGTGAGCGTTGCTCGAATGCCATTTCCCTTCCCATTTGTAAGATGAACCCATCTCGCATCTGTTCTGTTGCCGTTTTCTTGCGGGTACTCGTAGTTCACCATCATGTCGTCAACTGTTTTTGACCAAACACCGATTTTGCCGGCTTCCTTCTTGTCCCTGTAGCTCTCGCCCGGACCGCGACCAAACCACTTGATGGCTCGGGTGTCTTTATTCATCTCCATCTCGAGTCCGAATCGAGGCAGAACTTTTGGCATAGGTCCGCGAGGTACTGCTGTGACATGAATACAGATCTCGCCATCGCCATGGATTGTGTAGACTGTGATGGTATCGAATCCCCAGGCGAGAATGGGCGGACTGATCCAGCTCTTCACGATGATGTTGAAAGTGCCTGAGTCTTCAGTAGCTTGGACAGATCTGATTTGCTGCGTCATTGAATCGACGCCAAACAGCTTCCACATCTCTGCATCAATGGGAGCATCATTGTCAGTCGGTGCTCGCCAGAACGTCAGTTGTGGACCATTGGCGCCATCAAACACATCTGTCCCTCCAATAGACCACTTCGTAATCTGGCCAACAGTCTTGTCAAACTCGAATGCAAAATCGAGATTCGAGATCGTCACTGTAGTGCGACTGTCTGAGAACGTTGCATAGTTGTTTGGTCGAGGCGAATCTACAACTTCGAACGAAGCGATAGAGTTGATCGAGAATTGAGCCCAAGCAATCTCGTGCCCAGAATGCGACCACAAACTCTCCGTCGTGGTGCTGAGTGATATGGAGATCCACCATTCACTGCTATCATGGATAATATGTTCGAGCCCTGGAATGGCAACCTTGGCGCTGCCTCCGGCTGGAATTGCTGGTAGCGGAAGACTTCCGGATGCTACAACTGATTCGGAAGCCCTAATAATGTCAATTCCTATGTAAATTTCAGTAGAGTGAGGGCAACTCACCCGACAGAGAAGCTTGAAACCTTCCATTCTGCTCGGAGATGTTCCAGTGCAAGGAAATCATATCTATTGGTCAGTACCAGTTCGTCCCCTGCTCTCGCCATATCAACAGGCTCAAAGACTTTCTTGAGTTCCACCAAGCCAGGTCCAGGTTTATGGTCTGAAGTACAGACGCCATCCATAACGAAGTTACCATCATTTGGCGTGTCCCCAAAATCCCCACCATAACCATAGAAGGTAGTGCCGTCTTCAAGCTTCTTGACCAAGCCGTGATTGGCCCATTCCCAGATGAATCCGCCTTGAAGTCTTCGGTACTTGTTAAATGCGTCTTGATATTCTCTCAACCCGCCTGGTCCATTGCCCATCGCATGTGCATACTCGCAAAGGATGATAGGCTTCTTGAAGTTGTCTCCTTCATCCATAGCACGCTCTACAAGCTGCTCAACTGGAAGGTACATGTAGCTGAACATGTCCGCTGAAACTGCCTTCACATCGCCTTCATAATGGACAGGTCTCGTGGGGTCGATTTCCTTCACCCAGTCGTACATTGCCTTGTGGTTTCGACCATAAAATGCTTCGTTGCCGAGACTCCAGATGATGATACAAGGGTGATTTTTGTCTCTAAGAACGAGTTGCCGCATCCGTTCCACATATGCCTCCTGCCAAGATGGGTTATCTGAAGTGAACTTGGCTGACTGGGGGAATGTCAAGACTTTGCGGTCCTCGTAAGGCATGCTCTCAGGGATTGCTTGTGGCCTAGCAACGGCATCGTAAAAGCCATGACACTCCAGATCAGCCTCATCGATGACATAGAGACCGAGCTCATCTGCCATATCATAGAGCTCGGGAGATGAAGGGTAATGAGAACAGCGTAGCGCATTGATATTGTGCTGTTTCATCAAGTGCAGATCCTGTCTAATAAAGTCCTGAGGGACGGCTCGTCCAAGTTCGGGATGATGATCATGTCGGTTAACTCCTCGAAGAAGGATGGCTTTCCCATTGACCTGGAGATTGCCATTTCTGATCTCAACTCGACGAAACCCAACACGTTGCTGTATCTTCTGAAGCGAGTTTGAGCCATCGAGAAGTGTGATGCTGAGATCGTATAATGCTGGCGTCTCAGCGGTCCATTTCTGAGGCTTTGCAACATCGATGGTAAAAAGACTCTCTGATGAGTTCGCTTGTACTGGATATGCATTCTCGCAAACAATGGTTTGCTGAGTCGGCCCGGGGCTCCTCAACTCAATTTTGATCGTGCTGGATGTGGATAGCACGTGTTGAAGGTGCAATTCCAACTTTGCATTTTCGTATTCGCTGTCAAGCTCTGTCCTGATGGTGAAATCCTCAATGTGACCTCGCTTGAGGAAAGCAATCAAGTGAACATCGCGGAAAATGCCTGTGGTGAAGACAGTCAGTTATGCGCAACGTTCTCCTTGCGGTCTTAGACATACCTGATAACCACCACTGATCTTGATCTTCAATATAACTTCCATCGCACCACTGATAAACAGTAAGACGGACTTTGTTGACGCCATCTGCTCCGAATTTGACGAGATCGGTAACATCAAACTCTGCTGCATTCCGGCTTCCCTGAGAGTACCCGACTTCAACGCCATTCACGCTGAGATGGAACGCACTGTCAACGCCCTCAAATCGAAGTCTGTAAGACAACTCCCCACTATTTTCCCATTTCCGAGGGATATGGAAGTCCCTTTCATATGTTCCAGTTGGGTTCTCTGATGGAACATGTGGTGGGTCGACAGGGAAGGGGTATTGAACGTTTGTGTAGTGAGGATTCCCGTACCCTTGAAGTTGCCAATGGCCTGGAACATCGATAGTTGAAGCATCGTCTAACTTATCGGACGGCAGAGGAGCGAGTGCTGGACGAGCTGCATAATGAAATCGCCAACGACCATTTAAAAGTAATGATTGTTCAGGAAGAGCATAGGCTCGTGGAGGAAGTCGGTTCCTCTGAAATATGCGCTCATTTTCGTAATCCAGAGGAGTTTCGTTCAAGTCAGAAGCGGTAACAAGCATGACTCGCAATCTTCACAGTGTGTCGCAGGAAACGGTACTCGAAACAAAAAAGAGGAGGCGGATTGAAGAGGATACAGAGGAGACATATCAATATATATGTCTGCTTGGATGTACCAAGATAACCATAAGTTACCTTCACGAGGATCTGTAGAAAGCCAGGCACTGGGCAGGCACAACTCTATTGGATATGGCGCTACCCACCTTGTTCGGTTTGTTGCCCATTTGATAGAGGCTTCATACTTCCGCCGGACCGCGCGGGTATCGGCTCTGACTGCAGGGCGACTGAGGCTGCATGCATCTTGATGCATCTATCCAGGTAGATAGGTGATAGGTGTGGGATGAGGCTGGTCGTGGTTGACGAACGTACCTAGGTAGGCATGCAGTGGGCGGCCGCAGGAAAGGGGGTGACAGGAATGGGCTTAAGCATCCCCGGCTATCCGAAAGGAAAACACTGTTACTGTAGTAGTAGACGACACAAGGATGAAGTACCTAGCTCCGAGGTAGATTTAGTTCGATGTACCTACCTTACCCACCTCAGGCATGCTACGGAGGTATGTCATGCAAAATTGTGGAGAAAGAAATGCAATTAAAATAATAACACCCTGGACTTGAAGAAGGGATGGTAAATTTATGTAGATAGGGGTGTTTTAAAATCCAGTTTAGACATCAATCAAAAGCGCTGTAGCTCAAAAGGAAACACATCCCGCTCCGCTGTCAACGTCCGTCGTGCATCGCTGACAGGCGCTTTTCTTTTCTTTTCTTTTCTTAACCTTTCTTTTCCATGCCGTTTCTGTTGCTGGTGATGCCCATCTTTTCTTTGTTCCACAAGTGTTGCTAGTACCTGGCACGGTCATGAGTTTACTTGAGTACCAGCGAATAGGTAGAGTGCCTAGGTAAGTTCCTGGTGGCCCTGGCGGTACGTTGCCTGTCCAAGTCAGAGACTCAGGGCTCCAGTGTTCGGCGTCGGTCGACCGTCGCTTAGCGGCCTGGGCAAGCCCCGATCGAAGAAAGGAGGAGGGAGGCGAACGGAACTTGGAAGCCATGGCCAATGCCAAACCATGCAAGCCATGCTCATGCTCATGTTCCCAAAACCACGTCCACGTCTATCCAAGAATCATCGAGTCCTCTATCAAGCATAATCCGCACCCGCCGCCCAGCATTCGCACTCGATCGACTCTCTATCCCTCGGCCATGCGACAGTCCTATCTTGCCCTCTGACGCCTCTGACCTGCACAATATCGTTACCCTAGCCGACGCCTATCTGCCGCTGCCGGTCCATCAGAACACAAGCCCCCGATGCCCAGCGTTCTGCTGCTGGTAGTGAATAGAGCGAGCATCTTGGTGCTAGTTCCAACGCAGCCAGCGAAGCATTCCTCCAGAATCTTTGCCTCAGCTTGCGATGAAGGTATGTAGCCTTCTGCAGCTCGATACCAGGCCCCTCGTTCCGCCCGATTCACTATTGTCTTCTCCCTGCCCGCCTGCTAGCGGCCTTGCGCTTGTCTCTGCCTCCCTCCGTTGCACGCGAGCACCAGGACGTTGCACGGCATTCTGCACATACGTACAGATCAGAGCTCAGTTGAACCTTCGCTGACCAGATTTCCTTCCTCCAGACCTCATCTAGACCCCGAGAGATTGGCGGGAGCTTCGCCAGCCGCCGCGGGCATGCTCCTCAACTCTCCATAAGTGATACCAACCACCACGTCACTGAAGCAATCGGAGATATGTATGGAGATGACGACTATTCGAAACGCGACTCGCGACCTTTAAGCTTTATCAACTCTCCACTACACGACTCGATAGACTCCGGCGGTTTCGTTACATCACCTCTCAACGAGTCTGCTGGGGCAGGAAATACATACTTCGACGGGAACAGCCATCCTAGGGGCAGGCCTTCGCCACATACGAATGGAAATACTGGGAAGAAGGCACATACTAGTCCAGCCATGTTACAGTCTCCCAGGAGCGGCTCGTTTAACAAGGGTGAACTGTCACCATCGCTGTCCCTTCGAGATAGGAATGGCTCCGACGCAAATTCACAGTTTCCGCTCAGCAATATAGACTATGAGTCCGATCCAGCTGCAGTCGCCCAGGAGCTCAGCAATCTCCAGGCTTTGCGACGAATGTCCATGGATGTCGGAAATACAAGCGATCCTGATCTGCCTTCCTTTCAGAGCTCTCTCATGCCATCTGTCGCCCCTACTGGAGATGATGACGAAGACGATCCCTCGCGGCTCTTCTGGGTGCCAGCAAGAGTGCATCCGGAACTTGCACCCATGGAATTCAAGACATTCCTCGAAAATAGGGTTCAGTCTATCAAACGACGATCAGGAGAACAAGCGTCCTTATCACCAGATGGCATAGAACGAGCTGGCTCCGTGGGTGGATTGAGGAGGAAGAAATCCATGCTTTCGAGGCAGATTGATAATGACGGGGGGAGAGGAGCGCTGGGATACAAGGACGGTGCAGACCAGTTGGAGAGAAAGAAGTCCCTGTCAAATCACCAAATTCCGGAATTGAAGATATCTGATCTGAAGGAACTGGATGCTCTCGTTAGAGATCCGTCGAAAGCCATGCAGAAACTTACTCTGGATACCAATTTGAGAAGGAATAGCAATGGAGAGGTGCCAGAAAGTGAGGATATGCCAATATTACCACAAGCTCCGGGGATCGGTCTCCGGAGATCTACCAGGACCACCTACAGGAGAGGGAGTTTAAGAAAGGAAGGAAGGGGGCCCAGAAGAGCTGGTACAATGCGGGCTGATACGGACGGGGAGGAATCTCCTATAGCAGCATCACCCATTGGATTTCCGCTCACCAAGGTGCAATCTGAACCGACGACCACAGAAAATTTCTCTCGACCTCATCGCGGCAACCGCCGCCTCCAAACCATTTCTCGGGCAGACTCAAACAATGAGAGCCCAGAGACTAGCACTCCAGACAATGGGAAAATCGACTTCTTCTCAATGGATACCAGCGGACCAGTTCAAACGTCATCACCGACCTCATCATATCCCAGAAACAATTCTATTCCTAGAAATGATACGCCAGTTCCTCGTATCATAGAAACTCCACCACCAACAGAGGAGGTTGAGTCAGCACAACTCAAACCGGCTTTGCAGTTTCCCGAGAGGTCTTCTTCACAGGGTCCTCCTCCTTCAGTGCAGCAACAAAAGCAAACTTCTCCCGAACCACCAGCTCGGTCAAGTAGACGTCCTGTGCTAGACCGACAGATGTCAAGCTCCAATGTGATTCAGAAGCCCAACTCATCACAGACTCTCAATGAAATGGCGCAAAACCCATCTCCACTGCCAGGCAGTAATGCTAGGACGGATACTCTCACATTCATTCCTACCGCTGATGAGCGGAAACCTGACAAGAAATCTAAGAAAGACAAGGATGATTCAGAGACTGGTCCACGAAAGACGAGCTGGGGTTGGTTTAAGGGTAGCGATGAGAAGGAGAAGAAAGAAAAGAAAAAGGAGGAGGATCACAAGGACGGTAAAAAGGGGAAAGGAAAAGCGGCGGTCGACAAGGCACACGATACAGCTCGCTTAGACGTGCTCCAAGCGACTTTGGATACTGGTACCACGAGAGGAAGAGAGAGCATCTTGCTGGAACGTGACAATACCGACTACAGGCTCCAAGACGAGAGAAAGAAAGAAAGTAGTCGCAAATCTGGCGCAGAGAACAAGAAAGAGAAGGACAGCCTCTTTTCCTCATTCTTCGGAGGGGGTAAGAAGAAGAATGATCGTGATTCTGGTGGCAAAAAAGGCAGCTCCCTGCGAACCCTTTCCCCAGAGCCTCCACCTCGTCAGCTCAAACCAGACATCGATTATAACTGGACGAGATTCTCCATCTTGGAAGAGAGGGCGATCTACCGAATGGCACATATCAAGCTGGCAAACCCCCGTCGGGCGCTGTACAGTCAGGTTCTACTGAGTAATTTCATGTACTCGTATCTGGCGAAAGTGCAACAAATGCATCCTCAAATGCAAATTCCCCAATCCGCACTGCAGAAGAAACAGGAAGCAGAGCGAAGGCAGAAAGAGCAAGAACAGCAACGGCAACAGCAGCAGCAGCAAGAAGGAGGGGAGCAGTACAGATATGATTATCATCAGGTCAGCAGCATCTAGCTTTGTCACGAATGAACTCAAAACTAACTCAGAATAGGGAATTGCTCAATATGCTGAACCCACCCAAGAGCCTGCCAAACCTGACGGTGTCAATTATGTCGACGACTCTCAGATCTATGACTATGACCATCAGGATGCGGACTCTTCTCAAAGTCAACATTCCAACCGGCCTGAATCTCGAGCCTCGCAACATACCCAAGAAAATGGGTATGGTGATCAGAATCAGTACGACCGAAATGGCAAAGACTTCTACTCTTATGGTCGCCCAGAACAACGGCAGCAGCAGAAGCAAGAGGACGACGACGATGATGATATGTGGTGATTATACTGTAGCTGGGGATGTAGCATTGTTCTTTTATGCATATATGATGGAGTTATTGGCGTTCCTCAACGCCAGGATGGATTTGGGCGGTTGGTTCGGTGTCCGAGTGCTCCTCTTGGGGGCAATTAGTCGTTGAAAGCATAGCGTCTGGTGGGCACTTGTGTTTCTGCATGGATCATCGTCTCTAGGTTGAGACTGTCATAATGCCGTCTGCAGGTTTGGGGAAAGCAGGGCGTAGCATGTTATTGCCCGTTTATATGTACAATAATCTAGCTTCTGGACGGAGGAGGCTGGCGGATTGGAGACCGGTGAACATCCTTCAAGCCAAATTTAAACATTCATTACGCCTCTTCTATAATTTCAAGACATGGTCTGTCTTTGAACTATCCGGAAGTGAATCTCTGTCGGGTATGGGCAGTCGAGCTTTCAGCATCTCGCATGTAATGTCACAATTTTGGCTGAATGTGAAAGTTGCGAACCATTGAATAATTTCTGAGTCAGGAATATGCTTCAGAGTTTCCAGAGTAATAAGAAAATAGTAGTAATCAGATTGTCAATAAGTGAAATATCATCACATTTCCTGTGTAATGGCAGCCTGGAAAATTATCTGAGTGGAGGGTTGGATGACGCAGCCTGTGAGGCGGCGCGAGCCTCGCCAACCCAAGAGCCTGACCTCAGTCCAGTTCGTTTAGCGGGGAGCTTCCTCCTACTTCAACCGCTACCTGACAACACCATTTCCTCTCCTACACCCCGACCTATATTCTGCCTGCATAGAACCTCGTAATACTTGATCGCCACATTGCAGACAATACGACCATGTTTCGTGCCCAGCAGAACGCCTTCGACGATGTCGTTGGTAAGTTGTCTCGTCAAGCCTTCTTCATAACTGAAGCTGGGAGAGCTTGGGGACCACGGCATAGAGACGCGTTGCTAACAACTCACAGCCAAGGCGACTGACGAGAACCTCACCTCAGAGAATTGGGAGTATATTATGGATGTCTGCGACAAGGTGACGACAGAGGACAGTGGTGCCAAGGATGCCGTGGCGGCTATGATCAAGAGACTGGCGCACCGCAATGCGAACGTACAGTTATACACTCTGGAGGTAAGGGACCACTACTGAAATTTGGATTTTGAATATGTGCTGATGCATAAGACAGCTTGCCAATGCGCTCAGTCAAAACTGTGGACCTAAGATGCACCGAGAGCTTGCTTCGAGAGCTTTCACAGATGCCCTCCTTCGATTAGCCAACGATCGAAACACACACCAGCAAGTCAAGGCGAAGATCCTGGAGCGAATGCAAGAATGGGCGGACATGTTCAAGGATCCGGATTTGGGAATTATGAAGGACCAGTATCATAAGCTCAAGAGCCAGAATCCAAACCTCCATCCACCATCCGCCCCACAGAAGAGCAGACTCACGGATCTGGATCGACAAAAGGAAGAGGAGGAGCTTCAAATGGCCTTGAAGTTATCTATCCAGGATAAGACACCACAGCCACAAACAAAGCCTGCTCAACAATCGGGGCAATCTAGCGGACCTCCACAATCCCAGCCAGCCTCGCAACCACAGACAGTTCCATCGGGAACCACCGCAGCCACAGTTTCCCGAGTCAGAGCTCTCTTCGACTTCCACGCGACTGATCCAGACGAGTTGACATTCCGGAAAGGAGATGTCATTGCCGTACTGGAATCGGTTTACAAAGACTGGTGGAAGGGGCTGTTGAGAGGACAGACTGGTATCTTTCCATTGAATTACGTCGAAAAGCTGGCAGACCCTACAACAGAAGAGCTACAAAGAGAAGCGCAAATGGAGGCCGAGGTCTTTGCAGAGATCAAGAATGTGGAGAAACTACTTACTCTACTAAGTACTTCCTCATCAGACTTGAATGTCAAGGATAACGAGGAAATCACTGTATGTATGATTCAGTTTATTCTTAACGCCATACTGACTATAACATTAAGAAACTCTACCATTCAACACTTGCGATCCGTCCAAAGCTCATCGAGTTGATCGGAAAATACTCGCAACGGAAAGGTACTTTATTAAAATCCGAAATCACATGTCAATTATTCTAACTTTTGGTAGATGACTTTACTCAACTCAATGAGAGATTCATCAAATCATGCCGTGATTACGAGAACCTATTGGATGCATCCATGACCCAGACCCAGCCTGCATACCAGTATGGTCGTCACCAACAAGGCTATGGTGGCGGGTATCCACCTCAAGCTGCACCGCCACAACAAGATACGCAAAGATATTACACCCCTAATCAACAACAAGGTAAGCATGGTACGTCGAAGTTTCAAGTCAACAATTTACTGATTTGCGAAGATCAACAATATCTGCCACAATCGTCCTCTCCCCAAGGGTACCCACCACAGCCTCTACGAACTGGACCAGCCCCGTTCTATGTTGTTGCTCAACAGGGGCAGCAGCAGCAACCTCCTCCCGAGTCTCAACAAGGACAGCATCAATACCCTAAGAGAGACCCAACTCCTCGCATACCTTCCAACTCCATCCCAGCACCTCTTCAGACAAGTTCGCCACCACCAAATCAGTATCCCCCACCCCAACCCCAGTCTGGCCACCGACCCCAAAGCACGTATTCTAATCCACAAGAACTCGCTACTTCTGTCTACGATTCGCCAGTTGGACAGCAACCAAATTCTGCTTATAGCGCATCTCTCTACTCCCAAGACGATCCCTACAGCGCCGGCCCTTCCAATTCCCAACCACCACCTGCCCAACAACAATATAACGCCTACGCTCCTCCACAACAGCAGTACGCGCCTCCTAGCCAACCTGGATATGATGCCCCACCTCCCCCAACTGCAAGCGCTCCCCCGCCCCCAGCAGGTAGTGTGAACGCAGGTTATCCAAACATCGGACAGCCTCTCGATGCCAGACAAACACTACCCAGCCAGGGCGCAGCACCTCAAAGTCAGTACAAGTCTTACCAACGACCAGGATCATCGGATGGTCATATGGCGGCACCGAGTGCACCTCCAGGTGGCCCAGCGGATTTCTACAGACAGAGTGCGGCGTATTAATCTACTTTTTGGCTTTTAGTGCGATGATTCTTTGTATGCAAGAAGGGAAGGTTAGTTATTTAGTTACTTGCTTAGCGACAAGCATTTTTGAAATGAGGATGGAGAAGATATCGAGGACTTCAGATTTCGGGATCGCTAAAATCAGCACGGAGGTGATAAATGAATGATGATGATGGAGTGAAACAGAAACAGAGATAGTTCTTCTCAATTCGAATGTAATTATCAAGCCTCTGGATTCAGAACTCTAAATTCCAATGGAGCTTGCAACGGAAATGAATACTATTAATTATACCCATATTTCCCTGCCAATTTCTTGGAGACGAATGATGGATTGAACAACAGAGATGACGAAACTGGTGAAGAAATATTGCTTCATTCGTTGTACTGTAGCTTACCTTTGCCAACGATAGTAGATTCTTTCGCGGCTTCCTCTTGGGTTTTGGCGCTGCTTGCACTTCCAGAATTGCTAGATTTAGAGATCACCGTTGTGCTTTTGAATGGGTGAGAACTTCCTAGAGAAAAAGAGTGGTCAGGTGATAAGAGATCGATTTACATGGAGCTCATTGTTAAAGTAATAGTTTGCTAACAAATTTATATTTCGTGGGAATTTGATAGATCGAATCGTATTGTGTCAATTTTGTTACCGAGAATTTAGACCCTCGCTACGAAGCTTAAACAAGTACCAGGCTCCAGAAAAAGTTTCCGCTTTCAGATTCCCATATTTACAATTTCAACCCACAACCTCGCTTATCCCCATCCCCATCCCCATCCCCATTTCACCTCAATGCTCCATCGCATCCTCGAACAGCGCCCTCAACTGCTCCCTCTCCTCCCCCACCTCCTCCGCCAACCCAGGCGCCAACATAAGCACCCTCTTCTGCGGCAGCGTCCCCTCCACCAAATCATCCAAATGCTCCCTCTTGAACCCCAAATCCTTCAACCCCCTCGGCTGATCTCCCAACTCAGCCAGGAACTTCTCAAGCGCTTCACCGAGGACTTCGCCTGCGCTCTCTTTCTTGACATTCGAGATGTCGACGCCGAAGGCTTCGGCTGCTTGGAGGTGGCGCTCTGGGTTTGAGGGCCCCGTGAAGCGGAATACGGCGGGGGCGGAGACGGCGACGGATACGCCGTGCGGGATGATGGGCGTGGAGACTTGGTAGCCGGGGTGTTTGTAGCCGGGGTTTTGGCCGGAGATGGGGTAGGACATTCCTGTTAAAAGACAGCGTTAGAGAGATTCTTGGTAGACTATTGTACAGGCAAAGGGGTGCTTACCGTGACAGAGATGGACGCCTGCATTTCCGAATCCGACACCGGCTAGGGTGGCTGCTAGCAACATCTGGCTCTGAGCCTCGTGATCTTCTGGGTCTTTGGTAGCTCTGGGTAGATACTTAACTGTACTCCTTAGAGCTTGCAGGGAGAAGATATCACTGATGGGATTGGCGCCTTGGTATGCTGGTCTGTTGATTGGGTTTTGAGGTCGTGGTATCCGTTCAAAGTAAGGGATTGCAGTCCAACTCTCTAAACTGTGACATAAGACATCCAATCCTGAGCTTGCGTGGACAGCTGAGGGCATGGTTCGTGTATTCAGGGGATCACATATACCCAGAGTTGGTTTCAGGTTGCGGTGTGCGATTCCAGTCTTCGCGCGTTTTGATACTAGGTCGAAGATTGCTGTGCCTGTTGTTTCGGATCCAGTACCTGCTGTCGTTGGAACGGCAATGAGAGGCTTTAATGGCTTGTCAATGGGCAGTCCCTTTCCGAGGGGAGCATTGACAAAGTCGAGGAAGTCGGCGTCAGGATAGCAAGTGTAGAGATTCATGAGCTTGGCAGTATCGATGACTGAACCGCCCCCTACAGCCAGAAAGGCATCTGGCTGGTATGGCTTAGCAAAGTCGATTGCTTCCTTGATCCTACCAAGCCAGTCAGAAATATGTCAGTCAGTTTTGGAAAGTTCACTCACGAGCTATCCTTCGGCTCAACTCTACACTGATCAAAAATCGTAAATTCCACACCCTCCCTCGTCAAACCCTCCACAACTTGCTTCATAGCATCCAGATTCCGCACCACACTATCCGTCACAACACACACCCTCTTTGCGCCCATATTCTTGAAATCCATACCCACCTCCTTCGTCACGCCTGGCCCGAACCGAATTGACGACGCGGCCATCTCGAACGCATATTCTTTTTGGCGGGACAGGTCGGCGGGCGTGGCATAGTTGCGTTGGAGATTGCGCTTTGCGTGGGAGAGGAGTCCAGAGGACGGTTGGTGGTGGTGATGGTGGGAGGGGTTGCCGTGGCAGGGACAGCTTGGGGGATGCGTGTATTGGACTGTGCGGAGGAGGTTCATTGCTCGAGCCGCTCGCTATGTAGTTCTTCAGAATAATTCGAGCTTGGGAAATGGGAAGGGCGATTTCTTACCGTAGGAGCGACGCGCACCACGGAAGCCATCTTGAGCAGGAGTGGGGTAGCTTTGAAGCTGTTTCAAGGTTGTGAGCTATGTACTGTACTCTATACTCAGAAGTTTGTGGGACTTTGCTTATTTTCAATTGAAATCCAACAATAGTTCGAAATTAGAGAGAAATATCTTAAGGAGAGAACGTCAACGGGTGTAGAGGTCATTGATGATGTGGGGCTTGGATTCTAGCTGACTGAGAATGGATGTTTCCAAGACCGAGCTCCAGACCTGAGCTTCCCCGCATCCTCGGCTCAATCATCCGTGCAGGGGTTGCAGATTTGTTTACTTTTGAATGGAGAAGGACTGACAGCGTTGTTCCTTATTCAAGACAAAGAATTAATTCATTAAATACATGGCATATAGTTTCATATGAATCAGCCTTCAATTGTCTGCGAGTGCATATTTTAATTACAATTCTTTTAGTGTTTAATCGCAGTTGAAGCCGTAGTTACCCCACATCCGAAGTCGGCTGGGTTTGAGTGTCTGAACCGAGGGGCAAAGGCCAATATCAACAGAGGGACTAATTTCGAATTTTACGATCGATAGGGGCAATTTTCACGAGACCGAGAGGAAACAACTGCCAGAATGAAATATCATAGCATCTGTAGGTAGTTTTTTGAGACAGTCTTATGGTCTGTGGAATTTAGCCGAGTTGAGTGAGCTTCCTCGCCTTTCTTGGGTATATTTAGTTCCAATTGATCTATGTAACGCCAGCTCCCGTCATATGTGGAGCATTGCTGCAACCCTCTAACCAAAACGCCTTCGAGGTATATACAAATATGTACAGATTTATTACTACGGTGCAGCGGCCTTTTCTTGCCCTCGTCCCCTTCCACGGACTTGGGCAGCATCCCCTCTCCCTCGACCACCTCGTCCCCTAGACCCACCTTTGCCACGACCGCCACCAGATTTACTGCCTTTTGTCGACTGCGCAGTTTTGGTTCGTGCAGCTTCCTGCTCTTGAGCTCTCCGACTCTCCTGGTCCCACCATTCTTGAAATGCCTGTTCCTCTTGAATCTCTTGGAGGCTTCGCTTAGCAACCGCTTCCTTGATCACCTCTTGCTCTCGACGCTGCTGTCCGATGATGTCGGACATTGAGAGCTGCAGCGAAGGCTCTGCTTTGCCTACTGGCGTAGTGTAGGATTTCGAGTGGGGAATGATAGGAGAGGACTTTGTGAATCTTGAGTCAATAGATGGACGTGATGAGCCGGCGGAGGAGCTTTGTACTTTCTTAGCATTGCTGTTGTTCCCATTTCGACTTTGGCCTGCAAAACGAGTATCCGGCGATGCTGTACGTCTTGGAGTAGAACCCCCAGAAGGAATCGGAGATGCCAGAGACTTTCCAGTTGGGGCGGTTGAGGGTTTTGGCTCGCTCAGAACATCTTTCAATGACGTCTTTTGCCCCAAGCCAGCGACCTGCCATGGAGAGGCGGGTTTGCCGTCTTCCTTGCTGACTGATATTTGAGGCTTGTCCATACTCTGCTGCATGATCTGTTGCTGTTTCTTACGTTCCTTTTGGGACAGCTTCAATCGAGCCTGCTTGTTTGTCGCTTCGTCTTGAGCCTTTTGAGCGGAAATGCTCTGAGAAAGGGCTGAAGTTCGGCTTGACGAAGCTTGTGCCATAATTTCCTTCATGTCGAGCTTCGAGGACGGCAGCGCAGGAGATGACCATGTTTTCGTAACGTGTGCTTGGTGCTCATTCGCTGTCTGAATGCCGAGTCCGGTTGGAGTAGACGACAGTTCGTTGTCATCTGGGACTGATCGAGGCTCTGCCCATGCTAGCTTACGGACAGCCGAATTCATCTTCGTGTCAAGCATGGGTTCTAAAGCGGTCCGCGGTGTTGGCGGACTCCCACCTGTAAGAACCTCCTCATCATCCATATCGAACATCAGGTCTACAGTGCTGTCTTTCGGTCGAATGCTTGGACTAAATGGAGCATTCCTCGGAGTCTTCGACTTTCGGCGCAGTTTTTCTTGACTTGGTGACCTAGGAGCAAAGTCTTCCAAGCTACCAACTCTTCCCTTGTACGAAGACGACAGCTTGTGGTCATCGTCCTTCAAGTTCATGCGGAATGTCATTTCCTTGACTCGCCTCTGTCTCTCTTCAAGAATATCCTCAGCAAGACTGGGGTTTCGTTCATGAAGTAGTAGATCAGCTCTCCCGCTCTTGGCAAAGGGAAGGCAGTTCAGCTGATTGGCTCTAACAACTTCATCCAATTCAAGAAGTAGGTCGCTGTCAAGGTCATTGAGAAGATGGTTCTCTAGCATTGATTCAAGCTGCAAGCAAAGATACTCCAGAGCGTTGTCCTTGAAAGATGTGACAGCACAGGGGGCAATGGCGTTGAGTAAGTTGCAGACATTGCGGGTGTTCACTGTCAAGAGTTAATCTATAGGTTCTCCATGTTCTCTTACAGTTGTACATACCAAAACGGCCGATTACCTGTTGACAGATCTGGGACAATCGGTCAAGCATGAGTTCATCACTCACAGCCAGAACGTCCATTACGAGCTCTGAAAACTCGTCAATGTCCGTGGAAACAATGTCATCAAAGAGCTCATTTCCAATGTCAGAGTAGAGGAATCGAAGAACAAGACTGAAAGCTTCAGGTTGAACATGTTTCAAGTCGATTCGAACAGCCTCCGTGTTGTTCTGTCTTCTCTCTGACAGCCACTGCCCACCAGCACGACCGTTGAAGAGGCCGTCAAAGAAAGGGCACCGTTGGCACAAGAGAGCGCTGTGAACAGTAACCTCGGAACCATCAAGCTCGATGATCGCATCGCCGTCATCAAAAAACGTCGGGTCTCGTAGAGCAAGAGCCATATCGATGTTCATTTGTCTGTCAGGTTCGGACATCAAGCGTACTGCAGCCTCAAGCTTCGACATTTTCAGATGACTAGCAACTTTCATGACTTCAAGCCGCACTTGTCGATATCGAAAAGCCATCTTTGGGCAATGGCGAGTGAAATGCCAAACATCGATCACTGTATCGGTGTACAGGTACGCGGCAAAATTGATGAGAGTAATGAAGTCGATGCCTTGGAAAACGATTTCCGGCCCCTCGACTCCTGCTTGATCGAATGGCTGGTCAGGAGAGGTTGACCTCTTTTGGATAGTAAGAACCTCGGGTATTGATGCCGATCCAGTCCGCCGAAACTCATTCATCAAAGTCCTGAGAACAGGGCTTCGAGACAGAATAAATCCGTGGACCGGAATGCGAACCTCTGAGATTGTGGTCGCGAGGCTCACGTTGTAGGTATCGTCCAGAGACTGGCCTAGGAAGTGGCGAGACACATCGCCTTCGAGATCCGGCGACGTGAGGACTGCGCGTTTCAGAGGCTCAAATAAATCCTTGGGCAGGGCTGGGGACCAGAATCGAGGGGTGTCTGTGTCCTCTTCATCCTCGGGTGCTTCAGAGGCCTCCAAATCTCGAACGCTAAGCAGCGGAGCCACATCTGACCAAAGGCCGTGCTCGTCAATCTCTATCTGAGTTCTCGTCACGTCACAATCTTTCCTGATAGCCGCGTAGACACCGAACGTGGTGCTTCCAACAGCTGCCACCTTCGTCAGACCTGGGATGCGCTGGAATTTGAAGTCCTTGCGATTGAAATTTTTGGCTCCCAGGAAAGCATCTTTGATGTTGGCTCGCTTGACTCGACGCCAAACCGCACCAGCTTGTGTACACACAATAACTGAACCATTTTCGGTAATACCAACGGATTTGATGCCGTCCCAATGTCCTTTTCGCAAAGACCATACTCGCTCGGGTGTGGAGAGCGAGTCCTTGATCTTTGATGGATTAGTTGTACTTGTAGCAGCATTCGTCGGGATACTTCGAACGGCCAAAGTAAAGAGGTCGCCACGACTCGATACAGCCCCTGCAGCGCACCGTCAGTCATTACTCTTCTACCATGTATCATATTTCATATTTTAGTTTTCATCTTCTAAGCACAACTCGGAACATTTGTGGATCTTGAAATCCCACTTTGAGACAAGTCTGGAAGGGATGACTTCTAAAACTTCAAGACCTACCAATTGTATCCCCGCCAGCAGTGATGTGTGAAATGTGATTCGTCGTAGTCTCGTATCGGGTAGTCAGGGCATTGGTCTTCAGATGGTAATTCGTGAAACCTTCGTACAACGGAAACTTGACAATGTTGTACCCGTAGTTCGTGAAGACGCAGACAGTATGATTTGCTAGCAAGACAATAGTGGCAGAATTGATGGCCGATACCATTGTGATAGCTGCTTTGAACAGGGATGCAGCAACTTTACGAGGGATTGGTTGAATCTCGAGACTTCGTGAGTCGGAGTCCATCAAGCCCAGCTGCCCTTCATTCTTCCCCCATGTGAAAAGAGAGGTAGAGGTATGGGCCACGGAGTGGAAAGCCGACGCCGCGATTCCAACGATTGCCTCTCTTTTCAGTGGTCCGAAGATCTGGCGAGGCGTTGAGCATATCGGTTCTTCGTCCTTCAACGCTGGTCGAGGTAGCGTATATCCCAACTGACCATAGGTATTTGTCCCCCAAGACATCAGAGATCCGTCTGATGTGACAGCCAAGGAGTGGTTTTGGCCGAGTGCGACTTTGCAAACCTTCTTTCCAGCAAGAGCGCCTTCTTCTATTGGGACATAAGAGAATCTAGTAGTCTCATCGCCTGCTCCTAATCTCCCACCTGGACCAAATCCACACATGTAGAGATTGGATTCCGGGTCAGTTGTCAGGATCGCGCTATGGAGTTTTGACAGCTCCATATCTTGGATAGTAATGGGACGATTCGTGATGAGAGTAGGAAGCTCAGCAACGGACTTTGGGGGCGAGGAAGGCTTATTGAACGGAAGGTCTTTGGCTTCAAATGATTCAACATACTCCCGATAGAATCGAAATAAGAGATGGTCAGGTCTCTTTAAGATGATCTTCTCAGGATGCTGGCGGTCATCTTGGTCCTTAAAACCCAGTCCGTGGTTGCGACTGCTTCCCCAGGCAAAGACTTCGTCGCCATTGATTGAGGTTGGAGTACTATCCAACGCCGAGCCAGCAAGCACTGACTCTGCATCGTCCGACTCATCATCTGAACCGTCTCCATTACTCTCCAGATTAAGAGAGCGCCGTGCAATCGTAGCATTGTAAACATCGAAGGGGCTGTTTCCCTCATAATCCTTGACTTTGATGACAGAACTAGCTGCTCTCTGCACGGCGTTCCCAACCTGGCTACCTGGATCTCGACTGTCCTTCTCGATGATAGCTCTCGCAAGAGTGATATTCCCGAAATACAAAGCTCTATGCAAGGCCGTCCACCCATTCTCCGTATCTTGTGTGTACAAATCGATAGCGGGATGTTCGAGAAGTGCCAGGGCGAAGCTTGTCGCAAGCTCCGAGGTGGAGGATGCAGCACGATGCAGAATCGTGAGTCCAGCATGATCTCTGCTATTGACGTCTGCGCGAGTAAGACTTGTATTCAGTCCCTTTGCGCCGCCCGCGCCCTGCTGTCCAGATGCCTTTCGGGTCTTGGTCACAGTTCTGGGAGATGTCGCAAATCCACCGGGGCTCCCAGTCAAGCTTCCCCAACTCTGCGTATTTCCTAGCCCTCCATAGCTCTTCGGTGTGAATTGGATATTTTGACTGCCATTTGCAAGGAGGTGCCGAAATTTGTCAACCTCCTCATTATGGTAGTATTTCCAAAGAAGGTGGCTCATCTGAAGAAGTGGCGAAATGGATATCTTCCAGTCACTCCAAAGCACCTAGCTGTGACCTCGATCGGGGCACGGCAATTTGAAGGCGCGATGAAGTGGAGGAAGACTCCGGAGAAGAAGAAAAGGACGGGAGGGTTTTGTGAGGATCTGCCAGGCCGTTCAACGCGTTTAATAGCTACTCGCTGGGGTGACGCGATTGCGGCTCGATGAGGGGCAAAGAGATGGGCGAGACGGGTAAATGCGTTCAGCAGCTGTCACAACGTCTGGATGGAATCGTGTCTGATCGGTTTGCCCAAAGTTTTGCTTTTTAGAGAAAATCAATTCCGGAGCTGTCGTTGCAGGTAAGTTGTAGATGTAGATGCAGATGTATCTGAGGAGAGCGCGCAAGCCAGAGTCATCGAATTTACACAAGATGGTTGTGGGAGCTCTCCTCCCGTCGAATCAGATTGCGCACATGGTCCGGCGATAGGAGAAAAGAGGACTGGACTGGTCGGCATTCTTGCCCACCATCAATACTAGTCATACCTTAACTCACATTTCTTGACGGGATTACCATGCTTTACTCAGTGGCAGCAAACGCGAACGTTAATGAAGACATGGCGAGAGGGGAATGTCCTTATTTAAGGAATCGCATTGCATCATCCAGGGCAGCGGTGAAGAGACCGCGCTACTGTACGAAGCCAGCCACTCCTGGTCAGGGAGGACTGGGAGTGGAGTGGAAGCAAATTCCTAAGGAGGAAGCTTCTTTGTTGTTTTCATGACCGGGTCAGTCTCTCATTTTCCACGATCACAATTCTCCTTTATTGCTTTTCTTATTATTCCTCGTCATTTCCACGACACTCTGTCTTCCGAATTCAAAATTGTAGTTCGTCATACTATTTGGCATTTGACATTGACTGAAGAACTTCTCATATTACGATATCCTCAAATTTAGCTGAAGTTTCACATGAGATTTACAAGTCTGTTTTGTTGATAACATGAGAAGATATGATTCATTGTTCCGAGACTCTTTTATTGCTACCTGCGCATAAGTTGCTTCTTAGAGAGCTCGAGGTTCAGACTACGTCAACACCCAAGGCGACCTGCTCATTTTCTTCACAGGACTGCTCTGCCATCCTGACCAGTTTTACCAGCTGTCGTCTCCTATATCGATCCCGACTTTCTTTCTGATATCCCTTCTTCCGTCCCCACCCTCGGCTGAAACGGTGTCTCCTCGCAATCGCCAAACCCGCGGTCGCCCTGCTGCATCGCCTGGCTTGCCCAGAGCAACTCAACTGAATCAGCTTCGATACAGGACCTACTTCAACCGAGGGGATGGCCTCCCATCTCGCCTCAGCCCAGCGTTGTCCAAGTAGCTTGCCCTGGGCAAATGCAAGGGCACAGTCAACATCATGCTGCAGCTCTGTCAGAAGGACCTCAAGCTTCTTCATGAATTCTGGCAGGAGTTCCGCCAGGATGGCGGCTTTACGAGCATAGTTAATATCGTTCTTTCTTTTGTTCAATTCTCCACGCTCGTTTTCAAAGTGATTCTCAGAGATGATACTATCGATCGGCTTGCCCTTTGCTCCTTCTACGACACCTTCTAGATATTGAGCATCAAGGGATCGGCTCTTGCCTTCTTGTCCTGCAGCAATTCGATCTCTTTTGGTGAGCTCAAGGTTCTTGACTTGAGCATAGCCCTGCTTGCGCAGTTCGCTGCTCATGAGTAAAAGTCTTCGAATGGTAAAAGAGTTAGTAATAGTAGAATCATCGCAGCTTAGACATGAGTCGTTGGCTTTGCCGAAATCTCCGAGTAGAACCTCGAGAGTTCTGTTACTAGGCGAGAGTTTTCCTTTTGTTGGCTCAGCGAGGACTAGATGTCCGCAGCTTGGGAGGAGCATCCAAGCTTCGCGCTTGTCTCTGTTCTCTCGTATAGACATAGTGTCTGGTGGTCACTATATGGTCAAATTTCTAGGGTACAAGGGGTATTTATGAAAGGACTGCTGGTTACTCACCACGTGCCGCTCTTAATGCGAGTTATAAGAACACATTGTCATCGCTCTGTTCATGCTTTTTTAGCTTACTCTCTCGTTGTTCTGGATTTCAATTTCATCGCTAATTATTGCGCTGTGAGATGCTGTAACTGTAGGAAATGGATGATCATTAAAGTTCCCAGAGGTAGGTGGTAGTCAACAATAGAAACTGGCAACAATGACCAGTACCTTTGTTATATCAGTCTCATTCATGCTTTGTCCAAGTTCAATGAACTTTATGGCACTCAGAAAGAGGCTTTGTATGGCATACAGAGACACAATGAAACGATTACCTCATGGTTTCACAAGAACGGAAGGATACAGGGTACATAATATATCGCCAAACTGTCTTGGAAAAACCACTTGCTCAGCAATCATTCCAATCTCCACAAATATCAGGTCCTATCAATAATAGGATACACCGGTTTAGACGCTCCCAACACATCTAAACCCCCAACAAGCACACACACACACACACAATGTCCGCCTTCTCCACCATCTCATCCGTCACAAGCATAACACGGACAAGCATCCACACCAACAACGACACCATCAACCTCGCCAGAATCTGCGACGACCTCAACTGCATCTACCCCTACGGACCAGCCTGCAAATTATGTTCTCTTGCAGTCGACATAAAAGAAGATGCAGTGAAACAGCGACCTCACCCAACATACACAGTCGCAGCTTGGGTCGACGAGGTCAAAGTCAATCGAGACATTACGCTTTTTGCTGGTGAGAAGTTCACGGGTGGTGCAGATGATGATGATAGCGATATCACGCTTATTGAGAGACAGGCTGCGGCTGAGGATGATTATGTGGATGAAGGTGATGCTGTGGATGATCTTGGCGAGTTTGATGAGTGGGAGTATAAGGCCGAGGAGGAGGAAGAGGAAGAGGAGGCCGAGGAGGCTGAGCTTGATGACGGGGAGTCAGATACAACGCAGGTTCCAACGTATGTCCGCTCTCCTACGTATAACAATATCCTTGGTCGCGCATCTTGTTCACGAACAGCTTTCAATCCATCCACCGCCGTCCATGAACGACATCCTATCTCACCATGGCTCGATACGGTCTTCGACCATACTCTCAATGGGCAGCTAGAGGATATACATTTCACTAGTGGTGCTGATTTTCAGCGGAATCCTGATGTGGAAAACTGTGTGTTATGTACTAGGCCGGTGGGAGATCCTACGTTTCAACACTATCTCAAGTGTAAGTATGCTCATGAGGAAGCTGAGAGGATGGCTGAGTGGGGAGCGAAATGGAGCCCAAGTCCAGGTTGGCGGGTGTGAGGGGATTTCTGCTAATCCGGGTCTCTTATGATATAGCGAATGAACATAAGTAGGTTTTACAATCGTAAAAAAAGTACCTAGGTACTTTAACTCCAAGTGACCAACAGCCACGTGATATAGCAATGAAATGTACCGCAAGTAGGAAATGAGAAGATGGAGAGAATTAGCGCCTAAATCTTTTTAAGATGGTATTGGAGAGACCGAGATTCAGATTCGATCGCTCACACGAATGGTATGAATGATTCTTTCAATTTCTTTGGACCCAAGAAGTACGAACCACGTGGTACATCAAGTCATGCGGGCATCGGCGTCTTGATAAGGCAATGCGGGATTGAGTTTCTGGGTATCGCTCTATGTCTTTCTCGAGCGGTTTGTAGGAGCCAATACTTTGTCGTAAGTCTCAAGTAATGGTTGTGCTCAGTATTATGGTATAATGTATGATCGATGTCCGAGGAATAGTCAAGTTGAGACTCACGAAAGTGACCCAAGAGTGTCATGTTTTGATTATCGATACGTACTAGTCATAGTACACTCGCTCTTGGTGTTGTCACAATCTTCGTTATCAGGGCTGTTTGATGGTTGGTAGCATATTCTAAGCAGGCGCTCATTCAGCACTTGCTGACTGCCACCCGGCGAGGCCCTCAATTGTTTGCCGTGCTTAGCGAGACAGAAAACAATCCCGATCCCAACATTAAGGCCGCCTGAAGTTCCACGGACGCCTTAGCCAACTCGGCCAGTAGGTTGTGCTGATAGAGTAGTTCTCTAAGAGGCATGCTAGTCCAGGAAAAGGGCAGACTTGAGATGCACGAAGAGTGGGGAAGCTCCAAGGGAAGGCGGACGCGAGTAAGAAGGCAAAATGCAAGTCCAATGGTAGCCAGGCACACTCATTTCACTCCAGTAAGGTGTGATATGTTGATACTGAACGAAGGATGGGTTGGCGTGGAGGCCTTCCTATCTGCCTCGGACGGAGCCAGTAAATCTCAACGCAATCGGCGAGGCGAACTATCCAGGGGGGTGGCAGTGAGGCATATCACTCGGTGTCTTGACCCGGAGTGATAGCTCGGATAGCGACAAAGAGGCATCCGCAAATGCAACGGACTGCAAACGAGAGACCGCGTGAGCTGGCTCAAATAACCACTCGCTGGAGTTGTTGCTGTGCTCCTGTGGTGCAGCAGTCCTGCATTTCGTACCGGCATCAGATCAGATCGGGAGCAGACAGGTATGGGGGACATGGCAGACATGACTAGGTCTGGGGATCACATGCCGGTCCTGTATGGGGGAAATTGGGGGATGGGAGGGATGTGGGATGTCGCCTTTGGTGTTGTTGAGGTTGGCTCTTGACAATGTAGGCGGTGATGATGGTGTGGTTGCATGGTCATGGTCGTTGCATCTTGGCGGGAGCTGATAACGATTCGCCCGACCGGCTCTCGATCGGCTAGCACGCCAGCCCCCAGCCTACCTAGGTACAACCGTACAACCTTCGTTAGTTCGCGCTCTTGCTCTTGAGGTGCCAGTACAGTACAAAGATAAGCCGCTTGATTCGAGCTTCACTCCTCATCATAAATGCTCCATTATTGCACCTTGCTGCGCCTGAAACTTTGTAGAAGTCTGTCGTTGTTGTTCTGCTTCAGCTCGACATCCAACACTGCAATTGCACCATCACCACCACAGTCATTTCATCTCGGGTCGTCGTCAAGGTTGATCCAAACCAAACATCCATAAGCGCTGTGGTCCAGTCACGAGATAAGGTTGCGGGTCCGGTCCCTGAGACTGACTCCCGATCTCCATTCTATCCCGTCCGTCACACTACACTACACTGCGTCCAAGCATCATCATCTATCGTCGAGTGAAGGGATTCTCCGCAAACTTCCTCAGCTTCGCTCAGCTGTGACTCCCCCATCAGCCAAACCACGCGAGGATCCTTTTCAACAATGATGTGCGCCGTTGCCTGAGCTGTAGGCCCCCAGCTACCCCTGCTGTTGACCTAGTTGGACTTACCGGAACCCTTCCAATACGTCCACCGCCAGCTCCAGCGCCATCCCCAACTCTCCTTCGGTATTCACTTCAGCACACAAAGGTGCCCATTCGTATAATCACTAGCGATCAGACTACGATGGATGCCCAAATCATGAGGTATCCAGGCTCTACTTCATTCGACATCTAGCCCTACGATAGCTGCCGTGAAGCCTTGCGGGCGGGAGCAGGCAAGAGCTTCTCGCACAAGCTGTGCACCCTACAGCATCCCACAACGACAGCATCTTCAGACTCGACCTCCTCGTCGATCACAAAAGTCCCAAGATGCATCAGCATCCTCGACCATCGCCAGTTACGGCCTCGCCAGCCTCCTCCCCTAGAACGAACCCTACTCGTACAAACAATCCCAGAGAAGAAGGCTCGAGTTCGAATTCCAGGTTAGCAGCAGACATGCCTGCATACAACGAGGCTGATGAAGGCAGTGGAGATAGCGGTGTTATAGCTACAACTGGTCCAAGTCGAGATGTTGTAAAGAAATTGGACCAAATCATACAGGTGAGGTTGTCTATTCATCATAGGCGTTGAAACTGGCGTACTAATGATTTTGGCGGGCTAGAACTTCCACACCAAGGCTGCCTATCTTGTCTTGCAATCTCGAATGCCGTTACCCGTGGTATTCACTAAAGATGGGACGAAGAAGGTTAATAAATGGGTACGTTTTGGGGTAGCCTCTTCTCGGTTGCCTCCATAAGCTAAACGCAAGTTATTGCAGTTCCAAATTGAAACAGACGATACAAGCGCTTTCAAGGACGACCTCATTTTGTGGAAAACTTGCGGCGGATACCAAAACCGACCCGTGCCACTTATAATTGAAACATTCATCGACACGTCGAATTTGACAACCAGTCAGAGCTTGGTCATTGTTGACGATCAAGGGAAGAGATGGGATGTTCTAGAGGCATTGAACAGGTCAAGCGGATCAAGAGAAAATAGCGAGGTAATTCTGGAAAGGTGGAAAATCGAACTTAAAGATAGTCCGGGAGAAAGGACACACGACTTTGGTTCTACATTGCCCACAGTCTACAAGAAGTGCATTGTCTTCTTTCGCTCGTTGTATGCGACAACCAAATTTGTCCCAGCTTGGAGATTTGTAAAGAATTTGGCGAAGAGCGGATCGGCCAACAGTTCGCTGCGGGTCAGTTGCCGTATCTTGTCCGGTGATGTCCAACGAAGTCGATTCGATGCGCTTACTCATCCCTTATACGAGTATGGAGGCCCGGTCACAACGGACTATCTTCTCGGCACCACTGAGACTCCTGTAGGACAATTTTCAGCCGAAGTCTCATACCGAAACGATTGTAATTTCCGTGTTGACGACTCTGAGGCACTTCTGAGCTCGAGATTTATGGGTGCAGATGAACATTTCTTCCAGCCATCGTTAAGTGCAAAAGATAGCCGTCGTGGCGCCTCGAGAACCGTCGAAGTTGGATCGTTACCTGCGCATCGACAGCAACACAACGAAGAATCTGAGCCTATCCAAGCTTATGGCAGTCTTTCTACCTTTCATGGTGATGCGCCTCCCGGGGCCTCAAGCCCCATCTCCGCTCTGCGAGCTGCTAAAACTATGGGATCGGAAGCAAGCTCTCCAACTGTGGGATCAGGATCAGCTCCAAAATCCAGGCCAATGCAAACTTCCAGAGCCTCGCTTATCTCAATGGAAGGTGTGACATCCGCGAGGAGGCCTTCATTGTCGTTTCAGCCGTTCAAAGCAGGTTCGTTATCTTCGTCACCCGGACGCAATAGTCCATTTCAACATCCCGGTGATTTGCCGCCACAATCACCGCAATCGTTACCACGGTTGTCAGGAATTAGTGCATTAACACAGGCACGAAATCGCTCCTCACTTACAGCCGGTATGCCTGCCACTCTTAGAGGTGGACCGATTGTTCCTGATAATGCAGTCACTGCATCCGCATCGAGCTCGCCCAAACCTACACCTTTAAGTAGGTATAGCAGCAGTTTTACTCATCGACGTGGAAGGTCGTCTTTCGGCGGGACCAGTAAAATTGTGGACGAAGACCAGGGAAGCAGCGGCAAGCAGAGCCTGTCGTCTTCAGCACAACCTGGATCCGGTCTTCTCAACGACCTCGGAGCTGGTGCCAGTTCAGACTCGCTGCAGACTGATGATGATAATATCTCCGAATTTCTCAAGTTACTGGACAGTAAGAAAACTCTACAGAGCTTCGAGCCTTCAGGAGAGGCATCGACGAAGCGGACAAGTGCACAGCTATCAAAGTTTCAGTCGATGCGAGAGTCAAACAATGCATTGACGGAGTCTATGTCATCTTCCACTATGCTCCATCGATCATCAAGCTCTTCAAGCCGACAATTGTCCAGTGTTCCTCCAATGGTAGCAGCAACCTCGATGTCGGTTTCCTCATCGCCGGGTAAGCCAGTATCGCCGCATACACCTCATACACCGGCTATTCCGTCACGATTGAGTGCCAATTCTATAGCAGAGTATACTTCTGAACCTCGAAGACTTAGCTACCGCAGTAGGACTGCGCCAGAGGCTCCATTGGAGGATGTTGCAGATGATGAACAATCAAATGAGCGGGGCACGAATGCGATCAATATCCCAACATCACCACGAACATACTATCCCCATGCGAGAAGGTCAAGTTCTGTTGCACAACAGCATCGGTCTATCGCTGTCGAGGAGGACCTGGGAGATCTACCATTTGGCATTCATCGTAGCATCAGCCTTGGTGCGGATGAGCGTGAGCCGCCAAGTCTCAGTGCCCTTCTGGGGATCAGTCAAGCAGCCGATCCCGTTGCATCAGCTTCGTCTCCGTCTCCTTCGCGGCTATTACAACCAGCTCCTCATTTGAAAGAATCATCTACTGCAATGTCTCGCCAGCCCTCGTCTTCCCTCGATGCTAATGATTCGGAAGCGGCTCAAATGGCTAGGGGACAGTCGGCTGGCTCCATGAACTCCCCCTATCGTCCGAGATTGGGTCGAGGTGGAGGACGGGGTGTGACCCCTCCAACAGCGTCTTCATCCAGCTTGATTGAACGAGCAAGCGGAAGTGGCACGAGCGAGAGAGCCAGCGGTAGACTCAGCTTTACGAGAACCGCTGGTGCATACGAGCATGATGATGAGCCCCTGCTCTTCCAAATGAGCGAAATAGGACGGGATAATTCGAGGAAGAGTCTTGAAGATAACAGAGGAGGTGGGATGGCCGGTACCAGTGAGCGACATGGCTTTGACGCACGAGGTGGAGGAGATTCCGGCTCAAGCAGCCGTAGGCCCAGCCGACGAGGTTGGCACGGAGAGTAAATCCTGCATTGCAGGTCTCAAGAGAAGTCCAAGGGCGGATGAGTTTCTTGAGGACATACGTTTCAAGCATTGATGCATGCCATCTCTGGATGTTTTTCACATATTGCACAGCGCAGCGCAAGCGAGCAAGCGAGCAACATTTATGCCTGTCTGGTTCCGCGGATAATTAGCAGGAGTCTGGATTGGGCATTTACAGGTTGCCTTTGATTTCGAAATGCTTAGGCGCGGTATATAGCGGTTAGCGGGTTGCGGGCCCTGGTGGATTCTTCTTATTACACTTTTCGGCGCTACCTGATGAATGTTTCATTTGATGCATGCATATCTTGGGGCGACCGGGAACAGATTATTTTCCCAGATTGATATTGGATGGATAGGATTTGATACCTTGGATTGGAGTTTATAAAGAGGCTGCTGTTGTTTATAGGCGAACTATTATTGAGATATCTGATGATAAACTTGAACCACCTTCAGCGGAAATGTCGATTTCTGGTCCCTACTGTATGACTTCCCACTTTGAAGTAGTCCCTAATAATAAATACAGGCTTTACTATTAGGGATCATAGAAATCGATATGATAGGCTCTGAATCTGGATCAGGTAGACATCTCCATGTTCGAAGAGATAAGACACTTTCATCTAAGCGAAGTACGAGATCCATATTATTAAAGGCTCCGAAGTCAAAAGTGACTGAGTAACTCAATAACCAGTCTTTAACGTGCCTTTTATGAAACCTAGCATGATGAGATAACAAATGACGGAGGAGGAACTCGGCACATCTGGTACAGAAAGCAACGTTCGCGGTATTCATAGCTTTTGCTCGAAATCTGTACTTTCTCTCCAGTTGTCGTCCCGACCCAACTTTCTTTCGCCTTACGCCACCTCCCATCCTTCTCTTATCGTTCCCCTGCTTCCTCTTCCTTTCGGAAATTCTATTCAAATTGATATCTCCTCCTCAGGCATCAAATCAACTCATAACCCAACCCATTTCCGCGCGAGATACGAGGCGAAAGACTCATACCAACCTCAACTTCCCACACTATGCGCCGACCAGCGCGGCTCGGCGTTATCTTCAACTAGATATTAATTCCATCCAGGCAGCACAGAGAAGATAAATCAGGCGTGCAATCTATGCGGTGCGGAGTTGAAGATGGTATGTCCGGAATGGATCCAACACGAACAGAAGGGTTGCAAACAAGCACTATCAGAGCCCACACAGTACCCCAACAACCAATCCCTTCAACCCCATAACTCAATCAATCCTCGCCCTCCCCCCTCCTAGCACCCCAAAACCCCCTCCCGTACGACACCAGAATCTCCTCTCCCTTCCTAACCCCCTTCCCCTTCCCACTCCTCCCCTCCGGCAAAACCCACACCCCCATCCCCCTCTCCTTCCTCACCGGATCCCAGATCTCTTTAAACTCGGCATTGGCCCGCTCCGCTACGCCGCGGTAGTCGTTGATGAAGCGCGCTTCGTTGCCGCGTCTGTCGGCGTCGATTCCGATGCCTAGTTCGCGGTCGAGGCTTAGGTCGTAATTGGAGGATGCGTGGGGGTCTATGGGTGGTGGGTTTGGGGACGGAGGGGGAGACCCTTCTGGATTTGTGGTGGGGTTGGGGAGGGGAGAGGCGTGGATCTCGCCGATGTATTGGAGGATGAAAGTACCTGGTTTTAGGTCTTTGGTTGCGAATAGGCCGCTTTGGCCATTGGCGGGATGGGTGAGTGTTGTTATTGATGTTATTTTGACGAGGGAGCTGGGTCCCTTGGGGGTGTTTGGTGGGAGGTCTTTGGTTTCTTGGGGACGGGTGCGGAGGGCTGTTAGGTGGGTGGGTTTGAGGGTTGGGGAGTAGGCTGGGTTTGTGAGGTAGGGGAGGTTGGTGGGCCAGTTTTTGGGAGGCATTTTCGGTGAGGAGAAGTGTTTCTCTTAGATGATAGATGAGTGAGAACAAATCACTCGCTGAGGTTAGGTCGTGGGATGAACTGTATGGTATTAGCGCATGTTTTGTCAATATTGGTGGAGATAAAATCGGAAGGTTGTGATATGTATGCCCATCCGAGAGATCAGCTATATAGATGTATCTCAGACTCCACCACTCCCTATGTTTAAGACAGCTCAGGCTTTATAGAAGCGATCAGAAAATATTGCCCAGCTTGAAATCCAACATCGATTCATGAAAGGAATTTCTTCAAGAAGACATAAGACAGAGGCTAAATTCCGGTAATTAACTCACTTATTAAAGAACCTCAAACTTTTAAATTTCATTTGCAGCAAAACGCAACAGCTTCAGCAGCTTACAGCACATCAAAACAAAACAATGAAGGCATTCTCAAAAATTCAAACCCTGTCGCGCACGCCAAGCCACTTGCCTTAAGCGAGCTGCACCCCAGCCGTGCCACCCCTGTCCCCACCTGTCAAAACAGCAATGACGCAAGGGTTTTTCGAGCTCCGTTTGCAGCGGGAAATTTCCAAGTCACATCGCATCACATCTCGATCCAGGACAACATGGCATTCTGGCAATCTCGTTCCCCCGTTGGCTGACCAGGGGACTGATCGCTGGTTCGCCATCCGCACATACATTGATCCGTGAGTCCTAATCTTGTCGCCTTGTGACATGACGTAGCGGATGTTTTGTCCCCGTGAGCATTTCAGGAACAGGTTGAGGGAGGCGGGAACTACACCTGCACTCCTCCAGAGGATTAAGTGTCACACAGTGATAGGGCGGGCGGAGGAAAATCTCCCCTTGTTTCGGAGCATGTGAGGTCATCTGTATGATGGTAATGCGCCACAATACCAGGCAAGCTTGTCGTGGGGTAAGCTTGCTTGAGCTCGAGGAGCTGGGGGGGTATAAAGTTGTCTACCAGCCACACCTGGAGCTGTTTGTTTTCTTTGTTCTTTAGAAAGTGAATTCGTGCCAGACCTGAAACTTGAACTCCTTATTTTCATACTACAAAACGCTTCTTTGAATTGATCAACTCCCAAATTCAAAACGGTAAGCTCTTCGTCTCCATCTTCCACTTCCAACGAAGGCTCAACACAGCTAACCATACCGCTCCAGAACACACAAAACCACCACACAACAACCCAACAACAACTCTCACCATGCCTTCTCTCATCGACAACCTCGGCTCCCTCATCTCCTCAATCGTAAACGGCATCACCGCCATCATCGGCTCCATCCTCGCCGTCATCCAATCCGTCTTCAACACCATCTTCGGCATCATCGGTTCCGCCCTCTCAGCTGTCGGTACAATGGTCGCTGGACTGGCGCAGACATTCGAGGGTCTCCTGAAATTCTTGTTGAGTAAGTCATCCTCTTGCGTTTATATGTTCTGGAAATTCTTTGCGGGCTCTGAGGCTGACTGTTGTGATTTATGCAGGCAACATCGTCGTCATCGGAGCAATCGTCGGCGCGCTCTTCTTGTACGGTGTCTATCAGCAACGCAATGGAAAGGCTATTTCGCAACGTCCTGCTGGCGCGAAGAAGATCAACTAGAAGGAGAGTGGCGACAGTTGGAGCTGAGCTTTGTGTTTTGCGATCTGGAGTTGATTTGCCTTCTGCAGATTTGATGTTTGATAGGAGGGCTGAACGGGAGAGGGAGTTTGTGGACTAGATCTTTGTCGTCCGGGAATGGTGTGGGAGGATGTGGGAGGATAGCAGGAGATATCAATGTCCGGGATGGGAGTGGGATACAGGGCGTAGATAGATACCATCAATGAATGCACATGCGATTGCAAGACTAAATTCGTGGTATTTGGAAATAGTATTGCGTATATTTACCTAAAGTGATACTTTTATAATGCCAAAGAAAGCGAGAGGAGGTTCTTGCTTGTCGAGCGCGGTGCTCTTGATAAGGTTTGTGTACTATCGCAGACCATCATCACCGATAAGAGAAGTCGCGCGCAGTACTTGTATTCCGTTCTTGTTCCACGTCCTTGTAGAGCTTGTCTAGAGCCAAGTTGCTTAGCCAAAGCCAATCACTCCCGTCCCTCCAAAAGTGAACTTCCAACTCACCATTCAAATTCACACTCGCCTCACCTCGTCTCATCAATCCTCAGAACTACTATACCAAGTGTATAAAGACAGGACTGGACCCCTTAAACCCCCGGACTTCTCAGCAACCTGCCTCACAACATAGCACGACGTCTTAGGACGTAGGATAAAAGGAATATCCAGCCGGGTTTTAATCTCCCCATTGCGGCCGCGGTGGGAGTTTGTTTGCTGAATTTTATTGTTGCCTTTTGTGAAGCTGGTATGAGGGTCTGTTGATTTTTTCCCCAGAGTTTATGGGCGGCTCGCTAAGACACATGGGCGTTTTTGAGGATGGTGGAAGATTTTGGTGTAGCTGGATTAGTGAGAGTGAATGCTATTGACTTGTAATTCGTCTTTGTGCTTCAAAGATACTCAAGTGATATGAGCTGGGTCTGACCCCTATCATGAGCTGAGCAAGGCCATCAGCTCTGCAATGAGAGCGCACTGTGGAAGTTTCGTAAAAGCTTCCAGGGACTTGTGGACGGGGAAGAGCCTCGGATCTTACTTGTAAGTATCTAGCACAGGACCACTACCGAACTTTGGAGACAGCAGGGTAGCGGAAGAAAAGTGACCAGGCTTGGGATCGGCACGTTCTGTCACGTCACCCGGAAAGCTTGTCTGGGCACTAGGACGAAAGGTAAACACAGGGCTGGGTCTAGGACCATTGGGGCTGAAAACCCTGCCACCACTTAAATGATTCCTAGCAAATGAAGATTTCTATGCATTTAGTGTAGAACCCATGCCAATAGGTTATTCTGAGGCAGAGACTTGAGGTGCGGAACCGAGGGGAAGGATATGGGGGCGCTGCGCTATTGAAAAGTCGAAATACTAGAAGAGAAGTCCAGGGAAGCCCAGTGACATTCTTTAGTCTATTTGTTCTTAGGGAAGTTCGACGGAAGTAGCAAAGTATGCAATGGGAATAATAGGGAAAACAGAAGCTAGGATGAACACGCAAAAGCCACAGTCGAACGGACGGACATGTAAAATTCAGGTTGTAGTTGGAAGAGCTAGTGAAGATGAGCAGTGGAGGACTCTGCTCCGTGCGAAGTAGTCCAGTTGCGTTCGACCACCAAGTCCAAAATCAAGAGCACAATATTAAATCCAGTTTATGCAGCAGACGAATTATCACAGGAAATAACAGGCATGCTCAGTGAGAAGACATGGGGCCGAATCTCGCTTGGCCTCGGCAACAAGATAGGGGTCCAAAATGATGATGCGAGGATGCATTTAAGAATAACCACACCTAGGGGATTTTCAAAGTGGCATCTGATGGAAAAACTAAATCAGAAGACTCAAATCACTTACTAGTGTCCTAAGCATTAGTCGCAGCGGAAACGTACTCCTCCGACCTCGTCGTTGTCGTCGTCCTCAAGATGGGCCAAAGACACGTGACTTGAGGGATAATCGCCATTGGAAGGAGTGAAGTGGGATTTTTTTTTCTGGCGGTGTGAGGGCGTCAAGCGTGGGGATGCTCATTTAGCTCAACTTGCAGGAGATAGAGCAGGACATATGCGCCCCGGTGAGCAATGTAGATTATCATCAACAGCGCGGGGGGCTTCTTGAATGGCCGCGCTGGTACCTTCGTGGATCTTCACCTAGGTAATACAGCAGAGGGGTGTTACGACAGCTGTCTCGTCAGTGCGTGCATTTTACGCTTGGCGCGCTATTGATGCGGTGGCGTTCTTGATGGTCCTTTCGTTGCTGGCGGATATCGCGATTGGGGGCTGCTTTTTAGTGAGAGAGAGACACGTCTCCGAGATCTAGCAGGCTATTCGTGCGTTTGCGGGTGACCTTGAATTCCTTGAATTCTGGAGGTCTCGCAGGTCAAACGGGCCACCGTAATATCTTAACCTCCTCGCAAAATACCGTAAAAATCCATCGCTGGCGGCCGGGCTTTCACGATAGTCCGGCCTGTTTTCGAAGGGGTGTTGCGACTGCAGGCTTGCTGTCCAGATGATCAAAAGTTGGAAAATGTTGAACCAGAGCAGTGGTAGCCTATCAATCCCTATGAGGCCTGCGACTTCTCTCAAAGAAGCAGCTGCAAAGCGTCCCGGAAGGCGCAGCGACAGGTGCTGAAAGTGTGCTGAATGCAACCGACCAGTCTCTTTCGTGCGGGGGGGTAATGTGAATTTTGCTTTGCGTATCTCGTAAGAGGGTCAGGCAGACGAAGGAATGGTCTTGATACATAGGGCAAAGGGATTGTCGATATCAAATCCTGTATCCACATCCGCTTCTCCCTAGTAGTGATTCAGCTTTGCCAGCTGCGCTTTGTTTGGAGCTGTCTGGTTGGACGAGTCGCTTCCCAGGAACAATAATCACTCCACTTTGTGAAGCAGCGGTATCAAGTATGCTATGTTGGTCAATGGGGATCTGGAAGAAGGAGCCTTCCATTGGACCTACAGTTACAGAATTACGAATTGATATTGCTAGTGTTTGGTAAAATAGAGGGTTGACGGTCAACGATCGACTCTGGTGGAGATCCGAGGCTGGGCTTCGCAACAGGCGCAGATGCAAACTGTTGTGAACTGAGTCAAGCTCGGGCGTGTGGGAGCAAGTGACCAAAGAAATTCCCCGATGGAACTTCGGAAATCAGCAGCACGGCCAAGGTGCATAATGAAGTGTTTGTATTCCTAGGTAAGTCGCATCTGTAGGCTGTAGATACATTGTCTCAGTAGGCGACTTTGTAGCTGACATTCTCACTGCTCGGTTGTTGAATCACAGCCATGAGCTCATCAAGCCACCTCAGAGAAAGATTTCATCTGATGATAGAACTTCTCGAATTAGTCCAGTGCTGCAGCAATTTTGAAGAAAGTGCTCTTCAAAGACCGGCCACTGCGATCATTATGCGGCCGGATTCGTGGTAGACCGTCAACCATCAACGTGTACAGGTGAAAATTTCTGGGGAAACAAGTCTCTCTGCCCTACCAGCCGAGGGGAAACAGGCATAGAGCTTGTGATATCTTTCTCCAAATACATGGCTGTAACAGTCAAGGCTCTCTTCCCACTGGGCAGCCGAATTATCAAGATTTGAGTGACTGAGACGAGGAATCTTCACCCCGCGGAAGGCACACCCTTGACACTTCACCTCCCACAACCAAGACTGCTCAGCCCCAGTCCTTGCCCGATCGATGAGAATCCCATGTTCGGTCGCACGTCCATCTCCAGGTTCTCCAGGGTGGCAGGATGATGAACGACCAAAGCGGCTATCTTCCGGCTTCAGCAGAGAATTACCTTCTTGTTAAACGAGTAGTTTTATACCCGTATCAAAAGCGCTGCACCTATCGTCAATGAATAGGGTTAGCCGTCAGGATAAAAACTCAAATCCGCTCTAACTTCAGGGCGTCTACGTTTAGCAGCAAATCTCCATCTCCCGAGAACAAGATCCACATCACAGGCAGGGCATTCTCCCCCAGCAGGCAGCATCAAACTGCTGCCAGTGTTTCCGGCCAACTGAATGGTCAATGGACCCTCGCCCGTACCGTACCCCCATGCTCGACTTTCGTGATGTTACGGAGAAAGCTCTTGCAGGTGCATCGCTAGACTGATCCGTTTCGAGCATCCTGCATCTGTTACCAGCTGCGATCACTAAGGTCTAGGTACATTTTCTTAGAGCCCTCCCCGCTCCACATATTCCACTTCCCTTCCACTTCCACCCTGGCCAATTCCAGGCTGCGGCCGGGCGCTCTAAAGTTGCCGTAGTCCGCGAGCTGAAATGTGCGAGTGTGTGTGGGCAGAGGATGGACGGCAGAGGCCGGAAGTATCAACGGTGATGGCGTCGTGTTACACTGCAAACAAATCTGAATTTCTTCCTCATGGTGGAGTCATTGTCTCTAGAAATATGCTACCTGATGACCACATATGAAAGTATTGTTTATGGTCTCTACCCAGAAATGCCTACCCAACCTTTCACCTGTTCCCGCTCATGTCAGCCCATCCATCCGTCCCATCTGCATTCCCAGCCGCCCACCAACTTTCGCCGAGGCGGATTCTACCTTATGAATTGCACCTTTGGCGTTTGGCATGTTACGCCAAGGCTCTTCGGCCACCGTACTCCCACTACATCAACTTCCACAGCCCACCGACTTCCTCTCTCTCTTCTTACAGCTCACCACAATTTTGTGACCTTTTAGAGAACCGCCTCCTATTTTGGTCGCCAAAACCGACATTCGGTGTCCTGCTGCTTCAGCCGGCGCCGTTCGGTGCAAGGCTTCGCCGTTGTAAATCAACTCCTCTCCTCTCAACCTTTTCTCGCATCTGTCAGGCGTTGGAATCATCTCGGAGTCTTTGATTGGATTGGATCGGATCGGATTAGCATATACCACGGGGGCAGCATTTTCACAAGCGAACGAACAAACAACAACCGTACATACTTCTTCTTTATACCTTCACGACTCGATTATTCGACTCTGCAGTCGTTCGCGATTGCCAACAATCAGACCCCTCCGTGTTGAGGCTTCTTTATTCTTTCGGCCCCGCGTCGACCGTTTACGGTTGTTCGTACGCCACCCATTCTCAATCCTCATCAACAACAAGCGCTTCTCGACGATGTTGATCAAAGGCGAAAAGTATGCCTGTGAGGCATGTGTGAGAGGTCATCGGGTCAGCAACTGCCAGCACTCGGATCGGCCATTGCAGCACATCAACAAGAAGGTAAATGGTGACTTCGCATTCCAACGACCACTACTGACAGGTTGCACTACAGGGCCGTCCAGTCTCACAGTGTACCCATTGTCGAACTCTCCGCAAGTCTCGCTCCGCACATGTTCGATGCGAGTGTGGAGAGAAGGCACACACCAAGGGCGGCTGCAGCCATGATTCTGATGCCCAGGGTGAGCATTCAATAGCATATTTGAGGCACACCGACAGCAGTTTCTGATAACTTAATAGCAGACAGCTGCTGTTGCAGTCACACCGGCCGTTGCACTTGCGCTCTAAAGAAGGAGCATTTGGATCCAGTTCCCGAATCTGATTCAGATGAACCCTGTTTGTCTGTGGCACGTAAAGACGAGAAGCGTAGACCTCGAGCTCTCACGGCACAATCCGATGGAGGGTTGACCATCTTTACCAATGGCCATCACAAGCCCGTTCACAAGCATAACAACATGGCCTCTAAATGCGGTTTACCATACGTTGTTCCACGGGCACATTCAATCCATGGTCCATCCCCGTCTGGTCTAGCAAATAGATCTGTTGACAATCTACCCCATACAAGCACCATCGATGCGTTACACAGCGACTCTCATATCAAGGATTCGATGGTCAGTGCGCAACAGGAACAGCGGATGGTGAAGTCTGAGCACGGATCGCCCCTCTTGACTCCTCAATCAAATTTGGAGCAACTGAACGGGCAGCTCCCGCCTCTCGATTTGTCAGCTATTCCCGGAGAGTTCAACTTTTTGCAGTCACTGGACGGCTTTACTACTGTTCCTGACCACGAGCCGCCTATGTTTTCTGCAGGGCTAAGCTCGGCATCCATTGATTGGTCTCATTATGATGGACTTGATTTCAACAATGACAACTTCGCGAATTCCTCGTACAGCCAAGCTGCATCCTTTACTGGATTCGACTTCAGCAGCATAGATCAGCCAGCTCTAACCACCACTTCAACTTCTGGCGAGATCTCCGAGGTTGAGGATTTTGTCCCCTTGAATGAGAACAGTGGAAGCCGACCGCCCTTACTCAACAACCAGTATGGTTCCGATTTTGACAACTCAGACTTTGGAGACATCGATGGCTACCGACTGAGCACCGCATCGTCTTATATCGGCATGCCCCAAGCGCAGATGCTGGCCAACAACAACTTCGATTCTCTTGACTTAGACTCCTTTCTGAAAGGTGTTCAAACGTCTGGGCCCTATGGTAACAGTAATCACGGTCTTCCGACGGCCAACTACCTTGATGATGGCAAGTCTGGACTCAACACTTCCCCTTTTGACGACAGTACAAACTTCCAGCTGCTACCTACCGAAGACGACAATGACGCATTCTGGATGCAATCGTTTGTCCCAACCCAAATTCCGGGCAACAATTCCAACAATGACATTCCTGAAAACAACAATTGGGCTCAATAACACTGGGGGAAAGGCAGCAGGCCTTCGACTGATTATCTCCTTGGATTTATCCGCCGACGACTAGATGACTTATTTGTTTCTGCACTGCATGGCAGTTTTGATGACGTAGTACAGAATCTTGAATGTCTATAGATTTCAATGTCACATATTACGATATACGCACATATTTATTTCACCATCATTGCTTTCCCCTCCACATTTTCACCTTGCTGAACGCCTGTAATACATACCAGCCAGTAATATCACTACCTTGCCTCCACTGTAGACTAGTGACCGGCATCTTCTACTGTACGGCAAGGCCCAGGGTTTGGAGCGGCTCGCTACTGTTGACATACCCCGCAGAATTCGATATACTTCTGATCCTGTGGACAATACCAGATAGACTTGAAACACATCACCTTTATCCTACAGTTACCCCGCATCGACTATGCAAAGAGCCCGACATTTGAAATTACATGGGAGCATCCTCGGTCCCTCTGATTAGACGAACTTCATCCAAGTGCAGGTCACAAGAAGCTCCGGCACGGCGGCCTATTGCTTCGACTGCCGCTTGCTCACCTGTTTATGAAACGATATGCCGAAGCTTCATCTATTTCTTGGTTAACTCGCTCTTTATCATATGATATGCAGTGACATTCCACAGAACCAAGAAGGTTGCTGGAAGCTTTAGCATTGCCGACTTGAGAGCAAAGTGTGACGCTGCGTTGAGATTTTGCGGATATCAGTTGATGCAAATTGGAACAAGTGGTCATTTCCAATGACTGAAGTTACGGAACCCCGCCGTTTCAGGGATCAGATTCTTGACCAGGTAAGATATCCTTGGAAGAGCTTGATTGATGGATCTGAGGAGGTACATACAAGCTGCAGTTGACCCTAACCTGGGTAAGATATTGTTGTCGGTACTGTAACAACGTGGCTCCGATGCTAGCCATCCAGTTGCGTATCCTGCCAAGCCCCCGCACTTTGAAATTGATATTGAGGAAATATATTTCCCCACCGGAAACACAGCAGTCGAACCCTACCAGGTGATTTTGTGTCGCATGATGCCACGCAGCTGTGCTGCATCTGAGCGGAAGATCCAAGGCTTCATCCGCCTGAACAGGCTGCTTCTTACGGCAGAAATGGTAACTGAACTAATTGGGCAGCAGGAGGCACAATGGTTGAGTACGATAGGCTCACCCCAACCAGTTGCAGGCTGCGGGTGAACCAACTCCGGCCACTGTTGGGACATAGTGTAGCGTCTGTTCAGTGTGGATGCTTGCTGGCGGCGGCGATGTGCTCGTCTCCAGAAGGTGTGAGGGTGAGGTGACGGTGCCATGGGCACGAAGTTGTACCCAATGAAGGAGACTCAAGCCCCCAGTCCGACTGCAAGGAACGCCGACGTGACCCTTGTGCTCCGACGCTGGTGCTGGCGTGTGGGCCATAAAACACGCAGAAATCCTCCGAAGTTTCAAGGCTCGAAGCCTCCCGTGATCCGATCCCCTGTTCTCCCAACCTCACCTGGTCTCTGTGTTCCCCTGCTTGCCTGTGTCCATATTGAGAGTTTCCTGACATTCATTCTCCCGGGACGTGGGTTCTGGCATAGGCGCAGAAGTAGATTCTCAGATACATCCACGCGCACACCAGGGTTATAACTCTCTGCGCGAACCGATCCTGAAGATACAGAATTGAGGCGTCTTTGTTCTGTTTTGTTCTTTTGATACGGGCTTCACGACAGTCCCAAGAGCCAGCCAGACACAACACAACAACAACGGTCAGCCGAGGAGACTTAGTGACAGTGCAGGATCTAAGCCTCCTCGAGCCTAGCGCGGCTAGTGCAGTGTTATGCCTGTGTTGTGCATCTCTCGTTCTCGAGGGGGAAGCTTTCCGGGGACTCTCAAACTTTCTTCCGGCCTACTGGACTGCCAATTCCACCCATCTAACTTGCGACTCTCCCAGCATCCCATCCCCTCGACTTCTCCCTCCCAGCATCCGCTTCGAGCGAGCTGTGCCGCTGATCGGGGTCGCGTACTTTTGCTACATTCGTCTAGAAAACAAGTAAGTTGATTGAGGCAGAATTCGTGGCGCGCACCCTCCTGCAGCTCGCGCCGAATACTGCTGGGCTGGCTGGCTGGCTGCTGCTCTTTCTCTTCAACCGAGACCGCAATAAAGTCCGGGACGGTACTTTCAATATCAACACTGACACTTTGCCAGACCTGCAGCATCCCGCTCGCCCGTGTCCATGTCCATTCCCATGACGAAGTACTAGCAGTTTGCCTTAATTCGACGCGCCGAATATGTCCTACCCCTCCCCCAATACCGTTGCTGCCGACCAAGGCGGCCCGTTCTACTCTGCGTCTTCGAGTCAACACCAACCGCAGCAGCATACCGGCCTCCCAAACCCAGATGAACTAGAAATCGCAGCACACTTGTCTTCGCATGGTCTTGCGACAGCCATGAGTTCTGGCCCAGGAGGAAACATGACCGATAGTCAAGATATCAGAAATCAAGGGCAACCCATTATCAACCATCAGTATGAGCACGAGCAAGCTCATACTCCTCAGGGACAACCTAGCCATGGCTCCGTGGACCAGATGGGAGGGCAATATTCTACACCAGATGGACCAATGGCAAGCAGGAAGCGGTCAAAAGTGTCAAGAGCTTGTGACGAATGCCGGCGCAAAAAGATAAAATGCGACGCGTCGGGAGAACCTGGCGATGAGCAATGTTCCAGCTGCAAGCGGGTCGGAACAACTTGTCAATTCAGCAGGGTGCCAATGAAGAGAGGACCTAGTAAAGGGTAGGACCAGCAAAATACAATTTCTGCTCCTCACATCTTGCGGCGTAGCTAACTTCGGAACTTAGGTATATCAAAGAGCTGGCAGACCGATTGAATACTCTAGAAGGGGCCATCCATGGACAAGCGGGTGAAATGGTACCGCAGTATATGACACACCAAGAAAGCACAAATCAGCATCGTCCATCTGAGGAATTTTCGCCACCTCCCCAAGGAGAAACCCCGAGGAAGAGGACTTATTCTGCGGTCTCGGGAGGTGAATTTGGCTCGCCGTTTATGGCACAAAGACAAGTAGGTTCTTGGGGTCAACAACAACCGCAAGAACATTTACGGAATATGGTGCACTCGAGTATACCTTATGCTCCCTCTCAAACAGCTCCTACCGGACAAATGTTCAGGGAACCCAATTATTCCCCAAATGGTCTTCAATCGCAAGCTGTCTGGAGACAACCGCCACCTGAAGTGACACGCCCTCCAAGCAATACATATGAAAATATCTTACAGGACCCCAACTACAATGACCGGATGTCAGAATCCAATGAGGCTATTTTCGATGGGTATGATGATTTGGCATTCAGAAAGCGAAATTGTGCTAATATTCTCCTAGATACTACGGGATTATACATCCTACTTATCCCATTCTTCCAACAACTAGAACTAAGATGTTGGCACGACTTGTAGGCTGTCCTGCGACCTTGCGAGAAGCTTTTTATGAAGCGCTCCACGCTGCTGTCCGCTCTTACCCCTCCTCAAATGTGTATAACAACGAACCGCCAAGTCCTCGAAAAGCTTCCCAGCTCGTGACTTTGTCTGAGCGAGATTCGGTACCGATTCAATCATTTTCAGCAAAATTAATTTATCTCCAAACAATGCTCTTATTAGCCACTGAAGCCGAGACACATCCCCCATCGTCCGCTGGACAAGATGGCCGATCTCGATCAGTATGGCTTGGTGGTGCCGTGGGTGTAGCTTATTCGATGAAGCTACACCTGCACAAGCCATTTGATAAATTGGCCGAGAGTGATCCCGACACAGATGAAAAACTCGGCAGGAAGCTCTGGTGGAGCTTGGTGATAATGGATCGGTGGCATGCTTCAAGCACAGCTAGTCCATCACTGATTCCTGATAGTAGCGTGGTTGTATACCCAGAAGACCAGGCTCTATTGGGAGATGATCTCTACCAATTGGCCCGTAAGAATATCCGTCCGTGATATAGATGAATTTGCTAATATTTTCATTCTCAGGTCTATCGATCATCTTGGGACATGCCTCTGATGTTGCGCTTGCTCCCACAGATCTTCCTACGCTCAGTATCACTCGAGACGCAGTATACGGCACGCTTCTCCGAGGCGAGATCGAGCGGTTTCGGGAATCTCTTCCTGCATCAGTATTGCAGTCTTCGAATGCACCCCTTCTGCACATGTGCTATTGGCATTTGCGAATACTGGTGGGGCTTACTCTCGTCACTATAGAACCATTCGACCTCAAGGAAAGCGCATTGAACAGTCTTGCGCAGCTCGTTAACAATCCGGGCCTCATTTCACCATTAACCTATCATTGTACCACCCTGGTTGCATTAGTTTTCTTAGACTTGATAGAATACGAGTCGACACGAGATGAGGCCGATGAGGGACTGAGAACCCTCGTGGAGGCTCGAAAAGCACCTTCGACGTGGGATGCGGCTGTACGGGAATTAATCGCCAACCGAAAGCAAGCCGCCACTAACACCGCAGCACCGCCAGTCAATCTCAGCACAACAGAAAGCAAGCACGCTTCTGTCGCGAGCCAGAGTCTGCAACGTCTTGCTGATCTGGCCACTGCGACCGAAGAAGGCAGGGATGTCACCGTCAGCTCTGGTGGCGAGGAGAGAAAGGAAGGAGAGAGCAGAGACAACAGCAAGTCGGGTCCAGCGGGAGCTCGTTTCGAGAGCTTTCACAAGCTTCGAGAGCTCGTCAGGAGTGGATATCTGAGCGTTTTCACTGCAGGAGACGCGGGCCGGTAGGCCGTCAGCCACATGTGGCGCATACAGCTTTTTAGAATATGCATGTTGGTTGAAACGAGACGAAAACCGTTGGCTGGAAAAGCGACACATCCCTCTATACAATTGCCAGTATACCCCCCTCGAAGCTGATTGTACGAGTTCCGTGTTTACTTGCATGCTCATTTCATTTGTTGGGATATACGAAAATCAACAATTGCACGTGGGAAGGGAGGAAGGGGCCGGTTTTCTGATGTCTTTTACTTACTGGGTTGGGTGTTTACGGATGGGGTGGTTGATTGGCTGGTTAGGCGCAATTCCTGGATTGGGAAACATGCGAGCAAGCGAGCGAGCGAGCGTGCAAGAGCATCAGCATCTTTGGGTTGGGCTGTTTCTCATTTCATCCTCGCCTCGTCTGGTCGGATCTGGTGGCATATGCGTCGTCGCATCTTCAAATCAAGTCAAGCCAAGGCAAGGCAAGGCTCGAGCAGATAGGTCGGGTTATGGAGCCTCGTCTGTTTCAAACTCTGCATGCGCGATGCAGCAATGCAGCAGATCGAGCATGGCGGCGGCGGCATCGGAACATCATGGCGGTGATGTAGTCCCGCGAGACCTTGTGTAACAATAGAAAGAACGAAGAAGAAATCGATGCCTTCGAAATTCATCCCCTCCCTCCTACCTGTCTGCTGGGGTCCAAGCATGTTGACTACATTGAAATATGTCTTGGTTTCCGTCTCCGGCCCTCTCGAGCCGTCGTCGCGTATATTGATTTACTGTTACTTGTTATTTGTTCTTGAGTTATTCTCATTGCGCACTTATCGTGCACGTATTCTCGATTGGGAAGCCTCGCAAGGGGCCATTACTCCTTTGATACACAGTGGAGCACATCCACGAGCCGGGAAAGCAGATTTACCGGCTCCCTGGATCCCATTGGAGCGGATGGGAACCGTTGACAGCCCACTGAGTCAAGGGAGTTGCAAGGACGAGAGCTGTGGCTGCCGTTGAGCTTCCCGCAAGGTTCCCGCTTCTTGGAATGAAAACCTCGTATTACGGTCCGTTTCCAGCAAATGCAATCTATACTGTCAGCAGAACGTGAAACAAGTTTTCAAGCCATCGCCGACCTGGTGTCCACTTCAATTTGTCCATTTCTCCATCTCTCTGTTTTGGTCGGAGATACTTCCTTCGAATAGTCACTGTTTGGAAAAGAAAGCACTGGGCAGAGATTACTTCTTGCTCCGGGAAACCTCACAGGTAGGCACTACATGTCTATTGCTCTTCCAAAGATCGGTTTCGATTAACGAGGACTTTGGGAGATATGAGAAGGCAGCCATATTCAGAGCTTCTCATAGATGGAGAACCTCAAGGATCTTGCAGAACCTACGATCCTCCTTCTGCTGGCTGGTTCCTTGTCAAAGAGTACTCGTAGTGCCAACCCTCCTTCGCCATATCCTGTCTCACTTTGTAGTTCTCTTCAGCTTCCTCCACTACAAGTCATGAAGTCAGCTCCGCACATTCAAGAACGATCTTCAACAGCCCCAGCTCGTTCGAACTTGTCAAGGATACTTGTCCTAGGAATTAAAATGACGATGGAGATGATACATTAACAGGAACAAGCAGAAGAACTCACAAATCTCCATATCAACATCCACAACACCCATCCCCTCCTCCCACCCCAACTTCCCCAACGCCCCCACAAACGGCACCGCAACCTGACTTCCTCCCGCCCAATCCCCCCTCTCCCCACTCCCCCTCTCGCCCCCAACATTTACAAACACAACCGCACACGTATTCTCAAACGTCCTCGCCACAACCATACTCTCAAGAAACAACTCCTCCGCCAACGGATTCCTCCTCCTCCCCTCCGCCCTACAATCCGCGAGCGTCCAGAACGTAGGGATAATAATGATCTTCGCGCCCTGCGCGATGAGTTCGCGGAACGCTTCAGGGAACGCTAAATCCCAGCAGATCAGCATGCCGACTTTGCCTAGTGGGGTGGAGAATGCGGTGTGAGGTGTGTGCAGGGAGGAGGTGAGGTGTGGGCGTTCGGGGTGCCAGAGGTTTTTCTTTTGGTAGTGCGAGAGGATGGTGCCGGTGGAGGAGATGAAGTAGGCGATGTTGAGGAGGGAGTCGGCGTGTTTTTCGACGATGGTGCCGGGGACGATGTTGATTTTTAGTTCGGCTGCGAGGGTGCAGTAGGAGTTGAGGTATTTTTGGTATTGCGCGCAGAGCGGGATGAAGTCGGGGGAGTCGGGGACCCCTGGGATATATCAATATTAATTAGTATACAGTTGAAGTAGAGAGAAGTGTCTTTTTGAGAGCTTCGAGTGTTAATATCGTGCTATAGATCTCTTGGTGGTATCTCTTGGTGGTGACTTACAAGATGTGAGATGATACTCTGGAAGGACGGCGAGATGGCAACCTTGAGCTGCTGCGTCACGGATATACTTAACGGCCGTAGCATGGTTGCCTTCTATATCTAGAGGCTGTTCGACGTATAAGTATTAGCTATCATTTATAAACAGGATAGTTGAATTGCAGATCGAGGAAAAGCTTGAGACTGGCTTAATCAAGGTGGCACCTCCAGACAGACCACAGACCGTCCATAACAACCAAATACCATTTAAGAGAATTACTTTCAACACATTCCGAAGACACTCAAAACACCAGACCAAAGCTGGGCCGACGACTCAATAGACATCGTGAAAAGGAACAAATACATATCTCTGATCAAGGCCCGCCTAATCCAAGCAAAAAGACAGCAGAGTAATATAATACATCAAACAGAGAGCACATTTGCAAACGCAATATCCATCAAAAAAGTGAAATCCAGGCAGTATATATAACTTGAGACTCTGATATAAGATCATACCTTTGGATGTAGCTGTATCACAGCAATCTTATACACCGGAGCCATCCCCGCACTTTGAATCGAGTTTCAAGCGGTCAAATTGCCTGCTGGTATCAATCTCTTGAGGTACCGACTCGTACAAAGAGCAAATTGTGTTATAACTTATGTTCATGGGATTTAGGAAAAGAATATAGGTAGTGTCAGTCTTGATGAGGGGAGAAGAGAAAGCCAAGGTGGGGTAATGACAGAGGGATGGAGGTCACGATCAAATATGAAGGGGCGCTTGTATCAATCTATTATCCATCCAACCCGCTTCTTTGACAACCTAGCCAATGAGGGGATATATTGACATGAACGATTATCCTGGCTCCTCGCTTGAGCTTGAGTATTTGTTTGGATATCACTAAAAGTATCGAGTTTCGATCTTTCCAGACTCTAGGCAACATGATCAGGACTTCTCTCCACTATTATGAAATTCACTACATCCTTTCAGCACTTCAAGAACAGTAGAAATATGATCGGATTTGAATGAACAACTCAAAGCTGATATGATCATGATTTGCACCAAATCCACTCATCTCATCTCATCTCGTCTCGTGTCGTCTATTCTATTACTCGTTACCTACAGTACCTCGTAATCTACCGCTGGCGCCGAGTCGCGCTCACAATGCATGCATGCAAAATCCCCTGCGCGCGCAACAACGCTACGCCAGAACCCTCAGATATCTTCCGCGCCTATATAAAGTTGCAAGCAAAATCCGCTGTTCTGAATCCTGTCTCGTGTATGATATTTCCGTCGTCATCATCGACCAAAGTAACGCCTTTCTGAACTCCCGCTCTCACAAAAATGCTTGAAAAAAATGGCTGACGAACCGTATTGAGGAAGACGGTCCGTGAGTATATACATGGGTGGATTTCTACGCTTCCTCCGTTTGTGTGCTCCGGGCTGAGTAAATGTACGCCTTTGTGTGTGGGAATCGCGAGAAACTCTCAAGGTTCTGCACTGCTTGGCGGCTAAAGAGTCTTGACGTGTTCGCTAGCTGAAGTACTTGTCTCGGTTGTCGTCTCTGTAGATGGCGATGTAGGTGGAAAGTAACTATCTCCTGAGACAGATCTCGGGATATCAAGGCGCTCGTCGTGGATCAGAGGTCGTTTATTCTCTGTTGGTGTAGTTGATCCTGATTCGCTACTGCCATGGCTAGAGCTTTTGTCGCGGTATTCATCCGGCTGACATGCTGATGGCTTCTCGCCAGAGGGGGTGGTTGAAGCTTGAAGGACTGATGGTAATTGACGTCGATGAAACCATCCGCCTCGTTCCCATTCGCCAGGCTTGTACAGGCATGAGTTTCGCGTCTTGTCATCAACAATACCCGCCAACAGGATATTCAAGCGTTTGAAGTCGATTGGCTTTAGGATCCAGCCATCAAATCCAGCATTGATGTACGTCTGACGTTCGCGCTCGACAAGCGACGCGGATACAGCAAATATTGGTACACGGCCATTGCTCATTGCACGTGTGGAAAGTTTGCTATCTGGGTGGGATTTCTCGTACGACCTAATCATCTTGGTGGAGGTGAGCCCGTCCACGATTGGCATCTAAAACGGTATCAGTCTACTCATCTGGAACCATCTTGCGGGGGGCAAGAAAGATTGATCTGGAAGTCCCCAGACTGCCTAGATACATCTTCTATCCCCGGGAATGAAAATTCTTACCTGCATGTCCATGAGCACCACATCGAAGAATGCAGGCTTCTCTCCATAAGCACTAGCGCAATCTTCTCCATTGACGGTGTGGTGTACTTTATGACCGCTTTTCTCCAACCTTTTGAGAATGATTCTACTGTTGACGGGATCATCCTCGGCTACTAGAACCTGTAGGTGCTCCGCATCTTGCTTTTTGTGTGGCTGTGCGGAGACATTGTCTGTTTCCTTATCAGGTATTTCGAACAAAACCTTGGACGCAACATGTGGTGTGGGCGGCTGGTCGAATTCTTCAGGCATCCTGACGGCCTTCAGTAGAGTCTTGTTGTCTGTCACAAACTCTGCCCCTGGGGGACCCTCATAAGATCTGCGCAGGTGTTCTGGAGCCCCATAAGATCTTGACCGCGACAACATTCCTGGCCGTTCATGACTTGTACGGACCGGAGTCGACCCAACGCTAGATGCGCTCTTGCGGCTGTGCCCACTTCCTCGACTTGTTGTTCGCTGAAGGGCTTGCTCTTCGGATTCTGCCTCCCCGATATCCAATGGCCCGGAAATGGCATCGATCAATCGATCCACGTCACTCTTCTTGCTTGCGTTACTCTTGTTGCTTTTGTTGCTAGAGCCGCTTTTGAAGCTGTGTAGGCTAGCTTCCTCGAGACTGCGCTTACGTTGGACCGCCTGATCTGCTAGCTTGAGAGAGCTCGCCTTCTGCACAAGCGTAACTTCGCCCTTGATATCAGACACGGTTGGAGGCGTGGTGACAGGTAATGGCGTTGGGGTCTCCCTTGTATCTGCTGTCTCGGTCTCGGACGAATCGGAGTCCGGAAGTGAGAAAGGCAACTGCATGACGAAACGGGAGCCTTTTCCTTCCTCAGATTTCAGTCGCAGTTGTCCATCCATGTTGCGAACCGTTCTGGCAACCATTGCAAGTCCCAGACCCAAAGTTTTCGTTTCCTTTCCTTGCGTGGAAGACTCGGGATTGAAAGGTTGGTCTTCTTCGCCTTCAGTTGATACCTGCTCAAGATCCCTGAATAAAGAGTCGAGCAGCTCATTTGACATGCCTATTCCAGTATCTTGCACTATTACCTCAACAGTCGCAGTGGTTTCTGTGATCTCCTGAAGCCACACCTCGACCCGGACTGACCCCTCTTTCGTATGCTGCACAGCATTTGCCGTCACGTTTGCAATCACTTGTCTCACTCGTCTTTGATCGCCAAGAACAAAAGTTGGCACTCCAGGGTGCTCCACAACTTCGTAAACGAGCCCCTTCCTCTTCGCGTCGCCTTTGAAAGAGTCGGTTGCTTCTCGTATGGTGGCCAATAGATCGAAAACCTCATCTTTGATCAAGGCCTGTCCTTCCTCGGTGTTGGTCAAATCGAGAAGGTCATTGATAACGTAAATGAGTGATTTCGATGCCGAGTGTGATTTTGATAAGTTGTCTCTCGTCTCCTGGTCGAGAGCTCCTTCAAGGGCTATTTCTAGATAATTGATGATGGCATTGAGTGGAGTTCTGACTTCATGTGCCGAGTTTGCAAGCAGTAACCTTGTGAGCTGGCTGCTTTGCAAGGCGGCTTCTTTCTGACGCCAAACCTAGTATAACCTGTTAACAAGTGCAAGATTAAGAACGTGGTTAATAAGCTCACTTCGATAAATTTGCCATATACCAGGCAAAGAACAGCTGCCGTTTCGACTTGTTCTTCTGTCCATTCGCGACATTTACCAATCACAGTTTCGCTCCAGGTTTTGAAACTCTTCCTTGGCTCGAGATATCCCTCGGTCCCTTCTTTGATGAACTTTTCGTACGGATTGCCAGCCTGGTAGAGACGTCAGCTACATTGGACAAAGGTAAGCTGAATGAGAAGAGACATACCCATTTAACCTCTTTCGATTGCCCTCTTCGGAAGAATACTACGATAAGATCAGCATTCGTTCTTTGCCTTAAATTGGAAACAGAAATCAAATAAATATTGCTTCACACTTGAGTCCTCGCCTCCATGAGCTAGTTGTTTCGAAGACAGTAGGTTTGGCGGTGGCGCGCAAAGGGTACACGGCTTTTGTTGTGCTTACCAATAAAGTCGCTGCCACCAACACTGAGTGGAACTAGTAGAAGACCAGCAATCACGTCGAAACCCGGAGCGTATTTAAGGTCTGGAAAATCAATTCTGCTGTGAATTAGTATTGCTCTGCTGATGCTTCGGTATATGCCCATCTGGAAAGTGCTGGGAAGAACTTTTTAGACTTTTGAAGAGACACAAGATGGCACGTACCTGATATCCTGTGATGTGATTACAGACGTTATCTTCCGAAGCCGCAAATATTCCAACATGGCTAAAGCTTCCTGGGACTGATCAACTTTGCCCATAATCTTTGTCTCACCACGAATTGAGAGGAGTCCAAAATCAGCATCGAAGAGTCTGAGGAGATCATCAGACGAGGCAATGATGTAGCCAGAAGGATTGCTCTCAGTCGGGACCGTGTTGATGAGCTTTCGAGCTTGAAGTCGAGAGGCATATGATAGCCTTTCAATGTTCCTCGAAGCGGTATCACCAACCAACCTACACATCTTTCTGATTGGAAAAGACACTCTCATACCCTTGCTGCCGTAGGTGTGGCAGGCAATCAAGCCCCATAGTTCATTAAAAGCATTTATGGATATGCTCATACTCGACCGTACAGCCATATTGGCAAGGTACTTAATGTGAATAGGTGACATCGCTCGTAGATAGCTGAAGGACAGATCTAAAGGGGTCTCAAGATCTTGCACATCTCGACAAACAAGCCGTGCGGTCTCTAGGTCTCGGTCGTAAAGAAGGCGTACTTTATTTATTTTGTACAAGTCCCGAGCTTGCTTTGGAATGTCCGATGCGGGGAAGTTAAGCCCTGGTTCAGATGTCAGTGCTATGTTTTTGAGACTCTATGTAAATGTACTGAATGGGGAAGTGTGCTTTGAGGCTTGGGCCGGGACCAGAACGAATCCAGTTTCGTAAAATTCGGAAGCTGCTCAAAATAGACGCACCTTTGTAGAGATCCTTGGTTGCTCGAGGATCGACCAATTCGGTCACAACACGGCCATTGAATGCATGATCAAATTGGTAGATCATGACGCGATGAAATCCGGTGAGTTCCTTAACAACACCAACCAAAACCTTTAAAAAGCTGTCGAGATTCACAGCGGATGCCAGTTGTTCCTGGACCTGTGACATTATGTTGAAAACCTCCATGGCTGCTGCTTCGCCTTTTCGTTTCCTTGCACTGCGAAGCACTCGTAGAGGCTTGCTTGTTATGTGCGTGCTTTCATCGAATTCTTCTCTTGTCGGCCTACTTCCAAGGGTATCTTCAGGCGGTTCGGGTGTTTTGTCGTTGGGCGGGACTAATGGATACAGAGTGTCATCATCTAGCTCGAATTCACAGATGATCAAGTCCGGGTTCGCAGGGTTAATGTGCATCGCACACCATAGTTTCTGATTTCTTTTTGGGGCAACTGGGGATCGAATGGTGATAGTGAAGACCTCAGGTCCATTGGTAGCCGGATCCGCCTCATCGTCTCGAATAAAATCGATATGGTCCAACACATTGTCACATTGTTCCTCGCTTAAGATATCGGTGAAGCTCTTGAGCTTGAACAAGTCTTGTGGCGAGTAACCGATGATTCGCTTGGAGTTCTCACTGACGACTCGGACGAGTAGCTCGCCATCTTCGAGCTCTTCCAAGGCAATGAGCAGGCCGAAGCTTTGAACAGCTCCAGGAATATGTATACTAGAATGTTTTCAGTAATTTCCCCTTCAGGATTCGGTATATTGGCTACTTACGGCTCGTCCTCACAGCGCTGTAGGGTTTCTCCATCGCGACCTGTAATGACAGCGTGACCTAGTTGAGCGAGTCAGTACCAAACACCGAATATCCTAGGAGATTTTGTGACATGTGCCCAAGCTTCGTAAATTCAGAAGCTTACCTTCTGCAGTGACAATATGCTTGAATCTTGCGGTTATCAGACCAGGGATTGACTCCACCTCGGAAGAGTTCCCTATGGAGGATTGTTTGCCTGTTCCACCAGTTCCTTGCGTTCCCTGAAGACTAGCAGAATTGGTTCCACCATTGGACTTGTCCGATGTGGCGTCGCTAAAAAGCTGCATCCTTGCTCCACCATATCTATCGTCACCATAAGTTGTCGAAACAGATCCCTTTCGTTCATATCTACCATGTGCCGCTCTGTGCGGCGGGCCATCCTGTTCGGACATAGACTGCGCTTGGCGATTTCGTGACCGTGGACCAGCAGCAATATCAACACCAGCAGCGCCAGGTGGAAAGTAGTCTTGATGTTCCGCTGAAGAGCGACCTGGTAGTGTGAATGGGGTTTGCGTGTGGTCGACGCTAACCACACTTCTTATGGGATAAACACGGTCGCTGAAAGAGCCTAGACTTGCCAGCTGCTGGTCTGAACTTGCGCTCCAGGACGAGACGCCGTCAGTCGTGGAAATTGGGTTGAAAGTATTGTGTACATCGGAGGCTGCGAGTCTAGGTTTCTGGATGTCCGCTTCTGTTGGGGCTTCTGTTGTTTTCGGAGACTGCAATGAAGGGGAAGGGGAATCATTACCCCCTGGGCTCTCAGCTATAAGACATATTAGCATCTGTAGTTCTACGCTTGGAATATACGAGGGGAATATTGGAATTGATCCCAAGATCGATGCCGAGGTTTCGGTTCCCGCAACGAAGGGGGGAAATCACCTGTCTCCATGTTTGGTATATCCACCGTGAGAGGAGATGCAGGCCCTTTCTGGGTCGTTTCAAGACCTGCGATATCTTCCCCCGACAACATTGTGTATTACGGTACAGTCTCCAGCTCGTACGGCTGCAAAGACCTGTCCAAATGATGTCTTCTGTTCCCCTGCCCAGGGGCACCGTCGCGGTGGTGCTGGCAGTCTCAACTATCCGTAAATATGTCTGAAATGCATGAAGTTTGCCAACGTCGTTGTAATGCTGCGCTAAAGCTTCGGCGGCTCTGCGAACCAGGAATAGGAGGTCGGCGCTGGTTGATCAGGGCGTGCAAGGTGTCGTGTCGTTCGAAATGGACGGCGCGGGGGCAACGATAGCGCTGGGGGGAGTCCACGAGTCGGGGAGCGACTGACGCTCAGAGTATACTTGACTGCCTCTTGAAGGAGGTAAGAGACGCAATATCGCAATTGTTCTGGAGTTGCTTCATGACATGCATGCAATCATTCATCCATCGGTGTGGCGATGAGACAAGGTCGGAGGTGCCCTAGTCCTAGTCTTAGTGTTAGTTTGTCGTCTTCGGACTAAGGCAGTCAACATCGACAAGGGAATGGGATGGGATTATTGGGACGGTTTGATTTGAGTACGGGTAGTGCAAAAGCGAACGGAAGATAGGTAGGGAGCTTGAGGTGGGGAGAAGAAATGCACCATCTGCAAGCTACAATCCTATGGGACTAATGAAAATTCCACGAACCCTTTCGGCTCTATCGGTATTCTTTTGCAGCAGCAGCGTGTTGATATCTAACTTTCCCAAGCGGGCCACGATGACTATCTGCAGAAGGCTGCTGCTCTGAAGTCTTGCGCGATGTGGCGTTCCCGAGCAGCTTGTTGTACAATACTTTACGTGTTTGTGCAATGCTGGGTGTTATTCTAGAAGGAGTTCTCGCAGTTGACTGGCAGGAGTTTTCTTTTGACTTCAGTAGTGGGCTTGTGCGCATGGAGCTTAAAGTATGTCTGCGGGGGGGATCTGAGGAGTGAGTGGAGTGCGGTTGGCGGATATTTGCCACCTCCGATATCTGCCTACAGTAGGATGTTGATGTTTCTACGGAGCGATGGCACAAGGCGCATCTCATTGGATTGGCATGTGTTCTGTTCCACTGCAGGAGGGAATCGTACTGTAGAGAACGTGGAGATGATCAGCGGCAGGCACTGTGGACATGGAGGAGCGGAAAGAGGGGCACGGAACAAGCGGTTGACCCTCAATGGAAATCCCATGGCTGCCTCTTGCAATCCCATAGGCAAGACATGGCAAGGCGCGGCGCGGCGCAGGGGCACTGGGCACTGCACTGACGGTGACTGGCAGTCTCGGGCTCGGGCTCGGGTTACCTTACCTTACCTTACCTTACCTTACCTTATTTAATCTGCCCTGCCCTGAAGGTTACCGACAATTGGGTCGGGGGCGTCGAGGTCGAAGTGGAAGTCGAGACCGGGCGGTCTCGAACGATGGCTTTGATTTGTTTTGCGGATCCTTTGGCTGTTTCTACACATGTAATGCCATAGGGCAGTACTACTCGTCCAGCCTGCAGCTCCATGCGAGCGCATGTGAGTCGGTACTGTAGGGAAAGCCGGGGAAAAGCAAGGTTCATTCCTCATTGGCATGGCAGTTGGCAGCAGGCATTGACACGGAGCAAGCACCTCGCGCTCCCTGCAAACTGTTTGTCCACGGCAGACGCCACATCAAGAATCAGAGCCACAACCAGGATCTCTGCTGACTCGTTTGGTCTTCGGAGCGGTGCAAGTTCCAGTACTGGATCGACAAGAGATGGATGGCTTGCTTATCATTTCCTATAAAGAGTAAATTCCATGCTGGGTAGGGCCAAAAGAAAGAGGGCACGAGGACCCTGAATCTGCAGAGCTGACCAAGAGAAGTATGATATTTTCGTGTTTTGCGGCGCCAAATCCACAAGGACCCTGAGATCTCTGTGCATCCTGGTAAAAGTGATATAACTTTCCAGAATTTCTGCTTCTTCAGTCTCTGCTCCTTGATCTGCCTGTCCTTGTCAAAAAAAGAGCTGAACACGTCATGACCTCACCATGCATCCTTTTGCTGTGGTGAAACAGCCACTGATGTCGAAATGTGGCTTGTGGCAACCCTGCACTTGTTGAAGATCTGCGAGATGGGAGATGGAATCACGTGGGTGGCGAATATCGTCGTCGTCGTGTTTACAAGTGCTTGCTTTGAGTTCATCTTTGGCGATAACAGTAACAGGAGATGCCGAAGTGAAGACTCTTTCGATTTTAATTCCGGGCGCTTCAAAGAACCCAAAGAAGCAACACGTCGTTGAAACCGTGATGGCGCGGCATTGATATTCTCAGTGGGGCTTGAGCAGTTGCAATCCCAGTGCAATTGCATCCAGCACCCTCAGGTTTTTCACTCCACCATTTGTTAAAATAGATTACTTCGCGCTCTTTCTTTTGCTACATTTTCTCATCTCACCACTTGATTTTGTTTTCTGTTTGCAATTATTACATAAAAAGGGGGGCTAAGCGAAGTGCCATGCCGATAAGAGATGTGCGATTAAGCATGGCTTCTTGATAATCTTGACCCGTGGTGCGATTTTCTTTTGCGATGTTTAATATTGTTCTGAATTTGAATCAAATCATATTTCTTGACGGCCAGACATCCGGTCTAGTAAGAACTCGCCGCCATGTCTTTCCTAGGTCTTGAAGGCTTGCATGTATTCATCACCGGCGCAGCTGGAGGCATTGGAGGCCAAGCAGTCAAGGAATTCCTAGGTACGTTTCCCTGGCTGACCAGGATATGTATTTATTTTTGTCTCTTCCGCTCGGAACATGCCATCCGTTGTGTTCGCATTCCATCAAATTCTGTTCAGGCTTTTGCCTCAATGACGAAGTCCATGGAGGTCGACCCCACTCTCGAAAGTGTCAAATGTGGGATAAGCTGATCAATGCCGCTTTTGATATTCTGCCTCAATTTCGGACTGATGAGACGGGCTGAACCCCGAAGATGTTCCACGGGAATGAGAGCGGGAATATGGTTATATTTTGGTTGCTGGAAATGAGAGACACGAGAATTCCACTTCTGCCAACACGCACGCTCAACTTGTAGCTGATCACAGCTCTAGGCCAGGGATGCAAAGTGACTGCCCACGACCTGAAACCCAGCAGTGTAGCACCATCACCAAATTTATTCACAGTCAGCGGCGACATCTCGTCCGAAGAATCTATCAAGAGCTGCATTGCCCAAGCTAAAGACCACTTCGGACCCATCAACATTCTCATTGCCAATGCAGGAATCACCGACGAGTCCAACTCCTACCCAATTTGGGAGCTCCCACTCGATCTTTGGGAGAAGACCTACAACACCAATATCCGCGGCACTTTCCTCACCATCAAGCATTTCCTTCGCTCTGCCGAAGAGACACAGAAAGCTGCCGGTGGAAAAGAACTCGAGCATCTGTCTATCGTAGTCACGGGTTCAGAATGTGGCAAGTTCGGTCAAGCAGGACATTCAGAGTATGCTTCTGGAAAGGCAGCATTGCAATACGGACTCATCCGTGGTGTCAAGAATGAGATCGTGAGATTGAATAGCAAGGCAAGGATCAATGCTGTTGCGCCTGGTTGGGTCAATACCCCTTTGATCGAGGGACGCTTAGATGATCCGAATGAGATGTGGACGGAAGCTCAAGCTACAGTTCCGCTGCGCAAGATTGCTCAGCCAGAAGATGTTGCGAGAGCAATGGCCTTCCTGGCTAGTCATCGAGCAGCTGGGCACATTTCAGGCGAATGCATCAGTGTCGATGGTGGAATGGAAGGTAGAGTTGTATGGAAAGCGGAGGAGGTTATCAAAACTTCACCCACCTCAGTCCTCACATCCGCAAAGGAGAAAGCCCAGTTGATTATTCCCACCTCAACAGTCCCTCAAGCCCTGACTACGCCACCGAAACGCAAGATCCAAATCCTCCTCTCCATCGATTTTGACGCCGTATCAGGCTTCCTCGGAACAGGCGCCGCGCCAACAAACAATATGGCCGACTTCTCATCCGGGTTCTTCGCCGGTCAAGTCGGCGTGCCTCGACTCCTCAAACTCTTCAAGAAACACGGAATCTCATCTAACGTGACGTGGTTTATCCCCGGTCACTCCATGGAGACGTTTCCTAAAGAGACGAAGAAGATCGTGGAGAGCGGTGCCGAAATCGCCTGTCATGGGTATGCGCATGAGGGCGGGTCCCAGATGAGCGAGAAACAGGAGAAGGAGGTCATTTTGAAGTGCGTGGAGCTTGCTACGGCTTTAACGGGGAAAAAACCCAGGGGATGGAGGGCACCGCTTTATCAGATTCGGGAACATACTGTTAGGGTATTAGAGGAGCAGGGCTTCTTGTACGGTAAGTTAAATTCTTCGTCCAGTGATCTTCAACGTGTAGGATGAAAGCTAATTCTCATTTCAGATACTTCTTTGACACACCATGATTCGCAACCCTACTTTCTGCCTCAAGCACCAGCCATCCAACCGATCGATTTCTCGCCTCACCTCTCAGCTTCATCATGGATGAAGCCACTTCCCAAACCATCTCCCCCAACGACAAAAACTCTAGTCGAACTCCCTTGCAACTGGTACATGGAAGACAGTACGTCTCGTCCCATTCCCCAAAGCACTTTCCACTAACACAGTTCTCAGTGACACCCATGCAATTCCTCCCCGCGGCGCCCAACTCGCACGGCTACGTAACTGCAAGCAGTATAATGGAGATGTGGAAATCGCGTTTTGATTTCCTGTACAACGAGTTTGACGAAGAGGAGAGAAAAGAGGCAGGGAAAGGCGACTTCGTGTTTCCGCTTGTGCTGCATCCAGATACGAGTGGCATGGCGCATGTCATTGGTATGATTGATAAGATGATTGGGTGGTTGAAGAGTAGAGGAGAGGAGGTGCAGTTTTGCAAGTTTGAGGATGTGGCGAGGGAGTGGAGGGAGGCCCAGAAGATCTAAACATTGCAAGTAGGTGTTACTCAACATTTCCAATCGCACATAACAGCAATCTAGTCACCAAACAGGATATCAAAATACATGGAAATCTATATTACGCTCCTCCTACACGCTCTTCTTCCCCTCCAACCTCCTCCTCCTCCCCTCCTCCGCCAACTCATTCTGCCTCAAAATCGCCGCCCTACACTCCCCCCACTCCATCGCCCTCCTCTTCCCCCCCTCAAAAAGCCTCCACACAAACGACGTAAACACCCCTCCCATCACCAACCCATACAACTCCCTATCCTCCCACCACAACTTCCACGCCCTCCAATTCCCCCACGCCATCCCCAAATTCCTATATATCCCCGTCCCAGCCGCCTCGTCCACCCATTTGAGATGCTCACCCAGGTTCATGAATGTAGGGTAGTAAGTAGAGTTTTCGAGCGCGCCGTAGTACGAGATGTTGCGTTTGCGTTCTGCGAGGTGGGTTTGGTGCCAGGCGAGCATTTCGCTGTGTGGTGGTAGGAGGGTCTTGCCGCGCCAGACTTGAGATATGGCCATGGCGTTGAGCTCGAATTGGATGAGGCCTGGGAAGACAATGCCGCCGTGGCCGAGGAAGGCGAGGCAGTTGCGGATGGAGGCGTCGGAGTGTAGGGGGAAGATGTTGCGGTAGAGGTTTGGGGGTGAGTTGATGGTGTTGTTGGGGTAGGGGTGTAGAGACTCGGAACCAGAGCCAGTTGATTGGGGAATCATCCCTTCTGGGAGACTGGTGTAGTAGCCTGTGCAGTAGATGATGGAGTCGATGTCTTCTAGAATTCGTCCGTTTGTCAGTTCGACTGAGTGAGGACCGGTGATCCGTTGAATTGCTGGGATGGGCTCGGCGAATTTGGATTGGAGATGAGGCCAGAGAGTATCTGCAAAGAGAGGAGTCGAGATCGCTGGGTGAGGAGCTGGAAGTAATCCCCATTCTTTGGGGAGGTTCGGGAAAGCCTTTGCGGATATCATGTTCAGTAATTTCTTAAATAACCAGTTCCATAGCGTTGGGAAGTGCCGATACATAAACGCCATGAACAGTGTGAACTTCAAAGATGCAGTTCGGTCGGATGTAGAACCATCGCTGTTGTATCGAGGGAGGAGTAGTAGACCGCTTCGGTGTGCTAGATATACATGATTTGCGGCTTCAGACAGCGAGTTTGTGACGTCCTGAGCTGTAGCGTGCATGCCGACGATCAAGACTCGCTGGTCTTTGAATTCTTCTGGGTTGTGATAATCGATCGAATGGATGACTCTACCAGCGAATTTGTCCAGCCCTTCCAGCTTTGGCCATTTTGGAGTGAAGAATGTTCCTGTGGCGACACAGACTTTGTCGAAATATTCGGTTGTTACTTGGCCTGTGTTGACTTTTTGGCTTTTCAGTGCCCACTGGTCACCTACTCGGTTGATGTTGAGGACCTTCGTGCCGAGCTCGATTCTTGGTAGGAGATTGAAATGTTCAGCGTATCTGACAAGCCAACTGTGAACTATGCAGAACCGAGTCAGTATTGTGATGTGGGAAAGAATTGAAGTGTCCAGACAGTTTAGGATTTCTCTAATCCTAGCATAAAGCATCCTCTATAGAATTTTTGAGATGGGAAGAAGAACTAGGATTAAACTTACGTTGAGCTGCTGTAGGATAATCATCATCTGTTTCGGCCAAGGGGAAGTCCGAAAATCCTGCACGATACTTGCTGGTATTGAAGATAGTAGTCGAATGGACCGAAATGGTGGAGTCGTTGGAGTCCTTCCACTAATGAATGAAGAATCAATATATGTACCCAAACAAGATGCGAGGCTCAAGCTCATGCTTCATGCAAACTATGAGTTGGTTATCACTTACAAGGCCCCCTACAAAGTCACGAGACTCGTACGTAGTGACATCAAAGCCGTCCTCGATGAAGTTCTTCATCGCGGACAGCCCGACACCTCCCGCACCTATAACAGCAACTTTAATTGCCATTTTGCGATCCAACTTTTTGCAACTCTCTTTTTTCAAAATCATTCAACGTTACATTTCGTGGGCTGGTACAGTCTCCTTTTCTAGTTTTGACCAGCTATTGTGTACGTACACAGTCGTAAGTAAGCTGGTGCCGCGTCAACCCCAAAATAGTTAGCCTTAGGCAGCGTTATAACAACAACAAGGTCGGATCCAGCTAGCTCGTAGTTGGGACAAATCGGAATTGCAGACTCGTTTTCTCGGCTGTGGATAATATCAAGCAGTCCGAGTGTCAGACCCTGCAAACTCACAACTCCCTATTTTCCGTACCTCCCTCCTGAGATTGAAAAACTTCTGGAGTCTATGGTCGTAAAATCTGACTCTCGTTAGCGATGTTTTTCATTGTGTTGTACCTGAGGACCACATAGTTTGTGTTTCTTCTTCTTCTTCGATAACTGGACGGACTTCTAAATTTATGACGGGCTTGATGAGTTGAAAATACCGTCTAGTCCATGGTGTAGAAGAACGAACAAGTATTCTTCCTGAGTCTAGTACAGGAGGATTAAGGGCACTCACTGTGCCGGTAGAGTAATGTTAGCACAGGCGGAAGGAACTGGCTCGGTATCAAGCCCATGATACCGAATTTCGCCACAGTATGAGCTGAGAGCAACAAAAGAGCAATCATTCTTAAGACTTTGAGAAACAGTGGATGTGCTATAATAGCTACTTCATGTTCGTCTTGCAAGGCACCACAGCTCTCGCACACAGCATGCCACTAAGGGCTCTTCAAGGATGCCATTCATAAGCTTTGGGTATCGGACAAGAAACTAAAAAACAACACGCCCATCAAATATGCTTAACCATAGAAAAAACTCTTTTCTCATTGCGGCACGACCCATATATCGTAAGTCCACTCGTCCTGTGGTCTGTTGAGCTGCCCTTGCTCGTGCTTGCGATCCATAGCCTCTTGTAAGTCTTGGGCAAAGGCGAAAATCTCCTCCATGCTTCGCTCAAGTGTTTCTGCGGCTTTGACATAACGATCGTCCCCTGTATGAAATGAGTAATGGAGGAGAAATGGGATTTCACATTTTTTGGCTTACCATGTTCGAGCATCATACACTCGACGAACGTTCCTTTTTCCTCTTCGGACAGTGGTTTTGAGTGGGTGCTGTTATTGGTGTTGTTAGTGCCGAAGAGCGATAGGCGCGGTCCCTCATCATCTTCACCCTCCTCTGCGAAAGGGTCATCTTCAATCGGGAGGTCTTGGTCATAATCGATGTCTTGTGGCCCATCATTGCTCTCAACATGGTCTACGGAGTATGGTTCTTGTACTGGAGCGTGTCCATTTCTTGCCTCAGGTTTGCTATTCAGCAACCTGCTCATATACGGCTGTGAGACGAGCTGTTCGTAAGCTTCTCTCTGTTTTCGCCGGATCTCTTTCCGCCGTCGGCGGTTTTCCGAATCTTTACGCCGCTCTTGCTCTTCCGTCCTTTTTGTCCATTTCCGCCGCAATCTATCGTTTTCAATTGCCTTTTGCGCAAGCTCTCTGCCTGCGAATTCCTTCGAAACCGCCTTCTTTATGCTCTCGATGTAAGGCTTGAGCAGCGACGTCGGCTTGCTCACATTCCACGTCTGGGATTTTGATCTTTGGATGGGCTGGTAGTCTTTTGGCTGAATAAGAGCCGTATTTGCAAGATCTGCAAGCATCGTAATGAGCAGGTAGAGATGTCGAAGGGGAGTCTGTTCCATCGACCGTTTGGGTGGATACACATCAGAAGCCGTTTTTAGGATCTTCACCAACGAAGGGTTTATATGAAAGTAGATATCCTGGAGCATGGCTGTGGTGGTCTTCTCGGTCAAAAAGTCTATACCGAGCGTAGGATTCCCAAGTCTCTTGCTTAAGATGGTATGACATTCGCCATGAAGCTGTTCGACGAGCTCAGCGACTTTTTCCTCTGTCTTCTCAACGGCTTCGAGGTTTCCTGTCCTCAGGGAACGTTGCAAAGTTCTGTATGATTGAAGAATAACTTCGGCTCGGCGCATGAATCGTTTGCCGTTGGTGCTGGACACATTCGGCGAGCTCATACTGGTCCATGACCTGCTCTCCTTATTGTGATGGTAGCCTACACGGTCTGCGATGTCAATCATTTTGTCAAATACCCCTTCCTCGATCAAAAGTTCTTCACTATCGTCGTCTAGCTCCCCCTCCTTGGGATCTCCGTTCTCAGGAATCTCTGATTCTTCATTTTCCGCATCAATGTCCGCATCCCTGCCTCCGGCCTCCAGTGCTAGTGTTTTCTCTTGACGAAATATTTTCAGGGGAACTGGCTTTACAGGACTCGGGTTCAACAGTATCGCAGATATACCATCGTCCTCTGACTCTTCACGTCGTGCTCTCCCCTCTTCCCCCCCCTCCTCCTCCACGGGCTGCTCTTGCTCTTCTTCTTCGCCACCATTTCCATCGGGTGCTCCGTAAATCACTGGTAAGCGGCCTTTGTTTCTGTTAGTAACTTGTATCGACGCTGTCTTCGTGGCGGTGGATGTTGGTGGGGCTGACGGATTCTTGCGAGGACGGCCTCTTGGTCGTTTGGCGAATAATTGCGGCGCATCGCCACTGATGGCCCTGTGAGGGCTTGAAGCTGGAGTAGAGGTAATTAAATTGTTTGATCTGGTGTTTCGAGCTGACTCTGTCCTTCGAGCTGGCAAAGGCCGGACAGGCTGTGCTAAAGCCCCCGTATTGTTACGTAAGCTTCTTTTTGGAGGAACAATAGCCTTCTTTGCTTTCACAGTGGTTTTGGCTCTCTTCCTGGGATTTTCTGTCCGGACTGCCTGCTCTTGGTCACCAGGAGAAGGCGGTAGTTGGTAGATGTCTCGTGGTGCGGGACGTTTCCGTAAATTCGGTGCTGACGGATATGCAACCTCCTCTTCCTCATGCACAGGTTCCTCGACAGCATTGTTTAATCCATCTGAAGACTCCTCGTCCGTATAATTTCCTTCTTTTTGAGCTCCGCGATCTCGTCCAACCAAATAATCGGCCACGGCTGCCATTTTCGCCAGAGCGTTCTTAAGCGGTGAGCCAGTATTGGCAGTGCCCTGGAGTACCTGACTGGATTCTGGAATCACATTGTCAGTTCCGTAAATTTGAATGGGAACCGTGTCGCTCGTACCTGTCCCAGCAGTCCCAGCAGATCCGCTTTGGGTTGCGGTACCCCGCGCGGGGAGGTGAATGTTCCTAGGGCGTGCCATTCTGCTGACAATTTTATTTCCGGTGGGTAGCCCCGAATATGATAGTCGGGATTCGCTTTCATGTACTCTCAGTACCATCTGCTATCTTCATTCTTGCGGTCGTTAGCAGTTCGGGATGGAGTTGAGTGTGAAGTACAGAATAGAGGTGGCTGGGTTGGCCCGGACGTCGTTGCAGTGAGCTTGAAAGTCAACAACGCTAGCAGGGGTAGCTACTGGCCTTGCGCAACTTCTCTGCAGCCTCGCCATTGCCATGCAACTCAAAGCCATACATCAACCTTCAACAAGCACTTGGAGAGAACAGAAGAATCCAACTGGACTATGGATTCTAACTTACAAGGAAACGGAGGTGAAACTTCAAGGAAATTGCCTATCCTGAATTCCTCGCAACAGCATGCTTTTATCAAGCCAGTAAAGAGGATACATGAAGGTCACGATGTCCCCTCCTTCCTGACATCGCAAGCATATCGTGATATTGGCATCTTCGTCATGCAGCTCAACATAGCTATCTGTCCCAAAAAATCACCTGAACCCGGCCAAAGTCAAAGCTGGCAGTTGGATTCTGCTATCACTCTGTCTGAGCCTGTTCGAAAATTGCAAGAATTGCTGCAAAGTATAGATGCCATTATCGAAGAGGCTCCTCCTGATACAGGACCTCGAAGATTTGGAAACGTCAGTTTCAGGAAGTGGTACGAGATTCTAGAGTCGCGTATCTCAGCACTCCTCAAGACACATCTTCCAACGAATGTTCTTGATTCCAAGTCAACAGCGGAGAGTGGCGTATCTGTCTTGGATGAGCTCACTCCATACCTCATGGGTGCCTTCGGAAGTTCCCAAAGGCTGGATTACGGTACTGGCCATGAGCTTAGCTTCCTTGCATTCTTAGGATGTATATGGAAGTTGAGTGGATTTACGACAACCCTAGGTCAAAATGGCGAAGTAGAGAGAAGTATCGTCCTTGGTGTCATTGAACCGTATGTCCTGACTCCGAGACAATTAGTACAGTTCTAATATTTCGCGTAGCTACCTGAGAGTTGTTCGTCGTTTGATCCTCACATATACCTTGGAGCCAGCCGGATCTCATGGAGTGTGGGGTTTAGATGATCATTCATTTCTGCCATACATCTTTGGCTCCTCACAATACTGTCCACCTATCATGGATGGTGATCCTATGCCCGTTGAGGGAGCTCTTGCCGATTCCCCGAATCCTGGAGATATAGCAAAGAAATCTGTTGTTGATAGAGAAAGGAAACGTAATATGTATTTCTCAGCCGTGGGTTTCATCAACGATGTCAAGACAGGCCCCTTCTGGGAGCATAGTCCGATTTTGTTTGACATATCCGGGATCAGATCAGGTTGGGGTAAGATCAATAAGGTTCGTTCTCCTTCACAACTCTGGCAATCCTTATCTGACACTTTTTCAGGGTATGATCAAGATGTACAATGCAGAGGTGTTGTCAAAGTTCCCGGTAAGCGTTTACAAAACTAGAATTCTCCTTTAATATTGCTTGCAACTGCCTTTTCAAACGGTTCCATCTGAGCTAAACTCTCAACTTTGAATAAACAGCACTAAATTACATTAGGTCGTCCAACATTTTCCATTTGGGTCGCTATTTCGTTGGGATCAAGACCCAAATGCCACCCAAGCAGCGCCATCAGCCCACACTGCAAACCAACCCTATGGTGGCTCAAGCTCAAGCTCAAGCTCAGGGCCGACAACTGTACGACAGCCGCAAGAATCCACAAGAGCTCCTTGGGCCAACCCACCTGGTGGAGCCATGAGCACAACCGCCGCACCATGGGCAGGAAATCCGGGCACCGTGAATAGTGGAGCTCCGATAACTCGGGCTCCATGGGCACAAGCACAGAGTGGGAGTTTGCCAGACAGATCAAAGATAGATGGTCCAACAAGAGCGCCATGGGCTGACCAACGAGGGCCTGCAGGTCGATAGTTAATGGATCGAGTATATTGAGTTTCCAGCATTGCGTTCGGCGTTAACGCGTGGTCTTTTCTCTGCGGCAAAGTGGACACGCACCGTCCCGAGACTGGGGCCGCATTAGGGTGATCTCACGGCTTAAGCATGAGAGACCAAGATAAAACATTATTTTGATAGATGGCAGAAGCCGCAACAAAATGAACTGTGGAAAGCATTCGGGTTTGATGTGCCGTTCGAAACCGAGCCCTATGTGTTCAAAATTCCCTCGCCAGCTTGAGACAGTCAGATCTGGGCGCGTGACAGACTGCAGTCGGAACACACCCAGTTGGCCTTGGCTTCCCCATCCTGGGTTATTCACGGGGTTCCGTCGAGCTAGGAGTTACTCACGTACCGGCAGTAAAGGAGGGAATGCAGTGCAGTGTTCATACCTAGGATACCAACTTTTCCTCCTAGTCCTACGAGCCAGGCCATGAAATTGTGGCTGTTCAATTCAAAGACTGTATTTCAATCTTGCCCTGATAACAGAATACCCATATCTTGATTATTATTATTGTGGGTCGCGTCGAGCCAAAAATAAATAAGGTACGGAGGTAGTCAGGGAATCTCAACGGGACGCTAATCTCGTCTCCTACAAAGTCAAGTACCTCGCGCTCACCTTCCGTTTCTTCCCTTCCTTTCTCCTCACAACCTACCTACATCAGCTCCTTCTTCACTCAACACCAACCTCACCCGATCCCACTACCAGACTCCCTCCTTCCAAAATGCCAGGAATACGTGAGTTTTCCCTTCCATGACCTCTTTTCCCCTCTGCTCCTCTATCTTGAGCTTTCCAAAATCCACCAAATCTGCACAGAGCTTGCATATCAACACCTCTGGTAGTTATCAGACAACCCATCAACATCGATCTACGACGATGGGTACAGCACGCCTCTCACCTTCTCTGCCATCCCTTATTTATCGTATCTGCTAACGTCTATTGCTTCTGCAGCTCCAAATGCCATTTCCGACTTGAAGGCCAAGCTCAAGGGCTTCCTCAAGAGCAAGACCTCCAAGAAGACCGAGAAGCCAGCGGAGGCTGCCAAACCTGTCGAAGCTACTCCAACAAATGGTGCCGCTCCTACTGCCACTACCGCCGCTGAACCAGTTCCTGCTGCTGCTCGTAAGTATAGCATCATACAAGTCTCTGCTTATCGGACCGCGGCTGACACATACTTTCCCTAGCTGAGGTGAAGCCGACCGAGACTCCCGCAAAGGTTGAAGAGCCAACTCCTGCCGCTGCCCCCGTTGCGCCAGCTGCGCCAGCTGCCACAGAGCCCGAGGCTGCGAAGACCGATGCTCCAGCTCCGGCTGCTCCTGTTGAACCTGCTAAGACTGAGGCTGCCCGTACGTGACTGGATTTTACCGGATAAGAGGCATAATGTGCTAACAATTTCTAGCAACCCCAGCTGTCGAGCCTGAGGTCAAGAAAGAGGAGACCCCAGCTGCCCCTGCTCCTACTCCCGCAGCTCCCGCTCCTACTGCATAAGCGTATCGACGACCATCGACATCCACCGTATCGCACATTGGCGTTTTGTTTTACTGTCGACACGAGTATATCATGATGGTGAGGAGGCGATCGTAATGGCAGGAGTCAAGGCTCGTAGTGGACAGGATATCGATTTTTTTTGTTTCCTTTACGAAGTATGGTGGAGGAGGTTTACTTTCTCTCAAATACCCCCTTATGAGCACGGATCAAGCATGATTGGCCGTGGGCCTTCATTGATGGACAACGATACCCTGATACCCTTGCGTCGAATTAGTCTACAATTGATCCTTTTCTATACATCGGTCTTGATGGACAGCGCTTGCGTTATGCAAGGCTCGATTTGATATGATATGCCAAAGTATGGTACTAGTGTGCCCAGTTTCATACGTCCGAATCAGAAGAATAACTTCCGTCATTGAGATAGTCCTATAAAGTATGTACGCTCTTTGATAAGAGGGAAGACCCCCATTCAAGCATGTGTTGGCAGATGCTAAGCAGCTAGACTGCCAGTGACGAAATCTGGAAAGAAGGATAAACGACGTGGTCAAGCTGACGGCAACCTTCTAACATTTCAGAATATTCTCCGACCGTGAGACATTCTAGAACAAAGTCTTGGCCTCTCTAGCCGGCCACCATAGCGTAGTCGTGCTCCTCTGACCAACAGGTGGCATTCTTGAATTTCAACATTGTAGACAGAGTTCAAGGCTCAGACCATAGAAAGGAAGAGTGGCTGCAGGTCTACCATGACTGTATCGACATATTGGGAGTTTAACATCGTATGGCTTTGCCACTCTTTCGAACACTCTTGTTAAAAACTTACTTTTCTACTCGTATAGTGATGTTCAACATGGATGGGAAATAGTTCTATTGTTGTAGTAAGATGGAAGTCGATCTCATTCTCCATACATGAAAGTCGATGTTGTAAGTTACCTTCGCCTCTTGACACACTTGTACTATTCCTAAAGCTCCCCACACTACGAATAACAGGCATGGTATTGGAACAGCACTGTCTCAGCACATACTTACCTACCGGCATACGACTTCCCGACAAATATTGACGCGTTTGATAGTCTCGGTCCGGTTCAAAGAGAAAGTCAAAACAAGAACATCACTATGTGAAGGAGTGTGATCGTTGAAATGGTAGAACATAATGATCGTCCGATAGTTTGCACTCGTCTGAAGTACAACAGCGCACAGAACTGATACAATCCGATAGCCGGGAAGCCCGAAAGTTAAAGATGAGGTCCATATTTGTAGTCTATGTCAAACGTGCGACATGAAGCACAGAATGCTTAATTACTCGCTTGAGTTGTGTAGGAAAGTTGCTGGATATTCGATGCATAGGTGCTCCTGCATTTCAGGCATTAGCACTAGATGTACAGGACAATGAAAGCAATTAGCTCAGTTGACGACTTAATGAAATTACAGCGGCAAACAGCTCGCTCTCTAGTCAATAAATTGTTCAGATTCGCCCGCGTGCTAGACATTTAAAGTGGAGCTTGCTCGGACGAGGTTCGTTCACTTGCCTAGCGTGATTGGCTTAGACCCTGAGCTGGGTATTGATTTGAGCTGTCTTAATCAAATGGGCACTCCTCGATCCTACCCTCCACTAGCAACTCCTCTCTTGACAACGTTGTTCTTTAAAACTTGACGTTCATACGAGTCCGACCTGTCAATATCGGTTGCTAAACCGTTGATTCCTTCTTCAAGGACGGACTTGTAATTTCTGCTGCCATCGACAGCTCTCAACCAACCCACCCAATTTACGCGACTCGAGGCGCGCGTTCCCCAAAAATTCCAGCCGTTCCTGTCCTGTTAAGTCTCGCGCAAGCGGTGTACAGCACACCAATACACCTTGTAAGTTCTGAACCCCTCAGCTGCTCCTCGGGAAGTTTTTAGCTGCATGCGCATGCGCTGCTCTGCGGTGAGAGAGGACAATCATTGCCAGGTTGTGACGTGTCGAAGCTTCTTGATTGGGCTGAACTGCGTCGCTCTTGCATTGCAGCAAACGGGAAGGGTTTCGAGACTCAAGTCAGCTTGAGAGCATTGAGACGGACTGCTAACATATTCTCTATCGTACAGTCTATCAACAAACCAGCATAATCAATTCCAAGTATCATTGAACAACTTGCAAAATGGCGGACGTCGAAACCCCAGAAGTTGCTCCACAGGAGGAGAACCGTTCGGATATCTTGTCTGGCGATGAGACTCCTGGAATAACATCCGAGATCGAGACAGAGACGGAGAAGGAAAATGTGCCAAAGGAAGCTGCAAATGGAGCCAAGAAAGAGAATGTCCCTCCCAAGCGTGGGCTTGTCAAGCGTCCAGCTGGCTCAACATCTTCGACTGCGACAAAACCTACAGCTACATCAGCAACTCGCACAACTGGCGGTCTCTCGAAACCTCCAACTCGTGCTCCAATTGCGGGTGCTGTGCGAAAGCCTGCAAGCAGTGCGACTGCCGCAACATCTTCAAGTGCCAGCCATCGCACACAGGCGTCAATTGGAGGTTCGGGGGACGAGAAGAAGAAGACGCTTGCTGCTGCTCCTCGCAGAACATCTCTTGCTCCGGCTCACCACTCTCCAGGAAAGACGGAAACTCTGGCTGAAAAGCGAGCAAACGCAGCAGCTTCCTCAAGTACTGCCAGAAAGCCCGCCACATCAGTAAGCTCGTCGAGCCCTAAGCCAGTTGCAAAGCCAGCTTTATCTTCTAGCACAAGTTCCAGAATCTCTGGAGTTTCAAGCGGTACAGCCAGCAGATCTGCAGCCTTGTCGAAACCATCCAGTTCTTCGGCAGTTTCTGATGCAAAGAAGCGCCTGTCTGCGATTGCCGGTTCTCCAGTTGCAAAGCCAACCGTCCGATCATCTACCCACGCCGCAGCTTCGACCTCTGCGAAGGAAACCGAGGAGCTGAAGGCAAAGCTAGCAGACAGCGAGACTCGTGTCGAGGAGCTGCAAAAGGAGATTGCTTCTTCGCAGGAAAAGTTGCTTGAGCTTGGGAAGCAAGTCGAGGAGGAGGCCAAGAATGTTGCGGCTGCCGAGGAAAACATCAAGACACAGCACAGCGAGATTGTCGAGAAGTTGCACGCAAAACACAAGGCGGATGTGGAAGAACTGCAAGCTCAATTGGAGGAAGCAGAGAAGGTCAGATCGGCAGCTGAAGAGGCATCTTCAAAGGCTATCAATGAGGCACAACAGGAGGCCGCAGCAAAAGGTGCTTCAGATACAGCAGAGGCTCTTGAGAAGCTGAAAGCAGAGCATGCTACCGCAATTGCTGCACTTAACGCAGATTTCGACGGTGTTAAGAGTGCTCATCAATCTGCGACTTCTACCAATTCAGAGAAGGAAACCGAAATCGCCACACTGAAATCCCAAATCGCGGAGGCCAATGCTGCGCTAGCAACATTGAAGGCAGAGCATGAACAAACTCTGGCTGATCTCAAAAAATCCCTATCTGATGAGCACGAAACCGCTCTTGCTGCCCTCAAGTTGGCCCATTCAGCGGAAATTGCAAAGGGTTCGACGGAGGTTACTTCTGGCTACGAAAAGCAAATTGCTGAGCTAACTCAGAAACACGAGGCAACCATCAGCGAGCTTCAAATCAAGCTTGATGAAGCCAGCTCTGCCCACAGGACTTTGGAAGCAAGCCACAAAGAGAAGCTTGAAAGCCATCAGACCGAATCTGCAGCTACCGTGTCAAAACTAGAAGCGGAATTGGCGACATTGAAGGCTCAATCTGGATCAGAATCGGAGGCTCTGGCGAAGTCACAAAAGGAGGTGGCAGAACTAAGCGCGAAAGTTGAGTCCACGCAAAAGGACTTGAGTCTTGCTCAGGATGAGCTGGCTGCTGCTTCCAAGGCCCTGGAAGCATTGAAGTCGAAGAGCTCCGCAGACGAGGAAGCTTTAGCGACTGCCCAGATTGACTTGGCAACGGCAAAGGAACTGGTTACTTCCCTTCAAAAGAACCTAGAAACGTTCGATCTCGATGGAAAAAATAAGGCAGAAGCATTCGAAAAAGTGAAGGTTGACCTTGCCTCCACAACTAAGAGTTTAGATGAGAAGGCAAAGGAGATTGCTTCACTCAATGAAAGGCACCGCAAAGAGCTCGAAACGATCTCGGCTGATTACCAAGCTGAAATTGACGCTCTACAAGGGAATTCAGGGATCAGAGAAGAGTATGAGGCACTCAAGGTCAAGCATGCCGACCTGACCAAGTCTCTCGACGATATTTCTGCAGCCCATGCCAGCGAAATCGAGTCATTCACAGCGAAGCATGCAGAGCTCACCAAGTCCCACTCTGACGCTACCGGTAACCATGCCAAACAGCTTGAGAAGCTGAAGCAAGATCATGCTGCCATCATTGTCACTCTTGACAACAAAGAGAAGGAGCACCAGAAGCTAATTGACGAATTGAAGTCATCACATGCGAAGAATCTGGATGATGCTCATGACAGAGCTATTACCGCTGAGCATGCCTCCCGTTCTGCTGAGCTCGAGCAGATCCAGGCCAGTCACAATGAAGCCCTTACCAAATTGAAGCAGCAGGTCACCGACATCCACTCAAATGAGCTAAAGAAACTACAAGCAGCGCACGAGAAAGCCATGGCCGACTTATCACAGGAACATTCAGCAAGTCAGGAAACGGCTTTGTCTAGTACTATGGCCCTCAAGGTAAGATTTTAAAGCACTTTATTTCCTTCAAAAGTATACTGATTTGTCTAGGATGCCGAGGCTGCATTGCAAACCGAATTGGCCCAAACCAACGACGCCCTTTCGAAAGCCCACGCCGAGTTGGACTCGTTAAAGCAAGAGTTCGCTCTGGAAAAGATGGCAAAGGCAGAAGCTCAAGCCGAACTTGATTCTGCATTGAACAAAAAGCCAGACACATCCGAAGCTGACGGTCTACGAAAGGAGCTTCAGACCTTGAAAGACCAGCACCAGGCCTCGTTGATGACAGCACAACAAGAATCTGCACAAGCTACCGAAGAGCATCTGGCCACCAAATCAGCCTTGGCAAAGGTTACTGCCGAGCTGGAGAGACAGAAGGCTGAAAGCACGTCGGACTTTAAAGATATGCACGAGTCCCTCACACAACTTGCTGAAGAGGCCAATAAGAGGAGCACGGATCTTGAGGCCCGCACCAAGGAACTAGAGGCGCTGCTCAAGGTCAAGGACGCTGAGCTTGCAGAGGCAAAGGTAATGCCAATAGCTATGTAGAAAAATGCAACACGCTAACAAGGGCTTGTAGATGACGAGTGCATCTCTCTCATCGCCGAAGACCCCCACAAGCGGCAAAGCAGCTGGTCTTGCTGCCAGTCGTTATGCTGAAGATTCAGACGCTTCAAAACCAGAAGTAAAGACGGAAGCGGAAGGTGAGCATGATAGTTCATCAGCCGCATTGGCATCGGTCCGACAACCCTCTCCTAGCAGTTTTCCATGTCCTCTCATAAATCTTACCCCCTCGTGTTCCTCGAACCCAGTCGTACCTTTGACAGCATCCGAGCGAAGAACTAGTACACTAACGGATCATTTCTGAATGATTTCAGATCGCGAAAGCTAAACTTACCCTGGAGCAACTCGATCAAATGAATGAGGGTTTGGAGAGAGATAACCAAAGGTATGCTTCGAGTTTCGCATGGCTTTGGTGAGTTCGCTAACATGGACTTTAACAAGATCTCTCAAGTCCATCAACGATACAGCCCCAGGCGTCAGTGCCTAGGCACGAGCCGTCACTGTTCGACCCTTTGGGACCTTTCATACAAGATGGATGGACAAATTTCCATCCTCCAACCTGCGACTGAACATATTTTAATGGCCTGTGGCCTTTTCTTTTTTTCTTCTCCTTGGTTCATCACTTGCTCAATCCCGGCATTCGATACCCCAATTCTATACCCCAGTTGCCTCTTTTGTGCGAGTACACACAATGTTTTTGGAACATCGCTTGTTTTACCGTCTATTGGTTGTGTCTGTGTTAGACGGACCGAACAATAGGATTTTGGCGGACGGCAATGTCCGATCTGAGATCGTTTGTATGTCTTGTCTGGCCGACTTCCTGTTCCCCGTTTTTTTGGTTAATTTTATGTAACCGTTGTACGCATGGAGATGCAGTGATGTGTGGAGGGAATGCAATGGACTGGGTAGACGAATCGATCCTCTCGCTCTAATCGCTGCTCTTCATTTGCAGCTGCTTCTCGTTGAAGAGTGACTGACTGAGTGGCGAGGAGATACTCAATAACATAACAGCAGCATACGCCATGACACAATCCCCAGAGAAGTAGCAGTATAGGCTCTGTTGTATACCCATTTTCTCCTGTAGTAAATTTTGCATTTTTTTCAAAAAATTTGTCAGCTTTGCAGTTGTGGCAAGTGAAGTGTTCCTTTTTGTTTACAATATTAAGCGAGTCCAAGGACAAGTTTCCTCCTCACAACAGTATCGTCCACATGAATCAAAGTCGCGCTGGTGGCGCACCATAGATAACAGACCCAATTATTCTTCGCTCCCGATTATCCCATTATTTTTATCTGTCTGGCCCAGCCACCAGCGACAAAGCCACAAACCAGTTTTATGGTACCAATTGGTACGTCACGTGTGGGGCTGTTCCATTATCAAATTTGCGCAAAATTAAATCTAATCAAAGGTGCGATGTGCAACAAAACTACCTTGACATATGATCTGAGTGGGTAAAAGTGGTCTGTGATATCATCTTAGCAGATGGTTGATCGGAGGAAGTTGCTCATTATCGTTGTTCGTGCATTAATTCATTATTTGACTTCACAACCAGAAGTTATGTCATCATTATCATCATGATCAGCCACGCCTGAGCAACGCCTCATTATATCAGATACTCCACCTCCTGCAACTAGAACCCCATTCAACCAAAACCCCTATCTAATAAGCAGCCGTCAATCCTCTCCTCCCCACCCTCCTAGCCGCCCACTCCCTCGCCCTAACAAGCAACACACTTCCCGGCACCCCACAAACACCCTGCAAACACACACCTGGTAACTCATCCGACGGCTCAGCACAGCACGTCTTGATCGCGCAGATATTTCCGACGCTACAATCGCCGTCTGTCGCGCAGGGCGTGAGATCGCTGCATATGCCGTTGGTACCGCAGAAGCCCGTATTGGTGCTGGTCGTGCTGGAGGATGTGAAGCAGAAGCAGGAGGCGTTTGAGGAGCAGGTTGTTATGGCGCCGCAGGATTGAGCGGTGCATTGTGTAGAAGTGCAGGAGCCTGGAGGGAGATGAGGGATTAGTGAGGGCTTTGGAGAGAGAGGTAGAAGTAAAAGTTGGAAATGATGACCAAGGAAGATTTGGGATTGGAGATGTTTGGGTCTCTCGCTTATTTCAGGAGGGCGAGGAGAAAGTAAGCAGCAGGGGACATCAACATACCATTTTCACAGACTCCTGACGGGCAGACTGTACCGCAAGATCCGCAATTCATAGGGTCGGTGAAAAGATTCGCGGTACAGGTTGGTGATGGTGGTGCGGTTTTAGTGGTGCTTGAGCTTGTGCTTGATGATGTGCTTGAGCTGGAACTCGTGGTCGTGGTGTATGCTGGAACGGTCACGGTTGTGGTGGTGGTGATAAAATCCCACCAGTATATGGTCTCCGTGGTCTATAAATCCAGTCAGGTATCCTCCTAACAAAACATATTGCATTCATGTAGGAGAGCAGACAATTTAACTTACCACAGCAGTATCCGTCACCGCAACCGCCGTGACGCCCAAACAGGAGCACGCACTCGAATAAGCAAAATAATCCACACACGGCGACGCATACGGCGGAATTGGCACAAAATCAATCTGTCTCTTCTTACTCCCTGCCATCGGAGTTGGAGAAGCCGTGACGGTGACAGTGTCTGTCTCCTCGACCCAGGTCATCCATGATGTGGCTGTAGCTGCGAAAGGGAAATCGGTTATGACGAGAGCGCTGCTGCAGTCTGCAGAGGCAGTCTTGAGATGATCTACGCCGGAGCGGGTTCCGCTAACGGCGCGAGCGCAGTTATCGGCGTAGCATTTGTTTGGATTGGGGGTGGTGTCGATTGTAGCTAGGGTGAGGGGAGTGAGTGTGAGTGTGAAAAGAATGGGGAGGAGGACATGGAGATGGAGGGACATTGTGTGACAATGGAGGACATGAGAAGGCGGGGGAGCGAAATTAGATGAGTCTTTCAGATGAGAAGGATGGAAGACGACATTGGTGTTATAGGAATTGGTTATGATATTGAAGTTAGATTCCCTTTGCAATCGGAGAGTACTGTTGCTGCTGTGTATTGTTTTCAAGGCCCTGTTCGAGGGCAGGCAGCTTCTTTCAGTTGCACTAGAGCGGCTCACAGCAGGGATAAACAATTCGAGCACGCAAGCGGACGCAAATGCTTTCTTCATTCGTGAGCTCCAGATTTGAGCCAACAATTTCAAAGAACCGAAAAGCTTTGACTTTGTTTCGTAAGAATTGTTGGCCTCATCAAACAGAGATATCGTAAAGGCGCACCACGTGCTGTCACTGGAAGAGAAACGGATTGTTGTGAGCTTAAACATAATCAATATAAGTATCAGACGAGGGGCATGTCTACTTCAGAAACGGCACCTTGTAGGAACTACATGCAGGACTTTGTTATGCACCCCTCAACAGATCCTGACGTGGTGTAACTCAACAGGATGGATCTTAAGCTTATATGGGTGGGTTCTGACCCTCGGGAATATACATATCTTCTCGACGGTATCCTACATGAACCAAGAGATAGATTGAGGGGAAATATCTTTCTGCCGGCAGAATATATGCCGATAGGAGTTGTGCTACATGAGAAAGGTAATCGACCGCCCTTGTACGCCTTTCGGCCTCACCGCCGATGTCCGGGAAGGACAGACGAAAGAATGACCTTTTTTAACGGTAGATGTGCGACATGTGACACGATATTTGCACGTGTATGCCAGAGGTTGCTCGTGAAAGTGGCTTCGATATCTCGGCAGGGGGGAATTTCAACAGAACTACTGTTCGGGCAAAGGGTGAAGGAGCGCGAATAAGAACAGCGATTGAGAGTGAAAATATCCCAAAAACATCTCCCTTCGAATATTCAATACAGAGAGGGAAAGACACATGCAGATGGAACAACGAAAGCCGAGCTTCGTACTTGGTTGGAAGGGCCGATGGACTGCGGAAAACTGCTTGCTGCAAGGTTCCGGTTCCGTTCGAAGCATCCAACCCATGTATACAGGAGCTGGAAACCCCAAAAATTCGTAACCATTCTTTTAAGTAGCATCATACGATGCTGGTCCTTGGCAGTGATAGCTACCTAGTGGCCATACATCGCAAAGTGCTCGTGGCAGGGAAAATATTGAACTGAACGCACAGTGAGATCTTGATTTCAGGGCCGGGAAAGACTTCACAAATGAAGATCATGGGCCCAGAAACTATTTTCAAGGGTATCGTAACATCCATTACGCTAGTTTGCCTGGGACGAATGGGTGCCCAGCACTCAGTCCTCCATCAACAGCCCACGCTTGACCGTTGACATAGCTGCTTTCATCACTCCCCAAGAACAGCGCGACTCTTGCAACCTCATCTGCCTGTGCACCTCTTCTCAGAGGATTAAGCTGGCCGATCTTCTTCTCGGTTCCCTTTGCTCTGGCTGCTTCATACATGATAGCTGTCATGCCAGTCTCGATCACACCAGGGCAAATAGCATTTATACGAATACCTGTTCCGGCCAATTGGTAAGAGACGGTTTGTGCCAGAGAAACTACGGCCGATTTAGAAGCGGAATAATCGCTCGAGCCTGCGTTCGATCGGAGACCTGCTACTGATGCAGTTGCTACGATGCTACCTGCAGGATACTTCTTCTCCTCGTTTGTCAACATCATTGCAGGTGCTGCATACTTGGCTGCAAGATGCACGCTGTACATGTTAACCCAATCCTGCCGAAAAACCAACACACTTGGGCACCCTACCTGACAACGTTCGTCTTTAGTGTATGCATAAACTCATCCGACGAGATATCGGTGAAGATCTTGGGCTGTCCAACAATCCCGGCATTTGCAAAGAAGATATCCAATCGTCCATAAGTCAAAACCGCCTCATCCACCACAGACTTGACCGCATCCTCGTCCGATGCATCAAACTTCCGCACATGTATGTCGACATTCGGGTATAATGATACAATCTCGCGCTTGTGGGTTTCTAGATGCGAGTCGCTGAAGTCGCATATGTAGACGGCTCTTGCACCATTCTGCGCGAACTGGTGTGCTGATGCACGTCCAATGCCGAGAGGAGAGTTGGTTCCTATGTAAGCTCGAGTCAGGCATGAACGTTGAATGCATTTAATGTTAGATAACTAGACTGACCTGTCACAATCACTACTTTGCCTTCGACTCGGGGCTTGGTAGAGTCGGGTGCGATTTTCTTGAGGATTGGGATATCTTCGAATTTGCCTTGGTCTCCAATGGGAGCTACCAGTTGCTCGCTGAGTGCTTGGAGTCTTCTCTTTGTAACCGACGACATTATAATACAGTTGAGTGTAAACAAAGGGAGATTCAAGAGAGAAAAGAGAGTGAAAGGAGGAAGACCGAGGCTTTATTTCTGCTTCTCCCAAACATTTGATCAGTGAGGTTATTCGGCTTCACAGTCAGCAGTCGTTGATGTGGATGCGGGGAGCTGTTCCCCAGGCCGAGAAAGCTGGAGCTGGACCGAGGGACAACAGGCCAATCATGGCAGGGGGCAGTCCACTGAAAAATGTCAAGCCCATGCCCCTGCCACCCACTGAAAATATGCAACTGGCTACTACTGGATAACGAAGGCCTGTCAGCCTGAGGTGCCCCATCTGCAGACCTCTACTGTAGGGTTACGGTTACGGTATCTGGAGTGTTGATTGTGTGACGGCGTTAGATAACAGGGGGCGCACGAGGCCAGAACGACGTGGCTTGCTTGCTCGCGTGTGTGAACGAGATTCTATGAGCCATTTGCGTGCTCACTCACAATACTCTCATACCATATCAGAGAAAATCACGCAAAGTCCGGGGAACCCCTCACTCACCTCAGGAATTCCATAGAAAAAGCCGCACCCCTAGAGAAAGGAATAGAGACAATTTTTATGTAAGTTTGGAGAAGAAGGATATACATTTTCAACTGTCTTGACCATTCTGTGCTTGTGTTGTGCTGGCCATATCTTACGCGAGTTTTATGACGATGGCATTCTCTAACCTGCATAACAAGGCACTTGTTGCACCACAACTCCAACACCAACACAATCCAGACCTTCTCCACCACCAAATCTACTCCCTATGCAATCCCGCCTACACAGAAGCTTCGTTTGTTTCATGCCACTCCGACGCCTTTCATACGACGGTGAGGAGGCTGTCGACCGAGAGTTACGACCCGCACGAGGCATATGTTGACAACTGGCTCCTCAAGACCATGGATATTGATGCAGGCCCGGTCGCTCTACAGAGATCAGGCTCGCACCAGTCAAACGCGTCTGCGAAGAGTACGCGATCGCAGACCGTTCGAGTAAAGCCTCGAAAGTATGCTTCTTACATGTCGAGCAGCGCATCGTCGATTTCCGACAAGTCGTTGACTTCGTTCCCCTCCTTCTCTCCTGAATCACCCAAAGACCGACCGCTGATCCCTCGATCTGTTGGCGGTGCTGCAAATGGTGTGCGCAAGGCATCTGAATCAGCTCCTTCGATCGTAGAAAGCCTGACAGCTGCATCTGCGCAGCAGAATCGCTCTGCGTTGTTCGACGATACGCCACTTACCACCAGCTCGGTGCCAGGATCGATACACCTCGCGAATGATGACCATATCGAGAGACTGATTGCGCGGAATGGGGCTGTCAGTTTTGTCAGGCAGATAGCAGAGGATTTAGCACAACGAGATGCGCAGATAGCTTCACTCAGGAGGAAGGCCGAAAATAGGGAGAGAGCTTTGAGGAAGATCATTCTGGAATGCGGCCTGTCGAATCTGGATCTAGAGACCCGTCTACGTGCTATCGAGAGCGAGAAGAAGTCACCGACTGATTCTATCAACGGGGACATAATCGAGGAGGATGGACTCGCAGATTTGATGAGCGATGCCATGGGTGGGTCAGTGGCGCATGGAGAGTTTGGGCCCTTCGATAACGATGCAACTATCCGGGCTGCAGCAAAATTAAGAGCATTGGAAGATAAGCCAGCAACAGTTCAGAGAGGATGGAAAGACTATATATGGGGAGGTACAAGCCGGAAAACTAGTCGGGCAAGCAGTATCAATGGCGATACCATCAGCGCTTTGGGAGGGACAGAACGGAGAGAAAGTGTGGTCACAGGTCGGAAGTCTGTCCTACAGAATGGGTTATTTCAACCACCTGAGAGTTCTAGAAGCCCAGTACGGAGTCCTATGCGAAGTCCAAGCCGGGCTTCGAGTCAGCTGTCAACTAATGTTGCCGCTTCTCAACGAGACCGGAAGCCTTCGTCTGGTTTGGCAACATTGGCTTTGAAGCTTGTGGCTGGTACGACAATGACTACCAGAGATGATGGAAGCGGGCGAGGAAGGGCAAATAGTACGGGAACAACACCAACTGGGAGGGCAGCTTCGACTGCAAGTGTAAAGACAACAATGTCAGCAAGAACGGCTCCAGCGAAACCTGGTCCTAAGGCGATACCTGGTAATCGGCGAGCAACAGGCGCCGGAATGAAAGCGCCCATGAGACACCAAGAGAGATGGGATACGATGGGCTCAAGTCCACAAAACACCACCCCTAGTAGTGGCGCAGATAATTATGGTCCAGTTGAAATGGATACGATCCTGGATCCAGACGATCAACCGCCCACTATCACTCAATTTTATAACAACCCATACAACCCCGAATTCCTTACAGATCGATTCGGATTCATATATGATCAACGCCGCAAGAAGCGGCAGCGAGAAGCTGCAGAAAAGATGCAGAAGACGAAACGAGGAAGTCGAGTCGAAATGTTGAGCAGCGCCAGGAGTGGACTATCTGTCGATATTTCAAGTGCTGATATGAATTTTGACGAAGAGCGTCCCGACACTCCTACCTCTACTGAGGAACGACTTGAGGACGGCAAGCCAGCTAAGCGCTGGCAAGACTACTTGAAGATTGCAACCTTCCCTACAGAACTGCTCTCACATACACCATCTGGAGGTGTGCCTGCATTCGAGGTAATGGAAGGCGGTGAGGTACCTCGATCTCCAGGGATCACAACAGAAGAAAGAGGCTTCTTGCCATCTGTGACCGCTATCGCACCGCAGTCTTCGGTAGCAGTCATCACCGAAAATGCAACTATATCCAAGCCTGATGTATCTGAGCCCACTCCTTCAGCAGAAATTCCACAGGAAGATACAGAGCCAGTCAAAATCTTGCTCAAGCAACTTGGAGAGCTTCACGATTCTCTTCAACAGGCTAAGACGCCGAAATGGAATGATTTCCTCAGAAAGGTCAGGGCTGAACGAAAACGTGATGGTGAAGCTGCAGCCGCTGCCTTAGCTGCTACAGTGGATAAAGGCAACCGACCGATTGCTATTATGCCCGAAGCTACCCTGGCAGATGGTGAAATGATCGGTGTAGCTGGTCTCGGGAACAAAGGCAAAGTCGGCCGGGCAAAGTGGAATGAGTTCAAAGCTCTTGTTCTTGGGGGAATCCCAGTGGCATATAGAGCCAAGATCTGGGCTGAGTGCTCTGGAGCCGTTGCTTTACGAATTCCTGGATACTATGACGACCTCGTTTCAAAGAAGGATGATGACGATGACCCAGCGATCGTGGCACAAATCCAAATGGATATCAATCGCACGTTGACGGACAACATCTTCTTCCGAAAGGGTCCTGGGGTTATCAAGTTGAATGAAGTTCTATTGGCGTATTCTCGCAGAAATAAAGAGGTTGGGTACTGTCAGGGCATGAACCTGATTACAGCATGTCTGCTACTCATCATGCCAACAGCGGAAGACGCATTCTGGGTATTGACAAGCATCATCGAAAATATCCTCCCACGGGGATACTACGACCACAGTCTCCTCGCCTCCCGAGCTGACCAGCAAGTCCTTCGTCAATATGTTTCCGAAATTCTACCCAAGCTCTCTGCCCACCTCGACGACCTCAATATCGAGCTAGAAGCCCTCACATTCCAATGGTTCCTCAGCGTCTTCACCGACTGCCTCTCAGCCGAAGCTCTTTTCCGAGTCTGGGACGTAGTCTTCTGCACAAACGACGGAAGCACGTTCCTCTTCCAAGTCGCTCTCGCCCTACTGAAGCTCAACGAGCAACAACTCCTACAGTGTTCCACTCCAGCATCCACGTACACCTACATTAACCACCAGATGACAAACCACGCTATCAGTATCGATGGTTTGATCCATGCTTCTGAGGGGTTGAGGAAGGTTGTTAAGAGAGAAGAGGTTGAGTCAAGGAGGGCGAAGGCTATTGAGGCTGAGAAGGACCTTATCAAGCAGCGGGAAGAGAGGAATGTTCTTCGAAGGGCTAAGAGAGTCGCTGCGGCTGCGGCTGAGGCACCTGCGTCCACATCTAGCGATTCACCGCCTGAGGTTACGATGCCGTCTACTCCGTTAAAGCAAACGCAGTTGGAGCTTGGATCTGATCATCTGGGTGAGTTGACGGTCCGGACACCTATGCCGGTGGATGAGGAGCGGGAGATTGGATTAGGGCTGGGTTGAATGCTCTAGCACATATGAGAGTGAGAATAGGCAGGGGATTGGTGACGGGGGATATGGCATGGGGATTAGATGATGGGGGTTTTTATTATTTTTCGTGTTATACTTTTGCATTTCTGCGGGGTTTGGGAGAAAAGAGAAACCTATGATACCCCCTTTTGGTCGTTTGGGTCTGCTTTTGGTGTATTGTAGAGAGGTGGTGGAGGACTCGGCTCGTTGTTGACGGACAGATAAGGTTGGATGGATGGATAACGGAATAAAATCTTAAAACTGTATTCTGAACAGGTGTCTGATCGAGCCTATGTGAGTTGGGCAGGTGTACTTGTGACAATCACTCGACTTTGATTTCTCGTGCTGCAGTTGTGGAATTTCAGCTTTAGGAAGCTGGAATTTGAGTTGCGCAGTCGTTGATATTAAATTTTGTGAGAAGGGCGCGATTGCACACGGCTGGTCTTGACGCGTGTGCATGTGGAATAACTCGTGTTGATTCCTCTGGTTCAGTCTGTCATCCAGACAATAAAGTTTTGTTGCTTGTCGCGATGCTTGAATACGTTGATTACGGTTGAGTACGATTTGAATACCTTGAGTATGACTGAATCCGATTGAGTGCGCTGTCCTGCTGGATTGAGCCGAGCCGAGCTACTTAAGTTGCGCTCCTCTCATCAGTGAAGTCAATAAATCATTTCGCCGCTGCCAATAGGGTCATATGCAGTACATCATTTTCATCATCTTTCGATGCATCATAAGAGCTTGCAGACTCCCACGGTGTGGAGGTCCCTGGCATCATGATATTGCTGTTGAGCTGTTGACTTTGACTATCAGATTGGCTTTCAGATGATTTTCCTGGATCTTTGCAGATTTTACGTGTTGGTATATCGTAGAGGTAGATGGCGTATTTTTAACAAAGATGGGGTTGGGGTTCTGCTTTGTTTGTTGACATTGGCTCGCGTATCGAGCTCTCGAAATGCCTAAGCAAGCACAGGACGGCGCGGGCCAGTTCTATTATCCTCGTGAGGGCAGGTTTTGTCATTGATATGACTTGGGACTTGTGGATTTGAACTTGATTGAAACCACATGTAGCAAAAAGCAGGGAATAGTCAACTCACCCGTCTCTAAGTCAGCGATGCCAGTCGAGGTAGTATTCAATTTCGGTACAGAATTTACTTGTGGTAGCATATCCAGAATCCAAATTCAGTACAGGGGTATATAAAATCATTCATTATCCTATACAACTCATTATACAATCTCACCATCCTCAACAGACTCATCACTATCGCTATCCTCACTACTACTCGAATCATCACTCGACGTATCATCCGAATCGCTCATCTCTGTATCCGTCTCACCCTTCGATTTATTCCCAATCTTCCTCAAGAATTCATCTTCTAGCATATATCCATCGGGTAGACTCTCCGTGGTACTGGGTAAGACGTGGATAGTGGGGAATTCTAAGACATCTCTTTTGTGGAGCTGCTCTATGAGAGTTTTGGTGGGTGATATTGGTACGAGGACTTTTGGGAAGGAGGCGGGCGTGAGAGGTCGATGGAGATAGAAGTTGAGATTCCAGGTCTTGGGAGGTGGTATTGAAGGAGCTTCGGCCATGGTGATATCGTCGAGAATTGTGTAGAGAGGAATCACATTCCAAGCTCCTGTCCCAGGATCTTGTAGCAGAGGGACAGTCGTGAGATCAAAAGCCTCACTTTCAATCTTAGCCTTTTTCGCAAGTTGTTCCCGGTGATCATCTGCTCTCCTCTTTTTCTCTACTCGTTTCTCCTCTCTCCGTTCCTCTTCCGTGAGATTCAATTTCCGCTCCTCCTCACACATAGCGTCGTAAAAATCGCCTATCGGTTTGTTGCCCAACGCACGGTATAAACTCCTCCGGTTGTCCTCTCTTATCCATTCCACCTGCCAGACAATATTCCTCTGCTTCCTATTCCAACATGTCGTATTCTCCTTATTCCTCCTCATCCCCTTCGGCGCCTTGATGACCCGTATACACTCCTTATTCAGCAGCCGCTCTATACACGCCTCTCCAGGTGGCTCATGATTATTTCTCTTTCCCGTCCGCCGGTTGAACTCTTCTATTGTCTCGCCTTTCCGCGCCCGTTCCAGTTCGTCTTTACTGACGAGTTCTAAGTCCTCGATGAGCACTTTCTCGCTACGCTGGATCCGTGTCTCGATCCCGTGGATGAAGTTGTAGTCGTGGTCTAGACCCCATGGGGTCGCGACTTCTGAGATGGGGAGGAAGACGGTGGGGTCGCGGATGCCGTTGCACATTGAGCGGACTTTGTGCCGCTTGGAGCACTCGAGGGAACATGTCTGCATGGTGCAGCGGGGGCAGGTGTAGATGGGCGGTTCGATGTGGCATATTGTACAGAGAGAGGAGAGGTCGTCCATTGTTAGAGGAGGGGAGCCGTCGAGGCTGGGTACTTGGGTATCGTTGTTGTACAAAAAATAATTGAGCGACAGTCGTAACTGGTTCCGTTCAGAGTCCACAGTCGTATTTCATGCCAATAATACAAATATGCAACGCTGAGGAAGGATATTGTGGAGCAAAGCAATTGATGCTGTGCTGCGGTCTTGAGTTCACCTCTGATTCCACAACATAGATAGGTTGATCGAGGTCGGGTAATTTTCATCGCAGCCTTGCCGCCAATTTTTTCCAACCTCCACCGCCTCTGCCAGCCTCGGGTCAGGGACCACAGGATGGGACAGCCGGTGCACGTACAGGGATGTCCAACGGTCAACACCCTTGAAATTCTCCCTCTCATTATCAAATCCCTCCTCCTTCCATCGATGTTCCTGACCTGACATCCCATGCTGGACCCTCAACATTTTATGCCCATGCCCACCCATTCGTTGCATGGATGCGCTCTGGATAAAAAGGTACAGCTCACTCACCAACAGAGCTTGACAGCATGATCGATCCCAGCGCAAGGTTCGGTGGGAGGCACTTTTCCAGTGCAGGCCAGTCCAGTCTCCACGGACCACGCCTCCCAGCAGGCTGTCAGTCACACCGCCTCTTATCGGTCGAACCGGTCAGGTAAGTTAGAGGAAATGTAGGTGTACAGCACTAGAATTTTCCATCTGCTTGCTTGCTACCTACCAATCTGCCTGTCTGCCTGTCTGCCTGCCTGCCTTAGCTAAGGTATATATTGGCTTCTGCGTCTTCGTCTTCGTCTCATCTCTTATTACTTCCCTTCCCTCCTTCATACAAATGAGGACTGGGTTCGCCGTACTGCAAGTCTGTTCCTCGCGAGGTTCCTCCTAGTCCTTGTCCTTTTTGCTTCCTGTCCCTTGGTACTGGCGTTGTTCGTCGTTTTAAAAAGCCTTCCTTTGGGTCTCGTCTCGTCTCGTCTCGTCTCGTCTCGTCTCTCTGCTCTGTCGGTCGTCGTCCTGGCCTGGTGCTCAAAAGTCTCTCAGCCTCTGCTCTACTTTGCGTACCTGCGTCAATCTACCGTCCGCGTCCTTGTCGTCTCATCATCTCATCTCGTCATCAATCAATCAATCAATCAGTCAATTAAACCAGCCATCATCAACGTCTCGTACACTCTCTCATCTCATCGGCTTTTCAAAAAGTAAAAAGTCTCATCTCAACTATCTCGTCTCGTGCTACATACCCTCATTCGGCTTCGGTTAATCTCAGCCAACCTTATCCTCATCCACATCCACCTCTCTCACTCAACAGTCAACAATACAAAAGAGATCTCCCTCAACCATGCCACCACCAGCCCCAGTCCCCGTCCTCACCTTCGAGCAAGACCAGCCCATCTCCAACGTCTCCGTCAGCCTCGACGCCATAATCCTGCACTCCTGGCGCGACAACTCCAACTTCGGCACCCTGGACCCCTCGCACCCCTACTTCGCCATGGAACTGCAAATCTGCTGCTGGAACTCCAAGTCCGCGTCCGCGTCCGTGTCCACCAACAACCACATCCTGGCGCGCTACACCGGCGCCAAGCTCAAGAAAGACGCCCTGTATCAGCTCCAGGGTAGGTTCTTCATCGATACGAGCCAGGAGGGGGGGGAATCGTATCTGCATATCGACGAGGCGATCCGGTTCCAGGGGCCGGGCACGATTCGGAGTTTTAGGACGCCGAGTTTCTTGCTGGTCGGGGAGGTGGTGAGGGTGTTGGAGAGGGAGAGGGCGTTGGTTGTGAGCTGGGTGACGAGGGATCCGTATAGGAGGGATATGGTGTATGAGCAGAGTGCGGTGGTGGGGCTGGAGAAGGAGTTGGATGAGGAGGAGGCGGGGCAGTTGGTTGGGGAGCTGTGTTGTGTGGAGGGGAGGATGGAGGGGCTGGATCATAGGAGGAATGATTGGGTTTGTGTTGGGGTTAGGTTGTGCTAGATGGATGGGTAGAGGAAGGAGGGGATGGAGTTGAATTGGATTGAAGTTTGGGGGTCGCGTTGTTTGGTGTGGTGTCTGTTTTGTGGTTTCACTGGGGTTATGGCGAAAAAGTTGGGAAATCTTTTATCAGATCAAAAAAATTAGACTGGGTGGGTGGGGTGGAGTTTTGGAATGGGGATTGGAGTTCAGTTGATGAATGATTCAACTTAGATTGATTGGGGTCACCACTCTCAATAGACGGAGGCACACTCCTGATTTTACGTATCGACGAATTCTCTTCAGTGTAATTTTGACTCTCTCAGTACTTGTGTGGAGAGTTGTGATATTCGCTCTCTGGCTTCACTTTTGCTTAGTGTCTATACACTGACTTCATCAAAGAAAACCGGCTCATCCTCCGCTTCGTTCTGCCACTCGCCTCTCCATCTCGTACTTGAATAGCTAGCTCGATGTATTTCTTCCAGGACATCTCTCTCATGAACGAATACATATTTTCTCAGTACTTACTTCCTCTCAGACCATCCGTTTCTCTTCTACCTCACTATCCTTCATCACCTACCCCCTCAGCAGTCCAGCGAGCACAACATGATATCCAAAGACATTGAATTGTCATGGCTCTTATCGAAGTTAACTTACAGTTAGTGCTCTTGTCTCATTTGTAACCTAAGTCCCTAGGAGGAAGAGGAGGGGGAGGAGTAGCTGGGGAACCTGTAGACCAAAAATAAAGATCAATTGAGTGCAGATAGATAGATATACTGTATATACACTTGCATGAAATCTCTTGGGTTGAGTTTACCCTAACTTCAGCTTTCAAGGGATATCTGATATTTGTGTTATTGACGGTTGTTTTACGTGTTTGATAGAGTTCAACATTGAGCTCGCCTGGTGATTGTATAGGTTATGGGAGAAAGAAAGAAGGGTGGCTAAGTTTAGGGTTTGAATTTTGTTTTGGGAGGGGGGGGAGGTGTGGGTTTGCTGGATCTGAATGTGGGAAGTGTGACTTAATATTGGCTTGACCTCGATGTCGTTGGAATAATTGCAAGCTGGATATGGAGCGAGCTTCTTTTGATATCTGATTTTATAGAGAGTGATGGTCTTCCTTGAAAGTTGAAATGTTTTGGACACTTTTGAACTGGCTTCTAATTTCGGATTTCAATATAGATATTGAGTTGATGCTATTATCGGATTTGAAAAAAGAAACTTGACCGCTAAGAGTCACACACTACAAATCAAACGTTTACGTTTGACCTAGCTGAAGACAGCTGAACGATTCAGAGTAGCGCCTTCGGTACGACAGGCTGCAAGGGAGCCCCCAAGATGTCCTCATTGAGATATAACATTGGAAAGATCACAACCCGAGATTTGGAAAAGTCTCTATGCGGGAAAAGAAGTAGCCGATACAGATAGAGGTGTAATATATTTTCAGCCTTAAAAAGATGCAAGATGAACGAAAATACCCGTCGATTCGATATGGAAAAGCAAGCACATGAGTAAAGAGAACTACTTCTGGTCTGTTGATATGATATGAATAGGATTGGACAACGCGACGAATTGAAGCCGTCAGATCATCAGCTTGTAGGAATACCTTCAAAATGAAAAGCAAATAGAATGCTAGTCTTGATGTCCCTTCACAGAGGACGTAGCCAGTCAACTTTGACAAGCTCTCGTTAATAAGACGAATGCGAGCGTGAAAGAAGTGAGTGTTCCAGCTCGAAAACTTCATCACTAGATGTCACTTCGTCGATGTAACCCACTCATCCCAAACCACCGCCAACGTCAACGCCCATACTCACAAAATCCCAGCCAGATGGAAAGGAGCCTCAAAATATGCGTGACATCAGCATCAAAAGTAACAGAGCTCCTTTCATCCCAAGTCTTGAAGCTCGTCCCGAGTCGTTGCATACGCGTGGCTCGTCGTCCGAAGTCCTCGCCGTAAGGCAAGGAGTGAAGGGGGTTTAAACTCCAGCACTAGGAAGGCTACTTACTGTACGAGGTTTTAGTTGCAGACGGTCTACGGAGTAAATGGAGGGGAGGGTAAGACGGCCGCTTGGAAGTGTGCGTCTTGGTCAGCCACGGTAATCTCCTGTTGCTCTACCTCCGCAGAGTCTAGACAGACTAGGGTGGAAGATACCGAGGATCGGGCCAGCTGGTGATCGGGAATGGGTGGGATTTTGACTTAGTGGTTCGGGGCATGTGGATGTGGTGTAATTGATAAGCTGGGAGTTGGGATAACCAAAGCTGATAACTGACTGATAGAGGTGTCAGCATGCTGAAGTTTGATGGACATGTCGTTATTCTTCCGATATTTCTTTTTTCTTCTTTTTTTTCCAAACGGTCGCAGACCTTGGACGAATGAAGAGTTGAGAGACATGGGGATTGTCAATGGCCTTGTTTACCCCTGAATGTCTTTGTGAGATGTGATGGTTTTGATTTGAGGTGATGCTACCTCTGGCGGGAAGTGGTTAGCTTCAGGGCAAGCCGCAGGAACGACCAGATCAGATGCGGTGCGGAGCCGTGGCGTTTGATTGTTCTAGCGTTGCATCGCATGCTTTTCTGTGATCGTCTCACATCGCTTCGGATTTGAGGCTTAATTTGCTCCTCCCTCCTCCTCCAGCTTGGGGTATGGAGAAATGTGATAAGAGCATCAGAATCATCGGATTTGCTCATTGTTTTTGTTTGTTGACGCATGCCGAGTCCTTTGTGATCAATTGTTGCGGGATTATGCAGCAATTATGCTTCTTTTTATGGCCTCGCTTCCTACCACTAATGCCTATCTTATGTCGTGTATTAATTAATTATGAGTAGATCTCCCGGTTTGCATCGCTGTTTACCTTAGCGGAAGGTATTTTGGCCTGAGGATTGTTCGGTTACGGGTACCGTGAGGGATTCCCCGGCTGTCTTTGTGCTCGACCCCTTAAATCAGCCGCGTATTAATTTGATATGCAAGCTGCTCTGTCCTTATCACATCGACCCCGCCCTAAGACCGTTGGTGGACGTTAGTGATGGACGGGGAGGAGGGAGGAGGGAGGAGGGAGGAGGGAGGAGGGAGGAGGGAGGGACGAGGGAGAGGGAGGCAAAAGGAACTTATTCAAGCTGCCGTCTTCAACCTTTTAGCATGTCAGGATTTCAGCCTTTGGACTGTGGAGATGTCCGAGAAATGAAACATACCAACAATACTGTAGCTTTCGCTCCAGGCAGGCGTCACATTTCTTCGATCCATCGGGATTTGCATTGCATCCGACTCGCACCCAAGTACTAGTGACCCAACGCAGTGCAGCTGGCTGCAGCACGGGAAATAAAAGAAATGGAGTCCTCAGTCTCTGTGGGATACCAGAGCCAGAAGTTGTGCCTGAAGCCCAGTGCCATTGGTCAATTGGGAGTCAGGGGCTGGCTGCACCATCAAAATCAAGCGTGAGTGTGGGTGGGCAAGCGTTACTGTAGATTTCAGCGGCGGACTGCTTCGCTTGTGGCCGAAGATCTTGCCCTGGCCTGCCCCTGCAGCAGCTACAGTACTGGCCGCCCCCTGCTTCTTGGTTCCTCTTCCTCTCCGCTTCCTCTTCCTCTTCCTCCCAGTCCAAAGCAGGCCCGTTCACCCTCAGGACTTCATGTCGCAGCGGGTCTCATGTTCACATCCCCTCGCGAGCAAATGGGAAGCCCTGGACGCATTGCAAATCTGCTCTCAGACAACACCTCCTCGGCGCCGATTGGTCATAGCCAGCGTTGGCTGTTGGTGCCGACGGGGTCAAAGTGGAGAGACAACATGGCAGCGTGCACCTGAGTGGGGGATGTTGGCCACCCGAAGTGCACCACTGAATCATGGGCCCAGTTAACAATGTTTGGTTTGGAATCGGAATCCCTTGTGAAAACACGGCATTGGGATGCTCTACTTAGTTGCTGATGCCCAGAACGACTGGATCAGACGGTGCCGAGGTGCCAAAGATTAGAATTCACAGCAGGACAGATCTGTCTAAAGGGTTAAAGGGTGTAGCCGTCATGGCTCTAGACGATATCATTGGCTGCTGCTGGTCCTGGTACTGAGAAGCAACGGATCGGATGGGGAGAAAGTCTGAAGGAAAGGAAAGGAAAGCGAGTGCACTGAACTCAGGAGAATAATCGGACGCTATCGAGTGATCACTATGCCCCTTCCAGCCTAGACATCCCATCCCATCCCATCCCATCCCAGGAGAACGACTCGAATCCAATATTAATCTCCTCTGCGCTGAGCGCACTCGTTCTCCTCAGGGGAAGCTTGGGCCCCTGGCAGGGTTGAGGGAGCCAGAGGCCCAGAAGGGGGCAGCCCCCGTCGGGCTTGGGATTGAACTTGACAGGGGGCACAGACGTGGGAGCAGGGGGCAGGGGGCAGGGGGCAGCACGCCGTTTCTCTCTCTGTCCGATCTCCTCACTCCTCATCCTACTCTCTGCTCCTGCTCCTGCTCCTGCTCCTCTCCAATCGCTCTCCCTTCCTTTCCTTCTCTTCCCTTTCTCTCTTCTCCCCCCTCACTCCTGCATCATACTGCATTTGTCGGTCTGCTGCAACACTCCTGCAACGCAGACGCTGTCTGTTCAAATCACAAGTTGATTTGCGGCTTCAACTCTGTTGCGTGAGCTATCTTCATCTTCCCAGCACCCCGAGGACCTTTTCTGCAGCTTGCTGGTAGACGAGCAGCCAGAGTCCAGTCTAGTAACGTCAACGTCAAAGCACACCTACCGTCGTTCCTTCTTTTCCAGAAAGACACAACACTCCTTTCTAGTAATCGTTAAGCCCATAGCGAAACTTACATACGCTCGAGCTCGTGTCAGGCATATTTCGAAACATAAGCATCCGAGGGGCTCTGCAGAGTCAATACACCAACTTCACAACAGACCTCCCCGACAACAACCATGGGGCCATCACTTAATAACCACTCTTCTTTCGTCCGTCCAAGGACTGGAGACCGCGAGGGTCGTCCTGGTACTCGAGACCAGACTGATCAAAACTTGATCATCCCAAGCAGAACTTCTTCCCTCCACTCCCGGATCACCCAGCCAATTCCTTCGACTCTCAATGTCAAGCCTCAACAACGAACACCCAAGACGCTCACCCATGCGTACATGGTGTGCGGTGTTGGAAGAGAGCCATCGCAATGGGTGAAGGCTCCAGCTCCAGCACAGGGAAAGATTGGACATATGAAGGGAGCTGTTGGGCAGTTTTGGCTGCCCGAGATTCTTGGTAGCAGTCCCAGATTGGAACAGGATAATGAAATTGCCAGAGCGCTCCATGCTGCCATGAGGGTAAGAGAAAATTTCGTTGATTCAAAGTCAATGACCATACTAACATATATGTAGGCTTGTTTCCCACACGACGTAGAGATCTGCACTGGACGCAGCCAACCGCACTGTGTGCATCATTCTTTCGTGCTTCAACAGGATTCTTCTCATACTCTTTACGGTATTGCTCTTCGCGTCTGGTCGAGAGCAGATGAGAAGCGGGCCGAAACTATTCGAGACCTCCGGAGGCGAACCGAGTCGGACTTTTACGACTCTCCAGATGAGACATACTGGATTCCGTACTGCCTGTCATTCTTGTCTCGATACCCATTGTACAACCTTTTGGGTGACTATCTTCGTGGCATGTGGATCCACTGGAACAAGGCTACTAACCTTTTCCATGCCGAGGAGGTTTCTCGCATTCTGAGTTTCCCAGCACCCAGACTGAACGACTTGGTCCGAATTGATATGAAAGATTACGCCCTCTGTTATCAATTCCCTTCGTCGCCAACCGGATTCCAGAACTTCGCCATGTGGCCATTGTTTTCTTGCTTGTCCATTCCCAACATTGTTGGTGTGATAGAAGCAGCTTTGTCGCCAACTCGTCGCATTGTCTTTGTCAGTCACTACCCTGCTATGCTCACAGTGGCAGCCGAGACAATCCGTTACTGTGTTCGCGTATATGAGTGGAGTGGCCTCTATGTTCCAGTTGTACATGCAAGACATGCGAAGGAGTTGGTTCAGGAACCTGGCCCATACATTCTTGGTATCACCGCCGAGTGCAGGTCGCTTTTCACCGCACCTACCGATGCTCTGGTCGTCGACTTGGATCGCAACTTCGTCCTGACATCTAGCCCACCGACCGCATTATCTGCTGGTCAACGCACCAAGATGGTCAACCGAATGACACAGGCTCTCAACGGCGATGTGACACCTTCGGGAGTTCCGCAACATCTCCGGTCTGCCTACGGCGGAGGAAAATTGGTTCCCGCTGGACAGATCATTGTTATGCGTGGAGAGGTCGAATCAATCCAGGACCCCGAGTGGTGGAACCAGGATTCCATCATGGCCGTCATGGATCACGTTTGCGAGAAAATGGTAAGTTTCGTCTGATCTCATATAATCCGGGGTGGGTATAAGTCGCACGTTTGCTGATCATTGTTTCACAACAGGGAAGAAACACTGGGATGAAGGCTGTGTTTGGCGGAGCTGTCAAGAAACCACTCATGACCAAGGTCTCAATGAGACACCTGAACGAGATTGTTCGTGAGAGGAATCAATATTCCCGAGACGCGCTGGAGGCTTGGCAAGACTTCATCAACCTCAAGGGTCGTATGGATACCGAACTCGGCAAGGTCACCAAGAGAAACAACTTCCTCGTGGAGGAACTTGAGAGCTGGAAGCAGCAGGTATGCTCCTTCGGAATGCATTATCTTCATCGACTGACAAATTGTAGTTCCTCAAATTCCAAGCCTTTGCTGAGCAGCTCACCAAGGAGACTCAAGATCTCAAGGTCAAGATCGAGAACCACAAGCGTGAGAACAGACGCCTTTCTGGACTTATCGACCAACAGAAGGACGATGCTGCCCGCCTCACTGTTCGTCTTTCCGGTACCGAGAAGCAACGTGACGATGCTCTTGAAGCTTTGGTCCTCCAGCAGGAGATCGCCGAGGAACTTGAGCGTGAGCGAAAGCGTAACAAGAAGGAGCTCGCAGCTCTCCAACACACCAATGTCACCATCCTTCGCCAGAGAGATGAGGCTCAACGTGTTGTTCTCCACCTGCGCGCCTTGATCAGTGGTCAAACTCATCACATGGAGCACATTGTCCGAACTCTTGGGAAGAGCCCCGAGTTGGTCGAGTACATTGAGCACGGTTACGATGAGGAGGAGGGTGACCTTGAGGATATTGCCGAGGAGGCCAAGAACGAGGAGAATGGCGAGCTGTCCCCTGCACTGGAATCTCGTGCCTACAGAAACAGCACGAGTGGCGATGACATGACCCCAGAAATGGAAAAGCGTCTGAACAATGGTCTTCGCAACAGCAAGCGATACAGCCAGATGAGCATCGTGGACGTTGCCGATCGTCATTTGAAGGACAAGACTGATGCCATTGCTCATATCATCCGAAACATCAGTGAGCAGTGCGCTGCTGCTGTCGAGGGTCTTCAACTCGCTCACGATGCCGAGGTCGAGGCCGAAGAATTGGCTTTGAAGGAGGCTCGTGGCCACCACCGCGCGAGCAACTTGTCCACAATCACCACCAGTGATGATGGTCACTCCAATGGTGGATCCGAGACTGGAGATGACAGCCACCTAAACCCAAGTGGACGCGCGTCAAGCATTCCCCCAACCCCAGATCTCATCCACAACAGATCGAGTACCTCCATGTCGATTGCGAGCGTCACAACCACTCCTGAAAGGAGCAGCCAGCAATACAACATTGGGACTGATATCCCAACAAAGATTGTCGAGGACAGCGATGAGGAGTTGGAAGGACGAAGCGAGAACGAGGGGTTGAGCGGTAACGAGCACATCGGGAAACCAAACATGATGCGCAGACCTGCGGGTGCCAGATTGAGCGCTCTTGGTGGCCGATAGAAGGTCCAGACATTTCTTTGAAAATTGCCGTCCTTTTTAGCATCGATAACCTTTTTGGGCGGCGTCTAAACGGTGGAATTCGTTTGCTTTGTCTGTAATGCTTTATCGACTATCGCTGTCAATATTTTTATTTGTTGTATGTTGAAATATACCTTCTTCGTTGTGGGGAAAAGGGAACGAAAGGGAAGCTAAGCTAGATGTACGAGATGGATATAAGAGGAGCGAGATGAGAAGAGTGGGGAGAAACATAGTGAGAGGAGCTTTTTGAGAAAGGAACAGGTGTGGATTGCTGATATTTAATACCACTGGTGTACCCGGCGTATATAGTATAGTACAATAAGATCAAGATAAGACTTTATGAAAGAATGTGTCTTGTTTAGCTACTTGTCTTGTGATTTGATTTGATAGGGTTCTTGTGTTGACTTACGACTGAAGACTGGAATGGAGGAGATTGGTGAGAGTCTTGTTCTTGGCACCTGGTTTCCTCTGGAACGTCGATTGGACAAATGGCGTATTGAGTGAGACTGGATGAAAGGAGCATCTATTCAATGGTATCTAATCCAATCAACGCAATTTGTTAAGTTGAGCATCTTTTCTTTCCCCCAATACAATCGAGTCGAATCACAATATCTCCCTATTTCAGGCCAAATGCTAAAATCCAAAGGCCAGGAACAAACAGTCCATCCAATCCATCCAAACCAGGTCATGTGTCTGGTTAGTAAAGCGTCTCACATCAAACCTACCTTACGGAGGTTACCTAACCTCGCTAACGTAGTACCATTTATGTCATGCCACGCCGTACCCATACCTTCTACCGAAGTCAGAAACCTTCCATCCGGATGTTTCCTCCGGCCTCATATATTGATTCCTGCGTGTAGCCGGGCCAGCTGCTGATATCTTGGCAGAATTGGCAAAATTCTACTTGAAAGAATTACAGATTTGTAGGTAGGAAGGCAGTTCAAGTAAAGCTCAAGCATAACTTTTCCACTCAATATCTTGCCATGAAGAAGGAACTCTCTAAAGAAAAGTTGGTTTCCAGGCCAGCCAGATTTTGGGCGTTCTTTCTCGCTTCTCCTCGCCTCAGAACCGGCGGCAAGTTCCCTCCCGTCCAGTCCAGTAACTTGCTTACAAGACCTAAGCAACGAAGCGAAGGACCATCTGCTCCGACGGAAACGCCGCCGCTGCCGATGGCTTTGGGGATTCCTAGATGTCTGGACTGCTCATGCCCGGGCGTGAACTCCGTTAGACGTGCAACAAAATCCTGGAGAGGTCTGGGAGGGGGGAGGTGAGTGGTGGGAGGGGGGAGGGGGAGGTCGGAGGCGGGGAGGGGGGCCGATGGGGGGATGGTGGGTGGTACGGATGTAGGGGACTAAGTAGTGGGTGAAGGTGAGATTGGGATGGGGGAGATGAGGTGGGGGATTGAGAAGGAATTAGATTTGGTTATTATTAATGTTTTTGAGGGAGGGCACGGGACACTTTTGTTGATAATTTATATCACCCTCGCGAGCTCGAGGAAGAGAATGGATGTCGATTGTCACGTGATCGAAAACACCAGGACAAAATGCTCCGAATTTCTCCCAGTTAGGTAGATGAAGTTCTGGGCAACGTCAGCCCGTCGGGGCCCTGTGAAATTCGAGCTCCCACGGTTCTAAAATTTGAAGATCGCGAAGGTTGGAAAAGAGCCTGGCTTGTAGGATCGAGATTCTCCGAATAATTTCGGAGAAAAACTCCGGAGTGCCTGAAACGAAGGGATTGCTCACAACGGCGTCTCGGAAGAACTCGATTGCGTTCTAGGACCTTCACAGGCAAAATATATCAACGATAGTGATTGAGACCAAAAAGAGTACCAATGTCGCCGTCCAAAGTTCATCGAGTCTCAAATCAAGAAAGGCCACCAAAACCCAAATTTAAACCTATCAACCCAATTGAAGAAGCTGTGAAAATATGGCTGAGCAGACTACCTGCTGAGCTCCAAGCCACGATCCAAGTCCACGTCAATGAGTTGCTATCCTGCACAGCGAAACGATGGGTTGTCTATCCTCCGATGGTTCTCTTGCCGCCTGGTAGCTTTGGAGACGAGTGGAGCGGTATTCTTGGGTCTGAGATCTCATCTGAGACTATGAACGAGCTATGGAAATCGGTACTGGACAACATATCGAAACGGGAAGGCAAAGGAAATCTCACCCACCTTGCAGTCAACTCCGGGATTCCCCTCAACAAGGATTCACATCCCCCTCCTGGCGGAGCACCACTCGCCGCAGAAGAGAAAAACCGGACCGCGCAGACTTCTTCCCCAGCATCTGAAAACATCCTCCGCACACCAAGCGGCCTGATCATGCTCTACGGAGACTTCGGACCTGCACTATCTCCAGATCAGAATCCTAGGGAAGAGGATTTCCAGCATGCGTTCTGGGTCAGCACGAAGCAGAATGGGATCGTGCAGGTCTGGGCGCCGCGGTACACGATGTTCAGCCGTGGGAATGTGAAGGAGAAGGCGAGGATTCTGGATTTTCATAGACACAGTGGGGAGTTCACGTCACGGGATGTCGAGGAGGGGGAGATCGAGGCGGCGACGGCGGTGGATCTGTATGCGGGTATTGGTTATTTTGTGTTTAGTTATGCGAGGATGGGGATGGGGAGGGTGGTGGGGTGGGAGTTGAATCCTTGGTCTGTGGAGGGGTTGAGGAGGGGGGCGCTTGCGAATGGGTGGTCTGTTAGGGTTGTTGTTGGGGATGGGGAGGGTGGGGAGGGAGGCGAGGAGAGGATTGTGGTGTTTTTGGAGGATAATGCTAAAGCGCTGGAGAGACTTCAGAGAGTGGAGATGGATGGTCGGCTGGAAAGTGGAAGGATCATGCATGTGAATTGCGGATTGTTGCCTACGAGCGAACTTTCTTGGGAGATGGCGATTGGGATGTTGAGAGGAGGTGGGTGGCTGCATTTGCATGAGAATGTGGGTGTGGAAGATATTGAATCGAGGAAGGTCGAGATTGGGAAAATTTTGGAGCAGTGGTTGATTGGAGCGGGTGATGGTAGGACGGTTACGACGGAGCATGTGGAGAGAGTGAAGACATTTGCTCCTGGCGTTTGGCATTGTGTCTTTGATGTCTATGTCGCTGGTAAAGAGGATTGATAATTGCTTATGCTAAGTATAATCCATCACATTCTTGTACCATCTCGACTAGCAGTGGGAGAGGTGGCTGTCTCTAGCATGTCTTCTTTCGAAGTTGTTTCAGAAGGCTTGATATCTTTGTCTCTCAAGGCCTTAGAACCTGAGATGGTCTTGACTGTGGAGATTCCTTGAACGGAGAGCATTGGCGGAGTGTGTTTCCTCTTTTGAAGTGTCTCGGGAGCGACAAGACATTTGCCGCCAAATTTCCTTCAGGACTGTATCCAGTAAGTCATGATTTCGGGAGTTTTCCCAGGACCAGATCACTCAAGGCTGCGATCCTCATTCTCTCCCAGCTTCCATCGGCTTGGAAGTAAAAGAAGCACTTCAACCAAAGATTGCTTGGGATTTCAGAATATCAAGACAACGAGGCAATCAGGCAGAGAGCGATGACTATGGCACCTGAAATTGGGAGGTGAGTTTCCAGTTGACATACATTGTTTGATATCCCCCTGATTCTGGTACTTAGTAGAGACAGTGATGGAGGGAACACATCCCGAACAAGCAGTTGCCCATCAGTTCCAGAAGTCAAAAGCTTCTTCGTAGCCTTGGCTTAGGCTGTGTTAACTTCTTCCTCGAGGAATCGAACGGAAACTGTGCCACTGAAGAGAAGAAGATCGCATTGTACCAAGATGTCCGCCTAGCATGTTATCTTTCATTAGTTCACATCCTGCCGATTTCAACTGCCGTGGCACTTTCGATACTCAACCTGCGAGGGCTTTACATTGGATCAGAGCTTTCAGGTCTCCAGGGACAAGACAATTTGAAGTTCCTTGGACTACAGTTCTCTGCTAAGCTTCTTGAGTTGATGGTTGTATCGTCGTTGTCCTGTATCGCGTTCTCGTTGCTTCGATATCAGTTATGTCGGACAGGGATTCCGTTTGGCGCATTAGCATCCGGGTTTGACCTTGGGAAGATATCATTTCTCTGGTCCAGAGAGTTTATTGCCACTTTATCTGCAAGATTTGATTCACGTAGAGATAAGGGGCTTTTGGTCGTGGTTCTGGTCTTGTTCACCCTCCTTGCTGCTACAGTGTACGTATGGCATTTGCATTTTCAAAGTCCTGAGGTCTCAGCGTCAAGGATAGACACATCATACAAGACGAGAATTTCGATTGAGAAGCTAACCTTTTGATAAGTGGACCTGCAGCAGCTGTGGCAGCTCAGCCAGTGCTTCGAAACTGGAAAGCAGGTGGTACAGATTTTTATGTTGATAGGCAATACCACGACATATATCCAACGGCACTGGATAACTTATCCCTTCCGGAGGAGACTTGTCCCAAATCTCACAACGACACATGCCATCCGTCGAATCATGGGCTCATATGAAAAGAACTCTTTTCATTCTGGCCAACAAAGACCTTTCAATCACCTCCCTCGACCTCCGCCTATGGATGCCTGAGAATACCGTTCTTTCCGGTCGCCGCGCCCTTCACAAACTCGCTATTCGTTTTAAAGGCCCATTTATATTCCAGCCAGAGCTTACAGTCGCGACAACGCCTCTATCTAGTCTTGCCGATGTCGTTTCCAAGACCTCGAGGTTCTGGACACTCGCAAATACGGACTTCTGTGTCCACGGACTGAGCCCGAGCTTTTGTCACTACGATGACATCCTTTTCTCCATCGAAGCTTTGCAGCCCATATCTTTTGTGAGATGTAACCAGAACAGCGTCAACATCATGGTTCAGTTCCCCAGGTTTGATCGAGGCTCTGAGTACCCTTTGGTTCAACTCGAGGATGATGTGGTGGGAACACGAAGATGGTTTGACTCTAGGACTGGCAACGGCACAACAGTAAATGTGACATGGATTGATCTTCCAGAAACAACGTTTGGGCTATCGTCTCTAGGTGCACTGGCTTGTATTCCTGGGGACAATTTGAATTCAACGGATCAAGTGATGGCTTGTACTATCGACGCAAGATGGGCCAATGCTACTGCCTCGTCTTCCTTTCTTGGTGGACCTCTGGTAGTTTCTGGATCACCCCGAGACTGATTTGGCAAAGGGAGATTGCAAAAGCGAACGTTCGATGGACAATCACTGTGGAGACAGGTCAAAATCACACCGACATGGGCTCAGCATCTTGATTCTGACCTCGAACGATCTGGACTTTCGGTGTTCGGCTCTCTTTGTAACAGCCTTGGAGATTTTCAAGGAATTGCAGAAGCTCATTCGCCAGCTAATGCAATCGAAGCAATCCTCGCAGTCATGATCACAGAAGGAATGTCGCGGGTAGGAAATGGTGCTAAGATCAAAGGGTCTCTTCTCGGCTTGGGGAGACTTCAGTGGGCACGGCAAATGCTACCTACAAAAGGACTGTATGGCAGTGGAAGCTCTGCTTTCAACTTCACCCCCACTGGAGATGACGATTCTTTGAAGCTCACAATGAAGGCTGTTGTGAATGGATATGGCTACGGAATTTCTATTGCCGTTGTTGTTTCGATTATCGTGCTGTTGACGTACAGCGGCATTGCATTGGCTTCCGTTACCTATACGGTGATGTTCTCACATATCACTTCCGGTGCTTGGGACTCTGTCACGGAACTCGTTGCTCTAGCCATAAACTCAGATCCCTCGGCTGGACTAAAAAATACTGGCGCTGGGATATCGTGCTCGAGAACTTTAGAACGAGTGGTCAAAGTTTGTGCACGTGGGGATCAATTACAGCTGGTCTTTGGTGCAGAGGATTTAGAGGACGTACGAGGAGAGACTTCTACTGCCACACCAAATAACTACTATGCATGATTGATATGGTAAAGATGTAAGTTTAGCACTGAACTGAAAAGGCTCTTCACACTGATGATTGGTTGCAGAAATGGTCTAGATATCTTGAAATATCTGCATCTGAGGGAGAGGTGTACTATAGCTGTTACCTGCATGGCTGTGCCATGCCTGGTCTGCTGCAGTCTATTTCGGGACTCCGCAAGCTCCTAAGCGGGTCAAATATGAGGTTGAAGAATGCGAGAGGTCATGCAGTCCAGCTCAGCTTTCTCTGCAAATCTAGAAACTGAAGAACATTGAGTCTATTGCAACGCACTAATAGTCGGTTCACACAAAGGGAACCGAATACTATCGAATTGTCTCTTCAATGTTTCAATTTTCTGCTTCATGTTCTGTTCCACTGGTCATCCTCCTTCTTTGACTCCTGGCGATGTTGGTTTTAGGATCCTGGTAGAATTATCTGCGGCCGCAGCAAAGCCGTCCTGATCAGGAAGGAGGCACCACAGAAGGAGAGCACCGCCTGTTACAACATCTGGTACACACAAGCTCAGTGGACCTTAGTCTCCATACTTCTCGGCCGTTGTCTGAATTCAGACAGATGACATGTGGTCTAATTCCTTCAGTATCAGGGATTGTGCATCGTGGGGTAGATAGTGGTGTAGTGAGCTGCGGCGCTGTTGGCTGACCGGTAAGAAAACCAACACGGGGATGTATGCGACATTGCCCGTCACAACTTTTATGCAGCAGCAAGTTGCTGGGCAAGGCTGTGTCTACTGCGCAGTCCCTGGGCTCAACTGCTGCACTTCCAGATCATCAGGGACATTGTACTTGAGGCTATGTGATTGGAAACCTCTATTGTCGTGAAGCTTCCTTGACCTGAATAGCGTAAGGAGTTCTTCGTCCATACCTGCGAAGTATATATTTGTGGCTTCTTGCTGCATGAGTAGCTCGAACATCCAAGTCTGAAATTTTATCGTTCATTAGCCTTCCATTTTTCCAGTCTCCCAAGATCGCAGTGTGTCATATCACTTGCCGAGATTGAATTGCTTTGCAACTTGGCTTGCACACCTCAAGAACCGTTATCTTCGATTGCCACCAATCTTTCAAGACTCCTCTTGTCACCGTTTCTCTCCTCCTCAAAAATGACAGTCTACTGGGACTTCCGCCGGATCCTCAAAGTGGATCCAGACAAGGACTTTACCTGTGTCGGAATAACACAACCAGGTCTCAGATGTGGGAATCAAGTTGGATTCAACTACCGCCGTCAAGGAAGTCGAGTCCTCAACGAGATGGACCAGACGAAGAGCTATTCTAGGGCTCTAGAAAATCTTGAGGACTTAGCCGATCTGATGCTCTGCAGATTACAGCATAATAGCGAGAAGAAACCTCATCTCAATCAAGTCAATAAGGTGTATAGTAAATGGTACGCCGTAGCGAAACAAGAATATGTTGCGTTGAAGCGGGAGGCAGAGAGGGCTGCTGAAAGGAGGGCGGCGAGAGAAATTTCTTTGATGAGGGAAGCGGCTCAGCTGATGAGAGAGGACCTTGAGAGAGGGATAGATGATATGGTATGTGTTTCATTCAGTGCGTACCTGATGAATAATACTGACATTTTCAAGACGGCTGTCGAAGTGACTGATAGTGAAGGCCGAACGACGCCGGACGTATCCGTTAGAGAACTGCCACTGGACGATCCATTTGTCGTCCCATCTGCTGAAAGTACTGGGATGAGAAATTCATCAAATTCATCAGGAGTCGGCGAGACAACGAACATTGAGTGGCCCGTGGTTCCAACACATGCACTATCAAAGAAGATACCAGTATTTTCAGACCAACAAGAAAGTACCTCTCAACAAATACCTTGCGCCGCGGAGGCCCAGGTTGATACAACTGGTACTGCAGCGTCAAGTATCCGAAGGGATCAAAAAAGTGGTACCACTTCTGGGTTCAGAATCGCAAAGTCAGACGAAAACACTTCTCTCGATTTGAGCTTCGTCCCGAAAGGCAGCACTGCGACATCCAGCAGACTTGCTTCGGGACCAGGCCCCGGAAGACGAGTGGCTCTGAAAGACAAAAGCGCAGAAATAAACAGAAAAATGGCAAGCCATACAAGTGTGCTGTCAGATTCGGCACCGACATTTTCTTTTGCAGCAACGATACCCCAATCGTCCTTTTCTTTCGAAGTTCCTAAACAGTCTCACCTCGAGACAGTCTCCATTGCTGCGCCGGCGTCAGAGCCACCAAGACAATTGGCCGAATCCGCTGAAGAGGAAGCCCACCTGGAATCTGTGACCAGCATCCAGGATAGCTCTGCTCTGTCTGACGAATCCCTCGAGTCTCCTGCGAATAGCCGTTCCGCCTCGTTCGGTTACGCCGTTGTGACTCCACCGTCAACCAGATACAAGACCTACCTACCAGCACGACAGCAGCATGGTCTCATGACACCGCCAGAGACACCGGAAACAATTTTAACGGCACATAAGAGCTCATCGCCGTTGCCACCTCCCAAGATTGGTGATTACTTCTCCAGTGATGCGAATCAAAACTCCCCACCGAAGATCTCCAGGAAACCATTGCCTACCACTTCGAGGGTTGACATTGCGGAAGGAGACATTGAAGACCGCGAGCCAGGAAATGTGGCTGTAGGCGATGCTGAGAGTAATTACGAGAGGTCTGGTTGCTTGTCTAGATTTAGGTTTGGTCGGTTGAGGAGGAAAGTAGTGGGAAATCTGAGAAGTATGAAAGAGAATTTGGCGAAATCGGCTGGGTGACTCGACAATATAACAATGTATTTGAGATTTCTGGAAATTCTGTAAATATATCTCAAATCTGAAGCTATCTTTAGAGCTGAGCTCATCTAAAATTTCGAGAGAGTTTAGGACTCGGCTTATTCAGGATGCGGCCAAATGTACTGGAAGACACCCTTGGATGATATGGTGGACTTCAGTTCCTAGGCCCTGTGATCAATCAAAATCAGAATTAAAGTTGGAAGCGACTATTATATTTAGCTCCGTTGCAGACCAACTCCGAAAATTGATTGCCGAGGTCATTGTATGGGGTTCGTTCGTATAATGGCGATCACCGAGCATATGTAATGCTTAACTTCCAATGCGAGGCCAAACCCTTGCTCGCAGCTCTGTGAGCTGCGTTCCCTGGACTTGGAAAAAGCGCTTGTCGAAATGCCCAGCCGGCAGATCCTCGATCTCCGAAGCAATCTAATAGGAACTTTATGCCAAAGAATTAACATAAATAGGACAGAAAGTAATCTGCTTCGACATTTCTCACCGAAACTGGTCTGAACGATTTGTTGACATTTTAATCATGAAGTTGGTCCAATTGGTTCTCGTAGCGGGTGCCTTTCTCGGCTTCTCGTTCGCTTCCGAAGTGTCCGCCAAATGTCTTACCCCTGACCCTTCCCCTGAGTACCTGTCTCTCTTTCCAGCAAAACCGGTTCGACGCAGCGTCAACAATGGCCTCTTCCCAAGACAATCTCAAAACCTGACTGTTGATGTGTACTTCCACATTGCGAGTACATTCGCCAACGCCGGTAAAGTCACGGAACAACGAGTGGCAGACCAGTTTCAGGTGCTGAAAAATGCCTATTCTCCTTATGGGATCCACATGCTTCTTCGCAATACCTCATGGATAGTGGACGATATCACCGGCACTGGTTTCTATCAAGAGGATGGTAGCATGAGCGATGAGCTCTTTGAGCAATGGTTTGCTCACATGCAACGAACTCGACAAGGCTCACACTCCACGCTGAACTTATATTTCTACACCGACATGCCCGTTGGGATTCAAGGCATCTGTCCACTCCCAACTTTCGTCACACCTGGCGATGAATGGTTCTACCGAGACGGATGTCAGCTCCATGCAAATACCATGCCAGGCGGGGATATTGCGAAGTATCTAGGAAACACGGCTATCCACGAGGCGGGTCATTGGTTTGGATTGCTGCATACCTTCCAGGGTAAATGCTCCATCTATGGAGATGGGGTGATGGATACGCCGCCTCAGGCTTCCGCTAGTGTAGGGTGTCCTGTTGGGAGGGATAGTTGTCCGGGTGAGGAGGGTCTGGATCCAATTCATAACTATATGGATTATTCAGATGATGAATGGTAAGCTTCTACCTTTGTGAAGAGCTCTAAGGCATTTTCTAACAAATATTTAGTACGACGGAATTTACGCCAGGGCAAAGTGAGCTCATGCATGACTCGTTTGCACGATTCCGAGCTGGTATCTAACGATTTGCTATTTGATTGCTTCAAACTATGACATCTGAATGGCAGTCCGAGGAGTAGTCAATCTGAAACCAAGCTCCATCTCCATGTTTCAAGTGAGCAAACATGATATGTCAAAATGACAACAAAGTCTTTGATAAAATGTAGGCTTTGTGTATATTACGAAATTAAGCTGAGGTTCAAAGTGCTCTCAAATGCCCCCAAAGCCATCCGATTCAAAAACAACTTCAAGACATACATCGGTCAGATGAAGAATCCAGCTCAGCAATGGATATTCCAGCATCTGTTCCCCGTCTTCATAACCTCATTTCCCTTTATACAACTCATGCGAATCACATCTAAACCCAACAGATTTCAACAAGCTCTTCGGGCTTCAGTATCCTAATCGAGGGCACACGCCATGCCACCAAAGTCTCAGCTTCTCCCTCATCAGCGCACAAAACCTCCCAAAAACCCACAAACTTCTCCTTTGCCTCCATAAGCTTCTCCTCCACCTCGCTCACGGACCATCCACATCCACTTCCCCGCCTGATCAGAATCAACTCCTCCAGATCCGGCAAATCGGAAATGATGAGCTTCCACACACTATAAGGCATCTTGCTGAACTGCAAACATGGTGTCTGCTGGAGGAACTCCTCATCAATAGCCAGTCTTCGCAGTGGAGCGAAGCTGGGACATTGGGAGTCGAGATCCTGAGCGAGGAAGTCGCATGTCCATGTGACGTGTTTGAAAGCTCGACGTTCACCATCTAAGCCGGCGATGTAGACGATGTCTGTACCGGGACCGATGTAGACTGGTGTTTCTGGTGAAGTGGGATAGTATGGTGGAGGTGCGTACAATTTGAGAGCTTCATTGCGAGATTCATGGTTGACGCAGAGGAGGGGTGAGACGACAGAGCGATGGATGATGTTGGCGTCTCGGGCGCGGTGTTTCCAGATTAAGACCAGGCGTGGTATGAGGAGTGCTTCTTGCCAGACTTGTAATCGAAGTTCTGCACTGAGGAGAGGGAAGAATGAGAATTCTTCTAGATGTGTCATTGGTGTGACCTTCGGTTGCTTTTCGCTTGGTGAAATGGATAAAGAAACAGGTACTTGTCAATCTTTAGGAGCTGGGAACAATGAGAGATATAAGATGGGAGGTAGACACATGTGGAATGGGAGCTCGACCATTCAATCCTCCTCAATCAGTTACACAAATATTCGAAACCAACAATGCGGGATTCCCTGCAAGCTGTTCACGCCAATGGCCACACTCGTGATGCGGGGGCTGTCGGTTCCCATTTGCTGGGAGTCTGTAGCGGATTCATAAGTGTGGTTGTACCAAAGGGTTGGTCCGGAATGGTCCAGCGATATGCAGAGGCGTGGGATATCTTTTGGTGGCTTGAGGGCTGATGTTGGAATGCTTTCGGTTGGGATAATTAATGTTATTGGACGAGTCCCGAGCTAGCGTGGTGGTAGTCTCGTCTGACACTCTACTCGCTACTGGAGTCTAGACCACTCAGGTATTGGTTTGTGGTTGCGAGTGCCCAAAAGATACACTCGCAGGAGATGGATACATGCATTTGGAATTTCTTACATGGGTCGTCCCGGTTCGGCTTCTGAAGTGCAACGGGAATGTGTTGGTGGTCGGGAGCTGTGCCGAGACTTGCTTTTTCTCAGCCCGTCTCTAACCTTGATGGAAGAGGCGCATATCAGATACTGTCGTGTCCAAAACTTGTCAACACTTTGAGTAGGTACTCCAATGGTGAAGGCCTGCCTAGGTGAATCCTGATTGGCTAGCTGGAAGTCTCCCAATCGTTTAAGCTTAAATCTTGACAGGACGCTAACACAATGAACGACTCCACTTGAATACCTTCCCCCAGGTTTCGGAACAAGTTGTCCGCAATGTGGTAGTATCATTAACTGCCCCGGATTCATCGCGAAGGTACCCGTGCTTGAAAACAATACAGGGAAAGGAGCATGGTGCAATACCCAAATATCGCTAGTGTAGCATAAGATGGATGCTTAGGAAATGCAGGAGTATGTCACTCAAAATAAGCAAATCTTGATATTATTTCATGAAACAGAATGAAGAAGCCAGCCAGCGATTCGTATGTTGTTCAGCTCTCATCACTGTAAATGGATATGTTATGACGGATTAGCTGTTGATCTGAGATCACACTTAGCGGGGAACCACCGATGACGTAAAGGGATTAAAGACCATCTTTTAAACATGCATTCCTTCTTAATGCTACAGTGCTGGAACCATCAATCGACATTAAAAAGTGAACAGCTGAGCTGTTGTAAGGAAGCATTCTCCGTCAATCGAATACAATCCTCGAGTCTGTCTGACGGACCAACGATGAGTTCATAACTAACCAGCCGAGTAAACAGAGAATCACTTCAGTACCATGTCACCTACCTCCATCCTCCGCATTGCAGCTATGCAAACTCTGCGACCTCAGGTTCTACGAGCATCGAGACCAGTCCATATTCGAATCCAACCCTTCTCCCAATCCTCAATTAGAGCATATCCCAGAAAGAGCAGTCAAGACAAGGATAGCATAGACACAGAGCCAACGGAGTATACGAAAAGCGGAACAGACGATGGTGCCGCAGCACAAGCAGACGCTGCGTACGACCCCAACGTTACAGATCCTCAAAAAGAGAAGGACATAGCAGGAGAAGGAAATGAGGTACGCAAACCCCGTTCTGCCACCTCATCTGGCTAGAATTTGGAACAGCACTGACTTGGAATTAGGAGTCTGGAAATCCATTGGACGTATCGCCTGCGAACCCTGAGGTGTCAAAACAGAGAGGAAAAACCGAAGGAGGTGCTGAGAAGGGAGAGGGGAAGAAGCAGAGTGGAGGAGGAAGTCCAAATAAAGCTGGAAAGGCATAAAGCGACAAAAACTGTATCAACACCTTATATATGGAGAAAGATGATATTTTGCACTAACGGAAGAGTCGATTTACCGCAAAGCAATCTGCATACCACTATTTGATGTCCTTCAAACGCCCTGACTTCCCATGGTATCCGCAACGTGAAAGAGAGACGTAACACAAGAAGCTGATCTAAGCCTTCCACTCCGTTCTCCCCAACCTGACAATCTCAGACTGGCCAATCTCCCAGACCTTCGGCTTACCACCCTCCAAAGCCTGCAGGCCAGCACTAACAGCCGCCTTGCCTACAACCTCAGCGTCCTGAGCCCAAGTATCCTTCAAGACATGTGCAACAGAGCCCAAGCAATTGGCAACACCTCTGAGGATAGCCTCTGCTGGTCTGCTCTCCTCTCTCGCACCAACAAGAAGACCCGGCCTAAGAATAATTGTATGTTCAAACCCAATCTCCTTGACCGACTCCTCCAACTCCCCCTTCATCTTCGAATAAGGTATCATAGACTTCGAATTTGCCCCCGCAGTCGAGACCAGGACGTAGATCTTGACGCCCGCGGCCTTCGCAGCTTTCGCAACTTCGATATTCAGGTCGAGATCGATCTTGCGCTGGGCTTCGATGCTCCCTGCAGCTACCTTGGTCGTTCCCAGGGCGCTGAGGAAGATGGCTGGTGGTGGGGTGACGTTGGTGATGGATGCCGCCCAGTGGGAGGTTTCCTTGTTCACTAATGGCTTGAGCTTTGCGTCTGTACTGGCTGGCTGGCGGCGAGCTATGGCGTATACGGTGCTGACTGAGGGCGCCGAGAGGAGGGTGGAGAGGATGAATGAGCCCTGGGGTAAGATGTTAGGAGCTTGCAGGTGGTGTCAGATTTGTACATACGACGAGGCCAGTCGAGCCGATTACTGCTGTTGCAGCCATTGAGAAGGAATTCTGTCTGCTCTATATTCAAAGTTTCTCTGATTTATTCTGTATATGTGCTTATAATGTTGAATGGATCGAATTATGTTGAGAAGAAAATTGCAATTTATACAGGCTCGGGAGGAAATATACTTTATATCACTGGGCTGCACGTTTCCCTTATCACCTTCACAAGCTCCGCATCTGGGCAGCGAGCTCTCTTGATTGGGACAGTGAAAAGCCAGCCTCGCTTCTTCAGCCTGCATACGACAGCAACCTCCCCTGTATCACCTAAAAACTCAATTGCAAGAATGTCGTCATTTTTGTTCTTCGGACTTAATTGCGAAGTTGGCGGATATATCCAGAGCAGCTTTCGTTAACTGCGACTCCGAGAAGTGTCTACGCCCGTAGAGAGGACCTTGTTGCGTTGATAGGTGTCTTTGAGCCTGAGCCGAGGCAGGACATTGTACTGACAGTCAAGGAGTAATCACTCACCATCAGCTGTTGCGCTGCGGGAAACGACAGAATAGGGAACACCAGCGGAAGGCGAGGACGATTACTCTTCTCTTTTGGCAACATGTAGAAATGCTGTATTTACAGAGGTTCAAGATTATCCGCTGATCTGCTGAGTTACGACTTGCCTGCCACTGGAAGTTCGTCCATGTCCGAGAAGCTGAGGCATAGAACATGGCGCCAGCTACGGCCAGAGCGAAATGAGTGCAGGTGGTTGCTGCTTCGGCGATGGCACCTGCACCCTGCCAAAGGCCTGGAAATCACTGCAGTGTGTGGGTCCTGGTGGCCCGAGCCTGAAAATTCAGGGCTTTCTGGTCAGCTAAAGCTGCGCCATTCCCCTTCCTTTTATTTACGGCTCTCGCTAAGCCTTCAAACGCCGTGACAAGGGAGATGGGGATGGGACAGGACGGGAGGCGCTCTTTCACATAGCTGAGACTGTAAAAAGAAAAATTGGTCGCAATTATGATACGATCGTATATTTAAAGACTATAAAAGTTGTGAACCCCCCACTCTGAATTTAAGGGTAGTCACGAAGTACATCTCGATCGCATCGTGTTCTCGCCCTCCATGATCATGAATGTGGAGCAGATGTAAACGTGCAGCTGCGGAGTTTTTGAAGAATGAAGTCCTCCTCGTGAAGCAGTTCCTCCAGTACGTGCATAGCTGCGCCCATCATCGGGCTCCCAGTCCTCTTGAGTGGCGCTGATGGGCTCTCTGTGTCCATGAGGTCGGATGGCCTACTCTGTAGTGGGCAAAACCTTGCACCACGTACGGAAGAGTGAAGGTCCTCGACCAAGTCACTAATCAGATTCATTGTCATCTTGGCGTTCAAAGCTGGCCTAGAGGCTAGACTGAATGTCCCGAGAGATACAGCTGCTGTGACGGAATTGCCATCTGATCCTTCAGTATCAGAAGAATTGCCCTGGCACTGCCCGTGAAGTGATGTGACCAGGGGCTTGAGCAAACGGAGTAGGTATGCGTAGCAAGAAAAAGCATGGAGCAGCAACAAGGCGTTCTTGCCATCGTCGTCCTTGACGCTTTGGGATCGCGCCCAATGGTTGGGCTCTTGAGCAACGCCGTAAGGCGCTCCAGTACAACCAATATCTCGCTGACATTGGAAGGCATCGGGGTGTAGAAACCTGTGAGTCCGCGATTTCTCCTGGCATTGTCCTCGAGCTGAACTGAATTGAGAGCATGGAGTTGTCTTTGCAGGTCGTGAAGCTCTTTCAATGGAACCCCCTCCGTTGTCTCAGAGAAGCAGACATCCTCAAACAGTCTTGAATTCAGTTGAGCAGAAACTCCGCCGTCAGATGCGGATAGCCAATTGAATGAGTCAACTAGTGAAATTATTAGATCAAACGATTGTATGGTACCGGTACTTGCCTTGATCGTTCGCATTATCAAAATTTAGATCAAAGCTTGAGATACCGTGTGGCATAAGAGCCGCTGTCTGGGCATTCTCATCACCATGAGATGAGGAACACGCATCTGAGGGTTCTGAAGGTCCCGAGGAGAATCGAAACTTGTCCAAGCTAGATTGGTCATCGGTTTGGGCAGGTGATGCTGGCTTGAATTAGTGGTGTTGGCTTTCGAAGAAGAACGATGGATCCGTAGCGTACCAATTCCCCTTGATTTCTGTTTTGGGCGACCCGCCTTCCCCTTCTCGCTGTATTTGCATTCTAGCTGCAACCTTTCGCATCTTTCACAAGCTCCATGATGACTGTTGGGTCTTCCGCATCGATTCTTGAGAGAGTGACATCGATCACAAGCATTACGTTGAGCCCCTGCGTGTTTTCGCATCTTAACTTATCTTACCACGGCCAAAGCAATTTTCTGTTGGTAGTAAAGTAGGAGGCGGTCGAGATGAGTTTAGTTCTGCTTGAGGTGTTGAGAGGCTTGGAATCTGGCGGTACTGTCCTTGACATACTGACGGGAAGACAAAGCTGGGCGTCTGCCAAGTCAACCCTCCCATCAGCCCAGTGCTTTGATTGTGCCTAAAGGCAACATTGCCATCATCTCCGCCTCTCAGGTCTCTCGCCGTAGCAATGGCGTCTTGGCTCTGCAGTAGGCTCTGAAATCAGAAGTGAGTCTTACAATCTCACAAGGTGGCGAGGGTTTCTTTCCAATCAGAGGGAAGAAAGCGGAGTGAACGGGCAGTGAACCTGAGACTCGTGTGGTGAAAAGTGCTCGAACATTCGCGCCAGGGAAGAAAGGAGAATTTGGGGATGTATGTCGTAGTCTGTGTCCCGTTTGTGTGGCATTCTTGTAGCAGCCTGCATACCCCTCACGTAAACGCCCTTGGCCGCATGGCAGACAAGTTGGACTTCATGTGCTGACGGCTGGGCTTTATGTGTTTCAGCTGAATGAGGAACGACGTACAGAGAGAAGGACATATTCCTTCCGAATTCCATGGGGACACTGTGCTGCTGCCAGGACCCCGCTGGCTAGTGCTGACCCTGAAGGTCCCTGCAGCAACGGCTTGGGCGTGAAAGCAAATGGAGGTATTCCGATAGGCAGTATCTATGTCCGGAGTAGGAAAGTTACGAAGTTACCTAAAGTACCTGCCCATGTATTCCTGGCAGCAGCCACATAAGGTTGTGTCCGCTGTCCCGCTCGATGGGTCGGCTCGTTCAACAAGTTTGTGGGGGTGGGTCTCACGACACTTGGCTGGGTGTGGAACGACGCATTTCATATATAAAGAGTCCAGGATACATTATTGATCGGCCAAAAAGTGACCTTTAGTGTTCCCTATGCATGAATGAATCATACCCTGAGCTGAGCTGAGCTTACCTTGTTTTACAGAGCCTGGTTATGTCAGCCGGTGCCAATGCGAATGCGAGCGAGCCACTACAGTAGCTGGCCGCTCTGTGCAGGCGCATGTGAACTCCGTCGCGAGGCCACATTGTCAAGCCCATCCCCCTCTTCACCGCTGAAGCATCAGTCCAACCAACAGGCTCCATTCTATCAAAGCTGCGCAAAAGTTTCACTATCAAGAAACTCGTTTCTACCAGCGAGTATTGCTGTCCAATGCAGATTCTTGGGCCTCCGCTGAAGGGCAGAAACTGCCATGTTGGAACCTTTTGTTCCCACCTCTCTGGTTTGAATTCAGCTGCATCTTTTCCCCAGAGGTCCTCACGACGATGCATATGATAGAGGCTAAATGCAATCGTCTGACCTTTATAGACAGCGATTGGAGCATCTTGTTTGGGCCCACCTCCCTTTGGCAGAATGGCATGCTTGTTCGCCACACGAGTGTTGAAAGGAATGGCAGGGTGCAAACGAAGAACTTCGTTAATGAAGTGTTGCAATGAGCGGCAAGACTTTAACTCTGCGAAGCCAATTGATTCTCCCGGTGGAAAAGTCGTGAGCACTGTTTTCCGGAGTTTATCATAGATGTCTGGATGTTGAGCAAGGCGAAGAAGGCACCAACATATAAGAGCTGCCGTTGTGTCCCGGCCGGCGAACAGCACTGCTGTAGCTTGAGCACAGAGCTCTTCGCCATCTCTTGTCTGAGTAGACAACGCGTATAGGAGATTTGTTCTGGTATTCGGTGGCTTAGTCGACTGGTCATTGTTCTCCGCGGTCGCTATCAAAGCACGCTGAACAAACCGGTCGGTGAAGTTATGCAATGTCTTTGCTGCGCGTCTGAACTTGAAGCCATCAGCCAGCCAATACAGACTTTGAAGTCTAAGTCGATATATTGTATAGTCGCTGGCAGTTGCGAAAGCATCGAGGAATATTGCAGACGTAGCCTCTTGTGCTGCCGTGGCATTCTTAGTCCCGCCACGTTCAGCATTTTTTGCACTTATGTAGGCGGCTTGGGACTCCACTGATTCTCCGAACAAGAAAGATGTGGCTGCGTCTGTCGCAGGAGTCAGTACATTTCATCCGTTCTGTGCACAGTCTACTTTTACTTACCAAGAGTGAAGTTGAAAACCGCAGGCTGCAAATTGACATCTGAGGTCCACCCATCATGACCAGCTGCTCCAATAGTCTTCAAGAACAAATCTGAAGCTTTCTCTGTCTCTTCAAGGTCGTTGATATTGCCTCGAACGAATTGTGGTCTGAGCAAGGCTCGCGAGTGTTCCCAAAATGCGCCGTCGCTGGAGAATATTGATTTTCCAAGCACCGGCCAGAACTGGTTGTGACGCATCTTGCCGGTATCAAAGTTGTTGAACTGAGTGGCCAACATAGCTTGCAGGTTCGCTGGCTCAGTAGTAGTAAGAACGCAGCTGCCTTCTACCATGGTCATTTGAAAAGTACTGGCATTCTTGAATTCTCCTCCCAGAATGTCGTCCAGAAAGTCTTCGCCTGACTTCCGCGAGTTGCGGATGCGATTGATGCGATCCAAGCCATAAGGAAAGCTGCCCGAAATGTCGATGGCCCCCTGACATTCGTTCAAACTCTTGAACTTCTCGAAAACTCGACGGTTAGAAATACGCCGTGCCAGCTTGAAGAGTCCCAAGCATGCCAATGCGAAGAACGCATGATAGATGGATAGGTGCTCCATGATTGAGATACACTGCTGTACGGAGTCGCTATTGTACATCCACTTAACGCAGTGGGACTGAGATATATCATTGCTCCAAGTATCGTAAGTCTTATGGAGCCGGTGCTTTTTGTGATTCTACTTACCTAGTCTCCTCCAATTCCGCCGGCCAAGCACCGGTCCAACACAATTTTCTCCGGATACGGTGCGTCTTTGACACCTGCCAACTCTTCAACGGCGAATAACGTACAAAGTGTCCGTGTGCAGAAAAGGGATTCATTTTTGAAGATTTGTGAAGCATAAATTAACATGGGTAAAGGTTCGCCCCCAGAGGAAATACAGGTGCTATGAAACCAAGCTGTCATGTAATGTGAGATTCTTGAACAACTATTGCGCTATGGGAGGAAATCAAAAACTATGCCCTGCTGAAATCCCTATTTCACCTGTCCAAAACAATCGGTGCTTTCTCCTGTCCCTCTGGTACTTCTGAATGCAAATTTTCCCACTCTGCGACTGGAGATTCTACATTTTTCTGCTCATCTCCATCTTTGGGTGCTTTCTCCTGTCCCTCTGATACCTCTAACTGCAAAATTTCCAACTCTGCGACGGGAGGTTCTTCTTTTTTCTGCTCATTTCCATCTTTTGCTGCCAACGAATCAAGCACCTCTTCCACAATTCCTTCCAAGGAAATTCCTCCGAGGATCTTCATGACTGGAACGTCGACTTCAAACTCTTTTAGGCACCAGGCGCGGATTTCAACGCCGACCAGCGAATCGACACCGATATCTATGAGTGGCACTTCGTCAAAGGGGGCATCGGATCCTGAAAGGAAGAGGACAGCCCGGAGTTTATTGATCAACGAATCTATAGTTATCAGTCAGCAGTCTCAAGAAAATTCCATCCGCTTTTCAGCGTACCTTTGAGGATCTTCTCCTCCTCTTCTCGTGAACCCGCTTGAGCAAGTAGCTTCTTGATCGGGATTCGATTTGCGGCTTGCTCGCTTAGCTCAACAAGACTTTCGTCTCCTACTTTCACCAGAAGCCCGAACTTAGGATTATTTGGCCAGGACTTATGATGTGCGTTGTCCTTGCGTACTGGTGCCATGCCGGTAATGATATCGTGACTGCCATTGTGTACCGCTCCCGGGCTGCCGGATACGATGGCCTCTGCAAATAATTGGTGCAAATCAGTCTCCGACATAGGCAGGGTCATGGAACCGGTGAAAAGACGCTCCTTTTGTTCTCTCGTTAGTCTCCCATCGCTCTTCATCTCTCGTTCAACGTAGCCCACGCCGATGACTCGCGAGATATCAATGACAGAGCCAGTCAGACCTTGAGCTCGACGTTGGTTGATGACTGCTTTGATAAAACAATTGGCTGCAGAGTAGTTGGCTTGTCCGGGATTTCCCATAGTAGCCACAATCGATGAAAATCCAATAAACCAGTCCAAAGGCGGCGAGCATGAGTCATCTGAGAAGAGTCGACTGAAGTTGAGGGTGCCCTGGACTTTGGGGACCATAACCTGTTGAAACTCGTCGAGCTTCATCTGAGCAAACATGCGATCGCAAAGAACGAGTGCGCCAAGAGCAACTCCACCTAGCGGTGGCATAGTTTCGGTAATTTGTTTGAACGTATGTTCAACGGAGGCGCGGTCGGCGACATCGTTTTGATAATATTTCACTTTTGCATCATGCTCAGAAAGATGCCAGTCGATCCATGGCGTATCTTCTTTGGGACTTCGACTGCTTAGGACAATGTATCTCGCGCCATGTGCAACCATGAAGTCTGTCAAAGAGCGACCGAGGTCGCCAGAAAGACCTGCAAGCCAATACGTTTTATCGCCACTGAAAAGATCGGGCCGAGAAGTGACGGGCCTGATTTTTACCGGTGCACTCGCATCGGAATCCCAATCCACCAGGAATTTCGCGGAAACACAAAACGGCTCTGTTGAGAGAGTGATATCATGTAAAGACAGGGTCTCAAGAGCAACCCCATCTGGAACACCATTCAGTTGAGACTCGGCAAAATCTGTAATTCTTTGCAAGAGCTCGGTGACAGAGCTTGCAGCTTCTCGTGGTAACTCAGAACCACGTCTCGATACGCAAATATCAGCATCCATAGTTCGACAGGACGATGGAAGAAGTTGCCGAATTCGTTCCTCAAGTCGTCCCGTATCGGCTGCCAGATGGGAGGAATACAGGTATGTGGATAATCCATTCGGGAGATATCTTGCAATAGTTCTCGAGGTGCTTTGGCAATGTAGAGACACCCACTTTCCCCGGTAGTGTTGCATCTTAGCCCGCGAGGTCATAAACACGACGCTTCTGTTCTGAATGGACATTTGTTTGGACAACAGCGAGGCAAGACCAGGATCTGGGTCATACGCTAATAGAGCTTCAGATGCAGGCAGAGCGTCCACGATCTGCTGGTTGACTAAAGCTCCTATAACTAGCGACAAGAATTGACGGTCAACCACGTCCGCAGCAACAGTGCGAGTCCAAGATTTGTGAATGATTAGCCGAGACGAGTTTGTCTCGGATAAACACAGGACCTTCTCTCCGCTGTTTTCGTTCCACCCAAGGCTTACAAATGCATACCCCATAGGTGTCTTCACAGCCTGTAAGAACGAAGTCGTCACTCTAACAGAAACGAATTCATCATTGGGAGAAGGTTTCGTACGTTGGGTCTCTTCGAGTGTATGGCGTCCGCTTTCGAAACGCAAGTCGAGGGATGCGGCGCGAGAGTCTTGACCCTGAAAGACAGGCCGACGGCTTGAATTAAGGCGATCATTTCGCTCCCAGGCTGAACGTACTCGTTGCACTTCCAGTCGTCCGTCACGCAAGCGTAGTTCGGGTTCGATAGTCCACAAGATCTCGACATCCTCATCTCGCTTGCTTAGACTTGCAAGCTTTTTCAAGCGGAGTACCAGTTCGGCAATCGTGTTCAAGTCACTGGCCATGTTCCCAGCCTCGCAGTCCAAAGCTTGTACCAGGCACCCCATGAGCTCGTGGTAGAGACTTCGGAATAAACCTATCGACATACCCGCGTATGGGTTGAGGCTGAATGCATCGCTAGTGACCCAGAGTACCGTTTGTGGTAACTCGAGGAGTCTCTGCAAGTTTTTCCAGCGATGCTCCGTCAGATCCTCAAACATGGAATCGCCGTAATCTTGTAGCGACAAGATGTGTGCGTGCGCAGGAATTTCCGGAAGGGAGTCTATGTTTTCAGCAACAATAACTCTGGCGAAGTGCGGTTCGAGCATTCCCAAGAGCTGTTTACCGATGTCGCTTTTTCCGTACAAAATCACCAAGCAGTCAGCACCAATTTGATCAGTGTCCATCACTAGAGGATTCCGGAGAGTATCGATATGCTCATCGCAAGCCATGGAACAGAAAATTGCACCAGGCAAAGAGACCTTATCTGTCATGGGAGTATGCGTATCCACACCGGAAAAGCCTGTTCGTCTGAGTATAGTGTCCCATTCCTCGATTTAGATCGTAGGAGCGTATTTTCGTCCATCTTCATGGCCTATCCACCATCCAGGAAGACCTCCCATGACCATTGGGATACGCATGACGTTGTTGCCAATGATCTCAAACAAGATCAGATAACCACCAGGTTTCAGTAGGCGTCGAACATTGCGAAGCGTTGCATCAAGCGATTTGGTGGCATGCAAGACATTCGCAGCAACAACGCAGTCATATGCCTGTGATATGAAGCCTTGCTCAACTGGATCACGCTCAATATTCAAGGTCTTGTAGATCATCTTCCCGTGATGAGCATGGAACCGACTTTGTGCGGTCTCGAAAAAGCCACTTGAGATATCTGTGTAAGTGTATGATGCATAAGCATTGCCTACGACATCCAAGACAGCTTGGGTTGCACCGCCAGTTCCAGCACCAACTTCGCAGAAGTTCATGTGTGGATATTTGTTGGTAATTTGAGCAACAAGACCACCAACAGAATCATTTAGAGATTCAAATCCGGCGGCTTCTCTATAGTAACGCCCGAGGTAGTCGTTCTGCGCCATGTATTCCAGAATGTTGACCTCTCCGGACATGACCTCTGGGAGCGGTAGGTGCTCGCCAACAGCACGCGTGATGTTGAAGTCAGCATCGTCACCATAGCTAGTTGAAAGGAGTTAGTAAATCCATTTTGGATGATCTTACACAGTACTTGCCTATCCATCATAGAGGAAATCTCCTCGGCAGTGTCGTTCAACCACTCACAGGCATACGGGTGAGCGCCACTTCGAGCGCAATCCACCACTCGCTCGGTACTCTCTAGCAATGCTTGACGATACCATGGGAGGCTTGCGCGGACACCCGGCTCGACAGATTGAACAAGCTTGCACATGTAGAAGAATGCCGCACGTTCAGCATCGAGTGCTTTCTGCTTCTCCTCGGGTGTTGGTTCACGATCTCCGAGCACAAGCTTGCCATCTGGACTGTTGGGACACCATATGGCCTCTTGAAATAGCGATCTATCTTCTTCCTTCGTCGCCGCGGCAAATGGGACAAAGCTGAGGCCTTCGAATTGCATCATCTTGTTTTCGTATCCAGAAGAGTAAATGTCAATATCACCAGCTATACCGGTGACTATACCGCTCTTTGTCAAATGACAGTCAAAATCCACACTGCTTTCAGTCTGAGCTCGCCAAAGAGACGGGATTAGAGATATTCGACGACAACTTTTCGGCACCATTATTGACGTTATGGGGCCATCACCAGGGGCGCTATATGTTGCAAACATGCCCTGTAAGGCACAGTCTGCTATAGCAGGATGAAACACGAGTTGGGTTGTGTTGCTCTCTGGTTCGGGAATTCGTATAGTCCCGGTGGAAAGCCCAAGCCGACGCGAAAGCTTCGTAATGTTTCTGAATGGCTCCTCGTATGTATAGCCGGCTTCTTCTCGCAAAGAGGAGTAAAAGCGCTCCACGTCGACTTCTGACATGTTGACAGAGTGGATCTCCCTTGGTGGTAGTGGTACTGCAGCTCGTCCTGGCGCATTCGTCTCGAGTGTTAGACGTACGCTGCCGCGACAATTCAAGGTTAGTCCAGCTGAATCCTTGGCTGCAACTGCAGAGTAAACAGAGAATTCTGCCGTGACCTCTTGATTCTCACTCCAGGCTATATGATTCATGTAGATGACGAGCTCTGTGGCTGCAGCTTCGCTGATGACAATGGCTTTGGCAATGTCCAGATCCAGCAACTCCACCAATTGAACAGATGATGACCCAGCAACCTGCATGGCAGATTCCATTGCAAGAGCAATGTAGCCTGTTGCAGGAAATACGGTCTGACCCTGAAGGGCATGCCCACTCAACCAGGCCATCTGTTTCACGTCGAGGACGTTCCGCCACCGCCATTGGTCTGCAGTGCTGTCCGAGGTAAGTCGTCCGAGGAGGTCATGATATGGGAGCTCATGTGAACGCTCATGTTTGTAAGAGCGCGCTTCACACCATAGCCGTCTATCGTGGTTCCAGCAATAACTTGGTAGTTCTGGGATGGGTTGAAAGCAAGATGGGTGTGCACCTCGGACATGCTTCTCAAATGCCAGCAGGTCCACCGCGGCTGACCCTGCTTCGGTCCATAGTGCTCCAAGCATGTCTTTGAAAGCCTCGACGTCATGTTTTCCACGATATAGAGTGCCAGAGTAACCAGGTATAGCACTTCCAAGTGCCTTGATCGTATCAAGTGTCGGGGTTTTCAGTGCTGGATGTGGCCCGACTTCCAGTGCGAAAGTAAACTTGTTTCCAGATGACTCCCATGCTCTAGCAACTGCGCGAGAAAACAAGACCGGTTGGATCATGTTGTCTACCCAATACTCCGCACTTATTGTCGAGCTTGCTCCCATAAGCTCGCCATCTTTGACGCTTGAATACCAGAGGGGAGCTTCTACGGGAGGCTGTAACACTTCCACTCCACACGCGCGGAGAGCTCTCAGGTACGGTAGTTCGCAAGGCTTCATGTGCTGCGAATGATAAGCCGTGTCCACTTTCAATGGTCTGGCAAATTTTTTCTCTTCCTCAAAAACCAGCCTCGCCCTTTCAATGGCTGACGAGTCACCAGAGAGCGTCACACTTTCGGGCGAGTTGTGTGCAGCTACCCGAAGAGTTTCAACAAAATCTTCCAGCTGGCATAGCTCCTGAGCATCTTCAATGGACGTTCCAATTGCAATCATCGCTCCAGGTTCACCAGAAGCACCAGAAGCAAGCTTTGCATAGTGCCCACGGTAGAAACTGATCCGCATAGCGTCGCGCTTGTTTATGAATCCAGCAGCGTAGGCAGCCGCAATTTCTCCCGAAGAATGTCCAACTACAGCCGAGAACTTGACTCTTGCGGCGCGGAGCAAGTCAACAAGCACCAATTGAACAGCGGTGCAAAGTGGCTGAGAAATCTCAGCTTGATTCAACCGAGACGTGTTTGTGGCGAGTAGTTCCTGCATGAGACTCCACGCCGGCCGGTCTTCTTCCGGGAGTGTAGAGAGTGCTAGGTCCAGCTCTTCGATAATGGAGGACGCGATGGGTATTGAGGTGATGAGTTTGGTACCCATAGTTGCCCACTGAGCGCCTTGTCCAGTGAACACACCCAAGATACATGGTTTGTCGGAGAAGCGCGTAGTTGGAATATTGCTTGAACTACCGTCCTTTGGTTCCAGAGTATGTAGGATTTGAGCTTTTAGATCTCGAAGGGAACCAGCCGAAAAAGAAACTCGATTTGGAAATCCCATTTTCTTGGTAACCAGATTATGCGCTAGACTTGCCGAGCAAAGCGTGTCAATGTTTTGCTCGAGATAGGCATCAAAAGCACGTAAATTTGCTTTCAACGACCCCGCTGTTGTGGCCGAGAATACGAAAGGGATGGATGGTACTGATGGAGATAACATGTCCGAGTCGGCTGATTCTGAGGCGGACGATGGAAAGGTAATGCTGTGAGAAGAATCTGTCGTAGAATCCGTTGCATATTCAGTCGTAGATTCAGTCGTGTATTCTGTCGTAGATTCTGTCGTAGAATCGTATGATTCAAGAATTACATGAGCATTAGCACCGCCGAACCCAAAACTGTTAACACTTGCTCTCCTAACGACATCGTTACCATGTTGTGACGGCCAGGGCTGAGCACTTGTAGGAATTCGAAGATGGCTTGTGAAAGGTGCCACGGCTGGGTTTAATTGCTTGAAAAGGAGATTCGGAGGGATCATTTTATGCTTCAAAGCCAAACAAGCTCGTAGCAGTCCGGCCAATCCAGCTGTAGATTCAGTATGACCGATGATGGTTTTGATTGAGCCAACGAAGAGCATGTCGTCGTCAGCGGAAGTCTCTTCGTCGAAAAATGCTTTGCTTAAAGCCTCGGCTTCCTGAGGATCACCCGCCTGGGTACCAGTACCTGATTTATTAGCTTGCGTTCCAGGTGATCATAAGAGAACTTACCATGGGCTTCAAAAAACTGACACCGATCATTCCTGTCTCGGGGGTCAAGACCAGCTTGACGATATACGCGGCGGATAAGATCAGCTTGAGCAGTCGCGCTCGGCATCGTCAGGCCTGCTGTCCTACCATCATGATTGACGCCTACTTCCCGAATGACGCCTTGAATATTATCACCGTCTCGAATTGCGTCACTCAATTTTTTCAGGACCACTGATGCGACGCCTTCACCGCGAGCATAGCCATCTGCATCGGCATCCCACATTCGGCTTTTGCCTGTTGGGGACAGCATGCTAAGATTGCTGGTCGTTATGTATGCTAAGGGAATGAGAGCCAGATTTGCGCCTGCGGCGACAGCAACTTTTGACGTGCCCGTTCGGATCGCTTGCACAGCTTCATATACCGCAACCAGACTGGAAGAGCATGCCGTGTCGAGTGTCTGTACAAAGAATGTTAGATATCAATGTTCAATCTGATATAATCGGAATATACGGTCCAGAACGCATACCATGGATGGACCATGCCAGTCGAAAAAATAAGAAACGCGGCTCGATGCGTTGGAATTTGCCACGCCCGTAGCGTTGTATTTAGGCGAGAAATCAACATCCAAAGCTTGCTGAACTAGGTAGTCGTTATTCATCATACCAACAAAAACGGCAGTATCCGAGCCATGAAGTTGTTCCATGGTACACCCCATAGATTCGATGGCCTCGTATGTGACCTCGAGAAGTAGGCGTTGCTGTGGATCGATAGCAGCAGCCTGGTCCGGCGTAATGGAAAAGAATTGATGGTCGAATTGCGATATATCTTCCGAGAGCATATACGCACGGCGTACGTTGGTCGTGCCATGATGACTGCCAATTTTGTGGTAAAAACGGTCTACGTTGAACCTGTCGGACGGTATCTCTTGAGAGAGATCCTCGGGATTTACCAAAAGCTCCCAGAGCTTGGATGGAGTATCACAACCGCCGGGAAATCGACAACCGATACCCACAATAGCGATAGGCTCACTGCTTTGACCACTCATGGTGTTACGGTGGGATCCAAAATTTTGGAGAGATTTCGTAACAGCTATGTGTGATGGATGGACGATGGGTAACTATTTTGATTTTGCTTTGCAACGAATTCATGCGAAGCTTAAATACTTAAGGGCGAGACTATGGTTATGTCTATCACGATACTACAAATTGTCAAGTAAGCCTATTTTGGTGTTCATAACCTTTCTTTACCAGCATTTGAGGTGGTTATTCTAGTGCTGCAGTTGGCTCTGGTAAGCAGACCAGTGGAAAAGGGGTGAGTTGATTGCCGCCGGCATTATGTTTAAGGTTAAAATCCACCGTTGTATTCCGCCGGTCCAAATCCTCCTGCCGGCGGTCCGATCCGTTAGGGTGGCATGTCGCATGTACAGTACAGTAAAGTAGGTATGCACGGACGCTGCGGCACAGCAGTTACCAACAACAGGCAAACAAACCACTGTTTACCAGGCGGCCTAGGAGCAACGCGCAATCCTCACAACAAACCGCTACTCCCCCTCTAGATCTCTGGACCGACCAGGTATGATGGTTGAAAATAATGATATTGAAGCTGCCTCTGGCAACAAGACGTACTCTCATCTGACCAGCGACGCAGCAGCAATCCTCTCCCGTCAGGTCGATGGCCCAACAACGGTCGTCAAGTACAGAACGCTTTTTCGCTATGCAACGAATTCTGACCTCTTGTTCCTCGCTGTCAGTGGACTCAGTGCTATTGTCGCAGGTGCAAGTTTGCCTTTGATGACAATCATCTATGGCTCCCTTGCCGGTACCGTAAGTTGGTCACCTTGAGGATTCCGAAAGGAAAGCTCATACGTCAAGTACTGAAATAGTGGAAAGTTCCAAGGGTTCTTTCTAGGCACTGTGACGGGCTCATACTTCATTCATGAGATAAATCGATTGACGTTGTATTTCGTCTATCTCGCTATTGGCCAATTCGCTACGATTTACATTGCCACCGTTGGCTTCAACTATGTCGGGGAACACATCGCCGCCAAAGTGCGTGCAAACTATCTTGCAGGTATCTTCCGACAGAATATGGCTTATTTTGATCTTCTCGGAGCTGGGGAAATAGTAGGTTGAACCCTTGATTGCCACGACTTATTTATATGAATCACTAACCCTTCTTTAGACAACTCGAATCACAGCAGATACCAACTTATTCCAAGACGGAATTTCAGGAAAATTAGCATTGTTCCTTCAAGGCATCGCAACTTTTGTCACGGCCTATATCATCTCTTATATTCGCTATTGGAAACTGGCACTGATCCTGACTTCAACCATCGTGGCTATTGTTCTTACGGGAGGAGCACTCGGCCGTTTGTCTATTCGGTGGTCGAAACTTTCCCTCGCGTCGTATGCCACGGGAGGGTCACTTGTCGAAGAGATAATAAGCTCGATCAGAAATACCATTGCAGCCGGTACGCAAGATCGGCTGGTCAAATCGTACGACAAACACTTGGCCGATGCTGAGACTCCAGCGTTCCGAACAAAAGTCACGACAACGGCTACAGTTGGATTCATGATGTGCTACATCTACCTGTCTTACGCACTAGCTTTTTGGCTGGGTAGTAAATATGTTGCAGAAGGAGAATGCTCTCTGAGTGATGTTCTCACGATCTTACTGGCCATCATCATGGGAGCTTTTGCTTTGGGAAATGTGGCGCCAAATATGCAAGCATTCGAGACTGCGATCGCAGCGGCCTCTAAGATTTACTCAACAATCGACCGACCTTCTCCTCTTGACCCGACAGAGACGAAAGGGTCCAAAATCGACTACACCGAGTTCAAAGGCACTGTTGAATTTCGTGAAGTCAAGCTTGTCTATCCCTCGAGGCCACACGTAGTTGCTCTGGACTCGGTGAGCTTCAACGCACGCCCCAACAAAACGACAGCAATCGTAGGGGTATCGGGATCTGGGAAGAGCTCTATAGTAGGACTTCTTGAGCGCTTCTACGAGCCATTGGAAGGTGAAATTCTGCTTGATGGCGTCAAAATTGAGGAGCTTAATCTACAATGGCTTCGCCAGCAAGTGGGCATTGTTTCACAAGAGCCAGTCTTATTCGCCACGACAATCGCACAGAATATTAGGTATGGTCTGGTTGGCACCAAATACGAGCATTTACCGGAAGATGACGAAGAGGTTGTGGCGCTGATCACGAAAGCGGCAAAAACAGCCTATGCCCATGACTTTGTCTGTAACCTTGACCAAGGATATCAAACCAATGTCGGCATCCGCGGTCTTCTTTTGTCAGGAGGTCAGAAACAACGGATAGCTATTGCACGGGCAATCATCGGAGACCCCAAAATACTGGTGCTAGATGAGGCGACTTCAGCATTGGACTCAAAAAGTGAAGGCATAGTTCAAGCTGCGTTAGACGGCGCTTCTCGCGGACGGACTACGATTGTTATTGCACATCGGTTGAGCACTGTCAGAAAAGCCCATAACATTATAGTTGTCTCCCATGGAAAGGTTGCCGAGCAGGGCACTCATAACGACCTCCTCGAAGCAAAGGGAGTTTACCATACCCTTGTTGAGGCCCAGGGGATAGTAGATCACAACACATCGACAAATTCTGATATAGCTTCGGTTCCTCATATCACACGTAGAAGTGGAGTGTTGCGATTGAGTGGGAATTCAAGGGACGAAAAAAGAGATTCACGTACCGAGGAGGCATCTTCCAACAGCGCCACGGGATCAAAAGCACCGCAGTACTCACTCTGGCGTCTAGTCATAACAGTGGCGTCATTCAACATACCCGACTGGCCCTATGGTCTCACTGGCATAGTCTGCGCATTCGTGACAGGCGGTGCAATCCCTGCCCAATCGGTCCTTTTTGCTAAATCCATAGCTTCCCTTGCACTACCCCAGGACGACAACGCAAAGTCTCAGGTCAGCTTCTGGTCGTGGATGTTCTTCCTACTTGCTATCGTCCAGCTCTTCGCGTACTTAGTACAAGCATATGTCGTAGCATGGTGCAGCGAAAAACTGGTCCGCAGAGCCCGAAATGCTTGTTTCCGAGCGATATTAAGACAAGATGCCGCATTTTTTGACAGACTTGAAAATTCACCAGGCGCTTTGACGTCTTTTCTCAGTTCTACAGCCAATGTATGCACTGCCACTGCCCAATCCTGCCAAAGTCAATAATCACTAACCTTCGAGAATAGAACTTGGCCGGAATCTCCGGTTCCACGCTTAGTACGATTCTCTCCGCCATAGTCACTCTTTTTGCCGGATTCATAATTGCATTGGCGATTGGATGGAAGCTGGCTTTAGTCTGCATCTCTACAGTACCAATTGTCCTTGGTTGCGGTTTCTTCCGCGTATGGGTGCTCGCTCGGTTCCAGGCTCTATCAAAGCAATTTTACGAAGAATCTGCGTCCTATGCATGCGAAAACACTTCCGCTATTCGTACTGTGGCATCTTTGACGAGAGAGAATGGAGTTCTTTGCAACTATCGCCAACAGTTGCATGAGCAAGGGATACGCTCCCTTAAATCAGTATTGCGCTCCAGCGCACTCTACGCGGCATCTCAAAGCCTTGGATTTGCGGTCAATGCCCTTGCTTTTTGGTACGGCGGTCAACTCATTGCTCAACACGAGTACTCAATCTTCCAATTCTTCGTTTGTTTTTCCGCTACGGTATTTGGTGCACAGTCTGCCGGAATTATCTTCAGTTTTGCGCCTGATTTAGGGAAGGCCAAACAAGCTGCAACTGATATGAAGACTTTGCTTGATCGCAAGCCGATCATTGACAGCTCTTCGATTGAGGGTCAATCTCTGAAGAGTACGCAAGGTGACGTTGAGTTTCGCAATGTTCATTTTAAGTACCCAGTTCGGTCGCAAATCGCTCTTCGGGGACTTGATATTCATATTAAATCTGGCCAGTACGCAGCACTTGTTGGAGCATCAGGGTCAGGGAAGTCAACAGCAATTTCGCTCCTTGAAAGATTCTACGACCCCACAAGTGGCGCCATCTATCTAGATGGAATCGATGTGACCACGCTCAATGTCACTGCATACCGCCAGCACTTCGCGTTAGTGGCACAAGAGCCCATGTTATATCAAGGGACGATTCGAGACAATATCATGATGGGTACGAAAGAAGAGGAGGCCGTCTCCGACGGGGAACTCATGCAAGCTTGCAAGGATGCAAACATCCTCGAGTTCATTCAGTCACTTCCAGACGGCTTCGACACAGGTAAGCAGCTTCCGTCGCTTAACAAAATGGTAATGGCTAACACTTCACAGATGTTGGAGTCAAGGGATCCATGCTCTCTGGTGGACAGAAACAGAGAGTCTGTATCGCCCGGGCACTCATTCGTGATCCAAAGATACTTCTCCTTGACGAAAGTACCAGTGCGTTGGATTCTGAATCGGAACAAGTCGTCCAGGCTGCGCTTGACGCTGCTGCCAAGGGTCGCACAACCATTGCTGTCGCCCACAGACTTTCTAGCATTCAACGCGCAGACGTAATATTCGTGTTGGACCTAGGGCGTGTGATTGAACAGGGTACTCACAGGGATCTCATGGCAAGAGAAGGACGGTATTACGAGCTTGTTCGTCTACAGAACCTGCTACATACTTAGGGCGACAAGAAAATGTATCATATAGCTATCGAGAGATGCCTCGCCATTCACAATTACTACCTCTTGAGATCAACAGATTCTACAGACCAATTTCTGGCCCGATACCTTCTTTTCTCGCAAGAGATCGAGGCCTTCCAAAGCCGCCTCGAACCCACCTGTCAATACTCGTACTGGATGAGGACGTAGCGTTCCTTCATCCAATAATTTCTGAACTGTCTTGAACCAGTCTATTGTAAATTCTCGTATCTTCGGATTGGCTTCTCTCTCAAACGGAGGACCCCATCCAATTGCCTTGCCAAGTAGAGTCGGACCCAGCACCCAATCAGGCTGGACCGTAAGCCTCGTGTGTAAGGATGGAGCGAATGGTTCCAAGGCCGTATATTTTCCTCCCGCCCGGCCGATAGCTTTGTAGCAGAAACGCATCGTCTCTGGCTCGGAAACACAGTCCAGTACGTATTTGAGAGAATTCTTGGTGTATGTCTTGATGTCCTCAGTTGCCGAAGCTGACCGGTAGTCAAACACAGCTTCTGCTCCGTAGGATTTGGCAAGATCGAAGTTTTTGGGTGAACATGTGGTGATCGGCCTCATACCGGATCTGGAGAACCCTTAGTAACGGCACTATATCATGGCTAAGCTCGAAGTCTTACAGCTTGAGAATTTGCAAAGCGAGTGTGCCGGTAGCAGTACTTCCACCGTATACTAAGACGAACCTTGGTTCCTTCGCTGGCTTCAATGGCGTTCCTGGAATGTCTAGCGATTGATATAGAGCTAGGCCGATGGTTCCTACTCCGCTTCCTAATGAAGCTGCCTCCTCCAAAGTCATACTAGACGGAATCTTCAGCGTCACTACGTCGCTGGCCCCGACCACCTGTGCGAAAGCGCCTACTGTTGGTGTCAAAGCATGCATTCCTTGAACAGCGCCGCAAACACGATCTCCAATAGCAATATCGCCTGCAGTTGTAACGTTCGAGCCAACAGCCAGAACAACGCCAGCAAAGTCCATGCCGGCGACAGCTCCGACGGTACAAAGATTGCCAGTCATTTTGGTATCCACAGGGTTGAGGCCCATAACCGAGTTGGAAACAAGGATCATGTCATCCTCCAATTTTGGAATTGGCACATTGTGGGCGATCTTGAGACCACCATCTTGTGTGCCAACTATTGCCGTTTGGAATTCTGCTTGAAGAGAGCCCATGATAGTCGTTGTTTGAGATTGACAGCTGGATGATAGAAGATTTGTGAAGGAATTGGGTAGATGTTCAGAAATACAATACCCTGTTTACATATCGATGATAGCACGGTAAGCAATATCTCATGGACTACATGCTCATTGCTCGATGTGGCATGCCGATGAAGAATCCGCCGGCCGGCACATCTGCCCGGCGGACTGAGGTGGACCGGCGGGCACAAAGTCCTGCTAGATGCAGGGAACCGGACCTTGAAAGGCAAGTCGAACTCACTGAGCATTCCACTCTAAATGATCTCGGAATCATTTCTTCTAAAGCCAATCTGGAAAGAATTATACAAACTCATTGTTAGGACATTGTTGACCACGAGCAACATGATGACCTATCTCATATTGTCTAGCGTGCTGCTTTGGCTCGCGAATACTGTATTCGTGATGCTACGGACGCTGATAGGTCAAGAGATCCCTCGGTGGCAATGGGTCTTCCTTCAGTATTCGATCGGGGCAGTGTGCTCATACGCTGTCTATCGTTTGCATTTCTACCCGAGATACTTCACTTCTTTCAAGAAGTTACCAACTCCAGCGGTAAGTCATCATTTCATTGCTACATCTAGATCGGAGTTCTGATAACCAATCAAAGACCCGAAACCTATTCACCGGCAACGAAAGAGGTTTTTTCCGGGAGCCGCAGTGGACTGTTGCTCGTAGAATCTCCGAGTCAGTCCCAAACGGGGGCTTGCTGAGATATTACGCGGCATTCAACCAAGAAAGGATCTTAGTGACTAGCCCAAAAGAATTGGCAGAAGTTCTAGTTCAGAAAGTTGATGACTATGATCATCCAGCTTTCATGAAGTTCGCGGCTGAAAGAGTAACTGGTAAGGGCATGCAATTCGCTACCGGAGAGGATCACAAGGTATGTAAAGCTCTCAACAATCGACCAATCGATCAATTTGGTGACGATGCTGCAGACACAGCGCAAGCACTTGATGCCTGCTTTTAGTCCTGTACATATCAAAACATTGATACCCACTTTTTGGGAAGAAACAACAAAGATGATCCACGGTATCGAGGATGAAATCAGACAATCGAACAATCGTGACCATCAGGTTTTCGTCACCGACTGGAGCATCCGGGCAGCACTGGACATAATCGGCTTGGCTGGAATGGGCTACCATTTCAATTCCCTTGGTAATCCAAATGGTGAACACCGGGAACTTACCAAGGTATATCGAAAATTCTTGTCTCGGGCAAATCCTGTATTTCCATGGATTGGCTTGTTGATGAACTACATCCCAATTGATGTCCTCAGACACATACCGGAACCACGCAACATGGCTCTGAATCGTGCCTTCTCAGACGTTCGAGAAAGGGCTGTGAAAATTATTGAAGCTCGTAAAGAGAAGTTGGCACATGAAGAGACTGACAAGAGTACTGCGGGAAAGGATATCATCACTGTTGCACTTCGAAGTGGCATGTTCTCTTCAGAAAACTTGATGCATCATGTCATGACGTCTTTAGTCGTTGGGCATCTTTCGACGGCCATTACATTTGACTGGGTCTGCTTTGAGCTCGGCCAGCGCCCTGGAATGCAAGCTCGGCTACGAGAAGAGATTCGAACCAAGTGGCCTGGAGGCCTGACAACCGTCGATGCGTCTACAATCGATACTCTTCCATATCTCAATGCAGTATGTAGCGAGACCTTGCGCTTCTATCCGCCGCTGCCATTTGCGTTACGTGTTGCCGTCCGCAAAACAACGCTTTTGGGCACAGAGATTCCCAAAGGTACAACAATCGCGTATTGTGCAGACGCTATTAATCACGACAAAGACCAGTGGGGAGAGGATGCTCACCTATTTAATCCTGAGCGATGGATGGGCCAAGGCCGAGCAGGATCTGGCGGATCATTGAGCAACTTTGCCATGCTAACGTTTTCGGCCGGACCAAAAAACTGCATCGGGCAGTGGTGGGAAAGAGCAGAGTTGGCTTGTCTTGTTGTGGCATTTTTTGGTAGATTTGAGGCGGAGCTCGCCAATCGACACACTGCTGGAGTGGTCGAGCGAGCTCCAGCGATGATGTCTAGAGAAGGCGTCTACATACGCCTAAACTCGGTTCCAGGGTGGTAGAAATGGGTAGTAGATACTGTAAGCAAATTCATTAATGAGATACACGTATCAGTTGTTTCAATTTGTTAAGCGTAAAGTGAAGCGGTAATTCAAGGTCGCTGCACAACTTATTGCCCGCCGACTGGGCACCGCCAGCCGGAGCATTGAATTGGGCCGTTCGCTTAAAATACGAGTTGAAAGTAAATAAATCCGCCGGCGCCCGCTTGGCCTACGTACTGGTCCAGTGACCCGCGTGAAACACAGCAGCCTTGAAGCTGTGGTTTTATCTCCTTAGATAGCATTCAACCCAATCTGATCTACACCGTCTACAATGGAGTTAACATGGATGACCATCATGGCCATGATTTGGGCCGCCACCAAATCAGTGCTCACAGGAGGGCGAGTCCATTGTGTTAACTTTAACATGCCCTGACTAATTTCGTTTCAGAAGCCCTTTCGCTGCCAAAACGGTTTTATTTCCAACGAATCGGGAGGGAAAATATGAGATAGTGTCAGAAGGTATACGGCTTGCTTTCACAACTCACGGCGGAGCCTTGGCCAATTTGTGGATGAATGATACACATGGGGTCGAAAGAGATATAGTTCTGGGCTATGAAAACGCAAATTCATACCCAAACTACAAAGGGAATCCATTCTTAAATGGGGTCATAGGTTTGTGTCCCCTACTAATGTTCTGTTACGGTGCTGACCATTGCAAATCAGGACGGTATGCGGGAATAATTAGCGGTGCGAGCTTCGATATTGATGGCGTTCGGTACGAGACCTCCGCCAACGGTAATGAAGGAACATCAACGTTCAACGGCGGTGAACAAGGCTGGGGTCGTCGTACCATGGATATAGCATCCCACTCGTCCAACTCGATCACCTTTGTTATCTTCGATAGAGGCTGGAACGGTTTTCCTGGCACCCCAGGGGCGTGCATCACGCATACTGTCACTCCATATCAATGGAACATCGCCATAGGATTAACACCTGTCAGAGATTCGTCACCTGTCAGTCTGAGCCAGCAAGTATTCTGGAATCTTGACGGCTTTGCAGCGGAGACCAACAACACTGTGGCGCAGCACAGCCTGCAGCTGCCATACTCTGGATTCAGATTTGCAATGGAAGAGGGCAATGTGCCAACCGGAGACATGAAAAGCAACGCCCAAGGCTCTATATTCGATTTTTGGTCAGGTAAGCGGCGGATAAAAGACAATCGGAAAATCGACCCTGCCGAACCTGAGAATGCTCCTGTAACGGGTATTGACGAGACGTTCTTGATCGCACGATCCCAACCATGGCATAAAGATGACCAAGCCATTGCCATTCTGCAATCAGACTATTCGGGTATTAAAGTTGAACTCTACACGGATCAAGAGGCCCTACATGTCCATTCCTGGAGCTCTGTCAACGGTCAGTCGACTAAGACGCTCTTTCGGCTGTAGATATGCTAATCTTTATGCAGACAAAGTCAGTCTAAAGAAGCACCAAGGAGGCTCGATTGCCAAAGACATGGCAGCTGTATCCATGGAGATGCATAATTGGCCAGATGCTATCAACCATCCCGAATGGTTGAGAAGCAAAGAGACCATCTGGGGAACCGATCAGCTGTACACCACATTTTCAACATTTAAATTTTCTCTGGATAGAGAGTAATTGCTGATTTAATTCAATGAATGGCAAGAATGGCGGTTTGTGTAAAGGGTTTTGTTGAAGAAGTTAGCTTGGAAGCAGTGGGAAATGTACTGGTCGTATCAGACTAGAAACGGAGAGACACATGACAGCAAGAATTAAACTCGTTAATTTATTTGAACTCGTGCCCATGCTCTCAAAATCGTAGCAACTGCTTTCTCTACATCTCTAGGAGCGACAGGAATCGCATGTCCCCCGACAAAAGATACCAATTCCGCATTGCTGTCTTCAAAATATGTGTCCTTGAGACGAGAGCCCTCCAACTTCCATGGATCTTTTGTGCCTTGTATGTGAACCGATGGAATTATTATTGGCTTGGATGGACCAACTGGACTCGACAAGACTTTTGTTCCACAAGACGAAGAATTTCTCCCACAGTCGTCAACGTGCAATGCCGGAAAAGTTGCTGCGATCAAAATAGCGAATCTCAACTGCTTTCCCAATACAGAATCCAAGCAAATGCCGGTTGCGACCCTCGCACCCTGGCTGAAAGCCATGATGCCCACGGCCTTTGTCTGGTTCAGCTGCGTAGCAAGCAATTTTTGCACTATCTGTCGTCTGTGTCGAATTTCTTCCGGCGAGATATCAAATTCGATAGCTGCACTTTCATCGCAGTGCCACCAGAGATACGGTTCGATTCCTTCATATGTTGGGTAAACACCCGGTCCAGCTACAGACTCGAATGGTGCATCGATGAAGACGAACCGGAACACTGTTGATAGCTTGCGGATTATCATGCGTGCCTGTAATCGAAATATGATTCCATTCGTGCCGGCCCCATGGAGGCACAAAATGGTTGGAAGATCGGCTCGCTCATTTGGTTCAAGGATCGATATCATGCCTCTTTGATCGTCGGCAGCGTTATGACAGAATTATTCGCTCTGTTTTCCACTCTGTTGGAAATGCAAAACCTCAGATAGTAAGGACCTAGGCCACCGGCGAAAAGGGGATGAAGATGAAATTGCCGCAGCAGGCCAGTTCGAGACCGGCCCTTTCTCTCGTGGACCACTTCCATATTTTTTTTTTCGCCGCCGGAGCAAAAATATCTCAACCGGGACGGAATCATGTGTGTTCTGTATTTTGAATCCTGCGGACTGTGATATCCGCCGGCGATTACTCACGTATTGTAAATACAGATGTGTAAATTCGTGAGCCTTCACGGCGGAGACGATAGTAATCACATCATACCAAGATGCAAACTCATGCAAACCCATCGAATGAGTCTTCCAGTGCTAGCCGCAATGGCAACTTGGGGAAACGTATGAACGTGATTGTCGTTGGTGCCGGATTTGGTGGACTCACAACTGCTATAGAGTGTCAAAAACAAGGGCTGTCTGTTGCCATCTACGAGTCTTTTGCAGAACTCAAACCTCTCGGCGATGTGATTTCTTTCGGTGCCAACGCTGGCAAGATCTTGCGACGCTGGAAGACAGCCACCGGTGACGAGAGGGTATCCGATCTTTTTGATCCACTTTCAATCAAATTAGGAAAGAACGGCTTCAATCTTCACAGATCAAATGGAGCACTCATCTTCAACCAGAGGATGCCACCCAAAGATCCAGAGGCGCCAATGTTCAATGGCCACCGAGCCGATTTTCACGAGATTGTGTTCCAATATGCATCAGCAATGGGAATCCCCATTCACCTTGGTCAGCGCTGCCAGCAATATTTCGAAGACAGTGATGCAGCAGGAATTTTACTCGAGTCCGGTGAAAAGGTCATGGCCGACGTGGTGATAGCTGCGGATGGGTTTCGTTCCAAAGGACGAGACGTTGTGCTCGGAAATCACCTGCAGCCAATCGCATCTGGGCACAAGTGCTTCCGAAGTTGGTTCACTGGTGACGAAGTATTGAAAGATCCGGAAACGGCAAAGTTCTGCTCCAACGGAGATACATTCACGGGCTGGATTGGTCATGATGTCCACTTTCTGTTCTCAACGTTGAAAGATGGGAAGGATTGTTCGTGGGCCATTACATACAAACCTGAAACTGTTATTGATGGCCCATCTCGAACGAGAAAAGAACGATTGTACGACATATTCCAAGACTGGGATCCCATTTGCCGCCGTCTTATAAGCCATACCCCAGAAGAGAAAATTTTGGAATGGGACGCTGCTTATCATGACCCATTGCTAACATGGGTAAGCAAAGAGGGACGAATCGCTCTCCTGGGTGATTCTGCCCATCCCATGCTTCCCACAAGCGCCCAAGGAGCTGCGCAGGCAATGGAGGACGGGGTGACCATTGCAATATGCCTCCGTATCGCAGGCACGAAATATGTTCCTGCAGCATTACGTGCATATCAAAATATTCGGTACGAACGTGTGAAGTCTGTACAGCGTACCGGTGAGGCAACCAGAGAAGTAAAGCACACTCCTCTGCCGAACACAAACTTGTCACTGACGCGTGTGGTAGATGTGGCATCGTACAGACTGGGGAAAAGTAGCTAAAGATCCAAGTAGCCTGTCATTCCCTCGTGAGGACTGGATCCATTCGCATGATGCAGAGCAGCATGCGGAAAGTACTGCCAAAGACGAAATCGAGAGGGTTGTTGGGTTGAGGCTGGGTTGAGTTGTAGAGCGGCGTGGTAGATAAGTCAATTACATACAAGCCAGTGATTTCTTAGATGTCACATCAGTCATTCATCTAGTCGGGTAGTGGTCGATCCAGCTGATCAGTAGCGTCAGTAATGAGGCTCTATTTACTCGGATTTTGGAGCGCTCGCTTGTTCGTGGTGAGTGTCACATGATTATCCCGAGCTCTCCGAGATCGGTCCGAGAGCCTAGGCCCGGAATGCTTTCGCCCGTTTTGCCGATTTTTGTTGTCTTGACTAGGATGAAGGCGTGATTTCTCGTGCTTCGACTTTTTCACTTCTGGCTCCAACTTTGGCGCATCTTCTGCTTTGTCTGGGCCCCCCCATACCGACTAATTTGCAATCCAGCCTCCACTGCCGGAATGGATGCTGCTTGTGATATTGGACGCTAGACTACAATTGATTAGTTCAGGCTAAGTTTCCTTTCCTTTCCTTTCGTAGAAGAGGTAGGTAAGCTGTTGATTTTGCCGCCCGTCACTTTTTTCTCCACTTCATCACCAGTCTTCACTCAACTTCAAGTCACCTGGAACTTGAAGCAATTGAGTCGAATAAATATCAACTGCAGTTTGATACTACAAGCTTTTGTGAAGCTGTCAAAGCGCAGTTCAGTATGGGTGAGCCAATGGATTTGGATTTATCGCCAAGTAGGGGTATGAAACGCAAGGCAGCTGAACCTATTTCTGGCCTCGAGACTACGAAGAAACCTCAGGTAAGTGACTACATTTCATATCATATCACCACACAATGAAATTGCAACCAAAGAGCTATTCTGACGTGGAATTGCAGGTGCCTGCTGGCGGTGATGTCCTTGCGAGCATATGGAACTCGAGTGATGATAATTCCACCACGTTCCCCCAATTTACTCAGAAATCATCGAGTCTGCCCTTTGGCCAACCAATAGAGTTTTCATCGATCAGTGGACCTACCTACCTCACTGCGCAAACCTTGGTTCAACAGGTCGCGTACGCTCTCTCCGACAAGATCTTCTCGTACTCCCCCGAGTCCTTCGATTTGGATGTTGCTGCAAAGGCGTGGTCTGCTGCCAATACTGTAAATGCCAACGGATATACCACAGAAGTTGCGTCTTTACAAACACGATCGGGAGCTGGGTCGTTTGCCTTGGGATATATGTTTTCGAAGGATTTCGATCTGGCAAAGAGACACATTCCGCAATCCCTCCTAGCTTCATCTTCGAGCTTGCACAACCTACGTTCAGCTTTGGATCAGCTCTCCCTCTTATACTCTATCGCAAACCCCTTTGTCGCGCACATTGCAGCAGTAGATTATGCTCCTGGTGCTACCCGTGGGCTCGTCACTGACTATGCGACTGCCTTCACTGTTGCAGAGGAACTAGGGCTGGGACTTGTTTCTAGCTCATCTCCGTATGAGGCTCAGCACATGTCGCTCTTTTCGACCGTTTTGGCCACTGTTCTCCCAACTATCCATATCTACGATGGTGTCAATGTTGGTCGGGACACTCTGCGAGTTATCGATGTTCTTAACCAGTCCGGCTTGGATACTGCGTACAAGAACGTTTTGAAAGAAATTTCCAAGATTAGCAAGAGAGCTGATGCCGAGACGAAGGCGGCCCACGTTCTGGATGCCTTCAATAATGAGCTTGGTACTGCATATGGCCTTTTTGAGTATCGTGGCAGTAACTCTGCAGAGACTGTTCTGGTTGTATTCGGCAGCGTGGAAAGCTCTCTAGCTGGACAAGTTGCAGAGCAGCTTGCTTCACAGGGAACAAACGTTGGTGTTGTCACCGTCCGAGTGTACAGGCCATTTTCTGAAGACGCTTTCCTGAAAGTGCTTCCCAACTCTGTTTCAACCATCGCCGTTCTTGGGCAGGTCGTGGACTCGACAGCTGTGAATGACAAATCTGTGCACTCGAACCTCTACGAAGATGTCCTCGCCGCGACTGTCTTCTCAGAAAAATGGCGCGCTCCCCCTACTGTCGTGGACTTGAAGTATTCACGAGCCGAGACGCTGACACCAAACTCCGTGGCCGCTTATTTCCAGAAGTTTGCAATCAAGTCACTTGATGAGGCCGCTCCGATTGAGTTGCTCAACACTACACAAGCTGAGCAATACACTTTCTGGGATGTCCAGGATTCTGCAGCCTCAACTGCGCCAGTTGCCATCAGCAAGTTGCTCTCTGGAGATTCAGCCAGCAACGTTGTACTCAGCCAAACTCACGATAACTTGGTGCAAGGCGGCACAGTGAGAACCGACATTCGAACATCCAAGAAATCGGTTGATTCATTCTATCCAATCGAAGAGGCTGATGTCACTGTCGTCGGGGAGGAGAAGCTTCTTAAACAAATCGCTATTGTCAAAAACATCAAGACTGGTGGCTCACTTGTCCTTTCGCTTCCTGGAGTCAAGGACGAAGATCTGGAGAAGAAGTTGTCTGCTTCTGTCCGAAATGAAATCAAGTTCAGAAGCATTTCCTTGTTTATTCTGGACCCGGCTCAGTCATCAGCTGTTGAGAAGGATGCTGCTGTTGCGGCACTAATTACAGAGTTGGCTTTCCTGAAAGTCGCTCGCCTCGAAATTCTGGAAACCGGATTCCAGAAGCTTGCTAATATCAACGGCACTTCAACCCTGTTGACCGAGGTTGCAGCTGATCTGGATAAGGTCCTTCGACAAGTGGAGATCCCGGAGTCCTGGGCTGAGGTTGAGGTCGATGCAGAAGTACCAGATCTTCCACAGACTATCAACTCGAGCAGCTTCACAGGCTTCGAAAAGGAAGACAAGGAGCCACCTGCATTCCTCAAAAACTGGCAATCCGTTGCCAAGGCTCTTGCTTTCAAGGAGGCTTATGGCACGAGGACTGCTCTTAGACCTGACTTGTCTACCAAGACCTACGAGATCACTGTCAAGGAGAATCGTCGTCTAACACCTCTGACATATGATCGTAACATCTTCCACATTGAGTTCGACCTGGGCAATTCAGGTCTGAAGTACAACATTGGTGAAGCTCTTGGCATTCATGCTGAGAATGATGTCGAGGATGTTATCGAGTTCATGAAATTCTATGGTCTCAATGCGGAAGACGTGGTTGAAGTTCCTTCCAGAGAGGATCCAGCAGTCCTCGAGACCAGAACAATCTTCCAGTCTCTGGTACAGAATATTGACATCTTCGGCAAGCCACCCAAGAAGTTCTACGAAGCCCTAGCAGAGTTCGCATCAGATGAGAACGAGAGGAAGGAGCTCCTTACCCTTGGTGGTCCGGAAGGTGCCAACGAGTTCAAGCGCCGCGCTGAAGTCGACACAATCACCTTCGCTGATATCCTCCTCGAATTTACGTCCGCCCATCCCAGCTTCCACGACATCGCCCAGATCGTTTCACCCATGAAGAGACGAGAGTACTCCATCGCCTCCAGTCAAATGGTTGGGCCTACAACCGTAGCTCTCATGATCGTCGTCGTCAATTGGGTCGACACCAAAGGCCGTGACCGCTTTGGTCAAGCTACCCGGTACTTAAGCCAGCTCCCCATCGGCGCAAAGGTCACGGCATCCGTCAAGCCCTCCGTGATGAAGCTTCCCGTCAAAGACACCGCGCCCCTCATCATGGCCGGTCTCGGCACAGGACTTGCCCCCTTCCGCGCTTTCGTTCAGTACCGTGCTATGCAGAAGGCTCAAGGCAAGGAAATCGGCTCCATCCTCTTGTACATGGGCTCTCGCCATCAACGCGAGGAGTACCTCTACGGCGAGGAATGGGAAGCCTATCAAGACGCCGGGGTTATCACTCTCCTCGGCCGTGCATTCTCGCGTGATCAGCCGCAAAAGATCTACATCCAGGACCGCATGCGACAGACCATCAGCGATATCATCAAGGCGTACATCAAGGAAGAGGGCGCGTTCTACCTTTGTGGTCCAACCTGGCCTGTTCCGGATGTTACGGAAGTTTTGGAGGAGGCTATTGCCAGAGATGCGAAGGCGGTTGGGAAGAAGGTGGATCCAAGGAAGGAGATTGAAAGACTGAAGGAGGATCTGAGATATGTGCTTGAGGTCTACTAAGCGCTTTCATACTTGGAAATACCCTGCGTTTGCATTTCCGTAGATTGGATGATAATATTGTATCAAGTTTGTACCAACCTGAGCTTAATGAACGAGTTTTTCAAATTCTTGTGTGTTGTCAAAATATTTTCTGAAATACTAAAGTTCTATTGTATAAGTTCGACAAGAGTACTCTAAGCTGCTTTCTTCCATATTCACTCAATTCCATCAACAATTGTTGATACCGCAATCCCCAATGCTGAGAGACCATAAGCAATTTCCAGACAACAACCATTCACCTGACCACCTTCACCTTCAAATGTAAACAAACGTGCGAGATGCAACAAAACTTCGTCAATCGCCTATTTTCAAAGTCATAGTAACGTAATATCCATAGTCATCTATCGTAAAAAGTCGTCACAAGCCGTGAACCCAACCCACCAACCCATCATTCCATCTCCCCCCCACCATGGGTATCTTCTCCAACCACTATGTACTCTAGTGCTCGAGTCTATCCAGATTCAAACTCCGTCATGCTCCAAAAAGTACAAAAATGAAGAAACAAAATGTCTAATGCCCCAGTGCAGATGAAGAAAGCCACCCATATCTAGAGTCTAGTCCTATCAGGAAAGGCGAATTACCATCTTCGACCATACACCGCATCCTCCCTTTTCGATGTCGCACTCGGCGGCGTGACTTTTCTTTCCCTCGCAACCGAAACTTCCCTACTCGACCCGGCACTACTTGTGGGCAAAGACCCAGCCTCCTTCAAAATCCTCGGCTTAGCGCCCAAGTCGTAGTTCGCAGCCGTGGGGGAGTGCGGCGCCGCATGTTCAGCATCGCGACGGAAAAGCTGCAGGATCTCCTTCATGCCGAGCTTGCCTGCGCCGCCCTTGCCACCTTCAATGGTCTGGTTGGCGAGCTCGCGTTTCTTCTCTTGCAGGTCTAGGATACGCTCTTCGACGGAGTCTTTGATGGTGATTTTGTAGACGATTACGTCGGTCTTTTGGGTGAGGCGATGAACACGGTCGATAGCTTGTTCTTCGACGAACTGTGGAGTGTTAGCAGGGGTAACTGGTCATGATGAGGATTGGGTTTGTGAGAGTGAAAAAGGAACCTACAGGATTCCAGAACGGTTCAAGAATGACTACACGAGTTGCGGCTGTGAGGTTAAGTCCGAGGGATCCACACTTCAAACTACAGAGTAGAATTCTACAGTTCTTATCGTTGCGAAGTTTGGAGAGACTGGCTTCGCGCATATCGTTTTTCATGCTTCCGTCGTACCGAGTGAACTTGAAGCCTCGTTGGCGGAGGAAGGGCTCAATGAGATCCAGCATGGATGTGAATTGCGAGAAGACAATGAACTTGTGCTGGTCGATCTCCTTGCTGAGAATCTTCAGGAGATGTGTGATCTTGGTTGACGTGACAATGGTAGCTAATTGTGCTCCTTCGTCAGAAGACCCATCAAGCTCATCTTCAACGGCCGAATCGGAATCGGAATCCGATTCGGAGTCTCCACCTGAGTCTGAATATTTTTCTGATTCGTCTTCTGAATCGTCTTCTGAATCCGAATCAAGGCTGACGACCTCTTTCTTCGTTTGAGGTTTGATATCTTGAAGGTCTGGAAACGAATCATCTTCATCTTCTGAATTGAGCCACTCTCCACCACCCTCGGCATTCTCGTCAGCCAGACCACCAGCTTTACCGAGCGTCAAGGAGCCTTGCTGGTCTTTAGGCACAACCCAAGAGCCTTCGGCGTCCTCATCCTCATCATCGCTATCTTCGATGATATTCCGGTTTCGTGGCTTACGAGTAAGAAGCTTTGGCTCTGACTTCTTCTCACTGCGGTCCTTGCGCTTCTTCTTCTCTTTCTTATCCTTTCGAGATTTCGTCTTAGTTGAAACAGCCTCAAGATCAGCTTCGCAGTCCAGACATCGGATGGCACCTTCCGATATGGCAGTCTTTCCTAGCTCCAATTGACACACTTCACATTTCTTTGAGCCGACACCCAGAGAACCGAACATATCCGCCATCTCATCGACATCAGCATTTGAAGTTTTGGACTTCTTCGTGTTACTCGAGTCCGCAGCCAGAGCCTCGCTATCCTTGGCGAGTTTGCCAGCAACAAGCTTTGGATGGTTGCAAGCCTGTCTGAGACGCAACAGAAGGACCAATGCACTGGCGTAATTGACCTTCTCACCGCTCATCATCTGCTCAATACTAGCATCGGTACGTTGCTCAAGACGTTCATAGAAGCGTCGTTCCTCAGGAGAAAATTCTGCAAAGACCTTCTCAATTTTACGTTCCGTAACTTTGAATCCGGTCGTACTGGCCTCGCCAGCAACCGATGGCTTGCCTCCAGGGTTCAGAGCGCCGTCCTTCTTCAAAATCTCCTTCGTCCGACGCTTCATGAAGATCTTAAGATAATGCCGGAGGCGCTTGATAGCGACATCTCCTCTACCATTCTTCATTGGGCGATCGATTTGATCTTTCCACTCTCTCAGATCATCGTAAGGCTTGATACGCAAGAATTTGATCAGACTCTGAAGCTCATCCAGATTATTCTGCATAGGAGTACCGGTCAAGCACCACCTGTACTCGCTCCTCAACGCATAGCAGGCTTGAGTAGCCTTAGCGTTGCGATTTTTGATAGTATGTGCCTCGTCAAGAATGACACGATACCAGTGAAGACCGAAACATCCAGCCTTAACGCCGTCTGCATGTTCTGAGGAGCTTCCAAATTCTGAGACCAGAATTTGGTAGGTTGTAACTACAACATCGAACTTCTTCAGGTCTTGGAAACGCTTTGTGCGTTGTGGGCCATGGTGGACACATACTCGAAGCATGTGGGAGCTCGACACCTTGTCCTTAATTTCAGCCTCCCACTGACGGATGAGGGCGAGAGGAGCAACAACAAGAGTGGTCTTCTCTAAACCAGTTGGTAATTTGCGTTTTGTGATAGTAGCGTCGTCAGTCGGCTTGGGGTTGGTGAGAATAAGTGAAATGGATTGAAGAGTCTTTCCGAGTCCCATGTCATCTGCTAGGATTCCTCCCTTCGGAACTCTGGCTCCTTTCTTTCCAGTTCCAAGCTCTCGACCCTTCATCCATTCCAGACCTTCAACTTGATGGGGCAACAACTTGACTTTGACTCCTTCAACAGTGCCATCATCTTCATCCTCTTCGTCGTCAGAAGTGACCGCGATTTTCTCCCCTCCAACACTCAGACCATTCAGCTTATCCATAAGACCGTCAACTTCGGCATCCTTTTTCTTCTTGCGAGATCGAGTTGTTGGCATATCATCTTCGTCTTCCATAGCACCCTCCAGCAGGGCCTTGAGATCTTCCTGTGCCTTTGCTGGATCTACGAAAGTGTATGGTTCGAATGACTCTGCTGATGGCGCAACATACTTGTCTCTGTAGTTATCTGTGGTAAGGTCAATGTAGTTACTGCCGGAATTAATAGATTGAAATCCGCCAGATGGGCCACCTAAGGAGCTGAAAAGTTGTTGTGGTGCTGCCTTGGTTGTAGTGTATGTATTGTACTGAGGCACAGGTGCTCGATATGCAGTATTAACTGGTGACGGTCTATTTCACATCAGCCTTTGCATCCTATTCAAGAATATGGAATCCGTACGCATATTTCAACTCTGGCTGGTATTGAGATGGGGCTCTAGGCATGAGAGGATTGTGGACAACCTTTCGAACGAAGTCCTTGGCGGCTTGAACGTGAGGATGTGCTAGAGCATGGCAAATTAGTATCATAATATGCACTGTACCATTCCTTCTCATACCTGGTTTTTCTCCATCTCTATGATGCTCTGGGCGGGACTTGGGCTGAATAAACAGACCTGAGTCTTTTGCCGGCGCACGATGCAAAGGTGACGAGGGGAATGTTGGTTGGCCAAATTGTGGCACTGTTGATTGCGGCTTAGGGGCATATGAGTTATCTGCCTGCTTTGGTGGTTGCTCGTTAAGTGCTACCGTCTGCAGAGGCGCCTTCGCAGGCGATCTTTCGTTGACCATTCTGTTCTGTCGTGTTCCCTCAAGTCGAAGAGACTCTTTGGGTATGCCGAACACAAAAGGTATCGGGCGATCGCTTTTAGCAGATTTGATCGCGCCGCCGAAATCAAAAGATGCAGGAGAGTCGTAGGAGAAAAGCGAGCTTGAATTGCCAATGTCGCTCAGTGTTATGCTTCTCTCGCTCGTTGATTCTGGCGTATAGAATGTTTCGTGGTGAGGCGGGAGATTTAGACCAGTCAGCTTTGTCTCTATGGGAAGCTGGACTCCACGCGAGTTCGTTTGTTGACTTGCAGAGTCGGACCTTCGTTGTTTGAAGTTGGGTCGGTCTTTTGTTGTGAGGCGATTGAGAGGGGTAAATGACCCACTATTGACAAAATTTAGCAGAGGAAATGCAGGTAGTGAGTGAGAAAATAGGTCATATTTACTTCATGAGTCTTAACTGGGGAGATATATGCCAGCAATGTATTGCATACCTTGGAAAGTTGTAGAGGTTGTAGCAGGAAAAAGTTGCGACACTTTGGGTCCTGGATCGCGTCAAAATGTGGCGTCCAGTTCGTCGTCATAGGCAACTGGCCGTTGCAGGGATTAGAACTCGAAACCACTTTACACGAGATCACGTCCTGTTACTAGTGCGCTACAGGCAACAGCACTCAAAATGCAGGAGGGGACGGCAATTATTTGTCCTTTAAGTGCCAAGTTACATTGTGGGTATTTTGTACTCTTCCTATCTTATAAACCACAATAGAGCACGTATCTAGATTCCATGTTTGTGTAAAAATCCATTCCGATTCATCTCACGAGCCAGCTGCTTTGCTCACAGTGCTTCGCCTCTTATTCTTGGTCTCAAACAGACTCTTCACTCTCCTCAGCCTTGCCCATCGTTCCTTGTCCTTCTCATCTCTGATACTCTTTGCATAATCATCGTCAACATCTGCTTGAACAAACTCACTTGCAGGTCCAGGCGAACGAGCCTTGGCTGCCCTGGGATCCTTCACACTTCTCAGATGATGGTCGTTCTTGAGGATTCGTACTACAATTTCCCAGCCAGCCATAGAACTTGTTGATGTTTTGGTGGGGTTCCGGCCGTTCTGCGACTTTGGATTCTGCCACGGGCAATATTCTCGGTGCTGCTTGACAACGTCTAGGCGGTCCACAACTGCCCCGGCCACTTCTTCTCCAGCGTCGTTGACTTCTTTGCTTTTGAAGATCCACAGTCCAAGGACTCTAAAACATGCGAAGCAAGATACGGAACCAAGCTGAGGCCCGAGCCGTTCATGTTTGTGTCCTTGCCAGCCGAATAATGCCATCATAAAGGCAACCTTGTTGACCTCTATTGGTGAACTATTCGACTGTTCCCCAGGAATGGGAGAGCCGAAAAATCCGGGTGGCAGATAACTTAGGACAAGCTCCAGATCAAATCCTTCTGGAGTTCGCATGTTGAATGGGTATGGGAGGGTTTGGTTTCTTTCCAGGAGTTCGCTGTATCGATCGCGAAGATTTTCAATGGTAGTCGGAGGATTATTTAAGGGTAGCTTGAATATCGAGTCTGAGACGTTAGCTGGAACCAGTGAGGGAGTACTTGTCAATACTTACCATCACACCCCCGTTTCTTCCATAGGCAACTCTCATCGTGAGAACTTATGATAAGTTCAACATATTTGTCTACCAGAGCATCTTCTAGTAAATGTTAGTTGAATTTTGAGGACTGTAGCTGTGCGGCATACCAATATTTTGCGCAACGTAGACAGGCTCCTCTTTCCCATCCACTTCCTTCTTATTCAACTTGACCAGTATTTCCACATTACACAGACAACACCGCACCCTCTCGGACTTTTGGCAGACCCATCCTCGTTTTGCCCATTCCACTTCGTTAACTCTCGCGGGCTTCGGCGTCCAGTCCGTCAGGTTCGAAAATGATTTCAGGCGCTTAAGGAAGTCAGCGCGATCCCAAGGGGCATACTTCGGGGTCTCAGTCGACGTTGTATGATGTGCTACAGATGCAGACTTCTTGTGGACTATGGTCGCCATTGTTCTTGGCCGTATCAGAGAGGACGATATTCGCGCTGGGATTGAGGTCGAGCTGCTGATCCGGCGCTTTTTTGCTCGAGAGTCTGTGTCATCGGTAGTCGTCAGGTCGACTTGGTCCCCGTTGTTTACTTCTTTCGAAGCTAATGTTGTAGTGGATTTGTTGCCTATCCCATTCAGGAGGGCGTTGAATTTCCGTTTAGTCGCATTCATGGTCAGTTTGGAACACCCCTTTCTCTTGGTAAATGTATAACTCTCGAAGCTGGGGAAACTGGATCGAAGATGGTTGGAGCTGCATATGAATTGTGGTGGGAAGCGCCTGTATCACTGGGGAGCTTGAAATTCCGGACGTGCCACCCCTGCAAAGAAACCTGGACGGCCGCATTAAGCTCCACTACAGGCTCGTCACCACCACAAAGGGCTCTATGAAAGCCGAGGATTGCTAGGTAAATGTCACAAAAGCCTCCCAAATCAATCCCTGGTACTTTGAGTCGACGAATTCTCATCATAACCATATTTATAGTCATTCTGGCCACTCTCACGAAATTCTTGCCTCGCATTTCTCTTCTCTCCTCACACTTCATTACCCCACCTAGAGCCCTCTCCACAGCCACCAAAATGGCTAGCTACAGCAAAGAACTAGAGGTTGCACAGCTTGCCGTTCAGAGAGCAGCTCTCCTCACCAAGAAAGTGTTCCACGAGAAGGCCAAAGGGACAATTTCGAAAGACGATGCTTCACCAGTCACCATTGGCGACTTCGGCGCCCAAGCTCTCATTATTCATGCGATTAAGAAGAACTTTCCTGACGACCAAGTCGTTGGCGAGGAGGAGGCAAGTACTTTGAGAGATAACCAAAACTTGAGGGATCAAATATGGAGCTTGGTGGACGGTGCTAAGCTCGATGATTCGGAGGCAGAGAAGGTACTTGGAGGACCCATTGAGTCACTAGATGCTATGCTGGATGCAATCGATGCAGGGAACAGTGCTGGAGGCAACAAGGGCAGAATATGGGCATTGGATCCGATCGATGGTACAAAAGGTTTCTTGAGAGGAGGTCAATACGCAGTCTGCTTGGCATTGATGGTTGATGGAGATGTGAAGGTTGGGGTTTTGGGTTGCCCAAATCTACCAGTTGATGATTCGGCGCCATTGACTGCAGAATCAGGCGCAAACCAAACAGATGCTGAAGGAAAGGGAGTCCTATTTGCTGCTGTGGCAGGAAAGGGAGCGATCAGCCGGCCATTGGGTACTGCTGGGCTGGGGAAGAGTCAACCAATTCAGATGAAGCCAGTCAAGGACCTCACACAAGCAACATTCTGTGAGAGTGTAGAGGCTGGCCACTCGTCTCACGGAGATCAGTTTGCTATCGCTACCAAGCTCGGCGTCACGAAGCCAAGTGTCAGAATGGATTCGCAAGCAAAGTATGGTTCCATTGCTCGAGGAGCTGGAGATATCTACCTGCGATTACCAACTAGTGCTACATATCAAGAGAAGATTTGGGATCATGCTGCTGGTGATCTCATTGTTCGGGAGGCCGGTGGGCAGGTTACTGATACTTTGGGCAGAAGATTAGATTTCAGCAAAGGACGGACTTTAGCTGAAAACAAGGGTGTTGTTGCTGCTCCTGCTGCTGTTCATGGCCAGGTTCTTGACGCAGTCAAGGAGGTTCTGTCCAAGAAGTAGACGTACTCCACGCCATAAATAGAAATGGATGCCAAATATACAGCTCTGTTTCGTAAACGCCGACCCATGAATTTGTACATATGATACAGATGTGCTCCGCGACTACTTGATCTTCTTCGCCTTTAGCTTAATAGTTTCCCCATTGACAAATATTCCCTTGCCCTTGTACGGCTCAGGTTTCCTCCACTGTCGAATCTCCGCCGCGAACTGTAAAACAACTTCCTTCTCACAGCCCTCCAACAAAATTCTGGTAGGTTGTGGCGTGCTAGCCTTGACGCCTTTGGGTACTGGAAGCTCAATCGGATGCGAATATCCAACCTTCAACGCGACAAATTGCTGGCCCTCGAACTCCGGCTCCACAGTTGTAGCAGTGTTCTCAATCGTCGCCCTGTATCCGACTCCAACTAGACGTAGAATAGCTGTATGTCCTTCCGAAACTCCAAGGATGTGGTTCTGAAGATATGCGCGCGTTGTCCCTACAATATGTCAATAAAGGCTACAGCCCCTTATGAATCAATTTCCTTACCCCACATCTCTCGCTGCTGCTTGACCTCTCTATCTTCAACAGTGACATATGCTTTCCGTACTGCCGTATCATGCTCGATATTGACGAAATTCGGGATGGTCAAAGACATCTTGCCTGCATCCTAGTTAGCAAGTAGTTACCCGGCGTCAGAATATCATTAGTACCTAAAGGACCCTCAATCTGCACAGTCGGTCTGCCAGCAACCTGCGACGCGCGGGCATTCTTTCGTACAGGCGGAGGTATAATAGAAAAATTGACTTCTGGTGGAATTGACAACGGTGCTCGTCCTATCTGAGACCGTCGATTTGCTGATGAAGAGAATGATCGTGTGGCGGCAGGAAACGCTGGCAGGAGAAAAGCTGGTATGGAAGCCGAAGGGGCAGAGGCAATTGCCCTCTCAAGGCCCTTCGATCGGGCGGTGGATAGCATTGCGAATGCCTTTACTTGAGATGCTGCCCTTTCGAGATGTTCTATTTTTTGGAGCTACCTAGTATCAATTTAATGCCACGTGATTTCGTCGATGCCAAGCCTTCGTCGCCTTCGTCCCCGTTCCATCTCTCCCTCTCATCTACGTGAGTTAGGAATGTATGCAAGTGCAGCTTCGATGCTACCATGCTCACGCGCATAATTGTACGACTTCTTTTGCTCAATCGGAAAAGCGAACTATTTCATATTGCTGCGTCTTGAACCATAGCACAGCCTCTAAATGCGGTCCTGTCATATGTCATTGTGCTCAAGCATTTTGGACACTTTTATACTGTCTCGACTGTCCATACACACACTTGAACAAACCATACTTCCCAAGGACCCATCTAGTCCATCTAGCTAATATTTTATCAGCAAGAGAAGACTGCACCATATTAATATGACCTAACATTTGACTTATCCTGATGACTACGACTTTAACCACTTGCTCTCAGTAATTTCCGGTTTGCCAATTACAGCAACAATTGGTGCTACCATTACTACCCTGGTAGAAATATCTCTAAGCGGATAGAAATTGAGCCATTTCGAAGCCATCACAAGCATGTCTTAAAGGTAACAATGTTCAGGAGTGTAGGTGGTGGTGTGATTGACGCGGAGGTTTTTATCATTTGGCGAACACGCCTATCTTCAAAGGCTTCATCACTCTCTGAGCTTGGCCTCTTCTTGATTGGAATTCCATCTATCCTACCACGCTTGTGCGGAGAGGTTTCGGTTAACAGAAAGCCTGCCTGATTTGAAGCTCTATTTACTTTCTTGGGTTCTCTCGGGTATATGTTGTCCTACTCTCCTTCCTTCCTCAACAACCTCTTTCCTTCTAACCACATACTCAGCCTCACCCTCTCATACAATTTACCACTTCCACTCCCCACGTACTAACCTTCATATAACTCTAATAACCATTCTCTCATCGGACCTTCTTCGATCTCGAGCTTAAAGTCGATATTGACGTCAAGCCCTGGAGGTCATCGTCAACCAATTCAACCTCCCTACCTTGTTCACCTCGTCTCAGCACGAGTCTTGAGTACCCCCAAACTCAGCTCTGTTCAATACCGCCAGCCGACTTGCGCCCATCGTCAACTTCAATCAACAATCATGAAGCTCCTTATCACCTTCTTGTTGGCACTGATATCAACAGCTGCTTCGACATGGAGTCCATTCAAAGAGCCTAGCGCTTCTGTTGTCAGCGTTGTACCAACAGCCAATGGCAAGTCTACATTTTCCAGAGTTCTTTTTTCTGCAGCTGACCTTCTTTAGACCAAGGTCGCGATATTGGATCAACATTCAATCCAAAGGAGCTTCTCGAGTCCCGCAAACCTGAGTTTTATAACGAAGCCTTGAGTCGACTGGAACGTCTCGAGGACCAGCCGCTGTGCCATCGTGTCGCTGCTCAACTACTCATGAAGAACTGCCGAGGTCTGGATGGCGTTGACAAGCAAACATACCAATTGAACAGTGACCAGAATCAGAAGCACCACATTGAGGCCTTCACTGCTAGTCTCACGGTATGCGAGATGGAAGAAGTTTCGTTCTCGATCCCTGACGCCTGCTTCCCGTTCTCCAGCACTGCTATTTTTAACCAGGCTCGCGATATCGGCGTCTTAAAGGTGTCTCGTGAGCAGACGCTTGATTGCAAGACAGCTATTCATCAAAATCCAAGCAATCAGCACATCTGGAGCAACTTTGTCACGTCAGCTACGGTGTTCTGCCGCGCTGCAAGTTCAGAGCTTGAAAATAGTACGTTGTAGATCCTTCGAACAGCTCTCCCTAATTGACACTATCCAGACCAACACATCCTCTTGCACAAGGAGCTGGTTCAGATTATGGCCAAGTTCTCAGAGGCCATCCACAGAGACTTGGAGATGATGCAGAAGAAGTTGGCTGACAATACGAAAGCCTCGGATTCATACTTGGACACAGTCCTCAGCAATGTCAACGAGTGGACAGCTAAGCTAAAGCAAGGATTCCAATCCGCGTCAAAGAACGTAGAGGTCGGTTTGATTCACTAACTAAAAGGCTATTAGCTGACAGTTGTCTTTAGGACGTCGACAATGCCATGGATTCCATAGCCAAGAACAGCAAGAATGCAGCTCATATGATGAATCAATTTCTTAAGAGCATGTATGAGAGTACTGCAGAAGTGTCTGCTGAGCAGGAAAAGGCTTTAGTTGTTGGAACGACCCAGGTCCAGCGTCAAATGGACATCATTGCCAACAGTTTACTTGAGACTCAAAAAGGACTAGCAAAGGTGGCAAACGTTGTCAGTGTAAGCTGCCTTGATTATCCTGTCTTGCCATTTCTTGCTGATCATGTCATTAGACTCTCAATTCTGTCGTACTATCATTGAGCGAGCGAATCGATGTATCGGATACCGTAAGCTGAAATCTGTTTTGTGGAGGACATACCTACCTCAGGTAGCTAACATCTTACTAGCAATCAAAAGCAACACTAAGCGCAGTTTCGAATGCTACCGATGCCCTGGAATACCATGCTCAACAGCTCAACAAGGTCACTAATACAGTGTCAAACCTCAATGAACAACTGGAGCAAGCCACTGAGAATGCTCACTCCTGGAGATACTCGCTTAGTCAAAGCACTTCGATTCCTGACTGGACTATCCGTACTGGAACTCCACTAGGATTGATTGCCATGGGTAATGCTGTTCTTGGAAGCTCTTTCCTCACGAACATTCAGCTCGGCTTTGCAGGTGAGTTGTCCTACTACTTGCTATAGAAACATCCAACTAATAGCTTACAGGTCTTATCTTTGGAGAATTTATTGTCTGGGCTCGAGGTCCATTTGTGCAGTCCATGTGCCAATCCGGTCTGACCTTGATCAACTTTATCTCCTCGTCCCGAGAACCATCTGCAGTCACCCAGAAGGCTCGAATCGAAAAGGCCGCCTCGATTGTGGCAACACCGATTCAGTTCGACTCGCCATCAGCTGCAGACAACAACCACCATCACCCAGAGATGATGTAGATACGAGAAGACCAAACGCAGAGCTTAAAAACCACCATCAACGTCGCCTGGTAAATTGGCAGACAAGGTCTCCCTCATACTGGAACGTCCAGATTTCTACAATGGAGATTAATTATTGCTATTTAAACATGTAATCACGGGTTGGCAGTATTTGGCACTTACGAAATAATACTTGATATGGGGGATGGAGAAGCTGGAGACAATACTCTTGGGGAGAAATATGTTTACGATTCGCACTTTGGCTTGGCTTCAGCGATCCCGACATGGAGAATTGGTTAACCATCTTGTCATTAGAGGTTGGCATAGAACATAGATAGCACATCACAGCGAAGATACACGTAGATACGTGGTTGAGAACTTGATCCATTTTTTGTTTTGCTATTGATACTTCGTGTGTCTTAGAAGTGACTCGAACTAAGCGGTAAATTGAGAGCAAGTTAATAGATACCGCCCACCAGTGTCCCAAGAGTAGGTGAGGCTAATTGTCTATCGATTTTTAAAATCATGTAGGATACTTCCTCTCTTAAATTGTTCTATGTCAAGCTCAGGGTCGCACTTCTGAACAGATTTGATGCAGTCGCTTGGCGCATAGTAGTCGATGGCATCCAAACCTCTTTGCCCGAACTTCAAGTGTTGATTTACTGGAGCAGAAGTCCAATTGTACCGCTAACACTATATATAAGTTTTACCTACCTGGCGAACAGCTCTCACTTACAAACAGAATTCGACGTAAATTACCAATTGCTACTGACCCCTGACCTCTTTACGCGAAAAAGCCAAGCCATCGCGTTTCGGCTCGGCTCGAGCTGCAGCTTCCACCCCAGCCTCGTTCTCTTCAACATCTTCAATTCCTCGACATCTCAGCAAACAAACAACAACAAGACCTCAAAACGGTGAAAATGAGTCGCCCAGTCGAGCAAGCACTGGCGAACCTCATCCCGCGCCATCCAGGTGCCTTACCTGCTGAACTCATCGAGCTAGCTGGTTCGCTCCTCGCGCAATCACGGAACAAATGTAGCAATTTGAAGCAGGAAGAGGAGGTTGCGAGGACGTATGCTTGTGCGAATTTGGCTTGTGAGAGGTATATACTTCCCTTCTATTCTGTGTCAAAGCATTGTTTCCACCTGCGATCTGGTGGGTAGTGTACTTCAATTTGCTAATCATATCCGTTTGTCCAGATTAAAAACGACCCTTGATCTTCCCCCCATCGAACCACGCCCTCCAATCCCCCCACGCGTGTACAACAAACTATACGCCTACTTCGACCGCACGCTCATATCGTCTGCTGCTCGCCAGCGAGCTAAACGCGACAGTGTGAAAGCTAGGACTACCAATTCATCTGGCAAAGCTTTACCGCAGCGTCTAACACCCAGTAAAGCGAAATCTTTCGAGGGTTTCCAAAGCCAGCGGACGGGAAAGAAGGGTCTGCTATTTAAGGGGAGGCAGGAGAAGGATAGCAGGGTGCCGAGGTGGTTGGGTCCTGTTGTGAGGCTGCTGTGCAGAGAGATGGAGACAACGGCGGCGATTCCGCATATCCTTGCTGGGGTGGAGAGTATACTTTGCTTGCCGTGTCCGGGGGGAGAGAGGGGTAGTGAGAGGGAGATGGAGGGGAAGTTGCAGGCTTTGGTGGCGGCGGTTTGGTTTTTGGTGGTGGTTAGGTTGAGGGGGGCGGAGGGGCAGGGGGTGGAGACTATGGCGAGGAAGAATAGAGTTAGGGAGGTGCTGGTTGCTGCGAGGAAGGATGAGGGTGTTATGGAGAGGGTTGGAGAGGGGGAGGATGCATGGGTGGGGTGGGAGGAGGAAGTGCTGGAGAGGGATGTTAATTCTTGGAGGAAGGAGATTGTGGGGAAAGGGTGGAGGGAGCTGGATTGGTTTGTTAATGTTGGAGATGGTGTTGGTGTTGAGGGTACTGGTGATGTTGAGCTTGAAGCTGGTACGGATTCGGATGTGCAGATGGGTGAGAATGAGGAGGTTGTGGAAAGTGCTGGGAGGAGAGCGAGGCCGGGAACTATGATACAGGATATGTACTGTGTCACGAGGGAGAAGAGGGAAGCGTTCAATGAGTGGAAGGAGATGATGCTGGCTCATATTACGGAACTCATGGCTGATGGATACATGGAGAGGGATGATGTGGGAGTAAAGGCTGGCGCCCAATGAAATAGATTTGGCTCTGTAGAATTACTGCTTTTGAGATACCCAATTATCGAATATACTAGACTCAAGAAGCCCAGTCCGATCTCTCGACTGACTTTCTGACCTCAAAAGACAAGCGAGATAAGCTCGTTCTGCAGAAAGGGTATCTCCACTGAATAGATATCCTTATCCAGCTCGCAAGAGGCTTCTTCAGCTACCATACCATCCTTCATCAAGAACCCTCAACTGCCCTCCATTATGAAACCCACAATATCCACCACATCCTCCAAAAACCTCACTACCTCTCCATCCTGGTAGTCTTCACCTCTCCACTCACCGCTGATGGTCGTGCTCCCGCGCCAGCTACTCATTCGGACTATACTATTGCGACATACTTGTTAGTCATATCCCAGACAGCCCGGTTGATATTGGTCGGTTTTGATGAATTTGGAGTGGGTTTGAGTTAGGAAACAGAAGGTGAGCTGAGGAGCCGTGAGGTGAGGTGAGGCTTGGATGGGGAAGAGAGAGGGAGAATTATGCGAAGAAGGAAAGGGATGGGAGAGCGTACAGGTTTTGTTCGGCGTGAGCGGCGAATTGCACGGTTTGGACTGTGAGGATCGGTTCGCTGGATAGGGTGGCTAAAGATGAGGAGGTGGACGGAGAAGATGGGTAGGTGTGCGAGATGTATTGTTCTGTTACGCCGTCGGAGAGGAGGAACTGTGGTGTTTTACATAGTTAGATCCAGAAGATAATAAGTGTGCCATGGAGGGCCGTAGTTCAACTCACAGGTTCGGCCGTCTGTGTGGATTCTCGAGTCACGGGAGTCTTGTTCTGGAAGTTGTAATTGGGGCTGTGTTGATCTGTTGGTTGCTTGCTTCTTGGAGTGTGTTAGTTATATTGTGTTATGGAATTTGTAGATTGAGCATGGAAAGGAAGGGGGGCAGGTGCGGGACGATCTTACTCTATCATCATCCGTCCAATATCCTCAAATAGATTCACGCATTCCGGTAACATGCTTTTCCTCTCTCGAATATCGATGTACTGCTCCGTAGACACACGACATGCTTTGAGTAGCTTCTCCCGAATCTCATGCCTGCTCGCCGTGCTTGATAAAGCAAGCTCTTCGATATCATTGAAGACTATGGGAGCAAATGACAGGCATATTGGGATATACTCTGTTTGTGGTGATGGGCAAGATGGTGTTGGCTTGAGGTAGCGTCGGCCGTTGAGCCAGCAGGGGGAATAGAGTGTTCTCGCTGCTCGGGTGGATGGTGAAGGTTGAGAGGCTCGCAATAGGGCTAGGACCAATGCTGCGTGGCAGACGTGGGTAATGTTGGATGATGGACCAAGTACATGTTTGGTGGCTTGGAGGATTGCTGACGTTTTGGTTTGGGAGAGAGTAATGAAATGTGATTCTTGTGATGTTTGGCGAGTAGTTTGAGAGAGAGGAAGGCCAGGGTTTGATTTCTGGGATGCACTTAGACTTGATGATTCTGACGGTTTTGAGGAAAAGGGAGGTTCTCTTACTAGTTTATTGAGAATTATATCTTGATTTTGCGTAACAGCTTCCTCGAAATGTGGACCGGAAGACACTTGATTGTCGTTCATACGTTGAATTCATGGTATTGAGATATTCTTGTAGCTTTCTGACCAATTAATCTCGTCTTTCTGTATCCCAGCTGGCTTTTGGAGAGCCGAGGCCAAAAGAGACAAGTACTTTCCTAGTAGTATTTTGAGTCCAGTACCATCCATCACCTGATGATCAGCATAAAGCATGACTTGAACATCCTCCACCAAGTCATCGCTCTTACCTCGAGCTTGCGAGTACAAAAGCAAAAATGTCTTGTCTGAATCATGTCCACGCCTCTTCGACAGAACCTTGGTCTTTAACTCTTTGAAATACACGGCCTCCCGCCCTAATTCAAAGTGGCTTGTCCAATCTACCCAAGCATCGACCTCCACTTGGCTTTGCGGCGTCCGATACTGCATGGACACCGCGCCATCTTCGGTACAAGCTGCATTACCGTCAGTTCTGGGACTTGAAAGCTCAGGACTTGCCACGCAAGAGCTGCAGCGGAGTTTAGAGCGGGTCGGGGAATAGGAGAGTTAAGAGTGATTAGGCTGCAGATGAAGAGTGAGTGGAGTTCTTTGGCTCGGGAGAACCACATGCACTCGTTGGAGAGAGCAGGACGATGCCATTGTGAGGGGGAGAGGTGGGATTGGCGCCAGCTGTAGCTGGTGGGATGGAGAGGTGAAGGGATGCTGCTCCCGGGGATCATGATGATGGGTCCCGTTTTGATCTGCTTTTGGGGCTTTATCTGGGTCCAGTTTGAGATGGCAGGTTGAAGCGTGAGCTTTGGGCTAAGGCTAAAATTTAATGCCAGAGTGGTATGTTTTCAAAGTCTACGTGCTTATTTATAGGACCAGATTTCGTTACATGACTCATTATGATAGAAGGAACTGAAGACAGAAAGGTTATGATTTTTCCACAAAGAAGAATCTCGTGGTTCTTCGAAAGCTTGATGAGAAGGTAATGTCATGACCGAGATGCTGGAGAACCTTCCGTTTTGGGCTTCTCAGGAAGTGACTTCAAACTCAGAACTCAACACAACGAAAGCCAAGAGAAAACAAGCAAGGCCATCAAAGATGGAGATCACAAATTAGACCAAAAGAAGTTACTCTCAAACAGCAGAGAGATCCACACGAACGACTGGGGCTGGACATGTGAACGAAAAGCCTCGAAACTTTTGATATCCGTGCGCGAGGAAATAAATGCATGCACGAGGGCTCGGACTTCCTCGCCTTGCATGAAGCCTTGCATGAAGAGCATTTATCCACCGTGTAGACTTGCTGATCAGGGAATGCTACGGGTTCAGAATTCGGTACTTGCTGTGCGATACATGCATGTCCGTTGCGTAGCAAAAAGAAGAAAGACTCGTGACAGCGGCCTATGAAGCTTTAGGCAAATGATATCAATTGTAGTGGTGCTGTGACAATGATGGTTGACTCCCATTGCTCAGACCCTTTTGCGAAGGAGGATCTGATGGTGTTCATATGATAAGATGACGAAGCGCAAAACCCGAGGCTGCCCGTTTGGCGAGATTTGAGATGTGGTGGTCGGATGGTTGTTGGTAATAAGATGTGTGCCGTGCCCGTCAAAGCAGATCTGGCGAGTTTTGCACTCCAGTCATTCGCTCGGTGCGGCCCGTTATGAGTAGTGACACGAAGAAGCAACTCGGAGAGGTTGATGATCTAAAATGTCGGACAGCACGTCAGAGCTCATGCATAATACTCGGATCTATGCAAGGCCTTGAGATCTCACGATGCTGTGAGATCTTGTTAGTAGGTGAATTTTCTGTTGTTGATAATGTGATGGTGACGGAAACGGCGGAGACGGCAGATGTGGAGAAAGGGGTGTTGCTTGCTAACCGAGCCACCCCCTTGAGTCGTTGGAGATCGCTGGGTGTCCAATAGGAACGGCTCCCAAGCAGAGGCCGGACCTCAAGCTCTCTTTCATGGTCCGGATCCTCTGCAAAGCTGAGGCAGATCCAGAAACCAGATAGAATGGATCTTGGATACCCCTCCACGGGATGGTTTACGGGCGATCGAAGATCATTGCGAGCCCTCCCGTCTGTAAACCTTCACTGGACACTGTTGATATTTGTAGTACAAACACAACTCACCTGTGAAATCATTTTATGTTTGGCAAGAATAGGTCTAGATCTGAGACTATTCTAGACCATTCGCGGGCGCCGTCAACATTGTGAAACAGCCCGAACGTCCGGTTGTGGAAATGACAATTTCCTGCAGACTAGTTTACGAGGATAAGGCTGGACGAATGCGACTAAAATGACAGCTCCTAAGTCCCTACGGAGGTAATCTGCGTAACCACGCGCTGGCTTTCGGTGCATGATACGGCACGTGGATCGTGGCCAATTGAAGATTTGGACGGTGACAGATCGTCCATTGGTGTTTTGCTTATTCGATCAAGGTTGCGTGGCATTGTAAATTTGATGTTGTGGTAGACTGGTAGCTTTGTTAAGCAAAGGTTCTCGAGTCAATCAGACGATTTAAAGTTCGCTCTCCTCCATCATGCTGCAGATGTAATTTTTGGAACCGGCTCGATGTAAATTATGAGTATTCGCTGAGCCCCCTATGATATTGTTGTTGTTGCACTGCAAGGTAAAGGGGGGGGATGTTGCAAGTACTCTCAGAATTCCAACTGAACAGTACCGCCACCAACACTTTCTGGAATTCAGGAGAACCGGGTCCTGGGTTTTCCCACTGGGCGGAGTGGACTCTGGGCAAGCTCACAAGGCTGCCAGCTGCACAATGGAAAGAGAGAGGCAACACCAATGAACTGTAGTGGCCGACCCGAAGCCCGGAGAATTGGGGAATCTTGGGCTGCAGTGCCTGATAGTGGATGAGATCAACGAGTCGATGGCCCAGAGAAGTACGAAGCCTAGCAGAGACAGGCTGAGAAGAGGTATTTCTCCGAGGATCAGCTCGAGCTAAGCCAATAGTTCTCAAAGGGGGTTGAAAAAAAGTCTGGGATATAATTTATGCTGTACTGTAGATCAGGTGCTAGAATCGTCGTTCGAGGCGACTTTTTGGAACAATGTATGTTGGACTATAAGTTATTAGAAAGGAAGTTGCTTGAGTATAGTCCACGGCAGACAAGGTAGAGATGATTGAGAAGACAGATCAAAAGAAAGAGAGGGTATCCAAAAAGAAAGCAGGTGCTTGAGCACCACCGAGCACCAGCGCCAGCACCAGCACAAGCCGCGGCAGCGAAGCCGCTGACAGATGGAGGGATCAGGCGAACCAATTGCACGGATGTGGCCATTGTGGCCCCTGCCGGTCTCCACGTCCAGTCTAGCTCCATGCACAAACCGCTGGGAGCCTGGGACGACCACACAAACTGGACTGGCAGACCGGACTACTGGACTACTACTGGACTCCTTTCTGCATCAGACAGGGGAAGAAGCGCAGGGGCGGGTGGGGTGCTAGACCTCTCCGAGCTGGACTGAGACTCGAGAGGGACGAGGGTCGGTACCTTGAGCATGGCTGCCCGCTCGCCCATCTCGACGTTGACCTCCACGCCACGAGTCGACCTCCTCTCCTGCAGAAGAAAAGGGACAAGGGCATGGACAGGGGCCAGGGGCCAGGGGCCAGGGGCAGGGGCAAGGCCAAGCAGGAACCTGAGGAAAGGAAAATACCCTTGTCGCTCCATTGCCGTTCTCTGCCTTACTACTGTGCAGTACTACTACTCCCCCTTTGCACACTTCACTTCTCCTCCTCTGCCCCCTTCACCTCCTCCTCACTTCACCTCGCCGACGGCACTCAGTATTGTTATCGGATCCTCAAGACGCAGATACAGACCCGCAGTCTGTTTTCTTGCTTGACATTGACAACGCGCCCCGGCAACCCGCGCACCCGACCGAACTCTGTTGCTATTACTTGCAATCAACAATAAGAGGCGCGCAGCGAATCATACCGCCTGCATCATCGCAAGCGACGCGTTGGCTCGTGGCCGCCACAAATCCACCAGGGAGACCTTGGGGGAAAGGAGAACCTGAGACCTTCCTCATCTGTTGACACAGATTCACTGCTTGGACTCCGCGACATGACAGCTGCTTCGTAAACTTTCACCCGTCGCTGTCACTATACATTGCACCGAACTTTTTAACGGTCTAAACAACCCACACCCAAACACGACTCTCAAACAACAACCGCATTTTGGGCGCAACGAAAGGACTTGAATGAGCCATGGCAAGCTCGCCGCCAGAATCGCCCTCAGCCGGTCCTCCGCGACCTCTGAGCGCGATGATGAGACCCCCCAGAACCACGAGTCGCATGAGCATGACGAGCAAACTTGGAGGCAGCAGTAGTCGAGCCTCAGACGAGGATGGAAAGACTGCGGTCAGAGTTGGTAGGTTCCTCTCGAAGCTGAGAAGTTAAAGGATATGGTTAATAAACAAATACTGATTTCGATCTGTAGCTGTCCGTGTCCGGCCTCCCCTCAAGTCAACAGACCCTGGATACGAGCTCATCCCCCAGCGATTTCAGCGATCTATGGTCCAAGTAACATCACCAACGAGTCTGGCCATTGATTCTCCCCAGGGCCGCAAACTTTTTGTATTCGACAGAGTCTTTTCCGAACAAGTGTCCCAGGAGGGTATTTGGGAGTATTTGGTTGAGAGTACAAACGCCTTTGTTCAAGGCTACAACGTCTCTATGTTGGCATATGGCCAATCTGGCGCAGGAAAGTCTTATACGATGGGAACGTCTGGGCCTGAACAGCAGGCAGACATGGAAGTTATGGGTAGGTCTAGGTCTGAGATGCTTCAGGATCCAATGATTTTATCGTTATTAGAGACCACTATACAGGCAGCTAACATTATTTCCAGGTGTTATTCCACGCGCTGCCATTGCACTTTTTGACAAACTCGAAGGCCCGCGAAATAGCAATCGAAACTCGATGTCTGGACTTCGCACCCCCACGAGATACTCGGCGAATGCAGCTGCGATATTATCAAAGAATGCCGAAAAGACCTGGACGTTGAAGGCAACCTATGTCGAAATTTACAACGAATCACTGCGCGATTTACTGGTACCTGAGGGTGTGCCGTATGGCGAGAGAGGCAATGTCACCATTCGAGAAGATACGAAAGGCCATATTCTCTTGACTGGCCTTCACCAGGTCGATATCAATTCGGTGGACGATCTTCTGGCTGCGTTAAACTTCGGTTCTATGATTCGACAAACTGATTCCACAGCAATCAATGCAAAATCGTCTCGATCACATGCAGTTTTCAGTCTGAACTTGGTGCAGCGCAAAAGTAAATTCCAGACGGCACAGGGTGCCGAAAAGCGATTCTCGGTACCGCTAGAGGCTATGACAGGAGCGGACACCATGATCACCATTGATAGCAAGTTTCATTTCGTCGATTTGGCAGGTAGTGAAAGATTGAAGAATACCGGTGCACAAGGGGAACGTGCCAAGGAGGGCATCTCGATCAATGCCGGACTTGCAAGTCTTGGGAAAGTTATTTCACAACTTTCCTCGCGCCAAGCAGGATCCCACGTCTCGTACCGCGACTCGAAGCTTACTCGACTCCTTCAAGATTCTCTCGGAGGCAACGCGATTACGTATATGATCGCTTGTGTTACGCCAGCCGAATTCCATCTGAGTGAGACGCTCAATACCGTGCAGTATGCACAGCGTGCCCGAGCAATCCAGAGCAAGCCCAGAATTCAGCAAGTGTCAGATGATAGTGACAAGCATGCTGTTATCGAACGACTAAAGGCCGAAGTTGCGTTCCTTCGTGAGCAGATCCGAAGCACCGAGCGGGGTGGGGATCGCCGGCCTCATGCAACTACTGAGAGGCCCGAGCGACAAAATGAACGTGAGGTGGAACTTCAAAACCAGCTCCTCGACACTCAAGAGGGCTACACAGCCCTCAGCCAGCGCCATGCAAAGCTCATTTCTGAGATGGCCAGAGCCCGTGACAGTGAACTCGCTGATAACCAAGCATTTGAAAACACTCTTGGTGACAGTGCAACTGAGCGGTTGAAACGATCCAACTCATTTGCGGAGGCAGTTGAGCAAGTGGTCCTGGAATATGAGAAGACCATTCAGACCCTGGAACAATCCTTGTCAAGCACCCGAAGTTCCTTGTCAAATACGGAGACAATCTTGTTGGAGAAGGAGAACAAGTGCGCGTACGTCGAGACTATCAACACCCAGCTTCAGGCTCGCTTACAGAAGTTGATCGACCGAGAATCAAGCACCGAGAACTACCTCCACGACTTGGAAGCCAAACTTGACGGCCACACTTCTGGCGAGGAAAAGAATTCAGCTATTGTCATGGAGCTCCGCAAGGAAATTGCACGAGTTCGTGAAAATGAGGCAGCTTGCGAAGATTATATCTCAACGCTAGAAGAACGACTGGCTGAGGCTGACCAAGATGCCGAGCTGATGCAACGAGAAATTGACCGCTTGGAACATGTGGTTGAACGCCAGCGAAGCTTGGGCAAGCTCGACAATCTTCTCTACGAGCTGGATCATATCCAACAGGACGGAAAGGGTGCCGAAGCTGAAGCAGTCGTTACTAATGGAAAGCGCCCATCGTACGAGCATTCTCGTCAACAGAGCTTTGCGAGCAGACGCAGTCACAAGGATGTGATCCTGGAGACAGAGGAAGGTGAGGACGAGGAGCATTCACCAACATTCAGCTCCGAAGCTGCTCGACGGACTGAGAGCGAGGGTCCTGTCGATACTGGTGAGCCAATTGATGGCGAACCCATGTCGACATCACTCGAGCCAGCTCAAGCCGAATACCCGCCACAAAGCCCAGCTCAAACGAAATTTGTGGAGGACAAGTTGGAGAATGTCACACAGGAGCTCTTTGACCTTCGTGTGGAACATGAATCCACTATCAATGAGTTCGACAACCTTGCTCGTAAGTATGAGGAGGCGCTTCGGACCTTGGCTGAGCTTCAAGATGCTGTTGACGAAGCCCGTCATCCCAGCAACAACCGCGATTCGATCTTGTCAGTTTCTTCTCCGAATGAGACAAGGCCCACTTCTTTTTTAACAGACGCGAGGGTGGACGAGCTGAAGGATGGAGGACAATATCCATCCTCGCGATCGCTCTCATCGGAATTGTCCTCAGCTGGGGAATTACCCAGTACTATGGAAACATCTGATGCTGAAGCCGCCATTAAGAAGTCGGAGTCAGGAGAGGTGGTACGTGGTAGTGCCCATGACGAGACGATAGCGGTGGAAGTGGATAATTTGCGAAAGCTTGCAGCAGAGAAGGAGCAAGCTCAAAAACTGTTGGCTGAGAAATATGCTCAGCTGGAAGAGCAACATATGGATGCCCTTGACCTTGTGGAGGAGCTTAAGACGGAGGTATCGAAGGCTAAGATGGTTGAGGCATCATCTCCACGCGCATCAACACCAGTAATTCGCCGCAAGTCAAGCCAAAACGTCATGATCATCGACAAAGCCCATAGGGCTTTTGCTTCCCTACGAAACATTGCTACCGACAATTTCGAGAATAGCCCAGACGTGATGGCTAATTTCGAGCTGAACTTGAACACAGCAATGCATGAACTGCATTCTCGCTCAGAGAGGGTTCAAGAATTAGAGGCCGATATTACAGCCGTGAAGAAGGAGATGGAAACTAAGATGACAATCATCTCTGGTCTGACGCGTGAACGCTCGAGCATGAAGGCATCACCGATGGACATGTCTGTAGTTTCTACGATGCGAGATCAACTACTGCAGAGCGAGAATCAAATGAGAATGCTCCAGGAGACCCACGCAAGTCGAGAGCAGGAGCTCAGAGCTGAACTTGAGAGCCTCCGTGTTTCGATGGACGCTCATGCCACCTCGTCCAAAGATGAGAAAGCACGGGGTGAACATGCTTTGGGAGAACGCGATGCCCAGAAGGAAGTACAAGAAAAGAGAATCGCAGACCTGGAAACCGAGCTCGCAAATTGGGAAGGTCGCCATGAGACGGCTTTGAAGTCAATGCAGAGCTCCGAGCAGGGACTTTTGAACACAGTCGCCGGTCTTGAGCAGCAATTGGCCAGCCTGAAGGCTGCCCAACAGACTAAGGACCTGGACAACGACAACGAGGTTGTAAGTAATTTGCAGCGAGAGATCGACGAGCATAAGGCCGCTGTCACAGCAAACGCTGCTCGTGTAGCAGAGCTTGAAGAATCGCATGCTGCGACTCGGGAGCAGCTCAACGAACTCACCAAGGCGCGAGATGTATCGAATACAGAGATCGAGGGACACAAAGTTCTTGTGGCGCGACTTGAGAAGCAGATTGCCGAGCACGAGACTGTTGTCAAGACCCATCAAGATGGCATGAATCTGCTCGAGGTAAACCATGCGAAAGCACTGGAGGAATTGAAAAACAACACCCGCGTTGACCATGAGTCACGCCTCTCCGAACTCACATCACAGCATCAAGCCAGGACCGAGGAGCTCCAGTCCGAACTTGCAGAGGCTCGTGATGACCTCACAAAGATTGCGACCCAAGTTGCATTTGCTCTTGGCCTCGATGTGAGCACCGAGAAGCTACAAGAGAGAATTGCTGATCTTCTTGCGGATCAGAAGGCTTTGGCCGAGGAGACGAAGAAGAGTTCCGAGATGGAAAAGCATGTTGTTGAACTCTCTGGTATCAACGATACCGTTATGAAGGAGCTGGAAAGTGTGAAAGCTGAGCTGGCCGATCTACTTGTACAGACCGCCGAAGGCGCCAGATTCAAGAACGACCACGCAACTGTCGCTGAACAGCTAGCAGCTTTGAGAAAGGAAATGACGGACCTCGAGACAAAGAACAAAAAGAACTCGCGACTTGTTGAAGAGCTTGAGGATCAGTTGGCCTCCAATTTCGACCAGCACCAGATTGCGAACAATCGTTTCTCCACTCTTCAGACTGAGCGTAACGCTCAACTTGATGAGGCTAATGCGGCACACATGCGTGCTCAGACGGAACTCGATGCAATCAAGGAAGAATACGCCAGCCTTCAGGTAAGCATATACTCCCATTTGATCCGACCCTTATTAACTCATATAGGCCAAATTCGAGGACGTCCAAGCAGCCGAAGGTGCAAACGGTCCGAAGCGCTCTAATTCGGCTACTTCGCACCTTCGTAAATCAGCATCAGTCGCATCTCTACCGTCGCCGCCACCTGCCATTCCTCTGCCTCCACTTCCCGGAAGCATCGCAGCCACCATCTCACCAATTGGTCATGCTGCATCGATACCAGTCCCTCCTACGCCCACTCTCGGCAATCGCCCAACTAGCAAAGACCTGGCCACATCTCAAATCCACGAGGATCAAGAAGCTCGTATCCGTACCATTGAAAAGCATCTCCACGCTGAGAAACAGCTCACTCAGACCTTGGAGGAAGCCTTGACAGACCTGGAGCGACAAAGCAATAAGATGAAGGCCGAGGTCGACGCCTGGAGACGACGTGCCGCGGACCTTGAACTTGAACTCAAAGAGGCCAAGGAGAGAGAGAAGAACGGCGGTATGGACAAGGAAAATAGATGGAGTATGCTTCAAGTCGAGGAGGAGCGGAAGAAGCGGCGAGATGCAGAGATTGCCAGAGCCCATCTTGAGGAGCGGATGAACGCCATCAGCAAAAAGAAGAAGAAAGGAAGCTTGAATTGTTTCTAGGAGCGTCCTGCTTCCTCTCTCTCGACTCTCGCATTTCTGGTGTTCGGCAGCGAAATCAGTCCCATTTTTCAACGGCCTTGACGATCTTATTACGTTTCTTATGTTTTACCCTTTTTCCAGCACATACTTCTCACACGATACCGACATACTTGAGGACTGGAGTGATGGGTGGGCCAATATGCTGAGGTGTTACCTCCCTTATGTAAATTTGTTACGTGCGCTTTGCGACATTTTCCTTTTGAGATACCACATTTCGCTGGTGTTGTGGCGCTTGACTCAGCAGCAACTCCTTTTGCTACATAGGACAAGCTGGGCTGGGTTAAATTTGAGATTATATGCTTGCTGTTCTCTTCTGCTTCATTTGGAGACTGGTTTGGAGGCCGAATGGATATGCTTGCGGTGGTTGGACGAGATTGAGATATGAATGGCTTTGGACTGAGACGAAGCCATGATGGGCTGGTAGTGGGTGGTGTAATGATCTTCTGATTGCACGACAAGTCGTGCAAAGTTAGATGGCATAGGCTAAGGAGTGCATGCATGGATGGATAGATAGGTGGAGAAGTGGTAGTTATGGGCATAATCCAATACAGAGATGTTCTTCCCGCCTGTCTTGGTGTACTTGGTGTAGCGGAAGCGATGTTAACATTCCACTCTGTTCATGTAGAAGGGGGGCGTGCGAAGTCGTTGCTCGACATTTGTAAGTTCCGTGAGCTTTTCTACTTGCGACTTTCACTGCTCCTGACTTGTCAAACCACCTATTTGTCCGTACTCATTCCAGAACATTCAATCTATACTACTGTAATAATCCTGATCTAGAGGATAGAGTGTCGAACTCCAGGTTCGGTTTACACAATATGGTCTGTTGAATTGCTTAAGCAATTTTCGAAAGTGGACTCCATCCAAGGTTTTCAAGCGGTGATATTGAATTCGAAGCGAGCAAACACGCTTGGGTACGAAAAGCGAGATATTACTACAGCACACTGCCAAAGGACCAAAAGACGTACATCTCAGTCACTTGCTAGGATTTACAACCTCGCCCCCGCATTTTTTGCTACAACACACCCATCAGCGTAGTCCGCCTTTCATCATTTCGGTATAAGCGACGACCAAGGATACGTCTCCGGCATGACCTTCCAAGGTGACACATCCGCATAATTCTTCGTCGTCGCCGTCCCCGAGAAGATATACTGCACATACGGCGCCACATTCGCATACCCGCTCATATCGCAATGTCCGCCATCTCTCAACGCAATAGCGATCTTGCTCGTCTTCTCCCCGGCTGGAACGTCCGGCCCAGCAGCCAACCAATCATACACCAACTTAGTAGCGGGATATACTACCACCGCGGTCCCTTTACTATTCACATACGGATCCGACCTCCCCTGATCAATAACCAACGCTCTCGGCGCAATCGCAGCAGCAATCGTATGGGCATCGAACGGCAAACGCTCCATCTGATTGACGAACGTGCCCAGCGCGGCATTACTCCACCAAGGAGCTCCAGACTTGGAATTTTCGAGTGTCTCGTCTTGTCCACTCAAGGCGTGGTACCGATAGGGTCCTATGCCTTGGATGCCAGCGCTCTCGGGGATCGTGACAGTGATGCGAGTGTCGAAGAGACCAGCTGCCAGTGCGGCTTTGCCGAGGCGGGAACAGCCTGTTACGCCGACTTTTTTGGAGTCGATTTCGGGGACTTGGAGGATGAGACCATCAAGGACGCGGTGGAAACCCCAGGCCCAGGCGAGGAGAGTTCCTTTGGTTGAAGCTGTTAGATTCGAGGATACTAGGATATTGGATCTTTTGGGGCCGCTTGGACTTTGGACTTTGGAAGCAGAAGTCAAAATTGAGACTTGGGAAGAAACATACCAGCATCCTTCCCTTTATATAATGTCCAAAACGACCCAGTCTTACTATTACTATCCGCCGCCACACTCGAATAGTCAAACGTCACCACCGCAATCCCCTTATTCAAGAATGCATTGTTATCAATCCCACCTATCGCAATCACCACCCCCACAGGCGCCGTCTTCGTCGCCGAGCTAGGAAGGTTGACCGTCGCAGCTATACTCGCTTTCGCCGACCCAACAGCGATGGTCACAGTCAAGGTCTTGCCGGATCGCGTCGCCGTTATGATCTCGAGAGAATGGTCGGGGTAGTACCCATATTGATATTCTTGGAGGAGTTTCATGATCTCGGGCTGGCGACAGGCGTACCATTCTTCGCGGGTCTGGACGCGGGTGGAGCCGTCGAGATAGACGAAGGGGTCGGGGAGGGTGGTGATTTTGGGGAAGGAGGCTGCTTTGGGGAAGGGGGAGGGTGTTGGGGGGCAGGTTATGTTTGCTGCGAGGGAGAAGACGGGGAGGGATGATAGTGCTAGGAATAGGAGCTTGGCGGACATCGTGACTTTGTAAAAAGCTTGTAGCTTCAATTACTTAGGGAATCAGGAGATATTGAGCAACAGCAATTAGAACATCTAGATACTGAGATACCCTTTTCAGCGGGGAATGGTTAAGTATATATTTGCTTTCCTAGACAAGCCCGCCACCTTCGGCAGTCCTGCACATGGGGTGCCGGTTTTGGCATTTTATCTTCACAGGTGTTTAGATGCATATTGAGGGAAGCGTTCTATTTCATTTGAGAACGGGCTTGGTATAAGTACCATATCAGCCACTGTAATCGAGGAGTGCTGTGCCAAGATTAACAGGGATTCCCCACAAAGTTACCTGCCTAATACTTTATTTAGGCATTTCAATTTATCTAAGGGCACGGAGTTGGAGAAAAGCTGATTGATTGCTTGGTTGATTGTGTAGGCCCGCGTAATGGTTGGGTGGTATTGTGTGTTTAGCAGGCTCAATCAACACAGGATAATAAGCGAGATGCGTCCAATGGAGTCGTGCTTGGGCTCTGCGCGGGTAATAATAACTGCCGATGCAGCTGTATCATGTTCTTTGGGACTTCAGGACCCCGGAGAATGTCGATACTTAATCTCACGACCTAGATATTGGCACAGTGAACATGATTGTCGCGACTGTTTGGCAACTGGGATTGTCAGTATTACGCAACTTCACTAACATCCATTAAAATTGGATTTGAGGATTCCAAAACCCCGATACTCAGCGAATAAGAAACATTATATGCTATGTTCTGGTGAGTGACATGTATCGTTTCGCCGGCTCGGTACTACAGAGGAGAAAGATTTTGTAATTGATAAAACTGATCAACATAAAACTCCTCATCGCATCACGAGATTGATACAGCACTTACTGTACGAATCACATTGACGAATAATTAGAAAGTCTGGTATGGGTCTTTCTGTATCGCCTGATGGGTATTGGGCCTTGTTCGTGACCACATCATTGACAGAAGTCTTCTCTCATTATGTACAGATGAAAATCAACCAAATACTTCCTGAACACTGACCAAAGCTATGGCGTGCGAACAGAAATTCAGTAGTATGTTTATTAAAAGGACGGGGGACTTTCCTATTAATCTATGTTGAACAAAGTTGCCCGGTAATGCTTTGGCAACCAACATCCTGCGACCTCGGATCTATGAATAAAGCCAAACTTCTAGTCTACTTCGAAGTCCACTCCGGTGTAACCCTCTTCAAATAGTTCATGAACTTCGCCAACCCAACCGCAAGCTCAACATTCCCCTCTGGATCAGTAACCTGCTCCGGCCACGCAATTCCAGCCCCATACAATCCCTTTACCTTCTCGCCCTTTCTGTCCGCAAATCCAGCCGTTCTATTGTTATACTTAATTTCCAACTCCTCCCCATTTCTCTTCAGTACAGGCACTTTGTCTTGCTTGAATCCCACTGCTTGAACAACATGCGTGCATGTAGGCAAGAAACGCTGATATGCTCCTTCTTCATCTGTACGCGTGTCAATCTTCTTGATGTTTTTGCTGACATCTGAAGAGGACATGACATCTTCCTCGAGGTTCTCTTTAGCCCATGTAGCGACTGCACCTTTCAACCCAGTGTTATCTCGAAAGATCCAGCCGTCGCGCTCTTCAGCATAGCGCAGCGGGTGACGAGTGAACCATAGGACCTTGAGATTTGGATGTGATGAGCTGGCCAGATTGTAGAGGTTTCGGAGGACGAGGATGGCACTGTGAGAGGCACCGATGACGCCTACCGTCTGGGTTTCCTTGTTGGGGAGAATATTGGAGAGGAGAGGTGGGTTCAAAGCTGGATCGAGACCAATGTCCACCAGGTTGTCTACAGGAAGTGGCCTGGTAGTTGGTGAGGAGCCGGTGCACAAGACGAGTAAGTCGGCGGAAACATTTGTCGGATTGGGAAATTTCTCATCTAGCGAGTCGACGGTTATGTTCCAGCTGTTGGACTTGATGCTATCAGCTATTGACCTAAATAGTATATTTGTGTAGCAGAAACTCACATCTGACCACGATGCACCAGACACGTCACCAAGCTGCTTGTGGACTCCTTTCGACTCATTTAAGCCTTTGGTGAGCATGAGACAGAGGTCTGCTGCTTGGGCAATGTGACAAGTATCTTCTTCATCAAGACTCTTGAGATGAGTGTATGCATTGGGGGTAGGCGTCTCTTTAGCCACTTGCACAAATGGTGCTACGCCTTCAGCATATGATATGAAGCGTTTGACCTTGGTGTTACTGTTGAGATGTGAGATCACGTGCCGCCTCCTTTCATTGGATAACAAACATACCTTGGAACTTCTCTGTAGTATTTGTTGAGACGGCCAGCTTTCAATTCGTGATCAATCCATAGAATAGGGCTTTTCTTTTGTTCCAATAGGTTGCCTACTACGGCAATACCTGCTGGGCCTGGGCAGGGTAAGCGTTAGCCTTCTGGATGGGACTGCAACATCGTTTTTGAGACCAAAAATTGAACAACGACAAGCAGATCTAGAACACTTCCTGGGTGCTTCACGAATGCCGGAGCAAGATACGTAATCAAATGTACTTACCAGCACCGACAACCACAGCCTCATACTTTGTATCACTCTTCATCTCCGAAAATCTTCTCACCCCGGTATTCCTGGATCCCACCATCAAATTCGCAGCACAGAATAGAACCGTCCGCGAAGGCAACACCCTAATGGGCGCTGCACGCATAGGTAGAACCATGTTGGCAAATAGGTATGTGGCCAATCCCAAGACCCGATAATGGGTTTGGACGTATTTGTGTCTGACTCTACCAGCAATTGCGAGCTGTGAGACTAGGTGAGATGCAGGTTGCCGATGCCGGATGCGCTCGAATTCCCTATCGGTGGTGTGTTTGGTCTGGGAAGACTCCGCTGGTCGAGACTCAGAAGTGTGCTTAAAACGCAAGCTTCTTCACAAGAGGGAAAGCTAATTCTGCAAGGGGTTACGGAATGGGAGAGGGTTGGAGTGTTTTGGAGGTTGAAGATCAATTTTAAGGTTTTGGGTCTAAAAGGCTTGTTTTTTCGCCACAAGCGAGGAATGATGAAGGCGTGATTGACCAACTTTTATTTACTACCTTAGTGCTTATCCTAATTATCCAATAATTACTCCTCAGAAGTGGTTTGAGTTTATCGGTAAGCCTGATCTCTTTTTGATTCGGAGACACTGGGATTCTTGGTACACTGACTATCGAGTCAGGCGGCGTGACTCCCCAATTTTCAGATGCTCCCGCTTCTCAAAGGCATCCGTAGTTGGTGTAGCACAGAGGTAATACCCTTGATTGAATGCAGCATAACCTAAGGTGTTTCTTGAGGACAGGGATAATTTGTGTAAGATATCTTCGCTATGGAGTCTCTGTTTCAACGATATTTCCTCCATCATTGAATCTTTTTCGACGATGTAGCTCCCTGCTGGGCCTTTGGCTTCCCTATCCCTATCAAACCAATTACAAAGTACGCAACCCAACAGAGGGCTGCCAACGCACTATAAGTGAATGGAGGCTGCAGTTTCTTCTGTGGCCCCATGGCATAAGCATCTGGATTTTGAGATTTGTAAACGTAATATCCTGTGTCATAGACCAAAAGGAGGACGGTCATACTGAACATCGATATTTGGATACAACTCCTTCGTGGAACATTAGCCATAGCTGCAATAATCTCATCGAGTCTCTCTGCCATTTTGACGTCTGAGAATTCGCGTTTGACCCTATCGATGCCGGCAGTACCCATTTTTTTGATGTCCTTGTCCGATATCTTGTGCAGTACGTTATTCATGACTGCTGTCCAGCGTTTGGTGTCCTCGGGTGGGCACAGCCAACCAGTTTTTCCTTCGACTACTGTTTCGAGTGGCCCTCCAGTGTTTGCAGCCAAGACAGGAACTCCGGCTAACATTGCTTCCAGCGGCACGATGCCGAAGTGCTCGTTAGAAGGAGTATATATCAGCAAACGAGCCGATTTGAGCAAAACATCTTTCAATGCGTTTGGCACTGATAATAAGAAAAGGATATCGACGTTGTCTGGGACATTCAAGGCCGTGACTATCGTTTTGGTTGTTGCGGTCTTGAGACCTAGACTCTCAGCCAATTGGACAAGTTCCTTGTGATAGACAACATTCTCTTGAACTCGGTTGTCGTAGCCGCCTGAAACAGTTAATGCCATATACTTGAAAGTCCTCAGAAATACTGACCTGCAAGAATCAACATCACATTCTCGCGTGCTTTCTTCTCTAAGCCAGCATATGCTTTGATTGCAAGTCCTATATCCTTCTTCCTTTCGAACCTGTTTATGCTCAATAGTATGCTCTTATCATGCCACGCTGAAACGGGTTCATCAAAAAAGTCAGGCTTCTTCTCCTTGATGTCCACACAAGGATACACAATCTGCAAATCTTTCTCTGCCACCAGATCCGGCCACACACTACCTACAACGCCCTTCGTAAAACCCGAGTTTACCGCAATAGAATCCGCGAAACTCATGCTCCACTGCTCGATGAAGTCGAAAGGTACTCTGTACACCCGCTTCCACCATGCTGAACGGCCTTGCGCCAACAGAAGATCTGGGAAGTGGCAGTAGAACAGTATTCGCGGCTCGGGATACAGATAAGCCAGCCACGGCAGTCCAGCGCTGAGTTGGTCGACGAAAAAGGCATCTGGTTTCAGCTTCTTGAACTCGGAATAATAGTATGTTGCGAAGATAATGTGAAGCTGGCGGAGGATGGCGCATATGATCGTGAACCGAGAGAAAATGGAGGCAGGTATAAGCCAGTTACCGCGGACTCGTACATCAAGAGTACCTAGTACGCAGATCAGAGGCTGGAGTTATCCAAGGAAGGGAACTTTTACCGTCTCGCGCTTCATCAAAGCAGTGTTTTGGATCACAATGGCTGGTGAAGATAACGACTTTGTACCCGCGATTCTGAAGTCCCACGGCGGCATCAATTACCAACCGTTCTGCGCCTCCGATTCCTAAATCAGGATGGAAGAAGATCATGGTCTTCTTTTTGTTTGTGTCCGATGCCATATTTTGTTAGGACAGGGAACTGTGAAATGGTTGGAGTTTATTATGCCAGATTTCGATTCCACCCCGATGCCAAGAGCTCAGGCTCAGCCTCGCGCTTATTTTACAGTACACTGCTGTAGCTTCTGGCATGTGATTGGGTCCCGGTTATCTATCGACCCTCAGCCTTGCAGCTAATCTTGCTTCGTTCGAGGTTCCAGGTCCTTTGTTTGGCTGTCAAGCAATTAAAGTAGCATATCGTAGTGAAAACTTCTTGCAATCAGACTTGGACGATCAGACTCCAAAGCTTCAAATATTTTGTTAATACAAGTCTTTCATCGCACTGGAGTACTATTTCTATTCCGGCCCGACTTAGTTTTTGTGTCTAATATCCATCTTTCCCTCCACAGATCCTTCTTCCACCCCATTGACATCAATCTTTCTCTGCAACTCATCGACCTTCTTCCTGTACCAATCCAGCCTCGTCTTGAGATCCGGAAAATGCATTTCCACATCTGCCTCCAAACTTTTGATTCCGCCGGGCGTCGACACCCTCCTGGCGCGAGGGCTGGCGTGGTAGGTCAAGGTGAATGACAGGAGAAAATAAGAAGCAGCGCACGCGACCCAGCTATGACTACCCAAAGTTATGGTGAGAAAAAACCAGATGAGTGTGGGGATCGGAGCAGCGCTGTATGGAAGGTAGTACCACCAACGCGCTTGGTCGTAGAATAGGAGTGGCTTGTACATCTCTCAGGACCAGTGTTTCTGGAGAGTGAGCACGTATTGTTGTTACTATTTTCACCATGTTAAAAGCCAAGGACGGAGCAAATGGTATTTCAGGATAAGTCGCAGCGAGACTGGTATTCGATAATGAGCTTTCAAAGTCAAGGAAGTGGGGACACTGGGGAGTGACAAAAGTTGGATGCGTGTTGGGCGACGGACTAGACCTTGAAAAGTGAATGAATACGGGCCCAGATGACAGTGCCAGGACAAGTTGTGAGCTTGCCAGAGCGCCAATGATAAGCCCTGGGTCGAGCCAACTGGCTTTTTCTGGCCCCTTTATTCTCGCCAATTGTTATGCCAATTGTTATGCCAAGTCGGAAGAATCGAGAAGAGGCAATCATGGACGTGCTTGGTCCTGTGCCCGGAACACCCTCATTTAACCTGCCCGTTTATGATACGACGTTTATGCTTGATCAGAGCCTGCTACTCTAAAATGGGGAGACAAAACGACCGAACGCAAGAAGAGAACAACCGTTTCTTTGCCCGCTCATATAAGTCAGGTCGATTTCCCGTTCGTTTTTCGGATTTAATACTGTCCGAACACTTCTCTTGTCATAATCAAACCATTTCAAATCATACCAGTCGTAGCCATGAAGTCTACAAGAAACGTTGCCGCCTTCCTGATATGTCTTCCCATCAGTACCCTCACGGTCGGTCTTCGCTTCGAGCGCTCTGAGCCAGCTCCTTTGGCAAGACCAGCACCGATATCCGCCAACTCCGAAGTCCAGGTTCTTGGTTCTCAAACAGACATCGACTGGGTAGAGCTCATTGTACCAGGCTACGAGAAGGGCAGTAATATCGAACCTCCCGTACGGGAATTCATCCCCACATACCACTGGACCAAACCGGAGGATCTCTAGTCTTGAGAGCTCTTGCAACTTAGGGCTCCTGTTCTATTTTTCACAGTTTTCTAGGGTACCCATACCTACTATTTTGTAAGTCTCGTAAGCCCATCGCTCTTCTATGTGACGTGTTCTTTAAGTGTAATCGGGGAGAAATGTAACGTCTTGGTCTCGTAACACCGAGAATATTGTACTCATTTACTTGTATTTGAAGACGTGCTGATCACCACTTTGCAACAGATATGTCATCGCCCATTCACCAAGATCGATGACCCTGGTCCAACAAATACCTGCGGAGCACGCCAGCCAGTACTGGTACCCAAGCAATTTGCAAATGAATTATTCCAGTTCTGCCTATTCGCGATCATAGCATCGCTGTGCATACAACTCGTTTCACATTGGGAGATACGTCGACCGATCATCCTTTATTTAATGTTTTTGATGGCCTGCTGCTCATCGAGAAGCTTTACATTGGATTGAACCATTGTAATGTCGGAGCTGACTGCATATATTACGGAGTCGTGTGGCGTAGGTTTTTTACTGTAGCCCTGAAGTGTGGAGAGAACCGTTTATCCAAGAAGTTGAGATCTATGGAGTAATGTGTACATGTGGTGGTAAGAGACTAGCCTGCTGGGTCGCTCTCACCTCTGGGGTCCGTGGTTGTAATTCATATAGTTCTGAGCAAAAGACTGAGGGGAACATAGAGACCGAATTCTAATTTCAGGTGCGTTTGGCATTCTGCCTCTTTTTAAGCACACTTTTTGAGTACTGCGGTGGCGCGTTCTCAGTCCTTTGGTTACTACAATTATGTGCACTACTCTTGTTGCTCTAATATTCGCAGATATACAGCATCCAACTTTCATGATCCTTATGCCGGTGGAAGACAGTCACGAATATTCTGCCGTGGTTTAGTTCTGAGGCCTCATCCTTGTGCTCTATTAGTAGCTTGCGACTGCAAAGTTCTTCAAACATGATGCACTAATCGATATGCAATCATTGTCGAAATTCAAAATTCGACAGCCGCAGTCCATTGCATTAGTCTGTCTAGAAGACGAGCCTTTCCTGCTCGCATCACTGTCAAAGAATCGGCGTTTACATCGGCTGTGGAATTGGCGAGAACAACAAAAAGAAAGACAGCCACAGTCCGTAAGCTCTTATCAGGCTTACACAGAACCAGAAATTGATTACGACAGAGATACAAACTCTTTATTGCAGCTCGAGACTTTTAGATCATGGTACTAAATGACGATCAGGTTAACACTATCAACACAATTATGTCCACCCATATCCAGACATGTTAGTCGGTGACACGTGACGTCTACATTTCTCACCTCATAGAATGAAGTAAGTGGCCCAGAGGCGGTGATCTCAAACTGGAAGGCTTTTGTATGACCGATCTTTCCCTCAACTTGTTAAATACCGCTGAAGCACAGTCGACCTCAACTGTATCTTCCTACTTATCTATTTATGTCTCGCAACCTCTCACTAATTGCCGACAGCCACCTAGCTCTTATCTGGTAGATGAGCAAGGACTTCTGTAGGAAGGGCATGGAAGAGGCTGTGACATCAGGCCAGTGGATGGTTGAACTTGATGTCCCATTTCGGCTTACTTCCTTCAATCCCTCTGTCTCGCTTGTCGCCATTGGTGGGCCGTCGGTAGGGATTCTGGATGCCAGATGCATGCTGAATAGTTGCATCCACACCACTTGTGATTCTCCCCTGCTAAGCAAATATCTTGAGTAGATTTGCACAACAGAATTCGGGTCCTGCAGACCGGATTGTATGTTTATGTTATGTTAGTCTGCAGTTCTTGGATATTCTACGGCACCCATTCTCCATTCCCCGCGCTCCGCTTTTGGCAAGCCGCTCTCCAAAAGTGAGCCGAGGTCCAGACTCACATGTTGTTGATTAGTATTTTCAGCCTTATCAACAACTCCAGGGCTGCAACATAAGCTCTACATTTATCATATAACATTCAAACCTACCAGCCTCCAATTCTATTCAGCATTATCCAATATGGCGGCCCAACCTCTTTTCACAGTCCCCATCCTCAGCACCGACAAGAAGACCTCCGGCACCGTCGTCTGCACAACTCCATCACCTGCAGTTTACATTCTTACATTCACATCCCCACCCGATAACCGCCTTTTAACATCCTTCTGCCAATCTATCATCCTCGCCCTAGATATTCTCGAGTTCTCGTATCCACATGGAGTAGTGATTACCACGTCTGGAATTCAAAAGTTCTTCAGTAATGGTCTAGATTTGGAACATGCCTCGAATACGGAGGGGTTCTTCCCCAATAGCATGTATGCTCTATTTAAGAGATTATTAACGTATGTATTCCTCCTAAAGTACTATTTGTATCTTCTTCTTGTGGGTGTAGAAATGCTTTACTAATAACATCTTGTTTGAAGATATCCCATGCCAACAGTAGCCCTTGTCAACGGCCACGCCTTTGCAGGCGGTTTCATGCTTGCCATGTACCACGATTACCGCATCTTCAATCCCACACGAGGCTTCCTCTGTCTCAATGAGCTCGATCTCGGTGTCCCCCTCAAACCAGCCATGTCCTCGGTCTTCCGGCAGAAACTAAGGCCGGAAGTCTACAAGGTGATGGTTCTAGAAGCGAAACGGTTCAGTGGGAAAGATGCGCTGGATGGCGGCATTGTGGACGGGCTGGGAGGAATGGAGGAGGCGTTGAAGTTCGTGGAGGAGAGGGCATTGACGCAGAGGAGCAAGACAGGAGTTTATGGATTTTTGAAGGCGGAGATGTGGAGGGAGACGGTGGGCTATTTGGAGGGACATGAAAGGGAGGAGAAGAGGGACAAGGAGGGATTGAGGAAGGATGATGAGAGGAGGGAAGTGGGGAGAAAGAGAGTTGCTGAGTGGGAGAAGAATGCTAATAAAGCCAAACTGTAAGACCATGAGTGGGAGGTATTAATGTCTCACAGAGATGATATTCGTATGCGTTGGCCCGTCTGCCCCAAAATTCTATTTTCATAAACGGTATCGTGCAGTCATTATCGATACCTCCATTCCGATATACACAGTAACTCCACCCATACCATTAAACCCAAACACCATGCTATTTTACACCATAATCATACTCGCAACACGTCACACTCGTAGTAGACAACATGTTATGCAAAACTGTCCTCCCCAGGCCATCTCTCTTCAACGGGCTTCTCAGGCTCCGGCTCGAAACCCGCATTCTCTTCCTCAGATCCCTGTTCTGTCCCTGCTTCCCCTGGGCGAGGTTCAAAAACCCCTGCTTGAACCAAAGCTTCCCAGACCTTGTCCTTGCTTTGTAGTAAGAACTTCGTGATCTCCAGACCATCCAGTGTCTTGACTCGGCGACAGTTAGTCAGAATCATCACCTCGTACACCCTCCTGAGCATTCGCGTGTCCATATCTAAACACGCCACGTACTTGTCATCCTGTCCCCTATCCGCGGTTCCCAGAGTGAAGGGATCCTGGGCTGATGTTTCATCTTCATCCATGTCCTGTCGTGAGATCATTCTATTTTCCGTCACGGCAGGGTAGAAACCAAGTGTAAGGGGATTGCCTCGTAGATCAGCCAATGCCAGTGTCGGGAACTGTGCCAGCACGCAGACAGCTGATCTCAACCTGGCTAGTCGATTGCCAGCTAGGTGAAGCTTCTTCAGACGGGCAATGCCAACCAGGGGCTTGATATCCCTCAGTGCATTGAAGTTGAGATTCAAGACTCTGGTATTGGGAAATGTGTGTCCAAAATCATCTGGTAGGGATTCGATACCACAATTTGCAAGCTCCAAGTACTGCAAATTAAGGAAATCAACTTGAGGTTCGAAAGTCCCCAGAAAGTTGCCGGAGAGGAAGAGTTTGCGCACTTCGCACGCATCGGAGAGAAATGATTTGTCGATGACAGTGCCATTTTGCTGCTCCCTTATCGACAGACTGTCGAGGTATTTAGTCTTCAAAAGACCAGACACCATCCCTAGGCGATTCCGGTCTAGATAAAGCAGGCGTAAGTTTGGAAGCATGCTGACATCAATGTTCTCCAGATTGTTGCCACTCAATTTCAAGTACCTCAGACCTCCCACCACGTCATTCATGGAGAAATCGGACAAGCGATTATCTTCTAGATCTAGTGCTGAGAGCGATCGCAACTCTTGGAGATTTCGAACATCAGTGATGTTGTTGTTCCTCACATCAAGGTCCGAAAGGCGTAGAAGCATGGTGTTCTGGAAGTCGATTGAAGTGATAGCGTTCCCACGTAAACGAAGACTGAGGAGGCCATCCAGCTGATTCACACCATCCAAGCTTTTGATCTTGTTGTTATCTGCTCGGATGCCTCTCAAGTGGATAAGAGACCTAAACGCCGACATAGTTTCCAGCTCGTTATTCGAAACATCGATGTACTGCAAGTTATGCAAATGGTTCCAAGCAGCAAGGTCGTTCAGGCAGTTGTGCGATACACGGAGACTTCGGGTTGTTGTAGGCACGCCATCCAGCTGTCGGATGTGGTTGTGAGAGACATCGAGTTGTACTAGCTCTTCACAAAATTCGTTGAGCTTGTGGAGATTTGTTAGCCTTTTGTCCCTGAGGCTGAGTTCTTTAATATTCTCCCAGAATGGTTCGTAAGGCTCCACTTCTGTGAGTTTCTCCACCAGGTCCTTTATCGACAGAGAAAGGGCTTTCTTGGAGGCACTTCCGACAGTATACCGATGTCCTTGGGCAACATAGCTAACATCAAGGCCCAGCGACACATCCGCTTGGTGCACAGTAAAGTCCGAAAGTGGCGTCAATGTAAGTGTTCCAACCTCATGACTTGGACGAGGTGTAGCGAGGATGATATCTGATACGTGTCTGGATGGGACAGGGGTCGATACAATGACACTGACACTTCGCCTTTGTTGGTGTGTCAAGTTCTCACTTGTCGAGTCTTCGTCTTGCTCGTCGATGCGGGACACAGGACGAGCGGGAAACTTGTGGCCTCTTAGAGACATACGACGAGATGTACTTCTAAATGTAGACCGTGTCTTCGTTGAGGAGCTCCTCTGCGAGGAGGTGTTTGCTTTTTTCAGAACGATGATACTGTCATTGCCACCATCCTCGTCAGCGTCCATCTGGAGCTGGCTGGTATCACTAGGGTCACGGTCCATGCTGCTGTCGGCATCATATGTCGATGCCTGAATGATTGATGCTAGAGGAGATGAGAAGGAGATGGTGACATTTCGTCTTCTTTGAGGACTTTGAGAGTCCACTCGATCCTCATGAATCGATATCTCTCGTTCGACTTCATCTGCAACAATTTTTTTCGTTTCGGCATGTATGGACTTCTCGGGAATGTCAGGCTGCCTCTTAGGGGGAGATGCGCTCTTATGCGACTGAGATTCTGATTCCGTACTTGGAGTGTGCTGCTCTGACGAAAGTTGCGCAACGCCGGATTGCTCCTGCAATAACTTGTGATCGGCATACGCTTGTGGTCCAATGTTAGACATTGCAGTAGCTGGCAAGGAGGACTGCGTTGACGTGTTGTCACGTTGCTCTTGAAACAATCGCTCGTCTTCCTTACGTTTAGCAGCCACTGCTTTGATCCTCTGCAGTTCCTGAGTCTCATCAACAGAAAGATCGGGGATATCGCCGAAGGGGTCTTCATCAGTTTCGTCTGATGGAAGGAAGTTCCTTGCACCGTTATCAGAGCCTGCAGTCCTGGTCTTGACCCACTTCTTGCTCTCGTGATCGAATACCATGCCAGCTAATTGTTCCGGAATAAGGTGAGAAACTGTATGCGGAGCAATAACTCGACGTGAATCCGAGCCCCTTGAAGATCCCGTAGGAATTGAACGGGCTGTGGATTGTCCAGAAGAGCCATTCGACCCTTGGGAAAGGAAGTCTGCTTCATGATCCTCACCAGTACGGACGGAGGATGTTGAATGCTTTCGCTTTCGCTGCGCATCGGGATTCTGAGAGATTCGAATGTTGGGTGGCTCGCTCTCAACGGTGTCTGCTGGAATCATCGACCGACTGGACGATCTGGCGATGGCCTCATCTGTTCTTCGATCAATCTCCTTTGCTACATCGGCAGCTTCCTTAGCCATTGCGATGGATCTCATAGAAGAAGCGATGACTCCATTTATATCACTTGTTTCCTGGTATTTCCTCAAGTGATCCAACAAAGCTGGGTCTTCTTGCTTGAGAGGCAGTCGTAGTAAAGGTTTTCCGTCTCGACTTGGCGGTCTGGAGAACGGTTCTTGTGTGGACTCCTGGAAAGAATCTTCAACGTCAAGTATTCCCCCTTCAGCCGGAACGCCGCGGTCATTCTCAGACTCGGATTCTTCTAGACTTGTCAAGCCACTCCTAGGCCGCGTTTTTCCTCGAATGCCGGCCATAATTTTTTTCGCCTCGTCCAAAAAGTCTTGTGTAGTAACGGAGCCCTTTCGACTTTCGTCCAGCATGTGTTGTCCAACGCCTAGAGCAGCAGACATCCTGAAAGGACCCGTCGAATCTAGCTCAGCTTGTATTTTCGCTAGCTTCTGTTCTTGTTGTCGCTTGGTCCTTTGTGAAGATGTGAGGGTTTCTTCCAGAACAGGTGCGCTTTCGTGTTGCTGGCTGCTACGTTGACTTGGAGTTGGTGTTCGAGGTCGCAGAATCTGACGCATTGCCAGGACCTTTGGATTTGCCGCCTGTTGATCGTCGCCATGCCTAGCATCCTTTCGTTTCCTCCCAACGACCGACTGCATCTGATTGTGAGTGTCTCTCAATGGATCCAGTTCGCCTGTGCTTTCTCTTCGCTCTGCAAGGTTGGTCTCAGAATTGTTCAAAGTGCGTCGACGTTTCGGGGTTGGATCTTTTAGCGGCGTTTTGGGAAGTCGCTTGCCTTCGGAATCACCGTTCCGCTTCCTAGGAGTTTTGAGGTTTTCAGCCTGGGGCGAGAAAGCATCCACCGAGGTCACAGAACTACCTGTCCCAGGTCTGGTAGATTTGCGGATGCTGGTGATTTTTCTTGTCGTGCTTGTTCTGGTCGTGTACTTGGCTCTATGATGAATAACAACATCGTCGCTTAGCTCGGGTGATGGCTCAAGTTGAAACTTAAACGAGCTCTGGGTATTTGGGTTGAGGACTGGTAGCGCCATATTTTCCTTATCTTCGTCTCCTGCATTGGACCCAATTGTGTTGTACGACCCTTCACTGAATTCAAAGCTGTCTAGCTCACCAGCACCAAAGCTATTCATCTTTCTTCCCTGACCGCGCTGAATGCGACTCGCCTCGGCTGGCCTTTGTGGACTCGACGCTGCTACAAAAGCATCGTTTAATTCAGGACGAGTAAAGTCTTGCATCGCCCCAGAAGCTTCGGTACTATGTTGGTCCAAATCCCCTTCAAATTGACTGAGTCTTCGAAGTAATTTTTGATTGGTGAAAGTATCATATGTACCAAATATCTTCAGAGGACTGCCTGAGCTACTCTTCGAGCTTTTCTCAGTTGACTTCTTAGGACTTTGGTGAGGCGTGTGTACTTCTGCAGTTGATACAGGAGCCAGAACAGCTTTTTGATACTCATTCGATGCCCTCGTTTTGCGGATATTTGGAAGCTCCTTTGGGGTGCTCGCTTGCATCGATTCTTCGGGTAACATTGTTGATTCATCAATGGCTGGTAGAGAGGATGGGCTCAACATCCTTTTCTGAAATGAACCTTCTTGAGATTGGCCGCCTCGCTTGAGATTGACAAAACGACCATTGTGTGCGAAGTCGTCGGTTTCGGTAGTTATGTCCACAGGAAGGACTTCGGAACTCTCGTTTTGATACTGGCTGGACTGTCCTGGTGTACTTTCTCGAATTATGTCAAGCCTCCGTTTTAGCTCGGCGGGAGGTAAATTCAGTGCAGCGTAGTCAATCTTGCCATCAACGGTATTGTGCCTTGCAATATAAATAGGACTCAGTTTCTCGTTTCTAATATCACTTTGTCCGCTGACTGTTCGTCCTGCATCTTGCACATGTACAATAGAAGACTCCTGCTCGGATGTTGAACCAATGCGAACGCCTGTTATTTGGGCTGGTCGGTCTGGTGTTGGAACAGGTCTGAAAGAACTGCCACGGCTTAAGTCGTCCACAGAGAAGTCGCTCCCGCCTTCATCTGCCAACCTGTAGTTCATCGCTCGGGGTTGCTGTCGATTTCTGACTCCATCGTGTTGCTCCTCGTCCGCTCCACTGTCCTGGCTGATTTCGCGGTTCCGACTGTATGGCGGAGGGCTGGACGGCATCACGCTGTCCTCGTCAAATTCTCCCACCTGTGGCACTTTATTTGATCCTGCGATCTGAGTAGGTGGTGGTCGAAATATGTTTTCTAGACCAGCCGGACTGAATAGATCACGCTGCTCGCCATATGCAACATCTCCATGGAGAAGACGCCTCTTCCATTCTGGGGTCTCATGGATTCCTCTCTTGGGGGACAAGCTGACAGACTTGTGTTCGATTGTGTGGTATTGTACAGATTGGGTGGTAGAAGCAGAGAGGGTTCTGGAAATCCGCCTTCCACGTGAACCATTCGTGATCTCGCGAAGTTTCGATGGCCCTCGTTGCGACAAGGGGATGTTGTGTTCGTTCGTGCTTCTTTCACTTAGAGGACTATTTTCTCCGTCATGCGCAGATGTCCATGCCTTCTTCTGTGGATTATATTTGGGTATGCGACTCGAGGCGGGACGAGGTTTCGAAGATTCAGAGGTGCTATTCGACAATGATGGCAGCGAGGGAGCTGGCGAGCCAGATGATCGTGGCTGGGAAACCCAATCCTCTGAAAGCGAGTCCAACCAAGCCTGCTCCATCATGTAGGTAGGAGGGAGGTGGAAATATGTGGGTGGTGGTTGCGACGTCTATGGGTGTGACATAGGTGCGATTGAATTGTTGTTTTGAGACTGAAGGAGAATCGCGTGGTTGAAAGGCTCTGTTGTTGTCGCGTGTTAAAAAGATAAATTCGAAGAGAGCGGCGAATCTGGGATGTAGAAAGTAAGGGGATACTGTTGTTAGTAAATTCGGAGCCGTCGACGCGGTTTTCGACCTTGTGTATCTTCTTAGTCTTAGTCTCAGTCTCAGTCTCGGCCACCTCCTCGAGGTTCTCGCGTTGTGATTAAGGTATCGACCAGGGCCGTGGCTGCCCTGACAACCACGTCTTGGCACGCGATAGGGTTGGGTCGGGTGTTTATGTCAGAATTGCCCCACCGAACGACCCCGCGAACGATACCAAGGAACCTTCAATGGTAAGCCTGAGAGACATGACGAGAACCTAACGTACAAAACCTAGTGATCAATTTGTGGTGCCCATGATACTTACATAGGACTGTCGATCTAAAGTGGGTTGGATCGCCTTCAATTATTATCTACATCGCATGATGCAGCACTGAATCGAACTACCTACACAGGTAGGTAGAGCCTCCGCTGTGGCCTACTGCAAGTGTTGAGGATGTACCTTTCATTTGGTAGCTACAGTGCCCCTTGTCCGAGTCAGGTTACATGTCATAGTTGAAATGTCTGATATCAAACCGTCAACTCATGCACGACAGGCAGAAAATTTGGGCACCCTCGACTTGGGGTAGTCTGCTATCACGTGTGCACTTTACGCCAAAGTCACGAAAATTCGCGTTCAGTAACCGTGTCAACCGAATATCAGCCGCGGGTGTTTTTCGAACGCCTCACCTTGGCCGACTTCATACCAACAACACCCCCGCTATCAGCTCGATGCAGTGCGAAGACGTATTCACCACTGCTCTCCGGGGAACTTGCCATGGAGCCCTATAGCAGCTCTTACATTTCTGAGGAACAAGACGAAGAGCCTTATCATTGTTCGCCGGCCTACGATGAGGAGGATATTGTTTGTTTAGGATCCGACTCCGAGCAGACACCAGAGGAAATCACTCGGAAGCGCCAGCGGTACGAGGCAGAAGCACAAAGGTGTATCAAGGGGAAACTGCCACTTCTGCAATCTGCAAGCCTGAAAGGCCCTTTCGACACCGGTTGGACCAATCCTTGGAGATATCGACCCAAAAAGAAGCAAGATGAAGACTGGTGGCAGCCAGGTTCTGAGGATATGTTGTTTACAAGGGCTAAAGTTATGGAACGTGCTGCTGCTCATGGGCTTGGTTACCTGAAGCCCGTAGATGCGCTTCGATGTGAGTTTCTCTATCTACCTGTATCTCTCGAGAATCCCTTGCCCCCGTAAATACAGACACAGTAGCTAAGTGTTATCTTGGAACGCAGGGTGCAAAGCTACAGCACAAGCCGAAGCCGAAGCCATTAATGAGACCAATATACAGAGCGGACAAATTATGAGATCAGTAGAGCGAGACGATTTGCAAGAACCAGATAATATGATTGATACACCTGCAGGCGATGATGTCAACCAAGGTCGGATGAATTACAGTCCTTCACGTTCCCCAGATAATCCCGAGCTATCAATGCTCAATCATGACAGTAAAACGCCACACACGAGCCTTGGTCTGGACAACAAAAATATGATGAAGCGACCTGCTGATTCGCAATGGCTTAAGGGATCTTACGTATCGAAACGGGCCCGATGGGAAGGACCTGCGGTTCCCTCCCCGACTCCTCTACCTGATGTGCTGGAGCGAGATCGGCGCAGGCGCCAATTATCTGCGAGGAAACTCGATCAATCCAAAGTCAAGGTATACAAGTCTTCCCACTTGTCAAAGAGCTTTCCGAATAATGAATCTGGGGAGGTTCCTATACATCGCCTGGCACAAATCAGAAATCTAGAGATTCCACAGGAGCCCCATTGTCAATCGGATTATGGAGCCATTTCTACTTTTGTTTGTGAGAAGAGAACTTCTCATATCGGATATGAAGATTTCGGGCACCAGCCTGACGATCTTGATGAGCTTCAGGACAACTCGCAGGAGGATTTTTTTCGGCCAGCTCCACGATCCAGCGTCAAGTCCAAAAAGGTCCAAGCACCTATCGATAATCGATCTCTTTCCGACCTCGAGCCGGACGATTTGATTGCCATCAAGCCTCGTACCAAGCAAAGTACTGGCGTCTCTGTTGATCACAGCCCAACATCTGATAGTTGTATATTGAATAGAGATCTCGATGATTCGTACGATCTGCCGGAACTACCTCGCAGCTATCGAAAACGAACTGCAGGTGACGACTATGAAGATGAAGACAGTTTTGTTACAGAAGTGGCACCCTCTTCCAGGAATGTGGAGAAATTTCAGTTTAGAAAGCGAAGGTCAAGATCACAGATGCCTGTAAGGAGAGAGGAAAATTGCGGGATAAGCGAAGATGGACGAAATATAATATCGGATGCGCAATCACGGCAATCGGTAGGCAGATATAAACCACCCGGTGTCATACAAAGAGCAGATGAAACACCAGAATACCTTTCGCACGAGCAAGTCAGCTCGATCAGAGCGCCACCAAGGGACGAAAACCCACTACGAGAAAGCCAAGCGACACCCCCTAAGAGCGAAAAGCCTAAGAGCGAAAAGGCTAACTCGAGCTGGGATCAGGCGACTGATGTAAATCAAAGCTCCTCGTTTACTCGTGAGGCCAACGTTCCTCAGAATACGTCGCCTCCAAAGTCGACAAGCTCTAGATCGGCATCTCCAATCACCACTCCCAAACACAGAGCGGAGACTTCACTGCTCTCGTCACTCACCGGTCACTTGCTGAGGTCCTTTAGGAAGTCAGACAAACCTCCAGCTGCAGAAAAGGAGCCTCGGATACCTGTGTGCTCGAACGAAATGAGCACGCAATCATTTAACACTACCCCGCCAGGATCGTTGGTCAGATCAGATCGGAAATGCCTATTGCGCGAACCCATTAGTCAGCAATCCAAGGCAAAAGCAAAGTTGCAAAGATCAATTCCTACCGAGATGGATATGATTCAACTTGCTTTGTCGCAGACATGCCCAAGTCCCAGCAGCGAAGACAGGCTCCACGAGAGGACAGAGGGACCTTCACAAGAGATTTGCATTGAAGATGCTCTTGCGAGCAAAGCGAAAGGCTTGGAGCCTCGTCAAACCGGTGGCAATGTTTCATCACCCGATATCCGCTCTCAGACTCAGAGGGGACTGGCTCTTGCGCTCCCTGATATGGAGTTCACATCATTTACTGATGAATCATTCTTGTTCCTAGGAGGATACTTGACGGAAACAGCAAATGAAGTAGCAGCTGCTGCTCCTGAAGACAATCAAGAAAAGAAATCACGCCCGGGTATCATCCAACATCGATCCCCAGCATCGGTCAATGAAGTGGTGGGAATTAGGCTACAGGAACATAGCCGAATGGTTTCAGAGAATGTTCAAACCAGCAGGGCTGCTTCTCGTGAGACGGTTGGTGAACCTGTAGATGAGACTCGACCGCTCGCCCTTGGCACATCTGAAGATGTTGGGATTGAGAAAGATCTGGAGGATATAGATGTCCAAGACAAAAGCAATATTCAGATAAGTTGCCAGAGTGTTGGTGTTACCAATAGTGCTAGAGCTGCTTCTGAGGCTGAGTATCGGGACCAACTTTCAGATGACTACTCATCTCATAGCATTCCCGGCTTAGCTATATTTGAGGGAGACGAGAGCACTTTTAATACCGCTCAAAAACACCTTGACAGCAAACTTGCCAATCGAGATGCCCGGTCCACATTTGCTGCTTCACCTAGACATCAATCTCAGCGGTCACTTGAAAATGGCATTCAAGATGACTGGATTGAGATGCCTGGGACGGCCACGAGGGAGCAGGGCAGCAAGATAGCCACTGACAGCGACCAGAACAGCAAGAAGACTACTGCTGCATCTGTTATTCGACACGATGAGGCGGCAGCAGTTCGGCCTGGTGACCAGCGTGATGAGCCTGCCAATGGGTCCGAAACCAGCTGGGAAGGATGCGGCCCACAAAGTCCTTGGGCCGATGAGAAGATGGAGCTACTGCCCACTGTTTTTTCAAGGAGGCAATCAGAGGATGCGTCGCCAAGGCACACAAAGTGTAATGAAAGTTACCACACAGAGCCTGCAAGGCTAGGAAATAGGCCGTTGACTGAGGAAGTGAGCTGGGTAGCAATTCGGCGACCCTCTACCCCCGACTGCGGTGGCATAAAACCATTCAGAGATTTCTCAACTCCAACAGCGTCCCCTGGAAGTCGAACTGCCGACCTTAGGCGTACCTCGATCGATACTCTATCACTAGATGCCGCGATGCGGAACCCTTGGACAAGTAGTTCCAAGAATCGGTCTCCAGCAAAGTCTAGAAAACGTGTATCGTTTGGCATTATGCCTCTAGACGAAGAATCACTGCAGGGCAGAGCCCGCCCTGAGAAAAACACCCCGCGTTCCCCACCTCCGGCACAAGCAGACCCTACCGACCAAGAAGAGGATATATTTCACGATGGGACGACTGTAACAACCACATTTAACAAACACTTCGTAGCAGCCTCCAGACCTAGACAGTTCAGGCGTATCCTGCCAGAGGTCAGAGCTTCTCAATTGAATAGCAGTCCGGCTAAGCTTGAGGCTCAAGCCGAGGCATTTATTGCTGCGGATCATGATATTCCAACTGACCAGGGGCCAACTTCTGTCAATGTAACTGCTTCGCGGCATCTTACGGCTCGGAGTGATAGCAATACCAACAGCAGCTGGAATGACAAGGGGGAGGGGGAGGACGATGGCTCGATGCTTGGTAGTCCTTTTTCCCGCAGTCCCTTGGAAAGAGTACCAGGGAGACAAACTTCACTCAAGACATTCGACATGGCTTTGGCGCTTGGAGAAGCTGCTGGCTTTCTGGAGGACTGGTCCGTTGATACCGTGCTGAAGCCTGTGAAGGAGAGAGATTCTACCAATCGTGATGACAGTAATGGAATGAGAAGGAGAAAACTATTCGGACTGTTGTAAAAATGGGCTCGCTTGAGAGCGCCGTCCGACTGACGGGATGTTGGACAGCTGCGTGCTTTGGCAGGATATGGGAACGGTAAAGGAGTCATGGCTTTAGATACCCTTGCTTGCAACTGTTATTAGCAGTGTATGAACGGCCGATAGAAGTACTGGACTGCATGAAACAACAGCTTGAAGTCCCAGACGTTCTCTGAAGTGAAGTTCAGAACTCTGTCTCAACCGCTGGATCTTGTCGTTCCATGGGGTCGAATCTGTTGACATGTCCAAATTCCCAATCGAATCGTCCTGGACTCCTGGCAGCATAACTGAATCTTTGCATTATTCCCTTACTGGGCAGCAATGGGGTAATTTGGTTGTACAGGAGGTATCATGTATCCCTCTGCACTACAACTGTCGAAAGGCGGTCAATAACGTTCGCACGTTGCGCGATGATAGGTTGAAATTGCACGCTGCCCAAGCCCATGTCCTGAGCACCAGGGGCGTGGTCCCATTCCATTGAAGCTCCGGGGACTGGAGATGTCTCCTCCGTATGGACAACCTGAACTCTGCTGCGGTTAGTGGTTTTGCTGTTGAGCTGTTCAACGGTCAATGCAGGGATGAAGCGTGTTCTGGGTGAACTGATAGAGGGCCAAAATCAGAGTTTATTAGGTTGTAAGCTATCCAAGGGGAATGTGAGCGTCGAGAGACAATTTTCGATGATAGTCAGGTCCTGGGTGTCTCGCATGCATTGTTGGTAATATGTGAGAGGTACACCAATCCATAGGTGATCGATGGACAAGACATGGTCCTGTATGGTGTTGAAGGGACAGGGAGCACAAAGACTTCTCCATGCTATGGAACGGTTGTGTGGACCCATTGGTGAGATGTGGATGTGGCGCTCATGACGATTGCCCAGGTGCTCGCTTCCCACCACTCTGGCCCGCCATTTCAATTGCCATCCATCCTGGCTCAGCCCTGGAAACTTTCTCCACCCAAAACATCCAACCTCACGGTCCTCACCACAGTCGCAAACCAACCACCTCACGTCCTGCGCCCACACACTCCTTCATACGACCATCCAAATCCGATCCTTTGCAAGGTAATCGCACCGTCCCGCTAGACAGGGCTTGCGCCAGGCCGGCTATCTTCCCGCTGCAATTTCGAGCCGTCCGGTCCTGCGTTCCATAGTCTCACCTCCCCCAGAATCAACCATACCCATTGACGACCCGTACCTGCGAATCATATTCCCACATTGCACGACGACTCGATAGATGTCCGCCTCATGTCAAGCTCGCCTCCCGAGCCCGAAAATGCCGCTCCCTCCGGGACGGTGAGGCCTGAAAGCGTTCCTAAGATTTCGCAGGATGGAGATCATAACAAAAATGTGCGACGGCCATGGACACAACCACCGCGGACGAAATCTGCTTCTTTGCTGACACAAGCCCTGGCTACGAGTTACGAAGCAGATGAACATCCTACAAACTCATTCACCGACTCCCCAGACACGTATCAACCGGAGCTAGACTTTCCACAACAGAATGATTCACGGCGCAATGAAGTGAACAATGCTCAGGACGAGCGCTTTCCCACACAATTTGCGGAATCCAGCAGATCAATGCCAGCAGCAGGTATGCGGACAGCTGGGAGTCCAGGTAGCACCTCAACATCAACCTTCACCCACTTCAATCTTCATGACATGAGACATGTCAACTCTCTCCTCATGAGCCACCGAGACTTTTTGGGCTCATCCAAAGGACGAGGGACCTCTCTAGAACGAACCGAAAAAGAGAAACGGGTTGAGGATCTTCCGAAAGGAACATATTCGACAAATGCTGGAGATACAGGTCTGACCCGACCATCAACACCGACAGCCCCCGCATCTGTCGAACCTATTACCACCAATCCACCAACTGATGGACTCCGCGCACAATATAGATCTTGGAGAGATGCTCGCCCTACCACAGCTGCTGAGAAGGCATGGTCGATTGGCGAACATGGAAGTCATGATAGCGACGGCGGTCAAGTCGAGAAGTCTATAGCTGAAGCACTTGCCGGAGTTGAACCAAACAACCGAAGCAGAAAAGCAAGTCACAGCTTACGTTTCTTTCGCGAGGGCTTACCCGAGGACAAAGCTGTGAAGAAGGATGTCAAAAACCGAGGACGTTCAAAGGATGGCTTAAGCCGTGGCAAGAGTTATTCGGATCAGCCAAGGCTCAAAAGTGGCCCTCAATCACCCCGCGAGGATGGGGCCTATTCTGCTGCGAGTCCAGGGCTTGATAGAGCAAGTCTTCTCCAATCTGGCCTCGAAACGAGAACATCCAAGCGTGATGATTACCTGCCTTTAAATCCTACTGAAGGTCTTGCAGCCGAAGCTGGCTATTTTGACTCCTCGCATACCATTGAAACAGTGTCTGAAGAGCAGCTAAAGGAGCTGCCAGCCCAGTTACTTGCAGACATTCGAAAACACCACAATCTTACTCCTGGTGCAACAAAAGGCTCCTCGTTCTCGCAAAGCATACCTGTCACTGCATCCGAAAGACCGCAATCGATAACGACCAAGTCAGAAGTTGCAGGAGAAGGCACAATCGTCAAGGAAATTGTTGAGGATTCTGAAGAGGCTTGCGATGGGGCTGAACTGTCACACATCAAGAGTGCAGATGAAGACGATGATTCGGGAGAAGAACAAATATCTTCTGCATTGTTTGTCCCTCACAAAACCCCTCATGATTCCCCTGAGCGCGAAAGGGGTGAGAAGCATAGCGATGTTGAGCTTGACCAGGAGCATGAACAAGACAATTCCAACTCGCAGTGGTTAGAAGAGCATGCTGTTCCGTCCCGCGATGTGGATGAGAAATACCTAAGTCACGAAACCAACTCTCGGCCACTGGCGTCGCCCTCAGATATAAAACCTTCGAAGTCGCGTTCTGAAGCCGATGTGACTGCTGCTGCGGTAACAGAACCCGGTGATACTGATCGTGATTCCCAAGATGACGGAGGATATACAACCCTCGGAGAGGATTCAGTCATACTTGATGATGACCCTGATACAACACCCACGGGATCTCTGAAGCCAATCGCCCCAGTCCCACCCACGACAACCCAACCCCTCCATGATCATCAGCAGAAACCAAAGCAACCTCTAGAAACCATTGAGCTGATACCCTATCGTCACCAAGTTGGCGGTCATACGACCATGTGGAGATTTTCCAAGCGTGCCGTGTGCAAGCAACTAAACAACAGCGAGAACAAGTTTTATGAAACTGTCGAACAGTATCATCCTGCATTGCTGAAGTTCCTTCCCAGGTATGCACATTTCCGTTCCCGTCTCGACCCATAGGGCCTTCACGCTGAGTCTTACAAAGACACTACCCTGCAATCCTCTTAAATCGGCATGTCTTTCATCGCTAACCGAATAAATCCAATTGATTTCAGGTACATTGGTGTTCTCAACGTTACTTTTGAGAAGCAGAATCGACGCAAGTCAACAAAAAAGGACGATGCCGAGGCAACTGACGAGCGCCAAGACTATGTCCAGCCCACTCCGGAGGAAATGCCGAAAGGAGAATTTCTGGCCGAAAATACCAGCAATGGTTATGCTTCAGCGACTGGCCATGAAGAGAAGAGAGTGATCAGTCAATCGCTTAACTCATCCTCTGAGCCCATACCAACCGTGACGGTCGCAGATAATCGACATATTCTCCCGTCAAGCTTCTTAAAACCTCGTACACTGTATGCAGATTATCACCTTCGGTCCTTGAGCGACACTACATCGTCCTCAACTCCTAATCTCGGTCACTTTCCTCACAACTCCGAGAGTGATGTTACTGGTAGGCCGAAGTTGTACGAAAAGCCAGCACAGAGCTGGGGTGCGACAACTGTGAATAAGGACTTGCGAAATGAAGTCTTCACAGACGCGTTCTGGGGACAACCAATCCCGATTCAGAGCCACAAGAAGCCCGCGTCTCGAACTCGTTCCCTGCACAGTCGTAAAGGATCTGGCTTGCGTAATTCAAGCTCTGAGTCAAGTCTCAAGACTGCCCAGCAAACTCAAGCAGCTTCTACGCATCCGGCTGAAGAATCGATTCGGAAGAAAGCAATGAGAACTGCTGCCGAACGACAAATGGGACTGACCCCACTGACGGAAATCGAGCCCATCGAAGCGCAAAATGCAGTTGTTGAGGACGGTGACGCTGAGTTGGACGAAAAGACAGGCACCAGTGCACCAGAACCCGAGATCGCTTACACAGAAGGTGTTCGGAGTAGCAAGCGTCAAAGACGTTACTCCAGCGGCGGATTGCGTCGTAAACCATCGGAAGTAGCTGATGACCGAGGCAGCCTCAAGTACTTCGAAGAAGCTGACGATGCTGGTTACAAGGGCGACGTTGAGGAAGAAGTCTTCTTGATGGATGCCGACCCTATCAAAAAGCCTTTGATCTCAACCAAACTCAAAGCGCACACCCAAGACTTAGCCACAAATAGCGCTGAGAATTCAACTATGCCAAAGCCTACTGAGATGAAGGAGTCCACATCAATTGACATGCTACCAGCGTCCCCGGAAGAACCACCGAAGTTCGTCAATATGCCACGTCCTGTGAACCCGAAGGAGGCTCGTGCTCAGCCTGGATCCCGCGTTGAGTACTTCCTACTCCTTGAAGATTTGACAGCCGGGATGAAGCGTCCATGCATCATGGACCTCAAGATGGGAACTCGTCAATATGGCGTCGAGGCCAATGCGAAGAAGCAACTATCTCAGCGCCGTAAATGCGAGGCAACAACATCGAAAGAGCTTGGCGTCAGGGTTTGTGGGCTACAAGTCTGGGACGTTAAGAGTCAAAGCTATATCTTCCAAGACAAGTACTTTGGGAGGGATCTGAAAGTTGGCCTGGAGTTCCAGAACGCTCTTAAAAGATTCCTGTATGACGGTATCGATTACTCCAGTGTGCTCCGACACATCCCGACTATTCTTTCGAAACTTTCGAAGCTCGAAGTCATCATTCGAGGTCTCGCGGGATATCGATTCTATGCTGCTAGTTTACTCATGTTCTATGACGGCAACACAGAGGAAGTGGATGAGAGCGATAATGGGCGAAATGAAAATGGTGTGCGAAATAAGAAAAAGGACATTGATTTCAAGATCGCAGATTTTGCCAACTGCGTCACGCTTGAGGACTCTCGCTTTCAGGACCGGCCATGTCCTCCTCTGCACCCAGATTCTCCTGACAACGGCTTTTTGCGTGGTTTGAGGAGCTTGAGGAAGTACTTCATAGCGATCCAAGCGGAGATACGTGCTGAGATGGGCATGTCGTTAGGATCTGAGGATAGAGACAATGGAGTTGACCTCATAGATGAGGATGATGCTGGTAATGTCAGCTATTGATTCTTTGGGATGAAAAGGATGGTTTGGCGCTTGTTATATGCATTTATTATTCTTCCATTCTACGTTCAACCAGGTGCTGGAGTACGGTCTGCGCATACCCTTGCATATGGCAAAAGGCGTTGTTGGCTTTGGAGTTTGTCGTCTAGATACCTTTAAACTTTTGCTCCCAAGAGCTGCGTATATTACTTTCAATGGTACAACATGATATTACGGTTATTTTGCCGACATGTTGTAATCTAGATGCTATGTGACATGTGATTCTGTCTGAGTACGAGACTCTGTTTTGTTTTCATCGTCTAAAGTTGACTTGACCGAAGGGTTCTTGGCATTTATTTCTAGGTCATGTGTTAGCGGGTCTTGAACAACGCGAAAATGACGCGATGAAGATGAGCTAGTAAACATCCACAACGACATCGACTCCGGACAATACAGCGCCGACGAGCATTCCTGAGCTACGAATCTATGCCTGAAGCTAGCAATCTGCATTTAATCGCCTGCCAATTGGCTCGTAAACATGCCAGCTCCCGTCGTCATTGACCTGCTGTCCTCTCCAGAGTTGCCACCAGCGCGTCCAGCTGCATCAAGACCTGCACCGACTTCTAACCTCTCGAGTTCAGAAGTTACTGGGTTCATTGATCTTTCTTCCGATAATATATCTGCGTCCCTATTGAACCTAGACCCAAATCGACTTCATTCCGCTGTCGCAACCACAAAGATTGATTCCATCTCAACGGGTTCACAGCCCACATTTTCCAAAAGCAAAGCAGCCCCAGCAGTCGTCAAAGGCCACAAAGACTTTTATTTCTTGTCGGACGATTTCGATAGTACTGTCAACCTCGATGATAGTATTTCCAAGGTAGAAGACGACCCGTTTGCTTCAGATCCTCCTCTTCCCCCCACCAAAAGGCGACGAGTCTCTGTCTCCCCCAAACCCATCAAACGAACATCCGCAGCGTTTAAGAGAACGAAAACGACTGGATCGGCTGTCGTGGATGATATTACTTTTACAAGCTCCCCGGATTTCCTTGCGGAGGCAACGAACAGACGAAGGGAGAAATGGAAGCAAAGCCGACAAGACAATTTAGAGGAGGACATATCTGCTGACAAAGAGATCATCATGAAGCCGAGCAACATCCAAGGGACGGGTTGGTCTTTCAGTGCCCTTGATGAGAAGCCCGAAGATTCGGACGAGGAACTGCCTGATCTTGCTTCTGTGGCGAAGATTGTAAAACCATTATTCAGATCTTCGAACTCACAAAATGCCCTTGACAAATATAATGCGGACAAAGCCAAGGAAAAGGCTGCTAAGGAGAAGCTTGATAAGGTTAAGGATAAGTCTGAGAAGGCGAAGGAGAGAACTGAGAAGTCGAAGGAAAAGGCGGCTGCTAAGGAGGTTGAAAAGGAGGAGAAGCGACTCGAGAAAGAAAGGAAGGCCCACGAGAAGAAATTGGCCACCGAGCTAGCGAAGGTCAATACCTTGAAGACTGACAAGAAGATCTCAACGCCAGAAATGATCGTTGACTTGCCTTCCTCATTGAATTCCATACTCTTGGAACAGGCCTACAAGATGCTCCGTCAGCATGACGTTGAGTATACCGACAGGGAGAGCGAATTGCCTGTAGTCAGGTGGAGGAGGAAGGTGGAGGCCAAGTACAATGAAGAAGCCGGCCACTGGGAACCTACACCACTTCATATCCAGCAAGAGAAACACATCATGTGTGTGCTCAGCGCTCAGAAATTAGTACATCTCATCACCGGCGCAGAAGGTCAGGATTTGAATACCTACACTTTGAGACTGAAAGCGAAATTTGAGCCGTGCGAGGTCATCTACTTGGTTGAAGGTTATATGGGTTGGATGAGGAAGAACAAAACACTGCTAAATAGGCAGTATACTGCTGCAGTGCGAAGCCATGTTCAAAGCCAAAACGAAGCTCCCAGCACCAGCCAGCGGAAAAAGAAGAAGGAACCGGAATACGTGAATGAAGACTTGATCGAAGATGCTCTGTTGAGATTGCAAATCCATCATAACACCTTCATTCACCATACTAACGCCATGGTTGAAACTGCCGAGTGGATCCTTAACTTCACGCAGCACATTTCCTCGATACCATACAAGTAAGCTCTGATCCCGATATTATCCTTTCTCACCTCCAGGTCGTCGGAAGTGCATGCTAACATTTGAACCCAGAACTCAGAAGGCATCCCTAGACACCGGCTTCTGCATGGACACTGGGCAGGTCAAGACCGGCGACGACGCAGCCGATACTTACGTCCGCATGCTTCAAGAGGTTTTCCGTGTCACGCCATCTATTGCGTACGGAATCGTGGCCGAATTCCCGACTTTGCGAGAATTAGTGAAGACATTAAAGGCCCAAGGTCCATTGGCGTTGGAGGACTGCAGGAAATCAACTAATAAAGACGGAGCGTTTTCTGATAAGCGCATTGGTCCTGCTATCAGTAAAAAGATCTACAAAGTTTTTACGGAGTCAGATCCTGGTGTTTGGATCGTGTAACTTCCTGTTGTTTTGATAGTTGCTGGGGTGTTTGGGGCGTTGGAACTCATGTCGATGATCCGGTGTCGACTTTGAAATTGCATTGTTCTTTCTGCAACTTAGGAATGGTCACGGATATAGGGATCTGGCGGTCAGGCACATGGGTTATGCTAAAGGCTTCAGTAACATCATTATGAGATATTGAAATGAAGCGTTTATAATACTACAGAAGGGTATGTTATGATGCCACGTTTGTTTCTCGCTTAATCGGAAATATAGTTGTGCAGAACCAATACCAACAATAATTTGGATTTCAAGCACTGAATTACCACTCGCATGTTATTTTGCGGTCTGACAATATTAGGAATTACTTGCAAACTCCGGATCCTTCACCAGTGAGTGAACATCCGATCACTCCAGTTCGTCACTGAAATCTTTTCCAAGAAGTGCCCGCTCAACCAAAACAAAACAACTCAAGGATCACAATACAATGGCCCAGACCCACACCACCCCCATTTCGAGCAGCAAAGCCCAGGTCCACACGGCCCACCAGTTGTACCGCAATTCGTCGGTGTTGCAGTCGGTGGCTTGGATGTGGAAGTCGGCGTTGGCGTCGGCTTGGATGTCGTCGTTCCACAGAACTCAACACCGCTCCCACAGTATCCATACTTGGAGCAGCAGAGTCCAGCACCACATGTGCCCCCGACCCCTCCTACGCATGAACCAGCCTGGCCTGGGGCTTGTCAGTGATAGTTGTGGCTTGGAAAGTTTGTGGGGGCTCACAGTATTCTGGCCCGGTGCCGCAGTAGCCCCAGATTGAACAGCAGAGACCTGGTGCACAGATACCACCTACGCAGGCGCCGAGCTGGCGACCTGCTATTTCTGGGGTGGAAGCAAGTGGAGTTGCGAAAGTCGCTGTAAACAGAGAGGCGGAAGCGAGGATGGTTGTAAGGCTGAAGACCTGCATGTTGATGGGAAGTAGAGAGATAAGGCTGAGGAACCGAAAGTGACGGTGTTTACTCGGGGTATACAAACGATTCGAAATTCGACAGGAAAATGATGAAATATGGACTGGATGAAAAGGGTCCACTGCTTTCTTATACTCAATTCTTAGTGTACCAGGTCGAATACGAGAATTGGTCTTGTCCTCCAGTGCTGACTAGTTTGGTGGTCTGAAGCATATGCCATATTGGTCTGGAGTAATACCAGAGATGAGGGGAACCTTGACGATCAGTGCCTGAAGTGACGCCGTGGACTGCGATTACCTATTTTCTTGCATGCATCAGCACGAATTCAGCCATACAAAGTCACACAGCGCTGAAGTTTCCTGATTTTTGGGAGATGGAAACGCCTTTAGCGAGATCCAGGAGATGATCAACGGGGGATCTTCCGCGGACTACTGCACCACCTCCTGGGACGGATTTTCAGCTATATGTATCAGCAGATCTACATGATGAGGCTGGTAGCTGGTAGCGTGAGGAGGGTGTGGTGATTTTCAGGGCGAGAGATTCGCCGGAATTCAAGATTACTTAATCATAAAGCATCTGATATGCATGACATTCCGTCAGCGGCACAACGTGTTGTCCGTATTGTCTTGGCGCACAAAAGCTGCTGGAATTATTTTATAGCATGTCTTGTATAGAATCTTAGCTGTGCGGGTTGTTCTGGTAGATCTTGACTAAGGAGTTACTTCGTGTTTGGCAAGACCCTAGTTGTCACAATTTAGCAAGAGCTGCTTTTGCTCAGATGCAGAGAAGAATTCCATCGTCTCGAACGTGGTCCAGAGAGTCTAAGAAATGGAGACTATCAGATTGAAATGCGAGTGGATGAGTACACAAAGTTGATGCCGTGAAGTGAGAAAATTGCAGAGTCAGAATTCCAGTAGTATTTTTCATGTAACTGCACAGGGACTACAATATTCACTAGGCGATTCTTCGTTCTAGCCATAATATTCATTTCAATACCTTCAGCATGTATCATGGACCACTGGCCCACTGAACATTCATGCTGCTTTATCAAAGTCCTGAAACGGATACCTACCTGTCAATTGCTCACGACCCTCTCCCGTCACAAAACAGTCCTGAAAAGTGGATTTGCAATGGCGGCATCAGCAACCATGAACGGGTATTCAAACAACTCACAACAATAATCTAACGATATCTCCAGTTTCCAATCAAAGGGTGTCAATGATGACAGAAGCCATGTGCTCGATATCGAACAAAAGTAATACCTCCAGAAATGTATTTGAATACTTACTCAAAGTCTCTATCAGTCCTCGGTCTCAACAATGGAACGACATCCAGAAATAATATCCAAATACAAAGATCATGATGATTGATGAGGCAGTCATTCAAGCTGGTGCGAAGGAGGTGATCACCTTTGCATGGCAGGGTATGGACGCCGTGGTAGAACGCTCGATACCTGTCCCGACACGCCTTGAGACGAGGCAAGAGTACGTCCTAGGAAAGGTTAGCCCTGGCAAGAATTATAGGGAGGTAATGAGGAAGGGGATTTTGTTTGGAGCGGAGCGAACGCATCTGGAGCGTGCGAAGGAGCTTGTGAACTAGGTGAACGGAGAGAAGTTGAATTACAACTGGTGAGGAAATTGAACGATAGCTCGTCAAGATACTACCATTAACTCAAATGAACGTGAATGATCCCTAGAAGGTCTTGATATTCGACGGAGACATTCGAGTTCTCATGCTTCGGAATCAGGAATAGGGGCAATCACGCCTGCCCCACCCGCAAGCGAGACTCCTGCTTCTCCATCTGAACTTCTTTTGAAGGACAAGCTTTCCTACAAGCTTTGCGTCGATGACTATCTGAACCACTCATCTCTTCGCCTACTATTCATAGTCTTGGAGTACGGGCACGAGATGCACGGCATCCGGCGGATCATGACACAGGATGGGCTGGCAGGCCGAAAATATGGTCCGAGGGCCGTGTATCAGACCGCCCAGACCGAGACTCTAGGAGTTTCAAAGCTTGTGCTGGCCTCACCACAGCCCCCAAGGAGCCGAATCCAACCAGTGAGCTTCTCCAAATGATAGGATTTCATTGAGAAAGGTCCAGGCCGTTTCGATTCTCCCAGCTGTATCCTGTGGTGGGCTGGGATGCGCGGTTACGATTTCCTCTGATCTTCGGCTGTGCTGCCCCACTTTGGAAACTCCCCAAGTCGAGGGTACCATCGTCTCTTCTTCCTGTAGAGTTTGCTCCTTTGACATCTCCAACTCCATTTGGGCGGGCGACCAATTGTCCTTTGTTTCTACTCACAATCATTCCATTCATTCTTTCGCTGCGCGACCTTGTTCTTACTTCCATCAGAACCTTTGACAGGCCTCTAGCTAATTCTTCACTCTTTTGTGCGATTTCAACGACCTCAAATATCTTTCCTCGACGACCCTGGCGGCTCCTTATTAACAAATATCCAGAGCTTTGCTTGCTCATTCTTTCTTTCTATACTATCGACTTTCATAATTTCATAATGCGCATTCAAAACTTAGTATGGCGGTCGCTGTTAGTTCAGTCCGCAGCCGCGATCACAGTAGACCCAACATCGTCCGGTAAGGTCCAGCGATACGAACATGATCAGAAGTGTGAAGTCTGACCATCGTATTCTTCTAGCCTCCATAAAATCAGCTGCAAGTACAGCGGCGCATGGTCTGCTCACATTTTACCACGGAAACGAAACTGTACGTTTGTCCCGAACATCTAGACCTTCGATGGCGAACAATTTATTTGTGTATTGGAATGATATATCATTATTTCGACATATCATTCATACTTCTTGGTGCTAACTTTTCAAAGGGCCAAATACCAGGGCTATTACCTCCGCCACATTTCTGGTGGGAAACGGGTGGGATGTTCATGACGCTGATAGATTACTGGAGGTATACGGGCGACACGACATACAACAGCTTAGTATCGGAAGGCATGCTATTCCAGACAGGCCCAGAGCAAGACTTCATGCCTCCCAACCAGACCAAAACCGAAGGAAACGACGATCAAGGGTTCTGGGCTATGGCAGCTATGTTAGCAGCAGAAACAAATTTCCCCAATCCTCCACCGGACCAACCACAATGGGTTGCCTTGGCTCAAGCAGTCTTTAATGAGATGGCTTCGCGGTGGGACACTTCAACCTGCGGTGGGGGTCTGAGATGGCAGATTTTCCCATTCAACAACGGTTTCAACTACAAGAACAGTATCGCCAATGGCTGCTTCTTCAACTTGGGTGCTAGGCTGGCGAGATACACCGGAAATCAGACATATGCAAACTGGGCTTCTAAAGTATGGGATTGGGAAGCTTCTATCGGCCTGATAGATGATAAGTTCAATATCTACGACGGAGCACAAGACAAAACGAACTGCACAACCATCGATCGCTTACAATGGACATACAATGCAGGAATCTACTTGCATGGAGCAGCAAACCTCTATAACTTGGTAAGTGTATCCACGAATATGTGAACCACATACACTAACATCTTCACAGACAGATGGCTCCTCTCTCTGGGGCGACCGCGTCTCCGGAATCCTCAACCGCAGCAGTCAAGTCTTCTTCAAAGACAACGTAATGATCGAACAAGCCTGCGAGAACGGCAACAACTGCAACATCGACCAGTCCTCATTCAAAGCCTTCTTCTCATCCTGGCTCGCCAGCACCTCCATCCTCGCCCCCTTCACCGCACCCACCATCGCACCACTCCTCGCATCCTCGGCCAAAGCCGCCGGTTTGCAATGCTCGGGCGGACCAGACGGCAAGACCTGTGGGTTCAAATGGACGACTGGTGCTGCCTATGATGGAACCACTGGTGTAGGACAACAGATGAGTGCTCTGGGAATTTTGCAGAGCGCCATGGTTCAGATCCCTAGAAAGGCTGTCAGTACAGGTGGATCGACTGGTGGGACCTCAAACTCGGGAGGAAATACTGGATCTTCAGGAGGATCTGTTCAAGATGACTCTCTTCCCAGCTTCGCACCCGTGACAAACACCACTGGTGGTACCAGCGTAGGCGATGCATCCGCTGGAATCAGCAAGCCTGGAGGGTATGAGGTCAAGGAGATCAAGATTACGACGAAAGATACCATTGCGGCGAGTTTCGTGACCATCGGGATTGTGGGCAGTGTGATCGGAGGGAGCATCATCATGGTTTTGGAGAGTTAAGTTGTGGTAGAATCTTGGGTATTCTGGTTTCTCCGTGTGGATTTTCTTGTCGAGCATTTCCAGCATCGCTGTTCTTAAGCATAGGGTTTGGCGTGGCGTTATAAGAAGAGGTTGTGCATAGTTGGTAGTAAGGGTGTCTTGCACCAGTCAGTGTCTTAACCATTTGATGTACTGTAAATTGGCTGGATCATAGGGTTTGATATCCATAAATTACACAAAGGACGCTGTCAAGAATTCTTCTTCTTCGCCATCTAGCAGCATGTGGAGTAGATATGCTCTTGTACCTGATCTTGTCCAATAACAAGTTTTGCCAACCCCAGAGGTAGTTCTCAGTCCTAATGAATGGATTGCTGGATCAGAGAGAGTTGGATATATCCCATTTCCAGCCGTATCCTCAGCCCCACCTGTCCATTCATGTTTTTGACTGCCCGATAGAGAGACCAAAATACAACGCTTCATCCTAGCTCTGCAAGTGAAAGAATATGTCTAATCCTTGGTGTGAGGGATAGTGAAAGTGGACCAAAAAAGAAAAGGAGGAGTAAGTGAAAATAGACTATGTCCAACTGTTGTCAGATGTTGGAGGTGTTTGCTGTTGAATGGACAAAGAGAGGAGGTGGAAGTAAAACATGATGTAGAGGTTTGGGCGAACCATAGCCCGAAACCTACGTATAAGCGTCATGGAGGAGAGTGGCATGACTAGGACGAATGCTGGGAGACTATTTGCTGTCAAAGTGTCGGAGAGTCCACTGAAATCCCAAGTAAAACGTCCTAGACACAAACAGCAAACCAAATAAAGTCGATTGAAAGTCTTCCGTAGCACCAAAAGTATGGAAATGGCAATTTTGATATCCAAGCATTCATTCAAGTCTTTCCGCTCTACCACTACAACCTTCATCCAGAAACCTATATACAAGAAACGACTCTCTTATTCAGGACTTATTCGTCCCTACTGTTATCCAAGGAGTGAACGGCCAACGCCATTAAGATATCTTTGAAACGACCACAGCCAAGTCACAGCAAAAGGAAACGCAATGCTCCAACCCTTCGAAAATGCAGCAGTCAAACCCAGACCCAGATCAATCCAGATACAGTTCGATTTATATAGCCATCACTGCAATAACTGCAACGATTCCTGCGAAGAGGCTGCCTTTCAGCACCTTTTCTTGGCCAACTTTATCAGCACCGCTCTTCGTGGTATCGGAGCCCGATGCGCTGCTTCCGCTTCCTTGAGTGAATCCACCGGAGCCTGAGCCACTGCTCCCGGAATCGGTTGAACCAGATCCAGAGTCGCTGGTGGACGTGCTTGCAGGGTCAATACCAGCGGCGCTGGAAGATGGAGAGGAATGGGTGTCGACACCTGCTGGATCACCTCCCGACACACCTGGAACAGACTCAGCTGTGACTGTGGGCTTGGCTGCTGCAGATGTTCCTGATGGCTTGCCGAGATCCATGTTCTCTCCATTTGCTTGGAAAGAACCAAGGACTGTGGGTTTCTTTCCATCAACGACGGTATCATTGGTACCAGCGTATCCGTTATAAGTATATGAGACACCGTTGTTGGTTCCTGGGGCTGAGGTAGCATTGTAGCATTCCATGGTCACAGATTCAAAAGTTGCGTAGTAATATCCGTTGGTCTTGATGTCAACATTGTTGTCGAAATCAACAAGTCCTCCAGCCCAGTCAATCGTTCCCTTGCCGTTGGTTGGAAGTCCACCGGGCCATAGAGAAAGTTGAACACGAGCAGGTGTTTGTGGGTACTTCCACTGGTTGGAAGTGGCGTTCCAGGTATCGGCTTTCTTGAGAGTACGGCCGACCTGTCCATCAATCTTCCATTCGACGATATCTGGAGTCCAGTTGATTTCATAGGTATGGTAATTGTCGAAAGTATCCGAGAGAGAAATGTTGGCACCATTGACGTCTGTCTAAAATTAGTATACTTTCAGAATAAGCATGAACATTAAGTACTCACAATCTGGGATACCCTGGAAGTAGAAGTTGGATTGAGCATTCTCCAAATCAACACCAACAAACTCATAATCAATTTCGTCCTTGACATCAGAGAGCAAAATAAATGCAGTGACCACACCAGCGCCTCTGCTAGTCTTGAACTTTGCCTTCACGTTTCCGTACCACATGTACGTAGTACTTGCGAGCAACGTTCCAACACTGTCCGGGGGCATGGTCAAGAGAACATTATTCTGGTACGAAATGGGCTCTCCGCTGGATACCCAATCCGCCTTTGTGGCATCTCCAAGGTACTTGGTGTTGGGCTGGACCATGTCCAGGTTCTCGAATGTGTGGACCTTGCTCTGGCAGACGGGTGCGGGTGCGCAAGAGTCGAGTTTGAATGACGATCGAGGATCACAACCTCCCAAACAATATGCTCCAACACCGCATGATCCGTATTCTATTTACAATGTTAGTATGAAATTTAATAAATTAAAGTTTGATATTGACTTACGCGAACAGCAAGGAGTATCCGAGGGACACTTCTTATCCAAACCACAGCTAGGAGCAGCAGCAAAAACCGTTGAGGCTGAGGCCAAAACGGCCACAAGAGTCGAAGTTCGAACCATTATGTATATTGACACAAAAAATGCTGGAGAACAAATAGAAATGGCGATCGAGTCGAATGATTATTGGCGACGCGACCGTTGGGCTTCGATTCAAACAAATAAGAAGCAGAAGTCGAAGGATTCCCTTGCCGCAATTCTTTCAACGGGAAGGCGCAGGCTGAGGCTTTCCTGGGAACAAATAGGAAAGTGAATCAGATCCTGATTGAAGGAGTCTAGGAAGGGGCGTAGGAGACGAGGCCGATCTTTATTGGACGAGTCGTCCTGTTGCTTGCTTTGATCGTGACTTCTTGTCTCTCCTTAAAACAGTTTGGGCGAAAGGGTTGAATGAAAATGCTTAAGTGTTGATGCCGTGCAAATATTCTATAGCGAAAGTGAGGGTCCAGCGAGGGGAATTGGACAAGATGTCCGAGCGATGAGTCGAGTCGAAACGAATCGATTGTCGATGTTGTCGTGGTTGTCGAGTGGGATGAACTGGAGAAGAAAGAGAGCGAGAAACTGGATTGGAGATGATGGAGAGACTTTCACGGAGGCGAACAGGCCCGCCCGACAAGCAAAGCACAGCATGCACAAGACAGCACAGCACAGGGGCAAAAACGAGTGGTGGACCAACATTTGCTGTATTGCATTGCATCGCCCGCCGCTTGGCGTAACTGACAAAGGACGGCGCAGCTCACTAACCCTTCCGTGTCTAGCAGCATCACCAAAAAGGATGGAGAGCGAGCTAGAAATGGTTCTGACCAGTAAGGACTTGATTACCCCTGACATGAAACCTATTATTGTTCTGCTTCTAACCCGCGAAGTATGTAGCGCATGTCGCGGCCAAATGGTCCTTAAAGCAGCAACAGAACAAGTGCGGAGAGCGATGCCGATCTCTTCGTATTTGGTGGAGATATGAACTCCCTGCACTGGATGATGGTGGGTGGGTGCGCAAATGCAGCATTCTGGCTCACCCCCAAGAAAAAGCGACACCAAACATCATCTACTTGTCTCCAGGTGGGTGCGATACGAAGAAATCTTCGCGTCGCAGCCAAATCACGAAGATCGTGGGTCTTGATATCCTTTGCTGTTAAACTTTAAGCTTAACGTTATTCTTGTTCTAATGCGACATCACGAGCCTAATCAGACAACAAATCTGGTGTTCTGCAACAGCGGAAGAAACTGGATGAGCAGCGGTATATTCAGCCAGTGTTGAGCATCCGCTCTCATATTTTGTCAATCATATATGTTTATGACGACAACTCTGTTCCTGTGTTTCTAGTATTTAATAAACATAATTTCTGCTCATCACCGCTGGTTCAGCAACATCCAAATACATTCCACATGTGTTTTATCTGTCTTAGCGACCAAAAAATCCTTCTCATATCATTACAATCAAAACACCACCCCTCTCCCGAAGTCTCGCGAAATACAGCCCTCAATCCAACTCCACCTTCCCTCTCATCTCTCTCGTGACATCTTCTCCACCAACATTTCAAATCTCCGAAAAAAAATGTCTCCAAGCAATCTACCTTACAGGAGAAAGCAGGTTCCGACCCACCGTGGGAGTTGCATTTTCCTGAAATAACGACCTCTCGACTGCTAAGAATTTCTTATCACTATCAATTGACTGTCAATTGACAGTTACTAGAATTTTATAACAGTGATATGATTATTATTCTAGGAAAGTGCCCCTCTCACGGTGGGTCGGAACCTGCCTTTTCCTTTAAGGTATCTCCCCTTGGCACAGATCTCGGGCATTTCCCTACTGTACCCCACACTCCAGCATCAACACCTTTCTTCGGGTATGCCACGACCAAAAAAGCAAGTCGGCAACCCCACAACTTTCTGCACGAACAAACTTCATTTCAAGACGACCTTGCAGCTTGCAGAAAACTGTGCAGAAAAGTCGTGGTGACCTCCGCACGATACATGCAAGTAAGTTTTTGCGACGACCCAGGCGATCGATCAGTCGTCCAAGATGTCAGATCACCATTCATCCATCAATCATCCATCCATGGAGAAGTTTCTCCCCGCTCCAGAGATCTACTGCCTCTGCTTCTAAACATGTTGCCGGAAAGACACAGATAGGCAGGCAGCAAGACTTGTCTGATAGCACAAGATAAATATGCTCTAGCCATGCTAGATCCTGCAAGAAGCCGAATCATGGAATTCGAACCGAACCTCCAGTACACGTGTACCGAACCGATCGAGTTCCTTGTACTATCATACCTCTGCAAGCGAGGTGAGTGTAGGTAGGGCTCGGTAGGCCAGGGGTAGTCGTATCTAAGTAGCATCGAAGGGTATCATTTACGTACAGAGGAGCTCCAACAAGTCCCGGACAAGAACCGAGATGTCGCAGGTTCCTAGTGCTATGCTGCGCTGCGCTGCAACGCGATGTGACGAGATGCGATGGGGTGGGCTGGGCTGGGGCGGAGATGTAATGTGATGAGATGAGATGGGAGATAGGGGGTGTGATACGATATGCTTTGCCTGGGTCAATGATCCTAGATCCTGGCGGTTGTAACTTTTGGGATAAGCGTGCACAGCAGATACCGAGTTCCGGTTCCGAGCTCAACAAACAGCTGTAAGTCGTTCTGTAAGTCGACCTTGGAGTCAAGTACTTTGTAAGTATTTTCTGGAAATCCTCCCTTGCTCACTTGCGCATCTGCTACATGCCAATGAAGAGTTACCACCTGCTCGCTCGAAATTATACGGTGGAGTGAAGCCACACCCGATTTGCAAATCATTGATTTAAGCTTCCAAGGTATCATTCCCGCACGCATTCGCATTTTAATCCATTGGGTATTTCGTCCCCTATCGTATCAAAGTCCAATCACAGCCAAGTCCAGTCCGGCCCTCGTCAATCAGATCAAAGCAATCGATTCAAATCGAGTCCCCATCCCACTCCTATAAGTCCATCTCAGAACCAGGAAGTAAAAGTCGTACATACTCCTTTCCTGCCCCGGCTGCCCTAGCCAGATTCAGAACAGAAAATGGCCATGTTATCCCTAAAATCCTAAGGCGCAACCCGTAAACATTCCACCATAGAATCGAAGAAGAAATCGTCTCAGAGACGTTTTGGAATCAGAAGGACGAGCGCAAAGAGACTTGTCGACGCCAGACCAAAAGAACTGAAGTATCCGCCTGCGCCAGCCAAATGCGGCCGCATAATGCCCTGAGTGTTGTATGCAAGGAAGAGAAAGAGAAGACTCCATGAAGTCTCGGATAAGGTTGAGATGAGGTTGAAATGCTAGGGGTTTAAAGTGAGTCGAGGCCGGAGGAGTTCAAAAGGTCGTCTGTCCTCCAGCAGGGTTTATATCTTGCCACCAAAATGCTCTTTTGCGTACTGCTCGCATGCTTTGGCAGGCTTGCCAACTTTCTTGCCAATCTCTTTCCACTTGTTCGTCTCGTACTCTTTGATGGCATTGAGAAGGGCCTGGCTCTACCCAAACATCAGACACGTAAGTCATACATGCAACAACAACAGACATACCTCGTCTTCCGCGAATTCTGCATAATGCATATCCTATAGCCCTGTTAGTCAATGCTTTTCTGCGGCACTTCCAGAACAACATCTTTACTTCCAACATCTACAGTCCTAATATCCAGCGCCAACGAGCGGGAGTGGAAGCGAGGAAAAGTGGCTACGGCCGAATGGGGAGATGTACCTTGTACCAATGCTTCTTTACGCTGCCTTCGGTTCGAAGTGGAAATGTCTTAGAGTTTCCCAAACATCAGCACACTTTCCGACAGATGGAGATCGGTAACGTTCAAACCTTTGCAATGTCTGCCCAACTGTTACCTGCGTCCCTCATGGTCTTCAACCTCTGCTCCTCGGCTGGAGTCCAAGGAGTGTTGGTTCTGCTCTTCTTGGTCGGAGGAGGACCCATAGGTGATTCGGTCATACTGGGCTCATCCTTTGCAGCTGCCGCCGGCGCTGCTGCTGAACTAGATGAAGCTGACATGGTGGCTGATGCTAATGCTGATGTTGTTCCTGTACCTGTTCCAGAAGCGCGTCTTTTCCGCGTTGGTGAAGTTTCTGACTTTACTGTAGAGTCGGCAGTCGGACGTGATTGTGATGGCGATGATCCTGTAGAGGCTTCGATTTCAGTACGGTCTGCTCGTTTCGACATTGGCGACAGAGGAGACAGTTTTGCGCAGTTGCCTGCTAATGGAGTGGAAAGAAATTAGGGTTGGGGAGAAGGCTCAGTTGTTGTGGGTAAACTCTAGTCGGCCTGATCGCGTGTGGCTGGAATCGCCTTGCTCAGGTTGCTGGGGTGTAGGTACAAAGATACTTCAGATCTGATGTACTGCGAATCACTCGGTACTTCAAATCAAGTATATGTAGTCAACGAGGCTAACACCCCTTTGCTGCATATCTTGCCGCAGACCGGTGATGTTGTGAGAAGGCAAAACTGCGCTTGAAGTACCCGCGAGGAGCCAGAAGTGAAGTGAAGGAAATGTTCAGTTTCCGTACGAATACGTGGAAAAGCTGTCTGCGCATACGAGATGGAAGGATCTAAAGTACTCCAGTGATCTGATGACTTCAGGGCAACTAGCGGCCTTAAGTAGAGTACGCCGTCAGTACATGCAGTTGGCTCGAAAGAGATGTCATTGAAAAAGAGTTGCAGGGAAGGAAGATGGCGCAAATAGCTAATTAATGCCTGTCTCGATCCGGCCCACGGTACTTGCAGTGACCTCGAGCGGCAGGAAAGCCCAGGAGAGGACAGGGACTTGGTACTGGGGGCATGTGGCTTGCCATTGACCCCTAGACGCGTTATGGACAAGGCTTGCATGCTGCCCACCAGTAGAGTATGGTTTTTTGGACTGTCATCGCTGTAGTAAGCACATCGTTCTGCGGGGTTGAACTGGCTCTGCATTCTAGTTCAGCTTGCTATTAGCTGGATCATAAGTTCTTTCAAGTACATGTACGGAGATGTTTTCTAGCGAATCTGATTGCCTTCCAGGTGTCTGAATCGCTGCACGGCTCTTAGCTGGACGCTGGTCCCTTGAGGACTACTCTGATGGTACAGTACTTCCTGCGTCTGATAGCTTGAAGTATGAATACTGTCCTCATTTTCGTAGCGGACAAGGGTGTGGGAACACCGAACTGTTTGTCCGGCTGTAAATTCAGGCGATTGCGACCGTAACCGCACCTACGGGAAGCAGAAGGGAGTGGATAGTCGAGGTGTGGGTGGCATCTGTTGGTTCTCCAGTGAGGATCGCCCGTCCCAAGCCTGCGTTTAAGCACCAATTCAGGCGTGTGCTGCCGTAGAGGCAAGCCAGGACAGGAGTCAAGAAAAAGGCATGAAGTACTTTCCCGTACATCAGCTAGCTGCCAGTAGTGGCGGGTGTGGACAGCCCAAATGGGACTGTGAAAAAAGAGGGGACTGTCCGAGGAGGACAATTTAAGCTCATGTTTCTCCGAGCTTTGGCATTGTTTAAGAAAACAAGGGCCAGGACCCAAGCTCAGAACCAGGCTCACGCTCCTCCTGTTGCTCAATGCTCATTATTCCACTGATCAATGCTCACTTCTCAGGGGGGTGGGGGGTAAGATAGCCGCTTGAAACTAATCTCCATGTCCAGCTACTCTAAACGAGCAGCCGGACAATATCGCACGCGGCAAAGCACACGAACCACATAGGTACAGTACTGGAACCACAAAAGAGGGACGACTGCAACACCGCATCGTGCCGCAGGGGAGAAGACACTACTACTGGAAGTTCACCAGCGCACTGTTGTACGTACTGTGCACCTGCCTCACCAGAAGCCATCCAGCTGGGACGGGGCAGAGCGGCTGGGCAAGGTACTAAAGGTACGGATGGTGGTCGACGGCGACCCCATGAACTCGGGCTGGTGCTGCATCGGTGCATCGGTGCATCGGTGCATCTGCAATTTCCTGCATTGTCAGTGCGGTGGGAAGCAGGTGGCCGTATGTGGCATGTCCATGTCGACGCTGTAAATTACGAGCCCGGCTCGAGTCGCCTATGAATGTTGGATGGAGGGAGGGAGGGAGGGAGGGAGGAAGGAAGCAAAAAGTAAGTATTGGTACAGTTGGACAGTTGGACTGTTGGACAGCTAGGGAGTTCTGGGCCTAGCATGAAATGAAATGAACGAACAACAACCTGGAGGCCACCATGGGACAGGGCCAACGCAGGGAACTGCAGGCATAATCGGTTGGTTGGAGAATTGGTGGTAGGGCAGAGCAACAAGCAGCAGAGCAGACCAGGACTAGTCAAGCCAAGCCTGGTTTTCATGCCCGCCGGTAGCTTTTGCTCGTGCTTGTGCTTGTGCTTGTGCGTTTCCTTTTCCTCGAACATCGTGCATGCATGGAGGGAGCGTATCCCCAGACGCCTGTAGGCCCCTTGATTGGCAGCGAAGAGGCCAGTGTGGCCAAATCCTGATAGCTCCGAAAAGACGCGCAGATGACTGGAATGCTTGCTGTGGTGGTTAACATGCAGCCAAGTGTCGCCCCGGACGGGTTGAAAGAAGGATGGATACCTTACCTTACCTTACCCTACCTTGTCTCGCCTTGCCTTGCCTTACCTTAGGATCGGATGCCAGTAGGCTAAGGTAGGTAGGTAGGTAGGTAGGTGCTACAGTACAGTAGGGAAGGGAGCCTGGGGAGCGTCGGGTGTGAGGCGTAGGCGGGGGGCCGGGGCCAATTCAGGGCCGCCACCATCGCCCACCGGAGTAGTCCACCTCAACGCCCTGTTTTCTGACCTAACTTAGCAAATCGCGGGGTAAGTCCCAGCCCTGTAGTCATTAATATAATATAATTTACCTTATGTTACAAGCAGCCTGTACTGTACTGTAAAGCTACCTACCTAGCCAGTGGTGGTCGTTATCCTTGCTCTCCAGACTTCGCCCCAGCTCCGTGACATCGATATCGATATCGACATCGACATCGACATCGTCATCCGCTAGTCGTTCCCATCGCGAGGAGGGTCAATTTGTAGAACGCTCCTGTTGGCCGCTGCTCTGATCTTCGAGCCTTTTTGCGGCGGCTTGTCCGCTAGAGTATTGCCAAATTGCTTGTAATCGCGTGATACGCGGGGCGTGCATTGAGATGGGGATCCGATCTGGAATCTGATATCTGCATTTAGACGTGATCCGACGGTGGCTGTGACTGCAACTGCTACCGCGACTGGTACAGACCGTGAGCGAGATGACGATTTCTGTCTTGGGACCAAGATTGAAATTGACTCTTAATGCCAACATGCACATGTGCCTTCGGTGGCGCATTGCCGTGCTGACTGTTCAGTGTTCTGTTAAGAGGGGGGGCTTGCTGTTAGGAATACAGTAAACAACGAGCCAACGGTCCTGGGGTCTTGGGGAAATCCGGGATGTGATGTGCATGAACATTAAGCGCTTTGCTTTGAATCCTTCGAAGTACCTGTACAGCCTGGAAACAGTACCTCTGTGCGGACGGACCTCCTTGAATGCTGACAGAAACAAATACAGTTCAGGCTGGCGCAGGCAGAGAGGCAATGAGATAAATGCGGTCTAGGAAAATACGCGTGGCGGGATGCAGCTACGCAGAGCAGAGCCCACGAAAGACTGATTACGGTTTCTTGAATTCTCTCTGGGTGAGCAATCAAATCACAATACGGCGTTGTGTGATGCTATTTTCAACTCGATGGTCTCGAACGCTTGCCTGCATAGCTCCTTCCTGTCTGTCTAGGTAGGTGTCCATGCATGCAGGCCATGCAGTGCAGTGCAGTGGAGTGCAGTGCAGTGCAGTGCAGTGATCACCGTTGAAGACTCGGGAAGTGTGGTGTACCAAGGTATTCTTCCTCTCGACATCATGCCATGAGCATCCGTCAATCACATCGGTCCCAAACCAGCAGGATCACCAGTCCCAACGTCTGCTTGTAGCCGCAGAGTACCTTAACAAGATTTCTTCCAGGGTCAAAATTGGAGACGAGGAAGCGCACACGTTGGCCAGGCAGAATTCACTGGTAGACCAACAAGCCGTCGCTGACTGATATGTGGAAAGGGCGTTAGAAACATGGGATCCAGATACCAAGATATCTAAATACAGTAAGATACCAGCACTCATGTAACTCTGCGGCCCGAAGCTGCAGAAACTTCATCGCCGTGGAAATGCGAGTACCGATTCCCTTGCATTGCCCGATAACCAGTTCCAAAATTGACACACATTTTCGACAGACTCTATCGAACAAAGCATGGCGTGGGATTTTCTCTCTCAGCGTAAATTACTTCTTAGCGCGTCATCCTTCTTTCTTGGCCAGCCATCTCTGTCTTTTTCAATATCAATCGTTGGACACACGTTTGGGTCAGTAAACCTCCCCGGCCCGAGGAACCCCCTGTACTGTACTGGCTTGGTCCGTGACAGTTAGGATCCCGAAAGCGCGAGAAATTCCAAATTCGGCTGGCAGCCCGAGGATGAGCGTTTAAGGTTTTTTGGCGAAGGTTCGTCTGTTGAGCTTAAACATCGACATCCTCCCGATGTTTCACACAAGCATGTCCTGGTTATTGCTGAAAACAACAGGAGGGTCTTCGAACTCCGCTATGTAAGGTGCAGACAGGCCGAAGCCTGCAGGTGCAGTATGGCCGTTTGATCTCCCCTGTCCTCTGAAGGTTTGGGCCGTTTTCCTTCGGTTTTGTTTATTGCGTGGCGCTTACAGTTGAAACGGGATGTCGTGACGGGTTGATGGGACATAAAAAGAAACACCCTTGCGCGGCAGGCTCCGGCTACTGAACTCGAAACCACCGTGTCAACCTCTAAACCAGGCTGAAAATGGCTTGTCCAAATTCTTCCTGCTTGCGATTTCAAACACTGGCATTTGGAATGATGTTTAGCTGATGGAAAACAGAGTCTTTCTCTCCATAATATGAAGGCAAATTCCTCGAAATTTGTGCCTTCAACACCAAAGTTCCGCTTGGATGTCCACAAACCCAACTCTCCTGCTCTCTGAGTGAGCAAGTCAACTCGACCAGGATCGACCTAAATCTTAGAATTCGGATACGATAGTTCTCTGATTGCGAAGCGAACTGTAACATGCTAATCCTTTAGTGAATCACAGGTATCGTATAGATTGAAATCAAACGAGAAAAGAACACTTTTTCCAATCGGAGCACAGACGAAGATGAGCTGAGAAGCAGTAGAGTGCTATACATAGGTAGCTCGACAGTGACTCTCGTCGTTTCCGGAAGAATTTGCAACACGAGAGAGAGGAACATCCTCGTTTGCGACGAAAAGGTTTCTTCGTGGCTTGCCATCTGGACTTCCAGACGTGATGTCTCCGGATGATGGGCCAGCAAGAACAATGCTTTGACTTTTCCTGGGAACACTTGACTATTGCAAGAATCTAAAACTTCGGATTCTTGCCTGTCCACACATACTTTGGCCATCAAAAGTCAAAGAAAAGTATGATTTTGTTCAGTTGTATCGAAAGAGGAATCAACCACCCTCGAAGCTGTGCTCGCCTCGACCCACGAGATCAACGGACTCGCAAGTCTAGTAAGGTGATGGTCTGTGAAGTCATTCCGCGAGAAACGCGATCTACAGCAAAAGGCGACTCGCGTTACACTCTAAATCTTCGTAAACAAACAACACCGTCGTGCCCCTCGACTCACCGCCAACTGCCAAAGAACCCAAGGTCAACGAACACGTTTGAGAAACAGTCACATGTAGGCAGGAAACTCACAACCTACACGTGATGACAGATAGCGTTTCGCGATACTCAAGCAGGGACACCAAACATGCTCTCTTCTTGTCAGCCTGCCCGGATAGGGGAACTCCCGGGAGGACAGAGAAACAGAAGGTCGGACGAATGGGCAACTTCGAAACAATCACATTCTATTGATAACCACTTTGCAAACTGTGGAGGATTCAAACCTCGAGATCACCAGAAAAGATATGCGCGGAAGGAGAAATCGCCCGCACCAATTGGGACACGAGAGAAACTGAGATGTAAACAAGCCCTCGGCCACCTACGCAACACACTCAAGATCGGATCAAACACAGCGCATAGACAGAACCCTGCTGCCCCTCACAATTCGTCATTCAGCTCTTGTCGATACCGAGGGTTTGTGAAATCTGTGACAGCGGTAAAGAGTCGATCCTCATGCCATGTACGCTGAAATTGGGTGTGGCCCCTGGTGATGTTCGGTCGAGACGGTACCCGAACGTTCTGCGTTTGAGAGCTGATAAATCCGCGCCACGTCCCAACTAAGTCAGCGGCGACTCAATGGGGACCCTTGATTTCCAGCAGAACAAGAGACGACGGGATCGGATGGCAGATCGCCACGACCATTCTGAAGAGCGTGCATACGAGCGAGGAGGGCTGACGAGGCAAGGAATCGGCACCGAGAATCGTAAGGCTGCTGCAGAAAAGTGGTGTTTATGATTGTACGGAGCACAAGCGAGACCACTGGGATGGCCTGACCTGATTTGCGGCCAAGTATGGGAAGGAATGCCTGTGTTGAAGTCGATGAACGGTTCTTCTCCCTTCCGAATGACCAGCAATCTCAACCGCCCCCGCCTCCACCTGCTCCTACACCACTGTGTTTCTTCAGTCGCTGGTTCGACAGTGATGGTGACCAGGCGAAAGTTGAGACGAAGATGACTTGCAAGTTGCCACACACGTTGGTGGCAGCGTTCTCAAATTGCTGTTTTCTTGGCTAGGCTGGCTTCCCCACAATCATGCACCCCAATATTCAAAGACAATAATCCGAACTCAGAAAGCGCAGGGCATCATTGTATCATGACACAGGTCGGTATCAGCGGTATCGGCAGTAGCGAAGCGGATGCATTTAGGCTTCAAGACATAATTCGAACCCCTCAATAATCAACAATCTTGATGCTGATTCATACATATAACTCATTGTGGCGAGTACGAGCGATGCGAATTCTCTCCAAGTGGATTCAGAGTGGGCCTCGATCGATGGGGAACAAGCATTCGAGTCTCAATTAAGAACAGTGGTTCAATATGAGCTTTATCTCAATACATTTACAAGACAGATTCCAGTATTGGCATCATTAGAAGACAGGCAGGCCCGATTTAGACATCCGAGATATTACGTTCGAGATGTTGTGCAAACTCTCGCTTGTCAGTTCAAACCGAATGCTCGCCATATTGATGAGCATATTGACGGTTGGCGGCCTCTTCCAAGTCCAACGATGCCCTGCAGAAAGTCTCTCTCGTTTCTCGCCCTATCCCATCCCATATATCCCATCCCATCCCGTCCTATTCTTATCCCGATGTTTCTACTGTGCTTCGAGTCGGTCCCAAGTGCGAAACGGACGCGAAAAGTGGCCACTCACAGGCGCCTCTCAGCCTGGGCGACCCAGCCCAAGGCCCACAAGCGTCACTATCAAGTTGATAGAGGCGCCGCCGCAACATCTTACCACGGTGTCAATCGTGCAGCTGTGGATTGATGGAGTTTAGTAACCCAATGAGTCGCACAGATCGAGGCTCCATCAGATAGAGCCCTTGAATAGTCGCAGAGCTCGTGCCTCAGCTTGTCGGAGCCGATTGCTTGGAAGCCCAAACAGCTCCGTAAGCGAGGTTTCGGCTGGACAGGGATAGTACCCACTTCACCACGTTCTGTAGCGGTGCAGCCGCAGAAGCCTGGCCTGCACTTGTTCACGACACTTCAAATTTTAAATTGTGCGTGTTGCAAGATTCAACACAGGTTTATGCTGCTCCCCGCAGACCACCATCACGCTGAGGTGGTTCTGCTGGGCCTCGCATATTGCCGCTCGAGCGTCACAGCTCTTTAGCCATCTAGTGATAGCTTCATGAATGCCTCTCCTCGTCTGGACGACGTCAACAGCGAAGCCGTGACGGTCCAGAGGCACCACCCCGCCGTCTCAAACAACACCCCAGTCACCAAGAAACGCCAGTATGAAGAGAAACGGGACGAAAAGAGGGGATCCCAAATAAGATGTGAAATCAAGCCATGCATAATCAGAAACCGTCAAGAACATCGGCCACCCCTCCACCCCGGCAAACTTCAGAGGGAAAAAAATGCACGGCCGCGACCTGCTACGGGAGTACGATACTCCAGATGATCCCATGCAAGGCCATGCTTCCATATATGACCTCTGGCCCGCCTTGTCTCGTCTTCTCTTTTGTCTCTCTCTTACACTCGACGTCGACTACATCGTTCCGCAGCTAATACACTCTCTTTCATTGCCCAACTGGCTTGGCTGCTTACATTCTTTACTGTAGTTTATAGCGTTGTTTAACTTTATTCCATTCTCTTCAATATCCATAACTTTTCCCAACATCTTCGCTATCTTCGACAGACAGACATTACATTCTTCTCGCAGCCTCGGCCTGCCCTTTTACCAAACCTTCGATTCTTGTCGCTTGCTGGTTCAACAAGTCTATTTTCAGCATACAACTTTGATCAATCCGTCTTTCACATCACTTAACGATAAACGACTATTATGTCTTCCCCACAAATGAACACCTCTGCCCATGTGGCTCCATCCAACTACTCTCCGGTCGATGCCATCAACCGACACGACTATGGAGTGCAGAAGAATAGAAAGCAGGCATCAACTGGTGGTGGGAGAGCTTGGAGTGAGGATGAAGTAGGTTACAAACTCGACCTTGTTTGGAGTCTCACTAATATGTCGCTTGCAGGAGGTTTATCTACTTCAGACTCGTCTCCAGAAGATGCCTTACAAGCATATCGCCGCTCACTTGAAGAAGACCGAGTTGGCTTGCCGTCTTCACTACCATCAATTGTCCCATGGGAGCAACCGCCGCAAGCGAACCAGTTCCGTCACCTCGTCTGGTGCTGGTTCCGTTGCTCACTCCCCAATCATGTCTCACTCGATGCCATCCCCCATCAACGAGAACATGCAGCCCGTTACTCCACCCACCTACAACTACTCGCCCCAATCACCCGTCCACGTTCAACTCCCTTCAGCATCTACTCTTCTCCACCGATCCGACTCCACCAGCCCTTCTCGAACTCTTAGCCACCCAGTGGCCATCCTCCCCAAGCCATCTCCTCCCCGTCGTGCTCTTTCCGACTCATCTGCCAACCCACCACTCCGTCTCGACTGCGATATTGCATCTGGTCAGGTCAACATCTCAAATGTAGACAAGGAGCGTCTTCGCCAGATCTACGAGGCTCACCGGGCTTCATTCTGGGCCGTCATTGCTTCCGAATATGGCGGAGGAGTTTCTCCATTGTTGCTTGAGGAGACATGGAAGCGAGGAATCGCAACCAATGCTCCCCCGACTCCATGCGTTTCTCCCGACACCCAGACTGTCCGCAATGGTGGTTACCAGACATACAACCCAAAGCCTATGCAACAGCTTCCAACTCCAGTTCAGGAGAACAAGACCAACGCTACCAGCATCTCAGCTCTCTTGGGCATTGTAAGTTCACTCTTCCATTCCAGCAATGTTTCCACTTCTAACGAGTTCATAGGATGCCAGCCCACGCAGCCCAAAGGAGCGTGAAATGATCAAGCGCATGGAAGAGCGAAGAGACACCCGAGACATCGTCATGGCCGGCATTGAGATGGGGCAACGATGCGACTAAGAACTTCATGAGTTATTCTTCGTTACAGGATTTTAATGATTGAGGGTGGTGGATGATGTTTGATTCTTTCGGAGCTTTAGGTGGGAGTTGGGGGGAGGGAAGGAGTCTGGACGATTCATGTCTTCATGACTCATGGACTGAACGATGGGCGGTTTTCTTTTATTGGTGTTTCTGTTCTAGGTGTGATGTTTCGTCGTTGCTGCTTTGAGCTGAACGTTTACAAGAAAAGTGGAGGTAAAGTTGAAGATTTGGCGGTTTTGTACGATAGAGTTTTGTTGCTTTGAGAAATTCAAATATTCTCCATATCCACTTCATCCGCCCGTGTCGTTACTGCATTGTTTTGATCGGCAGCGTTGTTTGAACCGTCCGAGATCATACTACTGGTATTATGCAACTTGCATAACAGAGCATCCTCGTATTGACGTTCTGAATCTGTTGTGGTTCTGAAGTGTTTCACTCTGTGACGAATGTGACCGCATTGATTTAAGCATGGCTCAGGGTTTCGCTTCCGGCAAGGATGATGAGATGAACCCACAGACACCTCGGTTATATTCGGGAATATGTCCGTTCACCTAGGCTCGAAATAAACATCAATAACGGCAAGGCCAGGTCGTGCGGAGATCAAAAGCGATCTGAGGACCAGGAGGAGAGATGACAGGCCCCGCAGCTTGTTGTTGACGTCCGACGCCATGCCATTGTTATTGACGACTTTCACGAACCCTGTCTGTCAATAATTCAGCGAAAGTTGAAGCTCACGATGTCACCGACTCTCCGTTCTCTTGGACGACTGAACTCGAGCTCAAAATCCATACGACGACTTGCCAGACCACAGGTCTTCCGCCGGCTCTACAGCTCCGAGCCTGATGCAAAAGTAATCGCATCCGAATTCCTCACCAAGACCCAATCGAATCCCCCCTATACCCAGACCCAATTGCTAGATGCGAACCAGCTGCAGCGGTTCTCCGCGACCTTCTCGCGCTCCGAGCTTGCCAAAGTCCTACCAAAGAATGGCACACCTCTGCCAGCTGGCTACCATCTAGCCTACTTCACACCCGCACAAGTGGAAGAGGAATTGGGACGCGATGGCACAGATACCACGTTCAATCCGCCGAGTCCATATACCAGGCGGATGTGGGCTGGCGGGGAACTGGAATGGGTCAAAGAGAACAAATTGAGAGTTGGACAAGAAGTCACCGAGACCACGAGGCTGGTCTCTGCCTACGCAAAGAAGTCAAGGGTGGGAAACGATATGATCATAGTGAGCGTGGAGAAGAAGTTCCAGAATGAGCACGGTGTGGCATTGATTGATAAGAGGTAGGATTCTGCGGCGATTGGAGCGCGTTGATTTAATGGATATCATGATATACTCGCTGGCTTACTTATGCCAGCAAGAGTTACTAACAAACCTTGTGCCAGAAATTGGGTCTTCCGAGAAGAGATCACAAAGCCTCAAAATCCAGCGCGCCAGCCTGAAGTCGTACCGCTTCCAGAAGGCAAGCACGTACGAGATTTCAATCAGACGCCTGTCACGCTTTTCCGCTTCTCGGCCCTGACATTCAATGCCCACAAAATACATTATTCAAAAGAATGGTGTAGAGAAGTCGAAGGTCACCGCGGGCTTGTCGTCCATGGTCCGCTGAACCTGATCAACATGCTCAATTTCTGGCGAGATCTTCAGGGCGGTGATGCTACCCCCAAGAAGATTACGTACCGGGCGACGAATCCTCTATATGCGGGTGAGCCATACAGGATTATCGTGGGCGAGGAAGCGATGAAGGTTACAGAGGTAAAGATTGTGGACAGCTACGGCCAGATATCGATGCAAGGAACCATTGAAAGCTTTTAAGCCGACTGCTCGTTGACAAAGTACCCGCTGCTCTGTACGATAATGAGCACCCAGGTCTCGTTCAGCCTCCCAAGCTCAAGAAATTCATCGTCCCATTATTTATGGTAAAGCGAGCTGAAATTGTCGCAAGTACTTCGGATATTGTAGCGGTGTGCTTCGCAAAGCTTTCTTCACCAGCAAAATGTTGCATCTAGCGATGTTTCTGCTTGGAAGTTCAGCTGTACAAGTATCAGCTTCGTATCAATATCGTGGCTATGCCTCAATCCTACAACCCACTCTATTCCCCACTTCCGAGCCTCAACGTCCATCTCATTAACAAGATCACATGATGTAGATCGAGTAAACACATCTGCCTGTGTGGATTTGTTCTCGCCAAGAGAAACAACTCTCTAGGCCAAGAACTCACCCGCCATTCTTCCCCAGTTCACTTGTTAGACATCTGTTGGTCTCCGCATCCGCGTCGTCATAGCCTCGCTGCAATGACGACGTTGCCAACTGCCTTTGTCAACACAAGAGCGCCGGCGAGTCTTGGCCGATCTTTAACTCGTGGGTGTTCTCTCTTGGCAGCTCCCCACCTTCAATTTCATTACAGTAGCAAATTGCCATGCGGTTTTAAGCATACTCCTCACATTCCGAAACTTTACCAAATAGCTTCCACAGCCCATGCAACATCGGCTAGAACGGCTGTGGCCGGAAACTAGGAGAAATGTACCTTTCGCTAAGCGAACGTGTTGTCTTGTCTTGCCCAGGCGGCTTTCTTCCATTTCATGGGACAATATCGGGGAGGTCTAGGCGAGTGGCTTCAAGAGGCAAGATATCTTTAATTAGAGTCTTGATCACACTGGGCACATGGCATGACGTTGCATCAGTGGCTCAGACTTTAAATTTCCACTGTCGCATGGTGAGTTTTCTGTGCGGGATTGCTTTGTTGACTTTCCAGCATCCTAGACTTGGGGAGAACAGGGGCTCTTGATTAGTTGACATACTGAATCTTAATTCATTATAAGAAGACGAGAACCCCATCGGCATCTTATTTTTTATTCTCACCACCATCATCACTGAAATCCCAATCACGAACCCCCATCACCGAGGTCTCTTTTACAGTATCGTCTACGCGAATCAAGTTCAGTACCGCCATCCACCATGCAACTCATCCAAGTCTCTCTCCTCGCCCTCCTCTCGAGCTATGTTGCAGCTCAAGATGTCGATAACGATGATGTCCCAATTCAATGCAGAAGTGTTTGTACCAGGTGAGTCATACATGTTGATCATTAAACGCAAAATGCTTATATTGCTCAGCATTGTCACTTTGACTCAGGACTGTGACCGTCTACACGACGACAACGACAGAAGCTACCTCGACTGCGTCTGTAACGGTACCAATGCAGCTACCGAGATCCCCGTATGCGAGGCCTGTGTAGCAAACTTTGACCGTGACGGTGCGGACAATGGTATGCCTCTCCACTTTTTTGCCTTCAGCTAAAGCTTGCAATACTAACTGGTATATCTAGACGTCAACGATCTTGTCCGCTCCTGCTCGTTCTCAAGAACAACCTACGTGAGCATGACGGCGTCTCCAACTGCTTCTACCAGTGGAGGACCAACAGCAGCTGGAGGTAGCCAAACCACTCTCACCGGCTCCCAGACCAGCCCTGCCGTTACGGAATCAGCCTCTAGCGTCATCAACTCCCTCTCTTCTGTCCTTTCCAGTGCCACCAACTCGGAGCAGATTGCTTCAGTGTCTTCCTCAATCGCCAGCTTGACTTCAGCTGCTGCTAATCCTACCGATACGAGCGCTGCCAGCGCTAATAGCGTCAAGGCAGCTGGTGTTTTCGGTGCCGTGGTGTTGGGAATGATTGGCCTTGCTTAAGTTGGTCAGACGAGGCGGAGTGAATGTTTCGAATGACCTGTGGAATGTGGGGTATTTTCTTTATCTTTCCGTCACTCCTTGAAGTTCGGCCAACGTTTATGATATCACGAGCTATGAGATTACTGTTGTTTGAATTTCGCGCAGGCAAAAGTTGCAATACAGATACTTTTTCACACCAAATTCATCTCTTTTTCTTGGGTGAGAAGCCTCGGACAATTTGTTCTTGAACATTTATGAGATCAGATCCAGTAGCTAGCTTTCGCCGGAATTTGAAACCAGATGGTCTTGATATGAAGGGTGGAAGTCCATCACCAAGGCATCTTCAAAACGCCACCCTCCTCTTCACTAGACGGCTTCCCCCATACGACTTCAGCACTTGGCTTCTCACCAACCGCAAACCTCATCACAATATTAAAAAGCGTACTGCTCCGCGTTTCAATCGGCCTCTCAGGATCTTCTTCGCAGCAAATAGCCTGCGGAGCATTGAAACCATCCGAGAAAACCTTTCTCCTCAAGACTGCTCCATTGGCCTTCTCCCCACTATCAGCCAACGCGTCTGTCAATTGCTGGATTCTGGTAAGTCGAACAGAACTCCCGCTCACCCATGGGGGCTCGTCCACGTAGCGGTTTTGTATGAAGTGGTTGGTGTGGCAAACTATGCCTTTGTTGTTAGGTGCGATATGTTTGTCGCCATTTGGGGAGAGTTCAAGGCTTATTGCGCCAGTTTCATCAGCGAGGAGGATATTTGCTGAGGAGGCGAGCCCGCCCAGAGACTCGAGTTTGGACACCGCTGCATTGGCAGTCTCAGATTCGAGACATAGACGCAGAGCGACGTGAATAGGTACTTTGGTAGCATCTGTAGGTCTGGCTCGGATAGCGTTCAAAGTTGTTCCTACGGACGAAGAGTTGAATCCTATCTTGCCTACGATGCCCGCCTGTTCGATAAGTCAAAATTCATACATGATTTGAGGCACAGTAGCAACAAGTTCGTACCTCAGTGACCATCCAGATCTTCGGTTTCTCTTGCTGCTCAATAGACATCATCACAAGGTTCTCCTTAACCCTCTTAGTCCAATCCCAATTCTGGGCGAGCAAGACCTCGCCACCCTGTCTCTTCCATCCCATACTCGTACACCCGTCAGAGAAGAGGCCCAGAGCGATCTCACTCCTACAGTTTAGCGCCACAATATCCAATAAGTCAACATCAGCACCTTCGGCGATAGCTGCCATCTCGACATGAAGCTCAGGGGCGAGTTTTTGAATGGTCGCGCTGTACTCCTCAGCTATGGAGCGCACATCATTCCAACTTAATTTAGATGTTTGCTGGAACATGGCTTCGTAGACCTTGATCTGGCTATGAATTTTGGGTGCGAGATCACGGCCATGTTTGAGTCCTATCTGTACCACGTGCTTGAGCAGGAGTCAACAGAGGGCTTACGCGCCTCCTTACCTCGTGGGCCGAGCCTGATAACTCGATATATTCTGGAGTTGTGTATTCCTGGTTCTTGGTCGGCATCTTAAGATTACTGTGGACTTCGAAATTAGATGATCCGAACTAAACAGAATCTTTGCAGATAATATTATCGCGAAAGTCACAAAGCCATGAGGTGCTTCTTTGTTGACGTGAACCCCACTCTTGACCAAGCTAAACCTGTTATAGAACCATATAACAGACTTGCCTTTCCATTTAGAACGTATCATTCAAGCGAAAAATTGACCCTTTGTTTCTATACAAAACTCCTCAGCTGTCCCTGTGTGAAAGGCCCCATTCAATAACGGCAACCGAAGCGGGGTAATTAGCAGATGACAAGCAACGACACCCGAAGCTCGATCCTGTGCCTCGGTATCCGAGAAAAGTGAGGGTTTCGCTGCTGCCTCCTCAAGTAACAATTTGAATATTACATGCGAGAATGGCGATCCTGGAATTTTAAAGTATTCATGCGGACTGAGGCATCTTCCTGTGTTGCTTGTCCAGGCTTTCATCGCCGACTCTTATGTTTATATTGTAAGCGAGCACGAGTCGATTATGATATGAGATTCAAGGCGAAAACCAATACTGATTGTGATACTACAACCCTACGATAGGTCATATATGCACCAACGCTTGTGTTGGGTTTCTTTGGACAATACAATGTAAATGCTGGAACTCAAGGTCCATTGCAACGAGCAGCGCCGCTTCCATGCCTACTTCTTGGCGAACCATGTTTCATCCCATCCATAAGCATAGTTTAGACGGCGTGCCAACCGCTGTGCATGCTTGAAGTCCATCTCCAGAACACCCGATCTAGCATCAAAAGCAATTCTTGGCTCATAGAGGAAGATGCTCCTGTCCATACCCAGACAAATCGGTGTGAAGTGCCACAGCGATCCGTACTGCTTGCAGATCTGAAAACCGGCATCTATCATTGCAGTCAAGAAATCGGACCATTTTATATCAGCTGGAGGTTCGGGATATGGGTCCTTGAACATCTTTCGAAACACCTTCAAGGACCGCTCTGTGAATGTGAAGTGTGTTCGATCTGTAGCCAGAAAGTCCTGAATTGGGAGTACATTATTTGCTTCAAGATTGGGCTCGGGAGACGAAGTCTTTACTGCTTCGTTACAATCTTTGGACGACTCATCCTGCTTTAGTTGAGCTAGAGCTAGATCAATGTCGTCTAGCACTACACCAGAATCTTTGGGCTTGGGCTTGATCCTTGGCTCTTCCACGGGTGTTCGGATGATCTGCCTGCACTTGAAAACCCGAGGGTCGTACTCATGAATTGATTTTCCAGAAGATGAATGGAACCCGTGATCAAACATCTCCCAGTACTTGTCTAGCCAGCTTTCTGCTTGTCGCATCTGATCAATGTTCTGTCGTTTCCTGGGCTTCCAGCACGGGTATTCAAATCTGCCGCTGTCGGGCGGACCAAAGCCCTCATAGGACATCCCCTTTACCTCTTCTACTATTCCATCAGTACGAAGCTTTGCGTGGATAGAAGTCACAAACCCAGGAACTGAGTGTGTCGGATGACGAGTTTCGAAGATTCCTCTACGAAGCTGGCATAGCTTGGCCCTCCGTTCGTCATCAAGTCAGTATGGGCGACACGCACAGATGGCTGTATCTTGTCAATTGATTCAATGGCGTGCATGAAATATCCGACACGACCAATCAACTGGAGTACGTTTGGAGAAAGTCTCATTTTCTGTTCTGGGTTGCTCTCCACAACACGCTCGATCTCCGCCAACAGGTTTTTGGGCCCCATCTGCACTTCCAGCCTTGGCTCGAGGAAAAGTAATGCCGAGAAATAGGGAAACAATTCATCGGAGTCTTTTCCTCTGGGATAGATGCACCTCGCATTGAACTCCGACGCATTCGTGTCTCTGACAAAATATTCGCGGAACGTTCTCTCAGTTGGTAGGCTGTACGATAGCACTGTGAGGGCGTCTGAGAATGTTATTGAAGTCAGCACATCGCTCCCAAATTGGACCGAGCTGAAAATTTGTATACTCACCTTCGAATTGGTTGACCAAATTGTTCCTCAGATACAACATCCCCTCTAGGAATTCGACGTTTTGTGCCGACTTCAACTCGTCGACTGATATTTGCCTGTTAATAGGAAGGCTCGCATATATGCTGTGCAGCTTTGCAGCCAGGCCGAAATCTATCTCGGCCATGATGACACTACAATAAGCATTCTCTGCAGCGCTACCGGCGCAGGTTTCCCAGTAGTCCTGTGTTTCAGTAGCCGGATGTGCTTGTCCAAGAGAATCATTCACAGCCTCTCGACGGGAGGAATGACAAGCTTTGACAGATTCAAGAAAATATGATGGATCTATTCTCAGCTCCCAAAGATGATCTGGTCCAAATACCCGATTAGCGTTCGGTATGTCAGATTTTCCATCCAAGCAGGAAGCCATACCTGCGTTCATTGTAAGGTTGGCGGCGAAAAGAGACATCAGTCGATGAAAGTCTGGAGACCTTGGAGAATGATATGGCGCGTTTCTGTTCATTTCATTCAGGCTTGTCCATCCTTCGTTAGGGTTCGGCAATGGCTTGTCATGCAAAACACTTTCGCAGCAACTCTCCAGAAACTGTAGCACTTTCTGCTGTATCTCGAGAACGAGCAATCCTTCAGATATCGTGTAATCAATGCCGTATTTCAACCGGTCTTGTGCCTGGTCATTGCCCACCAAAGAGATCACTTTGCCGTATGAACTGGGGGTGTCTCCGTCAAGTGACCTGCCATTGATGTCAAAATATTAGTTAACAGTCTCGTCAGGATTGCTATTTAGTGAATATACTGGGCCGACTATTAGGCCTGGCCTTATGCTTCCAGTGGTCTCGGTCAGCTTACATGGAATGACCTGGACAGATACTGAGAGAAAATGCGCCCCTATATCCACATCATATCAGCATAATGAAAATGTGAACCCAGACGGGGCATGTTTTTAAATGTGAAGAAACGAGATAACTAAACTTGCCTGGCTCTGCTAATGACACTCGCCTCCAAGTCTGAACGAGCAAATAGCTTTGGAGCATTACGAGCCCGGGCATCAACAAGCATGAGGAAGTGTTTCCCATATGACAAGTCCTCCACATTCAAAGAAGGAAATTTGGCAGCTATCAACTCGTGCGGATCTGTTATAAGGAATTGCAGTGGCTCGAAACGATGAAACAAGGCGAAGTCGGGACGATGTGTCAGAGGGATATCAGGCCAGGCTTCCACGAGAATATCTTCTCTCGCGCCTCGGGTCTTCTTAGACCAACGCCTGAGCAACATATCCTGGTAGCTGTCAAGAATATACTGTAGCCTATCCCTACTTCTGAAAATCGACGCAGCACGGAATGTTGCCTCATCTTGAATATCTTCGGGGCGTCGCTCAACCTCTCGAGGGATTGGTTTGTGGGAAGAAGGTACACGCGCCGGCTCATTTGCTGGTTCTGTGGTTGGATTCGTATGGTCCATTGCGATAAGTATGGTTTCGACGCCAAAGGAATCGTGAAAATACGATTGATCAATGAATTAATGCCTGGGTTGAGCCACAAATAAGTAGAACGGCTTCATTTCAGAGGTCTTCCGAGCAAGGGTGACCACGTCACTGAATATCAAACTGGAAGGAGCGAGTCCGGTGAACGTGGTCGCACGGATATTGTCGACCTAAATTTGGCTGTCTCATGTCACCGCCGTGAAAAAGAAAATGAAGAAACCGATCATCATATTGGTTCTTGGTCATCACCACCATTCTCCTCGTCGTCGTCTTCCTCATCGAGGTCATCTAACGGGAACGTCAGAATAGCAGCTATTCCACCTAAACCCTCTAATCTCTTCCCGCTTTCATGGTCGCTGCTAAGAACCCTGGCCTCGCCTCCTTCTTCCTTGACTTTGTCAACTAAAGTAACCCATCGTTTGCGGGTACCGATTTCTTGACTGCGGAACAGAGCATTGCTGATGAGTAAGACTCCACCTCCACGGCCAACGGCACCCTTCTCAACCGCTTGTTCGACTTCACTCGGTCCATACCACGCTCTTCCATCATCCTTGCGCAGCAAAGCCATGAAGTCATCCATGAACCGAGTCTCCTTGGAGTATTTGGTGTCCTTCAGTTTCGCCAGTACTTCGGGACTTTTCAGGACTTCGTTCAAGCTGTGCAGATGTCCAGAGCTTGAATGGACCACAACAAAATTGCTTTTGTTTGCTAGCACTGCCTTTTCCGCTTTCCTCGTTGCCTCGTCAATGATATACTTCTGAAATCCGGCCGCTGTGAATCCAGGGCTAGCTAGTAACAAAGGTCTTGGTTGCGTAATGTCGACATGGCGCTTCAATGTCTCTAGTACTGTTTCGTAGAATTTCATCATTCCTTTGTCATGTTCGCCAGCTCTGCCTGATCTTTTCCTTGGTATTCCAGTTTCAACGCGCTGCTTTAAGATTGTTTGGTGCTCCGTGATGAGACATATGTTTGCCATACCCTCTTGCATAACCACAGCTGGCACAGTCCCCTCTTTATCTTGCTTTACTGCTTCTCTGACCACATCCAAGGCGACCGAGTCCCATCCTTCGCTCTTCTCGAGAGTGAAGTTGCGCTGCAATTCAAGATCCAGGGTATGAAATGCGCCGACCTTCACCCACTTGTTCTCTTCTGCCACTTGCCCACTAACATGTAGTTGTCCGGCCTGGGGATCAAAGTCAAAGGACGTGACTCGAATAAGTAGCGTGATGTGGACTCTTGTCGAAGAAGTGCTGCCAGTAGCGGACTCTGTGGTCACTCGACGAATAGCACTTGCGCGAAGAAGATCGGTGGGCGCGATGAGATTATACGCATGCCACTATTTTTAGTTTCGTTAGCAATGGAAGACAGCTTCGAGGGCGAGGGGATTACCATGTCCTCTGGCTCTTCAGGGAACAGTGTAATAGTCCCAGAGCCATCACGCTCAATGTTCTGTTTGATGAGCCGCATATCGTCGTGCTTAGATGTCCAACTTTATCCTGACGGACAGAAGCGTTCCAGAGTTTGGGGAAGACTGTGAAGCTTGCTGGTACCTGAGCGAGGCTGCTCTGGGATATTTTTGTTGTTATTCATGAGCAGCAGGCTACGCCAAGATTTCAACGAGCTTGGTGGCGGGGTAATTGGAGGGGCAAAGTCGTGAAGAAACCGAGAAATACATCTGGGAGCTTAAGTTGTAAAAGACTAAATATATCTGCTGCAAAATACATCGAAGTGAATACAGAGTAATTTTGCATTCACATCACAGGAACTGTTCAAAAGAAAGCAATGCGCTTGATGAAGCATTGCCCAATCACATGATGTACTAGCTCACATGAGGTCACCAGCTAGGTACCCAGGGCATCCTCTTCGTCAAGGCATATGTGCATATGTGCTTCGGAGTTTGCAAAATTTCGTCACACTATAACCTATGTCAAGGTTACAACTGATTCAGCAACATCTGGCGAATGCGAGATCAATTTCGGGGTTAAGGTACGCTGCGGGGAATTTACCCCAAGTTCCCTTGATTTCAAATCCTAACCCCAGATGTAAAATCTTAATATTTCCATCCTCAATTCCAGCTCTACCTACTTTCTGTTTATCTCCAATCCCACTGATCAGTTATCGACTTAAAGTAAAACAATGGCGGCCATTACATAACTCCAAGCAGCGAATGAATTCGGGGTTTGACATTCCTACTCTGGGATATGGCGTATGTAAAATCAGTAGCCCTCGGTGCCAACCATCTCTAACAGCTATACAGGTATACAAAGTGCAAGTAAAACATATTGGCAGTCACTTTGACTTTTCACTGATTCCAGCCAAAGTCCAGCAGAAATTTGCGGTGAAGTAGTAACACAGGCATTGAAAGCTGGGTATCGTCATGTTTGAGACTCCTCCCCGAACTAGCTTTCATGATATGACTGATACTACCAGGTTGACTGTGCTGCCATGTACCGCAATGAGAAACCAGCTGGGAAAGCCATTCTGGACTCTGGCATCCCTCGCGAAGAAGTGTTCTACACCAGCAAAGTTTACCAGCCAGCTCTGACTTATGTAAGTCTAGCTTCTTGCTTTGCGTGTCCATGTGCCTAGTCTTTTTACCCCAGCGTTGATGCCTCAAGGATTGTCTCATTCCCAATTTAGGCAGGCGTGAAAGCCCAAGTAGAGTTGAGCTTGAAAGAGTGCGGCCTCGGCTACATTGATCTCATGTTACTTCATGCCCCATATGGTGGACGGGAGGGTCGGAAGGCTGCTTGGAAAGCACTTGTCGAGTCCGTTGAAGAGGGAAAAGTCCGCAGCATCGGTGTCAGCAATTACGGAGTGGAGCACCTGGACGAGATGGAGGAGTATATGAAGGAACTCGAAGAAGAAGGTGGCAAAGGAAAGGGTGGCGTGATTAGCGTTGGCCAGTGGGAGATCCATCCGTGGATTCCTCGATCAGACATTGTTGGTATGCATCTTCCATGAGCTGGAAAGCGCCGCCTTTTGAGCTTGAAAACCAAGCATAACTAACTTCTATGTCCACTAGAATGGTGTAAGAAGCGAGATATCATTGTAGAAGCCTACTCACCTCTTGCCCGCGGACAAAGACTCGATGACAAGGATCTTCAGCCCCTGACGCAGAAGCATGGAAAGAGTGCTGCTCAGATTCTCGTCCGATGGAGTTTGCAGCACGGCTTTGTGCCACTTCCGAAGAGTGAGACCTCAAATCGGATCATCCAAAATGCTGCAGTCTATGATTTCGAGTTGACTGAGGAGGATCTTAATAGCCTTACTTTCGAAAGCTACAGTCCAAGCGGCTGGGATCCAACTGTTGCGACGTTGGATAGATAGAGCCACATTTTGCTTATTCTCGGTTGACAACGACGTAAATATAGTCTGTTGGCGGTATAGTCCAATCATTCCACTGTGGAGTATTTCCAGCCATGAATGGTACTTGATAGATGAAGTCCTTGATTATCCGCACTTGGCAGAACAGGGTACGGGAACTGAGTGAATAGCTGATAGCTGATAGTGGAGGGGTTGTGTTTGCCTTGAAAGAGTTCTTGCCAAGCACAGTAAAATGCCTGTAGTCCCGCCTTTGAAAGTCGAGACCATTTCTTTTGTTCGGAAATGATCCATCTTATGCAATTGGTATCATGGCAACGGAATATTCAAGTTTGGGAATATCGAGGGTGAAGAATTGAACTTCTTGCCGATTGTCAATATTTATGCCCCACATCACACCACCTCGCGTCTTCCACGCGTCGCGTCCCGAGGTCAACTTCAAAAACCACCGCGGGTGACTGCGTCTTATCCATACGTACCTACCCCGCCTTCAGCCCTGACAACAGATCCACTGCCAGAAGTGTGAGCAAGACCATTAAAGCACCGCAGTCACGAGAAACAGTACAAAAATCGCCGGAGAGGGAGAAAAGAGCTTCTGCAGATCTCAAGGATGTGGCAGAATGACAGGTGGTCAACGAACCTTTACACACATCCCCACTTCGCTGGTGAGATCAAATGGCCAACAACGGCCCATGACCAGTAAGGCCGCAAAGAAGGCATACCAGCAGGCCAACCGAGGACCGAAAATATCGAGAGCTGAGCAGCACAGGCGCGACAAGGCAGAGTTGGAGCAGCAGAAAAGGGAGTACGAGAGGGAGAAGGCAGCTGAAAGGGCTAAGGCGGCAAGAGAGAAGAAAGCTGCCAAAGCAGCTGCTGAGAAGGAAGCACGGAAGAAGCAAGGAATTCCAGAGCCCAGCAAATTTGTTCGCGCAAGCCAGCCTACGATATCGAGGTTCGTAAGGACCAATAGCTCCAATAAGCGAACATGGCAGCAGATGGAGAGTGTGGCGGAAGACTCGGACAAGACAATATCAGACGCAGAAAAGGATCATGATAGACCACCTGCAAAGCGACGAGTGGTCGATGAAGGTTCTGATAATGAATTTGTCGACTTTCCATCCCTGTCACAGTCAGATCTGCTAGAGCAGACTTACACTTCCATGCTGTCGACTAAGAATGGATATTCTGCTAGAAGGCCAGCAAAGGAGCAGCGTCCATCTTCACGACCTCGTCACCGCGAGGCTTCGCAAGAGCTACCCGTCATGAAAGATGCCGATGAACACGCGATTTTGAATACCCAAGCACTCGATGTGATGGCGACCACACAGCTCCTTTCGGACCTGGCTGAAGCTGTCGCCAAGTCCGATTCACTTGAGCCACCTTCGCAAGCTGTCGAAGGGAGAAGAGAAGTAATTCCAAAGCCTTCAGCATCTCCGAGGCGGTCTGGAAGAGTAGCAGAAAGAGACGACAAGGGAACTGGAGTCTCAACAGGTGGAAAGTGTGATACTGTACCTGTCGTAGAGATTCCGTACAAGTTACTAGGGGCTATTCAATCGCAATCTGAACACGCATTCAGCGATAGTCAGCATGAGGCGCGGGATTCTCTAAACCTGGCGACAGTTGCAAGCCGGCGTGTTAATATGCCGCCGCCTCGTCTTCCCATGAAAGCAGTGGCAGCTACAAAATCGATTTCTACCACTCAAAGACCGTCTATTCCGCCACTGAAGCAATCCCCAAGCCATGGTTCCAAACCATTGCCGACCGTTCCCCCGTCTTCCACTCAAGCTTTCCTTGAAAATCATATGGATGACTTCTTCCCAAGTCCAACCCAAGCAGTGCGAGAACTTCTCGAAGGTGTCGACGATATACCAACTAACACACAGATCGCCAGAGAGCTCAGTCCAAAGAAAGCTGAGAAGGGTCTCTTTGAGAACATGTTCTGTACACAAGATATGATCATGTCTTCAGATGACCTGGTCGAGATAGTTTCACAGGATGGCTCTTTACCCAAGCCTCTCGTTGAAGCTACACCAATGCCTCATACTCGCGAGGAGAGCATGGAGGTCGGCAGGACAAATGCTCTGAAAAACACAGAGAATGGCAGCCCTGCCGACATATATTGCTCACAAGATCTGCTCATGTCCCCAGAAAACCTGCCCGAGGCCATATCACCCCAGCCCAGCCCTTTCAACCCCCTTGTTGAAGTTGCATCCAATGACCTCAATCGTCGGGGTAGAACATACATCATCAGAGAAACCAGCGCCGAGAAGACGATAACTAACGACATTGATAGCTTTTTCGGTACACAAGATCTCATACTATCACCTGAGGACCTGGAAGAGATATGCTCACCCGTCCGCGAACCTTCTCTAGCCAGAGTGAAGCCAATGTCTCCAGATAAACGAGCAAATCCACCGCCACAGCCAGCCTGTCGGCAGAAACAACGTTTCTTTCAGGAGAAAGAAGAGGACTTGTACCACGCGGCCCTTCATGAAAGCAAGACTACCTCTGCGCAAGGTACCAATAAAGCAAAGAACGATCCAGCATCATGTGGTCGGAATCAGTCTGATTCGACCGACTATGGAGAATTCGACTTCGACTTACCAGAGCTGTTTAAGGAGAGAGAAGATGAAGAGCTTGAGGCTGCTATTCGTGAAAGCAAAATCACTGCAGAATTAGAAGCGAAACGATTGGCTTTGGCGGGGATGCCAGGCCTCAATAGGATCCAGTCAAATTCGACTGATTATGGTGATTTTGACCTGCCTCGCCTCTTCGATGAGCAGGAAGAAGACAGGCAGAATATTCGAGCTGGATCGGAGACAACACTACGGAAAAAAGTAGATGCCCCAACGACGAGTGGGGAGAAGGCGAAACCTCGACGCTTCTTTGAAGAGAAATACGAAGACCAAGTTCATGCCGCTATCCATGAGAGTAGAATGCTAGCAGCAAAGACAATCCCACTGAAACAAACGGTGGGAGTGGGCTCCGAGAAGCCTAAAAGGACACTTAAAAGAGTTCGGTCTACGGCGACAGATTATGGAGATGATGATTTTATGGGCTGCTCTCAGGAGCTCATAAATCTGTGTTGATGAACGAGGCAAATCCTTACCTTTGTTATTGAGTGTTGGGTATTGCTTATGGGGTTGGTTGGGACTGGTGTAGGTCTGCCACCAGGATCGATCGTACGGCAGCATTGGGAGGATAGGAAATGAGAGACGGAGGCATAGGATCGATATCTTGGCTGGCAGCATTTAGTTATTACGTTTTCAGGGTTTGGGCATTGGTTGGAGGCTTGCATATTCCTAGGACTGACTGCCTTTTTAGGAAAGGCAGGATTGGTGTCAGGATACATTTCACGCATAGCATATGTAGGAAAGGAATGATACCCATAGCATTTTCAGTCGTGAAATACTTAAGTTTAAATCATCTCAAGTTTCAGGTTCATATCAACAGCGAGACGAGATGCACAGAGACTCAGTATCACTAGGAGCAGGAAATATTCATATCAATTCTTTCTTTCTTCCATTGAATGTTAAGTCCGTAAGGGGGATCGGTCTCGGGGGTATGCTAACTAAACTATCTAAAACCAAAAATCACGGTAATTCCAACCACGGCAGTGAATCTACATCAGAAGACATGCAATCTACTACATGTGGACCCTTTTCCTTCAGATCAAACCATTTCTGGCCTCTATGCATTATCGTCAAAGTCATCAGTCATATGAGAAAGTTCTCTATCCTTGAAGGGCGGCCACTAAAGCCGGGTTTGATTGGACAATGCTTGGGTTCTTCTCAGCGATGAACTTGACGGTAGCGATGACCTTGGCACGAGTCTCGTCCTCAAGTTGCTCAGCTGGCTCGCCGAGAACGGCTGCGAAGATGGGGATAAGTTGTGGGGTGAGAGAGATGACAGCTGCGTTCTGGTGTTGGTCTGTGTCATAGGTCAGCAAATGAGACTGATATCTGGCTAGTATTTTGGGAGACTTACACAATCCGGCAATGCAGGTGAAGATAGGCTCGTTCTCTTCATAGTCTTCCTTCAAAGGAAGGAGGTCAACGAGAACTGGTAGGATATCGTCAATAGGGACCTTGTCTGGGTGAGCCATGATCATGCGGGTAACACATCCACAGGCATTATCCAAAGTTCGGGCACGCTGGGTTTGGAGGAGAGGCTCGAGCTTGCTCAAGATGGTGTTGTAGCTTGGGAGATAGGCGGCAGAGTCGGTGGAGTGGAAGATCAGCAATCCAATGGCATACGCGGCATTGGACTTGGTCTCGGGGTCCTCATCTGTCAACTTGTGGATGAGAAGCTTGAGAAGAGGTGCGGTGAATGGTGTGACACCAGCACCCATGTGTCTTGTGCATTCGGCAATGACACCGACAGCTGTAGATCGCTCATAGTTGGTCGTGGAAGAAGCAAACTTAGTAATTGCCTTCTGGTAGACCTTGAAGATCTCACCAAACTGCGATCCAAGAGCCTTTGCTATGCCGATAATCACGTCCAGTGCGGTGTCAATGACAAGCCAATCATACTCTGAGGACTCCTCTTCATCCAACTCATCATGGTCGTCTTCATCGCCCATGTCGTTCTGGCAAGGATGTGACTTGGTGAGAATGGATGCAACAGTGGATGTCATGCGCTCGGTGAATTTGTCCTGGGTCAGGATAGCAGGTCCACAAAGCTTCAAGGATGCGGAGACGTTGCGGTTGATGTCTGTGACAACAGCCCTATTGAAACGTAGTCAGCAGATGAAGCCTATAGTCATCAAACAAGGAGCATTTTGGTTTCCAATCAGAATATAGATACGCGTTCGCAGCATTCGCAACTTGTGCGTCTGAGTGAGCTGGGTATAACGTCATGTGACTCATCATTTAGAAGGGTGTGGATATGAAGACTTTCATGGAATGAATGAGCTTACCGGTCAACTTCATCGTCCCAAACGGACATTGTGGCAACAGTGACGACTTCACCAAGCTTAAGAAGCTCCTCAGAAGGTTGCTCCTTAAGGGGTAGTCCTGGCGTCCACTTCTTGCCGGTGTGATCTTCCATCAAAGCCCAAAGGCATGCGTATGCGCGCCACAGAGTGCCGATGGCTGCCTTTCGTACGCCCTCGTAGGAGTGCTCCACCAGGACGACAATAGTCTCAATCGCCTTCTCAAAGTATGGCATGAAGTTCTTGCGGGTGTTTGTCAAGACATCTCCCAAAACTTCGATCGCAACTTCCTTCTCCAAGGCAACTGCAGTGACAGCTGTAAGGTCATCCCAATCCTCGTCCTCATCGTCATCATCTTCCATGTTGTCGAGGTCATCTATCTCAGGCTTGCTCTCTGGGGTGACGAGCTTGACCTTCTTTCCGGCGATGACAACTTCATCCCCGAGTAATTCCCGTGCCTCCTCGCCTATCTCAAAATCGAGATCAGACTCCTCTTGGTTAAGCGAAGTCATCAGAGCGCCGACCACACCCTCAAGGAATGGTGTAAACTCCTCCTTGTAGACTTTGGCCAAGGTACTCCACAGAATGTAGCTAGTCTCTCTCAGTCTTGGATGGCCAAGGTTCAAGCCCTCCTCGCTGGCTTGCATCAGGGGCTGAACGTATTTCTGGAACGCGACAGGGCCAACTGCTTCAGCCATGCTTCCCATGGAATCGGTGACAATGCCTCGGAGATCAAGCTCTTCAGTGCTGTCCTTGATCGTGACATATTGAGACATTGCGTCCATGGTACCCTCGAAATAGGGCATGAAGGCATCCATGGCAGAGCCAGCGATAGATCCAATTGCACCAGCAGCACTTGCTTTGACATTGAGATCCTCGTGACCAAGTAATTGGACGAGACGGGGGACAAGCTCTGGGACATATGACGCCACGATTGCCTTATCGACGCCATCAGTGACAGAATCCAAAGCACTGCATGCTGCCTTCAAAATATCGAGATTTTTCTCCTTTTCGGCCTCACTGGATGCCTGAACAGTGGCGGCATCAAGGTTCTTAAGTAAAGCTGGAATGAGCTCAGCATGGTGCTTGCAAAGCTCTTCGGCAAGGTCATCGGCCAATCTGGCAACACCATTGAGGGCAGCGCCTCTAACACCAATGACTGGGTCGTTAAGCAGCTTCAAAACTATTGGCATCAAGCCATCGAGTTGTGTTGCGATAAAATCTGGGGCTCCTTCGACACACATTCCCAGGGACAGGATACCAGCTTGACGATACTTCGGCTGTTCGCTGTTGACATACTGTGGTAGGGCTGACAGAAGAGGAACAATGACCTGGCGAGGGGGAAGACTGGTCGCAAGAAGATCCAAAAGACCAAGCGCTGTCTTGTGAGGAGTGACATCGTCCTCGTCCTCCTCGTCGTCGATCTCAGTGGCAATTTGCATGGCCTTGAGAGTCAAGTTCTCTCCCATGTCTTTGATGCCCTGGATCTTCATCTTTCTGTATCTTGCGCACTGCATCAAGAAAGACAGAGCTTGTGTCCGGGACTCATCCTGGATAGATGCATCGGCGGCCAAGTCGATCATGAAAGTCAAGAGGTCCTTGAAATGCTTGTTCAACAATGCAGATTCACATCCTAGGAGTGTTTGGAAGACCTCAAAAGCCTGCATAACGCGATCCTCGTTCTCCTCATCAACAGCACCCTTCAGCACAGCCACCATGGCAGGGAAGATCTCCGTGAATCGGGCAAGGTTTTCCGGGTCCTCTTCAGGCTGAATCAACATAGCTACTCTGCTAAGGCAGAGCAACGTATTGATGCGAACATCTGGGCTCTCAGGATCCTTGATGGTGTTGGATAACAGGGAGAAAAGACCAGGCAGCTTGTCTTCGAAGACGTCTCCTGCGGTCTCAAGCAAGGAAAATAGAGTGTAGATCCCGACTTCGCGGTGAGAAACTTTAGGAGATGTGGAGGCTTGGAAAAGATTGTTGGGGAGCGAGGCCCACTCTCCATCTTCCAAATCGATGGCGGCGATGGAGGCGATAACACGCGCCGCAGAGTGTCGAACGAGAGGCTTGGTCTCGTTCAGTGTTCTTTCGAAAAGTTTTTCGCGAATCGCTGGCTTCTGCTCGTTCGGAAGGGCAACCCAGTGTTTTGAAACCAGACGGAGTGCCTCAACAGCGGCTTGTTGGCGGATTTCAGGGGCTTCGTTGGTGGTAAGGATATGGAGCAGCCATAGGAGGGACTGCGGCTGAGTATAGTAGTTTTTTCGAAGCTCGGTGGTGGCCGCCTTGACTGTGTCGGTGTCCGCTGGAAACTGTTAGCAGATTGTTGGCGGGGTCGAGGACATGAAAACATACGGGTTTGGATGCCCTTCAAGAGCTCGAGGAACTTTTGCTGGTCCATTTTTTGTGTGATAAGTATTCTTTACAGAACACGATGACCTTTGGAAACAGAAGTGTCTTGGTTCTCAAGACATCAGTGTTTATGGAAGAGGATGGCTGCTTGTGCGAAGAGAAAAATATAATTTCAGTGGATCTTCGCGCTAAGCCCCTCCTAGTGGGTCTCCCAATCTCTCAGCCTTGCCTATCCTCACGTGATGTCAACAACTGAATAACCCAGTCTGAGAGCTAAAGCTTAAAATGAATATGCAGTTTCAAACTCATCTGAGTGTCGTTGTTGTTGATTTACTATTTCCCAGGTAGAAGCTCCAGTATGTATCAATCATCTAAAGCTGGATGATAGCTTGAGCTTTTGTCGTGTCATGTTTTGCTTCCTTGCTGTCTTGCGTTGTTTCATTCTTGTTGCCCTGCTTAATTTACATGTCTTGTTGATCAAATTGGAAGGGAAAGCACCAGAATAAACTTGTACAAAGACGTACTGTATCAGCCTTTTCATCCTCGAAGTTGTCCAAAATTAGACAGAGAACAGTCACAAGGAGGGCGGAGTTTAGTGGCTTGCTAGCCTAACGTAGCTGACTTTCTCGAGGCTGAGCAGGCTCCAGCTCGACCACATTCCTCCCATATCAATTCGAACATTATCCTTTCCTCAGTCCTAAAACAGCGTACTGCAAGTTATTTTTGTGGTAATTCTTTAAATACTCAACACCCTTTCAACACTACGTTCTACAGCTTTTGGTAGTCCCTTCCTTATTAGCATCGCTCGTCCACAACCCAGCCTCGTCTTGAACAATCCTCATGATCAGAATGGGACTCTTGGATTTACACTGGAAAGGCAAATCTAAAGCCGCTCCATCCTCCACAACCAACAGCATTACTAGTATCTTCACGCGAACACAACAGCCAACTCCCACAGCCCTGGAACGTGTACAAACAACTTACCTGAGCATCCCCCAAGCTTCAACTTCAGGTTCTAGCTCCAGGTCCAGATACCCACAGCCGGAATACTCTGAGCCCGAGACTATCAAGACCCATTGGAAATCACATCGAGACGAGAAACTCATGTACAGAAGCATGAGATGTGAACACCAAATCAGCTGTGGCTTGAATACCTCTGAGTGCTGTGCTTGTCTTGACCGGAGACCATTGAAGAGAGATTACTTCATCTATAAAGATGGGAGGGGTCTGGTGGCTGAGGGGCCGAGGTGGGTAGATTACTGCCCTGGATGCAAAGGTTGGTTTTGCGTTTCTCTTGCTGCTACTATACTGTTTTGCTTCATCTTCTTTCTAGCATCTCGCCCGTTCTCCATTGCAAGGCGACGTCTGTTTTGGAACCTCACGTTATCTATCTAATCATCCCCTACCTCAAGCTAACACCACTACAGCATACTGGGCCAAACGACAAGGGAAAGGTATCCCTGATCCCTCGTCTCCAAGCAAAGCGAGTGCTGGGGAAAGTTCCAGGGCTGTAGTCCCATCTTCAAGCTCAAGAAGCGAAACTACCCGTCGCATACCAGAGCAGCAGCAACAACCACAGTCGCAAGGAGAGTTGAACGATCCACCACCGCCGTACTCATCTGCCTTGTCAGATGGATGGGAAATCCTGCCAAGGTACCAAGAAGCGGATCAGGAATATGGTCACCAAACTTGAGCACTGGAGGTTATTGTGAGTCAGACGGGAAGGATTGAGTCGTTAACCTTGACGTGGATTGGTTAGTGCGGACTAGCACGTTAAAGACGCGGTACCCCACAATTTGTTTTCGAGCGTCTTAATACCAATTTGTGTCTTACTCAATAATGGCTATGAGACGATTTGTATGTAGCTCGCCCATGTGACAGAATTGGACGAGTCCCCCACTTAACAGTAAGCCGGGCTTGGACTCGGGCCGGACCGCAAATCTTACCCAGTGTACATTATGTACCCCATAGATCTCACTCCTGCATCTCTCTAATCCACTCGTCTTCTCAAAACTCAAAACGAAATACCCTGAGCAATCCTAGCATCCGGCATCACCTTCAAGTCACTCATCCATAAACAACCATACCCTACAAGCCCACAAAAATGTCAACACCACCCGAATGGTACAAAGACAATTTCCTCTTCTCCACCAACCCAGTCCTTATCCAACCAGCAGCTGTCAACGCAGCTTTCGCTACAGATTACGTGCATTGGGCTAAACCCATGGAAGAGGCTCTGTTGCAGAAGATGTTGGATAACAGTCTCTGTTTCGGTGTCTACGAGTTGCCGAAGACGTCAGCTGAGATTGCAGGTCCGTCACCACTTAAACTTAGTTTTGAATAACCAATCTCTATTTTATCTTCTTGACAGAGAATATAGAAAACTACAGGATGTATCAACTGACGACGAACCCCAGGCCGTTCCCAACCCCCACAAATCGGCCTTGCCCGCTTAATCACCGATCACGTTTCCTTCGCGTATCTCACAGACGTGTATATTCTCGCCCCTTACCAAGGTCGCGGCCTCGGCAAATTCCTCATTAAATGTATAGACGAGGTTCTGGACAGCTGGCCGCAGTTCCGACGAGCGCTCTTACTGGCGGATAGCAAAGAGACGAAATTCTATGAGCAGATGTTGCGGATGCATGAGTTTGATCAGGGTGGGAATGGGTTTACGATGATGACAAGGAAGGGCGCGGGGAGTGTGGTCCCTGTTTAGAGCTAAGGTATGGGAGTAGAGTGTTGTGAGAAAACGAGCTCGCTTACTTCGCTCTGGTGTTGTGGTTATTTTGAATGGGGAACCACCTGCGTGTTTTGAATTCGTCTCGTTCTGGATGTGCATTTCGTTGGTGGCATAGCTTTCTCGTATTGGTGATGCTTGACAAAAGAAGGAAATGTTAAGAAGTCTTGCACATCATACCGCTACCGAGTTCATGGTTGGGGAGTTTGTGTGATGTCAAAGCATTCAAATAGAGGGCCTCGCTAATTTCAAGCAACTTATCCGATGCCCTTTCACATGTCCTCAAACTCGATAGAGTATTACCAGCTAATCTGATAGAATGCGGGGTGCTTATTAGGCGCTCACAGCGCAGTCGGCATTCCCATAGGGCCATTACCATTGGCTGGCCCAATGGCCAGGTCTTATCGAGAAAAAGCCTCATTGTCAACACCCGAACCTCACGGAAACAACGAAAATCCGGAACAAATCATGAAGGTTCGTAGGATTGACGACGTGGCTCTGCTATCAATCCTATCTTGTGATCAATGAGTGGCTCAAAAAGTATGACGCTATTGGAACATGATTCCCGTGCTTGACAGAGCATTGCTCAAGTCTAGGCTTGTAAACAAGTTTGCTGTCTGAGCTGAAAAGACCTCAATGGCACTTCTTGGATTTAAGGCTGTGAGACATGATCATCCTTTGTATGCATGCTCAAGAATATAAGATAAGGAATTGACGAACAGGAATGATGATGACAGGATCGTATGGTTTGGTGGGATATTATCTGACGCAATTGAAAGACAGCCTGGGCCAGGTTCTGTCACCTCTGGATGCATCCGATGTTCCGAGGGTGAAGTTTGATTTGAAGGAAACATGAAGTGAAGGCAGCAGCAAAGGACGATAATTCAGGGCAAATAGGAGGTAAATTACATATGGAAGAAATGACAGGCGTGGACATAGTAAATTCAATATTGACATGCAAGGCATGCATTATAAGTACAGGAATATTGATGCGAGATAGTGGTTCAAATGTCCACTTCATTCTCGCTCCATCGCACCGAAACTTTCCAGGAAAAGCACACAAGCTGGAACGCTAGGGCAAGGGTTACGTACAGTACTGCCAGAAAACACCAATTCCAAATCATGCACCGTACTGGAGCACGATAAGCTGGAAGTGTGAAGTTACTTCGCCATCCTTATATATCGGGTCAATCCGGGTCCTCTCAGACGGAACAACCCCGCGCTGCAATGCCGTTTCGGGTGATATCCGAAGGGGTCAAAAGCGAAGCTTTGAAAGAATATCGCAGTTTCGGTCTCTTGAGGAGCGAATGTATCCGAGAGCCGACTGTACTTGGCCTCAGGAAGGACAGGATTTAACTTGCAAATATGTTGCATGCTCGAATCAAGTTCTATGCCTTGGTGTTTTCCGCTTGGCTTCCCCAGGTCGGGAGCTGTTCCAATTTCGAAGCCGTCCCGTCGGAATTGGAAGTTAGAGAGCCCCACATTCCGGACCCCTCCATTGCCCCGCCACAAGCCCAAATCGTGACAGGAGAGTGGTTATGTAATAAGGCAGAATTCTTTGCCGCCAAAGTTTGTCTGAACACCAATCAGAATGGACTATTACTGTACATACTTTCGTTTGCGGTCAGCTTTGCGACAGTTTTGCATCCGGTGACTACCAAATGTCTGGAAATTGGAGAAGCCCAAGCTAGGGTAAAGCCAATCGTCAATACAGTAATGTTGTCCAACGCTGGTGATGCATCACGGAAAAATACAAGACCGCGGGCAATCATGCCCGAAGAGGGGGGACAATTACAGTAAGGTACATGTCATGTACATGTACCGCAGCCGTACGAACATACTCGTACCTACCGCTCGACCGGTAGGACCAACAGCAGTTGCTTCCAACCATGCCAGGGGGAGGGGGGTTCTAGACCAGAGTTGGCCTTGGCGTCCCAAGCCGAAGGCTGAGCCTGAGCCTGAGCCTGAGCCTAAGCCCAAGCCTGCCTTGTGCCGAGCTGCGGGGAAGGACCAACTCGGGGCGCCCCCTCGTGTGCAGGAAGCCTCGAAGGCTCCTGTGCTCCTTCTGTATGCAGCCTGTGGCAAGGGTTCGGCTGAGATGCACAAGACAAGGAAGGGAAGATCGAATTTGCATGAGCCATGAACCCCCAAGACTCCGTGACGGTCCCAACTCCCGAGTCTCGAGTGGTCTCCATCATTTTCATCCCACCACTGCTGTCGCTGTAGACATTCCCCACAGATCGCCCGAGTTCGTGCCATAAGCCTACCTTATTTGTTCGAGAGTGACGTTGAAGAGCCTCAAGATTGCGATCCGATCTATTTAGGAAGCCGTCCGTTGACGCTGGATAAAGTCGTCGGCGGCAGTGGTGGTCAAGCAAGCAGAGCAGCGCATGTGAAGGGGCAGGGCTGCCGATGAGCACATCCGGCCACAACCTCATGCCTGCTTGCCAATTGTGCGGAGGTCTTCACGATCGCCGTGATCAAGCAGAGGGAGTTCGTGAAACAGCTGCATCTTCCGTGTCCACCCGACCTTCCAACTCAGCTCGCCCGTGTTGTTTTCGGTCGAGACCCAGTTGACAAGGACGACGAGGATGGCTCGCGTTCGTGATTCGCTCAGACTCCTCCACCTCGGGTCCTTAACCCCCAGAGTCAATCTTCCCCACCACTTCCACCACTGCCTGCTATCATCAACCCGTAGCAACAGCCAGACCAGTGCCCGCAAGACCCGCAATCACAGCCGGACCTTCAAAATGTCGAAGCCCTCGCCCTACTTAAATAACTCTGCCGACCCCATCGAGAGAACTTCCTCTCCCTATCCAGATCCCCGCGAACTTGGCCCCAAATCCAAAATCCTCGCAACCCGCACTGGCAACTATCACAGCACCAGCTTAAGAAACATGGTTACTATCAATACTGTCAATAAGACGGCTCTTCACCCCGGTGGAGTACAGTACGTCAAAGCCTCTCTCCAAGCGCCCTCGCTGCCATTGCTACAGCTGGCGTCCTACACAAGACAAAGTACTAACCCCTCAATAGGCCTGTCAAGGAGCATACAGAGCTGGAAGAAGAGTTGCACGAGAAGGCACATATCGATTATGATCGAGTAGCTATCGTAAGTACCGCCAGGACAAGTCTGTTCCAGAATGAAGTTGTACTAAGTCGTTCCCTCTCCCACAGGTTCCCAACCCGAGTGTCGCTGCCCTTTACGAAGATGCCCTCGTCTACGAAACTGGCTCTGCCATCACATCTACCGGTGCCCTCACAGCATATTCAGGAGCAAAGACTGGTCGATCACCCCTAGACAAACGAATTGTCAAGGAGCCCAGCTCAGAAAATGAGATCTGGTGGGGGTGAGCACACACAATCGTTTCAATTGCTATGCACGAATACTGACTGTTATAGACCTGTTAACAAGGCAATGACACCTGACGTAAGTTTGTATTTTACAAAAGGTCTATTACTTCAACAAATCTTTCCCGACGAGCTGTCTGTCGTCGCTCCAATTTCTATGTTCTCAACGACATCAACTGGGATCACATTTCAGCAAACGTCATTATTTCCCCTCCTCTTTACTATTTCTGGCACATACCCGACATCACCATCCTCTACCACTCTCAGACAGACCATATTCTTCAGCTTTCGGGGAGCACCGGAAAAAACACTACAAAAGTTCGGCTGTCGTCCTCAACCCCGCATTTTGTGTCGAGGGGTCTGCTGCACTATTATGTCATAGCACCCCCCACACGTGCAGTCTGGGCACCCCCTTTCACATCACGTGGAAATGGGGGGACTTTATTTTGACGACAGGCTCTGCACACGACCACTCGCTAACTCTGTTTTCATAGGTCTGGAGAATTAACAGAGAACGTGCTATCGATTACCTGAACACTAGAAACCGTATCTATGTTGTCGACGGATTTGCAGGATGGGACAAGAAGTACCAAATCAAAGTCCGAGTTGTCTGCGCCCGTGCCTACCATGCTCTGTTCATGAGGAATATGCTCATCCGACCTGATCGTAAAGATCTTGAGCATTTCCACCCAGACTACACTATCTACAATGCCGGATCCTTCCCAGCGAACAGATATACCGAGGGCATGACCTCTGGTACCTCAGTTGCGATCAACTTCGCAGACAAGGAGATGGTTATTCTGGGTACCGAGTACGCTGGGGAGATGAAGAAGGGAGTTTTCACAGTCCTCTTCTACGAGATGCCTGTCAAGCACAACGTTCTTACTCTGCACTCCTCCGCGAATGAAGGCAAAGATGGAGACGTCACTGTTTTCTTCGGTTTGTCAGGAACTGGAAAAACAACCTTGTCCGCAGACCCCAATCGTGCTTTGATCGGTGACGACGAACACTGCTGGAGTGATCGTGGTGTTTTCAACATTGAGGGTGGTGTAAGTAAATAATCAGGCAGTGTCAGTCTCTTACTAATCATCATCAGTGCTACGCGAAATGTATCGGTCTCTCAGCCGAGAAGGAACCAGATATTTTCGGTGCCATCAAGTTCGGTTCGGTTCTCGAGAACGTTGTTTTCAGCCCCGAGACCCGTCTCGTTGATTATGATGACTCGACTCTTACCGAGAACACTCGTTGCGCATACCCCATCGAATACATCGAGAACGCCAAGATCCCATGTTTGTCAGAAAACCACCCCAGCAACATCATCCTCCTCACTTGCGATGCCCGTGGTGTGTTGCCACCAATCTCGAAACTTAATTCCGCCCAAACTATGTTCCATTTCATCTCCGGTTATACCTCGAAGATGGCTGGTACCGAAGATGGTGTCACTGAGCCACAAGCTACCTTCTCTTCTTGCTTCGCACAACCTTTCCTGGCCCTTCACCCAATGAGATATGCCAAGATGTTGGCTGACAAGATTGAGCACCACAAGGCTAACGCCTGGCTGTTGAACACCGGATGGGTTGGAGCCGGTGCTACCACCGGTGGAAAGCGTTGCCCATTGAAGTACACTCGTGCCATTCTCGACGCGATCCACTCCGGCGAGCTCGCCAAGGTCGAGTACGAGAATTACGAGACCTTCAACCTTGCTGTACCTAAGACTTGCTCCAACGTTCCTTCAGAACTTCTGAACCCAAGCAACGCATGGAGTCAAGGACACGAAAGCTTCAAGCAGGAGGTAACGAAGCTCGGTGGTCTTTTCGTTGAGAACTTCAAGAAGTACTCCGATGAGGCTACAGAGGATGTGATCAAGGCCGGCCCAGCGGTGTAGGTTATGGATATTCCCCCGGTTCGCGGAACGATTGGATTCATCAAACTTTAATAAATTGCATGGCGTCACCCGATGTTGTTTAGCACAAGCAAACAACATAAGAATACAAAAACATTGTAAAACTGATCACTTGTCTACATGCTTGGTTGTGACATGATAATCCGATAGATTAAAACCCGGCTCCATAACGTCCCAGTATATTATTTGCGGCTGAGCGGATATCGGAACCTTTCAATTGGGAATGAAGCATTATTGCTTTTCGTTATGCTCTACTAGATGAATGAAGCTGACCGCATTCGTATATCTTCGTTCTGATTGGGTGGCACCCAGAAGTGGATATGATGAATGAGGGATTTAAAAATAAGATTATTAGGCATGATTGAGCTATTTGGCAAACCTGAGCATAACGCCCAGCAGCTACGTTCCAATTACATTCTGAAATTGGGCATCAATGGCTTTTAGAGGTCAGCAAGTCTAAATGCGGGAGGAACAAGGCCGAGCCAACACATCCGAGCCGTCGACCTGACTAGCTTGCCCAACCATTCACTCGTTCACAACACACCTTCTAGTGACACAAGCAGAAAAGCAATTATTGCCCTGCAGATGAATCAAGGCACGCAGACAAACGAAACCACAGAATGCCATCCGAGCATTTGCCCTCACAATCGCAAGCGCGGCCGTCTCTCGGCCAGCATCGTTCGACGAATTCCGTCCACAGCCAGACGGACTCACCTTCAACCACACCTCCGCAACATGGGAAGCACAAGAGGGAGAAGCACGTAGTCGGCGGAGGAGGACGAGGACACGCCAGAGTACCGTCGAGTAAAGCGCTGCACAAACTCACGAAAGCCGCACACGGAAACGACGGGTCACACACGGATCTGAAGAAGCTGGCACGGAATTCCTCCTCGAAGGACCTGAAGAAGAACTCTTCGCATGTTACCCTAAAGCGCAATCGGTCATCTGCAGACGTAACAAAACGCTCCAAGGCAGGCCACGAACAAGTGAAGAGACCTGCATCTGTTCACTTTGAGATTGGTGATCAGGACGACGCCTGGGAGAACGCGAGCTCATCTGCGTCACCAGCATTATCCAGATCTGCTTCGAGACCTGCTAGCGGCCATTCATCTTCAAAACCAAGCGCCAGCAATTCGCAATCGCACTCGCCGCCACAATCGCCTCCTGGCAATTCAAAAATAAGTTCAGTCGCAAACGGTGCTGAAGACAAACAAGCTTCTCGCCATTCAGCAGATGCAAAGGTCATTACAGAACGACTTCTACAACGATCACATTCCCAGAACACTACCAAGATGTCTCTGGCTACTGCAACACCTTCAGGATATACCCCCGTCTCCCCAGAAAAGAGCCAGAGCGGCACACCGACTGTTGGGAGCGGCGGCAATGAAGTGGTTTCGCGCTTCGTAGGAGGATCAGGTACACCGAGCGAGAACTCCCCGTATCTCAACAATCGCAAGAACGAAGGAAGAGCGAATCAAGTAAACGATGATATAAAGCGAGCGCAATCGATGGGCAATTTGACGAGGCCAGACCAGGAGAAAGATGACGAGGAAGAGAGTGTTCTAGCACCCAGATCGAGAAAGTCCTCCACAGGCCACGCATATATACCGCCCCAGCAATCACGCACACAACAGAAGCTCTGGCTCCAAAGAGCGAGCTCGAATATTGAGCCGCAACAGATGGCGCCGGGTGTGGCTATGAATGGTCTCGCGGGCCTACACGGAGGTATTGGAGGTACATCACTGGTAGGGGGGGCCGGCTACGACGGTCGCGATCCACGCATCAAGCTCCAACTCGAACGAACTGGTCTCGAATACCTGGTCGTTAGACGCTATCAGGACCCCATCGCGAAAGCCTTCAAACGCCTCGCTCAGCTCCCTGGCGCAGAGAAGAACCGCAGAATTCCAGCTCATAAAGCCAATAATAGCAATGAGCAAGGCGCAAACACTGGTCGATATGGTCTCAGCCAGAGTCTGAAGGAGTCGCGGAGTCTAGCGAAGGATGGAGGTGGGAAACCAAATGCAAATGATGCGAACTCGAGTTATGAGGGGCAGTCGGGAAGTCTCGAGGATGGAAATGTGAGTGATAGGGGTGGCGATGGGAATGACCAGGGAGCTATACTCAGGAGCATGTGGGATAAGACTTATGATCTCAGTGCAAGTGCTGATTGAAAGGGAAAGAGAAGAAAGGTCCTTTGAGATCTGCCCTGCGTATTATACTTGTGACCTATTTTGTACACCTTTTTTGCATGGCGTTCGATGGAGAGGGGCGGAAATGGTTTGGGATATCAATACCTGCCATGTTTATGTGGCTGGTTGGCGTCTTTGGGATGAGGTGATGGACGGACGTTTGAGGACTACCAAGCAAGTTTGCTAGCTATACTTGTTTTGCTGGCGGGTTTGGCTACTAGAAATGCGACGAGTTAAGACAAGACAGCACGTTCATGATGATGGTGAGAATAGATGACACTTCGTGGTCGACTAAGATCTGATCACATCACCAAGTGACTGCTTGAATCTTGCCTCTATTTTCGATTTGGATTTGTTTTCATTTGTCAGATGATCATCACAATAGCAGTGCTCCTTTCATTCCTCCATGCTTCCATCTAGTATCTATAATACTTTAAGTTTCCCTACCTTACAGTCTACCTACCTCAAAGGCGATCCACCCAAAGCTCCCCCTTTCCCAGGCGTAGCTCCCCCTTTCCCAGGCGTCCACCCGGAACTAAAAGTCGTACTCCCGGTGCCAGGCGCCAATCCAATCGGTTTCCTAATCGGTGTCGTAGGACCTGATCTTGACCCCGAAGCAGCACCTCCATGATGCGCCCCCTCAACGCCCAACTCCGGTGTTTGTGTCCTTTCAATCAGAAGGCCGTCTTTTCTCGCGGCGGGAGCCTTAAAGCCCATACTCCTCCCATTCTGATAGATATCCTGAATCATAAGCTCCAAGATCCCTGCATCTTGAAACTCCAGGAACTTTTTATACAGTTTGAGCGCGGTGCGTGCATCTTCAATACTATCATGGGTCTCGAGTTGGATTTCCTCTTTCAGGAGGTAAGATGCCAGAAACGAGAGGGAGAGACGGCGGAGGTGTGAAGCACTGTAGAAGAGATCGATAGTGTCGATGACTTTGCTCTTGGGTATGTGGACATTCAGCACGCGGAAGTCTTGCTTAAGACCGTGGCCAAGGAAGCGGCAGCCGAGGTTGAGCAGGATCCATAGTTTCTTGTATACAACTTTTAGAGCGACAAGGTTGTGCTTGGAGACTCCAGGGTCAAGATCCCCTTTTCGGATGCCCGAGTACTCGGTTAGGTAGTCGACTACGGTGTCTCGGATGTGGATGTAGTCGTCGATGAAGGGGAGTCCTTCGTCTTCGCCAGAGCAGCGGACGACTGAAACCCGGGCGAGGGCATATACGATAGGTCTGACGGTTGTGCGGTCTCCTTTCGCATTTACTTCTATCTCGGGGCGGCGGACGGAGACGAATTCGGTGTCGAGGGCAATTATGGTCCCCTCGACTGGGGCCTCTTGGGGGAATGCTAGAGGTCGATATGTTTTCACAGGGTTGGCACTGTGAAGGTGTCAAATAAGACTTTGGTAGTCACCGACTTGCAGGAGGAATGAGACTTACTTGGTGTCCATGTAAAGAACTTTAGTATCCAATGTTTGTTTCCAGATATCGTCGATCTTATTGTTATATGCCTTGACTTGATACGTGATCACAGAAGGTAGTTTCCAAGTTGTGTTGAAAGTGAGTGCCTCCGCCGCTTTGATAGGGCGTACCAGAAAATCATTGAACAGATGCCATCTACTCTCCTCTGGCTTAGTCTGGAGTGAGTGGGCGACTGTCTTATGTGAGCATGGCTAATATTATCGAGTAGAAGATCTTACCGTTTACAAGTGAAACAAGATGTGCTTTCTGGTTTATACCGCTCATAATTTCGGCAGCCACTCCGACCAAAGAGTACACCGTTATATTGTGCATGCCCCTTTGAATATGGAGCTTCAAGTCATCACCCTGGTAGCAGAAGAACTGTCCTTGGTCGATAATTATCCCGATTTCTTCTGGCAACCATCCTGGCACAGCCCAGAATTGTTTGGCTTCGGGACTGTTGACGGCAGCATTGAGCATCAAGATAGCTGGTACACCATGGATGGTCTTTTTGGTCGCAAGAGATTGGTATCTCTGGCATCTACTACACCATCCTCTACTGGTTGTCTCCCGTTCAACACTGGATTTGAGAATTTGGGAAAACGATGGCTTCTGGGCTCTTGCATTTCGCACGAGGATTTTCTAATAACTGGTCAGACAGAAAACCTCAAAAGATAGTGAAATAGCTTACGGGCAGTGGGTAAAGTAATTCATTGACAAAGGTAGTAGTCCCAGGTCTGGTGTGTTCGCTTCGGCATGCCATGCAGCGAATCCCAGTTGTTGCCGAAGTTGCCAAAATCTATCAATGTAAGCCAGGTTTTGGTAGAGCAACAAAGGACAAAGGACAAATTACCTGATCAAATACTGGATTCTGTGGAAGTATACTTTTCCAATCTTGTGTTAGTCGATCCAACAAGAAGCGGTTCAGCCCTTGCAACATAGTTGTGAGGGAAGAGCCTAATGCATCCTCTTCCAACAGACCCAGTGGTCCAGCTGATTTTGGTCAGTACATGTGGATTGGTGAATTTTCCAGAGTCTACATACCTTGTGGCTGGTAGCTGAAAGTCTTCAAGAAGTTGGTAGCCTGGCAAATAGACCCTTCAGCCCTTTCAAGCATGTCAAACAAGAAGCCCATCTCACACAGCAGGCACAGCTCATTGACACACCTTGTTGCGGTATGTTGCAGAGCAAGATTGCGGATGAGAGGAGTGAAGTGTAAGATCTGCAACAATGGATTGGCGTAGGAATTTGGGATGTGAATTTCCAGTCCAGAATACTTTGTTTTGTTGTAATATCTGGAACTCGTCAGCTATACTCATTTCAATCTACAGTTTGACTGACCCGAAATCAAAGTCATCCACACCAAATTTGCTGTACTTGATCTCTACATTTTCATACCATACGGGAACATCTGCTTTCAGACTCAAAACCTCATTGGCCCCAATGTCATCGGCGGTGCTAGATCGACGTTCACCAGATCCGTCATTGGACGCCTCTCTCGCCTTCTCACTGAGGAACTTGGGCGCCTGCAAGCTGGCAGGAGTCTTCTCAAACGTTCGAGTATTTTCGATCTGGTTTCTCTTCGTGGCGCGGTTGTTGCGTCCGTATCCACCCCATTCAGTCACCTTCAACGACGACAGAAACTGCTGGTCTATCTTTGGAGGTGGAGCACCAGTTTCAAAGACCAAGTGGCTAGGCCATGATGAGAGCAGTTGCTCACGATAATATGGCATGCCGATGCTACTCAAAGGTCTAGGGAATATCAGATCTGAGTTACTTGCCGGAAGGGTATTCTTACGTGTTGGGACTCCAATCAACCTCGATATGGGATTCTTCCGGCTCAGCAAATTCTACTGGATTACTGACATCTCCGAAACGCATTCTCGAAGGAGATCCCCACAGGTGGATGTTACATTCAGCATCTGCTAGGACAACCGCCTCTCCAGATGGTGCAATTTCAATCATGCTTATGTAGGCCAGAGTGCTTACTTGCTTTATGTTGCTTGAATTCGGGTTCATGAGATCAACTATATGCATTTGGCCATGCTGGGATACAACAATCAGTGTTGTTGACATTCGCGGATGCATCCGTAGGTATGCTGCCCCAGCAGGAAACGGAACCGGACTCGAGGCAACCATGTTCTTCAGGTCAAAGACATTGACCATCACATCTAGAATATACGGCTGCCCTTGTCGTAGTTGGCATCCACAACTGACAATGAAGTCATTTTGTGCATCCATATCGTGAATCAGGGAGGAATGGGCATTCCAGACTTTGATAACACGAAAGTCTGAAGGGTCTAGTATATTGATGGAGCCTCTCTGAGTGGCGGCGCAAATATATCGACTCCTCCTCATCATAGTATATTGATCACTGGTTGGGACCTGAAATTTTTAGTTCAAGGATGTCTGAGGATCTGGATTCACTATGTACCTGCTTGACGATAGTGCCCTTCTCTACGTCAATTATAAACATCTGGTCTTGTAGCCCGGCAACTAGGATCTCCCCTGTCCCTTTATTCGTGTAACTCATGCATCGGAGATCCTTCATCTCATTGTGACTATGTTCAATTTATCAGCCATGATCGAACATCCGATTTGTGGAGCAGTACGTGATATGCCATATTGGAGGGCCCCTCCTCATTGCCATGTGTACACTTTTGGACCCCAACGCAACAATTCCTTTCTCGTGGAATAGCAACTGGTGAACCGGTCCATCTCCGCATTTGAAGGAGGTATATCGTTGGAGCTCATTGCCGTAGAAAGCAGAGACGCGTCCGAATTGATTCCCGCACCACAACAGTTCCTGCGAGTTATCGAATGCAAATGTCGATACGGGCGTTGGGAGCGCTTGAGGTCCAGGAGGCGGAAGGAGCAAGCGCCCGACCTATCGAGAAGTGATTCAGTATTGTGTAAAGTGAAGCTATCGAGCATATCAAGGGCTCGAGGCTGAAGCCCCGCTGAGGGTCTTGATATGGTCCTTCTGCCTCGCACAAAACAACCGACTTGCAGATTCAAAATAACTTACTTCCTCCCAATCGCCATCCATCAAATCTGCTCGGCTATGTTTTACCAATCCATGGCTGGGTAACAATAAGTGCAATGTCAACCAACCTTCAAAGCCTCAAAGCGGGCTGGGATGTGATCCGTTTCTGCCATCTTGAAGTAGCTAGCAAGACTTGGGCGGTGGGTGACGCTTAGTCAGCGCGATCCCGATTGTCGGTTGTTTACTTATCTACACAGCGCGACATCAACCTATCCTTCTCAAGCGAGTTTGTTCTAATAAGGTACGGATTACACGCGGTCTAACCAAAATGACTGCTCCTCTCTCGTTCAAGAACTCTACATGGAGCTGCACCTCAAAGGTCAGGCGAAAGAGTAGCAACAGCTATGAAGCTCTACCCTGCGCGCTTCGTCTCAGAGTTCCGGCTCGGCGTCTCACACATGTCGATGGGATGACATGTTTTGTTTGAAGTACCACATATTTGTTTGTGCTGAAAGATCGCTCTGTCGATCGCAACATTTCTCATTATTAAAGCTATCTGTTCTACTCGATTTCTACTTTCTTTCGTTATTCCTATTCCAGCGCTGGCAGCTTCCCTTATAAACCATCATCATGAACTTCTACGATTCAGCGTTCCTTCTGCTGGTGACAGGATGTGGTCTCCTAAGCTGGCGGCAATATTACACTGGGGAGAAATCACCAGAAGAGAAATCGTCGAATCATTCAATGGTTACGCCGCGAGCAAAAGCAGAAGCTAGCCAGTTCACGCGCCTTTTCCTCACAGTGTACTGTCTAGTGATGGGATCAGATTGGCTTCAGGGTATGCTCTGTCTCGATCTCACATCTATCCGTCCTAATAAATTCAGGACCCTATGTATACAGCTTATACAAAGATCAATTCGGACTTCCAGAACGAACAGTTGCAGCCCTCTTCACAACGGGATTTCTATCAGGCGGAATAAGCGGATATTTTGTTGGCCAATTCGCTGATCGATATGGCCGCAAGACCGCATGTTTGGTCTTTTGCATCACCTACTCCATAGCTTGCTTGTCGACGCTCATCCCAAGCGTTCCAGCTCTATTCTTCGGTCGAGTCTTCGGTGGTCTAAGCACGAGCTTGATGTACAGTGCCTTTGAAAGCTGGATGGTCACTGAATATCACAAGCGGCAAATGGACAAGGCAGGGTCGAGTCTGAGCGGCATGTATGGGATCATGACAACACTGAACAGTATTGTTGCAATCTTATCTGGTGTGTTCAGCGAGTGGCTGGTCAATTTCACCCACACGAAACGAGCTCCCTTTATGGCCGGCGCCGCCTTGTTGATGGTCGCCTTCTGGATCATCTTAGTCTGCTGGGTGAGTGGCTTCATCCCCTCACTACTTTCAAACATGTACTTATACTCTCGCAGACCGAGAATTACGGCGACAGTCACTCATCCTCTGAATCATCCACTCCCCCAAAAGATGCCCTCAAAACCTGCTTCACAGACAAACGCATCCTTACTCTCGGGCTCGCATCTTGCTTTTTCGAAGGCAGCATGTATCTGTTCGTGTTCTTCTGGACGCCGGCCCTCAAAGCCGCTCAATCACTCGCAAAATCCCCCGAATTACCACTCGGCATGATCTTCGCCTGCTTCATGGGCTCTGTCATGGCCGGCTCTCTAGCCTTTAATCTCCTCGTATCCAAATACCAGCTGATCTCCCACGCCCGTATACTAACCATAATATTCGCCACCGCGAGCAGCAGTCTGCTCATCACGGTCGTAGTGAGAGATGAGGGGATGACATTTTGGAGTTTCTGTGTCTTTGAAGCGTGTGTGGGCATGTATTGGCCGAGCGTGGGATATCTGAAGGGAAGGTTTATTGATGATGGGATAAGGGCGAGGATTTATGGGATGCTGAGGATTCCCTTGAATGTCTTTGTTGTGGTGGCCCTGTCCTTGATCAAGGAGGGCCCAGAGTATCGGAATTTGGTCTTCATGACTTGCAGCGGATTGCTGGTACTGACCTCGGGTATTTTCCATCACTATGTTAGTGATTGAGTAGGTCAGCATAAGTAGAGGCGAGCACATACAGTAATTTTATAACACTTGGATCAAAAATGTAAATGTTTGGCCTGAAATAGCACATGATTTCTATCTAAGCTAATAATCTGTATATCCGAAAGCTCTCTGGCACGCTGACAAAGTCGAAATTTCTCTGTATTCCTATCTGATCCTAATTCTGCGCCAAAGTCCAGCCAGAAACAACGCATAAAGTCCATAGAAATGCTACCAGCCTCATACTCCGTGGAATAGAAGCAACCCCATATTCGACCCCCGAACCCCTTATGAACACCGTAGTAAATGCATGAGAAGAAAAGATCCACCGAGTCATACGGTCACAGCTACGCAGAATCGGGGAAGAAGTTCAAGGATTTGTTCAACCTACACCTCCTCCATTTGTCCTGCTGGCTCCTCGTCCTCTTCATCACCAAAACTTCCTACTGAAGACATATCGTCATCATCGTCCGTCTCGGCTCCAGCCTCGTCCGCAGCTTCCTTGCTGGCATACTTGGCCACATATTCTGTAAAGCATCAGCTATATTCAGTAGCCATTACCATGTATTAACCCACCCTTGACCTTGGCATCGTAGCTCTTTGGTTCTCGCATCAGCAACGCAGCCGCCTCACCGTTCAAAGGGTCGGTAGGATTCGGGTATCTGAGGAGTTGTGGGAGAAAGACTTCGAATATGTTGATCATGTCGAACATGGGGGACCATGTCTGATTGATGACGTCCAAGCAAACAGAACCAGATCTATTGACCGTCAGAATACGTTCTCCAGGTTCGGAAAGGTCCATACAACTCGTCAATATTGGGGTGAAATATGCGGTTGACAAAGCCGATGCTGGGCGATTTGTAGGGGTATTGGTCTGGCAACTCGACGTGAACTTTCCACAAGCCACCTTGAAACGGTGCTACACCTTGTCAGACCTCTCTTTCATGCTGCATGATTGGACCACCCACTCTCTTCGGGGCCCTTGAATCGGACGTAAAACTCCTGCCTATATCCCACTTATTAATACCTGCTACGGTCGTCTCGAGCAAGGAAAGTTATACACTAATTATAAGTCAGCAGCTAATAGTGAAGTTTAGAACAGCGAAAACCCAACTATTATCATTGACTAGAGTGACCTCATAGTCGCTCATCAACCTAATAAATATCAGTCTCCTCCCTAATATTCAACCTGGTAAGGCCTCTGGGTAATGCATACATCCTAGAGAAAAGTTAGCAGCAAATTCGTAGGTCAACATGTGAAGAGTTGACTCACTTCATGACCTGTTAACCACAAGCACCAGTCAGTCTCTGCCACTTTCCTCTGCAGGTTCCAAGATTCATTCTTCACTCACATCCGTCTCAATACGTCGTCGTGGGGAAGACATCTTGGTCTTGGTCCTTGTGTACTGGGGGATGTGGTTCGTTGCACACGCGATGGGGAGGCAGTCGAGGCTGGCTCTGACGAAGGAGCGGGGTTTCCAGAGAAAGTGAGGGGGGTCTTGATTTCTCGAAGTATTTGATTGTTTTTTCGAATAAGGCGGCAGCGGCTGTGGAAAGAGAAGGGCGTGGTGAAGCTTGCTTGCAGTATAGTAGGCAAATGTCGGAAGCTGTGAAGTGATGATGGAGAATGACGGATAGAAGTAGCGGACGACGGGCGCGGCAGGGCCTGAGTCTTATCGCTGGCTTTATCGGCTCGCCTCGAAGGCTTCCCCTTTTGGCGCGCGGCGTACTTTGTTGTTCAGCTACGAACCACTGGTTCGGGACGAGTTGAGGTGGGTGGAATGCTCTATTTTGGATTTTTGTTATTAAGTGGCCTGCATATAGATCTCGTTGCTCATGTCAAAGGTGTCAATCGGGGTTTTCAATGAATCAAAGACAAAGACTACATAATTGCCATTGCACGAGTCAATCCGTGGCATTCATGACTTGGTCAGATGCATCTTCCGACTTAGTCACCCTGCTAGGCTACCTCGGGTACCTACAATGGTCATGTAAAGTAATCATCTCCAGACAGCTTACCATTCTACTGTAGAGCCCTGGAACTAAACCACTAACACTCGCAAGAGCAAAAGAGCCCGAGTAAAACAAACAAACCCCCGTGACTTGAGGCCGAATGCGGCCTAGCCGCCCGACCGAGGCAAATCGGTCTCAGCTCAGAAGCTGCTGTCCTCGTTTCGTCAGAGTCAGTATAGAATCAACTGCGTGAAGTTCATCACGACCCATTACAATAAAAATTCTGCCTCCCCGCAAAATGATCATTTTTCCTTTCCGTTCTTCTAAGACTAATCTCAGTCATCACAATTGCCAATATTTGCGCAACAACCACAATTTGCCGCCATGTCGCCAGCACATTCCGTTATGAAGGGGTCGCGCACCTTACTTTCACTTTCATCTCATCCAACTTTATTTGCTGCTAGGCCTTTGCTGTCCCAATGTCAGAGCAGATACAGCTCTCATTCGCCGATGGGATCAACGAGCCAAGATAAGAGGAAGAAAGTCACTATGAATACAATTCGTTCTTTGTATAAGAAAGGGGAACCAATCACTGTCCTCACAGCCCATGACTTCCCCAGCGCACATGTTGCTGACGCTGCCGGAATGGAAATCATCCTGGTGGGAGACAGTCTTGCTATGGTAGCACTTGGTATGGAAGATACAAGTGAGGTCTTGGTGGAAGAAATGCTACTTCATTGTCGTTCAGTAGCTCGAGCCGCAAAGACAGCCTTCACTGTATGCAACCACGTGCCTTTATAGTAACTCAGCTAACTTCCCAAACCCAGGTCGGAGATCTTCCTATGGGATCCTATGAGGTATCTCCTGAGCAAGCATTGGAATCCGCAATCAAATTCATCAAGACGGGCCGCATGCAAGGCATCAAACTTGAAGGCGGCCTGGAAATGGCACCAACCATCAAGAAGATCACTGCCGCCGGCATTCCGGTCCTTGGTCACATCGGACTCACACCTCAACGTCAGAACTCCCTGGGCGGTTTCCGTGTTCAAGGCAAGACATCGGCAGGTGCCATGAAAGTCCTCGAGGACGCTTTAGCCATCCAGGAAGCTGGCTGCTTCGCAACAGTGGTGGAGGCCGTCCCTCAAGAAGTCGTCGCTTTGATAACAAAGAGACTTTCCATACCAACGATCGGCATCGGTGCTGGAAACGGCTGCTCTGGCCAAGTGCTGGTACAGGTAGACATGACCGGCAACTTCCCACCTGGTCGGTTCATTCCGAAATTCGTCAAGAAGTATGGTGATGTTTGGAGCGAAAGCTTGAAAGCCATCGAGGCATATCGAGACGAGACGAAGAGCCGGTCATACCCTGCACCAGAGCACACTTATCCGATATCCAAGGAGGAGCTTGCCGAGTTTGAGCGTGTCTTGGAGACAAAAGCTGTTTGATTCATTGCATTGTTTGTATTGTATAGCTCAGGGATGGTGTAGCTGTAGCCTCCCTCTAAGCCATTCGTTGGTATTGCATTATTGGTGTATCCTCCTTTGCATGTTTGGGGTTTTTGCATGTGGCAGGTAGCCTTAGCAGCCTATTGATATTTGATTCGAAGCCTCTTCCCACACAGCTTCATCCAAATGCCGGTGTCATTGAATACGTGACAATGAGTTGATCCTTGGAATCCTTGAAGCACTACCAAACCAAATAAGTAACCATACTTTCACCAAACAAGGAATAACTCACCCTATGTAAATTTCCCACAATCTCATCCAGTGCCGGGGCAAAACTAGAATTGACATATAAAAACACGCTATCCATCTCGCCGACTTTCAACACCCTCCTCAGATATGCAACCACGACTTCAAAGCGCTGCGAGCTTGAGATACTGCAGACCTGCTTCCTGAGCGTCGGCGCACTGCCCACGGCTTTGAAATGTACGGCTACTTTGGGCTTAGGGAAGTCACCCGCAGTAGAGAGCGCGGTGGCTGCGTCGCGAGGCAGAGAGGTAAGGATCATGGACGAGGCTAGGGTGAGTGGGATGTCTGGTTCATGGTCGGCAGAGTCGGGGATAGCGTTGTTGTTGGTATTATCTGCTGGAGTACTGCATCTCGACGGTGATGGTGACGGGGACGACATTTTTGCGATGCGGAGTGTCTCTGTGTTGTTGAAGGATGACGGTGATGTTGACGTTGGATGTGGTGGACGCAAGGCTGAACTTCGAAAATCGCGAGGTTGCCCGAAGCGATTCCGGGAGCGAATAGGACGAAGGCTGCTATGAGGACTTCAGCATGCTTCACTCAGGCATTTATCTATCCATTATTTGCGGAAGTGATACGTAGTACTACATGGAAGGTTCGTTGGTGAAGACAAGTGCCATCAATGTTTGTTTCTCGGTGTGTACAGGTAATGATGACCTGTTTATTTGGGACGAAAGTCATGGTGACGAAGTATTATTTTCTTAACATGATTGCTAGAACCGCAAAGTGTAACATACGGATCAGTCCCGTAATGCCTCAATATCTACAACCTCTTTGACAGCTTCTGTGGTCAGAATGAGTGGAGAATCATCCTGAACACAAACACTGTCCTCTATCCGGATACCCATGCCTCTGAAATGGATTGGCCATCTTTCATCATCCGGGACATATATCCCCGGTTCAATTGTAACACAGTGTCCCACCTTCAGTTGTGTTGCACGAGAGTATCCCGGACAATCGTGCACATCCAGTCCAATGTAATGGCCTACGTGGTGAGGGAAGAGAACATCCATGGCATCGCCATTCATGTTGAAGCCGAGAGACTTCAAACCCTCTCTCAGCCCATGCTCCGTGATTTGATGGATTTTATCCAAGGTCATGTTTGCACTCTCTCTGCAGAGTGATACACTGCTCCTTTGGACTTTCAAAATAGTTTCGTACAGATCCTTTTGGGGATCGGAGAACTTGCCATTAACAGGCCAGGATCTGGTGATGTCTGAAATATAACCACCATACTCTCCACCAGCGTCCACTAAGACAATCTGGCCGTCTTGAAGCACGTCATTATTACGAACATAGTGAATACTCAAAGCATTGCTGCCTCCAGCGATAACTGGAATATATGCAGTCGTATCACAGCCACATGCTTTAAAGTCGTAGTCAAGGAAAGCTGCTAGGTCTTTCTCTTTAGTCCACTGTCGACGCATTGCATTCGTGATGGCCCTTCCAGAGTATTTTCCAGCAAGCCTCATGTTGGTAATCTCAGCTTCACTCTTAATGATCCTTAGCTCGTGCATCAATGGCTTGAGAGGCTTGACTTTGCTGTCTTTTATCATCCTTTGGAAGTCGTTTGGTTGAGCATCTTGATTTCGGAAGAAGAGTCCAAATCCAGCGCACTTGGCTATGTCTGTGTACACTTCACTTGCACCTGCAATCAACGGCGGAAGTAGCGAGTGTAGCTGGTTTATGTCACCCGACTACTTTCATCAGCACTTGCTCAGAAGTTTCCACGGGCAGACGAACCTCGTCCGCATTGAACACATCTAAGGCCGCTTGTTCGCCAGACCTTGCACCTTCCCATTGTTCTGCTCTTGCATCCTTTGGCCGGAGGAAAAGGTGGAAAGTATAATCTGAAGAGGATCCCACTCTCCGTATGCAAGCAACTGCTTCTGGTTCATTAAACCCAGTCAGGTACAGGAAGTTTGGCTCCTGGTGGAATTCGTAGAAGACGGCGCCTGATCGATATTTGGTGTTAGATGAAGCAAGGATCGCTATCCCGTCAGGAGGTAAACTTGCAGCAAGCTTTGCTCGTCGATTCGCATATTCCTGGGCTGTTATGCCCGGAGTTACTTGAAGCCAAGTTAGTCTACTATTGAGAATGATTGAAGCTGCAACATACTTTCTCCAGGTCTCAAAAGATGGGGATGTGTCTCATAAACAGGTTGTCCGAACTGGAGATCTGCTGCGGAAACCGAGGCGTATGTTCTTCGAGGTTGAGTTGCAGTGCGATTAACTGCAGATACAAGGACTCGAGACGGACATCTTGGAGGATGTGAGGATTGAAATGCTCTGTGCAATTGCCGCATCAAAGGACGAGAACTCCGGGACATGTTGCGGTAAGAAATCGCGGGTATGCAGATAGAGTTTATATAAATGTCATATCATGTCGTCGGCCGTGCAGGTGGAGTTTGGACCTTTGGATGAGTTCAAGTGCTCACTCAAGTGATGGCGACCTTAAGTCTAAGGTAGGTAGGTACCTTGGTACCAAGTGAGAAATCAAGCATAATTATGTTATGTCGCGCATAACTGGCTGCACTGCAGGCCCGCTCTCCCTCGTTTGTCAGCGACCAGTGAACGTTGCTGGGTGGCCCAGGGAAGTCGCGTTTTCCTCTGGTGGGCCCGAGCACACAGATTGCTTGTTGACTGCACTCTCGAGGTCTCCATCCATCCAAACATCCAGGATCCCCAAGACGAACTTCAGCTTATCCCTCCACGCTCCTTGACTTGTGTACTCGCGCCGTTCGCAACCTAGTCACCACGAGTAAAGAATCATCTTTCCCCAATGTCTTTATAATTCTCGTCCGAAGCTTGTCGGACGTACACTGTCGCGTGTACACCCCACCCACTCCTTCATTCTGTGAGGCTGCCGGAAGCTTAAGAGCCTTCATATGGCAGCAATATCCATATCACCCTTGCCTCACTCTTTATCCATCATGTCGAGCAAGAGGGTGCCCTTGTCCAGCAACCCAAATGCTGTCAATTCGCCCTACAGAGCAGTGGCAGCTGCTGCATCGAAGCAGAAACGATCATATGCTACAATCCAACGCGAAGAAGCTTATGGCCAACCCCCGCCTGCTAAGAAGCAGATGCTCGAGAGCTACCAAACAATTCAAACGCCGCCTCGTCAACACGTGAACCAAAATTCGGTGGAAGGACGTGTGTTTACTCGAAAATCCAATGCTTCTCAGCAGTCCGCGTTCGAGCGGAAGCTCGTTGCAGTCAGGGAGAAGCCACAGCAGACGGTCACAAAGGCGGACAAGACAGCTGAAGAGAACTTGGACACAATAAGACAATGGCAGAAGCATTACCGGAAGATATTTCCAACTTTTGTCTTCTATTTTGAGAGTATATCAGAGGAGGTTCGGATCAAGTATACAAAGCAAGTAGTTGCCCTTGGAGCAGTAAGTCATTGACCCCAGGTTCTCCCTCATAGTTGCAGAATACTAAAAAAAATTGCAGCGCGAAGAAAAGTTCTTCTCGAATGCAGTCACTCATGTTGTGACCACTCGATCCATTCCTCCGGCACAGCAAATTAACCCTACAGAAACTCCAGTTACGTCTTCGACGAACGACTCCCAAAATAGCCAGCCTCAGACCATTAACCCATCTCTACTTGACCGGTCATCAGAATCGGCAAACACACATTCTGATTTGGGTGGAAGAGGGAAATTTACATTTGAAGCCCCTATCAACAGAAGATTGGCACCACACGGTCAAGATGGAGATATTAGGAGACAACAAGGTCGCAATGCAGATGTTTTGTATAGAGCCCGGGAACTGGGCATGAAGATATGGGCTCTGGAAAAGCTACAACGAATGATGAATGCTATGTTTGATGCAGAAACGGGACAGACAAACCATGGGCACAACACCAGGAGCAATTCAGTGTCAACGATACTTCCAAGAACAGCACGCGAAGCTGATCTTTCACAGCTGCTGCGAAATGAGAGGATCAATGGACCTTCCGATCGAGATCCTACAGTAGCTACTAAGGAGATCACGCTTTTCAAGGGTCCATTTATCTACATTCACGACATTGATGAGAAGCAACGCCCAATCATGGTCCGAGAATATGCCAAAGTGGCACACAAAGAGGATGGAGACTGGCCTCAGTTCCGCAGTGTGGCCAATGGAAAGTGCCCATTCGTTGAGGAGGTTGATTATGGCCAACGGGAAGCTGAAAAGGAAAAAGAAGCTATTCGACTTCAAAGGCAACAAGAAAAGGAGAAGGCTATGATTCCACGAACTCGTGCGGCGGCCGCTGTGCAAGCAGCCAAGATGCAGCCGCCAAAGGCCACAGGTAAGAGGACACTCTCTGAAATGGATAGTGCCTCAAACCGAAATATCACCGTCTCGACAAAGCAAAACAATCCATTTGCTCCTAGCAACAGCTCGTTTTCACAAAAGACAGAACAAGAGGCTTCATCTCGGGGTAATCAGAATGCTTTCGTCAGCCGTGCTGGTGCCGGTCGCCTCTTTGGAGGTGAACCGGTTGCATCAGGACTTCAGCCATCTAATATCACGTCAGCGATTAGATCCACTATGATTTCTTCCACAGCAGCCCAACCAGGAGCCAAGGCTGGTACCAGCAAGGAGGTCCATGGTCTACAACGAAAGGTGCTCGAGAAGAACAGTGGCGGCCCTGGCTCACACGGGCTGACAAGCTCCCATCGCATGACCGATATTGTCGGTGCTGCTAGAGAGGAAATGGCAGCTCGGCCATCACGATTGCGGGCACAGGATAAGCTCCATCTTATTGAGGAAGATGTCGATCCATCCGAAGCCGAATATGCTGCAAGGAAGATTGAAGCTACTCGTAAAGCAAAGGCAGTTCAACAGCGGAAACTTGAGAAGCGGGATCCAAAACCTGGGTACTGCGAGAATTGTCAGGATAAGTTTGAAGACTTCGATGAGGTATGGTGACTTTACTATTAATTACTAAGACTCCATGCTGACCTGTATTCCAGCATGTCCTGTCTCGCAAACATCGAAAGTTCGCCGAGAAGCCTGAAAACTGGAAGGAACTCGATGCCTTGCTGAGCAAACTCGTCAGGCCTCTTCGTGATGACTGTTGAAACGAAGTTCTTGCTCCGGACTGCTTCACAGTGTACGCCGCCGTCGTCTGTGAAAGTCTAAACCCCAACGTATAATGAAATCTACATAATCCTCATACTGGCGTCCCGGGAAAGGTGTTCTGGTGGTTGCGGTACGCGCTGGCCCTTTGGCCACGTACAGTCTGCTTTTTCTCTTCTTGTTTTCCCCGGCTTTGCAACTATACCATACCAAGCTTCTTCGACGCATTTAAGCCAGGCTTGCGTGCATTTTGGGCAGGAGCGGGCATTCATTGACTGTTTTGTGCTTTTTGGGAGATCTGCATTTACATCGGCGCGCGCTCTCCATCTTTTCGTCCGTCTCATTCATCCATTCGGGTTCATCACCAGCTCGCGTGTTCACTGGGAAAGAGAAACGGTTGCATAGTTCCTCGATTGCTTGCTGCATCTTCGCGCGTATACCTGTCTGTTGTATGTAGCGCGTCCAATTCTCGGCAATGAAAGGAATGGGAAATGACACATGAAACTGAAAGAAAGAAAAGAAAAGAAAAGAAAGGAAAGGGTTGTTTATTGTAATCTTCTCAAAGTGTAGATAAAGAATGTGTGATCGGTCTTCACATGAAGAAAATTACAAGACTTCGATTTATCAATCTTTCTCCCTACAACCTGACCTACGTGTCCTTGAAGCGGTCAAGTTCCTCCTAAGCTTCTACCTCGGCGCAGACCCTCAATTGAACAAACCATGTGATAGTGACGCTTTGCTCGGTCGCTGACGTTTCTACCCTCAGATGCTTGGATTTTACTCCTCGAGCTGTTGGAGTACATTACTCGCAGCGTGCAGTAGTTCAGACGACCGACCACAGTGACGGAGCCAGAGACAGCGACCGGCGCCAGCACTAAGTCGAGATGTCAAAGTGTCACTGCATCGCATCGCATCACATCGCAGGTCTAGGGGGCTAAATTCCATTCGTTACATCACTAATGCCCGCTCAGTTTTCTAGCTCTTGTTCTCTAGCTCTCGTTCTAGCTTCTTCTTCTTTCCCCCTTCTCTAGGTAGGCTGTGCGTAGATCCGGTACCTAAAGTAGCAGTACAGTGACATTCTGCGAATGCAATGCAAACGCGGCTCAAACAAAAGTTTATAGACGAGATTTATGGATGTATGGCCCTGATGATTCGTGACGCGACTGTTGCAGTGGTGGTGGATGCTTGTTCGGGAGCAAGCACCTTCTTGATTCGGGTGTGGAGGCCGAGGTGAGGTTGGATTTGTGTTATGATGTGATGTGGTTTGGATGGAAAGGAATGATGGGACCGACGGGAGATGGTTTGGAAAGACGGAGGCTGGGAAGGGAACTGCAATGCTATTTGGGCGGCTCGAAGCGTGTGGGAGGGGTGGGAGGTTCGGCGGGAACCGAGACATGTTCGGGACGGGGACGGGGACGGGCAGTGAGATGTGGGATGGGGGGTGTGAGTGTCACTGCGGGGAGGAAGTGGAGGTGGAGGTGGACGTAGAGGAGAGGTTGGAAGGGGATCTTGGGTTTCTAGAAGCCTGTGTTGGAGGCAGAGATGGGAAGCATTCCATGTCACACCACGAGTTGAGGTCTTTGTTGGCAGGCCGGGACGAGACACAATCAAATGTGAATTATACTGTAGTCACTTAGCAAGCCGGTCTACAAGCAGACCCGTTTAAGCAAACTTCGATGATCAAAGAACTTTTGCTACTTTAGGCTGGGACGTCGATAGAGTATCGTGTTCCCCTTTCCTCTACAATCTGAAATTCCCCTGGTTATTTCAAACTTGTATGATTTACACTTTACGTGCTTCTATCTCGCGGTCTAGACCATCAACATCCAGACACGATGACATGGAAATTACCGCGTCTTAAACTTCAGCCCAGCCACATCTGCATCTAATATCTCCGTTGGCATGCAGCGAGGGACGTTTGTCATGTCGTCCACATGGATATCCGTTCCATGAATCATTGCGGGCATAATTCCGCAGACCAAAGCTGAACTTACGGACGTATTAATGACAAAACAACCATTGAACCTTAGCGCTTCGAGTCTCAGGTAAGCCGATAGGTCGACAGAGCGCAAGTTCTCGGGAGGACCGAGAAGGCGGATTGGTAGGGTTACGGATAGGGTGTGGTGGCTTTTATGTGGCGTCCCGAGCTGCGACCCTGAGATTGTTTATTATTGTCGTTTAATTTTTCCCTACCCTTTATCTTTTGGTTTGCATGTAAATAATTTAAATTTACATGCTGCAGGTACATTTTCTAGATTCGTTCTGGTGTGGCAGACTGGGAATTAGAATGTGGCTTGAAGGATTGATTGAGTGTTGATCCGTAACTTACTCCGTAGCTCTGTTTGATGTTGAAGTGGACGGAGGAAGAGAATCCCAGGTAGGTACTCTCGCTCTCGGTACTGTACGTAGCTGAGGAAATCGGAATTCCAAATTGCTGTTTTAGGCGAGTCGGTCCCTGCACTCTCCTGGATGCGAGGCGTTCGTCGATCAAATCACATCATATCAGATCCTTTCATGGCATGAAGATGGGCACGCACGGAGGTCACACGAATGGTTTGAGAGCTGTCTTCTAGAAGGTCGTCTCAGACGTGCGAAGGAAGAACGGAGAGTGCCGGTTACACTGAGTTCGCTTCCGTTACAGAAGCGGCCTTCTAGAAGTGAGGCTGAGACGGGATGTTGCTTCTTTTTATTTTTGGGTTTCACCCTTTTCATACTACTGTACTTACTTTTGGAGGTTCACATGGAGTAAATTAGATGCAGGTACGGTCTTTTAGTGGCCACCCTTGCAGAAGACGCGTGGAGAGAGAGGCCGTCTCCGGGAAAGGATGAGATGTGATGAATAGGTCTTGAAACGGGCCATCTCCGGAAATAAAATACTTACTGGAAAAGGGGAGAAGTCGTCGTCGTCCAGTAAGCCTGGGAGAGCCATAATGATGATCAGGGTTCGAGGGTCCGGCAGCGGCGGTATGAATGATATTCGTTTAAGGTTATTATTCCTTGGTCGGGAAAGGATGGCCGTGCATGATAGGACGGTGACATGTTTCCTGTACAAACCCGGTTCTCGATAATTGATATGATATATCTGGCAGAAGCAAGTATCATGCTGTCTTTCCCTTGAATTATTGGAATCCGGTTGCACAGCTAAAATTGTCTCTTGACTTCTACCCTCAGCTGATCTGTGGTCTTCTTGAAAAAAAAGTTCAAAAGGAGAAAGACGAAGAGCATCCTTCAAATGCCGGGAGATGAAACAACAAGGCGATGTCTCACTTGGACTAATCGGGGCTTTGAAGTCCGGTGGGATATGGGGTACAGGAGATATCTCGTGCTGCTCGCACAGACAGACGGACTGTCCCATAACGGAAATCCGGCCAACTACAGCAAGTTGCTCACCGCAGTTATGACAGAATTGTGGAGATGCTTGATGATCGGTTCGATAGATTCGATAGGCTTGGGAGAGGGATGTTCCGTGACGACCGACGAGTGATCGAATGGCAGAGCGTTGCTTTATCTCTCATAGCCGCCGTTGATGACAATTGCAGGCTTTGCAGAAACTTTGCAGGAGCACTGTGCATGAGAGCTGAAAGATGGAAATAAAAAGGCGGGCTTGGCTGTGAAGAGAGTGGATATCGACATCGTGCAAGCTTGCTTCATGAATCGTGGTTGAGTGCCCAGGAGGCGTGGATGTTTGGTTTAAGTGACCTTTCTATCATCCTTTTGTGTCCTTGAAAAGAGCCTCATAGCAGGCGGCCTACTCTCGGCCCTGCGCTTCATATTACTATGCCACTCTTCTGCCTGGCTAGTCGGGCCCGAGGTTGTGACAACAGAGGTTCTATCAAGATGTTGGGGATATGACCAGAGCATCTGACCTTGCAGTACAAGTATGGCTTGGCCTAAAGCTAGAACGTCTCTCTGTGAAAAAAGTCAATTAAGAAAACTCTTCGGTTTCTCATTTGGGGGAGGCCCAATTGCATGTTTGACTCGAGACTTGGACGGCTGATGTCTGTCCTGACTTTGAGCAGATGCTGCAACAGTCGTCGCCAACAGTAGTAGTAGCCCTACCGTAGTTCAGGTCGGCTTTCCCTCGGATGCTACGCCAGGGCCAGAAACAGCAATGGTGCCCCTCTCCCCTGTCGGATTGCCATGTGCGCCCCCTGTAAATCTGTCCATCCACCGATTCCCACGCAGCCGTGGGCCGTGGACCACTTTCCCAGTTCCCACACGCCCGCTCCACCATTTCCTTCGGCCATGTGCCAGTAAACTCACCTACCTAGTAGGTACAGTAGTGCCACCAGTCGGGCCAACCTGCCCTGCCCTGCCCTGCCCTGCCCTGCCCTGACATCCCACGCACGCCGCTATTATTGATCCCCGAACCAAACCAAACGGTCCAAACGGCCCAAACTGACCGAACCAGATCAGACTTACCACACCAGACCAGACCAGACCAGACCAGACGAAGCCAGAACAATTACAGAAAAGACAAACTCCGGGGCTCCGCCTAGTAGAAGAAAGAAAATGGACGCCAGGTAGGCAATAGGCATGAACAGCACAGGCCTGTAGGTATGTAATGAAATTACCTACGAGTACCTGGGTAGGTTCTGTACCTCGGATCCGAGACTGCCTGCAGCCTCAGCATAAGCATATACCAGCCCGAGCAGCAAGCCAGCAAGCACCATGCTCTGTCTCAACTCAACTCAACTCAACTCAACTGAATTGAATTGAATTGAATTGAATTGAAGTGAACTGAACTGTCAGCTGAGGCTGGATTGCTGACCTTGGACCTCGCCAGCTCACCTCTGCCGCTGTGCAGCTGCAGCTAAATTTATGGTAAATTTACCTGGAATCCTGGAATCTGCAGTATCCCCGTCTTGACTGGCTGCTGAGATGCTTACTGGCCAAACGCAGGCTTGAGGTGCCCAGAAAGCCAGGGTTCAAGAACGCTATCGGCAGGGAAGCAGCGCAGCGCAGCGCAGTGCAGTGCAGTCACTGCAGTAGTGGACTACTGGCTGTTGCTGTAAATTTACTGTGGTGTGGATTATGATTACAAGTATTATTGCTGCAGCGGGGGCATTTGCTGGCCTAGGTATCCATGCTCGCTCTGCCAGGCTTACCTTAGTGACCAATCCTCCTGGCCCACCAGGCTTCAAGTAGCGCGCAGGTCGAACACTGGCGGGCCTTTAACTACCAGCCTGATCCCGTAGCTTCGGCTTGCCCTTCGCCACGCCAATTCGAGAAAAGGACGACCGACCCTCTGGATCAAGCAAGATCTTGACATCCGATCGTCCCTCGTTGGTTGGACCCGCGCTGAAGGAGGAAACCCCAGAGAGACAGAGAGACAGAGAGACAGAGAGAGAGAGATATTCTATCTTAGGACCCCTCGTGGACGGCCATCAAAAAAAGCTGAACAACCCATTGAGAGACATCCCGGCAAGGAGGTACAGGACAGGGCAAGACACGACCACAAAGCGTGGAGTGAAGCGGGAGTGGAGTGCAGAGCTGCAGCCAGAGTCTCAGACACAGTCAGAGAGGAAACATTCGAGAAATTCCCCTTTGTTCCATCCAGGCCCCCCTTCAGCGACCGGTCGTCCGCGAACTTTCTTCCGTTCCCTCTAGAAGACGCTGTGTTGCGTTGCGTTGCATCTTGGTCGGCACGGATAGTTTTGAAGCTATCGGAGAAAAAGTCTATTCTAGAAGACGTCGAACAACCTCGTGCCACGCACCTCGCGATCTGCCCTCGAATCTCGAATCTGGACAGACGATTGTAGTAGTACCATCTACTCCCCTCCAGCTGCTTTATCGTGCATGAGAAGTTATCGCATGCTAGTATGCCACCGGGTAACATCAACGACATCTCCAGACTGAACCTACAAATCAACTGGTAAATTGGCTGGAAAGGCTGTAACGCGCCAATGGGGAACGGCCAGTCTGCTGTGTGCTTCTCAGATGAAGGTATGTGCAGGTTCCCGTCTTCGCAGACCCTCGCAACGAAGTACAATCCCAAAATACCCAGTTGAACGGTTGCATCCAATCGTGGACATCTGCTAACCTTGACTTGCGCTGCAGTGAACCTCAATCACTTCAGGCTCTTACGAGTCGTCGGAAAAGGGGCCTTTGGAAAGGTCAGAATCGTGGAAAGGAAAGATACCGGTTTGACATTCGCTCTGAAGTATGAATACCTGTGGTTTCTGGTTAGGAAAGTGCTGACACGACCCTAAAGATATATCAGGAAGGATGAAGGTATGCAGGCAGAATTTCTGTGCTGTGGCACTTGCTGACCACTCGTGCAGTTGTTCGATCCGAGAGCGTGCGGAACATACTAAGGGAAAGGCGAATGCTGGAGCACTTGAACTACCAGTTCATTTGCAACCTGCGGTATTCTTTCCAGGACATCGAATACATGTGAGGAACTGCGATATCCAAGACCAACTCGACTGCTAATGGGATACCCAGGTACATGGTGATTGACCTGATGAATGGTGGGGATCTTCGGTTCCATATTTCACGGAAAACCTTCACGGAGGAGGCTGTACGATTCTGGATTGCTGAGTTGGGATGTGCTTTACGATATATTCACAAACAAGGAATTATTCACCGAGACATCAAGCCAGATAATGTTCTGCTCGATTCGGAAGGCCATATTCATTTGGCGGATTTCGTAAGACTTTACTTCTGATTGGAAGGCGTCTGCTAATACCCACTAGAACGTTGCATCTGACTTTACTCCTGGAAAGCCATTAACAAGCAAGTCCGGAACTCTGGCATACCTTGCACCAGAAGTTTACAAGGGAACGGGATACACTGACGGAGCAGACTGGTGGTCATTAGGAGTCTTGTTCTATGAATGCATATACAACAAGGTAAGGGCAATATTACTTCTCCACAATTGAGGTTTTGGACTAAAATGTGGCACTACAGAGACCCTTCGAAGGCAGCACGCAAAGCACCTTGGCAGTGCAGATCACGAAAGCCAATCCCAAATTCCCAGTCACAGATCCCCCTGTTTCAATGCCGTGTCTACATGCAATCAGTTCGTTCCTTGAGGAGGATCCAACAAAACGTATTGGTTCCGCAAGTTTCTACAGTTTCACAGACAACCCCTTCTTCCGGCCCATAGATTTTGAGGCTCTGGAGAGGAAAGAGATAGAGCCTGTCTTTGTACCGTCATCTGAAAAGACCAACTTCGACGCCACATATGATCTCGAGGAGTTGCTTTTGGAGGAAGCGCCACTAGAGGCTCGGGCTCGTCGACAAAAACCAAGAGAACAGCTCAAGGACGATGCTACGGAGAAGGAAATTCGGGAGGACGAGCTTTATAAGATGATCGAAGTGCAGTTCACACCATTTGATTACACAACCGCTGCGTATGAAAGGTCTGTTCTTTCTCCTACTACTCACACTCTAACACTAACTAGGCTCGCCAGGTTCGTCGAAGCCTCTGATCCAAATGCCCCAACGAACGCCGCTCCTTCGGACTGGACACAACCTCCCCCTATCCCAAGCGAGCCAACCTCCAGCATAGGTCGAGCGATCAGCAAGACTTCCTCGCGGAAAAGGTCAAAGTCAAAATCCCAAGCATCATCGGTCTCAGGATCCCCGCCCTCGATGCCTTCGCAACATCCACCACCTCTTCCCAATGGACAGCCAAGTTCAATTTCAAGGTCACAGGGCCGCCAGGGTCCTGGTCAACCTCCTCCTCTTTCGCCTTACCAGCCATCATACAGCCGTTCGCAGCGACCCACAGGAACCCGAAAGGAATCGATGGGTGGCGGTATGCAAGTGGTATTAGGCGAGACGGGCAGCTGGTCTGATTTGGCCAAGAACGATACAACTTTACCTGCGGATGCCAAGCTTGAGGTCGCTCCAAAGCCAACAGGAATGCTCTCGTTCCTGGGAAGGAAAAAGGGCAGAGGCCACAGCCCGAAGCCGCAGGAGCGTGGAATTCTTGGCAAAGAGGGTGCCAGAGTCGTGATCAGCAGCGGGGAATGATTGGAAGAAGCAAAAAGCCGAAATGCCAGCATAGAGAAATGAGGATACGGCCGTTCATCTCAACAAAATATAGACAGAAGCAACAGAGTGCTATCTGAAAATACAGAGGAGGAGACGAAAAATGCAAATTTAGGAGGCACTTTTCCAGCATATATCTTGGGTGGGTCGGTGTATCGAGGCAGCAGTGGTCAGATCAACAGTCATTTATGCATTGCGAGGTTAGGTCAGGGTCAGGTTCGGCACGGTCTGAACACACAAGCAAGCGGGAGTTCGTCTAGTAATTTATGGTCATTGGGACGGAGCCTGTGTATGTTTCTCCTCCCTCGTTGATTGAGGTTCGGAATGAGATGCGGGCAGGCTGGAGAGCACATGCGGTGATGGAACGGAGGAGTAAGCACGCGAGCCAGGGCCATCTTGGGCCTTTACACCCATTCTCTCGTGGGAGGATACATTGAAGAGTACGACTGCGGCCCTTGGTCAAAGACATGATGGTACGTAGCGACGTCAAAAGTAGTGGGTAAGGGGGTGGGTGTGTAGCAAAGTGTGTAGATATGATACCAATATTTGATTTTCTCCTCTTAACCAAGCTCAAGTGTTATCTTCCTCTCGCAACTAGGTTTTTGATCTACTGCAGGCTAGCCTTGTACTCTCCAAGGCAAGAGGAGAAGGGTGTGGGGCGGGAGTGAGAAACGTCAGCCAGCCGGTTGTCCAGGATGGGGATACTGAGGCAAGTATGTAAATCTCTCGGAGTCCCGTATTGTCTTTCCCTAACAGAGACAAGGAAAAGAGGACGGCTCGCCTAGCTCTCACCTAGCAAAACAAACAAGCGAGATCCAAGATAAAAAGAGTTGAGGCAACGGCTTTGATTTTTGTGATTCACCCAGGCTCTATAATCATTACGGAGCTTGGATTACTTGTCTATATCTGCTACGTTCACCTGTCCTTCTAGTTTCTTCATTATTATTTTTGCTCGCATCAAATAGGTATGGGCTGACTCGTTAAGGCGCTGAAGTAGAAGCGCCTCCATCTCTTGCCCAAGCAAATCCTACCATTGAACAATATCCATGCAAGTCCATTTTTCTCATCTGCAGCCATCTAACGAGGGATAGAAGAGTACAGGATGGATGAATAGCTATATCGTTTGTCAATTGGTCAACATCTAAGCTATTTAGCACTCCAGGTGCAAAACATGCAAAACACACCACCATCAACTGCAAATATACTCGATAAGGCTGTAGCTTCACCCATACTCTGATCTACTGCACAGTCTACATCAGCAAGCCAAAATGCCGTCTCCGCATAGGCCGCATTACCACTTCACCCTCTTGCCCATCTCATCTTGCCTCCTACTGATATGGGACTCGGGCTATCTCACAATGAGTTTAAACATACATAATCGAAGAACGGTAGCAGTACTGAGAACAACAGCCACCAGCAGAAAGGAAATATCGGAACCGAAAGGCTCTGATACCAAAGATGGACCATCATAATGGCGGCTAGTGAGTCCCACCGGCGCAGCTATTCTCTTCATGAGGAGGACACGGAAGATGTGAATCCAATTAAACATCTCAGAGCAAGATTAGGAGACAGAAGACAAGCATGACCTGGCAGCTGTACATGACAATGCCAACCACGAATACTTCTGTTACCAACTCCCAAGCAGGCTTACAAGAAGCAGATGCTATCACCAACGCTTAGCCATTGTCTTAGACGTCATGATGAGAGCTTACATTGGCACTGGCTCGTCTGCTTCGTTCAAGTCATCGTATTCTGAGGAGCTGGCGCAGCACATATTCGTGGAAGTCAATTACGAGAACTTGATGCATACACTCAAAATTGATATTCTAGCGGGCGGCATTGTGCAGCAGTCCTTTCGCTATCAGGATCCCTCTTCTCAATCTCTCCTGTTACATTGTGATTGCAGTCAGCTATATCGTCTCGGCTACTATCCCGCAAGGCAACTTGCCCAAAAGCCTTGTTGCTTTCCTCTACGCTGAGACTCTTCATCAAGCGAATCTGACCACGATGTATGATATATGGCAGTATCGAGGCGTAGCTAGCGCATGAGTAGGTTTGCCGCCATTGTTGGTGGCCCAATATGTGCATGGTGATACTCGAAGGTATTTGTTGATTAACTAAAGGGGTGGTGACTTGGGGCATGGGGTTAACGGCGATGTCGGTGCAGAAGGATATGAATAAGGGGGTTCTTGTTCTATTCGAAAGCGGGCGAATATGTGACTTCACGTCTGGCACTCCTTCAGGGCATGGTTATGGCACAGGCATACTTAGCAAGATGAAATCACAAAATCATGGAAGCTTTACAGAACTTTCGGCTCGTTGCATACTGCAGCTGACTTCGAATAGAGGAGAATGTTTATTGCAGAAGTGTTTTATTATATTGTAGCATTGCGATGAAAAACGGGGCAAGCAACTACCAAGTCACGTTAAGCCAAGCCAAACAAAACGCAGAACTCCAAGACATGATAATTCATCAAAAGTCCATACCGACTCACCACCATGGAGCGAAAGAACACTCTCCTCCCATAGAGACACGTAAAACCTGTGTGCCCCAAAAGCAAGCCAATTCGTAAAGAGGGATTTGACGTGTAACCCCTGACGCCAGTTGTGACCATTTCCATATATCTGTGGCTCTCATTATGAAGACGGCCTTTTGTGCCTGTAACAACGCCTCCAATTCCATAAAATGCTTGCTGTCTGTTGGTATCAATTGGACGCTCCTCTTAAGTTGAGGCCTTCTTCGCAGGGCCGTCAACGTACGACTTCATGATCTTGTTGAAGTCGGATTCATTGACCACGGCGCCGGTCTCTGAGCACTTGGCCTTCTTTTGGAGGTCCTTGCAAAGAAGATCGAGATCGAATTCACCTTCCTTGACCTTGGGGCATGCTTGCAAGCGATCCCTGAAACTATGTGAGCAATTTAATCGGTTACTAGAAACGGGACGCCTTTTATTAAGCGAGATATAGATACATACCATATTGTGTTACAGCTTAGCATTTGCGTAGTGTCTTCCCCTGGCACGACCTCGTCTTCCTCATTCTGTTTCTCGTCGATTTGAGCAACCAAGTCCTTCTTAGGTGCAGCAGGGCTGGGTGCCATATTGAAGGGACTGGTGAAATCTCCCAAAGTGAAGGCATCGGTGAAGAAGGAGTCTCCAAATGGCTCATTTGCAAGAATGTTCTCTTGTGGCTCTCGATAATCACCGAAAAGTTGCGGGTCGAACTGGTTGTTGTTTTGTTGGGCGAACCAATCAATTCCGTTGATGTCAATGGCGGGGGTCTCAAAGTTTCCTGCTGAATTGGCACCAGGCTCAGACATTGTACGTGGAATGGGGTTGTTGGGATTGCCACAAGCCATGTTAAGCTTATCGCAGAAGGTGAGCTCACCTTCGCCAGTTACAGTTGTTGCAGGGTGTTCCTCGCCAATTGTAGTCAGTGTACTGTCCAAAGGCTTGTTATAACCCGGAGATTGCATAGTAGGTTCCGGAGAGGTACCGCAGGACGAACTTGGCCCATGATTTGAGTTTGACGACGCTGAAGGAGAGCTGTAGGATGTATTATGGCCAGTACTCATGTTGCCATTAGCAGAATCTGTGCTTGATCTGGATCCGTTTGAGCCATTGGTAGTGTTCGCGAAGTACTCAAATGGTGGACTCTTTCCAACACTCTCAAGAAGGGAAGGACTGAAGAGGCCGGAAAGACTTGACATGTCTCCACCATCAAGTTGAGCTGGGGCTTGAGTTAGAGCATTATTAGGACCGTTACTCGCAGGATACTGCAATGAATGATTGCGGGGACTGATCTGTCCTTTCTCGACCGGGCTAACAGCTTGCTTACTTGCAACAGATGGTGAGCTTGAGCTCCTCGTAGGATTGGTGGTGGTTGTGGCTGGTGGCCCAGGGAGGCGACCAAATCTTGGGAACTCGAAGTGGAAATTGACATCACTGGGGTTATTGAGTCCTCCATTGCCAAAGTTGTTTGCGAGGTACGGTGGAAGGCCATTGGCCAGGGAAGTGCGTGCAGCGCCTCCGTTGAGCGAAAGTCTCTTACGGTACTCCCGCAACTCCATCGACATCTTCTCTATTTGAGCCCGAAGGATGCTGTTTTCGTGATTGGCAGACTCGGACGCCTTCTCTAAATCCTCGACTTTGGTTTCCAGGTCCTTTAGATGCTTTTCCTTGCGTTCCCGGAAAGCCCGCTGAGCGGCACGATTCTGAGCCTTGCGCTTCTATTCAGTAATATCAGCGAAAGCCGCCATGAAGCTGGTTCACCGAGGAGCACTTACTGAAGTAGGTTCGGATGTCAAGGGCTTGCGTCCTGGCTTCTTTGCGGCCTTCTCATCGCCTTCTCTTCTCTTTCCGCCACCTTCCTCCTCGTCGCCATCGTCGTCTGGATGGCTTCGTTTATCATGGGCTTCGTTGTCACCTCCATCTGAAGAGGTACCAGGCAAGTTACCGATCATTTGGGCTTGAGACTCGTTGGTAAAATCACCATAGTCGAAGCTACCGTCGCCGTCGAATTCGTAGTCGTAGTCGATGAAAGGGCTTTCCTCAAAGCCGTTCAAGGTGCCAGAGCCGGGAGCCGCCTGCAGTGGCGACTCGGTGAAAGAACCGGGAGCCATTGCGAATTGGTCCTTTGATTGAAGGCTAGAGGTATCAAGATTTGAGATTTTGTTATTGGAATTGAGAGCTGCAAACAGTAATTCCTCTTGACGCGCAGACAGGGTGAGTCGAGGATTGACTGTATTGGGCCTGGGTTGGGTAGAATCCATGGGGAATATTCTCTCGAGTTAGATACGGACTGGAGGGGCGACTGTCAGCAATCAGTCCCAGGCTATGTGCACGCCGGTGCTTGGAAGTAGACAGTGCGGTGATGTCAAAAGAAGGAGAAGATGAGGCGAAGTAGAAGAAGGACAGACAAACATACGGGAGTGACCGACAGGCAAGAGAGTCCAGCGTCAGCTCGCAGGAGGAATATGCCGTCGGATATCCAAGGGCCTTACCCTGATTGAGCTCGGAGGGGTTGGAGGACAAGCGACAACGGCAGCAGCCTTAGGAAGAGAATAATGCAGATGGGACAAGTTTGGATAATGACGCGGAGAATGTTTGCAGGATCCGGGGGACAGAGTTTGAGTCAGGGCAGGACAGGGCAGGGCGGGGCGTTGTGTTGTGTTGTGTTGTGTTGTGTTGTGTTGCGCTGCTTTGCTTTGCTGTGCTCTGCTCTGCTCTGCTCTGCTCTGCTCCGAGTTAAGTCGTTGGCTGGGCCGGAAGATGCAGTTGAGAGAGGAGGGAGTGGCTACCTAGTGGAGTGGCTCGCAGTGGGTGCGTGTGAGTGGTGAGATAGGCCGTGGGGTGGGGATGAGGGGGATAGAGCTTTGGGGTGCATTTGGGTGCATTTGTAAGCCCTGCCAAAACTCACGCGTGGCTGCGAACTCCGAGCTTCGAAGCCCGTAGAACATGATGTTCCAGAACACGGCATGGATGGATAAGGTAACGAAGTAAGGTATATGTTTCGTATCCTCACTCCGAGTCTCTCACACTTTTTACAATCGTCCTCCAATCTAGTCGCATACCGCAGACAACAATTCGCTCTCACTCCCCGCGTATGACTCTTGCGGCGGGTGAGAGCACGTTACCTGACGACATCGTGCGTACCTTAAGATGGCCCTTCATAACAAGCTCTATATCAAAAGCATACCTAGGAACACCGTACAGTACAGTACGGAAGTACAGTAGGTGCGGTATAGAAATAGTTAAGAGCCCCTGGCAGCCGATAAGGGTCAATTCCACCTACAGTACTGTACCTAGTCAAGGTGGCAAAGACTCTTCTTGCTGGTCCTTGAGAGGCTATCACCAGGCACAAGCGCCTTGAGCCAAGCAAGCCGCATGCATGTAATATTTTCATGGGCAGAGGTGGGGGGGGGTCTTGACATAATTCGGAGGTTGGTCCTTGGAAGTCTCAACTCTGACTTTGGGACAACTTTGGCGCGGCAAATGTGGCAAGTTCTATCTAAGTCTATTTGATGCTTGAGGTTTGTTCATGCACTGGTTAGGCATATCCTATCTGAAGCATGGGCCAAACTTCTCCTGTGAATCTTGCGCAAGGGCCTGACGAGGTGGACTGGTTGAACATCATGTGATTGAGTGATTGATTGAGGGAGTGCGTGGCGCTAGGACGCTTTGGGATTGCGGTCTTGATCGACAACTCCACTCCACTTCTCCAGGAAGCTGTAAGAGCCGCGCTCCAGGGAACTTCTGGCCGTCCACCACTGCAGAAGCACAAAGTCATGGATCTCGCCTACGATCATATTCAGGAGCAGGCGCTGGCCCCAGAAAATGAAGCCGAAAAGAAGGAGAAGAAGCCCGAAACCACTCTCAACTCTGACTTCCAAGAAGCATACAAAGCTATTTCTGCCAGCCCGTGGGGTGCAAGGCTGGGAGGCTTCTTTGGAAATGTAGTCAAGCAGGTGAATATACTCGCTATGTAACCGAGGCGTAAGCCGCTTACATCCTCACAGGGCGAGTCTGTCTACAAGCAAGGCCAACAGGAGCTCACTGCAGTTGGAGAAGAGGCAAGCAAAGGACTTACAGATCTGCGGTCGTCCATTATCAGCCGAACACGAGCCCTTTCAACTGCCCAGGCACCGGTTGCTAGCAGTCAGCCTGATAAGGAGAATGATGGAGAAGCTGGCGGGGAGAAAGAGCTGTCAACAGAGGAGGCACTAAAAGAATCCGAGGGCGTCCTGGCTAGATTGCGATCCGAAGCTGCCAAACGATTGAAAGAGATTGAGAAGGCCGAAGATGCCGCAGATGAAGCTCTCCTGAAATTCGGTACAAACATCCGGAACTTCCTCCGCGACGCAGTTACCATCGCACCTCCGTCCGAGGAAGCTGGATCACAGGGAAGCACAGTTCTCTTCGAGAGCAAAGATGCTTCAGGAAAGAGAGTAATTCATACTACACGATTCGATGCGCAACTTCATGTTATTCATTCGTCCCATGACAGCTTTACCAAAGATCCGATTAGTGAGGAATATGAGCCATGGAAGCAGACCTTCAACGTGGACAGCAAGACAGCCGATATTAGCAAGGACCTGGAGAGCTTTACTGAGCTGAGATCCTCCATGGAAAAGCTTGTACCTGATACTGTCACTTATGGCGACTTCTGGACTCGTTACTACTTCTTGAGACATAGTATTGAAACGGCCGAAGCCCGCAGACGAGACCTGCTCAAAGGTAAATGAGAAACTCAAGCGAGACTGAAAGTCTACTTACATTACTTAGGTGCTGCTGCTTCCACAGAAGAAGAGGTCGGATGGGATGAGGATTCCGAGGATGAGAGTTCTCCAAAGATCACTAAACCGAAGACCGAACCAGCCCGCCCTGCATCAACTGAATCATCAACTACTCTCCACCCAGCAACACAACCTCAAGATCCTAAACTTCTCAAGCCAGAGGAGTCTCGCAGATCTCATGATGAGAAGTCTCAAGCAGATAGCGACGGCTCGTATGATGTTGTAGGAGCTGCATCTGGCGCTCCAAGTCGTGCTCCTGGCAGTCCTAAAGACTCCCGAAAGGGGGATGACAGCGAGGAGGAAGATTGGGAGTAAAGTTTGAGTGTTTCTTGACTTTCTGGGTTGTTTATAGGCGTTGTAGAGACTTTTCATTTCATAGTCTGTGATTAAGTCTGGCGTTGTGGGTCAAGGACTTTTATTCATTGAGCTCTATTTTGAGAGTCTGCACTGCCTGTAGACAGGACATTTTTATAAGCAGCACGGATATCCCCCTGAACGCCGTTCTATGCAATGCACAACGCCAATTCATTTAACCGTCCCTTCCAAAACTTCATCGCTTTTTCTTCGTGACCTTTGTAAATCCGTCCTCATCAACCTCCGCCACAACGGGTTCCCTAACCCTCACCAATGGCGGCGCCTCATCCATATCCACATCCTCATCCTCATCCTCCGATCCATCTGTCTCATCATCCTCCTCGGCTCTTTCTCTCTTCTCAAACATCTTCCCCAAATCCGCACTCTTTCCCCCTTTACTCTCCCACTTCCTCCTCAACTCCTGCACCTCCGTGAAGTCACCCTTCGCGCAGTCCCTTCTGAACTTCACAATATGCTCCGCAACCTCATACCCACTCTCATCATCGACATTAACCTCAAACTCATCCAGCATGACCTGTAGCAGGAATGTCTCGATCCATTCGCCGTCCTCTTCGGGGTTTTCGTTCAGCACGTCGATCGTGGCGCCGACGAACCATTGCCGCTTTTCATCGCTGTCTGGTCCACCCCAGTTATTGGTTACGGCGAGGGAGAGAGATGGCCAGTTGTAGAGGGCGAGTGTTATGCCGAGTTCGAATTGCGCTTGACATTGTTCTGATCAAGATTCAGATTAGTCCTCAAGTCCTCGAGCATTTTCTTCTTTTTTGCAAGGAAAATAACATACCTGGAGTAGGCGCATTCTGCGAACTTGATCCCCCAGAAGAATTCATCTTGTCAGGTAAATATGCGATCGGGTCGAGACAAGGCAACGCAGAGAGGCTTCAGTAGCGGGGTTGAGGTGGGATGTCTGAGCAACCTGGGCTCGATTAAAAATTTATGGATATCCGCAAAAAATGTCGGTGTTTCAAAATGCCGATGTTCACAGTCTGGGGAATCGCTTCGGGTACCGTAGTTTTACAATATGACGTCGTAACCTACGGCAGGGGTCCATATGGATGGAGGTGTAATTTGGCTAAGAAACGATATCGACCGCATTGGGGCTGCTGTCTTCAATTGACGTTGCATTTCGGTCTGTACCTAGCGGCAGATCTTCACTTCTTTAATGTGTAATTGATTTTGCCGGAGGAGACAGAGTCCTACTGTCCTTTCCTCTATTCATTTTCAGCAGCAGGCCTCTTCTTTCCTGTGTCTATCAAACAAAGCTTTGTTTCTGGTGTAATCCAGCATACGAAGTGACCGTTGCTTTGGCTGGGCATTTCCCGTTCTGCGACAAGACCAGACCTCATCGAAGCTTCATTTCATTAGTCCATACCCGCCGAACGAACATCGCACAGGATGGTGTTCAATACCGCGACGGTTGGAGGAGCGGTCACTCCTGACGTGATCAAAACATTCTTGAGCCATGTACGTTCCCTTCATCAAGTTATACGTGTTATAGGTCCAAATACTGATCAACACAGTACCTCAATCGCAAACCGCTGGCGCAAAAGCCCACGGCACACATCTCCTACGACGAAGGTCTCCACCTGATCCGCAAATTCCTCCTCTACGCCTCTCACCACACAGTCGAAGATATCCAGCGATTCACTTCACAATGGGTGCCGCATCCGCGCTGGGTCAAAGTCGACGAAGTCAAGATCTCGGACGAGCACCTCAAGAAAGCGGCGGAGCATATCCAGGAACAGCTGGGCCATCATGGTATTGAAAAGGTTGGGGGAAAGATGTGGTGGCAGTGGAGAAGACCAGGCAGCGAGGTTAAAGCGGAGTGGATTGAGATGCGGTCAGATTATAATGAGAGGAAGGCGACGAAAAATCCAGGAACGAGGGTCATGCTCTATGTGCATGGTGGTGCGTACTTCTTTGGGAGTGTGGATGAGCATCGGTATCAGCTGCAGAGACATGCACGAAAGTTGAAGGCTAGAGTATTTGCTCGGTAAGTGATTTGTATAGGTAAGACTTTGACCAGTTTGCTAATTGCTTGTAGTAAGTACTATAATTTTGAGAATTTCGGGACTTTCTAATGTTTGCAGCACGGTATCGATTGGCACCCCAATTCCCCTTTCCTTGTGGATTACATGACTGCTTAGCAGCATATCTTCACCTCCTGACCGTTCAAGACCCAACCACTATCATACTGGCAGGTGATTCTGCTGGTGGAGGAATGGCTCTAAGGTAGGAAGCTGTTCACACAATTCCGGATCTTCGCTAAATAGTTGCAGTATGCTGGTAACCATGCGTGATCGAGGCATTCCATTACCTGCAGGAGCCATCCTAATCTCTCCATGGGTGGATTTGACCCATTCATTTCCCAGTGTGGCTGAAGATAATCCTCTAGATTATATTCCACCTCATGGCTTTCATCAAAAGCCATCTCCTTCATGGCCACCGCCGAATTCTGATGACCTTTTGGCAATTGAGGAGGGTATCGTGAAGAATCTGGCTAAGAAAGATCCTAATAGCAATCACAACCCTCAGATTGAGGCAGATGCGGTCCAAGGATTTCACGTGGATGAGAATCCACCTCCCGGAACACAAAACAACACAGCGGCTGCAGGCACAAATAGTGATGTTCCAACAGCGAATACTGTCCCAGGAATAGGCCACAATCTTTCGATCATGCTTGATGGAAAATTAGTCGAGATCAAAGACCAGATTCAGATGTATGCTTCGAACCAGCTAATCTCTCACCCCTTGGTATCGCCAGTCCTACAGCCGTCTTTAGGCGGCCTTCCTCCGCTACTCATATTGACAGGAGGCGGCGAAATGCTCAGAGACGAGCAAATATATCTAGCTCATAAAGCCGCAAATCCAACAAAGTACCCACCAGGAGATGCTTACCTTGATCAAAGCCCTCACGATCACAACAGAAACCAGGTCAATCGTTGGAAGCCAACTGATGTCCAGCTCCAACTCTGGGACGATCTGTGCCATGTGGCGCCTACACTCAGTTTCACTCGACCTGCAAAGTATATGTACAGGTCGATTGCGCAGTTCGGTGCTTGGACACTTGCCAGAGCACAGAAGACCGAGATTGAGATTCTGGATGACGATGATGTCTCGATCATTTCTCAATCCGATACCGACTCCGAAGAAGATGCTGCTGAACAGGTAAGAAGGATTACCCCATCTAAAATTTAGCATGCTGACAACACTGCAGAAAAAAGCTGCAGCTGTGGACCCAAGGCAGTCAGCTGGTCAAGTTGGTAAGGCTGGAGACCCTCTTCCTTCATTCAAGAACCACATGATTCGGCAGCGCGTTGATCGTCATGGCAACATATTCAATTTGGAGCCACCTTCTGAGCTGCCTGGATGTAATGTTCCATCTAGTGAGGTTGGCGTCATCAAGGAAGGCCCAGTCAAAAAGTGGATGAATGCAAAGAAGGAATGGGACACGAAGTTCTCATCTGCTAAGCGGAAGGTGCAGAAACAGCGAGCGAAGGAAATGGCAAAAGGTTATTCTCAATTCGAGAATGGGGAAGTTCCACCACCTTCTGCTTTGGCCGGTAGACGGAAGACAGGAGAAGACCTGAAAGAGGAGAGGAAGAAGAAGAGCATGGGAATGAGTCTGTGGGCTCTATGGGGAAGCAAGCACGACGAGAAGACCATGGTTCGAGAGGAGGAAGCGGACAAAGCGCCGGAGACACACACGGCTTCAGCTGGAGATGGAGCTGGTGCAAGAGCATTGGATGACACGAAGACGAAGCAGGGTCACCAGATGGATAAGGGTCAGAAGCCAACCTACAGCCGGAGCAGATCTCGCCGAAGAACCGTGACAGATGAGCATCAAACGGACAACGCTAGCGATGTGGATGAGAATACTCCAGCATTTAATCTGCTCGCAGCTCGGAAACAGCAAGGCGGAGCGGTACCTCGTGATGAGCATCTAACTCCAACCTTTGCTGCCACAGAGCCACCTTCTACTGAAGCCTCGTCCTCGAACAACACTCCTGCCATTTTCATCAATCAACCTCCCAATGAAGAATATGACCTTAAGAGACCAAAAGCACAAGGGATCGCGTTCCCATTCTCCTTAAAAGGACACCAGACAAGCGCAAGTATGACAACACTCACCAGTGTCATTGGCGTACCACCAGCAAGCGATGTCCGAAATTCTGGGACGTTCAGCAGTGGTGTGCCACAAAATAAAGCAGACGTCGAGGCTGCGACCTCAACGGGGATGAGCACCGAAGAGGCGAAAGCTGGTAGAGAGATCGAGCAGGCCTCTGAAGTGGCCAAGGAGGGTAACGGGGATGCGGTAGCACCAGGGGCGAGTGCTGAGAAAGTCGTTGAGAATGGGGAGGTTGTCAGCGCGGAGAGACCTCCTATTGAGACATTTGTTACGGCTTCTGATATCCTGACGGTTTCGAAGCCAGCTTCGTGAGAATGTCTTGTTATTAGGAGGATTGTAGTGCTTCATAGAGAAGGAGCGGAATAAAATACCCTGGGCACGAAGGCGAATGGCTGTAGCACATTGCCCAATATTGTAAACTAGATAGCATGAAATTTCAATGAGTAATACATGTCTTCACAAGATATGCTTACAAGTTCATTTTGTTGACATTGGAAGCGATTGGTTAGCAGCAAGGGTGGTTGACACTCTGCCCTTGTACATGCCTACTTAATCATTGTTCAGTCGAACGACTCGGTATTTTCGTTACATGAAAATGATGTCAATCGAAGCCCAAACGAGGATCATGGAAATTGTCAGCAAAATTTCCAAACCGCATTGCCCTGGTCCTCTACACTACCTTTGTACAGATGGAGGTCACTCGGTACTGGACAAGGCTGATGTGGGGCCGGCGCCCGCTTTCAGGGGTCTGGCTGCAGCAGGGGGAGATCAGACTGGGCAATTTTTCTGGAACCTGACCACAATTATTTTCATTTCCCTTGTCTGACCCCTCACTGACCCCTCTATTTGTGCACCTGCTATTGAGTCATCCTCCCTTCAAACGACTTTCTAAAGCTCGACTTGCAATCATTTTGCCGTACATCCGCACTAATTGACTTCAATTGAAGCTTCATCTTCACTCCAACCCACTGAGTCAATACAAAGATCCTCGAATTCCACTCCACCATGGCTCAACAACCAATTCGACTGTGGGGCGGCAGATTCACAGGTGCTTCGGACCCGTTAATGGACCAGTACAATGAGAGTCTGTCCGTCGACCGCGTTATGTACGCACAGGATATCAAGGGCTCAATTGCATATGCCAGGGCGAATGTCAACACGGGAATCCTTACACAAGAGGAGTTCGAGACGATTGAGAAGGGATTGGGGGAGATCATGAAGGAATGGGAGGAGGGCAAGTTCGTGTCTCGCCCGGGAGATGAAGGTAAGTAAGCTTGAGTTATGATCTAAGTGTGCCAATTGGCGCATGGCCTTGTGGAGGTCTTCTTGTTGAAATCCAATGCTGATTGAAATGGAAGTATAGACATTCACACAGCGAACGAACGACGCCTCGGTGATATCATTGGCACCCATATCGCAGGAAAGCTACACACTGGACGCAGTCGCAACGACCAAGTAGCAACCGATATGCGAATGTGGCTCCGGGACGAGTTGGTCATAATCGAAGAGTACCTCGTTGATCTGCTGAAGGTCATTGCCCAGCGCGCCGAGCAGGATATCGACTACATCATGCCAGCCTACACACATCTGCAACGTGCACAGCCCATTCGATGGAGCCAATGGCTTCTCAGCTACGCCGTAGCCTTCCAATTGGACCTCGAGCGTCTCCGATTCACAAAGAAGACTGTCAACAAATCCCCGCTTGGCTGTGGTGCCGTGGCTGGTAATGCTTTTGGCATTGATCGTGTAGCCATGGCTAAGGAGCTCGGTTTCGAAGGCCTCATCATGAACAGCATGTCTGCTGTTGGCGACCGAGACTTCGTCGTGGAGGTCCTGCAATGTGCCGCCACCATTGGCAGCCACTTATCTCGCTGGTCCGAAGATCTGATCATCTACAGCTCCCTAGAGTTCGGCTATGTTAAGCTCGCAGACGCATACACAACCGGCAGCTCTCTCATGCCGCAGAAGAAGAACAGTGACTCGCTAGAGCTGCTCCGTGGCAAGTCGGGGAGGATATTCGGCGCTATGGCCGGTTTGATGATGAGTATCAAGGGTATTCCATCGACATATAATAAGGACTTGCAGGAGAGCGTGCAGCCGATGTTGGATACAGTTAAAACGTTGAAGGATAGTTTGCAGATTGCTGCGAGGTCCCTGGCTACAGCTACCGTATACCCTGAGAAGATGCGCGCGGCACTCAGCCCAGATATGCTGGCTACGGATCTTGCAGAGTATCTTGTTCGTAAGGGTAAGTTACAAATTTCCAACCCGTTCTTATTCCTGGTAACATGCACTAATTGTTAAAGGTGTCCCATTCCGCGAGACTCATCACCTAGCAGGCAGGATGGTCGCATTAGCCGAAGACGAGAACAAAGGCATGGACGAGCTCACAGTCGAGCAATTCCAAGGCGTAGATAAGCGATTCGGTGCTGATGTTCTCAGCGTCTTTGACTATGAGCGTTCTGTTGAGATGAAGTCGACGACAGGCGGCACGAGCCGAAGCGCAGTATTGGAGCAGCTGGAGGCACTGAAGAAGTCCTTTGATGCATGAGTAACTTGATTTGACTTGCTCTGTTCACTAGCTGAGATAGAGATATAGAACGGTGTCTGTTACCTTGCAAGTTGATGGTTTATTGATTATGACGGAGTATTTCTGCAGGGCAATGTGGGGTTTTATGGTGTCAGATGCCAAAAGCGTAGATTATCAAACGTTTGATGTCCAAAGTAGAAATGACTCGGCTCATGAGCCAATCGTGATTCACAAAATGTATGAAGTACTGTGGTGTGAGGTAGACAACATGGGGATCTCGTCAAAGTAGAGATCCGGGATGTTTATTCTCAACTCAGCTCTCACCCGTTGTTGCTTCTGTGGTCAATCTAAACAATAGCGACGGGAACACAGCTTCTGCATTTCACACACAACTCAGAGGAGAAATATTGTAAACGATATAGATACTTCTGTTTCCTAGCGATCTGAACACAAGTTAGGCATATAGAATATGTGGCTGCACGCGTCTAAGACATATAGAATTTGGAGACTTTGCTATGTTTTAGTTCTAAGATTGACTGGATAGTCACTCACTATCAGACTGAATTCAAGTATTTGATCGTGGCTCGTTTGTGGACAAAATGTGCTTAGGTAGGTCATGGGTGGTTGGAAGGACGGATCAGACTCGCGCTGAAGCGTACCGAATTTGAACATGCAACCATCTCAAAACGGAAAGACTCAATTCGCGCCTGCCATTATTCAAAAGTGCGCGTAGGAAAATGAAAAATACATTATAAAGTGCACTAACTTGAATTTTCGGCACAGTCCTTACTTATTGTCTCCAGTCAGATTTTTGCTTCTCACTCGACAAACTCGTCAATTCCCAACCTTCAAATCAGTTCATCAAATATGCGTTTCGGACGAATACCTGTGCTGACTTCATTAGCCTTTACAAGCACACTTGCTGTGCCCTCTAAGGAAGCTCCGCAGATTCAGCGCAGAGCAGACAAAGTTCAACCACTGCCACCAAAGAATCCGCAGATTTACAATTGGCGTGAGGAACCATGGGCACATTATGTTATGACAGACAGCTCTGATAAACTATATCCTGTGGACATGAAGAAAGGTATGTTTGCTGCGTCGAAAGTGTTCCGAGCCATTAGGAAATGGGAGAATGACAAACGGGTTTTCGAGGTCTTCGGAACAGACTAGCTGCTTGATGCTCCCCAAGACGAATCTGCTGACATTAACTCCAATAGTTCACATCGACCACGACGACATTATCACACCATCTCTTCCGTCGGACGTCAAGATCCCAACACCATTCCTTCCCACGGACGACCGCAAAACGAAAGAGCTGTACTGGGCAGCAATCGCCGCCTACGTCGCTGAAGAAGACAAAACACCGGAGCAAAAAGACCAAGAACTCAGGCAAAAGTGGACAGACGTGCAAGAATTCAACGAGATGGCAGTCTGCTACTACTCCACGCACGCTTTCAATCTGCGATGCTCGAATAAGAAAGATGCGAAGGAAAGACGCTGGAAACCAAATGCTTTCAGAAAGAGGTATCATAAGTTGAAGAACAAACTAATCGACGAGATGCGTGTGGAAGGTTTGGTAAACTTTGGAAGGGAATTGACTGCTTATCTCAATGAGACGGGGATGATCATTGAGGAGCCTGCCTGGTGTCCTAATCCGGAGGGAGGGGACGAGAAAGGGTGCTTAAAGATGATACGGAGAGGGAGGAGAAGCGTGCGTTAGAAGTACAACTTTGTGCTTCAACATTCCTGCGTCTATACACAGGTAAAAGTGTTCCAATGAGGAAGGTTATTCTTGTCTATACTTGGAAGAAGTCGGGCCTCATTTGCACTTACTGCGATCAATCTAATCCTTTTGGAGACCACAAATCTTCCCACCAATCTCCCTCCATTTCAGGGTCTCTTCTCTCCACGCCGCGTGCCTCGATACCAACCACATAAATTACTAGGATGTACCTGCATACCGTTTGCATATGGTGCGAGGCGTCCACAGATCAAGATTTCCACCAGGGATCGATCAGCAGAGCCAGTGCCATCCCCACGACATCCGATTTGCTGCACATATCATGCGAGTAAATTACCTTCAAACCTGGAAAACTTAGACTTTGACAGAGCCCGGTCTCAGAATCATTCATTGCGATGGTAATTGGTAGATATCCATGGGAGAAAAGGGTTGTTGACAGTCAAGCTGCAGCATGACGTCGTGTAAACAAGCCTCAAACGAGCGGCATGAACGCTGCCTTGGAACCAGCTTCGCTATGCCAAACTCCCTCGAATCCTCATAAGCAATTTACCCGCGCCAATTTCCACCGAGGTGATCGTGGTCTCACCTCACTTCGTCTCCTCTCTCTCTTTCTCCTTTCTTTTCTTCTCCGTCCTTTCTCTCGACGATAGTGAGAGGGATTCTTCGTGGTCGTGCATCTTAGTTGTTGAGTATTGGTAGACCGTTGCACTTGGCTCTGAACAAAGCTTTCGCCCAGTCGCACCGCTCCACCTTGTGTCAGATCAAGCCCCGATTGGATCCCCGCAGCCAAGAGACCTCCATTTTACTGCTGTCGAAGCCAAGATGTTGTCCCTTGCTCGAATCGCACTGCTTGTGCTTCCAGTGGCACTCGCATTTCCAGCTCCAACTCCTGTGGCTGTTCCAGTGGCAGTTCCACATCCTATGATCACACCTCGTGCATCATTGACCGATAGAACACCTACCAGAGTCCAAAACCGCGATCTTCTCGATTCGATTAAAGGCGCAGGAAGCTATGTGGAGAGTGTCCTGGGATCGTTCCCTTCATATGTTGCTTCGGGAGTACCCAACTTCTTCCAGGACTTCCCGACAGGAACGGCAGTCCAAAGCAGCTTGAGCATAAGTGATGGAGATCTGGATGCAGCTCCTACACAAGTCTTGAACATACCGTAGGTTATTTGACGTACAGCATGGAGCTCAGAGCATCACTAATGGCGTGCCAGATCCTACGCCAACTGGACAGAACAAGGATGGAACCTTCGATTCCGCGGGAACGTATTCAAACAGCCCAACATTTCCGAATCGAAGCTCAATGACCTCGCAAACGTCTTCCTGATCGGAACGAAAATCGAAGACCTCCCACCCGCACAACAGACTCAAGCTCGTAACTTGACGGCTGAGATCTTCGTTGTCCAGCAAGGAGATCGAAATGTCTCATTCAATATCGAGCCCGCGTCGAGCCAGGGCAACGATGGTACAAGTGGAGGCAGTAATGCAGTTACTCCAGGCGGAGGGTCGCAAAACATCACACTTGTTGGACAGACTACAGATCAGGGAGATTTTGATCAATTCCTTCCAATTGCCAATGTCTCCGGACCAGGTGGATTCCTTAAGCCTGGAAACACCACAACCAACCTCCAGCGGCTGAACATCTACGCCACGGGAACAGACACTGGAAATGCAACCTCCTATCTAGTACCAACCGTCGGCCTTACAATCATCTCAGACATCGACGACATTCTCCGCATCACCAAGATCTACGACCCTGCAGAAGGTCTCTTAAACTCCTTTGCCCGCGCTTTCGTCCCTTGGATGAACATGCCGGAAATATATGCAAACTGGAGCCAAAGCATTCCCGATTTCCATTTCCACTACCTCACGACTACTCCTGAGCAAGTAACTCGCAATTATATGGATTTCATCTACAAGACCTACCCTGGAGGATCATTCGATACTCGTCCCCTCAACTTCTCAGACGTATCCGCGACACTCTCCATCCGCAAATACCTCCTCGACCGCATCTTCCAGACCTATCCAAACCGAAAGTTCATCCTCGTGGCCGACACGTCCAACTCGGACGTGATGAAGGACTATCCGAAAATGGCAACCGAATACCCCGGCCAAGTGCAATGCATTTTCCTGCGTAACACATCATCTACGGATTCAAGCGATAAGTTTCCGTATGATACGTCTGGGTTCAAGGGCTTGGATAATAGCACTTATATGTTCTTCAATGTGCCCGACGATTTGAGGGGCTTGGATATCATGAATGGGCAGTGTGTAAATGCGACGGTGAAGCAAGATGTTACGTTTAGTTACCAAGGACTGCCGTTCGGCCTGAGTAAGAAGAGTGCGGGAGGCAGAGTGGACGTTACCGGGAAGGTTGTGATGGCTGGGCTGGTTATGATTTTTGCAGCGGTGTTTGGGGGTTTGTAAGTAAGTGCCAGTAGTAGTTTGCATTTCGGCTTTGGAGTTATTGGGGCAATTGGATGACGGGTTTTCTGCATTATGCATGGAGATGATTGGATATAACGAAAATGACAGAAGGCGATTATTGTATGGTTACAGTATATACTTCAAATCAAGAATTTTTGAGTAGCATGGTCCAGCATCAACACATTTCTGTTATACTGTGCTGTCCTTGTTTCTTCAATCCCAAACTGTCCCAAGTCGCATTTCACCAGCCGGCTCTTTTCCTGATCGACGAGTTCGAATGAATGCCCCATTGCCTCGAAATTATATTGGATAACAAGCACGGCAGCCCTAAACAATCCTTTTGCCCGCCCCCTCCCTCCGCATAACATCTCCATTTCCACCCAGCCGAGGTGCGAAACCTACGGCAATGTTAGCACCCTATCAACTTGAACATATAGAAAGGTAGACTTATCCCCCCGAGAGGAGGGGCTGCCTCAAGTCCGAATCACCAGACAAGAGAGCAGCCCAGGACTACCCACCACAGGGTCTGTCCTTCGATAGGCCAACCAGAAAGAGTAACATCCAAACCCAAGAACGTCCATAACCCACCACAGCACTATAAAAGAAGCACACTCCAAACAAGAAGTCGGGCACATCGCTCTGCGCTCCCCAGAACAGACAAGCACTAAGCTTTGACTCCAACGCGAGATGGGTCCCATCCCGGACGCCGATTGAAGTCCTCCCTTCCTGTATGAAGTGAACCAAGTTTGTAGATGCAGTATGACTCAAGTTGGACGTTCCTACCACAGCATCCAGTCTTTCGCACTCCAGAACTCCGATCAGCAAGTCCCATAATTGTATCCCACCCAAACAAATTGATCCGTCTCTCCAGCTTCAGCTTACCTCGAAACTCGCAGTGAACCGGACACTCAAAAGACCGAGCCAAGGACACTCGGGTACCTCAGCGTGACCGACGAGGCTTCTCTCGGTTTGAATAGCAGTACCATCTGAGATTAGTTTTATGTTTCCTCAGCCTCGAAATCGAAGCAGGGCAATGGCGAACAAAAGACATCAACAAAAGCCGCATGTCGTCTCTGCCGTTTCCATCTATTAGCGAGATGGGACGGAGAGATATTTGTGTCAAACACCGCAAGGATGAGAGACGTTGTGTTGGCGTCTTCCGTCACCATAGGGCCGAGCCTATGGGAGAAAGTTGATGCGGCTGATCAGGATCACACAGTGTGACAAAGCCTGTGGCTGCTGCCGCGGCAATGGCCTTGTGAGCTGACTGCGCATTGGACGCGAGTTTCTGGTAGCGGGGAGAGGTTGGATGGAATGTCCTTGCTGCAGAAGCTGCGTGGAATAGGAGAGGTACGGGACATCTTCACTGCTTTAACCGCGCGGCCCCATCTCTTAGGACGCCATGAAAGGAGTGATCAGCTGAGATACCATGACTCAGGGGCATAGCCAATACGCCGAAGCTTCGCTGTGCCGAAGCACGTTGAGGGACCGTCTCAAGCAATGTGTTTCTGTTTGAAGATTCTTGAAATCTCGCGACACCTGAAGAACAAGTGGTTCGGGCGAGTGAGATCAAGACCAAGCCACGACCGTGAGGAAGTGGAAACACGTGCAGTAGAGACAGTCTGTTTGTAGACTTCCAAAATGGATACTGTGCCCAGCCAGATGTTCCAAAAGAGCTCCAGTCACGTTGCCATTTGAGTTTGTAGAGACCGCGTTGACCGATTCAACAGTTTGGTGAAGATCCCAAAGACTACTCCTCAAGGAAGCGCCTGACCACTCCCACATCACATCTCCTCCTCAAGCCATCCATGTTCGCATCGACGAAGACGATCCATAATGATCAGAGTATAACGCCCAGCCGAAGACCCTGACGAGCTCCTCCACATGGAGGTATCACCAGAACGGCTCATAGGAGAAATCTGTTTTGTGTCTCACGACATCTGGACTATCCCTCCGGCCTTTCAAACCCCAAGCAAAGATCAGACCGCGCCGCCTTTCGGCATTACAGTCATCACTCTGCCGGTGGGGCCCTAGTAATCCGGAGAAACAACTATGACCGCAAAGCTAGAACCAACAAATACTTAGGGTTAAGTTCTGATTCCGACGCTTCCTTTCAGAAGGTGGTATCAGAGGACTGTTGGGAGGGTGAGCTGCTTGGTTTGTGGGCGCCCGGGGGAGCGAGAGAAGCTTCGTGGTCGCGCATGGTAGGAGGCATCCGGTAGTGTTCACGGAGGTGAAATGGGTGTTTGGTGCTGCAATTGAGTTTTGAAGCTGTTGCTAGTTGAGATCAACCGGGGTAGAGATACAAATATGACGATAGTAGAAGGAGTTACGGAGCACTGCAATTGACATTTGAGAGGGAGTAGTTGGAGTGGACGTGAAGAGGAGAAAGAAGTTGGAGACGCGAACTGACTGAAATATTAAACGCGTCAGATGCCAAGCATGCAGGGAACCGCCAAAGCACGTGAGCATTGTAGAAGGCGGGCAAACTTCCATGTCAGCTACAGGCCGCCGTCGTCTCAATATCATCTTGGAATCTTTCGGAATTTGCATACATATCTACGATTTTCTCCTTTCTCGATTGATCCTCTACAAGTCTCTAGTTATTCTGAGAGCCTTAAATACACAGAACTTGCACTCTCGAGCGTCATGCAAGCGCCATAGCAAAAACTGCCTGAAGGCAATCTCTTCGAGCTTCGAGCCCCGAGCTTCAGGCTTCTCACAAAATCCGATCAAAGTTCCTGATCCAGGAGCTGCGAAGATAGAAAGCCACTTTTGAACTGTTGCAAAAGCCTAGAATCCGTCAACATGGCAGACCAAGACCGGAAAACTCAACCGCCTCTGGTCGATAGTATTTTGCAATGTGGAAAGCATGCCTTCGATCCTGAGATACCCAAAGAATCAAGGCAGGAAAACATCTCAAAATTCAACTCCCTTTTGGGAAGGTAAGTATTCATTGCTTTTTGAATTCAGGCATCTATTAAACTCCTACAGCTCAGGTACACTGGCCCTGATACCAGTTTTGAACCTCCTCATTCAACCTGGCCGAGTACAGCCATGGCTACGTACGCCTCTTATCTCGGCTCTTGCACGGTTACCGTTGCGGCATCGTGGAGTCCAACATACTATCGAGTTTGTGCTTTCAGTGCATCCAAGTACTTCGAGCAGCACAGCACCTGCAAATACAGGACGAGGAGCTGATATTTCTCATGAAGCACTCAATGCTATATCCCGACTGCTTTCATCTCCCCCAGCTGGGATGTCAGCCGAGGACTGGTTTGGAGGTATTGCGCCACAGCTTTTATCCCTCCTGGATGGTGACGGGGAACCTGAGATGGACAGAGCTGCTGCTTTTGTCATCGGATTTGGCATTTTGGGTCGGAAGCAATACGGAGCACCAGGTATGCCTGTCTGGAGTCTGGCCAAATGGTGACTAACTGCCAAAGGAACTCCTGGATGGAATAGATTTATTGAGCCTATGTTATCGGCCCTTGATCCTACTTTGGCTTCTCCCAAAGCTAGAAACAGTCCGGCAGAACTCATCGAGACAGTTGGAGCCCGCAGAGTACTTGTCTCTGCTTTGGAGGTATCCAAAGGACTACAGAGATTATCCACACTACTAACCTCACATCCTCATCCTGCTCTCTCAAAGCGCCTCTTGCGCCCTGTCCTTTTGCCTCTGTGGGCGCTCTCATGTTGGCGCCATGGGAATGACCAAACACTTAAAAGATACTGCGAATCAGCAAGGAAGCTTCTAAAAGTATTGATACAATTATCTCCAGGCCAGACTGATATATCAGATCAGTCTGGACCGCCGTCTACATTCAGTCTTTTAACAAATATCCTACAAAATCTGACCTTCAAAGGCAGGGCAAGAGCAGGGCAGAAAGGCTGGGAGTATAGCTCTGATGACGTTGGTGGTATATTCATCGTGGAGGTGAACCCATCAGTCTCCCACGCAGCCCGAACTGCATTCGATGATGTCTACATCGGCCTTGCTAGCGATGCTTTCATATCTTTACTCCAAGATATGCCTGATGTGAAACCAGACATATCGAAGCTTTTCATGAATCTCTGCAAGAAGTGGCTTTCAAATACGGCCAGAGCCAATAAGCCACATGTTATCACCCAGGTCGGTCAGTTCAACAAAAGCATTGACGAAGATATCGAGACAACCTTTATTGAAGTCACGGTCATGCGAAAAATGATGAATACTTTTCCCGAGAACCTCGTGAATGACTCGCACCAGGTACTTGAGCTTGTCAATGGAGTTCTATTAGATTTCCTTACCCACAGTGACCTTGGTGAGGATACGATTGCTGTTGCTATGAGTCTTCTCAATACTGTCCTCACGTCTCCAAACTTTCTAGTCACGAACGATCTTGGGCCCTGCCTGGCATCTGTGGAAGCATCGCTTGGCTCCATATGTCGCAAGAGACTGGAAGTCTCCTCGACTGCGCACAATCTTCTGATGCTACTGAGGTTTCGGAACAACGAGCCAGAAGGTATCAACATGAGCACGCCTACAGATCGGCAAGTCGAGGACAAAAAGAGTTATAGTCTTGCAATGTCATATTTGACGGCGATAGACTCTCCACCGCCAGTCCGGGTTCAAGGGCTGGAGCTGTTGTCGAGTTTGATTCGGTCAAGCAGCCCAATTTTGGATATACCAGCCCTTCTGGTTCTCTTCTCGTCTCTTCTCCAGGACAATGAAGAGTACATATATCTGCGGACAATCAAGTCTTTTATCCAGCTTTCTCAAAAGCATCCAAAATCTGTTATGAAAGATCTCACCGATCGATATGTCGACTCACAAGAAGAGAGCGAACTCGATCAGCGACTTCGACTTGGTGAGGCGCTTCTCCAAGTTATCCAAAGCAACTACCTCGCATTTGTAGGCGACACATCGAAGTTCGTCTGTGAAGGTCTTATCTTCCTTGCTGGACGTCGAGGTTATAGGCCGAAGACCGAGCAACAGCAAATCAAGAAAAACAAGCTTAAGCGGAAACAGAACAGTGACGCTGACGAGGCCTGGGGAGGGGAAGTTCCCCAACTTGACGAAGTCCTCGACACAGAGACTCAAAAAGATAACGAGATACTGGCGCAGATCATCGTCGGTTGGGAAAGCAAACGTGGACAGGAAGATGTTCGGATACGAGCATCGGCACTCGCTATTCTCGGCTCGGGCATTGAAGCAAATGTCGAAGGCATCGGACCAAATTTGATATCCACTGCAGTTGATCTCAGCATTCATGTCCTTACTCTTGAGCCAGAGTCAGAGAAGGGTATTCTACGTCGTGCAGCTATCCTCCTCATCATGAATTTTGTCAAGGCCCTAGATTCCGCGAGGTCAGAAGGTAAGAAGTTGGGATTTGGTTTTGTCGGTCAAAGTCTTGATGACGTTCGCAGAGTGCTTGAGTACATAGCAAGCACGGATGACGATGGCTTGGTTCGGGAGCACGCCAAGGATGTGATCGAGAGTCTTGAGGGATGGCAAATCAACGCTCTGATTCGTCCACAGAACGATCAGACCGACATCAAAGAACTGGCAGGGCTGAGGATCACACCTCGAGGGGTCGAAGATACGAGTGGGCACGTGAGGCCAAGAATCGAGGAGATCGATTGAATGAGGAATCTACCCCAGATTAATGAGGAATGCGGCAACTTATCCCTCCCTATCCTTTAAGTCCAGAAGAATGCAACAATGGCCGTGAGAACTTCCATTTTAGGTCACGCTCCCAACCACGTATAAAGACAAAGGGGCATATTTGACTTGCTCTAAACTCTATCCCAGGGAGCAGGCATGCCTACAAAGGAGTTCGTCTCGACATGGCCACGCAGGATCGTGAGTGGAAAGTTTTGTCGTGGGAATTTCATCATTGGTAGTACAGCAACATTTCTGAGTTGCAGGGTATATATGTCTAGGAACGGATTGCGTTGGGCCCGTTTTGAAGAACCCTATCGATGTTAACTTCTACGTTTTTACTCCCCACAGAATTACAAGCATAACTAGCCGTCTTCAATTCCTACCCCTCTCCCATATATATCATCTACATCCAGACCTGAATCTCATTATGCACAAATGCCTCTTTTCTACCCACAAGACACCATGCCTCGACCTAGCATACTCACCCGATCCAGAACAGCACCTCAACTCTCGCCTATTTCAGATATATCACCTTCCAAACTTCCGTTCATGGATCCTTTCTCTCCAAAATCATCCCGTCACCACCACCATCATCAACATCAAGATCAGAGCGATTACATTGAAACTCAAAATCTCACTGAGCACTTCACGCAATCCTCGAGCTGTCTAGCCACACCCCGTCCCCCTCCACATACGCACTCCAGTATACCAATACAAAAGCACCTTACCTGGCCCTTACGCCGCACATCTCTCGCATCTCTCGCAACAAAATCCCTTCCCCATTTACCTCTCCGCCCGACACGTCTCTTCCACAGGCTGCGAAGTTCATTCTCCAATGTCCACGTGGTGAAACCAGGAGAGGGAGAGCATCACCAGCATCATCATCAAGATCATGAGCAACAACACCGAAAACGGCGAGATCAGCATGAGCGTCGAGAAAGCGGAAGTGAGGGAGAGGACGGCTGGAGAGGAGAAGGCGATACATCGTTTGGTGGGGAGTATGAATGGGATGATTACTGGGAGGAAGTGGAAGTGCATATGCCGGGCGTGTGTTTGCACTTACCGCCTGAGGTATCGAGGGATAGGAGTGAGATTGAGTACTTGAGGCGGTTGGAGAGGGAAGCTATGAGTGCAAGGATGGTTGGGATTGTGACTTAGTTCATACTTGCCCACTTGGTGCCTTTCACCAAATCGTACAGTTGGCCAACCGCCTTTCGACTTTGGGATTATCTGATGGATGGGCGCGGAGCGCTTGAGCGGGACCGAATTGTGAAGGGATTGGGAACCTGAGGTTGGTGTTGGTTCTGTGTAACACAAGACGGTTTGATGGCATTTGGTGCCGGATGTCAGCTGATTGGGCCGGATACGAAGCCTGCTGCTCCCTTTGTAATCTCTAATACTTCAAAGACATTTTATCGTCCGACTTACTCTTTCAAATATAATGATTGGGCTCATTACGAGGCTCTTTTACTCTCCCTCTGTTTACTTCATGGCATGAATGCCTACTTTTCAAGTTCATTATGTTCATAATCTGGTTCCCTCATATGAGTGGGCATCCTACGATGCTGTGCTTCCGTTGTATATTTATTTGAAGCATTTTTATTGTTCAAGTTTACACTCCCGAATGTCATTCATGAATCGTGATGAATGTTAAGGTTGTCTGGGAGAAGCCAGACCGCATGCGTAGGTGACTATCTGATAGATTGCCTGTCTCTAGGATCGTACACTAATATGCATTCTGCGTTCAGGATGATTGATCATTATGGCATCACCTGTGACCATCTTGTGCCTATCGACGACCCCAATCCAGAACTCCTGCAGATGACGAAGATGATAGAGGCATGCATGCGAACAAGTATATCGAACCGGCTGATTATATTAGGACCCACAAGTAGACATCGCTAAAGAGAAATACCTGAAACTAACGATACCTGATTCGCCTTTTTCTGCACATGCATACAATTATAAACAATTAAGTAATTTACGAATCTTTGAATTATTTTTGTCTATTCATTTAGCTTCATCTTTATTGTCAACTTTATGCTACCATTTCATAGTGGTTGGACTTCTTACGGGGCTCATCTTATCTTTGCCTAGTTCTTTTGAGACATGTTTATTGTCCGACTTTACTCAGCCATTCAATAACTATTGGACCTTATACGGGGCTACCTCGTCTTTGTCTATATGCTTCAAAATATACATCCATTGTTCGGCCTGCTCAACTACATAAATCATTTGACATCCTACGAGGCTTGTAGATTCTTTATCTCTTCATTCCAAGACAGATATCCCTTGGTCGATTTCACAATTCGATTCCGCCACAATCACTGGGTGGCGTACGACGCTCTGCTGTTCTTTGTTTTCCGATACTATTTTGGGGGTGCAATGTGGGGTGACTGTGTGGTAGCGGAGGAAACATCCGTCGTAACTTTCATGTGAATATCAGTCCCTTGTTGGAGCCTTTGGAATGAGGGATGGAATATTCCGATAATTGACGGATGCAAAGAACCGAGGGTAACAGGAACCTAGTGATCTTCTGATCGGCATCATATGCTAACCAGGAGATGGAATCGGGATCAAGGACGAACATCATATTGAGTCGTACACTTACGTTCTTTGATTTCAAGCTGCTACTTTGACTGAATTGACACCGTGACCTAGCTAGACGTCTTTCTCTTGTTGGTTCATTGCATCCTGTCTACTCCTACCCTTCGCTTTCTACACGGTATTCTACTGCAACAACACGGCTTCGGCGGCGGTATCTTGCATGAAAATACCTCCGAATACCACGGCTTCAGAGGTAGCGATCGGAGGTTGCTGACCAGCGAGTGGGTTCTTCAGGACTCCGAAGTGGTACTCACCGTTTCCAGAGTTGTCTGCTGATTGTTAGTAAGAGTTTTGGGTGATGATGAGAGCCAGGGCTGGGGGGTATCTTACCATTGGGTAGAGCCTCTGTGACTTGTTCCAAGGGATTGTTCTCTGTGCTGTGGAAGACTTGGATCGTACTATTCACACATGTTAGCAATTTTTCACTTTCACCCTCATTTCATCATGGATGAAACATGTCTGAATGCGGTAACCTGGTGAACTCACTTCTGATCAAAATCCATCTCAAGCGCAAAGTTATGGAAACCTGCCGTAAATGGAGTGGAAAATAGCGTCTGAACGCCAGCCGCGTTCTTGTTATTCCCATTGACGACGATATTCGTACCGTCAGCACCGGGAGATCCCGCCGCAGCGTCTACGACTTTGCCAACTCGGACATCGAACTGGTGCGTAGCGAAGTCGGCCGTCTCGAGGAAAGCGACTTGGTAGTCGTGCGTGAGATCTAGGGGCGAGGCCGTGGATTCTTGGAAGGAGAAGTGCATGGTCTTCTTGCCAGTGGTGGCGACGTTGTTGAGTGTGGAGGCGATACTAGGGAGGAGGTCGGCGCGGCGAACTAGCGCATCTATTCAAATGATTAGAAATTGATTCTATAACTTTGAGAAATCTTTGCAGCTGAGAATAGGTGTAATTTTCTCTTAATCCCGAGATGAGACCCATGGAGATCCAATTGGGTCCCTGATATAAGGAGTTAAAAATAAGATGATGCTGACCTGGAGCGCCGCCCTTAGGGACGAATATGGATTTGTCGTCGATGGATACCGAGAAAGCTTTTGTATTTGTGGCAACGTCGAACTATTGAAATGTTAATTATCATTGGAACCACCTGAAAGCTGTAATGTAGAAAGTGAAATACTTACAAGTGACTGAGTAACGTCCGGGAATGCAATAATGTCACTGAAGACAAGGCCTGCATACAGTTAGAAAGACGAAGCTCTAGATCTTGACCTTCTCTATAAGCGCAATACATACCATCTCCCTTCACAACAGCACTCTTGAATTTACTCGCCAAAACATTGAAGTCTTCAGGCACCGCGTCTTGAGCAATCCTTCCATCAGGAAGCACAGCAGCACCAGTCGTTGCATCTCCGGTTGCCGTTCCGTTTTTAGCTGGCTCAGCGGTGTCCGCTGGTGCAGTAGCATTTTTGGCTGGATTTGCTGCACCTTCAGATAGTTTTGGAGCTTTGCATGCTTCGGCAGGCTTGGCGGCTTCAACAGCCTTGGGAGCTTCTACAGCCTTGGCGCCAGCATTGGTAGCCTTTGGAGCTTTGCATGCTTCGGCAGGATTGGCGGCTTCGGCAGGTTTGGCGGCTTCGACAGCCTTTGGGGCTTTAACAGCCTTTGGGGCTTCGACAGCTTTGGCGCCAGCATTGGTAGCCTTTGGAGCTTGCACTGCACATGCTGCTGGCTTTTCAGCCTTTTGGTTTTCGTGCCGGGAAAGGAGGGGTGAGGCGTAGGCGGAGACGGCGAGGAGGCAGACGAGGGTTGTGGAGTTGAACTTCATGGTTACAGCCGGTGGGGATGGGACAAAATCAGTAGTTTATTAAGTGTAGTGAGTACTTGGTTTTGACGATGTTGCTGAAGTTGTGGGCGTAATTGAACGAAGGTAAGTAGTAATGAAGGACTGTTACAACGGACAGCGGAAGAAATGAACGTGAGCCAGCTCAAAAAGAATGAAGTGAACAAGATAAAGATGAGATGAAAATGACACAACTATCATATGGCGATACTAGCTTATATATTATGGCTCTCTTGCAACATACTCTCTTGCAACATGCTCTTCTCGCGTGTAGCAAGTTCCACGCAAATGGCATGGCAATGGTATAGCGGCTGACAATGCCATCCGAACATGAGATGATCGACGATTGTGAAGCAAAGGCTAATCCAAAACTGAGAAAGTCAAATTGCATTGTTGAGACGAGTTCAACACTGGACGAAGCTGGTGCTGGACTGTAACAGGAGGACTTCTTGTCCTCGGAATCGCCGCGGCCTCGGGCTCACGAAACGCTAAGCGAGGAGTCGCCGTTGAGCATTTCCACTTTGATACTTCAGTGAAATAGGCCAAAGCCAGTGTGAAGGCGATACGCAAGCAAGAGGCTCCTGTGTTTAAACGTATACAGATCCGCAAGGCTATGCGATATTTTCAGTATTCATCTGCCGCCAGCAGCTGCACTTGACAGAGAGGCGGAAATTGAACCAGAAAGTATACTTCCACCGACGTCAATGACAGGAAATTTAAAGTTGCAGTATGCTTCTGCCAACTTTCAGACAAGATTCCGTGCCACTAGACGCAATCCTCTTGATGGCAGACGCAAGAATCCAAGAAAATATCAGACGGGCTTGGTGTGTGACAAAACACGCTAGAAACTCTCGAAAAGCCTATTTCGACTTCCAAACCTTCACGTCAAACCAAGCGAGACTACAAGCCCTTCCAGACTCGATCAAGCGGTCACCAGAGCAGCTGTAACCAACTCCAGCCAAGGAACTTTCTACACAAGCAAAAGGATGAACCTACCAACCTACATGCACCTTTTTGCGGTCTGGTGTTTGGGAATTAAAGTTTGTGAGAATAAACTTTTACTGGACACTCGTTCTGTTTCGGAGATTGATTTACGAGCGAAGCGATATGATGCTCGGGGTCCGGGGAGATGCGAGGCGGGGGCCTATTGTGGCGACATATTATTGGGACGTGGTGATGTCTTGATACAATAAAGTGATAAGATGGATCATGGAGGTGAATGTGGACACTGGTAATGGCTATTGGATCGCGCTCGCTTAATGCTTGGTTCTGAGTGATCATGATGCCCGGCTTTCCCTGGTGGCTGGTCCTGGAGAGGGGATTTGTTGCACGATATGAGACCCTGATGAGGCATGTGAATAAGATGAACTCCCGATGCGCATGTGTTATTCGAGACTGGGGAGGATCGTTGTCTTCATGTGTTCTGGTCATGTGACAGTATCAATATACACTTCCGTCCATTTTTACCGAGGAGGGCAGATCAGATCAAGGCTTATCACTGTCTCGTTCTCAAGCAGGCTTCGATCAGCCCGATATCCAAACTTGTCAGATTGATCGACCTGGAGAGGATTTCTTTCGTCTGCCGTGAACATGTGCAAGGCCTAGGCCATAGATAGTGGGAATTCACATGTGTTGAATGCTTGATGTTTTGTTAGTACTGTATCTACTGAAAAGTTAGACAATTATCCTTATTCACATGCCGTGCTCTTACCTTTCAGCTGTATTACGGCCTTGCCGACCAATAATTTTGAAAGTACTGGCTCATTTCATTCCTTGTCTTTTGATGTCTTTGCTTACCTTGTTAATAGGCCATCAAATCACACGGAGATTTTCGGAAAGCACAGTCTGAACTCAGACATATCGGGAGATATCGGTGGCTAGTCGAGTAAAGAGGGACCTTTTGGGAACCTTTCTTTATCTTTGCAAAGTCTCTGATGGATAGGATAGACTTGTCATGGACTTGGAATCAGAACTCAAGAACTCTCAGCCGCAAGTCCTGCAAGCTACTGTATGTTATCTTCAAGAAGTTTAGTGTTGACTTTTGACTTTTTAATCGCAGCGGTACTCACCAGCCACGTAGCCGGGCCGCCTGTCCCATTCTCGAATGCGTGCTGCTTAGGGGACGCCTCAACGCCTTCTGGTGGTGTGGCGTCAGCAAAACACTGGATCGGATTTCAGCCCGATCGCCATAAAAGACGCCATACAGACCCGCTTCCTTATCGCAGGATTTTTTTCAGGTCCACCGATTTCACAGAGGGTCCACAAGTGCGGCCGTTCCACAATTGTTTATCTGGTTCTGCTCCACCTGCCCGAGCTGCCCTTGTTTCGACCTTGCGGTTACAGGTGGCGGCGGCGGGCTCTGGCGGGTCTTGACTTTTCCGCTTGGTGAGGCGTTAAGCAGCTACCTTGCGTGAGCCAGCTGCACGTGGAAATGCTTGAGTGGTGTGATCCAAACCTCGGGAATACGTGTAATAGCCGATACTCAACGATATCGGATGGAAGGCTGGGAGGCGACTCGTGAAGAAAACAATGACGATGAGCAGAGAGATGAAAGTGAGTCATGGGGTCGTGGTCTTGATCTAGCTAAAGTATGGCATCGTGATGATGGAACGAGTAAGTAGGTAGGTAAGGATGCGGAATGTGTATCATGTTCAAGACATTTTTGTAGATATGTACCCGTTGATACATGCATGTGCTGCCCTGGATGGATCCAGTATGACCGTACCAAGACCGGACGGGGCCATCGAAATCTGTTTTCCGCTTGTGAGGAAGGTGGTCGTGGGTGGATCAGGAGGGTCTTGATGAGCCTCTTGGATGTTTACTTCAAATAATGATGCCGATGCAACTCGCTCACCCCTCTTGCACGCATCAAAGGAGGCATGCAAGAAGATGATTGACACATGGGACATGGGAGTGGTCCATCCCAGCCTGGTCTGACGAGCTGGTCTGGTCTGGCCGAGGCTTAGGTGATGTTGTATGATGCTCGGATGAGGCCTGCAGCAAAAAGGTGGAGCCTCGCTGTACTTGTATATCGAAAATTATCAGATGAAGTAAATGGAAAGCAAAGTGTGGCTATTGGCACTTCGGGCTATACGAATAACTTTGCTAGTATTAGCAGTCAAATGCCGTACCTTCCGTACCTTGACTAATTCTCTAGCCTCCTGTCTATCCATAATCTCGCCGCCGCCGTCGTCTTGTCGTTGTTGCATAGTTACACCGCGTCGTCATGAGGTATGCTTGTCAACCACAATACCTAATGAACGCTTCCACTCTGTCGGGAATTGTTCTGGAAGAGTCGTTGGCTGATTATTTTGGAGGGGGGGCGCAGACACAGGCGCACAACGCGAGGCGAGGCAAGTTTGGCGAGGAAGGCTGGAAGGGAAGGGAAGGAAAGGGTGACCCCCACTCGCTGCGAGCGCCCTGGCCTGGTCTCAAGGATGGCGCAGGCGCATCGCATCGCATAGCCGAAGTGACGTGCGAGTAGAGCGAGTAGAGGTCCGGGTACCAAGAGAGGGACGGCGATTCTATTTGAGCGTAAAATGCAGGCCTTGTAGTTCCCTGTGCGGGCCTGTTATGCCCTGCCTGCCTGCCTGCCTGCCTGCCTGCCTAGCTACACTTTTATCAGACATCTTGCTTGGTACGCAAATACAGTAAAGTGGGCACAATTTCTCCGGTTCGGGCGCTTTCAAACCTAAGTCCCAGACCATGGTTCATTAATATTCACCCAAACCTTAGAGGAATGGATGGGCCTGACAGCGCAGCCCCTCTCAAGATCTGCCCTGTGCTCTGTCCTGGCCTGGCGGACGAGACCGGCGAGCATCCCAGGAAGGAGCGCGCAGCCATCAATCTCGTCTTGGTTTTCTTTCTACAGTACAGCCTCTCTCTCCCGTCGGCTTCTTTTTCTCCTTTGACTCGCATTTCTCTTTTTCCACTAGCCACTCTCCTCCCTCCCGTCCTCTTTCTGCTTCCATATAAACTCGCCCTCTCGCGCTCTCAAGCATTGCCACTTCTTGGCTCCCATCGTGCCTGCCACTACTCTGATCAGCAGAGATTAATGATACAGCTTTGCCAAGATGCCCAGCTTCTTTGGTGCTGTCACTGGCAAGACCAGTGCGACTCTATTTGAGATTCGGTATGTTCAGGAATTTTTACTACAAAGGATTCGAGCTGATATGTCTGTAGCCTCGACAATGAAATCATTGTGTTACGTGGGGCTGAAAACGAGGCCTCGAGCCAGCTGTTGAAGGGAGTGGTGGTCCTGTGCCTCCCAAGTGCTCTGAAAGTAGAAGATGTACATCTGCGAATGACAGGTCAACTGAAGGTTGGGTAAGTCTGCCGATTTTCTTTTGGTCGTACCAGGCTAACATCTGTTGACAGATGGAACGATTCACGACTCACTCCCACCGGTATCTCGAATAATCGACTCGACAAGACGACCGAGATATTTAACCACAAATGGCCCCCATTCGTTGGAGGAGGTGGAGGATCCAATTCGCGGGGTTGCAATCTGCCGTCTGGAAATTACGAGTGGCCGTTCGAGATCGTGATTCCGGGAAGCTTTGCAGAGAGTGTGGAAGGTCTGCAAGACAGTCACATCCAGTACCGATTGAAGGCTACAGTTGCTCGAGGGAAATTGGCATACGATCTACATGCACACAAGCCCGTTCGAATCGTCCGAACCCTTGATCCATCCGCGTTGGAATTGGCCCATGCCATGACCGTGGAGAATATTTGGCCGAACAAGATCGAGTACCAGATTATCATTCCACAAAAGGCCATTATTTTCGGGACTGCAATCGATGTTGAGATGAAATTTACCTCTCTTCTGAAAGGATTGAGGATCGGTCAAATAAAATGCCAGTTGCTCGAGGTACAGGAATTCACATTGCCCGCGGCATCTCAACATATGGAAAGGCATTACAAGAATCAACGGGATGTCGATTCTTGGGTTTTTGAGCTGGGCGACGACAACTACCAGGATCTGATGAATGATGATGGGCAAGATGGCTACACTTTGACCGAGAGAATGCCGCTCCCTAAGACTTTGAAGTTGTGCTTGCAAGATGTGGATGTTCACGGAATCAAAATACGACACAAAGTCAAATTCAACATTGCTCTCCATAACCCAGATGGGCACGTTTCAGAGGTACGATACTTAGCTGTTCTAGTGCTTGGGGAATATGGCTGACTTTATTTTTATTTTTATAGCTCCGTGCAACGCTTCCAGTAACTATATTTATCTCACCAAATATGCCTCTCAACGAAGATGGCCAACTTGTTGATCAAACTCCAATGAGCACGCAATCAATAGACATGACACAGCATGCACCTCCTTTGTATGGACAACATGTTCTAGACCAGCTGTATGCCGATATGAACAATACCGGAATTATGACTCCTGCGCCACAATCTGGGATGAACACGCCTTTTCACGGTCTATCAAGAGCAGGCTCACACGAGAATCTGGCTTCACTGAACTCAGTGGCCAATCAGAATGGCGCTGTTCCTCCAGCAGCTCTTCAGTCTCGACTGCAGGATTTAGATCCGAATGGTATGTCTCGGAATAGTAGCTTCAGACGATTAAACGGATCTGGACATAGTACGCCTGCACCTAGGCAGATGGAGAGCGAACCGGGCTACTTCGACCAACACAATTCGGAGTCGAACAGTAATCCATTGAGCAGACGGACAAGTGAGGAAGACCATACTAGGCACTCTAGAGTGACCAGTGGCCAGCAAACCCCGGACGAGCATCTTGATTTTGCAGAACTCGGAGACCTGACGAAGGTTCCATCATACCGAACTGCTGTTCGAGCCCCTGTTCGAGGTATGAGTTACAGCGACGCTTTGCCAGATTACGTTACGGCGACATCTGCACCTCCCAGTACGTATTATTCCTTCCAGCCTGGATCCAAGATCCGAGAAATGGAGATCCCGATCCTACGTAACTGTCCAAGACACCACTAACATAGCCACAGGTCCTGAAAGATCTTTCAGCACTCCAGCTAGCCCACAGGAGAGGAGAAACCCGTTCTCGGGAATGGGATTCACACCGATAAACCCACCTGCAGCAGCCCTGATTTCTGGTGCTGATCGCATGCCTTTACACGTAAGACAGAACAGAGGTCGAGGTTGACCTGCACGTTTCGACCTTGGAGTTACGAATTCGGACATTCTACAATGGTATCCAGGAGAATGAATTGGATACAGGGAATATAATTTAGCGATTCGATGATTTGGATAGACGGACAACATTGCATATATCGGCGCACTCGGCATAGTCTAGACTTGGGTATCGGGCATTTTTTAGGAGTTTGTATGGATTAGAACTGACTGGGTTGGTCAATGGTGGGAAGGGTACGGGCGAGGGAGTACATATCTGGTTACGGTTTCAGCATGGATATCACCGCTCTTGGACATCAGTCCTATTATACCACAGAACCGTACTTCGATGGAATGCTATTTGATGCGTACGTATCCTATTATACCCCTTCAGCTCGATTTTGTCTCTAAACATAATCTTATTCAGTACATGAAGGGAACCAACTGTTGTGTGGGTACCTTGACTTTCTCATTTTCTCGCTGCTCAGACTCTTGTTTAATAAATGGAATGTCTTTAAAGTCGAAGGACCAAATCGATATCCAGAAATTCGAGTTGAAATTGCTGCGAGAGTGGACTTGGCAACCGTGCAGTACAAGATCTCATGTGCATTTTATCTTTAGCTGTCGTGATACCACGCCCTACTTGCATCATTGTGAGTTAGGGGTGGCTTGCTGGTACTACACGTGCAGTAGCTCGCGTGCGTAGTTTGCCAGGCAGGCTGAAACCAGACTTTAGAGCCAGTCATTGTTATTTCTTGGAGAGAAACACAACTACAATAAGGGTTGATTGCGTTTGTAGGTTTTCCGCTTGCAGCTCGGTACCATAAGAGGTCAGAGGTAAAAGTAATCGAGGCTACGTACGGTTTTCAGCGCATGACCTTCAGGAAGCCACTGCAACGACTGTGCCACTGAATGAGCGAGGAGGGGTGATGCGGGGTGCAGCTATGGTTACGAGATAAATTGTTTCCTTGCATTGCGACATACTTACTTACGGTATGGAGGCAATTTGGTATGAACACTTGAAAAGTAGAAACCAAGAACTTGAATTATTCAAGTTTATCCTATGATTAGAGAAATGAAGAGAAAACAATATCATAGAATTGAAACAGATCATGCGCGAGGAAGACATAAAGTGACCCTTGTCAGGAACGCATTTGCAAGGCCCGAGGCTCCGAGCTCGCTGCCTGGGTCATGGACGTGTCAGAGTCAGCGCCAGCCTCCTCTTGTCGATGTCGTGCTTCAGACACCAACATTCAAATCTCTCCAGGTCTTTTACAAAAGCTCGACTTTGTATATAATTCATTGTTATTGTCATCTTGGTTGATGATTTAGATTTGTAAGAGACCGTTCGAGCAACGGTCAACCAACCACTTTGGTCCTCAATAGCTACTTCCAGCATAGCTGCCGTATTAGCTACAACTGGAAGAAAGCAAGCTCGCCAGCACAATGGCAACGACTCGCACTCCATTACTCTCCAACGACAGGGTCTCCCTACGATCCTCTTTTTCATCCTCCTCCTCCATAAACCGCAAAGAGCAACGGCGTCGCCAAGATGTCATCAGATACATCTCCTTCGCCTCAGCGATTACATCCTGCCTTTGCGCCGGCTCCATAACCGCCTACTCGTTGTATGGGCATCTCTTCCAAGAACGCCTCCGCTACACCCAACTGCAAGTCAACATCGTCGTCAGCGCCGCCGAAATAGCTCTCTACCTTCCCGTCTCCCTCTTCGGATATATCTGCGACCGAGTCGGACCGGCGCCGTTGTCATTCGCTTCTGCGATCTTGTTTGCGATGGGGTATTTGCTAGCCGCGTTTACATATAAGAGCGGTGCGAAGGACGTCTATGGGTACACGGCTGAACGGGGCTGGCCGCTGGCGGTCATGGTCACGGCGTTTGTGGTGATCGGTTGTGCGACAACGCTCATGTACCTTTCAGCTGTCACGACGTGCGCGAAAAACTTCGGGAAGGGGAAGCATAAGGGCCTGGCGCTTGCGAGTCCCATTGCGGCTTTTGGACTCAGTGGGATGTGGCAGAGTCAAGTGGGAAGTAGGATTCTGTATGAGCGGAGACCAGACGGCAGTCATGGCGATGTGGACGTCTTTAGGTTCTTTGTGTTTCTCGCTGGGACATTGTTCCTCGTTGGGATGGCGGGCACTTTTTTCTTGAAAATCGTGGATGAGGAGGAGTTGATTGATGAAGCTGTTGAGGAGCTGGAGAGGAGTGGGTTGTTGGAGGATAGTGCCTTCTTCCGCGGAGCGGACAGGGGATATGGATCTTTTGAAAGTGGCTCTGATGAGGAGGCTGTTGAGAATAGGAGGTTGGAAGAGGCGAAGGCGCATGCCGAGGAAGAGGCCAGGAAGAAGACTTGGTTGTTGAATGAAGAGACGAGGAGGTTTTTGAAGGATCATACGATGTGGTGGCTTGCTGCTGGGTTCTTCTTCGTGTCTGGTACGTTTCCGCTTCCACTGTTTTGCCAAGGGATCGGACTAATTGATTATCAGGACCCGGTGAAGCTTTTATCACAAATCTAGGGACTATTATAGGAACTCTCTATCCTCCTGGTGCCGACCCAAACCGCATTCCAACCACAGCAGCTACGCACGTCTCGATTGTCGCAGTCACCTCGACCGCAGCACGAATTCTATTCGGCACGCTCACCGACCTTCTCGCTCCCCCGTCCACAACCCACCACTTCGGCTCCGTGGCCAACTCTCTAGCCTCTCTACCACCTCGCCCTTCCCGCTTCTCCATCTCCCGCGTAAGCTTCCTCCTCTTCTCTGCGCTCCTCCTCTCCCTCGGCCAGATCCTTCTCGCCTCTGGCCTGATTCAGAACCACGGCTCTCGCTTCTGGATCGTCTCCTCACTCATCGGCTCCGGCTATGGTTCGCTCTTCTCGCTCACACCTCTCATGATCTCCGTCATCTGGGGCGTCGAGAACTTCGGCACTAACTGGGGAATCGTGGCTATGGTTCCAGCCGCTGGAGCGACCTTCTGGGGCGTCGTGTACAGTCAGGTGTATCAGATGGCGGCCAAAGCAAGGTCGTTTAAATTGGGACTGGAAGAAGAGGATGTTATGTGTTATGGAAAGGAGTGTTATGCAGCGACATTCTGGGCGATGGCGATTAGTGTGTGGATTGGTTGTGGGTTGTGGATCTGGGCGTGGAAGGGTCCTGGGGGATGGACCAAGAGGGGGATTTCAGTGTGAGATATATGAGAAACACGATTTTGCATTGGGTTTAGCGGATTGCATTGAATCTAGCGAATTTTGTATATACAGCATAGAACACGAACATACAGAGAATCTATGACATTTACTCCAGGTGGATTTGTGGTATTCTCTCGGTCAGATCTCTCAATTTCTGTACTTGGTAAAGTTTTCACCAGCAGTGTTCTCGTGTTACAAGTGGAAGGAAGTACATTATCGGGGCGGCGATGTCCAGCCGCAGAATCGACGTCGAAGAGTTGACTCCTGTCGCTCTGAAAAAGGAAGACCGGCTCAGTCATCCGACACAGAGAAAAGCATGTCATCGTGCATCTCAAAAAAGTAAGCTTTCTCACTTCCTAGCTTGGCTGGCTGACTATGTTGTACCCCAGAGGACATCCTGGGGAGTAGCATGCAATTAGTCATCATGCTGCAGACGTGTCTGGATGGGTGATTGTAAATCAATTTGGTTCCCTTGCCTGAACTTGGCGCTCAAATCTGCCATTGTTAATGCTTTCCTAACTACTGGTGCGGACTTCTTTTTTGGTCAAGTTCTGTGGTGTTTGTTTTGATTTTGTGTAAGCGAGATCCGATACTTTGAAGAAGGATCAACACGGAGTCAGCTAAACTGAATCGAATTGAACTTGATTGACATGAATCAAGCACGATGCTGGAAGTAATTGTCCATCCGCTCCCGGAACTCACGATTGAGATTGTGGAATCTCCTATCCCGATTCCTGGACCTAGTGAGGTGCTGGTCAAGGTTGAGATTGCGAGTAGCAATGTGAAAGGTGTTGCCTTTCTGCGTTTCTATCCTCACAATTCGCTATCCTATTATCTCACCATCCTGTCTTCTTACAGTCCAATCGTACTGACTCCTGTCAATAGACTGGCTCCACCTCACAGCTCGCAAAATATCACTCAATAGCGGCGATGATATGGCGGGCACGGTCCATAAGTTGGGAGAGAATGTGAATGAATTCGAGATCGGAGATCGTGTGGCGGCCTTTCATCCGATGTTTACTCCTGGTGGCACGTATGCTGAATATGCTTTGGCACCAAAGTATACTGTGTTCAAGATTCTGGATGAGATGATTTTCGAAGGTTTGTATTTTATCCTCCAGAGAAACTTCACTTTTCATTTACCTTCATTGATCAATATTACCTTACTGCGATGCTCGCTTAATGAGAAATATCAGATGAGAATAGTCTACAGCGTGGAATTATTCTGGAGCTTTGGCTAATAGTCAATAGAAGCAGCGACGATCCCTCTCGTGATAACCACTGCTGCCCTGTCCCTGTTTGAGATTCAAGGTCTTCCAGCACCATGGTCACCCCCCTCAACACCTCTTCCTCCAACTCCTTTGATCATCTACGGTGCATCCTCCTCCCTTGGATCTTTTGCCGTCAAGCTTGCTATTGCTTCAAACATCCATCCCATCATATCTATAGTAAGTTTTCTTTGAACATCACTTCTCTACGTTCTCTTCTCTGATAATCAAACTCGTAACTATCACCTAATCCAACCTAACACTGCACAAATCATATTGGCGTTAGCTTTAAGTTGTTAACATGTCTCTCACACAGCACGGGGTTACCATCCCCTCGATCGCACCCCTCCTCGACTCCTCCAAAGGCGACACACTAATCTCCTACCTCCCCTCCACAAACACCATGCAGTCCGCAGTGCGTACTGTTCTCGGACCTCTCCGCGCTTTCCACGCAATAGACTGCATTTCCGACTCTAAATCGAAATCCTGGATCCCCATCTCCCAACTCCTCTCTCCAGGCGGTATCATCTCGGTTGTATCTGGCGCGAATTCCTACACCGAGGCAGAGATCCCCGAGGGTGTAGTGGTCAGGTACACGTATGTAGGCGCTGTGCATGAATGGAGGTATAAAGAGGGGATGCCGAAACAGCCGGATGAGAAGATTGTGAGTGGGATGAAAGATTTTGCGGGAGAGTTGTTTGAATGGCTTGGGAAGGGAGAGATAAGAGGTCATCCATGGAAAGTTGTTGATGGAGGGTTGAGGGGAGTGGAGGAAGGATTGAGATTACTGAAGGGAGGGGGATCCGGGGGAAAGAAGTTCGTTTATAGAGTTGGAGAAACGGAGGGGTTGGAGGGCTGAAGAAATCAAAATGGGATCCTTCAAAAGGTTCAAAAAGGCAAAGCAAAAATACGTTTGTAACTTACATTTTAGAGAAGCAGAATGAAGAATTATGATGATAGGATGACTTGCAGACATAATTTGAATTGTTTATTCAAGGATAAGTTGTTATATATCTAACCATCCTAAATGAAATAAAATTCTACCTACTGAGCGATACTCTCGTCCCGTTGAAGCTGCTTTGTTGACATTCAGCCTTGGCCAGCTTTGTGACCCCTGCGCCTAGCTTAGCTTAAGCGGCAACGCGTATTATTCACTGCCTTGCTATCCTCGTCCGTCATAAAAACCACCAGATTCTCTTCCCACCTCCACGCTTTTCACGATCTTCTCAATTGATATATTCTGGATCAATCCATTTCAAACCAACAATTTCTCATACACCATAATCTGCCCACCATGGCAAGCCCTTACGAAAGCAAGTACCATCCCCTCCTCAACCTACCCCTCCAAAAACCCCTCTAACAACTACCTCTTAGTCGAGCACAACATCAAAACCGACGCACCCAAAGCGCGGACTCGCCGCCCCTCCATGTCCTCCTTCTTCAACCAGCTATCCCAAATCGAAACCTCCACCCTCCCAACCCCGCACAATAACGCCCACTCCGTTCCCACACCCGTCGACGTCGCTGCAACGGAACGCCTCCTCCAAGAGCAATTCCGCGCCCTGCTCAACACCTCCTCCGATGAACGCAACCAGGACTATCTGACCTCGCTAATCACCTACCTGGACGAACAAATCGAGTCTCCACCTACGAAAGTAGAGGGTGTGCCGCAGAGTTACTTGGATGCGCTGGAGCGGGTGGATAAGAAGACGTTGAAGAGGAGCGACGTGTGTCCGATTTGCAATGAGGTGTTCCTGGATGACGAGTACCCGCTGGTGGTAAGGCTGCCGTGTCATAAGACGCATGTGTTTGATTTGGAGTGTGTGGGTCCGTGGTTGAGGTTGCAGGGGACGTGTCCGCTGGATAGGAAGAAGATGTTGGAGAAGAAGGAGGTGGTGAAGGTCGTGGATGACGAAGAGGAGGAGTATGATGATATGTTTGCTTGAGGGGAAAAGGGACGCATTTTGGAGGGAAGGGGTAGTTTATGAGCATGTGCATGGCGTTTGAGCGTTGGCATTTGGGAGCTAAGGTGCTTCTATCTTTGTGGATTTGAAAGGCTAATTTGAGTGCCAAAGTAGACCTGGAGGTCCTGGTTGCTTGCTTGTGAATTCGTATAATCTGTGATTGCAGTGTGCTTCCAGCCTTCTATGATTGTCTAAAGCCTTGAGCCAGGTTGCTTGCAACTGTGGTTGAAACGATTGGCAACGTTGGTCACATCAAGAATAGCAATTCTTTGATATCCGTAGTTCCAATTGCAAGGACTTGGGAGTGTTGAGACAACCCACTTCGTTTACCCGATAAAAAGCCAGCCATGAATTCCGGGGTCCAGCAATGAGAAAATGCCGCCCAAAACCACCCACATAATCCATAAAAAGGAAAGAAATTGAAGAAGTAGTCTATTAGACGGTGTTAACGTTAGAGAAAATGCAACAAATGTGCCCGTCCCATCCATGCCTCCATTCTACCGCTACGATGGCATGCACCCGCCCACTCCATATCCAATCATTCCCTCTATGCCTTTCCTTCTTGGCTCTTTGTGTATTGGAAGACGCCGTATGCAAGACCGACACCAATGAGAATGATAGCATAAAGACCCACGCCCATACCAGTGTTATCGCCTGACGTAGCTGTGGCGCCAGATGGGGCGGCAACTTTGGGTGATGGGTCACCAGGCTGTAGGAATAAGTCAATCATTTATAATTCGAGATATGATTGCAACGGGCTTGAAATTCTTACCTGGCGCTTCAACTCTCCAACCAGCAGACCCTCGAGGATCTCTCGTGCCTCGTCACTGTGTCCAACATCCTCAAAGGCCTCAGTTGCGTCTTGGCCACCAACATCAAGCAAAACCTCCTCTCCACCTCTGGAAGCAAGTTAGCAAGCTATTAATATGATGCTATCAAACAGAAATAAGGGTTGTAATAAGCAGCAAAAGTGGGGTCATTGCCGCAAGCTGTCCGAAACGGGGAATTCCATTCTGGGCATAATTTCAAGCAAAATACAACTGTGACAAGCCGCAACAGAAACATAGTAACCCTCAAAGATCTAGCTATGTCCTGCCAGTGCCCGCGTGCCTTTAAGATGCCATCCTATCACTAGATATGCCCTTCCGAGAAGCTTGCGTAACTGAAATTGAAAGGGACTACTCACGGGTGCTCATCAACGAAAGCAGTAGTATCGTAGACCTTGTCGTGGATGACCATCAACAGATCCTTCTTGCTCGAGTGCGACGAGACGTCGGCGTATGTGTATTCCTTCGACATGTTTGCTGAGTGTGTGGGGGGATTGGCTTGTGGGTTGAGGTTCCAGGACTGTCACCGAGGCCAGGCAGTCAGATCGAACTGGTGCAGCAATCAATGGCAGGTCGTGTGTGCTTGTCGAAAAGGTGATGGGCGGACGGCGACAAAGGAGTGTTGTTAGGTAGGGTGAGGGGTCTGTTGTAAAGCGGGAGTGTGGAAATGTGGTTTGGGATGATAGATGTTATCACGGCCTCTCCGTCTCTCTGTCTGTCTGTTCACTTCCCGACTTTCTTTCCGCTGAGACGCTAAAAACGCGATGCCGAGCTTCGGCCACCCTGAGCCCAGACAACAAATACAGCAATTGCGGTCAGCACATCATGAGCCGGCCGATTGGCTGATCTCTTGGGCCTTCATTGTGGGGAAGTGCCGGAGTAATTTGCCTACTTAGGGGGTGGAGGTGGAACAGACGCCTAGGATTTGAAGAAGATATTCGGGCTCGGTGTAAGCGTATCGCGTCCCCTAAAAATGATTTGGTATTTAGACGTACACATTCAGTCTATCAACGCTCGAGTAGGTATTCGGATCTATTCGGGCGATCGCCGTCTCCCCCAAACCTAAAAGAGTAGTTTGGAGTATGAGGGGGGCTCTGGCACATGCCCCACATTGGGGAAAGGCGACGGAGTGGAAGTGGAGGAAGACTGTTTTAGGGGCCTACCTACCTATAGGTAAAGCAGTACTTTGGTAGCATAATTGCATGTGGGACAGGCGGAATGAAAGCTGCTGATATTAGTGAGCACATCGTGTCCATGTTGTGGTATAATATTCATCTCCATAGCCAAAATTTACGTTATGCATATGTCTCATTTCTCCACATGTTTGGCTGGCTCGTCTTTGCATTTCTAACAGGCTACTACCTGTAGCACGGCTATCTCTTGTTGCTGCTTCCCCCTCCAATGTCCTGCCCAAGACGGTAGCCAGATATCTTATCCCACTCAATTTTCTGCCTGGTGATCGGTAATTGTCTTCTCAGTCCTTTGAATGCGCCCTCGCTCAAATTGTTGAATCCCTTATTTATTTCTTCCTGGTATTTCTTCTCCGCAACAGTGATCTCCCGAATTATTGTGCTTGCAGATGCAGAGGAGACAGAGGCCGAAACTGGCTTGTTGGTGAGAAGTCGGACGTTTCCATCTTCGTAGTAGTGTACATCGACTTTGATGGCTCCAGAGAGAGACGAGGAGGCGGGGTCGAAAATGTAAAGTGATCGCCATCGGCCATTCCTATTAATGTTAATTTCAACTTTGGAGAATAGACCATAGAAGCAGTACCAGAAGTTATTTGGGCTGTATTTATTAGCCACCACCAGTATGGCAACCTTCGAGTCGTTTTCGATCGGATAAACGCCGTATGATGCATTTGGGAAGTGCTCTTTCACATGCGATCCTAGACTCTTTGAGAGAGACTTCCTGTCAAGCTGTCAGTACTGATATATAGCTAGTTGTGTCCGAAAGACGTACACTAAATCTGATTGGCTGCTCTCCAAAACGTAGCTTTGTACCGCACTTGCTTTCTGCATCCCATCAGTATCCATGGTGCTGTACCTGCGGTATAAGAACATGCCTGTGTGCTGTGATCGAATTGGAAACTGGACGAGCTCTCGACATCGTAGTATCTTCCGTCCCCCAGAGAGTTATGCGAGCTGACTATGACCTACAGAGAAGGGTCAGCATGCGTTCCTTTCTTTGCCAGTATCATGAACTGACATGTTGACTGCTACCAGGCAGCTTGACCGTCGCGAATTGTTCTTCGTTGTATTTCTCGAACGCAGGTCCTAGTTGGGACACGAGTGTGGGGGTATCGATCGTAAGGGCTTTGATATCTATACCGAAAGTTTAGTAAAGATGGCATTAATCGAGAAGGTAATCCTCTACCTGCTATGACATCCGCAAGCTGTACACAGGTTAGCAAAAGCGTCCATTATTGAGTCGGGGCGCAGGAAACATACCTCTCCCGGGGGAGCTCCTTCCACAAAGGTGGAAACTGTAGCCAGAGATGAAGACATCACAGAAAGTTATTGAAGATTTGGGTTTCCGCGACTACCTCACCGGCCTTTGTGAGGTCTGGATTGAGGTCGATTATGGGGATGAGACAGAGACGCTAAAGCCGCAACCCCTCCAAATGTGGCTGAAGCAGGAACGACAATCTATCACGTGATTGTACCCAAAATACTTCAGGCAGGTCATTAAAGAGTAAGTGGTTTGAACCAAGCTATGCAATGTGTGTATTCTGATATTTGGATGCTGTATTCTTAGCTAAGTTGCTGAGCCGATCTTTTTGGGTGGCCCTCATTTTTAACAGTTTATTGACCATGTATTTCGACTACCCTTCCAGTGGCTTCACTCCCTTTCGTCGGGGTAAGGATTTTGGCTCTTGCAACTGCTTGCTTTCGATCTAAATCATCACGACCTACTAATACTCCACGGCTTTCTTGATGTTGTCGTATACCCCTTTCCAGAGTTTAGCATGTAAACTTTGAACGAAATGTAAGAACTTACTGGCAATATCAGGAATGTTGAATCGTTCAAACATCAAGGCCATATGCGTACTCCACCCAGCAACTCTCATGACAGGCGCTTCAAGTCTGAGGAATGTCTCCTTATCCTCTTGTATGCTGGCAGCGACTTCCGCTCCAATGCCAGCATTGACCATACTTTCATGGACAACCACACACCTCCCGGTCTTCCTCACACTCTTCAGTACAGTCTCTTTGTCCCAGGGATATACCGTCCGTAAGTCTATCAACTCAATGCTGATACCAAGATCTTTCTCTGCTTTCTCAATTGCAGCACTACAAGTATACAGAGGATGTCCGTATGACACAATGGTCAAGTCCGAACCTTCCTTCATAATCTCTGCTTTGGATAGAGGAAGGTAGTAAGTTCCAGTCGGGACCTGCTCGACTGCAGCTCGATATAAAGCTTTTGGTTCCATGAATACGCATGGATCATTGCTGGCTATAGCTGAGAGAAGTAATCCTTTCGCCTGGATCGGAGACCTAGGCATGATCACCCGAAGACCAGGAACATGTGTAAATAGACTTTCTGGCGACTGCGAATGGTACCTGCAAATGTCAGCTAAGTCAAGGAGAGTTTTACTCGAACATACAATGCTCCATGTCCCACGCCACCGCATGGCATTCTGACTGTAAGGCCTCCTACATGTCTTCCTTCTTTTCCGTCTCTGTACCGAAACTTCGCAGCTTCATTGACTAACTGATCAAACGCGGGGTACACGTAATCAGCAAATTGAATCTCCGCAATTGCCTTCATTCCCTCAGCAGCAGCTCCGATTCCAAAACCAACAATCCCTTGTTCGCTCAACGGTGTATTGAAGACCCTCTGTGACCCAAAGTTCTCTGCCAGGCCCATACTGCACCGAAACACTCCTCCAAACGCAACATCTTCACCAAACAATATGACGGACTCGTCGGCAGCGAGTGCAAGGCTTAAGGCATCATTGATCGATTGAAACAAGTTCATTCGTTTCGTAGTGCCGTTTCGAACATCTGGTGGAAGTTCGGTATTCTGGAGAGCGGATTGCGAGGTATGGTTCAGTACCGGGCTGGTGGAGTACTCAATGGGGCAATTCAGCCGGGCAGATGGCGGACTTGTGGAGTAGAACCTTGACGGTGGTAAAATGGGGATTTTGAAGGTCGCCCGCCAGCGTGACGGGATCAATCCTTTCGAAAACCATGTCTGTAATGTCCTCATATTGTGTTGGACGGTACATTACGAGGACAAGCAGGAAATCCGGGGAATTTGACTCTTTTCTTAAGATCGTGGAGGCGGCTATTCACGGCATCGCCAAGTGCTTTATCAAGGCCCCCAGAGCCCCCCCCCCCTGCTGAAGCCTGATAGTTGCTATGCCAACAGCCAACAGCACCTAATGGATCCAAAACCAAGTTTCGATATACTGGGCAAATTCTACTGTAAATATTTATCTGGAGATGAGCGATTTTATTTTGCGAATACCACCAATGTTTTGATTTTTTTACCACCTACGATCGCTCCAACGGAAACACATGGCTCCCGCTCCCCGGGAATCGCCCCGAAAGACTCGAGAGTCACGAGAACGAAGTCATCAGCATAACAAGAGGAGGACGGAAAGGAGGGCAAAATATGAGTCTTCATCTTCTGGAACGAGTTCACAGGTGCTATCGGCCAATGCCCTGGCAAAACTTGATCGTTTAAATCGAACAGAAGCGTCAAGGCCAGCGGAGGTCACACCAACAAAACCAAGGAAGAAACGACAGCACAGAGAAGTAGTGGAAGAGAAGATAGTGGTAGAAAAGAGGCGGCAGCATAAAAAGAAAAAGAGGAGGGTAGTCAGTGGAGCATTGCTTGAGGAAGGAGACGGTTCGAGACTTAGAGGAATAAGGGGTGGAGCGAGGTATGAAAAGGACGAATACGATTCGGATGATGGAAGGGGGAAGAAGAAGCGATTATGTTTGTTTCCTCTGGAACTAGTCTTATCCTGAGCTAACAAGTGGTTAGGGCTTTGGGTTGGAATTGCTTTACTCATTACAATCATTATAGTCGTGGTTGCAGTGGTTGTCAGTCAGAAAAACTCCTCCAAATCTACTTCAACGAGCTCGAGCACATCATCATCAAGCGATAACAAGCCATCAAATTCAAATCTCAACGGCATATCAGAGTCGGACATACCAGTAGAGGCTAAAGGGACGGATCTGGACCCCTTTTCCTGGTATGATACGACAGATTTCAATGTCACATACACCGCTGTCACAGTTGGAGGTCTTCCGATCATTGGGTTGAATTCAGAATGGGACGACTCGAAAAGTGCGACGTCAAATTCTCCCCCAATTTCGGCTTCCTGGGGATCGTATGCCGATACGCCTGCTAGAGGAGTGAACCTTGGAGGATGGCTGTCGTTGGAACCATTTATCACACCGTCCTTATTCAACTACCCAGGGGCCGTCGACGAATGGACATTGACAGAGCATTTGGGAACTGATGCCAAGGCGACTCTGGAGAAGCATTATGCAACATTTGTGACAGAACAAACGTTCAAAGACATTGCGGCTGCCGGATTGGATCACGTTCGAATACCATTCTCATATTGGGCAGTGGTAACTTATGATGGTGACCCATATGTTTACCGAGTTTCTTGGAGGTACCTTTTAAGAGGTATCGAGTGGGCGCGCAAGCATGGCCTTCGTATCAATCTCGACCTTCACGGAATACCTGGAAGTCAAAACGGTTGGAATCACAGTGGGCGTCTAGGTGCAATTGGGTGGCTGAACGGACCCGATGGGGCATTGAACGCCAATCGATCGCTTACTGTCCATGATCAGCTCTCTCAGTTCTTCGCACAGGATCGATACAAGAATATCATCACATTCTACGGCCTTGCAAATGAACCAAAAATGACAGCTCTACAGACATCTGATGTCTTGGCCTGGACTGTCAGCGCTTATGAGCTAGTTCGGAAGAATGGTATCAATGCTTATGTGGTATTTGGAGACGGATTCATGGGTCTCGGGAACTGGAAAGGCAAACTCTCGGGCTATGATGGTCTTGTTCTTGATGTCCATCAATATGTCATCTTCAACAAGAACCAAATCGACTTTACTCACTCGAGAAAAGTCGACTATGCTTGTTCGGACTGGAGTACACAGACTGAGCAGAGTATGAGCGTGTCCACAGGATTTGGTCCGACTATATTCGCAGAATGGTCCCAAGCAGACACCGACTGCGCTCCTAATCTCAACAATGTTGGGTGGGGAACTCGTTGGGAGGGAAACTACAAATCAGGCGATGCATCCACTGAAGTCCTCACTCCAGGGTGCCCCGCCAAAAGCTCAGCATGTAGTTGCGCGAATGCCAACTCCGATCCGAGCACTTACAGCGATTCGTACAAGCAATTCCTACAGATGTTTGCAGAAGCGCAGATGCACAGTTTCGAGAGGGGATGGGGTTGGTTCTACTGGACATGGGCGACGGAAGGAGCTACGCAGTGGAGCTACCAGCGTGGTCTTGCTGCAGGAATCCTGCCGAAGAAGGCGTATGCGCCGGAATTCAATTGCTCGGCCAGTATACCGAGCTTCTCAGATTTACCGGAGTATTATTGAGAGAGATTTAGGAGGATATGCACAAAAGGGAGTAAATATATGTATAATGGCAATGATGCGCGACATGGACTGAATATCTACTAGATGGATATGTGCCCCGGCACAGGTAGATTGGAGTTTGGAGTTGGGCTGTGATGAACTGGGCATGTTGGAGTTCTGGATGATGATATCTTAGCGAATGAGAACCGGATTGTTTGTTTCCCATACTAGCCTAGGCGAAAGCATTGAATTTGGACATGGCAAACTTCCAACGGGGCATTTGCTCTGACGTAGTTAGAACAGTCTATACAGAATAGGATACTACTCAGATTGGTCCTTCAGAATCAATTTGAAAATACAGAATTCTGACCATGGGCCCTCTGTGACATGATCCTTGGACTTCAATCGTCCTGAGCATCCGTCTTCTCCTTGCGTTCCATGCCTGTGCTCCCAGGTTGCGACAGGTTGATCGTGATAGGACCTGAAAGCTTGCTCTTAGCCGCCATTTCCATTCGTCCTATTTGTCCTTTCGTCTCCTCGATAACGTCGTCGACTACCCTCCTCTCTCGTTCCTCAGCATCGCGAACCACCCGCTCCGCTGTGTGCTCTCTCCTCGATTTCCGTCGCCAGATCTTTAACTTTGACACCAAATGCATGCTCGATTCGTTCCGCTCGGTCTGCATACTCTTTGACTTCTCTACTCGCATTCGTAGCAAAGTTATCTTTGTGTGCCTGGATATCTTTGGCAACCTCCCGGGCTTGTTGCGCATAGTGGCCGATCTCTGAAGCCAAGTTCTTCACTTTGCTGCCGACACCAGCTTCAACCTCTTTGCCTTTCTCGAAAACACTTTCCACCCTTGGCAGCGACATACTGGGAAACTTGTATACAGGAGCAGCTTCGGGTGGCACAAGTGACTTTCGTGCCGAGTTGTGGCCAGCAAAGCGATCTGGTGTGCTCGCTTCCAATTCTGTTTTCACCTCGTCATACATAGACTCGACCATGGCCACGACGGCATGAACGTCCAGATTACAATCCGGACGACTGAAATCTCGTTCTCTTTGCTCAATGAATTCCCGGACTCGTTTCCATTCCGTCTGGTAATACTTAAAACGATTTGGTAAACCTGATCCTTTCAAGAATGTCAAGATGCCAGCGAAGACAGTATTGATGGCGCCGAAAACCGTCACGGCTCCTCGACTGCCTCCTGCTGCTCCAAGCGCTGTTAATGCAGCCGCTACTACGATCTGCAGTCCCAAACATCCATTTATGAGCCAGGAAAAGTATTTGTATCCGACTTTTGCTGTCCCTTCGTTGTGTATTACCCGAGCATATATTCCCAGATTCGGAGCAGGTCGACCACCAGAAGAGAAAAAGGTGTCAGAATGCGACATGGACGGGTGTGAAATGATACCAGTGAGATGCCGGAAGAGATTCAGATTGTCGCTTGGATCCAGTTCAGGTCGGCCGTACGCGTCAACTAAGACGCGCTGCGTGGATGCTTCTGAAGTTCCATGCTGTCCCATTTTCCCGTTCTCGATATCATTCGCTTTGGATTTCTGAGCTTTCTGCTTCGATGGGAATGCAATTTGGAGAATATCTTTGCACTTTCGAAGGAGACCCATTTTTTAAAGGTCTCTTCTTACTTGGGAGTACTCGGGGAAAACAAAACTTGAAGGCACACGACGGTTCATTGGGAGAGATTCGACTTGATAAGGAAATCGCGCTCGGGAAGATCATTGATCATACACTATCCCATGCAGCACACAGCTATTCCTTGCCTCCATAGGCGCAAGTCTCAAAATGAATCCGGACGATTTGCAGAGTATGTGAGACATGCCAGCCTGTAGCGGTGTCGCTTCAGTCGGACGGGAGATCTTCCCGTGGTCAATCATGGAGATCGTTGGCTGTTACGGAACGTCCCTAGCTCTAGCGCCCTCTCTTGCAGCATGCACATCCTAAAGAAGTAAGAAGAAAAAACCAAATCTCGAACAGAAATTGAGGCTCGGGCTGCTCAGACATGATCAATCGCTGTCTGCCGCTCAAGAAACCAAGATAGGCAATTTGATTGCCTATCAGATTACTGTGACCTACCGCTTCAGACAATTCGAAGACTGACCCAGCCCACAAAAGGCTCACCAAATTTTGTTGCATTGCTTGAATATGCTGGGGTACAGTAGCTTGTGCTGAGAGTGCTGTAATTGGCAAAGTAAGGTCTGATGACTGATCTTTCATATGTTGATAACGGTTGAAATCTCATCCAACCCTTTTCATAGTTCTCTTTGATAAAACCACGTTAAAGCATCGGAATTAAGTCTTTTCGCGGGTTTGCTTTTCAACTATACCCGTCCCATTAACCTGAGCTGACATCAACACTCATTCTCATAGCTTACTATCGCAGCTATCGCTCAGCAATTGTCGCATGTTTCGTCTTCGGACTGGTCAGATTCTGATTCGGGCTCTCGATTCAATGGACAAATAGTCGATGAGTATTCTATCAGACTTAAAATGATGTCATATATGAAAACAACAAGTTCAGTCATGTTTTTGTCTCTTCCTAATTCCGATCTTTAATTGAACCTTTGTCTTGCTTGCATTTCTAGTTCTAATGATCCACCGTCGGCGGCAGAATGCCCATCTTAACCATCGCCAACTCCATATCAACACCATGCGTTCTCAAGTCCATTTTCAGAAGATCTCCTATCTGCTTGAATCCGTGTCTCTCGTACAAAGGCTTTGCCGTCTGGGCTGCTTCTAGGTATACAGAAACCCTGTCCGCTTTTGCTTTGTTAATTCCCCACGCAATCAGCAAACCTGCTGCACCTCGACCTCTCTGAGAACTTCTAGTGACCAAATGCATCAGAATCCAGCATGGCTCACCCGTAACTATCCAATTTTTCCTCTCAAGATCTCTTTGCGTGAGAATGAAATTATGCAGCTCAATGTTCATTCCCTTCGGAAATGGTTGGCCCTCTACAGGGCTGTGAATTTCCCACCCATTGGCATCTTCGAAGGAGAACCCATTTGGGTAATAGTGCCACCGAGCTATGCTGACGATTTCTTGGGTTTGTTCGTCGATGACTTTGAGGTATGTTGCTGTTCGATCGCCAAGAAATCGTGATTTTTGTTTGGTCATGTGTAGTTGGAGGCGTTCTTGTGCCTCCATTTGTGAGATGACTGACCAGAAGAATGGTGTTGGAGGACCCACAAGGTCGTCACCTGGTGGGTAGATGTTGGCGTGATTTATCATAATATCGAAGTCTTCGAGATTCACATTTTGGATCTTGAGCCCCATGCTGAGTTCTAGAATTAGGGTCGGAGAATAGTGGTGTTTGCAGAATGCAATTAAACAGGGCAAAGAAACGTCCCCTGAGAGAGAATCGAGGGGTATAGTTGCATCATGCAACCTTTATATCGCAGTGTCTGGAAATTGCAGGTGGCAGTGGATGTGTCATATGAAAGGCGCGAGGCACGGTGACCATCCCACTTACGGATTGAACAACGTCTACGACACTTTTAGACCCACCAAGAACACCCTAAAATATTACATTCGGACCTGACTCCGTACCGCATTATCGACTTGCACACACTCTACACCCTTGAAAGTCAGTTCAAGGAACCATGCTTGATAGCCAAATAAAACGATTACGTGAGAAATTAAATATCTGGCCACAGAATCTGACGTGGAATAGCATGGTGAGAATCAGCAACAACAACTGAAGGACGTCTGCAAGACCAAAATAAGATATTTCTCCTTTACTTTACTCTTCAAAACATGCTTCCACTATGGAGGGGTCCAAATTTTAGGAAAGTGACATGGCGAGGCCGAAGTAGGCCCGTAGAAGAGTAGAACAATTCGTCTAGGAACTGATTATGCCACCACCGTCAAAATTATCAATCAGGCTCACGAAAACGAAGGGAATATTTCCCAGAATTGGAAAAATGACAGTGGATATTATTTTTCCAAATTGCATGGGATACATCTATCGCAATTGGCAAGTTACTGATACGTACGGTCATAGATTATTGAGAACTGGGCATCCCGTCCGCTCTGCCATACATAAGCAATAAATCGGTAGATTAGTAGTTGGGTGGGTGACCACCAGCGAATACCTACTGCTGTATGTTTTTTGTCACATATTTTGTTGAATTTTTAATCTTATCCACTCTTTTGTGGGTTTGTTGACAAGGGTGAGGGGGCTGCTCGCTTATCGTCCACAGGCATTCTAGTCTGTCAACAATCCCATGTCCTTTCAAGCAGCGTATCCTCTGCTCATAGGTTTACTACCGAACTTTTCTTTATTCTGTCAGTCTATGAAGTCTCAACACCTCACCTACTTTTCATTTCGTCGTGGATACAAAACGTGTCTTACGATAACATCCCAATCATAATCATTTCCACTGCCACTCCGAGTGGAGAAGAAAGTGGGCTAGGACAGCTTCTCTCCTGCTATCGATTCTTCCACTGTCTTGTACTTTATTGTTTTGTGTATTCAGGGTAGTAGGGAAATGGTTTGTTTACCTTGCAATGTAAGTTTTGGTCATTCGGTGCTTTGTTTGCAAGGCAGAAATTGAGAAGCTGTTTATTCGAAGTAAAGTATTGATACTCAAGTCACAATGTGAGACATCACCATCCACATGTACGACATGAATCTGTATTTCCAGGTCCGCACCAGTAGAGGACGGACCTGATTTAGCGTTTGACGCTAAATATCTATCCAACCCAGGCGGCGAAGCGCCGAAAGTTTTCAGATCACTGGCCTACGCGAACCCAGAGCAAAACAGGAGGTGGACCAGCTAGTAACCAAAAACAGAACAACGTCTTCTCATCACCAACATCAAACAATACATGACGACTTCAATTCCGAGCACAGTCTGTATGTTCCAGAGGGACAGGAGCCCCCTTCACTCATTATCAATGTCGGGGCCCAAATGGTCTATCAAAACACGGCCTAATACCACGAAGATCAATTTCCTTCTAGTTTGTCATCTCAACTCCCTCGAATAGGCAGGTGGCTCTCCAGTCGCTGCACTATACGACGGTAATTCTCCTTCACCCTCTACCCTCGTCTCCTGTGATTGATAGGTAACTCCCTCAGACTCTGCTTCCCTCGTTTCCTTATCCGATCCTCCTCCTTCGGATGTCTCGTTGGGACTTGTACTTGAATTTGATCCCGAGGCTGAGCTCTCAGCTTGTGGTGATGACGAGGCACTAGAGATAGAGCTTTTCTGCTTCTTCTTTCGCTCGGTAGCTTTCTGAATAGCGGACAGCTCTTGGGGAGTAACTCCCAGTCCTGTGGATACCAGGAAATCGAAGAAGGACATGCTTGCGCTCCTCTGCGCCGCGATTTGAACTCAGAAGACTGGCTGGAAAGAAGGGAGGCTGGTTGGGATGGGGTATTGTTCTTATGCTTACCTCCAATGATGGTGTTCAAAAGGTCGGAATACTTCAGGGTATAGAGCTCCCGGTATTGGGAGTCTAAAATAGTTGTTGGGAACAACTATGACCCTCGAGCTCACGAGCTCAGGTGTTGACGTTTCGTTCAGTTCTGGAGTGTTGCCAAGACAATGGCGGGGTAAGATCACCCCGCGTCAGGTGGACACTTCACTCCCTCCAAGTAAATAGAAAAATCGTGGAATATTTATAGCCAGCTACGCTACACCACAGAAGTCAAGTAGGGAGATTCCCTCGACTTAAGGTTCAAGTTTGTTACTGACTGTACTGCAGGTGATGATCAGCGATTTACTGCTTGAGCAAGGAGCCACTCACGATGATGAGAGGTCAATTCGCTCGCGCATCTGCTTGCTACCAGGATCTTGCTATGCAGTTTGCACTTCTGCCTCTCACTTAACTACTCAAGAGTTATATTTTGCGCTAGAACTGATGTTTTCAATGGTAAACACATTTTTTAAAGTGCTCTTGCAACATAGCATATACTACACTGTTATCAGTATAATATTATCTGATAAAAACTTGCAATTACAGTTTCTATCTTCACAGATTTATGTTTTTATTTTATTGATTTATCTGAAGTTGATACAATATTCATTACATCTTTGTCTAGTATTTATCCCTCAGCCACCCTTCTAAGATAACATACACAAAATATTCTACTACTTTCACTATTATCTCAGACACTTAACCCTCTGATATCATTTCCTTTCCAGGCTGGCTTCTTTTTCTCGGCTTATCAGCATGGTATGTCTTCGGAACATACCTCGCAACAGGCATCTTCCCCTAAGAGTTCTCGCCATACACTTACCATCTACCACAGCCGCAGAACTCGCTGACACATTGTTGATGTTATGGGATGCATATGCCTCCAGGTAAGCAAGAAAGCTGCCGCGACCGAGCGAGCAAGCTCGGAACTTGTCGCATGAAGTCAATCAGATCCCCTTGTTTTTTCACTTACGAAAGTAAATGCTTAAAAGAGAAAGAAAGGTCCGTTTAATTTCTGAAATCGGGTTCGGGGGCGACGTTGTCAATTACGCAAAGGAACGTCAAAGCGCTTATTCTAATGAACAACATGTACAGTCATTTCGAAGTTCTCCCCGGTACATATCATTTCCCTGAGCATATCCTCAGTAACATTACTTGAAGATCTTCGAAACCCATGTCATGGATACAGAACCTCTTTTTACGCCAAAGGAAAATCTTCAGGGACATTGAATCAGCACTGAATCAAGAGCTCCCCACAGCTCAACCCCTACACCCATCGTCATAGAGAAGAGGATCGTGTTTAGTTTTGTTGTTTTGTTGCACGTCGTCAACCGGTCATCGACGATGCAGCGTTCTCTGCGCATTGCTACATTGCGAATCATACGATGTGATGCATTGCATCGGCGGCGGTAACGCCTTCGCGTGATTTGTCTCAATGTCGCTTCAAGGTCCAGAGGTGGATCGGGATCTCAGGAGAGCATGACGGCGTGAGTGGTCGGATGTAAGCTTTGTAAGATGATTTGGGGTATACATCATACGATACATTCGTAGCAGAAGCGAGTCTGTACTTCATTAAGTAAAGGGTAATTTGTACATTTTAAGACCCTTGAGATTAAGCAAATGACCGCCGGAACGCCATGCGCCACGAGAAGATGAGTAATAGAAAGTAAACCACCAGCAAGCAAGTCTACCGTGGTGTCAGCGCAACATTTACACCCTTCGCACTTGCAACCGTCAGACTGAGCGACTCCTCCCACGGCGTCCCGTCACGATCCTCAATCCCACCAAACTCCTGCAACAGCCTAACCGTCGTATATGATGCCTCAGTAAGAGCAAAGATCTGACCAACGCAAATTCTAGGCCCTCCATTGAAAGGCAGATATGCCCAGCCGGGACGTAAGCCATCGTCCCATCTATCAGGGTTAAAGGATTCCGCGTCGGGACCATAGATGTCTTTGCGGCGGTGCATGGCGAAAACTGAGTAGGCTACAATGGCGCCTTTAGGGATGAAGACAGGTGCGTCGCCGTTGGGACCACCGCCGCGAGGGATGGTGGTGTCCCTGTTAGCGAAACGGGCGTTGCCTGGGACCACAGGGTACAGACGGAGAGCTGGATAAATTAGTCCTTTGTCCAAAGTTCGTGGAAGTGCGGCAGAGGAACGTACATTCGTTCAACAGGTTCTTTAGATACTTCATGTTCCTCAACGTCTCATAGTCTGGCTTGGCACCTTGCAATTCATCCACCTCCGCCTTGAGCTTCTTCCAGATATCTGGTCTCCGGGCAAGAACATGGAATGTATTGCTCAAAAGACTAGCTGTTGTATCTCTTCCTGCAAGAAGGATGTTCAAGAGCTCGTCCCGCAACTGCTTGGGATCTCGAGTCGATTTCAGCATTTCAGTGAGGAAGACATAGCGATCTGATTTGCTCTCAATGGATTTTTCTGGATCGTGAGGGTGTGCCTTCTCTAGAGCTTTGAAAATAATCTTGTCAACGAATTGGTGCACGAATTTGCATGCTTCGTCGAATTCGGAGTCCCTGTACAACGCCACTAGTCGTCCCAAACGGCTTCGATTGCCAAGTCTACTCTGTGCTAGGTCGAAGAGTCTTCCAAACTTGTCTTGCTCTGAATCTTTGCTGCTGTTTAGCGAGTTGACTGAATCTCCAAAGAGGAACTCAGTTGCTGAGTCCAGGGTCAGCTTGAAAAACAGTTCCTGCAAGTCGACGGTCTGTCCATCCCTGGGGATCTTGGAGATGAATTGCTGAATGTGCGTCTCGAATGTATCAAGGTCAGCGACCTGTGATCGGGTGAAGTTTGGTCTGACGAGAGCCTATGATCGCTTGTCAACGATTGTTCTTGTCCCGAATGGTCCACACGTACTCTTGAATGCTCCCACTGCTTTCCGTCTACGCATTTCATCAGCACGTTCCGAATCTCACATCAGTCTCAAGGTGACACACCTGTGGTGAAAATTCCCTGGCCAAGTAGAGGGCCAAATGATTCCAGCCTCTGCCCTAAGCCAAAGTCCTGGAATTGCGTTGCAAGAACAGCTTTGACGTTCTCGGGATCGATAGTATTGTAGAATGACTTCCCACATGTCAGTCAAAAGCCTGAATATCCGACGTCAGGAAAACAAACTCTGCCCATCAACGTAGCTGACCAAGTATTCCCATTATCGTCGAATCTTTTCTTGCCGATCGCCAAGATTGTCCTGTCTTCCGAGGCTTTCTTCTGGATTTTGTACAGGCCATAGCCAATGATGCGTTCAGACTGAGGTATCTGAACATGGGGCTTACAGCCATGCTGCTTCTTGAAGCGGGCAACCCGAATGTAGTTGAAGATCCTGTTCACGCAGAAAACCAGGCCCAAAACGGCCGCGATGATCTGGATGGAAAGGCTCATCTTGGGCTGCAAAGCCATAAAAGGAAGCACTGGGTGTGAAACGAAAGAGAGGAAAAGAGGACCAGTCAAAGAAAGCGATCAGCGACTTCCAGAGATTTGGATAGAGGAAAGCCGGAGAGTTGTTCTTGGGAAGACGAAGAGTAATATGTACAGAAAGAGGGGACGAAGCTAAGCTTGGTTGTAAATATGCACGCAATACGCGGTCGCCCTGCTGAGCAGCTAGCCGTCGGAAAGATGAAACTGATCAATCGCAGCCGTCCCAGCAGGCGGCCGAGATCTTGTATAATATCGGGGCTCGGGAGTCAAGAATCAGGGTTCGAAATGTGAGCCTCCCTACCTAGCCGGCGACATGTTGCCTCGCTGGGTCTCTCCAGGCTATTAGAGTTAGATATTCTTAGTAAAGTTCTACGCTTTGTTTCGGAATATATAACTTTCGGTGTTTTAGAAGCTATAAGGTAAATTCCGATATTTTAGAAGCTAGTACGAAACCTTATAAGGTAAATTCCGGTGTTTTAGAAGCTAGAAGGTTTCCTTCCTATTCCAGGAATCTACTAGTTTTATAAGCTAGAGCCTCTAGAACTTTCCGGTTTTAGAAGTAATAAGAGCTAGCTTAATATTATACTGAATTAAGAAATAAAGCGTAGTTATATAAAGCTAGAAATCCCCTTAAAGTAATAGAATTATTATATACTCTAAATATCTCTACTTTACACAGGCTGTGCTTGTGACTGTGACGCAACGAATACTACAGGCTGATTGGGGCGCTGAACGGATGAATTGCAGAGTTGGGGGAAGCACCGAGGCCCGACCTGGAATGAAGTCAGCCCGGCGCCGTACAGACAGCGTATCAGATTGAAGTGGGCTCGGGAGAAGTGGAAGTGGAAGTGCAAGTGGATTGGCTTGCGCAGTCTGCAATCCAGTGGTTATTGGTCGGCATACGAGAGACGCTTAGTCAGTATTTTTGATGTTGTGATTGGCTTTCTCGGTTGAGTTGGCGGCTGACCCACTTAAACCTTTCTGTTCACGAAGGAAGGACACATCGCCATCGGCCTTGACTGTGCTGTCTCATTCTGGCATCCGAGACGGCGTCTTGGTGACTGTGTCATGGCCGCGTCACCTTTTGCTTGCCTCCTCAATCTGCAAATTGGGGTTTCTCTTATCTGCAGCTGACTGCCGTGATTCGTTTACCGAGGCATGCTCGATTTACTGTTGAAGGCAACAATAGTTTAGTTCTTCACATGGAGCTTTAGTAATCGGCCACCGTTTGGCGAGTGCGAGAGGCTTCCAAGGATGCTTCCATGAAGATTCTCCGTAGATCGTCAGGTCAGCGATAGACGAGCAGTTTGGCCGACTCCGTGTCAAGGTTGGGAGGGGCGAACTTGACCCTTCGCTTGTGCTGCTAAGCACTATTTGATAGAGTAAAGTCGCCGAATCACCTATCCAGCGAAACCGTCTCTGAGCGCCTCTTAAAGCAATGATACGGAGTGTTGGGTATTCCTCAGGTGTAGAAGCACCATTTGGGATCCTCTGCAAACTAGTTGTCGCGGTGCACACAGCGGCATACGAACCTAGTTTTGACGAGATAATTGGCGAAACTTCTTGCGACTTATTCAGTTTCGAGGAATCAAACGGAATCAAAAATAAAATCTCATAAAATGTGGTCAAATGATGCGGGCGGTATATGTACTTAGCGAGAAGTGAAAAAATACGGGCCACTGTTGACATGTTTACATCCCTTTCCCCGCGGCTCGGTTAACCATATCCCCCCAAATCATCACCATTCTTTGCACAGGGGCGACTACATTTGCAGCACAGGCACATTATTGACGAATTTCGAAATGGACTTATGGCTCCAGCAAGCGGCTCAGGCCCTCAGGGACCCTCGGCGCAAGCCAGAAGTGAATTTCAGCTCAATTATCGAAAGTACTCCACAGCTGTTGCTGCTTACGATGAACTGCTAAGTGATGGAGCCGATTCGACTATAAGCCAGGTTGAAAGGGTCGTTGATCTACCTATTGCAACTAGAAACGCAGGTAAGGTTAGCAGTTGAGGCTGTACAAGGAAATGTTGCAAACGCGGATGCTAATGGATTCAAGGCGAAATTCAAGCAGCTGGCCTAGTGATCTGCCGCTGGATGTGCACGGTAAGCACTGATTGTCCGATTCCAAAATTTGGACATTCCTGGACTTTAATTGTGCTTCTCCACGATACCACAATACCAATTGGCATAAAAGGCATCCAAGGATACGGTACTCGGAGGCTTCCCTCCGCCTCGAGTCCCCAGGACCTTAGGAATAATGCGCCGTTTGCGATAACCTAGAATCATGCTAACCGGGACCGTGCGACTTATGTGCCCGAAACGATTTAAGAGGCCAGTTACCTCAACTAACTGCATGATACTGAAGATGAGACGATGGATACGTGCCAAATCATACCGTAAGAAGGACTAATACATAAATGTGATAGACTATAGCGTTATAGACATACTTGAAGTCAGGAAAATACCGAGACCAGCTATTCTAAAGACGAATTTTGAGACAGAAGTCTACAGTACCCCCAATCAAATGCTCTGATTCTTAGTCTGTACCCTTCCCAAGCCCATGGGATATTCTAAATCGGATCAGTATCTTCATGAATATGTGATGTATGACTTGAAACATACTCATCACGAATACCCTGTAATATAGTAGAGCTGCCTCCTCCGGGCTTCCTGGTGGCAAAGTCTGGGACATTAGCCGTGGATGTGTTCTACGGAGAAATCATTAGCATTCTTCGATTGCTTTGAGAAGGTTTCATAGACGGATAGCTTCCAAGACACGAAATTGAGTGCTTAAATTCACGTTACATACCAGTGAGGAATCCTGCTTTGGCGTATCCGAACCCGCAGGCGTGCTCTGCAGGCCCGCACCTCCTCTCTGAACCGCAGCACTTCCACTTTGGCTACCAGTGTCATTGGTATTGGTAGTTGGCTTCTGATCTTCCGAAGACATGTTGATACTGTTAAACTAGCTTTGGTTTGCGTTGCGTTTGTTTTCGCTGTTGATATGAGCAACTGTATTATATAGGTATTTACTTGAAAGACATTGCGGGGAAATGTTTGTTTCTAAGCGAGCGGAAGGAAAATTCGATGACGACAGGACTAAGTGTCGAGTGATGTCAACTTAAATATTAAGAATGATTGGGCAGCAGATAATGCTTGCACGAGAGTATGGTTTCGCATCTCATGTAGGAATACAATAAGCTAAAATTTTGGAAGTCAGGTCAGAGGGTGACGTAGTGACTCAAAATCCTTTGACGTGGGCTGCATGACGCCTAGGACTACAGAAAATCTACAACATGACGGGCTAAGCTTTCTTGCCAATTACATAGTGAAGGTTCTATAGCTTACCTTGAATTTATATACTTCACTAGTTTCTAAAGTACTTGTTGCTTTCACCAACAGGAAGCTGAATTGGTTGACCTGTCCAAGGATGATCATCCAACCATCACTACTGCTGCTTATACTCATACTTATCTACACCATATCCTACTTCTGGGGCTACCTAAGAAGCTCACAATCAAGTTTTTCTCACAAAATATCCAAATCCAACAGACCCAATCAGCTCTCTACTCGATCGGATCTCACAGCCCTCCAACGACACGTACTGTTCTGGGACCGCGACGGCGACAACCTCATATTTCCTCACGATGTCTACACCGGATTTCGAGAGATAGGTTTCTCAATTCCATTTGCCATAACCGCACTCCTCATCCCAATCTTCTTCTCGTACCCCACTCGCCTAGGACATAGCTACCTCCCCGACCCTTTCTTCCGCATCTAGGTCGATAGCATCCACAAGGCAAAACATGGATCCGACACCGGAATCTACGATTTGAAGGGCAATTTCAGGGCTGGGACGTTCGATGACATGTTTACAGAGTTTGATCGAGAGGGGACGGAAGGTATTCATGCATGGGAGTTGTGGAAGATGGTGGGAAGGAACAGGGTGGCAGCTGATGTTGCTGGATGGAGTTTTGCGGTTATGGAGTGGTGCACGACTTGGATTTTACTCCAAGCAGATGGGAGAGTTTCGAAGGATGATTTAAGGCAGTGCTATGATGGAACATTGTTTTGGAGGCTGAAGAGGGAGAGGGAGGAGGGTATTGTGTCGAAGCAGGGGTATGGACTGAGGGAGTTCTTTGTTGATCTGCTGAAGATACTGCGCGTAAAAGTAGCTGCGCCGTCTTGATCGGGTTGTCATGAAATCCTCGGTCCACGAAGAACCTGGAGGTCCTCCTGGACAGCTTGAGAGTCTAGTCTGAACTGTCTCCTCGCAGATTATTGCTGTGTCGCTAGATCATGCTCTGATGTCGGCCAACACATGACTTGAAAATGCCCAGATTCGCCAGGAGTCAGAAAACACTCCCATTGTTCTGTGATATTTATTGGTAACCTAATTTGGATGATCTGCTGGGGGACCAGCCAAGTGCTGTAGTGTATCTTGAAAGGGTGTCCCATGGTTCCAGACTCGCACAACCTCTTGTGATTGTGGTCGCGGGTGAGCTTGCACCAATTTGTCGTGTCAGGTTCTAGCTTTCACTAGTTTCGAAACTTGTGGCTTCAGCTGGTGACTACTGTAGAATCCTGCCGAGCCGTCCCAGCAATTGAGGTAAATTTAAAATTATCCAGATAAGTTTGACTTTGTTTGCACTACTTCCTGAGTAGGAAACGGTGAGTCCAGACTTTGGAATTTCAGGATCGATAATGCGTCCACGACTCATGAGCGTTGGGAGCTGAAGAGTTGTTGACTCTGGGCATCGTACAACATACTTCGTAGCCGAGGCTGTCCTTCACACGTTGCCTTATGCAGGGTTATGCAAAACTCTCGTCAACGTGCATGCACAGTAAATAGTGCAATGCATGCAAGGGCCTCGTAAAGGGGTCAGTGGCACCCTCATCTCGCGTTTTCTTGTGATATCGACTGCGATCGTATATGGGTGGGATGTTGCGATCTTTTGCGCATGCAGCGTCACACTCTTCGCTTTCGCACTTCCCATGTTTTTATGGCAGCGTCCGCTGAGTCTCTTGAAGACCCAACGTTGCGCGCGCCTGCAAGGTGTCGGATGTGATATAAAAGGGGCAGGATCTTGGTGGCGTCGAGGCTTTTCCCTACATTCATGCCCAGACGTTGTGCAACGAGACATTTGGCTTTGATGGAGGGAGTTGCAATATTGGCGATCGAAACAGTTCATCGGTTCTGATGAGTCGAGTTTGCTGAAGGATTTCAACTCATCCAAAGTTCTGGTCCGATCTAGTACAAATCCCTCAATTGGACGGATTTGTCGCAAAGACATGAGGCTCTCGTAACCATTTGCCATCAGCGTCGCACCGAGTTCAGACAGGACTCCGGATTTTGGGAAGGATCCGCAGAGAGTCTCATTTTGGCTAGTTTTCAGCCCTCCACAAATTATTATTCCACAGGAGCGGAGCCTAGCCACTTCGAGGGTTCAAGGGCGTTTACCCGTCGGTCTGCTGGAAATGCTTAGATGGCAGCGCTCCGATCACATCAACTTGGCGATGGGGAAAATGCAAAAACATGGGCCGTAGGGGGAAATTGATTGATAAGGAGGGCTTAGGCATTGATGGAGGAGACGAATGGACCCATGGGCATGAGTGGATGTTGTGGATCTTGGCGAATGGTGTCAGAAGTTCTCAGTGCCACTGAGAACTTTGGAAGCAGAAAAGCAAGATAAGAGTCAGGGGTGCATGGACCCATCTCGTATCAGCATATCGACCACTGATAAGGATGAGATCATTTTGTACACTGGGATCGGTGGGGCATTTTGAAGGCTTTGAGGCCGTTGAGGTGTAACTCACGATATGCTGACAGAACAGGTGGATATTACCTGATCATCTTTCGGGGTGCTGTGAAGTTCGGACGATCTGGCTGCTCTCCCTAAAAATGCCGCGTGGTGATATGGACCGCATTCTGGTATCCGAACAATCCGGCCTAGAAAAAAGGATGGACAGTAGGCTGAGCTCCCCCTGAATTAGTGAAAGGCAAGTTTACTGGGCAATATTATCTGATCTTGGCCGCCTAAATACCACCAAACACTCAACAACGCCCACTTCAGATCATCCTCGAACAAGTTTGTTGACAACCCACGCAGGGCAGCTTAAATCATGTTTGACAGTTAGCAAATTAACTCTGGGGAACTCCAACCTTGTGAAGTGTACATAACTCCTGTAATTTACATGGCATGGAAGGCATGAAAACACTGCCCTGAAGAAGAAAATAAATGGTCAGCCACCCGCCACAAGCTGTCGCCCTATGACATTTCCGGATGAGGGTCTATTTTGGGTTGGGAAGCCATTATTTTGATTCAGGGGTACGCGACATAGAGGCGAGCCATGAGTGGTCTTCCCTTCAAGCGGGATCTTCAGGGTCATCCCAAGTGCCTACACTTGTGCAAATAAAGCCTAGACTGTGAGGATGTGTCGACGAGGCGCCGTTCCCAAAAATCGCTTTCCACACTCTCGGCACATTAATTACCACTACCAAGACCACTTAATCTCCAGTGCAGCACTGGGCTGGCTCACTTGCCTCGCCCTGCGGAACTTTCAAAGGATACCGAAGAATCTCGTATTTTAAGCTTGGTAAACTCAATCCTGGCCATATACATTATCAATTTCTTTCGAATTAATGGACCCATGGCAACAAGGGGATACCAACGTCCAATGGGCTGTGATGTTCCGAGTCTTGTTCAGTACTTTGAAAGAGGGCAGTCGGAAGTCTCTCCGCGTTCTCTCTTCCACTATCATCGGTACTAGGCTATTGATCGTCCCGAAAAGGACGTTGAAGCGTCTTGAGCAATGGGGCTCTCGTGTTCTACCCTGTTGATTATCCTTGTCTGTTCCCGGCTCTCAAGTCTGGACCGACCCGTCATTCGCTGATACTCACCCCCTCTGGGGCAATACAACCTTATTACCCCTGCAGTCACGCTTCAAAGTCTCCTTGAGGAGGCCTTGGGCAGATGGAAGAGAAAGAAAAAAACAGAATTCAGCGAGCGATCTAGCCCTGGACGGGCTCGGTCCCTATTATCTACCCCCTTGGCCTCCTCGTGGCTTACTTCTTTCAAGCGCCTGTGGAGACTGCTCCAAGACAGACATGCCGTCTCTATCAACATCCCTACTGCACATCGTGGCTGACACCAAGGGGAGCCGGCGTTCGTGTCTCCTACATTATGAACTTTGCCTGCTGTCCTACCGTCTCTCTTTTTCTCGTCCAAGGAGTGTTTTCTCTGTCCGTCGTTACCTCTTCCATTTTACTAATTAATTAATAAAGACAGCGAAAATGGCACCTTCAATCGTTCAGGTTGCCTTCTCGTTGTTGTTCGCAGGTTCTGCTGTTGCCAGTTCCGATGTTGCCTCTGCACCATTGGAAAATCGATATGCTGCTGTGTTAGACAAGAGAGTGATCCCGACAACTCTGCCGGGCACATGGGCCTATCAAGGATGTTACTCAGAAGGAGCGAATCGTGCTTTGGGAGGACAAATGTACGCCAATGCCACGGGGATGACCATTGAATCTTGCATTGCCTTCTGTGACAGCAAGGGAGCTTACTTTGCGGGAACCGAGTATTCGTCAGAATGCTGTAAGTGAACCTCAGCCGTCAGATTCTGCAATAAGCCGTTCATTGACATGAGTAGATTGTGGAAACAAGATCGATTCTACTTCGCTCCTTTCGCCAGCAACTGACTGTTCCATGTCCTGTTCTGGAAACACAACACAGACTTGTGGAGGTCCAGCAAGAATATCGGTATTTTGGAATGGAAGCAACCCACCTCCAGGGCCGTCAACAAATCCAGGAACAGGAGGATATGGATTCTTTGGATGTTACACGTGAGTGCCACCAGAGCACAGCTGCCCGGCTTGCTGCAGGTGGTGGCTGCAGATGTTAACGATCGATGCAGTGAAGGAACTACAGGCCGCTGCCTCACCAACCCAGTAACAGTCACCGGTGGAATGACTGTTGGCCTTTGCGTACAAGCATGCAAGACCGCCGGTTATTCTATGGCTGGTATTGAATACGCATCTGAGTGCTGTAGGTGTTCGCTTGTCTTAGCTTGGTTTCTCCAGCTAACCGAACGATAGGGTGCGGCAACGCGATCAGTAATGGAGCCGTTGTAGCTCCAGGAGGTATTTCCGAGTGTAATATGCTTTGCAATGGCAACAGCTCGGAATATTGTGGAGCAGGTATGGGTTCTCCGAGTTCTCTGGCTATCGTGGATACTATTCTTGGGGCACAAACGAAATCCTTCCGACATGTTCTGAAAGAATCCTGGGACATTGAGTTACTTCTTCAAAGAACAACACTGATTAAGCCCTTGTATAGGTGACCGTTTGAATGTGTACAAGCTTGGTTACGAGGGCGTCTCTTCGTCTTCTGTGGCCTCTTCAACGAGGGTATGTTTCTTCTTCCATGAAATTTTCCTGATTCTGACGATCATTCTAGTCATCTTCCACGTCGAGACCTGTCACAGTTATCTCCACAACCAGCCGATCAAGCACAAGCACCAGGGCATCAACCTCCAGCACTCGAACCTCCACTTCCAGCACCAGATCAAGCTCCAGCACACGTGTATCAAGTGTGTCAAGCAGAAGCTCCAGTAGTCGATCAAGTTCCAGTACTCGATTGTCCACATCCAGTACCGGATCCAGCTCAACTTCCAGATCTTCATCGACAAGTTCAAGGTCATCAACTGTTTCCAGCACACGTGTTTCCTCTGTTTCCTCAAGCTCTTCCCGAGTTTCATCGTCAACCGCCGCCACGGCTTCCTCAACTGTTCTCGCAATCAAGCCCGTAGTCGGTGCTTACGGCTTCCAAGGATGTTACACTGAGGGTGTCGGTGTTCGTGCCTTATCTGGCGCAACATACATCGACTATGTTGGAATGACCCTCGAGATCTGTGCTTCGAAATGTGCTGGGACCACGTATTTCGGCGTTGAGTATGGAGGAGAATGTAAGTGACCCCGGGATCCAACTTAGATAACCTCAATGTCGAACTCCAGCTGACGACTTTAGGCTATTGCGGAAACACTCTCGATGCCACTTCTGTACTTACAGCCAACCAACTTGAGTGCAGTTTCACTTGCCCAGGCGATAAATACGAGTACTGCGGTGCTGGTAACAGACTCCAGCTCTACAAGCTTGGAGCCGCAGCTTCCAGTAGCAGCGCTTCCGTTCCAACCGGATCCCGAAGCTCAACCTCGACTGGCGTTTCCACGACATCTTCACCATCGTCGACTGCCGGCCCAGCTGGATACATCTACTATGGCTGCCAAACAGAAGGAACTGGTGTACGAGCTCTCAGCGCTGCTGCATCTGCATCTGACCTGATGACTGTCGAAATGTGCCAGGCTAGCTGTGCTTCGTATACCTATTTCGGTGTCGAATACGGCCGTGAATGTTATTGTGGAAACTCTCTTGCAGCAAGCAGCGTTGCCGCGCCCGCAACCGATTGCAATGTACCATGTATGGGTAATACCGCACAGAAGTGTGGTGGTGGAAATCGACTTGATGTCTACGTCAAAAATGGTACTGCTGTCCCTACAAAGCCAACAGGATCCTCCACCAGCGTCAGCACCTCGACATCCACACCACTTGCATCCGGTCTTCCAGCCGGTTGGGTCTCTGATGGATGTTACAGAGAAGGTACCACTGGTCGTGCTCTTCAAAACCAACAGCCAGACAGCCAAGCGAACTCTGTCCAGGTCTGCATCAACACATGCAAAAACCTCGGCTACAAAGTTGCTGGTATGGAATATGGTACTCAATGGTAAGTTATCCGTATTCAGTTGTAATGACGAAGACTAATAGGCTTAGTTTCTGCGATAACTTCCTTTACAATGGTGCCGCTCCTGTCGCAGCCACTTCTTGTAACATGGCTTGCCCGGGTAATCCAAGTCAAACGTGTGGGGCGGGTGACTTCCTCAACATCTACCACACTGGAAACCTGACAACGTACAAAGCTCCAACGTCCCAATCAACTGATCTCCCAGGAAATTGGGTATACCAAGGGTGTTATTCGGACAATGTTAATGACAACCGCGCTTTGTTCTGGCAAAGTATCCTGACGACCAACAACAGTGCCACCACTTGTCTTGGTCTTTGCCAGAAGTATGGTTTCATGGCTGCCGGTATGGAGTATGGTGACGAATGTTTCTGTGGTGACGAGTCTGTTCGTGCAGCTTCGGGTTCAGTCAAGGTCGCTGAAGCCGAATGTCAAGTCAAATGCTCTGGAGATAATAACTACTATTGTGGAGGAGGAAGTCGCCTATCATATTACAGATGGATCGGAGGCGAGCCTTTGAACGTTTGGGCTGAACCTACTGGTATTAATGCTGGCTCCTACGAATTCCTTATTGGTGGTGTTGTTGTTCCTCTTATTACAACCACCGGTATCAACAACAAGGTCGTCTTCATGGAGAAGTCCGGCACCGGTGCACCAAACACCACTGGTACATACGAGCTTGATCTCACCGTCTTGAACGACTTCAGCAAAGCCTGGAGACCCTTGCATGTCAAGAGTGATATCTTCTGCTCAGCTGGTGTGACTCTGCCAGACAAAAAGGGAAGACAACTCAACATTGGAGGATGGGCCGGACCATCGACATATGGTGTCCGTCTCTACACCCCTGATGGGTCTGACGGTGTTTGGGGAACCAATGATTGGCAAGAGAATGTCAACGAAGTCACCCTTCTTGAAGGTCGTTGGTATCCATCCGCAATGGTCATGGCCAACGGTTCAGTCCTTGTTCTCGGTGGCGAGGTTGGTTCCAACAGTGCTCCAACACCTTCTTGCGAAATCCTTCCTCCACCACCAGGAGGATATGCCAAATACTTGGACTGGCTAGACCGTACTGACCCTGATAACTTGTACCCTTTCATGTTCGTCCTCCCCAGCGGTGGTATCTTTGTTGTGTACTACAACGAGGCACGTATCATTGATGAGAAGACCTTCGATACTGTTAAGACTCTCCCCAACTTGCCAGGGTCCGTCGTCAATTTCCTTGCAGGCCGAACATACCCTCTCGAAGGTACCGGTGTCATGCTTCCTCAGTACCCACCATACTCTGCTCCGGTCACAGTTTTGGTATGTGGTGGTTCTGCCAATGGTGCCGCATATGCTATTGACAACTGCGTCTCTACTCAACCTGAAGTCGCTGCTCCAGAATGGACTATCGAGCGTATGCCCTCTCAACGTGTCTTGTCTTGCATCTGCGCCCTTCCAGACGGAACCTACTTGATCCTCAACGGAGCTAAGGAAGGTGTCGCGGGCTTTGGTCTTGCCCAGGACCCTAATTACAATGCAGTCCTTTACGACCCATCCAAGCCTGTAAACCAGCGTATGTCGATCATGGCCACCACTATCGTCGCCCGTCTTTACCACTCGGAAGCCATTCTTCTTCCAGACGGACGTGTCCTAGTCTCCGGATCCAATCCCGAAGATGGCGTCCACCCAGAAGAATACCGAGTCGAGGTCTTTAACCCACCATACGCCCTCACTGCCGCCGCAGCTCCATCCTTTACAATCAACAACAAGGATTGGGCCTACGGAGCTGCCATCCCAATCACAGCCAAGATCCCCTCCGGCGCCTTCGGCACCGTTAAGGCTTCTATGATGGCAGCTGTCTCCTCCACCCACGGTAACTCGATGGGTCAACGTACTCTATTCTTGACAATCACCTGTTCCGGTGCCCCAGCTACCGCGGCATGCACACTTACTGCCCCTCCATCCGCCCACGTCGCTCCACCAGGATGGTATCAAATCTTTGTACTTGACAACGGCAAGCCATCTAAGGCCAATTGGATCAGAATCGGAGGAGCAATCGCTGATGCAGCTGGGCTTGGAAACTGGCCCAATACTCCCAGCTTTACAGCTCCTGGTCTCGGAGCCGTTGGCACATAAGCATGCTTTATTGTTGAGGAGATGCATGGGTTATAGTAATCGAGTTCAAGATAGAGCTGTAGTAATAGACGGGAAATATAAGGGGAGCATGGCCGAAATCTATAGAGCGCAATGTTATTCATATTGTAATTTCCTTTCATTCGTCAGCCAAATACAACGCATAGTTCTTTTCCAAATGAAGCATCGAAGCTCAATTTCATCACCGTATTGACAGCAGTCTCTATCCGCTCTAATATAGAATACCTCATGTGCTTGGGGAAAGTACAGATAAGGAAAAAGACATTTAGGCAGGTATACTATAGACTGCACATGAAAGTTCTTCTTTGGAATAGCTGATTTTCGACTATAAATTTGTGAATCGTCAGCGTAGACCCCAGGAGACCTACCACCCTACCAAGCCCCCCCTCTGGTAGTCAGTGGAAATAGTTAGACGTTTAGATAAGAGTAGAAGTGTTTCCCCTACATAAAGCCATTGAAGAGCTCAACCGAAACGCCGAACAAAGCTTGAGCTACTTTATATTTCTACTAAAAACACTGAGATGTACACCTGTACCACAGAAATACAGGTGGAATGTCTCACCTCGTCTAAACGTCTAACTATTTCCACTGACTACCAGAGGGGGGGCTTGGTAGGGTGGTAGGTCTCCTGGGGTCTACGCTGACAATTATCGTGTTATAACATCAAATATATACCAATATCTGGAGCATCTTTGGGGATACCTCTGGATCATCTGAATTAATATATATTTGGGAAGAGGTAGAAGTGAATGTTTATAGGTCTTTGGTTTGCCGAACAGCCCAAGTCGCTCCCCGATACGAGGTAGAACGACAAATTATAAAGAAGCTGATATTTATTATTCAACCAGTATTGTAGGGGGGGGATCGCAAGCAGCCTTGCAGTATCACTGGACTGTTTACTCCAATGTCCGTCACGTGACCTTTAGTGGTGATCTCCTGAGGATCTTCACATTCCCCCGCTTTTGTAACAGTTCTTTCACTTCAGTAACTTATAATCTCCCAGGCATACATTCAACATTCATACTTGTTCTCAAGTATGTAGGATTCGAAGGCCCAGCCAGCGGTTGCTCATTCACTGTACCTACGATATCGATCGAACCTCGGTTGTCCCCATTCCCAACGCCCTTTTCCCCTTACTCTCTTGCAACTTCAAGATAACGACGGGCAGTAGTTTTAGCGAGAAGTCTACACAATGTCGAACAGAACTAAAGATTCGTCACAACCGTTGGGTCCAGCACCTACACGGTTACGTCAAATTGCACTGGTAGCTAGGGATCTGGAGAAAGCTAGACATCTTTTAGTAACTATTTGCTCCAAATTCTTGAGGCTTCTCAGCTGATATTGTGATAGACCACCACCATCGGAACAGAAGTCATATATGAAGATCCGGCAGTCGAGCAATGGGGACTGAAGAATATCCTCGGTTAGTTCGCCTCCTCATAGGCATTCTCTCTTCGTGATCCGAACTTACATTTCCTATGTAAATAGTCCCCATCGGCGGCGATATAATCGAAGTAAGTACCTCAATTACCCACTGACTCTCCTCCAAAGTTTTATACAAGTCCCGTAGTTAAAAGGATGCAGGTCGTATCACCTACTCTGCCCACGGCACCCGCAACCCGCCATCTGGAGAAACTCAACGCTGACGCAGGAGGCTACATGATAATAATGCAAACGCACATGCCCTCTGCTCTCACCCGTCTCGAGCACATCACAATCCGTAATCTCGCCAGACCTATATTTACACACTCAAGTTCAGATAGTGATTTGGTGCAGTACCATCCAAAGGGCATTCCAGGCGGTATGATGCCCGAACTTGATTCTCACCGTCCTGATAGAGCACATCCGGATCCTTTATATGAGAGGTGCTCGCCCTGGCATGCCGCTGGGCCAAAGGAGAGATATGGTTTGTATCGGGAGGGTATGAAAAGATGTGGAGATTTGCGATTGGTTAATGTGGTTTTAAGACTTAGAGCAGGGGATGGAGATGTGGAGGGAGCGGCGAAGAAGTGGGAGGAGATTTTTGGTGTGGCGAGGGGAAAGAGGAGTGATGAACTGGGATTTACAAATGCAAAGTTGAGATTTTGTAAAGGGGAGAAAGGGAGGAACGAGGGGTTAGTAGAGGTGGGTATTGCTGTGGAGGGGATGGAAAGGAGAGACGGGATCCTAAAGAGGGCGGAATGGGAGGGTTTAAAGATCCAGGGAGGGGTCCTGGAGATGTTGGGTATCAGGTGGAGGTTCACGATTTATGATGGGAGACAGGAAGTTGAGGAGAAAAGTAATCTGTAGATCTGAACTGAAGCGGATCCTTGCGAATGCCTTATTTGGATTCCAGTGCAGCTCAGAGATAGCAGGGCAAGGGCTTTGATGTGATGTGTCATTGGAGTATGGACTCCGGACCACAACGCAGGGGGATGGCGCAGTTAAGAGACTGAATGCACGAGAATGTGTGGGCTTTCAAACAATTCTACCATGCAGTCCGCGATGCATGGATGGATCTAGGAAAACCCGTAGCGTAATTAACTACTACCTGTAAGATTTAAACAAAAACAATCCAATCGCCTTGATATTGGAAATGCCACTTGAAATGAGGCTGTCCAAAGCTCACAAAAAAAATGCGGTGCTTGAAATTTACCTTGGGCGAGGAAGAAGAGAATATGATAGAGTTAAAAGTCAAGTGTCATCTGACAGTGCCAAACTCTATGAGCCTGGTAGGAGGTATAATGATACAGCTACACAGAACAAGAAACTCCCCAGGTACATCCCATCTTCACCCGATCTATCATCTAGCTTGGTATCACTCGGTCATCAATTATCGTACAGTGGGACACAGTTCTGCACCTCTTAAGGACCAGAAGTTACACAGGTATCCTGTTGCCTCTTGCAATCAGCGAGGTTGAAGCCTTTAGCTGTTCCCCCATTGAAAGCGTTTGCGCAAGCGTTGAACTGGACATCGCACGACCTTTGAATCGCCGCGGACTTTGTAGTGAACGTGTTGCCTTTCACCGCGAACGGGCGAGAAGCATTACCGGAATCGGTTATTTCTGGAGGTGCAATGCCTCCGAGAGCTACGCTACTTGGGTAGACTGACTGGTGCACTCTTTGTCGCGATCGTAATAGCAATTGTGGAGTTGGGGAAGAGCTTTGAGCTGATGATTGGAGATGCAGCTGCAATGATTGGAGTGGCGGTTGCTGATGGAGGGTCAATGAACACAGTTGAAGTAACAATATCGCAGGAGCTGATTGCGGCTGCTGTTGGAGCTGGTGGGTCGATAAAGACAATGTTCGTGATTACAGCGCATTCACTTTCGGCCGGGGTTGTTGCAACGGCTTCTGCGCCTCCTAGAGTTGGAGCAGCTTGGGATAACTGGGATGCCTGAGCCGTGGTAGTGACTGTGACTTCTGAAATCACACTGCCGGTCACAGACGCAGTGGGTGGGACTGTGACTGTTGCGGTGACCTGAAAAAATGAGTTTTATTTCAAGTCGCAGAATAGAATTACTTACAGTCTCGGGGGCAGCTGGAGCTGAAGCGCTACTGGCAACATTGGCGCACTTGTTCTTCTGGGAAGAACATTCCTGGAACGAGAATCCTGGGCCTGAGAAGCTTATACACTTGGTGAACTGGTGGCCGCAAGCAGCTGCACAAGCAGATGGGAAATCATCGAAGAGGTCCTCGAAGACAACGAAGGACTGGCCCTTCTTTCCAACCGCAGGAGGGAGACCACCTAACGAGAAGACGAATTTGAAGAATGTCTTAATGACAATGACTTTGTGAACGACAACGACTCTTTTTCCACCACCTGCCTTTGCCGTGAAAGCTGGTCTGCCATTACCTTTCTTGCTTGCTTGAATCGCAACTATTGAAGGAGATGATATGGAGGCAGCGGTCGTCGAGGCTTCAACAGTGACAGAGCTCGAGGTATCCTGTACGTTACTGTTGCCGCCCTTGCCACCATTACCATTTCCTCCGTTTCCCTTGCCACCATTACCAGCAGCCCTTGTAGATGTGGTCTGGGCAATAGTGGTGTTTTGAAATGGAGGAACAGTAGCGAAACTCTTGGTCGTTGCTTTGCCACCATTGCCGCCCTTTCGTGTCTTGGTTGTAGAAAGTGATGCATCGGCGGTACTTGATTCAGTAGCGGATGTAGACAACGCCTGCTTTGTAGGACCGGCACTCGAAGACGTCTCGATAGAAGTCGATTTTTTAGAGCTCGAGGCAGCTGAGCCACCGTCGTTTCCAGTATTTCCTCCGGTATTGCCTCCAGTACTTCCACCGGTATTTCCGGCTGAAACGACTGTGAACTTTGTGCAATCATCAGGGGTTCCACGCTGAGCCACTGGCATGAGAACGGGCTGATGGTTGGAGGCAGATGACATGGTGCAAACACGATAATTCCCGGCAAGAAGGCCACCGGTCACGGTAGCAGAGAGAAGACCCTGTCCGTTACCGGCGTTATTGATTCCCTTGAAGAAAACGAATTGTGTCGGGTCCAAGGGCTTAGTAGGATTGAGGCTGTTTCCCATGTCTTGTACCGTCACATGTGTATGTCCAACAACTTTGCCTCCTTGCAAAAATTGAGGGCCGGCATAATAAGTAGACGCGGCATTCGTGAAAGACCCTGCAACAAGATTGTTCATTTGGACGGTGATACTGAAAGTGGTATTGGCTACGATGCTAGTATCGCCTGCCTCCGGAAACGTGATAATGCTAGAGACCATGTTTGCCTTAGCTGGGATATCGCCCATAGCTAGAAGTGTTAGGAATCTACAAATGCAATTGAAGAGTACTGGAACATACGAATTCCATTACAAGAACCGCCAAGTACTTGAAGACCATTTGTCAAGGTTTTTCCGGCGCAAAGATTGATGAAATTGTTCTTTGATGTTTGCGAGGCAGATTGTCCAGGCTTCTGCACGCCATTGACACTCCCATCGGTAAAAGAGCCGGTTTGAATGGCATCAGCGAGTAGAGTGGTACCACTAGCATCGTTTTTGTTTTGCCTTCTATGTAGGAAGGCATGAATACGTCTTGGTGGCTCTCGAACTGAACGTTCCTCCATAAGACCATGATGATGTCTTCTCTGCATGTGGCTTTCCACATGTCTTGTATCAAGAACAGACCGACCTTCGATGAGGCCAGCCGATACCAAGAGTACAAGCAAAGTAGGGTTCAACATATTGAAAGTTAGATATGTGGAATGTTAAGTGGTGATACAAAGTTGTCAACGGCCCGGCCTGGATTGAAAGTTGTGCGTAGAAGTGAAAAACGAGCGACACAGTCGAAGGAGAGAATGTATAAAAGGTCAGCCAAAAGAATGTGACAAGCACGCAGTAAAGAATGTAGGTCGAAAAGATCGATAAGGAGTAAAAAGTTGGCTGGGCAAAGGACGAACTTATATCCCATCAGCTCTTCTACAGAAGGAAATGAATTCGGCCTCAATCCCTTGCCGTCGATCACTCTTAAAACAGCCACAACGTCTGCTAGACCTCTCATCATGGCCGCTCACGAAGCCCCTTCTCAGCCTCGGTGCTTCGAGAGACCTATTGCGGAGGTCTGAGTTTCGAGGGGCAGATGCAGGAACAAAAAACAAAAGGGCAAGGTAGGCGCTCATGAAGGCATCCCACCAACGAGATAGGCAGGATCATGCGAGGAAATGATGTAGGCTCGCCAAGTCTGACCCAAAAGGCCAAAATCTGTGACGCGAGTTGTTACTGATTATGCAACATATCAGGCAATACCTGGGGAGAGATAGGACGGGATGGATACGAAGGGTCTGAGACGATCCCTTCGCTAGGCCGCCGAGGTAACCGGCTTATGAACGAAACAGGAGATTGTTTTTTGCCCAGCTGGAGATTCTCGCTAAGAATCGCATGAAGTAAACCGCATTCAAAAACTAGAGGAAATCTCATGCTGCATAGCCTGAAAGAAGACACAGCCTTTCGCAAATTACATGCGATCCAAGAAGAGTGACTGCGGATATTCATCTGTCATGAGATTGTGCAGAATCTCATGGTTTAGAGGCGCGAGGTGGAGGCGGAGGTGGGTTGCAGCGCTTATTTCATCCGTTCGTCCCCTGATGGGTTTCATCTGGAATCTTTTGGCTAGAACTCGAAACAACGCATCAGGGGGTTCGGACGAACACCAACTGACCGTCAGGATCAAACAAGCTTTGCTGATAGGAGATCTATTGGTCGACGCAAGATATGCGCCATCTATCAAAGCTTGAGAAGGATCTCATGTTTCGTCTGTTGCGTGCAGCTGCTTGATTGATGATCCGCGACCAGAGAAAGGACCGCGCGATCGAAAATGTCAATGTCCTGCCTTATCCTCCGCCGTCAAAGCATTCACGTCTCCGTAAGTCCTGTGTTGCCGCTATCTGATGATGCGACGTGACCCAGCGATCAGGGCGTATCGCATGGACAATGACCTAGGCCGAAGGGGTATCCTGAACAGAATACTACAGGACAATGTGGGTAAGGGCCTGTTTAGATCGGAAGTGACACTTTATATTACTTCCTAAAGTGATAACATATAGTCTAGCTATATCGGATTTTTAAGTAAGATACAGAAGTAACACTAAGATTTAAGCTCTTTACTAAAATTAAGTAGAGAAAAAAATAAAGAAGCTATTATTATTATTATTAAGAGCTATATCTAGGTATAATTATTAATAAACTACTTTAATTTAAGTACTTTAGTTACTTTTTTATTAGTCCGCAGACCTATACTATGGAAATATAAGGGGAAGTCAGAGGGTGCAAGTAATCCCAGTTAAGGGATAAACTCCTTTCAGATACGAACCGGGGGCTGTTTAGGAGGTAATATATATTCTGACTTATAAATACTCTTTATAATATATACTTTTAAACACCTTTAAACTGAACCTTAGATTTTAATATATATCGATATACACTTATTATTTATTTACTAGTATAATACTAATACTAATCAGTAGTTACCTTATACTATAGAATAAATAAGTTAAATATAATAGAGTTAACTCTTAGGATATAACACTAAATTAACATTAGTAGGCTCTTATTAAAACTAAGTAGAGTAAGCCTTATAGAGTAACTAGAGAACTCTTATTAAAATTAAGTAGAGTAAGTTCTATACTACTAAAGAATAATAGCTACTCTCTAATAGTTATTAAGATATTTCCGGAGCTATTCAGTTAGATATTTCTAAGATATAAAAGGTATACTCGAAACACCTACGAATTGCCTCTAGTATAATAGCGACTCTAATAAACTAAGTTATAAAATAACTTAAAGTAGAAGTTAGAAGTAGCGGAACCTTAACGTAAAACAGGACGCTAGTTCCTAGAGCACCTTTAGCCGGTCTTATAGGAGCTAATATTAATAGTCTAGTTCAAGGATTCGTAGATTATTCTATAAGGAAAATGTTACGGACCCCTTAGCGCTATAGTTCAGTTAGTACCTATATACTAATAATACTATTAGTAGTACTATAGGGGTATTAGTACTAACAAGGGAGTAGTACTATTAATAGGGTAGTACTAACTAGGGAATAATATAGGATAGTAAGTAGTACTATTATATACTTACGCTTTAGTAGTAATAGTTACTTAGATCACGATAAGTAATAGGTCACGTGATAGATCCTTAGATCCTTAGATCCCCTTATAAGAAAACAGATCTAAGGATCTAAAGATCTAGTATCCTAAGGGATCTAAGGAGAATAAAAGTTCTATATAAGATTAGTATATCTACTATTAAATAAGAGCTTTATACTTAACTTTAAATAGTATTCTAATACTTAGTAACTATCTTCTTATCTATATAATACACCTACCTCTTAATTATTAGAGATTAACTATAGCCTTCTATATTTATAGCGAGTAAATACCGGACTATTACACTTTAAGCACTATCTTGTTAGAGGTACTGACTCATGAAAATAATATATCCTCTATTAAAGGATCGTTATTAAGTAATAACCTAGCTGCCGCTAAGACTCTTAATATTAAAAATATACCTAAGATCGCCGCCCCGGATCTCTATAGCAGAGACTAATCTAAGCTTAGAGTATACCTTATGTAAGTTAAGCTCTATACAGGCTTTAATAGTTACTAGTTTACTATAGAGACTAATAAGGTCCTTTAAGCTTCGTTCTTTCTCCAGGGATTTACCTTTAACTAGATTAAGACTTTCCTCTTAGATTATATCTAGAACTAAACTAAGGATAGAAGAGTCTCTATAGTAATAACTAAGGAATCTTAGAAGATCTTTATAATCTTTAAAAGTTTTAAGTATAGGATTAATTATATCTTTAGTAATATTAATTAGAACTATACTACTAAACAGAATATCTAGAACCTAAAGTAAGTTAGGTTAGCGACTATATATACTATTACTTTCTAGTAATTCGCGAATCAGACTAGCTAAAATAATAACGCCCTTTAGGTATAGTACTATAAAAAGTTAAAAAACAGAGTAAAAGATAAGATAGTAAGATTAGATACGCCTACCGACTTATAAGAACTTATCGAGATAGCTATTAAGATTAATAACTGAAATTATAAGAGGGCACTTAAAAAGAAAAGCTAATACTACTCTAGAATATATATATACTAAGAAAGAGGGAGTAATAATAAGAAACCGTTCTACCCTTAGGAAATAGAACTTAATATAACATTCCGGAAGTTAAGTTATTAAGGGAAGCCACATAGCAATAGGTTATCTAAGAAAGTTATAAGCGAATAATAAGAGAAGAAGCTATACTTTAAGTATAGCTTCCCTAGTTATATAGCTAGCTCTTATTAATAAAAAAAGTCGTAGATAAATAAAAAATATACTAACATAATAAGACGTAGCTCTTATAACAAACTAACCTAATAACTCGCTGCGATATATTAATATATAACTACAGATAAGCTTAAGAAAAATTATATCTATACTTAGTTAAGTAACTCTAGCGATAGTAAGCGGGATTCTATAAGCGTTAAGGGTCCGCTTAAGGAGGATATTATTAGTATACCTCCTAAGGACTATATATATTAAGATAATAATAGCTCTAGGCCGGATAATAATATAGAGCTAATACTAAGTAATAGCAAGGAAGAAGCCTAGGAGCTAAAGTAGACTCTAGAACTAAGGCTACCTTAACCTAAACTCTTAGGACTAAAAGTAAGTAAAATTTAAGAAGTTACCTAAAAGGAAGAAAGCTTATATTAGGTTAGCTATAATACTCACTACTAGACTAATATAGCTACCGGGGTTACTTATTAAGAACCGGGCCTTATTAGCTTAAGGGGTCTACTATAGGGGGTAAAGTATAAAGTAGTCTACTAGGACTATAAGCGTATCGAATAAAGGATAGCTAGTAGCTAGGAAGGACTAACGACCTTTATATAGTACTTACTACTCCAGAATACCGCTATTCTTAATACTAGTGCGCTACTAAAGGTAGGTAAGGAATAGGAAATCATAGTAGAAAACTGATATAATAGGATATAGGTCCATATTAATAATAACAATTAATACTATTATAAGATATATAACTTAGTAATATATACTGAACTCAGAATAAGGCTTATATATAAAGTCAGCTTAAGCTATAGTAATCGAAAGGTATAGAAGAGTATTCTTAATTATAGTATATACTAGGAGTACTTCTACGTATAGTAACTTACTGCTATTAGGGATAAATATCTTATATTAGAAGTTAAAATTAAGGGAGTTAAGCTTTAGGTAATAGTAGACTCTAAAGTATAAAGGAACTTTATATCTCCTACTATTATACTTAAATACTACTTATTAACTAAAGTAAAAGATAAGGGATACTATCTAGTACTAGCAGATAGTAAGATTACCTCTAATAGACTAATTAAGGTCTAGACTACTCTAGTCTATATAAGTATTACTAGGTACTTTAAAATAATCTAATTCGATATTATTAGGATTAGAAAGTATAATATTATCCTAAGGTTACTATAGATAGAAAAGTATAACCTTATTATTAATTAGTAGATAAGAAAACTTAAGTTTAGTCGCTACTAAGACTACTATTATCTACTAAGAATAGAAGTAGTAAGTATTTAAGAGGTTAGCGCTACCTCTAAGAAAAAGCTTAGATACTAAGATAAGAGTCTGCTAATAAAAGATATACTATTAGTATATAAGAAGTTTATAGTACTATTTAAAGAGGAATAAGGTATTAAGGCCTTATTAAAACACTAGGACTACGATTATTAGATCGAGTTAGAACTAAGTACTAAACTAATATTCTAACTACTTAGGGAATATTTAGTAATAGACTTAATAATAATTAAGTAATATATTAATAAAAACCTAGTGAAGGGATTTATCTAAGAGTCTAAATCTCTATAAGGGAGTAATATCTTATTTATAGAGAAGAAAGATAAGAGATAATAAATATATATCAACTACTATCGATTAAATAATACTATAAAGAAGGATTATTATATACTACTATTAGCTAAGGAGCTATAAGATAGACTCGTTAGAGCTAAGATTTTCACTTAGCTTAACTTATAAGAAGCGTACAACTTTATTAAGATAGCTAAGAGTAAAGAAGAAAAAATAGTATTTTATACTTGTTTCAGTTACTACGAATATATAGTTATACCCTTTAGCTTAACTAATATACTAGCTATATTTCAGTATCTAATTAATAACGTTTTATAGCCTTACTTAGATATAATATATATATACTATTTAGATAATATACTAGTTTACTCTAAATCAGAGGAGTAATATATAAAGGATATCACAGCTATTCTCTAGAGGCTAAAGAATACCTACTTATTACTTAAACTAGAGAAGTGCAACTTCTATATAAATAAGGTTATCTTTCTAAGCTATATAGTTACTACTATAAGATTAGCTATAGATCCTAAAAAGATTAAAGTAATTATTAAGTAAGTAGGACCTATAAATATTAAAGAAGTATAATTATTCCTTAGGTTTATTAACTTCTATAGGCGATTTATTAAGGACTACTTAAAAATCGCTAAGTTACTTATAGAGTTAACTTATAAGGATAAGGAATTTCACTAGTCTAATAGCGCGTGTAAGGCATTTAAGGCACTTAAAGTAGCTTTTATCACGGAACTAGTACTTACTTCTTTCACCCCTAATAAAGAAATACATATAGAAACAGATTCTTCAGATTATACTATTAAAGCTATACTTAGCTAGCTAGGTAAGGACGGAAGATAGTAACTAGTCGCTTACTATTCGCGGAAACTATTACTAGTAGAGCTTAACTATAATATATATAATAAAGAGTTACTAGTAATTATAGATACTATCTGTGAATAAAAAGTCTACCTTAAAAGCACTACTTATAAGGTATAGGTCCTAATAGACTATAAGAATCTTCTTTACTTTACAACTACTAAGGAACTAAACTAATAGTAGGTTTATTAGTATAAAAATACTCTCTACTATTAAGCTTCGAATTTCTTATATTAAGAGAATAGAAAATACTTA